CATTGGACGGACTATTGCTGTTTGACAACGGAGCTTAAACGGCACATCCACCACTCCATGTAACACGTAACCAGAATGGATCCCTGCCGAGGACGTAGCGCTGTCAGGTTCTTGTATTTAGCACTGTAGACTAGTACGGAGCAAGCTTTTGAGTTGGAGCAAGCCCAGACGGGAAAATCTGGGTTTTATCTTATTTTGTTGATGTGCAACCCGGCAGTTAGGTTGACGCAAAGTAACATCGGCACGTTCTACGGTTTCATTTACATAAACTCTAAATCTTTGAGGTCTTTGTGAAAGACTCGATATTATGTAGTAGCAACATGATTTGAAGTGAGGGGGCAATGGAATAGAGAAACCAAGTGAAGAAAAAGCAAATGCCGAAGAAGCCAATTGTGAGGTTACGAGGTACGGAGTAGATCCAAATAAACAGTTAACTATACGAACTTTTCGGCCGTCCCGAACACCAATGTCCGCGGTATCTACGGATCAATATCACGCCGCTTTTATTAGGCTAGCGATTAACAATAGTTAACAGCCCGTTGAGTTGTTGACACAACAGGGGTCCGGTCCCTATGTTATTTGATTGGTGTACGGAGTAATTCGACAGCATTAATCAATGCCTTGCATGACTGTACTCCACCGTGAGGATTTAATTCCCGGTCTGTAGAAGTACTACTACTACACTGTACACATTCCGAATGTTGTCGTGTGGAGTACGGAGATACAGAGGAAGATATGCAAATGTACTCGTGGTAAGATTAATAACAGGAGAGAGCTGCATCTTCGAACCCGTTAAGTCTCACAATATTTGTATTAACGCTTATATGAAATAGCTTGGTCGATTCTCAACGAGTGGGCAACGCATCTGTGTACGCTGTACGCTTTGCTTTTGGTATTCGAAGCTTTATCGATTATCGATCCGCTAGTGGGGCTGATACGAATCCCACGTAGCATGTACTCCGTACCCTATCATGAAAAGTGTTTATAGCTAGTGGCTGTCAGAATGGACAGATGTACTATGTATGTACAGACTCCGCATTACGTATCGAATCTACAAATCCTTGGAAATTCTTTCTTAAGCAATCAAGAATCTTTACTCCTAATCCCTTCGTCGTATAGCTAGTATGACTTAAACCATGAAGTGTACATTTTCCATTTCGAAAGCCGAACGACTTGTGGTTCTTCTACCTAGGCATGGGCTACTACTGTCTATGCGGCATGCCGCACACCCGCTGTTTATTCGTATTATCATTGTGCAATTGTATCATGAAGGATGTGGGCACGCTAGCACATACATAGTAACAATAGAGCGCCACACAAGTCTATTCAGCATCTAGAGCCACAGTCGGCCAATCTCTCCTCTCGAATTTCGACGGAGCTACGTAGCGCCAACCAAAAAGTGCATGAAGATGAAGACTCATCAGTTATGTACGATGACATATAACTTTGGAAGACTGTGAAAATTGCGACAGTAGTACTCCGCAGGAACTCTTTACTTGAATAACAAGGTGCTGAGGCATGAAGTACCCCTCCATCACAATCACCACGCAACTTTCCATCTGGCGTCTAAATACTCCGGACTCCATGTGCGAGGCGAGAAATCCCACAATTTGGGATCACCCATACGGGGCCAGCACAATCTCACACTAGTCAGCCACGCGCATATTTATTCTATTATCATTGGAGGGATTTGAGCAGCATAACCCGCTATTATGCGGCTTGCCACCACTCGGGCGGCTGGCCCTTAACCTTAGTCTCCACCCACCCCTCTTCTTGTAGCATTGTCTCCGCACACATGTTGGACCCACAATTTCCCTCGTAAGATGGGATCGTCGAGAGTGATAGGTCGCAATTACTGTTATGGAAATATTCCAGAAGGACGTAGTATTTCTTCCAATAGCCATGTGATGGCTGCAGTCAGTTCTAAATGCTGGATGCATCCGACCCCTGTCGGTTATGCTTCTTCGGTCAGGCTGCATAATGATTTCACACATACACGCAGCCTGAAATTCGAGAAGTGTTGACCATGTATGCAGCCTATCATCCACTGTTTAATCCTGTAAATGATGTCGCTACAAAAGGGTGCATCATTCCAACCGGTTGATGTCCTTAGGCTGATTCAAGTATGCAGTCTGACACACGACTTGCACAAGCATTTGAAGCGTCTTTGACATACCTCTTACCGGAGCTATCTTCAATTACTTACGAATTCTCCCGAACTCGAAGGATCGCTATTATAGTAAGCCGCCCATGCCGCTGTGTTCTTCTTTGCTTTGCTTATCCAAAATTTGACATGGACCTCTGTTGAAAAGGGAAATTCCGGGTGTTAAAGTAATGCCGGACTCAAGAGAGACTGAACTATCTGGGCCCTTCTCCACTTTTAACATGTTACCTAAACTATACGCCACCATAAATAGCTACATACAACTATTCAAAGTAATGGACTACTGATTTTAGATTCCAAACCAAGTTAGCAGATGCGCTCCCGTCGTCTTATCGCGTACATAGACCTCTCTGCAAGTGAATCAATGAGTGGATAGTGATCCTCGCCACTTTTCTTCTTTTGTATGGATTCGTCAGGTCTTCGCGCCTTGTCCAGTAAGTAACCTTCGAGATTTCGAATCGTTACAGAACGTAAAACTCTAAACCTGACTCGTACGGATATGTGAGTGGTTTGTAGAACCAATCAGGCAGATGAATCCACCGAAACGTTGAATTCTTCCGCGAATAATTCTAGACTAACCTTCCTGTGTTGATCAAACTAACCAACTTCAACTGGAATTTAATGATCTTAGCATCAACGGATGTAACTAGAATCCGAGACAATTACTAAAATGCGGTTAACCAAAGTATCTCAGTATCCCATCACAGAGGCAGGTTCCTTTGGGCGTGGACAATAGCCAATGAATTCAGTAGCCTTTCAATAAATCTTTAATTTAGAGGTTCATCTTAGACCTGGATATAAGATAGTTGCATTTGACTAGTGTTGTTACATTTGACTACACAAGGGGTCAGATAATGAAGGCTCAGAAAGACCGAGAATTTGGGATCAACGAAGTGGCAAAAAACCGCTCAGCTTCACTAATAGCATCCCCGATAGTCTTACGCTTTTCAGTAGCGATATTTGCAACAGGGCATACACTGTGTGCACTTTTTCCTATTGATACCTGACTACCCAGCATCAACTACATATGTGTGAAGACACTCAGGACGTACACGTCAAACGTGATACTTGAAATACATTTCAGAAGGCCAATAGAAGACAATCCTTTTCTCCTAAATGAGGTTTAAATTGATTGCATCCTTCGCTTAGGAGAATGATCGACGGGATCGAGGACTGACCCTTCTCTGATAGCCTGGTTGATCATCACGGCCATAAGCTAACAACGACTCATATTTCCAGATCCAATAGAACAACCATCAGAGAAGTTATCGCCGTCCAATGTATAGAGTTTCCGGAATACTACTAGCAGTATCAAACTTATTTCTTGGCCTGGGCAAAGCTTTTATAATTGCAAGTCGCGTACTGGTAAAGTGATTAAAAGCGAAAAGCCATGGAAACTACGAAGTAGTAGTAACCTGGAATATACCATACCCAGGTATTTCCTGCGTTTCAGGGTTGATGGATCTTCCCAGTCTTCATTGTAATTACTGGAGTAGCTCTGTCTTGTTATATTCCACTATAACTGGTGGGTAGTCTGAGCATCAAGTGCATGTGGGCGTTAGACTTGACTTTATATCCTTCTTGTAACCTATCTTTCAGTACTATATATTTCTCAAATGTGATATATATTGGAATATTTTACTCTTTTCATCATACAGTGCAGTTATCTGGTAAATTCATCTCTCACAGGAACTTGTTAGCATGAAATTTACTGGTTCTGACGGGTTGATGTTCTCTATACGATGCCTACTTCAGATACCTAGGCATATGAGTAACTAATTCCAAGTTTATTTTGTCTTCAGCACGCCTACCTAACTAATATCACCCTGAGATAGATGGAGAAACATTCAGTATGGTTCGGAGGTCTGCCTCCGAGCCCGCACCCGCCGAGGCACTCTTTGAACCCTGATGAAGGTGGGCTGTCCGAGTGATATGAAGCCAGTATCAACTAGAGAGTTTTTTTCAACTGCATTTTACGGCATCATCTTCTTTTACAAACTCACTTTTCAAACAAATCAGTGCCTCGAGAACAAAAGGAGCAATGACTCTCCAAGCTCAACATAAATGTTCGAGCAAAGTTGTCTAAGTGGTAGGAGATTTTAACATCTGGGAATACTGTGTAGATCTGGCTTGAGAAATTTTAATGACCAGTCAAGTGTTTGGCCAGATTACAATCGAAGTTCTTGACTGAAGTACGATTGTAGCAGCCTCAAATTGTCTTCAGCAAATATCTATTTCAAAGAGCAAAACGAATTTACTATTTAGGGATCAAGCGAGAGAAATGGCTCTACTGTCTTAGGACGGGTTTAGTCTATTTATGATTTTACCGCTTGATTTCAAGTACTTACTGCAACGTATGGACAATGTGATTCACTTCCAACACCTTGCGAATCTTGTTGCAAGTATATAGAATCTGTTACTCTTTGTTATAGTAGTATAAATCGCCACGTGAGCTCGGAAACCATAACCAACCTGTTGCCTTAAGTTACTGGCATCATATCCATTCAAGAATCTTTTTCGAGGAACTACCTAGTTCCTATCAACCTTAGATTCTTTAACGTCGAGATCATTTAGCGTGCAAATTTCCTCAATTTATACCTAGTTAGGAAGTATGATTATGGAAACCGTGAGGCAATTGAGTGCCAAAATATTACGCCAAGATATACGGCTATTCCTGGTACCTACCAGCCCAGGTAGCAAAGTGAAGCGTCGTTAAGTAAGGCCACGGATATAATATATATGTGCGCAGATTATTGAGCAATTTGAATGGAGCCAGCAGTTGCTCAGAAAGATCAGACTGACGAAGAGTAACGAGTGAGGTAGGTATTGCTTTTTCGGAAAAGAATATCGTTTAGCTATCATTGATTTTCAGGACTATGCGATTATTTATTAAGTATAATTAGGTACCTACATTGGTAGGCCGGCCGTTCACATAGCACCCACTAGGTACCATCCTAATATTGTAAGTATTGAGTACCTAGTTACAGCCAGCTGCATATAGGCTAACGTCAATTAGGATCAAGCTTGTAAAGAGAATTCTAATCAGAATGAGGAGGTTCTTTGATACCAGCACCAGCAGCAGCGGCAGCATTAGCCTCAATGTCGGAGTTGATGTCCCGTTTCCTGCCCGTAATAGTCTTCATAGCGAGCGAGAAGTCATCCTCTAGAGCATACATATACCAGTAGTACATACCTGTCCTTAAGTGGGTTGATCAGTATTTGGAATTCTCAATATAAAGCTTTGAGAAATCTTCAGACTCACCGCAGAATAATCCCCCACCAAGGACGTTACCAATGAAAGCTGGGATTATACCCTTCCAGATGTACAATCCAACCGAGATTCCGGGAGCATCCAGCCAAATAGCCATGGGGATAAAAGTCATATTGGCAACAACATGGTCAAAACCCAAGGATACGAAAGCAAAAACTGGCCACCAGATACCGATAATCTTGCTTGCGAGATCTCGACCCTGCATACCGAAGAAGCAGGCGAGACAGACGAGCCAGTTACAACCAATGCCGCGCAGAAACACAGTCTGCCATTCAGGAGTGACTTGTTTCTTGGTAGCAAAGGTGATTACTTGGCTCTTGTAAGGGTCTGCACTGAAGACTTCGCCGTAGCCGATAATGATAGTTACCATGAAGAGGGACCCGCACAAGTTGCCGAAGAATGTGACGAACCAGTGGATCAACATCTTGTACCACGGGAGTCGACGCTGAAGAGCTGCCAGGGTGGTGAACTGTCATCGTATTAGCACCTAGGCATTTTTCTTGGATCTGCAGTGTAGACAAACCATAAAAGATCCAGTACATAAATCGGCACCGGTCAAGATTATCATACATAAACCGTAGGGAAAGACCAAGGCGGCGATCGTACGGATTAGCCCAGGAGCATTTTCCTGCCACCAGGGAGCAGTATTGGTGCTGAGAGCGGTAGCGCAAGCAAATGCCAACAAACAACCCGCAGAAACGCCACTCAAGAACACCTTGTCAAGGCGCATGTTGCCCTTAATGGTGCCTGCGAGGGTAACAGTCTGGACTACCTCGCTTGGTGTGAGGCAGTTCACGGTGAAGCTTGAAGCCATATTCATAAGGGTCTATATATAGATTTGTCAAAATGATTATTAGGCAATAATGATAGAAAGGGTCTAAATTCTCTCCGGTAACACGAGGTATGAGCTGGCATGTGAAAGTATCTGAGAAACAGCAAGAAACATTTGGGATGCTCGGGGTCTTGGCTCTCTTTTATCTCTGAAAATATACATGTGGGATAAAATGATCAAGCTTCCCTTCAAAGGAGCACGATCCTCCGCCCCAAGCATTGGCGTGCAACGATAGTCGGTTTTTCGGTATGACGAAAACAGAAAACTACCAATTGTCTGGAACCGATCATCGCAGTGCATATCTCAAATATGGACCGGCTTGAGATTTGAAGGTATAGAGTCTAGACACAGATAGCAGTTATCATTCTCAATGTCGGAACAAACCGCTGAGTAGTTCTAATGAAAAGTCTAATCGGACTTTTCTGTGGCAGTTGGCCAATTGCTTCGATGATCAATTTGGATCGATCTACATCCCGAGGATTAGGAATTCAAAAATCTTCATTCTAATTTCAAAAGTTGATATGGTCTAGTCCATAGAGGTCTTATGGCGATGCATATCTCCGGACTTAGTTCGAGCTTGGACGAAGTCTAGATAAACAACCATGATCGGATGGTTCACGCTAATGCAATGCCAGGACGGCACTAGACCCAAAAAGGCTGCACTATCATAGATTGACCAATTATAGCGTGTACTTTCCTTATCAATGGGAAGCGCCAAGATGCTTATATCAGCCTTGGTGGATCTATGGAGTCTTTCATGCATCTCCGCGCAATATATAAGAGCTCTTCGTTTGGGCCAATCAGAATAGCAATGAAAATCATTCTTTCTCGTAAGCTTAACTTCTGAGTTGTTTATCGTTATCTTCCTTGCCTCAGCTTATAGCAGTCAGGGTTCGGAGCATTTCAAGTTGATTTGCCCATGGAGGAGGTGTGTCGATCGCTGGAGGCAGGGCGTCCACGGGCGTCTGTGCGTAAAATATAGGAGATCACTCTTGCAAAGATACGTAGGTATAATTTAGACTTCTCCTACCGTCTGATGGGGTTCTTGGACTATGATTTCGAGCTTATTTAGGACATTGCTGTTCTGCCTAGATGAGGTAGACATGGCATAAGTAGTCAAGTGGTTGGTTTAGGGTTATAGAATATATGTATAAAAACGATAGAACCAAGATGTTGACAATAAGATTCCTTTGTCTGGACGAATCTTATACTAACATTGAACAGTCGCAAATGACGGCCTGAATTTATGAACTGTGCCGGAATTGAAATTACTATTGAAAGCTAATCTAAGTAAGGTAGGTGGACAACACCAGTAGAGATGCACTGGTAGAGAGTGGACAAAGCTGTTATATTATATATAGGGAGTCTGAAGTATGGATAAAGGAACACATAATAGCCTTAGCTCTGAAGCATGTTTGATAGGTCATTGCTAGCTCGAGGGACATGCGAATGCCATCATTCCCCATCTGGAAGATAGTCATGTCCTTGTTATTTGGCACTGATAAGGATCTTACACTCTAATTGAATGGTTATATTTAGGGATTAAGACGGGAATCAGAGCATACAAGGTGCCCTATGCGCCCTGAATCGCACAATATACGCTGCAAAGTTTAAGGTACATATGATGCCCAATATCTGGTTGTAAGCGGAATGCTTCGAAGCTTCCAGCGGTCTATTGGTACAGAGAGGGATGGATTGTGAGAACGATATGCTGTTATGTGTCGTTTCATCATTGCTGGTAAATTACATAATTAGGTAAGTGAGCGTCATTTAATACTCCGACGACAAACATAGCGCTGGGTAGAGTATAAGTATCTCATCAACCGTCCTTCCTGGTAGTATCCTTCGCATGATCACCTGATATGACTGTAGTCCTGACAACGGTCGGCTTTCAGTCAGATTATGCTTGAGCTTCACTATCTATATCCCTCTCAACCAATCCCATGTCCTGAAGGACTCTTGTTAAGCAGCACTAAAATTCACGGAAAATCTTGCCTTCTTCTGCAAGACTAACGCCTTACTGTTCAAGGTCCTCTTCTCAACACAATCTATCAAAGAGGGGGTGTTAGCTCCTGCAAGAACTGGTTGGATTCGATCCAAAGAGATTCAACTTTCAGATTTTGGCTTGCATGACTCTCGATGGCTTCATAAAAACATATGAAGTCAAGGGATCCTTCTATTCCAGAGAGAGGAGAAAGGTATTCGGCCGTTACAACCCGGAATCTCTGGCCGTGGCTGTCTTGCCTTCCTCAATGATTGAGAATATGCCTGTCCCATGGATGGTCGGACGCAAATGCGTGGTGACTTTGATGCTGTGCGCAACCTTTATCGTCATCCTGATCGACAAGGAACGCCCGGCCGTGAGTTTGCCTGCAAACATGATATTTATGCTCTGAAGGTTGTCTTTCTGGTAATTGGGATGTGGAGGACGATATTCCAGCTCTTTGCTAGCCGGCTCAAGGAGCCCAGCGGACTGGAAAATTACCCAAAGCAAAGGAGGTGTACGAGGCTCTCTTGTCACTTGCACAGCTGTATCCTCCCAATGAAATAGACACCAATTATTCAACAGCAGTCATTGATTGTCTGAAAGGAGACTTTGCTCAATCATCAGAGGCTGGCTTCTTTTTGGATTTTCGTGAGAAGGTCATCGATAGGATGAGCGCGGGCCTGAAGCTATGATGATACGCCCCGGGACGGCCATCAAATCCCCGGCTCTGCCGTGTCTGCGGGGTAACAGTAACAAGATATCGATGTGAAGATCGCACATTATACGCTCTGAAGTCTACAAAGATGTTCTGGTTGTAAGCACGGATGAATCCCGAAGTCGGTGGGCAGGGACTTAGGTCGACTAACGAACAACTATTGCAAAAAGATTCCCGTAAGTGTGCACGCAGTGATAGCAACCGATACTTCGTGTCATACATTTACATAATATTCAAGACTCGCCATGCGGATGACATAAAACCAAGTTTAGACATTCTCGACTCTTGGAAGTCGCGATGTCTCCGACGGTGCTTAGTCTCGTTGTCGTTGCATATGGTAGATGCGGTCACACTGGTATCACCCCCTGCTCCCAGTCTTTGCGACTGGGAACGACTCGCCAGCACCATCCACACCAACTTCGTTCTTGCCCATCCAGTTCCCTTTGGAGATATCTGCCGGTTTCGCGTTCATCGTCGTATTCCTCCACGCACGCGCCAACTACCACTCTTTTCTTGACCTTTCCCTTGACGACTCCACCGATGCCGACAATTTCTTGTCGCAAGTAGCCGGGTCCATCGTCGTGTTGATGACTATCACGTCGTTCTCTTAGAGACAGCGCATCTATCCCAGGAGGTGACCCTGTATTCTCGCTTATGCGGCCGTTAGATTCATGATTGTGGTGGTGTGGAATCGCGATTGCCGACTCGTCCGCCTCGCAATCCACTTCCAGTTCAATCGCTTGAGCGGCAAGACAGTTCTCTCCTTTCCCACACTTCACACCTTGACAACCTTCTCCAATACCCGTGCCCAGGCCGGTTCCGAGATACGCGCCATAGCGCGTACGCCATGTCCATACTTGTCGATACGTCGAGTCATTCTTGCCCAAAGTGTAGCCGCAAGTCTCACACAACCACAGCGTATCCTCGCATCGGCATGGAGTACGTGCAAAGGCTGGAAAAGTGAATGAATGCATACTTTGATGCAATGTGGTAAGGTCTGTATACAGCATCTTATTCCCAGGGAAGAGGTGGTAGACTATCGGAGCTGTACGGCAAGTCTTGCAGAGCCGGCGTAGACGGTGTCTGGCCATGGTAGCTCTCGGAGGTTTGACCGTACAATTCTGTACGATGAAATTCAGCAGACAGTTTCAAATATGTACTGCAGAGTTATACTGACCCGACACACTACCTTCGAGCACCTTTGGCACTCTGCAACCATATCGCGAGCACACAGTCCAGATATACCCCACCGAAGCCTCCCGATCTTGAGATTATCGTCGGTGATTGATCGGTTGGTAAGTTGTATAGCCTCCGATAGTGGAACCCCTTCACTTAAGATCTCGTTCAATATTGTGCTATATTGTGTCTCACATCGTAATGTTCGTTTGACAAGCTGGCGGCTGTAGGGTATTAAATTCGCTCTGACTTGCCGACACATCCTGGAAAGAGCGTCAAGGGTATTCAAATCTAGATAACGCGCTAGCTCTCTGACTACACTAATAGATATTAGCTATTGCAGATATAGTTGGGCCGTGCCGGAGATGTAATAACGGGAGAACATACGGATAACAAGCTAAACAGCGGCTAAACGCGTTTATATTTGAATCATTTCGAGAGGAGGATGATTGCTGATCTTCGACCTCATTGAGCACAAAATGATTGTTTTTCAAAAGCCCCTCGTTGTGTGTCTCTTTTGACAGGCTTCCCTTGTCGGTGTAAGGCTGTAGGTGTACGTCATCGTACGAATCCCGCTCATAGTCGACAAAGACTACCATGCTGCCTCCGAGTTTGGATATGGTATATATATAGACAGACCATCCGAGCCAAATGGCTTGTAACAGGAGTTCCAGAACTATCACAGCAATTCCATTGCTTCAAGTTTAGAGCTTGTGTTGTAGAAGTGGGAAGGATTGTTTCCTCCGCAGATGTAAGACACAGCAAGGTGGGGCATGTAATGTTTCACCCTAACCCTACCGGATACGACCAGCAAAGTTAAAGAATGACAAGGTTATGGGTTCTTGTTCACTAAGGAGGAAAGAGCGTCTGATCACTATAACTTTCACCGGTGTGAACAAGCTCTATCAAATAGGATCTACCTGTTTTGTATATAATACGTAAAGCCCAAAGCATTGTCGATAGGCTCGACTCCGGGCCAATTTCCCAGTTACAGAACTGTCAGGGTAGTCACTGAGGGAGTCATCTTGCCTCATTCAAAATTCTTAGAAATGATGTGAAAAGAGAACAATTGAGCAATGCTGACTTATTCTTCGCTCTTCATAGGTGGCATCCTGTTGGTGAACGCAAGTTATTGTGCCAAAATCTCACCAAGCCGTGGAGGTATTGCAAATACTTGTCTCAATAAGGATTATGGAAACAATGGGTCTACTTACTCAAAAGCCTGGCCAATTAGGACCCCCACCGAACGCAGTCCAATCGAGTTGGCTCATATCAAAAATTGGCGCTTGTCCTTCGACGTCATAAACCATTTCTGAACGCATCGTTGATAAATCGGCTTGCAAGCCCGTGCTGAGGGACACGCACCGGTTGTCATAGCCTACCGGCATCGGCGTCGGTATCGCGAACCCTTCAAGTCCCGTAGACAGGTTAGTATCAAGAGATTCAACGTCACCCTTCCTTGCCTGTCTCGAATTCTCAGCTAAAGCAGCCCGTACTGATAAGACAATTTTTGGCGTCGGAATCTTGTCTGGCTGTTGGATAGCTGCTTCGTAAGCCTCCCATGCCTGGAGTACTACTTTGGCAAAGATATGATGGATTGGTTTATGTTCTTTCCGCTGAGTCTTAAACCAAGCCTCATGGTTATCGCTCAAAGATTTCCATGCCCGTTGAGTTTGCTTTGCGTAAGGCCGAGATCTTATGTCCTGGGCAATTTGGATATATCCTGGGAAGGGAAAGTAGAATTGGTTGAACCAATGAAATGGATTGGTTAAAGACGAGGTCATGACCTTCGTATCACACTCAATCAGAGTCAGAGCATGAGAAGTAGCAGCCTCATGCTGTGCATCTGTCCGAGTGGAATCAAAATGCGAAGAAAGATGTTCCAACAAGCGTAATTTTGCGATCTGTGCTCGTGTGCTCCACAAAGTCATGAAATGAATCGGATTGTCTTGGTCACAGAATTTGAGATATCGATTCTCGATGAATCGCTCTAGTCGAGCCATCTCAGTAAGCTCCGAGGCGCTTTCGTTTGAAGGGTGTTTTGCAAGCGGTTTGAGGGAAGGATTAGTGAAGTCGAGGTGAAACGCAGTGTGGCGCATACGATCCCATAACTCACTTCGCACAATGGCAAAAAGCGCCTCGGTAGACGTCCCTTGAACCACTGGAGGTTCTTTCATCTCGGGCCGAAGATCAGAATCATTCACATTCAGAGGGACTTTGCAGTCCCAAGTTGGATCGAGAATCGAGTATAGAGAACTAGAAACTTCGTTTATGCGATGATCAAAAACTACGAGTGACCACCATAGTCTTCGACGCATCTCAGCTTCAAGGATAGAGCATTTCGCTAGGGTCGATTCGGTATGAATGCCCATACGCCGCGCAATGCGGATTGCAATACCAAGCATAGATGAAATGGATTGTGGAACTGCGCCAAAGCTCAGGGAGATCTAGAGCCGTTAAATCAAAAGTTTCTGCAATGGTTCTGTGGTTATTCTTACTAAATAAAGATATAGTGCCGTCAAACAGTCACGGTCACCGGTCCGTAAGAATCCACAGCCTAATAGCGCTTGCTGGCAGCCAAAGTGGAATCTTGTCAAAAGATCTTCCTTCGACGAACTGATAATTGCTTGGCATTCATCTGCGGTGAGACTCGTTACTGCGATAGAATAGATGCCAAACATAAGGGCCTCTAAAGTGGGATGTACATTTTTCAAATTACTTGCAGCTTCAATAATGCGTCCTTGCAGAGTCGGAGTGTGTGTGACCTTGAGTAGCGGATTTACGTTGTCCAGGTAGATCTGCCATAACCTGAATATTTGAATCGTATCGGGATGAATAATGGAAAGGTCGACAGTGGAATCACGCGATCCAAATAAGAGATTATCATCTTTTTGAATGGTCTCATCCCAAGCTCTTTTGACTTCTGTCTCTCGCACAAAGTCGTTTGAAGAATCGCTATCATTACCGGGATCTCGAAACTGCAGCCGTCGTCAGTACAGTATAGGCTCGGTTGATACGTGAGATCGTACTCCTTGACTCATAGTGTGCCAAAAACTCCTGTAGGAATGTCAGTCAGTTCCAAGCGCATCGATGGGGAGCGGTGCATACTTTGTTCCATGGCTCCTCTCGGATTCCAATGTCGTTGAAGGAACTGAATCTGCTCTGCTAGTTCCTCGTTCCTGCGTCTCCAATTCATGCTCGCCCTCCGCGCCAACATGATCCTTCTCTGTGATTGTTTCACTGTGGACTGAGTCGAAGGAAATGTTGTTTTGCCGCAGCAACTCCTCGTAGCTACGGAGCCGGTCGAGAAGTTCGCGGTCGGGAAATCTACGTCTTCGCCGACGAGGGGCCAGTGTAGCTGGCACACACTGCGCCTGCGATTTGACGCAATTTGCGCACGGAAATTTTCGGTCACATTTCACTTTCCTTTGTTGGCAGAGGACGCATGCGAGTACTCGTTGGGGCCTTGCAGGGAGGCACGGCGCGTCCGATGACATATCGGAATACTGACTACCTGGCAGTGAATGGACGTCGCCCGATCTTATTGCTTGTGAAGCAAACGCTGTGATGACACCTTGCAACCTTCAACCGCGATCAGGTCGGACAAAGTAGAGCTGCAATCGCTCCGATGATAGTTGCGAGCATGTTGTCTAAGTGGATGATCTCACCAACCACGTGGGGCGGGAACTCATGCCTGAGGCATCAACAATAACGAAGGATAAAATGATAGCTAATTGGTAACTACAAACAAGGCCCTGTTCCTGGTTCAGGATTATGGAAGAGGTCTGAGGCCTGAGTCCTTAGTCCTTAGAGCTTCTAATCCGAAAAATTATTGATAATTTGCTTACACTACCCACTTTATATGCGAGAGCCCACTGAGTTCCACGATATAACGAATAAGGCAGGTGGTTAACCCGCAAATATCCCCAAATATCGGGAGGGGTTCCGTGTCACATGGGGACTATAACCGACTGGCTGATTGACTCATTGAATGATAAACTGAGGCAACATCCCTCTCGCACGAATTGCAGTTAAAACCATTACAATTGACGGCGAGCAACAATACCCGATCATCTATTACTTCATCAATTGCAGAGAACCTCACATACATCATGCTTAGCGCCAAGACCGTATACCCGGCGTCAACACCGAGGTATTCCGACTTTGCAAGTCGAAGAAGCGTTGTCCATAGCACGAATGGCATAGTAGCTTGCACTCAGCCTCTAGCAGCTGCTGCAGGCCAGAGGATTCTAAGGGAAGGGGGAAATGCAGCAGTATGTCCCGATTTTATACAAGAAGACCGATCGAGATCTAACTATGATGACGTTTAGGATGCTGCTGTGGCAGTTGGTATTATCTCTCAATGTTCTTGATGCAGAGAAAAAACAGAAGCTGACACGGGATCTACAGCCGCGGCGCTCAATGTTACTGAACCAACTTCAACAGGTATCGGGGGCGACATGTTCTGTCTTTTCTACAATGCCACAACCAAGAAGATTCACGCTTTGAACGGCTCAGGTCGATATGCTGCGAATGCCTCGCTGGATGCCATCCGTAAAGATCTCGGATTGTCGCCCGGTGAGGGAGGTACTATTCCCCTACATAGCGCGCTCGCAGCCACAACTCCTGGTGCTGCCGCAGGCTGGATAGATACAGTTGAAAAATTCGGTAGCGGGAAGCTGTCCATGGAACAGATCTTGACACCCGCAATTGAACTTGCTGAGAAAGGATTCCCAGTATCTGAATTTGCTTCGCAATTTGTAAGTATGCTCGAACAGGAAAAGTTCTCATATATGCACGAAACTGAATAGTGGCTCAGTGGCACAGCGGTGAAAAGCTTCTTCGCAATGCGTCTCCTAATTTCAAGGAGATGCTCAAGCATGACTCTTCTGCACCGGACGGTGTCAGGGCACCGCTTCCTGGGGAAATCCTGAAAAACCCGTCATTGGCGCGAACGTTCAGAGTATTGGCTGCTGAAGGAAAGAAAGGCTTCTATGAGGGGCGCATCGCCGAAGAAACGGTCAAAGTACTGAAAGGTCTTGGAGGATACCTTACTCTGGACGATTTGAAGAATCATGCAGAGAGCGGAAGTCAAGAGGTAGATGCAATTTCATTGATATTTAGAGGGCAGGGCGTAGGGAAGCAAGGCGCCTCTAGCGACGACAGTGAGGGCGGTGTTGAGGTTTGGGAACACCCTCCTAATGGTCAGGGTATTGTAGCCCTGATGGCTCTTGGCATCCTTGAGGAGTTGGAGCGCGCAGGGAAGATTCCACGCTTTTCCCCCGGACAACACAACTCGGCAGAATACCTCCACGCTGTAATTGAGAGTTTACGGATTGCCTTTGCAGACGCCAGTTGGTGGGTAGCTGATCCAGATGTTGAGAAAGTGCCTACACAGCAGTTGATCTCGTCTCCCTATCTAGCTGAACGGGCTAAATTCTTCGATGCTAATAAGGCGTCCGACATATTGGACCATGGTAGCCCCGCTCATAATCACTGTGATACAGTCTATTTTGCCGTCACAGATAAGGATGGAAATGGCATTTCCTTCATCAATAGCAATTATGCCGGATTTGGTACCGGTATAATACCGGCTGGTTGTGGTTTCACCTTGCAGAACCGAGGATCCAACTTCTCGCTACAAGCGGGACATCCAAATGTTCTTGCTCCGAATAAGCGCCCGTATCACACCATCATCCCCGCTATGATCACAAACTTGGATGGATCACTTCACTCCGTCTACGGAGTCATGGGTGGCTTCATGCAACCGCAAGGGCACGTGCAAGTTCTATTAAACATGTTGGCCTTTGGCTACAATCCCCAAGCAGCCCTGGATTCCCCACGCATCTGCATAGGTGCGGGGACGCCTGAGGAGGGCAAGGTATTGGATCGCACGGTTTATGTGGAAGAAGGTATCAGTGATGAAACCGTGAAAGGCCTTCGAAAGCTTGGACACCAAATTGAAGTATTGACGGGACATCAGCGGGGTATGTTCGGACGCGGCCAATTGATAAGAGTCCATTATGATGATGGGCAATTGGTCTATAGCGCTGGAAGCGATCCAAGGGGCGACGGCATGGCTATTCCGTTGTAGCCGAAAGGAAAAAGAGGACAGATGTCGTATGTCGACGAAAATATACCGGAGACATCATAATTGGCTGTGACATGCATGAATGTTGAACTAAATATTTAGATGATCGTGGATATCTCTGGCTTTTATATTGGCTTAACCCCGAGAATAAAGACTAATTCGAGGTGGTGAACCCCCCTTTGTGCGTCTTTGTCATGATTACAATAGACAGACGCCATAGAATGATAGTCAATTTCGACCTCTAAGAATCAATGAGTATGCATGCTCAATTGCATTTCACACAAGTGTATACAATTTGGTCTCATGATCGATGCAAGGTGACTTTTTTCTTTAAGTCTTCATCGTCTTTAGCATGGCTGTATGCTCCGATTGTATCATGAGTAGGACATTGTTCCAGATGTCGAGTAATTTAACACTGACCGTTCCATACCACAGAGATATGTAGCACAATTGGATCAATGGTCGATGCATTCGCAAAATGGTGAAAGCAGAGAAGCTATATCGCTACGTAGTTCGGTACATCCGTACAAAGAAGAGGTGAGCAGCCTAAGGCCCCTTAAAAGCCTGACGGCGATATGAGCCAATCAGAGGCTGCCAGAACATCCCAGAGCTGCATGGTGCGGGCCGTTGCGGCGCCTAATGCACCTTTCCGCTTTGGGATTGAAGTGTGCTCTCTGATTGGCGAACTCACAATTCTAGTACAAAAAAGGACTAGGGCCGATGCCAACTCATTGATTGAGCTTCCTGACTTTCTTCGAGTTGGACATTTTTCAACGTTACTGCAGCTATATGAAGAAAAGTCTCACTGTCCCGCGACTGATCTAATTGTCTGTACAATAGAATCGGGCTGAATCTGTCTTGGTGATGTTTCAGGGTGTCTTGCTACACTGAAAAGTGCAAATCGCAGTCGTAACTCTCAACTGCGATGTTCGCAACAGTGGAGAGAAGCGGAGCCCTGAACTGGGCATCAGTCAACTTCGGCGGGGTGTCTTGCATGAAGATTTCGCTTCACTTTGAACAGCCCTTTGATTGGCATAAACTACTGTAAGTTCATTTTCTGACCAGCTTACTGGAATCGGGTTGTAATCACCCTGCATGATGAAGTGTTCTTCCAATTGGCCCAATTGAGTACATTACAGGCGTCGGGCATGAACCTTGGAAGACGCGAGAACTTCGACAGATATGATGGATATCCCAACGTATAAACGAAATTACACACGCAACTGAGTCACTGATACTTGGCGATAATATCGCTTACACATTGGACATGTCCCACCATTGACACTGGGCGAATGAATAGGGCAAGCCAGGTGGTGTGCCCTTCAGTGGGCCCAAGAGCAGTTTGTTGTCGTCTAATTTAGCAACGATATGTCATCAATTTTTGAGGCATACAGGCATCATAATACTACTGTGGATCTATTCCAGTCTCAAACAATGAGCATGGCACTATTCCCAATGTGATGCCACCACATTGCATCCCATCCCCATCCAGTTTGGGTGACAACCCGCTGTTGCCGGGGAGGGAAATCGCTACCCAGTTTCTGCCGGATGAATTGTTTTGTGACTTTGTGTACATCTTCTATTCTTTCTATAAGAGAATCAATCAAGGACGTGGTCCCAATCACATTGACGAGTCCAAAAGCGCCCTTGTAACCATTTTAACTTCCATCTATTGGAGGCTTCGACAATTTATTCTCTGGTTCGTCGCTTTACAATTTTCATCCATCATCACTCGATATTCTATTCCGTGAGTTTTTAACAAGGGGCTTCCAGGAACCACCATTCCCGATCCGTCTAGGAGCTTTTCGCAACGCATTCGGCATTGTGTGATACATCGATCTGAATTTTAGTTTGTCATTTGCATTTGCTGCCACAAGCTATTGATTCAGGCAATTATCCTGCAGTTGCCGTCATATGCTATTCTCCTGATTCCGTTACCAATCGTCAATATTCTACCCCTTTCTTTGTGACTTGCCTACGAGCATGGGCAAGAAAAAGAATAAGAAGAAGACTCCCTTCACACCATTCCCTGTTGAACCCCAGGCCTCTGCAGATGCCAACAATGAAGTACGCAAATGTTCCCAAATTTCAATATCAAAAGTTTGATAGCAGTGGCTATCAAACTTTTGACCGTCAAACCTTGACCTTCACATATCACCCTATTGTCCCCAAACCTTCGGTGTCGCTGCCATTGGAAGAAGAGAAAGAAGAGGAGAAAGAAAAAGAAGCTGACAATGAACCGGAAAAGGGGGACGCTGAACAGACTACCGAGGAGAATCAATCGAAGCCTTCAGAAGAAACTCCAGCGCCCGCTAACGATAGTAAGATTGAAATACCAATTTTATGCCTTTCAGAATCTATGCTAATGATATACATAGCCACGGCTCCATCAGACCCACCGTCAGAGGCAAAGGATGAAGAACCGGCCACTCAAACTGAGGAGAAGGCCGAAGGCGAAGAGAGCGGAGGGGATGTCACAGCTAATGGTGATTCGACTGAAGTTACCGATGCGCCAGCAGAATCTGTAGAGAAAGAGGGAGGCGAAAACGACACCCCCACGGACGCGCCAGCAGAGGAGACCGCATCTACAGAGGCTGTCACAACAGAAGATGTGGCTCCAGCTGAAAACACCCCGCGCACGGAAGACACTCCAGCGGTGGAGGACACTCCATCATCAGAGGATGGTTCACCCGAAGAGAATTATCCATCGACAGATGATGCTCCACAGGTAGAAGATGCTACGCCCATAGAAGAAAACCCAGCAAATGGGACATCAGAAGAGAGTAGTCCAACCCCTGAAGAGCCGTCCGAAGAAAAGCAGAAAGCAGAAGCTGCTCCAACAGATGAGAAATCCGCAGAAGAACAGCCTCCAGAAGACCAACCCAAAGAAGAAAACCAGCCAGACGAGGTGGTGGTAGAGGAGCCAGCACCTACTGATACTGCAGCAGAGAATACTGCAGCAGATGGAGCATCAGAAACTCCTTCAGCGGAAGCAGCAGATTCAACAAACCCCGAAGGTGAATATCAACCCCCGGACGCAGATAAGCTTGAAGAGACTCCAGCAGAAGATCCACCAACGGCGGAGTCGCCTGCTCAAGAAGAGCCAGCGAGCACTGAGGAAGCGACACAGACTGACGCAGGAATTGAAGCCACAGAATCCGAGCCCGCTAATGAAGAGCAAGAAAGTCCTGAACCACCCAAGAATGAATCGACTGGGGGAAATCCCAAGAAGAACAAAAAGAAAGATAAGAAGAATAAAAAGAAGAATGCACCCTCTGAGCCAGAGCCAGAAGCTCCAGCGATACCTGAGGGACCACCCGCTGAAGAAGCCACTAAAGTCGATTTACCGGTAGAAGAAAAACCAGTTGAAGAGTCATCAAACCCAACAGAGGCCTGGGAGGGGTTTGGTGGTGGTAAAAAATCGAAGAAAAAGAACGGGAAGAAGGGGAAAAAAAAGAGTCAGGCTCAGGACACTCCAGCAGAAGAAGCACCTCAGGAGGTAGTATCGACAGAAGATTCTGCTGCTGTCGATCCACCCACGGCAGACACAACCGAACAAGCATCGACGGAAGATACACCGACCCCCGCGGAACCAGTCGCCGAGCAGCCAGCTACTGAAGAACCAACCGGTGGAGAAGCGGTTGCTGAAGCTCCGGTTGTTGAGGAACCCGTCGTTGAGAATCTGCCCGCTGAGGAAGAGAAGGGCGACGGCCCTGAACAGGAAGCACCCCCCGTTGATGAAACTTCCAAAGAGCTTCATGAAGCAGCCCCGGCAGAAGCCACTCAGACAACGGAAGAAGGAGAAGAACCCTCGTCTGAAGAAGCTGTTCCTGAGGCTAGCCAGGAAGAACCTGCTGCAGAAGACTCTACACCGGAAACTTCTGCGGAGACCCCAGCAGAGACTGTTAAGGATGCCAAGGAAGATGCTTCAACCGAGGAACCGTCATCTGCGAATGTCTCCACAGATGATACGACAGTCACTCCAGCTGAGGAGATCTTAGAAGAAAAAGATCATGCTGACGATTTACTCGACAGCTGGGATGACGAACTCGATGCATTAGAAGGGGCTGATGAGGCCCACGACGGAAAAGGAAATGAGAACGGTAGGTAGTATCCGGTTCGTCCAAACTCTGACTTGGAATCTTACACCTTGTATTAGATGATGACCATTTCTCTGAGATTGACTTTTCTGCAGAACAAGACAGCATTCAGGCGGAAAAGGAAGCCGAGGCAAAACAAGCGGAGGATGACGCCGAAGAGGAAGCGTCGGCAGCAGCCGAACCAGTTTGGGGAGAGGGGGATAGTGCTCAAATTGATGCACACGATGACGAAGAAACAAAGGCTGCAGAGGAGGCTGTCGTTCCCGAGGCTGAATCTGAGGCACGAGAAGCCGCAGCAGAGGTAGAGGAGAAGACTGAGTCGACTGAAGAGGAATCTCCCGCGACAGAAGAACCTCAACCAGACCCCCTCGAAGAGACTTCTACTGATGCGCCAGAGACTAATGAGGAATCTGTTACCCCTAAAGAAGCTGAGGCCGTAGAAGCTGCTGCAGATGACCAAACTATCGAAGAGCCTGCGAAAGAGGAAGCTCAGCCGGTGGAAGAAGAAACCCCTACAGCAGAAGACGAAATGGTATCCGAAGAACCTGAAGCGTCTTCCGCTGAAGTAGACACCGCTGATGAAGAGCTCAAAGCCAAGATACCAGAGGAAACGGCTACCGAAGACGCTACTCCCGAGGAAGTGCCAGCTGAGGATACGCCACAGGAGGAGTCTGTGATCGACGAGGCCACTCCGGAGCCCGCTCCAGAGGAGACAATTGTCGCAGATGACCCCAAGGACGAGCTTGCCGAGGAACCAGCTCCTGAGGAAGAGGTTGCCGCAAAGGAGACGGGAGAAGAGCCAGTCGAGAAGCCAGCTACAGAACCTGCATCAGAGGAATTGCCAGCGGATGACAAGCCAGAGGAAACATCCCAAGCCGAAGAACCTGCTGTGGAGGAAGCATCAGCTCCTGAGCCGGTGGCTGAAGAACCCGCTGCTGAGGAAGTCGCGGCCGCCGAACCAGTAGAAGAAAGTCCACCTGCTGCAGAAGCAGCAAAGGATGAACCTGCCGAAGAAGTTGTTGCTGAAGTCGCCGCTGACGAAACACTAGCTGCGGAAGCGCCAGCGGAGGAGGCCCCTGCTGAAGAAGCGCCTGCTCCAGTAGAAGTAACAGTACCGGAGGAGGCAGCTGAACAAGTGGCTGAAGGCGAGCCAGTGGAAGCTCCTGCTGCCGAAGGTGCTACTGCCGAAACTCCCAGCGAACCTGTCAACGAGGAACCACTAGCGAAGGAAGCACCCGTGGAGGAGCCAGCTCCAGAGGCTACAGAGCCTACTATTGAAGCAGATATCATAGATCGGGTACCTCAGGAAGTGCTCGAAACCAACGATCCCGGTGAATCAGCTGTTGTTGATGATGATCAGCCTATCGTTGAACGTGAACCTTCTTCCCGCAGAAGACGACGCCACACTTCTGGCTGGACTCGAGACAGACCTTCAAGAACCTCCATGGAAAACAGCAGAGGCCAATCGGAACGTTCAAGGGAAACCGGCAGAGGTCAGCTGGAACGTCCAAAGGGCGACGGTGGTCTATTAAAAAACCGATGGGCAATGGCACTTGAAGAGGCTCGCCGACAACAAGAAGCTAAGCAACGGAAAGAAGCGAAGCTAAAGCTTGAAAGAGCCCAGGAGAAGCAAAGACAAGAAGAAGCAGCTCGTCGGGCTAAGCGAGAGGCAGAAAGGGAGAGCCTTCGCGAATCTGAGCGTCGCAAAAGCAAGGAGATCAGAAGCAGTGGTCGGACAAGACATCATTCGTCCGACCACTCCTCAAGCCGAAGCCGACACAAGCGAGGAGAAGCATCGCCAAAGCCAGAGTCTGACCCTCTTGCGCGCAAGGTGATTGAATCTTTGACTACGGGAGAATCAGATACCAATGGACCGTTACTTGTCATCAATGCCGCTAAGGCGGTTGCTGCCGTGTCCGCAGTTCCCGAGTCAAGGTTGGCGCGAAGGTCATCTACACATCATTCCGGCCATAGTCGTCGCTCTCACGAGGAGAGAGCATCCGGTGGTTCCAGAGATGAGACGAGGCGAGAACGGCCACATCGGTCCGAGCGTCGTAGGGAGGAGCCCACAGAGGAACGACGTCGACATCATGAAAATCGTCGAAGAGATGAGCGTACAGCAGAACATGCGCATAGTTCTCGTCGACAAACGCAAGAACAAAACTCAAAGTCTGGATCCGGCTCTGCACCTGGATCCTCTCGACTCGGTGGTTTGTTCAAATCGATTAGGGTGTTTTAGATTGTGTTCCTTTTTGCTCTCAGATAGAGAGGGTGTATGATGGTTTTATTGTTTGCTTTGTTTTTCAAACTTCGACAAAATGTTGCATCGCGATGCGGGAATCTGGAGCGTTACTCTTCTATCATGTACTTTCTTATACATATTGCTCTCATGAGCTTTTTGGGTTTCGCTTCATTATTGGTTGACTGTAACGACTGCTACTTGACGAATTCACGAGAGTGATCAATATTATTGATGATTACAATACGGCTTATATATAACCTTAACTGTCTTGAGAGGCTGGAAGTTCAACTCGGAAGTTTTCAAGCCTATCCATTTCAATCACAATAACCATTAGACAGCTACGTCCCATAACCGGAAAGACGGGATTGTATATACTCTAATTGCCGAAAGGTCTTGAACGTAAATCATATCCATCACGCCCACATGCACGTGTGCGTGAAATCGTGGCCGGGATTACCATAGCCTCGGTAGATGATTAATGATCAATACCCCTTTCCCTCCATCTTGGTCCATACCTTTTCATAAGTAGTAAGACAGCCACGCCAGAAGAGAAACTGACCAAAGACAAGATAGTAAACAACCAACCATTACCAATGCCATCAATAATTGGAGATGCGACTACTGTTCCAACGCAAGAGAAAATGTTTCGGACAAAATTGTTGAGAGCTACACCAGCCGATGACTTGCGGGAAAGGAACTCGGTGAGCATTGTTGTTACGAGGCCGAAGATTATCATGGATCCTACTCCAAAGCAGAAGTTCGCAATCATCTGTTAGATAGTTAGTATCTGAATATACCAGAGGCGCTTTTGCAGGAGTGATTGGGAGTTCATACTGGCACAATCCAATGCACATGATATTCAGCAGTCCACCCATAAACAAGCAAACCGGCAGGGTATAGACAGGCGCCCAACCAAGCATTTTCCTTCATACGATCTTCAGGCTGGTAGATGGGACGTCCCTTTTCGTCGAATCGGCCTGCTTTGACAGCCTCGCGGTGCATGATTTTATCCATCCATCTGCCACCAAAGAGACTTGCAAAGAGGTACCCAAGTGAGTTGGGAATATAAAGTAAACCCAATATCACGGTTGAAAAGTTATAAGGCGCGGCCCCGAATGTCTCCTGGATGCTGATGTTGAGAACATACAAGGAACCGAAAGTGATAGCCGCATAGTAGATTGTCAAAGCAATAGGGAAGAATCTCAGGTACAAAATTATTGATAGCGGGTCAACAAGAGTCATCTTCAGCGTTTTCAGAACTTTGGCACTGTTCTGCGCCACTTTGGAAGATACTCGGCTTGTACTTCTTTCCAAAGAGGCATCTGTTGGTGTATTTGATTGTAGGTTGGGACTCTTTCGCACCGCTAAGGTCTCTGGTAGTCCAAGCAAAATGAGAATCCAAACCACACCACCGAAAATCACCATGAACCACATTGTACTTCGCCAACCCCATCTCTGGGCCAGCGCACCTCCGATAATGGGGGCGAATAGTGGACCGCAAAGTGGACCAATGTAGAAATAACCCATGGCCTGGCCGCGCTCTTTGACCTCCCAAATATCTGCAATTGTGCCAGCTCCAACAGCTTGAACGGAGGCCTACAGCACGGTCAACGATCCATTCTCAGATAAGTTGAAAATATTTGGTGGGGTAAGGGGAGGGAAGACTTACTGATGCTCCACCTGCCAACAGACGCATGACGATCAACATGGCAATATTATGAGAGATTGCACTGAGGACATTGAACACGACAAAAAGCGCAAAGGAGACAATGTAAATAGAACGTCGTCCAAAGGCTTCACTGAACGATGACCACCACAGCGGAAAGATGGACATGGCCAGCATATATAAGGCAATGGATAAGTTGACGATAGTTGGCGTTGAATTCAAATCGTCTGCAACTTGGTGTAGCGATGGCAAGAAGATAGCCGATCCAAGCGGTGCAGCCACACCACCAACTGCAGCGATTGCGGTGATATACCATTTTATTCTTCGTTGGTATGTCTTTCCGTTCTCTATTTCGGGTACGAGGGCCAACTGGGCAAATAGTCCACGACGTTTCAGTCGGGGAACTATTACGGGTGGACCGAGTTCGGTAGTAATGCGTCGTATAACTTCCGAGCTCTCTTCTAAATCTTTGTTGTCTATGTCGTTATGGCTGGTATCGTTGTTGGTGGCTTCAGATACTGTTGATGTATCGGAACGGTCATCTCCATCAACAATAGCTTCTTGATCAATTTCATGAACTTCCTTTTCGCTCGATATTTGTGTATTATCAGGACTTTCACTGCAGACTACATTTTTGTCCCCTGAGTTCTGAGCCTCGTTCGGTGAAGTCATCCTTGCTAGACTCGGCTATGTGTAGCTATAGTAGTGTAGCAGGCGGATAAGTATCCGTCGGTTGTTGTCATCCCCTTGTCTTGAGTCCAATTTCTCCTCTTTTCGCCGTTATTGATTGTCTTATCCGGAAGACTTGATATGAATATTATCTATCAAATTCAGGAAGTTGGCCCTTGAATGGATTGTCAAATGCTCGGCAAGTGAAGAGAAGAGAGCAAATTAGGGCTTGTTCCGACGTCACCCTTATCGTGTGAAATCGGGTCTTCTAGATCGACTGGAAAGAACGAAAGAAAGATAAAGAAGGAAAAAATGAAAAGATGAAACGAAGGGAAGAGATAGTAGATCGAAAAGTCACTTTTTCTCCATTTAGGGTAGGCATAATTCCAACCCCGATTAGGCATGCAGTCATGTACTCTGTAGGTAGCGGTACAAATGCCCACACTTTTTACGGGGCCAGTATTACTGATCAAGTGGTTCTTTGGCGGAGCTGTACTCCGCACGGCCATACATAATGCTAAAGCACATAAAACTCGCCGGTTGTCGTGCTTTATCTGCTTTATCGTCGGTTGGGATGTGAAGAAAAATTTAACTAAACGTGCCGAGATGCCGAGTGGCCACTATGTTGGTGCCTTGTTGTCTTGACTTGTAGTACGCAGATTGTCGGTGAAGAACTTCAGGCACATCATGTTCGATGCATCGTTTATCAGTAGTTGTAAGAATTCAAGTAAATCATCTTTCTGACAGTATCAACTCATTATGGTGTTTTTGAGAACAATGTAGTCATTGAAGTCTCCATGTGGGACTGCGCAAATTGCCGATGATTGGCGGCATACCAATCTCCGCACACTTATTTACTTACATATCATCGACTTTGTCGACATCTTGAGCAGAAGATAGACAAAGCATATAAAAACGAGGAAAATTAACAGTCTGACTATCAGACTAGTGTTACCATGGCCGATAATCCACCCCCACAACCAAGCGGGCTCCAAAACCACATGGCCAAATTCTCCGGCGACAACTACGTCCAAGGATGGGCCGACTTATGGAACAACAAGCAAGAAAACGAAAAGCTACCGTGGGACCGTGGCTGTCACAGCATCGCTCTAGAAGATCTTTTGACGAAATTGAAAGAATCCGGAGAAGGCGTCTTTGCCAATCATCGCAGACGCCGAGCATTGGTTCCCGGCTGTGGAACGGGTTACGATGTTCTGCTTCTCTCCAGTTTTGGCTTTGATACTTATGGGCTTGATTATAGTCATGCTGCCGTCGAATATGCTAAAGGATATGCGGCTACAAATACTGAGAAGTATCCCATCAGGGACGCTGAGATTGGTCGCGGAAAAGTGGTCTATGTGGAAGGAGATTACTTCAAGGATGACTGGTTGGAGAAAATCGGCCTTTCGGATAACTCATTCGACTTGATATATGACTACACTGTAAGTTTTATTGCCTCCTGAATATTGGCCTATCTTGAGCGTGGGCTTCAACTGATGCGATCTATTCTAAGTTTTTCTGCGCTCTGCAGCCATGGCTAAGACCGAGATGGGCTATGAGACATCGTCAGCTGCTTGCACCTGCACCGATTGGATCCTTGATCTGCCTTGAATGGCCAAGGCTCAAAGATCCAAAAACGCACGGTCCGCCCTTTGCAGCACCGTCGTCTGCATATTTTGCACATTTGAGTCGTCCGGGAGAAGAAATCGCTTACGACTCGGACGGCCATGTTGTAGCTGATCCTTCGCAGAAGCCGAGTCCTGTGGGACTTGTGCGAGCTATGTATTATCAACCGGAGCGAACTTATCCAGTTGGCAAAGACGAGAAAACGGGAGAGGTTATTGATCGCGTCTCAGTATGGCGTCGTCAAGACGCTTCCGGTGTTTAAAACGGCGGCTGCTAAAAAGCTGAGAAGAACGGAAAGTAACATATGGTCAATTAAAGAAGCTCATCCTCATGCGGCCACCGTGTTCTGTGCCAATGCATTATAATGTTCTCCAAGTCCGTATGTATGTCTATAATACGCCAACCAAATCCTCTTGACTTGATCGTCATCAATTTCTGACCCAGGTTCAATCTTCTCAACCCGTCCGTCACCTTGCAAAACATTTATTTCCACACCGTAAGCGCGAGCAATGGCCTGTAACTCCAACTGCCCACCCCATTCAGCTGTTAATCGTATCTTTTTGACATATTCATCCACAGGATCTTCCATAAAAGGAACAAAGTCGTCTTGATGCTCCGTTATATAGTCTGCAGTAACCGCCCGTACGGCGCGATAACCGTCATGCTTGGGTGAAGTCACCGTATCAACTCGGGAGAGCGTCGATGGCTGCAAGACAATACGGGCAGGATCTGGCCTCAGCCCCAATCCTAAGCTATCCAGTTGACATGCAATTGCTGAATAAAGACAATGTCCATCCGGATTTATTTCAATTTCGTGTAGACCTAATCGTTTAAACGCGGCCTCCATCGTCTCTTTTTCATTTCCGCGATGATCAGTTTGTTTTGCTGCTTCCTCCGCGGCGATCTCTGCTTGAGCTGCTCTCTCTGCCTCCCGACGGGCTAGTCGCGCTTTTTGCCGATTGGGCTTTTTTGAGCGTGTGTTCTCATTGTTTTCTTGTGTTGGGACAGGTGTAGGCGTAGGTTTCGCGATTACATCAACAACCTTCGCGACTGTATTGGCAGGCGCAGCTTCCTGATCGTTGCCCAGAGCGAGGTTATCTAAATCTTCGGTCGTGGTAGCAACCGCGTCTCCATTTAGTTGTGCAATTTCAAGCTCTTGTTGTGCCTTTAAATCTTGTTGCAGCCGATCACACTCGTCGTTGACGGCTTTGCGGGTTTTCTTGGTGGCGTTCTTTTTCTTCTGGGTTATTCGAGCCTGGAGATCGCGTTGCTCTTTGCGATGTTTTGCCTGCAGTTCCTCCATGATGGTCAACTATCTAGAATAACCCAGAGTTGCCCTGTTGCGAAAGGAGTTGTGTGTAAGCAGCTTCGAGAAAAGTCTGGCTGCTGTTAGAGCAGGCGGGGATGTCCCCACCAAGCCCTAGAATAAAAGCCCTAAAAGGCCATCCTAGATAGGACTAAGCCTCCCGTACCGTCAGCCTCGGCCATTTGCCGGTTATTCTGAGAGCTCCTCAATTGATCACGATGCTGTGTTTACGGGGAAGATCCTCGCGATGAGATTCTTCCTCTGGCCATGGACTGACTGATTTGAAACATCTTGGAATCTAAAGTCCTTATCTACTCTCTCTCCCTCTCTATATATATATCAACCATGGATATTCAAAATCTCTTCGATGTCAAGGTGAGCAAGCCATGGCTACATATCGCGCTACCCCCATTTGACAGTCATCTTCCCAGGACAAAATTGTCCTGGTAACAGGCGGAGCTAAGGGAATCGGTCGAATGATTTCGGAAGGATACGTGACGAACGGTGCAACAGTCTACATTTCCTCGCGCGACGCCAAGGCATGCGAAAATGCAGTCAGTGAGCTCAATGCTCTGGGAAAGGGTAAAGCCCATGCTATCCCTGCCGATTTCTACAAGGAAGAAGATATCAAGAAGTTAGTAGAAGAATTCGGGAAGCGAGAGAATAGTACGGTTGCCCCTTTTGGCGTCAATAGTCACGTTCACCCCCGTCGGACCATACGACTGACTGATATGCTTGCTTTTTCCTCTCCTTTTTCCCAACAGAGCTTAATGTCCTGGTCAATAATTCGGGGTCCACGTGGGGAGCCCCTTACGATGAATACCCTTCAGCAGCCTGGACGCGCGTATTGACGCTCAATCTACACCGAGTCTTTGACCTGACCAAACTCCTAACGCCCTTCCTCGAAAAGGGCGCCAGCGAAGGTGATCCGGCGCGGATCATAAACATTGGATCTGTAGATGGACTCCGTGTTCCACCAATGGAGACATTTGCATATTCTGCTTCGAAAGCGGGCTTGCACCATTTGAGTCGTACGCTGGCCAGCCATTTGGGAAAGAGGAACATCACGTGAGTGGTCATGTGCCCATCTGTTCGAGACCGCTCCAATTAACTCCGACTAACTCGTTATTGCTTTTTTCTCCCCCTATACAGCTCGAATACATTGGCATGCGGCCCCTTCCGTAGCAAAATGATGGCCGCTACTCTGCGCGAGATGGAGGATGCTCTCGTCGAAGGCATCCCATTGAGTCGCATCGGCAAACCGGAAGATGTAGCAGGCGCATGTATTTTTCTGAGCAGCCAGGCCGGATCATATGTGAACGGTGCTACGATTGCGGTGGACGGTGGCATGGTAGTCAATCCGAGATTGTGAAACGCCTTTTGTAGTATATAGTACTACGGCTGACTGGCTAGATTCGGTCAAGTGCCGGAGTGCATGTCCAGGCATGTAAATAAAAGAAAAGAGCCATTCTGTACACTGCTGCACCACATTGTCCTATTGTGGAGTTGAAAAACGATTATCTCTACTCGTTACTAAGGGCTCTGCGAGCAAGTGGGTCTGTGTCATCATATCAGATCCCGCAGTGACGAAACCCAAACCCGCTCGACAATCTTTGTATTTTACGTGGGGGCAAAGACAGTCCTCCTGTTCCTCTTCTTTCTATTTATCATATGCCCTTTTTTTGTCTGTCCGAGTGCTACATCTTGCAAAGCAAAAGCTTTACAGAGACAAGTTCTGTCTCCATCATTCCGATTCGAGATACCCCTGTCTTACCGCCACTCCGCTGCTAACCCTTCCGCCCACATCGAAATTAGCCTGATATACACCACAACAGCGAATTCGAACGACTTCCGTGAATATCCCTGTCAATTCCTATCATGAACACCCAAGAACGGTTGCAACGCGCCATCTCCATAGCGTCTGACCCCTTTTCAGAACCTGAAGTCTACTACGGTGGACCTGACGGTCACCATGATGGCGCCGATGGGCACCACCACCGGCGCACGTTCTCAGCTGTGAGTGACAGCTCGGGCATTGATAAGAGTGGTTGAGTTACTGATTATGGTAATTGGAATTTAGGATTTGAGATCCGTCAATCGGGACGACATCAAAGAGTTTCTTGGGAAGCTGCCCGCACGGCGGGGAAGTCATGGTATGTACTGTGTGATATTACCATTGATGTGTGGAGCAATATGCTCATGTGTGCTTTTCCAACAGATGAAACGACTTCGGCGCCACGCAAATTCTTGATCGACGTCGACAAGACGATCGCGACACTGCTCGAGCGGGAGGATACTGACCAGAATATGGAAATCACTATTGAGGATGTTGGTCCTAAGGTCGGTAAATTCCAATTGGCCGTGGGGTGAGACGAATATTGACTCTCGCAGGTCCTGCCAGTTGGAACGGCTGCTTCTCACGGGTATAACAAATTCGACGTTCGGGGCACCTACATGTTGTCCAACCTGCTCCAGGAGCTCACAATAGCTAGAGAATACGGCCGCAAGAGGATTGTACTCGATGAACAGCGCTTGAGTGAAAACCCCGTCAGCCGGTTGTCTCGCTTTATCAAAAAGACTTTCTGGAATGCCCTGACCCGAAGGATTGATGGGTCAAACATTGCCGTTGCTGGGCTGGATCCCAAGGACTGGACTGGCGATCCACGGCCTCGCATATATGTGCCACCTGGAGCTCCGGAGCAACTGGAATACTATACAAGGATTGCGGAGGAGAATCCGGCGATGGGGCTAGATGTCCAGAGATTGGACGGCCCAATCACCCCAGAGTACGTAAAGAGCTTGAATCCTAAGCCAGGTTTGTTAGCCGTGGAGATGGAAAAATATATCGATCCGGTGACGGGCAAGCAAGATCTGCGCGGTGTTCCGTTCGTTGTCCCTGGTGGTCGGTTTAACGAGCTGTACGGTTGGGATAGTTACATGGAGTCTTTGGGTCTGCTCGTCAGTGACCGGGTAGACTTGGCCAAGGCTATGGTGATTAATTTCTGCTTTTGTATCAAACACTACGGCAAGATCCTCAATGCCAACCGCTCATACTACCTTACTCGATCACAGCCTCCTTTCCTCACGGACATGGCATTGAGAGTATACGACAGGATCAAAACAGAACCCGATGCGCTTGAGTTCCTACGAATGGCGACACTTGCAGCAATCAAAGAATACTACAGTGTATGGACCGCAGAGCCCCGATACGATCCAGCTACAGGTCTTTCGCGATATCGTCCTGAAGGACTAGGAGTCCCTCCCGAAACCGAAGCCAGTCACTTCCTTCACCTTCTCACGCCATATGCTGAAAAGCACGGGATGTCATTCAACGACTTCGTTGCTGCTTACAACGACGGAGTTATTAAAGAACCTGAGCTTGACGAATATTTCTTGCATGATCGCGCTGTTCGTGAATCCGGCCATGACACATCATATCGCCTAGAACGGGTCTGTGCCAATCTAGCGACCGTCGACCTCAACTCGCTCTTGTACAAGTACGAAGTAGATATCTCACGAGTCATCCGTACCTACTTCAAGGACAAGCTGGCGATCCCTCCAGAGTTTCGCACCGCGCAAACAGCAAATGTCGAGTTTGAAACTTCGTCTGTATGGGATCGTCGAGCGAGGAAGAGAAAAATCACCATGGATAAGTTGATGTGGAATGATGAACAAGGTATGTTTTTCGACTATGATACAGTCAAGAAGCAGTGCATATCGTACGAGAGCGCCACGACGTTCTGGACCATGTGGGCTGGATTGGCCACTCCAGAACAGGCGTCGAAACTCGTCCGACAAGCACTTCCTCGCCTGGAAGAAGCTGGCGGTCTAGCTTCTGGAACGGAAAAGTCGCGTGGAGAGATCAGCTTGACTCGACCTAATCGTCAATGGGACTATCCCTTTGGCTGGGCTCCGCAACAGATGCTGGCATGGACTGGTCTTTTGCGATATGGATACCAAGACGATGCAGAGCGCTTGGCGTATAAGTGGCTGTACATGATCACCAAAGCGTTTGTCGATTTCAACGGCATTGTTGTGGAGAAGTACGATGTCACGCGTCCGATTGACCCTCACCGAGTAGAAGCTGAATACGGTAACCAAGGATCAAGCAAGACAGGGTAAGTCATCCTTCTCCTCGTCAGATTTTGCTAACGTATGTTTAGATTCGGTTGGGTCAATGCCAGTTACGTATACGGCCTCGAAATCCTCAATGCGCATCAGAGACGAGCATTGGGAGCAGTGACTCCATACGAGACGTTCAGCAAGGCAGTTGATCAACAATTCCCTTACTAATCACTGTATTTTTCCTCGTTATTCGTGTTGATCCAAAAATGATTCTAGACGATATGACGAATAAATTGCCAAAGAGGTGCATGGTGTTTGATAGAATTTATTCTGCATGTATGTTAGTGATGATGTAGGGGAGTCACGTTTCTTCCTCTTTTGCTATCTTGTTTTTCTTTCCGTAGACAGGATTCCCAGAGTTTATAATAAAATGTATTCATCAATTCTTGACTGATCTAGATTCCCGATAGACGTCCTCGGGACCGTCCATCTAAGAGCGGCCCAATTCCGAACCATTTGATGTATATCCTTGCAAAACGACGACCAAATCTAAGCTTTCTCAAACTAGCTAGATACTATTATTCATTTGTGAGCATCCTCAAGCTCTCCAAATGACTCATTCCGACATTTCTTCGTATCAAGTCCTGCCAGTGTACATCTTTTGAGTCATTCCTCTGAGCCGAGGTCTACGGAAAGTGCTGTGACAAAATTCGTGTATTGTACGGGTTATGTGAATTACTAGTGCGGAAATGCGAAAACCGGGGTCATATCTTTCACACTTGACACCAGGTTGCTTCGCGAACAGTTGATAAGAACTCAATCAGGCTATATGTTCAATTTAGAGACGCAAATCGAGTATAATAAATATTATTATTGTTTGACAGGGGATAACTGGGCGATATTCTGAGTTCACATGCAAATCGTGAAGAAACATAGTATGGTAATAACGTTACGAGAATACAGTCTAGAACTGAATTATGCTGCACTGACATTGTTATCGATATGGAAATTGGTCTTGCGATGCTCTTCCGATACATTCATTATACTCCCTGAGAAGAGAGAGAGTCGCAATGTTTGACTGTCTTCCTTCTATCAGCGGTAGTTAATGCCTATTTGCACGAAAACCATCTCCTCTCCAGCGGCGATAGCATATGTAGTCATTCTCAAGGACGAATGGAAGTAAGAATGAACCAGAGTTACGATACAGCATATAATTGGCTAAATTCAGCCAAATCTAGAGCTATTCGCCTCCCTCCGAATTGCGGAGGCAGTGTTAAGCTTGTGATTGAGGAACTATTTTGGACGAACCCAATCATATCATTTATTCTCAGAGTGACACTGCAAAAATATAGCCAAATCCCAAGACAAATACACCAGGTTTATGTACGTTGTATGATCTGCTGGAATACATGTTCCGAGCCTTACCGACCGACCCCGGTAACCCTATCAAAGCTCGGGTATGTGACGGCGTCATGAAGACACAAAATCTGTGGTTGAACTTTGCCTTGGCTCGTGATTTCGGCTTGATGGAGACCTTGCGTCTCGGCTATGAAATGTTCTTCTTGCTTTTACTTTAATAGCTCTAGATCCGCTTTTTTCTTTCTTCTTTTTCTGTAGTTTCATCTGTATAAATCTGTATACTATCTAGTCAGAACCTAACAGGTCAAGCGTTAGGGTTCCAGAGATTCATTCCTTGAGTACTTTGTCAAATACTATCCTCGATTGATCCGTACTCGACTCCCGGAAAGAACAGAAATATATCGAAAATGGGCGTCACAGACTTCGAGCTCGAAGACCAGAAGTATCTGGAAGAGGTCAATGCTGTCAAGCAATGGTGGACTGATTCACGATGGCGATACACAAATCGCCCCTTCACTGCTGAGCAGATTGTTGCGAAGCGCGGCACACTCAAGATTGAGTACCCCTCCAATGCACAGGCTAAGAAGCTTTGGAAGATTTTGGAGGAGAGATTCAGTGTACGTCTACGTGATTCCTGGGGGTTTGACCAGCAAGCTGACACAAAATAGAACAAAACTGCTAGCTACACATACGGCTGTTTGGAACCAACTATGCTTACGCAGATGATCAAGTATCTTGATACCATCTACGTCTCCGGATGGCAAAGCTCTTCAACCGCATCTTCGACCGATGAGCCCTCTCCCGATCTTGCAGACTACCCCATGGTATGTTAATTACTTCTAGCTGCTCTACTAATCGGCCCATTGCTAACATATTTCCAGAACACCGTCCCCAACAAAGTCAACCAATTGTTCATGGCTCAACTCTTCCACGACCGAAAACAGCGCGAAGAGCGTATTACTACCCCCCGCGAAAAACGCAGCCAGGTCCAGGACTACGACTACCTCCGACCCATCATCGCTGATGCTGATACTGGCCATGGTGGTCTCACTGCCGTTATGAAGCTCACTAAGCTCTTCGTCGAGCGTGGTGCTGCTGGCATCCATATTGAAGATCAGGCGCCCGGTACAAAGAAGTGTGGACACATGGCTGGCAAAGTCTTGGTGCCTATTAGTGAACACATCAACCGTTTGGTTGCTATTCGTGCTCAGGCTGATATCATGGGTATGTCCTTGTATTTTGTATTGTATAGTCCCGAGGTCGATCAATCTAACCCGCAACAATAGGCACTGATCTCCTCGCCGTTGCACGAACCGACTCCGAAGCCGCTACCCTCATCACCTCCACTATCGACTACCGTGACCATGCCTACTTGATTGGATCCACCAACGCCAATATTCAACCTCTTAATGATTTGATGGTTGCCGCTGAACAGTCTGGTAAAACCGGTGACCAACTACAAGCCATCGAGGACCAATGGGTCGCTCAAGCCGGCCTCAAGAGATTCGACGACGCTGTCATCGACACAATCAACAAATCTGCCTCTGGTAACAAGAAGGAACTCATTGACAAATACTTGGAAACTGCCAAGGGAAAGAGCAACACTGAAGCCCGCGCCATTGCAAAGAGTATCACCGGAGTGGACATCTACTGGAACTGGGATGCCCCCCGCACCCGAGAGGGTTACTATAGGTACCAAGGTGGTACTCAGTGCGCCATCAACCGCGCTGTCGCCTATGCTCCATTCGCCGATTTGATCTGGATGGAGAGCAAGCTTCCTGATTACCAGCAAGCTAAGGAGTTTGCCGAAGGTGTCCATGCCGTCTGGCCCGAGCAAAAGTAAGTCATCTTCCTGCCACCCCGGTCAATATAAGTATCAGATCATTAATCTTTTTTTTTCTGTGCAGACTCGCCTATAACCTCTCCCCTTCCTTCAACTGGAAAGCCGCCATGTCCCAAGACGAACAACTTACCTACATCGACCGTCTCGGCAAGCTCGGCTACTGCTGGCAATTCATCACGTTGGCCGGTTTGCACAGCACAGGCTTGATCAGCGACCAATTCGCCTCCGCCTATGCCAAACAGGGTATGCGCGCATACGGTGAACTCATCCAAGAACCCGAGATGGAGCGCAAGGTCGATATTGTCACGCATCAGAAATGGAGTGGTGCCAACCTGATTGATCACAGTCTTGCGATGGTGACGGGTGGTATTAGCAGCACTGCTGCTATGGGTAAGGGTGTGACTGAAGAACAGTTCAAGTCCTAAACATATTATTTTTTTGCATCGTTTGCTTTGAGATATCGTCTTTTTGTATATGTTCAGGGTTGAATTCTATCACGTGATGTTGTCTGTCAACGGACATGAAACAAATCGTCCTGTTTTCTTATTTGAACGTTGCGAATAAAATGTCCAAGTCTACATACACCAGTACGCACGTAAGTTTCACTGAAATGATTCCCTTTCATCCGAATCAATCGTGCAACACTGTAGTCTGAAGACGCGTTCGCGCGAAGCGGGAAGATATTTGTCCTAGAGTCCATACCACCATCAGCAGATGTTGAGCATATAAAATCGTTGATAGGTAGATACTATGTACTAGCGGCCTAAAGATGGACCGTGAGCATGAAGATCCTACGCGCGTAACTTACCGAGGCTCCTTAAAAGCTTCCAAGCCCCAAGCGCGCTGATTAGCATTTAATGGAGCTCGGGAGTCGGACCTGGCCTAGGTAACCCCGCAAGCTGTGAGCATAGCTTACCCGTCAACGCTTCTTTTCTGCCTGCGATCTTTACTTCTTTTTCTCCACTTGTTTCTCCTTAATTGCCTGCCTTCACATGATACGGAGAAGGTATATCTACTATCTTAACGCCACTTGACTCTTTTAATTTTCTACTCTTGATTTATTTATTTATTTATTTTTTGGTTAATCTTATTGTGTTCTGCTCTTTACTCTGGACTAAGTCGCCAGCCAGTGACAAGTGATCTTATACCATTACCATATCTTACATCTCCATCATCAAGATGGTTGTCACCAATGAGTCCATTAAAATCCATCCGCTGGAGTATACTCCAGTGGAAACCATCCAGAAAAAGATTGCCGTACTAAAGGACTCTTTTTACGACTCCAAGACTCGACCAGTGGAATTCCGCAAACTCCAGCTCCGGAAGCTATATTGGGCGTAAGCTATCCTATCCTATTCATATATACCTTTGTCCAATAACTAACGAATGAGAAATAGCATCCGCGATAATCAAGATCGTATCGTTGAAGCGCTGGCGCGCGATATGGGAAGACCCCCATACGAGGCCCAGGTAGCCGAAATCATGTGGCTACTTGGAGAGATTCTGTTTGTCTTGAAGAATCTCGACAAATGGCTCAAAGATGAGCCAGCTCCCGATATCCCTTGGCTTTATAAGCCATTGGCCCCCAAAATTCGTAAAGATCCGATGGGAACGGTCTTGGTTATCGGTTCATGCAACTATCCATTCCAACTCACATTCTCGCCCATGATCGGTGCTATCGCTGCCGGTAACACTGTTGTGCTCAAACCCAGTGAACAGCCTACCAATTCCGCTCAGGTAGCGCAGGAGATCGTTGAGACTGCCTTGGACCCTTCGTGTTATACGGTTGTACAGGGTTCTATTACTGAAGTGCAAGCCCTCTTGGCTGAGAAATGGGACAAGATCCTCTTCACTGGTAGCCAAACCGTCGGCCGTATCATTGCCAAGGCTGCTGCACCACACATGACCCCCGTGGTCCTTGAGCTCGGAGGCTTGAACCCTGCCATCGTGACACGTAATGCTGACCTTCGTATTGTAGCTCGTCGTCTACTATGGGCCAAGACTCTCAACGGCGGACAAACCTGTACAGCTCAGAATTATATTCTTGTTGAGAAATCAGTGCTCCCAGCATTGATTGAGCAGTTGAAGAAGGCGTACAAGGAGTTCTACCCTAGTGGAAGCAGCAAGGGACCTGATTTTACACGTATCATCAATGACAAGGCTTTCCAACGACTAAAATCCATGCTGGACAACAGCAAGGGTAGGATTATAATGGGAGGTACTGTTGATGAAAAAGAACGATACATTGAGCAAACCTTTATTGAAGTCGACTCCATCGAAGACTCGATGGTTATCAACGAGACCTTTGGTCCTATCTGCGCCGTCCTTCCTACCAACAATGTCGATGAAGCCATCAGTCTCGCACGCAAAGTCCAGGATACAACACTCAGTGTATCCGTATTTGGGAACTCAGCAGATCACCAAAAGGTCATGGCCGGTCTTCGGTCCGGCAGTGTCTCTCTCAACGACGCCCAGCCACATGTCAATACTCTGCCCTTCGGCGGTGTTGGTGAAAGCGGTACTGGTGCCTATCGGGGCCGATCCAGTATCGACGTCTGGACTCATGCTCGACCCTATACCAACACTCCACGATGGATGGAATATTTGCTTGATGCCCGTTACCCGCCGTACACCGCTAGCAAGTTGCGGATGATCAAGTTGTCGATGGATGGCTCTCCGGATTTTGATCGTGAAGGTCGTCAGAGTCGATTTACCTGGTTGAAATATATTCTTGGAGGAACTCCATCTCGTGTTGCTGCTGTTGCTATTAGTAAGTTATGATTCCATTTCCTTTTTTCCGAACTCTGCCGTGGTATCGATCGATCCTGTGTCTTGTCTATTTGATTACCTCTTTGAATGCTTTGCCATCATAACATCTAAACATCAACGTCTATGACTAGATGAACAATTTACGACTGTCAATGTTGGCTCACAAGCCAAATGAGTTTCTCATTTAGGGCTGTGATCGTCTGAATCGAGCACTGCCCGCCTTTCTTGCCCTATGAATGGCAATTCACCTTCGAAAAACTTTTGATCCGATACCCCCTCGTTATTCTCGAAATTGTGATTGATATATTTTCCATCTTTGAATCCCTAAGTCGTTGATTTTATTTTGATCTTTGATACCAATTTCTTGGAAAAACTAACTAATCTAACAATCATTTTCTCCTTATTCATTATAGTCGTCTACTTGATCAGAGAATATCTGAAACGAAATTCGAAGCTTTGAGTACAATTTCCAGATGGGAATATAGTCGCTCGTTAGTTGAATCCCATCTTGGGACAGTGAGAACTGACAATCAGAGGAAATCTGTACTTTTGCATCTATCTACGATATTGGATCCACCTCACAATCAAAGTCTTTGCCTTTGGAGCTGTTTGTTTTAGCAATTCGTGTACGATGTATGTACTTTCTAGGAATTTGATGGCTTTTTGGTCTTGATTATTCAATCATGTTCACTAGACTAGTATTTGAAGACGTAGTATTCAAATATTGATACATTTCCCGTCACTGCAATGCTTCGCATTAATACAAAAAGATTGGAGAAACTAATCCAAACAAACACGCTCCAATAATCCAGAATGCAAAGAAGGGACACTTCTTATAAAATCAAAAGATATGGAGACAGACTAGAAACGACTCTCAATACCCCTTCGACTTACACAAAGATATTTCACACCTTTATAAGGCCGTACACCCTCACCCAAACCCCGGCTTTTCCGTGGATCAATATTTATACTGTCCACTCGGATACCCGAAGGTAGCCACCCTTTTACTGAGAAAGAGACAGTGGCGGATTTGGGCATAAGAGCTGAATGGATCTGTTCTTTACGGGAGGCGCTTTCCTTGAAAGGTGGGTTATTCGTAGAATGTGCGGTGGTAGAAGGAGGTGGTGTGGAAGTCTGGGATGAATTCGGTTTGTCAGGTGTCAAAGTCGATTGTCCCTCGACGGCGGCATTGGCTGCAGAAGTCTTTTTTGATTTCGGTTTCTTTTTCTTCATTTTCGTGGATTTCGGTTTTCGCGGTTTGGAAGATTTCCCTGTAGGGTATGACTCGGATGTGTATGTTGTAGGGTCTTGTTGATATGAATCGGCATCATAGTAGCCTTGTAACAGTTCTTGACCAGCTGCAATCTCTGCTTCGGTCTCGTCTAAATCATCATGATAGCCAACGACTGTGCAACGTAACGTCGCCGTGCCGGATACCGATCCACTATCTTTGGTGTATATTCGCCATTCGAGATAGTCGTCACCAGGTGAATAATCTGCTTCACCTCTACTTGGGCGCATATCTGTTATATTTCGGACTGCCTGGGGAATAGGCACGTGAACAATCACTTCGTCGAGGACAGGAAGTGATGGGGTACCACTGTTGCTCCCGCCTCCTAAAAAGGAGGGTGTCGAGCTCCCAGAACCAGTACGTCCGGTATTGGCTTGTCGGACGCCCGGGAAGCTTGTGTTGAGAGTCAAACGAACCTCAAAATCTTTCCCGCTTGGTCCTAATGATTTCTCTACAGCAACAAATGCCGGTAAAAATAACTTCTCCATATGTCTCGGCGGCTCGTCAATGCTTGGATCTATTGGGAGGAGGTCGGCTTCATATCCAGCGAGTATAAACTTTCCATCCGGAGGCACAAAGCTCAGCTCCCCAGGTCGCTCTCTCCAACGCGCAAGACGAACACAAGGATGAAACACGGGTAGTCGCATTTTCTGATCTATCGCTCGTTGCCCCCCTGGCGTTGTGAGGGATAGTAGAAGATCAGGGACACCAGACACTTTTGCTGTGAATGCTATTGTGCCGGAAGCCAACGCAGAAAGTAATCGTCCGGATGGAGCTATTGTTACGGACAGGCTTTCAATTATATCAACGTATATCTCATTCGATGTATGGCGCACGCCAGGCCGCCGCCACGGTATAGCTGGCCCCAAAGCCGATGCAGCCCTAGAATTAGGCAATTGCGGTTTGAGCGGGTTGACAGAGGCTGTACTCGGAGATGCCGCGCTGATTAAGATTTCCATTAGCATGAGTGAAAATGCAAGCACGCAATGTTGATGTTTTCATACCGTGGTAACCCGACACCTCCCAGGAACTTGTTCATCCAACCCGCAGTCTCAACATTTTCTTGAAGGGCATTGATTTCAGTATTGCTAACCAAGCCCGCATCGCACATTTCCGTTAGTAGCTGTGCGACTACATCGTAGTTCGATTGTAGCTTGGTCGACAACAGAGGAGCCCCCACGAACTCCTCAAGCACATCGACGACTCTATGAAGGAATTCGAGGACAAGGAGGGGTTCGGTGTCAACATCGCTCGGAGAAAGAAATAGTAGATTTGAATGTGATATTGAAAATACAGTCACGGCAGGTGAGGTCTCTGTGAGGTACAGTAACGAGGGACGTGGTGCGGGGTGTGCCAGGAAGTGCCATATGAGAGAGGATGCGGAGGGCGGCCGAGAGCGATACACATGTTCTAGAATTGGTACACTAATCAGCAGTTAGCGACGATGAATGTCAGAAAATCGGGAGAGGAATCATACTTGTGCTCGTCGTAAATATAGAGCGCTCTAATGGCGCCGTTCATGATGGCAGTTTTGAGTGTAGATGTAACCGATCGCATACCTATGACGCTGGCCGGCCGGTGATATTTAGGCAGGCCGCAACTAAACAAGTTCTGCCGCCGTATGCCGCCGACGCAGCTTCGACAAAACATGTGCTTCTTCCCACCTTTCAGCAGACACTCGATTTTTTGCTGAAGGGCTGGTATCAGATGATTAAAAGGGTGGTGAGTCTAATAATATCTGATCAAGCTTGTTGAGTTTACTAATGACAACCGGGCATAGTTACTACAATAACTGACCAGCACTGCTAACCAAGAAACCGTTCGACGTCCTCTCATTTCTTCACCAAACAGTCATGACGAACTCCAAAGCACCTTGGGAGCTGAAGGCGGAAGAAGTCGAAAAACAGGTTGCAGGACAAGATCAGTATGAAGACTGCTTAGCATGTCGAATCACCGGTAGGACATCCACAAATATGAGCTTTTCGACGTAACGGTTGCTAAAGACAAATTGTCATTGTCGTTAGGGTCCGCGGCGTTTATTGGGCTCGGAGTGTATAGCTATTATACAGGAATGCAGAATCTGAGAAAACAAGAGACAGCAATTATGAGAAGTGCGAGCAAATATAAGATGGGATCAAGGCAGCTCGGCATAGCAAGTCTGTCCGCTTCTCTCATAGGTCTAGGACTTTACAGGGCGTTCAACTGATGTAGGCTCTTGGCCATGATTCACGGATTGTATTATAAGAAAGTCTCTTCTTCCATTGAATATTCATGTATAGTATATAAAATAAAGTCTAGAAATGGGGTTCTGATATAAGACCGCCAACTGCGAAACAGCCCATGATGCATAAAGACTCCTCATAAATGCTAAGAATATTCCTCCACTTCCACTGGGTATCACAAATGCATGCCATCGTTCCGTCGTGTATGTGTATTAAAACCTCATGTAAATCGCCCGCGTTTGCCGCCGCCAAAAAATTCGCGCCCATTTAGGCCCGATAAGTCGAAGAAATCAGGGAATTGAAGCTTGCGCTTGTTCCCCACACTTGTCCCATGAGTTGGTGATCGTCGAGCAGAGACGTTGAGACGACCGGCGGTTCGGGTATTCCGTGGTAACATAGATATTCCAACTCCAGTAGGCTCATCTTGTGAAGTGGAGGTCATGGACGAGGTGTCTGATGATTGCATATCGACGTCTTGTGAGAAGACAGGAAAAGTAGGTCCGGCAGAGAATGTGAAGACAGGAGGTTTAGTGAATGTAGTATCGGCGGAGTCAGTTGGCTGCACAGGCTCGGTCTGTTGGGGCCGTTGCTCGTCAGTGGTGGCATCTTCTGTTCGAGGTTGCGTAGGCTCAGGATTATGTCGTAACTGATCGTTGTCATGATGCTCCTTCCGATAGACTACCGGTGATGAACTTCTCGCTGGTTTATCGTCATCCTCACTTTCACTGTTGGATGGGACTCCATCGAGTCGTTCCGTGGCCCATTGGCGGACCTGCCACCCTTCGCCATCTCCTAACCCAAGGTGCTTTCGATCTAGGAAATGCAAGAGATCTTCAATTGCTTCTTGATAACCAAGTTGCTTCGCCTGGGCCTGGTCTGTGACAGCACTCTTATACAAGTTCGTGACCGAGAGAGCAGCGGCTTTAAAAGCTTGTAATAACTGTTCGGGCGGCTGAGCATGTGACGTAGAGCTGGGAAGTGATGTGTTCAACGATCTCATTGAGTCCATGATGGGCGATCCTGGTGGGAATGCCCTTGGGACAACTTGAGTTGGTGTCGAGTGGCCTTCTGGAAGAGGCCCGAGCTTGGAGAAAAAACGAAACTTGTGGAAATGTTGTTGAGGATCTTTTGAAACAAAAAAGGAGTGAAACGACAAGATGCTTCTCGCTCAATTTAGAAGGGTCTCGTCTATCTGGACATACGCAAAAAGCAAAGAGAGACAAGTCAACCAATGTAGACAACGACAGGTCGAGTGTCGTCGTCGATAATCAGACCAGATGACCCGACTAGTCGTTGATGGCAACCGGATTAATCAGTTTAGTCGCTTTTCTTGGTGTGACTTAGACGATCCGCTTCCACGTGATTCAGGGCATCCCGCACTAATCCCAAATGGAACTTTATCTGGTATCTGATTTTCGGCAAAACAATGTTCCTCGGATGTTGCTGAGTCAGCCAGAACTACCAATCAGAGCGCGTCTTTTCTACGCGCCTGGACTAGGAATTTCCCATTTGCCTTCCCTTTCGCGATCTCTGATGACTTCGATTCTTCATCATCTCATTCACATTTCGTTACAACGGACGCCAGGCAGCACGTACAGCTATTGAGATTAGGTAATTTGGTGCCAACTTATTGTGCGATTCATCCCCTAGCGATTATCAAGGTCGCCAGAGCTACATAGCCTCGATCTACAGTTTGAGCAAACTTGAGCGTCTTCAATCCCATCGCTTCCAGGGCGCTACCACCGCCACCATGGCGCCCTCACGCAACCTTCCGGACTCGGATACTTCATCCCAGGTGGATACGCCGATGACTGACGGAAACGAATCTGTTGCTCGTATTCCTGTCGACGAGCCCGACTACCCCATGGCTGTACGTCCATTCTGCTTTCATATATCAAAGCACTTATAGAGCTTTTACTTATCTTATTCTCACTGTAGGACTACCAAGATACTCCGGATTATACAGTATGATACGATAATATCCCGTGAAAAGAACATTTGAATGAGCGGCAGGATTGACATAAGAATTATAGGATTCGGATACCAACCCCAACACGACTGCAAGCAGCATTGCAGGCGATCTCACTCATACAGATGGACGCAAACGGAGGTCCGAAGCTTTTCAGCTCAGGAAAAGCGTTCTCGGCAAGCAGCACGGACGATTAGACGAGTCAAGGGTTTGTTCGCATGGAAGTCAATCATTGAGTTCAGTAGGCTAATCGTTCTCTGTTGTTTAGGAAGATGACTCGATTAGGCGATTCCGATATCTCCTAGGTTTAACAGATTTATTCCGTCACTTTATCGAGACCAACCCGAACCCGCGCATTAAAGAGATCTTGGCGGAAATTGACCGACAAAACGCCGATGAAACTAGCAAGGCTAAGGGGTCTTCTCGCAAAGGAGGTGCTAGCGGCGACAGGAGACGCCGTACTGAAAAGGAAGAAGATGCAGAACTTTTGAAAGATGAAAAGAGCGGCGGAGAGACAGCCACCATCTTCCGCGAGTCCCCAGCCTTCATTAACGGAGAGATGAGAGACTACCAAATAGCCGGCTTGAACTGGTTGGTTTCGCTTCACGAGAATGGCATATCGGGTATTCTTGCAGACGAAATGGGTCTCGGAAAGACTTTGCAGACGATTTCTTTCCTTGGCTACCTTCGACACATCTGTGGTATCAACGGACCACATCTGGTTGTAGTACCGAAGTCTACCTTGCACAACTGGAAGATGGAGTTCGCAAAATGGACGCCCGAGGTCAACGTTATGGTCCTGCAGGGAACCAAGGAGGAACGCCATGAGCTAATTACTGAGCGCCTTGAGAAGGAGGATTTCGATGTCTGCATTACCAGCTACGAAATGATTCTAAAAGAAAAGTCCCATTTCAAGAAGCTTGCTTGGGAATATATCATTATCGACGAAGCGCATCGCATCAAGAACGAGGAATCTTCACTTTCTCAAATTATTCGCGTCTTCCACTCCCGCAATCGGTTGCTTATTACCGGAACGCCTCTACAAAATAACTTACACGAACTCTGGGCTCTTCTCAATTTTTTGCTTCCCGATGTCTTTGGCGACTCAGAAGCATTTGATCAATGGTTCTCCAATCAGGACTCTGACCAGGACACTGTTGTACAGCAATTGCACCGTGTTCTTCGACCGTTTCTGCTACGCCGAGTCAAGAGCGATGTTGAGAAAAGTTTGTTGCCCAAGAAGGAAGTCAACTTATTCGTTGGTATGTCAGACATGCAGGTAAAATGGTACCAGAAAATCCTCGAGAAGGATATCGATGCTGTGAACGGCGCTGCTGGCAAGAGAGAGTCGAAGACCCGGTTGCTCAACATCGTGATGCAGTTGCGCAAGTGTTGTAACCATCCTTATCTTTTTGAAGGCGCCGAGCCCGGTCCACCATATACAACAGACGAGCATCTTATCGACAATTCGGGCAAGATGGTTGTTTTGGACAAGATCTTGAACCGCATGAAGAAACAAGGAAGCCGTGTGCTTATTTTCTCCCAGATGAGTCGTGTCCTCGACATTCTTGAAGATTACTGCGTTTTCCGGGAGCACAAGTATTGTCGAATTGACGGTTCGACGGCTCATGAAGACCGAATTGCAGCCATTGATGAGTACAACAGAGAAGGCTCGGACAAGTTCATCTTCTTGCTTACAACCCGCGCCGGTGGTCTCGGTATCAATCTTACCACTGCAGATATTGTCGTACTTTTTGATAGCGATTGGAACCCACAAGCGGATTTGCAAGCCATGGATCGCGCTCACCGTATCGGTCAGAAGAAACAGGTCGTTGTCTTTAGATTTGTCACGGAGCATGCCATTGAGGAGAAGGTTCTCGAGCGAGCCGCCCAAAAACTACGGCTGGACCAGCTTGTCATTCAGCAAGGTCGTACTCAGCAACAGACAAAGAATGCCGCATCCAAAGATGAATTGTTAGGCATGATCCAGCATGGAGCTGCTGACGTGTTCAAGAAGCAGGGAGGCACGCTCACTGGTGGAGCTGAGATGACTGATGATGACATCGACGCAATCTTGCGCAAAGGTGAAGAGCGCACGGCAGAACTCAACAAGAAATACGAAAAGCTCGGAATCGATGATCTTCAGAAGTTCACTTCGGACAATGCCTATGAATGGAATGGTGAGGATTTCACGAACCGTAAGAAAGACATCGGTATCAGCTGGATCAATCCTGCCAAGCGAGAGCGCAAGGAGCAGTTTTACTCTATCGATAAATACTATCGTCAAGCTCTTGCTACTGGTGGACGTACCGCTGACCCCAAGCCCAAAGTACCACGTGCTCCTAAACAAGTTTCCATTCATGACTGGCAGTTCTTTCCCCCACGTCTGCATGAGCTACAGGAGAAGGAGACAGCGTATTTCCACAAAGAGATTGGGTACAAAGCTGTCCTTGCTGATGGAACAGACGAGGACCTGAGCGAACGTGAAGCTAATCGAGACCTTGAGCAACAAGAGATTGACAACGCGGTACCCCTAACTGAAGAAGAACAGGCCGAAAAGGCCCGACTTTCCGAAATGGGCTTTCTGCACTGGAATCGGCGAGACTTCCAACAGTTCGTAAACGGGTCTGCCAAATTTGGTCGAACGGATTACGAAGGTATCGCCACTGAGGTGGATAGCAAGACTCCTCAGGAAGTGAAGGAGTACGCCAAAGTTTTTTGGGATCGCTACGACGAGATCAATGATTACCCCAAATACATCCGCGTCATCGAACAAGGCGAGGAAAAGCTTCGAAAAAATACACACCAGCGGAAAATGCTTCGAAAGAAGTTGGATATGTACCGCGTTCCACTACAGCAACTTAAGATCAATTACACGGTATCTACCACGAACAAGAAGGTGTACTCCGAGGAGGAAGACCGATTCCTGCTTGTTATGCTTGATAAATTAGGCAAGGAGGATGATACCGAAGGTATTCAACTCTTCGAGAGAATGCGTGAGGAGATTCGAGAGAGCCCTCTATTCCGATTCGATTGGTTCTTCCTCAGTCGTACACCAGTTGAACTTAGTCGCCGATGTACCACGTTGCTCAATACCATAGCCCGAGAGTTTGAACCTGAGCCGAAAGCCAATGGAGAGAGCGGCAAAGCCCGCGGTCGTGATCGCGATCGTGTGGAAGAGGATGGCGATGAAGATGAAGACGAAGCGCCCGCCAAGAAGAAATCAAAGAATGGAGCAGCGGTGGTAAATTTAACCAAGGATGTCCTCTTTCCCTTACGTTATACTAACATGCTATGAACAGAATAAGAAATTAAAGGGCGTCAAAGCCGGCAGTAAGGGCTCATCTGCAAGCACATCCAGAGCTGCCAGCGTCTCATCCAATGTTCAGAGCAGTAAATCGAAGAGCAAGAAGAAATGATGAGTCAGAATCCGGTGTATATTGTGCAAGTTTAGTGTTCCCGGGGTTTGTATCATTTGTTGATTTTGCTGTTCGTCATGGTTCGGACTCGGCTGAACGATCTATATCTTAGCTGAATGTCCTGCTCAGGTTGGTTTACATCGGCGTTTCAGTTTTTTGAGGAGGTTTATTCTGTAGAACTACAACTTGACTATTTGCAAAGATAATGATGACAGAATATTAATCAGTTAACTATTAGGTAGAATTTAGATATACTCTATTCTATTCAGATATCAATGCGACATACTCCATCTTACCTAGGCACCTAGGTAGGTTTACTCATTAGGAACAAGGCGGGTACAGAGTACTGTACCTGGGTATTGCATGAACTGGAGAGCAGATGTATCCGACGAAACATGCTAAGTATCCTAGGAAGTAGTGGATTTCTCCTCACTCCTCATCAACCTCTTCGAAAGATTCCTTAGGTATGGAATGCTGATCATGGATAGAGCCCATCTCAATCCTCCTGGGCTTCAACATGATGCTTGATTATACTGAGTCATCACTCACTAGCATACCAATTTACTCTCCTCTGCAATCTCTTCAATCCTGTAGACCCGCTGGCATTTTTGGCTTGGTGGGATTAGTTTCTCAAAGTCGTTGATCCCAGCACCAGAATGAAGCTCAGATGCAGTCAAGTTGGAAATGCCTAGCCAGGCTTCGTCAGTTCTTTCAGTGTCGTCTGGGCTGCTCAGTCAAACCTTGGAAAAAAGCACAACCTTGGAAACATAGTTTTCGAATACTTGATCACATCACCTAGGTAGACTTTAGCGTGACATGATTCGTTTCATGGCCAGGTCTTGACAGGTTTGAATTTGATGGGAGTTGATACACGGCTCCAGGTCTCACGAGGACAGATGTCATCCAACTGGTACTCAGGGATCACCCATCGCACTACCATAAAAATACGCATAAATAACAGCAATATTGATGTAATTCGAGTTGTCGTAGGCGGATATGATATATCACCATTCTAATTTTAGCAAGATATCTCTCCGACAACTTATCCTTGGTTATTTATAGGTCCCTCACATCTAAGAGTAAGTGATCGGCTTGGTGTCGGGACACATGCTTAACGACCTTCTAATATAGCTACATATAAGTCAATGTTATTAAACCGCTTTATTATTCCTAGTTGAAGTCCTAAGTTGAAGCCGCGTCAGCTATTACATCAGGGTGTTTCAGACAATCCATCTAAATCAAACATCCATGCAATTGAAGAAGTATTGGATGACTGCTATAGACGTCGGAAAGGTTTTGCTTTTCACTGATACGCTTTTAGAATAACCATAGAACCTGTTCCATTCTCACCTGCTCAGATTAGGGCTAACTGTGATCGTGTGGTCGCTGACGTAGTGAGTCACCTGCAAGTGTCGGACGAATAGATGGAATCTCAAAGACAGAGCCGTACTAAAGAAGTGTTAATATCATGGTCAGAAATGGCCATCAAGTATGCTTAATCGATCTGAGGTATCGGCTGTGGCGCTGCTGAGTTGATAGCCATGCATACGTATCGAGAATACCGTAATTTACACTAATGCAATGATAAAGTTGGTAGAATACCCCGCAGCGGGCCGCTATTCCGCAGATAGAAGCTTATTTCAAGCAGGCATTGTTCCTGTATGAAATGAGTGTTTCACTGCTGATCCTCTGACTTGTATTTTGAATGAAAAAATGTCCATGCCGAGGATACTCATTGGATATAGGAATAGAGTGTGGCTTGGAAATTTAATGTTCTCCTACATCATTGATTGGGTATATCGATATAAATACAGAATACTACATCATATTACATTAGTCCGTACCACTACGACTGATCAGGCGTAGTGTACCTTGCACATCTCATCATCTCCAATGATATCGGGACTCGCTGGCCACTAGTATCTACATACTCCCAGCAATAAGGTGAAACTTGACTCCAGATTCCAAAACATGGTCTCAGAGTGAAGGCCTAGGTAAGTAATTGATTGCTTAGATTCATGATAAATCTGCACTTCGTGCCACGTCTAAAACTTAAATGTCGCTAGCCGAAAGTTGTAAATAGACATGAAGCATTATAGTTAGTACTTGTCATTGGCGGACGCTGACGTTGTCACTCGCATCGTCAACTGATAAGGTTGCTGTTAGTGGCGTTTGATATGTTGTTGATAGCGCAAGTGATGACGACAAGCTTGTTGCACTTAGCATCGTTGTCATGCGCCTCGATGAGTGGATAGCTTGACCTCGATTTAGCTTGTTATGATCAACACAAGCAGCCACACCCAGGTCCCACCTTCTTTCCGTGTGTCAACTCCAGTCACCGGTGCTTTTCTATGCTCTCTGCTCATATAAACCTCACTTCTTATCCGCTCTTCTCCTCTCCTCTTCTCTTCTCTATCATAAACAATCATTCTTAAACGTCATTCTCAACTGCAATTGCCGGTCCAATTCTATTCTTTTAGCATTACACCAAGGAACAACTATCTCATTTGCACACCATGGCTAGCAAAGTCAGAGTTCTCTTGAACCCCAAGTACAAACGTAACGGCACCAAGTCTTACGTCCATCTGCTTCGCAAGTATGGATTCGATACTACCCTTGATGGCCCGTACTTTCACGCAACCCACATCCAGCAGCAAGGAAAGTTCACCGCTGCCGGCCACGCACCCGTTGGTGGTCGTGCGCGCGTCCACCGAGCCTTGCAAAAGAAAGTAGATGGCCAGACAGGTGATGTTCCAGCCGATGATGTCCAGAATGATACTATGTACCTGGCTGAAGTTGGCATTGGTACTCCTGCTCAGACTTTGAAGCTGGACTTTGACTCTGGCTCTGCAGATCTTTGGGTGCGACCAGAACATCTTTGAAAATTTGACTCGTAAAAAATATGAACTAACAACTTCTAGGTATGGTCCACTGAATTGCCATCCAGCATCCAATCTTCTGGATCAAACCATACTATCTTTGACCCATCGAAGTCTAGCTCTTGGAAAGTCACCTCTGGACAGATATGGCAGATCTCTTATGGAGATGGTTCCTCTGCTTCTGGTGATGTTGGCACTGATGTCCTCAATCTTGGAGGCATTGAAATCAAGGACCAGGCTATTGAGCTGGCCAAGGACCTTTCTGCTCAGTTCCAACAATCAGAGGGGGATGGTTTGCTTGGATTAGCTTTCGGCACAATCAACACGGTCAAGCCACAAGCTGTTCAGACTCCAATGCAGGAATTGATCTCTCAAAACTTGATCCCGTCGGATGCACGGCTCTTCACTGCCCACCTGGGTGAAGCAGCCGTAAAGAGCGACAATTCTTTCTACACGTTCGGATACATTGACCAGGATACTGTGAAGGCTACCGGCAACCAGATCGTGTACGCCAAAGTCGACAATAGCCAGGGTTTCTGGACCTTTGACTCGGCTTCTGCCACCGTGAACGGCAAGACTATCAGCCGCTCTGGCAACACTGCTATTGCTGATACAGGTACTACTTTGGCCCTTGTTGACGACGAGACCGTTAAGGCCATCTACGATGCCATTCCAGGATCCAAGTACGACAGCTCCCAACAGGGTTACACCTTCCCTAGCAACACCTCCCCCGACAAGCTTCCTACCGTCACTTTTGGGGTTGGCGATACTCAGGTTGCTGTCCATAAGTCAGCCCTCGCCTTTGCCGATGCTGGTAATGGATACGTCTATGGTGGTATTCAGTCTCGTGGTTCCAACCCTTTCGATATCCTAGGCGACACCTGGTTGAAGGGAATCTACGCGGTATGTCCTCTTATCATCTTAATACATCTTGTTGAATTAACGTAGCTGACGTATACTAGATCTTCGACGTGGGCAACACTCGATTCGGTGCTGTTGCCAGACCTGATCCTGACGCTTCCTCTTCCTCTTGAATGATACCTACGACAAGTTAGTGACGAGTTGACGATTGATTTGATTCCTTACTGATTGGAGCATACCCTTAATGTTCCTGGAACGTCTAACACTGGCGGCGCCTCAACATTAGGGTAACTCTAGTACTTTCAAATTATCAATTTTCAGATTATTAATAATATCATTATGATGCCCCCAACAAATTCTATGGTCTATATGCAAGATAGAATCGTAATGTACACTTCGCGTAATCGTATAATACAGAAAAGGTGAAATATAGTACACAGACCCACTAATGATCTAGTCGAAATCGAAGGATTTCGGAGGCGTCGTATCTTCCGTGGCCTTCTCCGAACCAGTCCAAGACACTGGCACAGCACTCGCAACTCGAAGAGGAACGCGCATAAACATCTCCATCAACAACGCCGCCGCAACACTGACATTCAAACTATCGACACGAGCGGCATCATTGATTCCCAAATCGGGTCGGATACGGGCTCCAGGGATAGAGACGTACCCATCTGCCTGGGCTTTGATGCGAGGTAATAGACCAGTTCCTTCGTTACCGAGCATTAGAACCGTTGGTGCAGAAGTCAGGAGACTTGCACTGGGACTGCTTCCATTGGCAGCAACTGTAGCCGTATAATCAGCCAATGTGCCATGAGTTGCGGCCAGGTCAGAGACGTTTTGGGGAGAATCTGCGGCGTAAAAGCGCCAACCGTTCTCCCGCGAGCGGCGGATGAAATCAATTTCACTTTTAGCTTTGAATATTGTCATGTTCTCAGCGGCGCCTGCACTGGCTTTGATTGTGACCGGCGTCAGGGGTGCGGAGTTGCGGCCTGTCAGAACGAGTGCGTCTACACCCAGGTAATAAGCAGACCGAATGACAGCGCCCATATTTCCGGGATCAAGGATGCCATCTAGAAGGATGACTAGAGGGAACCGAGACTTCTCGACCTCTTCAAATCGTTCCACACGTGCAATGCGGTTACTCGAGCCATTCACTTCAGCCTCTTCCACGGACTGCTTGTCCAGACCAACTTCAAAAAAATCATCAATGGGTGAAGGAACGGGCCTTAGACTGGTAACCGGGATTTGTGGCATGGGCGACGCTTCAAGAATGACTCCATTGTGTGGACGGCCTGCACTCATTTTATCCAGTAGCTTGTCCCATCCCGCAAACGCCATCTTGACTTGTATTCCGCGGGCAAGCGCTAATTTGCGTAGGGCAATCTTCTCGGGGCTAAGTTCCTCCCCAACGGCTTGGTATATGTATAGCATGTAGAGTTTGCGGCGAGTACATCGTATAGCCGCGTCCACTGCAGATAAGCCGTATATAAACTCGGATGCGGGTGTCGTATAGGGTATTGTCGCCGGTACGGGTACGTTGGTCTTTATTCGTTCTGGAACGGCATCGGTCGGCTCGTGATCCTTGCCTCGCCTTCTTTTGATATTACCAGAGCCTTTTCCAAGCTTTTTATGGGAGTTCACATAGCCTTCACCACTGGATTTCGAGACTCTCCCTCTGTTCAACCAGTTCAAAGTGTAATCGCGCTTCTCATCTTTGTTACTGCGTCGTTTGGCAGGAGTATCACGGTCGTAAGATGGACGATTATTCCTGGGGTCTTCTCGAAAAGATGAAGCAGTGGAGCGTCTGTCATCCTTTAAAGAACGATCGTATTTCTGTCTCGATGCGTCGATGGCGGCTGACTTTCTAGCAGCGCGTGCGATATTTGAAGTCAGCGATGCATTTCGGGTGCCTGGCAGACAATTGTTTCGTAATATGACTTCGCTTGCAAAATTGACTCTATGGCATAATCTCAAGGATCTATGTGTTAGAGTAGTAATCATTGTGCCTCTCTGTGTAGATAAGCACAGAAAAAGAACTCCGATAATAGGTCAGTATCTGGCACAAAAATTGCTTCAATATATTTTCGAAGTATGGAGCAGATGTTCAGCCAATGGGAATGCCTGTACGCCGCGTGCTGACCGGGTCAACAATCTTCCGATACGCGTTTCGCGATCCCGCGTTAATTAGCATAACTTTCTGAAAGAATCCAACATCAATAAACGCTACTGTTTCAAACTTGGTGTATCTAACTTCGCTCTATGATGCGAGATTGAAGGTGAATTCGAAGCAAATCTACGCTCTACATATTCACTTCAGACATTTCCCATATGATCGTCTGCAAAAATGCCTTCATCAGACAAGGACTTTTCGTCGGGGTCTGAGGATGCAGATGAGCTTGTTGTCGACTTGCTACAACAATTCTCCTCAGTTGAACATGCAACAATTGGATCTGTGATTCGAAATGCTCAGTCGCCGCCCCGAAAATCTGTGACGCGACCCGTTACTTCCACCTCACTTTCACCTTCGATTTCGGCGGTCCCAGCAATACCAGTGGTGCAATCTACCTCTACGCCTAAGAAGTTTCAAACTATTACCGTTGAAGTCCCTCCATTACCGTCAAATGCGGGAGATTACAAGTTCTTGCCTGGTCACTCAACGGCGTGGCGGGTCTGGGGACAAAAGCGCGCTGGTGGTAACCTACTTTATGAAGTGGAACTTGCAAGTTCAGAGAAGGAATGGGTAATTTCATAAATGTTGATGGAAATTATACACTATTTAACTCGTTATGGCACTTTAGTTAAATGAGACCTTCGTGGGAACCTTGGAAAACGGTTCGGAAGCTATCGCGAACTTCAAGCAGAATGGCCCGCCGAAAGTTAGAAGAGCTCGAAGCTCTATTACAAATGACTATGGATCAGGGAGCTACAAAGGATCTGGTTCAGAAGTCTCGAGATCTTTTGAAGAAGAAGATATGGAGGAAGATGATGAAATCGTGCTAGTCAGCTCCGCAGAGCGCCGATGCAGTCGATTGCCAGGTTCTAAACGTCGCGAAGCACGCGGTAAATATTATGATACGGACGATGAAGACTCCGATAGCCGACCAGTACGTCGATCGCGCAGGGCCTCTAAGCATAGAGTGACTCGGTCTGCACTTTATTCAAATGACGAGAAGTCAAGCGATGATGTCCTCAGTACTTCAACAACAGTATTGCTGAAGAGGAGACGTTCGGATAGACAGGCTACCCGTACCATTAGACGCATACAGGAACATCACTATGACGACAGCAATTCTAATTCCCGCAGTCGTGGTGTGCGGTCCTCAGCCAGAACCGGTCACTCTCACAGAAACAGTCTTAGAGAGAGGCTAGAGGATGACATACCTGAGGTAGAGGCATCACAGACAGAGAAGAGATTTTCAGGAGCCAAGGAAAAGTTCTATCGACTGTCAAATGATGACCCCTTCAGACAACGTCATCGTCAAGTATGTGATAGTTGCGATATCCAAGGAGATGATCGTGAGAAAGGTCCGCTGGTATTCTGCCAGGGCTGCACAAGCGCCTATCACAAGTCTTGTCTGGGTCCTCGAAGCCAACGGGAACATCTCGTGACCAAAGTCGGCTGGGATCACTTCGTACTACAGTGTCGTCGCTGTTTGGGAACCGCCCGAAAGAAGGATACAAATGCACCACATCTAGGTCATTGTACCGCGTGTAACGAAGAAAATGCAGCCTCGCGGCCATTTAGACAGCGACTCAATTCCAAACAAGAACAGCAACAGCGCGAGAAGAACAGTGGGGAGGATCCTATTACACCAGTGAACGATGACTTGATCAACAATGTCGATAATGTCATGTTTCGGTGCGTCAATTGTCAGAGAGCGTTCCATCTGAAAGAACTACCACCAATATGCGGCCCAAACCTAGAGGACACGGATACCTCAGAATCAGATGCCGATCTTGCGACTGTGCGACTTACTGAATACTCCAGGAGATGGCAGTGTCATACCTGCATTTCAGCCCCCGGGGAGATTGAAGCTCTTGTTGGATGGCGACCGGTCGATGCTGATGCATACATTCCTGGATATACCGCTAATGATATGAATGAGGTCGAAAAGGAATACTTGGTAAAGTGGAAGAAGAAGTCCTATTATCGCACCACGTGGATGGAGGGCTCCTGGATCTGGGGAGCTGGTTCCCACCTCATGCGCAAGGTGTTTTTCAGGTCGCCCAAAGGCCTGAAACCTCAAATGACTGCCGAGGATGCCATCCCAGAAGATTACCTGAGAGTTGATCTAGTGTTCGACGTCAAATACACGAACACCGTCAGCGCACACTCAAAAGAAATCGATATTGCAAGGGTAAAGGATGTCAAGGAAGCCTATGTCAAGTACAAGGGTCTGCTTTATGAGGATGCCGTATGGGAGACCGTGCCTTCGCCAACAGAAACAGAACGCTGGAATGACTTCAAAGCTGCATATGAGGACTGGGTCTTAAAGGATTATGTCAAGGTTCCCAAGGCTTCTTCTTTAAAACAACATCTTGAAACAGTTCGAGAGCAGGACTTCCGAACGCTGGTGAAAAAGGCTCAGCCTGCTTGTTTGACTGGAGGCAAACTCATGGATTACCAGCTGGATGGTCTCAATTGGCTATACTATAAATGGTACCAAAAGCAAAACGCCATCCTTGCGGATGAAATGGGACTCGGCAAAACAATTCAAATCATCTCTTTTCTCTCGACATTGATTGAATATCATCGCTGCTGGCCTTTCTTGATTGTTGTGCCAAATTCGACTTGTCCAAATTGGCGTCGTGAGGTGAAGAGGTGGGCACCGTCACTCTGCGTCGTTACATACTACGGCAGTGTTGTAGCACGGAAACTTGCGCATGACTTGGAAATGTTCCCAAAGAATGCACGAGATCTCAGAGCCCATATACTTGTGACGTCCTATGAAACCATGGTCGACGACAAAGCTCGAAGAGTCTTGGCAAGTATTCCTTGGGCTGGTCTTGTTGTGGATGAAGGTCAGCGATTGAAGAATGACAAAAACCTTCTGTATTCGTCTCTGTCCAGTATCAACTTTCCGTTCAAGGTACTGTTAACTGGCACGCCACTGCAGAACAACATTCGGGAGCTGTTTAATCTCATTCAGTTTTGCGATCCGACCCAAAATGCTGAAGACTTGGAGGCGGAATATGAGACTTTGACAAAGGAGAATGTGCCAGAACTACATGCAATTATTCGGCCCTTTTTCTTACGCCGTACAAAGGCGCAGGTTCTCACTTTTCTTCCACCAATGGCACAAATCATCATCCCGGTTTCAATGTCCGTTGTGCAGAAGAAGCTTTACAAATCGATCTTGGCAAAGAACAGCAAATTGATCAAGTCAATCTTCCAAAACAACCAAGATGCACAGACAAAACAGAATGAACGGCACAGCTTGAGCAATATTTTGATGCAACTGCGCAAATGCCTCTGTCATCCCTTTGTATACAGCAGACAGATTGAAGAACGTACATCAAATCCCACCTTGTCGCATAGAAATCTTGTGGAAGCTTCAGGAAAACTTCGACTGCTTGAGCTGTTGCTACCAAGACTCAAGGAACGTGGTCACCGAGTTCTTCTCTTCAGTCAGTTTCTCGACAACTTAGATATTGTTGAGGACTTCCTAGACGGTCTCGGTCTATTTTATTGCCGCCTCGACGGATCCATGGGCGCTCATGAGAAACAGAAGAAGATCGATGCGTTCAACGCGCCCGATTCCACATACTTTGCTTTTCTCTTATCAACAAGGTCTGGTGGTGTGGGCATTAATCTTGCAACAGCAGATACTGTCATCATTATGGATCCTGATTTCAACCCACATCAAGATATTCAAGCCCTATCTCGCGCACATCGTATTGGACAGCAGAAGAAAGTTCTTGTCTTCCAGCTCATGACTCGCGAAAGTGCCGAAGAGAAGATCATGCAGATAGGCAAGAAGAAGATGGCACTCGACCACGTTCTTATCGAAAAAATGGATGCGGCCGAAGACGAAGGGCTGGACTTGGAATCAATTCTACGACATGGCGCGGAGGCTCTTTTTGAGGACGATACCAGTGGGGATGTTCATTATGACGCGGAGTCTGTTGAGAAACTGCTTGATCGTAGCCAGGCTGAGAATACTCAAGTTGGGAATGATGCATCCGCTGAATCTCAATTTAGTTTCGCGCGAGTATGGGCGAATGACAACGCTGCACTTGAAGACCGATTAGGGGATTCCGATAGAGCTACGCCAGTGAACAACACTTTGTGGGAAAAGATTCTTGCTGAGCGACAAAAGGCAGCGGACGAGGAAGCTTTGGCAAACGCACAAGCACTTGGAAGAGGGAAACGAAAGAGAACTGTGGTGAACTACTCCGCCAAAGAGAAACAGGATGAACAACTTTCTCCTGGAGGTACTAAACGAGCCATGGTCCAGGCTGAAAGCGACGATGAATTTCGCGCCAAGGAAGCGTCATCCGAGAGCGATGACGAGGGAGCGTTACTCGAATTTGAGCAAGTCAAAAAGGCCAAAGGTAAGACCTTCACAGTACTATAATGATATTGAATTGTGCTAACTTTACTCATCTATAGCTCGTCCATTCAAACGCGTCGACCCCAACAAGCCCACGCCGGACCCCACAAATGGAAATGCAGGCCAGCCTAATAGACCTGTTGATCGGTTGCTTCCATGTCTTGCCTGCAATCAGATACATCCCGTCGGCTATTGTCCATTGAAGCTCGCTGGTGTGGAACACTGTGCGCTTTGCGGAATTGCTCATCTTGGCTATCAGCGGGTATGCCCTCATCTCAATTCGGAAGAGCAAATTTTGTCAATGCTCCAGTCTTTAAGGCAGAGCACCGAGCCAAAGTGGCTTGTGGATTCCGCCAGGCACTATCTCTGCACCGTCAAAAGGGAGAAAGCAAAAGCCGACCGAAATAGATTTACATCGGGTGATTTTTCCATGCCTCCTCAACCCAACACTAGTCATTCCATCGCACCGGATGGCAGAGTTTTTGGCCTTTTTCCCCCTGTTTACGGTCAACTTCCCTACCCAGCGTACCCTCCCCCTTCAGCCAGCAATCCGTATTCGAGTCCCTACCCTAGCGTCGCCCCTACCCCCTCGTCCAGCTTTAACATACCTCCAAATGCGCCTTATCCACCAGCCCCTCCACCGCAGTCTCTGCCACCGTCTAATGGCTTCAAAATGCCCCGGCCTTTACCTCCGCCATGAGAATTTCTGGGACCCATTCGTGTTTTGTGATCATGTGCTTCAATGCAATCGATTAGGTTTCTTGCGTTTTCTTGCGTATCTTATGCGAAAAGCATGTTTGATTTTTTTATGATTGAAGGGCGGTCGATTGGTCTTTTATGGTATTTCTGATGGAACGTACTATTAAGCGAAATAATTCCTTATGATGTTAGAGGTCAAAATTCAATATGCCAATGCAGTATAGTAATAGAATACCCAGGCTACCTTGCTACATGGATAACCCCTCCATACTTCTTGTTCTCTTGAATAAAGCGAGAGATCACCTAGGTGCCTATTAACTCCCGGATAGATTTCAGGTATATGCAGTTGCTACGTATGCTTTTGCTTGTATTATAATTAAATTGCTTCATTGCTGCTTTAATGAATCTAGCTTATTCTCTATGAAATGTGCTTATAATAGAATGTCAAAAAGGAATCGGCCTGTGAGAACTTTAAGTTCAACCGTGAAAGCTAAAGTGATCTCCCCCTGTGGAGCTTCCCGCTCGTGCATGCAGGCTGCAGAACAATAAACCCATGGGAATTCTAGGGCTTGGCATCTACTTTAATTTAATCGCATCATTCTCTGATTTCTTACAAAATGGATGGTTGGGCTCAGATTTTCTTTCAATATTCTTGTGAAAGAGAGGATCAGCTAGAATCTGATGTTTTGTGCTGGAAAAATCTTCTTTGACTCGTTAAGACTCATATTCTCGCTATGTAGATGCATAATTCTATATATGCAGAGCCTCCATTGTATAAACAAGGCAATGATGCCTAATGTTTGACGTTCAAGGAGAGATAAAGTGTCTGTGTTATCAGTACTAAACTCTTTGATATCACCACATGGGAAGCATGTGTTTTTCTGTGCTCTTCAAGGACCCTGATCATCCATCTTGAACTGTAATTTGCCATTCGCCAATAAGCATTCGTCAGCTATCTCAACTGAGACATCGAATCTTTTCGTTTGTAGGTAGAGGAAGATACACTGGACTGTGTCGACGTCGGTGATTGGTCGGGGGGCCTATATCTGAGCCATGTCGAGTCTCGATCTCAAAAAGCCCTGAACCAGGCGTAACTCTGTCAAACGCCCATCTTCTTCAACCCAGCCTCCTATCAGCTCACTGACCAATTGACTGTCATTACCTATGGTTATATGAGGGCTTTATGTTATTCTTTTTTGATAGAATACAATAGATAAGCTTGGCGAATGCCTATCAAAATCAGTATGGCACGTGTCAGATACCAATAAACAGGACAAAGAAAAACAGACAGTGGAGGAGCAGCCCTATGCTAGGAGTGTTTCATAATAATCAAATATCTTGTAAAAACTTGCTCAATTTGTACTGGAGGCTGGGGAGTGACCGTTTGCTGAGGATCATGATAGAAACTTTTCGGTCGCCGCCTTTCTTATCCCGTCTCGACCCTTTCACGACCTCTTCCTCATCCTTCCCCTCCTCTCCGCTCCCAGCCTCCTTTGCTTCTTCTGTTTTTTAGGAGCAATCCATATTTATCCAGATTTGTCTGTATAGTCCGACTATTTAAGCTCGACTTTCCTCCTTTCCTTTCATACTCTCTATCCTATCCATCTCTTCTCACGATTATCCAATTTCTACTCATTATACCATCACGGTATCTGACTCAAAGATCTCTTCATTATTATCACTTGGGACAGATTCGTAGTCTTCTCTTCCACAAATCTACAGGTGCCCAAAGTCAAGCTGCACACCATATAGTTTCTGTCAGACTCTGGTCCAATTTTCCTCTGTCTCAAGAACAAATCTTGTATCGCCTTGTCTCATCTGTTTATCTCTTCCACATCACATTTCTCTTTATTCAATCTCAATTTCTGGATAGAATCGACATCATGTCTGAAATTCGTCCTCAGTTCTTCCTCGTTCGCGAGAATGACACCATCGTCCCTCTCATTGCTCTCGACGAGCTTCCAGTTGAGATCACCATCAATGGCATCCCTCGTCAGTTGGGTATGGCTGACACCGGCGGTATGACGAGCGTTGGAAAGGTCCCAAGCCGTGGTGTCGTCTACGTCGTCACTGGCGTCTCTAAGGACTCCGGTTCGCCTGAGGGCAAGAATGACCGCTTTGGCAAGGGCAGAGGCCGCTACGGTGACAAGAAGGTCAGTGTGATTCTGTGTTCCCAACTCAAGCATTGCTCAAGAGAAATGCCACTGACTGATTTGTTTCCTTAGCATGGTGGTCAAACTAGCCAAGGCCAAAAGGAGTACTGTTCCTATTGGATCCGTCATGGCGAGTGCATGTTTCAGCAGCAGGGTATGTCCCTGACTTGATGACTCTAAATTCAAGTTTGTTGTTACTTAGTGATGTGTGTTATCAGGCTGTATCTACAAGCATGTCATGCCCATGGACCCGGAAACCATGAAGAAGGTTGGCTTGAACGACATTCCACCATGGTACCAAAAGAAATTTGGAGTGCCCAGTCTTCGCTCTTCTGGAGTCAATCAGAACAACTGGCGTAAGCCTCGCGGTACCCAGAAAGCCATTGAGCCCGTCGATCAGACTGCCAGGAGCAATGGCAATGTCACCACCCCTGATGGCAAGAAGAGTGACATTAATGTTGCTGCAATTACGCCTGAGAGTTCTAATGATGAAGAAACTGTCACCGCTGCACGTGTTGCGGATGCCTCCCACGAAATCGCTGATCTCACCGACAAGATGAAGAACACCGTCATCACCGCGAAAAACGGCGCGAACCCCGTTACTCCCCCCAACGCCAATCATTACATCGACTTTGAGCGTGTTGGTACCGCATCATTTGGCTATAAGTATGATGCATCACCCCAGACTCCGACGGAGCGGCTCCCCATGCGTTCTCGACGTCTATTTGAATCGAAGGGTCCTAACAACGACTATAGTACGTCTCAAGAATCAACCCCCTCCATGACGCTTACTGAAAACTCATTCTATTCCTTCAGCTCCCTGGGAGGAACCCCTCGGTCGACTTCGGAACAAACAGTGAAGATGGTATCTCAGGACAACAAGTTCCCCGTCACTTACGTTGGGGACTTCAACGCTGCTGATGATACCTGGAACAGCTTCAACGACGAGCTTGACAAGATTGATGCTAATGAACCTGGTTATCGGAGCATCAGCGAATTGCTTCCTACTTCCTTTCCTGAGGACCGCTATGGAAACTTGATCTTGATCTGAAGACATGCATGTCGAACGTCCTCATTGAAGATTGGTAAACCCCTTTTCTCTCTTCTTCAATGAGGTCTCTTCTCTCGACAACTTACTGTTGACACGAATGATGGATAACGTGACCATGGCCATGACAGTAGTGACGATTTCGGATTTTCTTTTTCTTTTCTTGACTAAGGACGTGGTTTCATTCTCTTTCTTTTCCTTTACCAAAAACCACAAAAAACACCAAAAAAATATATTTGTCATTTCTTTATCTTCTCTTCATCATCTCGCCTTTTGGATCGCAAAAAGAACCACCAAAAGGATTTAACGAATATTCTTATTTTAATATTCTTTCTTTTAACTTTTTTTTTTCTATCGTCATGTTGAATCATCCTAAATTTTCGATATGCTCAAAGTTGGTGGAATGTTGGTCCGCTTGCGGTGTCAAAAAGACTGATGGGGTTGATGATAGAACGTGGGAGATAGTGGTCGATACTTGAGAAGTCGTCAAAATATGAGTATCATTTCCTTATCATCTTTCCTCGTCTTCGTAATGTCTTGGTGTGGAGTATGGAAGTTGATTTATATTATGCCAGTTCGTACTTTTGTCGGCATACACTGAGCCATCAGCCGATGTTCAGAGCTAGATAATCGAGCTGGGACGGTGAAATGTAATATTCTAAACATTTTGAAATTGCGGATTGGTATGGTACATGAAATGAATATACATAGCTCGCAGCGACGACGACAAAAACTCTATCTTCTCGGCCTTGCACCAACTTTTCCTCTTGCCACTGTCTCCTTGACAGCACCCTTCTCATCTGCAGCACGTAGCTGAGGATGTTGGCTCAGAGCTGGTAAAGTACGGATTGCATGGAGAACGGATTCCTTGCCATCCACGACAGTATTACGTTCCTGTTCGCTTTGGAGACGAAGTTCACGATCCGTAAGGAGTTGATGCTTCCGGTTATCGGTCATTTTCCATGATTCGGGGAACGTGTATCGAACTTTTGGTTTGTGATGTCGGAGGTCAAGGGGTACATCTGCGAAGGAGTCGCCCTCTTTGGCTTCTTTGATAAGATTCTTGATGGTATCGCCGAGATAGCGTTTGTTTTGGGCTCGGGCCGAAAATTTCTCGCAAGACATGCGTACAATGTCTGTGTCGGGGTTGTAGCGTGGACCGACAAGTTTGAGGAATGTCTGACGCTGTGCCTCCGTCAAATGTTTCGGTACAAGATCCTTGGAACTAAGTTCCACAACAACCTTGTGTTCGGCAGGGTGTTGTTCACCCATGTAGGATGTGTATCGGAAGCGGAGGATTTGGTTTTCCTTGGGCAATTCAAATGGCTTGGTAAGGTCTGAAAAAGTAGTCACGATCAGTAACTGAACACCACTGAGGTACTTCGGGATAACATACTACTCAATAATGGCATATCCCATGCCGCGATACGAGCATATTCTCGGATCTCGCGATGCAATTCCAACTCCGCGTGGGCCATGGAGGTGATCTCATCATCATTGTAGGTATCATCTCCATCCTCCGCATTGGAGAACTCATCTTCTTCCTCCTCCGCCCAGAAACCACGGTTTCTCTCTCTCACATCCTCAAATCGCATTCTTGATTCTCTATCAATTAGTGCCGCTGATTGTTCAACCAGGTCAATTTGCTCTTGTCGTACAGCCGGGTCGTTCCACACCTCGACGAAGCGTTTGTTTTCGGCATCAAATACGGCTCGCTCTTCAGAGGACATCAATTCGTACATGGACTTCTCGGCATCGGTAAAATTCTCGACTGAGTATTCAGGAAGGTCACCAATATCCTTGAGGTCGATATCCCGCGGTTCGTCGGCATCTTTTGGGACGTAGGTAAAGGGCGACGAGGAGAAACGCCGGGTTTGTTGGAGACGGATTGGCGTGGTGCGCGTGTGGAAAACCTGCGGGATGCTCACATACTGTCTTTGTGATAACATCAAAGCCGCACGGCTCAGCGCTTTCGCTGTCCCGGACATGATTGATGTGCGCAGAGTCGAAAAAGTTGTAACTTGGATGATGTTTCGAGCAATTATTTCTGGCCCATCGGGGAAGATTATGCGCTAATAAAAGAACTAACCGTAAATAGTTAGTATTTGCTTACTTTTCAGGTTTAGCGTGTCATTCGAGGAATAATGTAAGCAAGACCGCTTTGACTAACTTAACTACATCACTTCCTCCAATGTTCAACCATTTTATATAGTTGACTGCATACTTATCTCAGTATTGCATGCATTTATCTTGAAGATGTCTTGATTAATAAATTTGTTGAAATTGCGAATATGACTCATCCATCACGCAAAGTGTGTTTTGTGACTATTGGAGCTACGGCACCTTTCGATACTCTACTCTCAAATGTCTTAGCCCAACCTTTTCTTGAGGCGCTCAAGAAGCATGGATATACCGCGCTTTTGATTCAGTACGGCAAAGAGGGCCAGGAGATTTTTGATACATTTATCAAGAATAACCCTCCCGGAAGCCCTGGGCGATATGATTTGGATATTCAGGGATTTGGTTTCAAGAAGGACGGACTTGTCCAGGAAATGCGCTCCACCAAGGCAAATGAATCTCAGCATATTGCTGAGGGAATAATACTCAGCCATGCGGGTAAAACTGTCTCGTCTCCTTTGTCAAAGCGTCTGTTGACCTTTTATCAGGGTCCGGCTCTATCATGGAAGCTCTACGTATCGGTGTCCCTCTGGTGGTAGTGCCCAATCCAGCACTCCAAGACAACCACCAAGAAGACCTCACCCGACAGATTGCGAAGAACGGCTGGGCTGTTGCCGGTAACCTAAAGTAAGTGACTTTCCGAAATTGGAACACCGATCCCTAACAAAGTGTAGCCGACTGGCAGAATCTGTGCCGAAAGCAGAAAAACTTCGCAGTACTTTACGGAGCTGGCCATCAAAGGATAGAGGGGAACTCAAAGATAGCAGGGGCTTGGCCGGAGTTGTGGAGGAAGAGATGGGATTCCTAGATTGAGTGCGATACGGTGTGAACGAGGAGAAATTGCCTCAACTTGCTCGCTCTACTCGAACCGAAAATCCGACCTCGGGCACGCACGATCCAGCAACGTGTTAGGATGTGTATTTATTTACCGTCTTAGATGATGAGTGATAAGCACTATATGCGTAGGGGCGGTTGCTCGTTGCCTGAGAAAGGTGTATCCTATTAGTCTCATTGGCTGTATCTTAACGATCAGAGTATAGTTTTATTATATAAATGCATCGAGTAATTTCCAACGGAAGTAGCAAATACAATGTTATTGTTATATGTCGGGCCAATACAAGGTATATCGTCGAGTAAAGCACGTTGATAAATGTTGATGTGTTCTTTGTGTTGGCCCAAGCTCCTTTTTCGATGTTGAGGCGCGGACAGGGGAAGAACCGCTCCTCCGTAGAAACAATAAATCACTTCAACTTTCTCGTCAGGACCACCACGGAGCCGTCACGGTCTTTCATTTCTCTTCGCGTTTTTTGCATTTCTTCTCTTTCAATTTTTGATATACTCTGTGGTTCAATTGTGCTACTTGGTCTCTGCATGATCAGTGACGACTTCGCGAATTGACACGTCCCGCCTGCGCATCACATCTTTGTTTATCGAAACAAAATCGACACGACCAACACAACCAGAATGACGGACGCGAGCCTACACAACGTTCCTATTGTCATAGATAATGGCAGCGGCACGATACGAGCCGGATTCGCTGGCGAAGAAATCCCATCATGTTATTTTCCGTCATTCGTCGGCCGACCCAAACACCCGCGAGTTATGGCAGGTGGTCTAGAGGGTGATGTTTTCATTGGGCAAAAGGCACAGGACTTGAGAGGGCTTCTCAAGATTCGGTACCCCTTAGAACACGGCATTGTTACGGACTGGGATGACATGGAGAAAATATGGCACCACGTGTATGAGAGCGAACTGAAGACACTGCCCGAAGAGCATCCGGTGCTCTTGACTGAGCCGCCGTTGAATCCCAGGAAAAACAGAGATATTGCGGCCCAGATAATGTTTGAAACGTTTAATATTCCAGCTCTTTACACCTCGATTCAAGCGGTACTTTCGCTCTATGCTTCTGGTCGAACGACCGGTGTGGTGTTGGACTCGGGCGATGGCGTGTCACATGCGGTACCCGTGTATGAAGGATTTGCGGTACCAAACAGTATTCGAAGAATAGATGTTGCTGGACGAGATGTGACGGAACAAATGCAATTGTTGTTGCGAAAGAATGGCTATGTTCTGCATACGAGCGCTGAGAAGGAGGTGGTGCGCATGATCAAAGAAAAGGTTTGCTATGTGTCATTGGATCCGAAGAAGGAAGAGAAGGAATGGATCAATAGCTATCACAAGTCTGAGTCCAAAACTGTTGAATACGTTCTTCCGGACGGACACAAGATGAAGGTAAGATTGTGAACGTGCTCGAGATGCTGGATGTTGTTACTTACTTATTCTTTAGATTGGCCAAGAACGTTATCGTGCTCCTGAGATTTTGTTCGACCCCGAGATTATCGGCATGGAGTATCCGGGAGTTCACCAAATTGTGCAGGATGCAATTACTCGCACCGATCTCGACCTCCGAAAAGCTCTCTATCTCAACATCGTTCTGTCAGGAGGCACGACGTTATGCAAGAATTTCCCCGATCGGTTAATGCGAGAGATCAAGAGACTGGCCGTTGAAGATATGAAGATTCGTATTTCTGCGCCTGCGGAGCGTAAATACACTACATGGATTGGAGGAGGTATTTTGGCAGGCTTGAGTACATTTAGAAAGGTAATCACATTCTGTCTACAAGGCTTTGCATGCGACTAACTGATGGTGCTTAGATGTGGGTAAGCGCCGATGAATGGCACGAAGACCCGGAGATCATACACCGCAAGTTCGCATAGTCAATTGAGCGATGAGATTGATCAGAGACTCTGAACCATCGTTCAACGAGGTAGACGGTGATAGCGGAATATATTCACAAATTTTTATTGAGGAGGGGCGCTGCTAGGGCTCCTTGTGATACCCCATTGTTCTTTTTTTTTTCTTGCATTTGGTGTGTAAGGTTCGATATTTTATACGGGAGATACTAAATTTTAGCTTCCTGTTGTATAAACATCATTATTATCTTTGGAGCACGTACAACCGACTCATAATTCCCTAGATCGGATCGGTCCCGATGTGGCTTAGTTCTATCTATATTTACTGAATGATCAAAAGGCGTGTGGATGCCCAACAGACGATACTACCTAGTCAAAAGGCGCGATAAAATCCCTCAAACCAACAGAACGAAATCTAGGGTATATTTAGCCTGGCCTTGTGGTGATCATGTCCGTTCAACCCCGAGATCTCTACATTCACAGACCAAAACATTAAGACATTCTTACCATTCTCAAGTCACAGCACAATGGTTACTGCAAAAAGCAACCTCCAATTCCGTACCGCAACTCCAGAAGATGCACCCGCAATCGAACAACTAGTGCAATCCGCTTTCCGCGCCGCTGACATTCGGCAAGACTGGACTGCCGACATGGAGCTCAACATCCGTTTCCGGATCGAAGTTGACGAGGTCATGCCCCGGATCACGAATCCAGATAGCGCGATTGTGATGGCTTTCGCCAGGGGCGACGGTGGCAAGGAACTTCTCGTGGCATCACTTGAAGTCACCAAGCGCAGCGATGAGCTCGCTCGTCTTTCCATGTTGGCTGTAGACCAGCATCATCAACGCGGTGGAATTGGACGTGAGATCCTGTCCTATGCTGAAGCATATTGTCAAAAGACATGGGGAGTGACGAAGTTTGGATTGGATGCGCTTTCGACACGCGAGGCTTTGATTGCTTGGTACATCCGTCGTGGGTATCAGAAGACCGGGGATACGGCGCCGTTCCCTGTTGACAGGTTTAGTGATTTGGCATTGCCAGCGGATTTGTGTTTTGTGCAGCTTGAGAAGGATCTGGGAGAGGCATCAGTAGAACCTGGCTATAACGAACCGGAGGCCTTTCAGTGCCCAAGTCAATATATCTAGAAGTAAGTTCGATCTGGGGGTGAAGAGTACTCCAATATCATTGATTCATTCGACTATTAACAGATTGAATGCTCTTCAGTTCCATATCAAAGTCATCCAAGCTGATATTAGTGGAAATACGGAGCACGCTTTCTGTCGTTATAGCCAGGTTCTACTGTAGCAGTGTGGTAGGAGATAGGAATGTTTTCTTTTGTATCTCCGGGTAGACGGGGAAAGCTTCCAGGTGGGTCACTCTTACCTAGGAATTATCTCCGCACTCCGAGGTAAGGATGTGCCTATATATATCCAATAGATATCTCACCAATATTACATCTACGTAAACAGCTCTTTTTTTCCAACTGATATTTACTGTAAGCACTCAACATGACTTCGTTCGACCTACGGATTGCCATTGTTGGATCCGGGACAATCGGCCTCTCCTTTGCGGCTCTACATCTTTCCCATCCTACCAAGAGAATCCAAGTCGTCATCCACGATCCCCGGCCTGATATAGAAGACTACGTCAAGACAACGTTACCAGGTGTGTAGCTCTACAGAGGTATAGGATGGAGTATCGTCACTAATCCGACTCAGAATATGTGGGCGCCGACGTATCCTTGCCACAACTGCTAGAGTCAAAGCAACTCATCATATCCTCAACGCTCTCAACGGCATTAGAATCCGTCGACATAGTCCAAGAGCAAGGACCGGAAAATGTATCTTTCAAACAGAAGCTATGGCCCCAAATCGAAAAGGCAGCTCCATCAACAGCTTTGTTCTGGTCGAGCACTTCTGGCATCCCATCGTCTGTCCAGGGTGTCAATATGCAGGAACCAGCTCGCCTGCTAGTTGTCCATCCGTTCAATCCACCGCATATCATGCCAGTACTGGAAATCGTTCCGCCTCGCAACATCTCTACTGACAAGGATGCTTCGAAAGACTATATAGATAAGACCATTGGATATTGGAAGACACTCAATAGATCGCCCGTTGTCCTGCATGAAGAGGTCACTGGCTTCGTAGCCAATCGTCTATCATTCGCCTTGTTCCGAGAGGCAATTCACCTTGTGAACTCTGGAGTTGTCACGGCAGCTGAGGTGGATCGTATCGTTGAAGAGAGCATGGGACCACGCTGGGCGGTCAGGGGACCCTTTTGGAGTTACCATGCAGGCGGAGGTAAAGAGCAAGGAATCAGGGGTCTCCTGAAAAAAGTAGGGGGTACAGTACAGGCTTGTTGGGATGATGCTGGGACGCCATCGTTGCGGCCAGAGGGTGAGGGTTCTGTGGCTGCGTGGGAAGATGCGCTGTGTCAGCAGGTAGAGCAATCTTATGGGGTGTTGGACGACGAGGATCTCAGGGATAGAGATGAAAAGACGAGGAAGGTCCTTGCCATCACTCGAGCTTAGCTAGGCAGAATGATATGACAATGTCTTTGTCACATGACACTCTCGGTTGCCTTCCCCTTTTGTTTGTTTGTTTGCTTCCTCCTCTCTTGTCTCTTCTTCAACATCAGCAGACCTCACAACTCATCCCATTGAGGAACAAGTGCTTGCTGTATCTCATGCAAGGTAAGTTGGCTCACATATTTCTTTTCTTTCATTTTATTCTCAATTTGAGTATATCATTTGTCTTTGTGGGAGTCGTCTTCTAAGTGAGCGTCAAAACAAACGGGGATGCCCGTCATACGAAGAGCCACCGCTCCTTTCTCCTCCATCTTGTTGCTCTCCTCTTCTCTCTCTCTCTCTCTCTCTCACTCACACACACACACACATCCTCTCTTTCTCTTATCACACAGCATACGTCCCGTGTCATTTCCATCCTTTTCATCACTCAACCCATCTTGTACGTCTTCGCCATCAAATATACTGATCTTGACGCGATCCAGATGGGGGACTGGGACACCGAGGCCAATGGAGGTGCCAACGATGACAACAACTGGGATGCTCCTGGTCCTTCTAAGGAGTTTGCTCCAGTGAAAGCACAGTACGACTCCGCTGGACCTCCTCGTAACGACACTTGCCGCAAGTAAATGCTCAATATCTATTATCATAACTAGCTGTCTTGCTCATACCATCCTACAGCTGTGGCCAGTCTGGTCACTTTGTTCGTGACTGCCCTGAACCTCGTCAAGGGGGCGGCGGTGGCTGCTTTAACTGCGGCGAAGAAGGCCATAACAAAGCTGACTGCCCTCATCCTCGTGTCTTCAAAGGCACTTGCCGTATCTGCAATGAAGAAGGTCATCCTGCGATGGAATGTCCTCAGAAGCCCGCTGAAGTTTGCAAGAACTGCCGCAAGGAGGGCGAGTACTGCCCTCAGTGGGATCTGCATATAGTGCTGACTCTCATCAACTAGGCCATAAGATTGCTGAGTGCAAGGAAAACCGTCAGTTTGACTTGAATTGCGTTGCAGACGAAACCCCTGAACAGGCTTGGGCCATGATCAAGAAAGCGGATGCCGAGCGCGACCTTGATGACTTTCGTGAAGTAAGTCACTGATCGAGAATGTTACTTGAATCTGTCTAACAAATAATTTAGGCGCTCAAAGTGTACATGAAAGCGGACCCAACCAAGACCTTCGTCGACATCGAGAAGCAGCTACGTGCAGAGGGAGCTAAAATCTACCTGATCGCTCTTGTAAGTACACCAGCAACTACAAATCATGCAACCAGCTGACACTGTGTAGGAAAAGCAAAAGGAAGGATCCGAAGCGTACACTTTGATTGACCTCCAGGGAAAACTGGACTGCACCTACGTCGTAAAGCTCTTCTTCAGTCCTGACCCCCGTCGCGGAACCTTGAAAGAGCGTTGGCCTACAACTCCTGAAGAGAACCTTGAGCGTCTTGCTGATGCTGGCTTTGAGTATGATCGAATGATCCCCAAATGTTCGAATTGTGGAGGTAAGTAGATATCCTGGCAATGTATTAAATGGCGTTGACATGGCACTGACACGAACTATAGAGATGGGTCACATATCCAGGGCCTGCAAACAGGAGCGTGTAGAGTTCGAACGTGTCGAGATCAAATGTGTCAATTGCTCTGAGGTTGGACATCGTGCTCGTGACTGCACTCAGCCACGCAAGAGCAAGTTCGGCTGCCGCAACTGCGGTGCTAGCGATCACAAGGCTGCGGAGTGCACTGAGCCTCCTAATATGGACAACGTCGAGTGCCGCCGTTGCAACGATACTGGCCATTTCGCGAAAGACTGCCCATCTGCGTCCAAAGTTGCTAAGGCTTGTCGTAAGTGTGGTGCTGAGGATCATCTCTCGCGTGATTGCGACCAGCCTCAGAACATGGATCTGATCACGTGTAACAACTGTGATGAGACTGGCCATTACGGTCGTGATTGCCCCAAGCCTCGAGACTGGTCCCGCGTGAAGTGCACTAACTGCGGAGAAATGGGGCACACCCACCGCCGTTGCTCCAAGCCAGCGGCGGAGGATGGTGGCGATGGCGGTTGGAACGCTGGAGGAGTATCTGCAGCCGAATTTACCTGGTAGGGGATTGCCGTCTGCGCAGCTGCAAGTGTACCAAAAAGTATGGAAGATTATGTGCAAGATTTCTCTTTTTTGATATCATCTCCTTTCATGTTGATAAACTTGACGTAAAGAATTGGGGAAGTTGTATCTGGCTTGAGAGACGTGCGAACATCTTGATTAGGATAGGTTACCAATCAATGGAAGTAGTTAACGGTTGATGTCACATTCTCAGATCGAATGTCGTCAGTAAGCTTATCTCTTTAAATTCGGCTTAAGCAGATTCTGCTATCCCTGCTCAACGTTGTGCGGTGGTTGCTACTCTGAAGTCATGCAAAAGACCTCTGCCATTGACATATACCTTGATCCCCGATGCACACAAATCCTTAACTAGCTAATATACGTTCTTACCAGGTATGGTTAAGCCTTGGTCGGAGTCTGGTGTCCTCGATTCACTGAATATCTGAATCACAGTGTTTTGTCGCCGACTGCTTCTGAGCTAACCATCTACCTTTTTATTTCGAGAAACCCAATCATCCACCGTTTTCTGGAAATCTGGCTTATACAACCAAGCCAGGTCGAATTCCTCCCTTGCGGCGCCGAAATTAGCACCATCAGTAGATGGCATTCTTCGCATATCAATCTGTTTGTTGAGTTCCAGGATTTTATCCACTCTCTCCTGACGACACGTCTGCTAGAAACTCAGAGCATCCTGAAAATTCTCGATTTTGTCTGCCTTGCTAAGCAACAATGCGAGAACGTAGACGTCCTCAAAAGCTTGATTGATACCCTGTCCCGCAGATGGAGGGATAGCGTGCGCAGCATCGCCGACAATGAGTACTCGTCTCGTCTCCGAAGCCCATTTGTCTAGTTTAGGAACAACGAAGAACGGCCATTTATTGACCTTGACTGGATCGATTTGTGAAACAGCATTCCGAACAAATTCCGGGAAGTGAGCGTTACCGGTCTGGAGAAATTCGACTGCTCCTTGTTTATCGGCAACAAATTCACGGTCCCAGCCTGGTTTGCCGGCAGATACACGCTGCTGTTTACCAATTAATACCTCAGAACCATCGGCCTGTTGCGGCGCTATAACGAATGCGCCCTGGGGAGACATTATTGTCACCGGGATATGATAGTCCTCGGGCAGCTTGAGTTGAGCTCTTGATACAGCTGCCGTTATACCTGCCATACCGAGGAATATAGTCTGTAAATCTGGATATAGGTATTCCCGGACTGTGGAATGAATGCCGTCTGCACCGACTAGAATACTAGCAGACTCTGTGCTGCCGTCGGCAAAGCCGAATTCCACACCATCCGTAGGACTATCCTCGATCACATTTGTGAATTTCCTTCCGAACTGGATCAGTATCCCCTTCTCTGTTATTTATATTTATCGAACGAGTCCTGAACGAGCGTGAACGAGATCATTGAGTTTAAGATTCCAAAATTGTCAAGTAAATTAATAGACATTCCCGGCTTCATATAACCCAAAAGTCTCCCGATATCGTGTACCTAACACGGTCAAAATGGCATCTAGAAAACCGACTGTGGCCATCATCGGCTCAGTACTCGCAGGTTTGAGCCTTTCGCTGGCTTTACACCAGCATCCATTCCAGTCACTATCTACGAATCTCGACCAGCACCTCTCAACATTGGCGGAGCAGTTATGCTATCACCAAACGCGCTGAAAATCCTTGATCATTTAGGTGTTTACGCAAGTATAAAAGGAAAAAGCTACAATTTTGATACGCTTCATTACCGCGATCTATCTGGCAAGTTACTGGGAACTCAAGAGTTTGGCGGGGAGGGAAAGTACCGTTATAGAGGTATTCGTATTTATCGTTACGTCCTCATTGATAGATTATTGGCAGCATGCAAACAAAATCTACATAGTTGCCAGCCACGTAGTAGCGAGTCCTACTTCGATCCGCCATGGATATTCAACCCCATCAATCAGATACTGGAAAACAAATCTACTCTCAGCCATGCGGAGCTTGACCTGCACGTATATACGAGTTGGCGATTGAAAATAGAAGCGGCTGATAATTTTATAGGCAAATCTGGCAAATGAGAATAATCAAATTTCGATGCCCAATGGGTACGGAGTAGTCAGGGGCGAAAAAAGGAGTTAAATATTTTCACTGGCCCTCTTTCAGCTTTCGATATCCGAGCACTATATGATCGTTACGTGTTCATGTTGAGCGGTACATAGCGGTCTTTTCCTGCTTGAACAGCATGGGTTTATCTCACGTTTTGAGGTTGATTCAGTTCAGAGAATTAGGGCTAGGGCTAGCAACCCGACTTTCTTACGGTATCATAGGGTTAGGGTTAATATCCACAGGCTGGATTATTTCCAACTTCCCCAAAGAGACCAAAACAATATTGACCTAGCTTATATAACCCCTGGTTTCTATGCTAAGTTTTTGGCTGTAAACGAGCCATTGAAGAAACTGTCCTTGCCTTCATCTGTTAACTCAACTTATATATGCAGGGCCGCAAAGATGGGAGAACGTATAAAGAACCGCAAAGCTAGCTGTGGAGATCTAGATCAACACACGATTATCCCAAAGATGGTCATTACGTAGAATCCATGAGAGATTTCTCTCGAACATCTTCAGACCAAATCCAAGAAAGGAGGTGTCTGAGGGTACAAGGAGGTTATTTCCGGGCACGCGAGGCATCAATTATGATGCGTGGTTGCCGATCTTGTCTGGACCCCGGATGCATGATAGCTAGGTAGCTAGTTAGATGTGCATGTAGCTATGCGCGTATTGGAATGATCGGCCATTCCTTGCTGATGCATGCATCAACATCCCCTCTAGGGACGTATGTACTATGCGCCGAGTAGACGGTGTAGCATGTACGATGGAGGAGGACCGGTGTAGTGATATAGCGATTCTCGAATAATCCAATGACGAATAGCTGGTCTCCGCAGACACGTACCTACGCTGTAGTTATTGAAGATGCCTCAGAACATCGTTCTGTCCATCTCATGTCGTGACGGTGATATGTACGAACGAAACTAACTGCCAGGCGGGGTTATCTATCCGCCAAACTGACGGAGCTTCTTTTCGGTTGAACGGTATATTTCCGGTCCTTGGAAGCAAAAGGTTCCTGGGATTAGACTTTTCCGCAAGGATTCTGCAATTATGGTATGCCGGGATCTTTATTTAGACTTTTTGCTGAACCTTGTAACATTAGAAGTTTCCCCAACTGTAAACATAGTAAGCTTTGGGGGTGAATATATGCCCTTCTCAGCGCAAAAAATTGTTTGATAGATCGATCGTACTCCAGCTGAGAGGGCAGTTGTAGAGCAAAAAGGCTCATCGAAACGAATAGTAATCAGACGCCTGTCATGGCATTGCTGTACGTACTTTTCCCCATAAATCTTTCCCCATGTTCCATCCAACGTCTCAACAGCACCCCGTATGGAAAATGCGACGGAATTGCCTAATATGGTCATTCCGGTTGAGATGTCCCCCACGGAGCTGAGGCCTGAACGATCGGTGAAAAAGAAACAGACAACTTACGTATCCGGGGGTGGCTCACACTACGTGACTAGCATGAACCGACTATCCCGCATTTAGGTGCGTACCGATGTTGGTACAGTGCCTTTCCAGTAGTGTTGGCACCCTTGGTGTAAGTTTTGCAGGCAATAAACGTGGGCGGTAAGAAGGGGGGTGTCAACACTACTGCACCCCCACTGTACGTCTTGCTACGGAAAGTATGCCTGCGTTTCTCTGTGATTAGATTGTTCGTCGATTTTGGACGACAGTCTCACTCTTAGATGTCAAGGCTCAGAGAACAATGAACTACACACGCTTGGCGACCCACCCCTTCGCCTGTGTTAGCCTACTGATTGTATTCTTCCGCATAATGCTGTCTGTGGTCGGCTGTCGGCTACCGGCAGTATACGCCGGCGTTGCAGAGAATGCAGTGCAAAGACGAAGTTTTGGTGAATCGTCTGTTCGACTGTGAAGGGTTTTGCGTCCATGCCGAACAGAGATGCTCGGGCTTGCTCGAGAAAATTCATGAAGTAGACGGCTCCATGTGCGATGCACCTGCCACACAGATAAATAGACTGTCTTCTGGCTTCGATTTTCATCGCGTGGTCGACGATCTCGATCAATGTCCGTACGTAGGAGAAAATTCTCATGACTGATCTAGTAAGTAAGCCGAACATCACACCACAGCATGAGCCAATATACTGAGCGGAATAAAGCGACAGGCACCGTAACAAAAAGTTTAACCCACTCACGAGTCGTGGCAAGATCTCAATCTGATACAACAACGCTTTCTCGAGCGAGTCACAGCCGATACAAAGTTCAGCCTTGGAGTGGAACTCCCGCATTTCCGATTTTGAGAACATTGGTTGTCTTAGGTTAAGCAGGACCTTGCCGTGTGTGAGCTAGAATGCGCGTGCGAAGTGATGTGTCGAATTGATTTATTCTCGTCAAGCGGAGGATAATGTAGAATCGGCCTGAGGCAGCCACAGCTGGCTGCTTACAGCTGATTGGTACAACATGCAACACTGCTGTACTACCTAAGCACTGTACGGAGTACATGCTTAGCAGTGTTAGGGAACGTGACCTGCCTGGAGTAAATCAGAGGATTAACCCCAGAAACATCACGTGGAGAGAGAGAACATTGGCTACGGCTTCTCCAGAACAGGCTAGCGCGTCCCTGACAGCCCTGAAGCATGACGCCATGGCTGAATGTTGGTCGCTCTTTCCGTTTTTCCCCCAGACTCCACTCCCCACCCTCCTTCCTTTTTTGCACATCGTATTTCTGCTGTATTCTTACATACAGTACACGAGCTACTCCACATCCGGATATATAAGCATCCCTATTGGCGAGATTGTATGCACTGCTGGTGCGCGCAGCCAATCATTAGCTGTGAGTGGATCAAATTCGGTTACTTCTTGCCCGAAAATAACCTGGTGTATTGTACCGATACGCGTTGATATGCATTAGTATGGCACAGCTTATGCTTCCCATGTACCACTCAGCAGGAGCTACGGTGCGCTCATTTATAACCGCGTCCTCCCCTCCTCTGGGACGATGTTGATCCTTTGCTCTTCGTCCCTTTTTCCTCCCCTCAAGCAACAAGACGGACTGGTTTCGTCACGGCATCACTCTCTTGTATACAACCCCCTTGAATGCCCATTGCTTGTCAGCCTCGAATTGATCGCGTATATCGTGTATGGGCCAGTGCGCTGTAGAAAGATAGACAGTCAATATGGGCCACGGTGGACGCTCCTACCTCGGCCTTCGAGGCACCAAGCTCAATATCGCAGTCGGCGTGATTGCCGGTCTAGATTTCTTGTACGTATTTGTCCTGTGCAGGCAAAGATAATTGCTCACATTCTGCAGACTCTTCGGTTATGATCAGTACGGACAGCTCCCTTATGTGGCAAGCCCATGAGGCAATGAACTAACCTTTGCAGAGGTGTCATGGGTGGTCTTTTGACCTTGGACTCCTTCATCTCACAATTCCCTGACCTCGATACTTCCTCTGACGCATACCGGGCAATGTCCTCTTCTCAACAGATGCATCGATCCAACATTCAAGGTACGTCTGGACCCAAGATTCTGAGCCGATTGAATTAACTGGCTGTAGGAGCTGCTGTTTCTGCTTACAACGTCGGATGTTTCGTCGGTTCGATCCTTTGTATCTTCATTGGTGACCGTCTCGGTCGCCGCAAGACGATCTTTTTGGGCTCTTCTATCATGGTTATCGGCGCCACTCTGCAGTGTACTGCCTTCAGCCTAGCTCACTTCATCGTCGGCCGTATCATAACTGGTATCGGTAACGGATTGAACACATCTACCGTCCCCACATGGCAGTCTGAATGCTCCAAGGCTCATCGTAGAGGCCAATTGGTCATGGTTGAAGGTTCTTTGATCACCGGTGGTATCTGTCTCAGTTACTGGCTGGATTTCGGGTTTTCATTCCTTGACCCCAACTCGGTCTCGTGGCGATTTCCCATTGCATTCCAGGTCGTCATTGCCTTGATCATTCTGGCTTTTGTCATGCTCTTGCCTGAATCGCCCCGATGGCTCATTTTCAAGGGCCGCGAAGACGAAGCTACCGAGGTATTGAGTGCGTTGCTAGACACCAACCGTGAAGACACGATTGTCGAGAACGAATTTGCTGCTATCAAGGATACGGTTCTAGAGGCTCAAAACACCAGTTGGCGCGATTTGTTCACCATGGACGAGAACCGCCACTTCCACCGTGTTGTCCTCGCCTACGTCAATCAGATGTTCCAACAAATCTCCGGTATCAATCTCATCACTTACTACGCTGCTACCATCTACCAGAACAGTATCGGCCTATCTGGATTCTTGTCCCGTATTCTAGCCGCATGCAACGGTACCGAATACTTCATCGCATCTTGGCTACCGATTTTCATCATTGAGAAAGCCGGTCGTCGACCTCTGATGTTAATCGGAGCTGCAGGCATGTCTCTCTCCATGGTCGTTTTGGCGATTAGCACTAGTTTTGAGGGTCAAACCAAACCGGGTATTGTGGCTGCTGTATTTCTGTTCGTTTTCAACACGTTCTTCGCCTGGGGATGGTTGGGAATGACATGGTTGTATCCGGCTGAGATCGTGCCTCTACGTATTCGTGCGCCGGCCAATGCGTTGTCGACATCTGCCAATTGGGCGTTTAACTTTATGGTTGTCATGATTACTCCAGTGGCATTCCAGACGATTAAGTATCAGACTTATATCATTTTTGCCGTCATGTAAGCAGCCCCCACCCTTCCTATCTGTTTGTCGTCCACTAACAGTTTGAAGAAACGCCTTCATCTTCCCCGTCGTCTACTTCTTCTACCCCGAAACAGCATACCGCTCCCTCGAAGAAATGGACGCAATCTTCCACAAGACCAAATCAATCTGGTCCGTCGTCAGAATTGCGCGCGAAGAACCGCGCCGATACGGGAAGAATGGAGAATTACTGATCAACTACACCCAAACGGACGAGCATTTTCATCATGTCGTCGTCGGCGGTGATGCAGATGGAGAGAAACGAACTGTCTCAAATAAGGATCATGCGAATCCGCAGTATCATATTGAGAATGGGGATGCGGTTCGTATTTCTGAGTCGAGTTGATCGGATCGCAGGACTCGTTCATGGATATGGTACATGTCATGCTATGCATGCGTGGACTCTACGAACTTGATGTTGATCTCCATTTTTTCTCTGATATACCCCTTTTCATTTCTTTTATTTCTACTGTAAATACCCAACTGAGCTCGTCATGGGACGGGAAACAGATAAAGGAGGATAGATAGATCACAACTTGTTATATTATCTCTCTGTAGAAGAATGCATGAATCTATATTCTACTGGATAACGGACGTAATCACTTCATATGTAGGCCTACATATATATTTAGATGGACAAACGTTGTCAAAATAAACTTAACTTTGCTAAATAAGGCCATCTATGCATTAGACTCATTACCACACAGAACACCTTGCCAGACAATACCAAAAACATACACAGATAAAAACACCAATAATAGAAAAAAAAAGTATGAATGAATTGTATGATGGTATGTATGACTAATTCTGTAGGTTGAGTCATCCTATTTCATCTCTACCTTTGTCTAATTCATGAACATGGTTGTGTTTGAAGAGTAAGAGACGGACGACGGCAACGGTAGGGTATCCATGGGTTGATTGATTGGTTTGATTGGGTATTTTTCCAATTTTTATTTTATTTCTCATTTTCTTTCGTAACATTTATAATCGAGATCGTTTAAACGCCACCGCAAAGCTGGATTAAGTTAGTATGGCTCATCAATAGAGAAAAATAGGGGAACATACAGTCTCAACAATGATACCAGTAACCTGGTAAGGGTCAGCGTTGGAGGCAGGTCGTCGGTCCTCAAAGTAACCCTTGCCATCCTTGGCGCACTGGCGAGGAATACGGATGGAGCCGCCACGGTCAGCGACACCGTAGGAGAACTTGTCAATGGAACCGGTCTCGTGGCGACCAGTAAGACGAGCCTCGTTGCCCTCACCGTAGACGGCAATGTGTTCAACGTGACGGGCCTCGAGTTTCTTCATGGCAGCCTCGATGGCCTTGATACCACCCTCGGCACGGGTAGCGTCGTTGGAGACGTTGGTGTGAAGGCCGGCGCCGTTCCAGTCACCGGGGATAGGCTTGGGGTGGAAGGAGATCTGAGCACCGAATTCTTCGGCGACACGGTGGAGGAGGAAACGAGACATCCAGAGGTGGTCACCCATCTGGATACCTTCGCAAGGACCAACCTGGTATTCCCACTGAGCGGGCATGACCTCAGCGTTGATACCGGAGATGTTGATACCGGCGTACAAGCAAGCCTTGTAGTGAGCCTCGACAATGTCACGGCAGTAGACCTTGCCAGTTCCGACACCGCAGTAGTAAGGGCCCTGGGGACCAGGGAAACCACCCTTGGGCCAGCCGTATGGCCATCCGTCGGAGCCGAGGAGAGTGTATTCTTGTTCAAGACCGAACCAGAAGTGCTGGTCGGCGTGTGTTTCCATCAACTTGGCGGCCTCGTGGCGGTGGTTGAACTTGTTGGGGGTGCCATCGGAGTCCCAGGTCTCACAGAGGACAAGGATGTTGTCTCCCTTGCGGAAGGGGTCAGGGAAGATAGCAACGGGGCGGATGTAGACATCGGAGTTGTCGCCGGGTGCCTGGCCAGTGGAGGAACCGTCAAAGTTCCACTCGGGGAGCTCATCGGCGGAGGTGACAGCCTTGGAAAGAGTCTACGAGAGTCAGTAACCAGTAGAAAGTAATTGATTTAGCTCGCTCGCTTCGCGTTGCTGTTGAGGGGGAAGTGGGCTGGCTTATCGGGAGGGAAGCGCGGCTTGCGATAAATCGGGAGATAAGGAAGCATCGGAGATGATTGGTGTAACACGTACCTTGGTCTTGGAGCGAACACCACCCTCAGCGTCAATCCAGACGTACTCGGCCATAACCTTGCCCTTCTGGTCGAGGGCAAGATATTTGAGAAGCTGTAGCGTGTTAGAATGAGTTGTGAGGTTATCGCGTGACCGGGTCTTATCGGCCGGGTCAAGAGCAGGAGGGGAAAAACGCACATTCTCAGTGTTGGAAACGATAGTTGAAGTAGCCTATGCCATTGACGTTAGCGATTGTTCACAATTGACTTGGAGATAGTTGCAATCACAATTCACCACATACCATGATGATAATGTCTATGTGTGACGAATGACTCGAAAATAATGATCAGAGTAAATTGACAGGAAACAGTGTCACACGGAGCAAAGCAGAAGATCAAAGCAAAGCAAAAGCGAACACTGAAATAAAATTGTTTAAGGGGGATAAGAAGAATGAAGATGGAGAGAGAGTGGAAGAGGCGAAGGAGGCTTTTTATTGTCTGCGACGACTCGATTGGGGAAGGAGGATGGAGGGGGAAAGGAAGGAAACAGCCAAGCAGAATCGGTTTTTTCTTAGTGGGGGGGGGCAAAAATACTGATTAGTGATTGTTTTGGTACTGTACGTAAAGAAACAGTACAGAGACATGAGTGAAACAGAGAAAGGCGCAGCATTTTTCTGGGTCGAGGCTGGTCCCGGTGGTGTATTACCGTTTACTTACAGACACATACCCATTATTACGTACGTATCTACCCCATCTTCCAGCCACGGAGAAGAACCGATAGTCTTGTTTAAGCGTGGAGGAGTAAAATAATATAGACAGTTAAATAGAAAAAAAAGAAAAGAAAAAGGAAAGGGTCAAAGCTTACGTATACTTGTATATTTTCATAAAGATATGACTCGATAGCAATTGGTCATGGTAGTATTACGGGCGGTAATCTACCCAGACAATCAGACGGCCGATAACGCTATCGTCTCCGGGTTTATTTCGTATCTCGGACGAGGCACTGTTCTCCCCGACAACCCTTATACCTATCCCACGAGTTCATTATATGCTAAATAGTAAATACAAACACAGTTTATTTTAAATTTACTGCCATCATGACTGGCAAATTGACTATCCTTTACCCGTATCGTACTCGAAATCCTCCGAGTAGTGTGGCGGCATTCAGCCGATATAAATTAGGGTTTGATGGGCACACCGAAACCGGCCAATCCCTCAGCACGGATATCTAACACTTTTCTGTTGAGACATAAAAACCAGCGCATGTCGCGGTTTGAAACATGTTGATTCTGAGAAATAAACATCATGCGAGAGAATTATTTGTTTCAACATCTCCGGGGAAAACCCAGAAAGAAAGAAAAAGAAAAAAGGAAAAGAAAAGAAACGACAACAAGAAAATGCCTCGTCAATGATTCAGCAAACACTGTCAGACGCCCTGGCATGAGAGAATGCGGACTAACACGATGCGGTTTTGTAGTAGGAACGACTCTATGTTCACAGCAGTCAAGAGAGCTCGGGCTATTGTACGACAGTCCGAGTCGAGTCAATCAGGAGTAGTCAAATGAGTAGTAGATTCGAGGTTACGCGCCGTCATACATGTGTACTTTTAGAGGAGGTCGAATATTGAATACGCGCTGTAAGCGTGGTGTGACTGAGTTCACCGCGAGCACAGATGTAGCTAGTTTTGCTATCGATAACAGTATCAACAATATCAAAGGCGGGGAAACAAATAGTTACCCTCAAGTCTATTTACCCAGACAACAAGGTTGAACATACGAAAATATACGAAAATATACGGAAACAGTGGCAACTCGTAATTGCAATTCAATACACGGAATTACGTACCGATCGCCCGGCACCGGTAAGGCGGATCAAAGGCTGCATCTCTTATCGGAGATACCTGATTGGCTGGACGGACTTGATGACACACCTTGTTGACTACTGAGCCGGGCCGATGTTCTTGGCTGCGTTTAAGGTTTGCTATTTTTAATTTTATCTTCAGCTTCATATTTTCATGATGGCTGTGTCCGTACGTCAAGTGGCTGTCTATCATTGATATGTCTAGTCTGTGTGTCTACCATCTCTTGACTCCTTGCTTTGATTCATGAGTAAAGTTAGATGCTCAAATCTAGATTTTAGATGTGTAGTCTGGACTCTGTAGATATCAGCAATACTGTAATACGATACATGCCACTGATGATCGCGCCAGTCCATCCCCGAAGCAAGGGTTCCAGTCCCGATTAGATAACAAGCTACCCCGGATCCTGATAAGAGATTGATCGAAGCTTCCTCGACCTGACTAGTCTGACGGCATCGACCAATGGTTGAGACCACCTCTGTCTGTGTAAGCATTAACAAGTGCGGCATCTTTGGAGCTTGGGTCGTATTGATAACAGACTAATAGTCCATCTATATGCAGGGGTGGCGGATGCTTTCATAATGCACCGCGGTATTATGACATCCCCCGTAATTGGCTCACCACATATTCCACCAGAACACTTAAATCTTCGGATACCTCCAAGACACGATTCAGTTTCCGGTGGATCTTCGCCATTGACTGCTCATCTTTGCTACCCCCCAAACCAGACACTTGAGCAATATTCACTCGCCCGTTTAGTCGAATTTCGAAGCTGACTGACGCCTTTTGTTTGGTTTCTGGTACAGTGATCGACAACATGATCAACGGTGCCTGTCCGATTTGCGTTCTTAGCGTGATGTCCACTCGAACATCGCTTAGATCGTCGCCGGCCTGAGATTCGGTATGAAGAGATATCGTACTCTCTGCCAGAAGGTTGTTTAGAAAGTCTTCGTTCGGATCTCCATTGCTGAGTATGCTGATTTGTTCAGTGGTTGATGTTGAATTTCCAGACATTGACAATGTTTCCGACGTCTTTGATGAACCTTTTGACTCATGGACCGAACCGGCCACAATCTCTTTCCGCGGGAAGACTTTCTGCATCAACGTTGCCAATAAACTATATTGCCGGAATATCTATGTCTCGTCAGCATACTACGTTACTAACACAAATTTCTCACAGCACAGGATACATACCGGGAAAATATCAGCTAGCTGTCGCGGATGAGAAAATGGAAATTCACGAATAGTCATTCCTGGGGCAGCTTCAAAAGCCTGGAAAGAATAACTGTGGTTTTTCTGCACAGGTTCATCCTTCTCGTCGAACGATAATACAGCTTTCATTCGCCGCTTCTCCGGCATTTCCAGCGACTCCGAAGCCATCGAATCGTTGCTATTCATACCGCTGCTCGTCCAACCAGGGACCAAGAGACCGTCATACGTTGTCGTTCTGTAATCGTGGGGAATCGTCAACCCAAGGTGTCGATATATGTCGTTTGCTATCAAGAGCGGAACATGTATATGGGGTTCTAATTTCGCCACAAAACGTCGATTAGCCGTCCCAGACCCTACCATGTCTGTGTCAAGCTCGCTGACAGAGGACTGTAATGTAGGTGGTGGATCCATCCAGTTCACCGCCGTGGATGCATCGTTCGTCTCGACTGTACTCAGTATTTCCGCCCCGACCCATTCTTTCGAGATTCGTAGTGAAGGAAATCCCTCTTCACATTCGATTGTGACGCTTCGTAGCTGGTCTTGTAAATATCCATCGTCGTCTTCTTCAGTATCTATTGCCATGGGGTCCGCTGATTTCTTCGTCTGCTTCGCATGCAGTATTCTGTGGCCTTCAACCCAATACTCCAGTCCCATCCCAACACGACCTCTTCTATGTAGACTGGGTCTACCGATAGATCCTCGACAAAGATGTTCGTAGACGCTATGATAACTCCCTCGCCGACTCTCAGCGTCCCAGACCTTCTGCAGACTCTCAAAAAGACTCTCAACCGCCTCGAAACAATTAATCTCTTGACTCAAATGATCGAGCTTCGCAAGTCTTTCGAGATTACTCTGAAAACCTTTCAGTGACTTCCAGGCCCTATTTTCGCGTTCCTCTGCAGTTTGTATGAGATCACCTTTGAGCACAATTGTAGCTTCTTCCCGTCTTTCACTTTCACTTTCTCCTTCGAGAGAGGCGTAACTCAAACTGACGTCCTTGACGTTATCTTCACCGGGATAAAACTCGATCTCGAGATCAACAGAGTTTCCAGCAATGCTCAAACTATCCTCTTGCCATATAGACTCGAATCCTTCCAACCTGCCCAATCTCTCCACTGCTTCTCGACTAACGCCTCGACCTGCTACCCGACCCCGTAGTAACTGTACCACTTCTTCTATACGCTTCCGCCGCTCTTCCTCATGATTACGTGCGCCACCAAGGCCTAAAGTGAGAGCGCGAATATCACTGTCGTGCATACCGGGGCCGACCAACCCATCCTGTACATTCAATGCTGGGCTCATGCCTGTGAATCCACCGAGAGCCAACAGAGCGGAGGGCGAGCTGAGGGAAACCGGGTCATCTAATCCGGCGATCGCCGTGAGAGGTGTAGCGCCTTGATGCGAGGACGTGCTGAGATGATGGCCATGAGCAGTACCTGAGGCTGAAGGAGTCTTCATAGAAGGTGATTTGTGAGATAGACCACGGCCCATGGGGACTGCTGAAGGATGAGGGGAAGAGGTCAGATGAGTAGGCGTCGCGCCAGGGTTCGGTCTCGAAGAGGGAGTCGCCATCTCCTGTCACTGTGAGTTTATGAATGGTTATTCATGGAATGGACGTTGATTAAGGATCGTGGAGGGATGGTTTGGTAGGTAACACCGGCACCTTGGAGACGCGGCCTTGGCCTAGATGACCTCTAGCAAGCTATTCTCTCTCTCCAAGCTGAAGTTGAATAACGAGTGTGTGTAGTTTGTGTCTGTCATAAAACAATCAAAGAATTCATCTTGAAATGCAGAGTAATTACCTTGATCAGTGTTTGCATTGTTTGCATCCAAGCTCCGTTCTCCACTCCGTCATATTTCAGCAGGAGCTCCTCGAATCCGACACGATTTTCTCCTCTCCGTCTTTTCACACAATTCCATCAACATGGCTACATTATTTACGCGGTCATCGCGTCCAGTCATTCATAATTTGCGTCAATTACCTCAATTGCGCTTAGTGTCTACTTTGGAAGGCCACCCTCATATAGTATGTTATTTCTCTGCCGTCCCAAGAATGGACAATGCTCATTCATCTACAGTATACCTTCCCCGACAAATCGAGACCAGGAAATCATATTCTCTCCTTGCTCTCTTCAGAACCACCAAATACAGACCTTGCCATTGGCACTACCTCAAAACTCCCTCCTACTCCGGACTCTTTCGAGCAGAATTCCAAGTTTCTCAAGATTCTGGATGAAGTTGTTTCTGAACATGCCGTGGAAGATCCCGAAGTACAATCCCAAGCTCAAGTGATGGTGTCTACAGCGGGTGCCAACTTGGGCTCGGGTGGTTTCTTCTTTGCACCTCAACATAACCAGAAAAGAAGACCAGGCTATGGGCAGGGGATAAGTACTGGAGGTGATTCTGCTGGTGGTGCAAGCGGACAAGGTGGTGTCGGTTCTGGAGGGAGAGGCGGATGGATTCATGTATCTGATAGCCGGCGACCGCCAGAGTATGGTCGAATTGCGTGGTGAGTCTGGAAAAGGCAACCAAACAGAGATTTGGAGCTAATCATCATACTTCAGGCCTGAAGATATCTTTGGTAGTGTCGAAGTTGACGGCAACGGAAAGTTTGTTGGAAGAAATGGGAACTACCAATCTAGTGGTTGGTACACCGAGTCGGCGAGTGGACGAGTAGCTGACAAGAACAGGCACTTACCGAATTGTGACTCGTGATGGGATGTGAGTAGTCATATCAGTCTTGGTGTATACAAGCTAATACGAGATTAGACTCGGACTGAGCCCATTCCTGAGAGAGAAGCTAGTTGAACGACTCCGGAAAGCCGGTTGAGCATCGCGGCTCTGGAAGACCACATCAATCGTTGCTCCAAATAGCAGCCTCCAGCGAGTACTACGTACATCAAACGGCTCAGACCGAACCTCCATTCGTAGGTACTCCACTATTCTTCCCTCCATGCGAGTCTGCCTCGCTCTTACTCGCTCTTACATGATGACAACACCGTTACCCAGCTCACTCAGACACACAAGTGTGATTGATGTTAAACACGTATCTCAACGCAATGCTGAAATTGAATCTCCTTTCGATATGATATTGACAAAATGGATCGACAAGAGCTGACTTTGGACTGGAAGCAGGGCACAGATCATCATTGCCGAGCATTTCCTGAAACGTCTAGGACCGAAGGGCGTTGCACACCCTTCGAAGGCACTTCATTCATATGTACATGAAACTACATGTATAGCTTGCACAGCTCATGGCCTCAGCTGGGTATCTAGAAATCTATACACATGATATATCCTCAATTCTTAATCCCAATAACAGCCAAATTCCTCGGACTCTCCGCATAATCAAACACCGGCTCAACCCAACACTCCTGCACAATCCCCGAAGCCATATGCTCCCTTAGATACTGCCACCGATCAATCACAATCATAGCCTCAACCAATGTCGCAGAAAACGACATCAAAATCCAAACAATACTCAGACTTTTCTTCGTATGCGCGTATTCGCTAACGTACTTCTCCAGTTCGGCAATTGTGGCTTCTTCGTTCTCGAGCAGCGGTAGCAATTTAGAGCGGTGAGCAGGTTCTTTGGCGAGTTTTGCAATGGCCGTTTGTGCGTAGTTGATGAAAGATTTATATGCTGTTTTGCGTAATGTCCCGATTATGAGAGGTGGTGATGTGTCTGAAGAAGAAGTAGTAGGGCGATCTCGTGTCAAGACATCGAATGTGGCAAGTTCCGGTTTGGGAGCAATACCATGGTCGACGAAGAATTTTTGCAGCAAGGCCCGGTAATAATGTCGTGTGAAGAACGCTTTGGTTTCTTCCTGGGACCAGTTGAACGGTGCTTGACAGGCCATCATTCGTGCGGTAATGTTGAATTTTATGCCCTTCCCACCGCTATAAGGGTAATTCTCGAAGAGGTTTGACATGGGAAATCCATGGGGATCCTTTTGTGTTGCTCCGACGCTGAGGCGTTGATGCATATGGCGCAGGACGGGGAGTTTGTAGGTTGGCGGTCCTAGTCGTTCAGTCAGGAGGTTATAGCAGCATCCTATCATGGCGATTGCGACGACGGAAGGGTTGAGGATGAGAGAGCGGATGCCGTGGTGGAGGAGGTTGCCGCAGGAATGGAGTGAGACTACTAGGACGCGAGCGTCGTCTTTTGTCCTCGGTGATGGGTTTGTAGTGTCCTGTTCAGTCTCGGGATTGACGACGTGTCGGATTATAGGTTCAAGGTAACCGTCTTTGATGTTGTGCTCGATATAATCCATCGTACCTCGTGGTTGGGTGTCTACTTCTTCCACTTTTTGAGTGGTGTTGGGCGTAGACGTGGGTAAATCCTCTGCGCTGATATCGAGGTCTTTGAATACACTGAAAACAGTGCTATCATCTTCTTCATTTCCTTCTTTCTCTTCTTGGACCTCTTCACCTTCCGGAAGACACGCAGTACACACTTCCTCAGCCACACCATTCGAACCCACCTTCTCAACTTTCGAATTCCTGAGCGCTTTCTTATTATACATCCTGACAACCTTCTTCTTCGCCATTTTCGCAGTAACATCCATCCCCTGCGCCCCCTTTATAAATGCATGTTTCCGTTCAATTGCGATAATATGCCGATTATACGAATACGCCAACGTTCTCCCCAGATAATTCTGCCCAGACCCGAAATCCGCTATATGTGTGATCGGTTCATGTCTTGTCTCTGACACAGAGGTAGCGAATGAATCGACGTATTTGGAAAAGTGTTCTACTTCGTGTAGCTTTTTATCTTTCATGCCGACTGCGAGACGGCGCGGGATGGCGCTGGTGGTATTCGGAGGAAATTTCGGAGTGAAATCTCGTCGCAGGCTGAGCCGGCGAATGTCGTTAATATAATCTAGTAATGAAGGAGGCGGTAACGGTCCATTTTTCCATTTCTCTTCTCTACGCTCAGAAAACTTCCAACCAGAGCCATCGGGGGATCGGAATGGTGTTAGATCGTCCGTTAGAATCAAGTCCAGAATGTCGTATAGGTCGTGTTCGTGAAAGAATTGGCGCCAGTCCTCTGCAAATAACGTCGTGTAGAGATCGGGTTCGCTGGTCAGGAAATCGAGAATATGCACACCGCCGCAGAGATTCAAGAATAGAGGCGTGGATGTTGCGAAGGAGAGGAGTGCTTTGATGTAAGTATCGATATCCTTCCACTCTTCATGGAGCGGGAGGGGTAGGTATGGGCTCATTACGTGTCCGAAAGAGGATTATTTTCGTAGTCATCAATCTCTAGCATCAATTCATAATATGGAGAATGCTGCGTTTATCTTTGTATTTGTGTGGGGGAATGTGATGGGTATGATTTGAGGTCTAATTTAACGCCTAAATTTTTTTTTTAGCGGTCCCCGCATTCTCCTTTGGACCCATACAAAAAATCCTTTTCCTATAGTCTACCAACCTACTTATAGGCTCGTTCGAATATATGATCAAAAATCTAAGCACATGTCACCTCCGCAATCGCCGGTGAAATATTCAACCCTTCTACACAATCCTGACTTTCCCCGATAGGCAAAACAAGCAACGGATCTATCCCACAATGATATTGATCACCAGCCTGTTGTGCATAAAACGTGATCTGTAGCGATGTACCCTCGGGACAGTCAACTGGGCCCTCAGAATAAAGTTTGTAGCTGCTAACAGGCCATATCTCGAATCCCCAGCAATTGTAGGGTGCGCTGAAGTTGCCGTAGTTTACTTCGAAACCGCAGTTCGGTTGGTAGTAGCCCTCGTACGTGACGCTATAGGCGGAGACGAGGGCTGTTGGTGCAACGATTGCTGTGGTGAAGAGGAGATTCTTTTCGTTGAGGTTTAGTATAAGTATAGCTAGAGGGGAATTAATTGTACCTTGAAAAGTGAAGCCATCTTAGCGCAGGCCAATCTATTCAGACAGGCTGTAGGATCTTTTGAATATAGTCGGAATTTTCTCTTCTGGATATCCTATTGACGGTCAACTGCCTATGATCATAATCCCTATTTATACCTACCCTTGATACCGAACTCCTTCCAGTCCTTCAAGCAAGTACGCAAAGTCATTAGGCTAAATTGAATGTGACCATGTAATGCAACATGAGTTACAGCTGACATTGCAGTGCCCAGAAAGACTGAGTACATATATGCTAATCCTACCTAAGTATTCAGTTAACGGCTTTAAAAGATTGGACGTTTGTACTGTATGTTTGGTCTATTGACATCACGTGACTCGTTTATCACTACAACAGGGTACTGAGTAAAGCCATTTTTACGAGGCATAATTCGTTGACTTTTGGTCTGGAGAAAGGCTCTGTTATATGAGATTCCAGATGTCATTTTGTGGCTTTTATATGGGCTGTATACGACATATTGCTGACTCATACCGGTGTTACGAATCGACTAGATTGGTATAGCAACCCGGATAGTGGCCTGATACATAGGTATATATCTACCATTTATCGACGCCTCAAATTGATTGATTACTCATCTAAGAGTATATTGACGTAAAGAATCCGTGGATGGATATAGGGCGCATGTACCCGGGGGAAACTCGTCCGTACGTCTCCTTCCCGGCCTCCTATGCCCTAGTTCAGTAAATTGTATAGTAAGAGTTCCTTATTCAATCATTGATGTAGAATATATTAATGGAAAATATAATTCTAATAAAATACTCCTAGTGTTTGTTCAATTGTCAATACTAGAATAGCCTCTCATCAGAGTATCGAAAAAAGCCATATCGGCACCCTGGAAAGCCCAATCATACTCGCCGGCCGGGATGGCGGAAATGTCCATTTGCGGTTGCAGGTTAATATCATCTTTCTCTAAACCTAATTGGCGATGTTGTTCGTCTCTGGTTGATGGTGCTAGGAATCCTCCCAGACATGACGAGGGTTGAGTCCAGCCAAGAGAATGGGTCAGTGGTTGCTGGACATCCGCAGGTTGTACGGACTCGGTTGTGTCATTGAGTGTAGTTCCTGTTGACTCAAACGGGAAACTGGTCGGATAAGATGCAGTACTGCTTTCAAAAGGGTCTCGAGAGATAGATCCCTGACGAGTGATTTTGATAGTGCCGAGGTACGGGATCAGTAGACGCAGCTCCCCTCCATATACCTTCACTGTAGAGTCGTGCGCAACATCTTCTCCTTCGATACTGCTAGCAGAGTAACAGTTCCCATTGGCTGCATTCATCTCAATTTCGAGCAATTGTCGAACCAATTTTCCACTGTCTTCCATCACGACGTCCCCGTTATTGTCTCTCATCATGTCCATTCTCTCCAAGGCTTGATCCAGGATAGCACGATCGCTAAGACGCTGATGGGCCAGGAAGTTAGTCGTATGACTATGAGCATCGAGGTGGGCAAGCGAAAGTGTCATTGCAGCTAGCAGGGCAAAAAAGTCTACTGGTCGTGAGCAGGAGGACTTTGGCTGAAAGCTTCGATGCGCAATGAAGCGTGTTAAGATCTCGCGACTCGCGTTGACACATGCAATCTTGGAGTATTCATGGCCGGTATCATCACTGATTCTGTGCATCATGTGCGGTAGATGAAGCTGAATCAGGAGACCGTAGTAGTAGACATGGGCTGACAACCGTACTGTCTCCAACAGGTTTTCAGGAGATCCTACCGTCACGTTTTGGAAATTCGCTGGACCCCAAAAGCTTGCGGGCATATTTGTAGCAACTCTCAATAGCTCGGCATCAATGGACTGCGTTGTAACGACCTCGCTCGGTGTGAAGCATCGGTCATTACGTTCTAGTATGGACGATGCTATGACGGTGAGTTGTCGCTCAAATTGACCTAGTGGTGGCTCATGCTGTAAATTAGCTAAGTCTCCCATGCATCTATCAGTCGTTCCCTGTGGTAGGCCGAGGAGTAAGCTGAGATAACGGTCCATATAGACAATGCGGAACCACATAAACTTTGGATCAGCATCGAACGTAGGGTCAATACGTTTGAATGGAGGTATCTGCGAGCGGTGCAGACCCATTGTTTGTGCAATCGTCATTGCTCGGCGATAGACAACCCATGCCTTACGTAGATTGCCACAGTTCGTTTCAAATACGGCTTCGAGCATGATGCAAATCAGGCTGTCGATGGAGTTGTGTGTCTCCTCCTGTGCCATTAACCATGTCACAGCAGCTGTGACTAAGCGGCAGCCGAGTACGCTTGGTGACTCCGAAAGATCCAGAAATCCTTCCCGTGGGGCTTGAAGAGTGATGGCAAACATGAGCATATGCCTGGCGAGAATGACGGGATGAGTGTTGGGATCAGGACGTTTCGGTAAAGGGTACGGCGCTGCGAGCGTCTCGTGTGTCAATTTGCTATGCCGGTGAATGTTGACCAAGAAGGTGTAACGTGATGTTCTCAAGCTTTCTGGAAGCAAGATCCTGATGTCGTCGTCGGATGGAAAGGCTGCCCATAAGGAGTGGGCTGTGGTATCAGCCTCAGCTCGATTTGGCACAGCTGGCGATATGGGGGGGATTAGAGAGTGCTCTTTATGTATCTAGATAATTGTCAGAGAATGATTCATATCACAGCTATGGTCTGTCCACTTGCCTTTGCAGGCGTCGAAGGAGCTCGAGCCAACAAAGACCTCAGGCCTGAGGTATCAGACTGTGAACACTGTTGCTGCGACTCTTCACCAATCCGGCTCGCGCCTCTAGTATCTTTGCTAGCAACTAAATCCTTCAACACATCTTCAATCTTTGCGATACGATCACTAAGACCGCGATTACCCTTTCTGGTCAGGGCCAAAGACTCTGGTATCTCCTGGCCGATACAGGGTACCCTTCGACGCTGGCAAAAGACACATGCAGCATCTCCCAGAGATGCAAAGATGCATCTGATCTTCCGCCGTTTGCATTCCCAGCAAGACCGCGTCCCCTTGCGAACCTTTTTATGACTAGCTGATGGATCAGGGTTCGGCGTTCCCATTGTGGGTTCTCCGCCTGAATCGGAAATCACCATCGCTTTTATTTAAAGGATGACTCTATGTATCTGTATACTCTGTTAGCTCTCCGTCGCAGAGGAGAAAATATGGTAAGTTTCAAGGTCGTGAAGTGATTTGAGGTTTGAAGGACGGCTTGTTCCGCCGTGACGGGCAAAGGATAGCCCTGATTAATCAGCTGCATACATACAAATCATGGCCGATGCGGCGGACTTTAGGGTTGTCCCCTCCCTGTATAAATAAGCAAATTTCTTCTTATGTATGTCTATATATCAGTTATAGCAACTAATCTAGCTCACTACTTACTCACTTGAGTACTGAAATTGTGAACAAAATGGCTCCTGACACAGTCAACGAAGCAAACGAGAACAGAGAAACGGAATCGCCCAGCGCCAACAAGGAAAGCGAGACTAACAACACCTTTGATGCTCCCAAATCTGAAGTCGCAAAGCCTCCAGCACCTCCGCCTCCTCCTGACGGCGGACTTTCAGCATGGCTTCAGGTCGTCGGAGCTTTCGTAATCTTCTTCAATACCTGGGGTCAGATCAACACATTCGGAGTCTTCCAAACCTACTACGAATCCGGGGCACTTTTCACCGAGTCTTCCTCCAACATCTCCTGGATTGGTTCCATCCAGTGCTTTCTCCTTCAACTGACTGGTATCGTTGCCGGACCTATCTATGACCGTGGTTACCTCCGACTACTCCTCTTTTTTGGCAGTTTCATGATCGTTTTTGGTTATATGATGCTTTCACTATGTCATGAATACTGGCAGGCCATGCTGGCACAGGCTTTTTGCGTCGGTATTGGTAGTGGATTACTTTTCACACCTACTGTTTCGCTACTTCCGACGTGGTTCAGCTCGCACATCGGCCTGGCAGTTGGTATAGCATCTTCCGGTGGATCGTTCGGCGGTGTCATATACCCTATCGTACTCTATCGACTCATCGGGCAGATTGGATTCCCTTGGGCTGTAAGGACCATGGCCTTTATTGCTTTGGGGACATTTTTCATCCCTGTCATTGTGATGAAACAGCGTCTCAGACCACCTAAGCCTCGTGCTGTGATCGACTGGTCAGCATTTAGAGATGCACCTTATATGACCTTTGCATTGGCCATTCTGATTGTGTTTATTGGCAATTCGGTGCTCATCTTCTACATCTCTTATTACCCGATAGATAAGGGGTTTACCGACAGCTCACTGGGGTTTTATATAGTCGCCATTTTTAACGCTGCCTCGATCTTCGGCCGGATTGCACCCAATGCGGTCTCTGACCGTATTGGCGTGTTCAATACCTTCATACCAATGGCGTTAGTTCTCAGTATTACAGTCTTCTGCCTGCTCGCTGTAGTCAACACGGCGGGAATGGTTGTCGAGGCAGTCGTCACAGGGTTTCTCAGCGGTGTCATCGTAGCTTTGCCGCCCGTATGCTTCACCAGGCTCACGCCGAACCGGGCTCTGATCGGTACGCGTCTGGGACTGGGATTTGCGATTGGAGGTTTGGGTTTGCTGATTGGGGGGCCGACTGCTGGTGCCATTCTTGGGACGAGCGAGGAGTCCCTCAACTGGACGGGTCTTTGGGTGTATGGTGGTGTGACAATTGCTGTTGCTGGATTTGTTCTCGCTGTTGTTCGAGTCATGAAGGCAGGGTCCAAGCCCATGATCAAGGTCTGACAACGAAAAATGTGTACAGCGCGTGTCGTCTGATGTTTAAGGGATGTTTCATATTGATAACCCTAATCCTGGCCCGTCCTTCAACCAGTTGACCTTGGAACACTTGTTGGAAAGCCAGGCAATGCTCGCAGCCTTGTTAAAACTATAGATAATTCTCAGATAATGATTTATTCGACAAGATAAATACTTAGGAGACTTGTAGAGGGACCACGATGACAGCAGATCTAGGACATGACGTTAGGGTTCGCTCGCTGTAGCCCTATAGCCTTGGCACCCTGGACTCCGTCAACTGATGGACCGCTCCGTTTTGCTACCACCATCAGTTTTCTAGTTTCTGATCAGTCCAATATAGTGAGTGCTACGTACTCTGTAGTCCCGCACTAATGATTGGCTTGCTGACGGCGAAGCGATACCCCTAGGCTAGTGACAGGCTATTGTCCGAGGGGACTGTGCTATCGACGAGGGTGTGGATAAATCTTCTGCAGGCCAGCCTCTTTATCTGTATTTCTCGATGCAGCAACAAGATAATATCATCGTCATGATCGACGAGCTCGTCGATATACGTTCGAATACGCGGAGTTCACATGTGATCGTACGGAAGAGACATACACTCTCCGCTCTTGATAGAACATCGTACAATCAATTCTCTCCGATCGGGTTTAATTTAGTAACCTAGAACGTAGTCGAGTTAGCGCATCGAGTAATCACTGGTCATGGGCATCTGCGTAGGCGAAATCAAGAAAGCGGCGAGTTTTGGCCCCAAATTCCAGTGTCATCTCCACTTTTCCGAGCTTTCCAGGGTCCTTGACTCCTTGTACAGAGTCAGGAGTGTACTAATCAGTGCCTTATGATCCTGTCGTGGTGAAGTGAAGGAGTGTTAGGCACTGGCGAGGCTTGGCGGTGCTTATCCATGTTTCACTGATTATCTTTCTAGAATGCCGCACGGCCCACCATCTGATCCTCTATTTATTCTGTTTCTCTTCTGGTTCTGTCTCTTATTTTACTTGATATTTCTGTTTAATAGTTGTCAATTTCATGCTTCGTTAAGATCACTGATGGACAAGCCCACAAGATGTTGACCGCACCCTCCTCCGGCAACTCATCACATGAATCCATCACCGCCAGTCCGACAACTTCAGCATCCCGAAAGACATGACTATCACCCAGCAATCATGTCGATCGATAGACCCGTTATCTTCGGCGGCGTGCCAGATGTGCTGTTCTTGATCTTGAGCATGGGCGATGCTTCAACCATCCCCACGCTATGTCGCTTGAACAAGGCTACCTACGAAACCATCAAATCCCACGAGACGTTCCTCTGCACCTCGTTCTTGCGACTCCACGATTTCAATCCACCGCTAGACAGAATCCTGACGATGGATCCCATCACGGGCCAACGAAACCCGCTCAATTTCGTGAACTTGCAGAAATTCGTGTTTCGGCGACAGACGGCCCTCAAGTTGGCGTCACGGGTTGCTCGTTCGGGGTTTGGTGCTTGGTGGGCGATTAAAGGTGCTGGGGAAATGGATGCAGAGGCAGAAATGTTTCGACAACGTGTCGAAAGGGGACTGTACGTCATGTTTCACATGTCGGATATTGCTCGCGACGTCGAGCGGGTTAAACTGCGCCCACATAGAGCTGCAGGTAACACTTATCGGATTATGTTGTTGAGTTGGCTGCCGTGTATGCGCTGCGAGAAGTCCGGGATAAACCGTAACTGGTGGTTCCCTCGACACATTTCTCACATCTACGTGGTCTTACTTCGAAAATCGCAGCAACGCGAGATCGGAAAACTGAGATGGCGGTTCCGGCAAATGCTTGATCTGGAACGCCGGGTCGATTTTCATATTGCTCTACAAATGCTGCGGCAGTTTCTGGAAACTATCATCTTCGCGCACTGTCCGGACGATGACGCGAGTATCAGTAGTCTGAGCGGCGAGGACGTCGACGTCACGAACTGGTTTCTCCTCCGACAAGGCGCGCATTCACTTGCCCGGATATTCCTTGAGCTTCCCGATCGAGACTGTTGTAGTATAGAAGATCGGGCCCGGAAACAGAAGGACGGCGTGCTACCAGTATGCGACTATTCGGAAGCCTTGAAAGAATACTGGGATGCGCGCAACGGTGACTCAACGGTTGACTGTAAAAAGTGCGAGGCATGGTTGCGAAGTTCAAGTACGCAAAGTATCCTCAACGACTTTTTTGGACTCCATGCACTTGACCTTGGCAAGGAATGGGTTCGCCAAATGCGCGGAGAAGGCGAACTATTTGATGCATAACCTGCACTTTCGGTTTTAAGTCTCATTTGTGATGATTTTTTTTTGGTCTTGCTTTGAATTTACCCTGCGGATGATACCACTTTCTGCGATGATTGACTGATTGCTACGAAGCATGGAATTGGCGTCTGTATATATGATGGTTATTGAGCATAGATTTAGCATTATAGACAGGTAGTTTGGTAGCAATGACAGCGATGTTTGAAATATCTATGTAGTTATAGCTTGGTGGAGCTTGGTGCCTTAGTTACATAGATAGTGAGTGGCCTTAGCGGTCCGTACCTCTGAGAAACCTCACAAACATCAACATCTCTCAATCAACACGTTCACAATCACCACCATACTACAGTTACTGCTTCCTTTTGAACGAATATCGCACTAAAAACTTCTTTAATAATTCATCATACCTTTTATACACACCATGTCGGAAGATCCTTTCCTCCAAGTCCAATCGTAAGCTATCCCAAGCTCCCTCCGAACAACCTCAGATACTAATCCATACATACAGCGAAGTCCTCAACACCCTCCAAACAATCCGACCTCTCTACTCCTCCTTCCTCCGCATCCGCTCTTTGACAACCTCCCCCTCAAACCCCGAACTCGTCCAATCTCGCACAGAACTCGAATCAACGCTTGAAGACCTGCAGGCTGATCTAGCCGACTTGCGCCAGTCCGTACGCGCAGTAGAACGTGATCCGTACCGGTATGGACTCGAACTTGACGAAGTAGAGCGCCGAAGAGGCTTTGTGCAGGATCTGGGGAGGGAGGTTGATGATATGGTTTCTGAGATTGGCAAACAACCCGCGCCTACAACTGCAGCAAAAGGGAAGAATAATATTTCGCTCCCGAACCCGTCCGAATTCGACACCTTATCACCAGATATACACGATAAATTCGATCATCACAGAGAAGAAGGCGAGGATGATGATTACTACGCCAACTTTGAGCAACAACGACAAGTCGATTTAATGGCTGCCCAGGACCAACAGTTGGACGGCGTGTTTCGCACCGTGGGTAACCTGCGACAGCAGGCGGATACGATGGGACGAGAGCTTGAGGATCAGGCTGTCTTGTTGGATGATGTGGAAGGGTTGGCGGATAGTGTTGGAGGGAAGTTGGCGAGTGGGATGAAGAGGATTAGGACTATTGTGAGGAAGAATGAGGGTGAGTATTACTTTCTGGCTCAGAGACAAAGTGTGAAATCGATTGAAATTGAAAGAAAACTAATCAAATGGTATAATAGATACGTATTCCACTTGTTGTATTGGAATACTACTCGTCATTCTCGTCCTCCTGTTTATCCTATTGCTCGTGCTGTGAAAAATTCTAAAACAAATCTGGCAAAAATTATGGCAAAACTTTTCAAAGTCAAACTGGGTTATCCGAGCATCTAGGTCTTGACCTTCTTAGCGGGACGGTCTTCATCGTCCTCGCCTTCGTCGTCGTCAAGTTCCTCAATGTCCATCTCGTCATCAAAGTCATTGGCAACTTCGTACGATTGGACTGGTAGTCTATTAGTACGGCTCAATTGATAACCAGAGGAGGACTTACCATAGTACTTGAGAGCATTGGGCCAAACGTCATCTGCCAAAGCGACAGCAATATCATCAGCAGCAGGGAAGATCTCAATAGTCGCAATGCTCTCCTCTTCTTCGTCAATGTCATCATCCTCGTCGTCATCCTCGTCATCCTCATCATCGACCTTCTCGCCATTCTCAATCTTCTGCCAGCGCTCAGCCTCCTCCTTTTCAGCAGCGGCAGATTCCTCCGCGGTGACGGTGTTGCCGCGGTATCCAAAGAAATTGAAGAAGCTAACGCCACCGGGAAGGTACTCCTCGTCAGCTTCTTCTTCCTCGTCACCGACAAGAGCATCAGCCTCAGCAGAGGCCTCTTCAAGCTTAGTGATGAGCTTTTCGTACTCGGGCAAAGTAGTGCGGTCAACACCTGCACCCTTCTTCTGCTCGGCCTCGTACAAGTCACACGCAGCATCGAGCAATCCCTTGGTCAAATCCTGGTCTTTCTTCCAGTTGATACGCACTGGAGTCGAAACGTATCCCTCCCAGACATGGCGCTTGCCCTTGGGTGTTTTGGAGATTTTGGTACGATAGTGGAACTCCTTGACGAGCTGCGCATTGGTGAAATAAGGGTTTTCCTCCTCACCCGTGGCAAATTCAAATGTGAAACGCACACTGCGGGGATCACCGCCGCTGCCGTTCTCGTCGACATCGCAGCGCTCGATGGTCAAGTTTTTGAGACATTGACTGATGACAGCCGCGTCAGATGCGAGGATATATTCATCAATTTCCTGTGGTGCGTTGGCGAAGACGCGGGGCCAGAAATCGGCATCCTGCAGCTCCTTGGAAGCTACCAAAGCATTTCGTCTAGCGTAGAGAGGGCGCAGAACTGGGATTTGTTTACGCACTGTTTTCGGACATAGATGTTAGTTCAGTGTAGGATAGCAAAAATAGACGAGAAGAATGTAAACGCACACTGCTCAAGCTCAGCACGCACAAATTCCTGCTCGAGCTGGGAAATCTTGCGACCAACTTCCTTGGGAATGGAAGGGAGAGAGATGCGCTCCCAGAGCGAAGGTGCTTCGTCTCCAGACATTTCTATCTGTTTGATGTAATTGATATGGTCAAAATAAAGGCGTCAAGAAATGATAATAATAATGAAGTGAGAGAAGAAAGAAAGGGAAAAAAAAAAAAAAAGTCAGAGATCAAAATAAAAAAAGCTAAGGAAGGAAGTCGCCGATTCTGATTGATTCAATGACGGCATGCCCCACTCCTTCTTCAGTGTTTACTCTCTTTACCCTATGTATTCTACGAGAATCTCTGTATGCAGGTTCAATTATTCTGTGCTCAGACTGAGTTGAACTCATAAGATGCTCCTCTATATTCATTCGATGAGCTGCTCAACTGATTTGTAACAGGAATGCGAAAAGACAAGCCCATTGGTGCTCCGGGTGCACCAATCACATGCATTGATTGACTCCGCTGAAATTCTCCAGACAACATTTTTTTATACAGAACAACTCTTCTTGAATCGAATATATTGATGGAACTTCAGGACGCTATATACATACTTGAACTTATACCGAATGGCGATTGAGCAGACACCGATTTAGCGATAACCAATCCCGGAAGAAGTGCCATATTGCCTATATACGACCGACTACTGAACATATCAAGACATCCAGATGTCGCAAACGGCCAAAATGGACACCCATCATATCTCTAGCTCCATCCCCGAATCCCAGGTCCTCATCATTATGACCGGGGGCACAATTTGCATGCAACGCTCCCCCTCCGGCTTCATACCAGCGCGCGACTTTCAACAGACCTGTCTGGCCAAAATGCCCATCTTCAACGACGGCTCACGGCCATCAGTCAGTATGGACGTCGTTGTGAATGCCGCTGGCGAGAAAAGGAAATATGCGAGTTTGCGGACACCGCCTAGCTTGTATGACCGTCAAGTGCGGTATACGGTCTTTGAGTTTGAGGAGTTACTAGATAGTAGTTCGATTGACTCCAAGGGGTGGGCGGAGATTGCGCAGACGATTTATAATAATTATACTCTGTTTGATGCTTTTGTTGTTTTGGTACGTTCTCTACCACGTCTTTAGTATGCCATTTGACTACGTGCTGATTGACTTGTCTAGCATGGAACGGATTCCCTGGCTTATACATGCTCAGCGCTCAGCTTCATGCTCCAAAATCTCGGCAAGCCAGTCATTCTAACAGGTTCCCAAGCACCCATGCTGGAATTACAAAACGACGCCTCGGACAATCTTCTGGGAAGTCTGGTTGTTGCAGGCCACTTTATGATTCCTGAAGTATGTCTATATTTCAACTACAAACTCTTCCGAGGTAATCGAACCACCAAAGTCGCCGCGAGCGATTTTGCAGCATTTGATTCCCCCAATGCGCCGCCGCTGGCTGTCACGACCTCGATGAGAACACAGGTTAATTGGGACCTTGTGCATCGCCCGACGAGTATTGAGAATTTCAGTATTCGGACGAATCTGGATACGACTAATGTTGCATGTTTGAGGATATTCCCTGGTATCAAACCAGAAATGGTGGATGCGGTTTTGCAGTTAAAGGGACTACGTGGTCTTATTTTGGAGACGTTTGGTGCAGGCAATGCGCCTGGCGGAAGGGATAACGCTATGACCAACGTGTTGGCGAGTGCTATTCAGCGGGGGATTGTCATTATCAATATCACTCAATGTATGCCTTTCAATGCACTTTTATTGTTAACATACTAACTTGACAGGTCTCACTGGCCACGTGAGTCCCGTATATGCGCCCGGAATGACCCTTTTTAGGGCTGGTGTCGTAGCCGGACAGGACATGACGACAGAAGCAGCATTGACGAAACTCGCGTACCTCTTAGCACTACCAGACTCAACTCCGGAATCAATTGCGCGAGACATGGCCATTCCGTTACGTGGAGAACTCACCTCTCACTCCCAGACTGTATTCCGCCATCCCGAGGGAGGCCTGTCGGAGCGAACCACGACACTTACTGCATTGGGATATGCGATTGCCAAAGGCGATCTTGAAAAGGTCAAAGACTTATTGAGAGGTGCCAACAATTGGGTAGTCAACGACAGTGATTATTCAGGAAACACCCCAGTGGTACGTTTCCTATCCTTCCATACTCAAATAAGACCGCATACTAATGATGACCTAGCACATCGCGGCGCAATCACCATCCCTCGAAATTCTTCGCTACTTCCTCTTGCAAGGCGCATCGGTGCATCTCCGCAACAGCGCAGGACGAACACCGCTGTTCCTAGCAGCCAGTGCAAGTCTAACAGACCATGTTGTGCTCCTTCGCAAATCCGGTGCTCATCTGCATGCGGATGAGAGAGCGGTAGCAGAGATGCAGGCGCGCCGACGACCGGGTATATGGGCTTTGGCTGGAGTTGGTGCGAGGACTATGAAGGAACGAGATGAACTTGACAGTCGTGAGAGTCTGGAAGATAATGAGCATTCTAGTAGTAACGCTGGGTGGAATAGGAATGTGCAGGCCATGGCGGGTTCGGCGCCGGCTTGATAGATTTTAGAATACCTAGGTATGTATATATTGAAATTAATTATTCATGGTTCAAAATCTGTAAATACAGAAAGTCGATTACTTCATTGTTGACGTTTGCAGCGCAGTGCCCTGGAGTACATGGCTTTGTCTAATTGTCTTAGTGTTTCGATTCACCTGAGCAACTAAAACCCACCAGGCAGCAACTTCCTGGCTTTTGTTGAGTCGATAATGTGGGCATTCTCTTGATCTGTTATTTTTCTCTTCTTCCACTTTGGTCAAACAAAATTAGGATTCTCTCAGCGCAGAGCATCTTAGCTCTAAGCTAACCTTGGCCACCATGGATTCTTTACCCTTAGACCTACAACTAATCTGCGAATGCGTATGGCACAGCTCATCATTTCTTGCAGCCATTTTACTGACATTATATCACAGACGGGAGATGTCTGTGATGCAAGCCTTCGGAGTTTCGTCCTTGTCAACCATACCTCTATCAGGCATCTTTGCCTTGTATTTATGAATCCACAGCGATCAAATCCTATGACTATACCTCGCTTGAAAATGACGTAAACGAGATTACCGCGAAACCCCGTTGGACGCTTTACCAAGCGTGCTTGAGACGGTTGGACGTTCTGACTCTTCCCAGATCATGGGGGTCAGCTTGCCCTTGATAGGCCCGAGGGCATTGGAGCTTCACGCAAACCGCAATTGAAGGATGTCATTGATATGAGTGAGTTTATTTCAGACGCCATAGACTCAAATCCGGCAAAAAAAAAGTCATGTCCCGACGGCGCGCTTCTTCATTGGACTATCAAGAGCCGGCACCTTCATTTTACGAAGAGAGAAATTGGTAACCACTGGTACAGCTGCTTGGTATGCTCAACAGACTTGAGATTCTGAACTATGCCGCGGCAAACAACTTCCCTGGTTGTCTGCTACAGGCTCTTCATCAGTATCATCCAGCATGCCAAACTCAATATTTGGAGTAAACAGAAAATTTGTTTCCTTCTGCCCGGCCCTGGAAGCGCGCTCTTCTATGTTCCTGATTTATTGGATGATTTCGAAATTGGCTTGTTTACCCCTCCATGTCTACATGCAATTAAACTATTTTTCGGTCGTGGGAGTGATGGACATGGCATAGTTAGGCAGCAGGCCATCATACCCCTCTTTACTATGGCTACAAATCTAAGGCATCTGCAAGTGGCACCGGTACATATCGACAGTGCGACGATAACTCCTTACTTCGTTCTCTTGTGGTAAGACTCTCGGGGTATCTACTTAGTGAACGATTTACAAATCATATCTGAATGGGGTCAGCACTTCGATTTTTCTAGTATCCAGGCATTGGATATTATCCGTATTGCAGATGTCTTAGAATTAGCAAGCCTTTTGCCCCGTCTGCGAAAGCTGGAACAGACGTCTATTCATCAATCTTGACAGTCCACTACAACATATTCTTGGACCACGACCATATGCGCCAATGCCGCCTCTACAAGAGGAAGATTTCAAGACTATTTTCAGTTCGCTGAATCCTTTGAAATATTTCCGCGTTCGAGGGTTACGCGATAAATCAGCTCATCGACGCTTATTCTCGAGTACTGGAGCCAGAGCGGAGCGAGGAACATATCGAGTATCGTGAATACCACTCATACCCATCACTTATGTATGACGATATCCTGAACCTTGTAAAAGGGGCTCCTCACATAACAAACCTTCGAGTGACCGTTGAGCGGTTCAAGGGGAATTGCGATGAGCGGCTGTTTTATGAATCTCTCGGGACATTCCCTAGTCTTCGTAATCTCACCCTTGATCTTCACTACAAGCCTCGACCAGAAGACGTAATTCCTGAGATGATAAGAAAAGCCCATAGTCATATTATACGACATATAATTCTCGAGGAGGCTTTGTTCACCGCAGCCATGGACGAGACTCTTGCCACTGAAATCTGGAATCTTATATACTCAAAGCAGCAGATACAGAGTTTCTGTTTCCTGTATGGGTGGACTGTTGCCTAAGGAACTGCAAGAGATGGTAAAATCTGTCTGGGGGTTGTCTGAATCTCAGATGGAAGATTGGACTTTGCATCGGAAAGGCTTTCCACTGGCACGGAAGGACGATGACAGTCTCTAAGCAGCTGTGATTTCACCAAACGGGCTTCTCAAGGTCCGGCCCGGATAATATACAATATTGCCTCAGCTCCTCAAACCCGACCATGCTACCCTTAAGCAATCTCTCTGGCACAAGAGGTATGTGCCTTAACTACGTAGTAGGAGACTGAGTAGTGAGAAAGCAAACGTGAAACTATCCTTGGTGGAGCATGCTTCGGATAGTTTCTCGGATAAATATGATTGATTATGTTTCGTTTCAACTCTTTATCAGATGGGATTATGATCCACAATAGAAGTCCGTAGATGCTAGAGTATCAGATAGATCATGGGCCAGGTTCACAACCATTTTATACGGCATACCCGCTGACTCGTCTGCGTCCTTTTATTCGTGGAATTCGGGATTGGTTTGGGATTAATAACGAAAGATGGGACTCTTAATTTTAATTGATATCGTTCGTCAATTACCTAGGTAGATCAACGTGCACATTTGCTCTGAAGAGCAGTCTCGTGTGGAGTTGCTGTCAAGAGAGTGGTCGAAACCCTTCTAATTCGAAACATAATCTTTTTAGGGTTGATTTTAAGGACTGATATCTTTCAAAAGTTTGTTTGTGTTCATGAACTATCTGTCTAGTGTCCTGATATCACGATGGAATAGGGGTATAGAATGTAGGGATTCTGAGGATCAGTAATAGTATAACTATAGCTCTAGTTTGGGGTTTTAGATTATCGTGTTGACTCAGGGCCTAGACTGAATTTCATCATATCTTTATCCCACTCTCAACACTCCAATTCTTCCTACTGACTGGCCGACCAGATCATCTTTCCAATGCAACTTATCAAGTGTCTTGGGACACTTTCTATTTACCATGGAATCTGCTCTGCCTCCACCGTGACCATCGATCCAAAGTCACAGCTACAAGTTATCGATGGCTTTGGCATCTCTCAGGCCTTCGGCCGGGCCTCTCAATTCAAAGCTCTCGCCCAAGGACCCCAACAGAAAGGTCTAGATTACCTATTCAACACCACCACCGGGGCAGGTCTCTCCATCATTCGCAATCGTATCGGCTCCGGAAGCAACTCGGCAGACTCTATCGAACCCAATAGTCCTGGAAGTCCGAATGCGAAGCCTACCTATATCTGGGATGGAGACGATGAAGGTCAGGTATGGTTCAGTCAAGAGGCGATGGGTTACGGTGTCCGTACCATATATGCCAATTCCTGATCTGCACCGGTCTATATGAGAACCGAAACCGATTACGGTCGCCTGTGCGGCACCCCTGGCGCTACTTGCTCATCTGGCGACTGGAAACAACACTATGCCAACCTGATTGTACAGTATCTGCACTATTACAACCAGACAGGAATCCCAATCACGCACGTTGGGTTTCTCAACGAACCGGATGGGTCTGACTTTATGCTTTCTGACGCCGCGCAAGCGGCTTCAATGATTCCAATCCTACATAGCACCCTGGAAATTGAGGGTTTTGGTCATGTCAAGATGACATGCTGTGACAATATTGGCTGGAACTCACAGAAAGCCTACACAAAGAATCTCACCAAGGCCGGCATGGATGAATATCTGTCCGTGATTACATCGCACATGTACTCGAGCGACGCAACAACTCCCATGGATACCAACCTGACGACATGGATCACCGAAGCGGCTGATCTAACCAACCCTTGGTGCACAACCTGGTACAGCACCGGAAGCTTATGTGAAGGTTTTACCTGGGCTGTCAAACTAGCAGAAGGAATCGTCAACGCTGGCCTATCTGCGTACCTGTATTGGGAAGGTGTGGAAGTCAGTCAGCAGCAAGCAGCTTCATATCTTGTCCTGAGTGACGGGACAGATGTATACCCATCGGGTCGCCTGTGGGCAATGGCTCATTGGTCCCGGTATATCAGGCCTGGCGCACACCGCGTTGCTACCACAGGAACTGTTCCAAACACTATTATTGGAGCATTTGTCAATACTGATTCTAGTCTGGTAACTGTGCTCACCAACAGCGGTGGCATTGCACAAAACGTTGAACTCGACCTTCCAGGAGCCAGCTCAGATAATGTGTTTGCCGTTGTCACGGATCAGAGTTCCCAAATGGCTCCTCTCGACATGAATGTATCGAATGGTATAGTGTCCGTGTCTGTCCCAGCATACGGTGTCATCACTGTGAAGTCCGAGGGTACCGTTGCAGGTGGATCATCCAACATCGCCAGTCCATCGAAGATCAATATAGCAACACCGAGCTCGACCGCTATCTCCAGTTCGTCTTCTGTCTCGCGTGCCAGATCCTCGAGTGCTATCCCATCCAGTTCAAGGGCAGTGTCCAAATCAGCGCAGAACTCGTCAGCCATGCCAGGAAAAGTGCAGGCATCTACGGCCAGTGCTTGCGAGGCTCCTATACCATCCCAAGTCCACCACAATCATCATGGCCATCACAGCCACCATTAGTTAATTCTTAATAGAAGTCAAATTTGAAAATATTAGAAATGGGGTCAATATTGTGTTCTTCTTAGCTTCAAAGTGAAGCAGTCGATAGGGGTAATATAGGAAACCTACAGACAGAAGGTTTCTCAGGGTTTAAGTCAATATTCCAGAAGTGGGTTCGATTTAGGGGTGAAGGGAACCTTCAAAATACTTATCTATTTGATTTTCGTAAATAGGATGCTCTTCAGTCTCATGTCAAAGTAATCCAAGCTGAGATCAGTGGAAATATGAGGCGACCTTCCCTTCGTCATAGACTGTAGCCGCTCAGCCGTCAGGAACTGGTGCCTGATGTAGTAGACTTTAATTAACTGGTAACCAAATCTCTCACACTTTTTATCAGTCTTCTACCTCTCACCCACCATGGACTTCCTTCGATCGACCTCGTCTGGCGTTGAGTCCGAATCTGAGGATCCTCTTGCATGACTGGCGAAGGAAGTGAAGCAGCAGCCATCCACCACCAACACGAACTTACAAACGTCCTTGGAAAGCCGTCGATGAGCGCTTGATCAAGACCAAACTCGGAATCAGTGCCTCGTCTTCACGGTTGTTCCCTTGGCGCAAGCTTCCAGACTGGGCGATGATCGGTCGCGGACAAGCAAGTACTGTCGATTCTTTTTCTAATACGGAAATGGGAATCTTGATTGCAAAAATCACGCCGGATCCTGCACACCAACTTGCAATAAGAACATCTGATTCACTAATCTTTTTCGAGCTGCATGCAAAGAATGTCCATAAAGATATAATCCCTTTCAGCTCGACAACAGTTACGGTTGGAAATCGGAAAAAAGGATCTGACTGCTGGGCTCTGTCTTCGACAAATGCAAGGGCTTGATCTGCCCTTCGATAAGATTAGGGTGGTGATCTAGCGACACCCCCCTAGTTCCAGCGACACCAGGGTGTCGTTCTAGCGACACCCCCACGTGACTCAGTTATACGGATTGGATAATTTTCACGTGTCATGTGATCAGAAAATCAAATTTCCTTCCAAACATTGCCATATTTGGCAATGGAATCTAGGGTTAGGGCTAAGTCTATCACATCACTATCAATTGTCATTTTTCCTGCTAGTCTAATCATACAGTATTTCAGCAAAGTAAGATTCTTGTCTCAGAAAAGAAATTGCACCTTCCTTGCCTGTTACTCATTCTCATCGCCTAGCCATGGCGCTGGCTGGCCACGGCCACGTCGCTTGCTTCTTCTGATCTGATTCTCGTTGGTCTTATCATCCCTGTTCTCACTAATTTCATTATCATCATTCTCGTGACTTTGAGTGCTAACTTCACTGGTGCCTGCAGAGCCGCTACCACATTCGCCACCCTGCTGTCTTCCTCCACGCCCACGACCCGCCTGTCCTCCTCCACGGCTACCACGTACGTGGCCACTTCCTCGTCCTCGGCTTGATTCTTGAGTCAATAGATGTTCAAATGCAGAGGGATCTCTTCTAGTAGATCTATCTTCAGCTGACTGGCTCTGCTCGCTTGTAGTTGGCCAGTTAATTGCACCAGGAGGACGGCCACGCGGTCTGATTACTTCTGGCTCCAGGACTAATTCTCGTGGATCCACAGGAGGAAGGTCTTCGTCGGTATGCAGCCGCCAATGTGGACAGAATTCAAAAAGCTCAATCGATGTGTCAGCCTCATAGTATTCCTTGATTTTGTGGATGCAAGGAATCCCTAGAGTCCGTCGAGTCACACCCGTGCAGGGCTTAATTGGCTTTTTATCAGGGGCGCTCTCCGGGAGGTATCTTTCAAAGATACTATGGATTATTTTCAGTGCATGACTTGAGACCTTCTTCAAAACATGCTTAAAAAGCCGCAGGTTCTTGAAATCTATCTTTATTCGGACGCGCTCATCCTCAATTTCCTGCCATATTTTTTGGTGTTGTTTTTCAATTGTCATTTCAATTGATAGTGTGGCTCCAAGTAGGTCCATTGTGGAAGTTCCAAGGTCACGTTTGATAATCCAATGGGCACCTTCAACCTGTGAGCTTGCTTGCTTGTTGAGATGCAGATACTCATTGGTATAGCATTTTAAAAAGTGTTTTGCCGTATCTTCCTGAAGCCATTCTTTCTTGATATATTCAAAGACCGTGTCCCACACATTATGGCTGTATTTAGCCCTGAAATTATTCCACTCAGCATCTTTCTCTTCCTCAGTATATGCATTGACGAGTTTCATAAAGTCCTGCCAAAAAGCGACCCAATGAGCTTCAACCTTCTCTTTAAATTCATCAACTAGGGTGCTCTTCATACCCTTGCCCTCATAATCGATTCGAATGACTTCCTGGCGTAGAGCTGGCCGACACTTAACCATCAGATTCTTTTAGATGTGCCAAATGCATAAGATATTTCGTGTATATGGAAATATAGCTTCAATAGCACCCATTAGGGCCTGATCTTTGTCGGTAATGATTGTTTTTGGATGCCCTAGCCCCATACGGAAGATTACCTGCTCAAGGCTTTTAAGAATAAATAAATAAGACTCCTCCTTTTCATTTTTCATGAAGCCAAATCCGACCCAGAATGTCTTATTAGTTCCCGTGCAGCCAACAATATCAAGAAGGGGCATTCGATATTTATTGGTCTTGTAAGTGGAATCTAAAAAGAGCACAGTATTGTAAAGCCGTAGTAAATCCAAATAGCTCTTATGGGTTAAGAACACAGCTGTGACAATATCATCATGGGTTTGGTAATTGACAACCCAGTCTCCAGTCTCCGGGAATGAGCTGAGAAGGACGTGAATTAGCTCTCAACCATTTAAGAAGCGCTTTCGCATGTTGCGTCTGAAATTATATATATCTCGGTCCTTTATCCCAACATTATCTCCACGCTTCTTCCTAAGTGAAGCAATGATATGGCGTGTGTCAATTCCATTCTCTAGTTGGGCTTTGATTTGGGTAGCATGTTCAAGTATTTAACAATGACGATGGACTGAATGAGTGGATATTAGCGACGGATCGTGATTATGGCGTTTTTCTTTGATATCAACAAGCCAAGTGTCATCTTGCTGAAGTCGCAGGACGATGAAGAAGGGACAGTCAGTAAGTATTGTGCTCCCTTGTCGCATACACTTAACCACACAATCATAGTACTCCCCTCCTAGAGAGCACTTCATAAACACAGTCTTGATATAGCCATTTTTAGCTCTCTTTGAGCGCCGTTTGGAAACCGCATAGCTGTGGTTCTGGGCAAAGTTGTTGATGAATTCAATAATAGTATCAGGTGAGTCAAATACTTCTTCTTCTAGACAAGGGGGAAGTGGAATTCGATTGTGAAGATCATTTTAAGATTCTGCATCATCTCCAGAGCTTTCATAGCCCTGGAGGAGGGACGCTAATAACTGATTTAAGGCCATCGAGTCGCTATGCCATAAGATAAAGGATGCAAATGTTTGACGACCTGCATCTTGTGTAACAATAAGACTGCATGCCTGAGTGCCTTAAGACCATTGAGCGCCGCTTTAATCTAGCCCTAACCCTAGATTCCATTGCCAAATATGGCAATGTTTGGAAGGAAATTTGATTTTCTGATCACATGACACGTGAAAATTATCCAATCCGTATAACTGAGTCACGTGGGGGTGTCGCTAGAACGACACCCTGGTGTCGCTGGAACTAGGGGGGTGTCGCTAGATCACCACCCTAAGATTATTGGACCTCCGCCTCACCAGCCCCTAGAGAGACCTGGAGATACCCGAGCAAGACTCAAGCTATATAATATTAATTTGGCTTGGATTTAGAATTCACAGAAAACGTATACAAAGCATCTCACCGAGGCTAGCATGGATGAATTGCATCTCACATGTACTCGACCCTGGAGATTGGATGTCCACATAAAGACCCAAGGACTGGAGAACTGTGGGTGTACGGGGGCCCCAGATGGACCGTACATTCCCATACAGTCACAATCAATCAATCCTCGGGATATTTACTCGTCAGCGACTCGGCGCACATACGTAAAGTGAGAAAAAGCAAAGGTAATAGATTTCTCATCATTGGTAATTTATGCCTTGTGTATATGGTTTGTAACCAGATTAGTGTATTAGTATCAATACAGCTCCGATACATTCCATACTGGCCGGAGACCGCGTCTCCGCCTCAGTTCTTCGGCTCGTTATTGAGCCGAGAACAGTTTTATCTGGGATAGTAATATAACCTGTCATAGTAATACAATATACTGTATCATATTTGCCAATCAAAGCAGTTTGTCAGCAAGCCATTAGCGCCGCCGCTCAGGGTCAAAAAAGCGCCATGAGACTATCGTGAGACTTAGAAATCGAAGGTGATTTATTAGAAATCAAACAAGCTGATGCTTTCCTTTTTACAGAATCAGTCAGGACTAGGAGTCAGGCCACCTTCTGCTCCATAATCAAAGCTCCTGAGCTCCACAGAGCAAACTTTATTCGTTGCCCTAGTTCGCATCCCCAGGTTCTATCAGACGAATATAAATACCAGCCCCTAACTCCCTAAGCTACTCGAAAAGAGAGAAAGGATTTAAAATGACAGATCTGACAAACAACCAACGAATCTACCTCTCTGCCTCCCTGGTTGCTCTCCCTCTGTTCGTGCTTTGGTCTTGGAGACAGCGCCGTTTGAACGCTATTGAAGCCGCCGAAATGGCCCAGACTTCTCCAAAGACTGTCGTTGTGATCGGCGCTTCGTGGGCTGGTATTAATACCACACATGGATTGTTGAAGGAGGTTCCCAGCGCCAAAGTGGTGTTGATCAATCCTTCTGGTAAGCTTTTTATCGGTAGTAGATGAAATTGCATACTAATGAACATAGACGAGTTCTACTTCAACATCGCATCACCAAGACTCGTCAGCAAACCCGGCGAAATCCCCAGAGAAAAATACATATACCCCATCGCTCCACTCTTTGACAAATACCCTAACGCGAAGAAGAACTTTGAGTTTGTCCAGGGCAAAGCTACCGCCATTGACCTCGAGGGAAAAAACGTCTCCGTTCAGGAAAGCACGGGTACAAGCCGAACCATCGCATATGATTATTTGGTTATTGCGTCCGGGAGCACATCCAACGCCACCACAGGCACAGGCAGCTTCCAAGTCCCCTTCAAGCAATCCAGCAGCACCAAAGTCGAAGCGGAACTCAAAACCGCACAGGAAACCATCAAGTCCGCCAAGAGTATTATCATCGGTGGTGCTGGTGCGGTAGGCGTCGAGTTCGCGGGTGAATTGGCCGAGGCTCGTCCCGATCTTGAGATTACTCTCGTCACAAACACGGATAATGTCTTGTTCGGTTTGAGGGAACCTACCCGTCAGAAGGCGGCGAAGATCCTGAAGCAAAAGAAAGTCAAAATCCTGACTAACAAGGCTGTTACTTCTGCTGCACCGGATTCAACTACCGGGAAATGGACTGTTACTACAGCTGATGGACAGACGTTGACCGCTGACATTTATGTCTCTACTGTCGGCGTTGTGCCCAACAATGAATTCATCCCGGCCTCTTTGCTCAATAAGGATGGCTGGGTGGAAGTTGATACTCATTTCGCATCCAAGGCTAACTCTTCAGTTTATGCTGTGGGTGATATCACGCATTACTCTGCGCGACTCGTGAGCCGTGTCGCCGGACAAGTCAGTGTTTTGATTTCCAATCTGAAAGCTGACATTACCGGAAAGGGTAAGCGAGGCGTCTATAAGACTGAGCAATCTCTGATGGTCGTTATGCCGATGGGCAAGTCGACGGGAACCGGTCAGCTGGGCAACTTCACGCCGCCAGGGTTCTTGGTGTCTTTCGTTAAGGGGAAGGATTACTTTACAGGTTCGGGAAAGAAGTTCATTGCTGGTTAGATATATAATGTGTATTACTGGTCTATACGTCAATACCCCTGTTATTTAAGCGTGAATCAATTGTTTTCTTTTTTGTTTATTCTACCTAGGTATTTTCTTGAGAATATACTAATAACGCAACGGCTCAGCAGGCGGCGCAGTCTCCGCAGCCTTTTCTATCCTCTCCATGATCTCCGGTGTCAACTTCTTCACCACCTCGACCGCCCTAACGTTCTCAAAAACCTGCTCCGGTCTCGATGCGCCAGTAATCAACGACGACACATTGGGATTTTTAAGTGCCCACGCAAGCGACAACTGCGCCAACGTAACGTTGAGTTCTTCGGCAATCGGTTTCAGATTCGCGACAACGGCCAGATTCTTCTTCCACGTTTCGTTGCCCCATGTCTTTGCGAATTGGGTTACGTAGGCCATCTTGCCGTCGGCTTCAGTGAGTCGGGAACCTGGTGGAGGTGCCTCGACATTGTTGTATTTCCCAGTCAGAATACCCTGTTTGAGCGGCGAGAAGACGGTTAATCCTAGCCCGTGCTCGGCGTATAACCATCTATACTCCTTCTCGACCCTCTGGCGTTCAAGAAGATTGTATTGTGGTTGCTCAACGACGGGTCCAATCAGTCCCAATTTATCAGCTATGCGCCACGCTTCGGCGATTTCGGACGCGCTCCATTCTGAGGTTCCCCAGTAGAACGTTTTGCCTTGGTCGATCAGATAATTGAATGCGCGCACGATTTCGTGCATGGGTGTAGTTCGGTCGGGACGGTGGGCGTACACAATGTCAACATAAGGTAAGTCGAGACGTGCGAGGGACTGATTCAAGCCTTCGATGATGTGTTTGCGTGAAAGACCGCGGTTATTGAGTGGGTTTTCGGGGTCTTTGGCATTATCTTGACCAAAGTACAGCTACCATTAATTAGCACTCGTTCATAGGAAAATAAGGGCTTTATTGGAGAAAGTACCTTGGTAGAAATAACCAAATCTCGTTGCTTCCAGCCAAATTTCTTGATAGCCTTGCCCATGACTACCTCCGATTGACCGCCAGCGTATCCTTCGGCGGTATCGAAGAAATTGATTCCAGCATCGTAAGCGGCTTTCATACAAGAGAATGTTTTTTCTATCGACGTCAGCATCTCCTTTTCGCGTCGGAACTGAAAATAAATACCATCTTCTACATGTCCACCATAAGTGAGCCATCCTCCTAGTGAAATCACTGAGACGAGTAGACCGCTATTCCCGAGATGGCGGTATTCCATTTTGGGGAGATCTTTGGGAAGTTCCGTAGTCATTGTGATCAATTGTGCCGATGATATTTTCTCTCTTTGAGGACAGAGTAATTCGTTTGAAGAATCGAGGATCAATAAAGTGGGCGAATCCCTGTTTATGTACTGTTGACCACTGCTTCTCTTCCTGTATAGGAAGGTGATTCTAATCTCCCCGCACTACGTTTGGTTCTGCATGGATTTAACCCTGTTAATTCCTTTTAATTCCTTGATTAGCAATCAAAAAGAGGTTTAAGCTCCTCGTTTCCACCCACTTGGAGCTTTCTAGTGGCCTTGAAGATTAAGCTACGCGCTAGAGTCTAAGAGATAAGTGTTTAGTGAACGAGCGGGGACCTAATTGAGAATATGCTCTCTGTGACATGTCGATAAGTTTGTGTATCCACTGAGGGGTTATGGCGTCAGAAGTCAATCTCATTCCGTTATAGCTAAAGAGCATGCTCAATCGGTGAATTCTTTTTCGCTAAGATGTGCCACTTCAGAAGAGGAACATGAAATGCGGCTGTTGAATCGGAAATAAGTCCATTCGTGGATTGATACTGTATTCAATGTTGTGCGGAGATTTTCTCAACAGCTCGCCACCATTACATGCCAGTACTACAGTATTTGATTTCAGTAGCATACTTGAAACTCATTTAGAAGAAAACGAGCATAAAAATATACTCGATAAATATTTCTTATGATATGCTACTTGCACCCTCCAAATTGGTTCCGTTTCGTCGTCTTCTGCAGAGTAGGCGGCTTCCGAAAAGAGAAAACTAGGGCTAGCAAGAAATCGGTGGAATCTCCGAAGCACTCGGAAATGGTCCGAAGTATGAATGATTATTGCCTACAACGAAGATAAGAGTACACAGACCATTTTGATTGAACCTTGTTGCTTGTAAGATCATAAGGTCAGTGATTCCGAGACTAATTATAGTCTCACCTCCTGAGTCGTATGTAGCTAGATGAGCGAACAAGACAAGCAATTCACAGAGATTCAACGCATCGAATCATCTCCTTATCAATACTTACAAGCAGCTAATCATTGATCACTATTACAGTATTACTGGACGATATTAATCCTCTGAGTCTATACGATCCATCCTGAATTCTTTACATTGATAATGATGGCTTTTGGTGTTTGCAAACTACCAATTAACGTCGTACAACACTGGCGCTGGACTGTGCGCAAGGCCATTCAAAAATGAACGACACATCATCAAGCCTTCCAACATCCCTTATCTCCGTCATCTTCAACCTGGTACTATAACAGAGACTGGCAAGTAGTCGGCTTAGTCCAGCCTGAACAATTACATTGGTGGTACCGACTCTAGACACCCGTAGCTGCTGCACCAGCAGCGGCGGTTGCATGATGACTGCTTAGGAAACTTGCCACAGAGGAATAGGCAGGTTTGGGATTGTAGTTGCTATCAAAGAGATCGGGTTTGTCGCTGGAGCGCCATGAGTCCTGCGATACCGGTCAGCATACAGACCTTAAGAGAGCCCAAGAGGTGAATATGTATACCTTGTCGGATGCTCCCCACGAGGTGATACCGGCGCATTTGGATACATTTAGGCATGCTTGGGCGACCTAGATTAAGCAATTAGGACGGTTGCCGTATACAGAGAGAACTGAATACTCACAGCAACGTAGTCACTAGGAGAAGCGCCGGCGATATCAAGTTCGGTGATAGCCACTTCTCCTACACCAGACGAGGCCAGAAGTTGAAGAGCAGTATAATAATGTCAGTTTCGATATATCGAGAGTAAAACAAATTATGAACTTGGGGTACTTATGCTTGAACACCAGATGCTTGGCCTGCACCGAGATGTGATTCAGAACCTGTATGCAGTTATGAGTAGCTGTAGACACTTGGACTGACAGAAGCACCTCTTACCAATACCGTCAATGGGAACACCAGCAGCGAGCCACTTTTTGACTTGATTTGCAACTCCGATGGTCTTGGAGTATGAAGCGGAGTCGAGACTGCAAGGGATGTACCGTGAGTCATTTCCATAAATTAGAAGAATCTCAATCACTCGAGTGACCTACTTGTAGTCATTCACGTAAAGTTTGACATTGGGATCTGCAGCACGGGCGGTCTCAAATGCGATGTTAATATAATCCGGACCGATCACGTTATAGAAGCAAGATTGGCGTAGACTGCCATCCTCATTGAAAGGCTCATTGACAACATCCTGGATACGTTAATATACATACTTCCACCCCAAGAGTCAGGGAACACACCCAGGCATAGAACTGGCCTTTGTACCGACTCACAACTGTAGTGATGTGGTTCTTCATAGCATTTGTAAGGGCAGTTTTGTCCTTGATATTGCAGACCCAGTTCGGTAGTTGGGAATGCCACACTGATAACATCAGCTCTTGCTTCGATGTCATTCAATGGTATACACTTCTGGAATACCAACCTAGATTATGGCCTCGAATCTGCTTCCCATTTTGCTTTGCCCAATTCACAAGCCAATCAGCCCCTGAAAAGTCGAAATTACCCTGACTAGCTAGAAGCACCTCAGCACTCTGAGTCGTAATTCCACTGCCTCAAATACTTCGGAAGAAGAATATGTACTCACGCTCAGTAGCATCCCATTTCATACTATTCTCCGGCGTAACCTGACCAAAATCGGCCTTGTAGATGGCCGGATTTTGCGAATTCTCAGTCAGACGACCTTGATCAGCACATTGACCCCAAAAGTGCTTCCCATCATTCTTGATTAAAGTGTCCAAGCTTGGAGAAGCTTGACGGCGGTCAACGGCCATTGCTGCTACTAATGGTAGAAGGCATAGTGCCAGTGATAGACGAGTCATTTTGTTTCTTTCTTCGGAGCGGTTATGGAGGACTACGAATGTGTGGTTGGTGACATGTATAACCCCAGGAGCAAGATGGATGGATTTTTATATCTGTGACAACTGTTCTACATGTTGAAGGTAAAATTGTATCCGTTCTCTCGGATGACTTGAATAATTTCTCCTAAAAGCCTAATAAAATCCTCAGGACTTCGTTTCAGGGGCTCTAATGTCGGTAGATTTTAGGAATATCTCCAGACGGAAATCAATAAATATTGTCCACCTACCAGATCATACAAAAGCCCCAAGGAACATGTGTTTATATATGCAAACAGTTCGGTTTACCATATGATCATCTTCCTTATTTTGCAGCGGAGTATCGGCGGGTTTCATATTAACTCGACGGTGCGACACATCGCGGCATCGCGTTTCCAGTTTACTTGCCGAGTTGTTTCAAGTTTCAACACATTCTAAGCTGGTCTAAAGATATGCTCAATGACATAGTACATACTATGCATTCGGCATTTCATCCTTGCTTGTTCAATCTTTTTTCTTCATGTCGGTTATTTGCCCCGGGTTTTCCCCAGATTTCGGAAAGTCATCTACGTATGTTCTATCAACTGTGGCTTGCGCTTGAAGATCATGACCCTCTTCTATCTTGGCATTATTATTCCGTAAACTATATCTCAGTCTATGATTTAAGCCTATTGCTTAACTCCTCTCATTTAGGCTGATCTGAAAGAAAGACCGACTCTCCCCGCTATTGATCCTGACGATCCTGATGGATTCTGACGGACCCCTCTGGTTAAACAGACTACAAATAAGAACAGAGAACCCCATCAACGGATGCAAATTTCGGCATTTGAGATGCAGGTGAAACATTTGTGTTTACTGTATTTGATGTAGAAGCTCCCAAGATGGTTACTTCTGGCGTTGTTGGATCCCAATGGAGACATGCTGCCTCGGTATAGTTTCAAGCTGTCTGTCATTCAGTATGATGGGAGGAAGGATATAAATTGGGGCATCTGATGCCTCAATCCAAGCATCTTGAAATATTCAAATTAAAAGTTGTGGTTGTTTGTATACAGAAATTCTGTAGCATTGACAACATGGCAATCCCCTTGGTCCTCCTTCTGGCATGGCTGCTGCCAACTGTATTCGCAGCAAGTCTCACTCAAGTGTCCAACTTTGGTGACAATCCCGGTTCATTGCAAATGTACATCTATGTACCTAATAACCTGGCCTCGAAGCCGGCTATCATTGTCGCTGTAAGTGAGATGCCAAGTCTTGCACTGAGCACTAGCTGACTTGAAGTATAGATGCACCCCTGCGGCGGAAGTGCCACTCAATACTACGGGATGTACGACTACCACACTCCCGCCGATCAATATGGATACATCCTCATCTATCCAAGCGCAACACGGGATCTCAACTGCTTCGACGCCGATACCGCGGCATCTCTCACGCACAACGGCGGTAGTGATTCTCTCTCCATCGTCAACATGGTCAAATACACCATCTCCAAATACGGCGCCGACTCATCCAAAGTCTACATGACCGGATCCTCGTCCGGGGCAATCATGACCAATGTTCTGGCCGGCACGTATCCAGACGTCTTTGCTGCTGGAGCTGCATTTTCGGGCATGCCGTTTGCATGCCTCTCTGGCGCTGGGGGAGCTGATCCGGCAATGTCGAATCAGACCTGTTCTCGGGGTCAGATCAATCATACCCCTCAAGAATGGGCAGCGTACGTCCACAACGCCTACCCGGGATATACGGGCCAATATCCCCGTCTACAAGTCTGGCACGGAACAGCAGATAACGTCATTTCATACACTGATTTCAACCAAGAGATTAGCCAATGGACCACCGTCATGGGTCTGAGTTTTACGAGTAATCAGACTAATACCCCTCTATCGGGTTATACTAAGATGATTTATGGCGATGGGTCAAGGTTTCAGGCGTTCTCTGCGTCCGGTGTAGGACATTTTGTGCCGACTGATGTGTCGGTTGTGCTGGATTGGTTTGGGATTACTGGTGGCGGTGGTGGTAATGGTGGTGGTTCTGGTTCGACGACGACAACGACGTCTGCGACGACTACTAGTACCGGTCCTACAGGGGGATGTACAGCGGCGCATTGGGACCAGTGTGGTGGGAATGGATATACGGGATGTACCAGTTGTGCCAGTCCGTATACCTGTCAGAAGGTGAATGATTATTACTCGCAGTGTCTGTAAACAGTTGCCTGGAACTCCAGGAAATGTGGTATGGATGATGACAGATTGTTATGGACATGGGAGGATTGTGATTGGGTCTAGTTGCCAGGCTCAATTTGATGAAATGTGCAATATGATATCTTTCTCTGACGGGTTCTCAAATTGAATATAATCTTGTGTTAGGTACAGCAAGTAATTGTATCCATTCTTCCCTGGACTGTGCTATCTGAACTGCCTATCCGTCAAAATCTCATCGACTGAATAGAGCTTCTCGTAGATAGATTGACTATATCCGATGATTATGATCATGATGCCAATGCTCCTGTTTGTGCAATGCAGTAGCAGTAGCTGGATTTCGAACTTCAACAACAACCGTTTCAGTCACAACGTCCCTCTCACACTTCGCAGATCTCGAATCAAAACGAGCAGGTGATGTGGCAGGAGTAGGTACTAATCCCCCCACAACACGAGCAACATCATCAACAACCCCAATACTAGGCACGGGCAAATGATCCGTCAAATCCAGCAACTCAGCTCCATAAGGCGCAGCCTTTTCCGGCCCTTCTTGGACGGGCACATCGCCCAATAAGCCATCACCATTGAAGAACGGATTCTCAGCCGTCAGTTCCTCTGGAACGGGGACCTGACAAGCTGATGCATCCTCATCACTCTGTAATGTAAACAAAGAGCAATCCGATACCTCCCCAGAAGGATTAGAACATTCATCCATCGCTTGCCGAAGGAAATCCGGCTGCCATCCCTGAATAAAATCACCATGATATCCGCACCCCGTCGGATCACCCGTAGCAAGCACAAACTGTCCATCCACCCCTTTAAAATCCTGAGTATCATACTTCGTCTCATAAAACAGACTAATCAATCTTGTCGCAAATCCCTCCGGACAAGTCCCATCCTTGACAAGATCTGGATAGGCCATGTGCGATTTATGATCGACTGAATCAATATCAACCCCATTCCAACATGAAGGAAACATAAGCTCCAATCTCAATCCGTCGGAACAATTCTCGTCCAGGAACTGCTTATCAGGTAAAGTATGCCTATACAACGAGTCCTCATGCGTATCACTATGATAATGCAAACAATTAAATCCCAACGACTTTTGCGCTAGAGAAAACTGCGTCTTTTGATCTGTCGTCCATTCCGAGGTCGGTGGATCGGGCACGGGGCCTGTAAAATTGCGTAAATACTGATCTCCAGCAACCATTCTAAACCCTGGAGGGAACGGCTGTGGGTTTTCGCCATACCCAAAGTAGTATATTAGAATACCACCGTCTTGGTTCACCATAGTACTGGATCTGTTGGGATAAAGGAACATTAGTGGTGGTGCCCAGTAGGCGGATCGGTCTTGGGTGACTGCGCAGGATGTGCAGGATGACTGGAGGAGGTCGTCTTGTGTGACGTTAGGGGAGAAGCCTAACCTGTCAGATAAAACTTATTATTCAAGGAAGAAACGGACGAACCTCCTGAGCCGAAGATAGTGTGTAAGTGGCTGTTGATTTCGCCAGGGGACATGATAGGGTCTATACGAGCGGCAACAGTGCGGCTTTTGCACGGTAGACGCCAGAAGTTGGATGCTTGGACTGCTTGGATAGCAGTGCTGGCGAAATAGGTGAGGGTAATGAATGAAGATCTCATTTTGATGTCGCTGTCTTGCGCCAAGTGTAGGGGGATGAAAGACTGACTGCCAAATACCTGCTCTGCTAGACGTCTATTCAATATTAATCACCGACTCGATACGCAGGGTCGGTAGGTTAGAGAGTATAACGAGCGACACTGCTGACCAGCAGAAAAAGAATAAAGGGGATCAACCCTCGAGACAAAGTTGCGATGAATGAATATACTGTATGACTACGTACTAGCAGCAAAGGAGAGACGAGGACGATGAGTAGAAAAAGAAGGAAAAAAAAACAAGGGGAGAAGGGCAGATTAGCAAGAATGTATCTCGAATGAATGGAATGTATGCCATCATCCAATGAATATCTTTATTTTCTACCAGCCAATAATCTTTGAAGCTATTGTACATCATTATGTCTTATTCTTTTTCCTGTCTCATATCGGTAGCGCTGGTAAGTGTATCATACAGGTCGATGTTGACTTTGATACAAACCTGCCTAAATAAGTAACATCAGCTGTAGTAGCCCTAACTTACTCAATACAGCAGATCCACTTGGACATGCTTGTCTATTATTCGCCCATCTACATTGCTCTCCTAGCAGATAGTGGCGTGCTTATCGAGATGCAATTCTCTGATAGGGCCAGAATGCATCTTATCTATCTAAATACGTAGTAGCTTAGGTCTATCAGAGATGAACATCATATTAAGATATTATTCTCACTCATACATCAATTGCTCATTAATCACATAAAACTTTTTTTGTCCGCGCTCCAAATGAAACTAACGCCGTAATTTTTTGAGACTCGACCATCATTCGTAGTAATCAAATAAAGTAAAATCGTCCCAAGCCATAGGTGACACCCAATATGCAGTTCATAAGAAGAGCAAATCATAAAAGGAACAACGCCCCGCAATGAGTAACTAAGAAAGAGAGAAGTCATAATGCAAAAAAAGATTTACAGCATCCACTGCAATCCATTCGCTTCTTCCTCGACGGGAAAGACTTCACGCGCGTATTCTTCCATGTCACGCCAGCCTTGCCACAACTTCCGAGCTTCATCCGTCACTCGCTGAGACACGACTCCACCAGGTCCCTGCATCATACCGGCACCCGCACCTTTTCCACCTGCTGGTCCAAGACCTTTGGGAGATCCGGCGGCGGGGGTATTGAATTCTGGCTGTGGGAAATACGGAGCCTCCAGTTGACCAAATAGGACCTCTAGGACCTCCAATTGTTCGCGATATCCCTCTGGAATCTTGACTTTGATTTCGATTTTTGATGTTCGTCGATATCGCACTCGTCGACCTAGGGCACGTCCAAACGCGGCGCAGACTTGTATCGGAGAGAGAGTCTCGAAGGTGAGGGCAATTCTGTAGAGTCAGTCAGTATACATTGCGTGACTGTAAGAGAAGATGAGACCAACCGATGACCGTTCCACCGCTTCGGACCATCCTTGAAAATCTGAATCAAGGCCGGTCCGACATCGTGCTCGGCATCAAGCCACGGCAGCGGCACATCCGGGTTAAACGGCGCCGCCCACTCAAAACTCCCGTCAGGCTGCAACTCCATCTGGAAAAGCGGGTAGGGAAGGCTGGTGAAATTATTGTTGTAGATGCCCGCATAAACAAACGTTGCCGGAATCCCGAGCTGTCTGACATAATTCTCCACGGTGAACTTGCACGCCCACATTGGCGGACCGGGCCAAGGGCCGTGTACGGAATGATCTGGCATGCTGCTGTAGATGTAATGCTGGATTGTGCCGGCGCGTTTGGCGGCGTCGGCCAATGCACGACCTATGACGACTTCATCGCCGGCTTGGGAGACTGTGTTGATGAATGCGAGTTGGGCGCCCTTGAAGATTTCATCCATTAAAGCTGTGTTGTTCAAAAGGTCGCCTTTGATGAGGGTGACATTGGGCAGACTGGAGAGCTCCTCGGCAATCACGCCTTTGAGGGTATGGGTATGGGCGCGAACGCCATACCCTAAGGCAGATGCCACTCGTATGAGAGAGGCTGCTTGACGCCCTGTGGCGTTCACCACCGCGATGGTTTTGTGCACCTGGGTCATTCGTGTATAGATGTTTTGGAATATAGAGAGAGAGAGAGAGAGAGAGAGAGAGAAAGAGAAAGAGGAAAGAGGAAAGAGAGGAGAGAAATCTGGGGAAGGAGGTGGGTTCACGTGACGATGCCGTGTGTAGCACTGTAGTAGTCTCTTTGGCAGTCAAGATGACGGTGGAATGAACAGTGGTGAGTGGTTCGCAATCGCACTGCTCGAACAACGCTTGAATGTAGGAAGAGAAAAGAATATGCTGACAGGAGTCGAGTCGAGAGCAAAGGAGAGAAGATAGGAAGATATACCCCAGTTGAGGACAGTCGCGACGGGCAAAGCGGATGGTGCAATCTGGCGGGCGAGGATCAAATAAGCGCACAATTCAGGGTGCCGAGTGGAGAATATTGAGTAATAATATGTTGCTTGTGCTGGCAGATGCTGATGTTCTGGCCGTCGCAGAATGGCTGTAGATGCGCTGAATGGGTCAGTTTGATGTCGTAAGTTGATGCTGATAATTTGTCTATTTTTTTTTTTTTTTTCTTTCTTTCTTTCTTTTGGCTCTTCTGTGTTTCTCTTCCTTCTTTGCCAGGCGGTATCCTCCGGTAGTATCCTCTTGTTGAGCTTCCCTTCAACAGACCTTGAGTCTTTCAGTCTTATGACCTCTCCGTCCTCACTGTGGAGATGAAATTTTTCTGTGGTACCGGCGGAGCAGCTCCGCCAACGGAAGAGAAATAGGGTTAGTTTTAGTATGGATGAAGTAAGAGAATCGCAAATGACTCTCAGAATGGTTCACTTTCGGATGGGAAAAAATGGAATATTATCCAATGGAATGAGCACTATTGTGCCAATACAGCAGTAAATTGAGGACCCGACTGGACTGCGCTAAGCATTGCGACGTCCGGGGAACTGGTAAGTGACCCTCCAGCACTGCGAATCGTTCTATCGAAGACGTTATTGGAATGAACTAGAAGTCTGTAATCAAGCAAAAGGAAGACATACCTCGCCAGCTGGCAGAAGAACAGAAAACAGGAAAGACTTTCCCGATTCGGCGCAAACACCACCAAGGTGCAAGTCACGCAGTATAAAGTGATGGTTCAATTGGAAGACAGTCGAAAGAGACCAGCAAAAAGGGCGTCCATTGAACGCTTTTCTTTACGTAACCAGGAACAGGAAGTGGATTCCTGTCCTCCACTTGGTATGAGTACCGTGTTGCAGCGGTACTAGGAATATTCTCTGCGTCTTATAGTTAGTTATATGATATCTATGTAGTACAGATAATGATAAGATATCGCTATCGACAGAATCAGTGTATACCGGAATGATCCGACTACGTATGTACTTTCCCCATGAAAATCCTCCACCAGTTTAAACTACCAGAAAAGAAATTTTTCCTGATATCCACTTCGCCCATATGAAGATCGCGGGGTAACCTTTGTACCTTGATAAGAGGTCAAAGCAATAAGTTAATACATATTGTGGTCTATTGAGCGACTGAGCTTATTGAAGAGAATCCGATGCCGGATACAGCCTTATCAGCAAAATGACGTGACATCCACAATCTATTACCTAAAACAGGCTTAGCGAGACCCGCTTTGAGTAATTTTCATGCTATGCGCGGTCTGATTGGTTGCTTCGTTACGCTCCGCGGAAATGCGTTTCAGATAAGAAGGGTTAGGGTAATGATTGTTTCATATTGCACCATGTCATGCAATATTACTTCATCCTGAATAGGGTTATATACCCTAAACCCTAAACCATTAACCCTGATCACTGATCCCTAATCACTGATCCCTTAACCCTGATCCCTAATCACTGAACACGGAACCCTAAACTGCTCCAAGCTCAACCCTATAAACTCAACCCGTCTTTTTGTAGATGTATTAATAAGAGTCTATGATGAATCTATGTTTTTATATGCGCCTGCTATAACCATCTTCATCGTCTATTCCCCCAATCACTCCGAAACCTCCGCCGTAGTCGCTCTCGCCTCTCCCTTGCTCTCGACAAAATGCTGGATCCTTTTCCGCGGCAACCACGCATCTTCGGGTGTGAACCACCACGAGACAAGAGCGAAAATAGTCACGCCACCCATAATGACGGGTGCATCTATAACATTAGCTTTTACTCTCCAATCTGAAAGGTAGAGAGAAACATACAGTTCAACGTCTCCCCAGTCACCGGAAACGAGTACGGCGAATACAACACAGCCACCACCCACCCATTCCAAAAGATCGAAATAATCTGAAACGGCTTACTCCATCTCCCCAAACTCCATTTCGGCTTCGGGAAGGATTTGGGCGTAAGAAACACTCTTCCAAGACAAATCAATCCATAGGCAGCCGCAGAGGGGACACCGGCCGCTGAAATGAGCGAGGTGAATGCCACCGCGGACGGGAGGATGGTGCAAGAAACCAAAGCGGCGACGGCCCAGACGACGATTACGGCGTTACGCGGTTGGCCCTCGGCGGAGACTTGGGACACCCAGCCCGAGAAAGGGAGGACGCCGTCACGGGCTACGGCGAAGACAAGACGGGAAGCCGCGACGATGGCGATTGCGGTGTTCTGATTATTAGTTTCGGAAGACAGAAAAGGGGAGGGTCTACTTACAAACCACAAAGCGACGATGCAGACGATATTCATAAAAATATGACCACCTTGCCCCAAGACCACGGCATAAAGGGAGACAAACGGTTGAGGCGCGCCAAAGGAGAAAAGGGTATCAGGATCAGGCTGATATGTCAGCATTTATTTTTCTTTTCTTTTTTTTTTTTAAAAAAAAAAAAAAAAGAAATAGAAAAAGCAGGAGGGGCAAACACACCGAGCAAAAAAGAAAGAGAATAATGACAACCAATCCACCCAACCCGCTCACAACAGTACTCCAGAAAATACCCCGGGCAGCAACCACAGAGGCATTCTTGGTCTCTTCGGCAACATGTCCCGAAGCATCGAACCCAATCAGAATACCGGCTGTAGCAAGATAGGACAAACACCAATTCCAGCCTGGAGAGGCCCCGGTGCCGTTGTACGTTGTCATGAAAGCTTCATGGGCTGTACGGAAACCCCAGCTATTCACGACTCCAATGGGGAGCCAGATCATATTGAGTAAAAAATCAAGAAGGACCATTGCGGAGGAGCAGTAAAAGACCCATCGGAAGTATTTCGCTATACCCATTAGCTATATCTCATTTTCATTCCTCGATGGTGACTTACGAGGTATAAAGTTGATCAGCGCAGCTAACGCAAGCAAAACCTCGGTGCAGGCCCATTGCACAGCCCGGAATTTGACATCACCCGGATCAGTAGGAAAATCCAGATTGAACACGGTGATTTCCTTTCCCGTCAGTCCAGCGCCAAATCCAAAGGCAAGAAAAACTTACAGAAAGCATGTAATTCACCGCAGCCTGCGTATTACTAGCACAAAACGTCGTCCAGGCCGTAGTACTCCACCACGCAACCACAAATCCCAACAAACGACCATATTTGGGACCACCGGCTTCAGCGGCCCAGAGATAGATGGAGCCTGCAGAAGGTGAAGCGGAGCAGACTTCGGCAATGACGGCGGCTGTTATGAAGCTGAATACGAGTGTGACGAGGTAACTCGTCCTGTCCAATCTTATTAGCAATTGACAAGCGAAAAGCCGGGGGAAACTCACCAGTAAGCGAGGTTACCACCACTGGCAATTCCGGTGCTGAAAGTGACACGAACACCACCGACAAAGTATAGAGCCGCTTGATTGACGTTAGCTGCTGTACCATGTAGTACGATCACGAAAACATACCAAAAGTAGTCGAAAAGTTTTCTAGAAAAGTATATGATCGATGGAGGACCTGTGGTCCATCAATACCTCTGGCAAACTTTCAATCATGCTCTCATTGAGATATACCTGTTTGTATCCCAGCGTTTCCTATAACCAGTCAGCCTCGGAAAGAAGACTGAGCTCATTCGAGCTTGAATTCATAGATTTTTTTTTGAGAGGGGCGTATTTTTACCAATAACGCAGCATCTTCATCAATGGAAGACGGATCCCTCGAGTTTTCCTCTACAGTAGCAGGAACAGGCACATCGTCCTGTTGCGCGAGTTGCGACATTTTACCCAATTGCGCCGTGGGGTGATGCTCCCGAATCCGTTCGCAAGTAAGCCGGAAAAAAAAATTTTTTGAATCAAAAATAAAAGAAGAAGGAAACAATATCACACGAACAAATAAAGAAATATATTTGTCTCGCCTCTCATGACAAGCTAGCTAGCTCTCTTCCTAAAAAGTCCGATCTTAGCTCTCAAGACTATCGCCCGAGCACATGAAAATTTTTGTTTCTGGACGAGTTTAGCGCTGGTTTAAGCCTAAAGGTTTGGTTACAATGCTTCACGTAAGCTCTTACTGGCCCCTCTTCTGTCAACTAAGAAGATGCTTAATTTTCTTGTTCCTGTTTTTTGCTTACTTACGATCTTATGTCATGTCATTCTAGACTTTTGAGTGGATGGACCGGTGTACTGATTTGGTAAATTCCATCGTATGATTTATTGACGTTTTAACAGTGTGGATAGCATGTAAAGATTAAGAATTCCAATCAACCAACGCATCCTCACCAACAACATCCTGAATCATCTTCTCGCTCAATTCCCATAGCGAATCTCCCAACGCCGGACCAGACGCCTGCTTCGACCGTTGTCCCAATTGTCCTGGATCCGTGAAATAATGGCCATTCCAACCCTTTTCTTCGACCTCGGGACTAACTGCTGCGTACAGAGCACTGTAGGCGCCTTGTTCGGGGTCGCGACTGATGGCTTGCATTGTCGCGGTGAGCAGTTTTCCGAGAAGGCCTGGGTAGGCTTCTTTCCATTGCTGTTGCATTGTTGTATTGACCTTTTATTTGTCAGTATTGCGATACCGGTACAAGGGGGAAATTGAACGTACCGCGCCAGGGTGTACGCTCAAAGCATAAATATGATCATGATTAGGCTTAATAACCTTCTGCACAAGCCCGTAATCAACACCCAGAATAATCGCCAACTTCGTCCGGGCATACAAGGCCGCACTCCCAATGTCCGGGTTATTGATTTCCTCCTTGGAGCTGAATTTGACATCAGACGGTGCCATGCGATGCAACTCGGACGATTCCCAAACGATCCGGGGAGCGGGTGTATCGGGTAGTCTTGACGTCTTGCGCAGGAGGGGATACAACTGATTAACGACGTAGAATTGACCGAGCCAATTAATCTGGAAATGCGAATCGATCTTGTCGTTCGTTTCGCGGTATTGGTTTGCATTGATGCCGGCTGATAATACCAACTAGTTATCATCAATCAGCACTGCTATCCTCTATGGCAGGGGCGGGGGCATACCAAATCGAGTCTCTCCTCCTTCTCCCTCATGTTCGTAAATACGTCCCTAATCTGTTTCAAATCACCCATGTCGCATCCAACCCAATCGATTTTGGCCTTGTCTTCACTCTCTTTCTTGATTGCTGCGATTGCCTCGTCGCCTTGCTCCGATTTGCGATTGACCATTATCACGCGAGCGCCTGCTAGAGCAAAGGCGCGTGCGACTTCATATCTATCAATTATTAGATGAGCGATTGAAATTTTAGGCTGAAGGAAAATACCCAATACCTAATGCGCCGCCGAGGACGACTGCGACGCGGCCGTTTAGGTTGTCTGGTGTCACCTTTTTGGGACCGATGATGGAGTGAAGTGCAGACTGCATTACGAGGATTTACAGATCTGAACTGAATATGGAAATCAAAGTGTCTAAGAGAAGAGTTGAGGTTAAGTATTATTGAGGCTAAGTATATATTTATGTCGTTTAGGGTTATGTTACGTCAGGGCGACTCATAGAATTATAACCGTGAATTAATGGTTTAACCTGATTTTATAGTCATCCCCAACACATTCGATCAGTCCATGTCAAGAGTTGAGGTCTGAATCGGGCCAATAGATATTTATTTCTGTTCAGGCTGTACATCACTTCCTTAGGAAGACTTCCTCCCCAGCAGTCTTCCATTCATGCATAATCCCATCAACATAAGCTATCTTGGTTGACCACAATAGGAAGGTAAATTTATTGCACATGGAATTCTCTACTTAGTGATGAGAGAGGCATGCTTGATCATAACATGCTTTTGGCTATGAATCGGGCTTTCAATACCTAGGTAACCAAGCATAACAATTGCTCCATTGGGACAGAACAAAAGTCCAGCCGCAGCTGAATAGACTTGTCAAAGTATTAAAACTTTGTTAGTCATTGTTTGAAATATTTGTCTCTGTTATGCTCTTGTCTGGGATGGGTTGGGGTTTGCTTTGCAGGTCCAGATTAGGGCATCACGTTAGGGCTTTGAAGTTGATTACCGGATTGAGTCCGCTTCGAGAGCTACACTGTTGATGCGCTGCCTGGAATATATTCCATTACATAAAATGACTTTCATCCATGAATTTCAACGTCTTTCTAAATTGAGTCTCTGTATCCCTCCAGGGCTAGTCTATTACCGTTTACTACTTTCTTTCCCCATTCATATCCGCTACTAAACCACTTAGGTAATGGATATGCTTAAAAAGTCTCATCTGATATCTCGTTAAGAATGTTAAATTTCGTAGCTGAACATTAATACATCGTCCAAGCACTTTCCAGGGAAGGAAAGCTGTGATCTTTGTCTTGCTTGGTGGCTTGTCGATAATTGCTGAATCGTCTGAATCGTCGGGATGGGGCCGACGCATGTTTGTTTTGCTGGACATGTGCGTACTAGTAGTCATGTTGTATATAGACTCAAGGTAAGAGAAATACTATATAAACCCCTAGGTATCCCTACCTCTCAGAAGCCTTTATTACAAGCAGATTTATCAATCCATCTTACTACACATAAGTAGACGGACCGCATTTCTCGAACACTCGACTAAATCAATACTTCAGCATCTCAACCCAAGTCAGACGAAACACCAACCACCAAAATGAAAACCTCCATCACCACCACCATCATCACCCTCCTAACCACCAATACCCTCCTCCAAGCCCAAGCCGCAACCTGCCAAGGCTCCCACGGCGGCGCCTGGGGGGGCGCAACCTGGGAATCCATCAACAAAGCAATCGCGCAAACATGCAACTCCCAACCTTACAACGACGGCTACAAAGCCGTCGAAGTAACTGCCGGTTACCAAATCGCCTCTGCAGAAGCTGATGTTGGTACGGGTGGTTCACCGAATTGTTGGGCGGCTATGTATCAGATTAGGGATCAATGTTTGGATACTGGGAAAGGACATTATGCGACGCAGGGGGAGTGGCAGTATGGGGATGAGTATTATTTTTTGTGGGCTTGGGATCAGGCTGATTGTCGGCATCAGCTTGCTGGGTATGATAATCCTGGTTGTTAGAGTGTTCAGTATATATTTCTGGTATCCATGGATAAATGGCTATGACCTTTAAGTAGTGGTGGCACAAATGTTTCGTTCCAGCGTGACAAATGGTACAAAACAAGGAGATGATGGAGAGTGCTCTATCTAGATAGAAATGAATATAGATATCATTACCATGTTGCCAATATTACTCCTGAAGATAGTCAGAAATTTCCATGAAGCAGACCTAAGTCTTAAGACTCACAGCAGGATTAGTCGGCTCCTAGACTCAGCAAGTGCTCAGTGAGCAGGAATCCCCGGAAAAAAAAATATACACAAAATCGATCACGTAGCTAAGCTAACCAACGATAGATATCCGTCACATCCAATATTCTGAAATGACGAATCAGCTAAATCGATAGAGATTCAGCCCTGAAGGCGATATTACCAATCACATCAATATACAATGACCAGATCGCTGACTCTCAAGCTCAACCTTTCTCAAATTAACAACCGGAAACTCCGAAATATGCAATTTCGCACTCGCAAAAGGAACCAATTTCACCGCAAAAGGTTTCCCAGTCGCTGATGGATCGGCCGGAGGAAGTCCTGCGCAGTCACCCTCCAACTTCCAATTCGAGATCTTTGTTCCAGCCACAGTAATGGAAACTGGAGGTGCACCGGATTCAAAGATGGGGTTTGGCAGGTCTCCTTTGACTTCTGATCGGTGAAAGTGCATTTGGGATGGATCAATGGCCACTTGCCAATCACCTGCTGGAATATATTCTACATCACGGAGTTTTGAAGAGTAATTGGCGTCTGGTAATGGTTTCCATTCCGCAAAATGTGTCGGGGGACCAACTTTGGCCTTGTGCGGAATTTCCATGGCGTACAATAGTGCGCCTCGATATATGGCAACTGCATTGTTCGGTCGTGGCACAACACGTACTTCAGCGTTCAGTGTGATCCTAAAAGCGGTCTTGCCGGGTGCGATTGCAATCTTATAAAGGCTGCTTGCATCCACTTCTACTGTCTCTTCCTTGACTTCATCAGTATCTAAACTTCTGTTCACGGTGGTGCCTTTAGTGGCCCATTCAGGAACCCGAATATAAAAGTTGAAAGGTCGACTAGTTTCAATCTTGTAGGTGATTTTCTCGTCGAACGGGTAATGTGTCTCGCTGACAATATGTATAGGTTTGTCGCCTTTGACAGGAATCGTGACCTCTGCCGGCACGAGAAATTGATGTGAAATGGACCTCAGATCCGAGCTGGCAACAAAAGCGTTCATTGCAAATTTCGGCATAGCCTGAGAATGATTGACCAAGCAGCATGGCTGTTACTGTTAGTTAATGCATCTTTGTTTCGCGTAGACGGAAACCCACGTAATTCACTTCCAACCCATACACCAAGGCACGCCCGCCACAGTTGTAGAATGGCCAGTTGTCGAGGTTTCTTGCCCAGGTTTCATTGCTCTGGGTCAGGTAGTTATGAGCCCACCAGTCCGGTGTCATACCGGCTGGCAACCCATTGAACGTGGCAAGTTCGGCTCTGTCGGCATAGCTATTATCACCAAACAGTCGATACATATACGAAAGAGAGAAGATCAATTCTGCTGTTCCACAGAGCTCTGCACCACGTTTGGGATGAAGGCCAGCCAAGAATTCATCGCCTGAAAGTGCTCCGAATGTTGTGCCGTGATATTTGAACACCATATCGACGGATTGACGGGTTTTTGTAATTAATTCATGGTCATGATTCATGCGATAAAGCTGCGGCATATAACGTAGCGCTGTGGCCGGTCAGTAAATCAACTCCATAAGGAGAGATGACAACATACCCTCTGAAACGTTTACCACATGTTTGATGAGTGTGGACCCAGGAGCCGCAGGCTTCTTGGGGAATTGCTCCTCGATAAAGAATTTGGACCAATCCCGATCTCCAACACGAGTAGCTTCCCAGGCAAGGTCCATTGTTTCCCAAATCAATTCCTTGTCCCGCTTATTGCTCACCTGCTCATATAACCATTGCAAGGACGTGGATAACTCATGCGCGCGCGTAATACAAAACTCATCAAACTCATCTCCAGGATGAGGTATAAGTCCTTGGAAGTTGTCCTTCAACATAGAATGAACAAGTCTGGTAAAACGGAGCAGCGAATCCACAATGCGATCGTACTGAGACGGATCGGCAAGGGCATGATTCACCATGCCCATCATGACAAGACATCGAGCCCATATCCCCCGGCTATGCTTTGTATGTTCCGGCCCAATCCATCCATCTGCATGCTGGTTCTTGAGAGTCCGGTCGAGAAATGCATTGGCTTGTTCCTTCAATTCGTCGTCGTCGAGTACATAGGCAAGTGGTACGATATAATTGTACCAGTAGGGAGCAGATTCGCGCAAGGGGCTGTATTCAACGTCACCACCAAGCCAGCTGGTGTCTTTTACGAACCGATGGAAGTTGTAGAGGTTGCCGCCCAGTCCAGCAGCGCAGAGTTTCAATTGGTCACGGATCCACCCTCGAGGCTGTACGGAGCCGGGTGGGAGAAGCTCGAATGTGAAGGGAACGAGGGTTCGTGACCTCATTCTGAAGGTAGATAAAAGTCAGGAGATATAGAAAAATAATGCCTCATGTTAGGAACGATCAGGAGAAGAGACAATGGCTGGGGGGGGGCGCAATGAAGTCACGCCGCCTGACAACCTGGGGTAACAGCACTAACATGTACGTAAAGTATATAAGAGAGATAACCATTTCAGACAAAAAAATTTGGCCCTACCAACCAAAAAGGCAAGATGGCCGAGCGGTCTAAGGCGCTAGCTTAAGGTCCAATCATATCGTTGATTGTGGTTTCGCTAGTCCGAAAGGGCGGTTAGTATTCCTCTCCCTGATCCCAGTAATAACATGTCACTGATATCCCTCTTAGTGGGTTCGAATCCCACTCTTGTCAAACGCATCTTATTTTTTATTTTTTATTTTTTTTTTTTTTTTTTTTTTTTTAATTTTTTTGCAGTTCTTTTTTCCCTCCTTGATGTGGTATAAAATTCTTTATACCTGTTGATTTGTATGATATGTGTCTAGGAATAGAGACATAGTAGACACTTGGGCACACTTCAGAGCTGAGACTATTTAGTTCGGATGGCGGAGTCTTCCCCGCATCACCCCAACTTTTCGTATGATATCAGTCAGTTGATTGATTTACCGGCTTATGCGCCAATGGAAAGCAGCCGAGCATCCGATGAGGCATCGTGGTACCAGTAGGCGTTTTCATGTAACCACAACCACCTGGCTGATTAATTAGATTGTCTGATATGAATCGTGGAAAGTTAGGGCATCTTGCTAAGGACGGAGTCATGGCCTGCCTGAGGTACCGAGAGGCCATTGCTACCTTCTCCGCTTTGTCTACCCCTTGCACCTTCTTTCTTCCCCTCCTTCATCTTCTGACACCATGTTATTTTCTTCTTGTCAATTACTCTGCCAGTAGAGCATACCGTCTCTCTATGTTGAATTCATAGAATACTGACACGATGAGCTGGCTAAAGAAGGCGCCGGCCCTGGCGTCATTCTCTTTGGTAATCCCTACAAGCCCAGCGAATTTACGCATACTGGGATGCTTAGGTATGAACATGATTGTTATCAATCTGCGCCACATCAATACTCACGTCTGCCTACAGCATGGCAACGATTCCACTGTCTCAGAACAACTTCGCGTCCACGGAGCCATAGACAGGATCGCTTTCTCGTAGCAAGCTCGGCACCTCACAGGCACAACTTTGCGACGGCATCTACCTCTTGCGTAGTCGTCGTGCCCTACCAATCGCTCACCGTTGGCATTCCGCGCGAAACATTTCCCAACGAGCGTCGCGTGGCCATCACGCCGCAAAACGTAGCGCTTCTCTTGAAAAAGGGCTTCTCGAGGGTTCTGATAGAGACTGGTGCTGGCGTCGAGGCTCAGTTCACTGATGAAGCTTACAGAAAGGCCGGCGCAATCATCGTTGAGGGAGATGTAGTCTGGTCTCAGAGTGACATTCTCCTTAAAGTCCGCGCCCCCAGCATAGATGATGCTTCTCAGAATGAAGTAGATTTGATACGCGAAGGTGCAACCGTCATCTCGTTTCTTTACCCTGCGCAGAACAAACCGGTCGTCGAGGCTCTCGCAAAACGTGGCGTCACGTCTTTTGCTATGGACAAGATTCCTCGAATATCGCGAGCTCAAGTATTTGATGCACTAAGGTTTGTTACTATACAGTAGCCGTTGCTGCCACATTTGCTGAGAATCATGGCGATCAATAAAACAGTTCGATGGCAAATATTGCCGGGTATAAGGCTGTTTTGGAAGCTTCAAACGAGTTTGGCCGTTTTCTTGCTGGTCAAGTGACAGCTGCCGGGTAAGCAGTTCGATTTGAAGCCTCAAGAGTAGAGAGCTGACGTATAGCAGAAAGGTAATTTTACTTGCACAGTTCCAGTGAGCTCGTATTGACAGGAGCAGATACCCCCTAGCAAAGTCCTCGTGATCGGAGCTGGAGTCGCCGGGTTGAGTGCAATCGGAGCTGTATGTGTCCTCCGGAATTGATATGGAATGATTGCTGACAATTCATGTTCATGATAGGCACGTCGCAACGGCGCAATTGTTCGCGCTTTCGATACACGCCCCGCAGCTCGTGAGCAGGTACAATCCCTGGGTGCAGAGTTCATTGAAGTCGATATAGAGGAAGACGGCTCTGGTCAGGGTGGATATGCCAAAGAAATGTCGAAGGAATTCATCGAGGCAGAGATGAAGCTGTTCATGGAACAATGTCGAGAAGTGGATATAGTCATTACAACTGCTCTAATACCTGGTCGGCCAGCACCGAAACTCATTACTAAAGAGGTATGGCTCTTTCCTTTTACTAAGATCTACTCTCTCATTCTTATAGATGGTAGATGCAATGAAACCGGGATCGGTGATTGTCGATCTTGCTGCCGAAGCTGGAGGCAATTGTGAAGCTACGGTTCCCGGAAAACTGGCTATATATGACGGAGTGAAGGTCATTGGTAAGGAAATTCACTCTAGTGGTGACTGTTCAAGGCCATGCTGCATTGAGATATTGACGACCCCTAGGATACACGGACTTGCCTTCACGGTTACCAACTCAATCATCTACATTGTACTCAAACAATATCACAAAGTTCCTTCTCTCTTTGGCAGACAAGGATAAAGGCTTTAATATTGATCTAAACGACGAAGTGACACGCGGCGCGATCGTAAGCCTCAACGGCGAGATATTACCACCACCTCCGCCTCCTACACCTCCTTCAACACCTACTGCTGGCACAGTACAAGCGCCGGTAAAAGAGGTGAAATCAGTAGAATTGACGCCATGGAAAAAGGCAACGCGCGAAGTGGTCACAGTGACTGCGGGTATGGGATCAGCTCTCGCTTTAGGGAAGCTGACTGGCCCGGCATTCATGGGTAACATGTTTACTTTTGGATTAGCTGGACTTGTTGGTTATCGCGCAGTATGGGGCGTCGTACCTGCCTTGCACTCTCCTCTGATGAGCGTGACTAACGCCATTTCCGGTCAGTAATCCTAGATATCCCTATACGCTGTGAATAATACTGACTTGAATAGGGATGGTTGGTATCGGAGGTCTCTTCGTCATGGGTGGAGGTTATTTTCCAACTACCATTCCCGAGGCATTGGGAGCACTCTCTGTTTTGCTCGCATTTGTGAATGTATCTGGAGGGTTTGTAATTACTAAACGCATGCTGGACATGTTTAAGCGTGAGTATGTCCCTGCCGGTATTGCATGTGATTCTAACCGGTACAGGCCCTACTGATCCTCCGGAATACCCCTGGTTATACGCCATCCCTGGAGTTCTCTTCGGTGGAGGATACATTGCTGCTGCTGCCACTGGCATGGCAGGACTTGTACAGGCTGGATATCTCGTTAGTAGCGTACTCTGTATTAGTAAGACGAGCATGGTGGCCGTATACATTTACCAGATGATGCTAATACATATACTAGGCTCTATATCTGGTCTGGCGTCCCAACTGACTGCACGTCGAGGGAACATTCTTGGAATTCTCGGTGTCAGCTCAGGATTTCTGGCCTCACTACTCGCGGTCGGATTCTCTCCGGAGACCTTGATACAATTTGGCGCGGTTGCTGGTATTGGAGGTTTGCTAGGTATAGCTAAGCAAGAGATTTTGTTTGTTCAATGTCAAACTGACTGAACTAGGCGCCGTAATTGGCCGCCGAATCACTCCAACTGGCCTGCCACAGACAGTCGCTGCCTTGCATTCCGTGGTCGGTTTAGCAGCAGTCCTTACGAGCATCGGCAGCGTCATGGCAGAGATCGGTCATGTTTCGACACTGCATATGGTGACAGCATATTTAGGAGTCCTCATCGGTGGTGTCACATTTACCGGCTCAATCGTGGCATTTTTAAAACTGGCTGGGCGCATGAAGTCCACCCCCACTATCCTGCCAGGTAGACATGTCATCAATTCATCGCTTCTTGGAGCGAATATTGCAACGATGGGGGTATTTGTCACCATGGCTCCGGGAGCGCCTGTGATTGCTGCCACTTGTCTGGGTACAAACACCGCGCTGAGTTTCTTGAAGGGCTATACGACAACGGCCGCCATAGGTGGTGCCGATATGCGTAAGTATTTTATTTCGAGGATCTATGGAGTGTTCTGACTGATGTGTAAAGCCGTCGTAATTACCGTCCTGAATGCATATTCTGGCTTCGCGCTGGTTGCCGAGGGATTCATGCTGGACAACCCTCTGCTTACGACAGTTGGCTCGCTAATAGGAGTCAGTGGCTCTATTCTATCATACATCATGGCAGGTTTAATCTCCTTCATATTCGGGATATATCACTGACACTGGGTAGTGTGTTGCGATGAATCGGTCCCTCACGAACGTACTCTTCGGCGGCATTGCACCAATAAAAGCGAGTAAAAAGATTGAGGGTGAGGTTGCGACGACGTCTGTGGACGAGACTGCGGATGCTCTGGCTAGTGCGGAGAATGTTATTATTGTAAGAGGCAGATACTGGAATTCTATCTGCTTTCTCTAATATGACAGTAAATAGGTCGTGGGCTACGGTATGGCAGTCGCCAAAGCACAATATGCCATCTCAGAGATCACCAAGATGCTACGTGCTAAGGGTGTCAATGTACGATTTGCAATACACCCGGTAGCAGGCCGTATGCCTGGTCAATGCAATGTACTCCTTGCGGAAGCCTCCGTTCCTTATGACAGTGAGTTCATTCCTTCTTACTCAGAGTGCCATTGTGCCTAATTATTACTGTATCCAAGTCGTGCTTGAAATGGAAGAAATAAACGACGACTTCAGCGATACAGATGTTACTCTCGTCATCGGTGCAAACGACACAGTGAATCCGATCGCCCTCGAGCCAGACTCACCCATCTCAGGTATGCCAGTGTTACAAGCATGGAAGAGCAAAGAGGTCATTGTCATGAAACGCGGAATGTCAAGTGGGTATGCCGATGTGCCGAATCCGATGTTTTATATGCCAAATACGAAGATGCTATTTGGGGATGCGAAGAGTTCATGTGATGGTACGTTTGAGTATATTCCTATTCCTGTCTTGTAAGTTGTTACACAGGCTAACCATTCGAACAGCTATTAAGAATGTATTGGAGGGTCGGAAGTGATTTAGCGTTCTCTTCAAGGATCATTTTGTTTAGATGCTGCACATAATGTACAAATGATACATTGATCTAGGGCTAGCAGATTAAGTCTCAAGGTATCAATCTCATTACTGTATGAGTATCAGTCAGTAATTTTCAAAGGAGCAAGCAGATATTGTAAATCAAACTTGATACATTCATCCTGTCAATGACTAATCATACATAACTAAGATGCATCACACCCTAGCCTAGGGCTACCCAACTAACAATTCATTGCTCTTAAGCATAAAACCAACAAAAAAATCCTCAACAAAAATACAAAAACGCCACTGTTATAACATACACGTAACTCCCAAAGATAGCTAAGCCAAAAGAACCCTGAAAATAAGCACCGATCAAGAAAAAAAACCTCTTTTTCCTGACCGTATACATGACCGCGTACATGTCATGTACTGACCATAAATCCATAAACCAATCAACGCCTCGCGCAGAACCATCCAGGGAGAGAAAGCAAAGCATAAGATCAACAAACAGGTAATTTGCGCTGGGGTCCAAATAGCATTTAAAACATGGGGACGGGATATCATCGAATCATCCATCGTATCCTAGAGGTAGCTGATAGTCGTCTGGGGCTGGGCTATATAGGGATTTATTTATGGGAACGTTGTTTCCCTAGACCCCGAAATCCGCCCATTAATAACCTCATTGTACTGGACGAATGTGAATGATTGGATGATTTGCTGGTCGTTGACGAGGTCGCTGTAGATATGAATGGTTTTTGTGTCGTAGATGTTGTGGTAGGTGCCATGGAACCACTTCGAGTCCGAGTTCGTGAAAGATCAAGATTCTCAGGGGTAGTGGCAATACTTAGAGATAAAGATGGATTATGGAGGCGAGAATAGGGGAATGTCTTTTGCATTGGGTGGGTAGATGATCGTCGATATTCGATGACGGGGGACCAGTCAAAGGTATGGTGGGATGTGATTGCTGACTGTGTGAATCTCGGTTGTTGTTGTTGGAAATCTGCGGTTACTGGAGATGTTGGTGTTGTGATTATTGAGAGGGGATGGGGTGTTGGTTTTGTGGGTTCGTTTTCGCCCGGTGGAGGTGATGATGAGGTGGGATGATCGACGACGGAGGAAGAGGATGAGCTTGAGTATTGTAGCGAGGTATTAGACCAATTATATGTGTGCACTTGTTTCCAAGACACCGAGCTTCTGGTTGTCATGTCGCTGGCAACACTTGAGCTGCGAATGGAGCGTGGTCGTGAGTAGTTTGGTGGTGGTTCGTAGTCTGGTGTATGTCGACTGCTGCTTCTGGAATAAGAGCGAAGAGATGGATTGCGGCGTGGACGGGATTGTTGTCGTTCTGAAGAGTTTGTATTTGTACTGGCGTTGCTGTCCTTTCGTGATGTCCTTGGATGAGATGAGTTTCGTGCTGGGCTTTGTGAAGAGTATGCTCGTGTACGATTTCGAGAATCGAGATATGCAGCCTCGCCGTTGTGGGTGAATTCACGGGAGAATATGGCCGAATAACGTTTTGAGCGGTCCGGAGAAGTAGTCATTCCCGATGCACTTGAAGATCTCTTGGTGGAGGACCTCTTGCGGAGATTGTCCGAAACATTCTGCTCAGTAGATTGTTGATTTTCAACCGGATTACCCATTCGAGCAGTTAGAATAGCTTCAGTTGTGACATTCTGAATAATGATAATACTAGGTTTAGAAGTAGGTGCTGTGAAAAACACCTGTTTTGCTTCAGACACTTCATGCCATTCGGGTTCATCGTTATCTTCAGCATCTGCTTCGTCCCGAGACGAACTCTCGGATCCGTCTGGCACGTAGTATACAGCTGATAAGTAAATTGGAGAAACCGGTGGAGTCATGTAGTCTGTCAACGGAGACACATCCTCATTATCGTCAATAGTAGACGTGTCTTGCCCATAGTTATTAGGGACGCAGGTTGCAGCACTACTACGTTTTGCCGTTATGATCGAAAGACGATTTGAATACAGACTGGACGAGTCATCCGAAGACGGATTGTAATATGTCGGGGCAAGCATTTCGGCGTCGACGTACTCTGCCAGGTCGCTAACTGATTCATCTGCATCAGACTCGGCGGATACGTCGCCCTCAGTGGGGGAAAACACGCTCTGGGAGCTTGTCTCGGAGACATCCTCTTCTTCTGACTCGTAGCGTTTCCAAGGGGGTATAGTGTGCAGATGCAATGGCTCATGCTGGGCTGATTTGACAGACATCTCTGGCACCATAGAAGCTTCCATGTTGCTGGAGGTGACTCAAGTACAAGTGGTCTTGCGCTGTGTATATGTAGTTGCTTTTCTCTTTGATTTTCTTGCTGTATAATTATAACCGTCTGTAGGGTTGAACTCGAAAGACGTGATCAAGTCATCTGTTGAGTACGTTTGCAAGAGACAAAGAAAGGAGAAAAAAATTGAAAAATAGCTGGAAAGTGAGACGAAGGTCTAAATTTGAAGTATGGAGGAGAATAATAAAGAAAAGGTCAAAGCACCAGATACGACCAGAAAGGAAAAAGGAAAGGCAATACGATCACAGTTCGTTATGATCGAATATAGTTACCCCCCTCGGTACAGATCTACCGTGACAAAATGACCGCAACAGGGTTGATCAATAAGGGGAAAGAATCCCAATAATTTCACAGGATTACTCATTAGCTTGATTGCATAGCTATGTCAATCCCTGACATAACATGATAGGATGGTGGAAACTCGGACTGTTATGTATAAACTATGGAGACGTTGTACTATACTACCGCTGTAATATAGGGCTAACTTTGGCGGAGTTACAGGTTGATGGTTTGGCGTGGCTTTAGCGGCGGGGCTTCGCCCTCGGCCCCTACACTTAACCCTTTACTTCTGTTACATCTGTGCTCGAAAAAGTCTTTCTGAACGGCATGTTTAGAGTGTGTACAGTAATGTATTGAGTTTCGAACTGATTGTGCAAGATTCCAATAATCATCTCGATACTGGCCAGATATGCAGGAGTCGAGTCTTGCTCGATCCTATTCTAGGATCGAAATTCCCCTATCCTATCGCTTTGTCGTTGACTTGTCCTTTCCTGACCGGATTGACTCGTGAAGGACACGTGGATACCATACGCCCTTGATTATGATGATTATTTCGAGGGAGGATCGCTAACCCTATCCTTGTCGATTTGGAGCCACTGGCCAGGCACTGACCACATTGCACACTCTAACCGATGCCCAGGGTCCAATTATTGACCAGGTAACTATTCCTGACAAGCTGACCACCTTTTCAAGGGCGATGATCTAATCCTGACTGTCCGAGAAGTCAGCAATGCTCACAACATCGTTGTTTTCGAGGGGACAAACTGACACATCAGATGTCACTACTATTATCACAAATAAAATGGCGCATTTCTAAATTCGGCAGTCTGCCAAAAGAGGTCAAGTCATGATGGATGACAGGTTCAATGCGTCAAACTAGTACGAAGCTGGCATTCGATGGCATAAAGTGAGTGCAGTACACATGGATAATTGAACGGCAACACGCATACATGCAGACATGGACGATAGTCACAGTACAATTTAAATAGATTAAAGATATGTAGCATCTTCTTATCCACAAACTAGTGAGGCCAAGCAACTTTTGCCATACATGCGAGCTTTCAACGTGGATTTGTGACACGCCATATTTATCTTTGCTGTTGCCAAGACGAGGAAGAGAGGGGAGTCCTCGGAGGGATAGCGAATAGAGTGACAGGAGGCGGTATCATTCTGAAAATAAGACTAAACTCATAAATGCATAGTGAGGTATTCTGTCAAAGGAGTTCATGTGTTTCAGTGTGAGACAGGCGGGCGATTGGCTGATGGTGAAACGATCATTCCGTTCTGATGGGCTGAAGTTAGGGTTTCCGTCAATTACATTTGGAGTAAAAATTCGATACATACTCCAATATAGTAGTTTGTACAATATCTGAATAGACTCAGTCTAGAAGTCAGTTGCATATTGGATTTAAAAAAAAATATATATTAACCCAGAAACCGACCCGAGAACTTCCATAGCTTAATCTATCGCGAGGATTTGCCTGACATCCTACTCACCTTTGCTTCAGACATTTGTCTCTGCATCAACCTTGGAAATCCTGACTCTAACTGTATCATCAAGGAATGCGTCCCCTCCAGCTACTCTGATTACATACTCTGAAATCAATCGGAAATTTATCTTCAGTCTATCGAACTGGCCCTTGCAGCAGAGAAAGCATCCCATTGCAGATCATGAATCCCTAACTGAGTATGGGAGTATGCACTCCGTACTCCGGCTTTATCGGATTTGTGATACTATTAGCGTTCCGTTATAGTTATGTTTGAAGTTATGGCCATTATGACCACTGTTCCAGAAAATAATTGTTGTCTTGGCTTTTTGGGTATGTTGGACGTTGGACAAGATACCGGAGAAAGTTTCGAAAGTGTCTGATGTGCATAAGCTGGCAAGATTGATAACCCTTGCGTTTTCACTTAAGATTAGATTTTTCTATTCTTGTCTAGGATATCTTTCTAGTCCATACTCCGTAGATGTTCAGATTAGGGTTCAGCTTGGCTCAAGTCATGTGTGAGTATAATGATGCAGATCCCCGAGTCTCCGATACTTCATCTCGGACTCGACTATTCAATCCGGCTTGTTAATTGAAATGTGATTAGAAAATGGACTCTTACGATTATGCAAAATAAAAGCACATAACTTTTATAAATGGGACCTGCTTAGATCCTTGGTCCACCCTGATTTGTTCCTCCGCAAGATTCATTTTGGCTCCGTAGACACTGGACGGCAATATGATACTAGTAATATCAACAGAACCAAGTTTTTAAATTTATATTATCTTCCAAGACTAAATTCCGAGTAAAAATAGTTGAAAAGCCATCCATTAACCCACGTTGAACCTTGGAAGTCCACCAACTTCATGAGCTATACTTGCCTAATTAGGAAATTATGTAACGGGCTACATGCGCAACGACGGTGACAGCTGACAGCTCAGAAAGCTAGCTTAGTGGAAACTAATTTGGACTCTGTGTATGGAAGTATATATCCAGTAAACTATGATGTACATCCTAATAAGTTTACTATTCGATGATGCCTTGGTAATTTGGGACGGATCTCAATCTCACGTCGTCCTATCTAGCGATGGTCTTACTACCAGCTGGACAGCTACCTGGGTAACCTTCAAAGTCGTTCGTATTCTGAATACTCTCCATTCTCTTTTTGTCTCAGGGGAGCGCGTATTCGATATTGTTTCGAGTCATTCTCCAGCGGTCTTCAGAGCTAACAAGCCCCCAAGCCTGTAGGGTCATCAGTCATACATGGATTTATAAAACTCATGACCAATAACATGCTTACTTTGGTAGCTACGCATCTGAGCAGACCCGATCCATGTTCGATAATTGCCCCCATGTCAGCAGCTCGGGGTATATAGAGACGTCTTTGTTTGATGACTACTTCAACGACTCGCCTGTCTGGTCAATAGAAGAAAGGATCAACTCAATTTCATCCAAGGACAGGTCATTATTCTTTTACGACTGCTATTCTAAGTCCCGGTTCGATTGATGGCCAATGTTCCTTCGCATGTGTCAACTTAGGGATAGGTATTGTCGTACCACAGCACTCCAAGAATCCATATGTAGAGTAGTGGCCTTGCTCGGGTTTAGGGAATCATAGTCATTGTTCAATTCTCCATTTCTAGTGCGTACAATACAGATTATCGACATACAAGTCTTTCGAAACATGAGCGTTCAAGCGTAACAGAGCATACCTCAAATTACGGCCAACAATCAATGAGTCAGACGCGAGAAAATGCCCGAAAAATAATAAGAAACCATATACAATAATACAAAAAGCAAGAAGTTGGCGAGTAAAGAGAAGAAAAAGGATCTAGAACATAGTTCCGCCGGTGCCGTTCCATTCGATATGCTCCCCTTCGATGCATAGAATCGACCCAATGATTTTGTTCCCGTATTATAATTTTTGGTGGATGATCTCAATCGAGAATCAACCCAGCCGTAACCGTCGCTCATTAAACGTGTAATATCTGTAATATAGAATACAGTCGAATAGATGAAAATAGATTTGTTGCGTAACGGACTTCGCACTAGGTTCATGATGCACATAATGTGCATTGTACCTTGTTGTAGTTCCTTATTGCAGTTCCTTGATTGCTTGTCCGTATAAACTCAATCAATGAATATAGTTGCCTATATTTCGAGCTCAATCCGGATAAAATGCACAATCTGATCCCCTGTTCAGCGTTTACGCCTTGCGAGAGCGAGTAACAGGTCCCTGGCGTCCAGTTGTTGTTGCTCCATTGGAAGAAGCCTGGGCCTTGCGACCGGCAGCGATAGGACTAGGAACTTCGGCATCCTTCATGTCAATAAGAGCCTGGCGACCAGTGTTGCTGCGAGGGCGGCCAGTCTTGGCTGCCTTCTTGTAGGTGACCAAGTAGAAGGAGATGAACAGGACGAGGTAGGAAGTGAGAATGCCCATGCCGGCAAATGCGGCAAACTCCTCACCAGCACAGGTCCCCATGTTAGGGGCCCATGGGAAGTATGTGCTGGAGAAGTAAGTGTAGGAAGCAAAGTAGATGAAGACTAGTCTTGTTAGTGACCGGGAGATATAATTGCTAGGTGTAGAAAAACATACAGAGGTCGATAACGAACTGAATGATCTGGAAAATGGTGATGTACTTCTTCCACCAGATACGGATACCACGAGCACTCTGGAAGTAATACCAGTACATAACAACATGCACGGCCAAGTTGAGAGTGATAGGAACCCAAGAGACCGAAGTCAGTCCGATCAACTGAGTCCAGCACAATAGAGCGGTAGCACCATGGTGATAGGTGTGGAGGAAAGTCAAAGGCTTCTTCTTCAAGACGAGGAAGACAGTGTCAATGAATTCGAGGTACTTGTTGAGGTAATTGAGCTGGTGATAATCATTAGTTTCATTGGCATATTACTCCTCATCTGTGTATGGACACTTACATAGTACAAAACAACCAATGGCTGAGTCCATCCACCATTGTGATCGCAAATGGCATAAAAGACACCGTGATGGTAAAGAGTAGGAATAAGCTGCTCAAGGAAGAGAACAAGCAGTATTCCACTCACAGCAGTGAGAATAAAGTTGTGGACCATAAAAAGGAAGTTGAGTTTGAACGCTGGGAGCTTCTTCATAACTTCACGGCCACCGAAGATAACAACGTAGTATGTGACCAGGGCAATGGCGGTCTCACTAAAAGTGGACATTGGTGTCTCTCCATTGACGAAGCGGAAATCTTCTGCAGGATAGCCGCGGACGGCCTCGAAGGCCTTGTTGAAGATTGGCCATAATTCGATGCCGAATGGGCGATCGATGGTTGGAAGAGGGATGTGCTTGAGGTCGAACGACATGGTCGCGGATTATGTGGTTGCTTGAAACTATTGTCTCAATTTTCAGATGCACGATCGAGCGAGGAATACGTGTTTCCTTGCTGTCCGAAAGTTTGAGGCTGACGGGATGAGGTCGCAAGCCGAGAAATGGAGAAAGAAGAACCGAAATAATTAAATATACTAATGGCAGACAACGGGAGTCATTCGAAGGAATGAAGCGAAATCGAAATGGAGAGAAGGAAAGAATCGAGGCAAAAGCCAGAGAACAGCAACCTGATTGAAAAGGAGAAGAAAGAGAGGACAGCGAGGCACGCGAGGATAGAATTCTTAAGGTTGACCCATCCCGCGATCCTACTGGCTGACGGATGACATGCGCTAGGCCTGGCCGGGGCTAGTGTGATCTGATACTACATAAAAGGGGGAAAACACAGCAAAATTCGACTTCTTCATTCAATTTTTGACAGCTCGTCGCAACTCTCTCGCAAGCTAAGGATCTGCACTATTCCAGACTGGTCAGTTGGATCTGTTGATTCCGGACCCTCCGCCTTGCATATGAATTTCAATGTTGATTCCCGGCCGAGGCTGTTTCTCCTGGCTACAGTATGACAACCATTCGGAGCTACAAGACCTAAAACTCAGAGGAATTTTATGCTGCGTAATGTACGAATATAATATATATATATATATATACATATATACTAGACGATTGATATGCAATTATTTTGTGAATTGTGTCTAAATGTCCTTACTAAGTACAGTAATCGCCAAACTATGATTGGACAGCCTTTATATGTATCCAGGTGCTTTCATACCTGACAATTCCTCTACAATTTATAATTCTCCCAAGCTTGTATCATAAAAGTCAAGATGAATAATTCAGTTCAATTCAGACCACTCCTGGAAATCACCAGTGCTCAATTGTGTCAGTATGAGTCTACCGGATAGGGAAAGGTTGCAGACTTGCAGCCTCAGGCACCACAGCATCACACCACCCGCAAAACTCCGCTGGGCCAAACCTCCAACCGCACCTCACAAGCATCACTAGGTACCAACCACCTCTTCTTTCTGCCACGACCGAGTCCATCTCCCACCTAGGGAAGAGCAAAAATAACTTAATCAATTCGATCTCTGCTTTGATTCTCTCCTCTCCAATGGCCTCTACCACTCTCTTCCGCCTCGCGACGCGATCCATTCGCCCGGCAAGCTTCGTCAGAGCTTCGTCGTACGCTCCTCGTTGCAGCCAGCCTGTTCGCTCCTCCTTCGCTATTGCCAATAACTTCAGCACTTCTGCCAAGCTTCGCAGTGGTCATGAGGAAGAGACCTACGAGGAGTTCTCTGCCAGGTACGCATGCCCAATTGAGCGGTGGTGGTAGGGAACTTGGTGTATATGTTTCGGATGTTGAAATTTGACATCATGCAATACATGGCATCAGGTACCAGAATTGTTACCATCAACCATATCGCACGACTCTATATCAATTACTATAGTATTCTCAGGCTCTAATATATTAATGCAGATACGAAAAGGAATTCGATGCCGTCCAAGATGTTTTCGAGCTCCAGGTACGTCAATAATTGGAAAACTCCTGCGGATAAAACAAGCGCTCAGCTAGCCACTGCTTGACTCGGCACACATGAATTAATTGAACTAATACGTCGTCCATAGCGCAACCTGAACAACGCTTTCGCCTACGATCTCGTCCCCTCTGTTGAAGTTCTCTCTGCTGCTCTTCGCGCAGCTCGCCGTGTCAACGACTTCCCCACTGCCGTCCGAGTCTTTGAAGGTTCGTCTTGACCTGCAATTCGTCATCATCTACCATCCAACCCAACTAACCCATGAACACAGGTATCCGGGCCAAGGTGGAGAACGAAGGTCAATATAAGCAATATCTCGAAGCCCTCGAAGGTCTCCGAAATGAGCTCGGCGTCCCTCTTCGGGAGGAGCTCTACCCTAAGAACGAGTAAGAAGATAGCGATTAATGCTACTTCTAATATCTTGCTTGCTTTTTGCCTTCGCTCGTGTGTGCCCTGTGCGATCATGTGTGATCATGTGTCATAGTCTGAAATCTTTCGCCTTCTCAATCCTGGAGAGAAATCTGTATAGATAAATAGAAAGCTTTGTGGATGAAGAAAAGTATGGTATCAAGTAATCTGTACCGATGGGACTGCTGACCTGAGGTCTGTAATTTCTCAACAGCTTCCATTATGAATCGTATTCTTCCAGACTGGCGGTATCTAGCTACATAGACAATCCCGAAGTCTTGTTCAAGGTACAATAGATAAGTGCATTTTGTATGTATCTTGTATACGAGTAATCACAATTTCTTCCAAAGCTCTGAATCAAAAGAACTGAAAACATTGAAAAACGCCGTTCTCCGCTGTATTATTTCCAAGATAGATTCATATATAATGAACAATAGTCTCATAAACAATTCGTCTGTAAAATTACAGGAGGAATGAAGTCGGAAGGGGGAAGGATAGATACAAAAGAATAATGTCATAACACATTATGTACCATGACCATGAACATGATCAATGGGTTCCAACATACTTGAAGTAGTTTGGACGGCAATCTTCTTTGGCCAAGAAAGATGCTCCCTCGTAGAATTTGCCGGGTGTACAACCTGAGCATTTGGGTGAATTGGGACAGTTGAAGTAGGGAATGTGACGGTAGCCAATGTCTCGGAACCTGTGATTTCCATCTTAGTAAATACTTGTGATGATAAAGCTTTGAGGATGCTTGACTTACCAATGAACCTTGCTTGCATCTTCAAAAAGACCCAAAGCAATCGAGTGAACAGGAGCATCACCCCATCGTTCATAGAAGAATCCACCGGCACGATCAAGGTGGTTGAAGTAAGCCTCATAGGCCTCACTGCGGAAGAAGTTCATATCACCAATCTCAAAATTCGACCAGAAATGGCAGGTAGAGTAGCCGTTGGCTTTCTTGTTATGTTCTGGTCGCAACTTATCGTCCACTAGCCATTCCATCATGTTATTCTCGCTAATATATTCGGGATGTTCGGCAAGGAACCGTTCAGTCTCGGGCCAGAGAGTGGGCAGACTTTCCGGCGCATCGAAGAGGTTGATTGTGAATCCATATGTCTTGTTGTAATCTTGCATATATCTAAAGACGTCGTAGTCAACGTTGCAGAAAAATTGAACATTCGGTTCGACTCGCCAATAGTATCGAGTGTTGGCCAGAGCTGGGTGCTTGTAGAACATGCCGCTGTTCCATCGACACATTTTGTGGTATGAAGGTTTGTCGCTGTATTGGATATTATTCTCTTCTAAGATTTTATTCGATTCTTTGACTAACTCGTCGTCGATCCATTCGGGAGCTTCCCAGTGGTCTTTGGGGACTTGTTCTATAATCAACTGTGTAAGTGGCTATCTAGTGCGGATTGGAAAGAAGACTGCATACCATAATAGCATTTCGCCTTTGTGACCTCCTGAGTTCTTTTCTTAAACTCAGGCGTAAAAGGTTCGTCGTTCAAGAATGTCCATGGGTAATTGAATTTGTGGTTCCATGTACGTTCCAGGTCCTTCATTGTCGTGACAAGTTCAGTGAGCTCTTGATTGCGAACCAACGACAGAAGCGTCGCATTGATACGTGCGGAATTCTCGCTTTCGGGGGAATAATCGTGCTCCTCGGCTCGCCATAATATACCTTCAGGTTCTCCCGTTGCTGTTTGAGATGAGGTCAGTATCTAAGTCGGCACTTATTGCTGATCGATAGGAACTCACGATCTAGTAAGGGATCCCTTTTCATATCTGATATTTTATCTGTGCCAACAGGCGTAAATCCGCCGGTTGTCGAATGCGAAAATTTGTACAGGACCAGCAGAACCCCTAAGATTCCAACTGCTCCAAGGAGCCGGATAGGCCTTGCGATGGCCATGATGGCGAAACGGGACCGGAACTAAAACTCAATCGAATAGATGTTGAACTTGTATATTGTGGGAGAGTGAATATTCTGAAAAGGAGACTTGAGAGGTATCTCAAGCTCGTCCCGAGTAAAATATCCCCCTTATCCCAGGTTGTGTAACTTGTTTAGTTCAGATGGCGAGAATGGGATGCAGCTTTTCTCCCCTTAGAAGTTCGGCCTGAGGATCTCCAAAATTCGGCGCTTTTCCTGATTGGGCCTAGTACACACGCGGTCCTCCACGCGTCTCCGAGAACAACTTCATTTTGTATACAACTGACCAATAAATAAATGATTTCTAGTCTCAAATTTGTTGCAACGTGAGAAGACGGATCTGCCCGGCTGACACTACATAAATCTCCGCCTGCCCGATGCAATCAGCGGCGTGTTATCATCATGGCCCGCTCGGCGGCCATTGGGACTTTGATCGATGAATTGATTGTCACAATAACACGATCAGATAAGGTACGTAGGGCCTGGTATCAGCTATGATTACGCCCTAACTTGGTGAACTAGACATCTGCCACCTTTCCATCCACCAAAAAGCGCTGCGATGCAATATTGAAGGACAGCAGTACCTGGAATCGCACCGATCCATTTGCTATAGAGAAGCATCTGGATGGTTTACAGGAGAAATTCCGCATCCTCAACAAGGATGATCTGGCAGACGCTTTAGGTAGTCGTCTGTCAGAATTGGATGGACAGCGCTCGTCATGGACACCTGAATTATTGTCTCTCTTGTTGCAGCTATCTGACCGCCCTGCCAATGTGTATAAAGTGCCTAAATTTGAATCATCTAGATCTGGCGGCGCGTCCATTGCCATCAAATGGTCAGAAATAGACGCTGCCGGGTCTGAATTTGCCGATGAAGATATTTGGGACGATATTGACTATGGTGCAGCTTCTTCTGATAGTGAATCTTCGCTCCCTTCCAGTGATGTTTCAATTCCGAGGATACTGCCTCAAAGAACACAGCCATTGCGAGATGAGTTTGTAATACCTGACGAACTCCTCTCATGTGGAGACGATGACGAATTGATAACGATTATTAAAAGCGGCCATTTCTGGGAGTACGACTCTGCTGCAGTCCGCGAGTTTTCGGAGAGTCATACTCGTTTCGTTACGGAGCTGCAGGCTGTCCGTGAAATACTGTTCATGCTGCAAGGATTGCCTACATCATTATTTTGGAATATCGATAACAGTATTGCTGTGGACAGGAGATATGCTCTCAGCCATGCCTCTAATTCAGTGTTCCTATATATTCTTCGTTCTTGTGCCGATATTGGCGTTGAACTTGGAAAATTAAGAAAATTTGTACAGATTCCACAATCTGTAGTGTTCTTGCAAACATTCACCCGAGGTGTTGAGAAGGAACTTGCAGAGTTTGATGCTTTTTTGTCGCAGAAGCAACTGAGCTATCTGTCGTCAGGGAATACAGTCACGGTCAGTCTGTTACAATTGACAGAAGAGGTCCAGAAAGAAGTACGAGTACTCTTGGTCCTGGGTAATCTCGTCACCAAACTGGGGTCAGCGCCACCAGAGCAGTCATTTCTTTGTCTAGACTTGCTATATAATCTGGTTTGCATTAATCAAGCCTCTGGAAACGAACATGAATACAGATCTCTCGCAAAGCTTTTCTTCTCCTGCTTTGAAGCTTATGCACGACCGTTGCGCTTGTGGCTAGAAAGTGGAGATCTCGAGTCTTCTCAAGATCACTTTTTCATCACCGATCGTCGACACGAGCATGACCTGCAGACAGTATGGCATGACTGGTATCTTCTAAGGGAGACGTCTGGTCATCTCCATGCGCCGATATTCATCAAACCAAGTGCCCGGAGAATTCTCACCACAGGAAAGAGCATGGTTTTTCTACAAAAGCTGAATGTTGCGATAGACGAGTCTGAGTCAACCCATTGGCAACCACTCAAGTTTGAAGCTGTCTGTCCAGACGATACATCATGGCAACTCTTACCCTTTTCCAGTCTCTTAGACCAGGCTGTCGAGAACCTGATTTCAACAAATCACATCCTAGCTTCGAGTATGTTGCGGGATCAGCTCAACAAGGAATGTGGATTATGGACATCGCTCTCTGCCTTGCAATATATCTATCTATGCAAAGATGTTTCGGTCTCTGCCGCAATTGATAGCAAGATCTTCGAATCACTCGATAGACGTGGTGGAGTCTGGAACGATCGATACCTTCTTACCGAATTAGTACAAAGTGCCTTTGGCGAAACGGATTGTGTCGACACATCTCGACTCATTGTGCGTTCGGCGCGCAATACGTTGCACGATTTTGAGAGCCAGAGCCGTAAAGTCAAGATACTCAAGTCCATCTCGATAGACTATGTACTTCCCTGGCCTGTTGCTAACATCATCACCAAACCCGCTATGAATATGTATCAACGCATTTCTACATTTCTGATGCAGATCCGACGGGCGAAATACATTCTTGAACGACAACGACTACTGAAGAAGGATTACACCGGGGACAACGATGATGAAGATGATGGCTTGAGCTATATTATCCGGCACAATTTGCTTTGGTTCGCAAACACACTTTACGGGCATATCACGGATATGGTAATAGCCACCAACACCACAACCATGGAAAAGACTCTGGCAGAGTCGCCAGATATAGATGGCATGATTTCCGTGCATGAATCTTACATGTCTTCAATTGAGGAGCAATGTTTCTTATCGCATAATCTAGCGCCTATTTATCAAGCAATTATCAACCTGCTTGATTTGTGCATTCATTTTGCCGATATTCAAGCTGCGCGTCATGGAGATGCGAATCGATACGATACATCGCATCGCTCATCTACTGCCCTCAACGGTCAAAGACAACAATCGAGACGAAGACGTCACCGAAGACGGACAGCGGATAGCTCTGACTCCGAGGATGAAGATCACAACGATCATGATCGTGAAAATGATGACGACGAGGATTACTACGATGAAGGAAATACGACTAGTATATCATTCATTGAATCATCTTATTCACACAGACTGGAATATGTTATGAGGCAGTTTCATCGATCACTGGCATTTGTCATTGCGGGACTGAGAGGTGTCGGGAGGGTAGATGGACAACAGAGTTGGGATATACTTGCTGATCGATTGTCGTGGAATGCGCAGTTGAAGAGGTGATATATCCATAGTCAATAAATAACTCATGAGATCTACATAACAGGAACTTTGCCATTTTGATATAACATCAGTTATGTCATTGCTTAGTAAAACCGTCAATACAAATATGCAGATTTTTTTATATAGAAAGAATAATGAACGGAAACACGCAGTATACCTAACCAACCCATCTGCGAGCACTATAAAAGATGCGTCCCCAAGGACCAACATCCCCCCATTTCTCCGCATCCGCTGGTAACCAACTAGCAACACCGCCAATAACGGTACGTTCCGGATGAGGCATAATAGCCAAAACACGACCGTCAGGAGACCTGATACCGGCGATGCCTTCCGGACTACCGTTCGGATTGTATGGGTATGTCATGGTGGGTTTGAGGGTGGTATTGTCCACATATCGGACGGGGGCAAGGTTATGTCTGACAAAGTCTTGTGCGGTGACGTCCGGGGTCATTGTAAAGGATGCGCGACCTTCTCCATGAGCCACTGCAATGGGAAGCGAGGAGCCGTGCATACCGTGCAGGAAGACGGATGGTGCAGAAGGGTCAGGGTCGGAGACATGTACCATTGCAACGCGACCTTCGTATTGTTCGCTGGCGTTTCGCTCAAAGCTAGGCCAGGATTGGGCACCGGGGATGAGCTCCTTGAGTCGTGAGAGGAATTGACATCCGTTGCAGACACCGAGGGCAAATGTGTCCGGACGTTCGAAGAATGTCTTGAATTCCTTGCGGGTTTCTTCGTGGAGTAAGACGGACTTGGCCCAGCCTTGACCTGCGCCGAGAACATCGCCGTATGAGAAGCCACCGCAGGCGGCGAGGCCGACAAAAGCGGCGAGTGATACGCGACCAGAGATGATATCAGTCATGTGTACGTCAACAACGGCGAAGCCAGCAAGGTTAAAAGCAAAGGCCATTTCAGCCTGGCTGTTGACACCCTGTTCACGAAGGATAGCGACACGAGGTTTGTTGCTGAATGGAGAGAATTGGCTCAAGCTGGTGAGGATAGGGAGACATTTGTCCTTGGGATCGAATTTGATATTCCATGAAATACCTGGGTCGGCGTCTTCAAGGATATTGGCATACTCCTGGTCAGCGCATGCTGCGTTGTCTCGGATTTTCTGCATGTGATAAGATGTGTGCGACCAGATCTGTTGGATCTTTCCACGGGGTTGGCGGTAGATCAGTTTGTGTTTGTGGTAGATGGTGAGATTCTGTTTTGGTTTCTGGGAGACACGGCCAATGCGTCGAATCAGGCCAGGTGGTGGTCCACATGTAGCGAAGCACGATCGGAATCGAATCTCATCAGCCTTTCGGACCTGGAAAACAGCTCCAAGCTCTTCGTTGAAGAGAGTCTCGATAGTGCTTCGGATATCGCCTTCCTTTTGTAACTCATCAAGCATGATCTCAACGCCACAACGTCCAGCAAACATCATCTCAGCCAATGTCGTGAAGAGACCACCATCGGAACGATCGTGGTATGCTAGCACGATGCCCTGTTCATGGAGCTGTTGCGTAGCATCAAAGAAGTCTCTGAAAAGTTCTACATCACGGACATCAGGACTCTCCTGACCGACTTGCTTGAAGACTTGCGCTACAGCTGAACCACCAAGAGCCTTGTGACCACATGCAAGGTCAACAAACATGAGAACGGTTTCGCCAACATCCTCGAAACTGTGAAGCGTAGGGGTCCATGTGTTTCTGAAGTCCTGAACGGGGGCAAAAGCCGAAATGACAACGGACAATGGTGCAGTGACTTCCTTGGCTTCTTTTGTCTTCTCGTCGTTCCATTTCATCTTCATCGACATGGAGTCCTTGCCGACAGGAATACTGATTCCAAGCTGAGGGCACAGACCGAGACCGATGGCCTCTACAGCTTCATAGATTGCTGCTCCTTCTCCTGGATGGCTGCTGGCTGACATCCAGTTAGCCGAGAGCTTAACTCTGCTAAGACGATCAAACAAGTCTGCGGCCGTGATATTCATCAAGGACTCTGCAACAGCCATACGTGCCGAAGCAGCTGGTGAGATGAGGGCAAGTGTAGGCTTCTCGCCCATAGCCATAGACTCTCCGGTTCTTATGCCTTGAGTAAGGGAGGTAGCGGTGACGGATACGTCAGAAACTGGAGTCTGCCAGGGTCCTACCATCTGGTCTCGAGCAGTAAGACCTCCAACAGTTCGATCACCAATAGTAATTAGGAAGGATTTAGATCCAACAGCAGGAAGAGAAAGTACTCGGCTAGCAGCTTCTTCGAAGAGACGTTGCTCTGATGGTGCTGCGGGGAGGTAAGTCGAGAGACTAGCATCAAAGGCCGGTTGTTTCAGCTTTCGTGAATCAACCTGCCTAGTCATCTTGGGGGGTTTTCCGAAAAGAACTGAAAGTGGAAGGTCGATAGGCTTGGGATATTCCTTTGAATCTCTGTCCAAAAGAACAAGTCGTTTCTCTTCGTATTGTTGGGATTGCTCGGCTCTTCCAACAACTGAAAAGCCGCAACGCTCGCGACGGGCAATGGCAGTGAACTTGTTCATTCCTTCCTCCCCGATGGCCATGACATATCTCTCCTGGGCTTCACAGCACCATATTTGCATGGGGCTCATGCCACGGTCGGCACTATCGATTTCTCTGAGTTCGAACGTTGCGCCTAGACCGGCATCATGGACCAATTCCGGAAGGGCATTCGATAAGCCACCAGCACCAACATCATGAATGAACTTGATCGGACTGTCTTCTCCCATTGCCACACAAGCATTGATAACCTCTTGGGCTCTACGCTGGACTTCTGCATTGCCACGCTGGACACTAGCAAAATCCAAATCCGCAGATCCTTCTCCAGAAGCGAGACTCGACGCGGCACCTCCACCAAGTCCAATAAGCATAGCCGGACCACCTAGAACAACCAGGAAAGACCCAGGCTTGACCAACTTGGGATCTTTGAGAGCATGTTGGGGTCTAACAGTGCCTACGCCGCCAGCAATCATGATTGGTTTGTGGTATCCTCGAATTTCCTTCTGACCATTTCCGATATCAAGCTCAGTGAGCAAGGTCCGGAAGTATCCGGCCGTGCATGGACGTCCAAACTCGTTGTTGAAGGCTGCACTGCCGATAGGAGCTTCAAGCATGATATCCAAACTGCTTGCGATATGATGAGGCTTTCCAACATCAAGTTCCCAAGGCTGTCTGAGTTCTGGTATGAGAAGGTCAGACACACAATATCCTGCTAAGCCGGCCTTTGGTCTTGAACCTCGACCGACAGCTCCCTCATCTCGAATCTCTCCACCAGAGCCAGTAGCCGCACCGGGGAATGGGGAAACCGCAGTAGGATGGTTGTGTGTTTCGACCTTGGCCAGTATATGAACCTGCTCCTTGGTCTGAGTCCATTCGCGGGTTGTAGGGTCTGGAGCCCAGAATCCAGCATTCTCGCCTTGCAACACAGCTGCGTTATCACTATAAGCGCTAACTGTATACTCTGGATTCTTCTTGTGTGTATTTCTGATCATCGAGAAGAGGCTGTTGGGCATCTGTTTGCCATCGATAATCCAGGTTGCATTAAACTGCTTATGACGGCAATGTTCAGAGTTGACTTGAGCGAACATGAAAAGTTCGACGTCGGTAGGATCGCGGGGCACAGGGCCGTTCGATGCGTATGCTGCAACAAGATAGTCAATTTCCGATTGATCCAATGCCAAGCCCAGACGCCTATTTGCTTCTTGGAGAATCTCCGTAGGGGTCCTGTCTCCGGCATGAAGAGGAACAGTCTCTAATGGAAGCGGTGGATGATCTGAAAACACTTTGGCGAGGTCGGGTTCCTCTTGGCTAATGACCTGTGTCATTCGGTCATGAAGACGCTCCAAGTATCCTTCCTCCGGTGTCGAGCCTTCGGAGAAGAGTGCTGAAATTTTCAAGCCTCGTTCGATGCGCTTGACGAATGTCGAAAGACCGCAGACGTGAGAGATTCCAGTTGCCTGCGAGCTCCATGGTGAAATGGTTCCGACTCTCGGGTAGACATAAAAGTTTTGTACGGCGCCATCGGTTGGCTCGAACGTGGGAGGAATATCGACAATGTCACCGTATCGAAGGAGCTGCTCAAGGACTGCTTCTTGAGCTTCCTGCAGAGGTTGGGCCGTGTGGACGTAGTGGACCCATTGGGCTCGAACATCAATTGCTCCGATATCTAGAGCAATTGCACGACCGCGAGATCTGGAGAATGCCACCGGTCCCGGGAGGGCCAGGTAGGTCTGCTCATCAGAGGCCACCATCCTAGCTCAAAGGGTGGGTGGAACGTGAGCTTTGTAAATAGTATTTAAGAAAAACAGCTAAAAATCAGCTCATAACACATTGACTGATTACTCAATCAATCGGATGGCTACGCTGGCTGTGCTAGACTGAGTATGACTCTGCACAAAAAATTGCTAGTGACGGTCTTGATAGTCGCCCCGCCCTAGTCCCAATTCGGCCTATAGAGCTAAAGTTTTCTTATCAGTCACGTGCTCTAAGCACCATTCCTGTTTGGGTTTAACACTTTTCCAGCCAGAACTCCGCGTACGGAGTACATAGCCGTAGGAACGCCTACGTGGCAGAGCCCAGAGCGTCTGTCAACCTTCAAGATAGCCACTGAGTCATTTGACTAGCGACGCAACCTTATCAGGCCGAAATTATGCCGGCATCCGTTATCTGAGGATTGCCTGAACGGGCTTAGTTTATTAAATACATTTCTGATCTGTGATTGGCCATTTTCCATAAACTTATGGTTAAGGAAATATGCTCCGTCGGAGAGTTCTTCTAGATCAGGACTAGGCCGTATCGAGGCGTTCGAGATTCTCTTTTGGCCCCATAAAAAGACGCCGTGACACTTCTACTAATTCTTATTAGAACCGCGCCAACGGGTCAGCTTCCGAGACTTCACATGCAGCGATCATCGATTCAAACACGGACCGAACCATTTTCATCCCGTTTCAAGTTGATAGCCCTACGGAACGGGCATGCTCATAATGCTCAAAAGCCGCCTCTCCCGTCATGGATATGGTCTTTGGTTGGCATACACAAGAGTCTCCGTGTGATCGATGCAATCGTGTTGTCATCGATGATCCTATGTAGCATTGGCGCTGGGCTGATCTTCAGGTGATCCTCAAACGTTCTTGTTTCTCAGAGATTTTGTAGATGAGCAATTGCTTCGGCTTTGGCGAGTTTGTTTGGGCAGTAATGACTTTCATTCATATTGACGCCTGAAGGACGATCAATCAAATAATTTCAAATCATTGAGCCAGGCACATACAATTTACATCAAAACTGTCGGCCTTCGGTCCCATACGAAGCATGTTGCCGCTTCGCGTTAGCGCCTCCCAAGCTGGGACGAATTCCCGATTAGGAAATATTGGGTTCATGCATTTTTACGTCAGTCCACTTTTTCTTTCTGAATGAATCGGAATACTTTGTGCTGGTTATAAATATACAGCCAAATCCCTTTCGATCGTAGTTGAATAGTGACAATTCCGCCATCTCCACTACCTAGACCCAACACAGGGTATATCCTATCAAGATACTCATCGACTAAAGACACGTTGGTTGAGATCACTTTCAACATCGCCTGTGCGCGACTACCCATCGGATATACACCATGTCTACAACAGGGGGTGAAGCTCCACCACAGCATGCTCACATGCGATCGAGAACCCTTTCATTAGGGTACGATGCTGGCGAGGTAGATCCCACGACGCTACCTTTCGGTCAACTTACCGAAGGTGCCGACTTGGAGGAATATATCACCGAGACAAGAACCGGAAATATCATCAGACACACTCGTTCAAATGTCACTGGTGAAGTCGCCGATTGGAAATTGGTTACCTTTAAGATTGACGATCCGGAAAATCCTAAGAACTGGTCCAAGGCTTATAAGTGGTATCTCACAGCTGTCATTGCATGGACATGTTTTGTCGTGGCATTTGCGAGTGCCGTCATTACAGCCGGTCTTGATGGACCGTCTAGAGAATTCCATGTCTCAACGGAGGTCTCTCTTCTGACCATCACTGTGTTTGTTGTTGGCTTTGGAGTTGGTAAGCTTTTCGGCCTCTAGACACAGGCTAACCGGAATTACAGAAGACTAACTTTATCTATCGTTAGGCCCTATGGTTTTTGCACCGTTATCTGAGGTCGTTGGGCGAAGACCCGTCTACGCCATTACACTCTTTGTTGCCCTTATCTTCGAGATTCCTTGTGCTGTTGCGCCTAACATCGGAACGCTTATCGTTTGTCGAGCCATCGACGGTATCGCCTTCAGTGCACCCATGACATTGGTTGGAGGCAGTCTATCAGATCTTTGGAAAAATGAAGAACGTGGTGTGCCAATGGCAGCTTTCAGTGCCGCTCCCTTCATTGGACCTGCAATTGGCCCCCTCGTAGGCGGTTTCCTGTATGACGCTGCCGGTTGGCGATGGCTATATTGGATTCAGTTGATTGTTGCCGGCGTCGCCTGGGGTCTGATCACTTTCACTGTTCCTGAAACATATGCGCCAAGTTTGCTTAAAAAGCGTGCTAAGAAATTGCGTAAGACCGAGAACGATGATAAATATGTGACAGAGCAAGAGATCGACTCGCGTCCTCTGGGTGAAAAGATTCGCATCTTTATGCTTCGCCCTTTCCAGTTGTTGTTTCTCGAACCTATTGTCCTCTTTATCTCGATCTATATGTCCGTCTTGTACGGCTTGCTGTACATGTTCTTCGTTGCGTATGTCCATCATTCAGTCCTCTTCTCCTTGTAACCCTAGCTAACCAGGATTTTCAGGTATCCTATCGTTTACCAAGAAGGAAAAGGTTACAGCCCCGGTATTACCGGTCTTATGTTCATCCCATTAGCCCTTGGAGTTGTTGTCAGTGCATGCTGCGCTCCAATCGTCAACAAACACTACCTGAAAATGCATGCCAAATACAACGGCAGGCCACCTGCAGAGATTCGACTCATTCCTATGATGTTCTCCTGTTGGTTCATTCCAATTGGTCTTTTCATCTTTGCCTGGACTTCATATCCACGCTTGCACTGGATTGGTCCCACCATTGGAGGTTTTCCTGTCGGATTCGGCTTCATCTTCTTGTACAATTCCGCAAACAATTATCTTGGTAAGCACCCGAAGTCTGCACGCACTGTTGAAGAATCGCAATTGCTAACCATCCCCGCAGTGGACACGTACCAACACCAAGCAGCATCTGCCCTCGCAGCAAAGACCTTCTTGCGGTCCATGTGGGGAGCGGGATGCGTTCTTTTCACGAACCAAATGTACCACCGACTTGGTTACGAGTGGGCAAGCACCCTTCTTGCATTCCTGGGACTCGCATGTTGCGCAATTCCCTATGTTTTCTGGTTCTACGGAGAAAAGATCCGTTCATATTCCCGCTTCGCCTTTGTTGAAGACGAGGAAACAAAAGCAATGCCTCCGTTTGACGGCGGTCATTGAGATCGGAGGTCGAATAGAAAGGTTATAGAGTTGTTGTATAGAAAAATAGACGGTGGGGTTTTTAGAGGAATGGTCACCTTATCGATTGGTTGACCAAGTATGAGTTCGTTCTCAAGCATCACTGCATCATTCGCGTCTGGCGGCGTTCTGTCTTTTCCCTTTTGTCCTTTTTCTTTTTCATCCTGGGTTAGACTCCTTTTCTTTTGGTCATGATATCATTTTCTGCGTTAGACAAAATGTACATTAAGCGATATAATAATCATAATATTCACTTTTCAGAGTGTTCAGGATGTTCGGCTGTAAGCTGTGGAGAATCAAAATATTCTCGATAAAATCGGCCGTAAGATAGTGGCAAGGCTCGTGGCTGGACGCGCTTGACCAATCCCGGCGCTTCGAACACATTAGTAAGAACTTTGTTCACGTGATCAGAGGAAAGATCGATTTCCCGCGTTCAAACATCGCAAGCCAAATACTACAGGACATAACTCTTCGTCTTCGCCCTTATCGCACCTCTGTCCCTGTTTTGCGTCATTAATCCCGAATTCCTCAATGTGACTATGGAATTGCTAGGAAGTTCTGTCAATTGATGACTCAACCCCATCGACAAAAATAATTCGATTCCATAATCCGCGCAATTCCACTACCAACTCCTACGGTCCGATCTGTCTAGCCCCTCACCAGTTCATTCATGGCTTCATTTTTTGGACGACCCGATCCATTCGCCCCCGAGGGGAGTAGAGGAACGAACACGACGCAAACCACCTCCATTTCTGATTTACCTCAGGCACAAATAGACGCAATTATCAGGACGAAACGGAAGGCGCGAGAGCCGAAAGCTTGTTATCCATGTCATACCAGAAAAGTTAAATGCGACCGCAACCTTCCATGCGATGGCTGCGTCAAAAGAGACCATGCCGATCTTTGTTCTTATGAGCGACCGTCAAAAAAGCGACAGGCGAATACGGCTTTCCAGCCGACCGCCACCAACGATGAGGTACCGGAGATGAGTATCCCGAGTGTCGAAAGCTCCAGTGTACAGGTCAAATCAGAGACTGTAGATAGTGTTCCTGCGGATTTTGACTCGAGTGGACGAATCTCGGTACCTCGTGAACATTGGAACAATGTGTGCAACAAGTTGAAGGAAATGGAACAAGCCATGTCCACTCTGAGAAGTGGTCTAGAGCAAATCGATGCCGGTCGTTCATCGATTACCATGGCGCCGGATAGTGCTCAGAGCGCCGATGCAAATAATTCCTCACCTGGAACATCTCCAGAACGTGAAGGTATACATACTACACATACATACGGCGAAGGCACGGTCCATCTCGGATCGAGATCAGTCTTGGCATATATCTTGAATAAGTCCGGTTCTCTTCAAGCCCAAGCGCTGCTTGAGGGTGGTATTCTACCCAAACTTGGTCTCGACAACGAAACAGCTACATATCCTTTCGTTGATTTATGGTCTTCCGATACCTCTGCATTCGACGTGAACGCAGTTTGCAATGCTTTACCAACTGATCAACAAATATTAGAGTGAGTAATCGAAGCCGTGTTGTTTAATTGCATTCAATTGACTGGGCTTTAGGTTCTTTCACTACTACAGAGATATCGCTGGTACTCTTTACCCGGTATTAGTGGACGTACCTGGGTTTGAGGCCAATCTTCATACTTTCCTACGAAATAGGAGTGCAGCCGGGGGCGTCTTCAAACAAGGCGAGGATCGAGGGCTTTCGCAAAGGCCGTTTGGCATGAGCCTGGCCTTTGTTGGGTCGCTCTTTGCTGTATTAGCATCTGGGTGTCAATCATCAGATCTTCCTGGCAAGGAGCGAGAACTTACATCCCAAGTTTATGGTAAGTTCATCCATGTCACTTGCGATCCATCCACCGTATTAATTGCATAGTCTGCTGTGCTTACCAATGCCTTCGCATGTGTAATTTCGTATCTCAACCTACTCTTGAGGCAATGAAGACGCTGCTAATTATTGGCAACGTTCTCTCATATAACATGAACCCTGGTGTCTCTTATGTTCTACTAGGTACGTCCTTCTACCTTCCATCCTTGCTCAGTACTTACACTCCAGGTAGGAATGACAATGCGCATGGGCCTGGCTTTGGGGCTTCACGTTGAGTCGAATCGATTTGACCCCGTTGAGCGGTACACTCGACAGCACATATGGTGAGAAAATTCCCGACTCGTAAACATTTTCTTATCAGTATTGATATGTGTTTGGTTGAAGGTGGTCCATGGCTTGGCAAGACAGCCATTTCTCCCTCTCTTATGATCGGCCGTCAACTGTGGCAGTCAGTCAACCCGACATTGCCGACCGACCAGAATCTATGCCAGGGAATCGCGACTATTTCGAGACGATGTGCAGAATCATATCATTAACTCTTGAAGTTGTCCGCGGTCGTATGGTTACGCCTCATTTCCGCATGAGTTTCAAGTCTATACAAACATACAAAGACCGGATACAGCAATTTCTCGCCGAGGCGTCTCCGCATTTACGGGATCGTCAATACTGCCGAACGTCTATGGATCATCTCCAACGACTTGCGCTAAGGGTCCACTCGTCCTACATCACATCAGAACTTTGCAGGCCAGCGCTGAAACCCGAAGCCGACAAAGAAGATCCCTTATTACCCGTTGTGCGTCGTTACTGTGTCGAAAATCTCATCAGCACAGTTGAATCTTACATCGAACTCCACTCATTCAGCGCCCATGGCTCGCGCGCTTGGATCACCCTGCAACGTGCCATTAGCTGTGCGTTCCTTCTTGCTGTCATCGACGAAGGACGGACCGAACCTAAAGTCAAAGAGCTTCTGCACGAGCTTGAAGTGATAATATCTGAACGAGCGACTGCCGAGGGCGGCTTCGACTCTGCCGCATCCGCGGTCCCTGCAGGTACAAGTATGGCATCCCCCAAGAATGTGACTCAGAATAAAATGTCCATCGAATATGACACTATTCAAGGGGTGACTAAAGCTCACTTATCAGTTTCAGATTCATATCAGGGCGCACAACCGGCATCGATCCCAGCGAATATCTCAATGGATACCCAGACGCAATGGGCCAAACCTCTCGTACGGTCTCTCCGCGCATTACAGAAACTTAACATTGCTTTCGATTCGTACAACAATCAGCCCGGCAGTAGCCATACTGCATCTCTCGGTTCCGCAGATGCCCTATCGGCACAACAATCCATGGGATATCGACGAACCTCTTCTGTAAATCCCCAACCTCAATCTGCATATACTCCGAACATGGGATCGTTACCTCCTCCAACCCCCGAAAGCTCCAGCAGCGGTGACTGGACATTCCCGAATCTCCTTGACAGGGCTGCAGAGTACATCCACCCTCCACTCTGGGGATAACAAAACCTCCTGCGCTCTCTCTCCCTCTCTACTTTTCAAGTTTGATCATTGCGTTCAGCTTTTTCCTCTTTTTTTTTTTTTTTTTTTATTTTACCTGGTCTTGGAGTTTGATTGTGCGATATTATTCAAGGATAAATAATGGGTCAGAATTGTGCATAGACTCAATGAGGCATTGAGTGCTTTTTATGATATTCCTTTTCCTGAGTCCATTTATCTTTGTGTGTGAGTGTGTGTGAGTTATTCCTATACCGAAACGCTTCAAAAGACTCCTATTCTGCCCTTATTGGGTAATCCATGAAATCCTTTACTTCTCTTTTCTGTCTTTGATCTTGTTATTTCTTTTTAAAATCAGGATGCTTTAAAAGCATCCTATTCAACTTTTTTTCTCTTAGTGTACTTATTCGAACTACGCCTTCGATTTATACATATTCTTTTATACGGACTTGATTGCAGATACTGACTTCGAAATGAACATTGAATGCATTGTTTAATCTTAAATTGGAACCTGGGAAACAGATTCCTATCGTCGAACGTATAATTTCTTGTGCTAAAACCTAAAAGTCATTTCTGTACTTCATGCGCCAATCCATGAAATAATAAAAACATAACATGCAAGTTTTCTTTTTTTGGACTGCCGTTTGTATCAACTTCAACCCCTGAAAACAAAATACTCTATCGCCAATCCAGTACGCCGCCCTCTTTTCGCTCCCAATGCAGAATGAACAAAAAAGCCCCAAAAGCAAACTATGAGAAGGAAAAGCAGCCAGTCAAGCACCATCAGGACGTCGAGACTGTACTCTGCGTGTTGGACTGCGTCGACTAGGTAGTTGCGATTCACCTCTATTACTACGTCCAATTGGTTCCTCTATCTCCATATCTTGAGGAGGTAGATCAATTGATGCCGCCGGTCTCTGAGGTCTTTTACCTGTGCGCCGTGGTCGGACTTTATTCAAAGCGGCGCCGAGGAGGTCCTTTGCATGTTCGTCAAGCTCCATCTCAACATCGTCTTCGATTGTGTTGCCCCCATGCACGATCGGATCTGTCATGCTTGATCCAAAAGGATCGTCTCTTGACCGAGGGAGTGTATCCCTCTTTTGGCGTCCAGTACCGGGTCCAATGACTTTTGTGCGACCTTCGATTGACCATAGTTCTAGTGCTCTGGATAGAATAGTGCCTGCGATACCCGCACCGCCAGCTGCGTCACCACCGCTTACACCAAGAACCCTTACAGCTTCGTGTAGCACAGTAACGGCCTCCAGAGTTCGCCCCTGTTGTAGATAGATCAGACCGCGTGATGTGTGAAGCGACCCGATCAACCCACGATCTTCATACCCGGCCACTCCTGCCGAAGTGGCAGTGACACCTCCTATTGCAGCACTGTAGCCAGTCGCACCACCGCCGGCACCAACTCTTATGCATTCATCAAACTGAGCTAGTGCTTCATCCAAATGGCCCATACGTCGTAGGGCATGTCCTAGATTAGCCCGTGTGGCCACCCATGCACCGGGATCGCATTGTAGTGAGTCCGCCAGCAGTAGCGCCTGTCGGAATAGATCCGCAGCAGGTTCCAGATTTGCTTGGTGATATAGCACAACGCCTAATTCGTTGAGGACAAGAGGGTCACCGCCAAGTGCCGGTAGTCCGCCAGATGGTACGCTGGGGATAGTGGTCAAGGAGCCCGAGGGAGACCCTGAAGACATAGCATATGCCGCACATAAATACTCATGCGCAAGAGACATGTTATTCAGTGCTAGATGCTGCATTCCCAGGAATAGTTGGGGCAGGTGACTACCCTGAAATAGTCGCGCTGCAGTGCTGTAAGCGGCGATCGCCTGGTCATGTTCTCCTTCAGCAGCAAAAGTGTGCGCAAATCCGATCCAAGCCGGTGCCGAATGAGGATCTAGTAGTGAGGCTTTAGAAAAGAAACGTCGTGCTTCAGCGATCTTAGCCACAGATAAATAATAAACACCAATGGCCAAATACGTGTATGGCTCCTCTGGTGCATTGTCTGCTAAAGTATGCGATAGCAAAAATAACGCATTGACAGCTCCAGTCTCATAAAGACAAGCAAGGTGCAGAGGATATACAGCGGGCGAATGTCCCAAATTTTGTCCGGGAATTACCGACGATTCGATCAGCGCCCCGCCCGTTTCAGGAGATGTGAGAATCGAAGAGCTGAGCTCCAAAGCTTCAGCAAATCGGCATTGTGTATATAGTGCTTCGGCACGGGAGAGGAGAATATCCGGGTTATTAGCGAGATTATAATGTGTCGATAGAGTCTCGGTGGCATCAGCAAGCGTGGCAGGCGCAGTGTACTTGGAAAGTCTCGTAGTATAAAGCATCTTCACAAAATGTGCAGCTTCTTGAGATTTAGATGGGTCGGAGGGTATAGTGACAGAGTCGAAATCTAATGATTCCAAAAATTCTAGCTCTTCGGCCGGAGACATGAGCGAATTCTTCATAAGTTGATCAAAGGCCTCAAAACACTGGATATCAATTCGAACAGCATCTTTATAGCAGTCACGTGCGCGGTCGAATGCATTTTGTTTCGCATAACAGAGCCCGCGTAAATAACACATGGCAGCTTCAAACCGTAGATTATTGGCATCTTCTCGCTCTCGCTCTTCATTTCTATCAGCGCGATCCGACCTTGATGCCGCCGTTTTTCCATTTCTGAGTGTGACATGACTATGGCCGTTTAAATGTTGTATTTTGCGCCGACTGTGACCTGCCGCATTGATAAGATGTGTTGGATTCTGGTCTCCGAGAACGTTAAGCGCAGCTTCGAATTTATTCTGTTTGATATAACAATGAGCCGCGAGATATTTACATGATGTACTGCGTGATATAAGGTCTTTTCGGGAAAGTAAAGCTAGCGCTCGAGTAAAGTTATTATTGTTGAAATGCACTTGTGCAAGCCAGAAGGCGTCGGCATCGCTGTCTGTAGTGATGGCCAGTTAGTGTACAGATCTAAGAAGTAAATTCCAAAACGAATACAAACTTGTCAATGCCAGGACCTTGTCCCCAATATAGACAGCAGAGTCGTTCTGTCCTCTATTCAAAGCATCTTGCCGCCAACTGCGGAGGAATTTCTCCATGTCTAGTGATTGTGCTGGAAAGGCGAGAGCACGCGGGGAGTGAAAGTATCATATGGAGGAGACAGAGCGGATGGTATATTGTTGATACATAAGCTATGGTGCTCTCCTAACGTAGAAAAAGCTGCAAAGTAGCTGTGAGAGCCATAACAATGTCGCCAGTCGGTAGTTGAGGTTGGTATTATTTATCGCAGGCGCGACGCGGGATGTTTCTTTAGAGATCAACAATTGGTCCGTGCGTCAGTGCTCCCGCGGAATCTGTAATGTTGCGAGCCTAAGGCAGCAGATCGTTGCTTATCGCTGAGCCTATCACCTCAACTCTAAGAATATCCATCTTCCGCCACTTCAACTACTTTACCACACTCGCTGCATCAGCCCACAAACCAGTGTGCAGTTTAACTCCTGTCTCCTTCGGATCGCATCTTCTCCCATCCTATACTCGGTTAAAAACCGCATTCAGGCCACGAAGCCACCATGTCTGAGCGTAAAGTGTATGTAAACCATATCCAACTCATTTGAACGAAAGCGACTAACATACTCACAGCTTGACAAAGTACTATCCCCCGGATTTCGATCCGTCGGCCATCACACGAACCAAGAAGGTCCCGGGTGTGAAGCAGAAACTATTGACTGTCCGTTTGATGGCGCCTTTCTCAATGCGCTGCACCAGCTGTGGTGAATACATTTACAAAGGCCGCAAATTCAACGCTCGAAAAGAAACAACTGAGGAGAAATATTTGTCTATCGCAATATATCGATTTTATATACGTTGCACGGTATGTACTTTATCTTTCCCCATTGTACGACTCAGCTTCTAACTTTCATTATTGCAGCGATGTTCGGGTGAAATCACCTTCAAAACTGACCCCAAAAATATGGACTACGTCTGCGAACGCGGCGCAAAGCGAAACTTTGAACCATGGAGAAACACCCAAGCAGACAACTTAAACGAAACCGAGGAAGAAACATTAGACCGCTTAGAGCGCGAAGAGAATGAGGAACTCGAACAACTCGAACGCGACAAGATGGCCGAACTAGAAGAAAAAATGCTCGACTCCAAGCGTGAAATGGCCGTTGCCGATGCTCTTGATGAAATTCGTACAAGGAACGCGCGCATTGAGAGGGGTGAAGCTCTCGGGGAGGATGTTGCTTTAGCATATGTCAAGGATGAGGCTGAAGAGGCGAGATTGCGGGCCGAGAAGGAAGATGAAGAGATTGCCCGTCGAGCTTTTATGACTTCAACGGGGCAGAAAGTTAAACGATTAGTTGAGGATGAAGAGGAGACTGCGGCGAAGACGGCTGAAACCCCGGCTCCTGCAATGTCGTTTGCAAAAGCCAGGAAGCCGAAAAAACCATTCAACGCAGGCTTGGGTATCAAGAAGAAAGCATCGTTGGTCTAATCTCATGTATAGTTACTTCGGCCGTTGTGGCGTTTATATTTGCAACGATATAGCTATTATCGTCATCTGTATTCTCTTTTTCTCCTAAAAGTGATGGGGACACATTCACATATCTACGTACGTTCTACTTTCAAGTTATTGCAAGAAGAAATTATTGGTGGGCTAAACCGAGTAGTATGACCGAATTTAGCTACACATACATGAATGAATAGATAAAAAAGTAAGCAAGAAAAACAATCATTAACCAGATTCATAAGAAATACCCAAGACCGCTCCCATAATCCCAAACGCCCTTACTGAGATGATGAACAGTGTGGTATAGAAAAGAAACATGAAATAAGCTGCAGTAAACAGGACACAACTGAGATACGTGCACAGATCATCAACTCTTATGAAATAGCCCAATGAAAAACTGTCATAACACGCGCCGAGAGAAAAAAAATCCACCCATTCTTTAAAAGGCATGAAACCCGACTACAAGTATGGCATCCAAAGAGCATCAGCAGAAGCCAGAGATTGAGGATTGACGGCCTTCGAGATAAGATCAATAGTAGTTTGGTTGGCAGGCAAATTACCCTCTGGAGGACTGGCCAGGCTAACAGCACGGTTAACGATAATACCGCTATTGCTCTGGACTAGTTCGCGTAGCTGGTTCTCCGAGACGTTTCCACGATGATGAGCTGTAGCCCAGAAAATCATTTCTTCACGCACAAAAAGACTGAGCTGTTGCTCCAATTCGTGACGTGGTTCTGTAAGGCAGCGAGCAATTGCCATAAGGGCACAGGCAAAGACACCTTCAGTAGCAATAGGTCCCATCAAGGTCTGGATGTTTGGCGTCAGGCGGAAAGGAACCTGTTCGGGGTTAAAGAAGAAGGCCTTGGTTGGATTGATGCTTGGGATCAGCTCAGAGCCCCATATATCGCCCGTAGCGCGAGAGATGGAAATCTTGTTGGGATACCGGTTGCCAATGTGCATGACATAGGTCATGAAACAGATTGCGGCATACTGGTACGAGAATTGGCGACGGAACAGCCAGAAGTCCTCGTAGTTGGGGTAGGTCTTCTGGAAATAATCCAGCATAACCGTATTGGGAACCCATTTCTCCTGGATAGCAGTAAGAATTTCCGTGCGAAGGACATGCTGCTGCTCAATAGAACGCTGTGACATGTTAGCATATGAAATGTTGTAAAGATCAGGCTTAAAACTTACGCTTTGCTTCATCTCAGCAAGCCCACGCATCTTCTCCATGGTGAAAAGCACAGGCTCATCTTTATTGATGCCTTCTCGCCGACAGTAATCTTCGTAGATACCTTGCATTGAAATGTATGAGGGATCATCGCGTACTAAGCGAATATGAGGAGCAACGGGAACCATGAGTGGCAGATGGAAGTAGAGATTGCGACGTCTGCTTTCCTTGCGTTTAGCTAAAATACCGTTGAAAATGCGGAAAAGTTGAAGAATGCGCTCTTCGCGACGGCAATGGCGGGCTGCAGGGTGTTGAACAGCGAAAGGATGAATGCTGCCATCAAGGCCTCGGATCTTAAGACGGCGATGGCAAACACCAATACCTCTGACCAAGTCAACATCCGGTAAGAAGCGATCGATGCGAACAAAGTCCTGATTCTTGTCCTTGTGCAGAAGATACTGTCCAGGAACTTCGACTTCCTCAAATTTCAAGAATCTAAATTCGCTGAGATGAGGGGAGTACACTTCAAGGTTCTGCGATTGCGGACGACGATCCAGTTTTTCTTCAAATTTGTCGCGCCAGCGTCGCAGCTTCTGCACATACTCAAACATTGTGATCTTCTTGACCACAAAATCGGCTTCGAAAGATTTGCGTATATGTGCTGGAAGAATAGTCTCGGCGAATCGAGTGATGTTGGCTTCTGTAGCAGGCGGTAGCTTGAAATCTTGAGCGTAAGCTACAGGTGTGCGGCCGACATATGCGAGACCATCATTCAACAATGCTACGATCAGGCGGTGAGCATCCTCGTCAGGAGGACATTTGAAGTTCTTTTGGATTTGGTCCACCATAGCCTCCATTGATAGTGCTAGCAGTGGAAAAGCTGTCTTCAAGCCTGCCATAATTTCTTCAGAATATTCCCATGGCTTCTTGATTGGCTCCTTCTCCGGCTCTCCAGGATTTGAAGGTTGATTTGCGTTCTGTGCTGGAACCTGTCCTTGCCGTTGCCCTTGGGCGGGAACCTGAGTCTGTGCCTGCTGGGGTTGTGCTTGAGGCTGACCTTGCTCTTGTGCTGGAGTCTGTTGTTGCGTGGCATTCTGAGCTTGCGCCAGGGCCTGAGGGTTAGGCTGGCCATTGAGTTGAGCGGCGGCATTCTGTGGAGTAGCAGTATTGGCTACAGCAGGGGAGGACTGTGGGTTCTCTTCACCGGCCGTACCTAGCCGTGCGACATTGCCGGGTTCGACCTTCATACCAGGTGATGCCTGTTGCTTCGCACGGTTCAATTTCTCCTGCTTGGCTTCTTGTGTCTTCTTGATACTGATCATATCTTCCCTGTTCGTGCGAAGCAAGAAGAATAAGGCTTGTGGGTAGAGCTTAGCGATCTTGACCAGCACTGCTTTGCATAGACGAGCCTCACGGCGGCTAAGACTTGTGAGAAGTTGCGGTATAAACGTGATCCAATACCACACTGGGGTATCGCCCTTGAAGTTCTCAAATGCGCTGGATACACGACCTTCTTCATTATCCAGACTCAGCAACCAAAGAATACGGCTTAGCAATTTCCTAGATTTGGCGTTCTTATAAAGCCCAGCAGCTTCGAGATAGCAGCTCACAGCGTTACCAGCTAGCTCATAATCGGTGGGGTCCATCTTGAATCGCTGATCATTGAAATGTCCCCATTCCGCCCATGCTTTCGCGAGCTTCAGATCGTAGTACAACGCAACGCCAAACGAATCATTGGCTTCTTCCACATTGTTCAATTTCGCCAAGAACATTCCCTTAAGAGTGTAGAACTCAGCTTTCTGTTGCGCACCAAAGTAGTTCAGATTGGTGTTATTGATGACGTCCAGTCCGCTCGAGAGCTCTTTGGGATTTTGATAATGGCACTTCGCTTGTTCCCTCAGCTTTAAGAAGGCTTCTTGGATTTCAATGTTTGGCAAAGTATAGATCCTGCTCAGTTGATTGATGCAAACATCTGGCATCTGGTGCTTACGAGCAACATGAGCGAACCGATTGATGATCCACGCCGTTTCATGATATCCGCGATAGGCATATGAATTGCTTGCGACATTGTTTGTCTGAGGTGGCAGCAGGCCGAGATAAGTGGCATTAATCAGTTGGAAGATGTGTTGACGCCAAGTGACCAGATCTTGCCAAGCATTGATATCATCCCAGACATTCGGTAAACGATCTCGCCAGGTGCCTAGAAGTAGCTTCAGTTCAGCTGATTTGGTGTCCAAGTTCCGTTCATTTGTCTGAGAAAGGCTGTTGCATATCACACTAGCATCATGTAACTCAACGAGTTGTTGGAAGTGTTGCAGAATCGGGATATGAGCATTGGTAATCCTCTTTGGAAGCTGATGCCACTTGCGAATGGACAATTGAATTGACTCGTCGCAGATATTGTTGAATTCTTGGATACCATCCTTCTTGAGATGGAAATTGAGCAACGCCATGAAGGCTTGGAAAAACGTGCGACGTGGAGTGGGAGCATCAGAAACCGATTTGATCAGAGAATCCAATTGCTCACGATTGGTATCGCTCTGCCAGTTCTCAATGTTCCTCCACGCTGCTTCCAGAAGAAGGTCGTTGAGATTCTCGTGCTTAGCAAAGTCACTCAAGATTTCCCACTGCTGGAGCTTCTGAGCACAGATGAGCCAGTGATCTTCCCAGAGGTAATATTCTCCCTGCGAGAACGGCATGGCGCCTGAGCGAGCTTTGATCTGAGCATTCTCATACAATTGCTGGGCTTTATCCCACATGCCATGCTGTTCGTAGGACAAGGCAGCATTTGTTTCCACAAATTTACATCGTCTTCGCCATGTGCCATAGAAGAAATCATCCTCTTGGAGACCGGCGAATATCTCGACAAGTGCATCAAGGTTGCTTTCTCGCACTATCGGAGTATCGATGGTAGGTTTGTTCGCGGACTCTTCTAGATACGCTGCAGACGTATACCATGCATCATACGTCCTGCTCAAGAACTTCATGACATGAGGCGGGACTTTGAATCGAGGCTTGGATCGCACAGCTCCCTCGAGAAGTGCCTGGATAACATTGGGTCTCTTGTCTATCTGCCTCTGATGGTACTCGCGAGTAATAAGAGTGACCATCCCTTTCTCCAAATCGATGCGCTCATCCTTTGATAATGTTGACCATACTATGGGGAAGATAGTAGTCCACACTTTGTAAGATGTCTTCGGATCGGTATGCTGAAGCTGGCAAAGAGGCTCAAGTAGATCTCTTGTTCTCACATCTCCTATCTCAGCAGCGAAACGTTTGCACTCAGCCACGAGACTCTCCAGTTGATTATCAACCATCACATCTGCTTTTCTCGGATCTTGTTCGGCGGCACCGAACAGGAACGATATCGGATATACTGTCATATCATCGGGGAGAAGCCGAGCAGGCGTGTTCATGTCCACAGAACCCATTACGAGATGCGAAGCTTGCGCCAGCCAAAACGAGTCCGCAAGTGTATCCCAATTCTGCGACGTCATCACGTAACTTAATCGAGAGCTAGCTGTACGAGTCAAGCTCTTATCGAAAATCGTGATAAAGCGATTTCGCATTTCCACGTCTTGAGCTCGTGTACCAATTAGGAAAGCATGCTCCAATCTGACAGTCAATTCAGTGCGAGTGATCTTGTTATCCTCGTAAATGCGAATGACAAGATTGAGGAACTTCTTGAGCATTGTCTGATCAGGGCGAGTCTCGAAAAGTAGCATCTTGTGTAGAACAGCGGTCTTCTCTTTGAGGGTTGGCCATGACTCCGTGGAGTGGAAAATCCAAGACTCAACCATTCCAAGGACCTTACTGCAGAGTTTGATGTTCTGTGACCGCTCCACGAGTTGGGCAAGAACACTAAGGAAAGGCCGGCGCTGGTCTCCAAGGCTGGACATACGGATTGAGATCACGTCAATAGTCTTAAGAATGAGATCCACGCCGATCTCAAACTCTTGTTGATCTGGAGTACCGTTATCACCTTGTTTGATTCCAGGATGCTGACCAGGAGCTTGGTTGGTAGCATAAGCAGCAACATGTTCCTTGGCAAGTTTCTGAGAAAACGCTTTCATGACTTGGGGAATGTGTGCATCCATCTCCGCAGGTCTGCTTGAGGACAAGGTCCACAGAACGTTAAGGCTGGAGACATAGTTGTTGTTGGAAAGTCCCTCAGTAGCAATCGTAGATAAGAAAGTGACAAACTCCGAGGGAGAACTATCCATATCCATACCATCTTCCTCTTCTGGCTGATCTTCAGGGAGAGCGGCTAGAACTCGCTTGACGGGTGGGGGAATCTTGCGTGACGAGCTATCATCATCCACCGCGCCATGCAGGCAGTCCTGAATCTCGGGGTTGTCTGAGCGCAACGGCTTTTCGAAGAGTTTTTGAATCAATGGCAACCTGCTGACAATCCATTCATCTGGCTTAGACGCAATGAGTACACGAAGTACTTGCAAAGTATTGATCATGCTAGTAATCTGCTTTTCGTCGGGTTTCTCGGCTTTCTCACCAGTGAGAATTGGCTCAGTGACCTTGGGGTACAAATCGATATCCAGGTCTCCCCAGAATTCGGGCTGAAGAAGACTTGTCAACAGCTGCGTTGCCTTCTTAACCATTTCTCCTGTGACAACTGGAGGTTGGGGCTTCGCTGTAGGCAATTCGCGCAGCTTGAATGCTGGGACGGGGAATCGCTCAGGAAGCGTAGTAATGAAGGTTATCAAATACTTGATAAGCGCTGCTCGCATCTCCGGTGACACACTATATTCTGTCCTTGATACCAATGAAGGTGACTCGGCTTGTTGATTCTCATCGAGTTTGCGCTTCCTTGAGTTCGGTGACTCTGAGGGACCGCGAGGACTGCTTCCACGAACTCGCTTTTCTTCCCAGTGCCAGATTAGTCCAATAAGGTTCAGTGCCAATTTTTTGCTCTCGCTCGAAGGATTGGGTGGAGCAGCAATTTTACTGAGCGATGGCACGATAAGAGGTACAAAGTGCTCTCGAGACTCATAGAAGAGATCCGGGTGCCGTACGAGGAACTGGAAGATGCTCATCACTTGCTGCAAGTTTGCAGTCTCTTCTGCTAAAATGCGGCGAGGCCACTTAGCCCACAGTGGGTAACGGAGATCAGGAGGGGGCTGTTGGGGGTTCTGGCTAAGAGTCGCAATCCTCGTGGGTAGAATAGGAGCGAGAACATCAAGAGCCTGGGTCACAAGAGCCTTGCCTTCGTTCTGGTGAGCCCTCAAAAGAGCTACATAGACTTGGATCACAATCTTGAGGGGCGTTTCATAGTGAGCAATGAAGTAGCTGATCAGCACGTAAGCACCGTACTTGTTAATGATATCTTCCAGTCGAATATAGTTCCAGGCAAATTTGATGATGTCCTTACGCGACTCCTGGACAGTCTGAGAGTGATACTTGATCAACAATGCGGATAGCTGCAGTAGTTCCATGCGGGAATGATCGACGCCTGGTTGGTTTGATTCCTCCGCAATGTCACCAACTTGTGGTCGCCATAAACGATTCTGGATTGATTCGGTCATACTCTTATCCATCAACTTTGGAATATTTGGGGGGCTATTCCACGTCGCCTGCACGTCCATTGCAAAAATGGGATTCACGAGATTGTGGAAAGCGTATGTCTTCATCCTCTGAGATGACGTGCGTTGTCCATAGAGGTCAAGGCACCTCATGATGACAGATCTCCTATAGTCAATAGACTCATTTGTGATGATATGCTTGTAGATGAATTTCGGGAAAGCAAGGGTTCTCTTCAGTTCATCGGCTGACAAACCGCTAATAACTTCAAATAGAAAATCGAGATCTTGAAGTGAATCAGCTAAATAGATGGTGAACACATCCATCAACTGATCCTCCGCCTGCTCAACCCTTAATCGCTCGCTTGCTGGAAGCTTATCGTTTCTCAATTTGATCTCAAGATCTCGGCCTGTACTGAGCAGCTTCGGGCGCAGACTAGGCTGGTTTAGGAGCCATTTCTTCGTAGCTTCATGCATGCAAACAGAATTGACGACGTGGATTGCATTGATTGCTGTTGTGTTCTTGCCGTCAGTTGACTCGGTACCAAAGGCGGCATTCATAAAGCCTTCAGTGTCTGCAACGACGGCGGATCGAAGGACGGCACTGTCGGGATCTGCTAGTACCTGGCCGAAGAAACGGCCGTAACGCTCGTCATTGAAGCGCTGTTGGAAGAAGGCCCAGCTCTCCTTAGGATAACGATTCAGGTACTTCACAAGGGGTTTGCGGAATGGGCTATTCGAGGTTCTCCGTAATTTCTCTTCCAAGTCAATAACTTTGTTGACTAGGTTCTCCATAAAAGTCGTCGCGGCGGGTGGGAGAAGATGGAAAATATTGAAAATAGAAGCAACAATCTTCATAACCGGATTCTGCTCGACAAGGTTGAACGAGACTTTCTGTAACGTAGCGTCGTCTGCAATGACTTTCATGTGTTCGAGAAGACGCTGTCCGATTTCAACCTTGAAATAATTGGTCAGGAGGGTCAGTAGCCTAGCCAGGCCATCGAGTCCAGCCACAGTCAATCGCTTGGGATCCTGTAAATTCATGAGGATAGGGCGAAGACCATTCTGAAGCAGATCTTTGGGCAACTTGTTCGTCTGTGTGAGAACGTCACGAAGGCCAGCATTTGCAGCTTCGATAATTTCCGGAGATCTCGAATACAAAGATTTGAAGAAGACAGAGATAACTCTGCTTCGACTACTGGCATTCGGACCAGCGCCGAACTCTGGGAAACTCATGGCCATTGAGAGTAGACGAAGACATGCTACTCGCAGATTGACAATCATCTCTGCATTCTTGAACTCGTTCGGTTTGGAAGCTAAAGACTCGTCCTCTGCATCAGCTAGAGCCAGTGACTCCAACATCAAACGATTAAGTGAATCGTTGAAGACGACAATATTCTTATGAAGACCGAGACAGAACGTAATGGCATCGATGAATCCGATTTGCACAGGAAAAGGAAGAGCTCTAAGAGGTTTATTGAAGATAGGTTGCAAGAGGCGATCCTTAACTGGCAACATGAGTTCGTGTTGCTCACAACCAACAACTTCAGCAAGGAGGGATAATGCTTTCTGCGAAGTTTCTCGGACATGCTTATTCATATGTGACAGTTCACAGATGAGAAAGCCGCAAAGCCAGGAGAAACGACTCTTTTCATTCTTCAAGTCATCCTTGGATATGCCCTTATTGCACCGCCGAAGAATAAGCTCTAATGTTGTCTGCGCTCTAACACGAGTGCTCGCAGGAAGATCGGCAGGTGTATCTTTAATGACATACATCAGAGCACGAACAAAGTCAACCTGTCGCTCAAAGAGCCAAGTATCGCCCAGATCTAGCTCGGTAGCTAGAAGGTGTATACCTAGACTACCTCCGGCCTTGGTAAACCATTCTTCGCTGTAGCAGCTATGGCAAAATACACGACCAAGATGCTGCCAAAACGGTAACTTGGCAGCTTTGTCTGAACCACCAAAGATGACACCAGCAGCTTGTTTGATGTCTTCCATAGCCTTTTTCGCCGAGTCTCGCATTTTAGAGTCATCAGACGATAAGCAGTCCACAATAACATTGACAAGCAAGCGAGAATCCAAGTAGACAGGACCTTCACCACTGTTGACGTCGAAAGGTCGTCGAGTGTGTCTAGCTTGAGCCAATGCTCGGCCTACTTCGACAACAACGATGTGACGACAGACATCTTTGACGAAGCTAGTCGCAGCTTGCTCAAGATCTGGGATAGAAGTGGCAAAGAAACATGCTTTAAGCAGCTTCTTCAAGCTTTCTTCCTGAACCAGCTTCTTGGGGATGGAACTAGATCTCTCGGACTTGTCCAATATGTCAATAGGCCCTTGAATCTTGCTCTCTAGAAGATCATCGGCTTGAAGGCGAATTAGGGATGCAAGGTCCTCGGGCAGATTATCATAACCAATGTAAAGCTTTAATTGAGAGCTTAACATACGGAAGGCCTGCTGTTTGTAATATGCATCTGAAGCCTTCGCCACGGGTGTCTTTGGGTTCTCTAAAAGCTTCGCGTAGGCCACATCCACGCCAATCTCGATCGGGAACGGTCGTTTCTCGTTCGGGCCGATCAACCTAATATCGAAACTAGGAACGTCGTCCGCGAATTGCTGGAAGGACAGTTCTGGCGGGTGATTCAAGAATTTGCGGTTGCGACCACCCAGTTTACCCAGGATTCTCATCGTCGTGTGAGAATGGAAATGACTGTAAGGATGCGGTCGTAAGTGATCCCAGAGTGCCGTCATCAGTTCGTCCATAATTGGCGCCATAATAGGATCCAAGTAATCGGCTGTCAAGTTATCCACACACAACTCAAGGGTACGCAAGCCCTGTCCAACTAAATCCGAGTCTGCTCTCAAAGCGACCACGATTGGGCGCATTAAATGGCTAAGGTGGGGAAGGAGATGACTTAGACGTGCCGGCACAGTCAAAGTTAGCTCGACGTAAAGATCGCGTTCTTGAGGCTTGCGAGCGCCCAGTAGGAGATTATTAAATGTCTCGAGAAGCATTTCCAATAGTGGAAGTAGCTCCTTGTATAAAAGCTCAAACCTTCCACCTCCGATGCTGCGGAACAACGAACGTAGTAAAAGGAAGTAATTCATGGGCTCTTCGGCGGTCACTGATAGCTCGATACATTTCGTAACTATTTTTGTGACATGAGGGTAGAGAACCTGTTCGTTTTGATTTGAGAAAAGAGTGACGGCCATAAAAGACAGTTTGAACATCCTCAGGAGTATCTTGGCCTTGGCCATGTCTGAGGTTCCGACTTCTTGTATACGGTCCATCAGGTACTGAAGAACCATACCAGAGAATGCAGGAGAAGTTGCTTCACTTGCGAGGAAGAATTGTGGCAAGTGAATGAGAGCGGGGTGCTCGAACATCAATTCGTGAAGATAGGGTATCTCGCTATGAAACACTTCATGGAAAGTTGCCGTGTCAATACAATGGAATACTGTTCCGAAACTCTCAAGAAGCTCCTTCTCTTGAGGACCCATAGGAGCAGTATACTGGCTGGCAAGATACTCAAACGAAGAAGAGTAGCTGACGTCAGGTGCAGGCTGGTCTACGCCATAGTATCGGAAGACGCGAGCACCTTCATGGAAAAGCTTCTTGATGACTTTAACCTCTTCTGCATTGTATCCATACGAGACTTCAGGCCAGTTGATCGGTGTATTGTTGGGATCGATCTGTATGTGTGTCGGGTTGCAATTCTTCAACTGGTGGAAGATGTTCTTTAAGCCATTGATCAAGTTCTTGAACAAGAATAAATTGTCAGAGACCGGATCGCCACCTCGGTCTCGAGGGTTGGACGTCTTAATCGGAACTGCGGTGAAAATATCAATCTCATCCCAGTCTGGAGGGGAGGCCCGATCGGCAAGATAGTTCTCAGGAGTCGAGTCGTCGCGTTCTTTATTTGCACGAGATACTTTCACGGCATTGTCGAACTGATAGTTCATAGCGGCAAACTTGTCACCAATGGCATCCAAGATCATGATAAGGTAGTACCGCGCATCTTGCTTGTCTTCCAGCTTCGAAATCTTCTCTGCCATGTTTAGCAACAACTTCGCACTCATAGTCTGAAAACTAGTTCCTGGAAACTCGTCATGGAGGTTCTTAGTGTAAACCTCGACTGTCTTGCGAATCTGGTTCCTTGTGAGATGGTCTCGAACATGGTGAATCAAGTCGGCAAGCATGCTGTATGCAAGAGGTCGCATAGTCTCATAAACAGTCAATCCATCTCCGATAAGTGTTCTTTCGTCCAGCAGCTGATCAATTGTAACCAGGAAGATCCGTCGGTAGTTGAAGTTGATGATGTGACGGATAGCGACCAGCAGCTCCTTCCGCGCGCTGGACTTCTCACGTGGACAGTCTTGCAACAACCGAACAACAACACCTGGGAGAGTTGGCAGAAAATCTTGCAGATGGTTCGCATACATGCGGAGAAGGTAAGCAAGAAAGCTCATGGTTTTGACTTGAGCAGTGATAAATTCACCAAAAGCAGCTCGATTTTTAATCTCCTTGCAGACTCCTGTGAACAGTTTCCCTTGAGCGTGGGCTTCTGCGTGCGCTCTCTCCTGTGGTTTGGCTTGTAAGAGTAATATGCTCTTTATAAGCGGGACAAACAGCTTGACGTTTGCATTGACGGTGTTACGATGTGCCTGGAATATCGATACGACGATAATGGGACACTCAGCAAGCACCTTAAACGACTGCATTCCTTTCTGCAAATGATGACTCATTTGTTGATCGGGGCCCAGATCAGAAACTGTTGTGCTGGGAGAAGATGGTCGCGGAGATTGAAAGTTCTGAGAAACCGCGCCTGGCGTCGAAGGCATACCGGGTGTTGTGCCTTGAGCTGGAGTATCGAATGTATCCCGCACCACTTCCTCCATACCCTGGAACATCTCCTGGATGAGTTCGAGAAAAGGCTGGACTCGCGAAGCTGTCGCATTGACCTGGTTTCGCACCAGGTCCATGATGGTCTTCATACATAGAACTGCATTTTCTTCATTTTCAACCCTGACCAGCTGCATCAACGTATCCACCATGTCAACCGCGTACGGCTCAACATCGGGAGAAGCTGTGGGCAGGCGGTGCAACGTTTCGAGAAGGGAGTTTCGAAATTTCTAATGCAAGAAATGGTCTTAGTATTAAATCTTTCGCCTTCGAACAGCCAAATTGCAATCTTCGAGGACTTCCTTACTTGTTCAAAGGATGTGTTTGTGAACACTGGATCCCCCTTCAGGAGATTCTTAAAAACAGGCCATAGCTTCGTCAAAAATATAGAATAGTTGGGGCCCGAGCAGAGGGTTTCGATAGTATCTCTAAGCTCGATAGCAACATTGGCTTTCTTCGCAACCTCTAGAGCAATCAAACAAACACCACATTATTAACAACCATAAACCAGTAATGAATAATTCCATGCGCCCTGAAATAATTCACTCACCCCATTTCTCATTCGTGAGATTCTTCACGTAGGTATCAATCTTTGCCTCTGTCATGATTGCGACAAATGATTCTGATCGATCAATCCGCTACCGAATTCGAAATATGTTGACAACAAGCTTTCGTCTCCGTTCATATGCCAGGCCTACGGGCCGGCATGTCCCTTCGAAAGGTTTCGCAATTCCCTTTTAAACCGAGGAGTCGTGATACATATGGTTCGAATATGGTCGTAAAAAAAGATTGCGCACGAGGGTAAAAGACAGCTCGGAGCTTTGAAAACGAACGACTCGAACGGCTGGCTCTTGAAGAATAAAAAACGTCTGCCTTCGTAAATTAATGTAAGGAGGATAAAATAATAATTAAGGACAGAAGAATGATTAAAATAAAATTAAGAAAAGAGTCCTGTCTGGTAGAGAACTGGTGATTTGTGGCAGACAGAAAACGAATTGCAGACAGGGCTCTCTCCAAGGCTTGCGCGACTGGAAACTGACTATCAAAGGCGCGGGCATCCTCGAGACCCTGTAGAGATACACTAAGCTACTTTTGGTAATTTTGCGGATCAATGGTTCTTCCGTCCTGTGCCTGTGCCAAGGCGTACCTTACAACGGGGAAATCCGTCCATTGGCCAATCAGATAGCCAATTGGAGGTTTGATCACCTGGATTGCCCTATTTTATCAGTCTTATATTCTTTGAGGGAATATGATTGTATTTAGCGGATCTGATAAATGTCAATCATTGTTTGTCTAACAAAGAAGGATATGTACAAGTAGCTACATCCTATCATGAAAAGGCAGGCCCTCTATCCTGATCTATCAGCCGATTAATGACATTCACAAACCTGCCTGCTTTGTCGATATCCTGTTTGGCAGTCTCAATGCCCAACAAGATCTTCTTGATTCCCACTCCAATCTTCTTGTCGTCATCGATACTGTAGATTCCTCCAAGAATGCCCTCAATCTCTTGAGGTGTGAAGGTCTCTAATCCCTCCAAAATATATCGTAGTTCATCGTAGGTATTCACCGTGGGCACTTCAATGTCGGAGTTGAAGGAACTGTACATGTCTAGGTCTTTGAGAAGGCGACGTTCTGTAGTGGTTGCGAGAATCAAGAGCCGGCGCCCATTTGCAGGAGCCTTTCTCATGAAAACCATCAGTGTTTGAAGGACAGCGTTGCTGAATCGGGCTCCAATTGGCACCCAATCAATGAGTCGCTCAATATTGTCCACAACCACAATACTGGTGCGACTCTTATAGGCATCAGAGAAGATCTTGGTAATGTGCTGAATCTTTGCGGACTCCGTGAAGCCAACCATGTCTTCTGGGCTAATCAGTCGAATAAAAGGATAGCCCGAATCCATCGCTATACGGGCCGCAAGTGCAGTCTTGCCACTAGCAGGAGGGCCATGGAATAGAACTGAAAATAGTGGGGTTCCGCCTTCTTCGCCGACCTGTTTCACAAACAGGTTGCCTTCATTGAGGATATCCTTGATTCGATCAGAGAAATGGATGATGCCCTGTTGAATACAGTCTCCAAGCTGTTCTTCCGCGACGCCAAAGGCCGGTTTAACTTCTTCGAGAGCATTGAGGAAGTCGTCTCGTCGGACTTTCAGGTTCGCAACGTCGTCCTTGATGCCGGCTATAGTATCAGGCTTGACGTGTCTGTTGAAAGCAAATGATGTAGCAGCCTTGACCAAACCCGAAATCTCAGCACCAGAGTAGTTCTTTGTCAACTGAGCAAGCTCCACCAAATCCACATCAGGCTCCATCACGTTGTTCTCCCTCATCTTCTGCGTATGAATCTTTAGGATTTGAGCACGACCCTTCTCATCGGGCAAACCAATCTCCATGTGGACTTCCAAACGACCAGGGCGTAGCAAAGCATCGTCAATCATGTCTTTTCTGTTCGTCATACCAATCAGGAGAATATTATTCAGTTGGTCCACACCGTCAAGCTTGGATAGCAATTGATTGACAACACTGTCACCAACACCAGTACCGCCACCGGCGCCACTACCACGCTGTTTACAGACAGCGTCGAGTTCGTCGAAGATGATGATGTGTAGCGCACTCTCGTCGCCTTTCTCCTTGTACTCCTTCTCTGCATCTGCGAACATTTTTCGAATATTCTCCTCAGACTGGCCGACGTACTTATTAAGCACCTCAGGACCGTTAATGATTTTCGGTTCTCTGGCGTTCAGCATTTTACCAATTTGTCGCGCAATCAATGTTTTTCCTGTTCCTGGTACACCATACAAAAGGATACCCTTGACGTGCTGAATACCCAACTTGTTGATCAAACCGGGAGGGAAAATTCGCGACGCAAAAGCACGACGGAAAATAGTACTGAATTCCGAATCCAAACCACCGATACCCATATCTTCGAACTTGAAATCTGGTCGAATGATGGAGTTGGCGGCAGGCCTGCGATCAGATGCTTTCAGATTAAGCCCACTCTTTGCATCTTTGTAAAAGTTGAAAGCTGTATGAGGGGTAAGAATGCCTCGAGCGGTAGGATCAGTCGCAACGCCCTCTGCGGATTGTTGAGGTTGCTTTTCTGACATCAGGTCTACCAACTCGACAGTCTTGATGGAAAGCGAAAGAGGGATTCCCCGATGATCCATCAAGACCTTTTGTCCGGGAGCCAGAATCTGGTTTTTGAATTTCTCAATGACAGCATTTGCCAATTCATTTTGATCATACGGCTCGTCTGTCCTAGCCTTTCCAGCGAATCCCACTTCAACATCCGCGGAGCCAAGATATGCTTTCCTCTCTTGTCGAAAAGGATCATAGATTTGTACTCTTACGGAATCTGTCACGGCAATTCTAGCCCACATTCGTTGCCTCTCTGCGAAACCAATGTATCCGGGTGGGAAGCTATCAAGGGGGCGTGCAGATAGAACATAAAGGTCGTTAATAAGAACATAAAACTCCTGACCGAAAGCTGAAGGAGGGAAATCGGCAGTCGAAACGGCGACCCTAAAAGTCACAAGTAGGTCAGTTTGTCCACCCATATTGCACAACTGTGATGACACGTTGGACGGGAGCTTCTTACAGATTACCATATGTATACTGCGTATTCGGACTCTTCTCGGAACGTAATGTCCAAGTTGATCCATCGTTGACTGGTCTTCTTGCACCGGGTGCTGGTCCTCTTTGCGGTGGCGGGGGAGCTCCGTAGCCGCCTCCTCTGCTGGGGTTCCTATCCCCCTCAGATATGACAGCATCGTAGCCATTACCCCGGCGCGGATCTGGAGGGGGAGGATTCGACCTCGATGTGAAAGGGATGTTATTTCGATTGAACATTTTTGCCGGTCGCGAATTTGTGAGGATAGCAGATGGAGCTCCGAGAAGACGTAGCTCAGTGTTCTCCGGCTTATTTAGTAGTTAGTTGTTAGGAGCTCGTCTCGGACTCTCGGTCTGGGGTAGTGTTATGCTCAAACGTGGTTTGCGACGCTGATCGTCTCGAAAACAGTTGCAGTCGCGGTATATCTGTTGTAGGTAGAGGCCACTGAAAAAACTGAGATGTGGCACAAGTGAATCTGACTATATGTTGTTGATGCTACTGACTGAACAGATTGGCCTACGTTATGTCACCGCCTAGCCGTCGTCGGAGCAGGGTGATTGTTTCACCGACTCCGCCACGGATATAGAACATTACGTACGGATATACTTCGACAAGGCATTTATTGTGACTTCGATTATACTGGGACCTATAGAGACGCCGAGCTCATACGACCTGAAGTAGCTCGTTGAATTCCTTCTAACCAATCATGTACGAGACACCTAGAATTAAATCAGACAAAAAGCCCATGAAGACAGAGAGGACAGCAGATAGATAGTGTCCGTCAGTACTCTAACACTTTCGACACAAAAAGGGAAAAGAAGAAAACGCCATATCACCCTTTTCCTTACCCAAAAACAGCACTGTCTAGAAAGGAGGGTAGATTTTCAAAGGGGATGCTTAGACACAAGTATGCTCCAGTATGCTGAGCCGGATCTTGTCTTGAAAATCTCCTGTTGAGTTGGACATAAGAAAATAGACGGTAAGAGAATAGGTTAAACCATATACATGAGAAGGTTGTGAAGAAAAGAAAATGTAAACGGAACGTGTAGAAACAGTAGTCGGAGTACCAACATTATCGTAAGGGGGAACCCAAAACAAATGAAAAGATGCGGATGGTCGTATTCACCACGAATATACGCAGCCGCTATGATATTTGCAATGCCTGGAGAGACACATGCTTATAGCACAAAGAAGAAAAGAAAAAGGGTCAATGCATAGACACATTACTGTCGACTCGAGTTACTCCGCGACAGTACCACCGTTGCTGGAGAACCAGATGCACTACCAACAGAACTTCGTCGCATTCTCACACTACTGCCACTTCCACTGCGTCGTCTGCGAACATGTTTCTGGAACACACAGTCGTTCACAGTTAGAATCAGGATGGCTAAAAAAACACAGAAAGTAAAATCTTAGCACGTGAAAGAGGCGCAAAATCGAAGCAAGGGTTGATAAAAGACAGTGAAATGGATGTCTCTCTTCCACGCACCAGCAAAGGGTTGGATGCTAACTAACCGAAGTCGTGGCCCTGTCTTTAACCGTAGTAGTCTCATCAAGTTTGAGAGCATTCAAGCGCTTCTGGCTGTCTTGTGTGACTGGATCGATATCATCGGCTTTACTTGCAGGGACCGACGTGGTTGATGTAGTTGGTTCTTTTAAGAGGCCCTTTTTCCTCTTTTCAGCTTGTTCCGCAAGCACCTCCCATCTTCTGCGACGAGCCTGTTCTCTCTCCTCAGCTCCACTTTGGTGTTCGTTATATTCTTGTGAACACTCATCAAAGAGCTGGGGATTGATCTCCATAAAAAGCTTCATGGCGTTATATACCATGCTATGAATGGTTCTATACAAGGTCAGTTACACATATTCAGATGATAGCTTGCGACAGAAAGACATGTCGAGTACGTACCTATTCCAGTGGCCTTTGGAGTTTTCATACAAGGGTGCAAACATGATAGGCAGGATGGTCTCAACGTTGTCGCTGACCAAGTTGCAGAAATACTCGTTATTCCAAAAGTATAAAGCCCGCTCAGCAACCTAAACTAGGGTTAGTGTGGCAGCACAAAGGGCAATCATAGAATGAAACGCACCTGGAAGTGAGGGCTGGCAACCGACTTGGCCAACTGAGTGAAAAGCGGCCCTTGAACCTTGGCAAATTCCGTTGGATCCATGACCTCAAAAATATCCTCAACCTCGTTCAAGAACATCACCTCTTTAGTGCTGTTCACCTTGGGCCAATAACGGAGTAGACCCATGACGACATCCTCTGTGAGTACTGAGTCCTTTTCAAGAAACTGGACAATACAATATGCGAGTTGTGGGTGGTACATGCTCAAGCCCTTGGGCTTATGCATTGGGATCAAGACTCGGGTCAAGAAAAGCTTGTGCTCTTCCTTCAACGGCAGGGCAAACCCGTTGATAATAGATCCTAGAATTTCTAGCAATTCTGCAATACCATTAAACCGCTCGGTTTCGTATGTGAACTGGAAGAAGACATTGTTTATTGAGCGTCGAATATATGAACGCAGGTTGAGGAACTTTCCGTAAATACGGTGCAACGTCGTTTTGAGGAAATCGCGTTCGCGGGGGTCTTCGGAATCGAACAATTCGAGCAACTATAATATCATACAAGGGTTAGCATGATCTTCGAAAAACCGAGAATAGGTATTCCTGGAGTGTCTTCTAACCTGGAGAACGAATTGATGATCAATATATTGTTTCGCGATATTTGTATTGAAGTCTTGACTCTCAATAAACCGCAAGAAAAACTCATAGACCACTTGAATATGAGGCCAAGCAACTTCCAATACAGGCTCATCTTCTTCGGGATCATAAGCCTCTCCTTGTGGAGTCACTGGAGGCGGGATAGGCCGAAAAAGGTTTTTGGCGAACATATCAACCACTCGAGGATACATGGGTTCTGTGATAACCGAACGGTTGTTTGCGACATAATCGAGGAGTTCGTGAAGTGCCAATCTCTTAATCTCTTTAGATTTCATATCGGCAGTGGGGTCATTGAAGTCGAATATAATATTGCACTGGTCAATCTTCTGCATGAACAGATCCTGGCGACGGTTCGGCGGGACTTCATGGAAACCAGGCAATTTTTCCAGTTCTCGCTGGCGTTGATCGGAGATATCGAATCGAGAGGAATGCTGGCGCTTAGGTGTCCTGATGCCTTCAGACATATCTTTGGGCGTGGAATGAAGTCTATCAAAGACGTGAGATTTCTTTGGGGGCGCAAGATCACCAGGCATGGTTTCGGCAGCTCCAGGAAGAGGAACATGCTATGAAAGGATAGTTAGCGGGTGTTGAATTCGGTGAGATAGATAATTCGATCGACGTGAGAGGAAATACTAACCGAGCTAGGGCTGATCACAACACTGGGGGTGATGGGTTGTTGCCCTTGTCTTGTAGGTGTCCCGGGAAGATTTGCGGGCTGGCCACCGAGGTTACCACCCATTGATTGCGCAGAGGGTACGAAATGTTGTCCTGCGCCGGCTGGAGCAGCGGCACCCTGATTATTCTGATGACCTGCTGGCGAATTGATCGCAGCTGGAGAAGCATTATCGACCTTCGCATTCCTCGTTTCGTTCAGGGACGTTGTAGAGGATGTAGGGGTTACATGGTTGGGGCTGGTCGATTGGGCATGATGAGCAGGACTGAGGCCAGTATTCGATGTATTATTGTTCGAGTCTCGTTTTTTCGACGACTTGTTCGAATCTTTTGCCCGCGACAGCTGCTCGTGCTACAATTGTTAGCGGTTTCTGGATGATATTGGGGATCGATCAATGTGCAGGGGGGAGGTAGGGCACTCGTCTTTGGGTGTGGATTATACTCACCACCCTCTGTCTGAAGCCCTTCATTTTGCCAGATTATATCGATTGCCTTTTTATAGCACTGATGTATGTGATGTGTATACTACCACAACGGCTCTCCGATATGCAAATCAGAGGCACGAGGGAGGAGGGGGGCCGGCAACGGGAGCGACAACAAACACGATAACTGGGTTTCTGGCTTGTCAACGACAACAATTATGAGAGACTTCTCGGGTAGTAGAGACGCGTGCTGGAAATGACGAGACCCATGCGGATATTTAAGCAAAAGATGTTGATGGTGGTGAGAGAGGACAGACGGAGAATATCGATTGACTGTTGCACGGTAGTTGGAGGTGTTAGGTCGTCGAGGTTGCGACACGCTAAACAATAAATAGCCTCACTTAAACCAGAGCTGATTGCTGGGTAAACAGGGGACTTTTTCTGGTAGATGGTTTGTCTGAAGAACAGAAGTACCTGAGAATGGAGGTTCTGCTAGGAACAAGCACGACAAAGCATTCAGTGACGATTGTCCATGTCAATGTCCATGTCAGTGGTAATGTTATGAAGTCTGGGCGGTGGAGGAGTCGCTTAGTGAAGGTGAGCGGGGGATGGGCCCGGCGACCGCTAAGCCTTCATCTTTACTTCTTGGTTAACCACAACTTTTGCATTTGGATGCTAATTCACCAGTAGCACTACTTTATGCTATTTACTGCCTAGTGGGATATTGAACTGAATACAGGAAAACAAGTTTGCACTTTCACATACAGGGTTCTGTTCAATGCAGACTGAGGGGAGTGTGAGCACCAATAGAAACATGGCAGAATTGGCGCCTAACAAAAAGGGGCCGGCCAGCCAGTGACCGCTTCAACACATCTTACTCAGTTGTACGGAGTAGGACAGAAATTCTATCTATGAGGAGACCAGGAGATCCTTATAATCACAGCAAGCAAGAATAATCTTCAAGTAATGTCTTCTTTGTACTTGACAACCCATAGACACCATCTAAAGGGGCAATACAAACTATTCAACATCAACTGGGCTTGTATGGAGCCATACGCAAGCTGGGATAATCTACCCTGGCATAGGTGTATAATCTCTAGGTCTCCTCAATCAATGTCCTCGGCGAATATTTTGTAGGTTGGTATGGCATTAGGCATTGAGTCAGTGCCATAGAACCCTACCTCGGGAACAAATATATTGTAGGGTAGCAGGTTTCGAACTTCAGAAGGTGATGTCGTCCACTACAGGTCATATCTGATCCTCAGTTCCGACTTGGTCATAGCAGAACACACCAGCTACAAGAGCTTCCAGCGTCTTCAGGGACTGTGGATGAAAATATTTACATGTTTGAAAAGGCTGTCGGAATAACGATAATCCGTATATCTATGAGATTGCAGTTGAATACCTACGCTCATTTTTCATACGCAGGAACACTATTCATAGAATTGTTATTCGCAATGGCAATTGCTGGTACTCCAGGTCATGTTTAATATGGGTATTATACTAAACCCATAGACGCAATATTTGGGTAGAAGAGAGATTGGAACATCACCACACCGCTGGCGACGGGAAAACATATATTTTCTTTCCATCTATATGACAACAGTGGAATTACAGTACCTTCCAAGTTTTTATAAAACTTGCCACTGCCAACCAACAAAAACTTCTTCGGCAAAAGCTTCAATTCGATATATTTTTATTGGACCTCAATATGGCTGAAGATGATGAGCTTCAATATGCACCTTGGTACCGCATACCATCGCGTCGTATCGTAGCTGTCGAACATCCCGGTATTGTCAAAAATGTCGACAGAGCGATAAAAACACTACAAAGTGATACCGGCATCTCCAAGGCGAGTTTCAGCACAATACATTAGAAAAAGAGGAAAAAAAAAACACAACTAACATTTGATATAGATACTGGACCCATCCAAACCGGGCAGCAAAGTTCAACTATGCCTGCGTCCGGAGGACCCCATGGCAAGCACCATAGACTCATCTAATCGACAAACAGACAACATCCTGCTCAAAGTGACGGTCCCCAAATGGACAGGCGGGAAACGAAAACGAGGCAGTGATGAGCCCTTCTCAGACGGTCCACCCTCTACGCCGGAAGATATTGAAAAGGAACGACAGAGCTGTGCATTCAGACAACGGAGTTTGATGGATAATGCGCATCGGTACTCTGTTGAACCTGTTGGTACAGTTACGAGGACGCATAATTTTAGGAAAATTCCTGATTATGTGTATTCTACGGCGAAGAGTCCATTTGTACAGAAATTTCGGGAGACAATTCTTCCTTTTGAATGTGAGTCTTATCCTCTCTGGATACCATTCAGTGAATTAACTGAACGGGACAGACGAGAAAATGAGGAAATTCGACATCTCCATGAGCAGAGGAGAAACAAAAAATGTCGATCTAATCCCTCCGCCAGCATTTACCAAAACTTTCATCCCTTTTCAATACACGTATCGTCAAAATCCAACAGTGAAATTGTCCCAAGACACGTCCGGCAATGTTACAGCCATCAACACACAGATGCCAAACAAGGTCTTCACGCATCTCGTAACTTGCGATGTGCCCGAAGTACCATCCGAACCACGCGAAGGAATCCCGCCTATATCCAGTCTCGACCCAGATCTTCAAAACGTCATCGCTACCGTTCAGAAACTTTTCGAAGAGCGGTTAGCATGGACTCGTCGTGCTTTACTCAACGCAATTCCCGGTAAAGACCAACGCTACGTCTTGAAATACGCAATTAGTTATGTGGGCTATATATTTCGCTCAGGACCATGGCGAGATGCAATCGTGAAATTGGGCCATGATCCGCGCAAGGACGTCGAATCTCGCAAATATCAAACCTTTGTCTTTCGTATCCTAGCCCGGGAACCGGAAATAGGTCGAGACGGCGGTGGGAGCGCAAAACAACATCAACAATCAACAACCTCAGGCAGCTCGCGTGGCTTTAGCGGTCTCGATATCAGTTCCATCCCAACAGTAACACACACAGAAAACCCCAACAGTCATCTTTGGACCGGTAAAGCCCCTCTAGCCCTGGACGGTAAAATCTGGATGGTCTGCGACATCGTAGATCCCATCCTCAAACAGATCCTCTACCCACCCAACGCGGACCCTAACACTTTTCTGCGGAGTGAATGCGAAATCTTCAGCGACGGCTGGTACGGCAGCGGCACCATTGCAAAGGTAAAAGTAATTATGCGACAAAAGATCCATGCCTTGTCGCAGGAACATCGCGAACCGAGTGATGCAGAGTATGAATGTTTATTGGGATTTCCGGATCATGTTACTGAAGAAAGTGGAACGAGGCTGGAAGGGTTCCATTTGGATGCTGAGAAGGCGACGCCTAGAGAAACGATGCTTGCGACAGAGGTTAGGGCGACGATTAAGGGGGCTATCAGTTGGAGGAGGATGATGGCTGGGCAGAAGGTGAAAACGGCTACGACGGCGGCGACGACGACGACTACTGCGAGTACGTCGATGGAGACGGCGGAGGATGAGGAGGAGAGGGAGGCTACGAGAAGGGTTATTGAAGAAGAAGAGGAAGAGGATGAGGAGGAAGAGGAGGAGGAGGTTAACGAAAATGAGGATAATGACGATATGGATGTTGGTGGTCGGAGTTTTGACTCCGAGTGACTCCGAGTGAGTGAATGTACTTAAGTTTCAAGTCGGTTCAAGATCTACTTCTCCATGGACGGTAAATTCGACCGATTCAAGGCCTCTATTGTAAACACTCGCACTACTAGCACTAGACACAGGACAAGCAGCAGAAGGTCAAGGTCGTACGTAACATATCATATTCATAACAAACTTTCGTACCCTCATTTCCCGTAACATTTTCATCTCGACAGCCTAATCGCACAAAACAGGACGTCTTTCAGGAAACAAACTCATATCATTCGAAGACAAGAAGTGCATGACGCCTGCAATAATCAAAAGTAGAACTCCGCTAGTTCCAAGAAAGATAAAAACCAAGTTCAAAACCCATTGTCAATAAATTCAAACAAGTCAGCATAATAGCTGCGGACGCTCTACTCCGGTATGGAGAGACAATCAAACGCAAGCCTAAGTTGACCGACAAATGTGTATCAACTTAGCGAGGAGTGTTAGGCACCTTAGCTGAAGGAGAGACACCTCTGGGCCGGGTTCTGACTACCTCAGAATTGATAGAACAATATTGACAAGTGATGAAACACCACCCACACAATCCAGGTTACCACAGACAACGGAAAAGACGGAAAAAAATATCAAGAATTAATCGCGCAGGGTATTTGGAACATCACAATATACCGCCCAACCCTAACGCCGATGCTAAAACCAAGCCCAAAAACATGAAACACCGTGGAGAGCAATGATCGAAGCAAAAAAATAGTGAAGCTTCCGGATTGCGAGGGTAAAGACCTATGCGGATGCGCTGATTTCCTGAACCGGAATATCCTTGGACTGACGTCTAGCCTGGGTAGACTGCCAAACAGAGAACGGTTGGAGTCGGTCTGGTGTATTGAGTGCCATCCTCACCTGTGTGGATGGTCCTTTGATATAAGTATCCTCCTGAATGACCTCACAGGAGAGAGCATGAAGGCCCTCACTATAGTAATCGGCAACTTCCAACTCACTAAGTGGAGTGCGATATTGAGCCATCATATTCTTGCGAGAGGCCATGGAGACTGGCTGAGCGGTAGTTGGCAAAGAGATACCAAGCTCATGTGGAGGGATGTTCTCCTTGTCACGATCGTCGAAAAGAGTCTTCCCCTCGCCGTCGCTGATATCAAGTCGATAGGCAGAATGCTCCATCAAGTTAGTGGCCTCTTCCACTTCAGTGTCGACATGGATATCGAAGTTCCAGCTAGCAGGAACGGGCTTTCGAAGAGGCTCAATGGATTTCTTGCTAACATTAGCCGCATTCCTGCGGACAGACTCGTGGAAGAGCGGGGCCAGCTTAGAGCGACGTCCAAAGGCCTTGGCTGATTTCGGTTTGGTCTTGAAGTCTCGATCAACTGGTACGAGTGAGTCCAAGCCCTTTGGCAAGGGGCTAGAAACCTTCTCCTCGCCGACCCAGATGGTCGGTTCGGTGCGGCTGGCCTTGGTCTTGGGAGACTCTGACAGCTGTCCCTCATCTCCCACAGAGCGCTTCCGCTTAGTGGGCTCGGACTTGATACAAGGCTTGACGTTCTCCCCGTCAGAGTCGAAGGAAATTGTACGCTTAAGTGGGGTCGATCCGACGCTTCCTGTGGATATATTAGCGTCTAGGTTTCTCTTGTCACTTCGAGAGTCAATTGAGTAATCTGGAGCCCTACCATTGAGTTTGTTCAAGGCACTCAGCTTAGTCCGCTGGAGTGTACGACGGTTACTACGCGTCACGGGAAAAAGAGTCTGGCGAGGCATCGCCGGAGTAATAGACAAGGTAATTGCAGACATTTCGACGATGCAGAAAAAGGTATTTGAGATTAGAGGAAATTGAGAAGTGAAATAGTCCAGGAGGTTCTGAGTAGAGGAACTGTCAAGTCTAAGCTATCGAGTTGTTGGAGAGAGGAAAGAATAGCCAAGGCGCCTTGGAGCCGAATATATGGTCGACTTTTTGAAGCTATTTGTGGACGAAAGTCGAAGGATTCTAGGTATGTTGAGCGCTCTTGGGCGAATGAAATAGATATCGCATAAGGAATTCAATTATTATTCCGCAAATTTCTTCTTATTCGTTGTATGATCCCTTGTGCGGCGACGATATCGGTAATTGCACCTGGTGTCAACAAATGTCAAAAGAGTGTGGAGGATACTGTAAACAGACAATCCTTTGTGTGTCGGTGGCGATATAGTCGACCGGCGAGGAGATAGTTGTCTCGATTGGGAGGCAGCACAGAGACAGAAGGCAAAGAAAGAGGGGAGAAAAGATGAATTCGAAGGGCGACGCCTGCTATAAGAGTCTGGAGGCGCTTCCTTGGCTGGAGAGTTCACCGCGTCGGTATTTCTGTAAAGTATTCTGTAAGCAATACCGCGGGAATGACAGCGATACCAGTGAGAATCCACACAAGCATGCCAACGCCAGCGCGGGCCGGTATGGTACTGTACGGTATTATGGTATGCAACACTGCTTGGATCAAACTATTCAGACATACATAGCACGGAGTGGTTTAGTACTCTACTACGCATGTAGTAAACCTGCGGAAACTTGAGCCAAAGATCGATTCTTCGCGGGTTGCTGCTGTCGTGGCTGCCAATGGCAGAGACGAGCAATGCAAAGGCGCGTCGTGTATGGCTGACGATGTAAGACTAAGAACAGCTAGAGTCTCCCCTTACGCAAGGCGCGCCGCTATCTACGACGCCTACGATTGGACCTCATTCAATGCGCCCCTCGCAGCTGTGCCTTGACTTGTTCAGATGGAAGCGATCGCATTTCTATTGCGGTGGAACGAATTACTGAGACACCTGAATTTGAGATTTCCGGACAATTGCATTCTATATACGCCGCAAGATGTGTATGCACATGGATATACGTCACCAGAAAAAAGGCTCGATGGTCAAAACTTATCGATATACTCTGTGGACTGTGGAGAATGTTTCTAAATTCTTTCATGCTTGTCAAATGCTGATCTTGAGGATCAGTCTGTGTGAGACTATGAAGCCCTAGCGCGGATCGCGGTGGATGCCTTAACGCGTGCCTGACGCGTAAGGCGTACTTTCGTGTTAAGTACCTTTTCTACCGCCATCATCCGAGTAGATACATCTGCATCTCGACACGCTAACACTTCTTTCAACGCGTTGAAACACTCTGTTTTAAAATACAATATATCCCGATGCGTGCGCGGTTGACAGTCTATCCCTGGTTCCTTGGCTGTTGGCAAGGTTTCCCCTAATGCCGTGCATTCAGATTGCTTGAGAATTGGCCATTGATGAACTGTACTTATCACTGTGCCATGTGCATCGACGACGCCAGACTACCTCGCATTTTGTTCACTTAAATGGCATGTCCGAATGAGTCGTGCCAGTATGTCTGCATGCTGCACCGCAGCTCCCGCCCACAGATCATAAAGCGCTCTTTCTCCACCAAGCAACTCTGTCTATGATTTCGTACTTGAGATTGGACCACGGGAAATCCCACCAGACAAGCCGCCTACGTATGCTTGGAATTGTCGCGGAATGCTGTGTTGACCTACCAACCTACCAACCTACCAACTTATCTCTCATACCTCCAATTGCATCAGGTGGCAAGCTACTTTTTACTAGATAAGCACAGTTTATGACGCTTGTATGGTTGTGCAAGCCTAAATTTATCTATTCTCTATTCAAAGCCAGTACTTTTCCCATTGCTAGATCTCGTCCTCCCATGGAATGCTGTTCATTGCGCCCTGCTTTTCCACACACCGCGCCGATGCCCGTCCGGCGCGTTTCATAGCTTCATCCATCACGACTTGATACCGCTCTGTCTTCTCATTCTGCTCAAGCTCATGACTCGATTTGCCCCGTGCACGTCGCTGTTCTCGCCACCGAGCTATATGTGTTGCGTAGCCGCCAATGAACGTATCGCCTGCTGCCGTGGTATCCAGAACGCGGGACACTTTGGCGGCTGAAATCTCATTTGTGAATCGTGTGTGATTGTCGGCAGCAATTGCTGTGCCGGCGTCGCAAGAACTGTACCAGACACCCTTCGCCCCAAGTGTGATGACCACGTATGTCACCCCCAATTTGTGGAAATACTGGGCTGCCTGTTCTCGGAGACTTGCTCCCTTGGCATTGGGGACGACACGTAGTAGTTCCTCGGTTTTAGGTGCCATTAGCTCAGCCTCTGTTTCGTTCATGATCAAATGATCAATGGCCCCATATACATCCTCCGGCAAGCCTCCTGGTGGTGCTGGCGCTGGGTTGAGCATGACTTCTGGTCCTGCATCAATTCCTTTTCGTCCATTGTCCCTTTGACTTTTCTTGTATTTCGCTATCTCTCGTAGAATGCCTATTGTGGTCTCGGTGGGTATTTCTCCCTGCATGATTATGATGTCGGGGACTGGAGGTGCTAGACCCATGTTGAGAACATCTGGAATCGCTTGCATGCCTGAATAATTGGCTCCAGGTGAGAACAATATGCGGTTCTCTCCACCAGCTGACGAATCCACAATAATCACCGCCACACCAGTGTAATCATCCACCGTCCTAATCCTCGATGTATCCAACCCAGACTTTTCTAGCGTCGGTCCTAGGAGAGATTGAAAATGTCCGTCACGACTACCGACAGCGCCGACCATCTCAACATTGACTGGATTGTTTGAAGTCGACGATTGCGTTTCGGTAGGTCTCGATCGGGATAATCGGCCACAGGCTACGGCTTGATTGGCGCCTTTCCCTCCTGCGCTCGTCGTGAATGAAGTTGCTGTTATCGTCTCGCCTGCTTCAGGGAAGCGGGGAGTTACTGAGACCATGTCCGCGTTGAGCGAACCGATAACGCGGAGAAGAGGTGCCATTGTGCGTCAACGAATTCTGATGTATTGTCGCAAGCAAGTGATTAGTTTGAGGAGGTCATCGGCAGATTCATATAATTTTTTGTTCCACTAAGTATCAGAACTAAACATGAAGCCTTATGACCGATTTGGCGGAGACCCCGAGGAACGACTAACCCCACCGACATCATACATAGTAGAAACCGAAGCTCCACTTGTATACAAATGTAGAGATCTCTACGAAAGTCAAGAATATCCCAATTCCCAGAGAAATACATAGCTATCGCAATGAGATTGATTTTATTCTACAATTGTAGCCATTGCGAGATTGTCTGTGTTTGGAATTAATGTACCAGTCACAATCAACAGAGAAAACAGAACAAAAAGAAGGGTGACCGATTAGGAAACTAGCCGACAAGTCCTTCGATTAGGGTTTAACGAGCCGATTAGGGTTACCCCATCAGCACTTCTCACGTGATCAAGACCACTTAACGCGTGGGAGAAAAAACGCGACGCGTTTCGCGTTCTGCGTTCTTTCTTCCAGGGACAGCGATAATTATTATTCGACTACTATCTCGGACAACTCTGTCTTGAACCCTTACCGGCACAACACTTTTACATCAACACATTTTTTCTGTCTACATCCGTGGCGTTCTTTATATTTGAACTCTCATCACAGATGGATAGACGCACCCCCTATACTTTGAGCGTACTCGCTCCTAGTCAAGATGGCGCCGATGAATCGCGAGTAGCTATCCAAGGACGACTACGAGAATTCATCCTCGCATTTCAGCTTGACAACTCTTTCATTTACAGGTACGAAATGGGACTATGTATCTGCAGGCGTTGCAGTGACTGATCTGAGTTTTAGAGATCAACTGCGACAGAACGTCCTGGTCAAGCAGTACTACTGCGATATCGATATTGCACACTTGATTTCATATAATGGAGAGCTTGCTCATAAACTCACCACAGAGCCCGCCGACATAATTCCATTGGTAAGCATGTTACTGTGATGCTGATCTCGCTGAAACAGACTAACGATGATGCGTACAGTTCGAGGCTGCACTTAAACAATGCACACAACATATCGTCTATCCATCACAAAGGGATGTTGAACTTCCTCCTCACCAGCTTCTCCTTCATTCAAGCGCGACACACACCTCGATTCGTGACCTCAACGCTACTAATATTTCCCATCTTGTTCGAATTCCCGGTATTGTGATCGGCGCCTCGACGATTTCCTCCAAAGCCACCGTTGTCAATATTCGGTGTAAAAACTGCGAACATATAGACAATATCAGTGTTGATAGCGGCTTTGCTGGCTTGACATTGCCCAGGAGATGTGGGCGACGAGTTCAGCCCGGAGAACAACAGAGCGAGCCCTGTCCTTTGGACCCATATGTGATTGTGCATGAAAAATGCCACTTCGTTGACCAGCAAGTCATTAAGCTTCAAGAAGCTCCAGACCAGGTTCCGGTCGGCGAGTTGCCTCGTCATGTCCTTATATCTGCCGATCGGTATTTGGCAAATCGAGTTGTGCCAGGATCACGCTGCACGGTCATGGGTATCTTTTCGATTTATCAATCCAAGGGTGGCGCAAAAGCTGCTGCGGTCGCCATCCGGAACCCCTACTTGCGTGCTGTAGGAATCACCAGCGATATTGATCATACTTCCAAGGGAGCCGCTACCTTTACTGAGGAAGAAGAGCAAGAATTCTTGGAGATGAGCCGTCGTCCTGACTTGTACGAAGCATTTGCTCGAAGCATTGCACCCTCAATCTACGGCAACCTGGATATCAAGAAAGCTATTGCTTGTCTTTTAATGGGTGGCTCGAAGAAAATCCTTCCAGACGGAATCAAACTTCGTGGAGATATTAATGTGCTCTTGCTCGGTGATCCTGGTACTGCAAAGTCTCAGTTACTGAAATTCGTTGAAAAAGTGTCACCTATTGCTATTTACACTTCAGGAAAGGGTTCTTCAGCTGCAGGTCTTACTGCCTCAGTTCAACGTGATAGCACTACTCGCGAGTTCTACCTGGAAGGAGGTGCGATGGTTTTGGCTGATGGTGGTGTAGTTTGTATTGATGAGTTTGACAAGATGAGAGACGAAGATCGTGTCGCCATTCACGAGGCCATGGAGCAGCAAACAATCTCAATTGCAAAAGCCGGTATTACTACTATCCTCAACTCGAGAACATCTGTTCTCGCAGCTGCGAATCCGATCTTTGGTCGTTATGATGACTTGAAGACGCCTGGAGAAAATATTGATTTCCAAACAACTATTCTGTCACGTTTTGACATGATCTTTATTGTTCGCGATGACCATGACCGTGGCCGAGACGAGCGAATTGCTCGCCATGTGATGGGCATTCACATGGGAGGCAAGGGTGTCGACGAGCATACCGAAGCAGAGATTCCTCTGGAGAAGATGAAAAGATACATTAGCTATTGCAAGACGTGAGTCAATCTTCACTGTAAAATCCCATTCAATATGCTAACCAGGTGAACAGACGATGCGCTCCTCAACTGTCCGAAGAAGCAGCAGACAAGCTTTCGTCCCACTTCGTCTCAATCCGCAAGCAAGTTCACCGCGCCGAGCTTGATGCAAATGCTCGCTCTTCCATTCCTATCACCGTCCGTCAATTAGAGGCCATCATCAGAATTACAGAGGCCCTTGCTAAACTCCAACTATCGCCGGTCGCCACGACAGCTCATGTTGATGAGGCCATTCGACTATTCCTCGCGTCCACTATGGACGCTGTTACCCAAGGAGAGAACCAAGGTAGCAAGGAACTCATGGAAGAAGTTTCCAAAGTTGAAGATGAAGTCAAACGTCGTCTGCCCATCGGCTGGTCTACCAGTCTGGCTACTCTGCGCCGCGAATTCGTTGACGGGCGCGGTTATAGTGAACAGGCTCTCAATCGAGCGTTACTTGTTATGCAGCGACGAGATACGATACGCATTCGCTCTGGTGGATCGCAGATTTACAGAAATGGTGTTTGAGTTTATAAAGCGTCTCTTTCAGTTTCGCGTTTGTTTATGAATTCGGTCTTGCATGGTATATAGGGTGATGAAAGGTGTTTGGGTCTGTTGTTTTCGGTTTGTTACTGGTAGAAAGATATGTAGTAATACCCATGGAATCTGAATATTCTGTTCTATTATCCTTGACCTTGGTGCGAGAGAGAATCATAAGGTGAAGGTTAAAGGCCTTGTCATTCCGTCCGCTCGGCGCTCAGCCAACACCTTCCCTAATCAGGAATAATGTAATTCTATGGCCTACGTTGCTGAGAGCTCGGTCTCTCAAGTTTCGTGTACTTCAAACACGTCCTACGTCCACACCAGAGCAATAAATCATTGACTCGAATCATACGAATAATAATCCCTTAGTTGAATACATGCATATTCTGAAAGAGCCGAGAAGCGACGACAACCGGTCCATGACCTACGTTGAGGCTTCGGCCCCTCGAACGAGATGACTTCGAGCCCGCGGAAGTCGATTGACAGCCTGGCTTCAGTTACCTCGATACCATCGCTGCAACAATTCAGTCAGAATACATATGACTCTCCTCGGATTGCGCCGGCACAGCGATTACCGCAGCGACGATCGTCTACCGCTAGCTCTCTTGTTAGTATCGGCGGGATTTTGGATTCGTCTACTCATCGCTCTTCTATTGCAGAGCTAGGTCAAAATGGCGAGTAGAGGTTTCTTCCAATACTTTTTTACTGTCTTGCTGACTGATTGTACTGTATAGCCATCTCAGCACTTCTACAACCACCCATCGTTCGTACCGGTCTCGTCGCTCATACCTCCATACCGGCAACGGGTTATAAACCACCCACAGCACGGGACATACCTCCGGTGACGCTGACGAATATATCGAATGTCGAGTCCAAAGCATTTCAGCCGTACCTTGAACAAGTCGGTTCACTGTACGATGCGTTCCAACGAGCGAAAGAAGGAAGCGGAAACGAGGAAAATGACTCTCATTTGGTCAGGAACGATGCAACTCTGTTTCCTTCATCTGCACTCTCGCCTAGAATTGATGAATATGATGGTCGAAGGACGCCTATTCTAGAACGGCGTTTATCCGGTGTGTCGACGAGTTCTCGCGCCCATTCTCCGTTTGATATGAGAGGTATGAGGCGTTCATCGTATGGTAAAGGTGCACAAGCAGTGACACCGTTGTCGACGATACCGAATGTGTATTTTGAGGAGGATTTCCATCTTGAGAATCCGCGTACCTTTGATGTTGTGTCTGAGAAATCAGAAGTTGTGCGTCAGCCATCCAAAGCTTCGGATCAGGCAGGTAATGGTGCAGCTGTTGAACCCCCCGCAACTAGAAGGAAAGCACTTGCGACAAATGCTATTCTACAGGAAAAGCTCTCTTGGTACATGGACACAGTGGAGATACATCTGATATCATCAATCTCTACGGCCTCAAAATCCTTCTTCACCGCTTTGGGGTCATTGCGTGAACTCCATGCAGAGGCAGCGGATTCCGTGAGACGAATTCAGATCTTGCGAAAGGATTTGAACAAGATCGATAAGGAGATGGCAATGGGAGGACTGAAGGTTGTCAAGTTGCGCCAGCGGCGTCAAAATATTCGCAAGTTAGCCGATGCTATGAGCCAACTTCACGAAGTAGTTGAGGCCGTGACAGAGTGCGAAAACATCATCGACCAGGGAGAAGTCGAGGATGCTATTGATGGGCTGGATGAGGTGGGTCTACTGCTGGCTGGCGAACAGGCGACTAGACGTCGCAACCAGGACGCTGCTGAGCAGAGACCGCCAGTTGATCTTAGAGGTCTTCATGCTCTGCAAGGCATCGACGAAGAACTCGCGAGATTGAGACAACGGATAGGTGTGAGATACGAAAGCAGGTTTGTGGACGATCTACTTACAGATCTAAGGCGACATATTAGTAGTGTACCTGGAGATGTTACACTACAACGCTGGGGTGCATCATTCCAAAGGAACCGGGGTGGACATAGAGCTCCGCCTTCTATCTCTCCAGCATATATTGCTTTTGATGGGGAGCTTAGGTCGAAACTACATGCCGAATTGGTAGGATTAGGCCGATCGCACTATACAATGCCCGCAGCTACATCTTTCAAGACGGCTGTCTTGCGCGAGATGAAAGCTCTTATACGAAAACATCTTCCTAGCTCGTCTGACGACGATAATGAGTCGGTCATGTCGGCATCTACGCACGGCGGACGACAGCTGAGTTCGCAAGAGAAGTCTTCAATTTTAGCTCGAAACCTGCGAGCACTGGATGCCGATTCCGCGTATGATATGCTCAAGCAGATTTATACGGGAGTTAGTGAATCGCTGAGAAGATTGGGTGTGCAAGTCAAGGTGCTGTTAGACATTACCAGTGGACTTGGAGCTCAGCCAAGTCCAGCTATTGCTCGGTCAGCGACACGTAGCCCTGATCCACAGAACATCAAGCAGACTCCACGTTCGCATGGAAGTGCGGCTGAAGTGGCAGCTGTTCAGGAAGAGATCCTTCAGGTTCTCGACATGTCTAGCTTATTAGGTCAAGCAGTGGACATTGTGCAGTCACAGATTGTAAAGGTATTGAAAGTACGGTCTGAGCAGACATCACACCTTCCCATTGAGGACTTTTTGAGATACTTTAGCCTGAATCGACTCTTCGCCGACGAATGCGAGGCTATATCTGGACGCAGTGGAACGTCCTTGAAGACGGTAGTCGACAACCAGATTCGTGATTTCATTGTCAGGTTCAGTGACAACCAGCGACACAAGATTGTGCAGGTCATGGATGCGGATAAATGGGATGCCAGAGATTTCGGCGACGTCGAAAATGCTGTCCTCGAACGAATCCTTCGTGCTAGTACGACCGATGTGGATCTGTGGTTGCATGTTTCTAGGATCTGGCAGCCTGCAGAAGCGGAGTCACCTGCGACGAACCCCAATGCAGAGAATGGGACTGGTGTAAACGGTTCGGCGAAGGAGAAAGAAAAACTACGCCATGCTAGCTTTGATGAACAGCGATATGTACTCCCTGAGTCTGCGGTGACGATCATGAAGAGTATCGAGGAGTTTGAATACCTGATGGCAAACCTGCCTAGTATGACCCAGGACATTGGCTCGAATCTGGTTGAATGCTTGAAACTCTTCAACTCGCGATCTTCGCAATTGATTCTTGGTGCGGGAGCTACCAGAAGTGCCGGACTCAAAAATATCAACACCAAGCATCTTGCGTTATCCTCACAAGCACTGAGCTTCATCATTGCGCTTATTCCATATGTTCGAGAATTTGCTCGCAGACAGTCACCGTCCAGTCAACTCATGGGTGAATTCGACAAGGTTAAAAGACTATGTCAGGAGCATCAAAATGGCATCCACGAAAAACTAGTGGATATCATGGGAGGCCGGTCAGCTAGTCATGTCAATTCCATGAAAAAGATAGATTGGGATGCAGAAAAGGATCTCAAGGCTGTTAGTGGATATATGGAGACATTGACGAAAGAGACGGCGACATTGCATCGTGTGCTTGTACGGCATTTTCCTGAAATGACCGTTATGATGATTATGGAACCGGTTTTTAAGAGTTATAGGGAGCAATGGAAAAAGGCTTTTCAGGAGGTTAACCTCAAGACGGAATCAGGACGACAGAGGTATGCTTCCCCAAACTTCTTGGTAATAGTCAAAATCTAATTGGATGGTTAGGATGCTTTCCGATGTCGAATACTTCAAATCCAAGATGGGCAAGATAGACGGTTCCGGGGATTTGGGTGATACATTGATTCAAGTTGTGAATGCGAAGACCATATTACCCGAGAATATAGCTGAACCATCACCACAGACAGAAACTTCGTCTCCATCGAACGAAGCGTCGTCATCTCCACCCGTACCGGAGAAGGATGACAAGAAAGCTGATAGCAAGTCATAAGAGTCGATATCCATGATGCTTGAGAAGACTACATATTATACCACATTATTCTACTTTTCTCCGACTGTGATTTATTGTACCACGATACTTACTACCTTATACCTTTCCTTCTACGCTATCTTCCCAGTTAGCATTGTACAGGAATACAGTTTATTCTTATGAGCGCCGATTTTCATTTCTCTTTTGCGTCTTTTTAGAACTGTACATACACATCTTTAATTTATGGATAGATGAATGGATCTTGTTGTATGGGTATTGTTTCGGGACTGGTCATGCCAATCCTTGATGTCCCTAAAGACTAAAGAAGTAGGTTACGGTATCGAATATCCATCGACGAGCATCGTAATGTTCAGTCATTTCTCATTCATCCATTGATGTCGCCGGACGCCATTCATTCATTCATTCATTCCAATAATCCATCCATCCCTTCATTTCATTTCCGAACGTTCTAGATTTAAACACCAGGCTGACTTCCCAAACCCTTCTTATCACCCAAAGTCTTGGGCTCATGACCACCTTTCCCTGATCCGCTACCGGTGCTTCCTCCGCCACCACTAGCAAGATTGTTTCCGCCCATTGTCTCGGGGAGATCAGCTGCTTTGCCGGAGCGGTCTATATCTGAGCCCTACAAATTCACTGTAAGTATGGGAGAAACTTCAGCGGGGTTGGGGAAAGAGAGGGAGGACGTACAGGGTTCGTGCCATGGGCTTTAGTAGGGCCTGTCTCAATGGCGTTGTCGGATTGAGGGACTCCGTTGTCGTATTCGGCTCCGCGAGGCATGTTGATAAATTCTGTAGAGGTAGAGATGATGATGTATACTTCTTTGTACTGTCGATTAATGACGAGGCAGTAGATGTGTCTTTCAATTAATGTCTTGCTGCTAAAGAGTATGGAGTTGATGAAAAGGAAAAAGTTGTGAAGTTGAGGTTATATAGAGCTGCCTCAATTATCGATGACGTCGAATATACGTAGTGCACACCAGGAACCTGGAGATGGGAGCTCCACCAGCTTCCCTTAGTCATTGGTCAAATATCAACTTTTCTTGGACGTTCTAGCTTGATTATAGCTGATTCCCTGATGGGGAAGTACGTCACGTTACTTCCTTACCCCTTTCAGTATGATTAGCCCTAACTTCTACTCGTACCGCGCGTACATTGATCTCTCAGAATCGAACAATGCAATTGTTGAATCGCTCAGACTATGTTGACAATGGATGCATCCTTAATCTCGAAATTATACACGTAGAAAATGAAAATGAAAGATAATAAATCACTGATAGCTGTACACTGAAACACAAAACAAGCAAGCAGAATGCACAGCAATAAATGTAGAAATAGCAAAAGTATAAACTCATGCTTTGAAAGGACGACCCAAAAAGAATAGAAGAAATCAACTATTCGTATTGACGAAGGTGCTTCATTGAATGATTATTTTCCATTCAATGAGATCGAATCAAGCGGTGATTGAGGACGATCAGTTGGTTTCTTGGCTCTGAGAGTCAAGGGATATGGATACTCGTCCGGCTCTTCCTCCTCACTGCAAAAAGTTTAGTATACACCGAGATGCGAATATGAACACACTTACGGCAATTTCCATGCAATATAGTCCTCCGTGCTGAGGCCCTCTCGCCCCTCTTGCAACGATGCAAAGTCTCCAGGAGTCATCATACCAGTTCGGTCACGGGGTGATCCTGGAACCGAGAGTGGTCGAGAGATCTTCTGTGCCGTGCTTCCAATATAGTCGCTGAAATCTTCCTCGCTATCGAAAGATGTTGGGTAAGCTGTAAACACATTAGCATCCTCTTCTTACGTTGAAAGGCAAAGTGATATACCTCGTCGCAGAGCTAGCTGTCGTGCCTTGACATATTCAAGTCCCATGCGCTTCCAGTCAAGTAAATCACTCAATCGCTCCGTCCGGTTACGCTGGTTGATACGTTGTCGTCGGCTCTTGGATGCAAACTCAAACATGAAATCGCAGAGCTGATTGACAGATTCGTCCACACCCTTGGCTCGTCGGTCCACAATGTGAATACCATAGTCAGATGAGTTCTCGATGAGTTCTTCCATGTAACATCCGAAACCAGACAAGTTTGTAGTGATGCTGGGAACACCCATGACCGTACATTCAGCCGGAGTGTAACCCCATGGTTCATAGTACGAAGGGAAAACACCCATGTGAGTACCTCGTACAAAGTCGTCATAATCCAGTGGCAAGACAGGGTTAGCCGAGTTGAGGAACTCGGGATGGAAAACAACTTTGACTCGGTCTGAAGGATGATTGAACAATTGCACGCGACGCAACTGGTTCAAGATTGGGTCTTCATGGTCGTTGACCATATTGTGGGTGACAATAGGAGGAAGCGTGTGACGCTTCAAGGCAAACAGACGGCGACGCAAGAGGACTCGATCTTGACTGGTAATGAGGTCCTTTTCGTCTGGCATGTTATCGCCTTCCTTCCATGAAAGACAACGTTCGAAGAGCCGGCGGCCGATACCTTTCTCAACCATTTCCAGGGTATCTCTCAATGATTTGACTACGGCTTGACCCTTCAATGCCTCGACTGTTAGGGACGACGTCTGAGCGGGCATGATGATAAATGCAACGACAGTGGTCTTGGAGCCACTTGTTTTTAGACGATGGTTCAGTCGTGCTAGAGATTCAACGAACATGTCCACACCCTTGTTGCGATATTCATAACGACCGGCAGTAAAAAAGTAGAGCGTATTCTCAAGATCAAAGTCCATATGTCCGTAGAAGTGTCCACGGACGAAGTCATGGATCTTCTCTTTGGCTTGTGAGTGTAGATTCTGGAACTCGTGCATGGCAGAGAATTTCTTAACATTCAATCCATTAGGCAGCACACCGTCCGGCTTCCTCTTGAGTAGGTGCTCGCTTTCAAAGGCAGTAATGTGCGACACGGTCGTGAAAACGTCGGCGGAATGGGCGGCTGCTCTCTCGATACAATAGCGATGGTAGATACCACGCTTCCCGGCCTCGGCGTCAACATCGAAGTACTGGAGATGGTTATAGAAATCAACAGAGCCAGCACATAGATAGCGACCCAATAGAGTAGCATGGGTGGTGAAGATAGTTGTTAGATCCATATGGCGCTTCTTTGTAAGAGGGAGAGCAACTCCCGCCAACCATTCATGGAAATGGGCCACCACAGCTCGTTTCGACTCATGTGCGATATACTCTCCCAGGAACCATGCTACCAGGTATCCAAAGACAATCGCTTCATTTGTCTCATGATCGCCTTCAGGCGAGGGGATGCCGGCAGTGTTCCAGAGGTCGCCCTTCCACTCGTTCAAATAGCCATAGCCAGTACCAGTGTCAATGAGCAGCACTCTAGGAGCACCCTCAATTAGCCAGCGTCCGTAGATGATTTCAATGCCTCGTTCCTTCATTGACGCCATTGTCTCAATCATCGCCTGATTCGTCGGTTCCATAGGTTCGACTTCGACAGCGGCCTGCATTTGAACGCGTCAGTCATGTCATTGGTATGAGTCGAGAGGCAACTCACGGAAGCTCGGTTCCAAGGACCAATGAGTGTGTAACGTTCTCCATATTCCGCAGTGGTAACAGGCGCCTTGGATTTTAACACGGAATAGATACCTCCGACTATGACAGGTGTTAGAAACACATAAAAAACTCGTCAACCGAGAGTCAAACCTCGATTTGCAACTTCGGTTGCGATTTCGAAGAGGAAGTGGTTCCTCGTGTCGCGCCGAGGCGTTCCAGAGCCATTAGTCGAAGCCATTGCGATGCGATGCGAATTCCTCCGAAAAATCAATCAGAGGCCTGGGCTGTAAAAGGAGAGTGAGACAAGTGAGACGAAAAAGGGTAGCATGCACTGTCGAAACAGTTGCGATGCTCGTCCAGAAATTGGCACAGAGGCAAAAAGAGGGGGGGAGTGGGTGGTATGATGGCGAAGGCGAAAAATGAAAAAAAAGAGGCAGTTATAGGTGACAGCACGAGACGTATCAGAGAGCTGGCTGGTATCCCGGGGTCTTGCGGGGAGAGCACAAGCTCTTCCAAGTTGCCTTGTCTGGGGCGTGTATTATTACGGTACGGTACGGTACTGGCCTGTCAGATAAAAGTGGGGCGTTGGGGGAGAAGATCTTTTCTGCTTGATCTCTTATTATTTCCTCGTCCTATCGTTGTATACTCTGAATCCCTTCAATGTATTCCCTTTTATCTGCTTCCCCAGGAATGCGGATGCTCGACGTAATTGTGGTGTCTCTGTCAATTCGTACGATGACGATATATTGCAGCCATCACTAGCCCCAATCTGTGCAAGGACGACGTGCCAAGTCCCGTGCTTCGAGCTGTGTGACTGTTTATTTCTCCAGCCACTGAACTCATCTGACGGAGCTATTGGCCGGGAGACTAGCTTCTCAAGCAGCTATATCAACCAGGAAATCAATTGCACTGCCAAAAGCCTCAATTGAAGGCCTCGTGACACGCTCTAGTTCTCCTCGCAATTCAAGAAAATAGCAGTAACTCGTAGACAGGATGGCCGAACCATGTCCATATACAGAGGCTAGCAACTGTGTCCGCGGAAAGAATCCTTTATCTGGCTGCTGCTCTCATTTTGCGTTGCACACTACGAGCTCTTCGATACAGGCTGAAAACCTCTACTGTACTTCTCAGTATATACGGTTATATCTTCCTTCACTAACATCGTTTTCTGGCTGTTCCTTGTAGCAGGATGAAGTTGATGGGATAGTGAGGGACAGAATACACAATACAAACAATACAGTGTGATATTACCGTAATTGTACCACGGATGCACGGACATCGAACAGGTATCAGTATCAATTATGTCATATCACGTGGACGGCCTGGATCCAACCAATCAACGCTCTTTCGTTTACAGCAACAACTTCATACCAACAGTAGAGATGGAAGCATATTGAGCTTCGAGGCATACAGAGGTGGGAGGATAATGAGCTAAGGACCAGATTTTTGCTGGCCTTATTGCGCTCAGTACCTTTCACCAGTAGCTTTGGTCAGTGCAACGACCGGCTCTGTGAGACCCAGTTCCCCTCACCTATCCAGTATATATCCTGAAGCTCCACGGAGTTAACCAAGAAGAATTCATGCCGGATGCAAACAATATAAACAACAAAGGTGCAGAAATCAAACACTGCAAACACTGCAAATACTACAAATCCCCGAATCAAGCCTAGCGCACGGAGATATGGCTAAGGCCCGAGCGTGTCAACGAGCTTTCGTTTATCGAGGACAAACATCCGATATGCAGGGATGTTGGTTTGCATCAATTGAGCTCTTTTTTCTGTGTAGCAATGCAGTATTTAAGAAGTCGAATCTCCCGAGGGGACTGGAGGATGTTAGAGTCCTTCAGACAACCTTCAGGACAAGGAGATGTCAATTGCCCTTACTCCAACCAATATCAGATTGACATTACATCGAAACCCATTCCGATCCATATTCTGGTGTGGCATCATCCTTGCTAGCACTCTCAGTACCAACAACATATACACAACCCATTTCCACTCATCTAGCAGAACGATAATGGCAGCAAACAACACAATGAAAGCAGTCGTCATCCACACCAAGGGCGGGCCTGAAGTCCTCAAAGTCGAGCAACGACCCATACCCACAGCTAAACCAGGCCAAGTTCTGATCCGCGTCAAAGCCTTCGGTCTCAATCGCTCAGAAATGTTTACTCGTCAGGGTCATTCGCCTGGAGTCGACTTCCCGCGAACCCTAGGTATCGAAGCCACAGGAATCGTTGAGCATGCTCCGGGCGGTGAGTTTGAGAAAGGTCAGATCGTAATGACAGCTATGGGTGGTATGGGTCGTCAATTCGATGGTGGATATGCTCAGTATACCGTCGTACCCACGAATCAAGTACAGGCCATCACTGTACCCACGAAACTCGGCTGGGATGTTTTGGGCGCTATGCCTGAGATGTTAAACACTGCTTACGGCGCCATTACAAAATCCTTGAATGTCAAAAAGGGTGATCGTTTGCTTATCAGAGGTGGTACAACATCGGTTGGCCTTGCTGCGTTGGCGATTGCAAAGGGACTAGGTGCACATGTCACCTCAACGAGTCGACGACCGGAGCGAGAGTCAATGCTCCGCGAGTACGGTGCTGATGAATTCTTCGTCGACGATGGGGCTATCGCCGAGCAGATCAAAGATGAGGGCCAAAAATTCGACAAGGTACTGGAACTAGTCGGCGTTGTGACTTTGAAAGACTCCCTTAACGCTACAGCCAAAGGTGGCGTTGTCAGCCTTGTGGGTATTGTTGGTAATTCGTGGAATATTGAGAACTTTCAGCCGCAGGAATTTATTCCCAAGTATCGTTTTCTAACTACCTTTGGTGGCTGGATTGAGGAGTTCATGGATACACCCCTGAATGATATTGTTCAGCAGGTGGAAGACGGGACGTTCAAGATCAAAGTTGGAAAGGTGTTTCACATTGATCAGATTGCTGAGGCGCATCAGTGTATGGATGATAATGCAGCGGAAGGAAAAATTGTTGTTTTGACTGGTTGATTTGGCCCTTTTAATGTAAGAAGTTTTATCTATATGGTCATTCTAGACTTCTTACCGATGAATTGAATTTGTATCGTGAAACCTATTCTATGTTCTATCGATGGACATTTGTTTCATGCATAGCATATTATGGCTCAGCGGCTAGGCAGGGATGCGGTGACTTGATAGAGGAGGCATATGAAAATATGTAAAAGAAAATAGAAGATGCGTAAGAAAGTGAAAAAAAAGGACCTCAGAAACCCATCAAGTCCCATCAAACTCGTGTCTCGAGAAAAGGATGGGAGAGATGCATTTATTTGCTGCGCTTGTAGATCTTCTCCAAAAAAGCCGAGAAAACCTCTTTCTTCAGACCTTCCGACTCGTCAACAGCTTCAATTTGTTGACGCAGTTGGCCAACGCGCTGCTCCTCAAACTTCAAATAGTGTTGTTCGAGCTTGATGTCGTTATAAAGAGCCTTGACCTTGGCCTCTAGAGCACTGTCCTTGCGACCATAGGCCTCGTCGAGAAGCTTGCGCTGTTCGGGGGTGACTATGGTCAAAGCCCGGTTGACGAGCCACGAGCATTTGTTGTCTTGGATGTCGGTTCCGATCTTTCCAATTGTCTCTGGTGATCCGAAGGCGTCCAGGTAGTCGTCCTGGATCTGGAAGTATTCACCCAACGGAATCAAAATGTCCTCACACTGCTTCAAGTTCTTGGGCGTAGCAACCTGTAGGTAGTGGAGAGCAAGGGTGACGGGGAGGTAGAAACTGTAGTATGCAGTCTTGTACTTGACGATGAAAGTGTATTTCTCCATGGAGAAGTTGTTCAAGTCAACGTGGTCTTCGGGAGCGGTAATCAAGTCGCACAATTGTCCGAGCTCGGTCTGCCAGGTAGTTTCGTGGAAAAGTTCAAGCAGGTCGGTGTAGGCAGGGTGTGATCGGAAGTATTTCTTGAGAATGACATAGATAGCACTCTCCAACATGAATGCATCGTTGATAGCAATCATACCAACTCCTTCCCTTCGGTACCAGCACGGTTGTCCTCGGCGAGTGATTGAGCCGTCCATGATATCGTCGCTGACAAGAAAAAACGCTTGGAGAAGCTCTGTAAACCATCCGAGTAAAGACAGATGTTTCTTTTCTTCGTCGGTTAGAGGTCGACCGAGTAAGATGCTGCCAGTGTCGGGCACTGACATGCCGCGATTCATTTTACCGCCGACAATATTGGCATTGAGGGACTAGATTGATGAAGCTCTTTCGTAAGCAATTGAACAGACCCCGAATTGAAACTGGTGTGGTGACAGTCACTTACATCAGAAAACCATTTTCGAGCATTCTCTGGCAAGTTGTACTGTTCAGTCGCTTCGAGGATGTCCTTGATAAGGGGGTGTACGAACCCCTCAAACTCAGATCGCGAGATACGAGTGGCCATGCTGACAGAACAATTGAGACTCAACCAAGGGACAGGATATCGTATCGAGGTAAGAGAGGAACAAATAGCTAGGCAGCTCAATGGGAAAGTGCTCTGTTGTTGTTGTTGTTGTGGTGGTGGTGGAGGTGACTTCAGAGGGGTAAAAATAATTAATTGTTCCTGCCTCAGGCCCCATTCTGATCGGTACTGCGTTTGGTCCAGAACGGTGCTAGCGGATACCCACTTTCGGCTTTGTCTCCATTCTTTGCCCTAATTGAGTAATGCCGGAGATTTTGTATATCTCCCGACTCCCGAGAAGACGACTTCAAAGGTTGAATGGTGAACAGCCATATTATTAAGCATGCCTTGCTTAGAGGAAGAAACACTGTTTGTCAACTATCACCATGGTCTTGATGTATCAACAGCATGCATACCGAGGGCGCCCATAGTACGTCTAAGTACATATTGCATACGAAGCCGGACTGGATGAAGAAGTCAAACGACACCCATGGCCAGAGTGTATATATGGTCTGTCTCTAGATGCATCGAAATTAGTTATGTACTTACACTACCAAGATGGCATTAGAATTCTAGCCTTACACCTGTGCCACGTATCCCACTGATTCGGATTTGGCAGTCGATGGCGAGATCTGGCATTCAGCAAGCTGGCTTTACAGATATTATAGAAATATTACATTTTCAGCGTATAAGCAGGCTTAATTGCACGGTTGTACTTAATATAAGTACTAAAGAGTGGTAATCCTGTTAGATTTCTGTTCAATACCTAGTTAATTCATCCATGGATAGTCAAGGCGAAGCAGCGACACCGTTAAACCCTAAACCCGGTTACCAAGAATCCTTCTCAACAGGATATCTACCTTGTTCCTAATTGAGCACAAAACAGGGAGTAGCATGTCACCTCTCACTTCTCCGAACGGCATGACACTTCTTGCCAATAAAAGTTCTGGCAACTATTTGGATTGGCAGCAATTCCCAAGTGAGACTGGCCTGGAGTAAGAGGGCAAGGAGCATGAGCACCACCTGGCGGGAAGGTAATGCAAATAGCGCAGTTACCGCCAAAACAAGTAGAGGAGCCACCCATGGCAAGTGCCTGGTCTGTAGAATTCACAATGTTCAGGTCTCCAGCACCTCCGAGCCAGGCAAATCCGCTACCGTTGGGATCTCCCATCTGATCTTGCATGTACCATGTACCATTGACTGGGACGTATTGATCGGCAGAGGTGGTACAAGTAGTCGTGTCACCGCAGACACGGAAGACTACACCAGGGTTCTCGCCCATCACGACGTATTTAAGAGCATTGTCATGGCCGAGGTAGTTATTGTTCAAGCTGAGGAGGACGTAGCAATGTCCGTACTTGATACCCAGATCAACGCCGGTTTTGTTTGCGCACACGGCCTTGCCACTGCAAACAGAGCCGCCGGAAGAGGGAGTGACACAATTGAAGCCCTCAAGAACCTGGCCGATTGGGCAGCAGACTCCAATACCGAGGAGTATATCCACCCAGAAGAGTTGGGCGGATACAATATCACAACAGCCGCTGGCATTAGTTAGGGGGTTTTTGAAAGGTGTGCACGCCCTTTTGTCTAGCTCGATAGTGGTGAGATCACTGGGCGTAGCAGAGACCAGAGAAGGGAGAAAAAGGAGAGGGAAGGAGTAGAATGCCTTCATATTGGTAGTTTTGGTTTTCTTGTTCTGTTGTTGCTTTTGAAGATGAAGATGGGAATGATGATGTGACAGTTTTCGAGGGGAATCATTACCTTTTTATAGACAACTCGAAGACATTAGTGTCCAAGGAAACTGATTTCTCCTCTTGAGAAAGCCAGCAGTGTGTTCAACATCTAGCGAGCTACTGATATTTTGGATCTAGTCCACAGTCAGCCCGAACTCATTTTCTAGGCTAGAGATGGTGTACGAGTACGTATTACCCCTGCCGGAAGTCAAGCTAGAATGTGATAGCCTTCAGAGTTGCATGAACCATACTAAGATAGTATCGGTCGAGTGGTGGTAACCATCAGTTGTCTATTCAAGTACCTTGACTATTTGCAGCATCCAGCCAACGAAAGACCCTACTGGGCAGAACGCAGTGAAGTCGAAGCGAAAATGGAGTTTAGGTCCTACACCACTCCACTTTTCGTCTTCGAGTGTGGCTGGCTAGTAGTTGACATTCCATTTTGAGACTTCCTGTCTTCAACTCCGAGGCAATCTAATAATCATGAAGATCATGAGGTCACAGATGCGAGCTGAATATGGTTATAGAAGAGATCCAGACCTCGATATCTTGAGATCACATGGGGGAGTGAATGGTTCTTAGATCACTTTCCCCTCATTCTGATATTTAAGAATATCCTCAGCCAGCCTCGTATAGAAACTTGGAATACCACGGCATCTCCGGAACTCCTAGGGAACCTGAAGCAGGTAAATAGTGTGTAAGAGAGTATGGTCGGCGACTTGTAATTTCGATTTCTCCTGACTATTGTGTGTCAGATGATAGGTTCGTATATGATCCATGAAAATGCTACTTATAGCCTCAACGCAGCTGAGAAGAGTGTGGAGTGGAGACGTGATACCTGATAGAGTATCCAACCTCAGAGTCTACGGCCAATATGTTCATATTTCCAAGGTTTCTGAGACTGCCATTTGAACTCATCCACACCAGGTTTTTTCTAGACCTAGGCCCCCTTAGCATTGTGGAGAATTTGAACACATATTTCTGGTCCTTAGATGTAGATAGAGATTGGGTACGTGCATACCCGCCCACACAAGCCGAGTAGCTTCGCAAAGGGAACCTAATCACAGATCCTAGTTCATTTATACTTTCTCCGCCTCCAAACTAGGACAACGACCTGCAGTATGTCCAGATATATAAGCTTATTATATTGACATATAACGGGTCTAGTGCGGATGCATACTATATATGTAGTCATAGACGATGCTGTCCTCAAGCTTCCGAACAAGGGATCCATTGCACTATGATTCCTGCGCATAAGCACTTCGACCAAATGAGATCAAAAATGAGATTTCGAAGAAGAAGAAGAATTCATAATTCAATTACTAACGGGTAGTTGTACATGCGCTACCACCCTCCGTGCAGGCACGGGAAGATTCAAACCTGGACTGGAATGTCTCAACTCCACTCGACCTGTTCTATACCTTAATAAGAGAAAAGAAGCAATAGTTTTCATGTAGCCTGGGGAAATATGCACTATTACTGTCAAAAAGTGGGGATGAAATAGAGTGTACATCGGCGTGTTGGTTGTTCAGGATTGAATTTCAGCCAGCCAACCCCAACCCGTCATGTGTTGGTGTAGAGGCTCCTCAAGACCTTGACTCGCCGTCTTTTTTCACAGGCACGTACTAAGATAGTTCTTGCTATTGGCTAGCTGCAGTGTAAATCACAGCCTTAGCAGAGTAGGAAATAAGTACTTGGTTCTTGAAGAACGAGTGTTCGTTTACGCAATTTAGTGGCGCTCATTTTCCGTTAGCTAAATACAGTTGGCGCGGGGAAAAGTGATGGATCTATCCGTTCGATGCGTGTTGCTCTCCCACTTTGCCCTTGCACAGGACATGAAGGTTGCATATCAACTATTCGTCTCAGAACAATCTTATATCATGTATTGATAAATAATTTGATTGACATTGTCTAACTCGCCGGATATCTTCAAAGGCCATCATAGAACCAATGGCATCTTATTGGTTGAAGTATACTTTTAGATCTGCAGGAGCCTAGATACTTTCGAGTTAGTTCCCGCATCATAAATACCTAGATTGCCAATCAAGATCCGATGTTTTTGCATCGGATGTGGGGCCTCTGACCCACTGGCCAGTAATTTCCCAATCGAGACATTCTTTCACTAAACTGCATCAAGGCCAATCAGATGACTGTCCAAGGATAGTGTTACTACATATTATGTTATATACAGGATTTTGGAGTTTAGATGGCTATAATGGCCGAGCAGACGGTTCAATAGGAGATCTAGAAAGCAGCCTGAAGCCTCATCCTGTACCTAAAGAGAGTTTAAAATGTGAGACTTGGGCCGAAGAAGGTATACTTCGTACTTAGATATCCAAGATAAATTTTACCACTTATTAGCCGGCACTAGTTGTCGAATTTGTTTTTGAACACCGACACCTTCTGATGGGAGTGAGGGGATGGTTCATTGTTCACTCCTGGTTCTATGACTCGGATCCTCAGCATAGCATCTGGTGACAGGCTAGATGACTTTGGAATCATTTCATGAAAGTAACCCTGGAAGCACTCACACAAGTGCCCAGGGATACTAGCATGCTTGTGGAACAATACTACAAGAAGATACAACAGTCCATGAAGACCCAGTCTGAATATGACCCAAATCTTTAACTTCTGCATAGTAGTGAGTGTAGATGGAACTTGTATTCTGGGGCGTGGTGGCGGTCCATCAGCCATCCGGGAATGATAAAGAAACATCGTCATTATATACAGGTTGTCATCATATTCATTTTAGAGTAAATCGGAGTCCAAGTATATTAATTGAGGCATCTCATCCCACCCACCTACTGGGAATCCGCCGAGTCATGAACATGCCGCCGTCGCAGCTTACCTTCGGCATCATGCTCTTCATCCCAGCGAGCCACATCGGCCTTGTTTACTTTCACTAAATGATGGACAACCGAGTTGTTCTCATATTCTATCACTGTCTGTCGGAGTTCATAGCCCTTAAGTCTTGGTAGAAGTTTGATCCACACGTAATAGTACACGCCGCAAAAAACGAGCCTGTTCAAAGTTGTTAGCGTTGTATTCAGATGGGAAAGAATTTCCGGCGGAACGTACAGTCCAATGCCCACTACCAAATACGTTCCGTACCAGAAGCTGACATCGCCGCCAGTAGCGCCTGTGAGTGGTGGATACCACGGAGCTATGAGCATGTATGTATTTGTAAGAGTTGCAAAGGCAATAGCGATGTCCCATGCGCGATACTGAGGTTGCGGAAGACCGGCTCGCTTCCTGCGTCGGCGAATCAAGACCAAGCCAACAACCAAGAGTAGATTGAATACGTTTGAAGGGTAAACAGCCAGATCCACAACTGTTTACACGTTAATTTTATGTTACATTCGTGATGGTGTAGCACATACCGAAATTGAAAGCATCGCCGGCAGGGGGTGCAAGAATCATGATGATAGTAGTCGTCCATTGAAAGACATACGGTCCCAAGGGCGTTCCGAAAGGCTTCGTATAAGTCCAGAATTTTGGGTAAGGGAGAACACCTTGTCTAAAAACAGTTGTGAGTTAGCATAATGCCATACTAAAAATTGAGAACATTCTAGTTCATCGGGACTAACCTTCCAGTCTCACGAAGGATTCTCGACCCATTGACCAAGACAGCAACCATATTTCCAAAGGCACTCAAACAGATAAGCACATTCAGAGCTCGTGCAGCTCCGCTAGTGCCAAACAATTTTTGAAAGAACACTGCCGCAGCAATCTGCTTAGACGCCAAGATGTCCTCTCGCGAGGCAACGGAGAAGTAAGCGACGTTGACTAGAATGTAGAGGACAGTAACAACAATCAACGAGGCCGGAGCGCTCCAACGAAGCGTTTTGGTTGGATTCTAAGATAGTTAGACAAGCCCCAAAGGATGGATCGTCAGGGATGTGAATAGTCTCTCACCTTCATCTCGTTCACAAGACCAAAGGCGTTGGTATAGCCCGCATAGGAGAAAATGAGCTTGACCATAGCATTGGTGGCACCGTATGCGGTGGCATCGGACGTCCCTCTCCAAGCATCTCTCCAATTGACATTAGGATCTGCTACGCGTGTATGCCCTCCAAGAACCACTAAACCCGCAATCGATATCCTGCAACGGTTAGCAACTGCATTTCGTCGGCTCGAACCGAGGCACTGAGAGGTCACAAACAGTAATAAGGTAGCGAGCTTGATGAAACCAAAGCCGAGAACGACCCGTAAAGACCATTTGGTACTCAGAATAACAACTATTGAATTTTATGGTTAGTGTATGTTGTTACCATATGGAGAGAGTCAAGCTATAAACTAACCTACTGTTGCCACAGTATATACGGCTATTGCCACTGCTTTCAACTGCCACGCTGTGTACACATGCCCTGCGAGTTTGAACATGTACTGGGAGAAAACAATCGCGTTGCTGCTTGTGAATGAGAAGATAACGTGCTTGATGGCGAACACCGTCGGGAAGAAGTACAATGGTTTCGGATATGCTTGTTCGAGGTATACGACATCGGATCCAGAACGACTGGGAAAGTAGGACGACAGCTCAAGATACACAGAGAGGGTGCTCTGGGATAGCAAGTATCCTATGAACCAGTATATCATAGTCAAACCCACGGAACCGACACCCTTCAGTATTGTGGCCGCTGTGATGAAGAGAAGAAGTTTAGCCAATCACAACCACAAGTAATTCCAGCAACACGAAAAGCTCAGGGACAATAATCTTACGCGTCGAAAAGATACCAGTCCCAATCATCTGGTTGACGTTCAAGCACAAGCTCACCCATGAGTCGACTGAATATCCCAACGGAGATTGCCTTTCCACCGGCGCACCCCTCGCATCTTGATAAGTTGCGATGGAAGTGTTGGCACCTTCTGCCACCTTATAAGCAATATCACCATCCTTGACAAACTCTTCATCGGAGTCCCTGTCGCTGGTATTGACTCCCACATCGTGGCCCTTTTCTTGATCAGGGAAGGGTGATGCCATTGTTGAATTGGATTTATGTTAATTCATCAACTCATGCTATAGGACGACGGACTCCGGAGAAATAAACAAGACACCATTTTAAACCCTTCTTATAGACGATCAACCGCAAAAATACGAGTCTGATGTTTCATTAATCGATGCCGCTAAGGAGTGCTCATCGATGTCTCCAATGGCGCCATGCTAGTGGCACAAGAAGATCGCGACGATCATTCGACCGCAACCACGTTATCTGCACCTCGACAGGGATTATGGTGCATTGTGTGCGAATATGAAGAAATTGTGTTATAGCTGATTGTTGGCTGGAAATGTCTTTCCAGGCGGAGGATGGACACTTCCGTGCCGTATCTGGGGATTCTCACGACACGCCCAGAGCAGGGCCACCATGTGGATATGTGTTAAAATATATATGCCGTCAGCTTTTAAAAATAACCGAGATACGCAGGTAAAAACGTCTTCGGCGACTACCCCCATGTGTTAGGCAGCTTGGGAAGGTAGGATTCGTCACTGGGGCCGTGCATAGTTCGCATATATTATAACCTCATATAATTTGTACCACTAGTGGGATCAGAGTGATCGGGATTTGGGTGATCGCGTAAAAACAGCGCTCAATGATGAATGATACCATCGCGGACGAGGTTTGCAGGAGAGAGTGTCAGTGTAGAGACAAAGACTTACGAATCCTTATCATGCTTTGTTGCCCCAAGACGACCGCAGTATTTGTCTGCTGTTCTCTAACGTCAAAATTGACTATGTGGACACCGCCATCAATGTCAATATGTTTAAGCCTAGCTTGCTATGGAACCGAACTCAGTTGTCGCCACGACAAAGCTTTCCACTGCGTACCTATATCCATATGAGGAATCAACGGGATTTGATGTCGTGGGTCTAGCTCTCAAGATTGCTCCGTCCGGAGTGGCCGCCCATTTGCGGATGATGAGAAGATAGACGAAGAAGGGTTGGTAATTTGATATGATCTGGCCGGCGCGGCCCGCTTTCAGGTGGTATTACTAAATGATCCTGACCACCTCACACGGTCAAATGATGCCATCCCTCTAACTTTAACAGCGAGCGAGATGTAGATCTGTCATGTTTGCTCTTGAGCGTCTTTGGCTTGTAGTTGGCGGGAGATGGACGAAGGAAGCGCTAGTACGAGTGTATGAGAGCACAATCTGCTTTTTGTTTTCATCAGCTATATCACCACTGAATTTTAACTCATTGTAATCTGATGCTACCAATTTTAATTAAATTTATGATATCTGTTCGTCAATTGTTGCAGGTCGTCTCCATCGCTGGTAGACGTTGTCGAACGCTATGTATATAACCCTGGAAAAGGGGCCCGGACGCTGACAACCTGATCTTGGAACATCACCTCACTTCATGTGGCCATCGTACTATACTAAATGATATAGCATGTGTGCAACGTCTTGTTCAGTTATTTAGTGCCAACGCTTCACTACCTGCGTAATATTTATCTGATTTGCTTCGGCTATAGCTTCGGAGCATCCACGTAAAAATATATCCGATCAGACATATGACACACATCGCCTGGCTTCGACACGTGCGAATCACCGAGTCGACCCTTTATATTTTTATCGCTAATTAGCTCATGTATGTTAGAAACTCCTCGTCAAGCAATACCCGTTCGATACTTTCGAAATGTGGTTGGAATTGCTGCTACCTCTGGAAGTGCAGTAAAGATACCAGGATAAGGTGGGCGTGTTTGGTATTGTGGTTGACCTGTACGGATTTGTTTGATACAGGTATATTTCAATGCAGATATCGTTTTCTTTACTTCCAAGCACAACGAGTATGCTTCTCTGTCTCGCCAGGGGTTGCGGGGGCCGCGACATGGGCGTGCGGTAAATTCGGGTCCATTGGTGATACGCAGAATGCGAGGACCATCTTCACTGGAAAACAATTCTTCGATATGTCCTCTCTTCTCAGTGTCCCGTCGTCCTGGATGTGGCTCATTCTGAGAGACCGCTTTAAAGCAGAAGCGATGGTATCGAAAAAGCGAAGACAACTAGAGGGGTGTAGGGCATGAAGTAGACAGTAATACTGAAAACTAATATCTGCACAGCTGCGAAAACAGTATCAACCAAAATTTGAGTGATCCATAAATCACTTGGGCGCTGGAAGGTATAGGCTTTATGCTTATTCACAATCGGATGGCCAAGCCAGTTCTGTGAGGAGATGGGTAGTCAGCTGGCTCCAGTTAGAGCTTCTGACAAATGTGTTCTGCATTATGCTAAGTTCACTGTCAGGAACAATGCTCGTCTCTGTCGGCCAGCGTGGCCAGGCCGTTTGGTTCTACTTGATTGCGTCGCAGAGATCCATACTATCTGATTGCTGGAAACGTGATCACGTAGTGTGTAGAGCCGTGGAGTGGGTGTCATTGAAACGAAGAATTTTATTGCCTCGTCCTGACAGAAGAAGGAATAAGGAAATTCATCCTCTTTTCAAGAATAGTGGATGTATGCCCCCAACTACTTATAATAAAAGTAAGCATTGAGCCACAAGATGTTTCGACTATCTGTCTTACCAGTTCATCCTCAATCCATTTTTTATGTTATGGGAAGGCATCCTCTATGTCGCAGCTTAGAAGCCAAATAAAGCTATGCTTCCCTCCGCGACGCCTGGTTCTTCGTGGAACTTGCTGGGATGGATTGTATTTAAATTCTGTGATGCTGTCCTTCCTCTTGTGCTCTTCCAAAATTTTTCTTATATACAGAATACAAGATTTTATTTTCCTAGCCGGTCCTATCCTATGGAATAGTCAAATTATGTCTTTCACAAGCATGTCTCTGGGGAGAAGAGTGAGCAAAGAGATGGAAGAATTGAGGAAAACTAGTGTCAATATAAAGAACAAAAGAGAGATGGAGGAAGCAAAGTTTTCTGTACTCCAAGTAGATAGAAATATCCAAGTAATAATTACGCACAGAGCTATTATCACCCTTCATCTCATTGTAGGAGGGCAAAAGATAACATTATTGTACGACTGACCATAACAAATAAAACGAGCAAGGAGCACCTAGGACCCATCTGCGTAGTTCAAACAGTTTCCTATTACGGTCAGTGTAACAATCTTATAAATTCCTCTGTACCCCCAGCAACTCTGGGTTGTCTGGATGGCAGATGAAAGAAATTAGGGCTAGGGCTAGGGCTTGCAGTAGCGCTGGTTCATGTGACATGACTCGCAGCAGTTTGAGCCTAACCTGATTGGGCCAACGGCGCAACGGCTGAACGAACCAGTGGATAGACTGAGAACACCTTGTTTGCTTCGTAAGCTCCAATCAGGGCCCTATCAGCCGCCAACATGAAACCAGCAGACAGAGACAAGATGCTAATCGTCTCTCCGCCAAGTTACAACCCCGACACCGCCCAGAAGCAGCAGGGGTGAGCTGAGATCTAGTCTTGTGTGACACATATTGCAGCCACGCTTTGTCCGTTTGGATTTGTCTCAGCGTCTCGTTATGCCACCTTTTTTCCACTCTCGGAATGACCTGACTTTGCCTCTGCCTCTCTTTTATCTCTCACATTGACATATCCTGCTGATGGTAGCTCTCTTCTGAATGATACGGGCTCGTCGCCGCAGGAGAAATGCGCCTGTTCCGGAAATACGTCTTGCCATCGCATAACGAAAAGAGTGCGGGGAAGAAGAAAAAGGAGAAGAGATTCCGCGCGTCAAGTCTATTCAACAGCAACAGTAGCAGGGCTACCAGCAGGACTTCGCCATTGTCTTCTTATTCTTCTTCGAGCTCCGATCCTACGAAACGACTGTCTGCGGATGTCCTCGCCAGAATATTCTACTATGTCTGCCCTCATACACTCGATGAATCATACAACTCGTCCGAAGAGTCGATAACTGAAGATGGCTGCATGCTCTGTGATATGCGAGACTTGGCATGTTGCGCTTTGGTGAACAAGAAGTGGTGCAAGTCAGCCCAAAAACTACTGTTCGTGTTCTCCTGTCTCCTAGTCCACCTCTGTGATCCATTGGTCTAATTTGTGATCCACGACTGCAGATACCAGCATGTCCGCATTGACGCCGTCCATTACTGTGAGCTCGAGATTGAACTGTCGTCTAAACGCAAACGTAGCCGCTCCTTCGTCGACCAAGCCGGGAAAAAGTTGGATGTTCCGCAGTCGCGGTTGTACCAGTTCATGAGGACAGTTAGGGATTCGCAGCAGCTTGCCAACACTGTTTTGTCTCTGAGATTGCCCTACATGACTCGAGAGGCTAGCAAATCGGACCTCGCTCGAGCAATATCCGTACTCAGAAACCTACGATATGTCGACCTACCAGTGGGATTCTTCACTGACGACCCCTCGTCGTACGCCTTGAAACAGGAGCTGATGGCGAATTGTCCCGACGTTCGACGGATGACTTACGCACATGGATCCGAGATGAGTTTCTCTAAGATACCCGGTTCGTCATTGTGGAGGAATCTGGAAAGTCTTGAACTATCGAATCTTCAAGTTGAAGAGAGTACGTTACGGCAGGTTCTCTCTTCGTTTCCTGCCTTGCGATGCTTGAAATTGGAGAGTATGCCATCAATACGAGACTCTGTTTTCACGCCTAACCAGTATCTGCCGATGTTTCCGCCTATCGCAAAGTTGACCATCCGGAACATGTTATCCATTACTGCTAGCGGGCTGGCTACTCACCTTTCCGTTCCTCAAAATCAAAAGGCTCTTGAAGAGTTAGCTCTGGTGCAATGCGGAGTTCGTCCAGAATCACTTTATATGATTTTCTCGAGGGCGCCTCGACTCGCAAATCTCACCCTAGAACTAGAGGTGGATAGTTCCTTTCTTACTCAAGAGGTCCCGCCTTTGGCGTCCAGGAGCCTGAAGACGTTGCACTACGAGATCACCTGTTCAGGCAGCCCGACTGGACTACAACCTGTGACAAAATCCCACTATGACTACCTAATGTCTTCGCTCAAGGCAAATAACCTTCCATCTCTGCGGAGCCTCTATGTTTTAGATTCTTCTTTCGCGGACATACTTCTCCTGGCTCCTCCGCCGCGTCTATTTGGTGGGGGCGAAGGCGGATCACAGTCGTTAGGACCTGGCTTGCAACACCCTTTGACCCTGTACACGAAAGGCATGGATGAATTCGAATGGAATGTGACCCAGTTCGAGCCCATGTCATCTGGTAGACGAACGAGTACGACAAGGCCGGTCAGTTTGCACTCCGCGCAACTGAGTCCGCAATGGGGTGGAGAAGCGCGACAGAGTGTTCTTGTTGGAAATGGATTTGGAGGATATCTTGCTGTCCCCGTGAATGAAGGACGACCTATGAGTAGTGGCGGGATTCGGGGTAATAAAAGGGACAGCAAGTATGACCTCTGGAGGTGATACCCTTTCCTTCTTAGGTTTCCATTATTCTCTGTATGATAATCAGCTCATCTGCATAGCTAGTTCTTCCTATTTGGCGTTATTGTAGTAGGATCTTTCATTCAGATGCGTCTCCAATATCAACAGATGAACCCCACTAACAAATCACCCTCTGGAGGACCTAACAGAATGCAGATTATCCATCATACCATTCAATCCCCTAGTGTAGAATTCTATGTTAGCAAAAGAACTTACACTGCTTCGAATGATCCGAACGATCAAAGCTAGACGGAAACTACTTCACTTCTTCTCCTCGATATTAGGGTTATCGGGGTTCTAGGGTTGTTAACTTGTCATCCATGGTCAGATTGCAGCTCCCCCACATGTGTTTATGTTTGTCATGTTTGCTTCATGTCGTCCATTAATTCTACAAACACATTCTCTTTGAACATTCACAGACCCTCGTTAATTTGGCAGCAGTCTCTAGTTTCTGCTCTCAAGAAGTATACTCTCCATACTTACACGCTACAAACTCACCGAGTACTTTTCGAGGTACCAGCGCCCTGTTTACCGTACGTCAACGCGTCCAAAAAGGATACGATACGAATACATTGAAGCTCCCCGGCCCTCCACATCACGCATTTCCGGTAGACGGACGTGTTCAATTTGCGAATACGGGCCATAAGGCCCAGGTATTTACAAGATGGCAATGACCTTTACGGAAGATAGCATCAAGGAGCTTAGATTACGGCTGGAAGATGCGGTAATCAAATGCTCAGAGCGCTGTCTCTATCAGTCCGCAAAATGGTAATTGGTGGCCAATACTCCTAGAAATTGAAGGCTTGAAAGTTAATAAGTGCATTGTCTAGGGCTGCAGAGATGCTCAACTCTCTCGTCTCCACCGATGGGAACGATACTGATGCTGAATCACCAGTGGAAACGGAGCCACAACCGCATGTAAATCCATTTACTTCTCAATCAGATCCCACCGAGGCTGCTCTGGAGTTACAAGAAGCACACAAATACCTGTTAGCAAAGTCCTACTTCGACACCCGAGAATATGATCGATGCGCCGCTGTCTTTCTCCCTCCTACGATACCACCCGTTTCTCTCTCTAACGTGTCTCCGAACGTCAAGAGCAGGACGTCATTGACCCCTCAGAAAGGCAAAAGAAAGTCCTTCATACGACCGGGATCAAAAGCTGGTCAGGCGCTACCCCGAAATCCGTATCCGAAGCTCAGTCAGAAATCTCTTTTCTTAGCATTATATGCCAAATATCTAGCCGGAGAGAAGCGACGGGATGAGGAGACAGAAATGGTATTGGGGCCTGCAGATGGTGGTATGACTGTCAATCGAGAGCTGCCAGATCTTGCTCGAGGGTTAGAGGGTTGGTTCGCAGAGCGGGAAGAACGTGGACTGCAAGATCGTGGCCAGGGGTGGTTAGAGTACTTGTATGCGGTCATTCTCTTGAAGGGCAAGAATGAGGAAGAAGCGAAAAAATGGTTGGTACGGAGTGTGCACCTGTTTCCGTTTCATTGGGGTGCTTGGCAGGAACTGAATGAACTGTTACCAAGTGTTGACGATGTAAGTCTCTACTCAACCCTGCTCAAAATCGGCGAGACTGACGTAAATCAGTTAAAACAAGTCGCAGAGACCCTTCCACAAAACATCATGTCCTTTATTTTCCAGGTTCATTGCAGTCAGGAACTGTATCAGGCCACTGATGAAACACATCAAACTCTCAACGGCCTTGAATCTATTTTCCCGACTAGCTCATTCTTGAAGACCGAGAGAGCTCTTCTATACTATCACTCCAGGGGTAAGTGGCCTTGTACCATTGAATATCCGGACGGTGTAGATTAACATCTTGCAGATTTCGAAGAGGCTTCAGCAATATTTGCAGATATACTTATTGAATTCCCCCATCGCTTAGATAGCCTCGACCATTACTCCAACATTTTGTATGTCATGGGAGCAAGACCTCAACTCGCATTCGTTGCACAACTAGCCACAGCAACGGACAAATTTCGACCAGAAACCTGCTGCGTGGTAGGAAACTACTACTCCCTAAAATCTGAGCATGAAAAGGCAGTCATGTACTTCCGACGAGCTCTTACACTCGACCGCAACTTTTTATCGGCATGGACCCTCATGGGCCATGAATATATCGAAATGAAAAACACACACGCAGCGATCGAATCTTACCGTCGTGCCGTCGACGTCAATCGTAAGGATTACCGAGCATGGTACGGTCTAGGTCAAGCATACGAAGTCCTCGATATGTCGTTCTATGCCTTGTATTACTATCAACGCACCGCTGCATTGAAGCCCTACGATCCCAAGATGTGGCTAGCAGTAGGGACCTGTTATGCCAAAATGGGCCGTTTGCAGCACAGCATCAAAGCTATGAAACGTGCTCTGGTTGCAGGTGCATACTATGAGCAAAGCCTCGATGCTGATCCGACGCATCCTTCGGCAGGACGTAAGGTCCTCGACCCGGACACACTCCATCAAATAGCGTTGCTGTATGAACGATTGGGTGATGAGGATGAAGCCGCGGCGTATATGGAACTTACTCTACAACAAGAAAGTGGAGAAATCGAACGAAATGAAATGGACTCTGACGACGATGATGACGCCCTCGGTGACGATGGGAACTCGGATGACGAGACGACTGGACTACGGTCTCGACGACAACGACGCCGCCAACAGAAAAGTAGAGATGATGATAATGAGGTCGAAGCTGTGGGTGGTACAGGCGTTACGGCGACGACATCCAAAGCGCGATTGTGGCTTGCTCGATGGGCACTCAAGCATGGAGATCTAAACAGAGCGGATCAGTTGGCCAGTGAGCTGTGTCAGGACGGGATAGAAGTTGAAGAAGCGAAGGCTTTGATGAGAGATGTTAGGGCGAGAAGGGAGGGTGGGGATGAAAAACAACTCCATATATAGATAGGAATTTGGTATCTTAATGCTTTATGATATATGATCTTGTTCTTGTCGGAGAGGAGATTAAATAACTTTCATTAAACTATGGGGGATAGTGTACATTGTTGACCACTGAACCTAGAAAGAAAGGTAGGAATAGGTACAAGACCCCAAACTGTACAAAATCATTAAGAGACTATCGAGGATAACATGGCATTTCCACCCCTCGACACAGAACGACGAGCGCGTGTCCAACTCATCATGACTCGAACCTCGTCACAAAAGAAAAAGAAAAATCAAGAAATCATGAAAAAAGTTTCAGGGCATCTCTTCAAGAACCTTCAAGAAGTGGCCAAGAATCTGTGGTCCAACGTTTCCAACACCAATCAATGACTGATCAAATGCTGGGCACAACTTAGACGAAAAACGGCTGCTGCTGAGGGTAGCGAATTCCCAGGCCCCCATTAGGGTCTGGTATATCGAGTGGATAATGGAATTTGTCGTCCTCCGCAGTACGAACATTGGGGTCCTTGTAACGGTCACCAAAGAGATGGACATTAGGCCGGACGGAGACAAACTCGCCTAAAACCTCGACATCGCTGGGTTCGTAGAGATTGATAATTTTTGCAGCTGCAGGTTCGCCAAAGTGAAGAGCTCTAGCACCAAATTTATTGATCTGATCGATCACGCGACGAGGACCAGAGTTAGACGGAGCAGTGCTGCGATCCTGGCGCCAGGAGACGGTAGCGTAGAAGTACTGGGTGCCGTATTCGGTCCACCAGTCGTTCAAGAGAAAGATGTCATTGTTGATGCCTTCATGACCTCCAGCCTTGAGGATGCGGCTGTCAAGAAAGAAAATCTTTCCCTGAGATGGAAGCTCGGTGTTTGGCTGAGAAAGTTCAGAGGTCACCAGATTACCGAGGTTGTACAGCTGCATAGCCAGGACTCGAGATGGGTCTTTGATGTTGACCAGCACAATGCCCATAGCAATGCCAAACTCTGCTGCAGCCGGGTTGGACCACTGAAGTGCTTCACGAGTGTGTGGAAAACCCAATGATTTCACAAAATGCTTTGCAGAGAATGTGAATTCACGTGGAGCTTGACGAAACATGTCCTCTTGAAAGCCAAATTCACCACAGTAGATTGGAATAGTAGAGAGTGGAGACTTGAGAGGAACTTGGAGATGGCGGGAATCCTTTTTGTTCAAGTGATAATCCCCGATGTCATAATTCTCGTCTTCGTTTTTCTTAGCGACATCTGCTGCATCTGCAATGAACTTCCAAGCCTCCTTATAGGTAGCAACTGCACGTTTTGGATTTGGACACTCTGCAAGATTTGGATTCTCCCGCAGTGGTGTGGTGAATCCACTAGCCAACCTTGGGGTGTGAGGGAGTTGAGATGTAGGGTTCGCGCTAATGCTGCCAATACTGGTAGTCAATGCTCGTGGGATAGGGCTTCCTCGAGCTCGAAGAGACTGCTGCGGAGCTTGATCCAAATGAATAGAATTCTCCATGGTTGACGATGAGGTTGATGCAGATATTTTAGGACGCTTCGAGCACGATGCAGAGTACAAAGTTGACAATGCTGAGTGCAGGTCTGACGATGCAGAGTGCAGGTCTGACGATGCAGCGTGCAAGGTTGATGTAGAATTCAACTTTGAAAGAGGATGGATAAGAGACAATGTGCGTTCGTGTTTGTTAAGCGAACTGACAGATGGCGACTGACTAAAAGCTTTGCTAGGATTCTGTTTGTTAGCTCTAATAAGCGAAGCTGGTGTCTGTTTGACTGAAGGCGGTGTCAAATCTGGTGAGATTAGACTGGCTGATTTGGACAAAGAAGATGTGCATGTGAATGATGACGTTGTTGTGCTTTGGGATTTGTCTACAATATACTCATTCTTTTTATCAGTTGAGACTACCTTCTCAAACCATAAAGCATTCTCTTCCTGTAGCTCCTCAGTAGGAACAGCACGTGCCTTTTCAGCCAGATCTTGCAGCTCAGTGAAAGAAACTGTATCCTTAAAAGATCGATCCCAGTGGATCTTCAGGACTCGAGGAAATCTCAGCGTATAATACTGAGCATTACCTGCCTTATCGAAGCCACTGCCCAGCAGCTCTACAACAAACGGGGTCTTGAATGCAACATCCATCTTGGGCAAAGAGTTCTGAATGCTATAGCAATCAAATGCTGTGTTTGAGTCAACATCACATGCGGCAAACTTGCCCCACTGGTTGAGTACTTGCATATCGTTCTCATTCAAGCTGTGTGTGCCAATCATGTCGACGATGCGGAATCGTGGCGAGGAGGTCTGTCGAACAACGTCTTCCTTATTATCGAGACAGCCTATAAAGAAATGTGTCCAGGAGAGTTGACGGACTTTCGATAACAATGGGGCATCTTTCGCGTCATACCGAGCGCCTATCAGGGCAAAATCAGCAGTATCGCCCAGTCCAGGTATATAATCCTTCTTCAGCTTGATCCAACGGCTGAAGCTATCGCTTTTCTCTGGCGATAAGATAGAGAAATAAGGCTCATCACATGCTTTGATCACGTAACCTTCCCATCTTTCGGTGATGCTTCGAGATAATGCCAGTTGAAGACGTCGTATGGCATCAGGGCGGGAAAAGTCAATGATCTCCTGCTCAGATATTTCGGCACGTCCAGGGGCAATCCTAACTGTTTCTTTCAGCAGCAATCGCCGTAATCTATGGGGTTTACTAAGACAAATGTCATCGTCTAGTAGCAGTATATCGAAGAAAACGATCATCAAATGCTCATACGGCTTTGGTCTAGATAAGTTAGCGTGGATAATATTGCACCCTATGTAGGGCACTGACTGTGAATCAAGGTCTGCACCAATATATACACCAGATCGACTGAGGAACTTCCTCAGTTTGTGGAATTCCATGATCTGGCAGTCTCTGTCGTCCCAAACAAGCAGTTCCCCTTCCAGAATACAGCGTCGAGACACCTTGCAATTCGTATCGCCAATTGCGAGACTACGCTTTATGACATCGTGGATTCCAGCCCTATCAAGGGTCGAGTCTTTGCCGCTCTTGGAAAAGATTTGAATGCAGTCTTGTCCCTTCGAGATGTCTATGTGTATCTGGCAGTACTCTCCGTCATACTTCCTTTCCAGGCTCATTCTCCGTTGACGAATCATGTTGCTGCAGTGCTTGATGCTTCGGGCCTTATAGTATTCAGGGCGACCTATCTTTATTCCAAGGCGAGGTACAAGGTGTTCGAGGGCTTTATCGCTTAACAAATTGGCAAAGTCTGACTGTGGTTGAGGCGGGAAGAGCTTCAGTGAAGGCGACTTCAACAATTCAACCGCAGCTTCAAGTGAGTTTTGGAACAGCAGTAAGTGAGGCAAGAGGAAGTGAACTTTCTTAAGAAAGTAATCGACAGGAATCTGCACGGGATGGTATGATTTCAAGATCATGCGTGTCAACCATTTCGCATCTCGGCTGCTCAGTCTGCGATAGAGCGATCCTAGTACCTCATCGAAATCGACAGCGGCGTGTTTTCTGCGCACACTCGGACCAGAAAATCGACAACAGGAAGCAATTTCTTGAAGAGCATTATCAATTTCCTCAACAGTGACTTCTTGCCCCGGAGGTATTTGATTCTCAGCTTGACTCATTACATTCTCGACGCATTCACCGAGATCCCCTCCTCCGCTGACCTGCCACCGGCCGAGGTCTTTCAACCTCGAGGCTCCAAGGTACAGACATCTGCCGATAATCCGAGCTAGCGAAGCATGCTGTAGAAAATACACTCTATCCGGCCGCTTCTCGGGAAGCAGACATGATAGCACGGCAAGTAGGTCCGTATCCTTGTCGTATAGCCGCTTCGAGTAGTTCAAGAACCAGCTGGAGATTATACGGAAATCGGGGTTTTGCGCTCTCGCTGTACTCGTGGCTTTGAGATGACGATTGCGCTCTAGGCCGGAGAGTAAATCACACACGTAGGAGAACTTGAAACCCATTCCCTTTCCAACAATGTTCGAACTCAAATCGCGTGCTCAGAGCACAAGACCGCATTTTTGGATGATTTATCACGACAGTGACCGTATGGCAGTCTTTTTGTTGGTTAGAGCGAGCAATTGAGTTACAACTAGGAAAGATATTTCAGAAAGAAGGAGCAAAGAACGCAACTGGGGGATTAGGGCTGAGACCCAGCACGCATCCATGGTTCGCGAAGTCACGTGATAAACGTGCCATATTAAGGGTTTTCACTTAAGTTACGAATGCCTTTTGAGTATCATACATTTGGAATCTTTATAGTCCTACAGATAATGAACAGATAACCGAATCCTTGGGAAGTAGTACGCATGTATTGACCTGACACCTGATCTCGTGCACGCCCCCCACCTCCAATGTAGTAGCTAACCATAGAACAGAGCGAAACACGAAGACAAATCATAGAATGCCTTGCTTTTGAAGACTACACAAATGTTAGCGTTGGCCATATAAGGTATAAACCAGGGAGGAGTACATACTCATAGTAGATTCTTTCTGGCATGACGTTTCCTTCGGCGTCCTCCATTTGTACCACATTCTCCTTGCTTTCCTTCTCCTTCTTCCTTTCCTGCTCAAGTTTCTCCCACAGTCGCATTGCATCTTCGATTTTGACAATCTCGCGGAACAAGTTGGTTTGTTGAGTTATACCCAAACATTTCAACCCATAAATATGTCGTGCTTCTGAAAAGTGCTTATCGAACGCGCGTCGACCCATATAAACGAAGTTACCGCAGATTTCGCAGGGATACTCCACGCCAAGGCCATGCAGTTTATACAACCAGTAAGGAATAGGTTTACCGTCCCATGCAAGTGGTAGTTTAAGCGGGTTGTATATCCTGTCGTCTCCTTCTTCATCTGATTCTTCTTCGCGGCCAAAGGCACCGGATGATGGCTCCGTATCTGCCATAAGGGCTTCGATTTCCATCTGCCTCTCACGCTCCGTCATACCTTGTTTTCGCTCCACGTTCACCCTTGTTGCTTCCCGTTCAAACTGTAGTGTTTTGGTTAAGCATCGAATGCGATGTTCACGTTCAGCAACTGCCCGTTCTTTGAGTGACTTTAAGGTTGCGTCTTTTATACCACCTGCTGACGCAGAACCATTGGTCGCTGTGATCCCATTGGCTTTCTTCGCTTCAGCAGCTTTGATGTGCTTCTTCCCTGTCAGATGATTTTTGTAGACATTCTCGTTTTTAAACTCTTTTTCGCAGTCGGCACACCATATACCTTCCCCTGTACCCTCAGTTTTGGGTCCAACAGCAGTTTCATTGGTAGTGGCTTCAGCGCCCCATCCTGGAACTTCCTTTGCGGCCCACTGTTTATCAAACTCCTCGTCAAAAGATGCGAATAGTTTGGGGAGGTTCTCCAAGGGTCGGACACGCTTCAGGAAACTCTCAAGATAGCTTGTCAAATCGCCCACGTACTTGAAGTATCTATCTGAAACCTTCGCTGACCGTTTGATAGGCATTTGTGGGGGAGTAAACACATCGAATTGATCGATATACTGAATGTATGTGAGTCGTTTGATCCCGGGAATATTGAGATAGTCCTCGTGGAGCTGAATCAAATCCAAGAATTGCCCATAGGCCTCTTCTCCGGTGAACATAGAATCTATTTCGGGGGCGAAGCTTTCACCCTCTCCTGGGTGTCGTCGCTTATATGCGCGCTCCAAGTTCTCGACCGGTTCATTTGGATAGCGTTTATGGAAGTCTTTTATTTCGTCCAAGCGCTTGTAGAATTCTTCGAACGCGTCGCCTGTAGAGATGGACTGGATTTCCTGAGCACGTAGACCTTCGGCATCTTTATAGATGTCGAGTAACCTTTTTGACTGTTCTTCAATACGATCTAAGAATCCGGCGATTTGATGGTCCCGTGCAAGTCTTTCACGTATCTAGGCAAATAAAAGTCAGCATATAGTTGTAGGAAAGAATGGATAAAGGCATACATTTCGAGGTTCTTCAGCCGCCCGGTCAGCGATTCCCTGCTCTAAACGCTCGAGATCCTCATGGATGAATCGCTGATCTTCGAGAACCATGGCGAGCAGATAAAAGGAAAGCTATAAAAAATAATCCCAGTATGTTTGCTTGAAATGGTTGTTGCGACACAGAAGGAGTGGATAGCTCAGAGCTTTTTGCGGGTACTAGAAGGTCACGTGAGTTTATCGGTGCACGGGCCAGCAACATAAAATATCGGCATGCGCCACCGCAAGTTGCTTCTGACCCCAGAATTGTGCGACAATCGTTGCTGTTGACTTACCTTCTTACTATCACACGAACTAATATAATTCACTATGGCGGAAGGAATTGATCGTCGTGCAGATGGTGAGAACATTTGGATATTTTACTCGAATTGACGGAACTAACATGTTCTAGAACGGATGGAGTTCACAACCTCGAAGGAGGTCACTGTTGCCCCGACCTTTGAGGATATGCATCTGAAAGAGAATCTTCTACGAGGCATCTACGCATACGGCTATGAGTCGCCTTCGGCCGTTCAATCTCGCGCCATCGTCCAGATTTGCAAGGGTCGCGATACCATTGCTCAGGCGCAATCTGGTACGGGTAAAACTGCTACCTTTTCTATCAGTATTCTTCAGGTTATCGATACGGTGGTTCGCGAAACACAAGGTTTGTCTATACTGTCTCCATAGCGATGTGTTTCTGATTCTAACGCAACCTAGCTTTGGTCTTGTCTCCCACTCGCGAACTTGCGACTCAGATTCAATCTGTCGTTATGGCGCTCGGCGATTATATGAACGTTCAATGCCACGCATGCATTGGTGGAACGAATGTCGGCGAAGACATCAGAAAACTTGAGTACGGTCAACACGTGGTCTCTGGTACTCCCGGACGTGTTGCAGATATGATTCGACGACGCCATCTTCGAACTCGCAATATCAAAATGTTAGTCCTCGATGAGGCAGACGAGCTGTTGAACCGAGGTTTCCGTGAGCAGATTTACGATGTTTACCGTTACCTACCCCCGGCTACTCAAGTCGTTGTTGTCTCTGCCACTCTCCCATACGATGTGCTTGACATGACTACGAAATTCATGACAGATCCCGTGCGTATTCTCGTGAAGCGTGACGAGTTGACCCTGGAAGGATTGAAGCAATATTTTATCGCTGTCGAGAAGGAAGAATGGAAGTTCGACACCCTGTGCGATCTCTATGATACGTTGACCATCACTCAAGCCGTCATTTTCTGCAACACTCGGCGCAAGGTCGATTGGCTCACCGACAAGATGCGCGAGGCCAACTTCACAGTGTCAAGCATGCACGGAGAAATGCCACAGAAGGAGCGAGACAGCATTATGCAGGATTTCCGACAGGGAAACTCTCGTGTCCTTATTTCGACTGATGTTTGGGCTCGTGGTATCGATGTCCAGCAGGTCTCTCTAGTTATCAACTACGACCTTCCCAGTAACCGTGAAAATTACATTCACAGAATTGGTCGAAGTGGCCGATTTGGTAGGAAGGGTGTTGCTATCAATTTCGTTACCAGTGACGATGTTCGTATTCTTCGTGATATCGAACTTTACTATTCCACTCAAATTGATGAGATGCCTATGAATGGTAAGTCTTTCCACTTCAGATTCTTTTGTTCTACACAATCTGACTTGAACTGCAGTTGCCGATTTGTTGTCATAGTGATCGAGCTGCTTTTTCATCCGCAAATGAATGATTTCGCCTCATATGAAAACCAGTGAAACCCGCCGTCGGCACAGCCGAACAGCCGAACAGGTTTTTTCGCGACCAGCTTCACTCAGACGACCGGTCATCGAGGTACTAGGTACTAGTTCTTGGGTTATGCGTGGAGGAAACGGGAAAAGTCCTCACAGTGAGTATTTGACAAATCCTTGCTTAGCTATAACACTCAGCAGGCTAACATGCTTTTATCTTCTTCAAGGGCAGTGTACTACCAGATTGCTGAAATAAATATAGCCAATGAAATTCAAATTATACCCCTTGGATGCTTAACCACTGAGCGTGCATTGAGATTTCGAATTTTTATTTTTGATGAAAGTCATTGTAATAAACATTGCTTTTCCCTCTTTAATGCTGCAACTTGACATTTTCAAGCTCAATAAATTCATCCTCCAACTTTACCCGTTTCCTAACATACTCAAAACTTGACAATCTAGCAAGTACCCGTCACTTTAAGCACCGCAACATCATGCGCCTCCAATTGCGCCGTATACTCCTTATGGACGCATCCCAAATCCTTACCCGTCCAAACATCCTCAACTCTATACTTACTATCGTGTCCACTCAATTGTGGAATTTCAGACCACACTGCAGTCCTACTAGCAGCGACATTCTCGGAGTTGAAAAGTAGAACCAAGTTCCAGCCGTGGGAAGTCGCGCCGGACCAGTACTCAGGTGGGTAGTGCGGGTTGTATGTACCGTTGTTGTAGCCATCTTTGTATGGAAGAGCTGGTTTGCCAATGATCGGGTCTTGGTTGAAGGCGATGAGATCGGCGTTTTTGAGGATAAAGAGGTGTGTGTCTGGGATTGTTGATAACTATGATTACAGTGTTAAGGAATAGGGGAATACGGCGACAAGAGGAGAAGACGTACGTCTGTTCCGATGATCAAGGGAGATTTCATGATTGCCCATAGAGCGAAGTGAGCACGATTCTCCTCGATCGTTAGATTGCCGTTGCCGACTTCCAACATGTCTGGGTCATTATGGCCCCAGAAATCGACACTTGAAAGCTCATGAGCATTCATGTTAGCGATAGCAGTGATTCTGTCCCACGTTGCTGTTTCAGGCATTTTTTTTTTGAATTAGTACCTCACCGGCACAGACTCCATCGAGATGTTCGAAGAGACGTACCGTTGATATCGCCAGTTACACGCCATGAATTACCTGTCCCATTACCCCAAGACGGGACATCAGCGTTGCCCCATTCACACAGTGAATACAAAATAACGCGCTGATCTTGAACAGAAGCCAGCGCATCTCTCATGGCATTAAACCGCTTCGTGGTATTGGACATACTCCAGTCGTAGCCCGCAGGTGCAGGGTTTGTCAGATCTGGACAGGTGCCGTTAGGGTTAACACCGGGGTAGTCACTGTCAGGGATGCAAGCATTGTACTGGTCATCCCATTCGGAGGGGTAGTTGCAATTGTCGTATTTGAGGTCTGACGAGGAAATCAGTCAAGTATCGCGATACACTTGGTTTGTGGTTGGGAGCAGACGTACAGTCAATACCCCAGTCAGCAAAGGTCTGGGCATCGATGGTCTCATATCCGAGACTGGCTGGATAGCCAGCACATGTCTGATATCCGGCGCCTGAATAAGTATGAATCAGTACGATGCCTCATACGATCGTGTCGGGTCTATACTCACTACTGTATATACCAATCTTCAAGCCAAGGTCATGAACCTGCTGAGCGGTACCATTAATCCCGCTTGGGAACGTGTCAGGGTTCGGGATAATGCGATTTGTGACGCTATCACGACCAGATTTAACGGACCAACAATCGTCAACTATTGCCGATCAGCTACTTGATGCCATCCATATCTTGTCAACTGACTCACTGTTGACATATTGGTAGCCTAGGTCCTTCAATCCGGTCGAGTTGAGTTTATTAGCAGCTGTCACAATCTTGGTCTCGTCAACATCGCAACCGTATGCGTTCCATGAGTTCCAGCCTAGAGCTGGCAATCTTCCCTATATTCAGGGTATTATTAGTATAAGGTGACTTTTGTGAGCATCGCGTGTCACTCATGAGGAATGTAAACATACCACACCATCAGGAAGTACCAATGCGTTTGCACTCCTCAAGGTCAGCAGCAAGGCTGCTGCAGTTGGGCGACTGAGCATTATGTGTTCCGGTCGTTTCTAAACTATTTTAAATTGGCCCAATTGTAAAATGCACCAGTACAAGTGATATTTCATTCCATCCAAGTGGGAATCTGCAAGCTTATATACCCGGCCAGAACCCCGAAAAGAAATTCTCCATGTCTCAATTGATCGTCGGCTTTGTGCCCAGGTACGTCCTTGCATTTCTCTGTACAACAATAATAGCTTGAAGCCACCTCCCCCCAATCGCAATTCGCGGGGTTGGTTGCAGATCCCTTGCCCATGTTTGGCTGATATTGAATCGAGATTTATCCGGGACCCCAGAAATCAAGCTTGCATACTGTGCTGCCGATGTTCAATGGAATTTTAGCCATGACTAATTGGCCGTGCGTGTGAATTATTGCAGAAAATTGTAACTGCAACGGTAGTACTTGTTTTAACGGTGAAAGGAATACTAGATTCCATTGAGGATTGCTTAGAAATACCCGAGCCACTTTTACCGGTGTTCAGCTTTAAGCCATTGGGAAACATTGCAAGCAACTCAGAGAATATATTGAGTTTTTAACAGATCTCTCTTCCTGTTCTCCCAGATTCTCATTTTCCGCCTCCAGTACCTATGGCAAGTTGAAGGCAAGCACCCCGGCAACGAACAGTCCGTCAACATAATTCTTGCCTGACGAAGACCAGAAAGCGAAAAGCTTGTCGCCAATGGTAAATACTGGCAGAGATCTGCCCTTATACCTCACTGCATCGATCATGCTGGTTGAAAACAAAACTTTATGTGGTGTGGTATCTTGGGATCGGCCAGGGGTAACGAGTTAGGGCAGAACGTCAGTAACCCTAAATTGTATCACTGTTGTACCACTACGTCAGAATAGCGACTGAATAAACAGATATCGTCAATAATAAATAAACGCAAGAATAAAGCATTCTTTATCGTCGGGTAGTAGATCGCATCCCGTTGTAGAGATCTCTTCATGACATCATCACGACGATATGCCTTCATACAATGTCAAATCTCAGAACATCTCGACTATTTATTCAACCTCTCCGCTTACCGTTCGCTCTTCTTCAGAAAAGAAACTGGGTACGTATAAAAAATGTTCCGTCGAGCCCTTTATATCCCTCGGCAATCTGCGTCTCTGACCGGGTATCACAGGCTCATACCAGCCATTATCTTCTTCACACCGCCACAACCAAGGCGACAATTCCACAGTTCATCTGCACAATTCAACAAGCCCATCAAAGGAACGATTTACAAAATGCGTGACGAAGTAAAGGACGCTGTTTCGAGCTCGAACTCCCACCTGGACTCGTCCATTGCCGAAGACCCATCGGAACGTCACATTGATGAGTCGTGGAAGCTTCGTGCACCGTATCAGATCCAGAAAGATGAAGAGTTTGGTCCTGTGAAATGGGAGGCTATGTGTCATTGCGGAAACGTGCAATATCAGATCAAGAGGGAGCGTCCATTGGCTGCCAAGTATTGTCATTGTCGAGCTTGTCAGGTCCTCCACGGTATGCCTATTCCAACCGACTCGAAGTGTCATAATACTAATGTGTCAGCCAGCTGCACCATTCCAGTGGTGCGCCATCTTCTTCAAGACCGATATCCGGTTCAAAAAGGGTACAGACTCTCTAATGTTCTGGTCATCCCACGAAAAGAGCAAGAAATATCAAGTCCCTACAAAAGTGTACTGCTCAAATTGTAACTCACCCATCATGGATGAAGGACGGAATATGTGTTTGATATTTCCGGAATTGATTGATCTGGGAAAGACGGAGGAGGAGCACTTGGTTCGACGGAAGGTGTTTGAAATTGAGTATGTCACTTTCTTCTTATGTCTTTTTCTTTTTCCAAGGATTATATACTAACATTCACATAGCCACCATATCTTCTACAGCAGACGACTAGTCGAAGTCCACGATGGAAAACCGAAATGGTCCGAGTTGGATGATAAAAGTAATAGACTGGATGATGACGGAAATAAAATCTGATTGTCCTACCCATGCAAGCAGGGGAAGGCATGTACAATTAGAAGGCTATCGGTAGAGCTTTCTCTCTCTCTCTCTCTCTTTTTTTTATTCATGTAGATATACGAAGACATGATACCATTTTGCATTTACAATACCTTTCTACGAGAGATGAATAAAGTCTACACGCTAGTATCGTGATGATTCAGTCGGATGCTGGCCACGTCCTGTAACCAAACGAATGGATCGATGACATATTGTCACCTTGGGATGTAACTTGTCTCTCTGCCACACTTTTAGATTAGGTGCTCCTGGCATTCATCTTTTGCTTCAAGAAAGACTGGGAAACTTCACCTGCACGAACATACTGAAAGCGTATGAAATATTCCGAGTACCTACAGATTGCTGACTCCCAGTCGTTACAGATCGAAGAATCGATCAACCCTTTCTCGATCCTTCTCTGTTGAATTGGAGTCTCAGACAAGTGCAGACCATCTGCAGACTAGCCATGAGAACGTAACCCGGCTGTGATCCAGTCGCCTGATACAACACCAGACCCAAGGCAATTTCACATGATTTTCTACCTAGGTATGGTCAGCCCGCGTAAATACGAATGATCAGCAGAAAACCTTAACTTCAGTCAAGCATCGAAAATAATGGTGGCATTCCTCAAATCAGCAGTATCATTGGGCCGTGTCATCCATGGTGGAATCCTCCGGAAGCCCTAACTATCCGCTGCATGTAACATCATTAAAGAGTCAAGATAGCATTTTCTAGATCGGTACTTGCCAAGACGACGAAATACCAAATCTGCTGCTGTAATATAGTAGAATAGATAATCCGATTCCATATCGAGATCCAATCGCTCGGGTTGGTAATACACGTGTGCCCCTCTCAGTGAAGATGAATGAATGTTGTCGCTATACTAGGAGTAGCATCTGGTTAGTTTTACTGTTCCATGGCGTAACTAGCGGGCATGCATGTGAACGGATCATTTTCATGGACCATCCTGCTAGTTCGCCTGATACTTTACTACGTGCTACATGGGCAAGAGCAAATGGTCGTTGAACTACAAAATGGGCCGATCTCCTTTCCCCTCTCGCCTTTTGACGATTTTTGAATTTTGCCCCAACGCTCCTGTGAGTTAAGACATTCCCGATGATCGTTCTTCGATCTACAGTGATAGCCGCCTTGGCTTCGACAACCTTGGCTGTCACTTCTATCAGCGACGATGTCATGACCAGCTATCTGAACAACGGCGCCGTCGACCTCGCCTATATGTATGCGCCTATGTGGTTCTTTGGACAGGCGTTGGACGAGCCTCCCTGCTATCCAGTATGGGCTTTCAGTGGCAACGTATCAACGCCGGATATCTATGATGCAGCACATAAGACCCCTCCGGCACCCCAATGCGAATATCCGGACATGGGATGTGGTTGCCGTCAGCCTGATGTGCCTATTGGAAATCCTGGACCGGCATTTCCAATCTACTACACTTTTCAGCAGTGTAATGCGACCGAAGTCCGAGTCGTATATAACCTGTTTTATCAGAAAGATGGTGCCGAAGTGGTTGGTGTCATCGATACAGGCCATGACTAGTGGGAACCCTCCCCAAACGCTTATGCTTGACAGAGAATTGACATGGGCTTGATCTTGTAGTGACTGGGAACGAGTAATCATTATTCATTCCAAGAACACGGCCGACAACACCTGGGCACCGAGTCGAGCATTGCTTTCCGCTCACAGTGGATATCATGATTTGGCCTGGGGCGATATCCAGAACACCTTGACCACAGACCAAGTCAACGTTGGCGATGCAATCAATCCCAATGGCGTCAAAGGTAACGATCACCCTAAGGTGTATGTGTCGTGGTCCAAGCACGCCAATTTCGATACGCGGAACACTGGGTGGAACGATCCTATCAGTCAGTCTACCGACAATGCATTCCGAAGTGAGGATTGGTGGCACTTTGTCGATGCACAATATTATGTAAGGATTGATGTCTCTCTTCCAAGGAAGCCTCTTGCTAATGTTTGCCTTGGGGATAGATCCGCTCAGATAGCTCCACAGCAGCCGGCCAAGCTTTGGGATCTGTGGATTGGGGCAGCGCTAGTAGCAACCCTCCATCTGTTCAAAACTCCCTTTGTACGCAGCAAACTTTGATGGAGGCAGCTGCAAACAACAGTTAGGCTAGAGATTGGATAGTCGGGTGGTCCGTGTATATAGGATGGTTGAATATATGCGTCGATTATAAGCCTTGGCTCCAAGTAACAAAATGCTGTAAGAACTGACAGCAATGATGAGCCGCGCTATTGTGAGATTAAGCATATACAAATTCGCGCGTAGCAGTCCTTGTGCTGTTCCTCGAAGTGCAGCCTGACCTGTGTGCCGCGATAAAAAGCGAACCAAATACTCCGTAGTCATTGTCATCCGGCGTCTCGGACCTGACTCTTCTCGCTATCTTAGGAATTGCGTAACTTTCCACGATCAACCGTGCTCTGTTTTGTCTTCGGGCCGGTCGGTGCGACACATACTAGTGGCCAGAATTGGCAATACGAAGCTCAGCATGCTGCGGAGCATCCATTATTTTGGGATTGTGAAACCTGGCCACGCGAGATCGATGTGGATCTGCTTTGCATGCGAATATCGTAAATCGACGAGAGATTGTGCGACGGCAAGAGATGTGAGTTGACGTATCTCGGCTGGATATGATCAACGCCTAAGTTGTGAGGCTGGACCGGTATTCAAGAGCGCATAAACAAGAGTTACAAGGCAAGCTCTACTCCGTAGTATTGGCAATAAATGTGGATATAAACAAGATGAGATGGTACTTGTTTCAGAGATCGCAGCGTTGTTCCTCGGAGGAGTCGATAGAGATTGAGGTATTTTCTAGCCATGACGGAAGCTGCGTGGCTGGATCCGCGTTAATCCATTTAGTGGCCCACGCCGCACGTGCCACTCGCCCATCGAGGTTTCGACGCTTGCTTTTTTTGGATCTTCATTCATTCATCTCCTTTTGTTCTCTGCTTTCTCTTCGCGACACACGCACTCACTCACTCTCTCTTGCGACAATTCTTTTCACTCGATATCTCCATATATTCTTCTACTCACAATCAATGTGTCGACTGTGATTGTCTGCTCTCCGAACCATTCGACTATTCAACTTTCAGACATCCATGTCACTAGCATTCGTACTTGCATATTCCGTCTCCGAGGCACTCATACAATCAACATGAGATTTACTCCGGTTCAATTGTTGAAATCGAAGCACGGAATATCTGCTTTTGGCGAATAACACCAACTATCAACACTCTCAGGCCTCACTGCCGAGGTTGGGAATTACCGTGGAAACGAAGTCCTAGGCAGAAAACCGTCTACGAAACCGTGAACCTTCGACCTTCCTACGATATACACTAAAATGCATATCACACACGTCAAACGCACCGCTGGATTCGGCGCTTCCGTTCTCAAACATCTCCGGTCATTCGCAGGAGTGATTATCGCAAATCTCACTCTCATGCACGCAAATATACCTTATATTCGGGACATCAAATACAACTTCATCACGTTGCATTATGTATATCTCGTATTGTGGGCTTTCGTTGGATCTATCGTGCTAGTTGCTGGTGGCAATATGCCGTACATCGACGCCCTGTTTTTCGCTTCTGGCGCTGCTACGCAAAGTGGGCTCAACACTATTGATATTAACAAGATACCAACCTACGCCCAAATCTTCCTGTACGTTATAGGTATGTGGACCAATCCCATCGTGGTTAATACCTTTGTCGTTTTTGTCCGGCTTTACTGGTTTGAGAAGCGATTCCAGCATATCGTTAGAGATGCCCGTGCTCTACGGCGGACGAGAACTAGGACATTCACAACGGGGAGAGAGCAGCATGATGTTAATCGAGAGGAACAAGGCGTCCGTGGACAGTCAATAGTTGTGCTACGGAATGAGCAGGGCGAGGCTCGTGACGGAACTCAAGATAGTCACAAAACGGATACCGATGCCAATTCAGACACCGGAACGTCCAACGCAACATCTAATGACCGTCGCGATGAGTCTTCTAAATTGAGTCCACCGTCTCCGTTAAGTGATACTGAAGGTCTACGCCTTCCAACCCAAAGGAGTCCAGAGCAACACATTGCCTTTCTGGAACATCAACGAACGGACAAAGGCACCTTGCGCATTCCCAGCCCACGGGAGTTCGACCGTGGTGGTGTTCCTCAGGCTTTAGATGAAGCTGTCGAGGATAACCAGGATAACCCTACTAGTCCCCAGTCGCGACCGGTAGATGAGGAACAGCAACGTCAAGAAAGCGGAAATGAACTTGGGAATCATATTACCATTAACGAGCCTGATATCATGCGCTTCAGAGCACGGACCAGTACTTTTCCTCGAATAAATTCACAACGCACTACTATGCGCGACGAAGAAGGTGACAACGAGCCTAGACGCCTTCGAACTCGGCGAGGTACCTTCACCGGTATATTCAGATCCATGACTCAGGAGCAAGACAGAGACACCCTACCGTATTTGAGCTGGAATGCTACAGTTGGTCGAAATTCAGCCTTCATTGCTCTCACCGAGGAGCAACGTGAGGAACTTGGAGGTATTGAATACCGAGCTCTTAAGACGCTCGCTCTTGTGTTGGTTGGATATTTCGTTGGCTTCCACATTATGGGTATAGTCTGTCTTGTCCCATGGATCGTTGCTAGTCAAAAATACGGAGCCGTAGTGACCGGTGATGGCCAAGGCCGCGCTTGGTGGGGTGTCTTCACGGCTCAGTCGGCCTTCAACGACGTAGGGTTCACCTTGACGCCCGATTCTATGAATTCTTTCAATGAAGCTGTGTGGCCGCTTCTCATTATGAGCTTCCTAATCGTCATTGGTAACACCGGTTTCCCTTGCATGCTACGTCTGCTCATTTGGATAATTTCCAAATTTACAATAACCGGCAGCGCTCTATGGGAGGAGCTTCGGTTTTTATTAGATCATCCTCGGCGATGTTTCACTTTACTCTTTCCTCGAAACGCTACGTGGTGGCTCTTTGCTATTTTGGTTGTATTGAACGGTGCGGACTTGCTTTTCTTCATTATACTTGATGTAAGTACCTCCCGTTTTTAGGCCTGTCCTTTTACTGAAAGAATCTTTACTAACTCTTCGGCACAGCTTAATGACCCGACTATCACCTCTATTCCCGCTGGTTACCGGGTGTTGGATGGTCTGTTCCAGGCATTTTCGACAAGAACTGCTGGATTCGGAGTAGTAAATCTCTCAGCTTTGCACCCGGCCATCCAGGTATCCTATCTGATTATGATGTACATCTCCGTCTTCCCAATCGCCATTTCCATGCGACGAACCAATGTGTACGAGGAGAGAAGTCTCGGTATATACGGCTCGGCCGAAGAAGAAGCGGAAGACGTAACTGAACCTAGCTACATTGGTGCTCATTTACGCCGGCAATTGAGTTTCGATTTGTGGTATATCTTCTTGGGACTGTTCATCATTGCCATTGTTGAAGCCGATCGCTTGGAGAGTGGCGCAGATAGTTATGCATTCTCTCTATTCGCCGTCCTGTTCGAAATCGTCTCCGCGTACGGCACAGTTGGTCTGTCCCTTGGATACCCAAACACGAATGCATCCTTTTCCGGGCAGTTCAGGGTCATTTCGAAGTTGGTCATCATTGCTATGCAGATTCGTGGTCGACACCGTGGATTGCCGTATGCGCTTGATCGAGCTATTCTTCTCCCTTCTGAATCTCTACAGCAGAGGGAACAAGACGATGCGGAGCGACGTCTACGTCGTCGGACTTCGAATCTCAGTGACATGGCAGCTAACGGACAGTCGTCCGGGATATTTCAAATAGGCACGAATTACTCCTTAGGGAGCAGGACTAGATCTAGACCTAGACGGTCGGAGGATAATTGATTTTGCTTGAATCATGTTCGCTTATTTATGTTAGGTTTCTGTTGATTTAGAGCGGGTGGGTATACGGCTTGTCGATTATTGATTGCTATACTAATAATAATATAATGCCCAGAATCTTTACATGGATTCCTATGTCGTTCGCAGTCTTGCAGGTTAGGAGGAGCTTTGGACTTGTTGAAGACATTGTAATGTGTAGACTATGACAAAATTTGTACAAATATGTTCTTTGATATGGAATAGCTGCTACTGCATTTGTACTGGCGAGAATTGTGATACTCTTTGGGAATCGATTCCATTGCTAGACATTATGGATATTTTCACATATGTACTAAGTCTCAGCCATGGCATATAAGACTAAGGCACTCCTAAAAAAGAATAAATGGCATCAGAGGTACCCTTGACATCCTCAAATAAATGCCATTGCGCAACACCATCCAAAACCTTCACTTCAGAAGACTTTATACGCTTCCCATAGTCAGAACATACATCCGGCGTACTAAACTCATCTTCGAGACCAGCGATAATCAAAGTCTTGCATGACGCTGGTAATTGAGCTATATCTAGAATCTCCTCGGCCGATCTCGCCAGTGCCATGCATGCCTTTGCGAATCCCTCTGGATCTTGACCGAGTAGAGACATGCGTGTTGCGGCCACTGCTAGGGGATTGTCAGTCTTTGTCTCAATGGAAAGATCTGTATTGACCATGGTATCCACTACTGCAAGCATGCCTTTGTTGGGGACGGACTCTGCACGTGCGAAAATTGCGATACTGCTGGCCTGGGATAAGGGAGATGGAGAAGGCCCCATAAGAACTAGCGATGAGACTAAACTTGTATTCTCCAGAGCGAACTTCACGGCTACCAAGCAGCCCATAGAGTGGGCAATGATCGTGGCGGGTTTGGAATCCGGTCGAACTGATTTGTATATGTCGTGAATATCTGATGCAAACGATTCGATGGTAAGATTACTTAACGCACTTGTGGGCGATAAACCTTGGCCTTCGAGATCGATAAGATGTAACCCATGTGTAGCTTGAAGCTTTTTGTAAAGAGGAGAAAAATAGGTCGATGATCCACCCAGTCCATGTATGAAGATAGTTTGAGGACCGTCTCTCTGGCCCAGGAATTGATAGAAGAGCTCTTTGTTGCCAACTTTTAAGAGGCCATTATGACCTCGTGCTTTCTGGTTGGAAATGGGGATAGGCGATTGCGCTTTCACAAGGTCAACAGTGGGATTGACTGCGTCTGCAGCAGCAATGCGATTCGTCAGAGTTCCTAGTCCGGTAATAGATACTTTCACTTCGTCTCCAGCCTTGAGGAATTTCATAGGTCGAAATCCGAATCCGACTCCGTAGGGTGTGCCAGTAGCTATCGTGTCACCCGGTTGCAGTGTCTGGGCCTGCGACAAGCACGAAATGAGATGCGGGACACTAAAAATCAGCTGGTCAATCGTTGCATCTTGTCTCTTTTCTCCGTTGACAAAAGTCTGCAGTCGTAGGTTGGTTGGTAGATATTCCTTGGGTACTGCGACGGGTCCTATAGGGCAGTATGTATCCGGCGACTTGCCGATGAAGAATTGCTTGTGATCTCGTTGACGTTCGCGAGCGGTGAAATCGTTAATTATGGTATAACCCCAAACATAATCCATGGCCTCGGATTCGGGAATTTTATGTCCTGCTTTCCCAATGATGACTCCAACTTCACCCTCATAGTCCGGCGTCTCGGTAAATCCAGGATGAAGTAGGACAGATTCACCATGTGCCACAATTGATGTTGCGCATTTGGTGAATATTACTGGTAAGGTAGGCTGACCATTCTTGTCTGAAGCAAAAGCCAGACGAGTTGAACTCTTTGGCGTGCTCGACATAGTTCTTGCCAACTGCCAGAATATCCCTTCCAGAGATTGGGGGAAGTAATTTGACATCAGATAGCGAGATTTGGTCCTCTCGTGATATCGTAATGTTTATTTCACCGGCTTCAATGACTTCGTATAAATTTGAAAGACAAGTGCCTGATACCAACGACAGAGGCTGGATTTTGTTGGAATTGAGGTCGAGATGACCAATGCGATGTTCACCAGAGAAGTCGATATATGCACAGTAGTTGAATGGCATGTTGATTCGAGTGCCGGCTATGAACTCTTCAAGCTGCACTATAAAGTAAATACACGGTTCGTGGTACTTATATGTCTGTATTTATTCTTCTTCCACATATCGGACATTGATCGCTGTCCATGATCATGGTCGGCGATGTTGCCGGTGTAGCCAACACACTAATTAGTGAAGGGTAGCTATTAACTAACGTTAGTTAAGTTAGCTCAGAGTAGATATAGGCCAGTGCTTATAATTTACTACGTAGCCTACCCGAGCCTTGCCAATTCCCTAGAGTTGGATCCTGACCTTTTGAGCCCTACCAAAGAGAACCCGAAAGGGTATAACTTGGCTAAGGGGCCAGCCAAGTTTTCTGCTTTATTTTATTTTATTTTTTTTATTGTAACGGAGCTAGGAAATCTGGGTAAATGTATGGCGTAGAAAGCTAACAAGACGTGAGCTGAGAACTAGAAACTATCTACAGGGGAGCCCGGGAGCAGGCCCGTATTTACGCCTGAGCAGGGCTTGCTCCATGGCATGCTCCATGTCGGAGCATGCCTACAAAATCCTTTCAGGGTCTCCGGACAAAGCCTGCAACAAAGCATCAAAGATGAAACTATTCCCATGTTGTAAATAACAGCACAACAGGGTCGCTGTGACAAATCACACCAACCAAGTAGACAGATCATAAGTCAGCAGTCCACCGACTTGATCTATCTCATGTCGGTTCTATCTTACCTGTCATACCTGCCACCATGTCGGAATTTCGACTTGTAGTCCACACACACATAAGAATGAGGTTCCCTGTACATAGGATTGTTTCTTTTCTCAAGCTTCAGTCTCTGTATGTTAGCAACCGTACATTGTTAATGAAGACTTGAAGACACCGAACGCTTCTGCCATATTGATAATTCCTCCTGCGCAACCATCGGAGTAACCTCACCGCCTTTACCCGCTCCTTCACCTGGGTGCAATAGCTGCCCAAAGCAGTCTCTGATGGTAGAACCGTGACATTTATTTTTATTTTTTTATTTTTTTTTTTTAAATATCTTTCAAACTCGTCCTCCTGAATCCATTACCCTGAGAATCAATGATGTCGTTGTACACAGCGGATCTGATTCTCGTCATAGCCCTAGCGACTGCGGTGGAGGATCGATTGATGGAATGCCTAGGCCACATCTATGATAGGCATAATAACGAATACTTGTCACAGTTCATAGTCCATCGAGCACAGCCACAATAATGTGCTTAGCTAAGGATTGTTTAAATACGCACTTCTCTCAGCCAGATTTATGGTAACTAGTTAAGTCAGTTAAATGCCTACAGCTGACTAAATACGCTTGTTTTCGTGATTATCAAAAGTCTGACGAACAAAATGGAAAATGAGGCAGTGCCGTGGACAGTCTATCGAACCAAAGACAGCAATAGATGGTCATTTATGTACACAACTGGTGAATTTTATGATTTATACGCATCTTGATATGGTTGTTGATGTCATCTGACACACTGCCACGATTATACCAGCATTGGTGTAATGAAAGGTTAATCCGGTAGTTGGGCAGGAGGAATTAGCAATAGGGCAGAAGGGTTTGGTGTCTTCAATCTTTACTGACAAAGGTGCTGTTGCTAACATACAGAGACTGAAGCTTGAGAAGAGAAAACAATCCTATCTACAGGGATGACAGGCCTGATAGAGCCGGCATGAGTCCCATCCGTCAAATACAAAAGCTCTTGTCTGGTTATACCAACCCCTCAAACTAGCCGTAATAATACAAGCAGATTTTTTGAGTCGTAGATTGATATTTGACGTAGGCAACGAAATTTTTTATATTGACTTATAATTCGCGGCAAGGTAGCGCTGTTTTCTTGATATCGACACTATGACTAGGCTAATTGACTGCGCCGCATACCTACTAGCGTTTATGTTTGAACTGTTCTCGTGCGAGGAAGGTCTGAACCAGGGGCTGGCTCCGAGACCCGTACCCGGTCTGGTCCATTTACATTTGAACTCGCTTCTCGGACAGTTCGAACAGTTCCAGGCATAGACTCAAGCTGTTCGGACCCCCTGTGATACTTAAACAAATTCTAAGTAACTTTCTCTTGAATTGGTTCCGTTCCAAGGTTATCGGTTACTGCCAAAGTGGTCTTGTTCCAGTTACTCGACACGATGCGGACTGGCAGGAAACGGTGGCCATGAGGAAGCCTTTCTTAGACAGCAACTGCTTTACAGTTGGAATTGTACCATAAGACCAACAGCCCGGAGTATGGCATTGGCGTGCTTATCGGCAGTTGTAGTCCAGTTCAAACATCTGGGTCTATTGCTTGCAACAGTTCGATATGATAGATTATTATTATTGTTACGTAGTAGATTTGTCTGCAGGTTGAAACGATAACAGTTTTTGGGCAGCAACCTGTCAGTTCACTTTCTGTTCAAGTGGGTGGAGCGTGGGCATGGTGTACCTGCGCCGCAAACTGCTGCGCAATGGGTGGATAACAATCCCTGCAATTAACCATTTTGACGCAAGCCATGAGCCCAATAATGTCATTCTGGGTCTAAGCAGACAAAGGAATGTACGTTCAAACATTGCAAGTGACAAGATGGCCCCTAAGGGCGCGGACCAGGACATGAGTCCGGTCAACCGGGTCCTGTAGCACACTAAACGGTGTCCAACGATACGGCGTCAACCCCACTCGAGAGCAACCAGATCGAATGCCACCGTCTGCGGTCACTGATCCGCGACAGCAGAAGATGGACAGCGGAAGGCTCCCTCAACTCTGTAGCTGGCTAGAGTCCTGTAATGGGTGTAGGTGCACGGTTGACTGTGCCGCATTGCCATGGACGAATAATAGCCCCAGAACTAATTTTCAGTAATTAATTCCTCACCACCTTTTCTTTGTTTTCTTTTTGCTAGACTTATTGTTGGTTTAGCACGGTCCCAGAACACGAAGCAGGGATTGGTGCAAGGCTAGTCCAACAAGCCTAAGGGTGAGTTCGATCAATATAGTAACATGATTCCTTATTCATAACTCCTCACTCCCACTATCTCATGGGGAACGCAGGCCATATTTATGCCTGCGTAGGAACCTACGTTGGGGATTGAGTAAGGACTCAATCCGGCAATTGAGACATGTACAAACAACGAGTGAAGTATGGATATGAGCTCACAAAGGATTTTGTGAGCTATCCCAAAATCATGAAACACGTATAACAGAAACTCCCCGCAGCTTCTTGCAGTGGTGCCAAATTCCGACAGGATGTTGTGCGCGTACAAACACTTATGCTATTAGTTAGTATGAATTAGCTGTTGGAATTTTTATTGTTCAATGTAACTTTTGTTAATGTTCCTAAAAATTGCCCACAGTGAGGTAGTGGCAACTTGGCAAGGGACTAAATGTCCTGTCCGTCTGAGAAAAATTAGACAAAAGCTAAGTCCCAGGCACTATCAGCATATATTACACATTACAAGACTCCTATTACCCTCAGCAGTCAAGTGTCACGCACCGAATGCCCCTTCAACTGTCAACCAAGTCTTTCATCAGCTCCACCTTTCTTCTAAGACGTATATTCTCATCTATCAATCGATCCCTTTCTGCCTGCAAAGATTTTGCTTCTTCCTGGAGTCGTGAAATAGATTTGACTTCTTCCTGGAGTCGTGAAATCTCTAAGTCCTTCTCAGTTTTCATCATCTCATACTCTCTCTGGAGAACTGAATTCTGTGCCCTCAACTGACTAGTCTCGGAGGACAAGTCCTCTTCGATGTGACACAATGCTTGAAGAATTTCGTAACCAGCCGTGATTCTTCTGGCGAATTTTTGTCTACTTACAGCCTCCGGTAATACATATTGTTTTTGATTCTCGAGCCGTGCTTGTAGCTGCTGCATGTCCTGGTTAAAAACACATTGGATTTCGGTTCCAGAGCACTTTGCAAGTTGAGAAGCTGGAAGAATTGCATTTTTATCGGTGGACTCTGGTCTTGAATCTGGCCTTGATTCTAGACTCTTGGTATCTTGGACCACAGCGGTAGTCTCTGGAGGAGTACTCTTGGGTCTAGATGGGGCTGTCGTGGCTTCTCCCAAAGTCTGTGGGGCTTCACTTGTTTGGGGGCGGATTATTGGGACTCGTTGCTCTATATCAGGACGAACTGATGGCGACTGAGCTCCTGTATTATGTGATAATTTAACGAACTGCAAGTATTATGATATCAGTTAATTTCCATGTACCTTCGTAGGTATTATCTGTACCTTATTTGGAGTACGGTGACCCGAAGGGTTGATATCCTCAATCCTCTCATCTGAGCTCGAGTCCTCGTCTTCGCTTTCGCTGCTGAAAACAAATGCAGTCCTCTTCTGTGGACGACTTGGCTGAGTCATTGCCTACATCTATTGTCAGAACCGGATCACGTGCAGTTGTTCTCTCAAAGAGACAAGAGTATAGAACTTACATCATCTCCATCTTCACCAGCTTCTTTTCTCATTTTCTATTAGTAGCACAAGTCAGTTGGAACAATACAAAAAGAAAGAGCTCATGTAATGAGCTCTGAAGGCACCCTACACGAATCTGCTCTCCCACAGCCTTAGCAGTACGGTCAGGGAAGAATGTCTATATAGGGTGTAAGTTGGTTCATTTGAAATGTAAATGGCAAAGAAACACCATTGCCAATGAAAAGGAAACAAACCTGTTGGAATTCCTTTATAGGCATTTTTGGATGCTGGTCACGAAGAAAAAGCAGCTTCTCCTTCTCATCTGCTTTCCAGCCAACTCTCTTAATGTGTTTCTTCACTCCATCCATGGGTTGTGTGAGGGCTAGTTTCTCCGATGGTATTCTCAATATCAGGACCCTTCGCCCTTCAGGCATTGCCTTGTGTTAATCTTGATAGTGATAAGAGAGAAGAGATTGCAAGAAGGAAGAAGTGAGCCCCATCATATATGGGGAAGGAGAAAGAAAAAACACCAAAGTCGATGGAGTGTGGCCTGTAAAGGTTGCCACATACGCTAACCCTATGTAAACTGACTTGTGCCAGCCTTGTCTCCTATGAATGTCGGTGACAAGGATTGTGCCCAATCAAGAATGAACTTTTATTCCCTGAGAAGGGAGACTTTAGATTTAAATTAAGAGCATTACTAGTCCTCCTTGAACCATATTGCTCTTGGGCAGATTTTTCACATGTCCTTAGCGGACTTAAGGGACTCCACTCTGTAAAGTCCTACTCTCATGTCACACATCCTTTGAGCCTGTCAGCCTTGTTCACTGTCTCTATGTCTCTATAACGACATCTACACAAAGCTTCTAAGATTCTGCCATACATGAATCGAAAATATATTGAAAGGAGCACTATCTTAAATTGAGCTTTGCTATGCTTAGAGACAGTCGACAAAAGATAGACATATCTGATTTAAAATACAACCAGACTAAGATGTAGGAACACATTTAGGGGCCTTAGGCCTCTTGGGTATGCTCACCTATGGCAATATGGAGTATACGTACTCGAAAAACACATAGACTGAGACATGACATGCCCTTGCCCAAAAAATTAGAATGGTTCAAGTTGCTACTAAACTTGGCCAGAACGGATCGTCATGGTACAAGTCACAAAGTGGCTTGACAGCGCCGCATTTTAGTCTTGTAACCACGAGGCTAAGCGACCTAAACTTTTCAGGTGTAACGACCATAAAATCTCTCAGGCTGTAATTGGAATCCGATTGGTCGTTTTTATCTTCCTTTGCACGAGGCTGTTTCCCCTGCATATGCTCTTCTTGCCAGCCGTCTCCTACCGACATCTGGCACAAAGCAGCTTAAGACCTCACAGTGTTCATTACTTTATCTACGGAGTATAATTAGAGAGATATTAGACTAGAGAAAGTAACCTCCCTCCTAGGTCTTAGGAAAGATCAAGATATTCCGCTAACATATAGAGTCATAATATCCAATCTTCAGCCAAACCGCCTACCATCAATGCAAACTGGAGCCAAGCATCTGATGGCCCTTTAGCCGCTTCTACATGATAGTTCTCTACTAATTCTACCGGAGCATAAAAGAGCTAGTTATATGTCTAAAACATTCTCATATCTAAAATCCACTCAGGGTTTCGCACTCGAATGCTAATCTAGACCGTCCATAGCATGAACTGGTATTGAAGCGTGAATGGAACAATTAATCATGGAATTATATCGCATCTCAATTTTTGAGGAGCCCAAAAACAGGAGAAAGAAAAAGATAACACAACGCAACAAAATTGTGGAAAGAAACGGCCGTTAAAAAGACTACTCTAATAAGTCTAAAATCGCCAATTCGGAATCATCAAAACTGGTGAGTTGCTGGAAGATGTAGTCTATGGTGGAAGCCTCTGGGCTGATACAGGGCCCTGTTGAACCGGTCGCATATTTATACTTGGGGACCAGGTCCAGCTTCCAGGGGCAAAAGCGCGTCGTTCAGGGATAGTACGAACGAGGTGTTTCACTCTAGTGATCGATCCAACACTTGCAGATCTGATTGGCCACTTCTCGTAAACGACCGCATTACTCTATTCTTTGGCATCGTATGGAGAGGAGGATAAAAGAACGAGAGACTTACAAGCGTATGGGTGGACCTCGGAGCCGCAAGAATTCTTCAAGCTATTCCCATTCCGGCGTCCTGAAGTGGACCAACTCGTCGGGTTGCTCTTCAAAGAGCTTTTGGAGCATTGAGAGATGGACAATTTTCAATATCCTGTAGGCCTAGTTAGTGCCAGACAGATAAAAGTGGGTGAAAAGTGGGTGAAAAGTGGGAAGGCTTCCCTGCAAGTAGTGTCTGGGCAAAATGATTTCACGCAGATACTAGCATTTCGCAGGGGCTAGCGATGGACGACGGGCAAGCGCAATGATCTTTGAGCCACTTTGCTCCAGTGCAGTGATAGGCCGTTTTCGGAGCCCTATAGACTTACTATCAAGCTCTTTCATTCGCTTCGCACCCAGAGCAGACTTTGTACGCTGCGCAGGATCCAGTTGCTGAGGTCCAGATGAACGGAAGAAGTCGGAATTCGCCATTCCATTCGTACTGTAGAAGGGAAACCTCCATCCGCATGTGAGATATCATTGTCTTTCTCTTTTCCCAATCTCTCTGCCATCCCTTGGAGAGCACTAATCCAGTTCTCCGGAGCCCGCTCTTGTGGGGAGGGCCCTCGCTACCACAGTACCATTGGCGACAATCACGGAGCATGTAATCCGCTTTGCCCTAACTATCGATATTGGGGTCAGCCCTTAACAGTTAGCTGCAGAGTTTGTGGACAATTAATTGCTTTATGGCCTTGCTTTTTGGTTAGAAATGAAAAGAAACAATAGCACGTGCAGCCGCTGTATAAGAGCGTAGCGTTGCAATAATCACAGAGGATACGAGTAGCCTTTTATCTGTTTCGCAATGTCCAAGCTGTGTTTCTCTGATATTTAAAGTACAACAGAGATTTATGAGTTGCATTCGACTTATCTCGTTGGACAGCCTCAACAGTGCCCCTTTTTCCTACCTTATCCCCGTTGACATCATGCAGGTAGAGTCTCAAGGAGAGCTATACTTCACCCTCCAGCTGCGCCCGGATACGCTATTCTCTATTAGGAAATTACCTCTATCCGAACGTACCCTATCCGAACATGAAGCTATCCACAATTCCGTGCTTGAGCTAAGTTAGTTGGAACAGCCCCATTCACCCTTTGCATATAAATTTGTACGTTTGAGCGGAAGCTGTTTGTTCTCTTCCTGTAAAGATTATATAGCCTTCGGGCCGATATTTATCCGTACGGGATAGAACACCTCACCCCTTAGATAGTTTCCTAGATAATAGGCAGAAGAATACGAACGTTGAGAACGCTCCATTGAGAATCCATCAATCCCCAAAGGGGAGCGTACAACTGATATCTCCACTACTGCTCATAATCCTCAGCAACCAGATCTTCCTCAAGAATCTTAACACTTCCCTTCCTTCTTTTCCTCATGTATGTTATCTACTCGAGAATGAATCTATAGTAATTCATAAGGCGGGACTGGCCCGTAACACTAACACAACCAAGGAAAAAAACCGGATATGCAGGGAACACTGAATGATGCTGGCTATGAACCATTGGAAATAATTCTGATCTCGCGAGCTATTCCCCACCAGACCCTGGCAGCAAAACAAAACGCCGTACACCATGTTACTGGTAGCCTTTCCCTTTCGGGCTTTGACTGGGCATGTGTTTCCCCAGTTGCCTGCCGGATCCGAGACTTGCTAATGGCGAGTTGTCAGAGTGGGGTATATATTATTCGAAGAATGTAAAAGTACATCCTCGTGTTCGTTGAAACAGGGACTGATGAAAATTTATACATGACTAATTCTGCGCAGGCTTGTTTATCGCATCATTATGTCAGCCTTTGCATGTAACTGTCGGTATAGCAATCTTACCTATCTCGGCGCGGGAATGGGATATAGTTTATCCGTGCGCTATAGCGTACGGAGGATAACTACATCTCACCACCCGCATCCCCCTAGTTCTTAGGATGAGTCGCAATATTAGGAATTCAGTATTACTGGCTCAGTCAGCTTGTTGGATTAGCTGTCCTTCTTAGATCTTGCGATCTAACGAAGGTAAACCAACAGTAACGTATTCATAATTGAAGGCGATTAGTTGCAAAATCCCGCAGACAACCAAGTAATTGAGGCCAAATTTTTTGTCTCTAAATGCTGTGGTAGTCAGTGGCTATCGCAGGTCAAAATAATATAGGTTAGTACAACTACACTGTATTCAATGTGCTGCCCAAGTCTGCCTTAAACCAAAGTGTCGGTATAGCAATCCTGCTTATCTCGGTGCCGGAATGGGATATAGTTTATCCGCGCGCACTAGCGCATCCCCCTAGTTCTTCGGATCAGTCACAATATTAGGAATTTAGTATTACTGGCTCAGCCAGCTTGTTGGATTAGCTGTCCTCATTAGGTTTTGCGATCTAATGAAGGAAAACCAACACCAAGACACCAAGCTGAGTCTAATATGACGCATGAAGGCGTCGCAGCCTAGCAGGATAGTTTACAGATTATGTCGATCAATAACTACAGCGGACAATATAGAGCGCTACGTACTGTGTCTTGCATATATAAATACATATTAGTAATGTTTTGGAGGGTAAGTGTTAGACCGACTCATAAGTATTTAACTGCACAGCGCCGCAAACTAATATCTTGCATACATAATTGATCTAACTTGTGCCCAACGAAATGAGGAATATGCTGTTGGCGCGGAATATACGAATCACCATTATTGCATCCCAGACACGCTGCTAACTAAGACTGGAGAGTCTATTAGTGTCACATAGGCGCAGCCCATGTTCTGATTCTCGCTGTTAAGGGTCCCGGTTTTAGGGAGAGCGCCACGCGCTAGCGGCTAGCTGCAGCCTCCCGAGAAGCTAAGCCCTATTTTTAGCTGGGTGCTAGTCTAGGATGACTTTAATTGCTATTAGATTAGATCACTTCAAGTAGCACCGATAATTCTCTAGATTCCCATCAGTCTGGTAGGTGTCGTATACCCGCCTTGGGAATCCTTACTGATGGGTGCTGGTGTGTGGTTTTCAAGAAAGATATACGAGGTTCCTGGGGTAGTACTACTACAACCAAGCCAGGTCCAAAGGCTGGACGACTATCTTACCCTAAACCTACATATTCCCAGTTGGTCCATATGCCACGACCTTACCAACCTGAAGTAAAGCTAATCCTCAAGTCAAGCACGAAATAATAATCGTACCATATACATGATTTTATCCATCTTTCCATATTACCCATAAATAGGGCTAAGATTTCCATATGGTATCAACCTTTTACAGATTCAGAAAGAGTTCGGCTTTGTTCCAGAGAGGGTATTCCCCGGCATATCATCCACTTTAAGTGCAGTGTCTCTTGCGCTGTCGCTCTTTCTTTTGGTCGGAGCCTAAGCATCGACCTCAGCATCGCCTCAAAGTCTCTCTTCCCTTCGTCTGCCATAGTCTCTAGGCCTGCTTCAGCCGAAGAGTTCTGTATACTATGATCAAGTCTAATGTCTCTCGTCCTGCGTACGCCATCCTGGCAATTAGAGATGAGCTCAAATTCGACTTCCTCGTTAGACCACTCGAGTTTTTGGGTCCACTTTCTCCGTCATTCAGGAGGCAGTTTACGGTACCTCAACCTGCTCCTTAGTTACTCGGCCAGGAGAGGGGAAAGAGGCCATAGACGAAGGCCGATGACCAAATATCTCCCAGATGGTACAAGCAAGGGTCCATATGTCCGAGGGGAAGGAAAGTGGTTCAACCAAGAATCTAGCCTCCGGTGGCTGGAGCAGAGGAAGTGTTCTGGAGAAGGGTCTAGATGTCCTCTGCGGATCGAAAGATTTTTCGAAATCACTTATAATATTTTCCTGACCAAGAACAAGGTCGTTAGTTACTAGCAACACCGAACCATCCGAGTATGTATACTTGGCTTGGCATGTTGCGTTGTAACGGCTGACCGTCAACACGTACAACTGCCTCTGACAATGTTGTTAGTATGAAGAAACGCAACACCGCGTACAAGCTGAGCAACAATCGACTGTGCAATTTTGGGTTGGAAAAGATCAAATGTAGAGGCTTCTCACGAGTCATGCAAGCTCATTTGTGCAGGAGTAGTAACGATACATCTATGATTTTCATTGGGGTCAGCTACCCAGAACCCGTCGATGAGGGTTGAATAGTCTCTTTGCCCAGTGTCACTGCAACACTCATTGCGGCGGTTGCGTGCTCCGTTTGTTTCTGATATTAGGTATCTCCGTTCAAAATGATTGTAGATGACATTTGAGAATCAGATATGCCTTTTATCATGCAACGCAGATACCTGTTTATTTGCACTATAACTCTGCATCATCTGGTCCCAAACCATTGAAGCGAGCACTTACTCCCTCACTAGTCGTTGTAGGGCCGATAATCAACTGAAATAGCCACAACGGAGAGCCGTACGGTACGGAAACTGCATGTGGGTTGTGGCTTACCGACCTCTCATACAAAATGGCTCAAATGCAGGTCCTTTCGGCACACAAATAGTGGTCGGAGATATTTAATGGAGAGGATCAGGTGATTGTTGGAAGAATAATTTATCGAGGTCGGATAAGGCAACAAGGCATTAAACAGAGAATCCGGGGAAGCTAAACCTCTTTGGCAGCGGGTAAGCGCTTCTCCGGCTGGCAGCCCCTCCGCAAGAGGATATGAACGGCATGTGGTACCGGTATTTTCTATATCTTACAGATGTGAACTGCTCGTCGAGGGTAGCCGAGAAGACTTGCCGTCGTTGTTCGCATTCACGGTGCTTTGTGCTATTTAATCTGGCTCCTTGCCCTCCCCAGACTTCCCCAGAACCATCACTTTTATTCCATACACACGACACAATACACGATGTCGACCACACGCCAATTCGACCCCAACTTCACTCCCAGCGTTATCAACGCCATGGGACCCAAGACCAACGAGCGTGCTCGCGTGGTTTTGGGATCGCTGATCAAACACATTCACGACTTTGCTCGCGAGGTCGAACTCACCCCAGCCGAGTGGATGCTTGGCGTTGAATTCATCAACTCTATTGGTCAGATCAGCACACCTATTCGCAACGAATGCCATCGCGTTTGCGACGTTATTGGCCTTGAATCGTATGTCCCATTAAATCTGGTATCTGATAGTAGCATCTAACCTGTTGATAGGCTGGTCGACGAAATCGCCAACAAAATCGTCACCGAACAGGGGCTCTCGCCCACATCTAATGTCATCCTCGGCCCCTTCTGGTCACCCAGTGCTCCATTCCGAGAGCTCGGAGATAGCATCATTCAGAACACCAACCCGAATGGAAAAGTGACCTATATGCACGGTGTCCTCACGGACATGGAAACCGGCAAGCCCATTGAGGGCGCCGTCCTCGATATTTGGCAAGCATCCGCCAACGGCAAATACGACTTCCAAGACCCCGAACAGACCGAGAACAATCTTCGCGGGAAATTCAGATCAAATGCCAAGGGAGAGTTTTATTGGTACTGCTACCATCCTACTCCGTACTCTCTTCCCACCGACGGTCCCGCCGGTGTGCTTTTGAATGTCATGGATCGCTCGCCCATGCGTCCTGCTCATATTCATCTTATGATTACTCACCCCGACTACGCCACAATTATCAACCAGATCTACCCCAGCGACGACCCTCATCTTAAAATCGACTCTGTGTTTGCTGTCAAGGATGATCTGGTTGTAGACTTTAAGCCCAAGACCGACGACCCCAAGGCTCAGCTCGATCTGGAATATAATGTTAAAATGGCGCTGAAGAAGCATCACCCTAACCCCAACTCGGCACCGCCTGTGTCGTCATTCGAGCGCTCTCGCAAGGCTGCCCTATAATAACATGCAGGATCCAATTCTTATGAATATTTTGTACAGTTAAAATGCTAGAAGCATAGCAGATATCCTGACGCCAAATGATGATTTTATGGTTTAAGTTTCTTCTTGAGCATGCACAGGATGCCTAGATGATATTCGTAGGTTGTTGATACTGTTACACAGTTAAATACATATGATAAGATGCGGTCGTTCAGACAATAAGTAGAATTCATACCGGTTTCATACCGGAATAAGAAACACCCGGTATATACGAAGATAACGAAAACACAAGTTCATCTACCGGAAAATCCTTCCAATAAGACCAGAGGCAATGTTACTCGCAATCCCTCCAGACAACGCACTATTAGCAAATGTACCCGCCTGACTGAACCGATCACACCGCGAAAAGGCCAATGTATTCGTAATCGTCAAAATGAGCGCGATCGCTATCCAGATCAGTCAATATCGAACCAACCACTCGGGGTAGAAGAAGAGAGAATACATACCAACCAAACTCAACCAAATAACATTCTGCAATCTCACAATCGCCAATATAGCCAATCCAATCCACAGCGCGGGTGTAGCGTACAGACTCAGCCAGAAGAACCGTTTATCTGTAGCGTTGATGGTACGTACATTTGGATCGGAGCTCTCAAAGACCCAGTGCGATTCGCCGGTGGCGGTGTTTACTTCGTTCCACCAACGGAGACCGACGAGGCGGCGGCCGGCGATGTTTTTGAGGTAGTAGAAGTCGGCGGAGAGGAGGAGGAGGGTTATTATGAAGACGAGGACGCTGTTGGTATGTCAGATAGTTTCTCGGAAAGCGGTATGTTGTGGGGTAAAGGGATGTACAAATTGTCGATGAAGAGGACACCAAAGAGGTACATTAACAAACTTCCTGTTGCAATTGTTAGTTCTCTAGGTTCCAACCAATATTCCATTCAAGAACGAACCAATGCGGAAGCCTAGGAAGAAGAGCAAGGTTATCGGATGGGCACTGAGGCGCCAATTCAGGTCGCCCTGACTAGGTAAATGATCCATGGTGAGCACTGTGAAGTCCTCGATTTGTTGCTGGTACGTGAGTGTGTGGTGTGGTGACTGGAGTGTTGTTGCTATCACCAGCTTGCGTGTCAATTTACCGTCCCTCACCGCCTAATACCCAGCCTTACCTGATACCTATTTTGGTTGTATTTTAAACTGTAAAGCGAGGACTCGTGAATTTCCTCTTGTCGTTAGTCTTGCCTTTTCCGGTATAGTCCCCCAATGTGTCGTTTTGTAATCTGGCATCCTATAGGTACGTTTAAACCAAATTAGTATTTGCCTGAAATCACATTTGCGCACATGTAAATCTCATAAAATGAAGTTAACTTATTACTGCTACAAAGTTACATGCTGTTAGAACACTAAAAGGCTTCGAACTGAATGTTATTAGGTCCTAACTAATAAAAATCCTAAGCTAGGGAGGAGAAAGGGAAATACAGAAGGGAAGATCTAAGCTACAGACAAGCTGATATGATCTCGCAATTCTGCAGGTGTCGATTTCAATTGTATTGCAATCCCAGCATGTTCAGGTTTAATGTTGACCCATACTCTCTTGTCTGGTATAGCACCATAACACTTCCCGATGCAGTTTTGCTTAATGCGCCATCCCGAACTGAAACTGCCATCAATCACCCTCCAAGTACGGAGTACGTAGTGGGATTCTCGGACTTTTCGACCAATCGTTTTATATCGTAAGTCCAGGCGGTGAGCAATTTGGCCGATTAGACTAATGCTAATATTCTGCCGGATGAGGACGACATCTAACGTCCCACGATCGTCGTTGCGAACTTGGCCGTTCAGGATTTCAATATATTCTACCAAGCCTTACTTTGTCGCATTCAGTGTTATTGCCATGGATGTTAACGTAGAAGACGATGCGCTTTAACCCGACGAATTCGAAGATCTTACCGGTTCTGATGAAGAGCCTGAAGGCTGCAATTGATATTCCTGTGTACAGCAAGGCAGTCATTCATGGCGACAGTTGTGCCAGTGGAAGTTACACCTCTAATGTCTAAATGCACGCCTGCGGGACAAATGGAACACATTATTTGAACAGAATTCAGAAATATGGAGCCATCGCAGTTACAGGAGCTTTTTGGACAGTTGTAACCGCAGTGGCTGAAGCAGAAGCAGGAATCCGTCCCTTCCACAATGGACACACAGAAAAAGCCATGAAGCTATGGATCGAGTTCCAGACTCTATCTAAATCAAACCTACTAGTCAAACTGAGAATCACCACAAGCCGAAGATTCATGTCTCCGCTGCAGAGGATATCGCGAGCGCTAAAAGTCACACCAACTGAGCGGATAGAAACTATCCAGGCATTCACGACACCACCATGAACAGTATGGATACAAACAATATGCGAGAGAGATGGGGAAAAGCGACTGGTATTGCCAGCAAGGCAGTAGGCCTTCTAACTGCCACAAGCGCATCTGCCAGGTCAGGAATTGTGGGTATAGGAGGTTGTATAAGAGATGCCCAAGCAGGCAACAACGGGAACGACTTATCCAGCTACACCTTAATCCGAACATAATCATATATGAAGAAAGACACTGCAGCAGAAAACTGAGGCCCGCAGGTAAAGAGTAGTGATCTTACGTACTGTCTTAAGAATCTGATGTATCTCCTTCATCAAATGCCTTCCGGAGAATCTTATCTCAGAGACTCAAATCACCTGGCAGTTTTCATTTAGAAGCATTCTGTATCGAGAAGAATTTCTACTTCATGATTTTATTAACAGATCGTCAATACTGTACTTCTGCGTCAGCCATCATTTTTTATCGATTATTTTTAGCTTATATTAAACCCCTTGTACACAGCAAGAACCTGCAAATTCAATCATTCATTTAGTTTCGCCATTGTACTTTAGTCTCCCAATCTGCTGTCTTGTAATTATAGGAATATTCAAAATAAAATGTCGCCAAAATTCATCAGTAAGTCTTGCTCGCATCAAGCTCTATCGGAAGCGGCGGAGACCCAGAAAGTTCATGAACAGGCACTGGCAAATAATCATTCTTGCTTGCTTCCTCAGATGTCGCATTGAGTTCGGCAGGTTCTACTACAGAGTTCTGTTCCGGCTCTGAAGATGAAAATGCAGAACTATCCTGCGTGAAGTACCCCCGGCGTCGCAATATGAATGCAAGGAATGCAAGAATACCGATGACTCCGACTGCCACTCCAACGCCGATGCCGGCTTTGGCACCACTATTTAAAACTGATGAAGATGGGTCAACTGCTGCACTTGTCGTTGTTGTTGTCGGTGTTAGTGTGATGACACTAGTTGTGCTAGTTGATGCCTGTGTGCTCGTTGAGGTTGGTGTCGTCGTCGTCGTCGTCGTCACCTGGCTTGGCAGTATAATGAAACCAGTGGATGAGATCTGAAGGGCGCTTGAATTGTATGTCTGTCCTGGCTGGATAAAGCGTAGAACGTATTCTGCGGTGTTCGCGAGACCAGTGGAGGTGACATCGATGGTCCAATTATAGGATCCGGCTTGCGAGATGTTGACATTACCTATGGATAGTGTCCATATCGACTTAAGGTGTCAGAGAAGACACACCGGTGGGGTACTGAGAATATTGATATTGCTTGAAATTATACGAAGTCACCCAAAGATCAGCGATAGTAGTTCCATTCAAATAATAGTTTGTCCACGAAGAATCCCACCCATTCCATGCAGTTGGTAGTATGTTTCCCTCAGTGTATGTCGATGCGAAATCACTTTGGTTGCCATCGGGGATCTTCCAGTAACTCTGGACTGTTACTGCTGTAACGGTCTGAAAAAGGGGGGATATCGCGGCGAGTAGCAATAAGCGCATTTCAGACTTGCCAAAGAACGATGATGATGATGGAATTGATAACAAAAGAAAACCGCAAATTCCTTCTAGTGCAACTGTGCAACTGAATGGATAGGGCAAAGTCAGAGCGAGTATAACGAAGCCCGAAGAGTCTCTCCATAGTACGAAAACAGAAGAGAAATGAATGGCACTTAGTCATTCGCAAGGGGATAGCTCGTTAACTAACTGCACTCTGATACTATTATTTTGGGGGAGTCAGCTTCAGTCAGGCATATTACCAATACATTAGCCTCGAACAGTGACCAGTTCACAAGGCAGTTAACTAGTACTTGTCACCAGCCCTACTAGGTAGTCCACTAACTAGCAGTCTAGCGCTTAACTAGTTACTCCGTACAACGGACAGCCAACGAGCAATCAAAAGCCTGAGAAAAAAAAAAGGCATGGTTGACAACTCGAGACAATATTTGCTTTTCTCTGTAGGATATGTGCATATTTGACACTAATCTAGCAACGCACCAGTGCCTTAGTCACCTACCTAACGTGGCGTCGGTTAACCAAAGAAGAGCGTTAGCTCGGCGTGCCGGCGGTAATTCAGGCCAGACAGCTGGCCTTACCTTGGAATGTACTCCGTAAACTGTGCCGCAACCGACCCGTGCGAGCATCCCGATGCCTTTTGTTTCGCTGGTCGGTGGTTTGACAAACTTGCAGTCACTAAAAGCCCCTGACCCAAGCCTACTAATTATAACCAGCGTCACATGAACTGGACATGTTGTTTCGAGACTTGCTCCTCCTCTCAGCAACACAGAAACACCACCATTTCTCCGTACAATATTTGCTAGTTACTAGACATCAATTCCCCTCCTTAGAATATACAAACTCTTCGCCATTTTACTTCCTATCGAATGTGGCGTCTTCCGCCATGATTTTGATGAGGAATAGGCCTGTTTCCTTCATTACAGTTCCGATCACTGTTACATTCCTCCTCTACCTGTTCTATAGCAGCAAGCGCTAAACATCCACACAATCAACGGGGGTAGCGTCAAATTTCAATCAACTATTATGGGGCAACGACAAGAATAATAATGATAAAATTTCTATACCCAGTGTGGATGAAAACTATTTTTGGGCCCGGCTGAAGCAGCGATATCCAGTGCAGGACACAATATCCATTCCATCACCCGTCCCTCAAAGTATCCCATCTATACAATATCGTTTCCTTGGGGAAACAACCTCGTCTCGCAGCATCCGGCAGACGAGATTGGATGCGGTAAAAGGAAACTTTTCGCATTCTTGGCAAGGATATAAACAGTATGCGTGCGAGCGATGAGGTTAAGCCTTTATCTGGTCAAGCGCATGATCCATTTGGTGGATGGGCTGCAACGCTGGTTGATACACTAGGTGCATCCTCTCTGCAATCTTTGTTGATAGCGATGAGTTACACGCTAACGCCAGCCCAAATACAACTAGATACGCTATGGATGATGGGCTTGCATGATGAATTCAAAGAAGCGGTTCTTGCTATCGCCGAACTCAACTTTACTACATGCACATTAGACGAGGTCAATGTATTTGAAACTACCATTCGATATCTGGGGGGACTCCTAGGCGCCTACGATATTAGCAAAGGACAGTATCCCGTCCTATTACAAAAAGCAATCGAGGTCGGCCAAATGTTGTATGCCGCATTCGACACTCCCAATCGAATGCCTGTCACGCGGTGGAAATTTCATGACGCAGTGAATAATCTTCCCCAGGAGGCTGGAGAAAATGTGCTTGTGGCGGAGATTGGGTCGCTCACACTAGAGTTTACCAGGCTCAGCCAGATAACAAAGGATCCTCGTTGGTTTGATGCTGTTCAGCGCATTATGAATATATTCGATGATCAACAGGAGATGACAAAAGTTCCAGGTCTCTGGCCTGTTGTGGTCAGTGCAAAGACTAAGAACTTCCATGAATTTTCTGGTTTCACTATTGGAGGAATGGCAGATTCCCTCTACGAATATCTACCAAAGGTAATTTTTCTCTCTCTAGTTTTCTCATGATTATACTGGCAAATCAGCTGATTATCAACAGCAACATCTTCTTCTCAGTGGAGGCTCGCAGCAATATCGGAAATCATATTCGGGTGCTATTGCAGCCATGAAGTCTCACATATTCTTCCGTCCCATGACAGAAGACGGAAGACATGTACTGTTTCCCGGTGATGTTTCATGGAACGGCAATGAGCCAACAATTGAAGCAAAGGCCCAGCACCTGAGCTGCTTCGCTGGTGGAATGGTTGCTCTTGGAGCACAAGCGTTTGGACGCCCCGAGGAACTGACAGTGGCACGCAGGCTGGTGGACGGCTGCATATGGGGATATGAAAGTGGAGTTTCGGGTATTATGCCTGAAATAATCCGTCCGGTTGCCTGTGAAGACCAGAATAGTTGTCCTTGGGACGAAGACAAATGGCATCGTGGAGTTGAAGAGCAATATCCAGAAGAATCTGCGGAAACCACTATTAAAGCTCGACATTTACCACCAGGCGTATCAAAGATCGACGACGGTAGATATATTTTACGGTAAGCTCTTCCTCTTTGTTTCTGGTTTTGTTCTTGTTGCGGTACATGCAGGTGTATAAATGCGCTGAGGCTAAGCAAACATGTCATCAGACCCGAAACAATTGAATCAGTATTCATCCTATACAGAATCACAGGCGACCCGGTACTCCAAGAAAAGGCATGGAATATGTTCAACAACATCATTAAACACACTATCACGGACATCGCACATGCCGGACTGAGTGACCGTACGGTCCCTAACCCCCCCAAAGCAAGACCGGATGGAGTCTTTCTGGACTGTGGAGACCTTGAAATATTTCTATTTGATTTTCTCGGAGCCCGATGTTGTAAGTTTAGATGAGTATGTGCTCAATACGGAGGCACACCCGTTTCGTCGGCCGACTTGATCGATGGACAGTTTATATGCTTTACAGTGCTGTAATATATATATTTAGACAAGATACCTGCGTCAGAGAACTTAGTGATATTTATGGTTTCTAGTAGTTCAATTTATGACGGAAACCTTTACTGGTCAGTGTAAGAAGGATCATTGGCCCGTCACATAAAGCCTGCTTCCGCTGTTTACGGTTAACGTTCAGATGGTCAGGAGGCAACATGGAAACCTATAAAAACGATAGATGCTGCAGAGCAGAAGGAGATAGGTTGAAATTCAGTACATTGACATTCCATACCCTACCTTGTATGCTCAACTCTTGTGATCCCTCTTGAATCTATATATACGTACCTCACGTAACGTTGTTATATCTGAACCTGGGCGAGCTTGTCCTTCGTCACATAGATTGAAATTGAAAGAATCTGCAAATGAGACTTATCAGAGCTTGGATATTGAAAGGAGGTGAATACGGAGACGACCATAGCCATTGTCCAGTATATCGTCTTGTAAAAGATCATTGAGAAGATCTTGCCCCTCCTCCGAGCAATATCTAAAAGGGTTGTTAAACTCCTTTGCCATTGCTTCAAGGCCCTTACCAAGTGTTTCCACCTGCCACACGAAATGCAGCCGACGTGCGTAGGTCGTGGGGGTGTTATAACCAAGGATAATTTTCTTCATATACAGTATTACTGCGCCAATACCATAGCCGCTAGCAACGACCAGTACCATTTCATAATGTGTTATAGCCTCACTGATTCCATACAAACTACTGAATAATGCTCGTACAGATACCGCATTCAATTTCTCGGTACGCGTCCGATGAAGCAGCGCGGATATGATATTGCAATATCATATCCATTATCTAGATCTGTGTGCATAGAGTGCCCTTAAGTCCGTCTTCTCTAGATTGTGCTTCTTCAATACGGTCTGCCTGAAAATCTCGAAGCCGATCCGGCGGCAATGATATCTATCATCCGTAAAGAGTATCTTAGCAGTTTCTCAACTCAAATCAATTTTTGGCCTACAAGCTCAGAGTTCAAGGTGTGGACAGTAATATGCGAACGCAAGCTGATTTCTCAAGGGGGCACAATAGATAGGAGCTCCTTTGCGAACGCAGCTGCTACGGCAGCTGCGTAGGGTTGCCACCTCTTAACCTTCTGGGAGTCAGCATAATCAGATATTCCTCTAATGACAAGGCATGGAAATTCGTCCATGAGACCAGCTGCCTCCATCTCTACACAGATGATTCCTAGATTTCGCTTCAACTCTTCACGAATCTTTGCGTCTTTGACGACCATATTTGCAGAGCCAATTGTTCCATAGTGAACCCTAGGCGATCTTGATTCGCGTGGTTGCCGTTCAATAAGCATATCCCTCTTACAATCCTTGCAGTCACTGTCAGATTCATGATCATAGGAATGATGAAAAAGTATGTCGTTTTCATGCCCTTGGTAGATGTACTGTTCTTGAACCATATTTGGATACTTTCGAAGCATTTCCGTTAAGTGATCGTTAATCCTGTTTCCGTTTTGCTTATGCCGCGCTTTAAGGGTTTCAAGGCTTGATGAAAGCAGCGCCGGGGGTTTGTTCAAGTGACCTGTCCTCTCAAAGCGATTGTCTGTAAGCATTTTGCCTCGGTCGAACTGAACTACTCCACCAAAGTTGAGTACCGGTTGACTGACGACAACATCACCGAGTCGGATGTCATTCTTGAGATCAGGAATCCCTCCTCCGATTCCAACCAGAAGACCGAATCGTAATTCCGCAAAATCATTTTGAAGCTGTGTAACCACGGCAGCTGCTCGATTGTTACCTATCTCCGGCATGACAGTCACTACAACACGATGTTCCCCAATTTCTCCTAAGATGTACTTATTCCTGTGTCGAGCTAAAGGAAGGTTCGAATGCTCTTTATCCAACATTGCTAGGACAGGCGCCATTTCGATGCCCATGGGACAGATGATTGCGACGGTGTATGAATTGTGAGAATAGCTATTGTTAGAAATATTAGATACGGTGGATTTATTTGAGTAGGTGCGTAAAGACCGAAACTCTGTGTTCGTCAGAAGCCGGTAAGCCGCTTTAGAAGCAAAAAAAAAACTTACCAGTTTCCGGTTTATGGTAAAGATCTTTCTGCTCTGAACTCAAGGTTTTGACCGATATCGGTCTTTCAGGCAGTGGTGAACGCTCCTGAATATAAGTGATGTGATAGAAATGTCCGGATACCAGATCAATTCTGGATGTAAACTCACTCAGTGAACTAACTTCCGTAATACCTTGTGTGAATGTGGTCAACTCCTTCTGTAGGGGGCTAACAATTTGACTGAAAATCAGTCCACGAAATTTCTGAGGTGTACAGTCACAACCAGTTCCGAAATCCGGTAGAAGGCATGCTTTCACGGCGCTTCGGTAGTTGGAGTTCATGTTGTACTTTTGCTCTTCCAAGACTCGCGATGCGATCGCCCACAGATTGTTGGTTGGATTTTGGTCACTGGCGATACGTTGGCCCAGGTAAATCTCTAGCAAGGCCACCCCGAAGTCGAGAATTCCAGGGAAGCGGTGAAAATTTTCACTGTTCGCAGTTTCAACACTGATTTTGTGCGTCGGAGTGCATAGAAACGGTCTCACCGGAATGAAACTTCCCTCCCTATAAAAGACAATCTTCGACCGATTCCAATGACCGCAAAACCAGGGGCCGTCGTATATACATAAAAGGGAATGCGCTAGAACAACAGCAAGAACTAGCTTGGTCATTAGCGTCCAGCCAGCACTGTTTGCCCAAATTAAATCACGAAGAGTGATCTGTTGGTCGAATGTGCTTGAGAGATACTCTCTTTTAGAATATGGTAGACACCAGAGATGGCTACCTTGGAGAGCCAGATTCCACCGGAAAACGGATGCATCTGGATTCACTTGTATGGCCTTGCAGAAACAACTTCATAGTTCATGTTGAGGAGATAATGACGGCTGGTGATAATTCATACTACTCTTCCCCACGAATCGAACGCGACGTTGTGGACTTCAAATAATCAGCAATTGTCATTGCTGCTGATGGAAAATAACAGACCTGGAGTCCTTCGAAACATCGAAGTGAACCTCGTACGAACAATGAGATTGTTCATCCGTCATCAGGATATCCAGTTTATCTTTGCTTTGAGTCATGATGCGACCCAGTTCAGTAGAGATATGCAGCCTCATCTCATAGAATCTTTGAACATGTATTGTATCGCAATCGCATGCAAGAAAAGCATCGTGTGCGTTACTAACACCAGTCCAGGTCTCATCAAGCCCCTCGGGATGCTCCGACTCCGATTCGATGTAACCTTCTTCTAGTTGCGAATCTCCCAGTATAATTTCGAGAGTGTCGCCACAGTTTTTGAGCTCCTGAAGGGATGTTTCTCGAGACTTTTCATTCAAGGCCAGACGCTCGTAGAGATATCTAGCGATTGGATTTGGGCAGTTCTTAGTGCACGGAAGACGGAGCACTGAATATAGATTTGGATACGGGCCAACCTGAAAACAAATTCTGGTTGTCAGAATTTAATCATTATCAGTAAGTTAGTCGTAGTGTGTTGAACTCAATATAAGATATACACTTTGCAAAGATCCACCAGTGGGCCCCGCAATTGTATCGAGACATCTAGCTGTTTTATGAAGAGTTTCAACAGCAAGGTCAACTGCATCCACTTTCTTTAATTCTGTGAACCGTTCCTGAATCAGGAAAACAGCTGCTCTGAAACGAGGCACGAAGGCCCGGAACCTTGCAGTGTGCCCTTTTGGTAGGTCATGAGTTTCGCATGAGTCGAATCTGCGGCCAACCTAGCGTCGACGTACTGGAATCAAGGGCGATGGAAAGAGGCTGAAAAGCTCTCTCTGTGTGTTATGGAGACAAGAAAGAAGGTGGTGGGTGCGGAGCACCCTTCGACGCTGACCAGCATGGCCAACCTGACGTCGATGTACAGGAATCAAGGGCGATGGAAAGAGGCTGAAGAGCTGGAAGTGTAGGTGATAATAGCGAGAAAGAGGGTGCTGGGTGCGGAGCATCCTGACATGCTGACCAGCATGGCCAACCTGGCCTTCATCTTGAAAGACCAAGACCAAGGTCGCGATGCGGAAGCCTTGACCTGATGATGGACTGTGTACAGCTACAGACAGAAACTTTAGGAGTCGATCACCAGGATACTTTATCATCTTCTACGAGATTAACTACTTAGTTGACAGATGAGTTAAGATATTGCGTCAACAACCATATGGTATGAGCGTCTGGTACTTTGAAGGCCGGAGCTGTTACAGTAACATGAAACAATATCTATCTAGAACCGACTAAGAAACTGTCTCAGTCGAAGAATTTGCATTACTTTTCTCTATTAGAGACCATGGACGACGCTAATTGACACTATCCGTGTCAATGGTATTCCAGATACAATAAATGTAAAACTTGATCATGTGGATATATGTCCGATACAATACCATTCATGATACGGCGAAGCAGATATGCTTCTAAGCTAAACTAGAAGTACTTTAGTCTTACTTGATATTGGGTTTCAGAAACAATCAAAGAGAGTAAGACCCCGACGCCGGTTCTGTCTCCAAGTGTACGGGTGTTGGTTAACTGTGGGAAATGGTAGAAAGAATCAAACAGGTGCATCCAAAATCGAATCTACAAGACGTCACCTCAAAACGGGGTGACGAATAGAGACTCCAGCCAGGTCTATACAATGGTACTTCTTTAAACATTAGGAGGTAGTTTTCTAGCAACTTGTTGAGGGTGTATTTGGATTGATTGAGCCGATCCAAATCGTGTCGGATTGCTGGGTTTACTCCAGGCCAATCCTGAATGGTACCTTACAAAGATGGGGAAAGAAGAAGTGACTAGCAATATTGTATGTATTGAGCTGTCTCTCTCTGAGGTGTTCTATCTTCCATACTACAAAAATGGCTTTCTTATATGTGCTTCGGCACGGGAAATGAGCTCAAAAGAGGGAAATGACTTGTTTTCGGATTTGTTCAAATATCCTTGTTTTCCTCGTGGTAGATTTAGCTTTTTATATACCATTATTAGATAAAATGTATACTTTATTCTGTGAGAAAAAACCTAGCAAATCTATGCTCCGTACGGAGTAGATAGTGTACTAAGTTACAGTGTGGCAGCGCCGGGACGGCGCTGCTTAGGTAACCAACTGGAACACGCTATTCCAAAGCGATTAGCGCGAGGGGCATGTCCCAGGAGAGAGTTGAACGATGTACGAAGTACAGTCGCTAACTAGTTGTTAGAGAATCTACTTGTTGGAACACACCTTGGCCTCCGTGAGTCACTTCCGGCTAATGTGCTTGATCTAGCGGTTCATAACACCCTATTTCTAACATATTCCTAGTTATTGGTATTGATGCTTCTAGCAGTCGGCTATAGGGGCCAGGCCCGGCCCGCAATCACTAAGGTTTAGCCGGTCCATATTCTGGGGTAACTCATCCGACAACGATTTAGGTCTTATCAACTTCCACTCGGTGATTATACTGCGTACTGCACATTGTCATGATTACCATGGCCTCCGCTGCTCGGAACAATCTCAGACGAGCTCTACTCTACGGTAAGGAAGCAGCTTTCCCGCATTCTATCCAGCCTTTTAGTTTCCAAGGTTGAAGCCAGGCCGTTATACAAAAGCAAGTCTAATGTAAGCATGCAGTCCCCGGCTCATCCCAGAGATTCCTCGACAAATCTCGCTCTCTGGCTGCTGATTGCGTCTCCTATGATCTTGAGGACAGCGTGACTCCGCACAAGAAGGCGGAGGCACGTCAGCTCGTGCGGAGAGCAATTGATCAACCTGCTCCGACACGGATACGTGAACGAGCAGTACGAATCAATTCCGTGGATAGTGGATTGGCATTGGCTGATTTGACTGAAGTCGTGCGTTCCCTTCCTCCTACCTAAGGCGGCAACGAAGTTGATGTATAGTAGTTACAATCCCCAAACTTGACAACTCTAGTCGTCCCCAAAGTCAATTCAGCCTCCGACCTAACATTCATCCACGACGTAATCACCCATACATTACCTGACAGAAAAACGCCGATCTCAATCCTAGCACTTATCGAATCCGCAAAATCAATCACCAATCTCAACGAAATCTGCAACGCAACCCCTCTCCTCCAGGGACTCATCTTCGCTGCTGAAGATTTCGCGCTCGATCTCAGTCTTACGCGCACACCGTCATTGACGGAATTCCTATTCGCAAGATCGGCTATAGTCACGGCGGCAAGGGCCCATGATCTCCCTTCAACCATTGACCTGGTCTGTACAGCGTATAAATCCGATACTAACACCACCGCGGTGTTGGAAGAAGAATCCAGAGGCGGGAAACGGTTAGGGTTCAATGGAAAACAATGTATTCATCCCACGCAGGTGGATACGGTGCAGAGAGTGTTTAGTCCAGAGGCGGAAGAAGTGGAGTGGGCGGTTAGGGTAGTGATTGCGGATAAGAAAGCGGCAGAGGATGGGAGGGGGGCTTGGACGCTGGATGGGAAGATGATTGATGTCCCTGTTGCGGAGAAGGCGAAGAGTATTGTGAGGAGGGCAGAGGCTTGTGGGCTGGATGTTGATGGGTTAAAAGGGCAGTGGAAGGGACAGGAGCCGGAGTAAATTTCTTTTTGCATATCAACTGGCATATATAAGAGTTATAATGATATTCAGTTCTTAATTCTACATCTGGTAGAGATGAGATGTTTATATCTCCAACTTGATCTAATCGTCACGAAAGCAGCGCCACAGAAAATAGCAGTAGTCTCCTACAGGCGCTCAGGGTATCCAGATCATAGCTTTCGTTGAGTCATGAAACGTTAGAACAAGGAAAAGAGAGAAGAAAAAATTCCAGCCCTCTCTGATAGCTTATTTGCCGTTAGTATCCTCACGCTTGAGGAGCTGAACCTTCCCCATCGACAACATAGGCTGTCCGTCGTTCGTCTCGGTCTGGTTCTCGATTTCGCTGCGCCATTTCTCGGCCGCCTCTTTGTCATAATTGGTAGGATCAATTCCTAAGACGCCACCTACATATCCACCACGTTCGCCAGGTACGCTGAATTCACGGAAGACATATTTCAACTCGTTGAGCCAGACTTTGACTGCCTTGCCCACTTTGTCTTTTCCATTCTTGGAGTGGTGGCCCGTCCCAGTGATGGCATAAAGAATTCGGTCTTCTGTTGAGTGCTTCACAAGGATTTTATCCAGGTACTTGACGGCTTCTTCGGGGTGAAGACCATGTAGATCCACGTAGAGCTCCTCCGTGGCATCATCGAGGCCATTGTTCGCAAGATGCTGCTCGCGCTCTTCGTAGAGCTGTCGAGCGGCTTCTCGGTGACATCTACGCATCGCCTCATTTTCAGCCTGACCTCGAAGTGACAATGCCTTGGCCGCTCTCGCGTCACTTCGATTCCAGGCTTGCGCAGCACTACAAAACACATTAGATACCGCAGTCAGAGAGCGAAGTCCAACTCACCTCTGCAAAAATTTATTTCGCACAGTGCCATGTCGAATCGCATCCGTGCGATACCGTATATACTGTTGATTGGCCCTAGGTCCAGTTTCAAGCCAAGGAATGTTCTGCGGCGCTGGGATAGCTAATGCTGCCGCACTCAATTCTCGGTTCTTCACCTCTTTTCCAGTCTTCGAGTTCTTTCCTTTTCCCGGTCCAGGTGAAGAGACGCGCACAACATCAGCCAAAGAGCTTGTAATAGGATCCTTGTTATTATGGCCTCCGCGCTTGCCATGGTGTTTCTTGCCTGGAGCTTTTGCCGACATGGCTGACAGTGCAGGAAAAGCTTCGGGATCGTCGACCGAAAGGGGAGATGGGTTCAAGTCACGTTGCTGATGGCGACTTGTCGGTCGAGATTGGGGACGACTTGGCCCATTTCTTCTTCCGCCTACCAAGGGCGACGTATTTCCAGCCGGGTTGGTTAACAGTACATGATTTGCGTACTTGCGCATGTGCTGAGCTGACCACTGTTGGTCTCCGATAGCTGCAGGAGTTTGTAAAGCTGGGAATGCTTCTTGGTTGTTGTCCAGCTGAAAGTTGGATTGGGTTGCCGGTCCCTCAGTAAGACTCAAATTGCCTATCAAACTGGTAGGATCATGTGAAAACGGACACCCGTCACCGGCAAGGCAATTGCCCATCATCCAGTATCTATATAATCAGTGAGCATTGTAATCGTCCATTGATCAGTGATAGTCTTACTTGCAAATATGATTCGTCAAATCATGGCTAAAGCGACAGTCTGCCCGCAAGCATGTCCCCGTAGAAAGCCAATATTTGCACACCACCGGGTTACGCCCCTGGTTGGAAGGAGTCGACGGGCGACTGTGATCTACAGTCATGGATTTTCCCACGACTACGCGGGCTTCTTCCGTCTTGTGCGAGCCATCTCTGCCGGAGTCTCCCGAGAGCGCTGCAATTGTAGCACCAAGGTCATAGCTGTTGGCCTCTAGAGCCGCCTCAATTTCATCGTTGGTCTTTTTATCTCCCAAAACAGAGCGAAGTATATCATGAGGACTCATGTCCGGTACAAACTCCGGCGCAGATGCACTCAAACCACCAATGGACGAGGTGACGCTTAGTTGATCGTCTGCCACCAACCAATCGACATTGCTCTCACTGCCAAAATCGCCATATAACTCCGAGGACGGAGAGTTCTGATCGGAGAATTCATAAGCATTGAGGTTCGGCGAATGTGGTATAGGTTGCGCAAAGGCTAGACGAGGCGATGGGCGTGGAGAGGTGAATGGAGACGCGGTCACGGAACGAGGTCCGCGTGAAATACCAGCTCGGGTCAGATGAAAGCCAGGTCCAGCGGGACTAGTTCCGGTCATCGAAGGAGATGATATCGGTGTCGTGGATCGTGCGACCTGCCATGGTGCTGGAGATGACCGGCGGATAACGGTATGTCTACTGGGCGGCGATGTATCGGGTTTGGACTGATTGCGCTGGCGCCATAATATATCCAGGACGGCATTTTCTAAGGAAGCTCCGGTCAATGTAGTCTTTGAGCGGAGGAGATCCTCCAGCTGCTCCGTTTGCTCCTCGTCGTCAAGATCGGTGTTTTGTAGGATTGGCTGACAAAGCTCGAACAGCTCTTCGGAGACCATACTGCTGTTGTCTGTTGACGAGCACAGCCGGCTTCGAGGATTTGATGTAAATAAACAAGACAAAGTTTAAATAGAATGCTAATAAATGCGACAAAATGAGAGAAGTATATAGATAAAAAAGACAAGTCTCCCTCTATGCTGGTCGAGGGGAAGAAGGTGAACAAGAATGGATAGACACAGAGTGGCCGCCAAGAGTCACATCGTATCCAGATTATCGCAGAGAGATTTGAAATAAGAGGCAAAGTATACTTGAAAGCGTATTGAAATAGCACGTATATATAAAGAAGCACAGAGGCTAATGTGAAGATATTGAAGGAGATCGCAAGTAAATAGATGCAGAAGATGCAGAAGATGCAGAAGATGCAGAAGATGGGGAGGGGACCCGGGTAAGCCTTAGTAAGAGTCCACGTTGTAGGATTAAGGATCAAGGTCAATTCCGCTGACCTCGTCCTTGAGACTCATACTTCCATTGATGTAGAAAAAGTAATATAATATGATGGATTGGATAACTATCTAAGGTAACACTGGTAGGAATTGCTAGCTATTTATACCTGAGATCCTCCCTATAGTACCTTCTGTCCTTCCTTTCTCCAACATAGAATCTATCTAAAGAGAAAGAGAGCCTGCACAGCACACATAGAATAGACTGTTTTGTAGCCTTTTGATAGTGATGTGCTCACAAGCTCTCACAAAGGTGTTCCCGGGTTAACTTACAGATTAGATTATTCTATCTTATTTTGTCAACCTAATCATAGGTTGAGTTGATTGATTCCATAATTGGACTCCTTATAGCTGTATAGTTATTCTGCAATTCAATGCCCTGTCATAAGGCATAAACCCAGAGTATTCAGATCTCTAGTCAGTGCATTTTCAACATCCAAGATCTGCCAACCGAGTCACAAATGACCTGTCTGTGTAACTGATATGATGGGATGTTCTTGTTGATAGGTAGCTTCTGGAGATGCCTACCGGAGTATGCGACTGGGCCTGATCTCAATGCCAACCCTGAGATCTCTGCATTGCCTGTGATCATTTAATGATCAAGGATCATAGAAAAATTGAGCACTGTTACCAAAAGATCAGTTTTGATTGTATAGCTCAGATGAGGTAGAGGTTATATAAAGGAAGAAAGAGAAGATGTAAACAAACAACTGATGTCAGTGGATGTCATAAGCCTCTTGTATGTAATTTACCCAATAGACAACTGCAAAACAGCGATTCAGCCAATAGGCATGCAAGAACAAGCAACAATCTGTGACAAAACGCGTAACGTTACAGACCATCTTGGCACGCTTTAGGCCAGTCTTCATACGTATCAAGATATCAACTTCATCTCTAATACTTAATTCTTCGCTATGCTTCATTCGACATTGCTTGCGATATCAAAATCTATACTACCTGTAAATCTCACCTCCTTGCCAACAAATCACATAGTTAAGCTAACAGATTGCAGTGCCACTCTTCTGATCAAACTGCCACCCGCCAATGACCAGCACTGTCAGCGAGGGCTAGATATTAGCTCTCTACCGTTTATATTCCAACAAACTCCTCTACGTCTTTCTTTATCGTGATACCTCCCCGACCCTGCAATGCCTGCAGATTACACCTCCACCGCGCGAGCTTTGTCACTTCCAGTCTCAGAGCCCGAGGACCAACAATCTCCCTTATTCTCCCCTCTCCGTCCGCCATGGAGTCACTCCCCCGTTCTATCGCGGCGAGGCTCTCGACCCCTCTCGATGGGGGAAGCCGTCTCATTCCGGGACCGAATAATCAATCAAGCTGAATTTTTTTATCGTACAATCAAAGATCGATGGGAGAAATTGACTCTGGTTCAGAAAATAATATATTTCACCGGCTCCCTGCTTGTAGGCGCCCTTGGTGTGGCTTCTTTGATTCTTGCCGGGAAAATCTTCATTTGGCTCGGTCCTGTTGCTGAGAAATGGGAGCATTCCCCGTTGGCTTATGTCGTTGTCTGGTTCTTGATTATACTCGTTTCATTTCCTCCGCTGGTTGGTTGGTCTACACTTGGAACTATATCAGGTTTTCTTTTTGGGTTCTGGAAGGGGTGGGTTTTGAGCCCCAGTGTGGTATTCACTTTCTAACTTCTTATTTTCATAGATGGATTATTTACGCGACAGCTACTATCGTGGGATCGACATTATCATTTATCGTCTCCCGGACCGTTCTTACCGGCTTCGTCAAAGGCATGATGGAGAATAACAAGCGATTCGCGGCGCTTGCATTGACACTCAAATATGATGGTCTCAAGCTCCTCTGCATGATCCGACTTTGTCCGTTGCCATACTCGTTTTGTAATGGCGCCGTATCGACATTCCATACCGTTAAACCGCTGAGTTATGGTCTCGCTACGGCTATAATATCGCCGAAACTCATGGTGCCTGCTTTTATTGGAAGCCGCATCCGTATCTTATCGGAGAACAATGAAAAAATGAGCGCTGGCTCCAAGGCGATCAATGTCATTAGTATCATTATTTCAGTCTCCATTGGCGTCGCCACTGGCTTTTATATTTATAGAAGGTATGCATTGATTTCTCGTTATCGAAGAGTACTTTAAGAAGGAATGTCTTAACATCTGCCAGAACACTTGCTCGTGCCAAAGAGCTCGAAGCCGAAGAACGAGCTGGCATCCGACGATCTATACAAGAAGACCACGCTGCAGGACGCCACCATCATGAATTTTCAGATGACCCCGACGTCAATGCCGCCGCTAAAACTCTAGCTCGCGATGAGGAAGCACAACTTGGATTGTATGATGAGGATAACATCGATATCGATGTCGGGGACGAACTGGCTGAAGCCCGCAGGAATCGATCTTATCGAGACGAGTTCACCGATAACGACTCCGATGTCTTTGATGACGGTGATGGAGATGAGTCAGACACTTACGGACTGCATACCCATGTCAGACAGTAAATAGTCCCCGCCGTTTTTTTTTGTATTTATCCACGGTCACGGCGATTTGTCCATTTGATAGACTTTGTATTTTAGACCATGATATGCCGTATAGTCACGTCGCAGTCATGCATGCATCTTTCCATGCGATCACGTCTCGTTCGATCCGGAAAAGGTAGCTTATATGTAAAGTTCAGTGGGTCAACCCTCATTTAGACCGCTTCCCAGATCTTCCATGCTTCATCTTATTTCGATCGTCCACCACAGGTCTCCCTCCGCCAGAGATACTAGTCGCTTTCTGCATCGCCCTATCAGCTTTCCTTTCTTCCTTTTCAATTTTCCTTTTCTTCGCTGCCATGTATGCTGCGAGTTCTACCGGATCTGTCGGAAATTCTTCCTCAACGTTCTCAAACTAAAACCGATATCTGCATTAGCAGCCCTTTTTTAACTGGGGATGTGAGTGAGATCTTACTATATTCCGCCTATTCTTGCTCTTAAAACCACCATAACATTTCCGACCACTATACGACGTGTCCTGATCCTCCGCATCCAACGAATCAGCAGCGACAATCATAGGCTGCGAGGTAACATTATTTGTAGCAGGACCCTCGAAATCCAACACCCAATTGGTCTCGCCTGCTTCGGCAGCTTGGCGCGCAATCGCATCTGCGCGTTTCTGTTCTTCGGCTGCGAGGGCAGCGTTGACGGCGTCGAGGTCGGAAATTGACCTGGGCGTTGTTGCTGGTTCACTGGTTGTGGTGGATAGACGTTGACGTTTGGGAGGTGGGGTTTTTGGGTCTTCGCTTGCGACGGGGCTGGATGATGCGGCTGCGCGTTGCATAAACTAGAAATTGAGGTGAGATGCTGCTAGGTGTATAATTAGCGTGTTGTTGATTTACCTTCATGGTCAAGAGCCGGGAAGACATTGTCTTCGGCGGCTTTGAGCCTGGGGTTGTGTTGCCAGGCATTGTGTAAATTGATTATGCAATTGAAAATTGTCCTAGAAATGTTATGGGTATTTCATTGTCGGATGAAAATTTCAGATACTCGAAGAGAAGTTGACATTGATCGCTGTTGGAGTTGAATAAAATTCATGACGGAAAGTAGAAAAATGCAAAGCTAAATATCCGACCCGCTGATTGGTCCCATGGTGGACCGCCCGAGCTCAGCCAAACCTCCAAATTCCCGCCCTCTTCCTTCAACCTCATCCGTTGTTTAACTCAAACAGCGAAAGACACCCCCCCCCCAACTCTCCCCAATCGATACGAACGCAATGTTCTCCTCAGCACGAGGCAGAATTGCCTCCGTCGCCATCTCGACATCCCGGTCGTCGGTGCGAGTTTCCTCGCGAGCCTCGTATTCCGTGAGCACCCCTCGCTGGTCCGACAGTGCCTCGAATCCGGCCAACGACCCGACACCCAAGAAGTCCGTCCCCAATGTCTCTGCAACCAATGCGGTCCCAGTTGATTCAATGGGTGCTTTTGATGGAAGACTTGTCGAGAAGCCTGTTGAGGGGGAGCAGAATCGACAGCTACAGGCTCCTAACCGTGCAACAACCTGGGCTCAGAGTCAGAAGCCACGAGCTGAGGCCATGACTGGTCCTCGATTTGAGCAGACTATTATTGAACTTCAGGTCAGTACATCCTATGAATTGATGGCCGGTTGTGCTGCATTGGCAGATTATCCCTATCCAAGATACGGAACACGGACATGATACTAATACTGATACAGCCCCAACCCTACGCTGCCATTGAGCTGATCCACAAACAACCCGTGCGATGGACAAAGGAGAGAGTTGTCTCCTGCGACGGCGGCGGTGGTCCTCTTGGCCATCCCCGAATTTTCATCAACACCGACAAGCCCGAAATCGCTACATGCGGATACTGTGGACTTCCTTTTGTACGTGCTCATATCCATTGAGAGTCAAGAAGTAAAAGCCCATACTAATGAAAATCAACAGGCCCACGAGAAAAATAAATCATACCTCAAATCCCTACCCAGCACGTCATACCCTCTTGAACCCACTGGACACCCGGCTGAGGTCGAAGAGGCTCAACGAATTACCGAAGGGGGCTATGAACAGCGATAGATCATAAAAATCGCACGTACTTTTAGTTCTCTTTTGTTAAATATTCATCGGCGTTGCTTTTTCTTTTTTTGTTTATGTCGCTGATTCATTGAACTTTTCTATCTTCATTATGTACATTTATGCGAAGAATAGTCATGGAATCATAGACAGTTGTTCCTGGACCACTTGAATAGTGTGTTCAAGATGCTAGGATCTTATGCAGCTTGTATTGATCTGTAGTTACAGTTTCTGTCCCCCTTGATATATGTGCAGTCACGCCTTTTCACCCTGGATAGTCGCCACAACCTTCCTTGTGTGTTTACTAGCCCTAAACTCCAAATACCAAATCCCCTGCCACGTCCCCGTAGCAAGTCTTCCATTCGTAATCGGAATCGTAACACTGGCACCCACCAACGCAGATTTAATATGCGCCTACACACCACCAACAATTAGCAATCTGCCTTTTCAATATAGAACCGTGAATGGGAGAATGGAGAAATACAGGCATATCATCCTCTCCCTCAGCACTATGCCTATATAGGTTCCCCTTCTTATCGTACGGAGCAATCCTATCCAGCGCATCGCTCATATCGGCGCGCACATCTTCGTCCCAATTCTCGTTTAGCGATAGAGCGCAGGAGGTATGTTGAATGAATAGGTTTAGGAGTCCGCATTTGTAGTCGCGGATTTCGGGCAGTTCGTTGATCACGGTGTCGGTGATGAGGTAGCTGCCGCGAGAGCGGGAGGGGAGGGTGAATTGTTTTTGGAACCAGGACATTTTTTTCGTCTCCTTTTCCAAGTCGAATCTGTTGTGTCTGGATGTGGGAGAAATCTAGTGTTAGAATCAGTCGGAAGTTTCATATCTGATCTCAAAAATGGTGGGGAGCTGTCCCGCTTTTGGCGACGTCATTTTCTTGACTTTTTCAATACTTTACATGCTGCTTACTACAAAAGCGAGCTATCTTTAATGAATAAAAATTGAGTCGTCAGTAATCCAATAAGCATAGGCTCACAGAGAGTCCATGGTATGAAATCTCCCAAATAAAAAAGAAAAAGAAAATCCTCTTGTCAAAAAGAAGGATATCCGAAAAAGAAAGGGTATAGACCAAACTGCTATCCAAACTCCAGGAAAATTATTGTAGATTCAAAATTTCTCCGTCAACGACAGACCCCCTACATTACAACTTTTCAATACTCCGTAGCAAACTTCCCTCAGCGAATTGACTTTGCGGAGTCATATCAAGTAAAGGACGAGTAGCATGGCGATCACCAGTAGCGACACCACGACCGACACTCGTGTTAGTCTGAGTGGCTGGTGAAGCAAGAGCTACAAGGCCATTCGGTGTGAACGAGGTAGCACCGGATGGACTGACATAGGTATCCAATACCGGAACATGATTATGATGCTGACTTTTCACTGTATTGGCTCGACGATGACCAGGGATAGGTGCTGGTGCGGCTTCGTCTCGTCTCCAGGTAGTAGCTGAAGGAATGGTCGGTACGCCTGGTATAGCTTCCAACCCAGTGGCTACTTCGACCAGAGGTATTCCCGAGTCGACTTTGACTCCATGGCCTTTTCTTGCATGGTGAGGTGGTTCTCTATATGTAGGAGTAAGATCGACCAGTGGTTTTCCTTTCTGACGCACAGAATTCGACCGACTATGCGAGAAGCCCTCTGCAGGGTGATGATGAGAGCGGACTGTATTTGAGCGACTGTTCTGTCTACTTGAGGGATTGCTGAATGGCATAATCTGGGAAGATTGATCAGTGCTTGTGGGACTCAGATTTTTCAGCAAGCCATGTGAGAGGAATGGGTCAGATTCAGTCCCTTCTCTCTCACGCTGAGCTGCCTGTCGTTCACTGTATGTTCTTCCAAGGAGACTATCTGGTGAAAATGTAGAATCATCATCCGGTGGAGATAACGCTTCTTTCTTTGTCTCTAATGCAGGGAGATTCACAGGGAAGGAAGAAGGAGGGGGTGCATGATCTCTTGTCTTTTTCTTGCGCAAGAACATATCCCGGCTTGTTGCACTAGGTTCCTCAACTAACTTCTCATATACTGCCACAGTAGGCTCTGCATTGCGACCAAACTCAATTAGAGGCGTGAATGAGCCCAGTTGGTATGGGATTGTATCAGTCGATATATGGCGTTGGTGTTGAGTAGGAGAGCTGTGGCCATCTCTAGACTTTGGAGTTGGAATGATATGGGCTGTCTCATTTTGAGCCTTGCCAACTTCCAAAACATGAACAAGGTACCAGCTGCGCCAAGCATGGACTGCATCGTGAAAATCTTGTGCAATGGTGGAGTCACTAGCGGCAAAGAAACGCACGAAATTCTCTGTAGAAAGAAACATTGACGACTTCTGCTGACTTTTGATAGCAAAGCATATCTTCTTAGGCGGCCTGATACTTTTAGCTACTTGTCGCGCTGTGGGAGTATAGATATCGAAATCAGACATGTGGCAAACATTTGTAAAGTCCTTTGCTTCCTTTGCATCTGACTTTTTCGAGAGCACAACCTGACCATCAGCGCGCAATGTGATGTATCGCTTGTCCCATTTGCCCGGTTTCGAGGAATGGTAGAGATAGAATTTGGCGTCCTTTGGTTGTGTGGTGGGAGCAGCATGAAGCTCTAGTTTTCGACTGGCGCCGTCAAATGGTGGATCTGAAATGATCAACGCGTTGGCATCGTCTGACGACCACGAATTCAACACGTCTCTCACATGCTCATATCGACGCAGGGGTCGCTCGAGACCCAGGGACGCGAACGACTCGAGGATGATGGCATTTCTAGGATCGATGCTCTCAGAAAAACAATTAGCAGCAGAAAAGACGATGTCCTTGACTCGCGTGGTGGGCGTGACAGGTAGTCTGATGGAGCTAGACTTGCATTTCACCAGGACTCTTCGCTCGCCAGCATTGACTGCGGAGACGGGGGCATCAAGGCCAGGGTCTGCAAGGGCTATGTTGTTGTTGTTGTTGCTGTTGTTAGTGTTGGTGGTATCTTCTTTCTTGTGGTGGGATAACCCCAATCGGTCCTTCCACGATGCGCGCCTGCTGTGCCCAGCGACTCCCTTCTGCCCTCTCTCTCTGTCGTTTGCCGGAGCCGATTTGCTGCGGCTGTCTTGATGAGCCTGAGGCAGCATAGCCGATGCCTTAGGCCGCTCTGCCATGGTCAGCTTCCGCATCGCTTCTTCCCTCATACGCGCCTTCTCAGCCTCTGATAGCTGATCTTCGTCCTCGCGGTCCGACAATGGAGACTGAACCTTTTCAGAGTGAGAAGCACCACTAAGCGGACTGAGAGCTTCCTCGGCCCGTGGCCTGACGGGTTGTGGTAGCTGTGCTGAGACTGGCAGTGATGGCACAGGAGGACAATTCGCAGGCGCTCCATTTGCTGTTTTGGGCCGACGATAGCGAGACATGCTTCGCGCAATGGTCTCATTTTTGACTGGTGGCGCATCTCCGGTCCATTGATTTTGCGCTTCAGCTGCAGCACGACGGACGGATCGATATCGTGAGAATTTGGGGGTGGTCCCTGTAGGAGCCCCAGAAGGGGTTTCCAGCTGGGTGCCCATTGCGAGTGGAGGTGCAGCAAATCCAAAAAGTCGCAGGGTTGGCGTGGGAAGGAATAAGTTCTGTGCAGCTCCTTGCAATATTATGAGAGGCTCGTGGGTTGCATGAATCCACTTTTGGAGGGCGCCAGATGGGGTTGCACAGTTATTATAGATGAGTGACTGGGCCGCTCGACAGTCTCCTATTGCATCTGTCGGCCTCAGGCACCGCGCCCGAGATCTCCTGCCTTAATCCAATATAATGGTTTAGACCTCTGGGGAAAGTCGTCGTTAAGAGGTTCTGTCAGGGTCGTCTCTTCTCCCTTTCACATCCGCAATATCGCAACAACGTAATCGTGCCTCCCCTACAGTTCGCAGTCAAGCATATCGTCTCAATGATGCGATCCATTCAATATCCTGACTGGTGTAATCGAATTGATGTCGAAGTTGAAAAAGAAAGTCCCATCATCTAAAAGAATTTATCTAGAGACTGAACCGGGGCGCATTTCGACTTTTTATGCTTTTTTCTTTTCTTTTTTTTCAGTTTAATTAAACAGAATTCCAGGGCCTGTCGCGTTCCGCGCTACCTGAAGTCTTGGCTCCTTGACTCTGTTCGCATGCAAGGAAACATGCCTGAAACAAGCTCTGGTGGCGTATTGTTATTACACGCGCTAGTAATTTATTGAAACTTCTCGTTGTCCTATTATCGTTCTTTTTGAACGGTTGGATAAATCATATATCAAACCCGTCATAGGCTCATATATCAATTCAAGTGTAGTCAATGCCGCAGATGGCGCTGACGGTTTGACAGGAAACGTCGAGCCCGGGAGATCACCTACAAACTGGAGAAGTCACGCGAGTTCTCCATACTTTTGGAATTGGGTTTTCCAGAACATGAGACTCCCTACTTCGTACTGTAACAATGAATACGAAAAGGGTCAATCTGGACACACCGCGTCATGACTCGTAAGAGATCCGGCTCGACAATCCCATGAATCAAGCCAATTCTTCTAAAACTTGCTTGGACTTGTTATTGAACTCCCTAGTCGTATGTGAGCATTCAGTAGTATATATTGTAAAATTCATCACAACTGCAGATAATAATGTGGTCGATAACTTACATAAGTAAATTACGCACACGGATACGTACTTACTAGCGGTAACGATATCCAAATTTAGAAAGGCTCCTTAAATGACGCCATGTTTTAGCCTCTGATCTATCCACCCTATTCTTATATCTTGGACTATGGATACATGATCGTTTTACAATCGATGTGAGACCCCTAATTTATTTCTTCCTCAAGTATGCTCTCCTATACTCCTGTTAGCTCAGTCATCAATCTCATGCATGGACGAAAACCTACCACCAATCATCAAACTTCATCGCCTGCACATTGATCCCAAGTTCTCGAAGCGCCTTAGTCGACAAATGCGTGTTATACGGCCTCTTGACAGCAGCATTCGGATCATTCCCTTCCTTATTCGCAATCATCCCCGGAATCTTCACCTCTAGAATCTTCGCTATGCGCTGCGCCATCTCGTACTTGGTCATATCCTCCTCTGCGGAGAAATGGAGGATCTTGGGCAGGGATTTGATGTTATTCTTGTCCCGAATGTAGCGGACCGCGATATCGTTACATACCCGTCCCACGTCCTGGGTATTTGTCGGGAAGCGGCGCGCCCAATCATCCATTTTGATGTTTGCGTTGGGATCTTTGCTCTTTTCGACTGCGTCTAGGATCGTGTTTACCGCGCTTTCGCCGTTGTATTCTGTCGGTCCGTACAGGACCGGTACGCGCAGGACGACTCCTAGGCCGGTCTCCTTGGTAGCTTCCAATACGGCTTCTTCGCCGTCACGTTTCATTTCTCCATAGATGTTTGTAGGGTTGGTCTTTGCGTCGGTTTCGTATGGTGCTTCTCCCTCCAAGCCGGCAAAGACGTAGTCCGTAGAGATGTATATTAGTAAAATACCTCGAGCGTTTGTTCCTTCTGCTAGGGCGCGGGTGGCCTCGACGTTGATTTTGCGTGCTTGTTCGGGATTCTTTTCGCAGGCATCTGGTTGACGGTTTGCGGCGCCTGTATTCCAATTAGCATTTCTTCTTTTTTGAAACCGTCGGAGAATGGGAGGAATATACAATGAACAACAACCTGTGGTCTATCCGAGCATCACAACACCAATTAGCCAATTGACAGTCATACTACTCTCAAAGTTCAAACATACTTGGCTTCATCAAGTATCCTCTTAACATCCGCCGGATCCTCCAGATTCGCTTTCAGAATCGTTGGCGGGGCGGCTCGATTGTATCCTTGCCCTACAGTTAACCATCCCGCTTGCTTGAAGGATTTTGTGACTTCACGGCCCAAAAGACCGGTTGCGCCGGTAACTAGAGCCGTATGGGACATTTTTCTTCCTTCGTAGATGTTGCAGATGTCAAGGGAAGACAGAGTGTGGTGTGGTGTTGTGAAAAGCAGGTCGTCAGTTTCTACACATGTGGGGAAAGCTCCATCAGATGACGTCGACGTAGATATACAATTTGTTTTTTTTTTAAATCCAATTCTTTTCTTCTTCAATATTTACGTTTTGATAATTTAAAGACATGCGTGTTATCAAATCAGTCGTAGCAATTAGATGTACTTGTATGGATTCATGATTCCGTTCTGCAGGGCAGTTAGTAAACATTTCAGGCTCGTATAGAAAGGGGAAAAACTTACCGGATCATACAAATTCTTCAACTGCTTCATAAGCTTGATATTCGTATCATTTTGGCTATATCCAATGAATTCCTTTTTCGCAATTCCCAGCCCATGTTCTGCACTGATACTGCCGTTGCGCTTGGCGATCCATTCATACACCCACGGCTCAATGGCCTTCTCGACTTCCTTGGTGTATTGTCTGACTGACACATTCAAATGTAAATTAGAGTCTCCCATGTGACCGTACCCGACAACAGCACGAACGGGGAAGGAGTCATCATCGCCCACGAGACCTTTCTCGGTAAGACGGTTCTTGCAGTCTTCGACGAGCTGGTAGAGTTCAGGAAGTGGGATAGAGACGTCGTATTTGTAGGTGCCGCCGAGGTGGCTGAGAGACTCGGTGATACCTTCGCGCCAGCGCCAGAGGGATTGGATTTGTGTCTCGTCTTGAGCAAGGACTCCGTCGGCAACTATACCCTCTCCCAAGACATGTTCCAGGAATGATTCTAATTTGGCAAGGTCATGTTCGGTATTGGAGCCGCTGGTCTCAATTAGACAATAAAATGGATATTCGCCTTCTAGAGGGGGCTTGTTCCCAGTAGACTCCCGCACTATACCCTGGCTTCGGCCGTCCATCAATTCGAAAGCGGAGAGAATTTCAGAGAGTTGACCCTTGGCTTCACGGAAGGCTTTGCGGACTTGCTCGTAACTTTCCAAGCCGAAGTATGCGACATTAACGGCCTTGGCGCGGGGAGGACACAGGATTGAGACGCCAGTGACAATACCAATTGTACCTTCGGCGCCGATAAACAGTTGCTTAAAGTCATAGCCCGTATTGTTCTTACGGAGAGTGGACAGACTATCTATGATAGTTCCGTCCGGCAAGACAGCTTCCAATCCTAGAACATTTCCGTGAAGACTTCCATAACGCAAGAGACGCAACCCACCAGCATTAGTTGCAACGTTACCTCCAATATGGCATGATCCTTTTGCTCCAAGATCCAATGGGAACAGATAGCCGTGTTCACCAACATGTGCATCAGCAACCTCGAGGATGACACCTGCATCAGCAACAAGAACACCAGACTCCTGATCAAAAGAACGGATCTTGTTCATCCGCGCCGTGTTGATGACAATCTCATCGAACACGGGTACGGACCCTCCCACCAAACCGGTATTTCCTCCCTGAGGCACAACAGCCAATTTATTTTCATTGCAATACTTCAAAATCTTGCTCACTTCCTCCGCAGTCTGTGGTCTCAGGACAAGCCGTGTCTGACCTCCGTATTTGCGCATCCAGTCGCTGTTAAAGGGGGCCAGGTCGTCGGTTGCATCGGCGTTGACGCCATCGATGAGCGCGGAGTCTGTGCCGAGGAGCTGTTTGAAGTATTGTACATGTTCTTTTGTGACCTCGGCGAATCTGGGGTCCCGTTTGATCTGAGGGTAAGCCGCCGCAGTCAATTGTATTTTTTTGTAAGGGTCTGCTCGGTTGCTGGTGGTTATGCTGAAATGACGAGGTGTTTGGACCACAGTCGGCGTGAATATGGTATGTGTGCAGCGGCAACGAGATGATAGTCTTGTCCTGCGCAGGGCAGCGGCGACACTGCGCGGAGCTGCCATGATGTTTGTCTTTGTATGGGGTAAGCAGAGGTTGATTCTCTCTCTCTCTTTTCTTTTTTTTCCCTTGATGTCCCGAGTCGAGTACAAAGCCGATTGCGGAGAACGAAGCTCGGGGCGGTACGGGATTGGTTGAGCTCATCTGTTTCCGCGGTGTATGTAATCCAGCCAAGCATTCGCCATACAAAAGTACACTTTCTCGCGACAGTGCAGCATTGCTAACCTACAATATAATACAATGTGCTCGGCAACCGAATCACAAGCTGGTTTCAAGGAAATCCATGCCTTTACTTCAGGCGCCTACGTACTTCTAGTCATACCGCAGATACCCCTTTCAAGGCATACGAAGAGTGATGAAAAAAAAAAGAGAAAAAGAAAAGAAAAGAGAACTCTGCTTCATCTGAACAATCAGACCATATGATTTCGTGCATGAAAACCCCAGCATTCCAGTAATTGCGTGGATGATAGAAGCTTGTCTTTGGCAGTGTCAATGATGGCATGCATTCTCAAGGCTGCTTTGTTCCTTTATTTCCATTGTTTCCATTGTTTCCATTATATACATCGAGGCTTTGATCACGGGCATGCCATCGACCTCGAGCTTTAGTCGGAGGAATTGATCAGACGAAGGTAATCGCGTACGGCTGACTTCTGCACTGACAGCAAGTATGAATAGAGTTGGTCGAGTTTCGGTGAATGAAACTAAATGAGCGCGGTGTTTGGCCTGTAAACTCAGTCAAAACATTCAGAGAATGCGCAGTATTTCCCATATCAAAGGCTGAAGAAACAGGATAGAAGAGTTTAGTTAATAGTGTAAGTTATGTAAGGTATGTAACTATTCAGTAACTATAGAATAACTTAACTGATCTGATCAGAGGTAAGGGTTATGGCGAATTAGGAAAGAGCGGGGTGTTAGCGCAGCCGGTTGCTCTGGGCGACTGTTGTTTCCTCCACCCGCAGCTGCCCTAAGTCCGACTAGTCCTCGATCAGGCAGCTTGAGCTATCTTCTAAGAAAACTCATCTTCTTCTCTTCCTCCCCCTTTCACTTACCCTCTCCGCTTCCTCTACTTCTTACCTTTCATCAATTCCTCTCAAGCTCCGATTTGTTGCTGTTGCGCAGCACAGGAGTCTTGTCGGATAGAGAAGGGCCCAGTTCGTTGCCCTTATCTGCATTCCTCCGCGATTCTGGCAGAAGATGGCATCCGACGGCGATATGGCTAGCCGTTACCAGGTGATGGAAGAGCTCGGCAGTAAGCGTAAAATTTTCGAGTCTGAGTTGTCCTCGACTAATGAATGATTTATCTAGGTGGCAGCTTCGGCACTGTCTACAAGGGTATTGAGAAGGAGACTGGGGAGATTGTGGCCATTAAACATGTGGGTCTTTCTTTTCATCTCAATGCAATCTCTACGGTACTGACATGCGATGTTAGATTGACCTCGAGTCGAGTGAAGATGACATTGCTGAAATTCAACAAGAAATATCCGTCCTAGCCGCTTGTGCAAGTCCTTACGTTACCCAGTATAAAGCCAGTTTTCTCCGCGGTCACAAGTTATGGATTGTTATGGAATACCTCGGAGGTGGTTCATGTTTGGATCTGGTAAGAAAATCAGTCGCATGGAATTGCACGTGCCCTAAGGGCAGACCGCTAACAGCGTTCAGATGAAACCAGGAACCTTCAGCGAAGCGCATATCGCCATTGTTTGCCGTGAACTATTGTTGGGGTTGGATTATCTTCATCGGGAAGGGAAGATACATCGGGATATCAAAGCAGCCAACGTCCTGCTGTCTCAATCTGGCAAAGTCAAGTTGGCGGATTTCGGTGTTGCAGCACAGCTCTCCAATATCAAATCGCAAAGAAATACATTTGTCGGCACTCCTTTCTGGATGGCTCCGGAAGTAATTCAGCAGGCTGGTTACGACTTCAAGGCAGACATTTGGTCATTGGGAATAACTGCAATGGAACTTGCAAACGGAGAGCCACCACATGCGAGCACCCATCCAATGAAAGTGCTCTTTCACATTCCCAAAGCTCCAGCTCCGCGTCTCGAAGGCAACGAATTCAGCCAAACATTCAAAGATTTCGTCGCACAGTGCTTGGTGAAGGATCCCGATAGGCGGTACACTGCGAAGGAGCTTTTGAAACACAAGTTCGTCCGCAGCGCAGGAAAAACCGAAGCTCTGCAAGAGCTGATTCAACGAAAGCAAGACTGGGATAGCGGCAAGGATCATCTGGACGATCCGAGATACTATGCTGAGACTCTGTAAGAAGGATCTTCACCGACGTATAATTCGAATTGAGAGGCTAATATATATATCTACATATATACAGGACCACATTCTCGTCAAAGGAGGAAGATGATGATGGATGGGTGTTTGACACAGTCAAGGCACCCACGGTCAAGAGACCAGTGATTGCCGAGGACTTTTGCGAGGACCCATTCGTAAAGTCCGAAGAGATGAAATCAATGACTCCGCAGTCCATGTCGAAGCCTGTCGCCAATTCTACCGTTAGACGAACACCGGCCGAAAGATCCCCATCCGTCAAGCGATCGAATACAAAGCGACGATCCAGCGGCGTGAAACACCCACTAGGCCTCAACTTGAGCTATGGAAACAGCCCATCTACAGTGCGCCAATTTCGTCGCGTCTCTGACAGAGGGAACAATGATCAGTCACAGCATTATAGCTATCCACCGGGATTAGATGAGAATGCGGCGGCCAAGACTCTGTTTACTGAACCTGTCCCGAACAGCAAAGAGGCTCAACTGGGACGAAGAGCATATAGCAAAGGTATTGGCCTCGCTTGCCAGGAAATCCTGGCCAACACTGGCGACCAGGAGAAAAGAGAGGCAATCTCTCGACTGGCGGAGGCGTTCAGCGACCTTGAAATGGTTGATCCCGAAGGTTTATATCACATCCTGAAGCTTTCCAACGAAAAGATGAGGACGTGCGTCTTACAACTCTCCTTTCATTGGGTCTACTTTCCGTCCTGCTAACAGATCACAGTGATCCCAAACTATCCGCTCTCCTACCCGAACCGACACCGACGACGCCTCAGAAACCAAAGCTCGTTCTAGCGCAAAACAATCCTCACCTCAAGAGCCACCGTCGTCGGCAATCAGAACAAATTCTGGGCGAACAAAAAGGCAGTCCCCAGGCGTCCAGCGGCATGCCTGGGCAGCACGTTCCAGGAATGGAGCATACGAAACAACTTGCGGATGTTCTCTATCAACGCTGGAGCGAAGGTCTCCGCAATCGATGGCCGGCCATCTAAGTAGACCACTTCTACCTACGATTTGAGAAGATCCTTTCTTTGTACAACATTATCAATCACATCCCCATCGCCACCGAACATCGCCCGTTTCCACCACACCTCCTTTCCGAAAGTAACCCACACTCACTCTGACCCGTTCGCATCTCGCCAGCTTGGCCGTTGTTGTCGATGCAATCATTTATGACATTTAAAATCACTTATCACCAACAACGCCAATGTGTCCCTTGTACATTGTTTTCCTTACATGCATCATTCGTTTTCACTCTGCCTGCACAGCATCGGAGTCTCGTTGGATATACTGGCAGATACTGCCAGAAAGAAGTTATTTACTTTCTGTCTTGTTGCCTTATGCTGTTATTTTGGAAGGCATTTATTGCCTTGATCTTTCTGTACACTCTAGCTCTTTACGTTCGTTGATTCCCCCGGTGTATTTTTATACCACCACTGCGGCTGGTCAGTACGTTTCAATTCTCGGTCGATTACACTTTGTGTTTGATTATTTTTATCGTCCTTTGATTCTCGATAGATAGTTCTGGACGCTTACTTTGTACTCTACGCGAGTGATGTTCATACTTTTGTTGTACCGTGAGGTACTGAATTCCATAGGTTAGTGTTATGGATAGGACACTCGATAATGACGATGGATATTCGCAATTGCATTCTGATATAGATAGAGTAGATCATATTACACGATAGTCAGTGAGACACGATACTGTCCTGGGAGTGTTACGTAGCTACAAATTACAGACTGTACTCCGTAGTCGGGTAAATAATCAACAAAGTGGAGTGGCCGGTCTAGAGCTGTGAGATGGTGGAGATATGCCAGGCGGCCCCTGAAGACATGCATCCCGAACCTCGTGGAGTCCTGTCGCTAAGGACATGCTGATAGGCCGATGGCTGCGTCTGAAACTGACGCTTTAATTTGCTGTTCATCTTAAGCCTTAAAGGGTTGATTGCTAAGGGCCTCATTGCCGCGGCCGATCTCTCCTGCAATGCTAAACTAACCATCCCAACTAAATTTATCGTAAGCTGATTCTTAATTTCCCCCTATCATTCATTCTGCTGTTGATATTTATTTAACTCGGCCCTGCAGTTCGATTTTCACAGTTCGGTTTTCTTTTTTTTTTTTTTTATGTTTTACTATTTAACGACCGTTACTCTATTCAATTAGTGTTCTCGTTTTGCAGCATTCTTTTCGGTGGCGTCCTGAATCTTCTCGTCCTATCGATTCTTTTCTGTTCTGTTTTCAGCCATGCTACAGTGCATGCCAATCTGTCCTTGTGCCTTAATCCTATGATCGCACTACTCTGATCTATAACATGGAGGAGCCAACCACCACCGCGGCTGCCAACCATGGCTCTTCTTTGGAGGTACCGTTGCCACAGAAGCCCTCGACGGAAGAGAAGGAACAGACACCTCTGCCGTCGCGTCCCAACGTCGCGGCTCGACACGCAAAACGCCTAACCCTCAATTTCCCCATTGTGCCGCCTCCTAATCTTCGATCAGAACAGTCGTCGCCATCTGTCGCTACGCCTGCTGCCGAGTCCTCTCCGCGGATGATGTCACCCGGCCAGTCCATTCCTGATGCCTCCATCCTAGGCGAGGCACTAGCTCAAGAACCGACCGGTCTTTTGACGGCCATTGCTTCGCAAGAGCGCAAAGTCCTCGAAATCAAGGAAGAATTACAAAAAGCCGAGGCGGAGTTGACGAGTTTGAAGAAGCAATGGGTTCGGAGCGAGAGACAAAAGAAGCAGACGGAGATCAGTCACCATGCAGAAGCTATGCGGCCTATACGGTCATCTGTGGGTGGCTCAGTTGATCATTCTTCCGGAGATCCGAGTACTGCAGCTGCGTCGGTGACAACACCCGTAGATACCGTACCTGCTCAGATCAGAAGAAGTAAAGAATTGGAGAGACGGAGCAGTATCCGCAGTGCTGCGAAAGGCGAAACAACCATCTCTGCAAACGGCCGGCGGGTCTTTGCTGGCTCGAAACATACTCGGACCCTGTCTTTACTTTCGCCTGAGCTAGGTGTGGTCAGACCACCGTTCCCAATGGCAAGTCCTTCAGGATCGACCACAAGCAATGAAACTCAGGCAACGCGACATCCTCGATCTGCTACGCTACCATCTGTGGAACGGGCTGATACATCAAAGACGGCGGAGGCATCGGACAAGTCGACAGACGAGAATCATTGGCGGCGGTCTTTGCCTCCGCCATCTAGCGAAGCTCTTCTACGCACTGGTAGACAGATGGCATCCGATTTGAGAGAGGGACTATGGACATTCCTAGAAGATATTCGACAAGCTACGGTAGGCGAGGAAGGAATCAGCGCTACTCGAAATCGTACCTTACAACCCCCAGCATCCACCACACCACGCTCCCGGAGCGGTCAACGAAGCGAACGGAGCGTGACACCGGTTCGACGCCGGGAACAGAATGGAGCTTCTGTCGGTCGTACAAGCTCCTCATCATCACTGTTCAAGGATGCCGCGGCATCAAAGAAAAATGGTAATAACAATTCTTCTTCTCCTCATATAATTTCTTCGGCCGGCACAGAGGTATCATTTTGGAGTGAATTCGGAGTTGATACCCCGGGGCAGACGCTCAAACCCAATCAGACCACCGTCGCCAACAATACCCGAAAAGGACAGACAGGGTCCGGAAACTCGAACCAACTCGAAGTGGAGGAGGAGGATGACTGGGATAATTGGGATACGCCGCAGCCAGTTAGGAAATCGCATACGCCTTCGTCTAGTCGGTCGACGGTTATTTCTAGAAACGAACAATCTCCTTCAACCCAGCTCAGCAGTCCAAGGACTAGTGCAAGGTGAGTTCGAAATATTGCGATGCGCTTTGTGTTTGTCTATTCATTGATTTTGGATATTTTTCTTTTTCCTGCTTCTAGCAAGAAGTCCATCTTGACTAACGGCAAGGGGAAATATTAGCTTTGGGGAACGAAATACCGATGAAGGAGAACGTCCTCGCTCGGATAATGGCATTCCATGGCCAGCATTGAGCAAATTCAGTGCTTCTCAACTCACGCGCACCGCGTCAAGCTTGATGGATGAATGGGAAAAGAGTTTGACTTCCCCCTCGTCATCCTCGAAAGCGGAGCAGGACGATTGGGAGGCTTTTTGATCCGATCCGTCTTATGCTATCATGAACTGCCAATTAAAATCGAACCTCTTGCATATACATATCTTTCTACCTTTTGACACGATGTTTGTTTTTTATTTTTTATTTTTTTTTTCTTGCACCTTGTTTTCTGACGGATGTTTTGCGCTTTGCTTCAGCGAACATGAATCACGAGATGAGACCTGATGTTGCTATTTTATGAGACTATCACTTCTTTTTTTCGCTTCTTTAGACCGACTGGAAGGATCTTTTGGTCGATACCATTTCACTGTGATGTATTTTGAGTCTATTTTTTTTTTTTTGGACAGATGTACGAATAGACTAGATATATAGTACATATTTTGTTGGAAGACCTATTCTTCAAGTACGATATACGCGTTAACTACGCTATAAATCATATGTCTACCATGGATAAATCATCCGAGTCAACCACTGGTTGGAATTTGCATTATTTTCCAAGGTCGGACTGATCAACTGCAAGTTTACCAAACTAATATTATAAGAACAGAATCTGTTTTATGTGAATCCAATGTAACTGGCAGACTTTACCTGCACAGTTGGTCTCTAATCTCCGCCGTACATTTTTATAAACTTTTCTCCACCTCCGCGGCCATCATCTTGAGATCAAAGACGAGCAAAACACTGCGCGGACAAAGATATCCGCTAAATTGCATCTTTTGACCGGATAAGCAACCGTTTTATATTTGATTCTTGTTTGTATCCGGTCTGCGGTTCGCATTCGCTCAATCAGCGCATTTTCCCGTGGTACCGAACAGCTCCGTCCCTTCGCTCGAATATAACAGTCATCATCAAACAATACCTAGATATAGAAGAACGATAATATGAGCTTCCCCGGTTTCCCCTCGCCCATGGGCGGCGCTGGCGCCGGACAGAATGCAGGCATGAGTGAGCAGGAACAGAATATGATTAAAATGGTAATGCCTTTCTTCATTTCGGCTTGTTGCAAATAGCTAACGCTTTTAATTCAATAATAACAGATGAACGCAGCTGCAGAATCGTGTCCATTCAAAATAGCTCTTTCGGGTGGTGCTGGATTTGCGCTAGGTGGTGCTTTTGGTTTTCTTACTGGCGCTGTATGTTCCCTCCTCTCTAATTGTCGAACAATCTACTAACAAGACATTATGTGTATAGATGGCATACGACGTTCCCCTCACAGCCAAAGGCACAGAAATATATAACCTCCCCTGGCGCGAACAACTCAAACACGGCTTCAAGGATATGGGCACTCGAGCATGGAGCAGCGCAAAGACATTCGGATACATCGGCGCCGTTTATACTACTGCTGAATGTACAGTGGAAGGTCTACGCGCCAAAAACGATTTGACAAATCATGTTGCGGCGGGTTGTTTGACGGGGGCTTATTTGGCTAGGAATGCTGGGCCCAAGGCTGCGTTGACGGGGTGTATTGGGTTTGCGGCTTTTAGTACAGCTATTGAGGCTTACATGCGTATGCCAGGGGAGAATTGATTCTCTAATGCCGCTAAGGGGTTCTTATTATTTTCGATCTTATGTGTGACTATTTTATTTTCTTTTTTTGGAAGACCAGGGCTTATCGGAAGAACATAGGGTATGGTCACCCATGATACATATATGTAAGAAAGCATTGCTGGAGTTTTTGTTACAGGTTGGGCTCTTTTTTTGCGGTTTCTGAGGGTTTATTTCCACTCCTGTCCACTCATGTATATTGAGATATGTATATTATTCGTTGGGTTGATGATAGACCTAGACTAATTCATAAAGATTGCATCTGCTCAGATGGAACCATGACGAGTAAGTAAACATGAAAAACAATGCCGACTTGTGCTGAGATCTTCTTGGGCTATATCCTAATAGATGGCGTCTTAGGGCATGATAGAGGCAAGGACATCTGATGGAAGCGAATGACGTCAAAGCCATACACCCCAGTGCTGACAAGGCAAACGAGACTTGACAACAACAAAATATATGTACAACAGACTATTTTGCGATAATACATATCCATCGGCGGAAACACGAAATGACAGATAGTACTACTACCACTGTACGTTCCTTGTAGCTCTTTCCGACACCCTTTCCACCAGCGAAAGGACTAACGAGCTAAACAGATCGAGCACTCCAAAGAACCCTTGAACCAGGAGCCCCCAATACAGAAACTTGTATCTAGGTCAGTCTAGTCCTCATCATAGTACTTATACTCGTTACTTAGCATCGAACAGTTTCCTAACCAAGACCGAAGCAACTTATGACCGCAATCATGGCCCAATCCCTCACCTCAATAGCGAAAACCATACAGTCACAATAGACGGACAAGTAACCTGCCCCCTAAAGCTATCCATAAACGATCTCACGTCCGAATTCCAGCAGCACGAGGTCATATCGGCCCTCCAATGCGCCGGTAATCGTCGCGATACAATGAGCACGCAATTAAAAGAAGTGCAGGGAATAAACTGGCAAGACGGGGCAATGATGAATTGTAGATGGAAAGGCCCCCGGTTACGAGATGTGTTACTTGCGGCTGGTGTGGATGATCACGTCGGTAAGGAAGGGAGGTTTGTGGCTTTTGGATGTTATCAGGTTGAGTGTCAGGATGATACCTGGTTTGGCGGGAGTGTGGAATTGGAGAGGTGTATGAGTGTGGAGGATGAGGTTATTCTTGCATTGGAGGTGTGTCTCGTCCCTGCTGTTCAGTCTCTGATGGACGAGTACTAACTGAATGGGAAGATGAATGATGTCCCCCTGACCCCAAACCACGGCTATCCAGTCCGAGTCGTCATCCCGGGCGTCGCGGGTGCCAGATGGGTGAAATGGTTGGATCGCATCACAGTTCAAAACGAGCATAGTCAAAACTATTATCAGCAATATGACTACAAGGCTCTGCCACCAGAAATCACCAGTTCGGACAAGGCAAAGGATTATTGGATGAAAGTGCCTCCATTGTTGGATATGCCGATCAATTCCGTTGTTGCATCCCCAGATGATGGCGAGACGGTCAAGCTGTCTATGGATCGCAGGGTTGAGGTTAAGGGGTACGCTGTTCCGCAGGGTCGTTGTGGTCCAGTTACTCGGGTTGAGGTCTCCGGGGATGGGGGTGGGACATGGGTCGAGGCTCAGCTGGGTGTCCCCAAAAGTAAGATTAATGATAAGTGGTGCTGGAAGTTATGGAAGGCTTCGGTACCTATGGAGCGAGGTACTGGAAAAGTCTTGCTGAGTCGGGCTTATGACGCTGCAGGCAACACTCAGCAGGAAACATCGCTGTGGAATTTGCGTGGAGTCGCATATAATGGATACGGAATGTCGAAGGACTTGACTGTTGAATAGTTGATATAAGCCAAAATAATAAGCTCAATGCTGTACATTTGAGTCGCTGTATACAATCTATGGTAGTACAATATATTTCTCCAGATGTTTGGGAATAACACCACGAAGATTCTTGCTCTTCAACCACTTATCGGAGAAGAGCCTGTCGGCGTAACGATATGCGCCGTCACACAGAATCGTTACGACAGTATGACCCTTACCCAATTTCTCAGCAACCTCCTTGGCAGCGACAACGTTCAACGCTGAACTAGCACCAAGATACAACCCTTCTTCATCCAAGCAGCGATATACCATTTCAATGCTCTTCTCATCGCTAATATGGAGCGAGTCGTCGATGAGATCAATGTCGGGTTTCAGGTTTTCCGTCACGCGGCCTTGACCGATACCTTCTGTTATACTTCCGCCTTGCCGTTCCGCGAGTTTGCCTCCACTTTGGATGTAGCTATGCAACACACTGCCTGGAGGGTCGGCAAGGATACTCTTTACACGGCCGTCGCTGACAGTTTTCAAATAACGAGTGATACCAGCCAGAGTACCGGCTGTTCCAGTGGCGCATGTAAAGGCATCAATTTTGCCTTGAGTCTGAGCCCAGATTTCAGGCCCAGTTGTCTCAATGTGAGCTTGTCGGTTTGCGGTATTATCAAATTGATTCGTCCATACAGCATTATCGAGAGACTCCGCATGTCGTCGGGCCTGATGGTTGTAGTTCTGCGGGTTGTCAAACGCAACTGCTGGGACGGGGTACACTTCGGCACCTAAGAGTCGCAATAAGTCGATCTTGCCTTGTGATTGTGTATTGGGCATATAAATAACGAGCTTGTATCCCTTGGACCGACAGACATGAGCAAGACCAATACCGGTGTTTCCAGCAGTTCCTTCCACCACAGTACCGCCTGGGCGCAAAAGTCCTTTCTCTTCGGCATCTTTCACGACATACAATGCTGCACGATCCTTGACACTACCGCCGGGGTTTTGGAACTCGGCTTTTCCAAGAATGTTGCAACCGGTCTCTTCGGAAAGTCGCTTTAGTCTAATCAATGGCGTATTGCCAATTGCTATGAATTTGTCAATCCCATGCCCATGCAGTTAAAACATACGGGGAGAGTACCTTCTGTGAGGCCATTGACCCATCCCTGAGCTGTAGAGACCTTTGTATTATATGCAGTCGAGGCTTCTGCACTACGCAGAGCCGTCGTCGCAAACGTGCGAAGACCGTGTTTGAACATTGTGAAGATGCTCGAGGAATAAAAGTCCTCTGGACCGCAGGAAGACTTGAAGTTAACCGCGGGATCCCCAAAAATCACGCCATCGATCGGTACTGTCAGCCAATCATACCTGTTAGTCAGCAAGGCGGTCTGGCGGACAAAACCCTTATCTTATCGCATGATGATTAACGCGCTTTGGGTTAGTGTTTGTTTACATCCGGCTCAAGTCTGAACCTCCTTCTTGTTTTGATTACTCCCCGCAACTCCTTCAATTTGAAGAGATCACGACAACAGACTGCCATTTCGGAGGCGCTGCATTATACTTAACGATTACCTTCACGTTTACTTGGTAAGGTGACGTCGTATTAGTCACTCCTCCAACAATGCCCGCTCGCTCAACGAGCGGCCCGTCCACTGGGTCACGCAAAACATCTGGACAGAGCGCCGTATCATCCAAACGTGCATCCTCGGCGACCCCATCTGTAGCAGTACCGCCCGAACCACCGCTTCCTACGACATCATCCCATCTTCGCGCAGACGTTTGCGCAATTTTTGCAGATTCCCAGCGCTCTACAACCGGGCACAGAAAACTCGTTGTGCGGTTACGAAAAGTCCAAGAAATATGCTGTGGTATTACGCCGCCTAAGAAAACGAAGGATGGGCAGATTGAGGAAGATCGAGAAATCCCTTCGAGCGACGAGACTGTCGGCGAGCAAGAATTTAATGTGGAAGTCACCCGCTGCATTCTTCGCATATTACCCATCAAAAAGACGGAATCTGTTGGAGACCGTGTGATTCGTTTCCTGGGCCTGTTCTTGAACCATGCTTCAGAGAAGGGTGAGTGCTTTGCGAATTGTGGCGAATGGAACTCCTACTGATGAAACGATAGATGGCGAGGTATTCAATCCAGCGGACGTGGACGAAACACAAATGTTCCCAGAGACCCCGACTACGCGACTAACTATGGCTATTGCCAACATGGTAGTGCCATTATTAGCCGCAAAAGATAAGATAGTTCGGTACCGCTCAACACAACTGCTTGCGCATCTAGTAAACTCGCTCGATTCAATAGACGACGAAGTATTTCGTTTGGTCAGAACTGGCCTTCTCAAGAGAATTCGGGATAAAGAGGCCACAGTCAGAGTCCAGGCCGTACTGGGCTTGGCGCGTCTAGTAGGGGACGAGAGTGAAGGTGGACTTGAGGATTCCTCGCAAGCTTTACTGGAAAAGCTCATCGATATTCTCCAGAACGATGCCACTGCGGATGTGCGCAAAACATTACTGATTAACTTGCCATTAAGCCAAACGTCACTGCCGTATTTGCTCGAGAGGGCCCGAGACTTGGATGCTGCTACTCGACGCGCACTTTATTCTCGCCTATTACCTACCTTAGGTGATTTCCGCCACTTGTCATTATCTATGCGTGAAAAGCTTCTACGATGGGGCCTACGCGATCGGGACGAGAATGTCAGAAAAGCCACAGGAAAATTGTTCTACGAAAGATGGATTGAAGACTGCGCTGGCAACAAGCCCTCCGGCGAAGGAACCACTCTAGGGCAGATTTCAGCGCCAAACATCTCCGCTCTCTTGGAACTGTTGGAACGTATAGATGCAGTCAATTCCGGTATGGAGGGTGGTGTGGCCCATGAAGCCATGCGAGCCTTCTGGGAAGGTCGCCCTGACTACCGCGAAGAGATTGTCTTTGATGAAGATTTCTGGCAAGGCCTTACAGCAGAGTCGGCATTCTTGGCTCGTAGTTTCAATGACTTCTGTCGGCTTGAGAATGAAGACAAGTACGGCAGCCTCGCAGACGATAAAATGCCGGAAGTCACTGCTCTAGCATATTTCCTTCAAAAATACTCCAGTGCTCTGCTCACGAGACTGAAGCAAGCTTCTGCCAGTGGTGAAAACAATGAGGAAGAGACGATGGAGCTTGAGTTCGTTGTGGAACAGCTTCTGCAAATAGCTCTGACGCTCGATTACTCGGATGAGGTTGGACGACGGAAGATGTTTGCTTTGCTTAGAGAGAACTTGGCAATACCTGAACTCCCCGAGTTATGCACTAAGCTACATGTTGAGGTCCTTCGAAATGTCTGTGGTCCTGACGCTGCTGGCGAGTCTGAATTCTGCAGCGTCGTTCTGGAAGCTATTGCTGAAGTCCACGATGCAATTGCAACCGAAGACAGTTTTGTGTCAGCACGATCTGAGCTTAGTGACGATGGAAGCTCAAGAGCAAGCCGCGATCGATCCATGACTCCAGCTAGTGATGTACCATTCGACAAGGAGAAAGCCAAGGCCAAGGTGCTTCGTGAAATCATGATTAACATGAAATGTCTTCACATCGCCCAGTGTATGCTACAAAATGTTGAAGGGAATCTTCAGCAAAACATGCATCTGGTTACGATGTTGAACAATCTCGTGGTTCCGGCCGTGCGAAGTCATGAAGCCCCTATTCGAGAGAGGGGTCTGGAATGTTTGGGGTTGTGTTGTCTGCTCGATAAGGTGAGCTTTGTAGTCTGCATTTGTCTTGTTGCTCAGCTAATGCATGTCTAGACTCTTGCGGAAGAGAACATGACCCTCTTCATTCATTGCTTTACCAAAGGCCACGAAGCCCTTCAAGTTACAGCACTCCATATTCTAGCCGATATGCTCACTGCACATCCAACGCTACTTCTCCCAGTCATCCAACGAGACAGTGAGACAGTGACACCACCTCCGTTCCAGAAGAACATTTTCAAGGTGTTTGCAAAGGCACTGAAATCAACGTCGCCTGCTGACGTGCAGTCAGCTGCAGCGGTTGCTCTGTCGAAGATGCTTCTTGTCAACATATTCACACCCTCAGGCCCTAACATCCCACAAGCAATTAAGGATCATAATGAGTCGTCTATTGAAGCTTTACTTCAATCACTCATTATCTCATTCTTCCATCCTCGGACTCGCGAAAACCCTGTTCTTAGACAAGCACTGACGTACTTCTTCCCGGTCTTTTGCCACTCACGTCTCGCAAATACGCAACGCATGCGCAGAATAGCCGTTCCTGTGGTACGAGCCGTTCTGAACGCTGCCGAGGAGTACTTCTCCCTCGAAGCCGAGGAGGACAGCGATGGCGATATTGACGAAAGCGTCGGTGAGCGAGAAATTAAAGCATTAATGACTCAGGTCACTGGTATGCTTGTCGAATGGACCGATGAGCGCAGAGTAGTCGGACTTGGAGGTGAAAATATTCTTGCAGGTGGAACCGCAAGCTCTAATGCTCACGGCTACGTGCATTTGGCATTAGTCAATGACATTTTGGAACGAATCCTCGGAATCAGTGCCGGACCCAACAAATGCTCAAAGGAAGAGAAGAAACTCCTGATGTCTATGCTTAGCAAAGTATACATATCCGCTCCTACTGCCCCGGCATCAACAATTGCGCCTGGATCACGAGCGGGATCTCGTGCACTCACCGAAGCAACAGAAGATGCCTTCCGTTCCAGTAACAGAAGCAACAGTCGTGAGGAAATCGATCCTGAGATCGTGGAACTCGCAGAGAATGTCAAGGAACTCCTCAACGATGCCCTGGAGGAAGCCGCCACTGACGCAGCCAGTCGCAACGCGATAGTCAAAGTCAAGAACACAATCCTCAAAATCCTTGCGTATGCCTCTCAACAAACCTCCAATAGCAGAGACACCAATCGCAACACACGAGCCAGCACCGTGGATTCAGACTACACAAACGCCGGCCCTAGATCACGACAAACCTCCGTTGAGCATTCTGGTCAGGGTGTGCGTGCAGGCACGACAGAAGTCGCTATTGACGAGACGATTATGGAGATTGATGAAGAAGGTGAACTGGATGATAGCCGGGTGACGGTTATTAAGAATGAGAGGACCAGTGAAGAACCCGAGTAGACCGATCCTGCTTATTCGTTTTCATTACTATCACGTTGCATAGTGGAGGGGAGGACATGTTTGATATGAGTACGTCGGAACATGAGTATAGTTAGTTGGAACTTGGGAGCGGTTTGGTGTCTTTTTTGATTACTAGCTGTTTTATTATACATATTTTGTGGTTGGATAGTGATATTACTTACATATTATGTTTGTCAATCGAAGGTTTCCTTTCCTTTTGAATCCATTTAAATCCCTATTAAGGGAACAGAATTACCTAGGCCAAACGCCTTTTCTTTTTGCTGAAACAAACCCATATTCGAAGAAGAAAAGTATGTTCACTCTATCGCATTTGATTTGATAACGTAGCATATAACAAAGATACTTAACCCAGAAGAAGTAAGCCCATTCATATTCTTTCCGACCCAATGCCATGCCATGCCATGCATCGCTCAAAAAAATAAAATATTATAAAAAGAAAAACAACAAAAACAAAAAAATTTGATTTTTTGTCTTCTTCCCCCCTTTTTCTGAAAAAGAAACAATCCCAAAACTAAATATACCCACCATCCAAAGTTGATTGTTTTTGTTTTTGGGGGGTGGTGGCGAGGAAGAGGATATGGGGTTGTTGTTGGTTTAGACTCTTCCTCCTCCATCGTAGTAGCAGTTTTGGGGTGAGCGAATGTGGTAAGTGTAAGTGTGCATGTGTATGAGTATGTGATTGAAGCCCCCCCGATGGATACACTCCCCTGGCTCCCTGCTCCCTTTCTTTCTTGTAGACATGATCGAAAGCCCGATAACCAAAAAGCATGGCGCGAAAAGAAGAAAATAAAACGGGGAATAGAAGGCGGAAAAAGAATAAAACACGAGACCACGAAATCAGCGACCAGCCAGCCAGCTCCATCCTGCCAAAATGCACCGGGACCAAACTTCCATATTGATTTCACGCACCAAAAAACGTGATACACGTTTCTTGCAACTTTGCAAAAGGGGAAAAAGACTAGACACATACACATACAGACACAAAGCTCGCAGATATTTGACCAACAAGGCATATTCAATGACACCAACAACGACGTAAAGGGACGGAAATGGGGATTGCAGAACGATCCGCTTATGCGGGTGACTTGTTGGCAGCTGCTCCGTTTCGGCGGCCATGGTTGTCATCGTTGACAGTAAGCCCGCCTAAGCCCGTGGAAAGGAAAGCAAATGGGTCGCTAGCACCATCGGTTGTGTAAAGGTTGTTGCCGTTCAAGGCATTCGAATGAGAGCCGTGGTCAGCTCCAGTGAAGGCGGCTTGAGTCGCCGGATTGCCAAAAGAAGTCGCCGAGTGTGGTGCATTAGCTGAGCCATAGCCTGCATTTATCTGGCCCATTGGTGGATAAGGACCGGGAGTGTTTCCGAGACCTGATGGCAAACCATAGTTGCTTGGAGGGGCCCCAAATTGCTGCCCAAATCCACCAAAACCACCACCTCCGCCAGCGGTGGGGAAGGGTGCTGGGGTAGGGGTACCAGCCATTGATCCTGGACCCATGCCAAACCCAGAAGGAGGCTCCATTGGCGATGGGAATGCAGAGTCTGCTACGACTGCTGCACCAGAACGCGGGGCGCCGCAGCGAAGACAATTGGTATTCTTAGCGAAGTTGTGATAGCCACAGCCCTCTGAACCACATTTCCAGTCACCTGCACGGAATGGAACAACACCGTTACCACCAACTCGAGAATGGCCCATACCGTGACCTCCGTGAGGGTTCATGGGCGGCATCATAGATGGGGGTACGTATCCGTATCCGTAAGGGTCAGGGGCAGCACCCACGGCAGGGAATGAACAACGGAAACAAGCAGTCCTGCGCTGGAAGTTGGAGAAACCGCAAGACGGGCAAGTCCAGTCACCAGGACGGGGGCGATTTTTGGATGGAGGGAATGGTGTCAAAATCTCGGCGGCACGGTCCAAGACGCGGCTAGATGAAGGAGACACTTCGATAGCCTTTTCATTAAGAGCTCGGCCATTCATGCAAAGACTCTCAGCTGCCTATATATATGTATATATCAATTAGTTTTTGATCAGTCACTTGAGAGTAACGATTTATATGTCCAGTAAATAAGATATTGCATACCTCTTCATGGGACGAAAATACGGCAAAGCCAGTTCCTGTAGGCTTGTGCTGATCCGGAGTACGCAATGTCCAGAAAGCAATAGGACGGCCACCGTATTGAGTAAACCAGCTCTCGAGTTCTGACTGGGTGGTGTCATGTGGAAGACCGCTCATATGGAGCACCTTGCTGCGTTCGGCCAAGAAAGCACGAACATCGGCTCTCGCATCCATTGGACGAGTGAGGATTTCGGGATGTTCATGAGCAGGCTGAGACTTGCGAATAAGACCTTTGAGAACGCGAGACAGAGTGATAGCCTCCTCCATTGCCCGGCGAGGGGACGCTGGAGCAAGAGCCTGCAGGTGGAAAGGCAAGTTGTGCTTGATTGGGGCAGAAGATTGAACAGGTTCCACCTCGAGAGCAGCGCAGATATTAGCAAGAGAGCTGGGACCGAATGGCAACGACTCCGGATGGTGAGTTTGCCATCTTTGATATTCGGTACGAAGGTCAAAGGTCCGGGAGTGTTGTAGGTATGGTGGTAGAACGACGGCTTTGTCGCGGGCTTCCCGAGGAAGTTGCACACGAAGGTCCCATGAATCGAGGGTCACGAAAGAAAACTCGAGATTTTTGGAGATAAGATGTTCCTGAGCGAAGGCATCAAAACGATTGACCGCATCCCGGAAACTTCCAGCGTTGCGCACGTTTTCCCATGTCAAAGTGGTCAGGCTCGCTAATAATCAACGGGATTCGTCAGCCCATCCACTTTCGGCGACTAATATCAACAGAACAAAAGTGCCACTGAGACGCAGGGACTTACTGCACAGCGGTGTAATTGGCGTATTGACTGGTTTCACGAGGATACTCTCTCGATGCAACTGTATGAATCAAAAGGACAAGGTCAGTGGAACGGAAGAAAAAAAAAAGTGGTAAGGTCAAGCCGAGAGCATCATTCAATTGACGGGCGTACCTCATCACAATTTTTGGTGTCGAGTAAAATCCATCCAAGCTCGATGACCTCAGCAGAATCCTTGGTCACATAAACACCATGTTCATCGCAGGTTGTCGCAACGTGTATGACAATGTAGCGGTCCAGCTTCGGGATGGGGGACAGAACGGCGGCCATGTCTCGCTGCGTCTGGGAGAGGAGTGCCAGGGGAAATGGCAGAAGTCAAAGTAAGAATGGAAGAAAAAAAAATCACAAACGCCCCTGCCCAAAAAATAAACAGAATAAAGGCAAGAAGCAATTATCGATCACGACAAGAAATGGTCGTGACCGAAGAATAGGGAGATAAATACAAAGAACGAAGAAAGAGGATTGGGGGGGGGAGGAAGAGGAAGAGGAGGAGTTAGATAGAGGTGCTAAAGACCGGCGGGAAAATAGAAAAAAAAGCTGCTACGGGGACAAGAGCTGGTGGAGCAGAGCACAGCCAACAACGGCCACCCTGAGGCCCAGGCATTAATTAATTTACTTTCCTAGTCCCCGGCCTCACCATGACATTTATCATGGTGTTTACGACTGGAAGTGCTAGGGAAATACCAAAACAATTGGTTGAGGTAGCCAGTTGCTGGTGTCTAATTCTGCTAATCACACAGGAGATGGCATTCTTATAACGCAATGCCTGTCAAGGCATCGATGTTGATGCAACTGACAGCTATCTTGTGCCTAAAACCTCGGTATGGTCACAACGAGTCATAAAGAAGCTGCTATGCCATCCTATCATTATCCCTGTTGCCTGTTCGAGAGGTTACAGTAGCGGAAGTTCGGATTGACGGCGCGGGATTTCCTTGCGTGAAGCGGCGGATGGATATCTTCGAAGGAGTATTCTATACATATAGTCATTTAATTGCAAACTTCAACGATGTATACAGTAACTGATGAAGATCGCAGTGACATTCATATAGAGTCGAGACAGGAGAAAGGGAATATTGAATGTGATAAGCGGAGGAACTTTTCCTGGAGCAACACAGAGTCCCCGCTTTGTTTGTCCTTGAGCCACTAGGAAACTGCCGCAGCATCCGGAGGATCTTGTTCCTGTCTCTGCTTTGATCATGCCATGTCTTTTTCCTGAAGCCCAGCTCTTTGTCGTCTCCAGGGATCATTCCGGATCGTGATTGCAACTCCCCTGGAAATGGAGTTGCGGAGCCGTAACTATGGCCTGGCACCGAACCTAGCAGACCTGCAGTCAATCATGGTAGGCAAAATGACTTGCTGCTGAAGGCTCGTAAGATGAAGATAAAATAGTTTAGAGTAAAAGAGACAAATGGCAGTGAACAGAGGAGGGTGAGATCGAGATGGCAACAGAATGCTTAGCCCTTATTGGTGGACAAGCGCGCTAGACGCATAGCCGCGGTGCTGGAGCTCAGAGACAGCTGCCTTCGTATCTTCCCTTGGTGCTGTTGTATCCGTCATCGCAGCTTCCCAATATCATCAGCCATCTTCCTTCTGCTTACCGACTATTATCAAGCTCTTCCTCAGTGCTCAACGTCCTATTATACCTCATTCAATAACGTAGCAAGCTTTATACAGCACCAACATGGCGTCGGGCTACGATAGAGCACTTTCAGGTACGATAGCTTACCCATCTGTCTATTCGATGAGATACTGATCAATCTTCTACAGTTTTCAGGTAAACGAGTTGCCATTCATCTCATGAATACCCTTGTCTAACCCATTCCAGTCCCGATGGACACGTCTTCCAGGTGGAATATGCTCTAGAAGCTGTGAAGAGAGGTAAATACCAACTGCGCAGCCACGAGAAAAGGGAGCATCTCGATTGACCGCGAATAAAGGGACATGTGCCGTCGGTGTCAAGGGAAAAGATATTGTCGTGTTGGGCTGCGAGAAACGATCCGCCATGAAACTCCAAGATACCCGCATCACGCCCTCGAAGATCGGTTTAATTGATACCCACGTCTGCCTTGCCTTTGCCGGCCTGAACGCCGATGCTCGAATCTTAATCGACAAAGCTCGACTAGAAGCGCAGTCTCACCGCCTGACCGTTGAAGATCCCGTAACCATCGAATACATTACCAAATATGTCGCCGGTGTGCAACAACGATACACTCAGAGTGGTGGTGTCCGTCCATTCGGTATCAGTACTTTGATTGTCGGCTTTGATAAGGGTGATAATACTCCTCGGCTGTATCAGACCGAGCCTTCTGGAATCTACTCTGCATGGTGGGACAATCTACTTTTCTGTTTATAAACCGTGTGTGTGCTAATTATCATGGGTGCTATAGGAAAGCAAATGCTATCGGCCGCTCGAGCAAGACCGTCCGTGAATTCCTCGAAAGAAACCACAAGGACAATATGGATCGTGAAGCCACCCTTCAACTCACTATCAAGTCGTTACTGGAAGTTGTGCAGACCGGCGCAAAGAACATTGAGATTGCTATAATGGCACCTGGCAAGCCCATAGAGATGCTTCCTACGGAGCACATCGAGGCTTACGTCAAGAGTATCGAAGCTGAGAAACAGGAAGAGGCGGCCAAGAAGAAGACTGGACGGACGCCGGGAACTGGAACAGCTGCCATTCTGACACGAGCAGGCACTACAGGCGAAGGTTCTGAGAGCTAGAGTAGTTACGGAGTATCTGGATGGCAGATGTAATAGAGCAAGGGGCGAATATTACAAATAAATGGAATTTTATGTCGTGCATATCGGAAGTCCTTGGTACAGTATTTGCATGTAGACGCGCTGATTACACCTGATCGCGACCAAAATATTTATAGACAGAAGGAAAACGCCGTATCAAAGAGTATGCATTCGAATATTAAGGTTCGTTTCGTCGTTATCGCCTTCCGCCTGCTTATCCCAGTCTGTCTGCTGCATCTCGAATATTGAATATAGATCGTTCTGCGTCGCCTCGAACGCGATCATCTTTGAGCATTCTAACACACAAAAAGGATAACGATCAGTATCGAAGAAGAAATTAGGTACGAACAAATGGAGGAGTCGATACGCACCTCGCGTCCATACGAACGTCCTCGCCCTCCACTTGTAGCGAAGCCTGGGGAGTCTTTGCTTCAATAACGAAATGGTTGTCACAGTGCGGACAATATTCATCACTAGATACCAAGCTCTTTCAGTCTGTTGTCCCCGTCATGCGACTTTGTTTTTGTGCTTTCGATTCGTTTACCTTTCTTCGAACTCGGATGTATCTTTACGAAAGCATTTTTTGCACTTTTTGCATGCAAAGGTCTAGCGACTAGGTTAGAGCCACATTCCTCAGTCGTGTAGGGCGCATCAGGTAAGCTTTACCATATCAAATGATTGCATCAAAGGATGAGATTCTTGTTCTTGATGGCATTCGGCGCAATCGAACCACTTTCGACCTGGTATTCGTGTTTGCCGTCAGCAGCTGCGAAGAAGTCGTTCGTAGGATCTCGGTATGGAGCAAGACGTACAGCACGGAGAACGGATGGACACCTGAGCGTTTAGAACGTGTTTGCTATGTAGGAAAGCATTAGTTTGTATATCTTCAGGAATGTTGCGTTGACCTTTGGAAGTTTTAGAACGCGAGTGAGGGGTGGAAGTACGTACCACATCTTGACAGAGTCTGCGATTAGAAAGGATGTATTTCAATGATAGTACGAAGGGATATATATAGACGGTCAGAAGAGAAAGAGTGAGTATATGTCAACAAGTGGGATGTTCCTGAACGGTCTCGAGTATAATTTATCGTCCAATCAGGGGCGCCACCTCCTTGCGTTCCCGCTTGGCCGTGATCTGCGCTTTAGTGAGTCTAGTCTCTGCAACTACGTAGTTGCCCTTCTCCCTTTTATGATTTTTATATATATCTACGCCGATTCTCTTCTTCTTGTTGTTGAATCCAAAATTGTGCTATCCGACTACTCTCTCATCTACCTGTGCCATTATTCCGTCGTCACCGTATTCCCAAGGATGACATAGCCATGTAAGTAAATTCACTAAATGCTCATACTCCACCGCCGAAGTCATGGCCGTCGTCATCCCCATATACAAAAAAGAAGCGGACGCGGGCGGAACTCCTTGACTCCTCCTATATTGAATCTCCGGAATAACGCCTATTAGAAACGTTTTCATACAGGACTGAGCTTGAAGAGATACAATTTACTCTACGGCCCCGGTTAGCTTAGGCTGAACCTTTCCACATCTAAGCCACCCCGCCGACATCTGACCAATTTGATTACTGAGCCAGAACCGGGTCTCTTTTGGCTGTACACACCTGGAAAGAATATAGGACATATGTTTTGGCTCTATTTGAGCCAAGTTGAGCCTAGGGGACATGGCTGAAGAAAGGAAGGATGTGGAAGGTGCCGATGAGGCGCCGCTTGTGAGTTCAAATATTATGCGCATTATTGCACGACATACGCAGGCTTCGATGATCTGACATTCTTATGTGTAGAAACCGGTATCCTCTCTATTGTCTCATTTCGAACACCTTTCGTACTCCAAAAGCAAACCACCTACTCCTGGATCAAATTATGACCGGATATCCCGCCCGAGATTCAAGGATTTGGAGGATGAGTCTCACCCAATAGTTCGTGCATCATTGGACTTACCTCGCTCTCATTCACCATGGGCAGTCAGCGGTGGCTCGGAAAATGGGTCGGTGTCTGCTGTCGATAGAACATCAAATGCACCATGGATGGACTCCAAGCGGGAAAAGTCTCCAGGATCTCGGAGATTCTCTCGTCCCCTGTCAATGAACCTCCGCTCTATACCGCAGATGACACCGAGCCTGACCGTCGAGTCACCTCGTTCTCCTCCTCGCGGGGCTAATGGACAGAACGGTGGGCACTGGCCTTCCTTCAATCGAGGAACCTCCGATATAACACCCGCTACGAATCCACGAGCGAGAAGCCCACCCGGTCCAGCAGGGACAAGGGTTCCAAATTCTCCGGGAGCCAGGTCAGCCGGCGCTCCTCAGGCATCCCGAGAACATTCACCTAGCGGTTCGGTAAAGAGCTCCTCTGTTCCGCCTCCTGTCAGTAGAGGAGAGAAGCCGAAGATTCCGGCCAAACCGGCAAATATGTCCAATCTAGATGTTCGCGCACTTACTCCAACGCACGAGCGAAATCAGCCTACGACAGCCCAAATCTCGCCGTTCAGCACACCTCCAAGCAGTCCCGAAAAGCCCCAAGTTAAGGCAGGCCAGCCACCGCGCAAATCGCCTAAAATATCAAGATCGCTATCTACAACTCCGGAGCCTATTTCTTTACCACCTCCTGTTGATCGAAGTACTCGTCCAGTCACGAATGCAACTCAGTCTACCGATGCTAGAAGCCGGCCACCTTTGGTTACATCACATCCAACAGATGCAAGGGAGTTTGGCTTCACAAGAAGGGGCACTGGTCTCTCACCCTCAAACCATTCAAGATCAGCGAGTCAGATTGTCTCAAACACGCGAGATTCTAGATTAGCAAGGCCAGTAGGTCACAAAACGCTGCCCGATGATGATCGGCCGGAGCTACGCCCAAGTTTACCACCTCGCGATGGCCAGCCGCGAAGTGTCGGCCCAAGTGAGTTGAGGAACCCCGACCTACCGCCTAGAACATCACTTGATATGCCCTCCCGAGCACCCAAGATACCTACTCCGAGTCGCCTCCCGACACTGGAGATGAATACACGGTTTGCCCCTCCGCCTCGTAGGCAGACCGCTACCGTCAGTGGCAAGCTTGGTCCAGATACGCCTCAAACATCCAAAATCCGTCAACATCGCTCACAAATTACTTCTCATACCATGTCTAAGCAGGCATCGAGAAGCGATTCGAGAGATTCAGAAGACGAAGCCTACCCAGAAGAAGCTCCAGTGTCCAGAACGGACTATCCCGATTCTTCCCAAGTTAACCGTCGTCCTCCAATCTTCAAAACGGGTCCTCTTACGATTCCAACTCGATACGACACACGTGAGTTTGACGTGTGCGGTAAACATGCGTGTACTACCGGCTACTTAACGCGGGTTTGGGATCTCACGACGGGGGAGCAGATATTGAGTATTAGTCATGGAGAAACTATCAAGGCTCATACGGTGGCCTTTAAACCTGGGACTGGCCTAGAAGATGAGGGAACTCGTCTGTGGGTTGGTACCAGCGCAGGGGAAATTCATGAGATAGATATCAACACGCAGTCTATTGTCACATCACGATCATATCCTTCGAGACGTGAAGTCATTAGGATATATCGTCATAAAAAAGAAATGTGGACTCTGGACGATGAGGGAAAGTTGTTGGTGTGGCCGCCAGACGAGACCGGTACCCCGAATCTTCAATATAGCTATGACAGTCCGCAGGATCGCGTGGCGAAGGGGCACACGTTCTCTATGGTTGTTGGAGATGACTTGTGGCTTGCCACTGGCAAGGAAGTTCGAGTTTACCGTCCAGATGCCCACGGAGAAGCATTCCAAGTGTTGAAGAAACCATTGGGAGCAAACCACACCGGAGATGTGACATCTGGGACACATACTACGAAAGACGGCGGCCGCGTCTACCTGGGCCATGCCGACGGGAAGGTCACTGTATATTCCTCGACCGATTATTCGTGCGTGGCTTCCGTGAACGTCAGTGTCTACAAGATCAACTCGCTGGCAGTCGTGGGAGATTATCTCTGGGCTGCATACAAAACGGGAATGATATACGTTTACGACGTATCGACTAACCCATGGACCGTGAAGAAGGATTGGCATGCTCATGAAAGCCCTGTGTGTGGACTTGTACTTGATCCGAGCTCGTTATGGACAATGAATCGCCTCCAGGTCGTTTCGCTTGGGACAGATAACTATCTGCGCCTGTGGGATGGCATGTTGGAAGACGACTGGCTGGGTGTGTGAAGATTCTCTTTCAAGGATGGATAGTTTGCTGACAGTATACAGAGTCGCGTATGCAAAGAAGAGACGTCGAATACTGCAATTTCCGGGAAATACGAGCGACGATAGTGACTTGGAACGCTGGGGCTTCTGTGCCTCGGGATTTGCATGGCAGTGCGTTTATTGAAAACGCTATCCACGCAGAGCAACCTCCAGAGATTTTGGTGTTTGGATTCCAGGAATTAGTCGATCTGGAAGACAAGAAGATCACTGCCAGTGCGTATTTTTACCTGATTTGATATATAGGACAAAACTAATATCTCCACAGAAAGTTTACTCCTAGGAAGCAAAAAACGAGAGAACAATGAAAAAGAGCATATGAGCCGGCAGTACCGGGTGTGGCGCGATCATCTGGCGGCTTGCATCAATAACGCCATGCCTCTTGAAGAATCATATGTTCTTCTCCACACTGCTAACCTCGTGGGGTTATTTACGTGTGTTTTTATCAAGCAGAAGGAGCGAGAAAGAGTTCGCAATGTCAGTGCCGCAGAAGTCAAGCGCGGAATGGGGGGCCTGCACGGCAATAAGGTATGGTTGGTATCATGAAGTTGGGTTTAATACCTGCTAACATGTATCAGGGAGCTTTGATATTGCGATTTGTGCTCGATGACAGTTCGATGTGTTTTATTAATTGCCATTTGGCTGCCGGCCAGTCACATACAGCACACCGAAACAACGATATTGCAGCAATTCTCGAAGCAGAGTCTCTTCCTCCGGAGCATAGCCTTAGCACGCGGACTGACCTCTTCGTGAACGGTGGTGACGGGTCGATGATTTTGGATCACGAGATATGCATTCTCAATGGAGATTTGAATTATCGGATTGACTCCATGTCTCGCAATGTGGTTATCGACGCGGTACGACAGAACAATCTTCCCAAGTTGTTGGAACGAGATCAACTGCTTGCGTCCAAACGAAAGAACCCGAGCTTCCGTCTTCGAACGTTTACCGAAGCACCGATTACGTTTGCACCAACCTACAAGTACGACGTTAACTCGGATGAATACGACACGAGTGACAAGAAGCGATCTCCTGCGTGGTGTGATAGGATTTTGTATCGTGGAATCGGTAAAGTCAAGCAGACCGAGTATCGACGACATGAGGTGCGAGCATCGGATCATCGGCCGGTTAGTGCGTCTTTCAAGATGCGAGTGAAAAGCATCCTACCCGAGGAACGGGCAGCCGCGTGGGAGGCGTGTCAGAAGGAATTTTCAAAGGAGAAGAAGAGACTTGCTTGTGAATCTAGGTACGTTTTCTTTTCACTTCATACTTCGAACACCGCTAACGATTCGGCAGTATCGAGTATCTAGTGAATGTCTTTGGCATGGAGCGAGAACAGGCTCGAGAAGTGATTACATCCGGCGGGTCGTCCAAGCCAAAGACGTAAATACGTCTAGCCTTTATGTCAATGATATAGCATATTCTCCGGCGTTTTGTTCTACTGCTTATGATGACGCTAGCGTGGTGGGCATTTGGGGGACTTCAAAAATGGGGGGGGGGGAGGTTGTTTTGATGGGATTCCATGACGAGCATTGCCAACGATACATGAAATGTCTACTATGGTGAAGAAGATTATTAATCTAATATACGAACATGAATGTAATTCAATATTAGATATTATATTATTGCATTTCTCGTAGATACTTCGTCGACATCCGCTCATCCATCCAACTGGCTCCTCCCACAATAAACCTAATGGCGGTCAATTCGGTGCAGGAAAGTCAAGAATTACTTCTATTGATCAATGAAATGTCAGTTTCGTTGTTCCAGTGTACATAATCGAAAGGATACATACTCCGCAGCTCTTGCAGGCACAGTTGCTGTCGCAGGTGCAGGTACCGACGCCCGAGCAGGGGCAGGAATTGGCTCCGCAGTTACAGCCCATTGTGTACTCGTAGACTCGTAGGAGGTACTAATATAATATCGTGAAGAGATAATAGATAATTGAGGGATTGTTTGGGGATGAAGATGTTGGATCGAGGAGGGGATAACTTTATATACTTCTCTGTCTGTCTGTCTGTGGCAATGGTTTCTGATCATGATGGCGTCATGATTTCTATGGAGCATTTTCTGTGGTATGCGTTTTGACTCGTTCGATCTTGGTGTTTATACGCATGGAGATGTTGGACTGTCTAGAGTAACAGCTAAGTAGCTCAGGTGACAGCAATCCTCGTGACTTGTCAATACAGTTAGTTAGCTGCCTGACTGTTCATTGTTAACAGCTCCGCACGGCAGATGACTTGTACATACGCCTATGAGCCCAACACCGATAGCCGTATGTATAGAGTACAGACAGATAGGATAACTGCATCCTCAGTAATTAGTTAATTGAATACGTACATACTCATATACACAGCGCTTGAGAGTACGTAGTAGTGGTAGAGGACGGACGAGCGGCCAACGGGCTCCGTTTCTCTGCGGTCTTTTCCGACTCATATTCTCCCATACCACTAGTCCACGAATCACTTGAATATATTTGTCTTTTGTCGTCTTATCATTATTGTTTTTGCTTGCTTTCCTGACTTTGTATATTTGTATGGTCTTTCCATCGTCTGCGAATCCACAGTGGCTGTAGGCTATGATAGTACATAGTAAGTGGAGCTTCCTTCCTACTCCGCGCGGATAGACGTGATAAGCTGCTGACTTCCCACTTGACCACCAGCAACTTCCTGCGCTTCCTGCTATATCAACCACCGTCGTCTTGCTATTCTTACTCTTCATCATCTTTGCTCCCACTTCCACCTTCTGTGTGGTCTGGGTTCTATATTCACATTTGATTCACTACGCATCGCGCCTAAATACTAACTAGAGCGTCGGCTGAACTGAACTGAAGCACAGCTTGGCTACGATCTCCCGACAACCACCTCTACAGCCTACCTGGTTCTTTTCCGGAGCCAGGTCGAAGGCCACTCGTCCATTTTCGACCTGGCAGACCAAGATCCGACAGACTCTCCCTCCCCTATCGCCTCCGACCACCCCGATTCCCCTAGCACCACTAGCTCTGCATCGTTCAATATCGAAGATCTCATTTCAGACCCGTATCCTCTCACAGAAGAAGAGCAAAGTTTCTCCCAATATACCGGATATTCCCCTCCTCTACATCCTACCTCCAACGGTAACGGGGTTAGTACAAATCAGGTGTCCGAGATTACGCTGACTCCAGCTCATAACCCCCGCCGCCGCCGCCGTCGACGCCGCTCCGAGGGTTCGTCTTCGTCTTCGTCGTCTTCTGTATCAGAATCCTCGGAAACTGGTGTGCGAAGCTCTGCCCGCCCTCCGCTAGCCACCGACGTTTCTTCTGCGGGTACCCGCGGAACACAACGGTCAACAGCAGGCCGAGCAGAAGGCCTTCCACCCTCCCCCAAGCGCAGGCGTTTGGAAAACATGCGGCCCAATAATGGAGACTCTACGAGGACTGCAAATGGACGGCCAGATGCATCGAACGGATTGTTGTCTACGTCATCGATGCGGGGGAAGAGCTCGTTGAAGGGGAAATCGAACAACAGCCATCTGAACAACGGGCAGTCAAACAACACTAACGGGTCGGCGGCGAAATCATCAGCTCTATCTTCGTCGTATTTTGGTCATGACCGGGAGGAAGTCACCAGGATCTTGATACAGGGGCTCTATGATCTGGGCTACAGCGGGGCTGCAAGTGCTCTTAGTAGGGAGAGCGGATATGAGTTGGAATCTCCCGCCGTGGTGGCTTTTAGGAATGCAGTGCTTGATGGACAATGGGCTGAAGCGGAACATTTACTTCTGGAGTCCTTTGAAGAGGGTCATGAGGGAACCGATGGAGAATACGAATCTCCATCGTCGTGGGGCAAGCTGGCTCTTGCCGAGACTGCAGACAAGAATGAAATGCTTTTCCTATTGCGACAACAGAAATTCTTGGAATTACTAGAGGCTCGAGATTTGGGTGCGGCTTTGATGGTTCTTCGGCAAGAGTTGACTCCGTTAAATCATAATATCCCGCAACTTCATGCTCTGTCGAGGTAAGTTTCTTGTCTTTCCGTCTTTTTTTCTTTTCTTTTCTTTCTTTCTTTCTTTTCTTTTCTTTTCTTTCTTTCTTTCTTTCTTTCTTTTTTTTTTTACCAATGACTAGCTAATCATGTATAGTCTGTTGATGAGCCCGGTCGAGCATCTCCGGGAATTGTCAGGCTCGAATGGATCGATTGCTTTATCGCGAGAACTGTTACTTTCTGATTTGTCCAGTATGTTTTGCAGTCCCCCTCTTCTTGATCTGAATCTTGAGGCTTAGCTAACACCCTGTAGCTTTTATTTCTCCGGCAGTAATGATTCCAGATCATCGGCTTGCTTCTCTTCTGAACCAAGTGAAGAGCAATTGGGTCAATCAATGCTTATTCCACAACACTGCACAATCGCCATCGTTATATTCTGATCACATGTGCGACCGCAACGCATTCCCTCGCCACAACACGATGCAATTAACGAGGCATTCAAATGAAGTCTGGTATGTTGAGTTTTCCCACGATGGGACGAAGCTCGTTACAACCAGCAAGGATAAATCCGTTATCATCTACGATGCTACAGACAAGTTTTCAGTGATTCACAAATTCTATGAACATCATGACGCTGTGGTATTTGCTACCTGGAGCCCAGATGACTCTAAGATCATCACATGTTCGCAGGACAAGACGGCCAAGGTCTGGGATGTTCAGGTATGTTTCCTTCCCATATCTACTTCTGGATCAAACTGACTGTTTAGACCGGCCGCTGTTTTATGACGATTGAGCACCACACCGATATAGTTACTTCTGCTGCATGGGCTCCGGATGGCGAGACGTTTGTTACTGCGTCCATGGACAATAAGGCGCCGCTCTGTTACTGGGGATTACGGTCTAGAAATCCAATACATGTGTGGCGGGGTGGATTCCGAGCACAAGACTGCGCCATCACACCGGACGGAACTCGACTAGTCGCATCCGATAATGAAGACAAGCTGTATGTGTATGATCTTGCGTCACGCGCAGAGGAATTCTGCCTTTCTCTCAAAAATCATATCACTTCAGTCAGCGTCAGCCACGACTCCAGATATGTTTTGTTGAATCTCCGAAATAATCAAATACAACTTATGGATATAGAGACGACAGAGGTTGTTCGTCGCTTTGATGGCCAGAAACAGGGAGAGTGGGTTATTCGAAGCCGTTTCGGCGGTGCTGGCGAGAACTTTGTCGTCAGTGGAAGCGAGGGTACGCCTACACAAGTTGTAATTATTTTTTATTGTGGCTGACACTTGATTTTGTTTAGACTCTCAGATTTATATCTGGCATAGAGAGAACGGGGCCCTTGTGGAAGTATTGGACGGACACACAAAAGGATGTGTCAATGCAATATCTTGGAATCCGAAGAATCCTTGCATGTTTGCATCGGCCGGTGACGACTGTGTTGTGCGGATGTACGTGACGCTTCCTTTTGTTGATAGGATTCTTACTGACATGTTTAGATGGACACGAGATAACCCCAGCGAAGACAGCTCAAACAAAGGTCGACTTTCAAAGACCTCGGATTTCACGCGGATAAGCGCTCTTCGATCAACGACAAGCTAACTCTAATTACTAAGACGGCGGTGGAATCAAAATGATGCCGAGTATACAACTGGCGAAATTTATCATGTTTTTGGCCGAGTTGATATTTCTTTCTCATATTATTCAATAGCATCATCATCAATGGAGATGAATCTCCTCACATATATTGATTTTTATCCCTCTGCTTATACATGGCATCATGGATTAGGTTGCTCCCTATTCTTGATTTTATCTATTATATCACCCAGCATTGATGCGGCAAGTTTGTCTGATATCTTATTCTGCGTTGGTGCCGCCTCATGCTTGCTTCAGTGTTTTCAAGGCTTTTTTACTCATCCATGGATCTTTCAACATTTGCACGGATCGGCTAGGTAGAATGGCGCTACAGAGATATTCCCACATAGCTAGAATTGATTCTATCACATCAATAGTGTACATAGTAGGTATTCATAGTATATACATGGCTACCGGGTCCGAACTGCCTCGGTAGCTTTGAGTGCACCGGTTATTGTAAAACATATAGATGGCGAAAGGGCATACATGATCTATCCCATCCCGATAATGGATTAGTACGTCTCCATCAGCTAGTAAGAGGAAGGAATGGGATTTGGGGGGGGGAGGGGGACGTACAGCTAACATCTTCGCAATAGCCATCTTATCAGCTTTCGTGACTTGATCACTCAATTCCGCAAGTCCGGAGTTTATGAGTGCCGGTGGACCAGTTGGAAGGACCATTAGCGTGAACCAGAGGATTGGGTCGTGGGGGAGAATGGATGTGTAGCGGATTATGAGGTAGGTTGTTAGGATGCTTACTCTGTTTTCTTAGTTAGTTCCAGGTCTGTGCTTAGGTAGGGGGCGTATGGGGGAAAACGTACATAGGCCAGAGAATCAGGCGTATAGTGTAAACTACCAGGACAGCTTTGATAGGGACCCTGCCTGAACCTTCTTCTTCGTCTTGGTCATTGGAGGAGGAAGAAGAGGAAGATCGTTTCATCCTCTGAAAACTAACACCGAGTTTACACCCGACCAAAAACACCTGTAGAGACGTGAATAACGTCCCTAGATTCTCGATACTCGATATCAACCAGGCATTAAATATGCCCCCGTCTTCGTACGGGGAGAAAAACGCTTGATGAAGTTTGGGGATTAATCCTATTAGTACCCCCGTTGCTGTGCAGAGGATTGCCGTATCGAGGAAAGGTGGTGAATCGATAGAATCGATACGATGCCGGACTCGCCCAGGGATGAAGGTGTGGAGAAGTCGGTGGGATTTAGACGAGAATCTCTGGCGTGCCTTTTGGATTGGGTTCGGGAGGAGGGAGGTTTGTTCGTCTAATTCTTCCTCTTGCTCGTCTGTTGTAGGGTTGTGTTGTTGCGGGGTGATATCTCGGAATTGTTGCTGGGGTTGACTTGATACATTCGAAGAACTACTGCCGCTCTCTTCATCATCGTGATGATTCTCTTGATTGTCCCTGCTGGCATCTTTGTGGCCCAACATCCTTGGTCCAAGGGCATAGGCCATGGTTTTTGATACCACGGCACAGACCAGAAAGTATGATTGAGCACGGTTCATGCAATCGGACTCTGACTGGTCTGGCATTGTGATCAGTTTTAGACTGCCAGTTGACTGGAGAGTTTGTAGAAGTAGTAGCGGTAAAGAACTTGTATTGTTGAATGTTACTGCTGGCGTCACCCAGGTGGGTAGATGCAAACAGCGAGAAAACACATGCCCGAAACCGATGGATACAATCGTATAAAGAATCGACCATACTGCTTCTCATCAGCACTGCACCGTTAACCAAAGAGAGACAGAGAGATACCGAAAACAGGAATATAATGTGAAGCAATCTCCAAACTCAACTCGGAGCCCAACTTGACCAGTATCAGCGCCGGAAGAAATATCTTCACGCATATAGCGGACATTTGGTTTATGGTATCGTCATTGATGAGGTTGGCTTGTCGAGTTATGACGCCGTATAGCAGGGTCAGTAGAACGGAGGTGCAGGCCTGAAGTGCGCCTAGGAAGGGCTGCACGAGGCCTGTTTTTAGGTCGGGCATTGTTGTATATACTGTCTGCGCATGTGGTAAATGTAGGAGGTAAGTATGTCAAGATATTGGTACAAATAAGATTGAGAGCCAGAGATTCTTCATATACTTGGTCTGGAGCTGTGATGTCATTATGGTGACTTTGTTTTAGTGCTTTCTTGGTATCTTCATTTGCGATAAGATCTTGAATCTAAAACCGTGCTCGAGATTAGTATCTATTCTCGTATACTGTGATGCTCTTGGTAGGTAGTTGTGAAGGTGATGGATGGGCGTAACCCTAATTCTACTGACGGTGACAACTTCACCATGAAAGCTTGCATCCAGACTCGATAGATCTAGTATTTGTGGATAATTATTTAGTTTCATATAAATAATTCCGTGGTAACGCACAGATTAGTATTATCCTGGCTTGCAGTCTGAACGGACAAGATATGTAAGCACAAGCTAGACTGGACGACTGTCGATATAATCAGCTACCATGATTATCGCTGAGTCGAACATACGAGTCGACATCGGCCCGGTGACGCTATTAGCTCAGCTAAGACAAACCACAACAACCTTTCATTCGCATTCTGAGTCTCACTCGCAACAACATCAATCTGTACATCGATAAAGCGTATGCTTGGATTAAGACCTCGACTCAAGGTCCGCCCATCACTATTGGACTTGCTGTCGCATAAGCAGACCGTGGTTGATTCTGCCGCAGCTACGAGAGCTTCTCCACCTTTGGACCTGCCACCGCTGCCCGCAACTCCAACTCCAACTTCGACTCCTCCATCCACCACGCCGACCGCCGCCAACCACCACTCTTCGCTCTTCTCTTCAAGTGACTCGCCTTCTGTTGGAGACAAACTTCCTGCTGAAATTATTGTCGAGCTGCAATCTCCTCCCCTGCCATCGACTCCATCTCCACCCGTCATGGCGCCCTCTGACAAGAAGCAGACTGGCGATGACCAGCTCGGCGCTGTCTTTTCCATCTCTGGTCCCGTCGTCGTGGCCGAGAAGATGATTGGCTGTGCCATGTACGAATTGGTGAGTATCTTTGTCCCCCGACTTTTCGAGGGTTTTGACTGATATACGTAAGTGTCATGTCGGCCACGACCGTCTCGTCGGCGAAGTCATTCGTATTGATGGAGACAAAGCAACAATTCAAGTCTACGAAGAAACCGCCGGTGTCAGAGTCGGGGATCCCGTTTCCCGTACTGGTAAACCCTTGTCCGTCGAGCTTGGTCCCGGTCTTATGGAAACAATTTACGATGGTATTCAACGACCGCTCAAGGCTATCTCAGACGTCTCTGAGAGTATCTATATTCCTCGCGGTATCTCCGTGCCAGCTCTCGATCGAAAGAAGAAGTGGGATTTCAAGCCGACCAAGAAGGTGGGTGATATGATCACTGGTGGTGATATCTGGGGTATTGTCTATGAGAATAGTCTGTTGGATGAGCACAAGATTCTCCTACCACCTCGTGCCCGGGGTACCATCACAAAGATTGCCGAGGCTGGAAGCTATACTGTCGACGAGAAGATCTTGGAAATTGAATTTGACGGCAAGAAATCCGAACACGGTATGATGCACACATGGCCAGTTCGTGTTCCCCGACCGGTGAACGAGAAGCTTGCATCGGATTCGCCATTTATCGTCGGTCAGAGAGTGTTGGACTCTTTGTTTCCTAGTGTGCAAGGTGGTACTGTCTGTATTCCCGGAGCTTTCGGTTGTGGTAAAACAGTCATTTCGCAGTCCGTGTCCAAGTTTTCAAACAGTGATATTATCGTCTACGTTGGATGTGGTGAGCGTGGTAATGAGATGGCTGAAGTGTTGATGGACTTTCCAGAGGTTGGTGACATGGCTTTTTTTTATTCTCATACTTTCGTACGGATTTCCTATTTTATGCTGACTCCTTAGCTCTCGATCGATATCAATGGTCGCAAAGAACCCATCATGAAGCGCACATGCCTTATCGGCAATACATCGAATATGCCCGTCGCTGCTCGTGAAGCTTCTATCTATACTGGTATCACTGTTGCCGAATACTTCCGTGACCAAGGAAAGAACGTGGCCATGATGGCCGATTCCAGTTCTCGCTGGGCCGAAGCTTTGCGTGAAATTTCTGGTCGTCTCGGTGAAATGCCTGCAGATCAAGGTTTCCCTGCTTATCTGGGTGCTAAATTGGCCTCTTTCTACGAACGTGCCGGAAAGAGTGTTGCTCTCGGTAGCCCCGAGCGGCAGGGTAGTGTCAGCATTGTCGGTGCCGTGAGTCCACCTGGTGGTGATTTCACTGATCCCGTCACAACCAGTACCTTAGGTATCGTGCAAGTGTTTTGGGGTTTGGATAAGAAATTGGCTCAGCGCAAACATTTCCCTTCCATCAACACTACGGTTTCCTACAGCAAATATACCACCATTCTTGATAAATATTACGAAAAGGAACACCCTGAATTCCCTCGACTCCGAGACCAGATCCGAGAGCTTTTGTCCAACTCGGAAGATCTCGACCAAGTTGTCCAACTAGTCGGCAAATCTGCTTTGGGAGATTCGGATAAGATTACTCTTGACGTGGCTGCTCTCCTCAAGGATGACTTTTTGCAGCAGAACGGCTACAGTGACTACGACCAGTTCTGTCCTTTGTGGAAGACTCAATATATGATGAAAGCATTCATGGGATACCACGATGAAGCACAGAAAGCTGTTGCTCAAGGCCAGAGCTGGGCCAAGGTTCGTGAGGCGACTGCAGACATTCAGACAGCTCTACGAAACATGAAGTTTGAAGTTCCGGATGACGAAAAGGCAGTCTCAGCTAAGGTATGTCTCTCCACTTTTATGAAACAGAGACGCAAGTACTAATGTTGCTATTATAGTATGAGAAACTGCTGTCAGACATGTCTGAGCGATTTGCTTCCGTGTCTGATGAATAGACTGGCTGGGTTGGATAGACACTGTTTTTTGCTATATGGATGGCCACACGTCTGTAGTATATCTTTTGATTGTTTCTTGTTACCCAATACTTCTTTCAGCATATAACCCTAGCTGTTCTTCTGTCGTTTCGCTTAGTATACCTATATATTGATCTGGTTGCTCAAGGCAGCACAATTGTCGTGGGGGCAACAGATAATTTAAGCCATATCGCGTCATGTACTACTGTACGTAGTAGATTTTAGACCGAAATCGTTGTAGCGACCTCGGGTTCTAGAAATCTGGAGACTGTGAGATTCTGAGTGTATAGTCTAGGCGAATAGCTTAACAGAAAATCTGAAATTCACTGTGAAGTCACCCAAGGTCTCCGAGAGCCATCTAGACCTTTTGTGCCTTAAGAGTCAGGCATCAACGCTCAGACCAGCAGACCCATGACTCCCTCGGCGCACTAGTCCCGAACAGGCGTAGGCAGTATTTACCACGACTTCTTCTGAACGTGCCCGAATTGTTGCGGCCTGTGTATATCATCTTCACACTCCCCTCCCCCCAACTGTGCGAACCTACTCCACCCCTATTTCAACCTTATATAGCTGTCAGCACTTGATCTACAGCTGCCTCATCACTGCGACTCGAATAATTGCTCCAAAAATACCGCCAGCATGGCCACCGCCCCCTCTGGCTACTCGTGCGCATTCCCCCGTACAGCTGTCTTGTGACGAATAACCAAGAACTAACCACGATGATAATTACAGAATCAACGTCAACGATCCCGGACTCATCTCTCTGGTAAACAAGCTTCAAGATGTGTTTTCCACAGTAGGGGTATGTACTATTCGATACTTTGGTCAAATGTATATTATGTAGACTGATATCTTCTCTACTCCAGGTACAAAATCCTATCGATTTGCCACAGATCGCCGTCGTCGGTTCGCAATCTAGCGGAAAGAGCTCTGTCTTGGAAAACATTGTCGGGCGAGATTTGTGAGTTCTATCCCAGTACGTGGACGGAGGAGAACAATTATTTACGATTCCTAGTTTGCCACGAGGTTCCGGAATCGTCACTCGCCGACCCTTGATTTTACAACTGATTAATCGACCACCCAACAAACCACAGGCAAATGGAACGGATGAAGATAAAGCGGTAGAAGGAACCTCCGACAGCGCGGCCAATGTCGACGAGTACGGCGAGTTCTTGCACATTCCAGGACAAAAGTTTTACGACTTCAATAAGATTCGAGAGGAAATTATTCGTGAAACGGAAACAAAAGTCGGTCGCAATGCTGGCATTTCCCCCGTTCCTATCAACTTGCGCATCTACTCACCAAACGTCCTGACCCTCACTCTGGTCGATTTACCCGGTTTGACCAAGGTGCCTGTTGGCGATCAACCGAAGGATATTGAGAAGCAGATCAAGGATATGGTGTTGAAGTACATCAGCAAGCCAAATGCTATTGTTCTCGCTGTCACAGCCGCCAACCAGGATTTGGCAAATTCCGATGGTTTGAAGCTCGCTCGTGAAGTCGATCCTGAAGGTCAACGCACCATCGGGGTATTGACCAAGGTCGATCTGATGGACGAAGGTACCGATGTTGTGGATATTCTTGCGGGCAGGATTATTCCCTTACGGCTTGGGTACGTTCCAGTTGTCAACCGTGGACAACGTGACATTGAGAACAAGCGTCCTATCTCGTATGCGCTGGAGCATGAAAAGAACTTTTTCGAGGGACACAAGGCCTATAGGAATAAGGCTAGCTACTGCGGTACTCCTTATTTGGCTCGAAAGCTCAACCTAGTAAGCTGTTTCGACTAGGGTTGGGTTTCGTCTACTAACTTCCGTATAATAGATTCTTATGATGCATATCAAACAAACGCTCCCAGATATCAAGGCCAGGATCTCGTCGTCACTTCAGAAATACAGCCAAGAGCTGGCACAACTTGGTGACTCGATGCTCGGTAACAGTGCCAACATAGTGTTGAACATTATTACAGAATTCAGCAATGAATACCGTACCGCTTTGGACGGTAAGAACCAAGAGCTTTCTAACATCGAGTTGTCCGGTGGTGCTCGTATCAGCTTTGTGTTTCACGAGATTTATTCCAACGGTGTGAAGGCTATCGATCCCTTTGACCATGTTAAGGATCTTGATATTCGGACGATCCTTTACAACTCATCTGGTTCTTCACCTGCGTTGTTTGTTGGAACCACGGCTTTCGAACTTATCGTCAAGCAACAGATCAAGCGACTTGAAGATCCTTCGCTCAAGTGTGTGTCGCTTGTTTACGATGAACTTGTCCGAATTCTGAGCCAATTGCTAAACAAGAGTTTGTTCCGCCGTTACCCAATGCTTAAAGAAAAGTTCCACAACGTGGTAATTCAATTCTTCAAGAAATCAATGGAACCCTGCAACAAGCTCGTCAAGGATTTGGTCAGCATGGAGGCCTGCTACATCAATACCGGCCATCCTGATTTCCTGAACGGTCACCGTGCTATGGCTATCGTCAATGAACGGACGCAAGCCAGTAAACCCACTCAAGTCGACCCCAAGACAGGAAAGCCCTTGCCACCTCGTTCTTCCAGTCCCTCGTTGGACACTATCCCAGATGCAAATAAGGAGGGCGGATTTTTCGGAAGTTTCTTTGCATCAAAGAACAAGAAGAAGTTGGCTGCAATGGAGCCTCCCCCACCGACATTGAAGGCATCTGGCACCTTGAACGAGCGGGAGAATATTGAAGTTGAAGTTATCAGTATGTCTTTCATCCTTTTGGACGCGTTCCGACTAGCTAACCGATTTTCAGAACTTTTGATCACCTCCTACTTTAACATTGTCAAGCGGACGATGATTGACATGGTTCCTAAGGCTATTATGTACACTCTTGTGCAGTAAGTACCGACACTTCTTAACCTGCGATCCCCTGGAGTTGTTATTAACCTGCGATACAGGTTCTCCAAAGACGAAATGCAACGCGAACTTCTAGAAAACATGTACCGCAACAACGAACTCGACGACCTTCTCAAGGAAAGCGACTACACCATCCGTCGCCGAAAGGAATGCCAACAAATGGTCGAAAGTCTAACCCGCGCTAGCGAAATTGTCAGTCAAGTTCAGTAAATTCAGCGCTTCTAGTCTGTTTGTCTGTTGGTGTTAGTAGTAGATAATTAGACGGCTTTTTATCCTCTTTCTGTTTCTTTCCGTTATCGCGCCTATTCCTCATGTTCTGTCACGTTTTATGCTGATCTTGGCGACGTTGGAAAAGGGTCGGTTGCATGAATTTTCTATATTTCCTGCTTATGTCTTTGAGAATGGAGTGAGTGTGTGTGTATGACGAGGTTGATCATCAATTGATATTATGATTGATGAAATGTTTACATGATGACTTTCTTTTTTTACTATACGATGTTGCTATTACATATTTTCTTAGGGATTCCCCTTATTTAGCACTTGCGTCTCTTATATTCTAGCTACTTACATCTTACCGGCCTCGAATATTTCCATGATTATAATTAAGCAGTCTCAGCAGGTCTCTTATCAACCGTGTGTCGATAACTATAGTACCACCCCTCAGACGCCATATCCTGTCTAACCTTATAGTTCTCCTCCGCCAGTGCTAGCACCGATAAATCCAACTCTACAACCATTACCCCTTCCTCCTCAGCACCCATAGTCTTACCACCCACTGCACCAATAAAAGGGAGCACGACACGCGACGACCCTAGATAGAAATCCGCGGGACCAGCGGCGTTGGCGAATATGATGGCGCATGTATTTTCGAAGCAGCGGGATGTGAGTGTGGAGTCGATGAAGAGTTGTTCGCTGTTTGGGTTGAGTTTTAGGGCTTCTTCGTTGGCGTCGTGTTTGCCCCCTTTTGACATCGTGTTAGCATATAGATATACCGGGAGAAAAGGATGGGGTGAGAAATACAGTAAGTAGGAATAATAATAATCTCAGCACCCTTCGAAATCAATTCTCGAAACGCTTCTGGAAACGCCAAATCCCAACATATCAACATCCCGACTTTACCCACTCCGGTTTGTATAACTTCGTGCGGATCTGCGCCGCTGGAGGTTAAATGTGGTCGTTCAGGATGCCATATGTTCTTTTTCCTGTATTTGCCGAGGATTTCCCCAGATGAGGAAATGAAATACGCTGTGTTGTAGAGCGTGTGCTGGTCTGTGGAGGTATCTTTTCGTTCGGCTTCGATGATTGTTCCTGGAACGATGTTGATGTGGAGGGCTTTGGCTAGTTGGCAATAGGATTTGAGGTAGGGTTGGTTTCTGAGCGCTTGTGTGTAGAATTCGGGTGATTCTGGTGCCCAGCCGCAGAGATGGTATCTTCGTCGCAAAATGATGTTAGCAGAGGTCAGATCTATGAGGTATGTGAGAAAACATACTCCGGAAGAACAGCAAGAGTTGCGCCATTGGAAGCGGCAGATGTAATGAATTGAATGGCCTTAGAGTGATTATATTCCGGGTCAAGGTTCTGTACATCGTGCTGTAAGTATGTGTCTTTCGTTGTACGGAGTAGATAGCTGTATGATAGTGCGGGGAAGTTGATGGACCGACTTTGATATGCCATTGTATAACGGCTACTTTGTGTATGGGCGCCATGATCAACTCAAACTTAGTATGCGTCGGCTCCTATCTGAATTAAGTTCAGTCTTGAAGAATGCCAGACTGTCAAGATGGTTTGACGAGGTGAAAAGATGAAGTCGTAGATCTGTTCAACTGTTCCTACATCAGACCCACATTTCTTGATTGACCAATCGCGTTTGCTTGATAAGATCTGTCATTTACCTTCCCAATAAGGAGATAATTAGCATACAATCCATCCAGACCCTGAGTAGACTCCTGTTGAACATGATTGTGAACATGATTGTGGGCATGATTGTGAAGCTGTTGCGCTACTGGTAAGCAATGATTAGGTGAAGTGTGCCCGCCTCTGGCGAGAATAGGGTTAGGGTTGTCGCTAGCCCACTCTATGGATATGTGATCCACTGTTACTGAAAACTACAATCTAAGCAGAGGTATATGCATATCTCACTGGATGATTGATACTCATGCCTAACAAATATACTACGTAAATGGCTTTTGCTGAGGGCAAGTTGAGCTTATCGATAAGAGGGAGGTCATACGTCATGCAGCGAATTACATATAAGGCTCCCGCTCCCGCATGTGAGAGTTGGTTTATCTTCTTTCAGACTCCTACATCTCTACATCCTAAGATCCCAATTTGTGGATATCATGGCCCTTGCGGGGATCCGACACCTGTTATTGGAATTAATGGACGAATAGAGACCTCTCATCCATCGCTTGCATCCTAACATGGAGGCCTTTCTCTGCAGCTAACCCTAAACCTGTCGTTAACAAACATGGGCAAGGATCTGGTCAGCCACGCGCTTCGTAAACGGTCTGCATCCGTCGATTCGCCCTTTATCAATCACGATGGCGACCACGGCATGAATTGCACTCTTTCGCACGAGTATCTCAAGACTGATCCCGCCTTTAATCCGTCCCAGGTTGCAGGAACAAGCCCGTCGGCAGTAACAACGAGCGCAAATACAACCCCTCCGCGGCTACCACGCCTTCGTACGGCCAAGGCATCCTCAAAGGAGGTGGCTGGTAGTATCTTACACCCTAAACGGACCATTTTCAAGTATTGCCAGGGCAAGACTGCGAAAAGTCTCTCGAAAGCCACCCGGCCGTATATCACTCCTCAAGCTGATCGCGAGTTCCTTGCCGCACACGATGCTCTTTTTGAAGCTAAGAAGAATGGAGATAAGGCACCAGCACGTAAGACTCGGGGTAGGAAGGGAACACCCGCGGCGAGGAGAGAGAAGAGCCCTCATAGTAGAGAAAATGGCGTTCCTCTAGGAGAATATCAGCCTCTTCAAACGGATGCGGAAATCCAAACCAGAAAGGTAGAGTTACTAGAGGCGCATCGCCAGAGTATCATTATTGCATGGATAACGACTCGGCATATAAAGGCCGTTCGAGTGACGCCGTCGAGAATTGCAGATTTTCCAAGGTTGGATGATGAGAAGTTTATCGAAAGGGATGCCAATGGAGTTGAGATTCGCTTCAGGTGGGATAGATATCTGGGACAGGTAAGCTATGATATCTATTTCGCTCATACCCTGCCTAACTTACGACCTTGCAGCTCTTTCTATACTATTCGCAGCCGTTTACGGCGCGATATGTGGACGTTGATGAATGGAAGTCACCGCTGGACATGGTTGCGCTGGTAGAGCGTCTCGTAATGGCCACCGAGCCTTGGCAAGCATGGTGGATGAGTATTCGAGACCTTTATCGTTGGGAAAATCCACGGCGTACAGCCATTTGGTACGCCGTGTTTGCGGTGCTATGGCATACTCAGCATGTAGTTGGGTTTTTGGTGAGTGATTATGTTCACTTAGGAGTGACATTGAAACTAATGCGCTGTTAGTATGCCTACATACTATACATCACGTTGAAGAACAAGTTTTACCCATCAAACGCCGATGCTATACGGGAATCTCTAGATCGTTCTCTCGACAGAGAAGCTCAGGCTTATCATTTCGGCGAAATGGTTGATCGGTATGGACGAGAAAAGTGGCTTGAACCATTACTAGACCAGATTGCTCCGTTTATACGGGTTCAACTTGGTGATTTGGTGACTCTTCTTGAAATCACACGAAAGTATGCCGTTTGGTTTTTCCTTCCCTAAGAACTAAAACTAATGTAAGACTCAGTTTTTACTATTGGCGCGACCCCCGGAAAACGGCGGCTAGTCTGTTCTTTTTCTTTTCCTGTCTACTCGTCACTTTGCTCACAGATATGGAGTTTTGCATGAAGGTCGTATGGTTTGTTGCGATCAATGTCTTCTTCCTCTGTTGGCCAATCGCTAGTCGATACCCACGGTATAGATACTTTGTCAGTCCGTTCCGATGGATATTCTGGGATGTACCTTCCTATCGTAAGTCTTCCATTGGATTGTGTGCAAGGGAAACCCCACTAAGTCTCCTAGCTGAATGGGCGATACGTTTTCTGCAAGAACACGAAAGCCTTCGTCGACACGAAATAAAGACACACGGGCTGGCGCACAGCAAAAATACCTATTCTCATGACATTCACTCCAATCAGGAAGATACTCGTGGAGATGCTTTCCATGACGCGGCCGAGACCCGAGAACACATAGCAGAGAAATTTCCATATCAAGAAACAGACAGTATAAAGAGTGACAATGAAGACACTGCCTCACCTTACGTCCAATCAGTCTACTTTACTGCTTATCAGCACGGCCGCGAGGGACAACTCATCCTGACGTCCGAAGGCATACGCTTCGTTGAAAACCCGCATCTTCTAACGACATTCCACCAAAAACGAAGACAATTACTCGATCAAGAACCACGATGGTCACTTACTTATGCGCAACTGTTGCAAATGACGAAGCAGCGTAGCCCCAAATTCTCAAAATTAGCAGGCCTCGACCTCAGTCTAAAAAGATTAGATTTCGAGTTTTCAACTGACAATACGAATGCCAGCGAAGAAGTCTTCAAAGGCAACGTTTGGGATATAAAAAGCTCATACCATACGATGGCTGGAGGAAAGAGGACGAGGATTGAGAGTGTGGACGTTAATCAGGCTGAACGCGATGAGATTTTCAATCTGATTGTTGGATGGAGTAAAAGCCGGTGGCAGGCAACGAGTGGGCAGGACAATTGGAGCAACAAGAATTGATGTTTTGTTAAAAGACTGAGTTTTCCTTGCTGCACACTGACTCATTGACCCCGTCCGCTATCCTGCTGTCAGTCGATCGCCCATAATCTGAACACCGGTCCGGTCAGTGATCCCTTCCGCGGCAGCGGAATCACAGTCCCAGAATACCTGAGGAAAAGCAGGACCTCTCCACGATCTAATGGCTTATAGGTTCGGATCGCTTCGGCTTGAGGATAAGTGACCTCTGCTTGAATCAGTCTTAACTATGGACTGAAGCGCAGTTACTTGAATGGAGCAGAAGCAATCAGATTCGAACGTGAACTGGGATGGAGTTTTCGACCATGTTCTGGTAAAAGCTTTGCTACTGGTGAACATGGGTTTTAGGGGCCATAAGTCAAAATCGCTGGTACAGTACGTAGTTGAGGAGAGATCCTCTATAGTTACATAGTATATGGACAAAGGTCTAATGGCAAGAAGATAATGTACAGGAAGAATTATCTTACATCTCTATATACGATCGAACAAAAGCATCAGTTACGAGCTTTCAGTTACCGCTCGCTTTCGCCGCGGCAATAATGACATCCGAAGCCTTCTCGCTGATCTGATACGTGGGCAGAGCGATATAATACCCCGGAATCTTGGGAAAGACAGAGGCATCCACAACCCGCAAACCCTCAACGCCACGAACATGGAACTCCGAATCCAAAACAGCATTAGGGTCCGAGTCGCTGCCAATAGGGCAAGTGCACGATGCATGATGTCCCCAAGCCTCACGTTTAATGAAATCCTTCATTTCCGCCTCAGTGGTAACGTTAGGGCCGGGCCAGGTTTCGGTGAACGAGCCATCGAGAGGAATCAAGTCAGCAAAGGCTTGACGGGCGAACATCATCCCTTCGTATTGGGCTTGTAGGTCCAGGTCAGCGGCCCCATCGGTAGTAACGCCTTCGTCGAAATAGCGGAAATTGATAACGGGTGTATCGCGGGGATCTGTCGAGCGCAGTGTCACTGTGCCCATGTTGTTGCGTACGTGGGATTTCAGAATGATCCATGCCCAGTGTTTTGCGTCAGCCAATGAATAGGCGGAGTAACCAGGAGAGTATCCCTTGAAATTGGCTGGTGCACCGGAGACGAAAATATCCGGGAAAGAGGTATCAGAAGTGCTGCTGTTGCGGAGGATGGCAATGGCGATTCCATTGGTAGCATATGTGCCCGGGTCAATCTTGTTGTCCTCCCACTGCTTGAGACATGGATCGGGAGAAGTACGAAGGAATGTGCATTGGGCAGTGATGAAAAAGTCTGTGGGAGCTTCGCCGATAACGGTATTCTCATAACGGTCTTGAAGATTGGTGCCGACGCCTGGTAAATCAGCTACTACAGGAATGTCGAACTGCTCCAGTTCAGCCCTGGGGCCGACACCACTCAGTTTGAGTAATTGGGGGGTGTTGAAAGCACCGGCAGACAGAATGACCTCACGGGTGGCGTTCACTGCTCCAGGAGTACCGGGACCTGCCTTACTCGAGCGTAAATCAGCACGGTAAAGACTCTGGCCCTGGAGATACTCGACTCCGACCGCGCGCGGAGTAGCACCAGTTTGATCAAAGATGACCTTTGTGACGAGCGTTTCAAGCTGGATGTCGAGAACGTATTTGCGTGACCCGTCCGAGTTTGTAGCGGCTATGGTATTCATGAGGAAATCGCGAGGTCCAGTACGGGAATGATCTGGAAGTTTGACAGCGAGAGGAACTTGGAAGGGCCCCGTGGCCCAGTTTCGATCGGGAGAGTTCAGATCTCGAAGAAGGACACCGGCTAGGCCAGTCACGGTGTTAATAATCATACCCAAGATGGATTTTCCAGCAGCTGTACAGGAGGCTAGAATCAAGGACAAGAGCTTCTGGTCTTCGACAACCAGACCCAGCGAGGTCAAGGTGGTCATGAGCCATCCGTTAAAGCCATGGCCGACAATTGAAGTTGGCAGGTAACGGTTGGCCTCCAGACGCTCAAAGTAGGTCTGCATATTGTCGGGCTCCCATGACTTGTCGCCAGTAATGTCTGCAATATATTGCCAATCGGCATCTTGTGCCGTCACGGTAATCATAGCATTATGTGCCGTGCACCCTCCTAGAGTTCCAGCACGTGGGTAGAGAATACCAAGTGGTTCAGCACCAGCAGGGGGATCAAGACCGACGTATAGTTCCCCAGAACTCGTGTTATATACCATCTTGGAATCTTCCTTTTGACGATCAAGATCGGTGTAGTGGTTGACAAAGTAATCCCAGCGTTGGGGCTCATACTCGGTAGACTGGAGTTGCAATGCTGGAACCATTTGTTGAGTTGCATTCCCTTCATCGGTGCCAGCGTCGAGCAGGAGAACTTTGTACCCGGCTATCGCGAGACGGGCAGCGAGGGGGCCACCTCCAGCACCGGATCCAACAATGACATAGTCATATTCCACGGCACTACGCTTGTGGGAATGATGAAAATTCAAATGTCTTCTTGGGAGTTAGTATTTAGTACTCTTTTATCCCTTCTTGATTGGCGCTAGGAGGTAACTTACGAAGCCGTCACCACAGCTCCAAAGAGCGAGAGATAACTAAGACACTCCAGAAGAAGCATTGTCAAGCCAACCTTCGAAGGTTGTTGCTCTATTGTCCGCCCAAATCAAAAGCTTGAATATCAAAAGAAAGAATGTGAATTGAATAGCCGCTGAATGCAGATGAACTTCAAGCTATGATATAAAGCCGGCTTTTACCGGTAGTCAGGGGGTGTCAACACCACATGTTCTTACTTTGCACTCTTTACCTAGGTATAGAAGCTATCTAATAATTATAGCGATCAGCACGTTGCTTAATACCACTAAAACAGCCCCTTTCCGCTAGGTAGGTTGACTGCTATCCCGTGTTAAAGGTCGGGACATTTAGAACTGCATAAGCCCACAATCGAGGAAGACTAAAGAGATTAATATACATAGAACATGTCAATTCTTAGCTTGACGTAAAGTAGCTGACCAACCAGTCGTAACTATTTGTTAGTTAACCCCTTACTAAATTAATTTTGTTGACTATGGAGCTTATTGTTCCGTCTACACGGTAAGAATACAGATAGTTTTATACAAGTTCATGCAGGTCTGTTCGAATTTGCACACGTTTCCTGTCGATCGCTACTGTGGAATACATTGACAGGCACATAAACAAAATTGGTGCATGGATAATGTGCCGTTCCCTGTCCCTGTCTGAAACGGCGCTGGTCTTGATAAGGTAATAGCAGGCGTATTTACAGTTCTCACTAATCGATGGCCGACATGGCCAAGAGCTGGAATTGTAAGTCCGGTGTCCCGTCAACCCGTTTTTCAGTCCCGCTGAGAGTGGGGGAGGCGTTGGACGGTCAGTCTTGACAATGTTGACATGAGTCTAAATCCGTGCGGCAAAGATATCTGGAAGAATGTATCCACCACGGCAAATAGCCCTAACTTCTCGTGCCGTCGAAGCAAAGCGATCGACAAAAGCTGAGAAAACTCCAGTTTTTAGAAGAAAAGCAATTACGTGGAGTATTCGGATGATTTACTTTTGTTGAATTGTACGATACAAGGCGAACAATAGGTTAATGATGGGCAAGAAATACAACTGAATAAATGGAATGATGGTACAAATGTAATGTAATAGATTGGCATATCAACGCTTTTGGGAGGCCAAGCAAAAAAAGGAAACATAGGGAAAAAAAATTATCCAGCTCTTCAGACCTTTGGCAACTCTGTATGAGAAGTCACTTCCACAAGAGTAGTCACCTCGACAAGCGGGAAAGCATCGCCATCTTCCAGAGTGGCACGTCGATTCTCCCTAATCATACCGCCAGAGTGACCAGATCGCTGTTCGTAGTAATTCGGAGTTTTTGCACCACGACGAACAGCGCTGCCCAATGTATTTGGGAAGATTTTCCAAAGAAGTTTTCGTATGGCGGGTAGACAGGCACATATTATACCGACGTCGACTTCGATTGTGCTCCAGTAACCCAGCTCCACGTAGTCCCCTTTATTTCCTGGATATCAGTTTTGGATTCTTGACGGGGATGTACTTGGACTTACATGTGAGGTTCGACGTATTGGAAAATTCGACCAAAGTGTGCAACCGTAGTATACTGACAAGGGTCACGCTAGACAGAAGTCAGCAATATACTTATAAAGAACTCTTTATGGCTCGTCAAACATACAAAATACCCAGACTAAACATAATCATCACTAGAATCTTCTTTCGCATCGACATGGTGAGTTTTCTCAATTCATGCAAAGGCAAAACCATAGTAAGAATGTCAAGAGCCATGTTGAGCACGGCTGACGTCCATCCTTGAGCGTTGATATTCTGGCATTTCGCCGGATGTTCGCCATCCCATCGGAGCCATGCAGCGTTGATGGGACGACATTGAAAGACAGAGACGAGCACGAAGGCAATCCAGTAACCCACATTCAACGCAATAGCGACATATGCCGCATTTCGGAAGTATCTTTGTGGAAAGACTCGAAGATAGAACAGCAGGATTGATATTTTGGTGAGCGGTAAGATGCTGAGGTAGATATCCTCGTCGAAATAGTAGATCTATCGCGCGTTAATTACGTGTATATAGGCTGGGGTTGTTGCAGGAGACAAACGTAGAGAATGTATGTAATGTCATCAAATGGAACTGTCCACATATCCTTTCCAAGGCCATGCTTGGCCACTGACAAACAAATCAGTATCATCTTCAATAAGAAGATTCGAGCTCAGAGTAGATTCACGTACAAACATCGGACAATGCTGCCAGCGCAATTGCCAGTGCCTGTAGACAAGTCAGCTTTCTTCTTCTCTGCGCCGCAAGACAAAAGGGTCGAAACTTACAACGACCAGAGTCATAACCGCATCATCCAAACCCAATGTACCTCCTCCAAACTGTGGTACACGAGACAGCATTCGTAGAATGTAAAAGAAGACCGCGACAACGCCTCCAATAATCCCAGCATTTGAGACAATGGAAGTACGGTCCCTTACTGGCGCGCCACAGAGAGTGGAAGTCACATTTTTGGTCGCTGCTAAAGTTAGACTCCTTGTCATTTTCATCAATATCGTGAGATTAGGGAACTCATACTGAGTGATTCTCGAATTGTACAGGATTGTGAAACGCAAAGAGCAATCAGTCCGTTCAGCTCCTTGTTCGTACAGATGCATGGCAAATCTGTCGCCGTGCAATTCGACTTGGGGATCTCTTGTTCAAGGCAAGCAAGCTATTTATCTGTTAATAGACTTGAAGAGCAGCGTTTTAAGAGGACGTTCATACTCCGCAAGGTGGCAGCTCTCCCAGAAGTGCTGTTTCACTAGGCGGGGGGGCTGTGGCGATGACAACAGTCGAGATTACTGCAAAAATTGCGGTGATCGCGAATGATCGCATCTTCCAAGGTTATCTCTTGTTATCCGAACTGCTTGAAAGAGTTGTTGTCATGGATCTCGCAGTTCTTCCTGTCATTTGTAGGTATATACCAAAATATACGTACCATCTGTTCACCGAACTTAGCAGGTGTTGATCTAAGTACTTAACAGTCAGCACTTAAACTTTTTAAGCTCTACTGCATTAATTCTCCACTCATTATAATTGATGCTTTTAGTTCGTGAAATACCTTGTCAATCCTTGCCAAGTAGCTGGGCTTAGGATAAGATCCATGTCAATATTCTGTCAATTAACGTGCTCGGTTACTTACCCTATGAAGGCAACACTTTCCTCTTTTAGGCGAGGATTGGCAATGTCAGTTGTTCAATTCATTTACTTCAAAAAATGGGGAATTCCGGAATATAGCTTACGTCGCTAGTCAATGGCCTCGAACCGCCAAAAGAAGTAAACTTGTCGGACAATCTGAGCACAAGCCCTGTCCCACGGCTGGAAGGTTTCCGTTTCCGCTCGAAAACAAAGTTGAACCTGACACGGAAAGGGACTTTTCTCCTGACTCTGAATGAATTATCATTGTTGAATTATCCCTTTCTGCATCGTTCGTTTTCTGGAAAGGCATTTCGGCTGTCTTTTGTTCAACCGTCCGCTCATTAACGAACATCTATCTCACCCGGAGTCGTTCCTTATTTGTTGTTTTCGGTTCTTCCCTTCTTCTTTCTTTTCAAACAAGTCCAATAGAGGAAAGGAAATCAATATGAGGTTTCAAAGCGTGGTATTTCCAGCCTTCTTGGCTGCTAGCGGCGTGTCTGCTTTTCCCACGTCGGAGAACCTGATGAAAATGATGTCCGTGGCTAAGGTACAACGGTGCCCATTCGCTGACATCAAGGATGGAGTCGAGAAGGCCATCCAGAAGCGTAGTCTTCTTGATCCCCTGTCTTCTCCCATTGAAGGTGAGCAGTTCGCTATCCTCATCGGGTACCCCATTGCCTGACGCAACATTTAGTCACCGGTGAACACCAGTTCGTGCCCCCTGACTTTGCAGCTGGCGATCAACGTGGGCCCTGTCCTGGTTTGAACGCTCTAGCAAACCATGGATACATCCCTCATAATGGTGTCGTGTCGGTAGGTGTTCCCCCTACTCGTATCTATTCTCCGGTTGACAAGATTGTAGCTGGCGGAAGTTGTCCCTGCCATTAATCAAGGTAATCTCTTTTCGAAAAACAAGGTTATCGAACATGCGCACTAATCATTTCATCAAGTATGGGGAATGGCCCTTGATCTTGGTCTTATCCTTGGCGTCATGGGAACCGTCTGGGTTGGGGATCCAATTTCGCTCAACCCCAGCTTCTCAATCGCTGGCGAGTCACCTGCCATAGAAGACTTGTTGAACAATGTATTTGGCATCCTCGGTATGTACCTCTTCTCTCCAGGTCAACACCGTAAGAGAGCTAAGTGTTGAAGGAACTCCACGGGGCTTGAACGGCTCCCACAACTTCATTGAATCCGACTCATCCCCGTTCCGCGATGACCTCTATCTCACCGGGGATGCATGGACGCTGAACTTGACTAAGTTTCAGCATCTGTATGACATGTCGACTGACGGCACATTCAGCATGGACCTGATGGCAGAATTTGCCAAGGATCGGTACTATGAGAGCGTGGCTACCAATCCTAACTTCTACTATGGCCCATTCACCGGTGCTATCGCCCGAAATGCTGGTTACATATTTGCTGGACGGCTGTTCCGGAATCATTCTGTTGAAAATCCCGAGGGAGTCCTTAGTATGTTATATCCGCGCTGAATCACTCACTGAAGCCGATGTTAATGTTCCGTGATATACAGCAAAGGATGTTCTCAAGAGTATCTTCGGCGTCAGCGGACCGGACAATGCATTGCAATACACGTACGGCCATGAACGTATCCCAGAAAACTGGTACCGTCGTCCAGTCGACTTTGGGCTAGTGGAATTGAACTTGGACCTGTTGGGAATGGCTGGTAAATATCCCGAACTCCTCAAGTAAGCACCCCTATACCTCTAATTCGTGACTGAGAGTTCTAATCAGAGTTCAAGTATTGGCGGCAACGTCGGCTCCGTAAACACTTTCAGCGGCGTTGACCTCTCTAATCTCACCGGTGGTCTCCTCAATGCCGCAAATCTCCTCGAGGGTAACAATCTGCTTTGCTTTGCCTTCGAAGTCGTCAAAACCGTCAGCCCCAATGTGTTGACCAATATCTTCTCCACAATCGCTGCTCCTTTGGAACTCATCACGAATGCGCTCGCCACACCACTGCTGGACTTGGCTTGTCCGGCTTTCAAAGATATTACTTACAATGGCGAACCACTTTGGGAGGGACTTCAATCTGCGTTCCCGGGAGCTGGATGGGCCAATGCTGTTTTGTAGACCTGCATATTGATGCCCTTGGAAGCCAAGACGGGAACCAGAGGAAGGGATGAAGAAGACTATTGTGTTGCGAAGAGATTGTATATATGTAGGACTAGAAATTGTGCATTTGGAAAATATCACGAGTCGTTGTACATTACTGAACCTAACCCTGTCCCACAATATGTGGAGAGCCCCCAATTCCCAATATAGCCTGCGAGGGTCATGATAATCTCCAGAATCATTTTATTCCAGCTTAATCCTTTAGTGTGAGACATTGAATATCGATTACAGAAAGTGATTATGACCCTAAACAAAAATCAGATGAGCATTATTTCTATATTGGGTCGTGGTAGGAAGACTGTTTATATATATTAGAATTGAGAGCAAAAGTTTGTTTAGCTCTTACTGCATAGAAGACTGCAGAATTTATGGCCATACCATGAATGCAAGATGAGGATTGGAATTCTGCTCTTAAAAGCTGTGAACAGCCATAAAAATAGTCTATTTATCCAGCTTGAAATTTATTAACACCCGGACAAATTATCCCCATATGACTTACATCCACACAAAGCTTTTCTCACCATCAGAAAGAATGTGTACATTTCTGCCTATCTCTTTGCACCTCATCATCTGAATATTATGTGAAAATGACGAAATGGCTGCTTATCAATTGTTGAATGTAGCTTTATTTTTCATCTGTATTGTCGCAATCCTACAACGGCGTCGATGTATTGATTGTTCCTATATCCTTTTCCCTGTAGCATGGACGTAAGCAACCTTTTCCGCAATATCTCCACAATATTTTTATATCCTTTTGCAGAGGGAGCACAGAGAGTGTTAGAATAATTTGCGCCTTGACCACTAACATCAGCCCCTTTCTCTAGCAATACCTGCACAACATCAAAATGCTCCTCCTGCAGATGCAGCTTGAAGAGCATTGCCAAAAAATCCACCTTGAGTATTAACGTCAGCCCTGTTCTTCAGGAAAACTTGCATATTGCTCTTTACAGGGATAGTCGTATAAAATATCGACATTAGCCTCCTCATCAAATAGAGTTCGCTGTGTCTTTTCATTTGCTCTCGCAGAAGCAACTTGGAGAGCATTCCCATAATGTCCATCTTGAGCATTGACCTCAGCCCTCTATCTAGCAGTCAACCTCCTGCAGAAGCTGCATAGAGAGAGCATTATCATACTGCCTATCTTGAGCATTGAGATCGGCTACTTTCTCCGATAGCATTTGCACAACCTTGGTACCCTCTCCTATTGAAGCGGCCTGAAGAGCATTGCCCAGAAATTCATCTTGAGTATTAATATACAGCTCCATTTTCCAGGGTTATCTGCACAATCCTTGTTGGGGCACGACATCCACTGACTATCTTAGAGATGGCTATGGCCGCTTCGTTTGGATTACAATATCAATTGAGATTGGTCTTTTATTGACCTGCCCAATGAGGAATTATCTTGCAGTCTGATATGTGGCCATTGATAGCAACAGAGTGATACTAAGAGTAGAACAGGTTCTCCATTCTCAGGTAGACTACCCGAGGGATGTTCTCTCCGCCTTGAGTATTGATATTAGCTCCTCTTTCTAGTAATATTTGCACAACATCGATGTATTCTTTAACAGTTGCAGCTTGGAGAGCATTTCCATAAGGTCCACCCTGAGAATTGACATCAGCTTCATTGTTCAGTAACATTTTCCAATATCGAATGACCTCCTGAACATGCGGCCTGGAGAGCATTCCCAAAGTATTCTGGGTTAAAACCTTGTCTTTTTGTTCTGTATGCTTTGTGCAAGGATATTCATGCGCAAACCTATTAGGAAACCTGGATCTTCCGGGATTAAAGCCTTCCTTGTTCATGTTTGGATGCTTTGTGCTAGTATAATAATACGAAGAGCTGTGCTGGAATCTACTTCTGGGTGTTCCTGACTTCTAATAATTTGGGCCAGTATTTTCTCTCTGTTGAAATGGAGGGTCTCGTTTAGGGAATCCTTCTCGTCTATTCCAACCAGTGCGTTGGCCTGCGGATGACGGTGTATTACCAGTATTTGTCCTCCAGTGATTCCTGTCATATTCTTTTTCCTGCTCTTTGTTTGATAATAAGTCATAAGGTTGCTTGAGGTCTTGGAATTTTGAATTATACTCGGCTTCTTTGCCGTGATTTTGTCGGGATGATGCTGTTTGGCTGATAGGAGTAGGATAATGAGATTAGTACTTACCTAGTTATTAAACATCTAACTCCAAGCAAGAATAAATACCTAGATTATGAAATTGTTACTTAATCTCATTTGCCCTGATTTAGGATCGGCATGTAGGATCTCGTAGTAATCCTTTGATTCACCCATATTGCCAGGTACTGAGTACAACCTATCCGTCTGTAGCTTGGTGGCGGGATAACATCGGTTTAAAGGTCGTGGAAACTGTATACTAGATTTGATAGACTTTATTTATTTGCGCCGTAGTCATAATTGTTCTCTCCTGTTTGGTCTTGACTGGGTTGGAGCACTCCAAATAGGCAGTCATACTAAACTTTGCTTCGCTAGAATATAATTCTACAAAGGTACTGGAGCCCTTTCTGTATGCATATACACCTCTTTCTCGGTGCAGAATAGGAAAGGTGGACCACAGGTATTCTGATTTTCTGCCCAAAAAAGGAAGCTAAAATTAAAAAAACTAAAAAAAACATCAATTCCTGGCTGAAAAGAGAGACTGTTATTATAAGTTTGGGGCCTGCGAAGAATATAAAAGCTAAAACCCATTTCACGGATTACCATTTCTTGCCAATATAGCCGTCATTTTTCTCCAGAATTAGGTCTCACGGATGAAGTTAGCTAGCCTAGAATGGCATCATGTCGCCCTGCTATTGATCTTTACCTCAGAAGTAGTTACTGTAGCACTTGCCCTTGATATATTGAGAGACAATGGAAACAACGCAGATGGGGTTTTCACTTTAACTGTAAGCCTAGTAGGGTTTAATGGATCTATAACTGAGTAATTACATGTAGTTGCTGAATGCTCGAAAACGTGGGAGTCCGTCCGTACCCAATATACTGGTTACCTTCGTTTTCAGTCAGGTTGAAACAGCTATACTCGAGATTCCGAATACAATATTAAGTCATGTTGAAACTTTCGTGTCAGCGATTGCGACAACGGCATCGGACGTGCTGCCTCAGAAACTCACATTGGGAACAAAGCAGCTTTGTTTAGTCTTTCCTCGCCACAGAGACTGTCAACTCTTCCTGCATCTCTTTCAACTCCTTTGCCGTCTAGTTTTGACACTGCGGCCTTTTGCACGCGCTTGATCAGGTCTCAAATATGTGTGATTCCAGTACCATGGAAGCCATGCTTGTTGTTGGAGGCGCATTGTGCCTTGCGATAATGGATATGTCCTTATTACTATGCTTGAATTCGGTAACCGATATCGTGATTCTCCGAGGACATTATTTACTTATATGCCTATGCTATACAGTGTTCGTTATGTTCCTATTCCCGGCAGTGGTCTGGTCAAAGGTTAGTAGTATGGTCTCCCAAACCACGCCGGGTCTATATCGCGAGGGCGACGCACTAAAAAAAGCATCGTGGCAGTCGTCTGTACCGCTTTCTGCATAATTCTAAATATTTTCTACTCTCTACTGATATACAAAATGAGGCTGTGAAGGTGGAAGGATGCTTCGTATTCATTCTAGCGGCGGCAGATGAGTTGAACGATACTCTTGAGAATGCCTAGCATAAATGTTATCTAGATAATGTATTAAGTAGACGCCGAGAAAAGCTGTACACTGTGTGTATCCCATGTATTGAGAGCGTATATTAAGGACTTGAGTCAGCTTAAACTACTATACCAGCTATACATGGCAATATGTGGCTGTCAGCTTAAGTGTTTGAGGATGCAGGTAGGTCTGTTCAAAGCTCTGAATCAGGTTTAACTTAGTAGTCGAATATGGAGTAGTGCATTTTATCATTACAGATGCTCAGCCTACCAAATCTCTTACTTATGTCAGGGTAGCCTGTCACCGTATCCCATACAAAGAATTCCTAATATGGGAATAACCATATGACTGTGTTGGAATTATCCAGCCAAAACTAGGGCTAAACTAAGCTGTATGATATAGTATACCATAGATCACCATAGTTTGTAGTCAGTGGATCCTCAACGGCGTTTAATAGTGGGTCTTGAACAGGGGTCTAGGCTCCGTTTCCCTCATTCCTTTCATCCCCGGGTAAATCATAGTTGAACAGCATCAGGTCATTCACATGAGGCAATAGCCATGAGGTAAAGTCTTAAATACAGGTCGATTTTTCCAGGATTAGATCCAATGGTCCAACCTCTCGGTGTCGACAGGCACGGGGGTGCCATCAAATGTGAGACACACGGTAAGAGAAGTTCCCTGAGCACAAGTGTTATCAGCACGGAAGAATCATACATGAAGCAAAGCCGATGGAAGGAAGCAAAAGAGCTTCAAGTGCCAGTGATCGAAAGTATTAGGCACGTTCTGGGACTAGAGCATCCTGATACGCTAAGCAGAATAAGCAATCTGGAATCTATATACGTGAATCAAGGACGATGGAAAGAAGCAAAGGAGCTACAGGCGCAAATAATAAGGATTCGGATGCAGGTATTCGTGGAATTTGAAGATTCTGATTCGTCCATTGAGGACGGCTCAGTCTTTTCTGCCACACTCTCCATTCCCAGCACTAGATCATTGGACTCTGGAAGAGCGGATATAAATACGTTACTCGTTCAGGGATTTGCAACTCTGCTTCATGAAGATGACACCGTACTTTCGCTCCTTTTACTTGGTATATCTGCACAAAAAATTTGCTTTGAAAGGATGCGAAACCACTTCCGGAGATTGTTGAATCACTTCGCGATTAGTATCAAGGCAGATAGCCTCAGTGAACTACACCGAGACCTCAGAAGCTTTGTAAGCTCATACTCGGCTATGATCACCCATGAACTATTTGCCATGACACCTATTGACAAAGAGCGAAACATTCCACTTTCCCGTTTCAGAGGTAGAGCTAGGAATCGTAGCAGATAAGAAAACGCTTAGCGCATGAGAGGAAAATAGAATACTTCCTTCAACATAGGTAGGGATCGCCATACTTCTCGGATAAGTGATGTAATCGAGGTTTCCAATCCCGAGGACGAAGAAAGCGACCAAGACTCTGTGACAGAGGAACTGGGTGATGATGAGCCCTATGAAGGATCGTTGCAACACTTAGATCAAATAAAACACCTCATTCTGCAAAGCACTACTTATCAGATCCTTCGACATCGGCCCGGAGAGTTTGTTCAGCCCACGCTACATTCTCGGCTTCGAGATCTAGTGACCAGGTGGTCAAACCCAGCAGACAAGAACCATGGCGAGATTGCGCGGTATAACCTGTGGGATCTCCTCACAGAATTGCGACACGTTTATCACTATCGGAATAAATTTAAGTACGATAACAATATGTCTGGATTTCTCAGGTTCACCGGCCACTATCAGCATATAGTTGAGCGTTGGACTGGAGAGCGTTGGGATTGGTGGCCATTGCCTCGCTGTCCGAGGAATCAGAGACAAGGATACGGTGGAATTGTGTAAGGTCTCATCCAGCACTACTTGATAACTAGGTTCTAATTAGCAGCGTAGATATATGGTGAAGAGCGATAGGGAGAATTACCGAATACCTTTGTCAGACGACTCCGTTCCATAATCAGGAGTCTTCTTATGGACACCACGGCAACCCAAAATATGCAACCTCTTTCAGATGCACATAGTAGATCCAACTTAGTCCCTATGATCAATAGACAGATTCCTAGCCATGTGTCCCATCAAAATCAAAAAGCCATCAACCAGTTAAACCGCCTTCTAACATGTCACTGCATCATCAACACCCAGGACTCAAGGTCAATACCTTGGATAGGACGACCAACCAACACCGTTCTCTTCCTCGTAAAAATGGGCGAAGACTACAATCTCGCACAGATCTGCGTCAGCAATCTGAGCTGCCAAACATTCTTCGCCACCCTGGAAGAAGAGTGTTTCCGCCCGAGAGGTGTTCTACGGAGCAGCTGTAGTGTTTGGAGTTACTCTCATTGTGACTTTCACAAGGTAGTTCCATTTATCCAATACAGTATTCCAAGTATTTTGGTTAAAGATATGTATCACAGTTCGAGAAGTTTGATGACCACGAGTTCATGCCCAGAATCAAAGATGCATTCCCTGATCATGCGAACAGCGAATACGAGTATCAGCCAAGGCCAATGGATAACATTCCCCCGATTTCCGAATACGAATTCGAGAAACGTTTCTACGCTTACCACAAACCACGACCGCTACTTCATCTGCACCACAAATGTAGAAGGCTAAGAGCTCATTCCTCTGACATTTGGAAGTTCCTGCCAAAGAAAAGGAGCAAACTGGAAGAAGTGGGGGACAAGCGAAAGGACTTGGGGATATACGCTCGCGAAACCACAAGTCTATGTCGAATCATTTTCTACAATTTTATTTGTATTACACCTTTACTAGCGTTCTGCGTGACATGGCTTATACCGCAAGGGCGTAGTACGGATTTGCAAAATCCATCTATCCCAGTCTCCATAATGGTTCCAATGTTCTCTCTATTTTGGAGCGTGTTTCTCGGCAGATTACAGTTTGGAAATTGCATCAGAGCAGACATGTACTTTAATGAATCATTTCGGTATTTCACATTGTTGATGCCCTGCTGGTCAATGCGAGTAGATCATGAAGTAAAGTTCGGCATTTTAAACCAAGGGCTATCCACGCCGCGTCATCCCCCTTGATGAACTTCATTCATGTACCGGAGTCAACGCGAGGAAGACTTGTCGCAGCTATATACTCTAACCTTCTGTTCTGCAGCCGCCTTTTTACTCAGACCAGCTATACCGCCACAATCATCGAGTAATATGGAAAATCCATCTTTACGGTTGATATCCTCCCACTGGAGCCATGGCAGATCTGGAAGCCATCTCCTATTATAATTCAATCGTCCCTCCCCTGTATCAGGAGCAGCCTTTAGCCTACAGCACCTATTCAACCGCCTGTGACGGCATTTGAGAAAGCCTCACAGGCACCGCAATATCGTATGTCGAGAGCTACTTGAACAATCCCAGAACTGTGGCAAGAGTGGACTTTCGGGCTCAATGGCCAGCGTCTACGTGAATCAGGTCATATCCTGTCATAGTATACAAATCTGTGATATTACTATTGTGCTATGATCTATACGGAAGGTAGTACACAGCTAACTGATAATGATACTTACATAACCACTACTTACACAAGGCTTGCCATTTGATCTGCTCTCAGCAGAGCCAGTATCAGGGGCGGTAATGTAATGTTCGGTACCGTCACGGAACGAAATTGGCCATTCCCAGTACCGGCCACATTCGTGTCAATCATCACCACTGCTACGTTCTGTTACATTACCGTTTGTTTACCAGTATCACGCGTAATTATCATTACTAATCCAGGTTCTGTAGTTAACTAGAACTTATCAACTCTCTACATTCTATTTTGCTCTTAACAAAGAACAAAGATAAAAGAACAAAACGGGAGGAAAAGAAAGGGAAAAGAAAGGGGAAAAAAGAGGGGAAAAGAAAGGGAAAACGAATATATCGTTCATCCTATCCTCCAAACAGCTTCACCATAACTCTTTGCATCTCCAGCAACCGCTATTCCATTCATTCCCACTCCCAACATGGCCTCTAACTCTGATCTTGGAGTCGTTCTGGTCGTCGGCGGCTGTGGCTACCTAGGCTCCAATCTGGTCAAGATGCTACAGGAAGAGCCAACATGCACAGCTATTCACGTTATCAGCCGGACACCGACCCAGAACCTGCATCCAGGCGTCACCTACCATGCAGGAGACATCAGCGATGCCCGGCAGGTGGCTGACCTCTTCACAAAAATCAATCCACGTGTCGTCTTCCACACCGCCTCGCCGAAAGACATTGCCCCAGAATCTCTTCTGCGCAAGACGAATATAGAGGGCACACGCAACCTCCTCAAGGCTGCTCGTGAAACGAAGAGCACGCGCGCTTTTATCTACACCGGCTCAGACTCTGCGCTTGAGCAAATGCCCGGAGTCAAACAGACAGAGGAAACCGCCAAGCTCTACACTGAGCGCAGCAAAGATGCCAATCCATACGCCAAATCCAAAGCCATTGCCGATGCTGAGGTGCAGGCTGCGAACACATCGCTGACCCTGACCACCGCTGTCATACGCATCCCTGGACTTTATGGCGAGAATGACGATAACTGCGTGGGCACGTTGCTGGAGACAATCACAAGAGGCGAACACAACGTGCAGGTCGGCGATAACAAACCAATCTTTGAATTTGTCTACGTCAAGAAGGCCTGCGAAGCACATATTCTGGCAGCCAAACGAATACTCGAGGGTCGTCTCAACGGCGGCCAAGCTTTCTTTATTTCCGACGGCGTCAGTCTTCCCTACTTTGATTTTGCGCGGAAATTGTACGCTGGCGCCGGTCATCTGGTTCCGCCAGATCAAATAAAAGTCATGCCGCTCTGGCTCGTGGTTGGTATCGCGAAACTTGGTGAATGGCTCTACTGGGCTTTTACTTTCAATACAAAATTTCCGAAAATGCGCAGTCAGCGCATTAGATACCTTGCTGGTGGTTGCCAATGGGATGTGAGCAAGGCAAGGGAACAGCTGGGCTACGAGCCGGTGACAGACCAAGACGCAGTTCTCAAGAAGGTTGCGCAAGCGGAAAGCATACGCTTAGGCATTAAGAAGTAGCTAGCATACATTGTCAACAACGATTTCCTATTTGTAACCCAAAAAGAAATACCAGTCACCAATATCAATATCATGATACAATGAACAAGAGGATCGGTAATATTCAACTACTAACCTGATTTCTACGCCGCAGCAAGAGGGTATTATTAGTCTTAGGAATCACCGCCGATCGCCACTATAACAGTTTCTTCAAAGATACCAACTGCCATCAACATGGGGCATCATGCACAAGGTCAAATCGAGCGTATTCTTGACCGAGGTCGCTCATTGGTCGATCTCTCCGCTGATGGTGTTATTGAGCTGAGGCGTCACTCTGAGCAGTCTATTGCTATCGACAAGTTCAAGGTCTCTTCTGCATAGTACTATGACTGGCTTGATAAAATCAGTAACGACATCCGCGGTGTGGAATATGATGCTCAGAATATGCATGTATTGTCTTGAAAGGGGGCCCAGGATGGATTCATGAAGATGCAGCTGCCTTGATTGGTAAATTTCTAGGGCTATTACGAGACAGGTTGAGTGCCGCTACTGACTCGCGCTACTTCTTGACTGGAAGCAAAAGTAAGCATCTTCTTAAACCTATCTAGTGCCTACCTTCAGCAAATTAACTATAGTCCTAGATTGTTTATTGGCCGGCGAATCCGACTGCTCTTCAAAACAAGCAGATGCGTCTCTCATGAAGTCTGGAACTAAATGGCCAGTTGTGGCTCTTGAAGTTGGCATTTCTGAGACTACGACGAAGCTCTATGATGATGCAAATCGATGGTTAAAAGGCAGCAGTGGTCAAACCAAACATGTTATACTTGTCGATGTTCAGGAGAAAGGGAGACCGGATACTTCGAACGACAAGTGGGATCTATCTGAGGTTGACTTTCTGGAGACCCGTCGTGACAGGCTCTCTGATCATATACTCCAATGGTATCAGTCTCAGGGAATTCAGCTTGTTGGTAACTTCAAGCTATCTGTACATTTATGGTACAGTGACAAATACAGGCAATGTATCCTGAATGAGGCCGCCTTTTCACCAGGCAAATTAATCGACCTAACAACCATCCAGGATGCTCCTTTTGAGATTGGACTATCTCATGCCTGATGGAAGTAATTCTGATATGAATTAGCCACTATTGTTTCCCTTAAGGCATCTAGCACACACGCTGCAAAATGACTTCGAAACTATTGAAAGTGGCAGGGCAGACCTCTTGGTGGAGAAAGAGCAGTCCTTTGTTCATTGCATGTTCTCTTTTATCGCGCTACAGAATCTGCTAGCTGGTTCAAGCCTGGTTGCGTAGAGATGATTGGAGCATCTGATACGTAAGGCCCCATTTCGTTCCGCATCCAGGTACAATATGCCACTATTTGTATAGGACTTGCTATAAAGTTTCAGTGGGAGTAGTGTGCTTCACCGAGGAGTGTCAGTAAGAGTAGAGCACCCTCTGTTAGTTTCCTACAGTTCTTACTAACAAGGAAATACCGCCACCATAGGTCTGGAGCACTCCTGAAGTTCGCTAGTTCTTATGGGCTTCTGCCTCCAAACGAACCTTAACAGAGGAAGTGGTCGTCGAAGTGCCCAAGGAGCCCAGAGTGGTGTTCGAGCAGAAGGAGTCGTACGAAGAAGGGTACAGAAGCTCATACTCGGGCTTGTTGTCGTTGCCCAGGCGGACAAGCGTCTTCTCATTGGGATCGTACTCGGGCCAGCCACGCTCGGACAGGCCAGTGCGCGGGTTGTCCAGGAAGGCAAACCAGGAGTGCTGCATCAGCTTGGTGAGCCCCCTTTGGGGTTCCGAGGTTGGGAGTCCGCTGACGGCGGCCGAGTTGCCAAACAGCATGTGCATGTCAGTGCCGTGATAAGCACCGCTGGTGGGGTACAGACGGGTGTTGTTCCAGTCGCCCATGTAACGGAAAGCCCAGGCGGGAGTGCCGTGCCTGCGACGGCTCTCGACCTGCTTGGCGACGGCGCAGGTGAAGGACTCGAGGTTGAACACGTTGTCCTGCTCTTGCGTGGGGACTGCACCGTTAGAGTAGACGGTGATAGCGTAGAAGCCGGCCTCATTGTTGTTGTTGCCGTAGAGAATGGGCACCTTGGCAAAGTCGCCCTGATCGGTGCGCTCGAGGTAGTCGGTGAAGACAAGCAGGTTGTCAGCCTTGGGGTAGAAGCTGGGAACGGTCCGCAGGGGGCTGCTACTTTGGCCCGACTTCACGGTGGCAGCGCCAGCTTTGATATCCTCCCAGGAGGCGTTGCGCATGCACTTGAAGGTATCGGTCGCGTTGCCACAGCCGACGTAATCGACGACGGTCTCCCAGTTGTCCTGCTGCGTAGAGGGGTCCGGTAGCGGGAAGCTGAACACGTTGCCTGAGTGAGTGATGGCGGCGCTAATGATGGGGTCATCGCGGTAGGCATAGGTCCAGTAGTCGACAGTGGCACCTCCGGCAGACTGGCCGCTAATGGTGATCTTAGAAGTGTCGCCACCAAAGGCCGCGATGTTGTCTCGAACCCACTCTGTGGCCAGGCGCTGGTCGCGCATGCCCAGGTTGGTGTCCAGACCATCGGCACCGGGGAAGCCGAAGATGTTCATGCGGTAGTTAACCGTGACCACAACCAGGTCCTCGGCGTTGGCGAAGTTGACGCCGTAGTAGAATGGCGTGTTGGTGTTTCCAAATGTGAACTCTGGCAAGGAGACGGCATGTCAGCATCAAATCAAAGGCTGGTCTAAAGGAGAAAAAGTAGCAACGTCAGGTCCACGATGCCCTACCAGGAGATCTCCAGGTACTCACTGCCACCGTAGAAGAAGACGAGGACGGGTTTCCGGGCGAGGTTAGAGCGAAAGGTGGCCTTGGCCCAGATGTTGAGGGTCAGGCAGTCCTCGCTCTGCGGCGTGCCGCCGCTTGCAGCAAAGTAGTCGATGATGCGGTTTGCGTCTTCGAAGAAGTCGGGATAATCAATGTACGGGAACGTGCTGTGCGGGCAATCGTAGCCGAAGTCCTTGGCCTCGTAGCTGTGGTGGTCCTCGTAGCGTTGGGGACTGGCGAAGCGAAGGTCGCCAACGGGAGGCTTCGCGTACGGGATGCCCAGATACTCAATGACGCAGGGCGTGTCGTCGACAATGTGGCCCTCGATCAGGCCATTGGTGGTCTCGACCTTGAGGAACTTGGAGGTGGAGGCTTCACACTGCTCGTAAGGACTGGCGGCGACAAGACTTGAGGCCAGCCATGTCACGGCAGCGAGCACGGCTTGCGCACACATGCTGGCAAGGATGTTCCTGATCGTTGCGAAGATAGAAGTGAAATAACAAGTAGTAATAAAGATTTTAGGCTAAATAGTGAACGAAGTAATAGATGATCAGGAATAATATACTAGGCAGTGGCAGGAGATCAATATCGGGAAGAACAACATACGCCGCAGACAATAAATGCTGCTGCGAGCGGATAGAATGCACATAAGCAATTCGGAGCTAAGAGTCGTGTATGATCACGACCAAAAAGCGACTAACATGAAATGCTACGGGGTCGGAAGATGCGTCCAGACGAGCAGGTCGATGCACCTCAGGCACGACTCCCGTAGCGTTTATCATCTATATATCATCTATATATAGACGAGACAGAAGAGAACGTGGTGGATGAGCAGGAAGATAAACAGCCTTCCGACGTTGAAAATTACCCAGTGTCACAAGAATCAAGAAGTCACAGTCAATAGATTAGCCTATCGCGAATAGACTAATGCATCAAGGAACAAAGGATTATCCGATAGGAGCTAGGATTAATCAGGAAAAGACACTGGACCTAGCCAACTTACGGCTCGAGGACATAGTCGAACATAGCCAGACTATGTCGAGTGCAACATAGTCGACATTCTCAGACAGTGAATATATGTTGGGATTCTGCCCTTAGATAGTCAGCACCGCCTACCTGATGTAGTTAGCGCGCTGGTAGCTAGATATCTCCGCCCTAGGTTCCTAGAGAGAGACACACAACAGAGTCAGTTTTCCTGCTACCAGCACAAGAATATATAAGGACGCTCATTCACCGTGTATTTACTTCTACTCTACTGGTTTTTATTACCTTACACGTATCACTCTAAGCTAGTTGGAACAGTTACTTCTCTCTTATTGTCTCTTTGATATAACTCGATACTCGTCTTTACGACACTCTCGTTAATAGAATACAACCGGACCTTTGTTGAATTAACTGCTTCAATTACAATCACCCATTCTCGATCACCAGGCCTAATATCTTTGGTCGAGCATATCAATTGCTTCCTGTTGTAACCTTTGCAGTTGCGCAGAATCCCATGCCAAGGCCAGTCTCATCAAAATTGTAGATATCTTCTAGCAAGATCCCATACACCGATATAACCTCTCATACACGATCAAAATATTCTTGAATTATCTTCAGATCTTCGCATTTAGCGCGCTCGTCGTTATATTTAACATGTCCACGTAATCAGAGTGGACACAGGGCGTATACGACTTTATATAAATCAATGTGATTGATAAGTGGTCAAGTGGAGTGGCAGAAACAGGAAATACGTAAATACCGCAGACTGTTCATCTTTCCCTTGCTGCCTTGCATCATCATTTTTCTTCCCTTCTCTCCTGCATCCGTCATCCATTCGCTATTTCAGTACCAATATACTTTGCTAATATTCACTTTCGAGGATTAATACAGGATATTCATTGATTTTCAAGCACTGTCGCAATGGCATATCAAGCGCATGGCCAGACGCAATACCCAAAATCGCATGGTGATACTGCCCCTCCATATGCCGATAACATCGCCCTCAACTCCAGCATAAACAACGATTCACCTCAGAAATTATCACAGTACTCGAGATTTGATCCGCGAGGATGGAGAACCCGCACAAGACTCATTGCTGCTGGCGGCATTGTGGTGATAATCATTGCGATCATTGTCGGCGCATATGAGGGTTGGAAAGCGAACCGATACCCGAATTATTCGGCGCTTACATATTCATTGAAGGATACCTATGAAGGAGAGAACTTTTTTGATAATTTCTGGTATTGGTCCGATGCGGATCCAACAGGGGGTTTTGTTTTGTAAGTAAACCTCTGTTACATTCATGTAGTACATGTGTTAATCGACTGACTAACTATCTGCAGCTATCTGCAGAGGGCAAACGCAGTTTGGTCTAACCTCACATATGCGACCAAGGACTCGGCCGTGATCAAGGTTGATACTAGTTATCCAAACACCATCGGTGGACGCAACTCCGTTCGCATCCAGTCCAACAACACGTACAACAATGGTCTATTCATCTTTGATATCCTTCACACGCCTTATGGTTGCGGTACATGGCCTGCATTGTGGCTTGCGGATTCGAGCAATTGGCCGACCAATGGCGAGATTGATGTTATCGAAGCTACGAACAATGGTACCTGGGGAAATAGTATGACTTTGCATACAACGGACGGCTGCAGCATGGGCGTAAAACGCAAGGAAACGGGTAAAGTTACATCGAAAAACTGCTACAACGGCACGAACTCCAACGAGGGATGCGGCGTGTCTAGTACCACTGCTTCCTATGGCCCTGAATTTAACAAAAACGGCGGAGGGGTGAGTGTTCGCCTATGAGCTTTCTAGGCCTTACAAGATGCTAATAATATAAAGGTCTACGCTACTGAACTTCGTGACGCTGGTATCCGTATCTGGTGGTGGCCTCGCAACTCCATTCCATCTGATATCGCCGACGGCAAGCCCGACCCGTCAACCTGGGGTGAAGCTACGGCGGATTTCCCTTCTACAGACTGCAGCATTTCATCTCATTTCCGGAATCAAAGTATCATTGCCAACATTGATTTATGTGGATCACTGGCTGCAGCCGACAGGTACTACATTGATCAGGCACAATGTCCGAGTAATTGTACGGCATACGTGGCTGCGAATCCTGGTGCATTCGCAGAGGCATATTGGGAGTTTAAGAGTTTCAAGGTCTATCAATCTTCTTGATTACGAAATTTTGTTTGTCTACATCATTCACATCATCGACTATCAGCGGAAACGGGTTGGAATTAATGACATAATGAGTATTGGGAACTATTATTACAAGGGCGACTTATGAGTATAGATGGGATAAAGGGATATTGTTTTGCTATGTTTACTCAGAACGCCACCACAGATTATGACACTTATCTTGCTTTATTGCCTATCGCAAGTTGGATGTATGGTTTACTCAGAGGGTGGCGGAGACTTACCTCAGACCACAGAATTACCTCCAAGAAGCGTATGGTTATTGCCATTACCACATTAATACAACCAAAAGATACTTCCGTATATAAGATCACTCTAGCCACAGATAACGTAGTAGGGGCAACATGATGTCAAACTCTATCATAAGGCGAGTTTGTGCGAGGAAGAAGTCTATAAAAACCGCAAAGAATCCAGCCCAAACTCAACCTTCTCGAAACCAAGCAAACTCAAATTACACTTCGCAAAAAAAGAAAAATTTTCAAGAGTTGTATCTCAACAAAACAAAACAATTAACCAAAGATGACTAGCAACACCTGGGGCAGCAGCTACGCCACCGATCCTTATGGTACCAACACCTACGGCACCAGCACCTACGGTGGCACCAGCTACAGCACCTACGGGGACACAACCGGCGGCGGCGCAAACCGTACAACCTACGACCCAACCACGGGTGCCTACGATCAACACATCGACTACGACGCCGATGCCACCACGCGCCGCCATCACCGCGAGCAGATGGATGAGTCCGGTCGATACTATCATCGCGATGTAGATCGGGACACTACGGGATTGGATAATACGACTCGCGTGCATAAGGAGTATTCGAATCCTAATACGGGAACGAGTTATACTAGGGATTCGGCGTATGATAGAAACAATCTTGTTTGAACGGTGGATTTGATGAAGATGGGGTTTGAGGGGACGTATTTAGGCGATTGAAAGAATGGTGGATTGGTTGTGGAATGCATGGGGGATTAAGAGGAGGAAGTTGATGTTTTGATTTTGCGCTTTTCATTCTTTTTATGCTTGTTTTTTATCGATTCACTGAATTATGTCCAAGTTCAGTGGATTTTGCATATAATGTCTTGCTACTACTACTCTTTGTAAATATGGTGGTGGAAGACATTCCTCGCTCGTTTTTGGAGAAATATGTCTGATAACTCTTTGAAAATGAACAATCATCAGACCTGAGTCTTGTCATCTCAGAAGATCTAGAATCGGAATATGTGTGTAGATTAGTAGAAGGTAGAAGTCGAAAAGGTACGTGTGAATTAGAAAGACGTGAAGAAATTTCCTAAAAGAGGTCGAATTACTGAAACAGGAAATTTTTGGAGGTTCGGGTTACAAAGTTGAAAGTACAGTTTATGTATAGAGCTGAAAACAAACCACGTAATCTGGATTATGTTGAATCAAGCAGAATATTCCCTTATTCTTCCAGCTTAGATGTGTTCTGCAGCAGACTTGGCTCACAGCCTTACTGACCTATGATGATAATGCTAAGTAAATACCCATCAACCCATCAACTCCATACAATCTGTAACCCATACCACGACTTATGTGCAACAACAACAAATTATCCGTCAGATGCCGGGTATGTATACCGTATAGATCGAGTATTGTAGATGTCAAGAAATAAAACGAAAAAGCTTGCATCGCCTCGCAAGAAAACCTCTCGTGGTGCTTTTTGCAGAATCCTGGCAGCTGCGACAAGATATGGCCACTGCCCTCAACACCCATCCGGTCCACCTGGGGGCAAATAAAACGATACTGACCTAACTATATCTACCATAGCTTAGTAATCAACGCGGATAGACATCATGTTGCTTTCAGGTTCGATTACACACATCAATGTTGATTTAAGATAGTCGAAAATACAATGTCATACCACTACTGTGATTATCGAATCGAGTTTAGTTTGACTGGTTGAGCTACTCCGTTGGCTTCGTTAGTGGTATCTTATCACGTATAACGTATTCGTTCTAGGGCTGTGTCGATCACCTGAACCATCCGGTCGTCCCGGACTCGAATATTGTCAACATATGCCTAGATAACTGCCTAGCTACCTACATATCAAATATCAATTGAACAATGAGGCTATCGCAATGGCTACCGCTACCCATTCTAACCCTATTATCCACCACCATTACAGGGTCATCAACCAACTACTCAACCTGGATGGCCGATAGCATCATCTCTCGCGGCCAAGGAATTGCTCCTGAGGAACCAACTGTCTCTACTTATCTACAAATAGGAATCGTGCAATCCGCGCTTCTGCGATTGATCGACGCGCCTTTTGTAGCGTCGGATTGCACTAAAGATGACTATCGAGCGTATGTGCGACGGGGTAGTGAGAGCGTTTTGGGTAAGTTACTTAATGCTTCTCAGGATATTTCGTATCCATTAGATCGGTTTTCGCTCGGGAGGGGTCTGTTAGCGGAGTATTACGATGAGGGCAATCGGACTGTTAAAAGTGCTTTGGATGCGTTGAATGAGTCTATTGCTCTGCAGCCGAGGAACCAATACGGTCAGAATCTTTGCCAGTAATTGAGAGGTTCCTAGCTGACAGGAACAGGTGGATTGTGGTACTTTACATACCCCAACTGGAGCTATCTAGATGGAATGTACTCCTACACCTCTTTTACTTCATTATACACCACACATTTTGACCCGCCAGCCCCGAACACCGCAACGGACGCCTTTCAATTAGATCTCCTCTGGTCCCATTGCTATGACAACACAAGCGGCCTTCTATTCCACGGCTACGACGCCTCCAAAACCGCCGTGTGGGCAGACCCCGTAACCGGCGCGAGTCCCATTGTCTGGGGTCGAGCATTGGGATGGTACTTTATGGCGTTGGTTGATTGGCTGGATTTAAATTCATTCCAGCCAGATCCATTGCAATGGGGTTATGTTCATCGCCGCTTTGTGGCTCTTGCAGACGCGATTGCGAATGTCGTTGATCCTGTCTCTGGGGCGTGGTGGCAGGTATTAAACTTCGCGGGGCGAGAAGGGAACTATATTGAGTCCAGTGCAAGTGCAATGTTTACGTATGGTTTGTACAAGGGTGTCAGACTTGGCTATCTCCCTGCATCGAGATATCGAGAGACCGCAAACAAAGCGTATGAGTATCTTGTCAATACCTTTGTGGTGAAGAATCAGAATGGGACGTTGGGTTGGAACGGGACTGTTTCGGTGTGCAGTTTGAATTCGACAGCGAGCTATGAGGTATTCCCCCTTTTTTTCTTCCTGAGGGTTGGTTGTATTGCTAATGAAGCGATAGTACTATGTGACGCAGCCGCTGTTGTTTAATAGTGTGCATGGCTCGGCGTCGTTTGTTCTTGCGAGTCTGGAGAACGAGATGGCTGTATGATAGATATACTACTTTTCATGGCGATTGCCATCGTCCACTCGAACATCAGAGTATGCAATGCTAGCTCACTGATATTCGACTCTATAAAGCGTACATGACTGCTAGCAGCTGAGTGTTTGTTATTGCCTGGGAGATATATCCGGTAGAAAACTAGTCGAAGACCCGGGGAACCCACGTATCCACTGCCTAGGCCTCTGGATTTACCGGAAACGGCAACTCTACCACATCCTCGGCTAAGACATTGCACACAAATAGACTGGCAAGACTCGTCACAAGACCACGGTCACGACGGTGAGTCAAAGTAAATGGCGTGAAATTGGGACGAGAGGGAATTATGTCTACATTCGGCGATTTTCTTGCTTCGGCAATTTCAACCAATCATAACCGAGAATTGTGTTGCAGTGTTAGCCCTGTGACTGATCAGTTTCAACCTTCCATCTATGGCAAAGTTAAACTATGGCGAGGAGCTAGGAAACCGGAAAAGAAAAGAAAGAAAAGAGAGAAAAGAGAGAAAAGAGAAAGAAAAAGAAACAGAAAAGGGGCAAACAACAGGCCGACTCTTCCATCGGCCGCTACAGATAACTAGAGTTGATCGGAGACTGCCGAGTCCCAGGTACATGCGACTGCAGCAGTTTCAGCGCCGGTCGAGAGTCCTACGTATGTAGTATGTGCGTGTATGTGCTTGTATGGACGTGTATGTGCGTAGATGTCTGCAATAACAAGTTCTATATCCATCTATGATATTACCAGAGGTAATAATTGAGTCTGAATGACCACGTTGCGAACCGAGAGAATGCGGGGGAGCCAATCACGTAAGCAGCGAAGGAAAATCCGGGGAAGAGCTAAATTTGAAATGAAAAATTTTCCCCCCTTTTGCCTCCTTGGAGACATCATGGTCCAGACTATGGAGTACGCTCTCGGACAGGAGACACTACTACGTAGTAGACAGGCGTATCGGAACACGGCACTCTGACTGATCCGTTGCTAAGCGACTATACGTAATGTAAGTAAGCTGATGATGCGATTTCTCATACAAACGCAGTCATGGATGAGTCTACTCCGTACATGCAGGCGAATGGGTGCTGTCGAGTCCGGCACATTCTTTCTTGCTTGTAGCTTGCGTTGTTCGTCTGTGAGCTGGCCAACCGCCGAGGACCATCGTGGCATGTTCTGTCGCAGTACTCCTACGTCAGTGGATATAGCAGTTTTCATTACCCCCAGGAAACTCGCTGGTTGGTTGTGCGCAGCAATTTCTGTTACGTTTTGGTGGTTCCGCCTGGCGTGAAAAAAGTTTTCCGTGAGGGCGCGGTCAGATGACTTTTAAAGCGGCCACTATTACGGGACCAGAATTGACCTTCTGAAAGAGGCAATTTCCTTGCCGCTTTACGGTATATGGATATACATAGTATTTCTCTACGTGCGGCAGATAGTATGCCTTCTCCACAGGTGACCGTGTGACTTGCCCAGATGGTACCTGAGACCGTGAGACGAGATGATTCCACGATGGTGCAATTCTTTGCTGTGGACCCGTACCTATATAACCCCTTCCCCCGGACTCCTGATCCATACTATGTCTACAACAAACTTGAATCTGACTACAACTGACTCTTTTGCGACATCTACACACACACATACTCGAACTGAACCATCATCACACATACAAACATATAGACAAACAAACATACAGACATACAAACAGCATGTCACGCTCTGCTGCATATCTTGTCGTTGAGCCTCACCCCTCGGTGCCTAGCACCCGCCGGCCAGCCCTACACACCTCAAGAGGAGGCGCCGGCAACGTCATCTCGCTTCGCAACACCAAAACCACCGACTCCCAAACCGCCACGGGCCCTGCATCCTTGACTCGACTCGACTCCAGGGCTCCCCTGACCTTCAAGTCTGGCCGTGGAGGCGCCGGCAATGTCCACAGCAGCAGTGAACGCGCCATCTTCAGTTTCGATGAGGAGCTAGAGCGTGAGATGCGTCGCGAAAAGGAGATTGCGCCTGTTTTCCATGTTGGGCGTGGCGGCGCCGGGAATTTGATTCTCAACAGTGAGAAGTCATACGGCTTGGAACGACGCCAGTCTAGCACCAGCTCGTCCAGCAATGAGTCCTTGGCTGATCGCGCAAAGGATCGAGCTCGTCAGAGCTTGGAGCGTACTTGGAGCCGGCTTACTGGCCATCAATAATTTGCTCTCTATTCTCAACAAGAAACGACTATTAATAACGACATCACGACCACCAAAAGTTTTCTTTTCTTTTTTTTTCTTTTCTCTCTCTTTTTTAATTTGCTTCAGTCAACGGCGCATTTGATCATTAGCGAGGTCATAGGGATGGGCAATTCGGGGCATAATACCAAAAAAAGTTTCCCTTTTCATATTCACATTCACATTCACGACTTTGTTTGCTTTACTTATCATGACTCTGCAGCGAAGCGTTCTCGAGTGAATCCTTCGTATAGCATTATACCCCCGTCTTCCGGTCTGGGAGTTTGATACTCTCTTGTTCTACTTATATGACCTGTTTGTATGAATACAATTATCTTAATACTTGGTTTGAAGGAATGGACATCTTCACTACTCAATTTTCTCATCATAGTACGGAATACATACTATGACTTTTAAAAATTTTTTTCATCTGAATGACTCCTCGTCTCTATTTACTACGTAGTACATCAGAGTGGATCGAATCCACTGGAAAATTCTCACGGCAAAAGTTCTGATATTTTTCCCCGAATGGGAATATCGTTGTCCCGAGTCTACGTAGTAGTAGACTAGATCTTTTCGCCGAGTTCCGATTTGAATAAAAGAACATGGGGACTTTGAGAAATGTTATTCGTGGTTTCGCTGGCTATTGTGTGCTTGTTATTCTGGTGTGTGATTGGTAAACAATGTCCGATTGCTTTTTTTCGGCTTTTGACGCCACGATCCGTCGCCGGGCTCTCAGTCTTTGAATTGGGAATGGCTTATGACTGCATTTTGCATATGAATAGAAGTATTTATGGCTTGGAAAATTTGATTCGTAGTGGCGAGAATTATACGAGGTTTACGTCGTAAAGTGTAGCCAGCACGTTCCTATGTAATCCTGAGAGAAAGCGTAACTTACTGCGCTACTCTGCTCAATCAAAGCCCAACCACTACACAGCATTCTGTAACCGCCTCAGCAATCCATCCGGCTCAGCTACCCCCTGCATAGCAATATCATCAGCCCGCTCCTGCCGATCAGCAATAGCATATATACGAAGCTCGTCGGCATTCCCCGAAGGTCGGAAATGAGCAACATCGCCATTCCCAAAATACATGCGCACTCCATCTGTATAGTTCAGTCGAATGACCGGCCCAAATCCACGGTGAGGTGAGAATATAGTCTCGAGTTCGGTGCGGATTCGCTTAATTTCGTCGCCGGCTTGAGTGTCAATCGGGGAATTGCTGGAATCTCGAATGGTTATTTGGTGTGATGCATCGTTGAAGGATATCTCCCTCATAATAGCATCAGGAGGTGAAAATCGGTTTATGATTTTCAGGCTGGCGGATCGAGGAAAATTTCTCAGTAATGCGGCACGACTATACCGTTTAGGCAACGTAGCAAATAAATCTGTAAGTGTCATGCGCTGGTTCTGTGCCGCAAACAAAGCACAAAGTAAAGGTAGCATTGCGTCTCGAGTGGGAAGCGCTGATAACCTTTTCCCATTTCGTTTCAAGTCAGATCCAGTTAGAAAACCTCCATTAGCCTCCCAGCCGCAGACTTGGGTACGCCCCTTTTCAGTTGCTAGCTGCATACCGGCAATAACGTAGGGACTGCCGATTTTGGTCTTTGGTTCAGTAATCTTGGACAAGGGACCATGATCAATGGCATCGTTCGCGCTGATGGGGACAACGGCCGCATCAGCATCAAGGAATTGCGCGACTATCATGCCTAAAAGATCACCACCGAAGAAACAGAGCTTGCCCTCCCGCGGCGCAAGGATGAGTGGACGATCACTGTCGCCATCAGTCGAGATCACGGCGTCGACTGATAACTGGCCAACGCCGTCGTATAACTTTTGCACCGTATCAAGTTGAGCCTGGTCAATAGCTTCAGTATCAATCGGCACAAACGTTTCGCTCCTTCCCACGGGAATCACTGTAGCATCGAACTTTTCAAAAATCTCCACCAAAAGATCACGTCCCACAGCCGAATGCTGATAAGCAAGGATCGTCATACCCTGTAGCGACTCTCCTTCAAAGAAATCGATAAACCGCTGAATATACGCCGTTCGTGCCTCGGGCAAAACAGGTCCCAACTCTAACGGCCTACTGCGCAACATACCCTGTTCATCAAACAGAGATTCTGAGCACGACTGCCCCATAATCTCCTCCCGAGTCCGCTCAACCAATTCATTAATCGGCTGTTCATCCCTTTTCATAAGCTCCCCCTTGCTCGTATTGAGTTTATATCCATTCCGATCAAACGGGATATGACTCCCCGTTACCATAATGCTCCCTTTCCCCCTCTGAAGAGCGAAATAGGTAAGTGCCGGCGTCGGAATAGCGCCTAGATTCAGCGGGCGCATCCCTCCATCTTTGAGTGCTTGTTCGACAGCCTGGCATAGCCCACCACGTCGAGTCTCTTGTTCGTCTACATATCTCGTAGAACTGGGGCGGAGATCGTAGGCATAATAAAAGTCATCCCCGGTTTGGATTCCGCCCTGAGACAAAGGGAGGGATTGGAGGTAGTAGATTTCGGCGAGAACGTTGGTGTAGATTTCGAGTTGGGTTAGGTCGATTACTTGTCCGCGACGACCGCTGGTGCCGAATTTGAGGGGTTGGGGTGTGTAGGCGAGGTGGTCGCGAAGGGTTGTCATTGTCATTCTTAGGTCTTGTAGAGCTTTGTACACTGTACGTTTGGGTTGTTGAGCGCTAGCGTAGAGGATTGTCTTGCGCCAAGTTCAATTGAGTATCCATCACCACACTCTATTGACAACGATTCTTGGCTCTTCGCGCTCCTGATGACTGCGGTGAAACAGCGCTCTTGGCGCATCTGATGATCATTCTGCCATCCCATACCGCCCTAAATGACTGGAGATGAGCTTATCGTCTTGCTTGACGGTTCATTCTTAGACTTCAAATAAATCTGCTTACACAAGACACCGCAACACCGAAAAATCGAGAAAAATAGTTGAACGCTTAGGTCTTGACGATTCGCGACTTTGATTCTTGACATTCATCAATCGATCGATCGCGCTTTTGGCGCGATACTCAACTCCGTCTCAAGAGGAAGATATCAGTCACAATGCCGAAATATAAGTTCCCTTCATTCCTACTATAACGTTCAAGCTAACCTTCATTGCACTCTTCTGTAGGTTCTTTTGGATCTTTATCGCCGACCTCTCATCACTAACCGACATCTAATACAGGCGACTACTGCGACGTCTACCTAACGCATGATTCCATGAGCGTGCGCAAAGCACACAATGCTGGTCGAAATCACATCCGTAACGTGGTCGATTACTACCAACGTACCTCTCCCTCTGCCAATCGACCTGGAAGTAAACCAACTGACATGTACAGAAATCGGCCATGAAAAAGCGCAATCAGTAATCGATTCAATTACGAGTTCATACGCGGCGGAGGGACAGGCGAATCCATTGTTACAACATCCTGGTGCGCCGGGATCGTTTCCGCCGCCGCCGTTTGGGTTACCTGGTACGTCTACTCCTAGTCGCAGAGAGGGATATAAAGAGAGAGTGCTGATGTGAATAGGACGACCAGGTCAAATGCCTCCTCCACCATTCGGTATTCCGCCTCCAGGTGCTCCTGGTGGATTACCTCGTACGTTTCTCAACCCGTATCCCTCTGTCTTCTATCTTTTTAACTAAAGATGTAATAAACAGCACCAGGAGGCCGCGGCATGCCCCCCTTTCAACCCCCCTTCCCCATCCCAGCCGGTGGCATGCAACAACAAACCCCCGGCGCTGGTCCTCCTGCAGGTATGCCCCCTCTACCAGGTGGATTACCATTCCCACCTCCCGGTGGTCTTCCGGCAAATTTTCCTCCTCCTGGATTTCCCGGTGGTGGTCCTGGTGGTGTTCCTGGCTCGAGTATATCGCCTCCTCCTGCCGGCGGATTCCCGCCTGGTCCGCCTGGGGGAGGATTTCGACCTCCTGGGATGGATCGGTGATGCATTTATTTACTCATAAGCTAAGGAAAGTTGGAATATGGTTGTTACATGTAAAATATGAATGCTCTGGGAGTTTGGAGTGATTTTCCAAGATACTGTATACTCACTAAGCGAATGAAATAAATCGAAACATTTCAATTGTTACATACGCAAACAGCCCATGCCCCTTGAAGCTAATAAAGCAAATAATTTTATACATACATAGATATGCATAATCCAAAGAGACAACGCCGTTATCCCATACAATCAAAGAAAACAATTACAAGGGGAAAAATAAAATGACGTTTCGAATCCGTCCCCTTCTTCAAGGGAAAGAAAGAAATACCATAATGAAAACCCCGAATAATGATAAGCCAGATCCCGCACATGCTGTGTTCTAAAATAGAGAAGTCGAAGTAAAAGAAAAAAGATAAGAGATAAATGAAGCGAAGATGAACGCCTGGTATATCCATAGACGAGGTTGAAAGTTCTATAAAAGGAAAAAGAAGGAGTGATAGAGAATAAACGTAAAAACGGCCTGAAATGTATGGTATGGTATGGCATGTCTCATCATAAACAGACAAACGACTCTAGGCATATAGCAAGACTAATGATCATAGCCGGCGCCTCGTTGCCATGGACTGGCATTGTGTTGTTGTCTATAATTCTGCATGGCTAATGCAGATGCAGGATTGAAATCTCCAATCTGTGCCGGTGATCGACTCCGTTCGATCTCATGGCCGTATCCGTTTTGTCCGTACCCGTTTTGTTCGTACGATGGTGGTGCATGGCTAGGGAATAAAGGCACCGCAGGATCGATGGGTGATGGAGGTGCCTTGTTAATGTCGTGTGGTCGATGGTTTATGGTGGCACCGTTTATACTGGCGCCGTTACCGCTTGAAATAGAGTGAGACTCCTCTTCGTATGTTGGGTGGTAGGCTGTCGATTTAAGTTCCATCTCACCGCCTCCACGAGCGGTGTTGGCTAATGCATCTAGTTCTGTGTTGAGCTCAACATTGCTCTTGATGAATGAGCCACGGTCATCGCGCATGGGTTGGTAGCGCATATCTGGGTTCTTGGAGACAATCGCGTATATAGAGGCGATCAAAACCAGAATCAAAAGAACCAACGCAAAAACTGCGTTGTAGACAAAAAAGACAATTCCCATAACACCAGTAACCATTCCCTGTTAAGCCGCAAAGTTAGGACGAATCTTCTGAAAGGAGTTGATTCCTTAAGGTGCAAATTACTTACCGGTTGATTAAAAACATCGCTAAAGACTAGTAAGAAAATAGCATTCAAAAAGTTGCAAGCCGCAATCGAAATGTTGAAGATGTTGGTTCTCTTGTCCATCCAGGGGCGAATCACGCTGACGGCAATCAAGAAGGAAGCCTCAATGACCAAGAAAGCGACAGCTTGCGCAACTTGCGCCTTTTGTCCAAAGGCAATAAATATGCCCTTGAGAAGCAGATACCCAAGCACAGGGATGACAAAGTAGTATGCTGTAGCCCTGTACTGGACATACAAGAAGCCCCACTTGTTCAAGCAAGCAGGGTCGGAGTAGAGAATATAGGCCGGATTCTTATGCATGGCAATGGACCGTCTGGCAAGTGTAATGACCTTGAAAGCCGCCCAACCGAGCACTATCGCCATCGACAAAAACATGAGTATAGCAAGAATGACTTCAGCCGCAGAGTCACGCTTTGTCAACTCCCAAAGACAGAGGACACACATCTGAGCCCAACCAATAAGCGTGAGGCGAAAGAGAATACCACGCATGACAATCTTCCATCCGTTTCGGAAATCCTGGAACTTGTCGCTAGGCATTTTGTTGTATTTAACCAACAATTCACAAATACCCTTGAATGCCGAAACTCCAATCATGACCAAGGCGACAAAAACGACGAACCAAATAAGACCAGTCAAAAAGATGTTGGTCGATTCGATATCAGCTTTGAAGCCCACTCGCTCGATACCAGATATCGTCACTGTCTGGCTTGTCCCGGTGGCTCGTCTATCAAAATAATTCATACCGCGGCGATATAGGTCCATCCCTGTGTCGAACGCTCGCTTTTGCACTACCACTGATGTAGTGTCCAGACTCTGCAATAGTGTACTCGCAGTTCCGCCAGTAGCCCGTTGATACCATGTCGCGATTTTCTGCAAAAAGTCAACCTGAATAATACCCATGCTCCATTGGAAATTCTGTGTCCAAGCTGCAACGATAGGAGGCATATGAACAGCCGTATCGCCGATCATAGCTTGAGCTTGGAAAAATCCGAAAAGAGACAGTGCATTAGCAGCGACGTGTGCAGCGGTGTTTGAGTGACCGAGTCCAGAGGTAATGGCCGAAGCCACAAGACCGAGACCTGCAATAACAGCCACAACCCATTCGACAGCTTTTTGGTGAACTGTTTGGCTGTTTGTAAGATTGGCTTCCAGACAAGCGATAGTCTCGCCAGTATCTGTGGAGTTGATGTATACAAAGACCTGTCCATCCAGATCAGGAACGTTGAAAGCGATGCTGGGAATAGCTTTGACCACGGAATCAGAGATAGGAATGGTGGTGTCGATAGCGATAGGACCGGTTTGCATGGGACATAAACCGTCCAATTTCAAATCGCAAGGACTCAGCTTCTGTCTTAATGCTTGAAAGCCGTACGCGGTAACTACGACTTCTGCCGTGACATTTCCAGATATCGACGAAATACCGTTGATATTAATAGCGAGCGTTTTGTTGTCGGGGGTGAAGGTGACTTGGAATAGAGATGCCGAAAAGTTCGAATTCGCCATACATTCTGTTAGCGACGTCGACTGAAGGAGCCGAATGGCTGACACGAAGGGTGACAAGGCCACAATGGCCACGAGGTACGAAAGACTCGAGGATAACCACATATTTGTGGTTGTAATCACCGACGACGAGTATTTAGATGTGATGGTGAGATAAGGACAATCGATGGACACTCCAGAGTGTCAAGGTGAAGATAGAATGGCCGGAAACGGAAGTCGTGTGTAGTATAAGTTGGACAGGGTCACTTCCTAGAACCGGCTGTGGGGTGAACAATTCCCTAAACACTCAAGCTTGCGTCACCATCGGATTTGCCAAAGCCCTGTGTAGCGTCGAATGTTACGTCGTAGCGACCTGGACGAGACTGATAGAGTTGATCGTTAAGGGGTACTTGCGATCGTCTGGAGGTTCGAACTCAAAAATTGCTGCTTTTGACTTTTGTCTACGCGGAACGATGCTGGCTTTCGTTTGTGGTTTCCGTCAAAGAGGGAGCGACTGTATAGAAGGGGAATGCCTTGCGTTTTTGTTTTGGCGGTTTTGTCGGTCGTAGTGACGACGAAGGAATGTAACTAGTGGGATCGAGGGCCGACAGGGTTGAAGCTAAAAAGCGAAACAAGACAAGTGAGAAGAGGAAGAAAAGAGAAAAGAAGAAGAAGAAGATCGGAAGAATACAAAACGAATGTCGAGTCGAAAGTCGAAGGGGTTGGTTGTTGCAAAGACAGTGTCAGAGTGTCTTTTTGAGATGGATGGAGAAACGGCCTGGACGGGAGCGGGCAGTCTCAGTCTCCGGTCTCTAATTAAGCGCCCTGGGTGAGACTGTGCGCTAGACCCGATGCGGCTGGCCAATGACGCCCAGAATGACCAGGCCAGGAGACGCGGCCAGCTGGTTGGTAGCCAAGGTACGGGGTAATTACAGTGGCGTAGTAGTGCCGTGTTGAAGAACTCTTTAGTCCAAGTTCTATATATGTGTGCTTGTCTTGTAGTCTTGTATACGTTGCGAATAGACAGGCTGGGAGAGAAGACGGTGACGTGCTAGATGGTCATTCTGTCCACTTCTACTATAGTATACGCTGATACAATGACAATACGGTCCAGATAACACAAGATACGCGCGTCCCAACCTCTAATTTGTGGGCCACCAATTATATCTCGCCGTCAGCCCAAAAGGTGGGGTCATATTCCCTTTTCTGCTGGATAGATCTACAGGTCATACGAGACGATACATAAATTACAGAATAAATACTACCGTTCTAAGAATAAGCACGATCTGAGTACAAATCAGAGACATCCAAATAACTTAGCTTCATCGAATTACAAATATTTTAAACATATATCGTGTCAAGTGTCAAGCGTCAAGCGTCAAGAGCAAATCTCCATACCCGCCCTTTTTCCATTTCCATCCGTGATGTCGCACAATCCAAGACTCCAAGATTCTGTGTCTCGTAAGTTGAAATTGCATAGCCACTATCCTGCGTACGTAAACCTATCCGCTACAACGGCTTAAATCTGGCTGGGCACTAGAGCAGCATATGTCATATGAAGTAAACCATATTCTGTAGTCATTCCCAAAACGGCTCACCAGATTGACCCCCTGTTCCTAGTCCCAACCTGTTAAGTTTGAGATTTGTCTCACCCGATTCTCCGTGCTTAGACTGGCAGCTTTTGGGGGAGGGAAGAAAGTTAAGGGCCTTTCTGCACTGCCCTCTTGGCTCAGGCTGAGTTACAATGATCGCTTAATTGTGCAGCCTGGACCATTTGATAAGATCGCCAAGTATTTCGTATGATCTTCTCTCGTCCCCACTGGTTGATGAACGGTTCAGGGGATGCCATGGTAACGAATTGAACATATGAATACAACCCATTGCCTGGGCTCTTGATCTTCTGTAGAATCTGTATACACTTCGAAGTTTGTAGGACTTGCCACTGGAGAGTGGAAGTCGTGATACTATTTTTATCGAGACAATGAATGAGTGCACGTGTCTCGGCTTCGCCGGCTCCGTAGCAGACTAGCAGCCTAAGGCAATTATCGGAACACGTGATGTTGAGGGTTAGCCCTAAACTTGTCCGATCACTAAACAAGTCTTGCTAATCAGGATCTCCTAACACAATGAATGTCCTTCATAGTATCCCCAATACAACCCGAACCTCTACCTCCACCTATCAATTTCTTGTTTGTCGTCTGGATGACTACCCGATGATAGCTGATCAATGACGCGGACCCATTGTCTTCGACTTCCAAAATGAGGTGTAACAACTGACCCCTGGACACCAATTTGCGGCTTATGAGCTCAACACAAGCACCTCGACGATACTACCAGCTTCATGAAGTGAGCGAACCACAAGTCTTCCCACTTGATGTTCGGCAGAACAATGTGCTGATACCACCTGAAAGTAAGCGTGTCATCTTCATCTGGGTCGTAACTGGCGGACGCTTCTAGCTGAAATGTTGATCCGGCCTCCAGCTCAAAGTTTAAAGGCTCGATTCCTGTGTTTCCGTTGAAGATGACCACGGGGTTGTAATTTGCGCTCCTCGGGTCTGGGGAAAGCGTCCATCTGATGCGTGCGGCGAAGTCGTTTTAAAAGGCATTCCGCCATCGCCAGATTGTGGCTTGGTTGGACTTGTGTTTTCGGCCGTCAAGACCGATCATTTCGTCAGCTACATCACTATAATATCTGTTGCCACTAGTGGTAGATGTACGATTATATCTTCGGCCCCAGGACCCGTAGTCGGGATGTTCAGGTACACCAAGGCTGTTCTGAATGAGATACAGGAATGTTAGCGTATCCCCTTCCGGGATAACCATAACATCTGGATACACAGACCCCAGTGGACCAATCTGGATGTTTTTGCGAATCCAGTCCTTGCTGACTCTTGTTGGATCTGGTCCACCGTGGTCGAAGCCATACCATCGCTCACCGGAGATACTAGACCATGTCGCGAGTCCGCATTGGCTCCACCCGTGAATGGAGCAGATACAGAAGATATCCGGGTACGTACAGAGTACTTGTTGCGGATCCACGCGCCAGTATCGTCCTGGCCGGAGATCGTGTAAACGCGTAATTTTGACCGTAACTCTGCAGCGTCCGAGGAAGAATGTGTATTTTCGACTCAGCAGGACGGAGGCGAGTACGTTGGTGCCTGCCCAACATAGGATCCATAATGGTTGTTCTGATGATACCTCAATACGCTCCAGGAATAACTAGCCACCTTTGCTTAGGGGAATATTGTCGCCCACCGCGGACATACTGTATGTCTGGTAAGTTGTCAGTATATAGCATATCAATGGATATAAGCAAATTTTCATTACACCACCTCAGCTCCCATCTTTATTGAAGATCTCAAATATTCCGTGGTCGGATATGGATCGTTCGGATGGACATGTGCATTAAGATTGTCAGCGACTTTTTCATAACCATCGACAATCTTATGCATGTCCTGCGGACAGACCTTGATTTTCATCCATGTGGATGTGCAAGCCACCGGTCCCTCGGTCTGGAATTGATTTGAGTACAGCAGATAACGCACCAGTGATTCTGCATCATCTGGCTCGTGAGATGTCGCTTAGAATGAATAACCGTGGTTTGGAAGGAAATGTTTGGAGCTGGTATTGAGATGCCATTGTGACGATTTTTCCTTAGAACGACTGTGACCTCGGGAGAAGCTATATATCAGGGATCCGTATGTCGAATTCTAGACATTGATCTATTTATTTGGTTTAGGACACCCCGCAAAAGCCATTTAGTTCCCCGGTTTGCGGAGAATCGGTGCCTATTATCTGTGCTAATAGTCGGCTCCATGTTATCATGTGTAGCTCTTCAGTGCGACCTCGGTCAAAGAAGCGATGAAAAGTAACACCCAAAACAGATATATCCTGGTGTTTACTATCGCTTCTATTTTCTATCTCCCTATGGGTCTTGTCAAGGTGAGTGCCCCTGTCCCTCAACTCAGTAGTCAGTGCTGCGCTGGGCTGACTTTATCCAGTCCTTCTACGGGATGCATCTGTTTGACCCTAACGGTGACGCTACAGCTTCGCAAAATCCTTTCATTATTACGGTCATTATATTGTCTGTCTTCACCTACGCAATTGCAGGAGGCGGCATGTGGTATGTGCGCCGAAAAGATCCAGGGCACTGACTTGACTGCCTCCTGAAACAGTTACTGGGACCTAGCCAGTCACAACTTCTGCAATATACTGAAGTCTTCACCAAGAGCATGGCACATATCATAAGAGCATTATGTATCATCACAAAGGCTGCAGCTATCAGAAGGATGGTACACTTTATGGTGAGTGTTAGATATACTGCTTGTTGGTTGAGTGTATGAATCCAAACCGTCGAATTTCACGTCATTCAGATGATGATCTGCTTTGACCATTAGTAGATTTCGGAACATCAAATTCGAATCCGAATCACATCGCGGTATGCATTATGGCTCGCTTATTACGCGACAGAATATACTGTGGCAGGAACAAGCCTGCAAGTGCGTAGAAGTCTCTGTAAAATGGCTGTGGCGCTTATTAGTGGTGGCTGGGTTATCCATGAGGCTCTCCTGAGAAAGTTTTGTTCTAATCCGATATCACACCGGAGACACAGGCTGATCTCCAATGTCCTCCGTGGCCGATCTGAGATGTAACAATTGGACTGTCAACCTGCGTTGTTTCAAGACTAGACATCCAATGATGTATGAAAAGTAGTCGAGGGGCAGTTGGACAACTCATCAAGCAGAAGACTAGCGGACCCACGGCCACCAATAGAGACAGTCTCGTCGCCGGGGAGACCAAATAGAGACATCTTCATCACAATTGCTTCTATGGCGTTGACCTGTCATTTGCACACTCAGACGTATTGTGGGAAACTGTAGTCGTAGATCGGAGACGTAGCAGACTGACACTTGCGAACTGAGGCCAACACATGAACTATTGAAGGCGCCATCGTCAGTCCAGGTCAGGTCACACTCGAGAAAAGCCATGTTGCTTAGTGGGCGATGACCTGCATAGGATGACTAGCTCTAGGGTCCCATGCGATGTCGCTGTGTCACTCGAGTGTAGCAAAAGGCTTCACTCGGATACGTGCCCGCATACAACGTAACTAAGTAAGTAGAGAATACAGAAAATCGGATATTATCCTGTTTCTTGTTGTACACCAGCCACTTTGTAACGTGAGTGGGTGGGAAGGTTCGGCCCAGCCGCCCGTCGCCCAGCGATCTTATTCCCAGCCTCTTTCTCTCTGTGTTGTTTTGTCCAACACCATTTTCTTTTTCTCCTCCTTGCTCTTCCTTGCATTTGTCTCCAATGCATCTTGTTGCATCGTTAATTTTACTATTTCTTACATTCTCAGCAACTCCGAAGTTGCATATTCAGCCTTCACCTCTCTTCCCTTGCTGAGAGGCCCCAGCTTATCATTATCGAGGCCCATCAGTAGTCGCCTCACCGACTGACTGGGCGACAACCTTGACAACAGTTTGTCTGTCTTCAAATCGCCTTCAGCTCATGGCGATTCACAGATGATAACTATTGTCTTGGTTTATTTTATTACTTCATCTTGGGGTCACATTTGCAATAACCCTACAGAAACGTCTGTTTACATTGCGATTGATCCCCACCTGAGCTGTCCTTCGACGCAGCTATCTCAGAACAGGTCAATCTTGAAGCAGGAAACCCACTACACTTGCAGGACATCACCGATTATGCACTCCTCTCGCTAAAGTCAGCAACATCATGGGCGTGAATTCCCGCCGTCCTTTGTTACCTGCACCAACCGAATCAATCGTCGATACTACGGGAAGCAGCCTAACAACCACCGACATGGCCACCGACGTTTCTCGACGAACCGACAAATCGTCTTATTCTCTACCAGACGATGGCAGTCCCATCACCATTTCTACTCGACGCCGCTCGTCAAAGAAAGATGATGATGACTCGTCAAAGCTCTCGCGGACATCCCATCAGTCGCAAACTTCGCTTCTTATCGAGTATTTTGAGCGTGAGAAGAATGGCTCGAAACTCCACTCAAGACCAAGCGTCAGGGTGAAAGTGATTCCGTCCGGTAGGAAGAATAGAGAGCATGGCGACACTATTCAGATACGCGAGGGCGGGAGCAGCAAGCGACCACACTACACGAGACGCATCTCTGTCAGCACTCCATCGAGACAAAAAACCATCGCTGAAACCAACGACGATCAAAGCGTCACTGATGACGAGCAAGGCAACCAGCCTCTTGAGATTGAATTTCTAGATCGCGGAAATGGAAGCGACCTTTCTAATGAGCGCTATATTCAGCCTACCTCCGAAATATCATCAATGCCGGCAGACAGCATGCTTGATGGCTCTAATGTTTCTGGTGTACCTCGTCGCAAGCGGAGCCAGAGTCTAGACAAAGCCCGAGGCACGTCCGAAGCCGACCTTCTCAAGGCACCTTCAAGACGAAGGAGTCGAAGCCTGAGCCGCGAGCGTATCGCTTACAGAGTGGCTCAGAAGCTGAATGCTGGCGATGGAGCTCGCAACACCAAAGAGCTTCTCGGTGCTGAGTCGAAGCCTCTGAAAAAACGCTCCCATAAGTATGAAGATGAAGAGCAGCCTAGCGTTGAATCTAGCCTGCTCAGTGGTTCGAATGTCTCATCCCGTCACAAGTCCGGCGACGCTCTATCTTTCCGCTCTAACACATCCAAGTCATCGTTGAACAATACCAAGTTCCTCGAAACCGTTGAAGACGCCATTCGGCGTCTGATCCTCCCCGAACTGAAAGAACTCAAGAAGGATCAAAAAGTCAGCGACAACAAATTAAAGTTCGAACGCGACACGATCGAGTCTGGGAGCGGTGTCAACTCGAAGGATGTGCCCAAGCGACAGCTTTCAAAGCATTCGAGCGCACCGGATGTTAGCAAGAGCTCCCTCTTCGTGGCGAGCCCCGAAAAAGAAGAGGCGGTCACCCCTGAAGAGCGCCGACGACGCCACAAAGAGCGACGTCGGGAGAAGGAGAGGGAAACAGGAACGGCGTCTCCAGAAGACAAAATTCGAATTCGTAAGGGCTCGCTTCCTGGGAACCAGCGTGAATTCACCGAGGAGGAGAAGTTACGACGCCAGAGGAGTAAAGGTCTCAGGGATGCCGCTGCCGCAGGTATTGTCGGAAGTGCACTTACGGCTGCCGCTCTGAAGCACCATGATTCAAAGTCCAGCCTGGGTAAAAAGCCTAGGAAACGCAAGTCCAAGAGTCACAGTAGCTTGGCAAGTATCAATGACACCGACACAGAACTGGTTTTTCAAAAACATAATGTACCACCAATGCCATTCCGGAGTGACATCGATACCGAGCTCACTCGCGACTCTTTGCTTTCACAGAGAACCTCTGATAGTGCGGACACAGAAACGCCAACGCCCCGCCAGATTAAAGAGGTCATTCGAGGATCTCCACGTGATCTGGCTTCTCCCAGCCCTGGCACACCGCTTGGTAGTCACAGGGAACTGTCTTCTAGGCAAAGCGACCGCAGTGGTCATGAAGTTGATGAGAAAGCTGACTTTGGAGATGACGACGTCTTTCTCGAGGGGGCTGGCGGCGCCATCGCAGCAGCTGCAGCTGGAAATCTGCTTGGACATCACCCAGATCATGACATGCTAGGTCCAGAGGAGGATATTCACCACCCACGTGCTTTGAGTCCCATTCAAAGCGTAGCTAGTGATCATGACTTGCATCAAACTCAGCAGGAAGAAGTGTACCAGGATAAGGAAGCAGACGACCGAAGATATTCCATTCAGTCCTTGTCTTCTGCGCCTAGTACCGAACTGGCCAGGTCAACGCGTCCTGAGGGTATCAGCTTCGAGAGTCGAAGTGAGATATTGAAACAGCATGACGAGGCTCCTACTGAACTTGGCTACGAAACGGACCGAAACATTGAAAGCGAAAACGGGAAAGAATGGAATGAGACTTCCTCATACGCAGGCCATGACGATGACTTCCACGATGAGAATCTCAAGGCTGACACTAACTACAATGCTGTCCATGTCAATACCTATGACAATTATGACGATACTCCAAGGGAACTCAATGAAGGAGCTGCAGTCAATCCAAAGTTTGTAACTCCCGTTGCAGTGGAATCCGCAGTGGCCTCTTTGTTGGAGCCTTCTGTGATGGATACCAGATCTGGTCTTTCCCAAGCTCGCTCGCAGGCAGATTCTCTGAATCGGTCTGTGAATGGAAGCAATGTTGAAGAAGTTCATGAGCAGAGTCAAGCTGAAGGCTCTCGCCGAGGAAGTCCTCTGAAGCATGAATATGATCTTCACAATCATGACGAGAAGTCGTTCACCAAGCGTCTAGGCGCAGCATCACCGCCTCAAAGTGTCACTCAATCAGACGAAGATGTTAGCGAGCAAGAAGAAAGATTCCCTCTCGATAGTACTATCGTAGACAACAATCGGGATATTCACCTAGAGGAGGCACAGTATGAGGAAGAAGAATCAGAGATCAACACCAACCCTTCAATCATCCAGGGCCCGATTGGTAGTGTTCCTCATGGCAGTAGGGATCACTGGCCTTACAGCGCCACCCCACCACAGGTCAGAGACCTCCAGTCTTCGCCTCAACATGACCTGAACCCAGCTGCAGCTGCAGCAATCGGCGGGGGTTTAGGAGCAGGCCTGGGCTTATCCGCCGCAGAACACGGTATCGGGTATGATCAGACATATGGCCAAGGTTATATGAGTGGTCGTATGTATTCAACACCGCCAGGGGCCAAGGACGAGGGTTATATCTCGGCAGCAAACCCGATGTCTCCAAGTAACGGGACACCAGAGCCACGCAATAAATTCAGCACACTTGACCATGCCAACCCGCCTCTTCTCTTCGACAATAGGGACCTCGAAGACGATCCCTTTGTTGGATCTGGTCATCAACGCCACTTCAGCGGTTATTCTCACGGCATGGCTTCTCCCATCTACGACAGTGCCACAGGTCGGGGCCTTGACAGTATTGAATCAAAGGATATCATTGCTTTGATGAATCACGTAAGTTGAATCGATATCAATCAGGTTCCATGGATGTACTGACAGTTTGTAGCTCACCGTGAGAGATGCTCAGCGCAATGCTAGAGATACCGAGATCTTGGTAACCCTAGTTCGCAGCGCAGCTGAAATGCGAAGTTCGTTCTTGGAAATGAAGAAATTCATTGCTGAGCAGGATGAACTACTCATGGAGGCAAACGAAAAGCAGCACGAACGTACTCGGGCTATTGGTGGTCCACGTCCACTTCCCGCTTCAAGGTCTAACCGCCAACTAGCTGCAGCTGACTACGGCGAGGAGGTACAAGCAAAACGCAGAAACGTCTTCAGGAGGGCTATGAAGAGTCTGAGCCTGAAGTCTTCCAATGACCTGACGAAGATTGAAGACATGCTTGAACAACTTCTCGACGAAGTGGAAGCTCTACGAAATGCTCAAGAAGGTCGAAGCGTCGGGACAGCACCGGCGACGAATGCCGCCAGTCTCAATTCAAACATCAATGGAGGGGCTTATCCAGATGGATACGAACCTGAAGGTTTAGCAGGCACTGGATCTCCTGACGGACAGTCTGGATACACGTCGAATTCTTCTCGACCCCTAGCCGACAGTCGACCAATGAATACACGACGACCATCAGGAAACCGGATTAGTACTGTGCTTGAAGGCGACGAAGAAATTGATACATATGAGCAACCGCTCTTGGAAAGAGAAGTTCCATATGATGACCGTGTTGCCGATCAGCGAAGTGTGCCTGAACACCTTGGCACACCACCTCGAAAGCCAGTGCCTACTAGTTCAGGTAGCCAGGAGACCACTCCGCGAAAATCAGATGAGAAAGCACGGAAACACAAATCTAACAGCTCGTCCTTTTTCAAAATCTCACGATGGTCCAAGACAACTGCCTCCTCTGTTGGTGAAGGTATTCGCAACAGCATGCAGACTGGTCGGAAGGAGCGTCCATCGTCAGAGATGTCGCGCTCCGGCTCAGATCTAGCCAAGCAAGATCATTACAATACGGGCGACTTTTACGACCCGCTCGGCGATGATCGGCTTCGATCCACGTACACGCTGGATGAAGGACAACAAGACAATCGTCCTCCGTCTCCACTTGTTCCTTCTCAAGTCTCCGAGGGACCAAAATACAAAGCACACCGGGACAGCCTTAATTTGCAACACCCGCAACCACAGAAAGGACCAACGGATCGGTACCAAACACACCTGGAATCTCAAGCCCAAGACTATGCGCCAAACTCACCCTCTTCGGAGAGATGGGGATCACAATCCAGTCTTCCTCATTATAGCGCCAATGCGACAAACAGATATAGCAGTGGCAATGCTCGACTGACTCCAATCTCAGATGCGGGTTACTCCGAAGTGAGCTCCTCGAGGGGCCCACCTCGTCCACCAAAGATCAAAGATGCAGGACCATTGGTTCCTCAACGACCCCCTAAAATCAAGGAAGACGGCAGCGGGTCTCCGCATACTGATCGATTCTCTGCTCGAAATAATCGTGGAAGTGCATCCCCTGTCAACCAGCCACCTACTCGAAAACCTACTGGACCCAGGCCGATTACTAGTTCTGGACAGTACAGTCCTGGAAACATCAAGCGTCATCAGTATCGCGGAAGTCCCAACAAGATCGATTACGACGATGAATATTGATTTTTGGCATGATTCTCTAGGAAACTCTACTTTATCCAACTTTCGGGTTATTATCTGTTGCTATTTTGCGAGCGAAAGGCTTTATTATGTCTATACCACTCCACACTATAACTGATCATGAACATAATAGCATATTATGTCTCTGCATTAAGCGAGCATGAAGTTTCTCTTTTCTCCGCTTAATCATGACCCCCCCCCTTTTTTTCCCCCTGTCAATTTTCTTTTCATTCATGTCTATAACGAAACTGATAATGTGACCATGAAGAAATCTATGCTCTTTGGTTTGTCTGTTTTTCCTTAGTTTTCATTGCATGTATTTTCTTCTTCCTGCACATGATATCAAATTAGGAGGGGCTTTTGTTGCTTTTCACTTCGTTCCTACCTATCCTATCTATTAACTATCATTGTGATGGGAAACGGCTTTTCCGAGTCCGGCGATTATCATAGGCGTCATGTATTTAGCTCTTTTCATCATCGAGAGGTTACGATTTCTTAAAAATATAAATTTCATGTCTAAGGATGAGGAATTTTATACAATGCAAAAGCTTTTTTTATTCATGCCGGTCTTTCTTCAACTCTCCTGTGCAAGTTATCATTCTTGAACTGGAGGGAAAATTCCTGTCCAGAATGACGAAGTTCTAACTATCGGGAAATATAAATACAATAGCACTATTTCATACAGCTAAAGACAATAAACCACGGCCAATGTCACCTAGTAAGCAGGTAGACAGATGATTCAATCCTCCAGCTCCTTTGCATCATTCTGAACCACCACCGGCGCAGAAGATGATCTCCTATCTCTGCTCCTCCTATAATTCATCCTCGCATACTGCTGCGCCACCGCTGCGAGAGTATTGAGTTGCGCATCAGTTCGGATACGCGCAGGAAAACCCAACGCGTTTCCCTGAGAAGCATTTGTAGCATCATTCTCACTTGTAGGGTTAACTTGATGAGCTCCATCAGAGTCCTCAAAAGACCATTTCGGAAGTACATCGATGTACGTCCGAGCCTCAGCAGACGCCTTCCGTTCCGAGAATGGAAGCTGCGCGGAATCAGAGGAATAAATAGAATCGCTGACCGATACGAACGGCATACGAGCAATGAACGCTGGTATAGAAGGTAAGGGTATTTGTGGAATTGGTTCTGCGAACGAAGGAGGTGATACGGTTCCATCCAGGCTTTGTGATATGATCTGGGTGCTTCGATGACGGCCGTTGGCGTGGATACCAGGTGGTAAGTGTGATATCAATGAGGACCCTGGTCGGATGTTCTCGAAGTTCTCGCGACGATAGGGAGGTCCAGGGGCTTGAGGGCGGAGGTAAGCCATGTCAGGTTGATGTATGAACATTGCTGGGGGTGTGTAATCAGACTCGAGAGAGCTCTTCCGGGGTGCCATGAGGTCATCTGCTGGACCGGTAGATAGGGTGCTACCTTCATAACTCCCATCTCGTTGACGAGGTTGCTGTTGTCGGTATGTGCTCTTGGAGAAAGATGAGTAAGATATATCTCTGTCGGGGAGTATCTGGATGATAGAAACGGCGATGTTGGCGATACGGAATTCGGTCCTGAGAATGTGTCCTTGGAGCCGTTCTGGTGATAGTTTGATGAAACGTAGAAAGACGCCCAGAGTTCGTAAGAAGAGTAGGTATACGGTCCAGAATGCGAGATGGAATAGCTGTGATGATTTGCAATTCAGACGGAGGGACTGGTTCTTTTCGTCTAGAAGTTGACCGAGAGCTTTGGCTTCCATGGTGATTTCACGAGGTAGATGGAATGCTAATATATCATAAACGGGATATAGGCGAGGATCGATGCAGTACTATTTGCTATATTTGTTGTGTTTAACATGATGCTCGAATGGGGAGGCTGACGACTGGCTTTATATCCATCGAGTGAGTTCCAAAGGAAAGAGCACTGGAGGAAGGTGCTGGCTTACCCTAAAAGCAGCCATCATGACAACCTCAACTTGTTGACTGAGTATACAATCAGTGTTCTCTCATGGTCTATCAATACGTCTGTATGCAAGTAGATCATGGAGCTGATTACCAAGAAGCCAGGTGGGGATATCCCGATAATCTTTATCAGAGTTCAATCGAGATCAATGACCTCGGCATCTTCTGTTGTTCATCCGACCTAAAAAAAAACATCCTAGATGATACTATCACGTCCACGAACACAGCTCGCTCAACCTTTGCTACGATACCTGCACTTTCGAAGGACCATGGCTTCCGTCCACACTGCGCCTGCACGACCCCGCAGGTTCGCTCCGTTGGGTCAAGATACAGATACGAGTGATGCGCCGAAACTGCAAGGCATTGTTTTTGATGTCGATGGCACACTTTGGTAATTCTCTGCATCATAGCACCCACTTAGTAAGGTAGTTAGATTGCTAACATGCTTGCAACAGCCTTCCGCAACATTACATGTTCACACAGATGCGGTATGCTCAGCACCATAAACTATAGAGCCTGTCATCTAATGACTCTAATTCTTCAATGAACAGGTCTGCTCTCGGAATTGACAAGTCAACCGATATCCTAGAACATATTCGCAGTCTTCCTACTGAACAAGATCGTACGGAAGCTGTTGCAAAAGTTCAGGCAGTGGAGCGTGAGGCAATGCTTGCCCAACAACCTCAGCCGGGACTTTTAGCTTTGATGGACTATCTTGAAGAAAAGGGGATACGTCGCGCATTATGCACGAGGAACTTTGAGTAAGTTAATAACAGCTTTCTGGTATACTCTTCTAATATGGATACAGAGCACCTGTTACGCATCTCCTGAAAAATCATCTTCCGAATCATATCTTTGAGCCGATTGTTACGCGCGATACTCCTGATCTCCTTCCAAAGCCAGAGCCTGCGGGACTTTTGCATATTGCAGAGCAGTGGGGATTAAAGAATCGCGCTGAGAGTATGATTATGGTAAGATGGCACTTTCTTCCCTTGAATTCTATCGGCTGACTGCCCAGCAGGTAGGCGACAGCATTGACGACATGACCGCCGGACATAAAGCCGGCGCAGCCACCGTGCTCCTTGTAAATGAACGGAATGCCCACCTGAAGGAGCACCTACACACCGATATTTGCATTTCAAGACTTGATGAACTCGTTGATATTCTGGAAAAGGGATTCGTGGGCGATAGTGCGGGCGATAGCTGTGCCAGATCCAGCAGCACTTAAAGAGTTTCGCCTTCACGGTTAGTTGTAATGTTATATCTACAGATAGAAGTCGTATAAAGCACAATAATTTCTGATACCTTGCCTTGGCGAAATAAATATACCTCCACAACGCCAGAAATGCGATATGCAAGATAAATTCTTCTTACAAGATCGAAAGATCATATAATATAGAGCTGGTCTATCGCCGGCCTGGACGGTACTGGTCACTTCCTCTACCACGACCCCGACCTCTGCCACCGCGTCCTCGAGGGCCCGAACTTTCTCTCGAGTAACTTCCTGGCTGGGGTCTATGACTAGATGCAGGTGAACGAGAGCGCCTTCGCTGTCTATTAAAGCCGTCATCTCGATCCCGATAATCCCTAGGTTGAAACGGAGGCGGTGGTTCACGAGGTAAAGGAGGCAGACCTGGTGGTGGCGGAGGAGGCTGCTCTCCATACAAGCCTCTGTTCTGGCCTAGGCCTCCTCTGAAAGTAATCTTCCCTCGACCGCCGCGGGGATTCGGTTGCGATCTTTTACCATGGAGCACCAGCGTATCCTCGTCATTTGGTAGTAATGTATTTTGGGAATTCGCAGCTCGGCCGCGGATGCTCATTCCTAGGTCATCTGCCTTCTTGGGTCCGATCACGGAATTGAGGTTTGTAATCACGGATGGTGTATAATCTTTCAATGAAAATGTACTAGATGTTGTTGGTACTTTTTTGAGGGGACAATCACCAAACAGATGGTTCTTGTTGGTGCAGTAGCTGCATGATATTGAGACTTTGATTGGGCCGTCCAGGGGTTGTATTCTTGGGAATTTCCACAGTTTATCGCAGTCAAACTCAGCGTGAGTATCAGAGCCGCAATAATCGCATGGTGTCTCGGCAGCTGAGGCTTTTAGACTAGACAGGCAAGTATGGGAATCGTGACCGATTTCTCGGCACCGTTGACATCGTCGTACAGATGGACATAGCCGATCTTCGTGTAGATTCCAAGCGCCACAGTTCTCACACTATGAGATGAATTAGTTTCGGTCCATAAATCAAATGCTGGTCAACACACCTCTTTACTGGGACACACGGCAGCAAGATGCCCCTCCTGTAAGCACTCGGTACACGAAATAGGCCTCGTTAAATCGAGTTCATTGATGTTAGAATTATAAAAGAAGAAGCGAGCCTGTATCTCGAGATCTTTGACTTTCAGGTCTGCAAGAATAGCTGGAGATGTCTTATAGCTTGCGGCAAACTCGGAGAATGCCTCCGCTTTTGACTGCGGTGGAAGCTGTGTGATGGAAGGTTCTGATATAAAACTGCTGTCCTCTTGTGTCTCTTGCTGATCAAGTTGGGGTGGATGAAGATTCGGGGAGATATCGACGACGAAAGGAGGAGTGGACAGATTGATCACATCATCCTGGGCTCCGTCCAGGCCATGGCCGTTACTCCGTTGTTTGATATTCAGCATCATAGAGTCGTCTCCCTCCGAAACGTCTTCTGAGTCCGAGGCATCGGAGTCGTCAACAAAGTATGTTTTTGGTTCCTCCTCAGCCTCGGTGCTGTTTTCATTTGCGCGAGTATCGCATTTGTTTGCTGCTTCCCCATCCGATATAGACGCGCTACGACTCCGAAAGTATTTATCGTTCACCGCATTAAAAGCCGACTTCGCTTGTTGGATTTTAGCAACTGCGGCTGTAGGCTTCGCTCCAAGAGTAGTGCGTATGGCACTACGGCTTGCTTGATTCCAATTGATTGCAGGCGCATTTGTCTTTCGTCGCTTGTTCATGTTCTGATCAGGTTCGCCGTCACTGTTCGAAGAGTCTGGTCCAGATGAGGAGGTAGAATCTGGATCTACTTGCAGCGGAGTGGTACTAAATTTCGCTCCTTGGGGCACAAGGTCCTGCAAATCCTTCTTTGACGTTTTGTGGGACTTTTGTGACCTTTTCTTTCCAGAGTTGGTGGGACCCTGCGATCGCGCTTGACCAACCGAAGCAGTGCGCGAGTCGCCCTCGTCGTCAGATATGCCTGCCATCTTTAGCTCGATTGAATGTGGTGATGTGCGCAAAAGTCAATATCTGGCAAAGAATCGAGTTTCGTAAGGGCACATGCGAGAAAATAGTAGCAACCGAGAGAGCCGCGCGGCATGCTGGATATCACCTAGATGAACAATCTCGTTCTCTTATCGCAGCGCTGTTGTGTTCTACCTCTTGTTGTAAGTACTAAGCAGTCAACTTTTTTTGAAGATCAAATTCGGAGAATAACAGCTCCAGCCAATCAGAAACAGTACAATCTTGGCACGCTACTGTGTATATTGTATGCCTTAAGAAAAGGCTATTAAGCTGGACAACTCTTCAGTCTGTCTGTAGAAAAAAAATGATAATCAAGCGAATTCTGGATTCCTCTTCTCGGTATCCAATTGTTCTGAAATGATTCTCACAAGTTTGCCTCCAGCCCTTAGACCCTTACAGTCTGTCACGCTAACCCAAAAGAGACTGAACAAACCAAACAAACAGCCTCCGGCGCTAGTTCTGATCGGGATGAGGTTTTACCAGGCCCTTGCGAGCTTGCGAGCACAGCCAATACATCCGGATACAACCACGCAATCGCCCCAGACCAATCAGTCAGCCTTTCTCTTTTCTTGTTGCCTTGTCTGAATATTATCTCAAACAAACTATTAACTACATACTTCGTTACCATTCGACTTGACCGTCTTTTTCCTTCCGTCTATTCCAGCTGTCACTACACACGCGACTTTTCTCGTCCCTCTCCTTGCTCTCCTCTCCCCCAGGTTGTTCACCGACGGGACACATTTTCGTACGACCTCACACTGCATTAGAAGCCTGCTGCCTCTGGATATCATCCATTATACCGACTCTAGCAGCAGCTGACCTTCAGCAGCGTGCTTGCATCTAAATTACCCCTCGAAATCCACCACTCGTTCGAGACATCTCCGTCGTCAATACCGCCAAACTGTCGTCCTTACTTATTCCCCGGACCATCTCCTTCCCGCCGGACGTCGACGGAGGTACCGGTCGGTCATCACCAGATTCTAGAAAGATGAGCCAGTCAAAAGGTGGGAGGCGGAGGAGGTCGAGCAGTATCATCTATCAGGAACCCATCGAGTCAAATGAACAGATGAGTGATCAAGCGGCACTTCCTAATCTTAATGCCAATTGGGTTAATGCAAAGGGTGAGCTACACTACCATACTACTTGACTTTTTGCTGGTCGAGAATACTAACGGAGAAACAAAAATAGGTGCCTGGACGATCCATTTTGTCTTGATTGCTGCGTTGAAGATTTTCTATGATATCATCCCCGGAGTGTCTCAAGAGACATCGTGGACGCTCACCAATATCACCTATATGTTTGTCACATTCATCATGTTTCACTGGGTGCGCGGAATCCCCTTTGAGTTCAATGCCGGCGCTTACGACAACCTCAACATGTGGGAGCAAATCGACAACGGAGATCAATATACCCCTGCGAAAAAGTTCCTGCTTAGCGTGCCTATCATCTTATTTCTTCTCAGCACTCATTACACTCACTACGACTTGACCTCTTTTCTTATTAATTTTTTGGCCACATTAGGCGTGGTTATTCCTAAATTACCCATTGTGAGTGACCATTCTTTCAAGAAGCAACAGGCTCAATGCTAACCTTTCCCAGTCTCACCGTATGCGGATAGGGCTTTTCTCCGAACTTCCGGATGATTCTTAGCCTTGCTCTTGTGACATTATTTCTCTCCTTTGCGATAGCCTCAAAAAGACAGACGCTCCCTCTAATATTGATCTCACCGGTCGTCTATCTGTATCGGCAGAATCCACTCCTTGTCTACAGTTGAGCGCATAGTTTTGACCGCGGCGTAACCGGACTATTATAGATAGGAATTTTGTTGAAAAGACAAATAAAATAATTATGGTATTTTTCGACTTCTTGACTACCAAGTAGCTGTAACTTGTGTGAGGAGGGTAACCTGTCAGTCTGTATTACGTGACAGAAAGTAAAATTCAAGATCCTTGCATCAATAGCTCGTATGTTCATTCATATTCGAATAATATATCAATACGTAGGTTCAGTAATCAGTATTAGTATGATGTTGGTTTTTCAGACGAACAACAATACGCTAAACTGTTTCGGTACGGAGATTAAATGACCGCGGGCTGCCTCTTATCGATAAGCTGGCGCGCCGCCTCTTTTCCACCACGCGCCAACTCTGAGATAGCACTCACTACTCACTCTTGACAATGTACCTGTAATAAACGTCTTCATGACTTGCGCATTACCTTAATCGTTCAACGGCAATGCCACGACTGCTCGACGACCAGACCGACTCATCCAGTCATAACCTCAATGGCCCAGGAGACCAGATCTGAATTTCGGGCTGCAAAGCCACTGCCGTACGAATTACGCCAACATTGTGCCATCTACTTTGAGGAGAAACTATGTGAGTATTGAAAAAAGTGATATTCGCGATCAATAGCTGATGGATCATGTATCGCAGACTCCCAGGCTTTAAGTCTCCTTTTGAACATATTATCCTACGGAACCGCGACACACGCCCCGGCATATGTGCCTGCACCCCAGCACTTGTCGCTTGCAGCAACTCTCCTCGTGCACCCGTCTACCACCACCAGAGCAAAATTACAAGAAGAAAAAGATGCAGCGAGTGCTGCATTACAGCTCCTCCGGCTGACATTGCAGCTAGTGGGGCCTATCTCTTCGAGGTTAAACGTCGCTTTCACATTCACGCATTTCGAGTCTTCCAGGCACGGCGGTCAATGGAAGGCTGATGAGTCAACGACGTCTGTCTCTGGATCTGGATATGATGACGACGAGGTACCATTAGATCTGGACCTTGCAAAATCAAAGTCGGTATGGTCACGAGCAGAAGATTTCTGGCATGTTGTTGGCTGGACATTTAATTGCTCAGTTTTGTACCCACGGCGTTGGGAAAGATGGCAGATTTGGCTCGAATACATGTGTCTAGCCATGGAGATGGACTGGATACAGAGAGAGAAAAAGGTCGATTTAGACAAAAAACTCAAGCCTGAAGAGGTATTAAAGGACAGCTTGGTATGGAAGTTCATCGACACTGTTACAACTGGTTATGGCAGGAACCGTCGTATACTACGCGCCATCTTTGCGGACGGTAGCGCCACATCAGTGACAGAATTTCGCGAGATTTTCAAAAATGAGTTAAAAGAACCAAAAAAGGAGGACGAAGAGAAGAAGATCTCGAATTCGAGAAAGAGGACCGAAGTGAACATCGATAAAGACGAGTACGGCGATTATCTTTTCCAGGACGAAGATGATTCAGATGTAGCAGACAAATCCCTACGGACTCGACCCAAGCGTGCTCGGAGAGGTACAAGAGCCCCTGATTCAGCTGTTGTTGACGACGAAGCGGCAGCAGCAGAAGAAAAAGAGGCAAAAAAATTGGCGGATGAAGCTCACGCAAAGGGGGACGTCGCTGCTTACGGTGGCTTTCACTCCCTTGAGCTTCGACAACGACTACTTAGTCTTTTGACTAAAGTATCTTTGGCTATGCCAAAAACGTTCATGCCCACGCACGCGCTTTACCACTTGTTTGTGGAGAATATTCGACACCTGCCGCTCCCTATCTTTCAGACATTTGCTTCTCCACAAACTCTTCCATGGATGACAGCAGACGCACAAAGTACCTTGTGCGAGACCCTGATTCTGCGCATGCGTGAAAGCTCAGCACCGGATTCAAAGGACATCTATCTACATCAGGAGAAACTCCAAGAATGCTACCTACCCTACTCCGCCAACACAGCCAGCGCAGTAGATAATGCCAAATACTCGATTCTTCTAGAGGCGTTGGTTATACTGTTAGCTAGGAACGACTCGCTGCGCAATACGCCTATACTAAGAGAATCAGTCATGACAGGCAATCAACGGAGAATAGAAAAGGCAGAAGCAGAAATTCGTCGGAATAAGGCGAGTCGCAAACTCGAGGATGAGGAGTGGTCTTGGCTGGTTGAAAGTGCGGATCGATTGCTTTATTTGGTTGAGGAGATATTGCCTCCGGTGAACTTATCTGATGCGGAATAAATGAAATATTTAATGACTGCCACAAGAGGTTGCAAAGATTCGCCGAGAATCCAGGAAAAAAGTATTGAAGGACGCTAAATGTACCAAATTAACTATCTAGGAACACATACAACCAAGTAACAAAACGATATGTAAGTCAACTTCAAAACATGATATCGACAAGGAATTTACGGTGGAGGACGAGGACCTATAATCTGCCTTCGAGGCCCTGAAACCCCAAGTCCAGTACCTCCACGATTCTGACTATCGCCGCCCAAATACCCATATTGATGCACATCCCACGCGCCTTGGCCAGGTGCACTGCCCGTATTAGCTCCAACACCACGTTTCGCCGCTTCGGCAGTACGTTTTTGGTTCTCCTCCCATTCTCGTTGGCGTTCGCGCTCGCGCTCCATTTCGCGTTCAAGAAGTGATTTTGAGGCCCAGCCGCCAGCTTTGGTTTTTGCTTGTGAAGCAATTCTGCGATCGTTTTCGGCGTCCACTTCGGAGGTTGTGGTGTAGTCTTGCGGTCGGTGTGCCACTGGCCTCGATTGCACAGGCGCAGGGTTGGAGGCGAGGAAGCGGTCGACTCTACTGTCCTTACCACCACTGTATTTGAGGGGGTCGGGAAGAGGTCGAGATGGTGGAGAGGTGGCCTCTAGGGGATTTGGCAATGGTCGGGAAGGTAGAGCTGGTGGGGTATCTTCTTGTTCCTTAACAGGAGCGATGTTCTTCTGCTGCTGTTTCCATTCAGAGCGGAGGAGTTTCCTTTCTTCTTCTTGAGAGGTGAAATCGTAGCTGGGTTGGACGGGTCTTGGTCGGCTTCGACTACGCGAGCGAGCTTTGCGTGCTGCTTCCTTGGCTCTGAGATCTTGTCTTTCTTGTTCATAATGTCGCTCGCGCTCCCTAGCCAGTTCGAGCTCTCTTTCCAGTTGTTTGATGCGCTGGGATTCTGCTGACTCTTCCGCCGTCTTTTGCGTCGCCTGGTACTGGCTGAGGAATTGGCCGTTCAGGCGTGCGTCACTAGACGCTCGTTTACGTGCCCGTTCCTGTTCAAGTCTCTCTGCAGCTTCCTTCTCTTCCTTTAACCGACGCTGTTCCTCTTCCTCCCACTTACTCTGCTCTTCAGCCCATCGCTTTTTCTCATTCTCGATCTCCTGCCGTTCCTTCTCTCTCAAGCGTGCTGTTTCTTCGGCCCAACGACGCTCCTCTTCTTCCCGAGCCCGCTGCTCTTCTTGCTGTCGACGAAGCTCCTCTTCTTGCCGTTGACGTTCTTCTTCTGCTTCGGCTTCACGGCGTCTTTTTTCTTTCTCCGCAAGACTGGGTACGGCAGGACTAGGTGTCGTGATCTGCCGTCTAGCTCCGAAAGCGACTCCTTGGTTACCTTGACTAGCGCCACCCATGTATCCGTACTGGTGAATATTCCATGCTGGCGCAGTCGTTCCTTCGTCTGATTTCTTACTCCAGCTACTAAAAGTTGGCGGTGGCGATGTCGGGGACTGTGCCGTCTTATGCGGGCTACCACGCCCAGGCGTGTTGTGCCTATTGACTGGGTCAAAAGTAGTTGAACTCGTCTGGCTCACATTACTGGTACCACGAGACCTAGTGCTAGCCCCGAAATTAGAACCTGTTCCTTGTGGACTCATCAATCCACCTTTGCTCTTGACTCCACCAATGGGACGCGGGAATTTGCTGGGCTGAATCGTATTGGCACGACGGCTAAATGCAGCAATACACTGTAGGACTTGCGCCGGGTCTTTGCGTTCGTAAAGGTCAACGGTGAGGAAAACGTCATGAGGTGGTAAGCTCAGAGGTGCCAGTTGGCATGCGCGGAGAAAGTGTGATATGTTTTCCATTTGGACGAAGGGCATAGACGACTCTTTGAACTTTACGCCGGGGGAAACAGCAAGGTTCACTAATCTATTAAGAGATGAGCTTCATCCAGGACACAAATTAAAGTGAGGTAGACTTACCTGCATAGCGCGACACCATCTTTGAGTGCATCAAGTAGATCTCCAGATGGTAGCTTTTGATGGAGAACCTCCTCGATCCAGTCGCGAACTTCGTTGGCGGCCTGAGGGGTGTATTTGGACAGGCGCATATTGCGCAGGTCTTTATCTAGACTTGTCACTGAGGCCATTCTGTTTACCTAGAAGCCTTGATATGCATCGAATGCGCAGAGTACAGCGTGTATGGGACCGATATCTGGAAGCCTAGTTCTGTCGACGATCAATGTCAGGCCGGAATAATGCGGGGTCCCGGATTTAGGAGGGAGTAATTGACGTGGTTTGCTCAGCGTGAGACAATGCCTCAGTTAAATATTGTGACTGACCAAGAAATAAAGGGGATTTCCAATATGACTCCTTAGAAAAAGGAGAAAGGGGGAAAGAAATTGAATTGTTTTGGTGGAGAGTTTGTTTTGGGCAAGTATGGAGAGAGGTTGATCGGACCAGCCCCATCCATGACGTTGCGTGCCAGCCTAACAAAATATTTCGGAGTTACAAGTAGCCGATCTTCTTTCACTCTTACGCTTCACCATCACCTATCCGACTTATAATATACAATTCGGATTATCGCAATCAAAACAATTAAGAATATCCATGGCTTTCTAACAAGCTGTGAGGAAGTGACCGTCCGAGGACGCGACCAAAAGGCCATCAGAAAAAGAAAAAAAACGTCGGAACTCATTCAAACCGGCGACATGAGTCCGGTGAACAGTCTGTGGTTCAAATGGAAAGCTCTTAAGCTTCCATGGAGGAGATCCTGGGTAGTCGGTTTGTATACAATATCTCCGAACTGCAGTAGCTCTACTGATACGTATGGCAAGGCCAGGATCTATCAGGTAATACGTTCTGGGAATTCCGCGATGCCATAAACACCAACCGCTTACGCCGTATCGTCAAATATAACAATAAGACTCACTATGGGGACGTGAAAATCACTCGTATGGATATCACTATATGAAGCTAAAGGGGGCTTTCTGCTTACACTGAAAACAGCACAATGGCATCAATGGCTCCGATATGTCCGTCAAGAACCCCCCAGCCTCGAAGAACAGAGAAGAGATATCATGCGACAAATTCAGATTAAGAAACTTGCGCAAATTGCAGACGAGAAATGGGCAGCTAAACCGTCGTATCTCGATAAACCTCAAACCAAGCAGACTAGCCCTGCTACGCGAACGAGTGATAAGACATTGCATCCTACGAAAACATCAGATCCGAGATCTGAGCGGCAACCCGGAGTTATGAATCAGGTACAGGGGCAGGAGCAAATTCAGCAAGATGCTAGTCAAAAGAAAACCAAGGCTCTTTCGAGAAACGTCCCGACAGGTCCGGGAGAGAAGTGGCAGCCCGAGGCGTGGACACCAGACGCAACTCGAAGATAAAGAAGCTATCATTGATATGGAAGTCAGAACCAAACCGGAAGTCCCCGGCGTTAAGACTATACTCTCACCAAAACATTGCGGAACGGGCGAGAAGACGAGCAGAAAACCGGGCCGTCTTTTTAGCGAACGGCATTGCAGTGTATACTTTTCTCTGCACATACCTATTGTTACTGACAGACGAAAGTCACACCCTTGGCAGTATATGTAATCTAGTTGTAAATCAAAATTTTCGATATCAATCCGGAAAAGGAAGGGGGATATGCGGTTTTATGTATAACAACTTGGAAACAGTCATCTCATTACAATGGACCTTTCTCCAGAGCTACTAAGTACCTGCCCTTGGCTCGTATTTCGAGTAGTCTTCGCGACTTCTCTACCGACTAGGCATCAAGTGACATTCGTGTATGTTGGCGGCCTTAGATAGAGTTTAATTATGGAAATACTCACATAGAAATATAATAGAACAGGATGATGAGTGTAACACATATGCAATATATCTATATAACATCTTGACAGCAAGTAACAACCATAAACGCCGCCCCTCTAAAGTTCAAATAGGTATATAAGTACAACATAGTACAGTACAAAACATGTAGAAATTAGGCTAGATAAAACACACAATATCCGTATTAGTAACAAGATCAACACAGGACGGCTTCTAAAGCTTCAACATCGCCGCCAGCATTCCTGACAGCCAAGAGGGCAGCCTCACTGAGTTTTCTTCGCTTCTCACGAGCTTCTTGCTCTCGGCGAGCTTTGGTCTTGGAGCTGCCGCTAGGTGCGACACCTGTGAGAATCTTTTTGCTATCCTCTGGTGTGAAATTGACAAATGACACATTTGCCGAGCCCTTGGAAGATCCCTTGGTTGGTGTGCTGAGTTTGACGGGTTTAGGGGTTGATATTGAATTAGAAGATAACTTCCTCGCGTGCGCTCGTCGAGGGGTACTGTTCTTCAGCGCAGCGCGTGACTTGGGTGATGTCATGTTTGTAGGGGAGACTGATGGGGTACGTGATGGCTGCGCGATGAATTGTTGCTGGTGAGCGGGCTGTGATGTAGGAACGTAAGGGTGATGTGAGAACGTGGGTTGTTGATGAGAGGTGGTGGGAATGTGAGTGGCAGTTGTGGAATGTAATGGCGCGGCGGATGAAAATGCATCTGCATTAGCACCAAGACCGAATGTTGAGCCAAAATCTATCATGAGGCCTCCTTGAAGTAGATCATGCTGTTGTTGCTGTTGGTGGGTAGGGTGATTCATGGGCGACTTGTGGCCAAGTGATGAGACTAGGTATGAGTTCTGAGTCTGAGGCTGCGAAACCCGCGTCGGTAATGGTGAGCTCCACCAATGACTATCGTGACCGTTGATGTCAGACGTCAGCTGGAAGGTGGACGCAAGGGCGTCTGCATGCCACGCGTGTAATTGTTGTGAGTCTGAGGAGGATGGTGTTTGGAACATGTCATCCACAGGGGGTGGCGTGGAGGTGTTCTGATTTATAAAGCCAGCCGGCTGCTGTTGCATCTTGCTAGCAAACATGGCTGATGCATAGTGAGAAGAGAAATCCGTTGCATCTCGCAGAAGGTTCTCCGTACTCGAGTTAAGATGAATGCCACTATCACGTCGCATGCTCTCATTTTGAACAAGAATGTCTGATGGAGGAGGAGATAATGGAAGCCTGTCGGCTGCACCAGGCAACTGACCGTTAAGATGCTGCAACCGTAATAACCAGTTTTCTGGATATGCCATTTTCGACCTCTGAAGATGCGAGCGCATCAAGTTGGGAGAGTAGCTTTGTTTACGAGATAGACTTCCACGATCATTTGACTTCCGTACGCGGACGCTTTTAGGAGTGATTGGAGCACTTTTGGAGTGGATTTTGCAGCTGGGTGTTGCGGGAGGAGAGGATGGTGATGTAGACAACAGACCAAGAGCTTCGGGAGAAGACTCTTCAAGGCTTACAGTATTAAAGCCAGAGACGATCTGGGAGGGTTGTACCGTGTCGTGAACAGGTTTGGGCCGATGTAACTGCAAATCATTTAGGGAATCTTGTTGTATTGTCCATGCATCCTTATGCCAATTTTGCGCTGATGACTGTTGGGAGTGCTTGGGTCCGGCGGGTGAAAGTTCGCCACAGTCACTGGAAAATGAGCCGACAGAGAAAAACTGATCAAAGCTACTAGTGAAGTGGATGTCCTTATTTCCGTCACCACTAGCAGAGGGGTCTGTGTTGACGTATTGGTTAAATAAGTCGTTGAATGAATGGTCGAACGCTGGGGCGAACATGATGAAGACTGGGATGGCAGTATTTTCCGCTTCTGGTTAGAGGGGAAATGTCATGTATATGCGAGTATATCGTTGACGTTTCTCAGTGATTGGTGTAAGTGTGGAAAAAGGCCGCGTTGTCGAAAGATCTCCGATTAGGGTAAGATTGATCGACGAACGAGGGTTTGGATATGGCAACGCAGTCTTCCGAAGATCCGAGGATGAGGCTGATTGCAATGCAAAAGAGGCAAATCAAGCAAACACTGGAAAGGGATGTTTGACAATTGATGAATCAATGCAAAAGAAACAAAGTAAACAAACAGACGAGAGGCGGTATTTGAAGTGTGCATGTATCTCCAACCAGCCTCCGACTTTCCAGACTGCATTCCGCAGTGTCTAAAGAAAGACTCACGGAATGTTGCTATCACGATACATATCAGCCAATACATGGCTAGTATCACAGACGAGCAGTTCTCAATCCACAATAGGCACACTCTCATAGGTCGATTTCGAGTGGCTGACATTCCTCTCGGCACTGCCAGGGTGTGTCAAGTGGCCTCGGCTTAGCCACAGGGAGGAATGTCCCAAGTCACCCTTTCCAAAAGCGGCCATGTCGTATAGCTGGACTGATACTGCGGGTCACCAACTTGAACCAAATGACCAATGGAGAGTATCTATGTATAGTAAATGTGATGTGAAACTCATTTGTCATTCAGACTGAACCTTGGTCCGAACGTCTAGAATAGACTTGTCCTCCCAAACAAGAATAGCATTGAATCAAAGTAGACTAGACGTGTGGTGACTGCGATGTAAGCGTCATGCATAGCACCTGAGTCTCGAAAGCCGATAGCCATATACCCGGTATAATTCTGTCAAAGGGCCACAAAGACATTAATTACATCCGATCGGCTATGCTTCTTCTCAAAGCCCTTTCTCCATAGTGTCAAGTAGATGGTTCCTTGTCCTGACCAATCAAAGTTGTCATATGTTGGTCATTGGTATGCTGGGACTCAAAGGAATGTGGACACAAGTTCAGCAATGACAAGCAAGCTTCAGGACTGTCTAGGCCAAAATATGGGAATGGGCCGGACGTGCGGACCGTCACCTAGTATTGTATCCACTCGTAGCCAATCTGATGTAGTAATCAGCAGTGAAGCCCATAAGATAGTAGATGTAACACTTTATCGTAGATCCACTCACTGTCACTGCACAATATGGGATGAGATGCACCAGTTGGTTCCAACAGAGTAGGAGCTTCAAAGGTACATCTGGCGTATGGTGAGGAAATGTTCTCGAACTGAGATTTTCTGACGGAGTTGCTTTGTGTCCTGAGCCTTTGGGCACAGTGAACAAAGGAAGAGAGCTTGGCCTTTCAAAGTTAAGAACATATCACTTCACTAATGACATCGAAAACCGCTATCTACGGCTCTCATTGCGTGCCATTTCCCTCTCAATGAAGACCAGATACTGTGTGCGCCAGTCCAGTTATACCAATAACCATTGAGTACTCCTCATTTCCCATTGCATAATCATCACTCAGGATTTCTCGTTGACTCAAACCATTGCGTAACAGATTGTTTGTTTTTGAAATCTACAAGATGCCCAAAAACGGTCTGTTTGGTTCTGTCTTCAATGGCCATGTGGCCTCCGATCCCAATGTAATGAGTGAAGCAAGATATAGCTTCTTTGAAGGCTAGAAGACCTGAGGTTGCCCTGAAGGAGACCCGAAGGAGATTTCATACTTCCGAAACGTCTGTTTTTAATGCGCTGCATGGTCTTTGACCCGTATAAGAGACTGAAAGGATTGGTCATTGCGGTAAGCTCCGCTGGTATGACTTTTACCACGGTATCATTCGCAGAGGTAGCACTGCTTCTGCATATGGAACAGTCCTCGATTCAAAGACCTGGCAGTTTGTATATCACATGCTTCGGCGCTTTGAGAGCTGTACTGACACAAGTCATCAATTGGTTGTAGTGGCAAGGATCCTGGTTGAAGGATCACAACCTTTGTATAATGAGGCCACAGCAACGCTTCTTGCGTAGGAGCATTCTCACAGCCTGACTATGCCACGCTCATCTCGTCCCATGTAATCCAATTGGGTCATGAAATGCTTGCAGGGGAGCCCCTCGGATAGGAGGTAGAGTCGTTGCGCTTGAGTGTTTGGCCGATATCGATTGATGCAGGCCTCATACAAGTGTCTGTCAACTATAGATATTGCTCGTTCGACCATCACGCTCAGGATTGCACCTATACGTAGTGAAAATAAACAACATGTTACCACCACCAGTTGTTGTCCTTGTGATTCGCATCGGCTGATACCTAGTCCTCGGTAATTCGTTGCCTTTGTGTAAAAGCGCCTTGGGCAGCCTGCAAGCCACTTTCACTGAAAGCCTCACCCAAGAGATCTGGCAGACACTGTAGAATAGAATATGATGCGATGTAAACAATGGCCAGAAAGTGCAAGAAGAAAAGAATAGAAGGCTTGGCGGGATGTTGCAGCCTGAGCCCTCAGGCTACAACGTGACGTCCGTTTGATGCGCCACGGCCCGGACGCCGAAGTCTCCCGCGCCTTCCTTGACCGAAAGCGAAGAGTCATGATGGCAAGTGCGACTCTGCCCCCTTCACAAAACTCTTCAACTTCCCAACCACCCAACACCACACACAACGCCGATTATTCTTACCATTATTTACACCAGAGTTGTCGATAGACGACTCTTTCACATTCTAGCATACATATTACTGTGCTAGGCCCTGAGAATTGTTCCATCCCAGCGATCCGAGTCACTGGATTGCGGGGATCGCCCACTGATATTCTTCGCGCAGCTTCTTCGGGGTCGGAGTTTCACACCAAACTACACACTCGCAGCATCATATCGAGTCTGTCGCCCTTGAACAGCCTGCTTTCGAATCGACATCTTTTCAAACCCAATTTTGCGACACGTTTCAACTCAAAGTCGCCTACACATAAAGACCTCGAACCTCTTATTTAACCGAAGGACAGAACCGCGACTTACTGAGACGACCTCGATCACACGGAACATTCGGCACGAATCAAAGAAGGCGCTGTAGCCGGATTCGTGGATATCGACCATATTCTCACATTTTCCGCTTTTGAAATCTTGAAATATTGCTATGAGTCTGAAGTACTACAAGGCTGGCAACTTGCCGGTTGTCTAAGTCACTGTTCCTTCACATTTCCCACCATGGACTTCACACGTGCTATTCGTGGCTGGAGCCCATCTATTGTTCGTCTCTCACGCAACCACATCGCAATCACAGTCGAGCAAGCCTCGGGTCGTCGCGGACTTTTCAGCGCCTTTGGCTTTCAAGTCACTGAATCTGCTATCTTGTCGTCACCTTCTACTTGAAGCTGGACTCTTGACTGTCTAATTTCCGGATCACGACAACCGCCAACATGGAAGCCCCTTTGAAACAATATCCTCCCTGGAATTCTCTTCCAACCACTTTCTCCCGATCGCAAACTGCTTCTTCTCTTCGCGACAGCTCTTGCGCTTCCGATGATGTCTCTGACATTTCCTTGGGTACGATCAACACGACCCTTACGAACATATCATCTACATTGCCCGATTTCGGGATTCCAATTCCACACACTCCGAAGCTGCATTTTAAGTTCCAAAATTCTGTTCACACCCTAAGTGGCACAGACTTTGGTTACGAATCAGACGACTCCAGAGTCGAGGGCACCGAGCATGTGGAGTTTAGTGAACATGATTATCAATACCCCGAAAATTCTTTGCAAGGCGATGAAATATTTGCATTCGAGGACTATTCCTACGATCCCTTAGAAAATGCAACTTCGCCATATGATCCTTGTGATAGCACTTCTGAATTCGACGATTTCGAAGACTTTGAAGACATTGATGAAGATTTTGATGGATACACCGACGACCTGCAATTCGACGATTCTCACATCGCATTTGAAAACGTTGTGCGCTTTGATCCAGATGTCTCATACATTGAAGCAGTCGAGCTTCCTGATGTTGACGCTAATGAAGGATCCGAAACTCCTCAAATGACACTCCATGAACTTATGCTACTTGCCGATAGACAGCGCGGACTTGTTGGTAATGATAGTAAAGGAGACAATGAAGAAGATGATATGAATGCAGAAACATCCATTGCAAATGGGCTAATCGAAGAGCTTGCGCAAGATCATCCTCGCGACGTAATGGATGTTGACAGGCAACTTTTCATCGCGTTCATTAACGGGCTTCATGGAGACACGGGGCGAAAATATCAACCTCGTCTACAGGATCGAGTGCAAGGGTTCCGAGAGGGTCGTTTTCAGTCGCCTTTCTTCGAAGGTGAAAAAGACTCGTCCGGATGCTTTATGCTTGATGAAGCACTCAAGCATGTCATTGGCATGTTTCGTCATGTCGTCTTACGCGAGGAATTCGACGAGCTCGTGCATCTTGCCCAGTCTTCGCGGATGCAGAAAGAAATGTCCGCTGCATCTCCCCACATGCAGCCATCCAGTTTCTGGGACAAAATTGAAGGTCTCTTGTCAGAGCGCCTCCTCAAGGGGATAGCCAGCGTTGGAAAAGACGAGTTGAGTTTTTTCGCGGATGGTGTCGTCTACGCACTCGAACGTCCGAAAATATACACATACGACGGTATTATCGCCAAGGGCGTTGAAAATCTTAAAGCGATGGGAGAAAATAAAGTAGTGGAATTGGCAGCGTGATTGATTCTCCTCATAATCGATTGTCGCAGCATAGCCTTTTGATAGAAGGGAGTGATTTAGTGGCTGGCTCCGGTGACCAGCAAAACAGATATCTCACGACTCAGCAATGGTCGCATGAGAGACGACGAAAAGTTATGTAGATACATTCTCATGACCATATGGCATAGAGCAAGTTTCGATTGATGTATTTAACCTAGTTACCTTGCTAGTAATTCATGATTTCGACTTATTTTTGTGTACGAGTAGAGAGAGATGCATCCTTGGATAGATGCCTAAGGAGTCATTCCTATGAAACATGTGATTTACTCAGCCCAACCTACTACGCCTTTCCGCTCTGTTTTAGTGCTCACCCCTTGCCGCTTTTACTCATTGAGTAGAACTGAGAAACTTTGCCTTTGATCAGTGAGCCTTACATTAACCTGACTTAGTTAACTATCATTTGCGTGAACTCAGCCATAACTGCCTCAATCATAGAGTGGACCCTCGGTACAGTGGAGTCCCCCAATACGAATACGCCCATATTGCCATTTTGGGTCATATATGCTTTTAGGGCTAAAAATAGTTTTCTCTGAACCTACGGCAAAAGCGAAAAGAGAATGTATGATTTTGATAGCCGGGAATAATTATAAGAAGGCAAAGCTCTGGTCTCGCGACATTATGGCTAATCTCTAGGAAGATGTACAACCAAAATTCCATCATTTTTTCCGCCGCCTATACTCTACACAAACTTATGGCCCGAACAAGGTTGCTAGCAAACATAACCAGACTTATGAAAGATAATCAAGGACGTTCATCCAACATCATACTCCCATCCTCGTCCAATGAGTGCAATGTCAATATGCGGATCTTCCGGAAAAGTCGTCCAGGATGAATCACAACAAAGAGAAACGCAACCAGAGACAACAGCGACGCGTCAAAAACATACAAGAAAGCCTCATGTTTTGTCAGAGCACTGTCACTACCACTGGTGAACTCTATCAACCGATAAACACTCCGTATGAAAATAAGCACACTAACACCGCGCAACATCCAAAGCGTTGATCTCCAGGGAATTGAGGGATCTTTCAACGTGATAACAGTTGGCCCGTTGGTGAGTCGGATATGAAGAATCGTGTTCTCAAAAATAAACCATCCCAAAGCAATAAGTTGAACAATCAATCCCCCAATGACTATATGCTGGCCGAGCTTGATTCCGGTGGGGTCACTACTCGCTTGCATAGCAGAACCTGCCATCTGGCAACCAAAGCTTGCAATATCAATCAGGACGTAGATTTTTGTCACCCATCGCACACTCATAATTGTGTACTTCTCCGCTTGTAGAGAGCGGGCGAAACGGCCTAGTGTCATGTAGACGGTGGCAGCGAGAAGCGGTGCAGATCCCAGGATGAGCATGAGTTGGAGAAGATACGGACTGCCATCTCGGATATTGTTGTGAGACCATGCTCGGCCATAATAACCGAACGCTTCACCTATCGTATATATCAGTCTTACGGAATCAAGTTATTTTCTCAAACAAAACTGCCCATGTGGCCCTACCGACACAACCAAGTATAAATGGAATGAAGAACCACGCTCGCAAAGGAAACATCAGAACAAAATGTACGGCTGCTCCAATGCCGAAGATGACGACAAATACCCAGCCAGCTGTTTTGGACGGGTTGTAAGGATAAAGATCAAAAGGCGCCAGACCTCGTCCTATCAACCTGGGATTGTCCATAATGTAACAGAGAGAACAATCAAGCAAATGAAAACACTTGTGGTAAAGAAGTCGTAGTAGATACAGAATATAATAATATCTGAGCTGTGCCAGCTTCTGACACCTTCATACTCAGTTATATATGTCTGAGAGCCTTGGAAGTTTGTCTCGATGCTCAGGTGAATTTATCGACTCCTGGTCATTCAAGTCTCGAAGGGTCTTGGGATACCTCGAACATTTAAGACAAATATAGCAACAGATCTCCAGAACCGTCCAAATAATCCATCTGCCTGGTCATCGAAATAAGTGGACCAGCCAATTGATATTGATGAATATGCCATTGAAGCAAGCGATGGCTCCATTCCTCTTAAGAGCCATCGTGATTTGCAAGTCCGTGGTTAGGGTTAATGGGATAATGTACGAATACGCGACGGTCTTCCTGAAATGGCAGGAGTCTTAGTTTAGGCAACGAAATTTGAAGTCATGGAGATTGCCCATATCTCCAAAACGGTTACGATGTGAGAGATTTTCCAAATAGAAAAGTCTTCAAGACGTCAAGAGGATATATAGTCTTCGGGTTAGAAATCGGGCCCTCTGCGAGCAAGTCTCCGCTCGACCAATAAGAACGGGACAAAATACGAATACGCCGAAATTTCCCTTCTTCGCCAAACCTCATCCTCATTCTCGACCAAATGGAGAACCAAGATTCTTATAATAAATCGAACAAGACAACGCGACGATCGCATCGAAAGTCACGAGCAGGATGTGGGAATTGCAAGAAGAGGCGCATAAAAGTGAGTTCACTCATCTGATTGAACCCGACTTACCTCATATCTCGCCTTGTGGAATACCTACCGGATAGTTTTATGTATCACTCCACGGGTGTCTTCTACAAATCTCTCTACAAGGTCATTTGAAATGACAAGCAGTCATCTCCGAGAATAAAAGGGCATTTACTTCTACGCTGGGAACGGACAGAATGTATAAAGGAGAAAGCTTCTGACTGTTCACATTTATACAGTGCGACGAGAAAAAGCCCGTTTGCTCCAACTGTACGGGTCGTGCTCTTGAATGCACGTTTTCTATTGATAATGTTGAAACCTCCATATCGACATATCTACCCGAAACAACGGCTCGATTTCGACCGTACACATTCTCACATAACAACCTCAAAGACATCGAAAAGAAGGGAGCATCTAGTTTCGAGGCAGAATATCAATCGGTATCGACGCACTCCATCGGAATTCAATGCAATTTGGACGCCCCTTCCGCGAACAAGCAGCACATCTCTCTGGATGACCTGCAACTTTTCCACCACTTCATAGTTTCAACCTACAATACCATCAGTGACGACACAGGTAGCTGCGACCTTTGGCAGATTCACGTCCCACAATGGGGAATGAACGTTCCCTCCATTCATCATCTCATCCTTGCCCTATCTTCTCTGCACTTGAGCCATAAATTTCCCAACCGACGAGATGAGTATGTGCGGAAAGCAGATGATCATTTCACTTTTGGTCTCCAGTCGGTCACGGCTGTTTTGGCTTATCTCGATAGTCGGACCAGTCAACAAATATATATCTCGACTGTGTTGATTTGTTTTGTTTATTTTGCTAGAGGACCAAGGACTGGGGAGTACTTGGTGTTTGGTGATTATGGCCAATCTGAATGGCGGGTGCTCATGAGAGGTGTCAAATCAATCGTGGAATCACATAGAAGTGAAGTCTTTACAGGAGATTTAGCTCCGAATTCTCAGTCGATGACAGTTAGTGTTAATCCGTTATTACGGAAGAATGAGACGGACAGCTACCTTGAGCACCTACAAGAAATGCGGACACTGATTCAGCAAGAATTGCCATCAGATACAGATCGCGCCATGTATAACTCAGTCATCGATGACCTACTCGCTGTAAGGGCTGAGGTCAACATAAAACGATCAATTCAGTGGCCACCAGTAGGCTTGATGCAGGTGCTTATCGGATGGGTATACCGAATACCAGACGAGTTTGTGAACCGGCTCGAACAGAAAGAGTCAATGGCTCTTGTGGTTTTGGCATATTGGGCTATGCTTCTGAAGTACATGCGATCTGTGTGGTTTATGAAGGGATGGGATGTACATGTCATGGAGGGTATCTCTGCTTCTTTACAGAAAGAGTTTCATGGGTGGATTCAGTGGCCACTGCAGCAACTGGAGAAGGATTAGATGCCCAATGTAGTTTGTATTATGTAACATGAGAATATCACGTCTTAGTTATGTCCTAGTTAGTCCCTGCTACCCCCTATTCCAATCACTAGTAAACTGGCCATGATGGCTAGCCAGTCAATATCAAAGGAGATTTCCGAGGTAACTTCAATTATTTTTTCTTTTCGGCAAGCTCCGATTCATGAGATGAATAAACCCGGTCAGCGCTGAATTTCATCGAACAAGTACCGGTACTGGTAAAAAGCGTAATGAGGGACTCTGTGCATAAGGCGCAGACTGTTTACAACTGCGAGATACGTATCAAAGATGCAGGTGTAAGCCGGTCCCTTGATAATACATCCATGAATGTCCACCATAGCAGAAGGGCTCCAAGGTTGGTAAGCTACTATCAAATCCAGAGGAGCAATTCTTTCAGTTGAAGGAATATATATCAATACGAATCTAGAACTCTCATACTAACATGTAACTATAAGCGAGCCGTTCTACTATCACATCCACTATCATGGTTCCCGATCCTGTTCGCCATCAATAGACAGGGAGCTTTATGGTCCCCGTTGTATTTTAGATTATGGGTTGATAGCTACTCGATGTATCCCGAGGGAAAAAAGAGGACAAGGTCCGGTTAAGCCGAGTCTTCTTGCCAGGTCAATAACAATATAAGTACGCGATACGAATATAATGTGGACCAACTACAAGCTCAGATGCCTGAATAGTTCACAAATAGAATGGATGGCTCTGACAGAATAAATATCGACACGCGCAGAGCGCGATGAAATCTACAGATGAGAAACGTTCATGAACTACGACATGTACTGACGAGATGGATTCTTAATTGCTCACTATTGACAAACTTGGACATTTTGAGGACATTTTGAGGTGTTTATAAGCAAGTCCCATGTTGGGAAGCGAAAAATAACACTTGATCATCAAGGTTCGGAGACCGGAACTTAGCTGTCGTCAAAGCTTACCGTTTTTTGATTTTATGCATATCATAATATGATTCCTCGTATTGACCTGCTTGGGCATAGCTACTAAAGATTGATTGATTCATACACGCATCTAAGCCTAGTGGCCAGCGGCGCCTACAATTGGGTAGCGGGCATGCTCAGATTCCGATAATGATTCTTCAGTGTCCTCTGCCTTGACTGCTGGCTTTCTTGTTAGACAGTTAAAGTCCCAACGGGATCTGCCGTAGTGCCTGCAGTCGTGAAGTCGTTTGCGTTGCTGCTAGGTTTTCTGGGCGTCCGACGGTGTTTCCTCCTTGGGGGTTTTTTTTTTTTTTTTTTTTTTTTTTTTGGTATTGGTACTGGAACGAGTCCTAGCGACGAGGGGGAATTCAGCACAGTAGGTCTATTCAACTGGTTCCAGGCTAGGCGGGCAGGGCCTCCTGTACATGCAGTCGTCTTGTAAATTCGTTGAGGGAGTGGCTTTCGGGTCGAATGGTGTTCATAAGGCTTAGATCTAAATTCTCCTAGACTCTGGTGACGAGCTCGTCCTCATCGGTGATGATTGCCTCCTGCAGAAACATGATAACATGTATTCTCGTAGCAGAAGCTCTTTTTCCTTTGCAAAACGGAATTCCAGTACAAGGTATGAAGATCCTACTCCCCAGGCCCCCATTCTGATTTGAAGAATGTACGTCGATCCCGCACTTCCGGAGCTCAGTTCTATGAATATCGCCAATTGGGACACGCAGAGAAACTCCGAGTGGATGTTCTACATGCAAGGACTGTAGCTCTAGGTTCTAGTAGGCAGGATTAAATAAACGGCCAGTTTGATCGACGAGCCGTGATATCCACAGACACGGCTCCGGAGCATTGGCAAAAAGAGCATATGCACTTTAATCCATGGATAAGATGAAAAGCCCTGATTGAACCTTCTTAACTTAGAATCGATGCATGTGTGTGTAAGTTGGTAAGTGACCGTAGTGTTAGCTGCATATATGCAGTCAAGATCCTATCAGAACTCCAGATCACCAAGACGACTCAGCGAAAGAATTTACTACGTAGTTAATGAGCCGTATGCCGCGTCAGTGGATCTTTAGCCTGTCAAATAAAGTAATTGACACCTCGCTAAAACGTAACGGTCTGCTATCAACTTAACCGAAATGATAAAGCCCTTATTCCCAGTAATAAGACCCCATGATATATAGAACCATGCCGAATAGGTTATATCACCGTTCAAAGTTATATGCCCTATCAACCGGACAGCAAACCCCCCGCCCCCTCTCCCCCCCCCAAAAAAAACAAAAATCCATGCATGAGTGGATCTACAGTGAAACAAGTCTGAGGTCCATTGCGTTGTGCAAACTTTGTACCTCCATTCGGACGTTTGACCACACGTGACGCGACGATTGAATGTCCGCCTTGTCAGACCTCGGGCTTCCGAACGTGTGGGATTGTGGGATCGGTTTGTGTGATTTTCAAGTGTACACTGCATGGTCAGGGGCCTTGCGAGACTAAAGTTCGTCAACTATACTTACGTACTTACTTCATAAGCATGGATCGATTCTTCAGTTTGGAAATGATGGTGATGTTCACTTGAAATGTTCAGCCAAGCTCGGGCTTTGGTGGGGATCGCTGTCAGCGGCCGGGCTCGAGCTTGAAGAAATTGAAGAATCAACCTCTTCCAACCTCCAGGTTGTGCCGTTGGTATGGGTAAATTATAGGAGCCAAGAGGTACGGCATAGAAAGTATCAAAGTTGTGGTTGATATAGAAGTACGTACTATGTATGGAATAAATTGGAACTGGAGCTATGACGGTCCTGCCCCTTATTAGGGGTCGTCGTGCCGGAGTCAAGACCAGGATCCGTTGGAAGAATGAGTTCGCTGTTCTGATGCGTGACAGACAAAGACTTTTTATTCTTGACTCGCGTCTCGGTTTGAACAAAGATGATTCAGTTCTGCACCTTGCATATGCATGATTGCCCGGCATTAGAGCGAATGACTGAGTCGGACTATATACTATAGACTTGTTCCCGTCAACGTAGTATTGTGTATGTATTATGATTAACACAATAGCACAGTCTATCAAGCCCTATCAACTTGAGGCGAAGCCCGGCTAATGTCAATAGGGGTAGGTTTGAGACCCGCTTTCTATTGAGTGCGTGCTTTAAGCTTTGGCCAAGATAGTTCGATGGAGATGAATCGCGATACCTGAGTTGAACCGAACCCTTGATGCAGACAACGGATATCATAGGTATGCGATGGTAAACTGTTCAGAGTTGACTTGTGTGTGTTAGGAGATGGCGAAATCAGACGAACTGCACAACCAGCGTGGTCAACATCGATCCTAGTGCGAACTCTGGCAGAGCCAAAAGCAAGGGGTTTCGCCTTTCAGCTCTAAACACCAGACCTAGAATGCCGAGCGAGGTTCGGCTATTAAGTTCGTCTGTCGTACGCCGTCCGCTTGCGTACAACGGAGAGATAAACGAACATGCCATTCGTTGTATTTGTCTGGTGTAACAGAGATCCGAGTTCCAGCTGCAAAAAGAGTCGACCAGGATTGTCGAAGTATCTGATTCTGTACGCTTCCCCTTTTAGGCAATTTACGGGGGCCGACGGAGCTTACGAGATCAGCCATTGCCAATTTCTGCGAGTTAGAGAACGTCGTGGGGCCAAATTGATAAGAATGGTGCATGCAATAATTGCAAAGAGGAAAAAAAAAGATCCAAAGTTGAGATTATTGACGCATAGGTAGTTATTGGACACCCAGCATCTGGGCTCTGTTGCGGGTGAGCTCCATGCTTCTCTAGTAACAGTAAGAGAGAGAGAGAGTAAGTAGAAGACCCCATTTGAGTGGGACAAGGGTAACTCAAGAATAGAGCGGGCCTAGCGTCGATTCTCCTGAACCGCACGAGGTTGCTTCCTCCGCCCTTTTTCTTTTTCTCTGCACCTTTGGTCAACCACATTGACCACTGTATCTGTTGATTTATTCCATTTGCTTGTTTTATATATACTTTTATTTTGTTTTATTTTGTTTTATTTTTATTTTTTGATATCTCGTTCGTTCGTTCGTTCTACTCTTCACAACCTGCTGATAGTGGATACTATATGTTCGGTATGCTGGAAAGCCATTTACTCAAGGTACGTACTGATTCAGACAATTGCATCGGGAATTCTCTTTTATGAGTTGAGGCGACTCGAATTGCCCTATTGCGCTGGTTTCGCATTGGCCGACTCGTCTCTTCTCCCTCAGCCTACTCCAACCATATCAGATCGGATGATAAGGACTAACATTTGACTCAACAGTATACGATTTGTGATTGAGTGGGACGATGACTACTCAGTATCCTTTCGTTTTTTGAATACACGCTTCTTTGTCTATATGCCCGAATTTGGCTTCATTCCTTCAAACTATCGAATCATTACAACCACCTTGATCCTCCACTATGCGGAACCAGCAGGACATCGGGGATATGAGCCCCCTCACACGCTCGCGAAGTGTGAGCGTCTCCAGCGATGCCACGCCAAAAGCTATGCTCTCGTCTCCACCCCCTGTGGATCCTAGTCCTGCCTTTATTGCTCCTTCATCTGCCGCCCAGATAATAAGCGTTGATATGGAACAGAACGAAGTCATGGTCAGCGACGAAGAAGGATGCATCAATTCCAACAGTCTTGCGCTCTTGAACGGCTTTCTCGATTATTTACTGTTCAGCTTTCTCGCTTCGGCCAAGTCTACCCAATTGAGCGCACTCCGTCCCGCAATTGCCGACGTCCTGAAGCCACGGTTGGCACGAGAAGTAGTAGCCGCTGCGGATGAAGAGCTTGGTGAATACATGGGCGGTGGAGATGAAGACGAATTGCAAGAATTTCGGGGCGGCCGCGCTCCCCACGGCGAATTCGACCTGGTTCGAGCATGGAAATTAGCTCGGTTGAGATGCATGGTGTATACCCGATTAGGAGACCTGGAAGAAGAGGAAGAGGATGAATATATTGTCAGGGAGGGCTTGGATGAATCAGGCGGCGCACCACGACGGTTTTCTGGCCATGCTGGAAACATCACTCCAGCCGCTGCCATCTTCTTAACATCCATTATTGAGTACATAGGAGAGCATGCGCTCGTCATTGCAGGCGAAAATGCTCGCAATAGGGTGTTTTCAGCGGCAAGGCTTGCTTCCAAGTTAGCGAACCCTGAAGGGGCAAACCAGAAAATGACCGTCGAGGAGAGCGATATGGAAAAACTAGCCCTGAACAGCACATTGGGTCGGTTATGGAGAACTTGGAAGAAGGGCATCCGTTCATCACCCATACTGGCGAGATCTTTCTCTAGAGAGTCATTCGCTAGACGAAGCACGACCCCGAGCAGCAAAAGTGCCTTTGCCATCACGGACGATATATACGGCCGAGACTCGAGAGTTGATGAACATGCGGAAGAGAAAGAAAGCCGTCGGAGATCAATTGAGCCGGCGAGTATCGCATTGCCCATGAACGAAAAGGATGTCGATGAAATCGAGGTACCCGGGTTGTGGGTAGGTGAAGAGGAGGCCGAAACGATGCAAGCCGCGATTGCTCAAAAAGTTCGCCCACGGAGTCTGATAGTCTCTCGTTGTTCTGGACCACCGACCCCGACTTCTCCGAGCCGCTATCCTGGTACATGGCCAGCTACCAATTCACCCCAACACAGCCGTGCACAGTCTGTTCCTGTCCATATTGAAATTTTCAAAAAGGCCGATCGTTCGCCGGTGCGTGAAGCGGGGCTGTCACTCGAGACCGTAACGGAAAATGAAGGGAACGAGACTGTCCTAACCACGGAAGCACCTACACTCGAAGATAGGAATGTAACCTCAACTTCAATTCCAAAGAAGACGGAAGAACGTTCGGAGAACGAGCTGCAGCCCCTCGCTACCGTCTCGCAGACGACTAGTAATGAAGATATTGCTCACTCCATGCCAGGCGACGCACCCGGAGATGAGATTGTTGAAGGGCAGGGGACTTACCAGAGACCTAAACTTAACAGTCTTTCAATGCAGCGACCGAAAAGAAAACAATCCAAGGATACAACAAAAAAGGAGGGTCCCGATACTTATGTAGTTGAAAATCGAGCAGACTATCGCGATGATCATCCATCCATGCAAGGGGGTGAAATGGGTCGTGGCGTTCAGTCTGCTCCAACACAGCAAAATGCTCTCCATGCCGATGACGTGTCTTATGCACATGAATCAGCCCAGACTATCTTACATCCAATAGCGCCTACTTCTCATCCACGCCAACTCGAAACGGACAAGCAGACAACTGTCGAAGAAAATATCAATAACCTTCCTCGCCACTCGCCCAACCCAAGTCAACAGGCATCTTCCTTCTATACAGAGAGCATCGGAGCTCCTCATTCTACATCGGATGATAGCGAGGGAAGTATTCATCGATCGATACCTTCTCGCGCCGCTTCACACGCTGCCTCGGTCCGGAGCCAACCTCGTCAGGACGATCCGTCTCCAGGTCGGGAACGTGCCACAGTCCAGCGTGTGTATGGTCCAACTACCACGTCGCAAGCGTCCATTCGATCTCGTCGGTCTACGAGTATCAGCGAGAAGCGACCTCTTACATCCGGTTCTGGAGCATCCAACGTTTCCAGTAAATTGAAAGTGCTTATCGGTCGTCATCCTGCAGAGGTTGACGTGCCCCTGCCTGCTCCACCTCGCAGGTCTTCAGATGCTAGCAGATTTGCTGCTGGCGATGATGCGGATGAAGCTGCTTTAGATGAACTTATCAAAAGTGACGAGACGATACGATTCACATTGACTCCTCGTACTATGCGGGAGATAGAAGTAAGATTCTGCTGCGAATTAAGAGATTCAATGACTGACTATGGATCGTGAGCAGATGCCTGGGTCCCCTCGATGGAATACGGCTCGCAACGACGTTCATAAGGATCGCACTGATACTTCCGACCTAGCCACTTTCTTTAGGACTACCGCTCCACCTGGAGAGCCAGTTCCAGCGCCACGCTCGACGACAGAGCAAGAAGCTCCAGTAATTTGCACGAAGCCCGCTCCATCCATGATAGACAGCTCAAGATCGCATTCAGCAGGTGGTACGGTTTCTGAGAAGTCTAGCCCTACTAGTGTACACTCAACAGCAAGCCCCGTGAGTCGAACCTCAAGTGGGAGTAGAGCGGCTATGCATCAGGCTCGCGAAGCCCGAGTGGGCGGTGAATCGGTCCGAGATTTCGCGCAGTTTATCCGTGCTACTGGACCTCGTACCGAGGCGGGACCCAGTGGTCATACGCGTGATGGATCAGAGTCGCTTGTGAACTCGTCCCGGCCAGAAACCGCTCAATCCATCTCTTCCCGGACAACAGCCAAACCCAGGAGTTCGACCAACTCGGCCAAGAGAAATGGACCGCGACTTCAAGCTCGTGATCCAGCCGGTCACGATAGCAACAAAACATCCGACCTGATTGATTTTATTAGAGAAGGCCCTCCGGGCGCATCAACTCATCGCATTCCGCGTACGGTGGCCCCCTTTAGGAATACCATGGATTCAGATGATCTTGTATTGAATGAAACAGCCCGTGATAACGACACCAGAGTGACACCCTCCCTTGCAAGTACGGGTGCCGAATCGACATCGAGTTCTCGTGCTCCGCTTCTTTCAAAATCTGGTCCGGCCGATGCACCACCTATCCCAGCACGAAAAAGACGTGGCCCGCGAGATCCGTACGCCATTGATGTCTCTGATGACGAGGATGAGGAACAATTCTCGGAACCTAGCATACCGTCGAAACCACCACGGGCCGAAGAGAGCCTGCTTGACTTTTTAAATTCCGTTCCACCACCAGTCACCCAGAAAGCTCCCGAGCCATTCATTCTTACTTCGTACCCACTACCTCCAAATACTCCTTCCGGGCAGACTGTGTCCAGTGTTAGGAATCGTTTCCGAAGAAATACTGTCACTGACAAGACCCCCACGTCAAAGAAGTCAATGCCCTCGATGCGGTCCCCCAAGACTGTTACCAAACCACAAATCAGCTCACCCCTTCCACAATCAAATGGCCTTCCTGCGAATAGATCTGGCTATTCAGCTCAAATGACTCGCGAGCGTGGACTAGCGTCTCAACCATCTATGCCTAGTCTCTCACGGCCTGCACGGCAAACCGAGACGGGTGCCCTTGCAGATTTTCTGAAAAATACCGGGCCACCTGAGCCCATTTCCCGTCCGCCTACAATTATGTCAGAGGACAGAAAGGACTCGACCTTTTCCAAGTTTTTCCGCCGCAAGAGGGTGGAGGCTTAATTCCGACGAGCTGATATCCTTTCCTTTTTAATGGTTTGACGGCGCGGTGCAATTTAGCGCGCAGATAGTTTTGTTTAATCTATCACAACATCTCTACTATCCTTGTTATACAGCTGCCCCTTTTACTTGTGACTCTACATCTCGATGATACCTTGTTTTCTTTCGATCTTGTGAAATATATTCATTTTCTACTATCTTCTCTTCTGAAGCTCACTGCTCTTTAGCTAAGAGTATCTCCTGCTTTATTCCCGAAATTATTCTCAGACGCACCTCTTCCGCTTAGTTAGTGAAGATGTTACTATGACGTATGTATATTGGAGATGATATTCAATGATAACAACGATAACAATTGTATCCAGCAGACGTAATTCATGTAAACTAACTTTTTAACGGTGTTAAGTCTTAGCACAGAATATGCATGATATTAGGGCAAACGGAACAATAATAATCCGGAGATCACCGCGCCAAGCCAGCACCTCCTTTCGGTAGCATGTTAGTTTGATGTTTAGCTGGCTTCATCCATGATCTCAAAGCGCCCAATTCATTGACAGAACAGCGATGGCATACACTTTGAGGACCGTCTTAGGTCTTTTACTACTGTGGGCCGGATTGAGTTCTGCGCTCAAATTCGATCTTGCAGCTACAACGTCAAAGAGTGAGCGATGTATTCGCAATTTCGTCTCGAATGGGCAGCTTGTTGTTGTCACGGCGATTGTGTCGGGGAGTAAAGGGGATGGACAGGTTGTTAATATGCACGTATGTATTTTAGCATTGACTTGTGGAATTGCAATGGGCTGAGAATAAACAGATCAAAGATGCAATGGGCAATGATTACGGACGTCCCAAGGACATTGTCGGCGAAACTCGTCAGGCGTTTACCTCGCCTGCTGATACGGCTTTTGACGTCTGCTTTGAGAATACCATTACTAATACTCGGCGTACGCTCCCTTTCCTTACCTCCCTGGGTTCGTACTAACAGATGATAAAAGACATGCGAGGGCCCGTCAGTCGCGAAATCGAACTCGACATCGAAATCGGCGCCGACGCCCGCGACTGGTCCAGCATCCAAGCACAAGAAAAACTGAAACCCGTCGAAACCGACCTACGTCGTATCGAGGAAGTAGTCGGCGAAATCGTGAATGAGATGGATTACTTGCGTCAACGGGAACAGAAACTGCGTGATACCAATGAGTCGACAAATGAGAGGGTGAAATGGTTCGCTTTTGGGACAATGGGAATGTTGATGGGCCTTGGAGCTTGGCAGGTTGTTTATTTGAGGGCTTATTTCAGGTTTGTTTTTTTCTTTTCCCACCTTTCTTGTCAGTGGGAAAACTGGAGCTAACTCGAGGACAATAGATCGAAGCATCTCATTTGATTGCATAAGAAAGAGATGGAGTTTGAGGTGACTGGGAGGAATTTCTTTCTAATGAAAATGTATTTTTTATGATATACTTCTTGCAAGCATTTATAGCTGATTGTGATACATTCATGCATTATGTGTGATACTGGGTACCCTTTCTGTCGGCTTTGAATGAAATGAGCGAAATGATTGTTTAAAGCTTGGTTGGATATTCATGCAATAAAGATTCATTGATATCAATTCAGCCGTTCTAAAGTACCCTAGACATAGGAAATCTTCACATGGTCAGCCTCCAGCCTGTTTCATTTGTGTATAAGATCTTTGTGATGGCCATGACATTTGCATGTACTGACAGCAGGATTCTAAGCATAAATAGCCTGGGAATCCTCCTAGAGATACATCCTGTTCTAATAAGCAAGCACTCTGATATTTCATCTTCTTCCTCCTCTAATAAACTTTGTGAATGATGCGCATCACCTTATCTCTTTGAGAGACGATCAACATAACATTATTGACAGAAATGGCCGGCCCTTTGTCCAGCACAGCAATCCGACGATAGATCTGTCTTAGACTTATAAGTTATCTTCTAAAGCACAAATCTTCCTTTTTTCTGCTCATAATCAAATAATTCACAACTCCTCTATTCATGTCTTCTCCAGAGCTTACAGCCACGATGGGACCTTTCTCATGTGCTAATCAACAACAAGGAGGGCAATCCGGATGCTCCAAAACAGGGACTGAAACTTGTTCTGCTTGTAAGCTGGTGCTGGTAAGTCAACCTAGTGAATTTCATTGATGGGAGAGATGACTAAGGAAAACATCAGTACTGCAGCAAATCATGCCGGGAAGCACACTGGCCCATCCATAAGCTAGATTGCACAAACCACATTCGCAAGTCCTCTTGGAAACCAGCATGGGAAATTGAGCGGCGTAAGCCTGCATTCATCAATGATTTGGATGATAGCGGCACTGCAAGCATGGCCATACATGGTGCTAACAAGTATTTGTGGGGGAATGTACCTGCAATCGACTTGCTTCAGTTGAAAGAGAATGAAGGCAGCAACACAAATCAAGATCTCTGTCTGCTTTTCGCTGGTAAGCACTTCTCTGCCTAAGTCATTGGCTTCCTACTTGCCAAACTCAGTGTATAGCCTCTGGAGATCCCAGAAACTTCATCAAAACGATTGCTTCCCTATCCGGTGAATACCAGGGATATATCCACGTCGATATCAACGATAGAGACGAGACCGTCGTTGCGCGAAATGTTTTGATGATCCTGATTGCGCTCAATTTCCCCCCTGAAACTGCCAGTGACATGATCATTCATATCTGGTACTCTGCGTTTCTGACCGAATCGATTGCTCAGTCAATCAAGAATACCATCCTTCCAATCATCCAAGACGTTTTGAACTCGAACATAGTGAAACCTGGCGCATCTTCAAGTGCTCTCTGGACGTACGGCGAAACCAAACTAAGTGTCGAGCTTGATGGGAAGGTCTGGAACCTACTGCTTGCATATTGCAACGGAAATCATTATATCTCCTTTGAGCATGCGGCAGATTTGAGGAGATCAGTGACCATGGTTCTCAGTCGGATTGACTATCTCGACAGAGCCATGTTCCTCCTTCCCCCTTCATGGCGTGTTGCGAAAATCAAGTTCCGGACAGACGGCCTGCTTTTACCGTTTGGGGCAGCACGCGGCGATTTCAACGTGCCAAATCCGTAAGTACACTTTCTCTCCGATCTATCACTATGCCATTGTTGATGAAAAAAAAATAATTCAAGGACGTTTTTCCACAGCCAGACTTCGTGGCCAATGACGGACTTTGCTGACCCCCTTCATGGATGGGAGCTCCGCGATGTGCTGCAGGAGGCTTATTCTGCAAAAGATGACATTTACGGACTCCTATACATGCATATTCGACAACACTTGGTCAAATTCTGCAAGAGACTCTCCGCGTTGTGGTTAAGTATGTCTCTGTTTTGTATGGATGCGTTGGTCCTACCTACCCGAATCGTGGAAATTGATGACGAGCGCCGTTATGATCGTATCGATGTATGTCTCTTAAGGTATCCTCAAGAAACAGCACTGACAAAAATTGGCTCCATCTAGGTCGCCAATATCACCAACCTCGCCTCCTTGGGTCTTCCACGTACCATTAGCCTTTACGGACCACTCCTTCAACACCCATCACTTAACCCAAAAGCGACACTACTCACATTCTTCCTCAACACCGCGACTGAAATGTCAACCATTCAGGAAAGGGAGGAATCCAAGAAAAAGACAGACAAGATACTGCGCGAATTCCTACCACTCAACCCATACGGGCCACTGCGCGGTGAGGAATACAAGCGCAGTGCCGAATTTTTGAATTTTGGCCATTCTCGCAGTCTGTTGTTTGATTTGGAGCCAGCTTTTGAACGATACATGAAGCGTTGGCGGTTCTTGGAGATTGGGAAGATGTCTCATCTTGAGATGAAAGCGAGACATACGATTATCGACAAGTGGCCTATGAGGTTGTCGAAGCGTCCTACAAAGCGGGAGTTTGAGTTGCTTCGTTGGTCTGGACATGATGGGTCGGAGAGATATGTTGAATGGAGAAGGGTTTTGTGATTTGGTCTGAGAGGCACGTAGTCTACGGGTCCTCGGAGTGGATATCCGTCTAGATGTTTCCAAGGCTACTAAGAATGAATGAACCCGACAATGTATCAGCTTCAGCCATGGTATATGGACGTGGCCTAATAGTGTTAAAGACTTGAACGTGCTATGTAATGGGATTGGGAGGGAAAATGCTTCTCTGCTGAGGACTGTCAAATGGCAAGAGTAGCGATGATGTTCTATACGAGAATCATATTGACCTACTCGAGCCATATACAACGAAGAGAACGACTCAGGAAGGATGCCCGCACGGTATCAACATCGGGAATTATGAAGATCAATTCGTGGACTTTTTTAAAGATGCTCATGTCTCCAGAGCCGGTGTTTCGTTGCAATATGCATCGCTTTCTACGACTTGACGCTGAGGATGCGTCGGACAGAGACTCCCGCAACCGCTATTATGTTAAAATCGCACTTGGTGAGGGTGGAAGAAGAAAACAAAATGTTTTGGCTGCATATACATGAACGGAGGGTCAAGGATGATGATTTAGTACGCATTGCTGCTTTTCAGGCTCTCAGGAAAATGAGTAGGAGATAGTACGGCTGAAGTCTACTTGATATACTTTTGCGTATTGGGGGACCACCATGGGCCCATGATGCAAATTAGCTTGTCTCTCTGATGGTTTGCTATTGATGGTTCTAGCTTTTACTCCGTTGTAAAGATGCGGTGGGATGGAGAAGTTTACACTGTATATTCACATAGAATCAAGGATTATTTGACATGTACCTCTTCTTTGTATCATTTTGAAGTACGCCAATAAAAAATACAGGAATTTCATTTTTGCAGTGAAAGATGAACGTGTTGTACCGATAAAGGATTCGACCTGCCTCGTGATACACTTGATGACTCGTTGCTAGAAGAGCCAGTCGGTTGCTCGGTGGATTGTGCTGCAGCCAAACTCCATTTTGTAGATGTTCCACTGCCTTCTCGGAACTGCGGATCTCTATGCGTTTGAAGTATAGAATCTCCTTGTATACCATCTCTCGTATTTCTGGTTTGTCTCGTTAGTCAACAATCATTGGAAGCTCTACTCGAGATCAAAGCTGATTTACCTAGGGGAAGCCAGAAAAATGGAAAACTACCCTTGGAACGCCATATCTTGTAGGGTTCTGGGTCATATGAGGATGGTTGCAATAAGATTGAAGTATCTCCTTTCCCTTCATCGTCATGACGAGTATAAAACATGCGCAATGAATTGTCTTCGGCCAATGATAACTTTTGCACATGATGGACACTTATAAGAAGGCTTGTTGTTTGCATTATTTTCGTCGTCAAGATAACCTTTCGCACTGATTTTTAACGCATCGTGGATCCCATCAGCGGGATATCGCCATCTTCCTTATGTACTTGAGGAGATGGGTTTGCAGGCCTTACTTGTTCGCGCATTGTTTTCGACAGAATGGACAAATCTGTGGTTTCCAAGGCATGGCTTTTGTCCTCAGTATGGAAATACTCTATCATATGTGTTGTACAATGTTTGTGTATAAATGAAGCTTAGAAAGAGCTGGCTGCGAGGAATATTCTTACTAAGCAGATTGAGCCAATTAGAGTACCAAGTTCCATAACGCCCAACCCTAATCGAGTTGTCCAGCTCAGGGGAACTCCAGCAAATTCTTCGTATGAATGCACCATCCATTATCATTTGCCCACATGCATCTCTTGATAAACAGCATCTTCCTCTTCAACAGTGACGGCCATTTCCGATGCCCCCATCTCAAACGAACCCCGATACTTTCCAAACTTCCAGACAGGGACTCCGTTTTGAAACATCCCATCAATCTCTTCAAGCGTACGTCCCTTCATCTCTGGAACACAGAAATATGCAAAGATAAAGGAAGCAATAGCCAGACTACCGAAAATAAACCCAACCTTTGATCCGAGGTTTGCATACGGCGCGTCAAGAAGATAAGGCGTACTGAAAGAGAATGCAAAGTTTGTGGCGATATTGACAGATGATGCAACTCGTTGCGTCTTATCTCGTAGCCTGGATGCTGGTAACTCGGTTGTAATGATATAGTTCAGTGGATCCCAGCTAAAGCACAAACTCGCTGAAGAGAGTGCCGTCAAGGCTATAATGGCGTGTTTCCCACTAGATGTGGGATTATCGCTAAGACCGATGCCGGCCATGGAGAACAGCCATGTTATTTGTAGCGCCGAGCCTATCAGCAGGATAGGTCTTCGGCCTACCTTGTCGGTTATCATGGTAGAAACGAGACAACAGAAGGTGTTGATGCAGGAACTCATGATCGAATAGTCGAATGCGTTCATCGAGTTGAGTGACTGGACAAACAGGGTGCCGTAAGCAGCAGTAAACGGTGAGCCAGTGGCTTGAATGAAAAAGTTCATCCCCATAGCGATGAATGTTCGTCTCAGATTGCTACCGCGAAAGAGATCCCTATACGTTCCCTGATTCTGCTCCTCTAGCAAGGACTTTTTCAACAGATAGAGTTCATGTTCACAATCATAATCATCATCCCGGCTTGCAGTAGTTCGAAGCAAGCGTAACGATTCGAGGGCATCCCTCTCACGACCTTGCAAAAGCAGCCACCGAGGAGACTCTGGAATCAACCAAACACCGATTCCAACCACGGTGGGAATAATATAAAACAAAGTCTGTGGTATTCTCCAAGCGGCGTTAGTCGTCAGCCCAGAAGTACCGCGACAAACACTATTGATGATGATTCCGCCAAGTAGGAGACTCGTCTGATATGTTCCCACGGCAAATCCTCGTATAGGTGCAGGTACGATCTCCGCCTGGAACGGTGGACAGGTGGAAAGTTCCATGCCGATGTAGGTATAATTGAGTATACGGCCTGCCAGGACTTGCTCGATTTGGCGCGACGTTACCAACACCGTTGCCGACATAGTCGCCCACACGCACATGCAAAACATGGACATACGACGGCCGTACCGCGCGCTGATAATACTGCCTATATATAATCCTAAGACGACGGCCGATCAGTACCGTTGTATATTAACAGACACCGCGTAAAGGTAGCAGAAGCCGAAGAGTGAGAATGCGAGGTAAGAACGGTAGGATAGACGCACCGAAAGCAAATCCAATAAAGTTCAAGCTATTCAACAAAGACGTCCAGTAAGTCGGAATGGCATAAGAACCCGTTTTGGGGTTATAAGTTCCGAATTGATGCTTGTAGGTAGCCATGGCCTGGCTGGTAGCAATTCCCTGGTTATCGAAGCCATAGTTGAGACTGGAGAGCGCAATCAGGCTAACGGCCGCGGCTAGACGAGGAGTGAAATGAGATAGGATGTGACTCCTCTTTGCGAAAAGAAGAAGAGCCATTGTGTCTATAATCGTGAATGAGGAACATCCAGCAAGTCACCGCTACTTGACAGCAGAGTTGGGCCCGGGTTTGAAACCAACGGTGGCGTAGCGATTTATCGGTGATGGGACGATTCTTCACTGCCGGACTCATTCTCGGGGAACAGGGGTAGAAGAGCCCAAGCCATTGTAGGCTCGAGTAGGGCGTGATCAACGATCGTGTCCGATTCACGTGGAGTGGTGCAAGTCGGACTTTACCGTAGCCTCTGGAAGTCGCACAGGACGTAATGCAACAGATAATAGCACATAGGACGATTGAAAATAAGAAGCCGAGATGAAGATGTTTGAGGAAGAGAGAGAAACAAATCTTGATGGATTCCTGAGGAGAATTTCTTCTTCCGCGGAGTACGGCCTCGCTGCTGATTGGCCCGATCCTTTTAAGCTCTTCGTCTCTCCTCTCAAACTTCACTCGAACAACAACTCGAATCGAATCGACGAATTGCCTCACCACAGTGGCGTCCATGGTTTGACGGCCGCTGTCCCTGCCGGACATCCAGTGAGGGAAATATTCTGGAGACCTCGTGGCGATGGCGGCCCCACTATGATATACCCCGAGAGTTGTGGCTGACAGTTGACAAACTTCATCATTCACCACCATTGCCAACGAAAAGCTACCATGCAGAGAGACCATGACTCCACGATTTCTGGGTTGGCTGATTGTAATTTTCATCGGTGAGGTATTTCTTTCGGGATGACCATTTTTTGATCTTAGTTTTGGCAGAGGGAGCTGAGGGGGAAATGTCCCATCTGAGAATGAAGTTGTGGTCGGTACCTTTTATTGTCTGAATTGGTTCAGTCCACGCAATGAGACGAACAACCCGCTTCAACACTCCTGGCCATCCGAAGAGCTGGGAATCAGTTTGCCACCGAGGGAGGGCAATGTGAGGTTTATATTGGCTCCAAGGCACCTGATACTGTTTCGTGGCTCTGATCAAATGGTGCAAGTCTGTCATTCCCGAACTCTCATCCTTTTCATGTCTCAACCCGGCTCAGATTGACTACGTGGGCTAGTTGTGAATCACGACGTCCTCTTAACCAATGCTCGTAGCGGTACAGTCGAGTGAACAAGGATATTCCTGTCTGCTTTGCCAACGGGTTTCCTTTATTCTGCTATGTGACGGCGGCTTAAGTTGGACGGGTCTCGGTAACCTTCGCGTTTAAGAGCTATAGCCTGCAACAGAGCGGAATTGTGCATGTTTGCATTTTCGTCGACAATAACCAAGTCGGGAAGAGCGTTTGAGTAGATACTGTAGAATTAGCGCACACGATGATGTCGACAGTTCGAAGGAGCTCATCTCGTAGATTGCGAATCGCCTCTATATATGAATGCTTTTCATCGGCGGAGACATGATCACCAGCGTTGATAGTTGGATCGTATTGCTAAAGCCGCAGGATTCCGTGTCTGGATATGAGGCTCTTCAGCCGGCTAAGGCGGAGAATATACTTGGCGAGACGTGTGTCTGCGGCTACGGGTATGAGATAAGACGCTGAGCTACCTCACTCTGCTGTGCGCTGAGACAAAGTCCACCCCGCAGGTCTGAAAGTGACCCGTTGATTGGCAGAGTGTCGTAGAGATTGCATTCTCCTAAAGACTCACGGCCTGAGCTAAGGAGAGTAGACCAGATATCTGGGTTGGGTCGAGTCCTTGCAGCCGATTGAACGCGTTGATCTCCCGATGCAAGCTCTTGTTATAGACAACATGCGGTCACCGAAACGTGTTGTTAGGCAGGGAGTAGAACCCTATATATGGCGGATTTTGTGTATAAGCCGGCCATCTATATAGACTGCGGATGCCCGAAAACGGAGAAGAGGAGAAAGGTCGTATAAAATTGGAATGCTGATTTGTTAGAATAGAAAACTCCGGGAGGAAATCCAAGCTATTTATGCTTAGGATCCTGCTGCCAGTACCTGCAAACATAACAAACTAACACAAATATCTTTCTCAGGTATCTCACAAAGATTCGTTCACACATAGAAAACAGGGCGGAACGTTGTACGACTTGCATGTCAATATAAACTACCTCTCCTAGACCCAAGAACAAACCCCGATGCGACTCCGTCTAGCCGAGTGCATAACGTTTTATTCGGGAATATATGTAAGGACATGACTCGATTTCTGCGATTAAATGGACAAGTCTTCAATAGTAGCTCAATAGTGCATCAATATGGCCAATCATATCCTAATGATTCATTACAGATCATCTACCTACGAAGAGACTAGAATTTAGATCGGTTGACTGTTTATCGGAAGACTTCATCCGATGTCTCAATAGATAATTCCCAAGCCGACCTTTCGACCAGTTTATACCATACAGTAGTAAGTAATCTATCCATGATTTCAGAGACTCCGGAACAGTGACTGTGAGTCAACTTCAAGTGCAGGAAGTTATAATATATACGTACTCTATATCATAATGTACCACAGTATACTGTAGTACAGATGGCCTGAATTAAGCTTCAGAATCTTTCCGCGGTGGATCCCCGACGCCACAGCCGTCTGAGACATTCTTTTGGCCAGATCGGACGTCTGGATCGAGTCTGCTCGGTATGAAGAATGAAGAACAACTCAGATAAACCACAAAGTTTTTATGCTTCGAACTCCTCTCAATGACAAGCTTTCCCATACTTCCGAAGCCGTAAATAATTATACGGCAACGGCGCCAAATATCCAGCTGCCATAGACGCTGCCGCCGCTGTCCAGAATTTCGGGTCGCTGATATCTACTACACCTCCCGTGAGATGATAATCAACGATATTCTCAGCGGCCTCCATGGCCAGCATGGATGCCATACTCATTCCCATCGCGGTGCGAGCTGCCATCAGCCATGAAAGTTGATCCACGCCACGGCGGAGAAGGATGGTTTCAAGGATTATTGATGTTGTGATCCCTGATGCCACTGCTCATTTGTCAGTTCAGAATTATTTCAACTCGAGGAGAGTAAAAGAGGTGTGATTACTAGATGCACCCATGATAACTCCCATGCCCAGTCCAGGATAATAAGTTTGCAGCATCCATAATGCGGAGAAATCGCCAAGTGTGCAGCCGACAAGACAGCGTAACGTGTTGATTCCTGCGCGCTTCCAGGTTGATTTGCAGGTCCAGAACCCGGGATCAAACACTGACCTCAATCGCGGCTTTCGAGGAGTTTCTGAATTTGATCGCCCACTACTCTTATTGCAAGGGGCTTTTTTGGTAGAATGGCATTGTTGCTGCGCAGGTCGAAAGCTTGAGAAGAGCCGAGGAATAGGGGATAAGCAACGACTTCGTGGGAATCGGCGTTGCAATCCTGGTGCTATTTGTCTGAGACGGTTCTGCTTCATTTTGACAACTGAAATTTATGAATTCAAAAGGTTATTACAGACATAGCCATTATTTGTATTCTAATTGAATGAGCAATGCTTACTGACATAAAGGTTGAATGGTGGATGGTTGTAACGCAAAAAAAGCGCGGAAAAGCCACCACCCGTGCTTATGTCCGACTCCACAACATCACTCAGCACAAATGCCTCACCGAGTAAAAACAACCACATCGCAATTTCTTCTGATCACAAGTTTGTATGCGTATATCCAAATCATTTATTCCATCTTTGTCGCTAGCACCTCCGCCACAATCTGCTGCTCCACTTCTCCCACATCAATATGCTCTTTTCCCTTTCGAAGCAATTCGACATCTGGCACTGATGAATGCTTCTCGCCTTCAAAGATGGCATCGATTTCTTCGAGAGTTCTGCCTTTTGTTTCCACCCAGTAGACGATCTGTGCATAGCATGAGTTATTAGAAAACGACCAAGTAAAAAGGGGGATGATGGGTGCCACGTACGATCAGAATCAATATGACAATATCCCATGATCCGTTGATCATGTACATCTTCCAGCCAATATTTGCAAGGCCAATTGGCATGATATACACAAACACAAGACTATGTCTTGTCAGTTATCGCCAAAACAGCCTTGATGGGGCAGGAAACTTACGCGAATGCATTGAGTGAAAATGCCGACAATGCTACTCCGTTTGCTCGGATCGAATAGTTCATAACCTCCGGTGGGTACAGATATAGCAGTGGTGTCCAGGCAATTGAATAGAATCCCTGGAACAAAAACATGACCGCCACATCTCCATAAACCAGTGCATTAGAAGCACCGTCCGGGTTATCGGCATACATCTTTGAGAGGCCGCCAATAATGAAGAGACATGCAATCAGCAGTACTTGTGATAAGATCGCGGTTGGCTTGCGACCCCATTTGGCTGCAAGATGGGTCCCGGTTAGGGCACAGACTAAACACCATGCATTCAGAACCACGTTCTCAAATGTTGGTCAGTCTCTAAATGCCAAACAATGCTCGTATAAGCTTACCGCTTTCAGCTGCTCTACAGTATCTTTGATACCGGCAGTGTCGAGTTCTGAGCCGAGATAATATGACGCGATAATGTTGCCTGCGATACAAGAAAAAGGACCTGGTGATATCCCAATCAACATTCTTTTTCGGGCAGTAGGAGTTTTGATAAGTTCTTTCGGGCTCATTGTTCTCCCCTGTCTCTTCTCCCAGTTAAGTGTATCAAGAATCTCTTTGTATACAGCCAGCGCAACGGGATCGCTTTGGTTGCCGTTTGAGTTTGTTTGGGCAACCACTTCTCGTGCTAAGTCGTGGAGGCCCTGATGGACTAGCCAACGGGGAGATTCGGGTCTTTATGACGGTTAAAATCTAATCTCTCCTTAGGGGCCGTATCACTCACATGAAAGGTATTATAATGATACAGGCCAGAGAGAATATGCCCTGGAATAACGACGGCGCACGCCATGCCCAGGTCGAGTTCCATTCACCTGTCCCCAATGTAATACCCGCAGCTATCAAAGCCCCAACACTTGAAAAAGTTAGGTTGCGTAAATCAGGTGGTGTTGTAAGATCGACTCACTAGTAAAAATCATTGAGCAGCCCAACACCCCATGCACGCCAACGGCTCGGAAACGTTTCAGCAAGATAGACACCTCCTGCAGTACCCGAGATTGCGAGTCCAAGACCCAGGATTATCCGGGATATCACAAACATGGCAATGTCCTGCGCAGCGGTTTGAAGAACAATGCCAACCAAAGTAACGACGGAACCCCATAGGAGTGTCGAGCGACGGCCGAGCCAATCTGAGAGCACTCCGGAGCACAAAGTTCCAAAGAAACTTCCGATGAATACTGATGCGGTGTTTAGACCTGTCGTCGCGGCATTCAGATTGAAATACTCGGTATACGAGGGAAGGATGTTGAGACCGTTCATCATAGAGCCATCGTAGCCTCCAGTCTTTGGTCCAGTTTAGCTTAGCATTATCCCTCTGTAACTGTATGAACGAATAAGAGTACTCACAGCCGACTGCACCATGGAGCATATCATAAGCAATGCTGCGACGGTAGTGGTAGACTCCGGAACCCATGCGGGCATCCATGTACCGGTTGGCGATCGTTTCAACATCTTGTAGCCTTGGTGAGCACGCTGCTCGAGAATAGATCCCCGGGGGTGAAATAAATGATTCGAAAAGAGGGAAAAAAATTCAGGATGGCAATGTGGTACCGAGGATTAGGAGAATAAAGGTCTCCTCTCTTTCATCCGCGCCATTGTCCAGGATACCACCGTAGCGTGAAGATAAGCTAGAGAGCGACTCCAAGTGAAGACGTAAAAAGATATGCATTCTTCACTAGCTCACCAATAGCAAACTCAGAGTCGACTCAATGATTGATGGTATTTTTCAATCTGAAGGCGAGCGATGTTACCTTGAGTAGGTTACCCCATACTTCCCGCTCCGATAAGCCGATAAGATAAGAATTTTGCCTATCAGGGAAGGTGCCACCCAGGCGGCTTGTTCCTTCCCCACTTACCATTTGCCTCAGGCACCAATTTCCTTTTCTGACCTTCGACCTTACATTCTTTCTTCCAAAGTCTCCCATCTCCCACTCATACCAACATGTATAGCCGTCCAGTTATTGCTATTGCTGGACTGGCTTGTGAGGCATCGACGTTCACTCCTTCGAAAACGCTGGCTCCAGCATTCCATCCGCGGAGGGGTATTGAATGCATCCAAGAATATGACTTCCTCAAGCCGGGAAGTCCCCTCGCAAACATTGCCGAATGGCGTGGAGCCCTTATCGGTCATGCCCTCCCCGGAGGAATAGTCACTCGAGCAGCATTCGAGGAACTAGCGGCAGAAATTTTGGCTAGACTTACGGATATAGTATCGTGTACACCGCCACTTGATGGGCTATGGTTCGATATTCATGGTGCTATGTGTGTGGAGGGACTTGATGATGTAGAGGCAGAGCTGCTTCGTCGTATTCGCACAGTCATTGGACCGGGCGTGATGGTGTCGGCATCTATGGATCTGCATGGGAATGTGTCGCGTGAGCTTGCTCACCGGACTGATTTGATTACATGCTATCGAATGGCACCTCACGAGGATGAACAAGAAACAAAAGAGCGCGCCTGCCGAAATCTGGTCGATTTGCTCACAAAACAGCGTTTGGCGGGAGATAGATGGCTACGACCCTTTAAAGCGTGGATACCTCTCCCCATACTGCTACCGGGTGAGCAAACATCGACTCGGGTTGAGCCTGCAAAACATATATATGCTGCCGTGTCGGATGTCGAGGCCAGACATGGTATTATAGATGCTGCGATTTGGGTCGGATATGCTTGGGCCGACGAACCGCGCAACCGAGCCATTGTCATGGTCACTGGCTGGGACAAGACTGTTGTTGCTAAAGGGGCCGAGGATTTGGCAAAGCTTTTCTGGGATTCTCATGCTGATTTTGACTTTGTTGGTCCTACCGGAACATTCAAAGAGTGCATAGACAGAGCTCTGGCATCTTCTGCACGGCCATTCTTTATCTCAGACAGTGGGGATAACCCGACAGCGGGCGGCAGTGGTGATATGACCTGGGGTTTGACCAAACTTCTAAATAGACCCGAGTTTCAGGATGCTTCAGGTCCGACTGTGATATATGCAAGCGTACCTGGTCCGAAAGCTGTCGAAGTAGCCGTTGCCGCTGGTATTGGGGCGACAGTGACAGTGACTGCAGGTGCAGAGGTTGATAATATACATTCAGGTCCTCTTACAATGACTGGGAGAGTACACTCAATCAAACATGGTGATAAAAATGCAGAGATTGAAGTTGTCCTGCAAGTGGGTAGTGCCTACGCTATTTTGACAAAACTACGAAAGCCGTATCATAAGGAGCATGATTTCACTGATTTGAATCTCCAGCCTCGCTCTGCAGACATTGTAATTGTCAAAATTGGATACTTGGAACCAGAATTGTTTGATATGGCAGCGGACTGGATGCTGGCTCTCACTCCTGGAGGTGTTGATCAAGACCTTGTCAGGCTAGGGCACCATCGTATTCGCCGGCCTATGTGGCCGTTTGATAAGAGATCCGAGACTCAGCCAGACTTGAGGGCACGTTTCATTTCGTTATCACACGATCCTTTACTGGGGCCAGATGAGTAGAGTTGAGATGTTTAAAAATACCTTCAATCTATGTATAATACTTGTTTAGAAGGCATACATGAATTCTTGCCGGAGTATTTTTTATATTTTTTTTCAATCATGATATTGGGTATTCTTGATTTCATTTCACGTTGAGTGGGTTGTAAGACACCTTCCTATGGTTTCCAGTATCCCAAGTAATCAAGTCAAAATTCATCCTAGCTGTTCATGAGGACAGTAGTGAAATTAGAATAAAAAGGAAATATAGTTGTTCTTCCTTGCAAGCAATCCACGAGGTTTCAGCCGTTTCTGCGCATATACCAAGACTCAGATATAAGACTGCCATCTGGACCCCATACAAAGCACTGCCCTGTAAGAACAACCTTTTTCAAATTATTCAGATTCCCGGACTTTCTCCACTCGTTGAGAACATCTTCTAAGGTCTCATTCTCTAGAGCTAGTACATGCATTGTCAATGTTTTCATTGATCTGCAGCTGTGAATAACTCTGCCTAACCTCACAAGCTCTGCACATGTTGTACACAGGGAGTCCCCATCAATGGTTAAACTTGATAATGCAACAACAAGTTGTGGTATTGTGGCACCAGAAATCTCCTTCCCAAGCAAATATACATAGATCGTTTTTCAAACCCTAATTTAACCCCACATGCTTAACTGGATGTAGATAGTATGTATTCTGGTAAAAAAATGAGTTGTATCAAACCTTTTTGCGTATTGGTAACTTAGTACTGTGAATACAGAAACATCTGAAGATTCGATGCAAAATGTAAACATGATAAACAGATAAACAGTGGCATGTGCGGTTATTGCAACCTGTTTGCCAACCCGCGGATCGTGTCAAGGTTCACCCTTGGCTAACAACATACAATCCTTTCAAAACAGGGGATGTTGCCAATTTCAGCGGCTTGATCCTCGAGGATTTACTATGTGCCTGCCCCCGACGTACGTGATAATCATTATGAATAATACTGTATCTTGCAGCCACTAGCAGTACGATACCCACTACAGTATCTCAGCAGAGTCTCTGAATCCCAGTAATAGCTAATGCCAAGAGTGGAATAACAACTACAGAGATTAGCCAGATTCGTCCAAAGCGCCAACTGCCGGAGTCTGCTGCATTCCAGGAGCTGAGTATGTGGGATGAGGATGTAGTATCTGGGTGATCAGGGCCCAGGGCTTTGATCCGGAGCTCAAAGCATTCTTCCATTAGAGCAAAGGCGGCCTGGATATTTCCGAGTGATTTCCAAGTATAGGCAAGATTGCACATGCTGGTCAGAGTGTCAGGATGCTCAGGCCCTAGCACCTGTTTCCGGGTCTCCGTCGCCTGCACCCCAAGCTCTTCTGCTTCCTTCCATCGTCCTTGATTCTGGTATGTTACTGAAAGGTTGCTCATGCTGGTCAGAGTGGAGGGATGCTCAGGCCCTAGCGCCTGTTTCCAGGTCTCCATAACCTGGACCTGCAGCGCTTCTGCTTCCTTCCATCGTCCTTGATTCAGGTATGTTAATGAAAGGTTGTTCATGCTGGCCAGAGTGACAGGATGCTCAGGCCCTAGCACCTGTTTCCGGTCCATCATGACCTGTGCCAACAATTTTTCCGCTTCATTATTCCTACCGTCGCTGTACAAGCAGGCCCCCACCTTCTGGATATAGTCAATATACTGCTGTTGTTGTTCGCGAAACTCGCGTTCACTCAACAAGGATAGAGTGTGGGGTAAATATTCCCTCCAAAGCTGTCGATTGGTATGGTCATTATGAGGGAAAATCTCATTCAATCGGTCAGCTGCTTTGGTTATATAGACCGAAAATTGTTCCTCCTTCCTCATCCAGTTTCGAGTTGCCAGATGTACCAAGCGGTGAAGGGAAATAGAGGAATTCCCAGGTTGGATGGTAATAAAAGAGTAGGCGCTGAGAAGCCCAAGAGCATCTCTCATCTTCAGTTTGGATCCTGGCTGTGGAAGAAAGGCCTGCGGTATATTGCGTGGATTGACACAAGCCATGAGTGATAGGTATTCAGCGGCGAGTTGGTCCAGCTTCTGAACCTGACTGAATGAGATTAGCCACGTCTTGGCTATCGGACTCTGTATATCGTTGTAGCGTCCATTATCACCAAAATCCTTGCTGAGGAGCTCCACAACGTCTGCCTCCTGCTCTTCTAAAAGTATCAAGTAATCAGACAACATTATATCTTTTTTGTTGATATATGCAGTAGCCTGGCTGATAGCTAATGGAAGAAACGTCAGCTGCTCAAGCAGAGCAATTGTCGTACGAGAATCATGAAGCAGGTCGGTGCGAACTAGAGACTTTTCCAGAAACTCCATGCCGGTCTTTTCGTCGAGTTCGCGAACATGTATCACATAAGGGGATGCTAAATCCACCGCTAACTCTCGATTGCGGGTCGTAAAGATGACGTGGCCGTGGTTATTGACAGGAAGGAAGTTCTTTAATGGTAGAGTATCATTATTACCATTAACCCACATATCAATATCATCTGCATTATCAAAGATCAGAAGCCACTTTTCGTCATTTTGGCTGAAGTAGGTCTTGATACGCTCTTTTATCTCTGCTGGCTTCACGTCCTGGAGTCCTACCATTTCCGCAATAGTCATACACGCCTGCTCAACAGCCTCGGAGCTGGTGCAAGGGATCCAAAAGATTGAGCATTCAGGCTCTCTGTCTCGCATCCGGTATGCTAACTCCAGAGCTACTTGTGTCTTCCCAACTCCACCCAGTCCAGTAATAGCAAGCCTTTTTGCTCTATCAGGCACAGATATTAAATCCTCTAATTTCTGGATTTCGTCGTGGCGGCCCACGAAACAGTCATTTCTCTCAAAGGGGGTCATCAAGTGACGAGTTTTACTCGCATCTATCAGGAATATAAGACAATTGATATCACCAAGCTCCCACTAGACAGTTCACTGACCTTCGTGGTCTACAGGCCAGTAATCCAAGAAAGCCTTTGCCGCTGAGGCTCCAGTTGCTGCTGCATATGCTTGCCACAACTTGTTCTTGTGACTGTCGGCATAGTCACACACACCCTTGATAATGATACACGAAACATGATCCCACACCCCCGCCCCTTCCATTTCAAAGCCAATGGCGTTCTCCTTTCGGACGATTTCATCACGGTGCTGTCCGGATTTCATTACCGTGTCGGCAGAAGCGACGGTTCCAATATAGAGAGAAGTCTGGACAGCTTCTGAGGGCTCTCGATATCGGATTGCTTGACCTTTGTTGCATTCAAGCTCATTGCAGCTCTGCCTTAATGCCGCCTCACAAATGTTATCAGGGGAATCACTTCCAAAACAGGAGCACCCAGTAGAAGCATGACTATAATGTTTGTGTGGGTAAGAGGCATTAAAAAGAATATCGTCGGCATTTGGACGATACCACTTCGCCCCTCTTTGCTGAAGAATGCGAAGATATTGTTGGGTCTGATCCTGGAGTTCACGGCGGGCATTTTCAGCGCGGAGACCATTTAGAAGAGCACAGATCTTTCGACCTAGTCTGCTGAGTGTGTCCTGGACGCCAGTCTTTCATTGAAAACCGCCGAGGTATTGTCTGCCAAAATCATATTTGACCACAAAATTACTGATGATCACATCGCCAAGAAATATCTCTTGATATTTTGGTGGCGGTGGTGCGCCTCCACAGATACCGACAACTAAAGCAAGCTCGACGCCTGGGTAGCTGACTTTCAGGCTGGCTGCAACACCTGCTGCATTTCCTTTGCCCATTCCTGGTATGTAGCACAGGACCACATCATGCTTGCCAATCCTTCCATTTATATATGCATTCGCGCCACCTGGCTGTTTGCCATAGTATTTTCCGAGCCGGTCGTACTGTTCATCGAAAAGGGCTTCAACGGCGTCGGCCTCGAGAGGAAGGGCGATCGCAAAATCCTTACGGGTTTTCGGGCGCATTTCTACTAAGAGCAGCACGGATTATCGAAGGATTTAGGGTAGAGATTCAAGCAGATTCTACTGTATCAAGGTCTTGACGACGACAACACCTGGAGACGGACGGTCAGCATTAACGTCGTGGGAGAACAGGGGCAGTTTTGTGTTCACAGCCTCCCATCTATACTCACCAACCACAGGGCTGCAATAGCCGCCCATGCCCTCAGGGGGTAGCTCATGAGGCTGGCATCAGGCTGTTTCTCTGAAGCAGCCAATAACGTAATCGGACAGCGAGTGGCACCTTCAATACACATACAAAGTATTTAAAATTATAGAAATGGCCTCTAAACACCCTATCATCAATGACCTCTTCCGTCTGCGAAAAGACAAAAAGGACTTGGAGTATGAGCTTTTAGATAAAGATGACCGATTAATTCAGCTTCGAAACATACCTAAAATAACCCATTAGCTGCATATGGATTAGTTATGATTCATGTTAGGGTTTGAAATAAATCTATATGTGTACATTTGGGAAAGAGATTTCTGGTGTGACTGTAGCATCTTGGCTGACATGCGTATCAAATCGATGTGATCTCTTTCGCTCCGGTGAACCCTTTCCATCTCCACTGTTAGGTGTTGTAGCGAAAGTGAAAATGCATGGACTAGCGAGTCCATTCCAGAGTAGTAATGCACTCTGCTGACATTATCATCTGGCTGTGGCAAGCATATATTCAATTCTTGTATGCACTCCGCGGAGTCACGCAAGATTTCATGAACTGGTCCTCCGTTCATTGGAGACATCAGTTCGGGTGGGATCCCATTAAAAGCCATACTCTTAAGTTTTGGGAACAGATGTTGCAGGTATGCTTTCCGATATGAGCGCAGGTTCCAAGGCCCTTGCAACAATATGTCATGGAGGACCTCTATCCCACCTATTGCGAAATACCTCTGGAGTTCTTTTTCAAGATATTGATCCCCAAGTGTGTCGATCACATCATCGTCATCACGAAATGCTGGGTTGGGCAAATAGGTCTCACCGACCTTGGACCAGAATGTCGCAATCGGTAGGAATGATATACGTCTAGGAACTAATTTCTCGCGGCTTCTCAAGGCAGTGCTTTGTCAGAGAGTTTGGAGAAGCCCGGGCAAATACTTCCATGGGAATATGGAAAGATCTAGAGGTACCGCAATGAGAAAATCTGCAAAGTCACTGGGACGTTGCTATTCTTACAAAGATCTTGCCGTTGCTTAAGGGTGTTCACTCTATCATATTCATCACACACTTTTACGACATGTCAAACACAGAACCATTGTCTCATTGCAAGACTAGTTCTCATGGGCATTCCCTAGTAGAAGAAAGAAAAGTGAGAAAGTTGAATGATCAAACACGAGTTCTGGTACATGACTTAACAATTTCTCATTCTTGGATACCAGTTCCAGATAATCCAAGTCTGCTGAGTGTGTCGAAATGCGCAGAGTGCTTAGAATAGGCCACTCCTGCACGACAAGATTTGCGACGCGAGACACCAATCCCAACTTCATGCGATCTTCAACTTCCAGATCATGTCCGAGCAGCTGTTCTGCCACAGGATATGCACCAGTATGTATGTACGCCAAAAATTCTTCGAAGTTCATTTGACTCAGTTCATGAAACACTTCATAGATGTTTCGACTGTACGTTTGAAGAATCGAGACCAAAGAGACAGCAGAACGGGAGCTTGGGGAAGACGTCGCAGACAAATCGCGTGTACGCGTTACGATTTGTATCTAGATATCGTATGTGTCTGAGAAATGACTTGGTTTATAGATGTTTCTTCCAAAGCTCGTGATACCTTTTGAGTTGGCAGATGGATGGCAGGAATGGAGATTTCTCGTATTAGAAGAAGAAGAAGAACGAGGAAAGTGAGGCAGGAGAGGCAGGAGAGGTAAATAAATACTTAAGCTCAGAATATTGGAGCCTGAAACCAAGGGCATCTCTCAGTGAATGAACGGTAGTTTCCGGACATACGCCTCTCTGTTTGTTCAGTTGGTACAAAAACTAATGGTTACTTGCAGATTCCCCAGTCATATAAACGTTTGGCAATTGAATAAATTAGGAGGAGAATGCACTCACTTCTCTATAATCTTTGAATTCGACGACTTTAATTTTCCCTCATTTCATGTGTCTTTGATATTACCAACTAAGGACATCGTGTCAGATAAGCCCTAAAACCGCCAGAGCTCCAAGACGAATGGCCACATTCATATGCAATTGTCACAAAGTAGAACTCTCGGCAATTCATGAGGCTGTTCCATTATTGTCAAGGATGTCCGAACTATTCTAAGTCTAAAGGAGAAGACAAAAACTTTTCTTTCCTACAAACCCTCCCAGAGAACGACTTTAATTGAAGAGGGAAAGAAACCTAACTACTCCTGACGCCAAAGCCACTATACATAAAAGGATAGCTCGAAACCAATAGACCTTCCGTCTGTCCATAATACTCCTATTACGCAAACGCTGCATAACCCATTCATAACAACTCCGTAGTTTTAGAGGGATTCATAAATATTTGTAATAATAATACCAGCCGCGCGATAGCTTGCCTTCTTTGAAGTCTTCTGTCTAAAGCAATGGTTAATTTGTATCGACAAACCGAATTCGGGAGTAAGTACTTACTAGATCCTCACAAGACTCATCCACCATGAATTTCTCATCCTTCATCCGCTGCCAATCCAATCTATTCCCTGAGAATGTTTGTGCAAGATCAAAATCAATACACACAACCCTGTTCGTGGATGTCTGGACAGTCATGTTTCGAGGGTAAGGGTTACCGTGATATATTCCAACTGCATATATCTTCTCCAGAATTGTACAAAATCCAACCATGCGGTGGTCTGAATATGTTGAAAGATTGATCCGATGCAAGTCCGGAATATATTCGATGAGGACAGCGTTGGGGAGTTGCTTATCTTTCAAAGCCGCTTCAGAAAAGGTTGGCACGATTTTGCGTCGATTTGTTCTACCACTCCGTAAAAGTAGGGCAACACACATTGCTAGGAGAGTAAATGCTTTTGAAGACGACGATATGCAGTGCTCTCACAGATGAAGGAATCGATTTTGCGATTTTGGGGTCGGCAATGAGATCTCTCTACTATGTGGTACTGGAGTCGTCTTCAGGAATGTTCGGTAATTGAGTTGATCAAGGCCGACATACTACCTTTAAGATGCATATCCTTCCTTGACTGGTGACTTGAAAAGTAGTAGAAGAATCAGATTCCTTAAGAACCTGGCCGAAAGTGATATCACTGATTGTTGGTCCCCATGGCTAGTTTCCCACAAAGTAATCCTGCTACTAGCTAGTAGACGCAGACACACAGTCTCTCTTGAAGAGCTTTGCTCTCTGAAACATTGGTGTCATATATTGTTATCGAGTCTTCTTTCCATCTGCTTGCTCTACTTAGGCCTTGCTTAGTGACTTGTGTAAAGACAGCGCGTATGTCGACTGGTGTCTTACCTGCAAGCGCTGTGTTTCCCCAGTGGACTGAGGTTCACCCCAAAGCTTGATATTTTCAAGTACATTCTGTTCTTCGATCATATTAGATATTTTGTTGTTGCTCGTTACAGAGGATGTTGATTTAGCCGGGGTTATATTTATCCGGAGCCTTCTATGGAAGGTTGTCCGAGGCGGGGCGTCGCCATCTTCCAACTTGAACATTGATGAATCGAAGAGAGCAATCGCAACGATGCGATGTCTTCCGCCCTCGAAAATCTGCAGCAACGAGAGCTTGCTGAAGAGATTGAGGCGATAAATGCAATATACGAACCCGATACGATCGAAATCAATACAATCAGTTCAGCCTCGGACAATGTCCCACGAACGCTAGATTTGGGAGGAACAGATAACAGCACCGCTGCTATTACCACGACGATACGATTGCGTATTCCGGAGCATCCTCACCTATCGTTTATATTCGGGTTTGACGATGAGTATCCGGAAACACCTCCCCGAGTAGTTGGGACAGCATCGACCTCCTCCCGCGGCGAAGGGAGTTTAACTGTTGATGTGTTAAGGGATATTGTCAGCCGAGCACATCAACCGGGGCAAGTCTGCTTATTTGAAGTAATCAGCGAGGCGACTGAAAAGTTTTCTGAATTGAGCATTGGTGGAACAACAGACCCTGAAAATGCATCGAGAGGAAACGAAACACCAGTTGGAGAGCATGCCACGGACGATCAGGTTGACCAGACTGCCGATAATTTCATGGCTCTCTCTTTGAAAGACTCATTCGGCATAGATAGCCCTCCCGATTGGATACTGTCCGATATTGTCACAGAAAAGAAATCAGTTTTTGTCGGTCGTGCGGTACCTGTTACTAGCAGAGACCAGGCAAAGGCGTATCTAGATTACCTCCTAGCAACAGACAAAAAGGTCGCAAGTGCGACACACAATATTAGCGCATGGCGTATTCGAGAGAGAAAAGATGACAACATTGAAAGGATATTCCAAGACTGTGATGATGATGGAGAAACCGCTGCGGGCGGACGTTTACTACATCTAATGCAGCTGATGGATGTTTGGGATGTGCTAGTGGTCGTTACGCGGTGGTATGGAGGAATCTTGCTTGGCCCGGATAGGTTTCGAATTATTAACAATGTCGGGAAAGACGCACTTATCAAGGCGGGGTTTCAAAGGGATGCTTCGAGTGCCAAAGACAAAGGGAAGAAGAAGGGGAAAAAGTGAAATATCTGTTGAGTCTGTAGATTTTTCGCTGCTATGTTACGAGACTATTCGATATAGGTCACCGCACGAAGTCCAGGCCAGTTGTTTTTCTCTAAGCCTGGATAGGGTACATAAGAGGGATTGCCGATACTATTGCGTTTGTGACGCTGTCGAATTGCTTTGGAGTATTTTGAATTGCAACTGTCATACAGGGAGGGTGCATGGAATTAGGGTTCATGGAATCACGAGACCTCTCATTACCAAAGTCATCTCCTCGATCACCGAGTCGTACGTAGTTCAGCATCCTAACTCAGTGGTAACAGAAGTAGGACAGATCAAGGGTCACAGAATGTAGAATTCAATATTCTTTTTGTCATCAAAAATTGTGTCATAGTCGAGATGCTCTTAGAACATTACATCTAGCCTCGTCTTGACATGAGATCATCGTCATCACACACTCGAATGCCTAGATCTTGAATAATTCACACAAACCAAACAATCGGCCAAAAAAAACCGAATGACTCGACAAAATTGTTTAATTTTCAGACTTCAAGATTTGGCAGCAAGTTTCATCAAATAGCCAGGGACTGTAATCTCGAATTGCTGATTGGTCCATTTCACACCTACTGGCCTCCTTGCGGCTGTTTCAGACGAGTCTGTTACCTTGCTGGGCAGTTGACAATGGATATTGTATCTGAAACTGGGGCTCAAGGGGATAACCCGAGTCGTCCTTTGAGCCGGTTTCAACTGCCTTAGTGTGGTACTTTAAACTAATGGTGTGTTTCTGATTGTCGAGACAAGACGAGGGATCTAGTTCTTTATGGCACACAACTTTGGACAGATCGTATCATGAGTCAAAGAAAGATGTATCTTGGAAGACTTGACTTGTAAGATTCCTTCCCTCATGTATCCTTGCATGAAACACGGCTTCTCCATGGCAAGGGACTTTTCGTCAATCCCCAGTTGACTATGTCTCTTCCTTGGCAACAACCTGCCAATAGGGAGGAGATTCTCAATAAAACAATGGGCTTGTATCAAGAATGAGGAATTATTGGTGAATACCATTCAAACACTTTGCGCTAGTTAGGTGACACCCAGTCAATAGCCTCAATAATACCTTTCAATCCTGTACCATATATATGACTATCCCCCTATGAGTCTTGGCTATTTCATTATCTTTCTTTCCTTTCCTTTCGTCACACGCTGCACAAAAATATTTCTTTCCCATCAACTTCATTTTTTATCCTTTCTGTTCTTTATCTGCAGGTCAAGTTCTTTGACAGAACCGTTAATCCCTTCACGATCCTTATAAGTCATTGTCACCAGGAGTAGACGCGATTATCACTCTTTTCGACATTCAATATTCTATCCTTTTGGGATAAACGATCCTTTCTTTTTGTCCTACTGAGTCGGCTGGAACCGCTCAAAGCAACAAAAATATTTTCCGCCTAAGAAAGAGTCAGCATTTTTAACCTTCAAAATGTTTCTCACGAAGCAACATCTTCTGCTTTCCGCCTTCCTTGCAGCTTCGACTGTGCAGGGACACATGAAGATGTCTTCTCCTCAACCATTTGGACAAGACAGCCTGAACAATTCTCCCCTGGCTGCTGACGGCTCCGATTTTCCTTGCAAACTACGAGGAGACACCTATTCCTTTACACCCGCTACGCTTGCCGCTAACACCTACCATGTGGGCGACTCACCTGAGCTGAGCTTGGTTGGTGGCGCAACTCACGGCGGCGGTTCCTGCCAGATCAGCTTGACAACCGATCTAGAGCCTACAAAGAACTCCAAGTGGATGGTCATCCATTCCATTGAAGGAGGTTGTCCCGTAAACGCAGCTGGCAATATCGGAAACGACGCCAACGCCCCTGATCCCACAAAGTTCCACTTCCCAATTCCTGATATCGCCCCGGGTCGCTATACTTTGGCTTGGACCTGGTTCAATCGGATTGGTAATCGCGAAATGTACATGAACTGTGCTCCTGTTCAGATCCTTGCAAAGGGGGGTAGCAAGAAGCGAGAGGAGAAAACATCGATATCCAAGCGTGCTGATTTCCCTCAAATGTTTGTCGCTAATATCAATGGATGTACAACTACGGAGGGAGTCGACATTCGTTTCCCGAATCCGGGCAGCTCGGTAGAACAACTTGGCCAGGCTTCAAATCTTCAACCATCGGGCCAGCCTGCCTGCTCTGGAGGTTCTGGACCCGTTACTGGTGTTGTCCCTGCATCTCAGCCTACTGGCAGCACCTCTGCTGGCGGTTCGTCTGGCAGCTCTTCTAGTGCATCTGGCGGTGCGTCTGGTGGTTCCTCTGGTTCGGCTGGTGCTGCTGGCAGCGGCTCCACAGAAGGAGCTCCAACTACCTTCGCTACCGCCGCTCAACCAACTACCGCGACCGCTCCGGAAAATACCGTGCAGCCAGTTGCTTCCCCACCAGCAGAACCTTCCGCAAACCCAGGTGCTGGCGCCGGTACTGGTGCTAGTGGCGGTGCTACTTCTGGTGGTCTCACTGGCGCATGTTCATCCGAAGGTATGTGGAATTGTATCGGCGGTAAATCCTACCAACGCTGCGCGAGTGGTGCCTGGTCAGCTGTTCAACCTATCGCTGCTGGAACCACATGTCAGTCTGGACAGTCTGCCACGCTCAACATTGTTGCAAAGCGAGAGTATGGTGGCCACATACACAACCGACGACATCTTCTTAGTACGGCTTGATATTGAGTTGTAGCAGCTGGACTGCAAGTCATTGACGCGTCTTTTCTCTTCTTTTGCCCTGGAGGTTCTTTAACTTGGTTCATGATTTTTAAACGGCCGTGCATGTACATGAGAAACGAAAAATGAACATGGGAAACATTCTTCAATCATTATATTATTATTATTCTGACTGTCTTGCACAAGTCATATAAAGAATCCACCATTGTTTTTGAGTCGTCATGAATTTCCCAGCTTAAATGAACAAAATCGTAGGAAATAGAACATGATTGGCTGTAAATTTTAATGTGGGCCTGCCAGTAGCAGCCGAAAAAGCCTTAGCCCTAAACCCTTATTTCCTCTTTCGGCTGAATTACCCGCACCTGGCGGCAGAATCCACTAAGCGAGAAAAAAATCCACATCTTCAATCTCGAAGCTATCTCAACATCCTGACTTCGATCTCGACAACGACCAAACGACACCAAAAACTTGTCGACAACAATGGCGTCCCGACCAACCGTCACCATCGCCACGGCTGAGGGCAAGCCCTCTGGTGCTACTCACCCTCTGCCCACCGTCTTCTCTTCGCCAATCCGCCCGGATATCGTCCAGAAAGTTCACACCGGTATTGCGAAGAACAAGAGACAGCCCTATGCCGTGAGCGAGAAGGCTGGTGAACAGACTTCTGCCGAGTCCTGGGGTACTGGTACGTTTTGATCGTAGAAATTGGGAGAATTGGCTACACATTGGAGGATTGAAATTGATTTGGATTTGAATTACAGGTCGCGCTGTTGCCCGTATTCCCCGTGTCTCTGGTGGTGGTACTCACCGTGCTGGTCAGGCTGCGTTCGGTAACATGTGCCGTTCCGGTCGTATGTTCGCTCCTACCAAGGTCTGGAGGAAATGGCACCAGAAGGTCAACCAGGGTCAGAGGTAGGATAAACTTGATAGGAAGGGCATTCAAAGGTTGGAGATGGTTCTAATTGACATTGTTTAGACGCTTTGCTACCGCTTCTGCTTTGGCTGCCTCTTCCGTTCCTTCTCTTTTGTTCGCTCGCGGTCACCGTGTCGCCAATGTCCCCGAGGTTCCTCTCGTGGTCGAGTCCAAGACCTTCGAGAACGCTGCCGTCGCCAAGACCAAGGCTGCCGTTGCCCTCCTCAAGGCTGTCGGTGCTGGCCCCGACCTCGTCAAGGTCCAGAAGTCCCGCAAGAGCCGTGCCGGTAAGGGTAAGATGCGAGGCCGTCGTTTCCGCCAACGCCGTGGTCCTCTCGTCGTCTACAACCCTGAGACCGACGGCAAGGAGCTCGTCAAGGCTTTCCGCAACATCCCCGGTGTTGAGACCTCATCTGTCTACGCTCTCAACCTCCTCCAACTCGCCCCTGGTGGTCACCTCGGTCGCTTCATTGTCTGGACTTCTTCTGCTTTCGCTGCTTTGGACGAAGTCTACGGTACTACTACTACTGCTTCTGCTCTTAAGAAGGACTTCCTCCTCCCCTCCAACGTTCTTGCCAACGCAGATATCACCCGTATCATCAACTCTTCTGAAATCCAGTCCGTGCTCCGTGAGCCCAAGGGTGAGGCCCGCACCAAGCGTCCATTCGTCCAGAAGAAGAATCCTCTTCGCAACAAGCAAGTTCTGCTCCGTCTCAACCCTTATGCTGCTCAGTACTCCAAGGACAAGGTTGGTCAGCAGAAGATCGAGGCATCCAAGCCCGAACGTGCTGGTGAGCAGTTCCAGAAGATCCTTGCTGAACAGTAAACCTTTTAGCAATCTTTTGTTCTGTTTTTCGTCATTTTCTGGCACCTTTTCTTTGTTTCTTCAAAATAGGGGTTTTTTTATGTCCACTACCACTAGTTTCTAGCACAGCTACATGAAATGAATATGCATGCGTGCCATAATGTGTGATGCTATCAATGAACCAGATATGATTCGACTTGGTTTCTCGACGTAAGGGTGTATAATCTTCTATCTCATGACCGATCCTATTGACTTGAACTGTGTATTGCATTGCATTCTCGACGGATTGTCGATTGTAGTATCCGATTATGGAAATCGGTACGTAATACCGAAAGAGAGATACTACACATCCCAATGCCATCCCAATGTCATGAGTGAATTCCCAGCATCAGTTGGGAGAATATATGCATGTCTCAAATTCAAGTGTTAGTACCTTCCAATCCATGCCCGGAAACAACGACGACATCCGCGAAAAACAACAGAACAAAACCCTGTCGAAATCCAATACATAAGATATTCAAGAACGCATATTCCGAACCTGGAACAATCGTCCGTTGTATTCCATGGTTTTATGCAGAAGTCCATCTCAAACGTTGGATCTTGCTCAAACATCTCCCCGGAGATTCTCAAAACTTCAGCTCCCTTCATCCTATTGACGGGCTGTTTTTTCCAATCGAGATACGGACGTAGGCGCGGAGGAACATTTCACATGTTTTTGTTGCTGCTGATCCTTGTCGGTTTTTAATATATGGTGCAGATCAAATCATGCGGACTTCGCTTAGATAGGTTGAAACAAGCCTCCTTGTAGAGACAGGGTGCCCGTAAAAGGAAGTACGTGCCCTAGCAAAAAGCTTACCTAGGTACGGGCAGACGCACGAATCAGCATTGTACTAAAGTCTGGAAAGAGGTTGGTTAATATCATCTAGCTTCAAAGAATCTTGAGCATACTGACTGTAGTATAGCTAGACGGCTGGCTGCATCGAGCTTAGGCAATAGGGTTCCTACGTTAAGGAGTTATTCCAAAGTTGGAGATTGCCAGGTTACCCATCTACGTAGGTATGTCGAAAGAGATATGACCAAACGGAAGGAGAGTGACTGAGATAAAAGCATTATCAACAAGATACTACCTATGTACCCTACTGCATGTATACCGTACCGTATACCAAGCCCGATCACCGAAAGAATTCGGGAAAAATAATCCGTGGAAGTCCGGCATGCTCTAGGTACATTATACCTAGATAGCTTAAATTGATTCTAATATAGACTCACAGGTATTGCTACTTGTCTGGCCTGTATGTACCCACACCTACAACTGCTACAAAGGTATTGATAGGGTACATATGATTTCTATCTCGGTCTCGGCTTGAGATCGTACCACTTCGGGGCGTCAGAACGCAAAATCCTCGGATATTCTCAATGTTTATGCACATGCATTTGATTCAGCAATGTTAAGTCAACGGTTGATAGCGTATAGGAGACAAGGTGATATAGCGTCAGCATTGTCTATTGACTGCCCAGGACCTCGAGGCTATGGACGAGGTTCAAATATTGTATATACCCTAGCCCTAACTTATCTATTCATGCTCAGTGCCGCACTAATGCAGCACACCATGATGGCGAATGTATGATATTTTATTCCCGCACGGATACTGTAGATCTATAAATAACGTCAGAAGGCAAGTCGAGTTTAAAATTGAGATTCATTAACGACTAGATAAACGAAAGGGAAAAAAAAAAGGAAAAAGAAACATAGGTTTATGAGCGACGGTCCGCTACTTGCATCTGCCTATATCCCGAAGTCTTCCCACCTTATCCAACATCTACGCACCAATTGTCGAGGCCAGATTCATGAGCTGGGACTTGTAGTTGTTGGTTAGTTCGTAACATATTTGACTCGGTTAATTCTGGGCGTGGCTGCGACGTCGTATTCGGTCAGGATCAAGTAAGTTCTGGGGGTGAGACAAATGGATGGATATCATCATGTAATACGATGTACGTAACTATGTGCCTGGTATAAACTTCAATATAGCAATGGCATACAGACAAAAGAAGAGAGGATTATCCACGGACCAGATCGACAGATTCTCGAATCTCCGGGTTCCACTCAAGCATGCAATAGTCAGTTTACTAAAAAAACGTACTGATAGGGATTACGGAGTGAGGATGCTAACTAATCAAAAAACAAAACACGTAGTACGTACTACATCATGACCTTACAACTACGTAGCTACAACATCCTAACTGTAATCTTCAATGCGCGATTAATTTGAAGTTTCCGGTGATCCCTCGAGGCTTGAAGGTATCCCCATTCCAGGCTAGGAGAGTTGGACAAGGCGGAACGGGAACGACAGCACGTTCCTTCCGATCGACTTAGTGCCGGGTTACTAATAGGGTAGCCCGGATGTAAGTTAGTACTCCGTACGTAGGCTTGATGTCTGATAGAACGCGGATACGAGGCTATCGACAGTTATTGGTATAAGGTGAGGCATATCTCGGACAGGGATGAATGGATTGAATGCACTCCTTTCAAAGTGAATTGGAAACCACGGCTTTCTCTCCCAGGACTGCAGCTCATCTACAGAAAAGTCCAAAGGACTTAAGAATAGGTCAGTCGTTTTTATACTTTATCGTGGCGTACACTTGTAATGCACACACGGGCTTTGGTCGAACTTTCCAAACATTTTGCGGCGCTGACAGGCTAATAAAGGCCTAATTGCATCGGCGTTCTGACTGCCGAGAATAAATGATTCAGTAGTCTGTGGTTTGGTCACTGGATGCGAGGAACCCTAATTCAGGTGCGCAATTGCCTATTTCGGTAAATTTGGATCCCCTGCTGAAGCGAATGCTACCTGCGCCTCGCACGATTGGAATTACGTATACATGCTTAACTTTAGCTACAGCCTAGATATCTTTTGCATTCATTTAAGCTGATCTAACTACGTTGTGGTATTTGTTGGTTGACCAGTTATAAGTGACTCTAATAAATTAATGCAGTTCTGGCCGGCTTCTCTCTCACATGTAAGCGAAGACACGGCGCTTGTTCTATTACTAACAATAATACCAAGAGTTAGTCAACTGAGTCAAGGAAATAGGCAGTTGATAGTAAAATCAGCAGTATATACCTGCTGAGTAAGAAGCTGTTGTTCGTTAATATTCTGGAAGCTTGCCTCGTTGCCTTTCTACAGTCTAGGAGAATTTCTCACCAAAGAAATACTCCGTACGAGCTACATACGTAGTCACTACTTTCTATGGTCAAGTTTTTTATTGTGTATATCCAAGTCATACCATCATAGGACTAGAAAGGAACTAAAAATTCAATAGTGTATTAGATAGTTGGACCCTTTCTATGCTAGCTAAAGTCTAGACTCTACCTAGGCCGTCATCTATATTTACTGTACCAAGGACGATGCATGATAGGTCGAAGTATTACCACGCATATTGTAAGTATATACACCCCAGCACCAAGTTCCTCCTCACAGATATTTGAATGTAATAGGAAAGATAATACTACAGAGAAGTCATGTGAATTATGTGTGGAAGGAAGGAGATCTTCCGTAGATCCTCAAATCAAACATCCTTCCTTCATTTTTTTTCGAAGAAAACCTCTTCTCTTGAAAACGTCACTAGTCGTGCTACGTTCGTTTGATTTCTTTCCACCGTTGTTCCCGATTCTTGATCCTTGTCGAGAGACTATGCCGAATGAGCCTACCGTGGCTTGACTAATAACTACGGTGCCAGTAACCCATAGGTCGCTGCACTTATTAATGAGGTAAGAGTCGATACTACATACTTTATTTCAGTGGAGAGGGCGTCAATTCATCCAACGGCAAGGTCTTCTCGTATAATTAATTTTTGATTAGAAAGTGGACCAGTCCTTTTCGGAAGCCCTGCTTTTTTCCCAAAGGAGCGTGTCTTTTGTTCCGACCTCGAGGGCTTGTGCAAAGGGGTAAAACTCTTCACAGCCCCGGAACTTGGAGCGAATAAAACGCGCAAAACCCGATATTCCACTGTCCGTTGAAGCGGGTCGATCTACCTGGTTTTGCCGAAGTGGCTTGACTCTTGGAGAGAAATCTTCCGCATGGCAGCATGCCCAGACGGAGATTTTTACATACCCGCCCAACACGATTTCGCCCGCCTAAATCCCACTAGCTGCGTTTCCCAGCACCGGGGCAGAACTAGCTCAGAACTAGTTGCCAGCTATGTGCCTCTAGCGGTGGCTAGCTGCGCTTCGGAAGCCGCTACTGAATTGTATGGGTCATGCTACTCATCCTTTACGAGAGGCTAATAGTTATGGTCTTCCCCCATTGTGGCTGCCGTCCCCGCCCCCCGGGCGTAGATCCGCTCGCTCTTTGTCCCTGTTCTTGAAAAGTACGTACAGGGGGAACACCAGCCAACAAGGGAAACCCTGCACTCTTCTCTCGGCGTTTTCCAATTCTAAAAATGGCGCCACACACGGTTGCGTTAGGACGTCGGCACTACTGCCGGGCGTTTCCTTCGACCAATTGACAAGAGACCCGCTACCTACAATTCCCACTGCGGTGGAGTATGGAGTTGGATCCAGATTACGTGCGGACGAATACTGCTTGTAAGAGGCTACAACAGTCAGAGATGTGAGACGGCGCTTTTGCCTAGTCTCCCGGACGCACGTCCATATGATAATGGTCAGAATATGGAGCAAACGACGTCAGGTACAAGATGGATCAGCTGGCCGTTAGGCTGTTCTCGAATTTCGATAGAAAATTCTCCTCGGAAATGCCCGTTCGGCAGTTCCTTTTTGTGTTTGATTGCTCACTCAGCGTACGAGACTTTCGTTTGCCTGATGATGTACCCCTGTTCACAGATGCATTGATGCCGACCAGCCGTGTCTGTTGAGCGAACATCGGACTGCAAGACTCGTCATCAACAGAATTTGATTGGCGACCGCGTACTGTTGGGGACAAGAGCTTACCGATAAGATGCACGGTGGACACTGGACGGATGCTCCGTGCTGGGGACAAGAAACAACTTCGGTCGATAAAATTACTTCCACCAGACGGCTAACGTTAGAGTCGACTTAATCTACGGAGTACCAGAACAAGACAAATCGTGTCTCAGCCGAGTGGTACGTCTATCATCTCCAGCCCACTTTTTAGCTTCTTTTGCTTGACTGAAATCGAATTGCAAGCGTGTCAACATCTCGCTGATGATCAGACCTACATTTTGTACAACCTACCTAAAACCTTGAGTGCTCTCAGAAGGCAGCGTCACTTAATTTACGCACAATCTAATCAAGGCCTATCGAGGAGGTATGAGCATAGATCGTACCGATCGATCTGTGACCGTAGACACAGACTACAAGCGCAATCTCAACTCCGTGTGTGGTCTGTGGACTAGACCTGCTGTTGGTCTTCAGATGCCTCGAGCGAATACCTCATACTGCTTAGACTGTACACCTCAATGGCTCCTTGTACGCCTGCAAGCCGCATCGTAAGATAATGCCCAACCCCGGTCATTCTAGGTCTTAGGAGGATTGATACTAGTACTGCAGAGTGAGGGCCAAACGGCGCCGAAGATTTACCTAGGTACTGATTCAGTCCATGCCGGCCCACTATGTAGTGAGTCGCAACAGGCTACAACTAATGGCTGCGGTCCCAATTCTTGGGCATTACGGTATTGGTTTATACTAATTTCTCGATTTCCGCTAGAACCCCCGCCGACTATCTATTCGGCGACCCGGCGACAGCAGCGAAATGGGGCAACAGTAATATGGACGGTATCCTTGGCGATGTGTACTAAAGTTGCTTGTCAGTTAGGGGCTGTAACAGGAAGCCTGTTGATTGCATGGTTCGGCATGTACGTACATACGTAGTATGTACATACCACATCGTAAAGAACGAAAAAAAGCATCTTCCTTGGAGAGTTTAATGCTGAATGGTCCCACTGCCAACGAAGGGTCTTCATCCAGTCGAACTCAGAGCGATTGCGACTTAGTTCTACAACGTGGAGCTTTCGGTGGTGCCCGTTTGGAAATCCTTTCCTATTTGCTCGCAACATCGACCCTCTATATCGGTTTGATCTCCTTCGCATTCGGTTTTCTTCTTTCTCGAGCTCCTCGCTTCAATCAATGCCGAACACATGCACACACTTAAGATCAGTGATCAGTCCAGATCCGCCTTTCATTCGTTGCCTGGTGTTTTCTTGACGGGTCCATGCAGGCAAATCCACTGAAGATCATGCTAGGCTTTTAAAAAGCATCGTGGCATCATATTGACTGTCCGGCCAAGTTCTCTCTTGCAACCAATGTCATACTAACCCATTGTAAGTTGCATCAGATTGTGTCTGGGCACTGCCGCAGAAAGTTCACATACCATCACTTCGTGACACTGGGCTCGCTGTCGAATTGCTCTCAATCGGGCGAGGGTTGTGATATAAACTGAGTGTGCATAATCGTCGACTGTTGGAATTTAATGCTCGAACCCATTCACGAGCCCTATTCGCTTTCTGCAATGAGCATACGCTTTGCTTGCCGTCAATTAATGCCATAGTCTCTTGGCAGTTATTGCGTCATCTGATTACACACGATCGAGCTGGCGAAAATCCTCTCAAAAAAGTGTCTTTGTAGAAGACCTAGCCATCCTGGACCCATAATCCCCCAGCAAGAAACCCCTTGTTGATTCGCTCGTTCACAACAAAGGTAGTTTTGACCTCTTGCCGTTGACGAAACACTGAAAACGACGATACCTTTGCGGTTTTTCGACACCTTCTACAACAGATACCCATATCATCCGCTTTTTGGCAATCCGCGTGATATTGTTACGCAACTGGGTTCCTGCGGACATCATAATAGCAGCCTGAGATGAGTATAACGTATTCACGAATCGAGCATCCTGGCCATACATTTCCTTTGCAGAGTATGAGCTACCATTACGACGGTGGCAGACATGGCCAGGACCGAAACAGTCGCCATTATCGACTCCCACCACCACATTCATCAATCCCAATAGGGCTAATTGCGGATGAGCAACAGACATCATCACACCAGAGAACAGACGCACAGCATTCGAGGAACGATTTTCCTGCTCAGAGAGAAAACCTGCCATCCGTCCACCAACTGCTCTCTGGGGGAAATGCAGGCTACTTACCTTCTCTTCCTCCTCCTACTTCGCGCCATGGCCATAGCCTACAAAATTCGCCATCCATACATTCGCTTCCTCCAAGTTCACATTACAAACCTCCACGGAAATCCCATGGAGGATATCCTGATTATTCCTCTTTAGCCACCTCTGGCGACAGAGAATATGAGGATAATCGATCTCCGCAGTCTGGTACATTGCCGCCAATCTCGCAAGTGGGTATGGAGGCCTCTTATACACGTCCGTCCCATAGATCTCGTTCGCATCTCGTCTCAGACGAAGATTCTTCCAGAAGTCAGTCCAAAGATGCCACAGCAAGCCCGCGGCATTCTGATCCGTCATTATCCCACTTCGTATCAAGCCCCGGACAAGAGGGTTCGCGCCCTGGGTCACGAGGCCCCGCTGTTCCTAATCAGGTCGTTGATGAGCGGTACCTCCCAGGAAAAGGAGTCTGTTATATCTTTGCCGATAACTCTTACTGCCCCAAACTGATTGACGGCCAGCCAGTCAATCCGAATTGGGGTTTGACAAAGGCTGGGAAGGCCCGGAAACGCTTGGCGCAGGCCTGTATTCCGTGCAGAGAAAAGAAAGTGAAATGTCAGCCAAATCTTCCGAAATGTGACCAATGTCAAAAGTCGGGGCGGGAGTGTAGGTTCGAAAGCGCGTAAGTCAATCATTGTATCTGTTCCTTTAGTAATCGGCTCAAGACTGACAGGCTATTCATAATTAGACCTCGCGGGAGTCGGGCGAGATCGTCTTCATACGATCCTCAATCAGCGTGAACGAGATGACTAGTTCAGATGCGGCAAATAGACATTCTTTCAAATTACTTCGGAAGACGACCTCACGGTACATGTTCAATACCTCGACAGGATACTGATTTCTTTGCCAAATACGCAATATTCCACTTTCTCCGAAACAATCCTAGCGCAAGAGACCCGCCGATAATCCTGCGGTTCGGAAGGAGCTTTTCATGAGGGCTATAACCCCGTGATTCTTTGAAAATAGATTCACGGCTGGGATTTTTTTTTCCATTGATGGCCTTCGTACGGCGCAACAACTTTGAATGGAACAAATGAACCATTTGTGTCGACAACCGAAGATCCGCAGTAGTCAAACTGACTCGTTAGTGGGACCCGGACCAAATGTGGCTGGAGATATTGGCATCGTGGCTGTTGCATCCCGAAAAGCGATATAGCGGCTCTCGGAAGAGGAGATTTGCACTCATCTTGATATCAGTAGTCTTGATGTAGTCGGTCAACACAACATTGATGGCGAAAGCGCGATACGACAGAAATTGGAGAACAATTGCATTGCATTGTATACCTGTGTAATGCTGTGCCGTCCAAAGTCAAGGTAGCAATTGACGGGTCTGGACCTGCTGCTATCCCTGTGTCACTATCGACACACATGATGAATGATGTTAAACTCGGCGTTGCACGATTATCATTCCGAGCGAGGTATGCTGTTTCGCAGAATTTCACGAATGTACGGAGTACAAGGTGACCTCTATGATAATAAATTTGTCGTGTATTCTAAGTTGCTTTGAAGCAGCAATACATATTATCGTCGTCCTAATCGTTGCTGAATGGACTAGGGGTTAGGGTAACCCCGGGAGTCCCGATTGTCCCGTAGGTTTTAGCAGATGTAGAAGAGTAGAAAGAACACATAAGATATGGATATAGCTATTTCGATGTCATTTTCGCAGTCGAAGACATAATATCCTCTACTTATATAGCACGCAGCTCTTATAGACTTGACCCCGCTATCTTAGGGTTAAAATAAGCTCAGCATACAGCGACTGGCGCCAAGCCTGCGGAAGCTCTCCAGGAAGGGAAACACCTTGTGAGCTTTCCGACTTGCACAACTTGGGCATTTCAATCGAAGTGATTCTTCGATTATGCCATTATATATATTGAATACTACAGAAGAGGGTCTTGATTTTACAAAAATGGAAAGATAATCTCATTCCGTTTGGCTCTCACTCTCTTCGTCTGATTTCAGCTGTTAAGCTAATTCTCCGACGCACGTTCCGGTGGGAATGGCTTCTTCACGATCTGAAGAAACTCTGCCAAATGGCAGCACTTATGCAGATGACAAAGACTACGACCGGTTTCTGCAATACCCTGACAAAGTCGATTATTACAGCCTACTCGGACTCTCGCGATACCCACCCCCCACAGACAGCCAGCTACAAACCGCATACCACAACCTGTCGCTAAGTCTCCATCCGGATAAGCAACCCCCGCATCTCGTGGAAGCAGCCAACGCGCAGTTCAGACGTATACAGGAAGCATACACGACTTTGATCGATCCGAAGAAGCGAGTTGTTTATGATTTGGAAGGCGAGGAAGGAGTTGAGCGGGAATGGAGTGCGGGAGGACGTATGTCAACGAGGATGGAGAACGGAGATGCGAGCTTAGGGCAAGTCGGTCCAAGAGCAATGCCGCCTGCTGAGTTTAGGAGGTGGTTTCTTGCGAGAATGAAGGCCAGGGAGAGGGCGGCTTTGGAAGAATTGGTTGGCGCAAAGGTATGTTTTACTTGTTTCTCTTGCCTAATATAGGTCCTGTACTTACGTATGGAGCCAGGGATCCGTGTCGGTTACCGTCGATGCGTCCTCATGGATCTCACCAGGCGAGGAGGAAGACGAATTGCGGATCACTTGGCCGCCACCTATGCGTGTGAGTCGATATGTTCTTGGATACAATTTTAAGGCGGCCTTACCGGATTTCTCGAGTGCTTGGACATGGTTTTCTGGCAACCACACAGAACCGGAAGAAGAAATATCTCAGGAGGATGACAAGCCAGAAGAGCAGCTACAATCTTCACCTGAGGTCACATTTCATACCAGTATCAACGGTGCCGTTGTACAAATCAGGCAGCCATTGAAAATTAGTTACGAGGATGGAACGACAGAGATTGTCCAGGTAATCTATCCCGATCAGCTGTTGGTTGAAAAAGAGCATGCATAGTGACTGAGAATATTATAGATTGACGGCCCGCGTATACTAGGTGGTGCATCTTTCAACCTCGGTGCATCTATTAACCATAGTTTCCCATCTGCTGGATTGCAGGCAGGACCTCAACCCAAGCTTAGTATGCGGTCATTGCTCGATGGGGCATCCGTTGGTGGAACTCTGGGTATTCTACCTACTCGGACGCTGAGCATGCATATCCAAAAGCAAGTAGTTCCATTTCCCAACGGCAAACCATTCACGGTGCTCATGAAAACGGACATATCATCGAAGCCCAATAAATTCATGCCTAAAATCACAACATTTGTTCAGAGGCCGTTTGGGCTTCGGAAGTTTGGCACTCTGACGTACACTACTGGTTCACGATTGACATGGCCCTCATTTGTACGAGGCTTGTTATCACCGTTCATAGACATGTCGATTGACCCAAGAAGAGATTTGTTATCATCAAATAATGGTTCGTTACAACTTCAGTATACTACAATATCGGATCCTGTCACTGCAGACCTTGCTGGGGACCCTGAAATTCCAAAATCAACAAGAAACGAGATATGGCAGTGGAGCGTTGCTGCAACTCCAGTTGGGGGAGGTCTGAATCTGACCTACAGTCGCAATTTCTTCGCCGACAAACTCGAGGACGTTCCACGTTCAGAGTGGAATCTCGACGGCTACCATCCAACAATTCCTTTACCGGCTCATCGCGGTGTGCGAGTCGAGGTTGAGGCTTCCGTCGATCTGGAAGGGGGAATGACATGGGCTATAAAAGCTCTTCGACGAGTCGGCGATTTCACCACTATGGGTCTTGGTGTTGGTCTACGTGACAGGCGGGGTCTAGTCATGACAGTTCAATGGCATCGTCTGGGACAATCTATCAAAGTGCCCATTATGATTTGCCCATTCGATCTTGCAGACGCTGATATATCTACATTGGCCGTTCTTGTGCCCTGTCTTACCTATCTCGGCATCGAATTTGGTTACATTCGTCCACAAGAGAGACGTCATCGCCGTGAAGCAATTATCCGGAAGCGAAAGGTCCTCAAATCTCAGATACCTATGCGCCAGAAAGAGAGTGCACAACAAATTGAGCTGATGAGTGACTATACACGACGCCGACAAGCGCGTGAGAAGGATAAAGGCGGATTAGTCGTGGTAAAGGCTGAATATGGTTATATTCCGCCGAAGAATGCAAAAATTACCGATGATTTGACAGACCCTAAAGTCATTGATGCTACGATCCCTGTGGCCGCTCTAGTTGAAAAGAGTCGACTATTTATATCGAAAGACACTATTCGAGTAAGTCATTTACATCCCTCAACCAGGAGATGGCGATGTAATACTGACTTGATAATCTCAACCACAGTTTCAAATAATAGGTTTCTATGACCCAGCTCCTCTCCTTCCCAAAACATTAAAAGTATGGTATGATTTCCACGGTCTGCGTCATTATACCGAAGCCAAAGATGGAGAAGATCTGGCCTGTCCGCAAAGAGAACATATGCTGCTTTCAGAAGACTTGTAAATTATTGTGCTCACCAGTAACATGTATATTATTATGTTACCCTGAAAAGGAGACTTGTCTAGACTTCTCTTCTCTTTGCTCGATTGTCACATACCTAGCTATGTTGACGTTGGAGAAAAATTGCATGTTAGATGGTGTTTGGCTTTTATTAAAGGTATACCTTGAAGTCTTACATAGTATATTATTACTATAATTACTATTATTTTGGAGCCTTCACCCTCACTATTTAGGTACTCCTGCTAAAATATCTTAATTAGATCTTATATCTTCATATGAAAATATACATGTGTGAATCTGTGGTGAGAACATATCTATCTCTTTCGTCTGATGCCCTTCTAAAAATCTTCCTTTGTTGTTCTGATTTATGAGTATTTGCTTGTGATTCTCTATGATCTGTTGCTTGTTTCCCTCTATTAGCGTGCAAGTCCTAAGTAGAATGGATAGTCTATGTAGTATGTATAACAACATAAGAGAGGTTCTAATTTCACTTCAGTTTTGTTGCTTGGATAAGATATCTCTCGTAATGAGCCTTCTTTAAGGGGTACTCTCATCAATGAAACCCTTAGGTTTCCTAAAGTGTGTTGTTTACCATGACTGTGTCGTCGTGACGATTCACTGTAGGCACACAGTCTTACAAGACAGACTGTGCACATTTACGATTGTTTTCTTTGCAACCACTGCTGTTGTTTGACACACTCCTCTTCTGACTCCATATAAAAATCAACTGACCCTGTCTCAGCGGATCTCATCACCACACATCTTCCCTGAGAAACGGATCAGAAAAAACAACTGACAAGATGTGCTTCGATATTTGCATCGACTGCTGCCTTGAACAGTGGATGGTCTGTTTCTGGCCCAGCTTGGCTAAGCACAGGAAGAAACCAAAAGATGAATCAGAACTTGAGCATGTGTACGTCCGTCAACGAGTTGATGGAAAAGTTGTCAGGAGCATCGACACTCGGCCCGTACGACGTTCTCAGACTGTGAGCTTCATGTCCCTGCTAAGAATTCCAAGTTATGTCTGACTGAAGTACTTGCCATAAAAGGTCAATCGTGGAACGTCACGACTACCGCCAGGGGTTACTGTTAACGCTGGAAGAGCGCGCGAGCAAAGTCGAGCGAATGAAAGCCGTGACAGGCGACAAGTGAGGTCTGACTCAAACCAGAATGAGGCGACCGACAACACCAGTAACGACCGCCCACATAGAGACCGCAGAAACACAATAGATGCTGGTGTCCAAACCACCGATAGCCTTTTGAATGTTACAGCGGGACCTGCAAAATCGCGCTCCAAGGATCAGAGAAACCAGCGCGACGATACCCACCGGGGAAGAAACAAGGACTGGGACCAGGAAAACAACCAGGACAGCGACGACAACAACCAAGGAAAAAACAAGAACTGGAACCAGGAAACCGATAGGGGTGGCAAGAAGTCCAAATATGACAAAAGGGCAAAGCTAAAGACGCAGGAGTCAGATTCCCAAGAGGAAAGTTCAAAAGTCAACGATAGGAGCGATGATACCATGGATAAGACCAAGGGCAAGGCCAAAGCCAAGGACGACAACAAATCCCATAATCTAGGAACCAACGATCAGAAGAATGTCGACTTTTCTGGAGACCACAAGGACAAGAAAGATGAAAAAAAGAATGAAGACACTGAAGCATCTCCAGCTGCAGAAGCCATCGATGACTGGCCGGTACTTCCTGAAAACGAATCAAAGAGTCCAGAGGCCGAAGCATTTACAGCTGCGGAACTCATTGATGACTGGCCGGTCGTTCCTGAAAACGATTCAAAGAGCCCAGAGGCCGAAGCAACTCCAGCTGCAGAAGTCATCGATGACTGGCCGGTCGTTCCTGAAAACGATTCAAAGGCTCCAGACCCAGCGACCAATGCATGGAATGACTGGAATACCAGCGAATGGAATACTGGAGACTGGAATACTGGCGAGACTGGTGTTGACAATGTCAAATGTAAGAACTCCCAATCCCCTACCCAGGCCCGGAGTCCTGACACACCCTGGCAGCGTAGAGGATATTTCAGTGAACTACCATGGATCCGCTCATACAGGGAAACCGAGTGCAGGACTAGGCCTATGTCGTGCATACCGATCCAAGGTATAGACGGAGAGTATAGATTCTGGGTCTGCGATGCCAGTGGTGAATTTCGGTTGAGATCAAGGGCGGAAATTGACGAGCAATATCAACCAGGGCACTGGGTGGAGGACGAGTGGGGATGGGAGTATTTTAAGACCTATACCTACCAAAAAGTTTGATCAACATTGAATTCACTGGAAATAGTCAGTAGTCGACTCTTGATAGAGAAGAGAAGTAGCATTGTCTAATATTGAAGGGAACAGCAGCACCCGGCACATGATCAGCGGCCGGTGATCTATGTCGAAGCAATTGAGCACTTTTAGAAATTGTAGATACTAGCTCGTTTCCTTACTTTGTACCTCAATTTTGGCTGAATTTATCTACGTGAGGTACCAAGTTGAAGCTTTTCTACTGATGGTGAGATACTACGGTAGCCAAGATAAACCAACAGCGCAACCGTTGCCATCATCAAAACTTCAACATCCATCCTCTTTTGCAGTAAATTTACTTCAACGCCGCCACCACACAAATATACCCACCATGGCTTCAGTTGCATCGGGTCTCTTCAAGTCTCTACCAAAACCCAAATACACAGGTGAAGATGAAGAGATTCCATCTCACGCGCAGCAGCGTGGACCCCGAGTGCTCGGCGCGGGTGCCCTCGATGAGAGCCAGGTTGTATTAAGGGTACGTTAACCGTCACAACAGCATTGATTACTGTTCTATACTAATAAAGGTTTTACAGAGAACCGGACCTCCACCATACGGCAACAGAACGGGATGGCGACCGAGAGCACCTGAAGATTTCAGCGATGGCGGCGCCTTTCCAGAAATTCTCGTTGCACAATATCCGCTAGATATGGGTCGTAAAGGTGCCCAGTCAACGTCTAACGCGCTCGCAGTCCAGGTCGATGGAGAAGGAAAAGTCAAATACGATGCCATTGCGCGACGGGGTCATAGCGATAACAGAATCGTCCATGCCTCATTCAAAGACCTCATCCCACTTCGACAACGTGTAGATATGGGCGAAATCTCTCTCGATCGGCCGTCGGAAGAAGAAGTAGCTGAACAAATGGAAAAGACAAAAGATGCTCTGGCCAGATTGGTCACTGGAGCTGTTGCAGCTCAGAAACCCAAAAACGTTCGTGGTGGACAGAGAGCTGATCCTACATTTGTGCGATACACCCCGGCAAATCAGATGGGGGATACAAGTAGGAAAAATGATCGTATTATGAAGATTATGGAGCGACAGCAAGATCCCATGGAGCCCCCGAAATTCAAACACAAGAAGATTCCACGTGGTCCCCCGTCACCACCCCCGCCAGTAATGCACTCTCCGCCACGAAAATTGACCGCCGAAGATCAAGAAGCATGGAAAATCCCACCGCCAGTGTCGAACTGGAAGAATCCTAAAGGTTATACAGTGCCTCTCGATAAGCGTCTAGCAGCAGACGGTCGAGGTTTACAAGACGTCACAATCAACGATAAATTCGCGCAGTTTGCCGAAGCACTATTTACAGCCGACCGACATGCCAGAGAAGAAGTCCGGCAACGAGCACAAATGCAGCAAAAACTGGCTGAAAAGGAGAAGGCGCAAAAGGAAGAACATTTGCGACAATTGGCACAAAAGGCGCGCGAACAGCGATCTACTGCGGCATCGAGTCGTCGAGAGTCTCGTGCGAGGTCTTTTAGTGGTAGTCGCAGCCCTTCACCTGCATATTCGTCGCGATCAGTCTCACCTAGCGACGATGAGTCGGCGGCTCGAGAGCGGGAGAAGGCTCGTCGTGAGCGCCGACAGGAAGCGGAGCGACAACTGCGACAATCTCGTATGGGCACAGAACGTCGTATTCAGATGCTTGCACGGGAGCAAAATCGTGATATTTCGGAGAAAGTGGCGCTGGGACTAGCGAAACCTACCCAAAACACAGAGTCTATGTATGACTCGCGCTTGTTTAATCAGACTAGTGGACTGGGAACGGGATTCAACGAGGACAATCCTTACGATAAGCCACTATTTGCAGCTCAGGATGCTATTAGTAGTATTTATCGTCCTCGCGCGCAGGCAGACGATGAATACGATGAGGATGCCGCCTCCGGTGAAATGAGCAAGATCCAAAAGAGTGGTCGTTTTGAAGTTCTCGGACGAGCAAAGGAGGGATTCCGGGGTGCAGCAGAAGCTGAGGTAAGGTTACCGTTTTACCCTTCAAGAATTTATACTAATGCCGCACGTGTATAGGCTCGCGATGGCCCTGTTGAGTTTGAAAAGGACACTGCAGATCCGTTCGGCATTGATAGTATGATTGCCGATGTGACCGGTGGCAGTTCAAGCGCCGGTCAAAAGCGGTACGGTATTCAACAGGCTGATCGAGATGAAGATGGAGGTCGAGGATCGAAGCGGGCGAGGGTAGAAGAGGAGGACTAATTTGCATATCCTGACCGTTATGTCTAGCAGAAGGATGATTTTGAACTATGCAATCATGGCGTTGTGTAAAAATAGTGAATATTGGTTCATATACGAGGCTTGGACTTACGTCTATATTCGAACGTATGCTAGGATGTATTCCTTGCCTCCTGGCTTCTATGCTTACATCTTAGACGGGCTTTTATCAACGATTTGACCACATCTTCGTCAGTTGTATTTTTCTATTTCTGAGCCATTACATTACCTAATAGGCCTGTTCATCCCTCTTCACCTCGACACGGCATCGGAATTGCTTGGTCGATATGTATCAGACAAATCACCGCATAACTACAGCGCTGTGCCACTGGATTATCAAATCATAGTGGCTGAAGCCACGCTTAGCGCGTAGATATACCTCGGCACCAAGAGCATCCCCTTAGTCAACAGTCTGACACTATCAGCCCTCCTCCCCACAGAATCCTTCTGAAACTATGATAAATTGAACATAAAACGTGGGGGATCAAAATCCGGGGAAGAGCACATAGATCCGATCTCTTGCATCTTCGTATCGCAAGGGTGGTGGCATGGTACGACGTACGGACGCACGATCGAATGAATGAACGAATGTAATGTATTCACTAATTCGATTCATTCAGTGGCTATCGTCAAATGATCTATCCGGGGGCGTGTACAACCCCGATATTGATCACGTCAGCGGCTTATCTTCTTTCTTCTTGTACGGTGTAACGAGAGAAGAATGACTCATTTTTGCTTTTCTCTTCTTTGCTTTTTTCTGACGAGTTCTCAACTTGACTAAATGTCTACCCCGTGGGGGAGCGGATTTGAGTTTGAAGGTTAGGGTTAGCACGGATATCCTATCAGATGGACGGAATATATTGCTTTTCTTTTGTTGCCGCCGACACCCAGTTTATGAGTACGTATTTGGCTGGTAGTATTCTCACTGTAGACACAGAGTCCGAGATAGGTACCTGACTTCGTTCCAGTCCAGATACGCAAACCTCAACAGTATCCAGAGGTAGCGTGACTAGCAAGCATACGAAACACAAAGGTTGAGATAGGGTAGATTCGGCTGTGCCGTCCAATCGGTTGGCCGATTGTACCCTATCTTTGACAGTCAGACAATTGTTCCGAATTCTTCTCTCCACTTGATGCAAGTCAGATAGTAGTACGTAGGTAAAAAAGATACGTAGTTAGGTGTCAGGCTTGACGCTAATAGCACTCGTCAATATTAGTGCAAAAGCGCGATACGCGCAATAGAATCAGGCACAGACCTCGAAATGCATGGTGATTCTCAGGGTCTAAGGGAACCTTGCTCATAGCACTTCATACTTAAAATGCAAGAATGACTTTGATCTTTGATATTCCAGTCTCATTGGCCAGTGCCTGTCGAATAGGGAGTCTCGCAATAATCAGGCCAGACGAACCGCCATACCCTATTCTCCGATCCGCCCATCCTAGAAGGCTGTATTAAGGCCTGCACGTACCTCACTTAGCGCACGGATACTTGCATGAATCCCTGGTTAATTTACTGTCGAGGTGTTAGATGGTACAGTACTTGTGCCTGACAACTCAGCATCAAACACGACCATGCATAGATTGCTCAATCAAAGCCCAAGCGCTCCGGCCGCCGTTTAATACCCCTCTTTACGGCGTAAGTAGTGCCGGAATGCTGGATACGGATATTATTATTTCTGTAAACAAACTCGGTTCAGCTCGGCTTCTCAGCTCAGTCGTCATCGTGGCGGTTCAGGCGAACGCTGCTGTCAGTAACAGTGTTGAGGCTGTGTCTGCCTGATTGGCCGGGATGGCTAGAGAGATTGCCGCATTTGGACAATCATGAATCGCCAATCGTCAAAGCATGCTTCTCACGAGGCGACTGGCTTGCTCGTACAAAATACGTAGATGCACTGATCGTCCGGTGGCTGCTGTATGACTTGGCTGACCAGCTCGCTAGTGTGTAGAGAGATAGAACCCTTTCGGATTGTGAGTCAAGCTTGTATGTACCGGTACGCACGTGGGGAAAGATGCCGTCGATAGAGATAAGTGCGGAACAACTGACCGGAAGCAGTAAACACTTGGCAGCTAAGCGAGAAGATAAGAGGGTATTGACGCGAAGAAGATAAAGAAGAGGAGAGGGGAAGAGGAGAAGAAGAAAAATAAAGAGTGTATAGAGAAGAGTTGACCATACAAAAAGGAAGAGAGGGCAGAGGACCCACTCCGGATAAGGAAAGAGTCATCCCCATGTTCCCCTCTTCTTCTTCTTCTTCTTCTTGTTTATCTCTTTTATATACTCTCCTCGATTTTTCCTTCTTCATCTCTTCTCATATCTCCTTTCTATTCTCTCGCGACCAGACGCATCCGAGTCCTAACCACGCCAGAACTAGTCGACTAGCTAGGGTTCTGCACGGCCTTGGCTTAGGGCATACAACCTGACGGTCACTACTGTAACACCAATTATAGTTACATGAGGCCATTATCAAACTATTGATTTAATGCGCTAAGATCATTCTTGCCACCACAGAACAGTATCAGACACAAAAAAGTTTTTTTTTTTTTATTTTTCAGTGACAAGAGAAGGGAGCAAAGAAATTACACCATCCACGTTGAATCGCTCGAATTGCTGTCTTCTCTCTCGATAGGCGGCCACGCCATCGTGCATTTCTCTATCATAAAATCAGTCGCGCTCACGTTATATCACCTCTGATTGCCTAATTGCCAGCAACGCTTTGACTGGCTGATTCATACTTCTAAAAAGAAAGTATTTCTCTAGTTGTTCGTTGGTAATTCGAATTCATGCATTGCAAATTCATTCTTTCCAAAACACATAGTCGACTGCTGGTGGTGTATCCAGTCTCTACCGACTTCATCTATCTATCTTAATAGAGACCACTTACAACATGGACCAGTCATTGTCTCTTATATCAGCCACTGTACAGATCACAGTATGTCTTTTTGCACTGACTTAAGGGTTGTCAACCGTCAATGCTGACCTGCCTAGGATTCGGGTTTAGCCCTGGTCCATATTCCGCTGGATTTATATCCCTTCTTTGTGCAGCCGCTTTTGCGTCTGCTTTATTGCGACATCCCTGCGATCAACAAGCTCGCAGAGGAAGAAGGTGAAGATGTAGACCGCGCCAGCCTTACTCCTTTCAATCTCGGCTTCATCAATTTCTCAGTGACCCCTGTCGAGTGCTCCGTGGTATGCTCTCGTCAACTGGCAGAGCGGTTCTTCACGCCGCTGGCAACGAAATTCAACAAGCTTGCTTCGTCGAATCAAAAAGTTTGGATTAGTGACGATGACTTTATTGCCATGCAAGTTGAAGGTCAAGGCTTGGACGCTGGCCGACGAGTCCTAGAGTTAACCGGCCCTCTTGCTCTCGCCGGAATGTACGTATACAAGAACCCACTGGTTCTTTCCCTACCGCTGGCTAACAGTCTTAGATCTATCTTTTTCATTTCCACTTACTTCTCCGACTATATCTTGGTTCCGGCCCGGTCAAAAGACCAGGTTATCCACACTCTGTCGAGCCAAGGATTCACATTCGAGACCGACTCCGATCAGTTTGTTAACAACTTCAACATTCAGTCTCCCCCAACGCCGGGCCTACAGTCATCAATACATATTTCACCTCCATCTACGCCTCCGCCATCCACTGTAAACGAACTTCAAACTCGGACTTTTGAGTTTCTTCGAAAGAACCGGATTATCCCTCGTGTCGACCAGACTGTTCAATTAGTGCAATGTTCCGCCCATCATCGTGACGGTGACACCGAGTCCTCGGCTGCCATTCTTCGGAATGCACTCACAACTGCTCTCCTGGTCGATCATCCGCGGTTTTTGTCCCTGACTTTGACATCCGCCGACCCAGCTGCATCACTATTACTGGAGAAGCGCTTACTGCCACGGTTCACGCTTGATCCAAGCATGCATTCAGACGACGAAGAAAGCAGTATCCTTCTCGGATCCAAGGAAGACATTCTAATACCCATTACTCTCGACCTGCGTGACGTACCTATTGACGCTACCGGTATTGTATGCGGCGTCGCAGGCCGCCTCGCCGATGCTACAGGCCACAATCGCGATCCTTTCCCAGGCGCTGCCATGTCCATCGTCAGTTCTCCCGCCAATGAGTCTAAACGATTCTCTTTTGGATCTGCAAATATCGATGATCTCCAATTATCGGACAGCGTCAGCAGCTTGGCTCCAAGTACCTCTTCTGCCACCGGTCTAAAGGTCCCAGAGTATACTTCTGACATTCCCCCACCTGGTATTGAGGCCTACCATCCCGCAGTATACGACCGAAGACCGTCCCATGACGCCAACAGTACCACGAAATCTACATCCATCCCACATCATCGCCTTGAACCGGAACAATACGGCGATGCTGTTGAGATTAGTTTCTTAAGCACCGCCCGTGCCGGGACTGTTCTAGTCTGGGAACGTGAGATCAACCTCGCCGTCCAAGCTCTTGATGCCGAAAAAGCCCAACCCGCACCAACGGATGCAGAGTAATCAGAGGCCCAAAAAACATTCATGATCATGAAATTTTTAGATTGCGGGCATCACAGGACCGCACCAAAAGTTATTGACTTTTCTTCTCCAACTTCTTTTAATGTTATTTATTATGATGTGTCATGACATAAGATACCAAAAGGTTGAGTTTTATCAAGCGGATTGCAAAAAAATGTTGTAATAGCGGGCAAAAATTATCTCTTCTCTCTCTTCTCTACTGTGATTTATGTGTTCATTTATCTTCAGGTTGCATCATATGTATACTCATGAATGTCATGATAACTTGCACTGTCTTCTTTACTTGTTCTTCCGAAATTGTACATATAGGGGGTATATTCTGGTAAATCGCCATTACTGAATGAAATGACGTTCGCAAAAGACAAATCACCCCATTCTCACCGAATCTGACATTTTGAAAATATCTCCACTTACTGGATTTAAGTAGACGATCACTTTTTGAAGAAATCGGTAATCCGTTGCGAGCCCGTGGTAGCCGCTGCGGCAGCACGTTTATTTCTGATGCTCTTCGGTTTTGACGGAGAGCTACTCGTTGCACTCTTCATTTTCCGTCCTCCAACGGCCGTGTCTCTCTCCTTGACCGGCGATAGTGATTTTTGTCTTTTTGTGACTGGTGGGCTTTCGTCTGTTGAAAATTTTCGTTTCAGGCCTGATTGAGGGGATGTTTTTTTATCACGATCAGACCGAGGCACGGGTTTGGGTGCGTTGTCTTCCGTCCACTCTGCATCTACCGTTTCTCTGACCTCAGGATCAGTCTCGTTTCGAATCCGTCCTTTTTCTTCTTCTTTGTCTGCACCCTTCGCCGCTTCCTCTCCCTTCTCCTCCTCCTCCTTCTTCTTCTTCGCGCCCGCATTAGCAAAGAAATTAGCAATATTACTCTTATTCTCTCTACTATTGACCGGCACTAAAAACTCGGCCGAGTTATTCCCAACTTTGCCCACTTCCTTGGAGACCGGGTAACATTCTAATTCCCCTTCGTAAGGTTTCAGGATTGATTGTAGTTCCTTGTTCCATGTTGTTTGCCGGGGATCAAGCCAGGCTTGCATCTCTTTGCTGGCTGGGTCGAGGATGACGGGCATTCGGTCGTGGAGGAATTTTAAGTAGGGGTTTGAATCGGTTGTGATGATTGTATATGTATACAATTTCTCGTTTGAGTCTATACAATGAGTCAATCGATCCGACAGAGATAGAGCAGGGAACAAACCTTCATACTGAACACAATCCCAAAGACCAGCAAAATACATCAAATCTCCATCTTTCCGTTTAATGAAATGCGGCACTTTTTCCTTTCCTCCGGGACCCTTTTTCAGCCATTCGTAGAATCCCTGACAGATAATCACGCAGCGTTTCTTGCGTTTCATCGATGTCCACATCCCCTTATTTTCGGCGAGGGAGTCAGCGCGACAGTTGATTGTGCGCATCATAGAGCCGTAGTCGGGTTGTCGTTTTGTCCAGAAGGGGATTAATCCCCAGCGCATTTTTTGAAGTTTATATTTTATTGTCTTTTCTTCTTCGCCGTCCTTTTCAGCGGGGGATGATGATATGTTCTCACTGTCTTGATCGTGTGGTGGTGGCTCATCATCGAAGCCGTGGTCAGGAGAATCAGCGCGATAGACTGCGCCGTAGTATCCAGGGGCAAAGTTGTAGGTTTCGCGTATTTCGTCGTCTTCTGGCGCTTCGTCGACTTGCATTCCTTGTTCTTGCATGCGGCGTCGGACGAAGAACATGCGCTGGTTATGTTAGCGTGTACTGAACATACGAGGATGTTAGTTACTTACAACTCCGAGGGCATAGCGCCCGCACATCTTGTTTATTCAATATAGACAAGATCTATCACATCGTCGCAATAATGAGTGTAAACTGCTGAAGTTAAGAGATCGATTGGCGACGTCATGAAGGTGGAGAAAGCTCGGGCCACTTTGCGATTGCCATAAAGGTTAGGAGACGAAAATTGTCCGACTTCAGCATCATCCTCATCGACATTCGCTTGTACATTACGACACTATCATACTTGCGACACAAGTCATGGGGGTATAAACATCAGGGAATAACCATGTTTAGCTGCGCATCAAGGCGATTCGTCGCCTTGAGACTTCCCTCAACAGAAGCTTCACACGTTCCTCGCCGTTCTCTCTACAAAGATGTTCGTCCACAATCACGACCTACAACAATACAGCTCCCGATAACGTATACTTCTACGCAAATACGGACCGCAGCATTCTCCCAACGTATCCGACGGACTTACCGTTCTGCAGCCAGAGACATCTGGCGCAAGAACCCAGTCTTCTTCCCCTTCGCCATCGTATCAATCATCGCGGCTACCGCAGTCTCCACATATCTATTACGAAGATTCTACCTTAGTGCAACAGAGGTCGATGAAAAAGTCAACCGATTCCCTCCCGCAGTCGCCAAAGAATTACGCAAAGCGTTGTACTCCACAGAGATCAATCTCGAACCTCAAAAGGCTTTGGAACATTACAGAGCAGCTTTGCGCGTTGCAACGGAGCTAGGGATGCATCCCTGGTCTGACGAAGTGTTGGGAATCAAGCTTCAAATGGCCGATATGTTGGTCAAAGCTGGATATCACAAACAAGCCGTTCAGATGCTGACGACGGTTATGAAGGATGCCTTTAAATGGGCCGCGGATACAAGGACCAGATATTCCGTGACGTTACCAAAGGACAAACCTGTGGCGGACCCCAACTTGCGAGATTTACTGGTACCGGAAGAGGAGACGAAGGAATATGAATTGAGACAAACTGATAAGACCATGAAGAAAGTCATTGGTACGCATTTACTCATCGCTGAGTTGCAAGAGGGTGAACATTTGAAAGATCCCGCCAAATCATTCCTGGCACGGAGACAGGCGCTGGAAATCTTGAGACAAGAAATACGCTATCGAGAGGCTCGTGGTTTACCTGCCCTGGCTACTCCTGAGGAAGGAGATGGTTGGTTGAATGCGGAGGAAGTCGGACACATCATGTCTGATCTCGGGGAGACTTGGTTGCGTGCGGGGAGACCAGATAAGGCTCTGGAATTGCTTATGCCATCGATAGCGATCCTGCGAGACGTGGAGGGTAAAGAAATCACCTGTCGACAGGTCGTCTTGCTCGCCAACATCGCAGCTGCAATGTTTGATCATAAACCTGACCAACAAGATGCCACTAACAAAAAGAGACCCCCGGTCACTGTTGAGCAACAAATGCAATCCTCTCGAGCATGGGCCCTTAAAGCAATCGAAGTCTCCAAGATGGTCCAAGAAGATATGCGCGATGAAGACTGCGATTTGGGCTGTGCGGCAGCAGCAGATGTCCTTTCAGCCATTGCGGACTGGCGGGGAGCAGATGAGGAGGCTCGGAAATGGCTTCGTGAAGAGAAACGGTATTGCGAATCGGCGAATTATGCAGAAGGTGTTGAGAAGGCGGTTACACTACTGGCAAGTTATGATCGAGCAAGAAAGAAGACGGCAAAGGTACAATAACTTGTATATTAGTTGAATACTCTGCATATGTACACTACCTATTCATGACTGGAACATACCTCTTCAATCCAGTGTCTCGTGCTAAGATCCTTTACACCGATATGCATATGTATGACCAAGTGGGAAGCACTTAGATTTTTTAATGTCCTGATTTTATTCAAACATCTTGCATGATAATAAACGTCACATAGCCACTCCTGAACGACTTCTGCTTCCCTGCGAAGGGTAGAGATCGAAGGGAAACGTTTCGAAAAAGATGATGCTTTACAATCCCAACCAACCTCAAGTGGTAATCAGAGAAAGTTTGCGCAAAAAGACGAAAACTCATAGTAACAGAAAAAAGAAATTCTGGCTTTCATTAATGCTCATCGCTTCATTCCATTTCCTAGAACCCAGCCTCCATTCTTTTTCTCAAAAAGAAAACAGTCACTCAATCGGAATAGACAAATTGAATGTGGTATTTTTGATGGATTCGTTGCCCTTTTTGATAATTTTTTCTACAAAATTCCGTTTCAATTCTTTGCTCCTAACCCAACATTAAAAAAAATCCCCATTTATGCTCGTGACATAACACCCCAAGCACGGATCTTGTTGTCGGTATAACCAGCGAACAAAGTCTGACCATCAGCGCTCCAGGCCAAGGAAACACACTCGGGCTCACGGCTCTTCTTGCCCTTCTCGACATATTCGGGCTTGAGCTCGTCAACCTTGCTCTTCTTCTCGAGGTCGAAGATGGTGATGCTGCTGCTGGTGGCGGCGCAGAGCCAGTAGCGGTTAGGGGAGAAGACGAGGGCGTGGATCTCGTCACCGGCCTGGAGGGAGTAGAGGTGCTTGGACTCGTTGAGGTCCCAGAGCATGGTGGTGCCGTCCTTGCCACCGGAAGCGCAGAGGGAACCGTCCGGGGAGATGGTGACGGTGTTGATGTATCCGGTGTGTCCGATGTGGTCGGTTTGAAGGCGGCAGGAAGCGAGTTCCCAGACCTGAATTGGTTAGCTAACCCGATCAATTGATATCTCCTGTAGCTTGATGTATTCATGACACGGTGGATCGATCAGGGCATAATGGTGTTGTTTGTCTCATGGCCCGAAGGCTCTGAAGTAGCAAATACGTTTGATGCAATACATCATTCGACTCGCACGAATCTCGACGTGCAGAGAATAAACATACCTTCACAAGCTTGTCCCAACCGGCAGAGACAATAACGGGGTTCTGGGGGTTAGGGCTGAAGCGGACGCAAGACACCCACTCGGTGTGGCCCTTCTCGGTAATGGTGAACTTGCAGTCACCAAGGGTGTTCCAGAGCTTGATGGTTCGGTCACGGGAACCGGAGACGATCTGACGGTTGTCGGCAGAGAAGGAAACGGAGAGGACATCGCTGGTGTGACCGCTGAAGACACGGGTGGTGTTGCCAGTCGCAAGTTCCCACAAACGGAGAGTCTTGTCCCAGGAGGCAGACAAAGCGTAGGCACCGTCTGAGGAGATGACCTATTTGACCGGTCAGCCCCATGCTCTCAAAACAATGGTTGTCCATCCAATTATTGTCATCCATAAGCTCGAAAAAAAAAAACGTACACAGTCGGAGACAATGTGGGAGTGGCCCTCAAGGCTTCTTTTGGGGTAACCGTATGCTTGGTCGTCACGAGTCAAGTTCCAGACGATCAAAGTCTTGTCGCGACTGGCGGAGAGAAGCATGTTGGGGCTGTAAACGATGCCATTGAAATTAGCAAGATTGTCGGCAACAACAACGTAAAAAAAAAAATCGAGATCACGCCGTTCTTACTTCTCAAGAGAGGTAGCCAAGCTGGTAACCCAGCCATTGTGGCCCTCAAGAGTTCCGCGAAGGATGAGCTGCTCAGCCATGATCAAGGTTTGGCGACAGGGAAAAGAACCTTGAAACGGGGAGAGGAGAAAGGAGGAGAAAGACGACTAGAAGGGCTATCTATATCGTTTGAGCGCCGTGCCGCTTCAAGTTCTTGAGGAAAATGGATGGAGTAATCCGTAAGCGCACTAGTTCGGGGTTTGTGCCCTAGTAACAGCCCTAAGCGAGCTTTTGCTTTGAGCCACAGACACCACACCGCCTACTGGATACAGCCTAGCATGTTATTAGTCAGCATTATTATGTGGCTTGCTTCTGTCAGCATCAGGTACAGTGCCATACAGGCTATCAGAACGTATCACATCGGACTAATAACACACTATGGGACATCACCATACAAATGAATCGAGTAATATACAACGACATCGACTCTACGAGTCAAACACCTTCACATCTGGCATCCGGCCCAAACCGCTTCCTCCTCGTTTCTTCTGTTTAGCGGCATGAAACCCGACTGCACTCTTATCCTGCACATGCTGTCTCACCAAGGCCAAAATCTCCGAATCAGCCCATCGAGAAGGCACCGGACGATATGCAGGTTTGAATGCTCCCACTGTCTGCGCCCACTCACCAGTCTTGCCGGCTCCTTGCTTCCATGCCTCCGTCGGCGTATCTACCTTGACGGCAGAACCGGCATCTCCTGCTGAAGAGGATGCAATTTTTTCGGCCTGTTTTGGTTCTTGAGTAGCCCAGTAGTAAATATCCCAATCGTTCTCGTCGAGGAATTTGTCGTATTGTTGTAATTGTTCCTTGGACATATTTCCGAGATATACGTCTGCAAAAGTTGACAGTAAAAGATCGGTCTCGAGAATGCCTCTCTTCCGGCTTTGATCTATATTCGACAGTCAGTCCTGCTCAAAGTACACCACATTCAACGACAAAGTTGGCATACATAGTAACCTGGCACGCATTGTGCTCGTATCTTCACCTTGCCTCTTCAGCGGCTCAACCTTGAACGTAATACCCTCCATCTCACCCACTTCCAGCTCCGGTTTTTGAGCACCCGCAGATTCCCTCCCGCCAGTCAAATGTTCAACCTTTCCGGGATACGGATCAGCTGGCTTATAGTTTGGGTCGACAGTGCTCAGAAAATCTGGCGGAGAGCTGTCAGCACCAACTTTCGGGTAGTCCTTGGTAAGTGTCGAGGTAGTATTCGGAATGGATTGGTTCAAAGGGCGCTCTTTTTGAATCTCCCGGTGTCCTTTGGCGGTGCTCGGAGCGCGTTCATTGGCACGATGTGCTGATAATCCAAAAGCTCGACTTTGTGGCTGCAAGTTTGGAAAAGTCCTTAGGCCATTTCGTGCTGTCGGTCGCAGAGACCGAATAAATTGTGCTGCTGCCATTGTATACAAACTCTGCAGCAACTGATATAGTCAGCTGTCCTAGAAATACTCCTCAAAGCGAAATGAATACTTAAACTGATGTTGTAAGCATGCAAAGAGGCAAGTTTGACATCATATTGTTTTCTCCTGTTTGCTCTGTTTGCATAAGCAATAAAATTGGGTAGGTACCTCGGCAGACTGACAAGTCTCTACATCATAACCAGTCAATAATCAAAAGCCCCTCATACAGCCTATCAGAGCAACCAGAACCTTACCTCACGATATTTTGAAGACTAACCCTGCATGATTTTTAGATAATCTTCAGTTTAGCATCCGCGCTATCGACTCATATTCCTCAACCCTACTGGAGTTTCCTTTAGCGCGTCGGTAACGCGTTGCGCGTTGTCGCATTGCGCGCTGTCCAGTCTCTATCGCCACATACTGAGCCTTACTCGCAAAAATGTCATTTCTTCAGAGCCTGTTCCGACGGTTTTCAAGAAAACAAGAAGAGACGCCACCAGAAAGCCACCAGCATGAATCTTTCGAAGACGACGCAAAGCTGGACGATGACACAAACTGGGAGGAAGATACAAACCAGGATGACAGCACAAACTTGGAGAACGGTACAAACTGGGATGACGATGCAAATATTGATGCCGGCACAGATTTGGAGGACGATGCAAACTTGACAGGAGAACAAGAAACGAAAAATGATTCAGACACCCAGACAGATCTCAAATGGAAAGGCGATACCCACCCCAATACTACCACTGGCTCATCAGGAGATGATAATAAATGGACACCACGAAAGTCGGATGCGGAACCGCAGTATGCTTACTCCCGTGATAGGCCGTACACTCCTCGCTTTGTTAATCAAGGGTATGAAGTCAATAACCAATGTTGCATATGAGATTATGGCTAACGTAACCAGAAACTCTCATCTACCACCAGCAGTCAATGCTACAACGCTAGCTGCTTCGACGCCACAATATCTTACACATGCACCTCCTTCATCTTCGTTTTCTACAAGGTTCGTGAATGAATCGCCCACGACCGTAGTAAGCGAACCTCGAACAGGGCCGAGAATCAAATTCTTTAAACCCGCGAGAAAAAGAACATCTAAACGCTTGAAAGACCAATCTCTCACAGTCCTGGAGCGCAAAACCTCTCCAAGCTCGCAAGAAAACTATTCTATCACCCCTCAAAACGCCCCCGAAGTCGCCCCCAGAACCGCTTCCCAAAACGTTACCCCAAACGCTCCTCAAAACGAAACCAATACGAATCTGAAAACTGAACCCTCCACTAGCACGAATGACAAACCTATAAAACCACAGGATGAAAGCACATTCGATCAAGCTGATATAGCTGATCAACCTCGTCTACCTTGGAACTGGACCGCCTTTGGTACGAAGACCAAGGAGGTATACGAACCGACTGCAGTTGGTAAATGGTGGTATATGTGGGCTCAAGAGAATCGAGACAGTCCGCGGGTGGCTAGCAATATTGGAAGGATAATGGAAACGGAGCTTGGAGTCCAACGAATTGGTGCGGACAGATGTACACGATGTCAGATCCAGGGACTAGAGTGTTGGGTCTACAGCGTCAAGGCTAGATTTCAAGTCAACAATCCGGGCAGTGCATGTGCACGTTGTCGTGCGGATCCGGCATGCATGGGCTGCAGTTTGTCACAGCGGTCGAAGAAAAGGAAAGGGAGTCCTTTACCACCCCCTCCCCCGCGGCTACTACTACCAAAGGGAGGGCATCCAGCGTATAGTACTCAATATATGAGTCCTGAAACGTCCACGATCGGAGCATATCAACCAGCATATATCGCACCGAGCAGCCGAATGCCTTACTCGTAGGTACTTTGCAGTTGCTTCAAAGACGTCGGCATAACTCAAGCTTTGCTATCTTGATATCCATGTTAATGGCTTTATTGGATTCAAACTTGATTAGTGTTTGATAAACAAAATATCATTTCGAGGATGACTCCGAGAATATCTCTTAAGTATAGTAACAGTGAATCTGTAGCTAGTCGTATAAATTTGCATGGGTGTTACATCTGTTCCAGAGTCAAGCACCTGGTTCTCAGGCTTATTGGTGGTTAAAACCAAGCATTGTGGGTTGCACTAAGCGATTGACAGTCTCCAGAGTACTATGTATGGAGATGGTGTTGGAGACGATGTGACCGGTGGCTCAGGCATCACTCTCGGCCAGTAAGGTGTCTTCACGTGACCACAACCATGATTCGGCATGGATCTCCACCAAAAACCAAGCTGACGATTTTGTTACTTTCTTCTGGAAGCGAGTTTGAATTCCCTGCTATATATAAGACCGTCTTCGACTGCTGAAATTTCCCTGAGACAGCACCCCTTTTTTTCTCGCGACAATATCTCCCAGCACTTATTCTCCTGCAAAATATTCCGCCGCCGGGCTCGTTTCTATGTATACTCATGGGCTCCACGCGCCAAAGTCCGCTACATCAGGCAAATGACCCGTAGTCGAGCTTGTGACCCGTGTGCCACGAGGAAAATAAAATGTGATCGTGGAAATCCATGCGGACGTTGTCATACTTTGGGCATTTCCTGCACTACATCCCGAGCTCAATCCAAGCCCGGTCCCAAGGGGCCATGGGCTGAAAAGCGGCGTTTGGCCCGTCTCCAAGAAAGTATCTTGCAAGATTCAGCAACTGTACCGGAGAGTCAACTTGTGCCTGTCATTCCGGAGCAGCAGCAGCATGGAGACGGTGGTAGCAGTAGTAGCAGTACTGTGGAATCTCCACCGACCAGCTCTCAATTCTCGCCAACCTTACCAATTCCTTTGATTCAGCAGTACCTCGATGTATACCATGAACGACTATATTCGGTATGGCCGGTCGTTGACCGGGATGAAATGAGTTTACGGATTCAAGATCCGGAAGATGCAGAAGCTTACGCTTTATGTACAGCCTTAACGGCGGTTGTCCTCGCGCATTTGAAATTCAATCCCTCGGATATCGCTCAAGCTGCTCATGCGGTTGATAATACATGGGTAGCTGGGGAGTCAGAACGAGCAAGAGCTACACTTCGTTATCATGAGAAACCAAGTCTCGAACTATTACTTTCGTCTTTTTTTCTACATATTTTCTATGCAAACCGTGGCCATGTTTGCAGAGCGACAGTGCTCATACGTGAGGCGATCACATTGGCACAGTTTCTCGAACTCGATCAAGCTAAACACTACATAGGGCTATCCAAAAAGGAAGCCCAGTTGCATCTTCGTATAATACGGATTCTGAGTATCACAGAACGGTATGCTATATCCCACAAAGTGAACTGATTAGTTTGACTCACGGACAGAATTGTTCAGCGGCCATACAACTCGATTCGATCTACCGAGAATCTTGGTATTAGATCCCGATTTACCCCAGCTAGAAACTCAAGATGTCCAACCTGGCCTAGTTGCATTTACAGACCTGTGCCAACTTTTCCATACATTTGGCCGCGCTATGGATAGCGACATGCTGATTCGGACGGCTGACTTTTTCGTCGGCACTGATAAGCAGCTACGAGGACTGCAACAGGTAGAGTCAAAGATGCAAGTCCAGCAAGCCGACTTTCTTATTACTCAGCAATGGATGAGGATAATGGTATGGAAGATGTCTATATTCCACATCAAACTTTCCGTGAACGCGGATGACGAGAATTTGAGCATTTGTTTTCCTGAACACGTGGCAGAGATTGTGCTCATGTATCTGAGTCATCTTTCACGTAATATCATCGAGGCTCATGGTATAGGCATGGTAAGCTCACCTATATTCAACATTTCCATTGAAAGCTTGTTACTGACTCTTGTTCCAGCAAATGAAATTGGCAGACGTAGCAATATCCCTCGCAGATATGCTATCCTGCATACCATGGGTCTCCGAACGCCGACAAATCATGAAAGTCGGCCCGGAAGAGATGGTCTGTCACATCGCTGAATTCTTAGCCTCACTACGAGGAAATGTGAACCCTAGAATGGAGATATTATTCGAAAAACTCCAGTTTCGAGGATGGGGCAATTCTCCGAGACCAATGCCCGGTTTCTCTCTCGAAACCTTACCAACTACTATTCCTACGACAACCCCGACTCCGATAACAACGGTACTCCCTATTCGGCAGATTGAAGATATTTGCAATGAAGCTGAGGAGGAGGAGGACGATGATGAATATGATGATTATGTGAAACGGACGATACTGCATACGGCAGACCACTATTAACTACTCTGCACCTGATGACGTATAGGACAGCACCACAGGGACTGGTATTCATGTTTCGATCACGTATTTATACTACATTGGCGATGCATCTAGTTCTTAAGACCATTATGGCATTGCATTATATTACTCCAATCAATAATTACTTGTTCATGGCCATTGCATTGGTGAATACAGCTCACATCGAGACACTTAATAATAGCCATCAGATCCTATATTCAAAAACCAATTTTTACAATCTAAGTAAAGCACTAAATAGCTCTTATATATAGGCGAAAACGGCGAACTGTACGTATCAAACCCAGAACTCAAGTCGTAAAATCATTAGAAGAAAAAGTATTTAACACATCTGCATACCCATCATTTCAGGCATGATAGGATCATCCAAACCAGGAATATCATCAAAATTCTCCAACTGCCAAAACGCTCTACATCCCGCCACGAAATGCTGCGAAATGTCCGTAACCGCATCTTCAGCCATGGGGGCAAAGCAAAGACGCAAATACTTAGATGCGCGACCACGTATGGCTTCAGTAGGCGCGAACATTGTACCAGGAGCGCAAAGGACTAAGAAAGGTTTTTCAAGTAGGAAGAGCCATAGAGCCTTGCAAACTTTTTCAGCGCCATATATTTCGAGTAAAGGATGCGTGTCGTAGCGGATTTTGATCCAAATGAACATTCCAGCAAGGGGCCAGTTGAAGTCGTACATGGGTACTTTGCTGACGACGGACCAGCTATCGAGACCGCCGTTACTGGGGGCACGTCTGTGCTTGGCGGCAGGGGCAGGTTTGTCAATGGCGACAGTTCGACCTTCTTCTAAGGTACTGCACATGTCGTGTACGCGACGCTCGTAGGCATCTCGTAGTCCTTCGAGCCATTGGATCCATCCGTCCAATGTCCAGCCTAGGTTATCTTTATCAGTCGCTTTGCGTGCTGCGGGTGAGCTTTGTTGTTGCAGTAGCAACTGTGCGACCATGACTTGGACAAAGCCCGAAGGTTGCTGGGTTGAGGTCTCGGTGATGCGCGCTATACGTTCAATAATAGCTGGCTGGGCGGTAACCCAGCCTAGACGACAACCGGGTGCGATGGTCTTGGAGAATGTATCTAAACGTACGACACGGCCATCCACATCAATTGACAAAAAGGATGGCACGAGGCTGTCCAGGAATTCGTAGCCGGAAGATCGACCGTGTGCATTGTAGTTTCGGTTGAACAAATCTGCCTGTACAGCATCCCCGCGATATTTGGCGGCATGTTTCCTTGACGAGGGGAATTGAAGATTCCAGTAGGGTTCATCCTCGATTATGATAATGTCGTATTTCTGACACAAGGCATAGATTTCCTTGCGACGCTCAATGGAGGTTGTGCTACCGGTAGGATTCTGGCCGAGGCTGCGTCATAGTCAACATCTTCTTCTTTTCCTTCTTTTAGTGAGACAAACTTACGTCACAGTGTACATCAGATGCGGACATCTTCCCTGGCTAAAGTCCCAATTTTCAAGCACATCGGCCAAACCGCCTGGTCCAGAAGCCTTCATTCCATCAGCGTCCACAGCAACTGTAACGATATTAAGACCACGGGGCTGAACTGTCTGCACAGCATTCATATAGGCAAACTCCTCAAAGAGAACACCCTCTTTGTCTCGAATCCAATCCCTTGTCTTGTTCCAGGGATTAGTAAGAGCCTCGATGACCTTTCCAAATCCATCGGTGTTGCCACATGACATGATAATCTCCGGTCCTTCAGCGTAGGGGATGTTGGGATGAAGGTGATCGCGAGTAAGTTTGCGAATAAACGCGGCCAAAGGTGGATAACCTTCAGCGGTACCATATTGAAGAGCAGTTGATAGATCAATCTTTTTGAGGATATCGGTGGTATCCTGGATCTTGGGTACTGTTACATGCCATTCTGCCGGCTTGTTGTTTTTCCCTTTTGATGAGTCCGGTAGGTCGAATCGAGATGGCCGTGCTGCCGCTGCTTCAAGAGTATCATAGGGAAAGTAGGATTCGTGCGGCAGGCCTGACATAATAGTCTATTAATGGATCCGTATCTACAAAAACTGATATGGAGAGATAACCACCTACCACCGGCCACATTCTGCATTCCAGGGATTTGAAACCATTTATATAGCCCCTTCACGTTGCTACTCTGTCTATTCTTGGTAGTTTGCGAAAAGTGGTGGGATAAATCCAAGGGAGGATGCAACGAGCTCCGGAACTCTGGATGTTGAGCCATTGTCGTGTGTCAATCTGTGGCGGATATGCAAGCCGACCGGACCGTTGAGAAAGTCTCCGATGGATGTAGATCTGCTGAACAAGGATGCAGGTAACTACTAGGATGTCGTGATTGAAGATGATACCCTCACATCTGTCAGAATTGGTGTTGTTTCGATGTTGACTAGTTGGGGAGACAGCACATTATTAATTCATGATTACCTGGACCACTGATAAGTACGATAAGTGTGCCCTACTGGGTTGTAATGGTAATACGGATCAATTACAGAACCAGGTACCCATATTTAACCAAGAATTGTTTATCAATTCAAGACATTTCACCAATAATATTGAAAATAGATTTCTAATGGTACATTCAGAAACAAATAATACGAGACAGCTCCCATCGACTCCCCCAGACCAGCGGCATTACGGAGACCGCTCAACAACGCCTTATCTCTGTCAAATTGCCAATTGCATGGAGAAGGGCGCTGTCCAATGATATATGTTACTTCTGTCAAGCTAAGCCGTTACGATCGGCAATGTCGTTTTTTACGAAGGTATTGTAATGTACGATACGTATGGTACTTTCGTGTTTGAAGATAAAGATAGAGTCGAGAGATACGATAACTACAGACTGGAAGGAATATCCTATCCAGGTTAGGCACTAACAGCAAGACGATGTAGATTGATGTAGATTGATGTGAGATTGACTCGATCTGACAAGAGTCACGTGGTTAATTTTGTTTCTAAGGCAGCAACTTGTAAACATTCCGCAAGCCTAGAGTCCTGACTTTTATCTTCCAGGTGAGACAACGGGACAGCCTCATGATATTAGGTTTATTGTTTGTGAACTTGAAGCTATCTTTCTTTGCTGCTACTAAAACTATGTAGTATCATAACCACGAAGCCCGGAGATAGGGGTGGCCGGTCTCTAAACCCCGTTCAGAGACTAGTTACAACTTCTTATAGCATACGGAGTTACTCGTTTATAAAGCGGTATCCCACAGTTATAGGGCCTCTAGCAATCAGAATGTTTAGTCTCTCTGCATTTTGATGTGGCATTTGATCTTGAGGATGATATTGGTTGATCACCCTGGAAGAGAGAGGCCAGGGGCCCTCGAATCTATCTAATATAGTGGCCCAGCTTAAGCGAGGTCACATGACAAGCCGCGGCTGACCAATGACGGCTCACAATAGTCATAGAGTCATTTCAAAAGAACTTCTCTGTTGAAGACATTCCTGATCTGACTGGGAAGGTTGTCATAGTCACCGGGTGAGAATCATTGACATTATAGCAGCCTTTATACAGACCAACACAAAATCCGTTCCCTAGTGGTGCCACGGGAATTGGTAAAGAGGCGGTAGAGCAGCTATTAAAGCACACTGCCAAAGTATATGTTGCTTCTCAATCGAAAGGAAAATTCGAGCAACTCTGTAATCACCTTGAGCCGATCAACCCGCATATGACAGCAGGTCTGCACTTCCTTGAGCTGAATCTGTCAGATGCAAGGAGCTGTATCTCTGCTGCAAAGTAGTTCACCGAGTTCGAAGAGAGACTTGATGTTCTTATTGCGAATGCTGCATTGTCTGTTGTAGTGAGTTACCTCCTGCGGGCACTAAATTAATTGCTGACTAGACATAGCCCGAGACCTTGTCAAGTGATGGAATCGAGATACAATTTGGTGTGTGTATTATACAATCTCTTGGTGCATGTCATCTCGCTGACAATATTGCAGACAAACGTAAGGGATTACAAATATAACTCTGCATATATGACCTCAATAGACGCTTACGGAGTTGGAGATTCTGTAGTACTTTGGCCATTTTATCTTCACGTACAACCTTCTAGTATGACCTTGGGGATATTGCCTCTTGTTTTCCAAGCTTGCAATCTGCTAATCCACCATTAGGACCTGATTCAACGTACTTCCAAGTAATTCGGCAAGACGAGGATTGCTATTGTTGAACAAGAACCTCGCTAGGGCTACAGAAAATATTTCCTTATTAGTTAACGGTGCTATTAACACCCTGCCTACGATTGTTGATCCCTAGGGGTCCTGCGCTCGTTAACCATGAATGAAGAATTTGAAAGACAGCCAATTTCCTGAATCTCATAATCAAAATGTTGGAATTCATGAGACACCGAAGGTTTCCCCCAAATTGGTTCGGGCTCTAGACAGTTTCCCCCGATCTTTACATATGCGGCGAACTATCCTCAAAACATGTCTTAAAGCGTGGACATTAAAGATAGTGACAGAAACGTCAGGTTGTCAGAAGTCTCTCGAAACATGAACACACGCCGATGTGAAGTTGCGTAAACCAAGGACAGAGTCTATCTGCAATGGCTGCAATGCATGTTTGTCGACTCAGAAGATCTCTTTCCCGAGTCCATTTCCGGTTGCTACGGTACCCGGGCTGTTGGCTGGCTGAAAGAGTCAAGTGACAAATCTTCGCCCGCCTCGACCCTGGCCAATAATTTTCAACTGTGCATCGCCTGCAATCTAGCGGTGGTGGCTTGCAGGTGATTGGAAACATCCATCTTTGAAGAAGTGGACGAACCTAGGTTCCTGACCACCCACTGATACTTTTAGCTGCTTGCTTAGACCCCTGCCACCTGTCATCCCGCCACTGTCAGTTTTCCAATCCTAACACCGGAGTTGGCTACTTTTGCTTGTTATTGTGAACCACATTGCAGCACGGAGAGCTTAGTTTCCCGCTTGACTCAGTTCTACATATGAGAATGCAAGCCACTGTTCTAATTGATGTACCAGAGTTCGCGATGGATGAGGGGGAAAGTATGACTTGAAAATTGGACCTGTCCATACAGACTTGCAACTCGTCTTAATCGATCAATATTCATTTCATCAGCTAGCCATGAACTCCCACTTCTACCTTGCTCCCCTAGAAAATTGGAGAGACGGATGCGCTGCTCTCTTGGTGCTGCGAGACCCCCTTTTTGTCATGTTGGAGGAAGGTTATCTGCAACGGGAAATGCTCCCATATAAAAGGATGGGTCTCCTGGAGCGATTTGAACTTCCCTCTGGTATCAAGAGTACAAGTGGAATTGTCTAGGCTGCTCGAGCTATGAATTTTTTCGCAAAAATGAAGCTATCTCCGCACTTGTGCCTCGTGTTGGGTACTGTGGTTGCACTTCCCCTGGATCCTACACCATCCAACTGCAGCTGCTTGGCAGATGCAGTATCCGTATTCAGTGCTAATCCTTTAGCTCCTGCTTTTTGCTCTCAGTTTGTTGGTGTTTCAACAGTGGTGGTGTCAACTACAGTCACAACTCCAGCGGCAACCACTGTCGTTGTCGAGACCGTACCAGCTCCATTCACCATCACGGAAACGTTTGTGGACTTTGAGAGCACTGTAAGCTTGAAATCACATCAGAGGATTCATATCTGATTGCTAATGGTAATTAGAGCACAACAATCACAGAAACCTTCAACATTTCTTTTGTATGTCTACCTTGCCCTTGCGCTGGCGGTAGTATGAACAATATTTGCTTACCTCCTCTTGTAGGAATCTACTCATATTGTCACCGTCACATCTCCTACAACAGAATGCTACTCTGGAACCAGCTTCGGAAACGCAGCTGGTCCAGCAACCGCTGCTGCAACTACCGTAGCAGGCAAACTTGTCAGAAAGGCATCTTCCATTACTCCTCTTCCGACAACACTATCCCTGTCCCTATGGCCACTTCCCACGCCAACTTGGGTACCTCCACTGAAGGACTCATTATTGTCTTCAGCTTGTGAATGCTTTCTCGGCCCGTCTCTTACTGTCACCGAAACTTCAACCGATTGGGTGGCATCTGGTACTGTCACTGCTACTATCGATGTAACGACAGTCCCCGTGACTACGGAGTTAGTATCATCCTAGAAGTCTGGCAGGAATTGGTAACTGACTCGTCGTCAGAGTTATTACTTTAGTCACAACCCACACTGCATTTGTGGTCACGACTGAGTCTATAGCAACATCGACCAGAACTACTACCACTACCTCATACACTCCTGTACCAACTAATACTCAACTCGGCTTGAATTGGTACTACTACTATAGCTCACAGAATTACTTCCCGGGACATGCGATTACATTTGATCCACAGAACTTCAATAGTCCGAAGTACAATTTCAGTGGGTATGTTGAGAACGTTGCTTCGTTCCAAACCGTGGGATATTCAACCTCAAGCGGAAATCACGAATGCAATTTACCAGCTAATGAGCCTTGTGAATTCGTCTGCATTGTGATTCAAGGATATCTTTGGGCAAAGGAAGGACCTGGAATTTATACTCTTTCCTCCAGTTCGGACACTGACAATGTTTTCTACGCGTGGCACGGAACCAAAGCGTACAGCGACTACAAGAATACCAACTACGATTACCTCGCAGGCGATTATATCCATCAAGCTGGTTCTGTGACAGTCAATATCGGGGTTGGGGAGCTCGTGCCATTCACATTCATGTGGGCGAATGGTGGTGGGCCAGGAGAAGCTCTGCTTACTATTGTTGATCCTGCTGGTAAACAGCATGCAGACACTACGGGCTTCTTCGTACCAGCAAACAGCACCTGTCCTGGGTATATTGATCCGTTTTCTCCATAATCTTCTCACAAAATGAGTGTTGAATGATATTCTACCAGTAGCCATGCCAGATAATTTCTATGAGTGGTACATACCTAGATGATCTTGAACATAGATATACAGCCAACAGATATACCAAATGCCATAGCTTGAAATCGGCTGGGTACTACTGTCTAACTCATCCACTCTGAGTTACAGGATCTTCTACCTAGATATGCCCGGGCGGACACCCCAGACCTGTTCAACAAGAGTCAATTTCACACCCTGAATGCGTATGGCCGGAAAACTCATCCCATCCTCAAATGTGGTTTAACTGGTGGTGGTGGTAGTCCACTCGGTATGACGGGCCCAGTCGGTTTTTTCACATAAGCTTCACAGGCATTGCTGCCATATCCTTGGAATCTAGGGCCGCAGCAGCCGCAGGCTCTCCCAACTTGCTGCTCCCCCTGCTTTCCTTGCTACTCCCACTGCTTTCCTTGCTACTCCCACTGCTTTCCTTGCTACTCCCACTGCTTTCCTTGCTACTTCCACTGCTTCCCTTGCTACTCCCACAGTTGCTCCCTCTGGTTCTTCCTCTGCTGCCTCCAATATCATACCTTCTTTCTTCTCACAATCTTCCAGCACCTTTTCTACCTCTACTTTAATACTTTCGCCAAAAAATACTCATTCGTGCTCGATAGCACTCTCTCAATCTTCAAAATTCTCAGCATATCCTATCAGAATGCAATGTCAGAGCTAATTGTATGATCAGCTTCCTTTCATGAAGAGATACGTAATCTGGTAGTCTGATTGCCCTTATAAGGAGCCCATTCATCCATTCTTCTTTCCGTGTATCCTAAGTGCCTGTTAGCGACGGTCTCCGGGAAAGATATTCTCTCAAAACGTACGTAGAACCATGCCTCCTTTACTATAGAGCCCTCCCCGAGATAAGTCTCTGAGGAGATATTTGCAGCAATTATACTTGGCTTTATTCCTGACAGTGGAATAAAGAAGTGTTTCCTCCAGTCTGCACGGGCTGCGTAATAGTTCTCAGTTTTTTTGAGAGTATTCTCGTTGGACTGGCCCACTAGAATATTGGCAAGACCTCTCCGCCGCATACACCAGCTGCAACAAAGATCTTCATCTGCGCAACTTCTGGGCAGACAATTCTTACGATGAGGAAGCAATTTTCTATTAGTCAAAGACGAGAGTCTGTCTATTCGATACAATAATCGTCTTGCTGATAGGTCTTGCTACGCTCCTCATCCCAATATGGGTATTGGATCTTCTTGTCAAATCGACTGGCACACGACTCGGTGTCATCTCCGCGTTCATTTCACTTTTTCTCTTTGGTGTGCAGATGGCCACAGAAGCGAGGCCGGGAGATAAACTCGCTGCTACAGCGGCGAAAACTAGAAAAACTAAGGTAAGCGTCGGATCTGTGCTGATATACCTTAGCTACTCTGCAGTGTTAGTGTTCCTTCAAGCTGCATCGACCTCTGCGAATAAACTCATTCGCCCAGGTCTCCTGGATGATGTCGTTGATTGAAAAGACAACTTTACGAGATGTAGTTCCTTTAAAGATTGTGCAGGGCAATTATACATGCATAATTACAGAAAGTCTATTTGTGCGGATAACTGCCACGTGACACTGAATCACCCAATGACGTAGCTGCCTATTGGATGAATCTCGGGCTTACTATGATCCGACTTCATCTCATCCAACGACTCTAAACAATCATCAACACTTTGTCCCTATTCGTACATTCTATATACTTGCTCTCCTTTTGTTGAAGCGTTACCAGTCACGTCTTATTTTTGCATTTACGAGTCACTCCTTTGTAGGAGTCATCGTATCACGAGTTTCCACACACAGCAACAAAGTTAGAGCTTTCACATGCATTCTTTCCTTTTCCTTATCAGATATGATTCGAGACCAGCGTGATGAAGAGCGAGGCATCTACGTTGCCCCTCCTTTGACGGATGATGGAATCGAAGATGAAGATCTCGACAACCCCGTGACACATGTGCTCAACGTTGAAACCAACCACCATGGCCATGATGGCACAAGCTTTCGTATGCCAGTCTGGCTCAGAGAATCTTCTTCTTCTTTCCAATGGCGTTGGATCCCTCTTCCACTGCGAAAGGCTGGTCGGGTTACAGCCCGCTGGGTCAAAGGTCCCGATCCACCTCATGATTTGCTGTTTCAGCCATTATTTCCCAAAATCCAGGAGATACCGGTGAAGTTTTTCGATAGATATGCTCCCAGGAAGGCACATAAAGTGGCATTACTTCTTTTGGTATATTTTCTTTGGCTGTTGCCATGGTTCCTTATTATTCTCAAGGCCAATACATCTGGCAATATTGAAGACTATGGTCGACCACAGGTCATATCATGTGCGGCAAGCTATTGGTACGTTGCAGTCTTCGTTAGGCTCTTACCTATTGGCATCAAATACTTACTTATAGTTAGGGCCGCCGGAAATCGCTGTGGCTTGAACGGGAATGAATGCCGGCCCTTTGACGCCTCTCACCTCGCATTCCGTTGTCCAGGTAATTGCAAATCAGTCATCCTTCAACAGGAACGGACCGTTGGCAACCAAACCCTCAATTACCAGTCTCTTGTTGTTGGTGGCCCGGAACCCGACTCTTCTGAACTGGGCATCTATCGAGCTGATAGTTTCATTTGCCAAGCTGCAATCCATGCAGGTGTCGTGAGCGATTCAAGTGGTGGCTGCGGCGTGCTGAAATTGAACGGCGCAGGACACTCATTCCCATCGTCCACTCGGAACGGAATCACTTCGACTGGGTTTCCATCGACATTTCCAAAGTCTTTCTACTTTTTGTCACTTTCCGATTCACAAAACTCCTGTCCAGCAGATCCACGATGGCCATTGCTCGGCATCACAGCGGCTTCCGTCGCTATAATCAGTATTTTCACACTATCTCCAGGAGTTTTCTACTTTAGCACTTTTAGTATGCTCATTTTACACGTGGGAGTCGTATCTGACCCTCCATATTTCCCTTCACTAGCGGAGTTATTTTCTATTTTGCTCTCTCGCCTACTTCCGGCATGCTTTATAGCATACGTTCTTTATCTCTATGCGGCTCGACCACTTTTGCAGCGAGTAGCGCATCCAGGATATCAAATTGAAAAGTCAATCTTGTACTTGACTCCTGCATTTATCGGTGCCCTGAACAACTACACATTCGCTCTCTGGATACCCCTTCAACGTCTGACTCCACATGATCTGGCAAACCAACCTGGTGCCAAGGTTGCACTCGCTACTGTGGTTTCAATAATTATCGTGATTGTGCTAAGTCAAGCGTGGCTAATTCGTCAAGCGGGCTTAATGCCACGCTATTTAAAGGTATATCTTTCATTCGTCGCCATACTTCTTTTCCTGCTGGCATTGCCGGGCCTTCGACTTCGGATTCACCATTATATACTTGCAATGTTGCTTATGCCAGGCACCATCATTCCAACTCGTGCATCTTTCATTTACCAAGGGTTACTCTTGGGCTTATTCGTCAACGGTGTCGCGCGGTGGGGTTTTGCGTCTATTATTGAAACACCCGCAGCTCTAGGAGAAGATCCAACAGGTCCCGGTGGATGGTGGGGTGCTTCATATCCCAATATCACCAATGCATCTGTGTCCATTCATTTAGACAAAGCGTCCCCGATGCATCCAATATTTTACAATAATGCAATTGGCAGTGGCAGTGGCTCCGCATATCGTGGTAATGGAAACATTACATTTCATCTCTGGGAGCGACAACGCATGGAGCATCTCGGTGTTGACGGTATCAGCGTTCTTTTGAACGACGTCGAACGTTGGCGGGGATATCTCGATGAAGACCGAAAGGGGAAATTCACCTGGCGTCGACAGGGTCACCGGGGTTTGGAACTAGTCAATTACAGTGACGACCTCAATTTACAAGATGTTGACAGCGGGGATGAATCTGACGATGACATGGTTTCTTTCACGGTGCAAAAGGATGAATTACACCGAAGATCGTCAATAACTGAGCAAGCAAAAGATGAAAATGAGGACGAGCCACAAGACCTCTTTTTCCGCTTCGCCTTTTTGAAAGGATCTGAAGCTGGACATTATGGGGGAGCTGGTGTTTGGCTTCGGGATGGAAGATGGATTGATCCCCCGCCGCAACAGAAGCGAGGTTCATGATTTCATCTCCATATAGACCGGTGGATATGTCTTCTGTGATATGATATACTCAATTCCTCATGAGATTATGGAGCTCAATCCGTAGTTATCTACAATCAGAGTATAGACTATCAATTAGCCTCATAAACATACAAGGTACTATTATGCTGATCCGGCATAAACCACACTCTCAACTTCCCATCCACAACCTGCACATCCACCGGATTCTCCGTAAGCGTAACCCCCAAATCACTTGTCAACGTAATCGGCACTTCCCACAGAGGCAACATAGTCTGCGTATCGACAAGCGCCATGCCACCAAGACTCAATTTACCGAATGTACCTACACCGCCACAAAGCATCACGGATCTCACGGGGTTGAAATCGGGTTGTAATCCGCAACAGGCCTGGGCCAGGAGAAGGGTTGGAATGGTGTGATGACCTAGATATTTACAGTCTTGATATCCAATAAAAAAACTTGGGTTGGGCACATTTCGTAACGGATATGTAAAGCTGGGAAGTGCTGTAAACCCCTTGGGATATCCATTCAAAGACCAAGTTGTCGCGTTCTGCCCGTTCCAGTTTAGGGTTACTAGTTCATTGGTGATGGTATCGTGGATGATGCCGCCGTTATGATCAGCGGTGCGAAACACGCGCGTAACTTTCAAGTTTAACGGGTCAATGCGAGCGATTGTAGCAGTGGTATTTGGTCGATATTGAGCGAGCGTAATCCATACATAGCGGCCATCGTAATCAATGCCTCCGCCGTGATACTCAATATCTCCCGGCGCGGTCAAGGATGCATTGGCAATACGTCGTCCTTCCAAATCATAAATGAGCATATGCGAAAACCCCGCCCCGGGGGTACGATCAGTGCCGTTGATGGTTTTGTTATATTTCACTGTTGGGATTGTATATTGGTTGGATGTTACGAATAGACGTTGGTCACCTACGCGGACCATTCCCTCTGGTTCGCCGGTGTCGCCTTCTATTTTGGTCTTGGAGATTAGAGTCCATTTTGTTGAGCTGGTTAATGAGACAAAGAGATTGACGATATCCTTGCCGTCGGTCGTGATGTGAGATTCCGGTAGTTTGTTTCCTGGCAGGAAGCTCTCGTTTCGGTAGATGGTGACGTTGGATGAACATTTTGCTGTGCTGACTGTTGCTGCCAGCGCAGCCACCAGCAAGGTTGAGGTACGCATTATTATGTTTTCCGATGTATAGGCACGGGATTATATGGAGTTGGTATCAGCTCGGATGCATCTCGTTAAATAGCCCGCCTCTGAGCGAAGCATTTCCTTGATTACTCAAGGACTATGAGATAGTTGGTGGAGTCGTATTACCACGTTGCTATGCGCGGGGATGCCATTCGCGGTCGATGTGTTAGTGCTCACTGTGTCCAAATTGATGACATCAAGGGATTTCCATCTTCATGCCATTTCTGAATTGAGTAAATAAATGTACTTCCATATTACACTTAATTAACCCTCTAGCTCATTATGGAGTACTTCCAAGGTTCATGCTCAGTTGCAGGGATATCCAGTCTGACAGAGATCATAATGCATCACCATCAAGAAGTCTAGCAAATACATTCCCACTCCTCTACAGACAGCCGCAGTCAAGTGCACCTATAATCTCTGCATCGGAATGATGTCTGCTTAGATCAGCATTTGTCCGGATACTACTGCCTTCCGGCATGAGCGTACTTTGAGGGATAGTTACGAGTCTTTCGCGTAGTATCTCACGGGGAAGGCTGGTGATGTCGATTCCGTCGATGACTAGACTACCGTGTGATATTTCTAATATCCCTAGAATTGTTGCCAGGAAAGTGCTTTTTCCGCTATAATATTATTAACGAAAGAGCCAGCGAAATGCGTTTCCCGCTCTTATTTGATTTGACGTACCTTCCTGTCCGTCCACAGATGCGTATTTTCTGGCGGGATTGCACGGTGAAAGAGATATTCCGTAGGACAACGTTTTCGGGACTAAAAACCAGAATCTTGTCTTTAGCAAGGATCCACTGGCACAATTTCGGACTTCATTACCTGTACTGAGAAGTCATTTGTCTGAACTGAATCATGCTATGACTAGGCCATTGTGCGGGGGATCCTTTCTCTTCTTTCGGCTCATCTTCTATCTCAACATTTGTTTCAAAATCCCGTACTCTTGACATAGATCCAAGGGAGATTTCGAGCTGGGTCCAGCTGGTGGTAACACTGGAAAGGCTATTGCTGAATGCTAGAGCCAGGATTCGCATTAGCAAAGCCGGAACCATGTAGCACAATTTAATCCAAAATTGAGAAGTAAGAACTTGCAAAGTATACTATTCAAAGAGACACCAATCAGGCCGTCACTAACAGAGCCCTTGATTTTGATAGCCAGACCGACGAGGGTGGCCGTCTCTGCAGCAACGATCAAATCCGGGGCCAATGTGAGCCATCTCTGGATGCAGTAAAGAAGGTAGTACGGCCTCTGTGAAGTATCCAGCAGTTTAAAATTCTTACGAAGAAACTGCTCCTGCCAATTGAATGCTTATATTGTAGCGAGTCCACTTATCATTTCCATGAAATGTGTATATAGAGGACTCTTGCTTTCGAGATCAAGGAGACGGCGTTGCCGTGACGTGCGAAGGTAGAACTTTTGCAGGAGGACGATGACGATGAGAAGGAATGGGACGGCGATTGTATGTGTCCTGATTCGCTTGCGATTAAGCCGGCTGTGGCGACAGAGGTGAATAGATCTAATTGAAGATTGGTGTTAGAATGATCCTCATGCCTCATTCAGTGATTACTTACTAGGGACGAATACAAGCATGCCAATAGGCAACTGGCCCTCGATCAGAGCAATATCTTGGCTGAACCTGTTCAAGATAACGCCACTGTCTGTGCTAGAAAGATATGATGAAGAGACTCTACTCTATTATTAGTACGTATAAAAGTAGATCTCGATGGCAACGAACCTCATCAGGGTATTTGGCAGCCTTCGGTGCAGTTTTCGTGACATCGAAGGAGATAAAGAAACAAGGATAGCCCTAGTAAACAGCTTACCACCCATATATGTCGAAGAAAGGACTCTGTTAGGCCTTACCAAACATATCCACGATTCCCAACTGAATTGATTACGGCCAATACGAGATAAACACTACCATAATGAGCTTTCTGGGCCCCGTCGTGAGTAGCCCATCGTTCCAGCCATATTTCTGGAGGCTAAAAGTCAGTTTGAATTGATACATAGAGGAAGAAATCGAATACCTACGACTGAACGTGCGCAAAAGACATGGAGAATCACGAGAAAGACATACGTGAGTATCTTTTGCCAGCCAATGGACTGCATGTAGTACATATAAACTGTAGCATCTCCCGTTGCTCGAGTGAGATCATTGATTTAATTATCCTTCAATAGCTGAGCAGCGGTCTCTTTGATAGAGGGCATCGACATACTATTCTCTCTATCTTCAGATATTTCGACTCCAGTATCACTACTAGGACTTCAAGTTCATGCGAATACCGCTGCGCGCCCCGTTTAGAGTTGTCACTTCCAACCTTCAATTGGATAGGACAAAGATGTGATCGGAATATGAGAAAAGTTTCGCTGCAGAGGTGTTAGAAGGTGCCCATACGAATAGTCATGTTTGATAGTTTTCTGTGCTTACTATCATTTGTCACCAACACAACCGCAGAATTGAGCTGCCGCAGTAGGCCATTTTCTCCTAAAAGACGAGTCATAATCAGTTTTTTGGCGGCGTTATCAAGTGCACTGAAGACATCATCTAGTAAGAAAACTTCTTCCTGGAATACAAGGCCCTGGCCAGAGCGATCCGTTGCATTTGATCACCACTTACGACAGTGCTAGAACCACTTCCAATTTTCGCTCTACCACCATTGTCCAGTAGTTTCAGGTCGTAGCCAAGAGCACATGCACGCAGAACAGTCTCATACCACTTAATGTCAATACGGTTTGTATCTTCATTCTCGTTTATGAAGCCACAAATAGCGCCTTGAATGGCAGAATTTGGAAGCCACGGAGTTTAAGCACAGTAGGCAATATTTCTAGGTGAGACTTCGATTCGACCTTTCTCACAAAATGCATGGCCAAGGGTGGCACGTATGAGCTTCTGTCGCCCCGGCTGGGTTCGGCGTCTGGAATTTGCAGGTTTCGATGGTGTTGGTAGGAACTTCTGAATTCGGTCAAAACAACCAGAAGAAGCAGCAGCTGAAGAAATGGCACTTAACAGTTTGGATACCGGATCGGTGAGAAGTGTGATGATAGACAAACTAGTCAAAGCATTGTTGTATCTGACGATTTTTCTTGAGAGGTATATATTGCAAATGTCAAAGCAGGAGCTAGGGCCCAAGGTAGATTCTGGAATTTGGATGACATTCTGCCATACAATGCTTACAATGCTCTATCGAAAGCCCTCCATTCGGCGCGTTTCTTCATTTTGCTTCTTTTGGATGATTTTCGCCAGTGCGTTGCTCCAACCCATACGCCGGACGGTCTGGATTTTGGAGAGCATCGAGGCCATGATGGCAATTCGTTGTTGTACTAAATCCACCCAGATCTTCTGGCGCCCTCCGATGTGTTTGGCGATCTTCATGCTCCCCATTCCAGAGACTAAAGTGGCTTTAGTTAAGAATATTTTCCTCAAATGAACCAACAGACTTACATATGGTCATGATCACTGGTACAAGGTTTACCCAAACAATACGAATGGATAGCAAGGTTATACCAATAACAATCTCAATAGGTAGAGCCCAGCATTCATTCAAGCTGACCAAACAGGCAGATATCCGACCAATATCTGTTGTCATCAGGGTAATAGCAGCCGAGCGATCATCAAGACTCCCGTCTGAAATACTGAGTCTATGCTCATAGACCAACGAAGCGATCGCGCCCCTGAACATGGCAATAAAGCTATATATCATGGTGAGTGTAATGCAAATTCAAAATGGCGAGGCCTAGATATATAAGTACTGTGGCACCTAAGAGTCCATATCCTTTATTCTCGGAGTCCTGGCTCTCACCGAGGCCAGTCAAGCAGAGAAGATATCAGAAACAGCTGGGCGAATGTGAATCCAATTAAGCACAAACGTGGAAAGACTGCCGAAAGCAATGGCCACCACAATGCTTTGCAAATGGCTATAGGCACTTCAAAGCGCCTCTCTGGCCTTTTGCGCCGCTGCCACGCATATTTGGCTTTGTGACTTTGGCCAGTGGACTGCAGGTTCTTATCCAACCCATCCAAATCATTCAGTGTGAGAACTGACTTGAACCCGGCAAGGAATAGTTTAGAATGCTTGAAAATTCCACTAGTAGATTCTGGTGGAAGATTGCGATATTCCCTATGCAAATATCGTCGTTTTCCTGTGCTTTCAATGGGGAAGAATGTAGCCTTCAATCCTACACTCGCGGTGAATGCGGTGGCAATAGACTCGTTCCTGCCCTGAAGGGCCCATAAAGTCCTCGCTTGAGATATATCAAAAAGGGAAGACAACAGCGGATAGGCACTGAGGAGAGAAGCTGGCCTCACTTACCGGGTGTCTTCAGTCCAGGAAAGAATCACAAGCTGAACATTCAGGACCACTGAGGGTATGGTAGCCCTTGTGCGCGGCACGGTGGTATATGCCCAAAGAACGAGCAGCGCTAGGTGTACAGCTGCAAACCCGGCCGCAATAACCTGCCCCATTGTTTAGCAAGTATTCTCTGAGTTCATGTGGCCTGTACGAAAGACTCCTTACCAAATTTTGTAATTCGGACTGCATTGTATCGCGTCCGAAAATTTTTCCTAAGTAGATATCTTATCCGGAGAGGCGGGATAATCAGAAGAATGGTAGCTGGGGGAATGCTTAATATGCTCTGTTCAAACAACAATGTAAAGTCGAAGCCATCGCGGTACCCAGTGCCGACAGCAGGGCCGAAGACATTGTCGACCCCTGGCGAAGAGTTGGAAGGCATGTGACATTTACTACGCATCAATAACTCGGAAATTCCGTGTGTTCATGGTTGTTTCCTTGTTGAGTGAAGAGAGTTATAAATGAAGAGAAGTCATTACCTTCTGGCAGGTATCGTGGCTAGCTCTTTTGTTATCAGGATCTCCTTCCTCCCCGACTAGAATGTCCTGTTCGATTATCTGTATATATGCACTTCTACATTACGCTTGGCTGGACGGTGATATATCCGCTGGCTATTGTTGACAATATTGGGTAATCTCTCAAAATTCGATTATACGCATCAGCTGTAGATTTTCACCGTGCCTTGGTAAGACGATTAGCTGTCTGTAGTTGATAAAGGATGGGAAATCGTGGATACAAACTCACCATCAGCACAGGCACCGGCCCAACACTGGCCCTTTTCATTCCATGCGACGCAACTGATCACCTTGACGCCTTCCCCAGCTGGTATAGTCGCAATAATGTCGCCAGTAAGAACATTCCACGCAAACACAAACGCTTGACTCGTGTTTTCCTTGCTCTCCATATCTGCAGTTTCACTTCCGCTCAAGACAACGGCATCTCCCTTGGCGAACACAGAGCGGATTCGGAGCGATTTATTCATGTATTTTTCTCCAAACTTGCCGACTTGTGATTCACCACCGTAGGCCTTGAGTAGTTTACCATCTGTACGATCCAGCATCCGGATCTTGCCGTCCAAGCTGGAAACGAGCACGGCATTACCGTCGGCGGAACATCTTACGCTCGTGACAGGGTGTGCGATAACGTCTACCGTGGTACGTCCCATACGCAGATCGTAGATTCGGACTCGTCCATCGTAACTTCCGCTAGCGATTGAGTAGGTGGGCATATGAACGTGCAATGAAGACACGGTATCGGAAGCCTCAGTCAAGGTTTGAATGGGCTTATACGCGTTGGATTTCGCGTCCCATAAATTGATCGTAGTATCTGCGCTACCTTGACACACATATAAACTCAGTTCGCAGTTCATGCGATTGCGTATAGAAGTCACCTACCTGAGACGACAATCGAATCTCCTTCGCCCGCAAATTGCACGGCTTCAACACGGCTCGAATGGCCCGTCCATCTCCTCACAGTAGACCCTTGCTCAACATCCCAAAGAAAGACTTGTCGATCTCCTCCTACACTGGAGAAGCGCGCATTATCCGAACTGACGGCGATATCAAGTACCGAGTAACCATGCGCCTCGTACTTCTGAATGGGTCGCGTGGTTTCGACGAGTGAGTGGGTATCGGAGCTAGGAAGAGCTCGAGACAGGTGTATAGCTCGGTCGGTTGAGCCGGTCAGGACATATGTTCCTGGATAACTCGAGAATATCACCGTGTTGACGGGGCCTGAAAGCGAACTATTAGTGGTGGGAGCTGATTGCTGGTTCCTGCGAGTTGACTTACCACTGTGAGTTTTGAGTGTATGGGCGTGGCGAGTTGGGAATTTCCGGCTGATTGACATCCGGAGAATAATTAGATAGTGTCAGGATTTCCGTTATACGTACATAGCTTTTAAAGGTCCAACTGACGTCGTGTGATGGGATAGTCGGAATGAGCCTTAAGGTTAAAAAAGACAGTTGCGGGAAGAAATATGCTTACCGGAGCTTAGACCATCTGATTGCAGTCAAGCTTCCAAAGCTTTCAAAGCTAGATATATTTATTCACTTCAAAGTTTCTCATGAAAAATATTAAATAACTTGTATTGGCAAGCTATCACTTAAAGGAAAGGATATTATATAGGACGCAAGAAACCATTACTCAACGACATTATGAGGCAAAAAGAATCACCGACTCACCCAGGTCCGGGATTTGTCTGGCCCAGGATAACGAGTACTTTTTGTTCGCTCACTCGGGATAAAACCAAAGAAATAGTAGGGGTAGTCTCAAATACGAAATGAAAGGCATGCAGTCCGCATAATTCTTAGTAAGCCGTCACCAACGGCCCAGACATATTCTCGAATTTTGGTATCACTCCCCAGACCTCTAACGACGACCGCTTCGAGCGGAACCTTGCATCTGTTCCAATTCTTGTTCGAGTTGCTTGATACTAGTGACAGTTAGCAGTATTCTTGGTAATCTGATTAGAAGGGGAAAAAAAATGACATACGCTGCATGGGTCGCCTCCAAATCCTTGTTGAGGCGGTCGCGCTCGGAGATAAGCTTTTGCTCCCATTGTCTGAACCGCTGTTCTTCGACCTTGACTTGCTCGGTGAAACGCTTGCGAAGGTTCTCTTCCTCCTCCTTGAACTTGGGGTTATCCAATTTGCGAGGTCGAGCCTCTCCGAACTTCCTTGTCTCCATCTGCTGGGCACGGTACGCTTCATAGTGAGATTCCTCGGTGGTGTGGATGAGGTCAAGCATGTGAGTTCGGATAAGAATGGATCGAAGTTTCTTGAAGTCGCAGTGGTCCTCGTTCTCGACTTCGGCGACACCCCAGGCGTACTGACGACCCTTCACGACTTTACCCTCGTTGTTCTTGACGTCTTTCTCAGAGCCAATGACGGCAAACGGCATGGCAGCAGACAAGCTACGGGCGTGGGCGGCAGCGTGTTCATCGTCCTCCTCGACGGGCGGTTGATAGATCTGGATACCTTGAGATGCAACAACAGCACGAACCTAGACGCCATCAGTAAGAGTCGCGAACACAGAGATATCTTCAGCAAACGCACCCGCTGCTTGAAACGAGCCAAATCGGATGCGCTGAGGGTGTCGGCCTTGGCAATGACAGGAATCAAGTTCACACGGGAGCTCAAGCGCTTCATGACTTCAATGTCGAGGGGTTTCAAGGTGTGGCCGGTAGGACGAATAAAGTAGAGGCAGGCATGAACGCGGAGATCGATCTTGTCTGTTCGGCGGGGTTGTTGCTCTTGCAACATATATGACTCGTGTTGGTCATCCAGGAATTCGATAATGGGTTGCCATGAATCGCGGTTGTTGACATAGTCACCAAAACCAGGAGTGTCAATAACAGTGAGACGGACTAAAATGCCAGGTTAAGTATATGACACGACCGAGCATATCCATGGTGATGTGTGATACCTTTGAAAAACTTCTCCTCCAATTCTGCCTTGGTGATCTCAATCTCAACGGTCTTATCGATTTGTTTGGCGTGCCGCTTCTTGTGGTCGGCGTAGTTCTTGATCGTAGTCGAGAAAAGTGTATTGATGAATGTAGTCTTTCCTAAACCCGACTCACCAGCAACCTGTATTTCTGTTGGTAAACGTTCTTTCGCAATTGTGTCAATCAGTAAGACGCACCATAATTGTGAAAGCCGCTCCTCGTTTTGCGACAATTTTATGACTGCGAAGTTCCATCAATATGAGTTCCAATCCTCAGGAGTTGATAACCATGCAATTGACATACCGCTGGTTGGGGAGCTAGATCAACGAATTGCGTTAGCTAATGCTCATATACATTATACATTGGCAACTGTGAACAGAGGTGTCATCACTTACATTGGCAATGCCAATTGGCGAAGCAGTCTCAGTTGAAGTAGCCATTATTCACAGTTGATTGTGTTTCGAGAAACCGAATGGAAGTGAATACAGAGACTTTGTTCAGGCCAGACAACCCAAGCCAAAGGATGATTAGGAGCAGGAGTGGAAAGCGATGAGAAACAAACAAGTAGAGGAAAGGGGATGGACCGAAGGAGACTAGTTAGGAGACTAGCTGCTGGCTGCTGATCCAGAATCTGTTCTGTCTGTTCTGTCTGTCTGTCTGTCTGTCTGTCTCAGTGTTGTTGTTGGACTTGGAGCCCCTGAACTGGCACGGTGGGGCAGCTCACTAAGGTTGTACGCAGCTGGAGCCAATCACAGCGTACAGAGCTAGGTTACTTCGGGAAGGCACAGGCCCCGGATCGCACCTTCCCGAACTAGGCTTAGTTGCGCTCTCGGAACGGATTAACTGTTGCTTATCGTTCCGAGGCCGAAGAAAAGCTTCAAAAAATTGAAATCTTGTACAAGGTTGAAGCTTACCGGGGGATACTCTCATGCACATACAGGCACAATGAAGACGGATTTCAAGGTATGATATACGCTGGCCTTTCGCCGTACTTACTTCAATGTTATGCAATGACCGCTGTTGCTAACTTCTCACTTGACTTTCTAGTTTTCCAATCTTTTGGGAACTGTTTACCGCAAGGGAAATCTACTCTTTACTCCCGACGGTACCTGCCTCTTGTCGCCAGTGGGCAACAGAGTCACTGTTTTTGATCTAGTCAAGTATATCCATCCTTCTAAACGGGGAGAGTGTTATATTTTCTAACATTGTATGATCTAGCAACAAATCATATACCCTTCCTCTGTTCCATCGCAAGAACATTGTTCGGCTCGACCTCAATCCTCAAGGCAATCTACTTCTCACCGTTGACGAAGATGGGCGTGCTATCTTAACCAATTTCAAACGACGCATTGTTATATATCATATTTCATTCAAGGGCCCAGCTGATGCGCTCAAATTCTCTCCGTCTGGCCAGCATTTCGCCGTGGGCATTGGACGGCGGCTGCAGCTATGGCAAACCCCCTCAGTCCCCGGAACCGACGCTGGTGGAGACTTAGAATACGCGCCATTCGTTCTGCATAGGGAACTTACGGGGCATTTTGATACGATTCAAAACATTGAGTGGTCGAGCGATTCTCGTTTCATCCTTACATCGTCCAAGGACTTAACAGCGCGGGTATGGAGTTTGGACCCGCAAGACGGATTCGAGCCGACAACTCTGGCGGGACATCGGCAGGGAGTCAAGGCGGCATTTTTTACTGCAGATCAAGAAGCTGTAAGATATAGATTTTCCAAGTTGCCCTGACGTCCTACTGACTCTTTAATAGATTTATACTGTGAGCGAGGACGGCGCACTTTTCCGATGGGAATATACCACGAAAAGACTAGAAGATGAGGTAGACGGTGAAGAGCGCTGGCGGATTATGAGAAAAGACTTTTTTCTCCAGAATGACGCCAAACTGAAGTGCGCTTCTTTTCATGCACAGTCTAACCTACTAGTGGTTGGTTTCTCAAACGGCATTTTTGGACTCTATGAATTGCCAGACTTTAACAATATTCATACATTGAGGTAAGCTCCCTTCAACGAGGTCATTAGCTTACATATACTAATATTCTACAGCGTTTCACAAAGTAATATTGATTTTGTCACCATAAACAAGTCTGGCGAGTGGTTGGCATTCGGATCGTCTAAATTCGGCCAGCTCCTCGTGTGGGAGTGGCAGTCTGAATCATATATACTCAAGCAACAGGGACATTTGGACTCGCTAAATTCTTTGGTTTACTCGGCAGACGGACAGCGAGTGATTACCACAGCTGATGACGGCAAGATCAAAGTGTGGGATACCTCGTCCGGATTCTGTATTGTAACATTTACAGAACATACCGGCGCCGTCACGGACTGCAAATTCTCGAAAAAGGGAAACGTTCTGTATACAGCCTCATTGGATGGATCAGTCAGAGCCTGGGACCTGATAAGATATCGCAATTTCCGAACATTTACAGCTCCTTCTAGGCTTGGGTTCACTTCTCTCGCTGTTGATCCAAGCGGAGAAGTGGTTTGCGCCGGCTCTCAAGATTCCTTCGATATCCATGTCTGGTCCGTGCAGACTGGTCAATTACTCGAACAACTCGCCGGGCACGAAGGGCCAGTTGTGTCGCTCGCTTTTGCTGCAGATGGCAGTAACCTGGTTAGTGGTAGCTGGGACCGCACTGTCCGGATATGGAGTATATTTGGTCGATCGCAAACTAGCGAGCCATTGCAATTGCAATCCGATGTTTTGAGTGTCGATATGCGCCCTGACGGGAAGCAAATAGCTGCATCAAGTCTTGACGGACAACTCAGCTTTTGGAACGTATTCGATGCTGTTCAAGAAAGTGCTATAGAAGGGCGTCGTGATGTTTCTGGAGGTAGAAAAATATCTGATCGACGGACAGCCGCCAATGTGGAGGGCACAAAGTCATTTACGAAGATTACGTACAGTGCCGATGGCACTTGCTTGCTAGCTGGAGGCAACAGCAAATACATTTGCCTGTATGACGTGACTACTGGCTCGCTGGTCAAGAAGTATACTGTGTCCGTGAACATGTCCATTGATGGCACTCAAGAATACTTGAACAGTAAGGATTTGACCGAAGCCGGACCTCGTGGCCTGCTTGATGAAGCAGGGGAGGCGTCTGATCTCGAAGGTCGTATTGATCGTAGCCTGCCAGGCGCGAAACGTGGCGATGCTGGGGCGAGAAATACAAAGCCAGAGGTCCGAGTCTCCGCTGTCTCATTTGCGCCAACTGGCCGATCGTTTTGTGCGGCGACGACGGAAGGACTTTTAATCTATAGTCTTGATACGGAGTTCGTCTTTGATCCGTTCGACTTGGATATAGACATCACCCCAGATTCCATCTTGGATACGCTACAGGACGCCAAAAAGTCGTCGCATGCCACTTCCACCGATGATGCATCGTTCCTCAAAGCTTTAATTATGGCGTTCCGTCTGAACGAAGCACCACTCATCCGCACCGTATACGAGAGCATTCCTTATCGTGATATTTCTCATATCGTGCGCTCCATTCCTCAGGCATATCTTCCGAGATTCATTCGATTCATTGCGCACTCAACAGAGGAGACCCCACATTTCGAATTCAACTTGCTCTGGATTGAGTCTATTCTCAGTGTACACGGCCGATACCTGAAGGAGCATAATGGTCAATTAGCACCGGAACTGCGCGCTTTACAGCGGGTTCTGGATGACTTTAGGGACAGCCTCAAGCGTCTTACAGAGAAGAATGTGTATGGGTTGAATTATTTGCTGTCTAAACCGGTTCTTGCTTCCAAGAAGGCCAATAATACGCTAAGGATCAATGAGAGTGCGCCTGTTGATCAAGAAATGATCGAAATAGAATAAAAAAGAGACCTGCAGGGGCCTTGTTTGACTCCGGCAGACCAGCTTAGCGTTTGGTCGGCTGCTGGTCCCACTATTTGAGACATATTTGCATACTTTTGGCGGGCGTATCGGGTAAGTCATGATACTGGGGTATATTCAAAAGTTTTATTCGCACAATATCTTCTCATTGCATCGTTCGTGGTATCTTTCTTTCAATGTACATAATTTCATGTGGTATGAGTCACATGTCTCAATCATCAATGCAGATGACTATTTAACCATTCAAGACGTTTTCACATTATGGCAATAGCATTTGGTGGACTGGCGACGCCTCCGGGGACCTATGAACGACGAATACTCAGGTCAAACGATGGTATACAGGAGAGGATTGGATGGTTAGGAATCAACTCACATTCAATGGCACGCTGGAAAAGAAAAACGTCCATCTCTTCTTCTTTGCACAATAACTGGCAAGCTTTTCCAGATAAAACATCTCACCCAACGGCATTCCCCATCCAGCCAAACACCACTGATGCAAGGACCACTCCGGAGGAACCTGAGGACCATCTACAGGTGACGACTCAACTGCAACCGCATCGCTAGCTATGGCAGCAAACTGGTTCTCCCATATCCATCGTAAAGTGGCTTCGCTAGATTCGATACCCGCGAATCGTGAGATGGCTCGTTGGCCGAGGGCAAGACCCTCTTCGGCGGATAGTTGTTCGTATGCCTTTGTGAATCCCACACGAATGAAGAGAATGTCACCTAGTCGGAATGAAACTTGTTGCTCTTCTGCAACCTTTTTGACAAGGTCGAGAGGGATTACTGTGCTTTCGAAGGGAGGAAAAGTGACGTTGTTCTTTTCGGCGTAAGAGGCGACGTCGATTAAGACGCCGCGTCCAACGATGCCGCCATTATCGACCCATGCTTCATTCGATTCGAAATCAGTGATTCCATTTCAAGGAGCTTACGGGTTATTGCTTACAGTCAATTCCAAGAACATCAGTCGTCTCAATGGTTTCTTGTGAAGTCCCATTATAAAAGAGCTTGTGTGCCTGGTTTGCTATATCGCTTCGAAGTCAGTTGCGCTTCTGTTTCTGCAATGCGTCCGGAAAACCGAACCATAATGCCTAAACCCATCCCACTGGGTGCTAGACTGTGTATTAAACACCAAAACATCATCGTTCACTGCCCTTGGCACTTTGTGGTGAATCTTCTTCTCGAACGACTCTCTTCCAAATGCTGGTTTGTGTAGAGCGTTGAGCTTCCAGTCCAATGCGAAACGGGCTCCTTCTCTGATTTCTTCAGCTGCACTTTGCTTAATCACATCTGGGGTGAGCAGGTTGAGCATGCCTAGGTGGTTGTCCTTTCCGAAGAGGCCCCAGGCGTTACCTTTTGGGCCTGAGGGGTCAAGGGTCAGGTTGTCAAATGAGGGGATCTTGACTGAAGACATGCTTTTAGATCCGTCTCATGTAGCTGCAGTGGCACGTCTTTCGTGCTGCTCACTGTATAATATTCGGTATCACGGGGGATACTGATGGTGATTGAGTTGATTCCACTACGGAACGCGGGGTATAAGTTTACAACAAGCGAGGGAGGTTGATCTACAGATATTTATTATTACAGGTGATATTTCAAGGTTGTTTGAGCATACCCCAGCTCGTTCGGCAACCATGGGGTCATGAAGCGGGGAGAAACCACCTCAATGAATGCATTGAGGGGATAAATATCCGCATCGGCTTTCCTTCCGAGATGAAGAACTCATATATAAAACAATACGAGAATTTTGGAACTCTCTATTTCACGATCAGTGACTATCTCCTGGCCGTGTGTTTTCATTCAAGTTCATCTTGTCCCACTTATCCAAAAATCCATCCATTTCTACGTCATCTCCTTCTCGATCCTGAAAAGTTGACGAGAAATTAGGGTAGAGGCTTTTAAATTGAGTTCGATGTTTCCTCTCCCAATCCTTCTCTGTGAAGTCAATGAAAACTGTACGGGCTTCTTCTGGTAGAGACACATTCATCTTTGCAGCATTAAGTTGTACCATCCGTAGTATACCTTTACTCAACATCCAGCGTTGGGCACATGCACGCGTGACGACGCATAGTTCCGTGAAGGCTTTTCTGTTGTTTTCGTTGTCAAGAGCTTCGAGTAAGACAAAGAGACTGACGCTGAGCCAGTGGATCATAGTTGGAGACATGCGTTGCCATTTGGTGCGGTGTAGGTTGACCATATCCAGGACTCTAAGTGCCGCTTTAATGCGTATGTCTTGGATATCTATCTCATCCAGTTCCACGCCGTGTGACCTAACGAAGCCGAAAATTTGCATTATGATTGTTTATTCCTGCATACTAGATGTCGTCCCGGTCAGTCAACCCGACTGATATTTGGGTGGTCACACTTACTGCAAGTATAGTGTTTGAGGCACCGAGGCAGACTCAGCCTGGACACATGTCGGTAGATCTTTTTTCCAGTTCTGCAGCTCCTTGTAGAAATTCGTGACTTTTGTGGCCATATCTGATCCAAGTTGCTCCTCTTTATTGCACATCCATTTTCCGATTTGGCTGACAATAATTATCAAATCGGACCATCCATGTGAGATGCAAGATATATGCCCCGGAACTGGTTGCGATTGTCTTGGATAGGGAGACCAGACATCCCACTTGGTGTTGTGGCTAGATTTTGGTCGTGGATATCGAGGTAATGGTTTGGCTTCATATCGCATCAGAGAGACGGAGTAAGTGCTAGATAAGAGTTGGTTGGTTCTTCTTTGACCATGCATCAATCACGGAGAGGGCCATAGGTTAGGTTACATACGTGATCATATTGAAGATACCCCAGAGAGCGTAACTGATGGAATCATTTCCATTTTCCATATTGCCTTTCAGTACCGAATTTTCGTACTCTTGAGCAGCACGTATGGTCATTCCAAGATACATCCAGCCTGAACGATCCTTGCCAATAATAGACATCCTGTCACAGCGTTAGAAGACGATATACCTCTGTAGCGAGAATTGATCAACGTAGACCACGCTCAGTATTGTCAAGCCCTGAATTGTGGGAAGGGTTGCGAAGTCGTCCATTGTGAAAAGCTGTCTTCTTGCTTCGATGAGAAACTTTTCGCCCCGAGTTGCTGCATCATCCCGATCAGTGAACACTTCGACATAGTCGCTTAGAGCCTATTGATATATGAAATTATACAGTCAGCTCAACAATACTAACCTACCTGTACAACCTTCGAATCCTAGGCATCCAATACTTACACTTGCTTCAGCAAGAATGGCGTTGACTAAGAAAGGAGAACAGTACTCGCAATCTAGCTGGCCAGCTTGCATGTCCCTAATGAATATTTCGCGATGTATATAATTATAAAATGGATTGTTCCATGTATACCACAAGGAGATCAAGTGAGAAACCAATTCACTATCATCAGTCACCGTGACCCAGGGTTTTGCAGGACAGGAATATCCGACAACCTTTGAACATCCATTATACTCCTCATCTCACGAGCCCGAACGCTTCTCGACTCCTGGATTTCTTGCTGAAGTCTCTCGAGTTCCGGTGTCTGTTCGATATGTGCTTCTCGAACTTGTGCATCTATATACGCTCTGATCTCGCCGAGCGAACCATGGCCCCTAATCAAACTCAATAGTTGTTCCACGTAGGTGTTTTTGCCATCACGCATACTGGCAACCAGATCCAGTAGAAGATCTCGATCCTTTTCCAAATCGTCGATTGTTCGTTTGATTGCTATTTTGCGACGACCATCTTGTGTCTCGTCAACGACGCACTCGATACCATTTCGAACACAACTTTCGCACGGTGGACCGCCAGAACACTATTATTTTCCTCTTGTCAATAGGCAATGAAATAGCGAGTTACGCGAACCCCCATACCTTGATCTTCTTGACCTTGCAGGCTTCACACGCAGTGGATTTTTGATTTCGTCTTTGGGATGAGACGCGCCTGGGCGGAAATTCCGTGGGCCATCGTGAAGCTAAGGCTGGATCTTGTGTCGGTGTGGTTTTCGACATTGGTTAACGTGCCTGAGAGTTCGCTGCCTCACTTTTCCTGAGCGATAAAGGTGCTTTTAGTCGCGATGATCTCCAAGAGCAAATGTCAATGTGATGAAGTGATTAGAGCCACTTTCGCCAAGCGGGGCAGGCCATCTTATACATAATAATTAATCTGCTCACTTCAAAGGGATTGGAATCTGATGCTACTGCTTAAAAGGTCGTTAGTGCATCTTGAGATCTAGCCACTCATCTATGCGAGTTTGTAACGTCTGATATTTCCGTGAGATTAAAGCTACGGACTGGAGAGATTTGCGGATCATGCTAACTTTATCGGAGATGATCTCCAGTTCTCTACCGATTATAGTTACGTGTCTGTGTTGTGACAGGCTTGAGATACGAATAAGTAGTACTATGTGAGGACTGGAAATTAGACCATTTGACCAAAATCGAGGCTCGTTATGGGGTGGTAATTTGTATGGTTTATGAGGGCATTTCGAGGCGTCGCGGTATTTCCAGCTCAAAATATGGTTGTCTTTTATATATTCTGTGGTCGTACATGTATAACCTACCTGTCAGGCGTTTACATAGCTGACAAGGTCAAGCTTTATTGACGTTAGGGTTTGCTGATACGAGGTACAGGTAAAAACGGGGATAACCCTATTATCCATCCAGGCTGAGGCTGATAGTTAACTTAGCCCTAAGAACAACTCAGGCATAAATCGGACAGTACCCGATAGTTACAGATATCGAACGAGTCATAATCTTCTATGCACTATCTTTGCCTTGTCCTATCAAATATGTCTGAATGTGACTTGCAGCCTTGGTATTTAGCAATTCACTACTGCATTCTGCATCCCTGATGAAGTTGTGCATGGAATAGATCAGGGTTTGAACACAACAAACCAACATAAGACCCGGGTTCTTCTACCCCTTCATTGGTCATTTAAACTGGCACCTAGATAAGCAGGGAACGTGGATAAAATTATCGGCCTTATTTTGGAGATCCTAATAAAAATTTCCGAAACCGTGCGAGTCTTCTCCTTTGGACTATGAAGTCTTATCCGTTAACGACCACTCTGTACTCGGATACACTGGTGATCAGCAACCAACGTTACGATACTGCTGCAACCCAATTAATTGGGCAGAGGAACCTTGGGAAATATGAATTGCTTTCCCACCTCATCTTTACCGCAGCAACTGGAACATCACCCTAATTCCCCAGGTCAGGAGTTGACTTTTGTTCAAGTCATCTCGACCAGGGTGGAGGACCACTACCCCATGTCTCACCAGGCATAGCCATAAGCAAAATTCCGAAGATTACCAGTATGGGAATTTGCATTACAGTCTTATCATTCAAGTGCTATCTCCTCCGGATGAGATGTAACAGCAAAATAGCGAGCTTGATGTAACCGTTGATGAAGGTCGGCGATGTTATACTTTTGCAATCTTCCGAGTCTCTAGAAATACTTTTATGTATCTTATTTTGCTCTAAATATTTGTTTATTTCTCGCCAATTGATCACCAGGTACATTATCGGAAATATTCTGAACAGATGCAAGGGGTATTTCGGCACTCTAACTACACCTATAGACTGAGATTCGACTACCCACCACTTGATCCTAGCGGAATTCTACGTGTGTCCAGATCTTCAGGTCAGCCTCCTTATCTTTCGACGAATTGCGTTCTGTTGTTGACGATGTTGCGAGAATATAAGCATTCCGCAATCTCAATTTGTGCTTCGCGTCGGTATTTCCACAAACGACTAAATCAAAACATCCTGTTATTGGATAACTTCATGCTATTCTGTTCGAATAAATAGAAGCAATTGAGTCTATCCTTTTTCTTTCTGTTCTCCTGTCTGGTAGGTTTTCGGCACCGTCTAGTCAATCGTTAGAAGTTGACGTTTTTGTGCCTTTTTCTCAATCCTTTTCGATCGTTACTTCCAACTAATAGTCAATCTTTACATTTCTTTTCAATTGTGGGCTGACAGAGATATAAGTCGCTCATATGATTCCTTCATTTGCATTACTGTTCGTTTCTGGCCTTGTGCAGTTTGTTGCCGCCAAGGATGTCTACCTCCAGTGGGATGTTACTTGGGTCAATGCTGCCCCGGATAGCTATGAAAGGCCGGTAATTGGTATTAATAATGAATGGCCGTGTCCACAAGTCGATGTTGATGTCGGTGACCGGTTGATTGTGGATGTGACGAATAGCCTGGGAAACCAGTCTACTGCTATTCACTGGCATGGCATACATCAGTATACTTCCGGTACTATGGATGGCGCTTCAGATGTTTCCCAATGCCCTATTCCTCCCGGGTCAACTATCCGTTACAATTTTACGGTAAGCATCCAAAACCAATAGGCTTCTACCACTGTGGACATCTCGTTAATTCTACTTGTCATCCTAGCTCGATCAAGCTGGTACATATTGGTATCATTCACATAATATGGGACAGTATCCCGATGGCTTGCGCGGCCCATTGATTGTTCACGATCCAAGTCCTCCATTTGAATGGGATGATGAGTTTACAGTCACCTTGACAGACTGGTATCACCAGGAGATGCCCGAGCTCCTTGACCAGTATGAATCGACCGACAATGCACAGAGCAACGCTGGGGATGAACCGGTCCCTGACGTTGCATTGATCAATGACTCGACACAGTCACAGTTCAAAGTCCAACCAGGCAAGACATACTTGGTCCGCTTCATCTGCGTTGGAAACTGGCCTGGCCATGCATTCTTGTTTGACGACCATGAAATGACCGTTGTGGAAATCGACGGTGTCTGGGTGGAACCCTACCCAGTGGGGGAGAGGAACATTCGAATTGCCCCCGGCCAACGTATGAGTGTTCTCATCAAGACCAAAGATGATGCAAGCAAAAACTATGCTTTCTGGGATACCATTGACATCAATATGATGTTCGTTTACGAGAACAAGCCCATCCCGGAACACTATAACCCTAATGCTACTGCATGGCTCGTGTATGATGAGTCTTTGCCGCTACCACCGCCTCCAGTTATCAATGAGTTTGACTTTATTGATGACTTGTCGTTTGTGCCATATGATCGCACGCCACTGCTGGAACCGGTGGATCATCAAATCATTCTCAATACTGGTCACACTACCATCAACGGAATCAGCCGGTTCACGATCAATGGTCGGACCTATATGCCCCAACAAGTGCCTACACTTTACACAGCGTTAACCATCGGCCCGAAGTACTACAACAACCCTGCTGTGTACGGGGACGTGAACCCGATTATCCTCAAGCATAACGACGTCGTAGAAATTGTGATTAACAACTACCACAATAACCTTCACCCGTGGCACTTGCACGGCCATCAGTTTCAGGTTCTACAACGCACTAATGTTGACGGCGGCTTCTTTAACGGTTATTACGCGAATGTCTCTTCCACTCCGGTCATACGTGACACCATCATGGTGCAGAATAATGGCCATGCTGTTATTCGGTTCCGTGCTGACAATCCCGGTGTCTGGCTCTTACATTGCCATATTGAATGGCATGTTGAAGCCGGATTTGTGGTTACAATAATTGAGGCACCAGACCAATTTCAAAATATGTACAGATCAAAAGACCATATTCGTATCTGTGATGCCTATGGATCGCCTTCTAGCGGAAACGCGGCAGGAAAGCAGGGAACAAACCTACAGGGAGCAAATAACTATATCTATCCAGGCGATTCAGGGTAAGTTTTTCTCATTTTCTTTGCTCAAATGTTGCCAATGGACTAGGTTTCCTGACTGTTATGTCCGCGCTAACTCCGAATTAGGGCTTCTTACCCGCCACCTACGTTCCCATAAATAATATCAACTGATTTCCGTTTTCAACTATACCTACCTACCTAGCTAGGTACTCACTCGTTTATTTCCTCTTAGAGCATAATAGTCACCCTTTTCTTTTATTCGACGTTCACTTCTGTTCTTATCATTCCTTTACGACTCGTTGGAACTCGAGAAGTGGCATACTCACTACTCCCTAGAGATACGTCTATTTTAATGTTTTTTTCAAATGCATTCATGATGTACATAGCAGCATTGGATTTTGAGTTATCTCTTAATATATTACTACAAAAGTTGGTGTTTATAACTTTGTGTATCAATCGATGGAGTTCGGCACAGGAAATCCCGAAGAAGTCTCATACTGTACAAGCACACTGGCTGTCATCTACCTACATATGTAGATACAGAGCCCTGGAAATATAGAGAATAATTAATTCAATAATGACTTGCGACAGCTAAATACAAAATGAAAGTGCGTCCTAAATACGTACCGTCTGTTCCAATCTCCTCACTTACCCTCCAGCAGGGCTCGGTAATGTTTCGATAGGTAAAATGAAAATGAAAAAACGAAATAACAATGCAAATAAGGACCAAATGCAGTATCTCTCCCCACCCTGTGTAGCATACCTCAGTTTCGCAATCCTGGATTATCTCCCTTGGTTAGAAGATTCTCGAACCACTCGTATGCCACGGCCAGGGTGTCTGGATAGCCCATATGTGCCAATTTCTCAACAAAACTGTGACACGTGTTAGTAGATTGCAAAGTAACAACGTTAATACATATTTATATGGGTAAGTGACATACCGGCCTTCCTTGGGACTTCCATGGTTGAACAGTATCAAAGAGTCTTCGATTGGAACTACACCGTCATCGATACCCTGTCAATCATGGTTAATTTCCGTTCCTGAATAGTCTATGGGAAAACAAGGGTAGGACACCCACATTCAACAATAGAAGCCTGCATGAAGGTTTTTTCACAATGCCATTTTCTAGTAGTGAAAACTTGTTTTGTCCATCCTTTATGAAATCTTCCACGTTCTGGAAGCCAAATTTCTCAGCCATGGCCTTGGATATTCTGTATATCTCGTCAGTACACTAGTTCAATTACTGTATTTCCAGAGAGACTAGAAACCCACATGAATGGGTACTCATGATCATCAATCCTTTCTAGCCACTTTTCGCTTAGAAAATGGTGAGTACCCGGTCCGTGTGCTACGCAACCCAAAAATTGGTTGCGATGAGTCGAAGCAGCTCGAACAGCATAATAACCACCAGCACTCAAACCCCATGCAGCAATTTTCTTGAGATTGAACTCTGGTCTGGAGGCAATATACGCCAGCACAGAGTTCCACAGCCGATCAACTGATTCTGGGTCGGCAGGATCAGCAGGGCAGTCTGCTGTACCTGGAATTTCACAGATGACAGTTGCCCATCCGCGACCAACAAGTTCGTGGGTGCGCTGAGAATTGTCGCATCGATATCCGTCTAGACCGGTCATAAGTAGGACGACGGGGACTTGGTTGGTTATATCCGCTTGCTGTGGAATGCGAATAAGTAGTGGGATGGTCTCGCCATCCTTGCCCGCACGGTACTTGTGAGGGATGATTACTTCGTTGATGGGCGGACTCCATGTAGAAGCGGCTTTGAGGTAGACTTCTTTTTGGCGATCGAAGGCGGCACGCTTGAGAGGGCTTGTGACAGTATTGCCTTCAGTGATGGTACTAACGTAGGGGAAGCGTGAGATGCGATATACTACTGCTGCACGGCGGTAGTACTCTGCTGCTTTATCCCAAATACCGCGTTCTGCAGCTTCGAAAGCCTTGGTCTCGAGTGCCTTTGCTGTGGGCAGAAATGCGTTTGTATATTCGTCCGTGTACGCGTCATTGATATTCTCGGCAATGAGGGTTTCGAAGATGGGCTTAAAATCTTCGAAAGCACCGTCATGGAAAGGGTAGACGGCTTTTAGGCACTGTTTCCGAAGTGTAAGTACACTTTTTATCGGGATTAGAGGCTGGATAAATGCTTCTTACAGCTGCTTCCCATTTCGACTCCCACAAACCCTTGATTGAGTTCTTGTGCGGATAAATCGCATAGAATTTGTCACCCAAAATCCAGTTTATCATCTTGTTGATTAAGGGTAAGGACTATTGAAGAGAGAGTATAGAGAAAGAAAGGCAGAATGGGGGAAAATTGAGCAGAGAGACACTCATCGCCTTGATGTTTGCCCTTTGTACTTGAAGCTAAAAACCTTTGAAATCAAAGTGAGTGTAAGCCTAGTCCAAATGCGCTCCTGGTGTTCTCTTTAGATCGAGGTAAAATGTGTCATCAGGGCTCGTTTCCAAGGTCGGAATGAAGTATCTTCCGTCTGCAGATAGAACGTGGGCTGTGGCCAGATTCAGCCCACTTACCTCGAAACAAGGGCTAAGAATACTCTCCATATGCCTATATATAGCTTTGTAAGATCCACGAAAGGCATGCATTCCATTGTCCCAGTTTCCGATTGCAACCGCTGTTCGATCGCCAAGATAGGGCTTTGTATCCACATTGCTCGAGTTTGAGCATCCAATTGTGCAATTCGGATGCATTCAAATCATGTGTTGCTTGAATGACATCTATTATAAAAAAAATTACAATTTCTACAGCAAGGGGGCTGAAATACTGTTGTCTAAAAGTTGCACAAGGGCTAAGATTTCGTAGATATTGCCTCCTTGGTCTTGGTGTCCAGACACTTTCCGAAAACGGAAACCATGTCCTAATTAGGAAATTATTGTTCATCATGGATCATCTTATCGAGGCGCAACATGTGCTTCGACCGTATCATTGTTGATCCTATGCTATGATTACCGGAAATCTTTTAATATGCCTATTGGATATATATGACGCAATTAAAGCTGGTTTGTACGTCTGTGGCTGTCGTGTCCAACTGCCATTACAGCCTTAGCCTTACATCGATGCTTCATGCAGGATTTCAATGCAAAAATAGATTGTGCAACTCTAGACTCCTAGAATAAATACTTTCAAGGGTATGTATCCTAATGGCGATGAGCAGATATGCTTCGTCAACGTGTACGTCTACAGTGCTTTGTTGTTCATAACAGATTACTCAAATAGGCTTGGTAAAAATAGAATACTAGTATTTGCATAAGGAGCAATAGCTTGTACCTAGGTATGAATATGAATTCCATACCAGCGTATTTACAGATAAGACAAATAACGAACTCTAAACCGAAAACTGCAGAATATATTTGAAGTGTAGTTGTCAGGTTTCTGCCTGGGACGTAGTTGGTTTAGATATTGGCACCTCCGTTGACAGGAATAGTTTGTCCTAAATAAAATAACATCAACGATTAGTAATCTATATAATATTATTAGAAAGATCTGAGGCGAAGACTCACCATTGATCCATTCACCGTCTGGACTGGCAAGGAAGCAAACGACCCGACCAATATCGGCTGGAACACCACACCTCTTGAGTGGACTACCGTTTGCCAAAGCAGTTTCGATCTCCTCTAAGGAAGAAGTTTTGTCACAGCCTGCGGCGTATCGCCAAGCATTTGCCAGCCACATATCACTCTTGATGCCAGCGGGCGCTATAGCGTTTACTGTGCAGCGCTTCTCGCCGAAATCGGCAGCGAAACAGCGCGTGAAGCCTTCAATGGCCGATTTGCTACCGGCATACAGAGCATGGCCTGGGACACTGACACCGGCGGCAATGGAAGACATCAGAATCACTCGACCACCCTGCTCGATGTGCTTGTGGGCAGTTTTGGCGACGAAAAACTGGCCGCGAGTGTTGATGTTGAAAACCTCGTTGAAATCTTCTAAGGCTGTTTCACTCAATGGCTTGAATTTCTCGACTCCCGCGTTGGAAACAACAATATCGATGCGGCCAAAGTATCGGTGCACACTGTTGAACAAACTCTCGATCTCCTCGATTTTTGTAACGTCGGCTTTAAAAGCGGCACCGCGAGAGCCCTCAGCCTCGATAGACTGGATAATTTGGTTGGCAGAGCTGGCGCTGGACGAATAGTTGATGGCTACGTATGCCCCTCGTTTAGCGAGTTCAAGGGCAATACCGGCGCCAATACCGCGCCCACCTCCAGTGACAAGCGCTACTTTACCAAGGAGGGTGCGTGGCGTAGCATGGCAAGCGTTGTCATTTGTGCTGTTACTTGAAGCGATCATTGTGAATGATAAATGAATGAGAAGATAAAGGAAGAAGTGGAGTGTTCTTTAGGATTATTTAAGTGGTAGAGGGGAAAGAAGAGTATGTTATATTGGTTACAAATAACCGTTTCAGAACCTACGTAGCGTATTTCACGATAGGTTCGTTTGGCGCAGAATGGTTACTCGTGTCGGAATTCCCTTGCAGTAGGGGTATAGGACATTAACGACCGCGAGCGTGCCCCCCTTTCCAAAAATGGAAAGATATCATCCTCGACTTAGCTACCCCTGCTGAAATCAGAGGGCCTAGATATGTGTTGCATGCGTCCAAACAAATTGCACAGTGGTCATGTGTTGACCTCGACCTAAGGTACAATATGGCTTTTGGTCACATTCTGGGCTTGAAACTTTCCGTTTTCGGAAACACTTATATGTGGTTCTTTAGGGTACGTTGCAAAGCTAAGGAAGACAGGCAAACAAACAAATCTCCTCTCTAAATCCGGAAAAACCTGATTGTATGTTTTTCCATATTATTAACATAGGGTCGTTATTGCGCCGCAGGTGTGGTGGTACGTAGTCGGTTCCCAGCCTCCCATAGGCCATCCTCGTCTGTTCTCTATGTGTATGTAAATCAAGCTGGTTGGTTTTGGTGCAACGACATGAGGCGTAACATCATAGCATGCATTGCTTGCATCTATAAATTCAGAATTAATTTACTTTAATTTACGTAGTAGGGTGACTCCATAAATGAAAGCGCAGATTTCGTCCGGGGTCAGCTCTTCCGTTTTCTCACCCACGTTTGATCTGAACGTTTACTCGAAATTTGTCACTGTGTCAGGCAGTATTGACTTGTGCCGCAGAAGATATTTGGTTTCAACCTTTGTCAATATATCTAAACGAAAATATCTTCAAGGATTCAGCATGGCACCATCTCTGACAAAGGACGTTGAGCCGTCAAAGTTTGTGAGCTCTGGGAAACCAAACCTGGACATTAGCTTTCAAGGTAACATCTAGCAAATTATGTGTCTGCAGCTATTGAAATTTGACCGCTAAGTAGTTATACCAGATTTTCTCGAACTCTCCAAGGTCGTTTTCGACTGGGCAGACAGCTATGACTCCAAGGTAGCCAAGGCCATTCGATGCTTACAAGACGGAGTTGCAGAAACTAAAATAATTCCAGGACTGGGATCGACTCAGGGGAATCATTGCTCCAACTCTGACAGTACGTCACCTGCTGCCAGGCACACACGTGTCAAGAGAAGAATACTTGCGATCCTGGCTAACTACTATCATACAGGTCGACTACACCCAAATTGGGCTTGCCCGATGGGACTCAATAACTGCCAATGAGTACATGAAAATGATCACCGATCCAAGCTTCCTAGGCGATCCCACAGTCAAAACCCAGCATCTACTTGGCCAAACCTGGTGGGAAAAGATATCTGATACCGAAGTCGTCGGACACCACCAACTACGAGCTGCCCACCAGGTTTACACCGACATTGATTTAAAAACGGTCAAGGTCAAGGGTCATGGTCACGCTACAAACGAGCACTACTATCGCAAGGTGGATGGAGTATGGAAGTTTGCCGGTTTGAAGCCTACAGTTCGTTGGAATGAGTATCAGTTCGAGGATGTCTTCAAGGCTTGTCGCCACTAAGGAGCAATCTTATATACCTGTCTCCTAGGTCCAGACTCGCATAAAAGAAACGGATGATTGGAAACTGATTTCAGTAGCAAGCGCGACGGTGGAATGTTTGTTTGGAATGAAAGAAAATTCTTTGGTGACGGCCAGTGTCCTTGAAATACTAATAGACGTAGTATACCCCAACAGAAATCTTTAACAATGACATATCTTTCTTTGAGGAAGTATTTACAATCTGAAAATATAAGTCAGTTTATTTTCTTTCGAAGATTTTTAACTGTACTGCAGCGAGGAATACTCTCAAAAGATGAAATCAGCCATTTCTGTTCTGGGTGTTGGGGTGTTGCCCTTGTTATCCCTAGCTAGCAACACACCAGGATTCAGAGACGCAGAAGCAAGTCCCTTCACCGCCTTCCAATTTGAAGATAATGGATCATGGATTGCAAATATTGCTAATCGGCCGAATAACGATCTCGTTATAACCCGAACCGATGTACCAGAAGTATGGACAATCAATGTGGACGAAGGAACTGCTCAGGTGGCAACGAACATCTCGGACGCGAATAACTTGATCGGGATTTCATCTATTGATGACGACGAATACGTTGTCATTGCTGGAAACCTGGACACTACCACCCTCACACCAGAGGCAGGCTCATTCTCAGCTTGGAAAGTCTCTATCGACGGAGATGGTGTCGGTACGGCCAACTTGATTGCTGCAATTCCCGACGCTCAATTCTTACATGGAGTGGTGACATTTCAAAAGACGAGAGATACTGTTAATGTCCTCATTGCAGACGCTGGTCAGGGTGCACTCTACAAGCTAGATACGGCAAACGGCGAATACTCAATTGTGATTCAAGACGACGGCCTAGCTGGAGTGAACAACCTGCGCATGCAAAACGGATATCTTTACTTCACCGCAACCCAAAACAAAGTCTTTGGTCGTGTGCCTCTTGATCTCGAGGAGGGGACTGCCGTTGGACCTATAGAAACTATTCTGAACGACCAGACTATTGTCCCGGATGGTTTTGCTTTGGCTCCAAATGGAAGTGTGGCTTTTATGGCGACCTTCGTCCAAAATTCTATTATCGCAATTGACCTTGATGATGAAAATTATCCAACAAGCATTATATACGGTGGCATCAACTCAACTGATATTGCAGGGCCAACCACTGTTCAGTTCGTCCACAATGGGCCATGGGAAATACTTTATATCGCGACAAATGGTGGCCAAACTGCACCTGTTGGAGGAAGCTTCATAGAACCGGCAAAAATAGCTGGCATGTATCTTTTCTGAGCTCTAGCACATGTATTCAGGTATCTGGGATGTTGTGTGTTTGATTTCGGGTTTATGAACCATGCGATATGAGTAGTTCTTAATGTTGATCATCTTTTCTAGTAACTGCACACAGCCGTCGTAAACAAAGAAATGGCTTCTGGATGCTACTTGAAACCGTACTAGTTCATAATTCCTGAATGTAAAGATAGAAACTCGCTGATCGTGCAACCACATGTCGTCATTTTGATCGAGAACGAGACAGTCTTAAGTGGCAATAACGAGAGGTTGATTTCTAGAATTGTCGCTAGAATCTACTAACATCAATCTTCTGCGACTTCAACTGGAACCGATTGCTCAATATCTAGGAACGGGACCGAACTAGGGTTTACGGAGACGGCCCGAATTGCCGAGGAATGTTATTTTATATGGACATCCACGTCCGGACATATCTATACACTAGCTCGGAATGTATGAAAACAAAATTTGAATATACCGCCTTCCCAATGCGGTTATTTTGATGTTGAATGCATATTTTTCTTTCTATGCTATTTCCTCTTGTCGGATATTCTTACTGTAGCCGCAGCAATGTATCAGCTATAGGTATATCAAATTGCAATTCCACACAGGAAGCCACCCAGTCAAGGGGGCGGTTATTGATTCCAATTCGTGTGCGACTTCTACCCCTGCATTCTTCATTTGACTCTGAAAGAGGCTCTCACTTTCGCCTTTGTTCTGTTGTGTTGTAAAACACTCCAATTATGACACTTTCGCGTCGAGTGTTGCCAGCTGTGGCGTTTATAGTCACTTTTACCCATGGCGCTCGTGTCCACTTTGACCTTGACCTCACATGGCAGGTGGGTGCCCCAAATGGACAAGAAAGACAGATGATCTTTGTCAATGGACAATTCCCAGGACCACCGTTAGTTCTGGACCAAGGGGACGATGTGACGGTAACTGTCAGCAATCACTTACCATTCAATACCAGCGTGCATTTCCACGGAATTGAGTATGAGAAATAACCCGTTTATTCCTATTTTCTACCCAATGAACCTTTGTTAACGTGTTTCCTCCAGGCAAAAAAACACAGCATGGGCAGATGGAGTACCTGGCCTCACTCAGTGGGCCATAGCACCAGAGAATACGTTCATTTATCAATGGCATGCGAATGAATATGGTACTTATTGGTACCATTCCCACGACATGGCTACTCTGCAAGATGGTCTCTATGGCGCAATTCGTATCCGGTAAGTAGATCCTATGAGGCGTATGCTGGGACTGGTATCATTTCATCACCTACTTTTACTGACGGAAGTTCAAAATTGACTATAATGCAGGCCTTCTAAACAGACAGAAGATCCATTCGAAATGATTACAACTGATACCACCGAGCTGCGCGCTATAAGGCATGCAGTTCAGAATGCAGAGCTCATTATTGTCTCGGATTGGACTCAATATACCTCATTTGAGTACATGGATGCAATGAAACAGACAGGTTATGACATTTTGTATGTAACCTCCCTTGCTTCTTGTACTGATACGTATTTGAGGGTTCATGCATAATTGTGACTGACTTTCAAATACAGTTGCTCTGACAGCATCCTAATTCAAGGCAAGGGTTCCGTTTATTGCCCGCCACAGGGAGAATTAATCTCTTTGATGCCCGCTTCTGTCCAACATGTGCTACAGGCAAATGTCACTGATAAGGGATGTCTTCCCTTTGTCACTGGTACTCAGGGTCTCTGGGAACATCACGCAGAAAAGCTCCCCGCTAAACTCAACGAGGGTTGTGTGGCTAGCGAGGGGTCCAGGGCCACAGTAGAAGTCGACCCAAGCAATGGCTGGGCTAGTCTGAACTTCATCGGTGCAGCTAGTGAAAAAGCACTAGTTGTTTCTGTGGACGAACACCCAATGTGGATTTATGAAGTGGATGGCAGGTACATAGAGCCTCAGCTTGCTGACACATTCGAACTCTATAATGGTGAGCGGTATTCTGCTCTTATCAAACTTGATAAGGAGCCTGCCAACTACAACATCACCATTACCGACACCGGTGGCAACCAAATTATTGCCGGTTATGCAACTTTGCAGTATCGGGGCGCTGAGAATAATGCCAGGAAATCTGTGCCCTATATCAATTATGGTGGTCAGCCCACATCCCCCGATGTTGTTGCATTGAATGTTTCCGTCTTACCCCCTTTCCCAGAAATCCACCCTGCTGAAAAGGCAGATGATTTCTTTTTGTTGAATCTATCACGTATCAACTCCTCCTGGCAGTGGTCCCTAGGCGGTACCACATCCCTTCCAGCGGATCTTGACAGTATGGAACCAGTTCTATACAACAAGGACTCCCCTGGCCTCGAGAATGCCCTCAAAATCGCCACCAGAAATAACACCTGGGTCGATATCGTCTATCAATTGCGCTTATGGGACGCATCAATTACGCCTGTTCAGCCCCCTCACCCAATTCATAAACATTCGAACAAGATGTTTTTGATCGGCGCCGCACAGGGTATTTTCAATTGGTCCTCCATCGACGAAGGTGTTGCTGCAAGTCCGCAGAGTTTTTTCCTTGACATGCCTCTCTACAGAGACACATTTGTCACCTCTCCCCGAGGGGAAGCGTGGATAGCAATCAGATACTTTGTGCAAAATCCCGGACCTTTCTTGTTGCACTGTCACATGGAGACGCATCTATGGTCTGGAATGGGCATGGTTTTGTTGGATGGTTATGATGTTTGGGATCAAATCCAAAGTGGCTATTGGGATGATGCGTGTTAATACACTTCTTTAAGCTCATCTCTCGTGCAAGAAAACGAAGGTACGAGAGTTTGTTTGTTCATTCATAGAGATATACCCAGTATCAATGACTCTTTGGGCTTAATATCGGAGCTTCTACTCATATTTCATGCTTAAAATCGTGATGTCTGCTATACTTATATGCATTAATTTCCGAGTCCTTGTTCGTGTCAATACTATAATCCTGTTCGAACTGGCGGACAATTTCCAGGAATTAAAGCCATAAAAATTTTGCGTAGAATGAATGCTATGACGAAATTAGCAGTAAGGTTCATAAGCCCCAACTCATGCCCTCCAGGGCTGAAACCGACAAGTTATTTCAGTTGATTGCCGTATACGTATAAGTTTATACCAAGGTACATACCTAGATGTAGCACAAGGACAAATACCCAGCCTTGCGAAAAGCAGCCAGACCTACAAAGAGACTTAACAATATTTCAAGGTTTATATTCTTTGGACTATAGAAGTCGAATAATCATATTATATTTGAAATATTATTTTCCCGTACCTAAACTACCTTTTAATTTATGCATATAGCCTAGAACTTCGGACACATTCAATCTAGAAACAAAAAATGATCGAATAAGGACAAACAGTGAAGTTTTGGAAAGGAATGACCTGTGAGAAATATGAGAGAAATATGACCAAAATGAGACCACGAAAAGGAAGTAAGTAGATATGAAAATAACGAAAATTGTCCTTGATCAGACGGGGCCCATTAGAAAGCATTCTTGATAAAGCTAGACAATCCACCGGCTTTACTACCGTCCATCATTGTGAAATGATTTGCTTCATGCAAGGCCTCGATTGAAGCGACTTTGTGTTTACCGACCAGCGTGTCCCAGCCATTCGGACCGAAGTCGGTACGATCATTGAGAAGCCAAAGCATTTCCCTAGGATCGTGGCTGCCATCCTCAGATGGTGCAGGGCGAGGATCACTAGGCTTGCCGCAGACACCATCCTTGGCCCAGACGAGATATGCCTTTGGTAGGCGACTCTCATACTTGGGATCGTTGCTTGGGAAAGGAACTGCCTCGTACATGTCTAGCGCATCGATGAAAGCGAGGAAATGTGGTAGAAGCCATTTTGGTGGAGGTGCCTTTCCGTCACCGAAGATCTTCATGTCGTCAAAGAATTTATACAGCCTAGGAGGCAATTTCTCGAGACCAATTGGGAATGGAGAGTCAAGGAAGAAGATTCTCTCAACTGTTTCACCTTGCTCGATAACAAGCTGACGGACTGCATCGTAAGCGCTGATTCCTCCGGCTGACCATCCACCTACGTTATAGGGCCCCTTCGGTTGACGACGGCGCATCTCGGCCACGTATGAGGCAGTGAGATCTTGAAGGGCACAGTTGAGCTTCTCTGGAGTCTTCATATAAGGACAGTTCAATCCATAAACGCAGACATCTGCAGATATTTTGGGGAGTGTTGCATAGGAAGTTGACGAGCCAGAGCCGTCAGGGAAGAGGAACAGTGTATGTTTGGCCGTCTTGGGATTTCCTTGTAAAAGAATAGATGTGGCTGGAGGGTGTTGAAGTTTGGAAGACAAATCCTCTGGTTGAAGTAATGGCGCTGACGTAGACAACATAGCTGACTTGGGCTGCCGTATGGGAGCTTTTGGCTTCAAATCAAGAGCTTCTCCAACCTGGCCCATTGTTGGGTTCTCAATGAAGAACTCGGATGGCAAATCCAGACCGAGAGCTTCACGTAATCTTCCGAGTACAGTCAAAGATAGCAAAGAATCCATACCCATCTCACTGAGGTTTGCTTCCCCAGTCAACTCCTCTGCAGACACTCCGATTTCTTCAATGAGGGTTTGGCGGATGGTAGCCAGAGTCTTGTCTTCTTCTAGAGATGGAGCAACCTTCATAGGTGGAGGGTAATCTCCAGGGGTTCCGGGAGTAGGTGGTTCCGTTAACCCAGAATCGTCGAATACAGACGACTCTGAGGAGGATTCGCTGCTATCCACTGGGGTTGCAGACTGCATCAAAAGTCCTTTAAAGTCTTTGACAGTTGGATAATCCATGAAGATACTGGATTCAAGATCGAGGTTGAGCTCTTCACGGAACTTTCCGGTAATAGTCAAGGCGAGAAGCGAGTCAACACCATAGTCAGAGAAGACAAGGTCGTCCGAAAGCTCTGCTTCGGACAGGCCAACCTCGCTAGCCAATATCTTGAAAGCTTGGACAAGGACACTGGGAGCAGGAGTTTTAGGAGCACTACATTTGACTGCCTTTGCAATGGGCTTTGTCTTTGGCACGGTGACAGGAACAGGAACTGGGCCCTTTGTCGCTGGCTTGGTTACCTGTGCGGTACCGCCTGGTGGAGGAAGGACAGTGTTGAGAATCTTGCGCGGTACTCCTTGGAACTATAACCTTCAAAGTTAGAATTCGCCATGCCGGATGTCGTTGTGGGAGTGGATAAAAAATGCTTACCTTTACCCCTCCGTATACAGCTATGATTTCATTTTCTTCGAAAACATAGACATCACCGGAATAGATTGTGCCCTGCCAGGGCTGCATCCTAACATAAGTGCGGTAAGTCGCATCGGCGGAGAACTTTGTAGCACAACGCATCGAATCCCAGCCATGATTGACGTAGACAAAGTTGGCCGAATCAGTTGCATCGTTTGCGTTCATAGTGAACCCGGTAATATGGCCTATACTATCGATCCAGAACGGGTTCCGGTGGAAGTTTGCTTTCTCAGCCTGGAATTTGACCAAAGCAGTGGCCTCGTATTGATCGCTGTCTAAGATGACATCTCGCATCGACTTGTAGTTCTTGTCGTAATCGACCAGTGCCCCAAACAACTTGTAGACCATTCCACAACCAAGCTTGTTGCTATCGCCGTTAGCAACATTTTGGAAGAGCCGATCAACACTTCTGTGAATAAGATATGCATTGCGCTTCCATTCCTCTTGTGCAGCTTCGACATCAAAGAATTTGACAATACAGCTTGCGTGATCTGCCATCTTCTTGCCTTCAGGAGTGACGGAGTAGATCTGCATGGATACCTGTCGGCCATCCCAATCAGCAGTTGCAGCGGCCCGGAAGAGCTGAGGCCCGGCGTTCTTGTAGATTAGGGGCTTTGGAACGGCCATATCAGCGACATCAAGACCAACTCCTTTGAGCTCGGGTTTGAAGTTGACAATCAAGTATTCTGCCAAAGTCTGGGCAATGTCGGCGTATAATGAAGAGGGGCAGAGAGGAGTTCCGTTGACCTTATGGCCCTGAATAACAGGACACAAACGGGGATCAGAGATATCAGTCTCGGTAATGACAGTTGCTTTATTTGCTTCACCGATGCTTTTGACGATTTTCTGAGCAGAAATTGTGAGGTGTGAAGGCGCGGGGCTAGTAATCTGAGGGACTGGATCGCCACCCTTTGTCAAACAGAAGTCGTTCTTGTAATCTATCCAATAATTCTTGTTATCCCAGCTGTAGGCTGGTAGGTGAAGTACCTCATGGCTTGATTTGAAGTCTTGATAATACTCCTTCCACTGTATATCAATGCCAGCGATATATAAAGATGTCAAACTCTGGGAAAGCACCTTCCATGTGTCTTCATTCCTGCGCAGCGAGGCTACCGTGTTTGCCTGAGGGCCAAGGGTAGATTTTATCATACCAGAACAGACCGTGTGAGAACCAATTTCAATCCATACAGTCTTGTCCGTCATGAGCTTGGCATGTCGGGAAGCCTCGATAGCTGCGAGGAAGTTGACAGTCTCTCGGCAATGTCGACTAAGATACGTTCCACTGAGTTGCTCATAGTTCTTCTCATTGATCACTTCTCCGAGAAGGGGAGATACAAGAGGGATTGATGGCTTGTGATACTTGACTCCCTTGGTCACCTTGGTGAGCTCCTCCAGAATTGGCTCAACCTGAGAAGAGTGGAAGGCAAAGGGCACTTTCAATTTGGTGGCCTTAATTCCTGCAGCAACGAGCTGCTCAGCAAGAGCATCAATATTCTGAGAGGTAGCACTAATGACGGTCTCACCAGGAGCATTAATGCAAGCGACTTCGTGCACTCCTGGATTGAGGAAAGGAGTAATCTCGCTCAAGCCAGATCTCACTGCCAGCATTGCATGAGTTCCAACCTTGCACTTCTCTTCCAGAAGTTGGGCACGACGACCACATAGGTAGATTGCATCAAAAGCTGTCAATGCTCCAGAGACATAGAGAGCAGCATACTCTCCAAGGCTGTGACCCATGACGAACGTAGGACGGACATCCCAAGAAATCCATAGGTTCGCTATGGCCATCTGCATACAAGTTGTTCCCAGCTGCGTGATCACCGGGCCGAATTCTTCAATAGGTACACTGCCATCAATTAAGGAGACAAAAGATGGAAATCCTTGACTCTGAGCAATTCCGTTGAAACGTAAAACATCAGAACGGAACTGCAAGAATCCCTCAAAGAGCTGCTTCCCCATGTTGGTGTATTGTGCTCCTTGCCCAGTAAAGACAAAACCGGCACCCGATGCGACAGATGGAGCTGTGCTAATGGTTTCTCGGCTAGCTGCTGCACGAAGAGCTTCTTGCACCTCGCTAACCTTTGTTCCAGAAACCATAATGCGGAATGGGTGATGGATACGTCGAGCAGTAGTAGTGTAGGATAGCTTGGCTAAAAACTCATCCTCCTTCATGTCAGAAGAGTGCTTCTCGATCCAATCTGAAAGGTTCTTTATGTTGTTCTTAAGCGAGGCTTGACATCTGGCTGAGACTGCAACTGAGAACATTGAGCGCGGATCGGCAATGGTAGCAATTTGGCGATTTGGTGCATCTTCTAAAAGGAGTGCAGTGTTTCCTCCGGCTGCAGAAAAGTTATTAAGGAAACATCTGCGCAACCCTGACTCCGGCTTTACCCAAGGCGTAGGCTTGAAAGCAATATGGACATTGCGTTCCTTGAGATCTGTCGGGAAATTCTGGTTGATCTTTGTTTTGATTCCACAATGCGGAGGAATCGTGCTTTTGCGCATCATGAGCAATACTTTGATCAAGGACGCAACACCCGATGCTGATTCTCCATGGCCGATGTTTGACTTTGCTGATCCGAGGTGGAGGGTTTGCTCTGGCTTTCGACCATGATCAGGAGCGAATGTGTCAAGCACTGACTTCATCTCAACCGCATCACCAGCTTGGGTGCCAGTTCCATGCATCTCAATGTAGCTCACGTCATTGGGATGAACATCGGCTTCATTCAGAAGTTTGTCAAAGATAAAAGCCTGAGCACCGACATGAGGACGTGTCATTGAAACAGCCTCGGCGGAATGGTTCGTGTAGGCTCCTGCAATTACAGCCTGGATAGGATCATTGTCTGCAATCGCATCTTCGAGTCTTTTGAGAACAACAGTGCCTACACCATCCGCACGGCAATAACCGTCGGCTGCGTCATCAAAGGTATTGCAATTTCCCGTGCGAGAAAGGAAATGGCCTCGGTCAAGACCGGCGTGGTTGTCGGGGTTAGTAAGGATATTCGTGCCTCCAGCAATGGCGGCATCACAGTCGTTCCTCCACAATGCATTGCAAGCCATATGGATTGCTGCCAAACTAGAGGAGCATGCAGTATCCACGCTGACACTCGGCCCACTAAATTTGAAGTGATAATTGATTCGTCCGGGAGTGAAAGCACGATTACCGCCAGGGATAAAGTAGGTGTCAATGTCTTGACCACTATTAATTTCACGGTAGTCATCACTGGTTATGCCGTAGAAGATACCAACACGGTCCTTCTGCGTAGAGGGCGTGGAGTCAGGAACAAAACCTGCCATCTCTAACGCTTCATACGCCGTGACTAGTGCCAGCCGCTGACCTGGATCTGCCTGAAGTGCTTCCCTTGGCGACATATTGAAAAATCTGGGATCGAAAAGGCCTGGCTCAGGAATCCAACAACCGTATGGCACTTGACTGGTGTTGCGCTTCTTGCCAGTAAGATCGACGTGCGTCTTCCAGTTCCACCGATCAGGAGGTACCTCTCTGTGAACATCAAGGCCTTGGTAGAGGATATCCCAGAAATGCTCGGGACTTGGTGCATCTGGGAACCTTCCGGAGAGACCGATGATGGCAATTTTGGATTGTTCGGTCCTGCCTGTTGTACTTGGGAACTTTCCAGGCTTGGTAGAATCACTGAGTGTATTTTCCAGAAGAACTTCAGAGATTCCAGCGCGCTTCAATGCAGACACAAGCCCTGAAGAAGCCGAAGTTGCGACAGGGAAAATTGTACATGTAGAGACGGATGAACCCTTGATAATGGATGAATAGCCATCAAGAACTTTATCCCAGCAAAGCTGCTTGAGAAGAATCTCTTCGACGGCAACCCTGAGCAAGTCCTCAAAGCTTTCTGCAGCAATTTCATAGCCAGTGGTACTGGATAAGACAGGAATGCGCGAACAGTAGTCTTTGAACGAGCCGTGGTTTGTGGTGTTCAGTGCCCACTCCACATCTTCCTGCCCATAAAGGTGCGGTGCATGAAAGGGTGCATGAACTGCTACTCTGAGAGGCTTGGCGTGCTTTGATAACTCAGAGTCAATAAGTTCTTCAAGGACCAGAGGAGGTGCACTAATCGTAAGTCCATTATAGCTGACAGCGCTGACATAAGGTCGAGATGAAGGCGAAAGACCCTGGATGAGTTAATAAGACGCACCACTTAGTAGACTTTGCATGCATAAGACGTACCTTTTTCTTGCCAAATTCAGTAATGAGAGCAAGAGCTCTCTCCTCACTCACTCCTGAGATTACAGCAGACCAGCTTTGAGAGCGACCATCATATTGGCCGACGTAGTTACGGACTTTGTAGGCGCATAGCCCAAGTCTAAGAGCAACAACGACAGCTTCGACAGCTAGAGGAATCAATTCTCCAATGGTTCTTGATGATGCTATTGCTGCAGATGCAAGCAGGCCAGTGCATAGCCCAATCACATAGCTTTCCGAACCTACAGGATAAATCTGGCCGCCATCTCCGTAATAACTACCTTCGGTTAGAAGCGAATAGTTTGAAAAGTACAAGGATTATCTTACCTAATAAAGGATCCCAGTTGATAGATGATAGTTAATGCACTTTCGAGAGCAGGGTTTGGTCCTGACTCCCGATATCTCGAAAGTAGGCTGGTAATACTGGTGAAACGAGGAAATTTGCGACGGTCAGAAGGTGGAAGCTGGGTTACTTCATGGCGTAAAGCGAAGGAGCATCTTTCTAGAAAGGATGTAACGAAAGTGTTGCCTTTTGCCTGGAGGAGACGTCGAAGTCCAGAATCAAACTCGCTTGTCTGATCGCCAAAGACATAAGCCCAACTTGTCGAGCCCATCCCGGCTCTCATACAGGACTATTGTGGATTTGCGTAACTTTGCTGATAATGGATGTGGATCTCCTTGTCACTGGTAGCCCAAATGGTTGACTGATCATTCAATAAACAGTACTGCCGAGGGTCTAAGACGGAGACCATAGATTTTGCAAGATTTTCCTCTTGATAGCACTTAGTGCAAAAAACCCTCATGCCCTAGTTATTATGTACGGATATATCTGTGTAGAAATCAAGGAGAGATATTAATGACGTTAGTCCGACAAAATTGCAAGCGGTAACGTCAAGTTAAGGATCCATCAAGTACATGGACAAGATTCTAGAATTGCGTTTTATCCTATTTGAGCCATGTAATATGGCACGTATTGCCGAATGGGGAAAGTCTGTGACATGAAGGGCCATCGGAAGGCCCTCAGGTCCGATTTGCGGCGGTGTGGATAACATCAAGCTGCGAGATACCACCGTTACGATGAGCGATCCATAGGAGCAAGGAAACAGGCTGTTGATCTGTCGACCTGATTCGATGGTCCAGATCGATATGAACACCTACGGACTCATGGATCGCGTTCTTAACCCCAGCCATAGCCGTGATGGACCACATGGTAGCTCTCGACTTGTATACACATGATCTCGGATATCAGGTAGATCAGTATGCTTGAAAATGCAAACAGGTTGATAGGTCGAGGAAAACGGCAGGGGTTGATCTATAGAGAAGGAAAAATTATTGGTTATTATGTGAACCCGCATGCGGCGACGGGGAAATCTGTATTGGAAGTTGTTGGGGCCCTGGCGTAAAATACGGGTAACGTATTACATAAATATTGGCATTATTAACTAGTACTCAATCCGTTATTACGCAAAAATACCATAATAACGCTGATGTCACGTGGAATTCAGTAGCCCTACTTTTACATATTTCCTCCCATACCATTCCTCGCTGAAGAGAACTGATGCGCTCTGTTCACTCAATCAGAGCCTTATTCTCTATGCCTTGTATCTTCAGTGAGCATCTGGTCGTCCTATCCATTGGAGCCGGTTTAGGCCGGTTCATGCAAGCTACGACACTTGATAGATGAGTTATCTCCTTTCGTGCATTATATGGCATGCGATTATTACTTCAAGATCGAGGGCTAGATATGAGCCTCTTACATGACGTAAACGACCATTTCAGAACTGCTCTTAGTAGCTAGGGCCTTTCCTTTCATGCGAAATACTTAAAATCTCGAGGGTCCTAGTCCATGCATACAGACCAGTATTAAAAGTGAGACTTAAAATGAAACCGCCACTAGCACTACCTCATTCACTTTCTTTTTCATGTTACGCACAATCCAAAGGAAGCTTTTGCGAGCCTTGGAGAAAACACGTCAATCGTAATCTTTCAGAACCAAGTTCATTACATGCTCTAGGAGTAATTGAAGAAGGGATGCTTTGCTCCTCGCACAGCAAAGCATGCATGGGATGACTTGGAACACGAGATGAGTTTCAATTTCCAGCTTTTCCTAGTTAGTTACCAACAGTCGGCTACATGCTGAGTGCCCAGTGACTTCAATCCGTCTTGATGGTGAGATATAAATAGCTACCTAAATACTATTGGCTGAATCGTGACCTGTGGAATGTGCCCGATTGCCGCATTTGGAAATGAACTCTGCAACCGGATGCAGTGCACCCCGGAGACATCGGGGATATTATTTCAATATATTCATCGGGAAGCCTAAAGTACAGGATATCACAATTGGTTTTATCGAGAATGATACGTTGCATTTCCAGAAATAGGTTATCAAAAGGGGGAAATGCCAAGTGATATCTTTAGAATATCAGTAAGCTAGGTGTTTCCTTCCGTTCGATCGTCAAGACAGTGCCCCGACTCATCAGACCACTCGATTCAAGCACGAAATGCAAGCTTCTAATGGAATGATGTCTGTATTGTAAGACATTATGTCACCAGATGCTGGGGAGATTGCACACCCTCATTCAGGGCGATGGCTTCAACGTTGGTTCTTCCCTATTTTTTGAGTTGGAACCAGAACATATATTAAAACAAACAGGCTGATAGGCCATAGACTTAGGAATGGTTCGGTTGAGGCCATTCCTAAACGCGTCATGCTTATCCCCATTACCTGCGAAAGTGTTCATGCTATCGCTGCTCAATCTACTTGTAATAAAGTGGCGAAAATCGAGACTCCTCATCAATGATCAGTTTACGAAATTGCTAATCTTCATTTTCCCGCCTCACAATCCTTACTTCGAGTCCTCTGCACGTATCTCGACAATGTCTCGGTTGATTAATGCACTTGGCCGGAACGGGATGTGTGTACACAGGTAGTATTCGGTAGAAACATTTCGAAAAGAAATGACTTAACACGTCGGCATGGTTGGAGACAGTTGGAGGGTCTCGATGCGATGTTGATGATAGAACAGTGAAAAAGTAAACTGTACTGAGTAGATGCAAAAAGAGCGGAAGATCTCTCGGGCCGAGATCGAAGATAAGCTTATCGATAAGGCAACAAGGCTGCCAGCCGCTAAACCCAAACAGGTGCAGCGTAAACACAGGGCACAAACAATGAACCAGGCCAAGCCCAACAGGGCAACCAACACTGCTCTCTCGAATCTCTCACTACATCTCTCTCCGAATTTATCTGACTCGAGTCGAGACTGAAGAGCCCGACCGTCTTAGCATTATTCGAGTCTACCGGCTTCATCGCATCATTCGCTACACAGCATCAGACAATGGCTCGCTGAGCTGGCTCATTGATCACTCATTACTATCCTTGTTATTGGTACCGCCGCCCTTCCTCATCTTCATTCTCCGTCCAGCTATTACCTTCCACACACACACACACACACACACAATAACGACGTTTACAGCCAGTCAATTGCTCTGTATCACAGTTAATATCAATCGCGCACGCTCGATACATTGGGGAGACGACACCGCGATACTTTATCTGCCTCTCTGTTTGAGTCGTGTAGGCAAGCGACTGTGACAGTATCGCTATGACACCAGCACTGCCGACAAAGTTTCCATGCTGGTGTCGAGCGATTTATTCATGGGGAGGGGAGTCGAAAAGAGATCTTGGATTTGTTGAGGGAGATCTGATAGAATGCCTCAATGCCGGTGACGGTTCATGGTGGATGGGGCGTTTGCGCCGTGATAAACGGATGATGGGGCTGTTCCCTTCGAACTTTGTTGTGGTCCTTGGGGAAGATTTCGTGCCTGTGACTCGATCCACTACAGACGCCTTGACTCGAAATGATAGTGCGGATTCTCGCAGTCTTAAAAAGCAACGAACGGTCTTCCGGAAGCCATTTCAAGCACACAGACACGCGGTAACTCCAGGGGAGGCCAATCGACGAGCTCGAGAAAAACTATCAGAGACACCTTCCACAGCGACCTCTCGGGAAAATACACCACCGCGATCAATTTTACCGCAAAAACCTCCACGAACACCAACCACTGCAATCAGAGCTCGCAACACACTGAACAGACCGCCGTCGCAGACAGTATCCCCAAGTCCCGCTGAGAATGCTCGTGCGCCGTCACCAGTGCCTCAAACGCGCGACGACTTCGTCTCAACCGCACCTTCCTATCCAGTACCCTCGAAAATGACGCTTGAAGACGTCCCTTATGTTCCTCCGCAACCTCCAGTGCGCGAGGCATCCCCGTCTCCTCCACCTCCGCCTCCACCTCCTCATCGAGTGGCAGTAAGGAGCCAGCAGCATCGTATGAGCATAGCGCCTACGCCAATCGAGATGAATAACCGTTATACTGTATTCGCCAAAACGCCACCTCCACGTGAAACATCTCCTCTACCTCCCAGTCTCTCACCTGGCCATTCACCTGGGCACTCGCCAGGTGGCCACTCGTCAGTTGGTCATGGCAACACTCCCTCACCGCTAAGAGATGCCATGGAAGATGTGATGACTTCTTTGCAAGACATGGGTCTACCTCGTGGCGCCCCATCTCCTTCTCCTACCCCCCAATTTTCTAATCCATGGTCACCCGATGCATATAACGAGATTCGAGCGACGAGTCCACGGCCTGCCCGACCTCGGGCGAACACATCCTTGGGTTTCGGCTTGGACAGCGAAGAGGATATTGATCATGGAGTAAATAGATTTGATGAGCAACAAGCTTACGGTCAGAGATACTATGACGGACCCCCTCAGTTCAACAACTATGTACAAAGAATGGAAAGTCGACTCAGACAACTTCACGACCAGTCAGATCAGTCGACCCAGGATAGTGAAGATGATGTTGGACCACCACCGCCGCCGAAACAACATGGATACCATGCTAGGCATGACTCAATTGGTGTACCGCGGCCTCAGTTGCGGGCGCGAAAATCTGCAGTGGAATTGGGTAAACAGTTCTTAAACCGTACAATGACTAATAAATCCAACACAACGAATTCTTCAAGTGGTGTTCAGAGCACTTTCACGACTGATACAACTAGTACGAACACCACCGCCAGTTTGATGAGTGGAACTTCAGCCGGTCAGTTCAGTGCAACGAGTGCGGGAAGTTTTGCAAGACATGGGCAGGCAAAATGGGGCAGTTTTTCGGCTGAGCGGCCGACAACGGGAATGGATAGTTTAAACAGAGGCATTTTTAGTGACCTTGAAAGACCGCTGACACCAATCAGTGGCATTTCTTACCATTCCAGCCACAATACTTCCAGGCAAGGCGCTCAATCTGCTGTACCATGGTCACCCAGCAAAGATCTGAATGATTCACCTGGAGTCTTCGGTGGCCTGTCCACACCCAAAGTCAAGAAGAATGGATTTCTTAAGCGGTTCCTTGAATCTGCCAAAACTGGGGCGGCAACTGCTCGAAGCAGCATTCAGTCACCACATAGTGGTGGGTCCCCGTCACCCACCAAGCATCGATTCACTCAGTCATTCGGCTCGTCACGACGCTCAGAACAGAATGCTTCGCAGCCAGACCTAGGAACCAGCAGTTCCATTGACTGGGTGCAAGTTCGACGTGATGTGAACCGAGCAAGCACGCCAAGTCGAAATGAGCGTATTGAGCGCGCGGAACGCTGTCAAATGATGGACCATCCAGTTATTTACGCCGTTGAGGAGCTTTACGAAACGGCAGAAGGAGATGAAAGTATCGATGGTCTCCCACTTAGCGAGCCCACGAATTGGGGAGCCATTAACCTTAACCTAGTGGACAAGAGCACACGATTTATTAGCAGTCTGCCACCCTTGACGAACCCAGCCAGTTTAGCTCAAGGTTACATCTGTCGACCATATAAGAGCGATGTCCAGCGTTTAAGAGCCATCTTCATCTGGGTCAGCGAAAAGATCGCGTGGGAGGAACCATTGGACGAAAATGAGGTGGACTTGAAACGCGTGATTAATATGAAGCGCGGATGTCCTCAGGACGTTGCATTTCTTGTCCAGGAAATGTGCTCTGCTGTTGGACTGCATGCAGATATCATCAAGGGCTACTTGAAGAGTCCCGGAGAGCTTCTAGACCTGACTGCCCTCTCCCGACCGAACCACTGGTGGAACGCCATACTGATTGATGGTGAATGGCGATTCATGGACTGTTCGCTGGCGAGTCCCACAAATCCCAAACGTAGTCAATTCGTGACAACGAACTCTCAACATGCCGAGAGCTGGTATTTCCTTGCTCGACCTCTCGAAATTTGCTACACACATATTCCTCTTCATCCTGAAGAACAGCATATTTGCCCGCCCATCTCTCCAGACGTTCTTTTAGCTCTGCCTCCAGTCAGTCCAGCGTTCTTCAAGAACTCGATGCAGATACCTAATTATGATACGAGTCACATTCGCATTGAAGGTTTGGACATCATGCAACTACGCATTCTCGTTCCACCAGATGTTGAATGCGCTGCTGAGGTCGAAGCCCCGGCGTTCGCCCGTGATGTTGATGGTGACTGGTTTGAGAGTGGAGATGTTGTACGCAAACGTGCGCTCGCTCAGCCCGATTGGATTCGCGGTCAGAAACGCTTCACGATCAAGGCACTTCTCCCTGGTGATGAAGGACAAGGCGTACTCAAGATCTATGCAGGCAAGAAGGGGTTGATGCATTCAAGCAGAGACATTCCTCATCCACTTGCTGTCACGTTGCCAATTCTGCACACCGGAGAGAACCCCCCGTACGAGTTCTTGCTGCGACACCCAACTCCTCATGCACAGCGTCATGATCTGTACGTGATTCAGCCGCAGTGTGGCAAGCTGGCAATCAACAACACTTTTGTATTTGCCGTTCGGCAACACCCAGCCGCGCCGTTTTCAAAATCCAGCAGTGGGGATATCCCGGGTGATGGGCGGGTGTCACCCTCAATTATGCGTCCATCCAGTGCCCTGAGCATGGTGTCCAGCAGTTACGGTGGATCCGTAGCTTCTAGTACATCATTAGACGGCTTTACGGCGAATACATCAGTTGTGTCATCAAGCAAGTCCACATCGAATCGAGATAAGCCCGCTAAATTAGCCATACAATCGCCATCCGGGAAGATTCTGCGTCTCATGCGCAAAGCGGACCATATGATTAGCACGACCAACGAGAATTCCGATTCATTGACCGAAGGCACTCCGGACGGTAGCGTATGGGAGACTGTTATAAAGATTGGCGAACGCGGCGTTTGGCGCGGACTTGTTTTGGCAGATCGCAGTGCGCGATGGTGCGTGTTTTGCGAATGGGAGTCTTACTAATTTGCATTTCTTTTGCCCGGTTTGGTTCGACATACAACTAGAGGGCTTCGGCGGTTTATCTTTGCTTCTTTCATTTTTATTTTTTTTCAAAGACCTTTTCCTTGTCCCGTGTTCATTTACCGGCGCAGGAACGGCGTTAATAGAGCGAATGAGTCTGTCTCATTCCATTGTCCATTGCATTGCAATTAGCGGCTTTGCTTGAAAATCTTGTTTCATACTTCTGTTTTTATCATTGTTCTCCATTGCATTATTTTTCCCCCTTGTTTGAAGAAATCTTTGGGATTAAGATGCATGGATCTTCAAGTTTTCTATTTTCCTCCACTGACGATCAGGAGTGTGTCGATATTGGTTCTCTCTATGTGTGTCTGTACTTGATCAGTCAAATTTTGTCAGAATTGGATACCATTTGCATCTTCATATCATACGTATACACAGTGCATCACCCCGTAAAGGCTCTCCTAAGCAGTGGCGCAACTTGCTTCCTACTTTGAGAAACATTCCCTTGTTTCCATATGTATAGACGACCAGAATATTCGTGACTACCTTCGATGGGGAACTCATTCCACTTTTGTAGTCCCAGTTGCTTCTTCGCTGTATTGGCGAATTTTTCGAGAGCGTCGCTGTTGTCATCTTCAAGGCCCCAAACGAGTAGTTCTCGTGCAAACCGTTCTTCTTTGCCATCGTCTTCTGTATTGAATGCCGTCATTACAGAAATGACATCCAGATGCCGTTCCAGCGCAAACTTCTTCAACTTACCCAAGAACGACTTCAAGTTGTCATCCGCGGTGGTTGATTTATCATCTTCATCCTCCCCTTTGTCAATAATCCAGTTCAGCGGACGAACCACACTCGCAATCCCGATAACTTTCTTGTCACCGGATGGCGTGGTCTCAGTCCAATCCTTGTAGTCTCGACCAAGCATCTCGTCGACAGTCAACCAATCCAAACTATGCGCCTTCGCATATTGAATTTTCTGGAAGAAGGAATCTCTATCCCATTCTTTCCCGCCCCCACCAGTAGGAGATGAAGATGAGATTCTTTCCGTGAGGAAGGAAGCAGCCTCGCGATCAACATCGGTCACTTTCCCTTCGGCTGTGAGGTTGGTGGTGTCAATCAGGATAGAGGCAAGCGCAAGTTTGGCTAGTTGGACTTCCCAATCACCCTCCTCACTTCCTTCACTAACGTGTTGCCGCTGCCGTTCTTCATGCACTTCGGAAGACGAAACAGGCCACAACACACGCTCTCGAATCTCACGAATAACCAAACTAGTACACGAACCAGGTCCGGAAATAATAACCCGCGGACTCCCCTCCGGCAACCGTCCCAACGGCGGCACAAACCCTTCGTCGGGACGATGATCGATACATCCAGTGACGGTGAAAGAGACGAGATCCGAAAGACCATCTATTGAGCCTTTGCCTTGCTCTTCTTGCGGAGATGTCTTGTGCGGAAGATTGTTCCAGTCTACCATCACACAGTCGAGCTCCAGTTTGTTTCCCATCTTTTTGGGCTCTGCATCTGTATTCACAACATCTGGAGAAGATAAAAGTCCCTCCCGTAGATCAGCGACGGTGAGAATATGCTCTTTGAGCAATTGTACAATCCCATCCTCTCCATCCTTATCCCTCTTACCCTCTGTTGAAGCAGTAGATGAAGAAGACGATGAGACAGCAAGCTCCAGCGCACACGCGAACTCAGGCCTCAATCTCCTCAATCCCGATCCACCCCGTACATCCGTTAAATTCACCAAAGGCACATACCTTCTTTTTTCGGCCCGTGAGAAGAAATACGAGTATAATATTGCAGATATTATAGAATCAAGATCTGCAGACTGGTTACCCAGTACATATATCGGGCTGTATGTTGTAATCCCATTTCTTATCGTGGGTAGAAAGTGGTGGCGGGCATGTTTGAGGAATGGGAGTAGGCCAGATGAGGTGATATGTGATGGGCCGAGATTCATACTTGTATCTTGAGGCATTTCTTAACCAGCTCTTGTGTCTTGGTCCAGAGTTATGAGGGGTTTTCCAGGTTAGTTGGAAATCAGAAGATATGGACAGTCATATCCAAGGGAAAATTGATGTCACCCAGGACATTAAAACCTTAGAAATAAATAGTGGGATTTTGAGTTACGGCCCGAAAAATCAGGCACCAACTTAAGAGTCTACGAAACAATTCATGTTTGGATCCAGACTTATCGAATGATAATAATACATTGATATCTCTGGTAGATCTGCTATAATCATACACACATCATCTGTCCATCTTTTGATGACAAGTGTCATGTGAAGAAAGGAAGATGTATCAAGCAAGAAAAAGTTCTAACAAGAAACAGTACAAGCAAACAAGACATTGTCATAAAGAGAAGGACAGAAAAAGACAATCAGCAAAGAGCTTTTGCTGGAAGAAATTTTGAACGCCACAGGTATAGATTTCTAATTTCTCCGCCCGACACCAACCGAGAAAAAAAAAAAAAAACATACTCTCGTAGATACCATTTCGTAAATAGCAAACGCGTCTTGAAGCAATTCGAAACGTCTCAATGCCGCTTTTGGTGACTTCTTGTGGATATTATACACTCTTAGAAGCCATCGCCGTCTCTATCGCGGGTCTCGACGTCATCCCCGGATCCGGATATATTGCCATCGCCTTCAGCGTTCGAGTCGTGTCTTTCACTGCCGTTGCTAACATCAAGAGCCTCCAGGGCTTCGTTGGCGTGAGTGTTTTCCATCGGCTCGACAGTCTCCGGGTCGTCGTTTGTTAGATCAGCAAAGACGTCGGTCATCTCTTGGCGAGGTGGGCTGCTACCGAAAGGATTTCCAGTATCAATGCCTACCCCCGGGCCGCCTTCCTGTGGATCACGAAAAACAGAGGGCCCGCCAAAGAGTGGTTGGTCCAACCCTTGCGGTGATGAGCGCGATGGGAATGTCGTAGAATGACCAGTAGCATGAGGAAGTAAGGCAGGAGCAGGCTCTGGTGTCGACGATAGTCTGAATGATGGACTGGAATCCTGCCCAAGATTGGCGTAGCTGCCAGAAAAAAACGGTGTAGACGAGTTCTCTAGGCCAGCTCCGTTCTCTCCAGGGGTATCCGATTTGTAGTCCGTCGTACCGCTACCTCCAGGTTGCGATGTACGACCCGGCTGAGAAGCATCCATAGACTTGCGCTTTCCGGCTTGGATAGTCTTGGGTCTGAGGTGCGCAGGGAGGTCTTCAACGCGGTCTACCCCTAGCTGTGCCATAATCTTTTGACTCTTCGTGGGACGTGGTTTCCGTGTTGAAAGGGACTGCTCCAGAATTGGGGGAGGTTCAGGGGCCACCGGTGCCCATTTGTGAATTTCTTGACGGAAGAAGTTCGTCTCGTAAGCGAGTAAAACTTCTGCCCCTTCAATTTTGCGAAGATAAAAGATCAGAGTTGGGACCTCCTCATTCGTGGTGCATGCAGCGTTGGTGAAGCTCTGAAGAAACTCCCGGAATTGCGTGGCTTGTTTCACGATGCTATTTAAAACCTCCTCTTCGTCCGGTTGGAAGGGCAAATTGGCAATCTCCGCCTGCCACTCTTGCAAATCTTCCAGCTTGGGACGCGCGGCATCACGAGGGATTTTTCGTCGCCAATCACAAATTGGGCATGTGTATTTGTCGAACTCCTTGACCTTGCCTCGTGCAATCTTCAGGCACTTGCCGTGATACCTAAATACTTTGTCAGCTTCAGTTCTTGCTCATAATTGCCAAAGTAGCCGGGGACCAACCATTCATGACACAGCTCGCATTCAATCATCATTCCTGATTCCGGTAATCTGCATATGCAAAAAACATCTCGCTTTCGTGACTTCGCCTCAAACCAGCTTGCAGATGGATTCTCCAAAAGACCATCAGGAGTGTTGTCACGTGAGGAAGGTTCGACAGGTGGGCGACAGCGATCATCTAGATCAAAACAGGCTGCATTCTTTTTCTCAACCACCTCCATATAGGACTTCAGAATGTGTAAAGGCGCATTGGCTTTTCCAAATAGCTTTTTGCCCTTTCGCATCCAATCTTCGTGATGTTTTTGTTCGCGTTCGAGATCTATCACTCCGATTGGTCGACTATTGAGCTGCTCGAGCGACTCCATCAGTTCTCGCACTTCTTTGTAGGTAGGGCGTTTGCGAAGGTCCGGGTCTTTGGAACGTTCGTAAAGAGATCGGATATGGTTCTGAGCGTCACGCTGCTTGGTCAAAATGGCTTCGACTTGGGCTAGAGTCTCAGGAGAGACAGGAAACCTTGACGCCTGAGCAGACAAAGCTTCCAACTGCACATAGTGAACAGCTTCCACAGAAATCAACTCCTTGGCTTTGGCTTCCCATGCGTCACCAGAACGACGAAGTTCCTTGAAATGTACCAGGTCTGGATCATTCTCGGAAAGGCCTAACTCCTCTCCTTGCTGAATGAATTGATGGACATCGTCGAGTGTGAGGTGCTGCTCGCGTTTTACGTGAGACTGCTCTCTCCACTTTATTTGCTGAAGCAGAGTTTCGAGTTTTTCCACCTCGGGCAAGTCGACATTGAAATTCCGACTGGATTCGACCAACTCTTCGATCTCGGAGGCTGATCGTATGTTGGAGTTAAGGGCGAGATGGACCTCCAGGCGGAATTTCTCGATTTCGTGGGTCTTCTCTTCCAGGGCCGCCATCTGTGGACAGTCGAAGGACAGTTTATCAGCTTCTGAAAGTAGAGCGTGGATGTTTTCCACTCTGCGAAGCTCACGATCGCGTTCTTCAAGCTGTGCGGCTTTCGAAGTGCCTTTACGCCAGGCTTTCTCATTCTTCCTGCGGTTCTGTTGCTTTCGCGTGATGTAGTTGTTGGCTTCTTCAACCCACTTGTCGCACCGCTGAACAAAAGCCGCCAGGTCTTGAAGGCCGGGCAAGTGATAAGGGATCTTCTCACCTTCGCTTAAGAGGCTATGGAGGACCTTCAACTGAGGTTTCGCTTCGTCCTCCAGTATTTTGTCCAATTTCTCAGTCCATGCTTCGGGTATCCTAGCCCGGTCTCGTATCTTTTGGACCAGGTTTCGTAATGATTCATCCGTCATTCGATATCGCAGGGTGTGGTGTGAACCGAGCATTCTCTGTTCAAGAGGCTCGTCACAACATTCGTACATGTCGGCGTGGATCAAACAGATAGTCTTGCCGGTATTGTCACAACGGAATTGGGTAAGATATGCATAAGCTTTGCAGTAATGACACTGGTACTCTTCTTCCGGGAGATCCTCCTCGTCCACGACATACTTCAATTTACAGTCCGCATCATTGGACCAGTCACTTCCGTTAAACTTACATTGATGCCGAGCGATTTCCCGATGGCGGGCAAGGAAAGAGGCACGATCAGACTCTTCGCGACCAACTGCACGTTCTAGTGCCGGTGCAAGCCACTTGGCAGTCTTGATGGATGTATCTCTAGCTGCAGCTGTCATTAGCAGTTCATCATGTGAAAAACACGGCTGTCTTCTGAATGCTTGCAACCGTTCAACACCGAGGGCACCAAACGGTTCCCAATCAGTCGGAGCGAAGTTAACGGCCTCGTTGAAGTTGAAACCATGATTGAAACCGGCATGGTACGCCTGGGGAAAGGTAATAACAAACTGGCCAGCTCTCTGATCAAGCGCATAGACATTTACACCAGCCTTCTTCAGTTGATCAGGTGGAAGAAGAGTCACCAACTGGAACAGAAGGTCGGGTTGTGTTTCGAAGAGCTCCGGAACGGCTTGCCGCATCGCTGCTTCAAAGGCCTCAGCATCCTTCCCAGGAATACCGTACCAAGTCTTGGTAGCACCGAAATGTTGGTAATTCGCAGAATAAGCGTAGTGGTCTTCATTATGCCAGCAGAAAGTGGAAAAGCACATCCCAACGTAGACCCATGGCACAGTCATACCTGAAATGTCAGACTTGATATGCCTGAATAGAGAATCGCCGTAGAAGGGTAGCACATTCAAGTTCCAGGGATCTTGAGAATATGGATCTAGTGGGTTCCTCTCAACTGTCGGGAAACCACTGCCGTGGGTTGTCGAGTGAATATCGGCCCCGTACTCAACCTCCACGGTTTCCGTCAGGCTCTCGACCAGCCTCCAAAACTCGCGCTCCACGTCGTCCTCGGTTTCACGGCGTTGCGTGTTCAAAACGGGGTCAAAAGGCATGCGAGGAGCGAAGTAATTCTTTTTGAACGCATTGGCCTTTTCTTGAAATTGCTTCAAGGAGTAAACTCCGCCTTCCTCGAAACCGAATTCGCCAGTACCGACAAGACATTTCGGGCAGTGCCAATCATAATCAGGATCGGCATTTAGAGGATTCTCGAGACAAGATTTGTGGTAGCCGTTTTCGCAGCTGTCACACACGAAGATGGTCTCGGGGTTGTCTGTCTTCCCACAAGCCTCGCATTTCTGGAATTAAAGGTCAGTTTAGTTGATGATTTTCAATCAAAACCAAAGGGGTACATACCTCGCCCGTTTTACGTGTGCCACTCTTCATTTTTCCTTTAGGTGGGGTGGGACGAAGAAGACTCATGTGAGAGCCAGCAACTGTGGGTACACCATCTGTGCATAGATCTGTTAGTGGAATAAGATCAATAAGATGGTAACATGTCATTATTTACACGAACCTTTTCGGAGTCGCTTGCTTCTTCGGCCTGAAGCGTCAAGTTCATCACTTTGCGAATCAGCGGCAAGGCTGTCATGGCTGATGGTACGTTTGAGTGGATGAGACGTATGCCCATTGGTGACCGGGGTATGCTTTGCTTCGGCCTTATCCTTACCCGGATATGGCGCGATACTTTTGGGAGTGGACGTGCCATTTTCATTCTCTCGTTTGATCGGGGGAGTATGATTCACCGCAGCAAATGATGGTGAACGGTTGATAGGCGTAAACCCTCCTGGACGATTCACAGCGGTAAAACCCGGCGTCGGGCGAACAGGAATTTCCGTTGCAGAGGCTTGCTGTTCCGACACATGATCGGTCTCAATTGATGCGTTGAGGATGTTGGAAGCTCGTACGGCAGGAGAATCCTGGCGCGCATTTGATGGAGTAGCGGACATAGGTCGCTTTGCTACCGGCGAACGATTAGGTGACGGCGTATAGGGCCCTCCTTGTTCGACCTCAAGCTGTTGCTGCACGCCCGGTTTGGCAACACGGAGATACTCTTCGTAAGGTTGAAGCCACCGTTGGTATGAATTCTTCAGCGACGTCGAGAGCGACGACATGATCTTGCCGCTGTAGCCTAAATCGCGCCCAATTTCGGCCCATTTTTTCAGCTTGCAGACCTGATCGAAGCCACCACGAACTTCGACTGCTTTCTTCAGCTTGTATAGATCGAGAGGTCTCTTGTCGACGCTGGGGAACCGGTTGAGGTTGGTGCCGTGTTGCTTATGGAATTTCGCTAGCTGATCGAGGTAATTCAGATTCGCCCGGGTACCTGGGGTTGAGTCAGAACGTGGAACCTGGAATATCTCGTCAAGGGCTGAAACATACCTCCCTCGACTGAATTTAACTCCTGACGACGGGTTTTAAAATGAAACCTCTGTAGTGTAATTTGTCAGTATGCTTTTTTTTTGCAGATAAAAAAGAGTAGAAAAAACGCACCTCTGTATCTACCGCAAATGGAGGGTTCCAGCTCTCGGGTGGTATGATTCTGCAAATTCCGTATTTGGCTCCTTCTGGTGCAATTTTTCGAATGTATTCGTTCGGGTCTTTGAATTCTTCCTCGGTGGGACGGAAGGTAGGGGCCTCCAATAGGCCATGAGCACGGACACGATTTGTTGGTTCTCGAGCAGCACTTGGTTGGCCACGTCGCTCAACGGTGGAAAGATCCAAGGGTGCAGACCGTCGAGCACTCAGTGGCACATTGTGACCGTAGGAAGGGTAGGAGGCATTCGTCCGCTGCCGGGGGTTGTTCGCTTGCGCATTTGCGGGAGTGGTCGCGGGGGCCACCATCTCTTACTCGAGTCGCTTCGAATGGCGCCGGATATCGATGGGAAGACGGTGGAGTACGTTGTCGCTTTCCAGTTCTATCGAGACTGAAGAGGAGGAGAGGACGGCATTGGACAAGGCGGTGCCGTACAATTCCAGGATCAACGACAAGGTGTAAGACGTTGACTGATAATGACGTAGAGTAGAGAAAGACGTAATACAAGTGGTCGGATAGTCTTCGAGAGTGATTAGCAAGGCGAGTGTGAGGTCTCCCAGCCTGGAGATCGAAGAGAATTGAGGGAGGGAGGGAAGAGAAAGAGAGCAGATTCGGGACGGGAACCGTGGAAAGCGAGCAATATGGTCTAAACTGGGTTAGAGTGGTACGGAGAGAGGGTTGAGCCAGCTAGGCTGACAGCTCACTGGGCGGATTGGTGACGGCCAGCTGGTAAACCGACAGGTCGAACAGGCAGTAGCCGACAGTTGTAGATGGGGAGAGAGAGGGAGAGAGAGAGAGAGCGAGGAGAGTATAAAGAGGAAGAAGACCGAGAGAGATGGGGCAGATTAGTGTTAGCGTCAGTCACTCTAGCTCCGAGTCGTTTGGGCTTTCCCTCATTGGGAATTTTCTACATTCGCGGATATGATAGGTCGTTCTTTCCCTGGCAGCCCCGGCCGGTACCGAACAATAATAGAGGTACATTTGATGATTCTACACAATAGTAAATACTAAGATGATTGCTATATTACTGAGAATGTCATCCCAGGAACAATAGTTGGTTGATTGATGGCGAGAGATCTCACTCCCACAGGGGCAATCCGATCTGATAGGACACATGCCGCAGTTGTACATATCCTGCAAACGGAAGGCCGGTACAAAATCACTCAATAGGCACCAAGTCTCGGGAATGCTTATGATAAGTATTGGAGTGTAATAGCATGTATCATGTGGAAGAAACACAAACAAGGCTCTTACATCCTTGCCCTATCGTTTTCTTTGTCGTCGGCTCCAAAACAAGATGGGGATGATGATATATAAATGTAGGGCCCAGGGGTAAAAAGAACGCCCGGAGCATGATAACATCCGAGCGGAAATTCAGCCGCAATCGAGTCCATGTGATCATCGCACTTTGATGTGGTTATTAATAACCTTGGAACATATCGAAGGTCATACAATCATCGACCATCACGAAAGCTGGTCGAGTGCAGTCAGATTTAACCCGGTCTATGCCCCACTTCGCTGCGAGACCAACGTCGAATGGCTGGTGTTCCTCCAATGAGAGCTGGAGTTATATCAAAGCGGGTCGAAACAGGCAGTTGCATCACGTGTTCTACATCGTATCTTTGGGTGCTTGCACTCCTGAGTCCTCAGGCAGCCACACCGAGTAGCCCCTGGACAAAGTGTACAAAGTAAGATCAGACCAGAACGATTGTTGATATGCCGATAGATTGGCAAAAAGCGCAGGTCGATCCCCGCTCAGCGAAGGCATCACGTGACGACGTGTCGTTCGGGTTTAGCGTAACACGTCGTCTAGCTGGTGATGCGGATCGCGATTTCCTCACACGGTAATTGATGCATGGCCGAAGTGACTTGAGCAATGACAACAACCGTCTCAGAAGAGGCAGTTCTAACCAAACCCATTCCGGCTTTCTATTGCTGCTATCTACTCCGCTCTGCGAAAAGACCTAGCGCCCTCTACATCGGCTCAACGCCAGATCCAGCGCGACGTCTAGAGCAGCATAATGGGTTTGCAAAAGGCGGCGCAAAGAGGACGGAGCGCAATACCTTGAGGCCGTGGGAGATGGTGGCCATTGTAGAGGGCTTCCCGAGCCGGACTGGCGCGTTGCAATTCGAGTACGTTCTTTGACGTTTCTGGCATTTACTTGGCCTACAAGCTGAATAACATATTTGATAGGTGGTCATGGCAGCATGTACACACAACCCGTCACATAGGTGCTGTAGAAACCGACCAACTGAATCGAAAGCGCAAGAACCCTCCCACGGACAAGGGCTCTGGCATATGGACCTCCACGCCAAAGGTACTGGGCAATTTACACCAGTTGTTACGTTCTACCTACTTCGGAACATGGCCCCTGACCGTGCGATTTCTGTCAAGTGAAGCGCATAATCACTGGCAACGTTGGATAGAACGTGCAGACGGGTTGCTTCCCGATACCATACGCGTCAAACTCGACTTCCGTGCTGAGGGTGCCAGTGTGCTGGACTCCAACCTGCCAGCGAACGACATGACCCATATTGATGCAACGTATGGTGGCATTCAAGAACACCTGGCAAAATCCACGTCTCTCTTGGGCGATAATACTAATTCATTATCATGTGAGGTATGTCAGCAGCAGTTATCTACACAGACTGAAATCATTGTGGTTTGTTCACACCGCCGTTGCCACGCCGTGTTCCATGTCAATTGTATATCCCAGCTTTTCCTGGAAGACGAAGGAAGCTCTGGATTGGTCCCGATCCTTGGAGAATGCCCAGCTTGCAGGCAAGAAGTTACATGGGTAGAATTGATGAAAGAACTGAGTATGCGGCTACACGGAGGGAAAAACGCTACAAAGTTACTGAAAGGGGAGCGCAAAGACAAGGCAAATACCCAAGGCACGAAATCATCCAAAGGAGGTAAAAAACCGGCGAAAACAGGTGACTATACGCTTGATGGTGACTATGAAGATCTCGACGAGGATTGGATGAATGCTGTGAACGTCGAGCCTAGCTCAGAGGACGGTGATCGTAACGCTGCAAATGTCAAAGGCTCGACAGGACGAGTCGAGATAGTGATTGACGACAGCGAGGAAGATGGCTTTGACTGACAATTCCCGATATAATGCGAAGCTCAAATCTAATCCTTCCGGCCGGTTGGGCTCTCTCCCGTCGGGATAAATGTCCACGGTCCCAGCTTTTTCAACGGGCCAATGGAGTCCACGTTCTTCATACATTCTAGAACTGGATCCAAGATATCCTGTGCAACTTCGTCGACGGACTGCCCAGCATCAATAACACAGATCTCATCATTATGCGGGAGATCCAACAGCGAGAGAAATAGCTCCCTCACACGTTTTTGCATGGAGTCGGTCTCGTATCGCTCAACACCATAGCCCCCTCTTTTTGCCGCTTCTTCGGGAGATATACTCAGAAAAAGACAGAGGTCAGGGCGCGGTAAGCCTACCTCTGGTTGCCATGCCCAGTGAAGTGACAGATTGGGGTTTCCTTTGGCAGCAGAGTAAACCGCGCCAGAATATGAATATCGGTCCACGATGACCGTCGTCCCATTAGCGATATACTCGTGGATACTCTGGGCTAACTCCCACCTATTGGCTGAGAAGAGCAAATGTATAGAATGGTCGTCCAGTTGTGACTGGCCGCGTAGATAGCTATCAATCTGTTTGCCAATGGGAGTACTGCGGTCTTTCTGCGCAATCAGCAACATGCCAACAAATTCAATGAAGAGATACATCTCATACCTGGAAATCGAATGTATTTGGCCTTGTAATTCATGCCCAAGAGGCTCTTGTACAGCAATTCGCACTGGCTGGACTTTCCCGCGCGGTCCAATCCTTCCACCACAACCAAAGCCCCGCGCTTCTCCTTATCGCTTGCTGATAACTCCGCCATGTTGACTACCAGAAAATTCAGCAATTGCAAACAAATAGGGTGCAACAGTTGATTGTTGTCTTTTCTTTACCTTTTTTTCTTTTTTGCTGGTCGCGTGTGCATCAATTGTGCGCAGATACTGGGAAATTTGAAGTACGCAAGGCGGTCAATCCATCAATCATTTTCTGTCCGACGGTTTGGAAAAGATTAAAAAAAATTATCCACCAAGAAATTGATCCATCTTCTAGGCAAGACTCTTATTCGGTTCAGTATAGGATTATCACATCCTTACTATAACCCCCTGAACCTTGGGACAAAATAAAAGGAATCCGGTTTGATTCCGGCTACTTTCAAAAGAAAAAGGAAAAAAATGGGGAATGAATTCGATGAGCAAAATACTGAAAAGATGAGAAACCCTTTTGTGACCGTGCATAGTTCTGCGGCATCAGCTGCCTCGTCAGGTCTCGCAGCTCGCGTGGGCAAACTCATCTTGCCCAACAGAAAACCCATTCGGACTCCGCACTATATTACTATAACCTCGAGAGGCACTGTTCCACATATATCGCCGGATATAGTCAGAAATAGTACCGCAATTGGCAGTCTTTACGTCGGGTTGGAGGATTGTATGTGAAACCGGGAACTGTTGCACAGTTGCCATTTTACTGATCTCTTCCATGTGCTAGTGCAGTCTTGGATAAAGCTCCTCGAACAATACCGATACTGAATATACCTCAATCCCACCCTCGGGAGTCCCGATTACGAAAATTTATCGCCGCGCAAGACGATGATGTCCTCATCCTCGCGTCGCGCAGGGCCCAACCGGTCGTCACTCCGCAAGCGAACACGCCAAACTCAATTACAATACTGACCTCGGCGGGCTCTTACATTCTAGAACATGCAAAATGGCTAGAGACAATTCAGGAATTGCGACCGGATATCGTCATTGGGTTTGCGGATTTGACCCCTGGACACGTACCGGGTGTCAAGAGGCGAGCGAAGATGGTTGATCGGACACACGCGTATACTCGCGATGCGACACATTATTTATATGGCGAATCAGACAGCTCCAGTTGCAATAATATGGACGATACTTCGCTATATTTCGCGCCGATTCTCCCGCTAGAGAATACGCAGCAAAGTCTATACCTTGATGATTTGGAGGATGAGTTACGGCCTAAAATCTCCGGTCTGGCTCTCTACGAATCTGCGTCTTTATCCATCATTCCAGATACACTCAGCGACCTTGCGAGATTCTGTATCGGTGAGCCATGGGTGCCACAAGAAATACTTCGCGATATCGCTTTGGGGGCTGATTTATTCACCATTCCATTCATTGGGGATTTGTCCAATGCTGGTATTGCCCTCGAGTTTGTGTTTACGCCATCATCATTGACGAATACTGCCACAAATGTTACCTCAAAACCACTAGCATTCGATCTCTGGGATAAGTCATACAGCACAGATCTCACCTCGATTTCCGAGGGATGTGAATGCTATGCATGCCGAAAACATCACCGCGCATATATCCACCATCTACTCTCAGCAAAGGAAATGCTTGCCTGGTCATTACTACAGATCCATAATCATCACGTAATGGATCGGTTTTTTGAAGCTGTTCGTGAATCCATCACAAACAATACGCTCGAGGCAGATATCGCCTCTTTTGAGAGAGAGTATGAATCTGCTTTTCCGAAACAGACTGGTCAGGGACCTAGGTATGTCTTGCCATCTTGTCGCTTTATGATATATGTTGAATGTTCTGACTTTGATTGTATAGGGTACGAGGATATAGTAGCTACGTCTCCAAAACCGGCGAACCACGCAGAAACGAACCTGCTTATGGAAGGTTGAACGATGCCCTTGAGAAATATGCCGAGTCACAGCAGTCCTCTGTAGCGACTCCGGATACTAATGCGGAAGGCTTGGAGAGGCAGGGATTTGCGGAGAAGAGTGGCTGATTGATCCTTCTTCAACCTTGGATAATAATTAGATGAAAAATAAGACAATTGACGCAGCTTGCGTACAGAATACACTTCGAATAAGACTATCTAATATCATACTTTATTTACATATCCCCCGCAAGCACATTCCACAACGTATTCATCTCCTTCTTCTCTTCCTCCGACCCTGGTACCGTACCAGCTCCATATCTATGCCCAATCACACAGAGCAACCACACATCATTCTTGGTCTCATTCAGTAACCGCTCCGTAGCCGATCCACGAGGGTAAATACGTCGCCACTCATCCCAGATACGGAATGCTTCTTCACCCCAAGCACGGAAACTGACTTCTTCGATTATGGTGGGTGTTGTGATTTCGCGACCGCGGAAGGCGCCCCATGTCACTGCCATACCTGTGCTTTCGCGTATTTCGAGTGGTTCTTCGTCGGCCGCGGCGACGGCTGAAGAGGTGTCTTCCGGTTTAGGGGACGAGGAGGTTGATATCAAAAATGATGATTCTAGGTGACCGGCGGCGTTGATGGCGAACCAGGAAAACTCTTCACTGCCGTGTTTTAGGAGAGTGGGCTTGACTTTGTTTTGGTAGTCGGAACTGGGGCAGAAGAATTCGACAAAGGCCTTTTGGAAAACGAATCCCTCGCCAGGTGGACCCCAGCCAAAGACGGGATGGTCACTTCGTACACCATTCACGGCAGGTTGAGATGCAAGTGTCCACCAATTCTTCTTCTCGATAATCTGTAATAGTTGTGGTTTGATCGTTTCCGTCTCCGCGTTGAGATTTGCGTCCTCTGCTGCCCCTCCCTCAGACCAAGGGACAATGTACAATTCTCCAGATACGTGTTTTCGGAAAAGAGCACCAATGTCTTCTCTAGTCACGGGAAAGCCCCATAACTGTTTTGCTACGGTGGCGTTGACATGCAAAGAAGGACCGTAACCGTCAATTTCACCAAAGGCGGGCGAGCGTGAATCACCCCAACGTCCATTGGGGAAATCGTCCCATGTTGCTTCGCGGCCTAGTGATCCGATACCTTCTGAGATTTGTAGCTGTGTGCTTCGTGGGGGTGGGTTGAGTGCTGGGACGCCGGCACTGGAAGCAAGAGTTTCGTATGTGATGGATTTTCTCGAGGAATGTTCCGACTGTTGGTCTGTAGGTACGTGTAGCTTGTCCACAATGACCCTGTTGTAAGGACCAGAGTTGACCGACGAGGCTCGACGGCGTGACACTAATGTTTTGAGATCATCTTTATTATTCGATACGGCGACTTCCTCAATCGCAATATCATCTTCAACGGCGTCATCGTCGCTAGAAGGTGGAATCAAATCACAACGTTCGAGAATTAAAGTCACCGACTTCTCCAAGTTCAGCGTATAGAAATGGTATCCACGATGTCCTGGATTGGGCAAGGACTTGATCTGGTTTACAATCTCACTGACAATATCGACGCCGACTTGTTTGACCCGTTCATCGTCTGATCGTACTTGCTCAATTCGAGACATGATTGCAGGCGGGATATGGGCTCCGCTAAGTTTCGTCACCCGGGTAAGAATCTTGTAACCGTGAATAGGCATAAGACCAGGGATGATAGGTATAGACTTTATCGCTCCCGACGGATGGTTTCGCAGCCTCTCCTCAAATTTCTGATATGTTTCGAAGTCATATGTTAATTGAGTCATGATAAAATCTGCTCCGGCCTGCACTTTTTCCACCAGGTACGGCAGGTCCTTTTCGGGATCTTGAATGTCTGTCTGAGACTCTCCAGGGTGACCTTCGGGGTACGCCGCGACTCCGACACAGAAGTAGTCGCCGTATGTACGTCGAATGTAGCGCACCAAATCTATAGCCCATGTAAAGTCCTTATTGCTATCATCATCTCCATCCATATTGTACTCCTCGCTGCGGGGTGGGTCGCCTCGGAGAGCAAGAATATTTTTGATACCGAGTGCTTTGGCCTGCTCCAATGCTTCGTCGATTAAACTTCTGGTCATATTCGTGCACGTAAGATGAAGACATGTCGTTAATTGCAATTGACGTTGACAGATCTCGGCCAGCTCAAGAGACTTTGCAGCCGTCGTTCCTCCAGCGCCCCATGTCACAGTAACGAATAGTGGGCGCAAAACCTGGGCCATGCGTTCGAGACGAGCTTGTAGATTCACCGAGCCCTATTCAGATATGATAAGTTAGTTGGGATCTCCCAACGAAGTCGGTGGAAAATAAGCCAACCATCTGTGTCTTGGGAGGGAAGAACTCCAATGAGAAATAATTGGAACCTGGCGGCAAAGCCGCAATCTTCTCAGTAATTTTCTCCATATTGAGAATGAGTTGCCTTAAAGAATAATATTGATATGAATACAAAAGATAGAAGGTAGTGGTGTTTGGAGAAGATGGACTCAACTAAGGGACCGGAAAAGAATCGTCAAGTGGGGCCCATCAAGAACTGTACTCTTCCCCGCAGTGAATATATGTCCGATATTCCACTTTCTTTTCTGATTTTACCTCTTACTTGACAGCTCACTACTTTTGACTTTAACTAACTTAAAGAAATGGTTGTTCAAGTAAACAACAGCGTAGATTTTGTCGATTAACTGCTTAGCTTCAGAATAAAATTGATGCGAAATCGGAGCGCGGAGAACATGTGGGGTTCGATCGATGACAGCGAGTGTGCGGTCAATTGGGACTGCCTTCTACGGCCAAACCTGGCTTTGGATTGAGGCATTGAGGTATCAATGCGACCTTGTTCTTTTCACTCTGCAAGCGCTATCTTCCGGGACCTCTTTGTGGCCCGTCAGTGAATATATACCGTTGCATGCCGGCTTCGGGGAAGGTGAAAAAGCGACAGAGTACAGAGTACTAAGAGTTGATTGCGATGGTCCTGGAGTATTGTAGCATATCTATGATGCACAGCCCAATATGATAGCAGAAGCCGCTTCGCAGAAACGATCGTCTCACTCGGTCACTGTTGGTATAGCAATCCTGCCTTTCTAGGCGGGATTGCTATCAACCATCCTCGGCCGCTTGCAAGACACCGGCCAATATCGGAATACAAGTGGCGCCGAGATCATTCAAGGAGAAAACAGTCTCCATGAGAATATGGACCGTTTTTCTTTCTGTTGATAGTAGTATACTCGCAAGATCCCCTTACCAAATTAGCTGATGCAGCTGTTCCTTAGCTATTGACTGCAGAGTGAAGATTCAGGATATCAGTTTTATATCAGACTAAAGTAAATTGGGTTTAAATCTAGCCATATTCGGGATAGTGGATATTTTTCTGGAGACAAACAACACAAACATTCAAGGTGCTTCTCTCCAGATGAATTGCGTGAACAACAACATCCTGCGAGTTGCGCGTATAAGCATAATGTTAATGATGGGAAGATAGCAACAGGATTCGGATTCGATTAATAGTTTCTTTCTGGCTAATCCGGTCTGCGATCTGCCAGGGCCCAATGGCAATGCAATCAGTTAGTCAACTACTCTGCTCCAAATCTACAATCATCAGTGCCTGACGATTCATTCAGTGATATTCTCCAGACTCTTCCCAAGACCTTCGATAAACCCTAAGCTACACATAATAAGAAGATTCTCCCTCCAGCGACGCCTATTAAACTCCGCGTCCCCCGATCGAGCACCCGAACCATCTTCCAGTCTTCGGGCGCGCTTACAAAAATTCAACGATAGACTCCCACGCTTCCTCCGCGGCTACACAACCCCTCTCATCGGCGCACCCACTACACATATAACATCCTTTCTCGTTCTCCACGAGATCACCGCCGTTCTCCCTTTATTCGGTCTATTCGGTTTCTTCCACTATTCCGGTTGGACTCCCTTACTGTCCGCCGGTGATAATGATACCCTTAATGAAGCCGTACAGCGATTCGGGAAGTGGATGACTAAGAAAGGATGGGTAGGTAGTGAGGATGTAGAAGCTGCAAAGAATGTTTCTTCATGTACACCTTCGGCGGATGATCAAGTCCTGACCCAGCAGAAAGGGGCGCAATTGGTTCTTCAGTTTGCCGCAGCATATGTTACTACGAAGGCATTGTTGCCTTTGAGGATTGTTGCGAGTGTCTGGGCAACACCGTGGTTTGCGCGAGTCTTGCTTGGGCCTATTGGGAGAGGCATAAAAGGCATTTTCCAAAGGACATGATCTCGGTTCTATTGAATGTACAAAACCATTACACCATAAGATCTTGGACATACGACGTAGTCATATATTGAAAAGATCTCTATTCGCATGGCTTATTTTTGATATCTTTTATTTCTCTATCGTCTAGTCAGGAGGCATTGACAACAGACATTTAAGCCTTCTCGTAGATCCAGTCGAACTGGCTGTGCTTGTAGTTGATGACCTCACCCTCCTTGAACCAGAGAGCAATTTCCTTCTTGGCGTTCTCGACGCTGTCGGAACCGTGGCAGACGTTGCGGCCGACGTCCTGTAATATATTAGTTGGTGCAACTGCGCTAATCTCGTCGAAGCAACTTACAATGGCGTAGTCACCACGGATGGTGCCAGGGGCAGAAGCAAGAGGGTTGGTGGCACCGAGGATGGCTGCAGATTGTTAATAAGGTGCCTTATTTCCAGGCAATTGGTATATAACGTACTACGACCAGTCTTGACGGCGTCACGGCCTTCCCAGACCATGGCAACGATGGGTCCGCTCAACATGTCTGAGCTCTAGATTAGTATTGACACTGGAATCAATTGCAGCGCCACAGGACCAAGGACGCTATTTGAAGGAAGACGAACAGGTAACGAGACCGGGGAAGAAAGGCTTGTCGGCAAGATCGGCATAGTGCTTCTCGAGGAGCTCACGAGGAGGAGAGATCAACTTGATGGCAGCGAGTTTGAAGCTGTTTGTTAAGCGATTAGTACGATTGTTCGATGCAGATGATCATGGTATGACTTACCCACGGGACTCGAAGCGAGAGACGATGGGTCCAACGAGACCACGCTAGATATTTGTCAGTATGGTCACAACGATCGTGGAGCCAATTTGTGTGAAGATTGATCGGAAGAGGTTCATAAGTACCTGGACACCATCGGGCTTGATAGCAATGAAACTAGACGAACGGTTAGTACGAGGGGTGCAAAAAGTTTTAGGCGGTCAAGCAGGGAATAAGTGCGAATAAGCATGGAGGTGGAAGGAGCAAGGTAACACACGTCTGCTCGGAAGACATTTTGAATGTAGAAGAGATTCAGAAAAGGACTCTGAAGACTGTTTGAATTGAGGATTGGAAGTAAGGAGGAGAAGATGGAGGGGAGTGGGAGAAAATTATTATGGCGGACAGCAGAAAGAGCGGTGGGGCAGGAGGGGTACCGTACAGGCCAACTTGACTGCTCTACGTGTACAACTGGTTGTCAGAGTAGCCTCTTTGTTCTATAGTTACTTTGGGCATAGCTTGGGTACTATCAGCTAACATGCATTTGGTCTTCAAGCATTGAATTGTGAGCTGTCTTGACGTTTTTATATACAAAATGGGAGATGTTGAAAAATACCAGTGTATTGTACTTGGTAATCCCAATACAGGGGTAGATCGTGGTCTTGGCGGAGTTGTTAGCGGCCGCAGCTTGGGACTTGTTTATCTGGCAGCTTCATTCGTCCTATCTAGCCCCTACATATCAGTCACTGCTGCATCACTTATTATCGCAGCTTTTCTGCACGCCTTATGCAAGATAGATGGGGGTCAGAATATTCACATTGAGTTGCTGTTCTGCATATAGTTGAATTTCAGCCTCAATTGCTTTCTTCATCTTTCATACGTCATGGCCGGACCTCGGTCTGTGAAGCAACAGTTGGTGCTGTTCCTGAGCTTCCTTACCATCCTTGCTTGTTTCGTTCTACCTGCTGGTACGTATCAATATGCTTTCTATATTTTCAAAAAAGAAAATGCTAATGACAACAAGTGAGCGTCAAGCACGAGAATTTCAAGACATGTTCCCAGTCCGGTTTCTGCAAGCGGAACCGAGCTTATGCTGATGAAGCTATCGCCTCGGGAAGCAATTGGAAACCCCCATATGAGCTCGACCCATCGACTGTCGAACTAAAGAATGGATATCTGCACGGAATTGTGTCGAAGACCATTAAATCCGGCGAGAAGATCAGGCTACCTCTTACCGTATCATTCTTGGAGTCAGGTGCTGCCAGAGTCGTACTGGACGAGGAAAAGCGGATCAAGGGAGATATCGAACTGCGCCACGGCAGTAATATTCGAAAGGAGCGATATAACGAGGCCGAGAAGTGGGCCATTGTTGGCGGTCTGGCACCGAACAAGGCTGCTGTCTTCAGCCCCGAATCTGAGACGGGATATACCAAGGTCCAATATGGCCCTGAAAATCAGTATCTAATGGTACTCCGCCATGCGCCGTTGGAAATCAGTTTCCAGCGTGATGGAGAGACCCACGTTAAGTTGAATGACCGGGGCTTTCTCAATCTGGAGCACTGGAGACCCAAGGTTGATGCTCCAGAAGGCGAGACCACCCCTGAGGATGAGTCCACGTGGTGGGAGGAGTCTTTTGGCGGAAACACTGATTCCAAGCCAAAAGGACCGGAAAGTGTTGCTTTGGACATTACTTTTCCAGGATACGAGCATGTATATGGTATTCCGGAACATGCTGACTCGATGTCATTGAGAGAGACACGGTAAGCATGGACTTCCACTATCTACACATGAATTAGAGCTAATCGTCTTCAGTGGTGGCTCCGGTAACCACGAAGATCCCTACCGACTATACAATAGTGATGTGTTTGAGTATGAGCTAAACAGCCCAATGACCCTATACGGCGCCATCCCTTTCATGCAAGCTCACCGCAAAAACTCATCCGTGGGCGTATTTTGGCTCAACGCAGCTGAGACATGGATTGATATTGTCAAAGCCAAATCCACTTCTAACCCGCTATCGCTAGGACTTTCCGGCAAGAAGACTACACAAACTCACTGGTTCTCTGAGTCAGGTCAACTTGACGTGTTCGTCTTTCTCGGTCCTAATCCGCAAGCCCTTAGTAAAACTTATGGAGAGTTGACGGGATATACGCAACTTCCACAACAATTTGCCATCGCCTATCATCAGTGTCGATGGAACTACGTCACTGACGAAGACGTGAAAGAAGTCGATCGCAGGTTCGACCGATACCAGATCCCTTACGACGTTATTTGGCTCGATATTGAATATACGGACGGCAAGAAGTATTTCACATGGGATCCAATGACCTTCCCTGACCCCAAGGGTATGCAAGATCAATTGGACGCGTCAGAGCGCAAGCTTGTGGCTATTATCGATCCCCACTTGAAGAACGAAAATGGCTACCCTATTATTGATGAGCTCAAGGGCAAAGACCTGGGCATCAAGAACAAAGATGGAAACATCTACGACGGCTGGTGCTGGCCAGGCTCATCACATTGGGTCGACTGCTTTAACCCGGCCGCTATCTCGTGGTGGAAAAGTCTTTATTCATACGATAAATTCAAGGGCACATTCCACAACACTTTTATCTGGAATGACATGAACGAGCCTTCAGTGTTTAACGGACCGGAAACCACCATGCCAAAGGACAACATCCACTACGGAAATTGGGAACACAGAGATGTTCACAATATCAATGGTATGACTGTGGTTAATGCCACCTTCCAGGGTTTGGTCGAGCGAAAGAAGGGTCAGCTCCAGCGTCCATTTGTCTTGACACGATCATTTTATGCCGGGACTCAGCGAATGGGAGCCATGTGGACCGGCGACAACCAGGCTGAATGGGGACACTTGGCGATGTCCATGCCCATGGTTTTGAATCAAGGTATTGCTGGGTTCCCCTTCGCCGGAGCAGATGTTGGTGGTTTCTTCGGAAACCCCGATAAGGATCTCCTCGTGCGCTGGTACCAGACGGGTATTTGGTATCCTTTCTTCCGAGCTCATGCTCATATTGATACGCGTCGGCGTGAACCATATTTGACTGGTGAGCCCTTTATGCAAATCATCAGTCAGGCAATCCGTCTCCGCTATCAACTCCTTCCTGCATGGTACACAGCGTTCCACGAGGCTTCTGTTAGTGGAATCCCCATTGTGCGGCCCCAGTACTACATTCATCCGGAGGACGAGCACGGTTTTGCCATGGATGACCAATTCTACCTCGGTTCGACTGGTATCCTGGTTAAGCCTGTTGTTGCCAAGGACCAGGATTCTGTCGACATCTACCTGTCTGATAATGAAAAGTACTACGACTACTTTGACTACACGATCTACCAGGGCAGTAGAAAGTGGCACAAGGTCCCTGCTCCACTGGATAAAGTTCCAGTCCTTATGCAGGGTGGGCATGTCATTCCTCGCAAAGATCGTCCGCGCCGCAGCAGTGGATTGATGAGATGGGATCCCTATACCCTGGTGGTTGTACTAGACGAGAACGGTTCAGCTGACGGCACTCTCTATGTGGACGACGGAGAAGGTTATGACTACGAGAAAGGTGGTTACATCCACCGACAATTCATCTTCGTGGACTCCACGTTTGTATCCGAAGACATCGGCACCAAAGGCCCAAAGACTGATGCATACCTCAAGTCAATGGCCGATGTGCGTATTGAGAAGATCGTCGTGATCGGTGCACCAGCAGAATGGGAACAGAAAGAGACCGTCACGGTGATCGAAGATGGAGCTAAGGAAGCCACCAAGGCTGTCTTGCAGTTTACTGGTAGCAAGAACGGTAAGGCGGCATTTGCTGTGGTGAAGAATCCTAATGTTGGTATTGGAAAGTCATGGAAGATCGAATTCTAGGGAATGTTCTGTACTACGGCGTACATGTGTCTGCATCTCTCGCACATACTGATCAGTAGTATCAAGTCAATTCTATCAAAGATCAACGAGTTGAGTCTTCGTAATTAGATGTAGTAGATGGACGCTTCTTATTGGCTCAGTCCGGATGATCGCCAGGAGTCGCGACCCACTCTCAATCTAATCGCTAAGCCTGACTTTTAAGGCTGCGGGCCGGCCGCAATCAGCAATTTCCTTTCAGTCCGTCAAGAATTCTCACATATCGAATCACACTTGCGCGCGCTGGACGGCTACTGTAAATCCTCATCATTCTTTACTGTCGGATTTAGTTATTCACTAACTCGCGACCGGAATTCTCGAGGTCCTTGGAACTCCGACTCGGTCAGCAAGGTGAAACATCGCTGCCACCCGAAAACTCAAGCGCCAGTTCAGATGATAATCAACAACATCAAATCTGCCTGATTGACTTCAATTGCTCCTCGATCTTCTACAATTATCAATTTTCATATTTTCCGATCCTTGAGTGAGGTCACAAGAATACTTTCATAGCAACAATGTGGCTTCTTGATATTATACTAGAATATGGGGCGCCATTCTTGTACGGGCTCTCATCCCAGAACATCAATTGATTCGATGTTTGTTCCTTACTAATTCTTATCTCTGGTCACAGTCTCATTACCGCGCCCATCACGTCCTATGCCGACCAGATTCATAGCATCCATCGGAGCAAGAGCTCAGCCGGCTTCTCCTTAGACATTCCGTTGATTATGCTCATAGCGTCTATCTTCAAGTACGTTAGCCGTCCTGCCTTCCTCGAAGGAGTTTTCAGTCAACTGACAAGGCGTCTTCTTGTTTAGATTCTTCTACTGGTTCGGGTCATATTACGCCGCCTCATTATTCATCCAAGCAATCAATATGATATTCGTGCAGTTGGTACTGCTGAAAATCGCATTGACCCATAGACCAACTCCGAGTGCAAAAGATAATATTGAGCATGTACCGTTCAGTGGACAGTATCATGATAACACTCTTATGGGGTTTATGCGACCATATAACTTTTGGCGCTGGAGGAATGAGAAGCCGTATGTCATTTCTCCCAGTGTTTCGAGGGTTGATCTATGCTAATAATATTCAATATCAGATATTGGACTGTTCTGGGCTACTTCACCGGCTTTCTCTTCGTTATTCACGTTTTTCTCCCCTTCATCTCTCAAACGGAGACCTACATCAACCTCCTCGGCGTCGCCGGACTCACAGTCGAAGCTTTTCTCCCTGTCCCCCAGATCCTCGCCAACCAGCGCTCTCATTCCTGTAAAGGATTCCGTGTTTCCGTTCTAGCTTCTTGGCTTCTCGGTGACGCTATGAAGATGAGCTACCTGTTTTATACCAAGGATGTTATTCCTCCGGCATTCAAGTTTTGTGCAATCTTTCAATGCATGTGCGATATGTACTTGGGCCTACAATACTTGATGTACGGTACTGGGAAGGCTACTCATACAGCAACGGGGAATGGTGATCGATGGGGCGCAAATGAGAAGGATATTCACCTGGGCTGATTGTCTTCTCATCGAGCTCCCTAGTGATCTGGTTGGCATATGCTAGGGCATTATGGGGTTATGTAGAGAGAGAGATATATATATACGACTATTAATGTACACTGCAACTGCAGTTTCTTTTATATATTATATTACTAACTGTATTGGATCTAAATTATCCAAGCTGTCGCATTATTTTCGCAGCATGGACACATATTTATATCTCATAGCGGAGCTTGATAGCAAGCTTAAGCTTCCAAGGAGGCTTGGAAGCGGGGGTTAACCCCGCATCAATTTTATAGACTCACCTACAAAGGTACTCAACATCTCCTGCACAGGACAATAGGCTGACAACATGGCATCCTTAAAGAAAACAATCCGAGTAGGCTACGTGCCAGGTACGTTGAATTTTACCTCCCTCTATTTATCTAGGCAGTCGAGTCGCGAAATGTGTCGAATTTTACCAACGACTTCAAGAACATTACCTAGCACCTCTCCATCTTGCAATTCGAGACCCATCCTACGCAAATCTGCCCTTTGAGCTCGAACTCATCTGCTTCCCGTCCGGAACGGGGCATATGATAACATCCATCCGTTCCAATGAGATTGATATCGGCATAGGTCTCACTGAAGGCTGGATCGCGGGACTGACTGGCAAGCAGCAATTGGAAGCAAGTAAGGCTGCCGGCGATGACGGTGGATATAGGATTGTAGGACAATGGGTTGAGACGCCTTTGAGATGGGCGATTGTCACAGGCAGGAATAGAGAGGATTTGACTGGGGTTAGCGATTTGAAGGATTCGCGTGTTGGCGTGAGCAGGTTGGGCAGGTGAGTAGTAACTGACTGCTACATATTGTCCATCAGACAGCACTGATATAAACTCCAGTGGATCACATATAATGTCCTTCGTCCTCTCTCAACAACAAGGCTGGTCCGTCGACAGTCTCAAACCCGTCATTCTCGGCCCATTCGGCGATCTACGAGAAGGCGTCTCATCGTCAGGCGCATCACAAAACGCAGAATTCTTCATGTGGGAGCAGTTTACCACAAAGCCATATTTTGATCCCGCTGTGCCATCGACGACTCCACCTCCACTCAAGAAGATTGGGGAGATATATACCCCTTGGCCATCGTGGCTTATTGTGGCATCTACAAAGACATTCCCGACACCAGAGAATGATGCAACTCTTCAGGCGTTGTTTGAGTTGTTAGATAAAGGTATTTCTACATTTGAGAGCGATACTGAGAACGTTATCAAGCTGTTAGGTACGGGAGATTTTGGATGCCACTATGTGGAAGATGATGCACGGGAATGGCTGAAGGCTACACGATTTGTCAAACATACCAGAGGATTGAGTAGTGAGATTGTGCAGAAGACGGTCGATGTCTTGAAGGTAGCGGGGGTTATTGATCCGGAATTGCCTCTCACCGATGCTGTGCAGAGGGTTACTGGTATTTCCAGATAAACTCGAGCGTGGATTATGTATTTCTATGCACATTTCTATACATGCTTGGGACCATGAATAGGCACAGAATGAATATTCAGCATGATCAAATTCTTTAGGCTGATGAAACACATTAATTGCATAGCATCTCGATTGTCCAAGGCATTATTAAGCCTGCGGCGATGAAACGAACTAATCACCTTGTTCTCGGTGGAAGGCCTGGGTGATCAGTTCACTTTACTTGAGAAAAACGCATTATTCATTGAATTTTCCTATTTGAGCAAGTATAGGACACGTTCGACCGAAAACCTCGGCGGAAGAGCAGCACGACCGAAGTGTCGCCCCTTTTTCTTCCTTTGAACTGACTCTCCATCTTCTGTGAATCCTTAGAACAATCCCTGGGATCATAATAAAGTCTCTATGCAGATAGTAACTTGGATTACTAATTCTGGGTCGGTATGAGATTGATCTCGTTTGGGCGGGTCATCCTTTCGGTCAAGCCCTAATCGGGGTAAGATGGTTCCTTTCGAGGTCCTTTTATAACGCCATGAACGCCTGCTACATCTGAGTTGAAGCTGATGCAAATCTTCCCGAGGTTGTTGTCCAAGTCTACATCGCACCTATTCATTCCTTGACAAGAACAAATTCTCATACAAAAGCGATATGACGACTGCCATATCTCCCAGACAGAGTGTGATCAATCCCGACGTGGAAAGGGTGGTTGAAGTAACAGATCCAGATTACATAACAAAAGAGACAGAGACAGAGACAGAGTCTTCGGGATACGACTCCAAAACTGAAGAATATCCAAGCGCACTCCCCTTGGCCTTCATCACCATGGCCGTGATGTTTAGTGTTTTCTTATCTGCGCTTGACCAGGTCAGCTAGTCTCCCAAGGGGCGATGATTGGCATAAGTTAGTGCAAGAAAAGTTGACAGATCGATATCTAGACCATCGTCGGTACCGCAATTCCCAAAATCACAGATGAGTTCCACAGCGTCAGCCAAGTATCCTGGTTCGGAAGTGCATATTTCATGACATTCGGGGGCTTCCAAACGTCCTGGGGAAAGATCTATACGTATTACAAACTCAAAAACTCCTTTTTATTATCCGTTTTCGTCTTTGAAGTGGGTAGTTTACTATGTGGAGTGGCCCCTAATACAATCGCTTTCATATTTGGTCGTGCCATTGCCGGTCTGGGAGGTGCTGGTATGTCAACAGGTGCTTTTACCATCATCGCATTCTCAGTTGAGCCGCGGCGTAGACCGGCATTCATAGGTATCACTGGAGCGACATATGGGATATCTGCTGTCATTGGTCCTCTGCTGGGTGGTGTCTTCTCGGATCGTGTCAGTTGGCGATGGTGTTTCTACATCAACCTACCTCTTGGTGGAGTCGTGGCTGCTATTATTGTCTTCTTTTTCCACACACCCAGTCAGGCAAAACCCCTTCCAGCAACATGGAGGGAACGGTTACTTCAGATGGACCCTGTTGGGGTAATACTCTGCATGGCTGCCATCATTACTTTCATTATGGCCTTTGAATACGGGGGCCAAACAAGGCTATGGAACAGTAGTGTGGTCATTGGCCTCATTGTCGGCTTTTTCCTGATCACCGCTACATTTGTCGTCTGGGAGTATTTCCAAAAGGAGCGTGCTATGATCGTACCTCGCATGTTCAAGCAACGATCCATCTGGGCTGGCGCTTTGTATCAATTCCCCTTTGCTGGTGCATATTTTCTTATTCTGTATTACCTGCCGATCTACTTCCAGAGTATCCAGGACGTCAGCGCTATTGAGTCGGGTGTTCGGAATCTAGCTCTCGTTCTCACTATCAGCATAGGTGTAGCCATGGGTGGATTTGTTGTTGGCAAAACAGGCTGGACTGTTCCATTCATGGCGGCCGGGGCGGCCATTAGTACCATAGGCTTCGGACTTTTTCGAACTTTGGGCTTTCATACCGGCACTGGTAAATGGATTGGTTACCAAATATTAGCCGGTTTTGGTTGTTCATTTCCTTTTCAGATAACAATCAACATTGCGCAGGCCAACGCAAGTGCTGCCGATATATCGAAAGCTACTGCGACGTTGTTTTGTAAGTGTCTACCGTCGCAAATCATATCATACTTTCTAACTCTGGGACATTTTCACAGTCTTTCAAGTCATCGGAGGAGCATTCTCTCTCGCAGCAGCGCAGGCAGCTTTCATAAACAAAATCATCAAGACTGCTTCAAGTATCGATCGCACCAAAATCGTTGCTGCGGGAGCAACTCAGCTTCGAGAAGTTTTCAATGCCGAGGAGCTTCCCATGGTCCTTGATGGGTACATGGCCGGTATCAGGGCAGCTTTCACTATTGCCATCGGAATGATGGGATTTGCCTTTTTCGCCAGCCTTTTGAGTTCGTGGAAGAATTTGCACGAGCAGAAAGCGGAGGACTCTGATTCTACAAAGCCGGATGTGATTGTTGCTGTTGCTTAGATTGCATGCAGCACAAGGAGTCGTGTTGAGGGTCTCAGGAAGAGCAAGCCTTGTAGTGTTGATGGATAGGTTGTACTTTGTGAAGGGGACAACATCATACATAGTATTTAATATTTAGACTGACATTATTTGCATTAGATTATCAAGTATTGGTTTCCTTGGAATAGAGCAGTTGTCTAATCTGCTGAAGTGGAAGAATTCGAGTCATTTACACATATCAAATAGTAATTCCAAGACGAAACAAGCCTGAATCACAATTATTGCTACGGACCAATATCAACTCAACTAATCATTCCATCGTACCCATCGAGACCAAACTCAAAGTCTCTCCTTCGTACTAAGCTATCAAAAAAGTCCAGATCAATGTCTTGAAAAGATAGTCGATAATTATCACTTGCGGCAGCCAAATCATCGCCCAACTCTTGCAGGCCATACGAAAATTGCTGCGGCACTTGAGTTGTCGTGGATGACTGGTACATATTCTCTCCATTCACTGCACTCGGATCAGTCTGCAATGAGTTCATTATCTCTGGCATAGGCGTGGTCTGTCGGGTAATCTTGATCATACCAAGATAGGGGATGTTTATAGACACTGAGTCCTCGACATCACTACCGACAGTATGAAAATATTCGGGACCGCGTTGATAGGAAGAACTATGACTGACGCCGGTTGAAATGGTATAATTTTGACCGGATGCTGCATCAGCTTCAATGCTAAGCAGACAGCGCAATAAATTCAACCCCTTTCGTTGAGACTCCTCAAAGCCCTTTGCAGAGGCTCGCTCGATCAGACGAAGTACCTGCTTCATTGTGGCACGGTCACTGAGGCGTTGGTGTGGCGTAAGGAGATGAGGAATTGCGCTTGATGTCTCTGCTACATCCCGAGGACAACGATGATTGCCAAGGTAGACAAGTAGCAGAGTCATGGATGCCATCAACACAAAGTAGTCGATTCGCTCACAGAAGAAAGATAGCTGGTTGTGATTCAAGAGGATAATATACCGTGTCAGGATTTCTCGGCTAGCTTGAATACAAGCAATTTTTGAATATTCGTAGTTCTTATTACCGAAATCTGACCAAAGTAGATATGGTAAGTGAAGCTGGTTAAGCAGATTATAGTAAATTAAGACGTCCATTAGAACGAATGTATCTCGAAACCCGGCAAGGATGGCATCCTTCTCAGTCACATTGGCAGTTGGCGGGGGTGGTAGCCAAAACCTGTTCGGCATATCTCGGCCTACTTGGAGCAGTTGATTGTCGATATCTCGAGTTGTTCCGTATTCGTCTGCAAAGGAATGTCGCTTGTCACGTTCAATGATTCCAGACGCCACTTGCACCTGGACGAGCTCAAGCTGGTCGATCGATGGACAGTCGGATAATGTCTGATATGTCATCGACATATCTACATTTCCCTGAGGAAGACCAAGCATCATGGAATAGAAGGTGTCGAAGTAAAGTATGCGGAACCAAAGCTGACGCAAGTCCACTTTCCTCTTGGAATCAATGACAGGTAAAGATGGAATCTGGGGACGATCGAGACCAAGCAACTGCCCGAGACTTAATGCTCTGCGGAAAGCAAGCCACGCACTCCGCAGATTACCTCCGTTTGCATGAAACGTCCCTTCGAGGAGAACACATTGAAGTCCATCGACGGTTGTAATAAGGCTATCCTTTTTCATGATTAGCGTTGTGACACTATCCAGCAGCCGATCCATAATTGCTAGGGGCGTCTCGGTCATCCTAATCTCCTGCTCAACGGTATGCATATCCTGGAGTAAACTGGCTAATAAAAGCATATGCCTTGCTAAGATGATCGGATGAGTAGTACTGGGCGGGATCTCAGCAAGCCGCTTCTTCAACTTGTCCTCATCAAGATCGATCTCGTTTCGTGGCCGGGTATGTAATTGAGAGATAACCAATAAACATGATGAAGTGGTTTGGCATATGGTATTGACATCTTGTTGAGCTGGGAAGGCAGCATGGAGTGCCTTGGAGAGCTCAGCCAACTTGTGCGCCCCGGAAAGTGTTCGATGGTCATCGACGGTCGATCCTCGAGAGGACTCTGGCGTTAATAGAGCCGCAGACTCTGCGGTAGTACTTTTTTGTATGCCGGAAGTCCCCTATACCGGCCAGTTAACTACAACCAAGAGGCATTCCTGGTATAGCGTAGACATATACTTACTAATGTCTCGGAACCATGAACTGGCGCTACTATCCCTAGAGATGAGGGAGGAGCGTAGTCCTCCAAAAACTCCTGGCTGACACAGGGGGTACGACGCTTCCGACATGCAACACAGACTGTAGAATTATCATTAATTGCGGAGAAAGAACATCGGACTTTTCTGCGTTTGCATTCCCAACAGCTACGAGTTCCTTTGCGCACTTTCCGCTGCTTAACAGGATACTCATATCCGGCCGAGCTAGGGTCTCGGCGATGGTCCTCCATCGCAACCACTGTGGATCAATAATCAGGCAATGATTCTGTTGTGTAAATAATCTCTGTGCTGTTCAGATGGTTGAAGTTTGCCGACTACAATTCAGCTGAATACGATTGGGGTTGGGTTTCGACCGAGATTGTGTCTTCCACCGAGACGTCGGCGGAATATTCGGTCGAAGTAACAAGCCCTAACTTGAGACTTACAAAGCAGCAACTATGATTCTTTCCAAGGTTGTTCCTGTTTCTCTGACTTCATTTCTCGGAATTTACTTATCAAAATTGAACTATTGAAATTCATTTCAATGCAGTGAAATTTATTTACGATAAAACTATATAGTGCGATATTCGTCAAATATACATACTTGGAATCGAGATTCGACAGATAGATAGATACAACAGTAAAACCTAGTCCAGTCCAACAATCTGCTGCCCACTGGGGATACGACTCTCGTATTCCAGCACCAACTTGACGTCCTTGCCTGGTCGCAGTTTGATATTCCATTTGATCTGACCATCCTTTCCTAGTAGAACATCTCCCTTGCCATTCTCCCCTTTCTTAAACAGTTCGTTCAGATTTGCCGTATCATTCTCCTTGTCCAGTCCCTTTGGCTGCAGAATGTTGATGCGCAAGTTTTCGTCTTCACTGACGGGAACCTGATCAAGTACGATAATCGAGACTTCGCTCTTTTTGGTGTTCTTGATCCAACAGCTACGCGTGAAAATAGTCGAGTCCTCCTTGCTGAAGAACCCCGTTGTTGCTCGACGGGCTGTTGGTTTGGCGTACGATACCAATATAGATGGGTCAACACCAAGGGATAAATCGATGAAATGGCTTGGCTCGCAGCTTGGGAGTGTAGTTGACCCCAAAAATGTACCATCAACAGTCATTCCGGCCTTGCCTCGGAGCAGACTGACTGCTGTGGTATTGGTGATTCGTGCCTTGAGGAAGGCTGCACGTCGGAGTTTAGGAATCAGAACGTGAGATAGAATGATAGAGGCAAGATGGAGTTCAGCGATAACGTGGCGTCGCTGAACTGTCGATGGCTCCAGAGTCCGCTGTCCCGGGAGATCATATGTTGTAGTAAGACCATAGTCTTGACGAATTGAATCTTGATGTGCGATTGAATGGTCTTCTGGGTTTAGTGTTAACTCATCAGCCTCGTCTTCAGATTCGTTATCTGAGTCGTCAGCTGCACTTGTAGGAGCTTTTCTGAAAGCAATCCCTGGTGCTGCTCTCGCATGACTCGAACTCGCGATAGGCGGTAGCGCTCGTGGCATGATATGTGCCTGTGCCATTTGGTTTGGCTGATGCTGTTGCATCTGTTGTATCTGCTGCGCTCGTCGCATTATCTGTTGCTGTTGTTGCACCTGCTGTTGTGTTGGTGCGCTGCCAAAAAGATTAACATTGGCCGGATTGGTATTTCCAAATGCTGCTCCACCGGTATTGTTAGAACCAAAAAGCCCAGCAGCATTAACAGAGCCAAAGGCCGGAGGAGAAGTGGTGGAAGCACCAAATAACCCACCTGTTCTCATTTTCTTAGATTCGTGGAATGGTCCGACATTATTGGCCATCATCTCTTTCTTGCTCTGAACACTGCTGGTAGGAACATCCTTTTTTGTAAACGTTCCGACTACGCTTCCGAGTTTTACGTGCCAGGGATCCAAAATCGGAATTTTCTCGTCCAGCCCGGAGAAAAAGGTCTGCGATGTGGAAAAAGTTATCTTAGCATTTTTCCATGTCTCCGAGGTGGTATTTTCAAACTCCGCACGATACACCAAGTCTGCTGAAGATTTTGGGGTGCTAATCTTGAGTTCATAGCGAGGTGCCCATCTAGCACTGGGTACTACATATGTGAGTCGAAGGTTAATGTGATCCTCGTCAAGCGGTTTAGACGGCGTAGAATCAACTCCTGGTCCAGTGACTGATGTAATAGACTGCCTCCTACTTGAAGCAGGTGTAAATTCAGATGCACGATCGAGACAGACGACAACCTGTCCCACGTTATGTGTCCAGAACCTGCGTCGTTGTTGGATAATACGTTGCTTCTCTCGTCGTTTCTGCTGTTTCTCGCGCTGTTTCTTCTCCCTTTGTCGACGAATTTCGCGCGAGGCAGCATCTTTTGCCTTTTTGAAAGCCGCCTCAGCACGATTGAACCTTTTACGAGCCTCTTCCACCTCTTCAGTCCATAGAGCAATACCTGCGGATGTTGATATGTGTGCTTCGCTCTGCTGTTCACGTTGCTCGCCGTAGACAGTCAAAAAGTCAGTCATTTTAGTGACGTCCACCTCCTCAGCTTTAATGCTCTGGCCGTAGTGATCCAGAAAACTTAGGACCTTGACAGCAGTGTCTTGTCTATTCTGGTAACGAGCTAGAGTTGCTTCTGCTGATTTTAGTTCTGACTTTGCTTTTTCGAAAGCAGTTCTGTCGACCCCGTAGTCGTCGTCGGAGAGCGTTGAGTTATCCTCGGATTCATCTTCATCGTCTTCTACAAGATCGGGAAATTGATCCTCGAATTGCTGCTTCCGAGGGACAATCTCTGTCTGAGTGTCGGTGATGGTTGCCAGGCCGTAGCCTTCTACCCGGACAGAGTCGGGGTCGATATCGGGATCAAGTCCTAAGATGATGATCTCATTTGCGCCCAACTAGGAACGGTGTTAGAAAGTGATCACTCCATATTTGAATTAGGAATATACTCGCCTTGGTTTGAATGTTTTCAATCTCCCGAGTAACAGTAGCCCTGTTCGGAGCAAAGGTTACCGACTTCGTGGGCAGATCCGTTATATCAATTTCAGTAGAGTGAACTGTAACCTGAGATTGAGACATATTTTCTGCTTATTGTTTTCTTCTTTTGTTGTTGTCAGGTATAAGTATACTATCAAGCCGATTTTACAATGAAAAGAAATCACAGAATAATGGAATGTCAACTATATAAGCGGTTGACAGGTATTCAGAATAGACACTAGTAATAGGAAGAGTCTTCACAGTTTGAAAAATAAATAAGAATCGAGAGGAAGAAGGGGAAAAGAGGCCCCTTTTATAGGCGTGGCAGACAGTAGGCAGCAGTGCCTGGGGTCTGCCTTGTTGCCTTGTTGCCTGAGGATATAGTTCATCTGGCGCCAGCATATACAAAGAGAAGTATAAATCGAAATGCCAACCCCTGAGAGCGCTTAGAAACGTTGTTGTATGTAATTGCGACGAGTTTGCACGATAAATAGCAGGAATGACTGGGTTTAGAAAGAATTACTAGAATGGGAAACTTACCAATATTAATGCCTGAGAATCAAGGCACCTAATGATGTCTAGCTGATAAATCAATTCGGGATTATTCATCGGGAGGAACAGCGACAGGCGTCATCTCGCCTCTCTGCGCCCAGGTACTGCATTTTGATTTTATTTTGTGTTCTTTGATATATCGATGACCTTTGGATTAGTCCTGAATTTCCGCTAAAACATATCTTCTGTCTAGAAGACATCTGCATCATGAGCAATTCCGATACAAATAACATCCTCCAGCTTCCGAACCCCGCTCATATCCAAGCGGACTCGATGCTGGCGCGGCGTTTCGGCAGGGAGACTGTGAACTACTTCGGAGGTACTCAGGCATTCGCCATTGAGTTCTAAGACTGTACTAAACATACATATCGTCAGGCTCTCCGTTGAATCGCCTCTCGTTTCTGCGAACGGACCATGCATTTCTCAGCGCAGCTGTGAAGCATCCCTCCGCCCGTTTCGTTCTACTCAAAGACCTGTCTCCCTTGATTAAGGGTCCTAATTCGTTATACCATGCCGAGTACAAGGACGTTCAGAAGCTAGTCCCTCCGACCATTTTTGATAAATCCGAAGAGGACATGTTGAAGGAGTTTGATTCGCGCATTACGAAACCAGAATTGATCTTCCTAGGCGTTGACGAGAGTGCTGCAGCTAGTGTGCAGACCGGCGAGGAATTGTTACAATGGACTATCTATAAGGGTCGGCCTTATTTTGCGCTGGATGTCAGCGAGAAAGGTACCGACGAGCAGAAGGCTGAAGCCAAGTCGGTAGTTGAGGAGCTTGCGGCAAGAGGGATTACGCCATTTACTACACGACAACACTTGCTGCAACCTCCAACTGACGGTATGCACAATTTCATTATTGTTGCCTCTCAATTACTAACAGCAGATTCAGGTGCTATATACGCCCAAGCGCGTGCTTATATGGATTGGAATAGTCGCAATAAATTCTGTGGAACATGCGGTCATCGCACTCTTTCTATCAACGCCGGCACAAAACGTGCATGCCCACCCACTGATCAGGCACTGGCTGCAGAGGGCAAGAGCCCAGAAAAAGGGCCATGCCCAACTCGCACAACCATCTCCAACCTTTCGTTCCCTCGAACCGACCCTACTATTATTGTTGCCACTCTTTCCGCTGACGGAAAACGACTATTACTCGGCCGCTCGAAACGTTTCCCACCAAATTGGTACTCGACTCTGGCTGGTTTTATTGAACCTGGTGAGTCCGTTGAGGACGCTGTGCGTCGTGAGGTCTGGGAAGAAGCTGGCGTAACCTTATCGCGAGTCGTTATCCACTCCACACAGCCCTGGCCATACCCTGCCAATCTGATGATTGGAGCCATTGCGCAAGTCAGCGACCCTGCGCATGAAGTTATCAACCTCGAGCATGACCCGGAACTGGAAGATGCAAAATGGTTCTCTATTGCTGAAGTCGAAGAAGCATTGAAAAATGGTGCCGGCATGCTTGGCGAACCTCCAAGCAAGGAATATGTCGAGGGCAATCTGCGACTGCCCCCGGTCACGGCTATAGCTAATCAGTTGATACAAGCGGCTATCAATCAGGAATATGTTGGCGACAAACTTGCCAAGATGTAATACCGGATGTACATAGATGGTCCGTTTACTAGAGAGCTTCTTGATGTTCAATAGACTCGTTTAATATTGTGCATAGACCAATCGACTATGTGCAAGAAATTTATCTATCTTCAAAGGCTTACGTAGGCACTTAGTAACTGGAAGGTTTCGAGGCCAATCTGCCACCATCCGAGATGACAATAGTCCCGTTAAGATACCCACCACTAGCACCAGCCATAAACAAAACAAGCCCAGCAATATCCTGCTCTGATCCAAGCCTCGTCAATGGAACAGCAGTCTTTGGCGCATCACCTTCCGTAACACCATGCTGAGTCCCAAATTCCCGAAGCCTGCCAGTAGTCATCTCACTTGGATAGATTCCCGGCGCGATACCGTTGACACGAATTTGATAATTGAGTAGATTATTCGACCACATTTTGATAAGTGAATTCACGGCTGCCTTGGAAGCTTGATAGGCAAACCCCGAAACGATTTCGCGCATGAATCCCGCAATAGAGGAAGTGATGATAATCTGAGGTCGGGGAGGACTCAAGATACCGCTATTGGGCACTTGGGGTGGACGACGCTTGTTTGCTGCGTCTAAAAGCGGTAGGAAAGCGACGACCGTGAAATGGGCACCGGTTGCATTGACGTGGAAGGTGTGAGTCATTTCTTTCGGATCAATTGACCAGAGACTCTCTCTGTATTTCTCCAACGGAACGGTTTCGCCATCCTCCGTTACATTGCGTGCGTTTGCCGGACCGATTATGCCGCTGTTCGCGATGAGGAGGTCAATGTACTCGGTTTGAGAAGAAACGGTTTTGTATGCGTTCTCTAGGGATTCTTTAGATCCGATGTCTCCTATGACCGGGATAATGACTCCCAGTCGAGGAGAGAGGGATGCTGTTTCGTTCAAAGCGTCGGCTCGACGGCCAATGATGAATACTTTTGATGCCCCGTTTTGCGCGAGTGCGAGGGCCATTGTACGTCCCAGACCTTATACATGCGTTAACATAGGTAGCAAGATGGGATTGCATAGGACGGACTCACCACTTCCGCCGCCAGTGACTACAGCCACAAGGCCATTGAGCGAAAATAGCTTGGAAGCATCGAGATGCGACATGTTGAATGATACTGGACGATCAGGATGACTTGAATAGTAAGTTAAGGGCAGCGCGATCAGGCTCTATTTGTAGTCCTTTCCTGGATCTGCTATAGCGTCGAGGGGTATAAGTTCGTTGATTCTTGTCGACCACGGAGTTCTGTCCGTGACTGACGTGCTTGCGTCCCACTTGCCCGAAGAGGCAAGTTTCATGGGATGTGGTTATCTAAGATCTGGCTTCAGCGGATGAGCCCAGATGGAGTGGATAGGTCTCTACGATAAGACGAATGTCTGATGGACGCTAGGCATAAGCATTATGGCATTAGACTTTGATTGTATAGATAGATAAGACATGATCAGTTCTCGTAAAAAGCATCTCATTATCCTTGTTGGTGCTGCTGCTGCTGTTATGCACTGTCCTCCTCTTGACGTTGTCGCTTCGCATCACGTTGTGTCTCCTGAGGAAGCCCAGTGCTCGCCCTTCTCTTCTCTTTTTCTCTTTCCCTTTCTCTATCCTTTCGAGCTTCTCGAGCTTCTCGATCTCTTTCCTTGCGCAATGCTTTCGACTCGAATTCGTGCCAGTCACCCTCGATGTTCTCTAGTCTGTAGGAGATCTTAGGTTAGTCATGTGCAAAGCAATTGAGATCAACTATGGTAAAGAAAAACTTACTCGGTAGCCTGTTGTGGACCGGGCTCTTCAGCAGTAAAATATGCATGAGCAAGTACTTCATCCGCTGTCGGTCGTTTAGCAGGATCATACTGAAAGATCTGGCACATCAGATCAAGTGCGCTGGGACTTAGAAAGTCTCGATACGTGTCTTCAAAGACTCTCTTCTTTCTCTCTGTCGGTCCCATTAATTCTACCCAAGGCATGTCGACGATGCCTGGCCAGTCGGCTCGCGTTGGTGTTCCAAGGCTGCTATAGAGTTTGTCGAGTTGGTTGAGCTCTTTTCCATCGCCCGGAAACACTGCCTTTTTCGTAAACATCTCCATGAAAACACATGCCGCACTCCAAATATCAACTGCCGGCCCGTATCGAGTGTCACCAAGAAGTAGCTCGGGTGGTCTATACCAAATCGTGATAACTCGGTTTGTGTAGTCTAGTTGGCGGCTCTTGGAGAAGAAACGGGCTAATCCAAAGTCCGCATATTTCAGTTGGCCACGGTTGCTGATCAGAATGTTGGCGGCCTTGATGTCTCTGTGAAGAACACCGCGATGGTGAAGATACTGGAGACCACCAAACATCTGCTTGGCAAGGTCCTTTTTGTGGGCCTCCGTAAGTGTGAAGGTAGGATGATTAATCAACCCAGTCAGATCGTGTGATAAGTATTCGAACACCATAAAACATTCATTCCTTTCCACCATCACCTCCAACAAGCTGACAACGTTGTTGTGCCGTAGATGTTGCAGTAATTTGATCTCTCGCACTGCAGTAACAGGAAATCCATCCTTTTCTCCTTCCATCCGTATTCTTTTGAGAGCAACTTTGTCCTGTGTATATATATGTATTGCTTTGAACACTTTTCCATAAGTGCCAGCACCAATAACAGATTCATCCCCAGGTTTGCGATAGTATACGGAGTCTGAATCTCGAAACTCTTCCGGTAGTATCTGTCGAGGTCTAACGCGCTGAACAGTCCTTTTCTGCCTCTTTGGCTCAGGAGATCTATCCCTGCGACGATCGTGTCTAAAGTCTGGTCGCTGGTCATCGCGATGTCGCGCATCACGGGGGTCAAAGCGATGGTCTTCTCGCCTTGAATCGCGCGGATTTCTCGGGTGGAGATCTCGTCGATCGTCTCTGCCTCGGCCGCGGTGCGTATCTCGGTCTCGATCTCGTCGATGATCCTGTTTGAACTTTGGTGGCGGAGGCGGTCCAGACATTCTATTACGAGACGGCTGCTCAGGAGGACGCATAGCTGGCCCCCGAGGCGGTTCACGAACTTGCATTCTCTGAGCCAAATCGGGGACAGGTTTTGCAGGAGGCGGAGGGTTCGCTTTCGATTTAAATGCAAAACTAAATTTACTACCTTCCTTCGCTGGGGTTGTCGACGAAGCCGGTTCTCGGGGAGGCGGTGGCATAGTTTGAGCATCCCCAAGATCTGCGCTAGGCTTAGCTTGAACGTGTTCCATGTTCACGTCTCCCAGAAACCTGGAATTATCATCATGGTGAGAAGCGGCTGGTGGCTGGTCATTGGATTGAGAAGCTTGGTATTGCGGTGTATTTGAACCGGAGTGGTGAAAGTTGGGTGAATTGTTCTGTTCTCCTCGATCTCGAGGTCCTGTCGGGATCCATTGATGACTATTAAAGTGACCTCTGCCTCGTTGCGAGCTGGAACCGTTGAAGCCGGATGGGCCATGGCCGGAGAAACGACGATCTTGAAAACCTCGATGATAGCCTCCGCGAGCTGGAGGCATGTTGCTGGGGGCGTGATTTGTATCATGCTGATATGAATCTTGGTCATTCCCCATGTGCTTGTTGCGACCTCCTCTACTATTTGGATACGGCGAGTTAGGTTCTGAACCCCCGTGGTATGACCCATATTGAGAAGCATGTTGCCTGTCCGCACGTGGTCCTGTTGGCGCATCCCGCATATCGAAGTCCTGCGTCGTATTCATCGTTCCGTGTCTAGAAAAAGATTCAGAAGCGTTATTGTTGCCACTGGGGTCATTGCGAGCCTCAGCATTCGAAGACGAAGTCGGTCGAGACATAGACGGTGAATCCCGTGGTTCTGCTGTGGCGGGCCTATGTTTGTATGTGCTTGTTTCACCTTTTAGGTTTGATGATATGGACGGTGACCGCCCGCTCTTATTACGGTCTTCGTATGAGAATCCTGGACTGTTTGATCTTTGTGACGCTGAACCTAATACGGTATCTGGTCTTGCAGGCGATAAGGACGAACGAGACTTGGGATTGTTCTCAAGTTGATCAAACCCCCCGCTCGGAAATGGACGAGCTCTGGAGTTTCGTTCCTGATATCGTTCTCGCCTTGATGGTCTTCTCTGCTGACTTGACTGCCCACGCTGATGATTCCCTGCGTTACGGTTCTTGCGATTACGATCTCGGCGTGGGCCACGCGGAGAGCGACCGCGTCTCGTTTGTGAAAAGGCCTCCCTGTCAGCACCACCACGCCCGTAGGACTTTTCGGATGATACGTCGTTCGCCTCTTGGGCCCTTGGTCCGTCTCGACTCACGGGTAGCGATTGAGAGGAAGAAAAAGACGGTCTTCGCGACGCCGAAGGTATTGATGATGATTCAAACTGTCCCAAGCTATCTTCGTACCCAGATGGCTGGCCAAAACGCGACGATACTGGCGACCTTGAACGACGATCCGGACCACTAGGCCTACGCCTAACGCGGTGTCTGTTCTTTCCCCTTTCGTGCTCCGAAAAGCGACCGCGAACGAAAGCACTTTTATCTTGATGTTCTTGTGTAGCTCTCCACTCGTCTTTCAGCCCCGGACTCCTTTGAGATGCAGCCATAGATTCTTCGATAACTGCATCGGGTGGGGAGATTATAGAAAAAATTTCGAGTAGAGTTGATTCATTTAGGGAGTTATAGCATTCGGCAGAAATCCTTTCAATGCGATCTGAGACCGGTTCGTATAGAATGAGAAGATTCTCTGGGTGTTGCCTTGTCACCACGAACAAAAGTTCTTTTTTCCACCGGTTTGCCTGGTTCGTCGTTGGCATTCGCAGGGCATCTTCGGAGATTAGCGCAGGGTGGACGGACTATTGGTTTTTCCGAATCAGACTGCGTCTCGGCTTCTCGGCGGGCGATGGCATGCGTGATCCTGCTGCGCTGAGGCTCCTGTCAGTATGAAAACTCAAGATATATTTCGCAAATGTACTGTACTATGGCTGTTTTGAGAATGGAGAGGTATACACACCTCGCGCATATCATCCGAGTATACAGGACTTGCGCGGCAACAAGTCAATCTACGGTGAAGAACTGTTCCCAGCAAACGCTTCCAAGACGCAATGTGTCCGCGTCATGCTGTAACAATGTCATCAGATGAGACGCTCCTCTAGAGGAACCATTCACCGCTGATACTCTACGAAAGCTCTGTAGCAAAAAAAATAACCCTCTCGTAACGGATAACATCTCGCATCATGACCCGAAAGAGTGTCATGACGAGGATTGTGTCCGACTGTCGAAACCATTCACCCTCCAGACTGAACTTAAGACCTGGTATCAACCAATAGCAATAATATCGAGTCCCAGTAAACATCTTGTTAGACGTGCCTGCGAATGCCAAATTCGGTTTGTATGAACAACGAGATTTAGGCCGACGATCTGTTCCGTTGTCTCTGCTGGGACGAAGCAGCAGGTGGCTGCTTTTCTGATATTAGAGCCTAGCTTGATGCAGGGATCAATGATAGACCAGGGACATTTGAACGAACTATCTACGGAAGACAAAGTATCACCGAAATGATACCTGTCCCATGACGCCGAGGGGCTAGTATTACCCTTGTTGTCGTTATATCGTGCTGTCCAAATCTCATCAGGCAGAACGCTGAACAATAACGCAGGAGATTTGTCATGAATAATAGCAACCAAGTGTGAATCGGTCAGTTTGGCCATTTTGGAGTTCTCCATATCTGTTGTCAAGCTCATCGCATCTTGTCTCGATATATACCCCAACCCGCAGGGAAGGGAACGCTAGTGCTGTTAATGCAGGTCGAGTACATAACGACAACGCTGAACCGTGAATCCAAGCTGTATATAGGCTAAGAAAGACGACGGAACGTGAACGTATCAAGTATCTACTAGTTGACCGTTGATGTTCGGGGCGGAGTGACGAATGGCATGAAGTTCAGGAAATCCAGCTGCAATCAGACTTGCATAAGGTCGCAGCTATCAAAGAATAACAACGAGTAATCATCCTCGGTTATTGGTGTTGATGCGAGCGTTCGATATGCACGATATTTAAAGCGAGGATGAGAAGTCACGACGGTGACTGCTAACTGAGGAGCTAGATGAATCGATGAGGATCGGGTCAAGAACCTCCTGTCAAGGCGATGTCCCATCGACGACAGTCACGATATAGGGGTCTCTTGAACATATCGAAAATCGGAAAATAGCAAAGATCGGTCTGCAAAACAGGCTGGTTATAGAGAGGTCGTCTGGGATGTCCGGCAGAGCGGGCCAAGTCTCGGATTGAGTAGCAGGCAGGCCACGTGACTTATTTTCCCTAGAGAACGGCTGCCTGAGGCATTTATAATTCCATCTCGTTTAAGATCAATCTACAAATTTATAAGAATTTAGAGTTCGAGTACTGCGCAAATGCTAGGTCACAGCAGTTACTACCTGTACTAGCCTGTTTATTCATTTCTAATTATTCGGAACCACCATCCATGATACAGAGGATACAAGACTGACAGTTCGTGTTTCACCATTCAGCATCCAATACAACGAAAAAATTACATTGCCATAACCATTACCCAAGCGTAGAACCTCGCGCAAAATTCCTCGCAGAATCTACTGGGTGGCTGCTGCAGGCTTTCTCCCTCTGGCCAAGCCTGTGCCCCGACCACCACCATGAGAATTTCCTCCACGAGCCCCGTTGGGCCTTCCCCGTCCAGTTCCGTTATTTAAGCCTGCAGGGGGAGGCACATTGTTGTAGCTTTTCGGTCGAAAGTTAGGGTTGTTTTTAATCACTCCTTCGTCTTGATGACCATTCTCCACAGAGGTATAACCTCCTCGAGTGTGATGCTGTCCACGGGGAGCGCCACCACGTCCTCGCCCTCTCGTCCCACGAAAGTTATGGCCATTTTGCAAGCCATTTGCATCACCATTAGCATGACTGGGTTTCGTGGTGATGCCACCACGACCACCCCGCGAGATATGTGCCCCACGTCCATTGGACTGTCCAGAGATGGCACCGCGATACGATCCCCGTAGAGGAGCAGGGGGAAGAGCATCCCTTAACTGGCCTAGCCCGCCTGGTCCCAGAGGTGATCCATAGCCTATATTTGCTGGTGTGTTCTGTGCTGCCCTCGTATTTGCAGCCCGCGATCCAGCCACGAGTTGTCGATCGGTTAGGTTGAGAATAGAGAATACGGGAACAGTCTGCCCTCGGAACGGAGAGCAACGATCACCCAGTGTTGTTCCGCTCATAAATGGTGCATCGAACACAACATCAAGAAAGACTGTTCGAGGAGTGCGAGTGACGCCAACCACGGTACCTCGATAAGCAAGAGGAACCTTTCCAGACTCCTGAACATAGACAACGCGATCTCCAAGAGAAAATCGTTGATTTCCAAGTCGGTGCTCAACATCAGCCGGCTTCAACAGTGCTTGTCGCGGGACGCCTTTGATTCGCTTGATTTCATGTGCAGATTGTACTTGAGCTATGCGATCCGCATCAAGCTCGATACGTTTCACAACGTCAGAATCGAGTTGCTCAGCATCAAGAGGGACTTTCTCCAGATGTTTAGACTCGACAGATTTCAACCAAGCTTTGATCTCCTTCATTTTACTCATCGCAATCTCCTCGGGGTAGAAGTCTGTAGGCTCGTATATATCACCTTGTGGATTCCTCTGAATCCCGGCAATAAATTCTGGAAATTTGATCATGTATTGCTGAATGAGGTCAATCGCCTTATTACTAAATTCCCAGCCGCTGTCTCCTCGGCGGGAGTAGCCCAAGACTTTCAGTTTGCGAGCTTCGAATTTCAGATTGAGACCAAGATTAGCTCTTTGGCCATCAATTGTCACGGAGAATGACGAGGTGATCTTTGCTAAAACGAGAGCGTTCAAGTGGAGGTTCCTTGCGATAGCAAACGATGGCGTATAAGGCGAGAGTTTCTCTGCCTCCCTAACATGTCGTTTACCAAATTCGGGCTCCTTACCCTTGACCGCTGCCATCATACCAGTGATCTTCCCATCTTCATGTGAAGTGACCTGCACTGCTGTTCCATAGTTGAACTCTCCCAAGAAGAAAGCCTTCGACCCTTCGGGGAATTCCTCCTCAATGGGGAGCGCCTCTCTTTCAAGGAACCGTTCGTCTTCACTGATAATGCTATCAACGATAAGCTGTAGAGCATGATCTGTCTCTTGCCCAGGAATATCCGCAAATTCCTTAATTGTCGCACCGTCGTCAGTTTTTCTCAGACCTTTGAGCAATTGAACATGGATGACTGATTCAACAGGGCCGATAATCATTCCGAGGCGTTTGCTATAGTATCCTTCGATTCTGTCTGACTTCCTAGCCCACTGCTCTATTTGGGGTGGAGAATGTGGTATCGCAACAATATGTTGCTCTCCTTCCGGCAAGACGTAATCAAATAACTCATCCGACACTCGGTCCACAAGGGCTTCCTGGAGAAAAGGATAGCCGACGTAGACGCGTTTTCCAAGCTTCGCTTTCGCTAACTCAATATTGGATCTGGCTTCTGGCCCAAGTAGTGTAATGACCATACTCTCCTTACGACTGTCCTGCTGGAAAACATTAACGCCATGGAATGCCAGTTGCCCGGCATGTGGTAGTGTCTTTAGAGTTGGGAATCCTGCCAAAGCCGCAGCGCCAAGCTTAACACCATCGACGAGTCCAACATAATGTTCAAGTCCGTCCATAGTTGGGAGTTCGTATATGTTTTCGATGCAGTGGCACCTGGGAATATCCGGGAAGATTCCAGGGAGAGGGGATGGATAGACAAATTCAATAGATGGAGAGTACGTGAACTTCAGCGTGACACCAAATTCGTTCCGTCCTCTCTCCTCTGGAGTTAGAAGATGCTCACGAGAGGCCATAGCAGGGAGCAAACGTTTCTCGTCAATAAAAGGAATTTTGACGACGGCCTCCCATTCCATTTTCTTGCCATTCATATCGAGCTCAAAGTCACGGGGATAGAAGTCGATAATAGGCGAGTCTGGAGATGTCATAAGGTCCCAATAAGCAGGGGGGACGATCTTTTTGCTACGATCAGGTAGCACGCCCATAAGCTGTTGGAATGGACGGAATGGTTGTCCTAGTTTGAAATCGATATTTGCACCAAGACCCTTTTTCACGTCTGAAGAAAGACCAATTAGCCTTAATATAACTGGAAAGAAACAGGGTACGAACCAGAAATCATGGGCGCATAGTGATATTGGAAGTACCACGGCCAGGACACAACGCCACGATAGTAGTAGAATAACACCCACTGAAGTCCTTGCACGTAGTTCTCCGTCAACTTGGTCATTGCTGCTTCGTCTTCCAGACCATGACCAAACTTCTCCATATAATATTTGTTTTTCCATTCCTGGAACTTCTTCTCATACTTCTGCTCGGCAGCCATCTGAGCCTCTTCTGCAGTTTGCTCGTAAACCTTTGCATTCTCATATCTTTTGATCACTCGTCGGAGCGCCATAGAAGCTTCTTCATCCTCGGATTCTTCGGATTCCTCGGCGTCACCTTCCCCTCCATTGGCAAGGGTAGAGCCTGGAAGTTGAAGTCTGATGAATCGTTCGCCATGGTCGTCTGTTATCGTCGTCCACATTAGTCGTAGGTCATCTGCAAGTTGTTCGACGAATTTTCGGTCTCGCGCGGGAAGGGTTGGTGAAAGATCCAACGGCTTAGCATGCTGAATATTAGACGGTCGATTCAAAACATATTGCTTGATGTCTTTGAGAAGCTTCTTCTGTGAGGGGGTTATCGTAAACGATTTCTGGCTGTCATTCGACTCCGTTGCGTCACTGTTCGAAGACTTCGAACGGATCCATTTCGCGTCCGAGTACTCGGCTTCGAAAAAGCGAAACTCAAATTCAGAGAGATGATCGAGAAGAATACCTAGCCGTTGCAAATTAATGGTTCCATACTCGTTAATATAACCACCCATCTTTGGAAGCGCCTCTTTGTACTTGGTGAACATCAATGCGAGTGCCCCTTCGTTGATATGCATGTGCGGTAAGTTTGGTAGAAAGTCATTCCCAACGAAAAACGCCATAAGTATAAAATCGTCAATGATACGTTCCATGTCAAAATCAATGCTAGAATCTTTGATAGCCTTCAGTTCCTGAAACTCCAATTCCAGATACTCCCGGACAATGCAAAGATGCAGTAAATAGAAGTTCTGATGTTCGAGCTCTTTCGATTTCTTTTGTGCCTGTCGTCCGAATGTGACCTCTTCACGTAGTAGACAGAAGTACGGGTCATGGCTAAGAAGGCCCAGCATGATCAGATCTGCGTCCAATCCATACAAGCAATGGCGCACGTTTGGGTCATAATCCGGCTGGGCTTTCGCCTGACGGATATATTCCATGATCTTGTGTTCGCCTTCTCCCGGTACTTCATGACCGGAGAGAACAATATCAACACCTTGCCAATCCACATCCTCAGAGATCTTCTTGCTAATGAAGTACTTCAACTGTTTGGTTAACCGAGCCATGAATTCGGTACCTGGGGTAATGCAATTGCTGTCAAATGCATCTTCCTTTGGCATTTCGATACCCTGAGCGATAGCTTTTTCCTTTGCGACTTCGGCATCAAGCGCAGAACGAAATCGTCGAGCACGCTGTTGATTCATTTTTGCGCGCGGAGCTACTCCATCCACAGCCATGAAGAAGAGCTTCTTTGGCTTTATCTTCCCGTATAAATGCTCGATGTAGTTGAAAATAGCGATGAACATTTGATCTTCGGACATCCGGTGCGTGGGTGAATCTGAATCGCTGTGTGTGCAGTTGTGAATAATTCCATTCATGTCGAAGTAGAGATTGTCGAATTCTGGGATGCGATTCTCGGCGATCAACTGCGATATCGAGGGATAGCGCTCGCTGAGCCATCGAAAGAATTTGGGAACACCCATGGCTGTTTCTAGCTATGAGAGTCTGATGGTATGGGATCGAACTAGGCACCACAGAAAGAAAGCTGGGATCTCGCGATTCAATCGCAAGGCATTAAATAAAACGATCTCAACAGCACCAAAGGAGAGATATGTAGAATCTGAAAACGTAACACTCGTAACGTGGTACTAAATCAGAAAAGAAAACGAAACGAGATCGAATAAAAAGAAAGGAAGAAATCTTCAGACGCGCGATGCGAATGCGAACAAGAACAGTGTGCTCTTATTCACCTTCCGATGCGGGATGATACTGCCTCTTCATGCGTTCGCCGCCTTAGCCTTGAAACTAAGGCTGCAAAGTCGAGGTGTTTTACTGCGGAGCAATGATTCTCCCCTTCCGGGAGCAGACTTCCCTCGCCGGAAATGGTTTAGTGCCTATTAACGCGCTCCGCGTGTTTGGAGCTTCCACCGCAGATTTGCTTGCTTCTGCCATCACCAGCTTTACTTCTTGCAGGAAACTTCCAAATATAAAAGCCGGACAGTTTCCTGCCTCAGGAACTCCTTCCTGAATCTTTAACAGATCTTCACTCGCGATCAGGTCAATCTGAAAGCAGTCATGGAGCCTTATGACGATGGTGAGACTTCTTATTCTCGGTTGGAGCTCATTCTAACAACGACCCAGGTTTTATTGAGGAACAGGAGGAGCAAGAAGAAGAGAGAAATGAAGAGAAGATTATCAATGAAGGTGTGTTTTATTCTGTAACAGGAGACACGTTTTACGACTGACTTGTTCATTGTCTCGAAGAATACAAAACGTGGAAGAAAAATGCGCCGTTTCTCTACGACATGATTCTGAGCACTGCTCTCGAGTGGCCCACCCTTACCACGCAATGGCTTCCCGATAAACAAGAGTATGTTTCGTGTATTTTTGTCGTTGAAAGTCTTTCGTCTAATGAGCTCTAGGGTTCCCGACAAGCCTTATTCTACGCATCGCTTACTCCTTGGTACTCATACATCCAACGACGCGAAAAATTATCTGCAAATTGCGCATGTCCAATTACCAAACCCAAACTACCCAGAAGCAGAAGACTATGATGAGGAGCGCGGCGAAATTGGAGGTTACGGGGGCGGCGCAAAGAAGAGCGCGGTGGAAGTCAAATTCAATATTGTCCAGAAAATTGACCACAAGGGAGAGGTTAATAAAGCAAGATACCAACCACAGAACCCCAACATCATCGCGACAATGTGCACGGATGGTAGGGTCATGATCTGGGATCGGTCTAAACACCCAAGCATTCCCACAGGAACCGTTAATCCCCAGTTGGAGCTGTTAGGACATACAAAGGAAGGGTTCGGGCTGAGCTGGAGCCCGCATGCAGAGGGAAAATTGGTGACTGGAAGTGAAGACAAGACAGTGCGACTCTGGTGGGTAACTTCCATTTCGAGCCTGTTGCTTTTAGGAAATTAACGACGGCTACAGGGATATGGAAACGTACACCAAGGGAAATAAGGCTATCAGGCCAATTAGTACCTATACACATCATTCGTCTATCGTGAACGATGTCCAATATCACCCTTTGCATTCCTCGCTCATCGGTACTGTGTCGGACGATATTACGCTTCAGATCATCGACATTCGAGAGTCCGACACCACAAAAGCGGCAGCTGTTGCCGAAGGACAGCACCGAGACGCTATCAATGCGATCGCATTCAACCCGGCCGCCGAAACGGTCCTAGCCACGGGATCCGCGGACAAGTCTATAGGGTTGTGGGATCTTCGAAACCTGAAATCCAAACTACATGCCCTTGAGTGCCACACTGAGTCAGTCACCTCTGTATCTTGGCACCCCTTTGAAGAGGCAGTTTTGGCAAGTGCAAGCTACGATCGAAAGATTATGTTCTGGGATTTGAGCAGAGCGGGCGAAGAACAGACTCCTGAAGATGCTCAAGATGGTCCACCTGAATTGTGAGTTCCTCGTGCCATAGCCATCGTGATACCCCTACTAACCGTCTTGTAAATAGGTTGTTTATGCACGGTGGTCATACCAACCGAATCTCCGACTTTAGCTGGAATCTGAGCGATCCATGGGTGCTCTGCTCGGCAGCAGAGGATAATTTGTTGCAAGTGTGGAAAGTCTCAGATGCGATTGTGGGCAAAGATCTCGGGGATGTCCCGACAGAGGAGTTGGAGGCCTGAAGAGAGACAACTTAGGCACTTGCTAGAGGCAATCCTGAAAATGCCAGCCATAATAAGCCTTTCTCCAGAATCTTCCTTTCAGAATAGTTCCCTAGAATCCAAGAGTAACAATGAATGAAATCAAAGGGCTAAAAGAACTGAGCTTATCGCCCGTTCCTTATCAGTAAGTCGTGCATTGCCGTTGTTATAGCAGCAGCAGAACTAAGCCTAATTTGAAGCTGTCCTATAATCTAATTGGTTGATGCACATAAAGTAATTTCGGGCAATTCCTTCCACAGTAAAAGCGGCAACAGAATAGGTGATTCATTGCGGGGATCCAATCGTCTTACGAAAAAAAAAAAAATAATTAGCAATCGTCGCTGACCGAAAGGACCGCCATTGTTTCCGATGTCTACCTAGCTCCGGTCAATCTACTCATCAATTGTCTTTCTTCCGCCCTGGTGCTTAAATTCTCTTGCTCCTGTCTCATTTTTATCCATCAAAATAGACTCCTGGTCGCTCGGTCATTGTAAACTTCTCACATCATCAACTGATACGCAATGGGCTCCGGCTCATCCCCACCTCTCGGCCCAAGGCCCTATTCAGCAGTGCCGTCTCATCTCTTGAATGGCAGCTCACCATTACATTCCTCGACCGCGACGAGCAATAGTGCTCGCGAGCGTGAGAGCTTGAATTCCTCTATCCGCTCGTCGTTCCGCGGTGCCGTCAGTTTTGAGGCAGCGGACACAAATGCAGAGAATGAGCCCAACGAGGCTGATAAGACAGGACCAGTGAGTCCGCCTTCACTAGTTAGTCGACCGGCCAGTCCGTACACACTGGTACCACCAATTGATTTCGACGGCTTGAGCTGGCCATGTGAGTATACGTATCACTCTGACTGCATTTATTCATGAGCTAATGATTCTTAGGCCCCGGCACAAAAGAGCGGCTAGAGGAATCTCCTGAGCAGAATGAAGAGCGAGTGAAGAGGCTAGCAAGTGCTGTGAAGACTATCTTGGAGTGTGTGGGAGAAGATCCAGAAAGAGAAGGTCTTCTGGGGACCCCCGAACGCTATGCTAAGGCGATGCTCTGGTTTACAAAGGGATACATGGAGAATGTTCGGGATTTGGTAAACAATGCCACGTTTATGGAAGATCACGATGAGTTAGTCATTGTGAAGGATATCGAAGTGTTCTCGCTATGCGAGCATCACATGGTACCATTTACCGGGAAGGTGAGTTTTCCCCTCTCGTTTCCAGGGACCCATGGCAGCAACTAACTTGACTTCCTTTATAGATTCATATCGGTTACATTCCTGACCGCCGAGTGCTCGGCCTTTCCAAACTGGCCCGTCTGGCCGAAATGTTCTCCCGGCGCCTGCAAGTCCAAGAACGTCTCACGAAACAAATCGCTTTAGCTATCAAAGAAGTGTTGAATCCACGAGGAGTCGGTGTTGTCATGGAATCATCGCATCTCTGCATGGTGATGCGTGGTGTGCAAAAGACTACCAGCACAACCACAACAAGCTGTATGCTTGGCTGCATGCGAACAAGCGCGAAGACTCGAGAGGAGTTTTTGACACTTCTCAATCGCCGGTGATTTGCAATTGCAGCAGTAATCAGATATCTTGTGAGTTGAGTGTATTTTAAGCGTTTCCTTTCTTATTTTCTACCACTCTCTTCTATTTCCCTCTCGGCGATTTCTCAAGAACGGAGTTATGGCGGAACCTCTCAACAGGATTTTTGGCTAGGCATTTTGCTTTCATGTTCATTTTTACACTCTACAGCAGTGGGCGGTGATGATCTTTCCACTGAAACTGCATGAATGTATTGTTCTCAACGATTTTTAGATACATACATGATACTCCGCAAGGAACTCGACTCTATTTGAAAGGCGTTTTGTACTGTTAGAAGCTGCTAATGAGATTTAATTAATGATCCTAACTGTTAGGGCTTCTTACTGAATCCTAGATGTTTCCAGGCTATAGAACAAGGGGGATGAGCAGACAAAATGCCTGACAATGGAGTTATCACGTGAAACAACAGACAGTTTTCACCTTCAGGGACTGCAAATTTCTTATTGTGACATTGCCCCTCAGACAAACAAACAAACCCAGCCTTCTCACCGTCACGGCAACCAGCTGAGTTTCTTCTCCTCGCTACCTGCCTTCATCTGATATCTGACGCTGCGTAGCAACGCCTTCCGACTTCCTCCTTTCATCTTCTTTCTGGCAACACTTCTGTCATTGTCCAAATTGTCATTTCCTCATACTCGATGTTTTGATCCAAACAGCATGGCACGCGTCAAGTTCATTCGTCGTCGATCAGATGAACCTTCTCAGTTGAGACCCAGTGCACCTGCTCGCAACAGACCTTTGGCGCCTGCTCAGCCATCTAGCAGTGCTCAAAATCTTGATCCAAACATCGACCCACGCCTTCAAGACGTGAATGTCCATCCAGGAACCTTTGGCGACGACTCTCTGGTCAGCCAAGGCACAACTATCAATCCATCTGTGTCTCGAGGAGCCGCGGAGCCTTCTCAGCAATCCGCTGCACAGCTTGGAGGAGCAGATCCAAACTTGGTAGCTGCTGTCTCTGGGCTGTTGCTGCTTGGTGGTGCGAATCCTTCTCAAGCCACGGCTCCTCAAGTCACGGCTCCTCAAGCCCAGCCGAGACCACGTCGAGCGTAAGTTTACACATCGCCACACCGCAGAAGAATGTTCTCGTTGACTAAAATTCTTTCTAGTAATGATATCTTTCCAAACATCATTCAGCCACCAGCTGTGCCAAATCCCGATCCAGATTTTGGTGGGCCACGAATCAACAGCACTTCCAAGCGGGTGAAGCGAGACACTGGCGAATCCAAGAAACCCACATTGTCAGTTGAGCAGTTGTCTATGCAGTCATTCAAAAACAATTGTCGTCTTGACGCTAGGCGTGGGACGCCCCAGTTCAATATCTTCCAGGCTATCCTGCAACATGCCCACATCTTCTTTCATTTCATCACATGCCTCGACATTGACGAACTAGTCACTCTCTATGCCATCTCTAAGGATTTGCATAATGTGGTTAACACAGCCACAACAGCCATAATGCTCTCTCAAGCTATGCGTTATGCCTCGGATGCAGCAACAGTTTTCCCATTCAGATGCTACCGCAGACTCTGCAACGACGACAGCCGTGTCGAACTCGATCAGACTCGTGGGCAATCTCGTCTGATACCTTCCTTCCGCTGGCTTCGCATGGTCCGCTATCGTGAAGAGGTAGCACAGAAAATCATCACCATGCTGAACGATGAAGGCCTCTACCTCCCAGGACATTGTGCAACAATCGTCAAGAAAGTCTGGTTCCTGATGGATATCCCAGATAACCAGCGCCGTGTTGCTATCATCCAAAACGAAGATCTATGGTCCGCATCTGATCTTTTCTACGCAATTATGCTTTTTATGAGAATCGACATGCGCTGCACAGATCCACTTGCTAAGAGAGCCTACGGCCACATGCGTCGCATGCTCATAGCCCAACCCAGTATGACCATGCTATGCCGTGTGCTCGAACGCAAATTCCTCATCAACAGGGTTGAAACGGTGCAGACGTGGCTACGATGGAAATACGAGCCTCGCAACAACGATCCAGCCGATTTTTACGGAATGCCTCTTGCTGAATTGGGCTTGTTGCAATATGAGGGATATGGTAAGGATGGTAGACATGTTAAGCTTCTCCGCCCCGATGATTTGATCCTCAAAGAATGCGTGCGTAGGGGTATGGATATGGAGCCGGCGTTCTTTTGTATCCTGAACTGCACGGGACCACGGCCAGAGCCAGTTGTTGATGATGATGATACTATGTCGCTGGACGAAGCTGATAAGTGATGGCCATGCGCTATGAGTGTTATTCGGCTGCAGTATCAGATTCGCACAGCACAGGTCTGATGTAGTCACCCTAATTAGTTTTGATAGCAAATGAATGGAATTGAAATTATGTTGGTGAGTCAGTCAGGGTTAGGGTATCCAAATTGATAAGCTTCCCCGCAATGCTTCTTATAGTCAACCATTCAGGCACACACTGTAACTTCGAGAAACGGTGATGAAGAATAAATCTAGTCATATTAATGTTGTGTCAGAGTGCTCTCACAACCGCAGAGACAACTTAGTCCTTTATGTAAATGCTTCCAGTGCCTAGAATCTAGAGACTTGCTTCCCAGCCTCACGTCACCTGCCATAAAATATAAATATATCTACCTAGGTAACTGATAAGAAAATCTTAATTCTACCTAAGTATATTGCAACATCCTTAATCTTCAACAAGCTGGAACAACCTTGATCCTACCCAAGTGGTCGAACATATTCGAACACCATCCAGCGAAGGGTCAACCTCGCTACCTAGGTATCAGTAGCAATCGTCAATCAAAGATCTTATCAGGGGCAGTTGTATCAATCTCCAACTCACAATAACAACCCCGCACCAGCAAAAAAAAGAGAGAAAAAAAAAAGACATGGGTGACCACACCTTCTTCTTCTATGGTAATACCTCAACATTCTCATATCCATATGATCCTAACACATCAAACAGGAACCCTCATGGCCCCCTCAATCCTCCACCGCATAATCCACGGCTCCCCAACCCCCGAACTCTGGCAAAAGGCCCTCCTCACCACCCGGCCCGCCCTCTTACCCGGATACAGACGCTATCGAGTGCATAATGCAGATTATCCAGCCATTTTACCTTCCTCTGAGGCCGATTCGGCTGTACTAGGTGTTGTTGTCACGGGGCTTACGGAAGGGGATGTATTGAGATTAGATACCTTTGAAGGGTCACAATACGAGAAGCGTACTGTGAAGGTCAGGGTTTTGAAGTCTACTGCTGCCTCTACTGAGAATAAGCAAGCTCAGGATGGGGATGACAAAGCCTTGCAGAAGGGATTGGATCAGACTGCCCATCTGGCTGAGGGTGGTAATGAGACTGAAATGGACGAGGTTGAGGCGACGACATATGTATGGACGGACCTGGAGTCGGATCTTGATATGCATGCGGAGTGGGATTTTGAGTCTTTCAAGAGGGATAAGTTGCAATGGTGGATTACTGCACCGGAGGATGACTTGTGATAGTTGTCTACGACCTGGGTAGACGGGAGTGGTTGTACGTATCCTAGACGATAGACGGAATAATGAAAACGGGTCTCATTCAAAGCATGCATATTGGTATCTAAAATACAAGTGACTCCTATAATGCTAACCTCCATAACCCCGGAAAAATGACAACTTGATATGTAAATGCTCCCCCCCCCACCCATCTATGCACAATTAGACACAAGCAAATCAAGAGAAAATAGTGATAACACAAAAAAGTGGAAAATGAGAAGACTATCACCAGTATGTTAGGATTCAATGTTCGTCATACATGAGATCATGAAGTCCTCCTCTTCGACTTAACCTGTCGAGGACTAGTTCTGTCTCTGCCAGGCTTTTTAGACGACGGTGGTGTTCCCGGCACCTGCACAATAGGTACTCGCACCTCCACAATATTCCGTGGAGGAGTGTCCTGACTAAGGTACTCAAACATGTCTTCGAACACATCTTTATCAGCTTCGACACGCTTCCCAGGACCAGGACTTTCTTTTCCGGATTTATCTGCAGCGTCTTTCATGTCAACAGGCGAACTGTCAAGTATCTCCACATTAGCGTTCGATTCACGGTTTGGCAATTCACGTTCTGGTGTTTTGGGAATCTCGACCACCTCACTGACATGTTGCGCTGCTTTTGACCCATTGATTGTCTCCCGCTCAGGGGGAGGATCTGGAGCGCTTTGTTGCTCTGAAATCTGCGTCTCTTGAACGATAGACTGCTCATCTGAATCGGCTTCATCTTCTTTATCCTTCTCTTGGAAAGAATCAGCGATAATTTCCGGTTCGGCAACAGGGGCAGCTTCGGCATCTTGCGCGTTTTCAGTCGGATTAGCGGTCGAGGGACCTAATAAGTAAGAGATTGGCTGTGCATCCACCAATAAACCAGTGTCCCGACCACTTTCTTGCTCGTCATGCAGCTTGAAGAGAAATTCGCGGAGTCTCCGTCGCAACAGTCCCGACTTCAAAGTAGGCCAGTCAATATGTGTGTCCATTTCTCTCCGGAGCAGGTTTCTGATGAATGTGTCTGGCTCCTGCACAAACTTCTCCAAATATGCTAGCAGATAGAGACCGCAATCAGAAAAGTTAGGCTGCAACGGAATTCCTTTGGCCGTCATGCCTTTGACATCCTTCATGCTGAATTGGATCTTTGCTTTGATTGATTCTCCGACGAGGTATTGTTTCAGGACCTTGATAGCATGCTGCCTAGGTTCATTGAGTGAATCAAATGTGATGATTGTTGGCTGGTCAAGCGAGTATATCGGGCCTGCAAATTTGGGCTTCTTCCTCTTCACAAAATCCGTATCAGCAGCAATTGACTGATTGGGTTCAAAAGAATTTCCGTTGTGGAAAGCACCAGGTGGCGAAGTCCGATTCTCTTCCTTCTCGGGCCACTCATCGGCAGAATCTGCGCCGCTTTGAGGATTTGAGTTTGGCACGACGTCGTTTACTTTCATCCACGCATGCGAGACGCGGGTGGTCTCTTCAGGGGTAGCAGCTTTTGCAGAAGGAGGAGTCTCGGGGATTTCTTTCTGATCAATCGTCTCTTGTTGCTCTGGAGATTCTTGCTCCGACGCGACCTCTACTTCCTCGGCCTTGTAGCGTCTCTTGAGACTGGTGAGGTTGCAAATTATAGCCAGATACCAATGGGCGCTTTCATTGATAGGGATAATGACGTAGTCATGGTCGAATAGATCGACATTTCTCGTCCATTTCGCAACGCCTGGATAGTTAATTCCCTTTCTCCCCTTGACAGGAGTGGTGAGCGTGGCATAAAAATACGAATTGAAGAAGTAAACCCGCTTGGACACTTCTGGTTTGTTTCGTTCAAGGTAATGCTCCAAGAAGCGAGCATACAAGCCTATAAGATTGTCGTTCAGAAACTCTCCGTCGCGTAAGCGCTCGAGGTCGTAACTATTGACTTCTGCCTTTTTCTTTCCCACGCGCGGGTACACGAGTGGTTTCGACCACGTGCCGTCACCGGGGGAGGCTGTCTCGGGGATGGAATTAGGTTCATTTTCGACTAAGTCAACAAGACCTTGGCGATCCTTGCATCTTGTTTCCCGTTCTTTGAGAAATGCTTGATATGTTTTCACTGGGATTGCGATTCCTTCATCGTCGTGTGTTGACCGAGTATTCTTGACTGGACCAGAAGACTGCGTAACTGGTAAAGCCATCCGACGTGGTGGCTGCTTGATACCTTTGAGAGATTCCTCTTCGCCTTGCATTGTCGCTGATAACCTTTGTCGTTTCACTAGGTCGGGCTTTGTACTGTCGGCAGGCTCTGGACTACCGGGACTGCTCGGCCGCTTTTGATGAATCAGGTCGATAGTAGTCACATTATTAAAGGCTTTGTCCATCCAATTCCTGTGCAATGTCAGCGCTGATTAGGACCATGAAATAGTGTATATATGACCCACCCTAATTTCTCACGAAGTTTCACATTTTTCTTTTGTAGCAAAGAACAAAGCTGGTCTTTTTCTTGTTCGCTTGCAAACTCAACATCGACCAGATCCTGATTCACAGAACCCTCAATTTTGGAAAGACTGAATCGAGTTTTTAAGCTACTATGTGAACCTACTAGGACCTGCATTATCCGGCGAATCGGTACGCTCACTGACGGTTGCAGCTTGCTCGAAGTGAGCAGTCCAATAGTTCCTTTCCCCTCATCAAGGAATAGCTGGACGCTTCGGTTTTCAACTTTGACATTGCCATACCTAAAGAAGCTTACTTCAAATAGGTGTCTGTGGGATGCAACAAATCGCTGGCTGCGGGGATATCTTCTCTCTGGAGTCTTATTTGACGAGTTGAAGAGTGTTGGCCGGATATCATTCGGCGAAATTCTGCGTTTTAATCCCCTACTTTGCTTTTGGATGTCTTCATCGGAAATTGATTCGAAATTGATGGCTCGGAGATTTGAAGCGGGTTTTCTAGGATACGTTCGAAATGTGACGTCCTTCTGTAGCTCATCCGGGCTTTCACTCCTGTCAGAAAGATGGTGTTCTTCACTGTCAGCTGCGTCTTTAACGACGTGAGTTGTAGAGTTGACTTTTTCGACCTGCAAGGGGGCAATATCGTCAATCTCTATAGATTCGCCTGATCTATTCTCTTCTTTGGTCGATTTCACTTCCACGGAAGCATCCTCAGGGTCATCATCTTCTGGGACCTGAAACACTTGGGTTGGGTTTCCTTTCGTTTCATAGTCTCCAGTTGGTTCCACACTCTGGTCTCGACGTGTGTCTCCTTCGTGAACCGACTGTGTGTCATCATCAACCACTAAATCAATGACTGGGCCAGATGAATGACGCCGACGTTTCAATACCCTGTCATCATTATCAACCAATGTTGGCGAGCTCAGCGGGTGTCGAGATGGCGTTGAATATTGCGCAGAGCCGTTAGCGGTGTTTCGTCCTCCCCAGGCACGTACCGGGCCACTATCCCTCCGTCTTGAGTTTATGAAATCTCTTGGGTGAAAATTGAATTTCTGAGGTTAAAGAGAGAGTTAGTGATAGAATATCATCAGCTCCAGATGTATGCGTACTCGGATTTGTGACTTATTATTAGAACCCCCGAATGTCTGCCCAGGTCTGATTGGAACATCGTCTGGAGATTTGCTAATTGAAGAAGAAAGTCAGCGGTAGTCTCCGAGGACTAGTAGGAAGTTCGACGTACTTGTAGGTTGGAAACAATCTCTGCTCAGCTGAGGCACTCTCCTCTCTCCGCCGCATGTTCAGTCTGCCAGCACTATCTGAGTCAGCAATGATGACGATTCAACGATTATAGAGGCTAGAATGAGAGCTCACAAATCCCCCCGTGACAAAAACTAGATATCAAATTAGCAACAGTCTTCGAATGACTAGATTTAGTATGTTGTGCATGCAATGTCGAGCTAAACAAGTGATTTTTCCTCAGAGGGGCAGTTGTCACTCCGTGTATATAGAATAATCCAAAATACTTACAGTCATATTGCCTTTTCTCCTCGCATTTGAAGATGCGCCTGCTGTCCTTTGTCCGGATTTTCTCTCCGGATCCTCCGCTTCTTCACCATGAGACGCAAGGTTATCAGAGTTGGCACTGGGGTCTGAGCGGTGACCAGTGGAAGGCGGTGGTCCAGTAAGATATTGCGTAAGTTCCGCAAGAAACTGCATTTATTTTATGCGATCTGCCAATGAGTACGCGTAAAGAGGCATCATAAGTTAGGTCCATAGGCTGGCAAAGCTGATCAGATGAGAATGAGGAGACGCGGAGCTTTCAGAGTGGTTTGGAAGAATGATAAATGGCTGCCGGTATGATGCAGTGGTGCATGTGCCCCGTACCCACTAAGAAAGGCGGCCCAGACTTTTTTTGCCGGAAGCTGCTCTTGGTGCCTCAGGAACCACTATATATACCTCTAGCAGACTTATTTACTATCCTTTAGAAGAGAATCTTTCATATCAATCATCATACTGTTACAATTCCACCGATCATCAACATCAAGAGTAAGCCTTTCATAATGCACACACACCATATGAGTAAAATCTCTCCAAAAGCAACATGAGTCAGTGAGTCCAAAGGAAGAAGAGACAAGAAAAGGAAAAGAAAAAGCCCAAGACATCACTCCATAATAGCTCTGAACATTTTGTATTTCCGGATATTCCCTTCCCACTCATTGTCATACGATCATGGCTCCAATCCAATCAAAACCGAATAAAGATAAAAAACAGAAACAAGAAATGCAGCAATGACCAAAAACCCCCGCAGGAAACATCAAAGACAATTGTGTCAAGAAATTTTACTATACAAGTGGCTGCATCAAGAACAGATTACCGCCTTATGACCAAAAAAAATCAAGACGCCATTCCTTTGCTCCTATCTCCGAAGGATTCATCATTGTTACCTCCCCTTCGGCGCTCGTTGGCTCCGTGGTGGTAGCCATGGTGATGATGGCCGGAGTTTGCCGCGGCCTTCTCTTGTCGAGCTTGGTCGATGGCTGACCTCTGGGCGATACTATCATCGTGACTCTTCCAGACTATGTTAGTGTCTGCTGGTAGAGCTAGTACACGTTTTATTGTTTCTCTGTAAAGCCGGTCAGTAAGTTGTATGTAGTCATTTTGTGTATCCCGGGTCATACCTTATTTTAATATTTCGGCCTCCGTCGATCCTGGTCCATACACTGAGCACATCCTCGCCGCTCCGGACACTCAAGACCGTACCGCAGACCTCGTCTCCTGCCTCTGCGAATTGGTCGCCGACTATGGCTAACAGGAGATCTTCCCAGTAGCGGTCCGCCACACCCTTCTTTAGGCGGATAATCCACTTTCCACCACGCTTGTTGGCCTCGTCTTCCCACACCGGACGGATGCCCTTCTTGAAGATGTGATAGTCCGAAACAGTGGGAAGAAGTGAGGGGCGCTTCAGGTGGGAGTAGATTGTCCAGAAGCTCTCCACGGATGATATGGATGCGAGAGCAACTGTCGATTTCTCGTAATCGGAGTATTTCGGAGTGGGAGGGCGGTACCAAACAATCCAAGTTGATTTCAGTGGATGTTCTTTGATAGCCGTTGTAGATGTGGTGTCGAGTGAGGAGGAGGAGGTCTTTGATTTTATATTTCCCGCCGCAGATGACGTATCTTCGCTCGTATCGCGTTTGTCTTTTGTCGTCGAACTGAGATCGAAAGTGCTCCCGGGAGTCTTGGGAGTCTTTGTGGACGAGCCAAAAGATGCGAATGCGCCGGAACCAAGCCCAAAGGCGTTCGACGCACCAGCGGAAGGCGAAGAGACACCTCCGGAGAGGGGTGATATGGCGTTGAAAGGATTAGATCGTCCGTGCGAGCTGTCGGGTCCGAAGCGCTTCGATGAATGAGTACGAGGAAGCTCTGGTCTGGAGCTACCTTCCTTGTCACTGGCCGTGGACAGAGACAATTTGCTTGCGCTGGAGGTACAAAATGTCAGTATACAGTAAAGCTCACTTACACCGCAGAAGCAAAAAGACGAAAATAATAGCGACGTACTTTGATCTCCGGGTCCACAGGTTTGCTTGATCCATCGAGAAGGCGGCTACGACAGCTCGGAAAGGCCAACGAACATTCGGTTGTTGAGAAGCAAGTCAAGTATCGAGATTTGGAGACTTGAGTGTAAGCGAAAAGTCGAGTACCGAATACTGAGTAGCGGACAATTGGAGGAGAGGCTGTTCTTGGATTTGTTCAGGAGTAACACACTAAAGTATAAATTAGTCGTTATTGAAGAGCTAAATAGCGGAGTAAAGGCGGCAGGGTAGTGGTTAGAAACGAGGTGGTTGAGTTTTGTGAGGATGATGTTTGGAGTGGGATGGGATGGATTGGCCTGAGGTTTTGGAGAAATTGGTAATTTATCGTGTAATGTTACGCTTTATTCAGGATGAAATGTACGAAAACAGCTAGAATTACATACGCAGTTACAGACACCGTATGCACCAATCGGCATCTTTCTGTCACCCGATCCCGCCTTCGACGAGGCTCCACTTGGGGCTTGACTGTTTATTTCTCTGCAGGAAATTTTTCTTCCTTCTTCTCTTCTCCAAAACCCAAGACCACCGACTCAAATCATCGCCAGTTCTCTATTTTCATTTTCCTACAGCGCTGGCGATTCCGATGTGTGTGTCGAGATTAATTGGCGTTACAGCCAACTATCGCATCTAAAACCATCATCACGAGGGCTGCTTCTTTTGCAGCTTCCCATGATGCGTTGATGACCTGAATGACGGGACAAACCTTTTGAAACTATTCGTAGATTTGATCTATTCTCCTCTATCTTTGTGATATTGAAGGATGGCATGTCTGACGGACTGTAAAGATTGGATCGAGTACCTTCGGTATGTGTAATCTTTTTCGTCGTCTTCATAGCTCCCTGTCTTAGATGAAGAATCATGAGCGTATGGTAATCCGATCCTCAACCGCAAAACTACGGTTCTATCCTTTCTACAAGGTCGCTGGTTGAGATTGAGGTGTTAAGGCAAAGTCTGATAATAAATAATCATTTTCCCCCTCGTACTGTCCTTGGCAAATCAGGATCGTCGTTAGCAAGCACTTGTTCACAGCTAACTTGGAATTTTTAGAGATATAGACCTCCGGAGACTACCCACTGTGACTAGATGCTGCCCGGAATTGTTAAGAAGCGAGTGCCCAGGTGAACAATAGATAATATGTACAATTGAATGTAATTTAATTACAGGAGACCTCATCTATCTCTCTCAAACGAGTGTGTATACACTGTTCCATCCCGCAGCTCATGTATGGAGTCGCTGTCTAGCCATCCAAACTCAGTATACCTCCGCCCGTCTCTCAATTCGTGTATTGTGACTCGGCGATGACTTTTCCTTCGTCGCGGACGGGGCCGTGACACAGGTCCGCTCCTGCTTGACTCCAAGCTGCCAGCATCACTGGATGCCGCGCTAAAAGGCGAAAACTGCTCCTGGTCTTGACTGACAGAGAGCTGCAGCATATGGTCGGCTGCCATTGCAGCGCCGGCTTCACAAAACCATTTCTGCAGTGATTCCACGTATACATGTTCATTTTCTTCAAAGACCACGTTCGAATGAGTAATATGAGGCAGGTCAGCTTGGGGAGATATAACGACCCAACCACTGTCGCCAGAACTTAGCAGTTCAATAGAACTATTATAAGTTTGGACTTCAAAAGCACGAAGCACAACCGCGTCGCCTTCCGTCACTCTAGGTAGTGATGTTTCTGTTGGCTGGACGATATTGACGACGATTGTTGTTCCCGCCATAGACATGTCGGTAACTCGTAGTTGCATGTTATATCCTTTAGTTGTAGTTGTCAAGAACTCAACAGGTGACGCATCGACAACAACGGCAATAACGTCAACTGTCTTGTGAAGCCGTCCAACGAGCGTAGCCAGAGGAAGGTAGATTTGCGACTTCGTCGTTTCGTCGATGAAGGACGTGTGATCTTCTTGAAAGCCGCGCTGCCTCATCTCATCTACCTCATAATCCTCAGTCTCTGTCGGTCTCAATGTATGGTTCTCTACTAGAACGACTTCGTCGAGCTTCTCTGAGACGTTCCCACCTTCATCAACAGAATGGTGAACCGGGTACTCCTCAGTTGATAATTGCCTGTCAGAAATTTGTGAAGGCCTCTCATCCGAGCCATCAATCCAGCGACAGTGGCCGTTATCATCGACAACTTCCGACTCAACCATCTCCGATGGTGGCGATAAGCCATGACCCACTGAAAGTAGAGCCGTAGGTCCGAGATGGCTGTTTTGAGAATCGCCTTTGACTGCTGATGGAGGAGTAGGTACCGGCATTGGAGACACATTTCGATATGCCAGTCGCTGGGTCGAGCTGGTAAATTGCTCTTGGACGGCTATTTGACCTTCTGAGGCCGGACACTGATCCTCGTTATCGCCGTGATCAACTGGCATATTGTCAACATCCAAAACGCTGCCATGCTCTTGCTCTTCATGCGTCGTATTGTTGTCAATGGTGCTTGTGGCGCTAGGTTTCGGTCGCACTTTCGTCGCGTCTAATTGTCCAGTTACGCTGTCAGAATCGCCTGGCTTTGACAGTATCTGATCCATGTCACTAGCAGGAGCTTTGTGTTCACAATCCTCTTCTGCTTGTGCATAACCCGTTGCGGCTAGGCTGTCCACAGTATGGCGTAGTAAATGTTCATCATTGGCGTCTTCGTGCTCCTGAGTATCGATTTCGCTTGGCACCATGTCTCCATCACTTTTTTCATCTTCCCCATCGTTGTATGCATCTCTATCTTCTTCCATGTCATCGATGCTCTGGATTGAATTCTGATCGTCGGCGACATCAATCTGTGGGGACAATCCTGTGTCATTGGTGGCGTCATTGCTATCCTTTGCCGAAGGTGCTGTCATTAGACGAGGCTCATCTTCGCTATCACTATCTAATACGATTACTTCCGGGTGGACGGTAGGATGCGGACTTCTCAATGGTGATTTCTCTCGGTAAGCATCGTCAGCACTCCCCTCATCATATCCAGTTCCAGGACCGGATTCTTCAGATTGTTTAGACATAATGTCATCTTCATCCCCTTCGGCATCATCGGAAAAGCCTCCGTCTTCAGAGTCGCTTTCATTGTCCTCCTCCTCTTCGACCTGCCCACTTTCTCTTCTATAGCCAACAGGACTAAAACCGCCAACACTAATGATCTCCGCATGTGATGATGCATCGTCATCCACATCGTCCGACTCCGACCCAGCGAGATCACCATCTTTGCCATCCTCAGAAATAGAGTCATACGCATTCGTGATTTCGCCGCCACTTTGTTCAATACGGTCTCCCTGTATTGATTCATGATCTTTTCCGTCTCCGTCCGCTTCTGTTTCATTCGTGATTTCCGGCCCGTTACTGTCGAAAACCGTGGGTCCATCGCCATTTTCTGCAGAACATTCACCTGCGTGAGTGGGTTCCGAAGATAAATAGTGCTCGTGGGCGCCTTGCACAGTGTTTCCATCGTTGAACAGTTCGTGAGAATTCACTTCTACGTATACTGATTGCAGATTTTTCTGCAAGCCCTGTTTATTCATTCTGTTTTGAGCATCCAATTCATGCCATTCCGCAGCAGCCGAGAAGTGGTTGCTGTAGACATCAGATGAGACATTGACATGATTGCTCTGATCGGCAGATTCGGTGAATTCTTGGGAGGATTGCGGCCGGGGATTTGGTATATTGTTAAGCAATACATCGGAAAGGTTCGGAGAGTCTGCGGGCGTGTGGACCAGAGGTGATGGTGTTGGGAAAGTCGAAGAGGCTATATGATCCAGACGTGGTAATGCAAAGGAGAGCCGAGCATCTGGTAAATTAGGCTCAACGGGTGTTTGTTCCAAAGAAGGCGTTTCAACTTCGACTTCCTCGACATTGTCACATACAATTTGCACCCCCTGTACAGCTGTATCAGACTCAGCAAGTTGCAAGTTATCCCCCACCCGATCTTCCACAAGACTGGTATGGGGTAGCGTCCCAGTAGGGTCCTCGGATTCGTAGGCGGGGTCAGCTGATGCTGCATTAATATTCCCATCCGCATCTCGGTCTAGCAATTCCTCGTCGGAGTCGAACCAATTCTCGTTATTCCCAATGAGATCTTCTGATTGATCGTCAGATTCGTCCAGCAATCGCCACTCGCTACTCGGAAAACTGAACCTCGGCCGTTTTCTACCTATGCCGGGTATATATCCATCCTCCTCTGCGAGGATATCGTAGGCGGAAGTAGGTACAGGGCTCCCCGATCGAAGTCGTTTCATACGCAGAAATGCAGGTGTTTCCCACCGCTCCTGAGACAGAGTCGGGGAGGGAAGACGGCCAGAGAGCTGCGCAGGAGTGATGGACTCAATATGTTGCGCATCTTGTTTGGGTGACGCTGGCTGCTCATAATCAACGGCAGCAGTCGTTTTCCCGTTCCTAGTTGCCTTGGGACTGTTAGCCGGAAGTCAAAACACATACTAGCCACTTTCCTACCTCAAACTTCACCCGAAAATTGAACTGCAATTCCCAACGGAGTGACTTCCCAGGAGTTGACTGAACTTTCTGATTCTCTGTCCATTGCGCTCCCTGCAAGCCCAACGTGACTGTATCCCCGATACCAACTTTGGTGCGGGCAACCTCCTCGGCACATCGCCCACAAAATGTCACCTTGACCTGCCCGTTTTGGTTTCTGAGGCGAAAGTCTGGTTCGGCGAGGAGAAGGCTGAGTACGCGATTCGAGCTGGAAAACGGCCACACAAGTGTAACAACGCCCTGTACAGAGTACCGGTCTGGATCTTCAATATCTGGAGAAAGTTGTGGTATACATATGAGATTCGGACGTTGATCCGGTTCATGCGACTCTGAAACGGCCGGCATTTCCATGTCTTTGGACGTTAGTTGGTGAGAAATGGATGCGCTCGTTGGCGGTTTGCTTGAGGTTATTCCATGACTCCGGTAGAGATATTCCGCATTCATCGATTTCAAGAGAAACTGTAGAAAGGCATGATCATGCCGAAGTTACTTCTAGTATAAACTAGGAGGAAGATAAAATTATAAAAGACAAAGGAAAAATACTAGCAGGCTAGTAATGAAAGAATGACATTAGGTATTTGAGGTCTTGTCTTGAAGATTGAAAGAAAAAGAGAGTATTGTCGTCACTATGCCCAAAGAGGTTGGAAGCAGCTACCCGTCCTGGTCTTGGCACCGTGTCCAGACTCCATACTCTTTCATGTCTTTCTTCTCCTTCATCCCTTCATCTTCTTTTATTATTCACTGATTCTACCATTAGGCTCTCTGTACAATCTTTGACCACAGAGTTGTTATACAGAATGGAGATTTTCAGGTTAAGTTTGCTTATCGGATACTCCCAGTTTCTGTTAGATCAGTCTAAACCATCTTGCTCGGTGAAGCTATTCACAAATGAGCTTGATCTTCAGCGCCCTGAGGATCCACTAGTAAAGTCCATCTAAACCTCTGGCTTCGTTCGACTCTTGGTGACTCACTTCTGGCAAAGAGGCGTTGACTACCTTCCTTTAGGACCTGCATCACAGCAGCGTCCAATACGCTACCAGATAGCCAGAATGCATGTCTTCATTTCGATGCCCACCACTGGCAGTTTTGAGCTTAGAGATGGGTTAAGTGACTATTTATATGTTGCTTGAACACCGAGCGAATCTAGTCTTGTTGACATTAAGATTTCATCCTCCGTCAACCAACTCTTCCTCTTCTACGGAGTATCATATCAACTGCAGATACGAAGCCAACTACGACATGGCGTTTAGAGACTTTACGTTCTTGGCATTTTGGCACAGTGTGCACAGTGTACTAGGTCTAAAGCGCCACACATCACGTTCATGGCGCATTATGACCGACTTCGAGAGGAGGAGCAAGAGCTCTGCGAGGCACAAACCTATCCGGAGAAAATCTGCGAAGCTTCGGATGTCGTCTTCTCAATCAGTCGAGCTCAGCATGATGGTTCTGATATCCAGCCATTACATAACTTCTTTGATCGAAAGTATATGCCTGTTTATCTGTATGTGTTTGGCAAGTTCTCGTCCCGATGGCTGTTCCACATCACAGCTTCCTTGTTGTGCCACGCTCCCCATGTGGTACGAGAGGTCGTCAATCCGACAAAAAACCGAAAAGTTATTCGAAGTTGCACTCGTCATCAGATTGATCCCGTCCAATTCACTCGAGTTCGCTCGAAGCTGCTGCGTATATGGCCACTTCTCCGTGACACCTTGTCTAGGCCTTGATTGATTGGGTCTCGGCTGGTGACAGGTCGGGTAAGACAGACAACTTCTGGCATTTCCTATCTACCGGTTATGGCTCCATTTCTCGCATGCTCTACCCACTCTTACCTCCAGTTTATGGCATGGTATACATGTATGCTGCGCTGGTATGTTGCATTGGTCTTAGATAGCTATCGCTATAATATGTCTGACAGTCTCTTTCTTATCATAAATTCTAGGATGATTCTAGGAACCAAATCTAGTCTGTTAGGTGAAGTGTACCTTCAATATAGAATCATTCTTTACCTAGGTAAGCTTTGTCTGCTTATATCAACAATTAATCCAATATGTGTAGCTTGTTGTCTCTTCTGAAGCCTGATACCTAAAATATTGTCCCAGACAAAGGATTTCTACAAGATCTATTTATCACCTGCCAATCCGTGTGAGAGTGGTATACAAAGCAACTCCTGCATTGGGCCGCATTCTTGCATTTATAGATGTGTCAAACATTGCAATATGCAACACAGCAGAAACTGATGCAGATATTCAAGTAGCTGTTTCCCCTTCCCCAGTCTAGGGATGTTGACTCTACATTTCTCAATCTCACGTCACTTGTATGCCAGTCAACCAAAGACAGGCATGTCTCCAAATACTATGGAAGTCAATACATCTACATGCATCACCTCTGAAAACCTCAATTCATCCCAACCAACAAGTCCCATGGGGGAGTAGCCTCCCCCTTCTCCGAACGTCGAACCTACCGTCGTTGGACTGCACGGAATCTCCGGATGCGGAAAGACATATGATATTATCTGAAGAAGTCAAAAGATATCTTTAGAGATGACAAGTTCATATTATTTTTCGATGGTTCCCATGTGATAAAGGAACTCCTTTTAGGTGGTCTAGACACGTCTTCCAGATTGCTTAACGGCAGCAGGAAATATTAGCGGACCCGCACTATCAAAAAGATCGGAAGAGATGCCGAGGATAATGGAAAGACGGCGATCGTCGCAGGGCACTTTATTTTCCGGTCTGAAGGCAAGGAAAAGGACGTTGTTTGCAACGAGGCTGATTTGGATACTTACACTCACATCCTCTACTTGGATGTCCAACCTGAAGTTATTGCGCAACGACGACTCGAAGATCAGACTCGCAATAGAGCCAATGACTCCGTGAAAAATTTACAAGAATAGCAAGATTATGGGAAGTCCCAGCTGCGCAAACTTTGCCACAAGCATTCGATTCTATTTATGTCTTTATCACCTTGCCTTATGGATTTCCCGATGAACAAAATTGATGATGGATTTCCATTATGATAATGAGAAGATAAACTCGGCATCAGTTGACCACAAACTAGGCAAAATCATAGCACACATAGATGGCCCTATAGAAACCATGCTAGTTCTCGACGCTGATCGAACTCTGACGGCTGAAGACACGGTCAAACTGTTCTGGGAGGCCGTCTTAGTGACCGCATTGTTGTTACTCCTCGGCTAAAGAAGCGGTAGTGGATCGTTTACAAGAGTACTGCAAGACTTGTGTCTGTGCTTTTGGCGATAGCCCGCTGGATATTCCAATGTTGAAGAAAGCCAACAAGGTAGTTGTTATCGTGGGAAACGAACATCAACGAAGCGAGACGATGGATGAAGCCTTAGAAGGGGCTCTTGAGGATGCAGATTTCAAGCTTTAACAGGTGATTTTACCTCCTAACGCTCCTCCACGTCTCGACGCAACCCGACTTCCAGCGACGAGTTTGACACAGTAACAGTTCACCGTCGACGTTTTCATTCGTGGCCAGCGAAAGCAAAATATCGACGTTATCGACCCAACGGATAGAACATCTGCAAAGTTGCTCAAGACGGCTATGCGGGATGCACGCAATAATAGTCTTATTCTATATGAAGCTCACCGGCGTGTAAGCAGCTATTTTGGCAACCGTGTTTGTTAGTTCAGTCATTGGCGTAAGATATACACCATTCCCCATGAGCAGGGACATTTCACCGATGGATATCGACTCTTCCATGAGGATCGGACCCTGATCGTCTCTCTTATGAGGGTAGGAGGCCCCATGGCTCATGGAGCCTGGGACATGTTCCCTAGTGCAATATATTTTCAAGCCAAAAATCCCACTGATGTCAAGTTGGGACATCTAGATGGTCAAATCAACATTCTACTTGTCGACCTGGTTATTAACAGCGGCAAGTCCATTGCAGAATTTGTGCAACACATTTGCAACCTTCATGCTACCATTCGCATTGTGGTTGTTGCTAGCGTTGTTTAAGCTGAGTGTGCTTCTGGCGGCCATCTCTCCCAAGCCTTGGCTGGAAGCTACGACAGTCTCAGCATCGTCACATTACGTCTGTCCCAGAACAAATGCACTAGGTCTGGAGGTACTGATACGGGCAACCGGCTGTTCAATACCAAGAATTTGGCATAATGTCTTCTTGTGGCATCCAGGTCGTTCAATACCTTCCTGATACATATCATCCTGTCGTTCACTTCGTTTTGAGCAGCAGCGTGTTTTCTCTTTTATCCTTGCTCGCGATGTGACTCTTTGCGCATGGATCTGAAACTATTCGTGGATGTTGCGCAATAAGGATGGTTCTTTTTTTTGATGATATTAAATACTTCCATGCACTGATATATGTATCTAGAGGCGCCATGGCTGCTAGTACATAGCATGAGCCTAGAAATAAGAATTCACATAACTTTGCCTCCAATTAATCCAATCTGAAACTGCTACAAGTATAGAAACCTTCATCTGATAGTACTGCACTTTGTTATTCAGTTAAGGCAATAATTTCCCCTCAAGAGCAAACTGCCTGCAAATAATCATGTCAAGAAGCTTCAATAGTGTAGCGGCATAGCACACATGGTTCCAAGCGCGAGGTACGGGTTCCCTGGCTGTGTACAGTAAGTGTCTTAAAACTTGAGTTTTTCTTATCCCAAATTTTTCTCGCCTCAGTGTATTATGGACATGATTCTTTGAAGAGTCCTCGGTCCCACTTGGCAGAGCGCACTGAGATGAGTCCTTGAAGGTATCGAACTTCATCCACATATTCGGCGACACCGGCACACATATATCGTATGTCTCGACCACCTACTGGATTCTGAAGCTTCCGAGTATTGGGATGACACTACTTTTGTTGTCAAAGAATTAAAGATGCCGTGGGTTGCTCGAATAGTGAGATATCTGGTCAACGAGAGCTTCCTCGAAGTCTAGGATAGGGTAGAAACGCACAGGAAGTACGGAGTCATACTAAAACAGATGGAAAGTATAGGTAGAAGGGAAGTGCCAGCCCTAACAGGTCGCTTTCCCTGGCGACAGGAATTGGCACCGGAATCGTAGAGTGTGGCATCTAAAGACCGTAAGAAGAGAGTAGGTTCATCGCTACCCCGAGCTGGATTCTTCTGAATAGACAATGAATGGCTAAGTTCGCGCCAACTTTGTGGTTCATGTCTCGTTTGTTTTTGACTTGATGTGATGTCTTTCAGACGACTGGCCGAACGAACTGAAAAAAACATCAGGCTGGGTATGAAAACCAAACTCCTAATAATTACTTCTCTGAACTTCGCTTACCTCGGAATCTGGATGCCTGGTCCACAACACATAGTTAAAAGCCAATAGCCACTAGTTATGACCAACTAACAGGTTCCAAGAGGGGAAGTGGCCTTAACGGTCTCACGCAGCACACACATTCATGAGACAGACGGCTTGATTTTGAGCCAGTTGCTGAAGGAAGGCCAAAGCGTGGTCAAATCCATTTAAGGTTAAGTAGCATGAAACCCCGACTTCGAGTCTTCGAAGTTTGAACAGATCCAAGGCCTCATTTGAAACGCTTTCAAGTACACTATCGCATCACTCTTTCAAGGTTACCCCTGCATACCGACACATATTCTCGTGTACCTAGGTAGACTTAGTACTGAGAGGCCCACGATTATCTTTTCAGAGGTCGATGAACTATAGCAACCCAGACTCATATACGTAGTTTGTACTCCAGAATCCACGAGAGAAGATTCCATGGACGAATCCGTCAATGAAAAGAACTGCGAGAAGTAAGAACTGAGATCGGCCAGAGTTTCTCGCTAATTAGCTGCATGGCAAGCTGACACTGACAGTAGACGTTAATGCGCATACTCTAAAACATCGTGATCAGCGTATGCAAATACGAGGGTTGTTGATTCCTAAGTGGGTCGTAGGGGGTCCAGGCGCAAGCTCAACGAAGACTGAATTTCTTGCCTGCCAAATATCTATCCACCAGATAGCTTCCTAAATAGTAATTGCCTCAATTTCTAAACATCCCAGCATCAATCTAGATCGCGCTATCTTGGCCGGGATTGCCGGTTTTATGTAAAACGCTGCCAAGCTAGTTAACTAATTCCTCATTCAGACATTAGATTGGATCTTTTCAGCCGGTGCCAGGAGAATACGAAAACTACATTAATAAAGAAAGAGATGCCCTGCATCGAGGATATTTCTATAGCTCGTCGTAGATCTGAATTGCACAATAGTCTTGACGCGCGAAAATGGCAACAACATATGACTTCATTGTGGTCGGAAGTAGGGCACCCTTCTCATGATTCCCTTTAAGCATTGTTAGTCTAACCAGACCCAGGTGGACCTTCTGGGAGTGCAGTGGCTGCATCTCTGGCTCAGGCTTCGAGCCGTCCAAAAGTGCTCCTACTTGAAGCTGGGAGCAACAACGAAGACCGCAATCTCCGTGTGGATGGACAGCGATGGCTTACTTTTCAAAACAAAGAAATGAACTGGGGCTACAAAACGACTTCTCAGGATCATTGTAATGACCGTGAAATTGATTACTCACGTGGAAAAGGTATTGGCGGGTCCAGTGCCATCAATTTTGGGGTCTATAGTGTTGGCGCTCGTGGTGACTACGACGAGTGGGCTAGAATCGTGGGCGACGATGCATATCGATGGGACCGTATGCAAGCTCGATACAAGAGTCTTGAGACCTTCCATAACGATATTCCTGCTGGCATCGATAAGAAATATGCCAACCCGAAGGCTTCGGACCACGGCACATCGGGTCCGCTTCATGTCGGATTCGCGAGTGAGTGGGAGAGAGATGTCCCGGCAATGATAGACGATTTCGAACGTGCTGGGTTTCCTTTGAATCCAGACCACAATTCTGGCAATCCGATCGGGATGTCTATGTTAATCAACTCTTCTTATAAGGGCTTGCGGTCAACGGCAGCGGACCTTCTTGTTCCAAGACCAGATAATCTTACTGTCATCGTTGACGCTCCTGTGCAACGCCTTATTTTGAAGGGCAAGAATGCTGTGGGAGTAGAGTCGAAGGGAAATCAATGTAAGCCAGATTGTCAGCTCCTTATATTCAGTGAGGTCGTTATTTAATCTTTTCGGGCTAGATTTCGCCGCCAAAGAGGTTGTCCTCTCTGCTGGCGCTCTTGATACGCCGAAGATTCTAATGCATTCAGGTATTGGACCTGCTAACCAGCTAGAAGCTCATAACATCCCCGTTGTACTGCCAGTACCTGCTATTGGGCGTGGTCTCCGCGATCATTGCTTTGTTCCCTTGGTCTACACTCGTGTCAAAGGTGACACTGATCGGGCAGCTTTCTATGGAGACCAGAAAAAAATGGATGAAGCCCTTGAACGGTGGAAGCATGACAGCACAGGACCTTGGACCAAGTTCGCCTGCCAGTTGGGCGTTGGCTGGTTCAAACTGGACCAACTCGTCTCCTCAAAAGAGTTTCAAGCACTGCCGGATGATGAGAAGAAGTATTTATTGCACGAAACTGTGCCTCACTATGAAATACTCACTCATTTTCCGGTTCATTGGTTTATTCCTCAATTCCCCGAAAGCGCTCTGAACTATTCATGCCTGCTTGTCTTTCTCTACAATGCACAGACTCGCGGAGAGGTCCTCCTTCAATCTTCAGACCCCGATGTACCTCTCCGGTTTGATCCCAAGTTCCTCGCTCATCCATTTGACCGACGCGCCGCAATTGAATCACTCCGTGATGCTCTCCGATTTGCAAATAGTGACTCTTACAAGAAGAATAATTTAGCCGATGTAGCTGCTCCAAAGTCAGATTCTGAAGAGGATCTGCTGGAGTACTGGACGCAAAATGTTTCCTCAAGCTGGCACATGACGGGTACTGTCAAGATGGGGAAACCTGGAGATTTGGATGCGGCTGTGGATGCCCAGTTCAAACTGATAGGTATTAATGGACTTCGTATCGCAGACTTGAGCGTCGTTCCGGTTTTGGCTAGTTGTCATACCCAGGCTGTAGCCTATGTTACGGGACTCACATGCGCGGATAAACTGATTGAAGAGTATAAACTGTAATGATGTATGTACCAGCTGAGTCGTTGCGATTCGATCCAATTTTCATTCCTTCTTGAAGAATCTGCTTCTGAAGCCTCTTTTCTCATTAATCATTAGTTACACGGCGTTATCAATGTCAACTCCCCATGCTTCTGTTAATGACCGAGTTCAATCTCCAAATTGTGATGAAGTTATTGAAAATAGCGTTGTACATGTTCTCCTTCCTCATTGCATGCTAATGTTCCAAAGGTGTTCGTATACCTTTGGCGGCCGAATCAATCCGGATGATACGCGTTTCAGTCGAATGCGCAAACCCAAAGGGTCTAGCCAGCATATAATTCAACCTGTATATTGAAGAGATGCCCAAACAGTGAAATTCTGGATCCTGAAAGTAAAGCTGCAGTTGGTCTCATGGTTAGGGACTATCGTAAAGGTCATTTTCAGAAAAGAGTATTGTTCAAGAAATCTTCATCTAGATCAAGGACTCTCTTTTCGGTGTTCGGATCTTGACGTGGACAGTTCCTGCTGTCTACCAACCAAAATATCCTGCCCCCCCAGTCAACAAGCCCGACAATTTTGTCATTATCCACTATGCAGGTGGATAGAATAGAGTCGTTGTGCATAAAGCCGAGATCGTTGTCGCTATTGTCGGTTGAGAAGGTCATTTCATTTTCCAATTCTTGAATGCCTCGATGAGAGAGGGGATCCGGGTCCGGTACGATGTAGAGTCGACTTGTTGGGAGGAAGAAGTTTTTACCTCATTTAACTGTCGCAAATCATCTCTTGCCTGTTGCTTAACAGACATCTTCTGAGACTAGGAGATATAACCCCAAGCGATGTTGAGTCCAACCCCAGATCCTTTCTTGCACAAGTACATCACGGCAATTTATCTGTGAAATGAAGTGAGCAATGCGAGGAAGATAATTATTATTTTTACTTGGAAATACCTTGCTCGCAAAATAAATCTGCGGGACTTCAACATTAGCAAGGACCCCTTTCGCCAAAATGCTTGCGAAGGGTAGACTTTACAACGCCGGGCTCGTCCTTCTCGTTATAAGTGAACGCCCAATCTGTGACATACAACTCTTACAATCCCAAGACCGCCCAAATCAAGTGTATATCATATTGACATCCCTATGATACTTGTCTTGGCCGGTGCTTGCAACAATTTGTGATCATGGCCTGTTGAAAGACAGGAGAAACGCTACCCTAGAGGTTGACGTGTCTTCTGGGTAACTTTATGTCGCTCCAAGCCTTATCCACTTAAACTAATAATACTGTGAAAATTGGCCATGTCCATCTTTCGTTACTTTCATTGCAACGAACATATACGGAAGAATGTTGTCAGGAGAGCCCCCTTGAATTTATATTGGGCGACCGGGCGGTGGCAGAATATACAGTCTAACCTAATATAGTCTAGTCCGCATAGGTTGTGTCGATAAGCTCCCGACCTTCGTTTCTTGTCCGCTTTACATCTTGTCCCATACAGACCGTTCCACTGGGGTTATTATAGTAGACTTTGCTGCTGCAGACATCCTTTGCTTCAGAACTGTTTTGAATCGTTCAATTTCTTATTACAACAATGCTCGCTCAATATATTCCTTGGGCATTGACTGGCGCTTGACACGGCGCGTAAAATACCGGTATATGCGCGCAACTGGCCAAATCAGGTAGGTCTGAAGCATTGGTCGTTCGTTCTACATTCTGGTACGCTATATTGACAAACTGAAGTTAGACCAGTGTATAGCAGATCAAGTCAGCAAATGCAACGTGTAGAAAGCTTCTGCATCAGGCAAAATTCTACAGATTGCCACTCTACCAATTACTGAAACTTTAAGCTTCCTCCCTCACAAATAGGAGCTTTGTAACCCGTGATTGAACTTAGCTTCTCGGTCTCCTCTAAGATCTCTAATATTTGAGGCGCTATGGAGACGAGACCAGATCCGACAATTCGTCAAGGCTTTGAGTCTTCAAGGAGGTTCGACGACATCCCCGGCTCCACTCCAAAGGAGAAACTTCAAAATGCTCATGCTCGGCTGCGCGCGCCGGCCAGTGTTGCTCCGACTTCAGTTGCCGAAAGTGCAACGCCATCATCTGCAGGGGACATTGAACCTGTTGTACCGGTATCTGTCCCCCAGACAACATTACCTTTGAGTACTCGGGCGCACGAGAATCCTGAAAACCTGGCTGCATCAGTCGAGGAACAAGGGGACGCAACGGATGTCATTGTGGTCTCTCCAGCACTACTGTTTCCCGAACAAGCGAGTGTGCAGACTATCCAACCTAGTGCTATTTTCGAAAAGACTGAACATTGTCTCCCGGGCTCGCTTCGACTTGGCCCTTCTGAATTTGCCGTTACTATGCCCATGGACTCCGTAGGCAAGGATAACTACGAGAGAGCTCTCGCGGAGCATTCAGAGTCTGTAAAACTGCTTCTGTCTGGATTTAAGTCCGGGGATGGAACTGTCCCCTCCCAATCTGAGCAGGCTCAAGTCATATCGGACATTCGGCATCTTATCGAAAAGCTCGACAACGTTGCGATTCATACTGATCTGAACATAGCCGAGCACGTGAAACAGTCTAAATGGGATTCTCACAAAGAAGCCTCGTGGGCAGAATATACCAGTTCCAAATTCCTATTTTTAGGTCATTTGATAGAGATTGCTGGGGCACAAGATCTGCACATCTTGTTTATGGTGGGGAAGAAGGAAACTGCCGAATTAGTTGAACGCTACTTCCAAGGGAAAGGATTTGCTCCCGTCCGACCCCGTGCTGAGATGCATGGACACGTCGAGCTCTCTTTGGTCAATGGATCGCTCAGCGTGGGCATTCTGTCTACGGAACATGATGGTACTGTGGAAACCTATCGGCCGCCGGCAGTCATCATTGCACTTGATTCCTCATTCAATACGTCAAGCCCCGTGGTCGAGCATCTCAGGACCACATACACGCGTAACGGGAACTTGCTCCCTGTTGTGCACTTGATGATAGCCAATTCTAGTGAGCACATTCAGCGATGTCTACCCGATCTCCCGGAACCACAAAGATTGAGGTTACTCGTACATATTGTGAAGAGTCTTGTGGATGTCCTGGGCGACTTACAAGATGATGCTTTGGGCGTGCAGGATGATGCTGAAGAAATTTTTACCTGTCTTATGTCAGAAGACTTTAATGTTAGTTGGAACCTTCCTCCGATTGAACCACTTCACATACTTGTATCGAATGATCTGCAAACCCAAGAACCTCTCGGTGCGCAAGCTCCGGATCCGATGACAACTGGATCGTCCGTGAATAAACGTATATTTGTAAGTGGCTATATTGTGGCTAGATACGGTTTTTGTTTTCTGACTCGCTGAAAGGATACTTTGGATGCCGTCGCTCCTGATTCGAAGAGGCAGCGCCTTCATTTATCACAGGATCTTACTCAAACAACGACGCAGTCCACTGCACCACCGAGTCAAACTTTGGATTTGACCGCAAAGTTGCAGGCTCTCGAGGCTCGACTGGTTGAAATGAAGACTGATCATGCTGCCGAAGTTGATCGATTGCAAGAGACGATTACTGATTACGAGACTCGCTCAAAAGAACGTATCAAAGGATGGGAGGATCTACAACACCGATATGAAACTCGCAACAAGGAGTTGCATCAACTACGAAGAGAGCGAGATGGCTTGACCGTGGACAAAGCAAAGCTTGAACAGAAAGTCGTCAAACAACAGGAAGAGATAACGAAGCTCAAAGATGAACGGACCCAACTGAAACACGACTTGGAATCAGCGAGGAAGGATCTCAAAGCTGAAGGCGGCTTGAGCGGAGAACTTGAAACTTTACGACAGAAGATTCGTGAACTTACCGACGACCATACGAAACTCACAAAAACTCTCGAGTATGAAAAGAAGCAAGCCGAATATGCGCGTGAACAATATCAAAATGCATCATCCCGTGCCGCAGAACTAGCCAATGAGAAACAAGCTCTACAGAGCCAGCAAATGATTCTTCAAAGTCAAGTTGACGCTGAGGCGGTCAAGTTGAAAGAACTTAAACTGCAAAACGGCGAAGCAAAACACCTAGCTCGAGTTAAGGAACTTGAGCAGACTCTAGAATCCCGTGAGTCTCTTCTTCGGAAAAAGGAAGAAGAGCTTCGAACTATTCGCAACAACCGTCCAGCTACACGAGCAACTAGTACACAACCCCGAAGTCCCAAGTCATGGGGGAACGGCAGTCGACCGACCAGCCCTGGCATCAACAACAATGGACTAGGGAATCGCGGCAGTGGACTTCGGTTTAGCTCTGAGATGTCTTTCTGAAAGCCTACATCACCAACTACGATACTATCCTTAATTCCATCCCTCAGTATATTAGAGAGAAAAAGTGTCTTCACCTTGATTAGGTGTGATGAGGAGCTTTTGTCAGACCTCCGATCATGATGATGTAACGACTAGAGAATATATAAACTTTGCCTGTTGTCTATTATAAAGTTGTGTGTTTAATCCTAGACATCCAAATAGACAGACACTATTCGTAATAACGCCACATTACAGTGCCACATGTGGCTCATTATTACACTCGTTACATCAATGTATGTTACTGGTATTTCAGTGTATCGTAACTCGCGTATTGTTGGTAAGTTATAAGAGTGATGACATCATCCCTTGAATCAGCCCACTCCTGGAAGAATATAAAGCAGGAGCTTTTTCTTTTGTGCTTGTTCCTGAAAGCCACATCATATATGTACTCTTGCCTTGATTATACTTAAACACTTGTCAATCAAGAGACCGGGAAATAATCATATCGAACGAAAAGAGAATACACTGCAATCAATATGGCCGACTGCTCTGCTTTGTGCATCATCATTATTACCTTGTTCAGTATGTGTATCTTATTGATTGAGCTTTCGAAACATCGGTTGTGATGCTAACAATATATTAAAGTACCACCTCTCGGGGTCTTCCTCATTTCAGGCTGTAGCGCGGACTTGCTAATCAACATCCTCCTCACTATTCTTGGGTATGTTCCCTCGCAAATCCGATTCAGACAACGTATCCGGGTATCTTTGACTAACACCATTGATTCACAGATACTTCCCAGGACACATTCATGCCTACTACCTAGAATACGTGTATTACCATCGTCGGGGTCTCGCTGCTGGCGGGGCGACGTTAGCGAAGCCGGCTACAGGCGTTTATTCGGAGCGGATTCAGTCCGGAGGTCATCATCAGCAAACGCAGTATGGTACTATACGAACTTGATTTCAGCGGGCTATGTGCTGGTTGATCATGATGGGGATGAGGATAGCTTGAGTCTTTGCGTTGAAGTGTGTTAGGGTTATTTGGTACTGGATGGATACAAGATGCGGAATACCCCTGTGCTTTGGCGTCGCCTTGGTTTTTTGCTTTTTTCTCGAGAACTTTATTCACTGCGTGACTGGTATGGTGCCAGTCAAGTATAGCCCCCATAAAAGTGTAAGGTTTGGGTATCTGTCGATTTGTGTTTACCACTTTCCTATAAGAATGCAATATAAAGCCCACATGCCAACTCCGAATATATGCCCAACGCCCGACTTAAACATACGTAGCCTGCGACGTCGTACCCGTGCTCGACTTGGTCTTTATTGCCGGGAATTTAAACGATTTACTCCTTCCAACCTGTCCCTCCGTCCTAGGCCACGCTCCTGTCCCTTCACTCCACAACAACGCTCCAACCCAGGGCTGCACATTCCAGCCTACTGTGAGCGTGACGTTTTCCCGCTCCGCAATCTTACCCGAGATATCCGTGATTTGGTATTTTGATTTTTGGTTGCGTAGGTGTAGGATACCTGATTGTTGCTGTTCGGTTTTCTTCGGTTGCGTTTTCTTATTATTGGTCTTCTTGGAGTTCTTGCCGACGGACTTTGTGGTTGATGGGAAGAATCGTTCTTTCAGATTGGAAAATGAATATGGCGATTCTGGTGCGGGAATGATCATATCCCAGATGATAGCTTCGGAGTTGTGAGGATTTTCGCTTGCTGCCGAAGACGCGGGATACGAGGCTAGGACGTAGACGAAGAGTTGTTTTGTGTTCCAATTGAATAGCGGGGAGAGATCTGCATCAGATGAAATATTGAATTAGACTTGTATTCAGTAAGCTCGGCGAACCAGCTGGGCGCTTTACCTGCATCAAGATCGAATTCGATTCGGGCATATTCTTCTCGTTTGGAGGAGTAGTAGTGCGGTCGACCTCGGACCCTATTACCACGAAAAAAGAAAGTCAGCATTCGTCAAGCAGAAAAAAGGCGACAAGATGCCCTTTCGGCGATTCCGCATCGAACATACACTTGCACATTTGTCAAACCGATGCTAGATGAAACATCTGTGGCAGGATGCAAAAGGACAGATAGAGCTGCAAATCCGGCGACAAAAGCTGCCACTGTTGTGAAGAAGCCGAATACGCCCTGTACACGATTGCTTGCGGAATGCATGGTTGTTGATTGTTGAGACTGCGCAAAATGAAGCAATCAGTGATATAGGAACGCCCTCAGGCGTATATTTAACTGACGAAAATGATGCCCAAGTACAGAAATAACTTGATGAGTTTAGCAATTGGAGTAGGTATTGAGTCCGATGCATACTGATAATCGGAGCTTAGAGTTATCACTGGAAAGACACGTGTTGTAGAACGTTTTGAGCCAATCAGAGCTCAGGCCATACAACTCACCTATTTCTCGCATACAAAGTTACAACAGAATAAAGAAGTCATAATTGGTTAATTGGTGAATAGGTTAATAATATAATTTATGAGACAACGTGTGAGTGTTTGAAAATTTCATTTATTTGAAATCGCTTTTCAGGAAGTTCAATCCTGATGATACCTAGTCATTATTTACCTCGGGAAAGATTTGAAGAAGGCAGTATGTGATTTGACTTCATCGGCCTTTCCAATTCCTTATTTTCTTTATTCCAAAGGATGGGTCGTGATATTAAGCCCTCGACGAAGCTGCGTAGGTAGGCCCAATCCGGGCCTCGGATGTAGAGGAGCAGCCGCTTACCTGGATCATACCACATGTCTGGTTTGAATGCAGAGACTCAAATAGCTTAGCAGGTTGTGTGCTAGCTTCGTCGTATAGTAGTAGTGCTCGCGCGACAATAAATACAACCCTGAAATGTAGCATTGATATTCCAAAGGTCGTTCCAGCCCATACACATAAATCATACTGCATCCACCGAAGCCCGCGTAGTAACTTGCTCGTTCTTGTTACCGAGCTTCGAAATTTGCAGGAAAGCGTCGACTCCGTAGCCTTCCAGACTATGTAGTTCTAAGCTTCCAGCCCAGTATTCGGCATAAACTCTGCTCATGGGAAGTCCAATACCAAGGCGAAGATTGGGTGGACGTGAACTCAAAGTTGACAAAGAGCCTTCTCGGTAAGTTCGTTTGAGCCCAGCTTCCATTTTCCGGGGAACCTCGAGTTCTTGCATAGTGGCAGCCAGAGTGGGGACCTGACCGAGATTTTCCAAACGATCTTGTGTCCGTGGTCCTTTACTGAATGACCACAGAGTTGGAAATATCTCCCTGGGAACACCGCCGCCACGATCAGATATGCGCATAGTAACATACTGCGATGCCTCACAAATCAGAACCTCTATTGGTGGAGGATCTGTAGGGCTTTCTCGATACTTCTCCATCACTGCCTGAATAGAATTTCGCAAAAGTTCGCCGATGATATATTCCAAATGGCCAAGTATATAGGGGAACGTTGCGTCCAGATGCCCCTTAATGTTAATCTCAGGTATTTTATTTGACCCAGAACTCTGGCGCATCAACTCCTGTGCGAATTTTCCACAACTTTCAACCACATCCTTTGCATTGCATTTGAGGAAGACCTCACCGACGAAATCGGAATTCTGGTCAGTTCTAGGATCAGATTTTATCGATTCCTGTGACGTGTTAAAGGACTCTGTCAAAGCAAGGTGCTGCTCTGCTATCACCCGACGAGATATTCTCTGGATATTGAATATCAGACAAGACTTCCAAACTAATATAAAACAGTCAGCTTACCGCGCGAAGCATCGTGTTTAGGAATCGATCAATTTCATCCGGTTTCACAAGTCCTTGGCACTCAAGCACCCCCATGGCGAGATTCGGAATGACCGTGAGGTGCTCCTTGAGCATCTCACGTAAGACATCACAGTAGCGATTATTGTCGGCTAAGGACTTGATTTCGGGAATAGTCCTAAATTTCTCGAAAGCCTTGTAGTAAAGTTCATAGACCGTCGATATATGCGGGTTTGCGACAACTACATAAGGCAGTCTTTGCATGTCACGCAGACGATGAGCAAGTCTGTTTCGTGAGTGTTAGCCACATCGAAACGCAGCGAAGAGGAGAGTGAATATCAACACACCTCGTAGGAAGCTCGGTTCGAACATAATTCGCAGAACTCAGCAAGCGAGGCTCTGTCAAAGCTCGACCAAAAAAGGTCAATTGACGAAGACTGATTGGGCGCACTTGTTTTTCCACCCACCTGTGAGTCACACAGTCAGAAGGCGCTTCAATCAGAGGAAAAGGCATCAATTTTTACTCATCAAGTATACTAGCAGGTCTCCATGGAGGTGGCTTGTGAGATTCTGTGGAATATGAAGCAGAATTGAGAAATATGCGGCTGTGTGGTTGGTAGCAGGTTGACACACGACTTCTAATCATGTTGTCTCGTCATGCAATTGCCGGGCCCTCCTAGCAAAAGTGTCCCAATTAGTCCGGGTATTATTCGCTGCACGATGCTGCTTATTATATCTGCACATGGCCATTCAGCAGTCTACTGGCATAGTAGAATAAGTGGACATTGAATAAAATGAAAAAGTGAAAGTAAGTAACATGGAATCTTTTTCAAAAGTCGAGGATGTATTTGCCAAGGCGGTCTAGAGATGCTTAGCGTGGCATGTGAACAAGCTCTTACTAGCCTTCGGAGACTCTTCCCCGCAACTATCTCTTACTGAGTTACGTATCATTGATACACTGATAATTCCCCTTACCTAGGGAAGACTCCTTGTGATGATAGCTTTAAAGTCTGCTATATTTTTCAATTATCAGGTCTCACTATGTTATCACTATCAGAAACAGTCCCTGCACTTACCATCAAACATGTACAAGGAGCTTGGGCATTTTTGGGTAATATACGTAATTACCGTACAGCCTTATCGATATTGACCAGCCAATAGATACCTCTGACAGCGATAGGCATCATGAGAAGTGAAATGTAATTCAGTTATAAAGATAGCTTACTGGTAGAACCCGAAACATGTTCGACATGAGATCAAAAGAGGACGAAACATATTGTTTGCTCAGAATCCTGTATTACAATGTATATACACTGAAATGAAAATTACTGTATGAGACACGGCACGATATGTGCGTAATAGAGTATGGTAAATACCACTAACGATAAACAAGACTAGCGCTTGAATTCTTGCCCAGGTCTACTGATTCTTTCCTGCAATCATCGTCACTCCGCCTTTCTCCCACTTCATCCATATTTTCTATCCATCTCTCGAACAGCCTCATTGTCGCCTTGGGAGTTTGTATCTTGAGACACTTTTCCCCAGCGTTGTGCGCTCGTTACCTTACCGTAATTGTGCGGAGGCAGTATCCCCTCCATGGACAATGTAAGTGCGAGCTCATCTATGTTTTCGACTCCGCCGTTCCGGCATACATATCAGCAACCTAGCCCACACAGCTTCCACTCAGTCAACAAGCACCCTGCATCGAACCATAAGCACACTCTACCACTGCGACTCTTACACCGCGAAAGACCTAAGGCTAATTATTACTCTTTTCCACTTTGTCCGATATAGCTTGGGGAGAGCGAGATGCTCTACGATGGATATGACCAATACAACAATGATCGCACCGATGTTATTGTCGTGTCTCGCTCAGGTTCTGAGGATGAACCCGAGTCCGAGCCGCTGGCGAACGACTGTACGTCACACCTTTCCCTCTCCGCGCTCCTGAAGGCCGTGAAAAACAAGCCCGGTGGTTCAGAAATTTACAGCTGGAATCTGACATTCTATTCCTTCAACAGTTCCAGCCATGATGACACGAGTCCTTCCTAAGGATCCCGAATTAGAGACCGAAGCTGAGGCTTATCATACATGGCATATTAAAGATTGGCGGAAGCTGAAGAAGAAAGAGCATGGACCTGTCTTTGAATGTGGAGGAGCTCCATGGTGTGTACATCTTACTGGATTATTGTCCTTTGGAGCTGCTCGAATCATCTCTAATGGTCTGCTAGGCGGATTCTCTTCTTCCCTTACGGCAATCAGGTTGACCATGCTTCCTTTTATCTTGAGCAAGCCTGGGAAAAGGAGCCACCCGAAAATTGGTATGCATGCGTCCAGTTCTCTCTAGTGTTGTGGAATGTAAACGATCCTTCCATATATGTGTCACATGGTAAGCGACAACCACTTCCGCCTTCTTGTTAGACGCGCTGACGATCATCGAAGTTGCCACGCATCGATTCAACGCTGAGGAAGCCGACTGGGGTTTCACTCGATTTGCCGAACTGAGGAAGCTATTTAATCTGCAGTGGGATGGTCGAGGAATACCTTTGGTCCAGAACGATGAAGCAATGGTAACTGCCTATGTTCGGATCGTGAAAGATCCCACAGGAGTTCTATGGCATAGCTTCCAGAAGTACGTCGTGCCGCATCCCGATTGGTTTCTTTTATAGACGTTATCTAACAAACCTTCTTCGTAGCTACGATTCGAAGAAAGAGACCGGAATGGTAGGTCTGCGAAATCAAGGTGCAACTTGCTATCTCAACTCTCTACTTCAGTCATTGTACTTTACAAACGCATTTAGAAAGGTATGTTGTTTACTGGAAGACACAAAAGGGGTTTTTATACTAATTTCGCAGGCTGTATATCAAATTCCAACCGAGGAGGAGGCCACAAGAGAAAACAGTGCATGGACCCTTCAGCGGCTATTCTTCAATCTTCAAACAAACGAGAACGCCGTTTCAACCACGGAACTCACGGCATCTTTCGGCTGGGAATCCAGACAAATATTCGAACAACAAGACGTTCAGGAATTATGTCGGAAATTGATGGAAAGACTTGAGGAAAAGATGAAAGGAACACCTGCTGAGAAGGCCCTTCCAGATCTGTTTGTGGGAAAGACGAAAACATATCTTTCCTGTATCAACGTAAATTACGAGTCGTCTCGCGTTGAGGAGTTCTGGGATATTCAACTCAATGTCCGAGGCAACAAGACCTTAGATGACAGCTTCAAAGATTATATTCAAGTCGAAACACTTGAAGGTGAGAATAAGTATGATGCTGGTCCGCCATATGGCCTACAGGACGCCAAGAAAGGTGTGATATTCGAAAGTTTTCCTCCTGTACTACATCTTCACTTGAAACGATTTGAATACGACATCAATCGGGATGCCATGATGAAAATCAACGACCGCCACACATTCCCAATGGACATTGATCTCAGTCCATACCTATCAGAAGATGCAGACAAATCCGAATCATGGGAGTATCAGCTTCATGGGGTTTTGGTGCATAGTGGGGATTTTAATGCTGGACATTATTACGCATTTTTGAAGCCCACTAAAGATGGCCATTTCTACCGGTTTGATGACGACAAAGTTATTCGTGCCAGCGACAAGGAAGTCCTCGAGGAGAATTTTGGCGGAGAGTATGACTTATCCAACGGTTCGATAGCTATGAGGCAACAGTATGCTAGAGGTTTGTCGACAAAGCGCTCGATGAATGCATACATGTTGGTGTACATTCGGAAAACTCGATTAGATGACGTGCTGCTTCCTATAACCACAGAGGATGTTCCATCACATATAGGTAGGGACTTGTACAAGTCATGGTTCTTGTCTAATACCGAATCGCTGACTGACTGTAATTTCACTTGCAGAAAGACGCTTGGTAGAAGAACGTGCTGAATTGGCTCGAAGGAGGAAGGAAAGAGAGGAGGCTCACTTATATATGAATGTCGGAGTCCTTGATGACACGACTTTCCAAGCTCATCATGGTTTCGATCTTACCAGTTCTGACCTTCCAAGTGGAGATCCGGCCCTACCCAAATCATACCGCATTCTCCGTGCAAAAAAGGTTGGCGAGTTTGCGCAGGAGCTTGCTGAGGAGAGAGGGCTGGATCCCAAGCGAGTACGCCTTTGGGTCATGGTTAACCGACAAAACAAGACAATCCGTCCCGATCAGGTTATTCCGAATCCGGATATAACTATGGAAGAAGCCTGGAGCCGACTTTCCACCAAGAATAACCCTCTTAAAGTGTGGATGGAAGTCGGAGAACCAGGGTCGGATGGCGTGGTGTCGTGGCCGGAGTCTAGCTCCTCTGTCCTCGTATTTTTGAAACATTTTGACGTGCCTGCTCAGACTTTGACAGGTGTTGGTTCAGTGTATGTTCGTAAAAATCAAAAAGTGGCAGATCTTGCACCTATTATTCTAGAGAAGATGGGTTGGGCCCCAGGGACTGAATTCCTACTTTTTGAGGTATGTTTGCACAAACAACTGTCTTCGAATGCGACTAGCTAATATTGTTTACTCTTCGAAGGAAATCAAACACACGATGGTTGACCCAATGAAGCCTAAGCAGACTTTTCATCAGTCTGAGATACAGGATGGAGACATCATTACATTTCAACGAACGTATAAAGAGGCTGAGTAAGTGTTCATTTATCATGGCACATGCATTGGTCAATACTAATCGTATCTCAGACTTCCTGCCACTGTATTGTATACAGAGACTCGGCAGTATTACGACTATCTCTTGAACAGAATGAAAGTGAAGTTCGCTCCCTTGAAGAGACAGGGAGATGAATTTGTCCTCACCCTTAGTCGCAAGATGACGTACGAGCAATTTGCAAAGAAAGTTGGCGAGCATCTAGGCGTCGATTACAGTCATCTTCGGTTTTCTCCTGTGCTCGCGAACAATGGCAAACCAAAACAACCCATCAAACGAACCATCAACCAGACATTGTTTCAGATCCTAAACGGACAGTATGGAAGCTACGGGTACAGCATGCATCTACCAGATGCGCTTTACTACGAAGTTCTCGACACGAGTCTTAGTGAATATGAAACGAAGAAGACCCTGAAGGTGACTTGGCTCATCGACGGTATCAACAAGGAGGTACAGTTTTTATCTCGGTATTTGGTGCACTGTATATATACTGACTAGATTGCTCGCAGACAACATATGAACTGCTTGTACCTAGGACCGGCACTGTAAACGACGTATTAGCCGCTCTCCAGAAAAAGGCCGATATCGATGACGAGTCAATGCAGGCCATTCGGATCTATGAGGTACAGAACGGCAAGCTACACAAGGAGCTTCGACACGATCTTACCATTACTGGATTGAATGAGTACGTGTCGCTTTACGCAGAGAAAATCCCAGAGGAAGAGCTCAATATGAAAGGTGATGAGCGTCTCATTACGGCGTTTAACTTTGACCGGGAACCAACCAAGTCGCATGGCATCCCCTTTAAATTCGTTGTCAAGCCTGTAAGTACTAGGTATGATATAAGACTTATAGGCACACGATTAACACGAGTTGCAGGGCGAGATTTTCAAACAGACCAAAGAACGATTGTCCAAACGGACTGGCATCAAAGGCAAGCAATTTGAGAAGATCAAGTTCGCCGTGGTTCCTCAGGGAATCTACCAAAATACAAGATATTTAGAGGATGGTATGTTGAAAAATCTCTTGAGATGAAAGCTAGCTATATACTGACAAACTCGTAGATGATATTCTTTCCGATGTGGCCACGGAGGCTAATGATTCCTTGGGACTCGACCATGTGAATAAGAACCGAAGCTTTTGGAGAGGTGAAACATTCTCAATTAAATAAGGGGAGAAACTCACATCGGCGTTGTTGGGTATGTACGCTGTCAACGGGGAGGTACTGGGTGCATGTTTTGGAAAGATAGTTTTTACTCGAAGGCTGCCACCCAGAGGATTCATATAGCGCTATCGTTAAATAAGACATACTTCAATATTCCATTATGGTATTTATGTTATGGGTGATATCTTATGCTACGGAATACCTGGCAACCACTACCTCTATGCAAATCACGGACTCTCCACAGCGGAGAAACGGCATGTGCGGGTGCTGCGGGTTCTAGATTCTGGTTGCGAGCAGACCAATGATTTGCAACTTTGTGTGTTCAATCACATACGTTGACTTCGAAGCAGAGTACAATCTTCTCATAAGAGATAGGATTACTATTAGTCTAGCCCTTTTTCTCTTGCAAAGTATCGTTTCTATGGATGTGGAGGTCGGGCAGAGCGGATTCTGCGGTAAATGCAACTCAGTTGGTCAGTATAAAAGAAACCCAGCTGCATATATTATTGATCGACCTTAGTCTAATCTGAACGCCGTCTTCTAAATCAAGTGAATTATAATTTCAAAACATGCCACTCGTTAAAATCGATGTTGTTAGAGGGACCAGGTCTCCTGATGAGTTGAAAGTATTGGCGGATGTCATTCAGCAGGCGATGCGGGATCATTTCAATGCTCCAGAGCGTGACAGATATCAGGTAATCATTTTGCTTTCAATCATTCTGGTACATTTTGCTGACTATTCGCGCCCACGTTGTAGATTATTACCCAACATGAAGATTATGAGCTCATATGTGAGGATACGAACTTGGGATTTAGCCGAAGCAAGGACCTTGTGATCATTCAAATTTTTCAGCAAGGTAGGAATGATCAGCAAAAGCAAGAAGTTTTCAAAGCGCTTCACGAAAGTCTTTTCCAAAAGTGTGGTCTCTCTGGAGAGGATTTGATTGTTTGCTGCGCTCAAAATACTCCCGCGGATTGGAGCTTCGGGATGGGTGTCGCTCAGTTTTTAACTGGGCAACTGTGAATAATCTTCAAGAAGATGATTCATGCGCAGACACCTGATTGAAATATACTAAATCTGAAATATCTCAAATTATCGAGATATACGTATTAGCTTCGCACAGCAATTTGATATGATGATAAACATTCCGGCGAATCCGTAAGTAAATAGAAAAGGAGAAAGTCGCCCAGGGTATACATCAATGGAATAGAGTACAAATCAATATTACTATCCAACCGGAAAATTGTCTTCCACATTGATCCTTTCCAGTGTCAGACCATGGCAAAGAACTGTACTCCTTCAGCAGCCTCACATATACCGGCTTCCATAAAACTCAGCTTGAGAGAAGGATTGGGGTAAAGGGTTTTTCGCCGCGATAGTTATCAAGTAACTCGTCTAAATAGGTTAATTTGCTAATATTTGCGTGATATTTGACTAAGAGGAAATGGGATTGCGTATAGTTGGACATGTGAGAATAAAATATTTTATTTCTATAACTGTACACTCAGTTCAACTTGAAAAGGATATCGATACCTAAGGTTCTCATTCAGAGAGGTTTACAACTGTGACCGGGGCCTAGATGCTGTTTCCACAAAGCCACCAGGTCCAAAGACCTCCATTCTAATCTGGGACGGCCCTACCGCCTGAATGAGCAGAGAGCTCTTAACTGTTTTGAGAAATGGAGATAGTCTACATATGTAGTATTCCGTACGCGGATCATTCAAGATCCGGTGCGTGTTAAGACGTTGGAGATCGATGCGACCTACATGATGGTAGTCCCTACCAATCTGGCCACTCGCCACGGGAGATTAGACAAAGTATATGGCTTTGACTAGAGTATTGGAGAGACTGGCTTCCGTAATTTCTTGAAGAAGGCCCGCGCCGCCGTGGTTCTCGTGGCGTAGACCAGGTGAATAGGACGCTTCGTTGAGGATGCAGCTGGAGCGAGAAACTTCAATATAGACAACAATGAGGTTATACCAACGCCGTCGGCAATGAGAACATTTAACGAGCTCTTACGAACGCTGCTCAAGAAAAAGTGCCCTCGAGGATGTGAAACTTGCACAATCTGGCCAGGAGCTTCAAAACCGTGGAAAGCATTGGACAGTAGACCGGGTGCGAATCGCTGGCCCCGTTCACGCTTCCCACTAATATGGTAATAGTCAGGCAAGGTAATTTCGCTCATTGAGTATTGTCATGCCTACAAGTACCCGAGTTGTGGTACACGGGCACAAATAGAGACGTATTGGCCAGGCACGAAGGCAGGAAGGGGCTTCCATAGACGGGAGAGATATAAAGCGAGGATATCTCATTTGATTCACGCAAAATATTGACAATGTGAGAGTCTCTCCAGTCTTTTCATTCCTCATATTGGCCATAAAGCGAGTTCTTTTTCTGAATCATGAGCCCGGCGAGTTGGCCACAGGCTGCAGTCCAGGAGTCTTGCACGTCTGATGTGAAGTTCTCTACCAAAAATTCTCGCATCGCCTCAATCAGATTTTTTCCTGACAATGTCGTACTGATCTGGGGTGATGTTTGTGACAAACCAGCTAACACCAATTACTTATTACATATATAAGACCCGAAAACTTGATATGCAGGCTTAAATTACTGTCTATATATAAGTTATCGTAAGTCAAATGAAAATAGATCTAGGATTACCCGGAATTAATGCGACTGATCGTTAAACCGCAACCTGCAAGAGGTCTTGTCTTGATATGCCTTTTTCAAGTTGAGATTAAAAGTCCCTAGGTATACGTACTCGATCGAAGCTACAGATACCTTAAATGCATTCGTCGTTGACATGTCTACTACTCATCCGCATCGAACAAAGTGCTCATATGGTCAATACCGTTAAAGTGGTCGAAGAGGTTGAAAAGCGTAAAGGTATTGAATATTACGTGAAAGATTCTCTTTCTCCAGGATCATCTTCAAAATATAACACTTCTATTCCGTTGTGTATTCAACCGAAGGCGATCATATTGATAATAGTATGTAGGAAAAGATCCGATCCCGAGAGATTACATATGTCTATCTAGTTGAGATGAACCCTTCCCTAGGCACCATCTCTCTATAGCTTGGATTGATACTGCCCATGCATAATTCTGCGGGCACCTTCACGCAAAGACCTGACAATATCCCCTGCAGGGATTACTTCTCTGATCAGCCCAACCCCGGTGCCAGCATATGTTGTAAGTCTTCCATTGGGTCCGTATCCCTTGTCGCCCTGATTCAGCTCCTCACGATAGAGCTCGCGATTTTTGACTTCACTGAGGCCACATAGATGGTCAGTAAAGGTCTTATTTATCAGACCGCGGCCATCGTAGCCCTCTGGCCAGCCCTGAATGTCACGAACTTTGTCGTAAATCTTTGTCCGAACTGTACTAATGCCTCCATCCGAGGAATCAAGTATTGCCTTTTGATAACCCCGAGCGATCATAGATTCGGGACTGACAAGGAAACGTGTTCCAAGAACACATCCTTGTGCTCCAAGAGCTATAGATGCGGCGACCCCTCGATAGTCACTGATTCCACCAGCAGCTAGAATGTGAGCTCGTTTACGTGGATAGGGACGAAGATCTCGAAGTTTATCGTTAATTTCTGGAACAAGGGAGACAATACTGGCTGCTTTGGCTAGCGAATGCCCACCAGCATCCAGTCCCTGGACTACAATAACATCCGGATCGATGGCTTCAACTACCTCAACCGCATCTTTCACGGATCCGATTTGGACCCAGATATTGGTCCCAAATGCGGTGGCTTCTCTGATTTTGGTGGCCCAGGGAATAAGGTCCTGGAAGCCTGTTGGTGGAGCAAACAGCCAGACAGCAGCAGGACAGTATCTGGAGAAAGATGGAAGGGCTGTTTCCAATGACGCGCTCCACGTTATGAACCCCACGCCGACAGGTAGGAACTTTGGACTTTTAGTCTCAGTCCCTACTGGAGCATCTGTTTCTCCTTCCTGGAGTAGGTCCTCAGCTTCCTCCAGCAGATCCTCGAGATGGTCGCTATGATATCCTGCTGCAATGAACCCTAAGCCTCCGGCTTTGGAAACAGCTACGGCGAGTTTGGGCATCGCGACTTTGGCCATGGGTGCCGATACTATGAGCGGGGACACTACCCAAGGGTAGTCGGCACCTATGTGGTTGGGCAGGTTGCCAGGGGAATACATATTGAGTATGATGTGTGGAGGAAATATGAGAAGGGATCAAGCTATAAAATAAGTGGAGGAGTCTTGGTAAGAAAACTGTGCGGGCCTTTACTGTTCGTTGTCAAGTCAGCGATCTTCAAGAAGACCCTGGCAACAATAGCTCGTGGACACTCCGCAATAGTCGAGACACAAATATCACAACGCGCCTCAGCATCTTCTAATCGGACAAGCTGGGGTTGCGGGGTTGTTTGAATCAGAACGTGTAGAGACCTGGAGTCGTAAAGATGACTGTCGACACTTACATATTGAACGATTGGATTGTAATATCGGAAAACGAACCGCAATATCCGTTCAACCGTAGATCCCGTCGATACATGTAGTGACTGATTTAACAGCTCCTCCAACGAATAATACATAGCACCCAGCCACTACACTCAGGAGTTTATTATTTTTCAATAATTATCTTCACCTCCGTGCCCTCAATATTTGTATTTCGTGCACATCTCGTCATTGGAAGAAAATGGCTAACAACACTACGGGGACTGCTTCAACCGTCTCGCGCATGACGCATGATCTTATTACCTCTCCTACCGACAGTCCTAATTTCATTGATTATGATTTCCAAGGCTACCCAATGGATTCAGGTCCATGATCCGGCTACGAAGGACGACTACCAATGCTTCCCCTTTTCTGTCTGCAAATTTCCTCTCTAGGTGGCACCCACTGTCATCACGAACGTCAAAACTCATATGGCATGTTACAAGGAAGAATTGTTCGGTCCCGTTTTGGTCTGCCTTTCCGTAGACACCCTAGAAAAGGCCGTACAGCTTCTTAACGCAAATGAGTATGGCAATGGGGTATCTATTTTTACCGAATCGGGATCATCAGCTGCATACTTTCAAAAGAATGTCGAAGCAGGACAAGTTGGTATCAATGTTGTAATCCTAGTCCGGCTTCCCATGTTCTCATTCACTGGGAATAAAAAGATCATCGCAGGTGGGGGAGCAAACACGTCCTACGGAAAGCCCAGGCTGGCATTTTACGCGCAGAAAAAGACAGTCACAAGCCTTTGACGCCGAGAAAATACTGACTCTGGAAATCAGGTTATCATGCCGTCTCATCTGTAAAAGCACGTATTACAAACGGTATATTCAAGGGTAGAATCCACTCCTACAGATTCAGATATAACTTACTAAGTTAGTATTACTCTTACGAAGACGGAAGATCTATCAAATAGCTATATTATTCTTGAGAGACACACGCTTGCAGATGTCACACCGAAATTCTATGTGGAGAGCAAACCTGTCAATACTTAACTTCGAGTAAACTACTCAATTGTTGAGGTGAGCAATCCGGGCTCATAAGTTGCTGAGGGTTGAACAAAGGATGAACTTCTGTGTCAACCACTATATACCGTATCTATGTCGTGCCCCGCGTTCGATCTCGGCGGAGTACCGGAGCCACAACCAACAGTAAATGACCCATTCAATGCTACATGGAGACAATGAAAGCAATATAACTGAAGCCATGTGGTAGAGTCCTTTGATAACAGATACCTAGTCATATGGCCTGTGATATATTGGGCGTCTTCACAGTTGATTCGAACCTAGGTGCACAGTATCGAAACCTAAACCTTGGAAGGATTGCTTACCTATTCAGATTGGAATTCGAACGCGTACACTGCCAGCCCTAAAATGGTGAATTATCTGATAGGTTACAGGATGAAAAATCCTGTAACGATTATTAAACACAATCGATTCAATGAAATGTAAGAATAAAATGCGAGAATTACCTCGGTTTAAAAGGGAAAAAACGGCCTGATATAGTCTCACGGTAATATGCACCTGATTTGCTATCCCTAATAAGACTGAGATATCATCAACCATCAAGCTTATTGCTCTTCCGCCCGCTTAGCTGGATGCGTATCTACAGAGAAAGAGGGGAAGCTTGAAGACGCGAGACATCGCATTTCCAGAACGAGGCACTAACCCTGAAATGATTTATGTAGAGACAACTTAAAGAATGCGGTGTGCGGGCCACAAGTCATAACACTGTCTTTCCGGCAAACTATACCGACTGGCCAAATTTAAATCCATGCCTGCTAAATGGTATGTGTCAGTCATTCCAGATTCTAGTTGGACTGATATGAGGAAGCTAATCTGTTTGTCAGTCTGTTGCGACGTATGGGGACAGTGGTATGATCTTGCTGAAAACACGATTCTGGTAAACTCGCATTGAGAAAGCTAATGTACTTAATTCTCTTAGTGGCATTACATCGGATTTTTGCACCCCCAGTTCGTCCGTTACTGGCGCACCAGGGACTGCGGCTCCTGGTAGCAATGGATGTATATCCAACTGTGGGACCGAGATCGTTGCATCTCAGCCTCCAGCAAAGTTTGCTCTCATGGGATATTATGAAAATTTTAACAACGAGAGGTATGCGTCTAAAAAAGCCCACGTTCCTACGAGACTGCGAATTCTGAAGGCCATCTCTAATTCACGGACCGATAACTTACAGACCATGCCTCTACATGCCGCCTAGCGATATTCCGAACCAGTACACCTGTGCACTCTGCCTTTGCCAATATTACCAGTGACTACGACGTCCGCATTGAGGGGGGCACTGATGTCTTTCAAGAATTTACAGTAACCGAGGGATTCGACAGGATTGTGTCATTCAGAGGTTGGACATTTTCGACAGACCCGTCAACGTTCCCAATATTCTGACAAGGAATTACCTCTGCCAATCGTACCATTTTTGCAACCAACATTGTAACTTTTTTTCAATCTCATGATTTCCAGGGGAATTCGCTTTGACTGTGCATATCCCGGCCCTTCTATCATTCCTGGCATCACCAGAGGTAGTCCTGAGGACGGCGACAACTATCTTCTATTCCTCAAAGAAGTCCGATCAGTTCTGTCAAGCAGGCGCTCCATTTCCATCACTGCACCGGCCTCATACTACTATTTATAAAACTTTCCTATATATAAAATGAGCCAGGTTATTGCTCACAGATTAATATGACGGAGATTCAGTAAGCATTCTCCCTGATAACAAAAGCAGGTGTTCCTGCCAATATGATAATGGTTGGCCAACCATTTTATGCGATGATTTCGGATGTCTGTGGCTGGCTGCTACAATGAGATGTGTACGTACACTGGAACCGATAGTGGCGCTTTACCTGGTCACATTTCCAACAAGGAGATTATCCAAATAATGAGCAACAGTGAGTGGAGCGGCACGGTCGAGGAGTACTACTCCGAGGTTGCTGGTGATATCCTTGTGTATGACTCAACGCAGTGGGTATCATGGATGAAGCTAATAAAAGCAGGACCCTTTTGGTTACGTATCATGGTTCTGGTGTAAGTATATAGTAGTTTGTATAACAGTATAATAACACACCTTGTTCACTAGTGACAGATTTCTCAAACTCTTTCGTGATTCAAGCTGGACCTAGAGGAAATAAGTGACCATGCATCGCATACTACCTAGGTATTGCTAAACTGGGCGGTTAACTATGAGATACGTGCATAGCTGGCGATCAAAGATGAAATAAGTGTTGGTAGTGTGTCAAACTTGGTACTCATTCTGTCGGATGAGTTGACATTGATAAGACAGTCACTAACGTACTACACGGGTCATTCGGCCACACGGGTCATTCGGTCACCCGCAAGTCCCATACAAAATGACCTTCTTTAACAGCTTGATTTCTCAACAGATTTATATATAAACCGTATCTAAAAGTTGAATATGTCTTATAATATAGGTATCATAATATATATCTGGATTTAAAAACTCTAAAAATATTAAGAACCCTCTGTCATTGAATTTACATTAATAACTTGGCTAGTTTCTAGTATCTCAAGACTTATAGAAGAGGCGCACTTCCAAATTGATATTTCTGATAAGGATTCATATAGCGAATCATGCGTAAAGTCTAAGATATGGTTTATATATGAATCCGTTGAGAAATCAAGATGTTAAAGAAGGTCATTTTGTATGGGACTTGCGGGTGACCGAATGACCCGTGTGGCCGAATGACCCGTGTAGTACGTTAAATGAAATCAAAGCTTATGTAATAGATAGAAGAGGGCAGAACAATTTTGATACAGCGACGAGCGACTTAGTCTAGTGTATCATCATTTTATGGTAGATCGATCTCGGCGGGGTCAGATAATGACCCACTGTGCCTGCAACAAATGAACCAATGAAAACGATGAAATAAAGCTATGTGGGCTGAATTGGTCCACTCGCTCGGAGATCGCGGCCCGCTGCCACCCACTCGGCTTCTCCCACCCGGCTCTTATCCCCAGGCCCCTGAATTTCTTTTTATTCTCCCACCGGCGTCAGAGTCCTTTGTTAGCCTGTAGTCATTTTTTAAGCAGGAAATGAAGGTATTTTATTATCAGTTTGATTCATTTACTTGACTATGTTGTTTCATACGCCGTTTTCAGGCCAGCTCTGGAGATGGAGCATTTTTCAGTAGTATATACTCCATGAATACTATTCACACCTATGGCGACGGGGGATAGATACATGTGTAGCTTGTAGAAGTACTAAATTTCCTGTGGGAAATGTTGCCGCAATATTGCTTTTATAAATGTCAGTCAACATGAGATGATGATTGTAAAGTTGATGTCGTTTTGAGTGGGAAAGCTCACGGGACGTTTCATGTCAAGTGGCTTCATCTGGGAAGCATTGTAATGTTCTGTGTTGGTAGTGCTGTCTGCGGTACCGCCCCTAACATGGACGCCCTTATTGTGTGATGAATCATTGCTGGTATCGGCGGTGAGGGACTATATCTCAACGTTGAACCTAATGGACGTCCTGGGTATATGGGTGGTACGGGGGCACTTTGGGGAGCTGGAACAACTTTGAGACCCATGATGAATTTTCTGATTCGAGAGCAAATTGGAGATGGTACGTCATTTCATTCTTCAGTGTATTCTACTCCGATTCTAACTACATACTTCAGGCCTTATACATCAATCCTGGCATCTTTGGAGCTTTGTCGCCAGGGGCCCTTCCCATACCAGGCCTGTCATGCTTGTCGGCTCCTCTCTCATGTTTACCGTCAGAATTTGGGACTAACATAGTCTCATTTCGCACATTGCCCGGCAAATTTTCGAACAAAGTGCTCTGAGATCTGATGACAGCACCGTTGATCGGATCGGTAGAAAATCCCAAGGCAGTAAAAAGTTTACTCAAAAGACTGATGGCGATCTTCCGAAACACAGTGTCGGAAATAGAGAGAGCAATTACCAAGCCACCAATTTGAGCTACGTTGATGAATCTGATTGATCCTGCCATATCCTGCGGTGGAAACTCGGAAGAGAGGAGTATGCTATACCCCCACCTGAGCGAACAAGCCGGCCCCGATGGTAATCAGAACTGAAAAGTCAGACGACCTCTATAAAACTAAATTCTGAATTTATAAGTAGCATTTATTTTTTGATGATAATCGCAGGAGTGTTGTATCCTATGATGACAGTCCTGCTGAAGAAGGAGAAGCTGTTGCTAGTACTTAGGTTGCAGCGTAGTAGGGCGATAGAAGGGCTCTTATGAGTACATATAGATGGAGTCTTGAGCTAAAAGGTAGAAATAGAGAATAATCTAGACTAGATGTTGATTCATCTTTCGCAGTCAGGTTAATTAATGTCGCCCGATACAGTCGATAATAGCCCTAGACCTAACCCTAGCCGGGACGGAAACATTCTATTCATGCCTCAGGCATCAATACAAACAAAACAAACAACGAACCCGCTAGTTGTCCAATTCCGACAATTCAGGAGAAAGCCAAACAACAAATCAATCCGAGCAACTTGTTCGCATTGGGCATCCTTCTCTTTCCAGCTTTGATAAAGAGAATATACAATACAATGCGCGTCCAGAACCTAGTGGCCGGTCTTTTGACCACGCTGATTCCATCCGCTTCGGCGACAGCGTTGACATACAAGCTCGATGCTAACGAGAAAGCGTGCTTTTATGCTGATGTGACACAGAAGGATGTCAAGGTTGCTTTTTACTTTGCTGTAAGTTGTCTCCATTTAAACTGAAAACCTCAGTCATATGTAATGATGGTGACTAATGGATGGAATCGATGCCAGGTACAATCGGGCGGCTCCTTCGATATCGATTATCAAGTCGCCGGACCCCTTGACAAAGTGATTCTGGGAGGAACCAAGGAACGACAGGGCGATTACGTTTTTACTGCGCAGAGTATTGGTGAATATAGCTTCTGCTTCAGCAATGAAATGTCAACCTTTGCGGAGAAGTTGGTCGATTTTGAGATTGCGGTACGCTCACTTGCTCGATATCTAAAAAAAAAAAAAAAAGCATCAACCATCTAATGCCTGGTCACAGGTCGAAAACGAACAAAAAGCCGAACTACCATCACGACAAGGCGCCAGTCCCGAACAAGCCGACGCTGTCGAAGAATCCATCACAAAGATCTCCCATCTCCTATCGACCATCTCGCGAAATCAGAAATACTTCCGAACGCGTGAAAACCGCAACTTTAGCACCGTGCGCAGCACCGAGAGACGTATTTTTAACTTTAGCGTTATTGAGAGTTTGATGATGGTTTCTATGGCTGGGTTGCAGGTGTTTATCGTGCGGTTCTTTTTCCAGGGAGCTAGGAAAGGTGAGTTCTATCGACCGTTTTGGAAACTGTTTGGATCTAACTGATTTATGTCTAGGTTATGTATGATCATGAGATTGCGATATATGTTATATACTCGACATTAGTGAGAAATGTGCTTGGTTTAACGAAACTTCCTGGCGTGTACTGTTTGATATTTGCGGGATTGCGAGGAGCATTGGTTCTTATGCACTAGTGGAAAGGATTGGTACTAAATGCATGAATACATGGATACATCACTTTAAGTTTTTACTTCTCGTCTTGTACGATCCGTAGTTTCCTGGCATCATGGCGATTAATCGAATACGGAGGTGAGTCTTGTCACTCTTTGACTGGACATACCTGGGTTAGCCCACTTGCATCTCATTGGGGTCATTGTATAGAATGAGTGAATGAATTTAATGAACACCCATTGAAAGACGTTTTCAGGTAGAATCATAATGTTCGGTCGTTGGGCATCGAGTCAGGAGGCTGGTGTATCTGTCCGTTAAGAATGTGTTTATAAGAGCACGGCCTGCACCGTCACGAGAGGTTTTCAATTCTCAAGCAGGTGTCGAATGTGAACTTGTCCCGTGGCGGATGTATGTATACCAACGGGTGGGACCAGCTGCGTTTCGTGGTTTGCAATCATCGGTTCAAGGATCTTTCAGAGTCTAGACTGGTCGTGTAGATCAATCCAGCTGTCCTATCGGGTGAATTAACGGGAGCAGAAGGATGTTACAGAGTTCAAGGAGGTCATCAATGCGGACCCATCAGAGCCAGACACTGAAGGCTATAGAAGATCTGCTGACGGTAATCAAGCTGTATACGGAGTAGTAGGGCTGTTATCTTGGTACCAGGGCATCCAAACCCCGAAATCAACCCGAATAAGGCGAGCCGCAGGTTTATGGCGGCGCCACAAGACAAGCGCCATTCCGACTGCTCGATTTAGCCGCTGCCCCCATCTGATTCTTGAGTGTTACCCAGACCAAGGCAATTCGAGTGAATATACCGATATCGTTGAATAGTTGAAAATTGGTATATGTTCGATAGATTCAATATACCGAACGATCTCTAGAGCCCTGGCTATTCACTCACCCCTTGAGCGTGCCCTTCCCTTTTGAAAGATCACCCACATCTGCGTCTTGTTAAGTCGTTTGTTATCAAGAAAGCTGCATGTGGCCTTTTAGTGTCATAGTGTCATAAGTGTCATGATCATAGTGGCATTTGTCCTCGGAAGCACTCTCTTCCAGATATGTAGACCCACCCTTTTCTTCCAGAATCTGCCAAACCCTGCCGACCCTCGTTCGTGCAGAGTTACCTTGCTGCTTCGGATCTGTGCCGTGTATTGAGAGACAGCAATCGGAAAGAGTATCACGTGCAGTCCAAAGTTCTAGCCGTACCTCGTCCGCACGACAAGTGCAATATATTCGGGTCACCTGCCATGGCAAAAATGCATTGTGAACCTGCCGAGATCCAGTTCTGAGCTCGGGCATTAATATGTAGTTACAAGGTTCTGGAGGAATTCAATTTATATTGATTTCGGAACATAAAAGATGTGGCTGGAACACCGGAATTGCTTCTCCGCCCCCCGCTTTTGGTATGCATCCATTGGTAGACTAGTGCCAGGACGTGGCTTGAACTCTGTGCCCAAACGGGACACAACTTGTGGAAGCCGTCTCCAGATCGGGTATAGCGCCCGCCCTGCATGCCCCGTCTTTCCTGAATAGGCAAGTACGAGTGCGCAGTGACGTCAAAGCAGACGCTAAGAAGCAGCCGCAACGTCACCGGATCGACGAGCTGCATGTATTATTCTCTACTATGTACAACCATCAACCCATACGCTTTCGCACAGTCCGATATGCACAATATTACTAATGCTATGCGTCGAGTGTTATCAGATGGTAGAAGCCGGACGAAGGTCGCTGAAAGCGCCACCAGCTGAGATAATGGAGCTATCGCAAAGTTTGTTTGATCCTTCTGGGAAGCCCAAAATACTGTACAGAGGCTGGGAGACCTGATGACGCTGCTATGAGATGTTCTGTCGTGGTTCATGGTTCATTGCATGCTCTCTTAAAATATCAAAGACAGACAGAGAGAGAGAGAGAGAGAGATACATATATATATACATGGATACATGTATACGTATATATGTGGTCTGCTTCTCCATGCACAGTCTAGACCCTAGTATGATCGCATTATCTCATTATCAGATGGCTGATGTTTGATGTCTATCAACAGCAATGATCCAGCGAAGTGGGGCCGTGACGCCAATGGTCTGGGATTGAGGGTATTAAACATACTATGTAGTAAGTGCTATGTAGTGGGCGTACTATGTACTTAGTAATACGGTCATACTGGAGGGACACAGTCCAAGGTACAAGTAGGTTTTCTGAAGGAGAGCTGTGCAGAAAGTGAATCTCTATCTGTGGGTCATGATGCATCACTTCTGGCTCAAACTGTGGTCCGTTCTCAAAACACAATTCTCCGTAGGCTGAATGACCTCATCCGAGAAAAGGAACCTGAGGCCCCCATAGTGATACATCGCAAGCCCCCACTGACTAGCCTAGTCTTGTCCTATGAATTCATGTGGTGATCCAGCCGTTCCTCTCTGCTGTGATATCATCGTCCTATCAAAAACAGCGACTGCTGCTCCGCTCATCATCGGGATTGGTGCGCTGATTGGCCGAATCCTGCCAATGTGTGCCTGCCGTTGCTGGCACACACTCCGTATTTGACACTTCCCGTCCCGACGACGTGAACTGGTCAAACTTCCATCTTCTTTTTTCTTCCTGCTATATAGTCTCGAGTACTCGCTTGCGAACGTCTCAGTTAGGTTGATTCCCCTTGTTTTGTCGTGGAATTGTCTTTGGCAAAACCTGTCGTCATACCTGAAATCCATCTCGCAAGGCTTGTGACACATTCGACCACAGACCTGCATATCGTCGGCTATCGAGTGCATTAGACTCGCGAATAACTCTTCGGAATCTTTTGTAAGAACCCCTTGACGTATTCTGCCTTGTCGAAGACCGAAAACAAGACAACGGCGTAGTCCCTGCGACTATTATCTGGCGAAGAACGACGATTTTAGAACCGCGCCATGCAAAACCATCATACTGATATAAGTCTTAGATGTATTGGGATATGCATAGTCTCCCAATGGCAATGAATCCAGCAGAAGGTCTACCCACCGAGGACATCTCCGGCCGTACTTCGGGAATCGCGCTGTTGGAGACTACCCCCGGCATTGATCCCCGTGCATCTGTCGACGACTACAACAGGGTGATGCTGCAGTATACCCAGCGTCAAATCGAAGCATTCACCCAGGCGGGAGATAACATGCTCGGACGTCGTAATAGTGGCAACAGCCGTAGCAGCGGAAGCAGCGGCCAAAGCAACACATCTTCCATGACCAATATGGCTGGTGCTGGTAGCGGTCTACCACCTCAGCAGACTAGACGTGATGGCAGCACCCAGTCTCCGGGTAGTGCTCGTGACTAGCTGCACTGCTTCATCGGCTCTGAATGCGAGAGGTCTCGTCAAGAGGGTATGTCACCGGATCTTTGTTCCACGTACGTCCGGCTGACTAATTCATCTCAAAAGATGTTCCTGTTTTTAGCGCATCCCTTCAGTTATACCTTAGCGACCGTCATTAACCTCGACGTATGCACCCTTACGGAGTCAGATGATATTTACAGCATGGAGAGGGGTTCCGAGCGAGGCATCAGAGTGGTTGGAAGAGATTGACTTTCACGTCTCTTTTTCATTGCCAGCGTTGGCCTGAGATTTGGAGTTTGCCCACACATACGTTCATTACAACACTTCGATACTCTCGTCGATGAACAGGTGGATTCGTTTGTTTTGCATTTTGATTCTTCTTCTTTTTTTTCAATGGTCGGGTCGTATCTCTCTCTATGAGACGAGATACTCCCCAATCCGATTTGACATTACATTGACTATCGTTCTAGCCCAACTCGAGCGAATGAGCATGTTTTCATCTCATTTGCCGCAATTTACTATCTTCCCCAAGCACCATACCCCTTTGGCTTTTTCATCACGTCGCAGTCAGGGTAGTCGACAGAGTCTCCTTTTCTTGTTGTGGAACGTGAGATAACTGGAAGACTTTACTCTAGACATGACAATAGAATTTCGAATTCCAAAACCCATCGTCTTATTTGATCTGTGTGTGGTGTTTCTCTGATCCATCGGCGTGTTTTGTTATGATGTTACGAATTTTATGACTTGTATACTTATGATTGTCTTGTTCTTGTTAGTAGCTCGCTGGATCGAGATGTAAACCTTCATGTACTTTTAGTTTTATTATGGGACAGGGTTATCTTTGATCGGTTGTCATGGAAAACTTCGGTCCAGTCAGGTCAGCTAGGCTCGAATTGATACTATTCTCAAATTCATTTCCATCTGAATAATACGAAAACATCGCAGCCGGAAAGACGATTAAGATGCTATATCGTCATTATAGATGCATGTTTTGTGATGGCCCTATGAAAAGATCCTCTTGAAAGCTGACTGATTACACCGAAGATGATGATTCTGTCTAGGATGTAATCATTCTAGGCGCCTACGTAGCGAGGCATGTAAAGTTAAAAGAGAGACACTGCCCATCTCAGACAGATTGTAGCTTAGACCGATGCAAGCACTCGCATGGTGGCAAGAGACACTAAACCATTGGAAATGATTAAGCTGAACCGCTGCATGGGAAGATATAAGATACATAGTATGCGTATGCCATCATCATCACCGTCATCAGTGCCTATCCGAGACTGTTTGGGAAGTAAAGGGTCATATCATTAATAACCATATATAATAGATGGGGACTTCGACATCAGCTAGCTCTCTAGCTACGTATGCCCGCCCCCCGAGCGGAGTATGGAACGTCATACGCCGCTGTTCTCTAGGGGTTTGACGTACCTGGACAGATTACTCCCTCGTACTTTCGATAAATAGGTCTGTGCATATGTCCTCAGACCTACTTCGGTAACACGAAGGATAAATCGTTGAATGGGGCGGAGTCATATAGCTGATGTTAGGTTAGGGTATGTCTCTGGACCGTCCCGACGACGTCAGATATACCTTTCGGGAGACCGCTTACATACTCCCCCCATCTCTTTTTCTCTTGGCTGTACTTATCCCTGACATAAATCTCAGACAGGACAGTCTATGCATTTAAATGATTAAACTGGTGTGAAACAGGGGCTGTCCTACATGGACATATATGTCATGTCACCTATGTAGAAGGTGATTGTCGATGATAGCGCCCTGAAGATGATTATGTCACCACAAAGTTCATTGCAAATCCGATGGTATAACTGGGAGATGGATGTATTTACCAAAAGACTTTCTGTAATAGCAAACCGAACGCTCAATTCTTCCACTCTACTGCCCAGAAATACAGCATGAGTATCACAGGCTTAGGGTTATTAGAACCCTAACCCTGGTATATGCTCCACATCAATAATTGGCGTCATTGTATAGCGATAGGGCATTCGAAGTGGATATTGACAATCTTCCCAGTCCTTTCCGTGTGTTTAAAGCTCTCGAAAAATAATCAACAAGCTCAGTCCGTCGAGATCAAATCAAACCCAGCCGACACTCCGCGATCATTGTAGCACAAAGAGGAATCGAGTTGCCGGTGCGTAAAGCCCCAACCAAGAAGCAAATGAATCGCGACAGCCGGGAACGAGCCCGAGATCCGAACATGCGTAACCTACACCTGAAGAGGAAATTGGAGAGGGTCAAGGTGGATATTTAGATGTAAGATCTATCTGTCGTAGTGGGGGTTTGATATGAATCTATCCATTGAGAGACTTTCATCATATGCACAAGGTTTGGGCGCCGGCTAAACTTCGGTTGTTTATTGTTAGTGGTTGGATTTAGTTCCCTAACGGGTAATATAAGCATATATTTTAAGCTTTTCCACTTGTCTTTTCTTCTTGTCAATTGCTCTGTCTTGATTCCTCTACGAGATAGACCACAGGCATAGTAAACATGGTGCAACTTGATATTGAAAAGACGCTCTCGGAGCTGGACCTGAACGAGAAGATTGCACTCACTGCTGGTAACCGCTTACCAACAGTTCTTTATACAGTCAACGACAAGCTGATAATCACCAGGAGCCGACTTCTGGCACACAGTGCCCATAGAACGTCTCAAGATCCCCTCTGTGCGAACATCAGATGGACCAAACGGTGTCCGCGGAACTCGTTTCTTCAACGGCGTCCCCTCAGCATGTCTACCATGCTCAACAGCTCTCGGTTCAACCTGGGACGTGAACTTACTCGAGCAGATTGGTGAATTATTAGGCGACGAAGCACGCTCCAAAGGTGTTCATGTCCTATTAGGTCCTACGATCAATATCCAGCGCTCGCCCCTTGGCGGTCGTGGGTTTGAGTCGTTTTCGGAGGATGGGTTACTTTCTGGTGTTTTGGCGGGGTATTATTGTAAAGGTGTCCAGTCAAAGGGGGTTGGTGCGACGTTGAAGCATTTTGTGTGCAACGATCAGGAACATGAGCGTATGGCGGTTGATACTATCGTTACGGCGAGAGCGTTGCGTGAGATTTATTTAGTGCCGTTCCAGCAGGCTCTTCGAATCTGTCAGATGGCGTGCTTTATGACCGCTTATAATAAGATTAATGGGTGTCATGTGAGCGAAAACGCAAGTATTATTGGAGACATCTTGCGCAAAGAATGGAAGTGGAACGGTCTCGTTATGAGCGATTGGTAAGACGCTCTGCACTTTTGGGATTGGACTACTTTCTAATTCGATTATTAGGTTCGGCACATATAGCACTGCAGAAGCAATCAATGCCGGACTGGATCTCGAAATGCCAGGTCCAACCCGGTGGCGAGGATCAATCCTCAACCACGCAATCAATTCAAGAAAAGTGGCTGACCATGTCCTTGACGAAAGAGTGCGAAACGTGCTCAACCTTGTCAACCATGCCGGTAAATCCGATATCCCCTTTGGCGCCGAGGAGAAAGGTCTCAATCGTCCTGAAGATCAGAAACTTCTTCGCCGTGCAGCTGCTGAGTCTATAGTACTCTTGAGAAACAACAACAGCGTTCTCCCGTTTGACAAGATCAAGCCTATCGCTGTTATAGGACCAAATTCTAAAGTGGCTGCTTACTGTGGCGGTGGTTCTGCGTCTTTACCACCGTATTATACTGTGACTCCGTTTGAAGGAATCACCAACGCTAGCAAAGCAGATGTCAAATTCTCCCAGGGTGCTTATGCTCACCAAACTCTGCCTCCATTAGGACCGTTAATGAAGACTCTGGATGGAAAGAAGCAGGGTTTTGAATTTAAAGCGTACCTTGAGCCTCCCGAAGAGAGGAACAGCGATTCCAAGCCTGTTGATGAGTTGCATCTCGTCAACTCAACGGGTTTCCTTGCCGATTACAAGAACCCTCGCATCCCTGGGCAGCTATTCTACGCCGATATGGAGGGAACATTCACACCAGCAGAAGACGGTCTGTATGATTTTGGAGTCATCGTGATTGGCAGTGGAAAATTGTTCATTGATGGCGAACTTGTCGTGGACAACGCTACCACTCAACGACAAGGAACAGCCATGTTCGGCAGTGCCACGGTTGAGGAGAAAGGGTCCAAGGAACTCAAGGGAGGAACCTCGTACAAGATCCTGTTCCAATATGGAAGCCGGCCAACATCGAAATTGGAAAATCGTAGCGTTATTGACTTTGGTCTTGGTGGGTTCGCCTTCGGTACAGGCAAGCGAATTGATAAGGAGGAGTCTATCAAACAAGCAGTCGACTTGGCGTCCAAAATGGAACAGGTTATTCTCGTTGCCGGATTGAATGGTGAATGGGAAACCGAAGGCAATGACCGAGAGCATATGGATCTCCCACCTGGCACGGATGAATTGATATCTCGCGTTCTTGACGTCAATCCCAACGTTGCCGTTGTTATTCAAAGCGGGACACCGGTGACCATGCCTTGGATAGACAAGGCCAACGTCTTAGCTCAAGCGTGGTTCGGTGGAAACGAGCTCGGAAACGGTCTCGCTGACGTTCTTTATGGTGATGTTAATCCCGCCGGGAAGTTATCTTTAACTATCCCTGCTCGTTTAGAGGATAACCCGTCGTATCTCAATTTCGGTTCTGAGCGAGGCCGGGTTTTGTACGGAGAGGATGTTTATGTGGGATATCGGTATTTTGAGAAGGCTGGAGTTAAGCCGTTGTTTCCATTCGGTTATGGCTTGTCGTATACGACATTCGCACGATCGGGTCTATCATTGCAGGTAGACTCAGAGAAGCCAATTCTAGAAGACGGCGAAAGAATAACCGCCTCCTTGACAGTGGCTAATACCGGATCAGTCGCTGGTGCAGAAACAGTGCAACTATGGATACAACCCCCCGCAATTGCAAACATTAAGAGACCCGTTCGAGAATTGAAAGGTTTCACAAAAGTCCATCTACAACCTGGAGAAAAGAAAGATGTCTCAATCACAGTCGAGAAAAAGATTGCGACAAGCTTCTGGGATGAGATTAGAGAATCTTGGGCATCTGAAAAGGGCGAATATACGGTTTTGATTACTGGGACTGGGGAGGAAGCACTTTCTGAAAAGTTTAGTGTTGAGAAGAGTCGGTACTGGATTGGATTGTAGACTTAGTCTGATAGGTTAGGCCTAGAGTGACCTACTTAGATATCTTCTAAATAGGAATAGAACTTTAGTACACGTGTTGCATCGTTCTGCTTGCTCTGGAGTTACCGCAGAATGCAGACTAGAAACTGGAATGTAAACCTCTCTATTAACTAACCAATGACGGTTTGGAATGAATTCATGCCTTTTTAAATTATAGATGGCACATTCTTGACAGTTTGTACAGAGCATTCTATTGGCTTAGGCCCATAGCGAGGCTGAGGAGGTTGGTTCGCATTCCAGAAATATTCTTGTACCCTGTTCTAGAACACTTCAATCATAGACATCCATGTGTCTACCCCAAAGTAATTTAGTGATCGACAAGGCTGGTATAGATAAAGCATTTCCCGCCATTCCAAGGAATGTTCCGAAACTCTTCTATTCGCTTTGTGAAAGGAGGCTGGTACGATATTTGAGGCTTCAAGTTGTGGCGCCAAATTACCCAAGTAGGAAACTTTTCCTACACCACATAGTTCTTCGAAGTGGTTGGGGAATCGTTCTGTGTTTGTCTATAGCTTTTTGTCAGAAATATGGCGCTCCCGTGAAGATCAATTCCATTATTTATGGGGCGATGATATCCTCTAGCAAGGAGTTTAATTCATCATTATCATCATCATCATCATCAGTCGCTCAAGGCCTTACCTATACTACTCGAGAAGCATCAAAGGCATTGCCAATACTGCATCAAAGTGCCGTATAGTCGAGGTATGTTTCATCGCAGATTAGTACCAATATCAGACGCTGACCCACTCAGAGAGAAAAGAAAATGTTCCTCGATCCCACTCCACTCGCCATTGCACTGGCAATCATCCTCTCCACATCCCCTCATGTCCTTGCAGCACCACATAGAAAACATCATAACATTGTACTTGGTCGATCAAATGATCAAATCCAAAATTATGATCAGCGATATGCACATGGTCCACTGCAAATTGCCACGCCATCGTTTCAAACTCCTTCTGTAACCGTGCAGAGTGTCAGGACTATCACAGTGTTTCCGACACCGGTTCGGACGCTGATGCCGAGTAATATGCAATTTTTACCGCCTCCTGGTATGCCAATGCCAAATGGGACTAGGAAGCCTGTTGAGAAGTCCTCTTCTACGTCGTCATCTTCATCGTCAACGGCACCTACAACAACTTCAAAGACAACAGTGTCATCTACGTCACAAGCAACAAAAGCGGCTGCGGCATCATCGTCATCGGCCTCGATTATAGTCGTTGCTCTACCTTCGAGCTCATTCACTATCACTGTGCCAGGCGCAACCTCAGTCACTATCCCGTCAATTGCCACACCAACCACTACTCTACCTTCTATAATTGCGATCGAGGACAACGCTGCTTCCGAAATCCTCTCGGTTCTTGCGACAGATCTAGCACAGACAACCAACACCGATTCCAACTCTGACTCTGGCGATACAAATTCTATGCAATCCGATGCAGGCACGGAGACAAATTCATCTCAGCAATCAGCTATAACAGCAGCAACATCAACCTGTTCGCGCGGGACAACTCGTAAATGCTGTTCTGCCGCGCATAACGATCTAAAGAAAGTCGTCAATGCTCTGGATGGTATCACTGGATTCGACCTGAGTTTCCTTAGACCCGATACATCGGTAGGACTCGACTGTGCCGATATCAATGACAATGATAGCACTGAAGATGGTGCCGTATGCTGGGATGTTGTGAGTTGTTGCGAAACGAATGCACTCGTGAGTTTTCTTCCTATTTCGTTCGATGATTTCAATAATACTGATTATATGCATTTATGTAGACAACCTTGAGCTCAATTTATGTGGGCTGTGTGCCGGTTGTTTGAGATAGTACACTCCCGAACATAGGGTTTGCATGGGTTGGAGTTGATAGTTAGCATTTGCATTTACTGGAGGGTGGGAGATTTATTTATGGATTCCAAAACTTATTATTTTGTTAGCGTGACCAATATACTAATTCTAGAGGATAATACAGTACTCGCTACGAGTCCTAATAATACTTATCAGACACATTCCATTACCATCTTATAGTAGGTATGTACAGTAGAGCCTGGCTATAACGAACTGGAGACCTCTAAGTGCCCAAGTCAATGTCTAGAGTGAAGAGTACTCCAATGTATTAATCTGTTTTTATTATTAATATATAAGGTGCTCTTCTTTCCATGTTAAAGTAATCAAAGGTGAGATTAGTATATACATGAAGAGGGCTTCCTTTCCTTGTAGTCTTATAGGCTGTATAGGGTTAGGGCATGATCTACTACGCGGTTCCCCACCCAAATTTCCGGAGTCTGGGGTAATTGTCTCTGTGGTCAGCTGACCGCGTGGGGAAAGGAAGCCAGAACCTGCCATTTAAACTCTTTTCATCCACAGTAGAACCTGGCTATAACGAAAGGAAGGTCGCTTCATATTTCTACTAATCTTAGCTTGGATTAATTTAATATGGGATTGAAGAGCATCCTACTCACGAATATTAGAATAGATATTGAAGGTGCCCTTCATCCCCTAATCGAACTCACTTTTGGATATACTGACTTGGACCCCGAGAGGTCTTCTGTTCGTTAGGACCAGGTTCTACTGCATTTTATCCTCGACCAAAGAATGAGCTATACGCGTAAACGGGCGGCATTAGCTTGCATATTCTGTCGCAGCAGGTAAAGCTAACCCTCGGACAAGGGCATTCAAGCATGTTGATCTGAATAGAAAACGGAGATGTGACGCACGGAAACCATCGTGCTCTAATTGTCTTGATTTGGACGTTGAGTGTCACTACGATGACACTCCATCGCAAAGGTAATCCAAACTTGGGATCTGGAAATTCCTGTGTACCTGCTTACGGATCTAGGATTGATACTTCTGGAGGCAGTCGGGAGATTCTCAATCGGTTGCGAAATATCGAGGCAATCCTCCAGAGTCAATCAGAGCGGATAACAGCTCTTTCTAATGAGCCTCAAAGAACACCCTTGCATGTTCATGATGCCGTCACACCGCGGAGTCAGCAGTCAGTTGCAATCGTTGACATGCATTCCCAAACGTGGTCATCGTCACACCTTAATGCCCCGTCTGACTACTCAAGCTTGCCGCCTCTCACCATACCAGTCAAACACAAGACTTCATCTACATATTTATTAAATTTGCCTGCGGTCAAATCACTGATCGGGGAATACCCGACAGATCTCTTCTTCAGATTTGAATTGCGAAGTCATCTTCCTCCTCAGCTCTCACTGGAACATTCCCATGCAGCGTCTCCCGTCAATATACAGAGGGAAATCACAGACGAATTGATATTATTCTTCTTCGCATACGTTCATCCAAACCATCCGGTTCTAGACCGCGAAGAGTTTCAAAAGCACTATGCTCGATTCCTCGAGAATGGGCCTGATCATAGCTATGAATCTATTCTCTGTATGGTTGTTCTGGCATTAGGAGCCGTTGTTTCCACAGCCCCGGACCCTGAGGTATTCAAGTCGTCACCTCCGGGTATGGATTACATGCAGTACGCTATGCCGACGCTGCTCTCTGTTTCTGCATGGTCTTTTTCTTCAAGTATGTTGGCGGCTCATGCACTGGTTCTTGCCAGTGTCTATTTTGCCTACATTGTTCGGCCACTACAGAGTTGGCGGTTGATTCACTCTGCTTCAACGATGTTGCAAATTAATCATGTCGGGTAAGCTATACAGTAAAATCTGGCTTTAACGAAAGGAAGGCCACTCCACCTTTCTACTGATATCAGCTTGGGTGTCTTTAATATGGGACTGAAGAGCATCTAATTTGTTAATACTAAAATGGATTAATGTATGAGGTGCTCTTCATCCCTGAATCGAACTCACTTCTGGATATATGAGCTTAGGCCCTGAGAGGCCTTCTATCCGTTATAGCCAGGATCTATTGTACCCACCATTGGTGAAGCAAGCTAACATCGGTAGGGTGGATTCTCTTCAGAAAATATCGAATGGTTTTAATGAAGGAGAGCATCTTGTCCGCCTTTTCTGGTCATCATTTCTCGTCGAGTGCGACCGTCTCGCGGAGCTTGAGCTCCCACGAAGCGGGCTCGAAGAGTTAACAGACAGCATATATCTTCCAAACTGTACAAACCTTGGGCTTGCAGAATCTGCCTGGTATCTCGCTGAGATATCCATCCGGCGGTTGCTCAATCGCATTCATAACTCCTTATACCCAGGCAAGAAACAGCCACTTTCGAAGCCTCCAATCACATCTCTTGCATCTGATGACTTTTCAATGGAAGAAATAGTTTCGATTGATGGTATTTGTAATGAACTACGCTCACAGCTGGAGACATGGTATTTATCTATCCCCGAAGGTCTCCGTCCTGTTCTAGAAAATGCTAATGAGGAGGATACCGCCGGTCGACAAGCAATTCTGAGGATTCGCTATTTTGCAGCCAGGCATATCATCTACAGGCCATTTCTACTTTGCGTTGTTACGCACGGCTCGAAACGTGCCCCGCGGTCAATGGTTGAAAAGGCTGCTATTTGCATTGAGAGTTGCCGATGGTACATTCACCATACTACCAAGGTGTTGGGAAGGCCAAGTCAGTACACGTGGACATTCGCATTATCGTAAGAATCTGACTTTGACTCGTGAAGCACAACGTTACTGACTAAAGATAATCAAGCTCCCTTGGTGCGATTATAATTCTCACTTTAGGCTCCTTGAATCGAGATTTGCAAGCCTTTGTGCCAGACATTGACGAGCTACAGACTATGGCAATTGACAACTTTCGACCGTGGGCATTCTCAAGCCTGGAAGCGGTCGTATCAATACTAGAGGATATCAGGAAAAAGAGGAGGCTTCTTTTACAAGTGTGAACTTGATTATATAATATTTAAGGAAGTAGTTAAGTTACTTTAAATTCGTGTCATCTACAACTCGCCGCCAGTAGGTTGCGCGATGATCTCTTTTCCAATGTCACTTCTCCAGAAGCTCCCTGTGGGATATGTATATTTCTCCAACGCTTCATCGGTATATCCCGTTGAATAGCCGGGAGCCAGCGGGGTGACATAATGTGCATTTTCAATCTTGGATGGATGTCGCAGATTCTCCCGATGACTGTCAGCATTCTCTAGCATTGACTTTCGCCCACTGATAGCGATATAATCAATTGTGCTAAGGTGAGATGTCAACTCTGTCAATCCCATTGCTCCATTGTGCGGTACGCAGGGTACGTCGAATTTCAAGGCCATGAGCATCACAGCCTGAGAAGTCAGTGGAAGTTTGCAAAGTGAATTTGAGCCGAAGGTCACTCACAAGACATTCATTCACGCTGCCGAGTCTGACTGCATCGATTTGACAGACGTCTGTGGCCTCTGCTTGCAGAAGTTGCTTGAATGTGACGCGATTTTGTGCAGCTTCTCCGGTCGCTACGCCGACTCCATATGGCTTAAGAGCTTTTCGAATGGCTGCATGGCCAAGTACGTCATCAGGATTGGTAGGCTCTTCGATGAAAACTGGCTTGAACTCGACCAGTTCCTTCATGTATTCGATAGCTTCCGGAACGCTCCACACCTGCCGACCATTAGAGCTGACAGGACTTACAAGGATAATGATATACCTGATTCGCATCGATCATAATCTGATAACCTTTATCATATCCTAAGACATCTCTGACAGCCGCCAGCCTCTCTCTGTCCGCTTTCACATTAGTGCCGACTTTGAACTTGAATACGGTGAATCCGGCGTCGATAGTTTCTTGCAGCACTTCTCGCATCCGGTTACCAGAGAAAGCCAACCATCCGGCAGAGGTAGTATAGGCGGGAACTGCAACGTTGTCTAGAGCCTCCTTCAGCCGTGCGTCTTTGTTCTTTTGAGTCTTTTCGAGCATCTCAATACACTCTTCCGGCGTGATCACGTCAGTAATGTATCGGAAATCAATGCATTGCACTATTTGCTCAGGGGTCATTTCGCAGATAATCTGCCACACAGGTTTGCCCAGTATCTTGCCCCAGAGATCCCAGACTGCGTTGAGTACTCCGGCAACAGCGAGATGTGTAACACTCTTTTCTGGTCCGATCCATCGATATTGCGAGTCTGAGACCATATACCGCCATGTCTTGCCCATGTTTCGTGTAAGCTCGTGCATTGTTTTTCCAACAACACGACGAGCGAAAATATCGAGGGCCATGCATATCAATTCGCTACCTCGTCCGTTGCTAAAAGCCTGATACTTGTTAGATAATGGATACTGGGATATCGGAAGCACTCACAATTCCTTCTCCAATAAGTTCATTATGGTTTGTCTTCAATTGAATGAAAGGATGCGACCCATTGGTGCCTTTGTGCATTGCATCTGAACCGACACCATCGAGACTCGTTGGGAAGCGTAGGTCAACGACCTCGAAAGATGTGATGGTAACATCGTGTTCGGTGATTACAGAGCCCATTCTGTGTGTGCAGAATTTGATGAATGTTGAAAATGCAAATGGTTTGCGTTCCAGGATTTTCCCTACATGATGGGCCCTTTAAAGAAGAGCTTGTTCATGCCCTAATCGATAAGGGAAGCGGAGAGAGTGGAGAACTACCCGGGGTATGCCGCTCTTCCCCGTTGACCTACCTGGTTGGCAGAACCACAGTAGAACCTGACTATAACGAAAAGAAGCCCTCTTCATGTATAGTCATACTAATCTCACCTTTGATTACTTGAATATGGAAATGAATAGCACCTCATGTATTAATAGTAAAAATGAATTACTACATTGGAGTACTCTTCACGCTTAAATCGGATTCACTTCTAGATATATTGACTTTGACACTGCCCAGTCCAGTTCGTTATAACCAGGTGCCGCTTATCCCCGTCGGATCATCTCCGATCAAGTATATCAAGTTGAAGTATGGTCAATCTATCATATGTGTGGTATGATTATTGTTTTTCCTTTGTACTTACAGTTGAAGAATCCGTCATCATGAGTATCAAGTTTGTTCTTGTGACCGGTGCCACAGGATTTATCGGTGCCCATATTGTCGACGCCTTACTAGCCGGTGGCATTCGCGTGCGGGGTGCCACCCGTTCTCTCGTCAAGGGAAAGGCGATGCTACAGGCAAGGTCTAAGTATGAGGATTTACTTGAGTTTGTACAAATCGATGACTTTCAGAACCCCGGTGGCCTTGTTGAGGCCGTGAAAGATGTCGATGGAATCATTCATACAGCGAGTGTACATCAACAAATTCCATAATACTGTTTAGATAATCTTCACTAACGTCTGGTATCATACAGCCCTTTACGTACGATACAACAGACAATGAAAACGAGCTCATAATTCCCGCCATAAACGGCGTCAGGGCTGTATTCGAAGCTGCTTCTACAAACCCCAAGATTCGACGCATCGTACTAACATCTTCTTTCGCCTCAGTGCTTGATGCACACCGAAAAGCGCCACCATACTTCACCTACACCGGAGCCGACTGGAACCCTTTGACATATGAGGAAGCGGCCGACAAGGCTACGAGCGCTATCATAGCATATAGGGGGTCAAAGAAGTTTGCCGAGCTCGAGGCCTGGAATTACATCCGTGACAAGAAGCCCATGTTTGATTTCGTGGCTCTCTGTCCTCCCATGACGTTTGGACCAGTGGTGCACCCTGTTTCTAGTATTAGCAAAGTCAACGAATCGAATGCAATGCTGTGGCAGGTTGCCAGTGGCGCACCTTTACCTGTTGCGCGAGTACCGTTCTGGATTGACGTGCGCGATCTGGCTGCTGCACACCTTGGGGCGTTGCTCACTGAGGAGGCTGGAGGGAGGAGGTATACGCTCACAGCACCGGAAACTTTCTCCTACGCGAAAGCGGCGAGTATCATTGCCACTGAATTTCCGGAACTGAAGGATAAGGTGCGTCAAGATGAGCAGAGCATTGATGAAAGTTACGGCTTGGATGGAGAGACGGCTAGCAAGGAGCTCGGCTTTGCATACCATACTTTTAGAGATACTGTTCGTGATTTTGTGTCGCAAGGTATTCAGATGACTAGTTAATGTAGACCATTTATTCAATTAAATTTCGTTGTGATATGTTTGTTGGAAGTACGTACAGTAGAACCTGGCTTGAACGAAAAGAAGGCCTCTCGGAATCCAAGTCAGATACTTAGAATATAGAGATGAAGAGCTCCCTGAAATAATAGTCTATCTTATTACTGAGAATTACGATGCTCTTTAATTCTATACTAAAGCAACTAAAGTTGATATTAGTATAAACATGAAGAGGCCTTCCTTTCGTTATAGCCAGATTCTACTGTAGTAGCAAGCTGCTAGGCATGGCTATGAGGATAATTGGAGTATTCTTCGAAATCATAATGTCTCTAGACAAGGAATAGACTTTACCACCTAAAATGTATCTAATTGTAACGATCAGCTTAACCTAATGATAATATTCACTATCTGGGGTGCCAGTGTTGACGAAACTGAGTATGAGCAGGGAAACTATCTGTTGAGGGGAAAAAGCCAATATTTATGGACCTCCATCCTACTCATTGGCGATACTACCCGCTACACACAAATCTCTATTGCCCGGCCGGTATCCCAATGCGGTAGCGGTGCAACTGGGCAACTACGGTAACTACAATCTACCGTCGTTCAAATCTATCCCCGTGACGCCCAGATAAGGTGTCTGACCACGTGCCTCCACGTGCCATATCGATCGATAACCTTATTAACGAATTCGTCAAAAGGGCTTTATTCGAACGTGCCCTGGTGGCAACCGTGTCGACGCCGAGCCATCACACTAACTTTCATGTCATGAGACAAAAGTATCCAATCCAGGCAACAGATAAAAGTCTGCCGCTCATCCCCGCAGCTATAACGGCTGCCGCTTTGCCCCGAACCAACCAGACTGACTGTGCCAAAGCCCTAACAGAGCACAGGCGTATCTCCCCACATTCCCCGGTCGACTTGCCGATTCCCCATGGGGTCGTGCATCTTGCTTCATTCACCTGCATGTCCGATATGCGTACTATTTATTGTGCCTTCTCTTCCCTATGTTGGCAGTCATGAACACCAGTTAGTTAGCAAAGCAGACTACTACACATCCTCTTCGAGTGGCAGCAATGGGTCTCAAACTATCGGACCGTCTTTCTGGAAGATGGCTTCTGACATTCGTCACCATCGCTAATGCATGGTGAGCAATTTTTACCCTCATACTGGTAACCTGCCCAGCTAACATGAAACAGCTCAATGGCCTGGTTCGGCTACGACCAAGGCGTCTTCTCCGGCGTCCTGATCTCAGCTGACTTCAAAGCTCACTTTCCTGAAACCCGCCATGCAAGCACCTCCGGCATAACAACCAGCTGCTTCTCTCTGGGGGCATTCTTCGGCGCTATCTGTGCCTTCACGTTTGGTGACAAACTGGGCCGTAGGAAGACTGTCGCTATGGGACTAGCCTTCAATGTTGTTGGCGCTGTACTGCAGATTGTTTCCTGGCATTTACCGCAGATGATTGTTGGTCGGATCATTAATGGGTTCGGAATGGGATTGACTTCTTCTACATGTCCCGTATATCAGTCGGAATGCTCAAGTCCCAGGTCCCGCGGTAAACTTGTCGTTGTCGGATCATTATGCAACACAGCCGCGTTCTGTCTTGCTAGTTGGATGAACTACGGTCTCTATTTCCAGGGGAGTGCATTGCAATGGCGCTTCCCGCTAGGATTCCAGTTGATCTTTCCCGTCGTTGTTGGGACTGCACTCCTCTTCATTCCCGAGTCTCCACGATGGCTTCTCCTCAAGGATCGACCCGACGAAGCCATCCAGGTTATTGCCCGCCTCGCAGGACCAGCTGTCGCAATCGACGACCCGGATGTCATGGCACAGTTCCTATCTATCCAATCTGCGCTCCAAGAAGAAAGAAAAGATCGCCGTCCGATCTTGGACATTCTGCGCTCTCGCGATAAAACACAGACCCTGCGCCGTTTGCTGCTTTCTTGCGGTACGCAATTCATGCAGCAATTTAGCGGCGTAAATGCGCTGGGATATTATCTGCCTACGCTTTTGCAGCAAAGCGTTGGTCTAGGTGAGAAAATGAGTCGGCTTTTGACCGCTGTCAATGGGACGATATACCTGTTTGCTGCGTTTTGTTGTCTGCTTATAATTGACCGGTTCGGTCGTAGAAAGTATGCCCTTTTCCTCGATGACCTGAGAGTATAGGAACTGACCGGTATGCAGGATGATGCTCTATGGTTCTCTTACCATGGGCTCATGCTATTTGATAGCATCAATCAGTCTGAAATATGCGGAAAGTGACCCATCTCGCAAGCAACTTGTACGTCCGTGGATGCTCTTTGTTGATATAATAGTAGACTAACTTCCATTAGCTCGGCCGCGTTACTACAGCCATGTTTTTCTTGTACTACTTCTTCTACGGCACCAGTTTCGCAAAAGTGCCCTGGGTCTACAACTCCGAGGTCAATTCATTGGCCTGGCGTACTCGCGGCGCAGCAGCTGCGACAGCTACCAATTGGATGGGCGGGTTTATCGTTACTCAGTTCACGAAAGTCGGAGTGAATAATTTACATTGGCGGTTTTATCTGAGTACGTTTCCTCTTTTCTTATCTCCATAAGGATGAAAGCTGATATAGGTAAAGTATTTGCGATTATTGTATGGGCTTATTTCCCCGTTGTCTTTTGCCTGTACCCCGAAACATCGCAGCGGACACTCGAAGATATGGATGAAATATTCATTCAGAATCCATCACTGATTGTCTGCGGAAAGCGTGCATTGACCCAACGCGAACGACCAGTAGAGTTCATTGAGGCTGAAGCGCGACGGATTGCAGAGGAGCAAAATGCCATCGGAGGGAAAGTGGGAGCTATCACACATGTTGAGCAGGTTTAAGCTCTACTGCTTGGCTGAGAGCTTCAGATTAGTACTAATAATCGAGACTATGTTACTGAACGTTTTATATTGATAGTATATCATTGTACAGCGTAATGTGCTACCTATTTTCGCCCTGATTGTGACCATGGTGACCTCCTTGCCACGGCGGCGGAAATGCACCCATTGGCATCTGTTGCCCTAGAAAGGGCGGTTGTCGGCCATACTGGGCTGATTGATTTGCAGGGGGCTGATATTGTTGAGGGAAGTTTGCAATTCCTGGAGGGACCATATGTTGACCGCCTCCCGGATACATAGGCGGAGGTGCGCCATGTGGTGTGGGCCACGCATTGTTGTAATTCATTGGAGGTGGAGGTGGAGCATTCCCTGTGAATTGCGGTGGAAAGGATGCGGCACCATTAAATGGATATGAAGGATTCGGAACACTAGGAGGTGGCGCAGGCTGTTGTTTGTTTTGCTGAAAAGTAGGATGAGGTTGTGCAGGAGATGCAGGTTTCGGTGAATATGAGTTGGACCGCGATCGTGATTGCGCACTGAAGCGTGGCCGAGACGCATTTCTCGAATCGCTACTTGATGGCGACCTGGAATACCGCCGGCGGCTAGGATTTCGTGAACGTGAGCGAGAGTCATAACGGCTATTGTTGTCGCTATGCCGGCGTTTTCCATATCGCTCGTCATCACCAGAGCTATAGCTACAGCTCCGTCGGGATGTTCCCTTGGACCTCCTCTTTTTCATCTGTTCACAGAATTCTCGGGACCACCCATAATAGGTATCTGTATCAATGATCTCTCCGGTCTTCTCGTCACGAACAACAGTCTGTCCAAGCTCGTCGACGTCTAATGACGCGTTTTCTGGAAGATCTGACTCAATCGATCCGTAAATGTGATCCACATCCTGGAAGAATTTCTTCAGCACGCCGACGAGTTTTTGATCAGCTGGGCCAGCTAGGAATTGGAGCGGTTTGACGGTGTCCGGTCGTATCGGGGTAGTAGAGTCCGGAATTATATGCGGAACAAAATTGCCCGCGGGCAAGTCATAAAATGGGGTGGATGGATCGCCATGGCTAGCAGGCATTATATACGGCGCGTCCCTCTTAGACCCCGTAGACTGTATATCGCTCGCGCTTTCTAATAGACTGACAGAAGCCTTGATCGCATCGACTGACTCTGAATTCTTGACCAGCTCTCGCAATTTGTCGACGTACTCGGCGGCGTAGTATCCGTGATCATACCAAGCATCTAGTAACATATCCAATTTCTGGTGGTGCTTGGGATTTTTCTTGCGATCGAAGGAAGCGGCAAGACCGACAAGTTCAATGACATGAGGCTGTAGCGAGCTGCTGAAGTTGACGAACGCGCCAACACCCTCATTCAAATGGTATTTCGCATGATGCAAGATATCATTCAACAAGTACAATATGTGTAATCGCTTCCGTTTTCCGGACGGTTTTTTGTTGGAGGGCCTTGTTGAGGAAGGTAGTTCCTTAGCTGACACCGAATCGAAAGATGTCGACAAAGCAATCAGGTATTTCCCAAGCACGCCGACTCTGTTGGGGGAGGGAACAACATGACGGAGCAACCATTCCTTGCAAGTCTATTTTACCATTATAGGCAACATTTAGTATTCACGCCTCGACCACAGTTACCAAAGAACATAACGGATCAGACCTGGACGTTGATACGCGAGCAATGCGATAAAGCGTTGTCTAGTAGAGTATGAAATGTGGTGATGTCGTCGCGCGACAGAGAAGTAGGATCGGGTCGCAAAAGTGCTGCAGAGAAGGAAGCCTTTGCGATGGCGAGTTGATGGGCGGCCATGTTAAGGGCTTGAATGACAGACAGACAGATGAGGTCAAAGTGCGGAAAGAGCGACAGAGCTCATGTCTCGATGCAAATTACTGTGGGGAAATTGTCACGTGAATAAGCGCATTATCAACCAATAGAAATCACCAATACGATTCTCTCTTCTTGTCAAACAATCTTGATGCTAGACTGCTAGCTCAGACTATGAAAAGATATTCACACAACAAGATTCAAGAAGGCTGTATTTCCATGACTTGGTGATATCGCTTCTACGATTACCATGACATAATGTCAGACGAACAATATATGTACTACTAGGACGATGGCTTCCCAAACTTCGTGAGAAAAGGGAGATCGATAATATCAATAACAGACCCTGAAAGCTAGTTTACATGGCATCGCCGAGCTATATGGTGACAGTACCTATTCATTTGGGCAGGTGGTTCCGAAATCCTTTGGGGACTGGAGTGAACCAGATATCAATTCCAGGCATAGAACCAAGCATACAACCAGGCAATAACGTGGTTGATTATCCCGGTCCTAATGTCCAGATCATCGACCGCGAGAATGCAGCCTATTTGCCAGTGGATCTATGCTAATGCCAAGCGGAGCAAGTCGCCTTCGGAGCAGATGCGGATTTAGGGATCTTAAAAGCTCAAGGAATGAAGGAATGCTGCCTCGCATCATCCGCCCCCCAGAGCCAGGCCTCTTTTCTGAAGGAGCTTGAACGGATTGACGGCGGATGTGATGAGAAAGTCAGCTGCCAAGCCTTGAGGCTGGTCTGGAATGGCCGCGCTGCAGATTGTAACACATATAGACTGTTTGTGGACTGACAGATGATGGCGAGTTAATGGACGCGATTGATTGCAGGCATGACGAATCTAGATCCGTGAAAGCGCACAACAGCCGCAGAAAGGCTGGTTCATCCGTGGTTTTTGAACAACTTCCACGCCGGAAATGGGGCTCTTCGGATGAAGTGGGGGATCGCGTAAGACGGCTATAGAAAGTGGCCCTCCTTAATAAGCGGATATAGTATGAACTGAGAGGCCTGGAAGTGTAGAGTCCATCATTGTTGATATCCTGTTCATGTCATCCGAGAACAACGTCATGCATTAGACATCAGCCATGACTGCGATTGATGGACAGGATGGATGGATGAAATCCAGGCAAAAGACTCTTCCGATCGTATCATACACGTTTCGGATCGGGCTCGGGGCCGAAACTTCCCCCACATGCTATCCGTTATCGATAGGACTGTCCCAGACTCGCTTGGTTAAGGCGAGTAGAGAAGAGTGAGTCAGACGGATTATGAGCGTTTTATTCCTTTATTCCACCAGATGGCGTGACCAACTGGTTATTTGTAATGCACGCTCTCTCATTGGTCAACGCTATTTTGGCCCCCGCTGTTGCTGTTGACCATCATTAGCTTTATATTGCGGTGTATGTCCCTTACCGTTGTTTATTTATCTAAGATAAATCCTCTTGCAACAGTCTCTACCTTGATTTTACCGTCGTTCTCTCTCAATATCGCCGTACATTGTCTCAATACAACATCATGGCAGTCACAATCGCATCTTCGGGGCTCCGCAGTTCAGTGCGCCATTTCTCAGCCCACCGTCCACGACCCGATACTCGCACATCCCGCTTTGTGGCCTCGTCGTGTCTGGTCTCTATGGTCGTTCTGCCTTTTGTTCCTCCAGCATTAGAAAGTTCACGAGAGCGCAATACCGGCTACCCTCATTCCAAGTGAGTTTTGTACCATTCGGACTGCGCTCCGATAGTCACTAACATGCCCTTCAGGACTCGTTCTCTCCCACCGCTTTGCTTCCATGCACGATAGATCAACTTGACTACCCTTTAAGCCTTTCATATTACGACTTAATACCCGATTTTTTTTTTCTTTAATTTTCACTTTCATTATACCATACAATACCCATCTTGAGTTACGACACGGCCAACCGGCAGAATCAACGGCATCACGGTACCACAGGACTTGATTGCTTGCATCAACGAGAACAGTTGCAACTGAGCCGTCTCGAAACGAATACACATCTACCGCTCGTCGCATTTGCTTTCTTTTCTCGCAAAATATCACTACGATATATAGCATTATTATATTTGCATATCAGGGAGGATCATCTTTAGGGCACGGGACTGGCGTTTGATATGGGCTTGCCGTTTTGGCTCCACATTGCATTTGACTAGTTAATTCTGAATCGACTTAGTTGACTTACACACTGCTTCTAGACAAAGATAAATGAGGTAGCAATGGATTTCCCCTGTGTTGATAAACCGTGTGTAGGCATATGCAGGCGTATGCAGGCGTATGCAATGATTACGTCCACCAACCACAAATAGCCATACTGAGTTAGCCGTCCTTATCAAAACCAAGTTTTTTTTCCATTTTCCAGTCTATATAATACATCGGTACAAGAACCAGGTTGAATCCAGCTCAACTGAACCGATTCCCCCGTGGCGGTCGGAAGGGTTGTGTAGCTTCATATTTCGACTTCTCGAGTAATCCTTGCTCATCAGTCTCTGGTTCATGTCGAGTGGGAGCCGGATCCTGGCCAGCTTCCCTGCTAGGCGAAGCTACATCATCTCTCGCGGTGTATGAGACCGAATTGGCATTTGCACGTTGTAATGACGGATCATCTGTGGGTTTCCGTATTTCTTGCGCTCGACGACGATCTTGGGCTTCCATTTTGGCTAATTCGGCTTTGCGCTTCATATCGGCTTCATATCGGGCCGCGCGATCGGCGTTGACGGATTTTTTGGCGAAGTAGTAGGCACCTCCGCCGGCTATTATTTGAGTCAGTGATACTTGTCTATTGATTCAAAGCATGGATCGCACTAACCGACACAAAGAGCGCCCCATCCGTACCTATCAAGTGCAATTGGTTAAGGATCAGTCATGATTCGGCATAGGACGGACGACATCTTGTAGCTCACCAAGTAGATCGTATCTGAGAAGAGTTCAATTAGCTTGCTCTCATTTACCTGGAAGATAAGCGGTAGCTCAGAGACAACTTACCGTATTCATTTTGAAGAAGTTATGAATTGAAAATGAGTAGACAATGATCTCTGAAGAGAAATGAAGAAGTTCGGACGGCCAAACGGCTCTTAGTCTTTAGTCTAAGCTGCCGGCTAACCCTAAACAGCTCCCGAGATTACGTCGTGCCTACGGAACGACTCTGCGCTCTGATTGGTGCATGACTCGTGACCAGAAGACTGCCAAGACCTCAGCCTACTTCTCATTCCATGACTCCGTTTGTCGAACACTTCATCTTTCCTCCTCTTCATCCCCATCTCTCATCAAGGCAGTCCTGAAACCTCACGACTGCTTCCAGGACATGCTGGGATCCGACTGCTGTCGTTAAAGATCGGATGTATATGGCTTGAAACGCGTTCATTCGTTACGTCTTAATCTCCGCATCTCGATATCCTCTTCGCCACCATAACCATCACGATGGCTCCGAAACGCAAAGCAACCGATACGGCCTCTGCGAGAGCCTCGAAAAGACCGACTCCCGTGCCTGATACACCGCAGAGCTTCGATAGTAGCGATGAGTATTCAGAATACGATGAAAAGGAAGAGCGCACACAGCACTTGGTGGAGAAGTTCTCGCTTGAATCTTTCAGCAGGGATAAGAAAGCATCGTTAGACAAAAGCGATCCGCACTATGGCTATAAGGACTTCTCATCACTCCCGCTGAAGCCAGATCACGCAAATCGACCATTATGGATCGAGCCTCTGAAAGGCACCATTACTCTAGAGAGTTTCTCGCCGTTGGCATCACAGGCTGCGGATTTCTTGACTACTATAGCAGAACCGTTATCCAGACCAGTACATCTACACGAATACCGCCTGACCGGTAATAGTCTATATGCTGCAGTGTCAGTTGGGTTGGAACCGAAGGATATCATTCATTTTTTGGACCGACTATCCAAGACACCCATTCCAGAAGCGATTCGATCATTTATCATTGATTTCACAAAGTCTTATGGGAAAATCAAACTAGTTCTCAACAATAACAAATATTATGTGGAGAGTACGGATCCGGCGATGTTGCAAATGCTTCTTCAAGACGACATTATCGGTACCAAGCGAGTGCAGGGATCGGAAGGCATCATACAGCAGGCGGCACCGAAGATGGCAGGCTTGGTTATTCCCGGTACGAAAGATGCTGCGGGTGTTAAACAAGCAAATCAAGCTTCCGGCGAAGAGAATGGAGCAACAAACAGTGGTGCCAACAAGGAAGATGATTTTTTGGCTACCATACGTGATGAAGATGACGACGAGGATGACGCTCAGGTTCACAGTTTCCAGATACCCAACGATGACGTGGAAGCTGTCAAAGCGCGATGTCAAGCGATGGGTTGTCCGGCCCTTGAAGAGTACGACTTTCGGAACGATAGGGACAATCCAACGCTGGATATTGATTTGAAGCCAAATGCTCAAATTCGAAGTTATCAAGAAAAGAGTCTGAGTAAGATGTTTGGTAACGGTCGAGCCAAGAGTGGTATCATCGTTTTGCCTTGTGGTGCCGGAAAGACGCTTGTCGGTATTACTGCGGCCTGCACAATTAAGAAAGGTGTCATCGTCCTATGCACCAGTTCTATGTCCGTTGTCCAGTGGCGAAACGAATTCATTCGGTGGTCAAACATCGATCCTAGTGATATTGCCATATTTACATCCGATAATAAAGAAAAGTTCAAGCGGTCAACAGGTATCATTGTCTCGACATATTCCATGGTGTCTCAAACAAGAGCCCGATCGCATGACGCGCAAAAGATGATGGACTGGCTGACCCAGCGAGAGTGGGGTCTGATGATCCTCGATGAAGTGCACGTCGTTCCGGCATCAATGTTCCGAAAAGTCACATCCAGCATTGCATGTCAGGCCAAACTAGGATTGACGGCGACTCTCCTTCGAGAGGATGACAAAATCAAAGATTTAAACTTCTTGATTGGTCCTAAGCTGTACGAAGCAAACTGGATGGAGTTGGCCGAGCAGGGTCATATCGCCAAGGTCCAATGTGCCGAAGTGTGGTGTCCGATGACGACTGAATTTTATTCTGAATATATGCGGGAGAGTTCGCGTAAAGCTGCTCTCTTGTATATCATGAACCCACGAAAATTCCAGGCGTGCCAGTTCTTGATTGACTATCATGAGCGACGTGGCGACAAGATCATTGTGTTCTCCGACAATGTCTATGCGTTGCAGCGATATGCCCTAAAACTAGGCAAAGCTTATATCTACGGTGGAACTCCGCAGAACGAGCGCATGCGTATTTTGGAGAACTTTCAACACAATGAACAAGTCAATACTATTTTCTTGTCCAAAATCGGAGATACTTCTCTTGATCTCCCTGAGGCCACGTGTCTGATCCAGATCTCATCGCACTACGGCTCACGTCGTCAAGAAGCGCAACGACTAGGCCGTATCCTTCGAGCCAAACGTCGTAACGACGAAGGCTTCAACGCCTTCTTCTATTCACTTGTATCCAAAGACACGGACGAAATGTACTATTCGTCTAAACGACAAGCCTTCCTCGTCGACCAAGGCTACGCATTCAAAGTAATCACCCATCTTCAAGGTATCGAAAACCTCGAAGGTCTCGCATACGCTACCCCCTCCGAAAGACGCGAACTCCTCCAAGAAGTCATGCTCCAAAACGAGACTTCCGCCGAAGTCGAGAACGTAGTTGACGATCTATTCAGCGAACGTTCTGGAGCCCAACGCGGCGGCAGAGCAGCAGCTAAAAAGGCGGTCGCCAAACGCAGCGCAGCTACACTTAGCGGCCTTGCTGGTGGCGAGGATATGGCGTATGTGGAGTATAATAAGTCGCGAAATAAGCAGCTCAAGGAGAAGGCACAGCATCATCCTTTGTTTAAGAAGATTGCGCGCGATCAGCAGAAGCGGAAGGAGGCTATGAAGGATATGGGACCGAGGGGGCGGTGATAGCTTCCGGTCATTCTTGTAGCTTTCATATTTGGATCTTTAAACATATAGATTGTGTCTATGCAGTACTAACGAATTTGATGTCCACTTGTCTAATAAAAGTATCCAAGCTCTATATTCATCTGCGTGTAATTCTAACTATAATTTGACTATATACGAATATCAGATCGTCCTATTTAGAGACAACAACCTTGTGAAACTCAGGATGAGCCTCCTCCTCCGGCGTATGGAAGATATTAATAGGCCACAAAGGATCATAGTAAGCACCAGGAATATTGAAGCGCTTATTCTCCTTTCCGAGCGCATCAATAGCAGCAATCTCGTCGGCTGAGAGCTCGACATCGGTGAGGTTTTCGACGATACGGGATGCGGTGACTGATTTGGGGATTACGCTGTGGCCGCCGACTTGGGCCCATGCAAGACTGGAGTAAAACGAATAAGCTTGAGATTGCTTTGTCAATAGGTTGGATGGGAACTTACACGACCTGGGCAGGAGTGACGGTTGTTCCGGTACGCTTTGAAGCGGCTTCTGCGACTGATTTGACCTCGGGGCGAGTGATGATGAGAGGCTCGCCGATTGAGTTGTTTCCGAAGCCCTAATAATGTATAAGTTTTTGCGAATAACCCTAGATGTAGGCTTGTCATACCGAGTATCCGGTGATGTGAATGCCTTTCTCCTTGGCGTATTCAATCAAAGGTGGGTTGGGGAGATAGGGGTGACGCTCAATCTGATTGACGGCGGGAACGACGCCGGTGGCCTTGATGATGGCTTCGATCTGATAACCAATAATACGATCAGTTCTGAGAATCTCCAGACTAAGGATGCACTTACGTGCTCAATGTTGTAGTTAGAAACACCGACAGCTCGAGCCTTGCTCTTGGGCAACTTTGTCACAGCTATTGTGTGTTAATGGTCATCCTCATTCTGTAACTTTTTGGTTAATACATACCTGTCCAGGTATCGATGATGGAGATCTCATCGTCAATCGCAACCACCTTCTCGTTTCCAGCCTCACGAGGGAAGAAGTCGTTGATTTGCTTGTTAGACTTGAATGCAACTGGCCAGTGGATCAAGTAGAGCTAAACGTTTTGTGAGTCTGTTGTCGTATGATTCTGCGACGGGAGAACAAACATCGAGATATTCCAAGCCGAGTTCTTGGAGTGTGTCGTCCAAGGCAGCTTCGACAACATCCGGGTGGAATTGGCTATCCGGTTTCAGCAATGTTTGGCAACTACAACGCGAGTGGAAGATCTACGAACCTGTTCCACAGTTTGGAGGTCTATCCGGATGGTATTGATGGTTAGGAATAGACGCTATTAGTGCAAGAATGTTTGGAACTTACAATAAAAACATCCTCACGCTTGATACCGAGCTCCTTGAGCGCCTTACGGAGACCCTCGCCAACTTCTTTCTGGTTTTGGTAGCTGTTCGTATCGATTGTGTCAGCTGTGAAGTAATCGTCTAGCTAGTAATACTGCATACATTTTGGCGAGATCCTGCAAACGAAACAGTCAGTCAAGTGCTCAGTAAGGTCAGTATACTGACAGGGTGAGAAACTAACAATGTGACGGTAACCGGCTTTCAATGCAAGGTAGACACCCTCACCGACCTGGCCGGGCTCGGCTTGCCAGGTACCGTATCCTCGAAGACTAGCACGACGTCAGTAATGAACGCATATCAGATATCAAGGTCAACCCACGGGATCTTGGCACCAGTGTTGAGTGTAGCGGTTTTTCCAAGAGACATGTTGATGATTGTGCTGGATGAAATGGTGAGATATCAGGATGTAAAGGATAGTAGAACAAGAAAAGAACCGCGTCGAAGACTTGAGACAATTTATCGACCAGCCATTTAGGGGGGGGGGGGAGCATCTTGCCAGCCCACCTGCCAAAGACAGATAGGAGCGACAGCTTAGGGCTCGATGTACCTTTGGTGGACTGGATTCGTCATTTAGCAGCACACCCCCGCCATTCCGGCCTGACCGAGACCGCTCGGACATGCTCCGAGATGACGTCTATATCAGTTCGCGATTTGCATTCAATAATGCGAATTGATTCTGATCTGCGTTTTACAAATATTGCATATATCACGCCTAACTAGATAGGTACAGGATCGAGCTTGTTCAACTCGCTTGTAGAGTGGGAAAAATTGAAACGAATGTATATTCTGCTAAACCCAATCCTTATTAGCTCACAGGGTTACGGTTAAAGTGACTTAGTTCAGTAATCTTTTATTACGTAGCCCGTCTCTGTACTCAGAACATAGTTACAAAGTATATCTCATTGGACGCGAGTAAGTCATCTGATTTGAATTTCTCAACGGCTCCAAAGTATGTTATTTTCTCGCTCAATTCGGCGTCAACTCTCGCGACTTCGCCCTTTTGTTTTCCCATTCCGCGACAAAGCTGGTACGTAACACGTGGCGATAACCCTAAGACCCTAAGTCTAGACTTTTTGGGTACCATTTCGCCCAACATTGAATTAGAGAGCTGGCATTCGCTGTCAGTCAAACTGGTGGTTGTGGGACATGAAAGCACTTAGATCGTTCGATCTGTTGCAGTGAAGAATAGTAGTTACCCGTAAAGAGCCCGGGAGTTGGCTTATAAAGTAGTAGATGGCTCCGGTTTTAGGTCGTGATAGGGCTTTATTCGCTACCTAAGTATATTCCTAGTAATCATGGATGCTACGTCCTAGAGTGTGTTGTCATGAAGATACTCTGCAAGTTACGTTCCAGATTTGTGTAAATTTTGTCAAGAAGAAACAAACTTCCGGATTCAGAATATCGTGACAAGAAAGGGGCTAAACTTAGGATTGATAGTCACCAATTTCCGCAGGGAATGACTCTGCTGGTGAATCATGCAGCTTCCACACTTATTTCTCTGCGAGGACTTTCGATCAATGATAGAAACACCGTGCTGGTGGTATTAGAATAACTTTTGGGAGGATGTGCCTCACATCGGCGTAATTGTCAAAAGTCACACCAACAATCGAGGTCACCAGCTTCTCGCCTTGGACTTGCTCCAAGACATGTTGTGGTCCCTGTAAAGTCAGCTCAACCACTTCCTTTTGGCCATCTGTGACCTTTTCGTCCAAGAAGAACGATGAGGCAACATGATTGACCACAGAATAGTTGTTCATGAATGGACCTTTGAAAAGTGAATTTTTTTCCCGGTCATTGACTTTGCTGCTCTACCTGCACATGTCAGGCCCAACCTTGGAATGTCTTCGAAGGTGGAGTCTGCCTTGGTCCTAGCCTCGCCGGGGCAAATTAGGCGAGACGAATTAATAAAAAATTTGCCAGTCGCCACAGTCATGTCTGTCCAAAACAAGACATTTGCAGTCCCTCTGCATAGTCAGTTGATGAAAGGGGAAGTCGCATGAACATACCCGACAATATGCTAGTACGGACGTAGTAGAAAGGTTTTCGACGCCCATAAATTATCAGATTGTGGATGCTCCTCTCCTTCGGGCAAACGCCATTCCGTCCCTAGCCTTTTCAGGATGAGTACCTCCGTACAATACCCCAAATATTTCTGGCCGGAATACAAGCACATTACGATCCGAGAACATAATTTCCCCTATACGAGCCAATCTCTCTGGCTAAATGACCCGCAAGATTTCTTCCTCGGTGTGGGTCGAAGAACCTTTGGCCACTGTGTCGCGTGTGCGACATCTGTAGGCGTTATTCTGTCATTTGTCATTATTGTGGTGATCTCCTTTTTCTTTTTCGAGGAAACTTGAGGGTTCATACTCCGTATACATACAATTATCTTACCTTCAGCTAATTGGCCTTTCAAAACTTCACCAGGTATCAATGATACATGGGAGGTAATATCAGTTCGTTCTCTCCTCGTATTCTGAACTATAATGACCTGATCTGGATCTGGCCCCTGATTAAGTCCTTCCCTTGTCGATTCGGGGGTCGCGTGCCCTCACTTCTTTCTCTGTCCCTTTACCTTTTCTCAATCAATATGTCCTTTTACTTACCTGCTTTCTACTACTGATTGATTCCGACCAACTCACACTCTTTACCAACCAACTCAGTCCGTCATTCATTCGCTCATCTATTCTTGTCTCCCCGGCATGACCGCGCGCACCAATGCCGTCTTCCACCTCGTTGTCTCTAAGCTGCTAGGCCTGAGACACTTGGTCCTAGTCACGGGCTCGCGGTTCACCAACCGCCGCTTCGTCTTCACCTTAGCAGCGCTCGCCATCCTCACCGCCAAACTCATCCATATCTACTCCCACGCCAAGGCCCTCACGACACACGATCTTGTGAAATGGGGATATTCATTCTTTACCCAGGATGTACTCCTGCTGACGATTATCCGCTTCTTGCTCGACTCAAGGCACTTTCCGCCCGCCGGCTCGAGATCCGTACGAACCATAGCGTGCTTCATCTCATCCTTATTCATTGGCTTCGTCACCACTATCAATATCATCAACATCTGCTTCTTCGCTTTTAATGGATCCGAGATCCATTGGCGAAATGTCGGCGTCGCAGGCGATGCCGCTGGCCGCGCTCTTGTACTTTCGGGACTCGTCTCCTCATTGGTTGTCATTGGCGTCCTCGCCCTCTTCTCTTGGTCCTTGCAGGACGTCGTGTTCGCCGCCGTGGGTTTTACTATAGATATTATCACCTGGATTGTGGCATATGCCACACGTGGTCGGTTTTACGGAGTCCAATTCCAGTCGCCCAACGACCAGTATTATCAAATCGCACAGAGCGATATGGAATCTGCCGCCAAGACCGTGGAGGGCCTAGAGCGGAAACCGATCAAATTAACGTGGATCCAGCTTGTGTTGTATATCTTCATTGCTGTGGCTCTACTCGCCCAAATTATCGAGTCCCTCGCTCGACCACACGACCGTTCATTAACCTTTATGTCGTGGACCCCGGCGCTTCTTCCCTTTGTCGACTTTGAGACAACGGCCCTGAACCTGGAAAACATCTATCCACACTATAATTCTGGCATCAACCATGAATGGGATAACCGATCCGCACTGCGCAAGCCAATCCCTCTCCCCTGGCTACCAGATTACCCGTTAGGCGGATTTGAGGACTGGTATGAGGATGGATTGCACTATGACGCGTTAGCAGACCCCTTCAAGATCTCGAACATGGAGGAGGCATTGCTTCCTCAGCTGGGAGATCTCAACGACATGCCGATCCGTCACGTCATGATCGTAGTGCTTGAAAGCACTAGGAAGGACGTCTTCCCTATCAAAGACTCTGGTATAATCGCGAAACGCCTGAGAGATTCCTGGGACGACAATAAGCTGCCCGAGGATGTAGCGGAGCGCCTCAAGACATTAACCCCAGTTGCGAGATTCCTCACTGGCGACTATGACAACCACTTTGACCATACCGCCGGGGAGGAGCAGAAGAAGCGGGGAGGCATAAACTTCAACGACGCGTACACGGCCTCGACGCTCACATTGAAGAGCCTCACGGCGTCGCTATGCGGCGTCAGTCCCATGGTCGCCGATTTTAACGTCGAGTACAAACACCACGTCTACCAGCCTTGCCTTCCGCACATATTGGGTGCACTCAATACGCTCGCGCGCAAAGACCAGGGCAGGTACGAGTTTGGCGGGTACAAGTGGGCGTCGACGTTCATGCAGTCTGTGACGCTATCGTACGACCACTTCGGCGCCCTCATGGAAAAGATAGGGTTCCCAAGTGAGGGGCTCATCGACAAGGAATATCTGACCAAGAAGACGGCCAAGTTCGGCAAGGTTGACCTCCCAGACATCAACTACTTCGGGTTCGAAGAGACACCACTCGAAGATTATATCCGCGATGAGTTCGAAAAGGCCAAGAAGAATGATGGTCGCGTGTTTCTGACCCATATTACGAGCACGACCCACCATCCATACAATATGCCCAAGAACGAAACGTACGTGCCGCTAGGCAAGGGCCTGAGCGATTTATCGCACTATATCAATGCCGTTGGGTATGACGATCGCTGGCTCGGCAGGATACTAGACACCCTGGACGATCTGAATGTGGCCAACGAGACCCTTCTGATATTCGTGGGAGACCACGGCTTGTCGATCCCCGAGAACGATATCCTGGCCTCGTATTATAATCCGCATATCGCCAACAACCATGTCCCACTAGTCTTGTCCCATCCCAAGCTGCCACCCATTACCATCGACGACGCCGTCTCGACGCAGCAGATCCTCCCGACGATCCTAGACCTTCTCATCGAGACAGGCTCACTCTCCGAGTCTGCCGCCAACGCCGCAAGGGACCTCCTGGTCAACTACGAAGGACAGTCCCTCCTCCGTCCTGTGCGCAAGGCATTGTCGAAGACCGGGATCGATGGGGAGGTGGCGAATTGGCAGTTCACTAACATCAACCCCGGAAGCACTATGCTGGATGTGCGTGACGCACGGTTCAAGTCCTGGCGGATAGTGGTCCCTCTGGTAGGCAATCAGGAGTGGCAATTTCTCGACACGGAGCGACCAGATGTTAAAGCCGTGGTGGGATTCGAGTTTAGCGAATTTCAGCAAAATATCGAGGAGTCATATGGGCAGGACCCGGCGCGGTGGGTTGAGGAGGCGGCGTTTGTAGCGCGGTGGTTTGTGAACGAAAACAGCAAGCGATGGCGTTATAGTCTTTATGAACCTTGAAGTATTGTATATATATATATATGTGGGTGTGTGGTGGATTGTACAGTCGCTTCAGAAAGCGGGAAAGTCAGTTTATATACTTTAGAATGTCCGCGCAAGGCATTACGTTGCTCAACTATTGGAAATCAGACTAGTTAGCCCAAAAAGGAAAGGTGTCATGCTGACTACAGCTTTACGTTAGCTTATCTTAGGGTTAAGGTTACCCCTTTTTGGAGTTTCTCTACAATCACTTCGTCTGCAATTCCAGCACGAGAAAGAGAACAGACCAGTTCATATCCATAACATATACAACCCAGTTGAATGTCAAGAGGAGAACCAACTGAGCATGCTGCCGGATCTCCGAAACACATTCGTAAAAAGTGATCTACCTAGGTACCGGATTTCCTTTGACGCCTCTCGACTTTCCCCTTCCGTTTTAGTGCTCACACTCTCGCCGCTTTTACTAACTGAGTAGAACTGAGCACATCCTGACCACGCTGACCAGATCAGTGAGCTGAAGCTGAGCGCTCTGGTTCACTCACTAAGCCAATGAGCTACTTGACTCCCATAGCGACTTCACTTCTAAAAGGTCTATACATAGTATATGGCTGACTAGATCTTGACGCTAAACCCGATTAGGAAAGATATTCTAACAATGTGTTGGACTGTACGTAACAATCTCTAACGGTATATCTCAACGTATCAAATTATGTATGCACAAGATGTGGAATCCTTGATCCTTGTTGCCATTCTTCTTGTCTCTAAGTACAGTGAAAGTGGAATATATCTTTTACCCCCTATTCGGTGGATCAGTGTGTGGCTCGCTCTTATCGGCTGACATATCTCATCTCTCTGATTGGCTGAATCAGCTTAGCTAATCCAACACAATGCTCTGTCCCCGATTGGGTTTAGCGTACGTCGGTAATCGCTTTGATAGGAACTCCACACCTGACCAGAGAGAAGAAAAGCAATACACAGAGAATTCAACGCATCGAATCAACTCCTTATCAATACTTACAAGCAACTGATCATTAATCACTATTACTGGATGATATCAATCCTCTGAGTCTATACGGTCCATTCACCGATTTCTTCATAATAACAACACCAAGGACCTTCTCATCACAACTACTTGTGAATCCATTGGTGGACTTCCTTACAATTATCTATATCAAATAGTTAGAGGTTCAATTTCCTCACCCCCCTCTACTACCTAGCTTCTAGGAGTACGGCCTTTGACGCGTCTTGGCGCGTCCGGCAACATCATGGCGCGTAAAGGCCCTGGTACAGGTGGCCCTCTACAGACAGCCCTACTGGAATCTACGTCTGCAGCCACTACAAGAGCTGCTGACGGCCAGAAGATCTTCACCCTATAGCTGCATTCCTTGATAAACACCGCAGTCAAACCACTGGCCTCGCTCCTCACCTACTGAGAGCCCTCACTACTCTAAGCGATGACCTTTCCTCAGTAGCCTAACGACACTTCAACGCCTATATTAGTGGCATCCCGCTGACCTCCTTTCCCTCTGCCCTCTCCTCTTCCCTCTCCGCTACCTCTAATCCCTTACCCCCTACACCCCCTCCCTCTCGTCCCCCTTCAGGCCTTAATCAGTCATCTTATGCGACTGCCTCCCAACAGACCCCTATGATACAACATGGTATACGGAATTTTCCTGATTATGGCTGAGAAAGAGCGAAATAGAATGAAGGTCATAGGGCTAGTGATTATTGTCACTGCCACATCTATATATTATTTATTCATATCGTTTGTTTGTAGTACTATAGCAATATCTGGAAAGCATCTTCAGGAATCCTGAAGTACCACGATGCGAAGAAAAATTTGGACATGGAAAAATAATAACAATAATAATACCCACTCTTATTGAACTCGAGCATAGGAAAGTCTCATTCCCTGCCCTTGACCTTGTTCATAATCCACATATGCAACACCTTAGCAATGTCGTCGCTGTTCTTTTCCATAAACTGCAAATGCGCATTGCCATGGATCCCAGCCTTGCCCAGATCAAGATGCTCAGCGGCAACACCGGCCTGCTTGAGGAACTTAATAAAGCAATAATCATACTGAGCATGGTATGAGGCTTCGCCCGTATCAATCAAAATGGGGACCTTGGCCAGGTTGGACAATTTAGCCGCCGGTTCCTGTTGGATGATGCATGGGAGCAAGTCGGGAGAATCGGCGGGCAAAGTCATCATTGTGAGTGGAGCGGTCAGGTTGGTGGGTGCCGGCTCATATGTCAATGGGATAGATGTTAGACCCCAAGGTCGGCTGAAATCAGAGGAGAAGATGACTTCTTGGAACGGTGGGCCTTTGGGCTCGATCTGAATTAGAGCCTTGACGAGATTGGGGCGGCTGTCTGCCCAAGCCCAGCCATAGAGCCCGCCCTGAGAATGTGTAATCACCACTGCGGGACCAATTCTGTCGAGAAGCGCCTCGCCGGCGGCTTTCATTGTTATCTCTTGCTCTGAACTGTTGGATATAGATTGCACGTTGGACATGTAATATGCGTCAAATACTGGATCGCCCAGCTCGCCAGTCTGTTGTTAAAGAGGTTAGTTGATTCCTTCTTTTTTTTCTCCTTGCTTGATTCTCAGCTGATTGGAATACTTACTCCAGGCCATTGGGTGTGTAGCGTTGCCTGGGGCCACAAAGGGTACTTTTGTACAGCCGTAAACCGCTGAGCGATGAACTCGGCAGAGAAAACTGTTTGAGTGAAGCCATCGCTAGGCAGTAAAGGAGACCGTGCAGTCATCGTACGGTCGACGATGTACACCTCGTAACCATGGGTGAGAAACCACGAAGCCCATCCTCTACCGCCATCAGGCTTGTTGAGAAAGTTCTATTCCAACCGTGAGCATGTTTTCAAGCACAATGGGAACAGAAGAGAAACCAGTACGTACAGTCCCAGCTTGGCCGCCACCATGGAGAAAGACGACAGGATAAGGCTGATTACTACCGTTTGTGGGCGATAACTTCTCAACGTACATTTGATCCTTGAACAGATGGCCCGAGGCGGTCTGGATGTACTCACCCCCCACATAGAAGTACTCCCGTACGTGGGGAGCTTCTATGCAAGAAGCAGCACCCTGGACAGGGTCTAGAAACAGGGTGCAAGCGACTCCTGCAGCTGCCCACGCGTAGCGGAGAAGCTGCATGCTGGTGCAGGGCAACAAAAAGCAAATAAAAAAATTTTGAAACACAAAAGGAACGAGTAGAATGTGACGGAGTGCTGGTAGCTGTTTGAGACCGCAACAGAGAAGAATAAATATCTCTTTCCGGGGAACTAATAGGGGGTAGATACTGGGGTTGGTGGGTCGTATCAATGCCTAGAAGTGGATGGCGGCATTTCCTGATCTCATCTACTTCGAAGTCCCTCGTACTATGGTGCAAGCCTTAAACCAGTAGATAGGAAATTGGAGTCTTGGCTGCAGGATTAGTCTGTCTGCATTATACTAAATAGGTATTAATGGCAGGTAAGTTCCGATCTTCCATATTGTGTGGTTCAATTAATGTGTAGTTCCTCGCTCGAGATGGACGGCCCCCGTACCATGTTTGATATGTCTTAAGAGAGTGACTTTTGAGGCAAAGGAATTGATATAAGGAGAGTCTAAGAGTTTGACAGAATATTGCTTGATTTCATAATGTGAATTAAGTCGTGGTATCTATGATAAAGGCGCTGAGAAAGGGTACACTTAGAAAAGAGGGCTTTGATTGTTAGCGTGGAACAACGAGTTTTTTTTCCTTCTTAGTAATATTCCTAGAAAGCAATCGAATTTAGTTTCGAGAATCTTGGCAAAGTCTAATAATCTCAGACATACGGCCTTCGTAAAGGAGACCGAAAGAGCTACGAATATCTTATATTGGGATTTTTGTAGATGTCGGTGGAACAATCAAGCATTTATCATAATTTTCAGGGTAACTTCAGTTTGTCCTATTTTTAGTTCCTGGAACCCTCACTCAACCATCGAACTTCTATCTTTTCAATTGAACACATCTCGATTGACTTACGGAAGAAGCGGCAGGTGGAAAGTTTGACCAGATAATTAGGCTCTTGGCTTTTAAGTAAACAAGCCATGCGTGCCCTGAACACAAAAGAATAATAACCAGCAGCTGGCAGAACCGGGGCCAGACGTGATTCCACTATTAGAAATGGTCGTGCAGGAGATTGAGAGTCAATGCACCATCAAATGCAACCTTCTGCCAAGGGATCCTCTGGATATTGCTACTTAACCCAAGGTAGTCACTCAAATGACTAGAATGAAGATGACCTCTCACCAAAAGCGATTGCTGCAGGTGTAACCTTTATCATCTGGGTCTCGATATGGATTTGAAGGGTGATACAGAGGAAACGCTCATCCTCGTGGGCGTCTTCGGTGTTTTGACAATCGGCTTAATGGCTCTGCGCCTCTTTATGCGCAAGTTCCGACAGCAGGCGTTCACTCTGAGTGACTATCTCACCATGGTATGCGTCGTCTTTATCTTTGCTCGGTCCGCATTTACCACTGTCGTCTTACTCTGGGGAAATAACAACATGAAAAGACCGAACCCAGGTCTGAGCTCTACTGAGATTCATCGTCGGGAGATCGGCAGTAAATTGACACTGGTCAATCGAGCCGTATACAACACATAGTAGGCAGAATCTTATACTCATTTGGGAGGGGACCTGGGTATTGACCTTTCTCCCAGTCTTTGGATCCAGAAAGCTGTTGTCTTGCTCCTGTGCGAGCGCATATTGGCTGGTCTTCCATGGCCAGAGAGAATAGTAAAGTTCTATTGGGCCGTACTGTTTGGCAGTCTAGTGGCAGTCCAAGTGACTACCTTTGCAGAATGCAAGCCTTTCCGTCTCTACTGGCAGGTTATGCCCGATCCAGGTGCGTGAGTGAAACAAAACTCCTCCGAGAAGGGAGAATTAGGTTGACTAATTTTACCTTTTACCGGTATAGGAACCTGTATCAAAGCAAATGTTCAACTCATTACCCTAGTCTCCCTGAACATTACCACTGATGCAATGCTGATTCTGCTGCCCATGCCGTGGCTGCTTAGGATTAAGCGATCTTGGCTCCAGTGAGTATCTAGCAACCATTTGCGTGTCTTGCCCGGTATTAGACATGCTGGTTCAGCTGGCCCAAAACTAACTGAACTGTGGTAGACGTCTTCAATTGGTCGGGCTCTTTTCTATCGGTTTTTTACTTATTGCCATCGCCATCGTCCGTCTTCCTTACTATGCTGAGAGCACGGCGCAGGTCAATCGGAATACCTGGGGCTCCGTCGAGCAATTTTTCGCCGCCTTTGTCGCCAATGTACCCACATTATTCACCTTGAGACGGAAGAAAGAAGATAACACCACGATCCCAAGCTACCCATCGGCCCTGGCATCAGGGGGGCGGTCAACGAGGTCGGGGTTTCGACAATTTGATGACACTATCTTGGTCACAGATAGCATACAATTGGAGTATTCAAGTCAGGAGAGAGATCGAAAACCGGACAGCAAGTTTCCTAGGCAAACAAGTGATGAAAATCTCATTCGAAATGACAACGACCTTGGTGGCTGGAAAAAAAGTGGATGATTCAGAAGGCCAGGCGCTGATTGTCACCGATTGTTGCATTCACAGTCGTGCCAAATTCAGCATGTAGCTGGTATACATACGAAGTATGGTGTCAAATGCTGGAAAGCAATAACCAGTTCAGTGCTTCTTTATCCCCGTCTCTGTATAACACAGATCAGATGGACGCACAACTTCGACGGTCGTACCTGACGGACTTCACCATTAGGAACATCCGCATTAGATATAGATACAACGCAAAGACACAACGACCTCGAAAATTGGCAGATGATAGAATTACCATTTCTGAATAAAATCCCCAAATTTAAAAAGAAAATATCTGTTCCTTATTCAATTATTCAATGTTGAAAATGCCGGCTTTGACTTGATTTCAAGTCACGGCTGCTTAGTCAGGTCTCTGCCAAAACTAACGTACTACACGGGTCATTGGGCCACCTGCAGATTCACATATAAACCATATCTAAAAGTTGAATATGGCTTATAATATAGATATTAATATATATCTACATTTAGGAACTCTAAAAATATTAAGAACCCCTCTGTCATGAAATTTACATTAATAACTAGGATAGTTTCTAATATCTCAAGACTTATAGAAGAGGCGCACTTCCAAATTGATATTTCTGATGGGGATTCATATAGGAATCATTCGTCAAGTCTAAGATATGGCTTATATATAAATCTGTTGAGAAGTCAAGGTGTTGAAGAAGGCCATTTTGTATGGGACTTGCAGGTGGCCCAATGATCCGTGTAGTACGTTAGTTAAACCAAATTAGTAAATTAGGGTTACCGAAGAGCTCTAAGCTGGTTATAGACTAGCAAAAGGACCCAGCCTCACTAATTTTACGTGGTTCATTTAACTTCACCGAGTAGTCTATCGTTCGTACTATATAATTACTTGTCGTTAACGATACTCAGATACAGCGCCTTTTGAATCTTTATTCATTGATTTCCCGCGGACAAGTTGCTCTCTCCCTTGAATATCAGGCCCGGTACTACTCGCGAACCACGAACGTGAAGATCAGCCCCGAATTAATTGCATGCTACTAAAAGCGCTGACTCGCCTCTCAGACCCCGATTACGTTAGTTCAGTCAAATTCATATAACTACCTAGACGCAACTAAAAAGAGCCAAATCCCGTATCATCTGACACTTCAAGCATGGAATCACACATCTCTCTTCACATCCGTAACCTCTACATGCGCAGCATCGACATCTTTCTTCTCATCAGGGCCCTCATAAATCTGCTTCGCGGCCGCATTTGCGACTTCATTCGCTTTTTCTTTTCCTTCGAATACTGTTTTTTCATCAGCCATCCCGTTATTCACATATCGGAAAGGGGGGGGGGGGGGGAAGGGGGGAACTCACGGAATGAAAGCTCTTCCAAAGTCCTCCCTGCTGTTTCCGGGAAAAAGAAGTAAATGAAAATAATCTCAAATACCAGCCAGCAGCAATACACTAGCAGCCATTTCCAGGTAATGCGTGCCAGTCCGATTGGGTTCACATAAGTCGCAAAGAAACTTGCGCCGCGGCCGTAGAATTGAAACCATGCGATACCGCGGGAACGGCTGAAGTAGGGAAATATTTCAATGAGGTATGCTGATCAGAGTTGTCAGCTATGTCCATATCTTTGAGAGGAGGATGCGTACTGTAGGTTAGAGCATTATACCCAATGTTATAAGCCGGTGAATAGGCAAAAATGAAGAAAATCGTTAGTATGGCAGCAGCATGGCTCTTTGTATCCATGAACCTCTCCATAGAAATCGTCCACGCTACGTAGACGGCTAATAAACTACAAGCACACAAGAGGTAGGTTGGTCTTCGTTTGAATCGTGGTGCCAACAGGGCAGCTGTTGTTCCGGTGACTAGACCCCAGCAGGCGATGCCGATGTTGATTTTGGATTTGGTCACGCTGTCTGTGACGCCAATGAGATTGAGTAAGTCGCTCAAGTAGTACCTATTCCCACCAAATTTGATTAGCATTTACTTCTCATTTTCTGTTGTAGAGTTAACTTACGAAATCAAAGTATTCCCACTCCATTGAGTAAACAGTCCCAAAAAGGCCGTAATGAACAACCTCCTCCGCATCCCAGCTGTCTTGAACACATCCAACCAACTCTGCTTGGAATCTTCCATCTCGAGTTTGATCGATTTTTCTATCTGTGCCAGTTCAGCTTTGACGAAGAGAGAGTTGGCGTCACCCTCAGCGTGGTATTTGACTAGGATTGCCTGAGCTTCATCGTAGCGATCTTTGCTAATGAGATATCGGGGGCTTTCGGGCAGGAAGCTTTTTTGTTTCTGTCAGCGTTCACTCCTTCCAAGGGGATTCGAATGGGGTAAACTGACAAGATAGTAGCAATCTGAATCATGGCCGGTGCAATCTGCAGTAATGAAGGAATCCTCCACGCCCAGTTACCGGCGATAGTCACGGTCCCTAGTCCGACTGAGGCTGCAATGATTTGGCCGATGAAATAGGATGAATTGAAAAGAGAAGTTAGGATAGGCCGTTCTTTGGGATAGCCCAGTTCACCGATCAATGCGGAGCCTGCTACGATGCAGTAGGGGATACCGAAGCCAAGGAGAAGACGGGCGACGATATACATTGCCACTGTGATATCCACTTATGATTAGTTATGCAAGGATGACAAGGAGAAGTGTATACATACCACCATTGGAAAATCCCTGAATCAAAGCACCGATTAAACTAATCATCGATCCAAAAAAGATAGTCCATCGTCTTCCAAATCGCTGATTTACCCAGGGAATGAATGGCAAGGCACAGATCGCTCCGAGCGAATATGCGGCACCAAGAAATCCTTTCAATGCAGGGTCAATCGCATATTCGGGGATTCCCTGTTTGATCTTGCCGGTTGGTGAGCCAAAGTCTAAGCAATCATCGGTCAGTACATTCCATTTTGATAGAAGGAAAACGGAGCCGTACACTTATTCCACGAGGGTACGATCTGTACCGTATTAATAATCTGCGAATCAAATCCAGACGTAATCTCAATGCCCATCGATGCAGGAAATAGAATCAAATACAGGGTGCGAAGGTTCCGCTTGCGGTACCATGGGGTACGATCGTCTTCGAGGAGACGAGCAAGCATGGGGTCAGAGACATCTTCTTGACGTTGTTTGCCAATGGCAACCATTTTAGTTTTTTGTCACGGATGAAGGTCGATATGTTTCAAGTCAAGTTGGATGATGTTTGAGACCGGGCAGGCTGGATCAGTGGGAAGCAGATCCCATTTATAAGATGGAGGCTATGATGTTCAACTATAGAAACACGTTGCTATAGTTTTTGGTGGCTGAAAATGTTCTCTCATTCTTTCATGCTTTTTAACTGACAACTTAGCTAATGGATCGTGCCTCCTGATACAACTTCAAAGTCATGTAGGTTGACAATCACTGTTTAGAGACGGATGGTTATTGCCAAGCCATTTGCTAAACGATAGATTAGCCAGTCAACGAACGGTTAATGGAATTTGAAGGCGACATCAGATTTAACCAGATCAAGGTTCAGATGACCCTTGCGTTTGTTCTTTTGCCGTGTCTTAAGCTGTATCGCGTGGAAGAAACTGTTCTCCAGATCAACCCCACGCCGAGTCAATGCTCAGATGGTGAATAATGCCGGGGGTGGCTTGACCGCCAAGAGGCTTTTGGTTACGCAATTTCCCCTTTTGGTAGAAGCTCAATTCACGTAAACTACCAGATATAGAGTCTCTATGCTACGATCCGGCATACAAAGATGCTATTTCGAGTATTTAGATTGACAGGTTGAACTTATCTGCGCAAATAGAGTGAAGAAGAGAGGAGAGTATACCAAAAGTAGTATTTCCATACGACTTCCGCAGAATGTTGCCAAGAATTAGGGCTTTTTGGAGAATCCTATCCCGCACGTAACCTCGGGGAGACTCCCCGGTCACCGCAGATTCTGAGGGTCATCCATTCACCCAAGAAACCTTGAATAAATCCATCTATTAGAGAACCATGTTTCAAACGTAACCCGCTTATTTCAGAGCGGAGCCTAATCGGCTCACTTGGTTCGCTCGATCGCGGATTTGGAACTTGTCAGTCATCCGTTCTGCTTTACTCAGGAGAAGAGTGTCGGGGAGACTCCCCGAACTACTCTCTCTGGGGCTATTAGGAGAAGCTAAACTTTTCCTCGTCTTTCGTCCGCAACATGTGAACAATGCTCCCGAAACTTAAGAGGCATGTCGATGCAGAGACGGAGTCACCAATTGATTATTCCCTGCCAAAAAAAACATCGAGTTATTCACTCTCAAGGAATTGCGAACATTGAGTTACAACACCGATAGCTGGTATGCCGCATATGGTCCAAGGATATAAACTGTGCAAGCAGCTCCAATACCATAGTTATTGAGTGCGTGACACCCCACCATGACCTTCGACGTCGATGCCGTACTGGCCAAATTGAATCAACATGACAAAATTGCACTTTTGTCTGGTGAGTACATACGCATTTACAATTCCAAGTTGTATATCTTGAACTAATAAACCATCAGGGACGGACTTTTGGCACACTCACCCTATCCCCGAGCACAACGTTCCCTCCATCCGAGTCACTGACGGCCCCAACGGCATCCGAGGCACCAAATTCTTCGCCGGTGTACCTGCCGCATGTCTCCCCTGTGGCACCGCCCTAGGCGCAACATGGGACAAATCCTTACTTCGACAAGCTGGTAATTTACTCGCTCAAGAATGCCTCGCCAAGGGAGCCCATTGCTGGCTGGGACCAACCGTCAATATGCAACGTTCTCCTCTTGGTGGTCGTGGGTTTGAGTCTTTTGCTGAAGATCCGCATTTATCCGGCAAGTTGGCTGCCGCGATGATTCTTGGTTGCGAGCAAGATGGATCAGGGGTTATATCGACGGTCAAGCATTTTGTGGGGAATGATCAGGAACATGAGAGACGGGCAGTGGATTGTTTGATCACTCCACGTGCGTTGAGGGAAGTGTATTTGCGGCCGTTCCAGATTGTTGCGAGAGATGCGAACCCGGGAGCGATGATGACTTCGTATAATAAAATTAATGGGAAGCATGTAGCTGATAACCGGGAACTGTTAGAAGGCATAGTGAGAAAGGAGTGGCAGTGGCAGCCGATGATTATGAGTGATTGGTATGGAACGTACACCACGATAGACGCCATGACAGCAGGGCTTGATCTTGAGATGCCTGGTTTGTCTAGATACCGTGCGAAATACATCGACTCTGCAGTCCAAGCACGCCTTATCAAGCAGTCGACAATCGATGGCCGGGCTCGCAACGTACTTAACTTTGTGAAGAGAGGCAGCCAGGCCAGAGTTTCTCCTACCGAAAAAGGCCGTGACTATCCGGAAGACCGAAAGCTCAATCGTACACTATGCTCTAACAGCATTGTCTTGCTGAAGAATGAGGGCAGTATCCTTCCTCTGCCAAAGACTATCAAGAAGATAGCCCTGATCGGTTCCCACGTGAAGCACCCACAAATCTGCGGTGGAGGAAGCGCATCTCTCCTTCCATATTACTCAGTGTCCCTGTACGACGCGATCACTGAAGTCCTTCCCAAGGATGCTAAGATCACATACGAGGTCGGAGCCTACACACACAACATGTTGCCAGTCATCGACCACATGCTAAGCGGTGCCGTCATGCATTTCTACAACGAACCTCCTTCAATACAAAACAGAAAATTGCTTGGCACAGAACCTGTTACCAGCACAGCCTTTCAGCTCATGGATTACAACGAAATTCCAGAGCTAAACCGTGCCTTATTCTGGACATCTCTGGTCGGGGACTTTACACCAGACATCTCAGGTACATGGGACTTTGGCTTGTCTGTCTTCGGAACCGCTAACCTTTACATCGACGACGAGCTGGTTATCGACAATACATCCAAGCAAACTCGTGGGACCGCATTCTTCGGTAAGGGTACGGTGCAAGTGACTGGCTCAAAACAGCTTGCGAAAGATCAAAAATACAAGCTGCGCATTGAGTTTGGTTCTGCCAACACCACAACTATGGAGACAATTGGTATGGTCAACTTTGGCGGTGGAGCTGCACATCTCGGTGCTTGTCTACGCATGGATGCGAAGCAAATGATTGAAAACGCTGTTCGAGCCGCTGCTAATTCTGACTGTACAATTATCTGCACCGGCCTTAGCGGAGAATGGGAATCCGAGGGCTTCGATCGACCACACATGGATCTTCCTCCCGGCGTCGACGAGATGATTACAAAGGTCCTCGATGCGACTCAAGGTAAAGCCGTCATTGTCAACCAATCCGGTACACCGGTGACTATGGCATGGGCCGATAAAGCTTCATGTATTGTTCAAGCCTGGTATGGTGGGAATGAGACTGGCCATGGAATTGCAGATGTTTTGTTTGGTGATGTCAACCCTTGCGCAAAATTGCCACTCTCGTGGCCTGTTCATGTCAGGGATAATCCGGCTTATTTGAGCTTTGCGAGCGTTGGGGGTAGAGTACTTTACAGCGAAGATGTTTATGTTGGATATAAGTTTTATGAAGCGACTGGGCGGGGGGTGTTGTTTCCTTTTGGGTTCGTCTTTGTCCTCTTTTGTCTGAGTAACGTCATGCTTACTGATTCGATATTTCTAGTTACGGCCTCTCCTACACCTCATTTGAACTTACATCGTCAATTATCGCAATTGAACCAGAGATATTTGACCCTGAACGGCCCAGCATCGTGAGTTTTCGCCTCAAAAATACCGGCCAACGAGCCGGCGCCCAAATCATCCAACTCTACATATCGGCACCCAACTCGCCTACACCGCGGCCAATCAAGGAATTACATGGATTTGAAAAGGTTTCCCTTGCACCTGGCGAAGAGAAGACAGTGAGCATAACAATTGACAAATATGCTACCAGTCTCTGGGATGAGATTGAGAGCATGTGGAAAAGCGAGGGAGGAGAATATGAAGTCCTTGTGGGAACTTCTAGTGTGGATATTCTCGGAAAAGCAGTATTGAAGGTTCCTGAGACGAGGTATTGGTTGGGGCTCTAGTTTGCTGCAGGGAACCCTCAGCAGGTTGAAAGAAAGCGGCTGCGGCAACTGTTCTAGTCAGAAGGTAGTCTACTACAAGGTAGTAACATGGTGCATATAACTTAGAACTATAATATATACCAATTGATATAAACAGCTTCATGATTTTGTGGACAAATCATCAACCACTGCCCACCACCATCATTGCGCTACGGAGTACATCGCCATCGTATCCGGACCCCACTGAGGCTCGGAGGCTATCTACCTTAAGAACGGGGTTATACGAGCAGAAAATCCGTCATGTCTTTGTTTCTCAAATTTGTTATTAAAATTAAATACCCAACTAAATCATGTTTGCAATCCATTTGCTATACAAATTGTTATGTACTTGCTCATAACTTGGTGAGAATCATGAACCAAAAGAACAAACCCCGTCAGTTTCTCTATTCAACTTCGGGCATCAGCTCTGAAAATGGACAACACCTATATTTCATCAAGATTTTTAGCTGGTCCTCCAGCAAACCCGATGTAGCCCTTCACGCCGGCAGGAAAATACAGCACAGTCGTCGCAGTCTATAAATTCGGTAGATGGTCTGGAGACAAAATTGCGCTAGGTGGCCCCAGCAAGACAGCAGTCAGATGGATACCATTTGATCGAAATTCCATGATTAATCCAGAGTATCAATGGTCGTTCGACGTCTCGGGTGTCGACGACTAAGTTTTATGTGGAAAAGCACCCACTTCGAGGGTATAGATGGCCATACACCTGGGACATTCTCATCTGGGAATTACAAGATGGTGGACAGTCGCACAAACACAATCGTTGCGGTTTATAACAACGGAGGGGTTTTCTCTGGCAGAGGTAGCAAGTTTCAGATTAATGTGGATTATGGGACGGACTTTGATGCCTTGGTTTTGCTGACGGGGGTGTGTTATGTTGGAGAAGGCACGCCGGAACTCTCGACGATCAGCAGCAGCAGCTGGTGGTGGAAGTGGAAGTGGAGGTGCAGGATGTTGAGATGCGTCCTGTTTATCTTTGATTCTCATTATCTCAAACAGACAGAAATATGTATTATTCTTGCCTTTGACATGTAACCCTAGGGTTATTGCTATCTGAAACTTAGTTAGGACTAATTAGTTATGCGTAGTGTCGGCCGATGAATCCTCAATCTAGAACAGACCAGACCAATTTAGTCCCTATTTCTAAGACTTCCCCGCATTAACCGACCTAGACCTTCATCTACAACTTCGCACACCATTCGTTAGCCGTTATCATCAACAAGAAAAGGAAGGAAAGAAATGGAGACCACTGATTTGATTGTCGAACCGACCAGCAAAAAGCGCAAACTCAGCCGATCAGGATCTTCCGTAGAAGCCACCCGCAAACATACTCGCGTCCTAGCTGCCTGCGACGAATGCCGTATTAGCAAGACGAGATGTGACTCGGTGAGGCCGGTATGCGCAAAGTGTCTTAAGAAGCGAGTTCCATGTGTTTATCCGGATAAGGATCCTTTTTCAATGTACGTTGCCCCCCAAAATGGTAGTGTTGAGAGGTGTGGATATGTACTGATACGATTGAGGAAGATTTGAGTCGTGGGGTGAACGTATCCTTGACGCTGTTGAGCGTCAGCAGAAGGTCCTCTCTGAAGTGTTAGCAGAGAAATCCGATAGGAGACGGGCTCCGTTTACTAATGAGATATTGGAATTGCATACTTCATTTGATGAAGAGGTTGATCTGGAGAGAATCTCTAGAAATGACACTCCAAAGACCCCTATCACCGGATCAGATATGATTCTCCGCTGGCCCATTTTCCCGAGGAACAAGCCAGTAGATACATTTCCTGCGTATGCATATGCGGAAAAAGAGAAGAATGTCGACTCCCATCGTCAACAAACCATGCTTCCCAGTATGATTGGGTACGACAGCTCCCAACGACAACGCATACTAGAGCTGAGGGATATCTACATGACCAAGATTCAAATCAAAAATCCCATCGTCGATGCAGATGAACTAGATGAGCATCTTACCAGGGCTTTAGAAAAAGGGTTCGACTGGAGTCCGTCATCATGCTTGGTGTTGCTGGTATTGTCGCTAGCTGCCATATGGGGTAATTATCCACAGGATGACCGGAGGACGACACTGGCTTGTATTGTATCGCCCGAAGGGTTTCAACAGAAGAGGGAGTATGTGACGAATGCAGTTCCGGAGCATCGGATGAGAGAGTCACTGGGATATTTCTCAATGGCGAAAGAGCGGATGTCGACGGCGTATTTGGATGACTCGTTGTTGGGGGTTGCGTGTTTTTGTTTATTTGGGTATCAATGCAAATGCCCTTTTACTTAAAGCTATGACTGACATCGATAGAATGTGGTATCAGTACAATATTGAGCCGATCCCCGGCTGGAAGATGTTTCGAACCGCGTCGATGTTGTGGGAGGCTTATAACCTAAAGCACCGAGGTGGGAAGACGGAGAGATCCAAACAGGAAGAAAGTAGGTAAACCGGGTTCTTTCTTTTTCCGGCTCTATATTGACTAAAATAGGTCTCGAGCAACGATTATATTGGACATGTCTCAAATCTGAATGTGAGGTCCGGTACGAACTAGCCGATCTACCATCATGCACACTGTGGGAATCGGACTTCCCTTTCTCTCTCCCAACATTTTCAACTTCTTCGTATCCACCTACTTCGTCAATAACGAGCAATCGCCATGAACAAACTATCGAAGACTCACCCTCATACTACTACTACCTCGCCGAAATCTCTCTTCGTAGACTCCTCAACCGGGCCCGCAACGCTGTCGTAATCCTCAACCCAGATATTGACTGCGCCACCGCTTCAATCCTCACCGAAGCACTATCCAAACTCGAAAATCAGCTTGAACAATGGCTTGAATGTCTCCCACCTGTACTCCAATTCAATCGGCCACTTGAATCCCTCCCGCCACCTAATGAGCCTGAACTTGTCAAACTCGTACGTGAACGTTACGTCGAAGTGCGCGAGCTTCTTTGCAGGGCTCATCTTTATCTTTGTCTGCATTGCGGCACCACCCTTGGTCGCGAACAAGCTCGTCTATACGGCGCAAAAGCCAGCGAAGGACTAGCTCTATCCATTTATCGCATTCGGACCGAGATTCCATTTTTCCGACATCCGGGATCCTGGGGAGCATGTCGCGTAAGATTTAATCAATCATTATGTTTAATTGCTGCTTTCAGAGGGAAAATTAATGGAATATCCTCAGCGGAGAATATAGTTGTACCCCCTGCGTGGGCTGATTGTGTCAGAGTTGTTATTGAGAGGTTAGAGGTGTGGAGTGAAGAGGGAGGCGGGATCAGGGAGTTAGCTGGTCTGTTGAGATGGTTGATGGAGGACGTAGCTTAGGTACTGTTTACGCTGTACGCCTCGTTTCCCCCAGGATTTGTAGTAACTAGACAAACCCCTTTATATGGATGATTTTTGAAAAATGTCTTTGCTGCTCGGAGCTCGGACCATTGCTGATTTGGCCGCAAATGATGTTATCTACCCCGCCAGGGACTAGGTGGCCAAGTTTCTGTGCTGCAATTGAATGTGCCAAAGGAAACAATAAATTATAATGATCTAGATCTTCTCAAGGTGCTATCCCGTAAATTCGCATGCCCCAGCTCGGTCTCCTATCAGTGGACGTAATACATACATATGTAATCGGACCACACCATGCCTATACCCCCTAATGGTTGCTACATGTCTATCCATACAAAATACTTGATCGATTGCAAAGACTATAATATAGTCGGAGAGAAGTACTGTGGTGGTGGAAGAAACTGGCCAGCACGTGGGAAAGCTGTCGACTTAGGGCCAAGATCTTGCTAGCCCTAACTTCTCTTTTAAGCCATTTAAGGGACTCCCGCCTGCCACGTGCTGAGAACCTTCTCGCTTAGTCATGTCGAGCTCGGCAAGAAGTCCTTCTGTTGTTCTTCGTCCTCTTTCATTTTACGATAATTATTGGTTAATGGAACCCTTACTCAACGAGCTCTCAGCAACAGTCTGCGGAGATGATAGCATTGTTATCACCGTGATGGAATTCGGAGAATAGCAATTGAGAGAAATTTGGTAAAGCGAAAGAAGAAGAAAGTAAGATATACAACCCAGAACTATGGGAGACTCTCTTCCATCACCACCGGCGGCTGTCCGCGCTATGCGCGATTCATTTGGAGACAGAAAGCTTCCAGATATATCTCGGAAGATCACTGCATGTGTAGCCTGCCGGAAACAGAAGGTAGTTTCCTTGCTGCTAGATGCTAGCAGACCAAGCTGATGGAACTATAGGTCAAATGTAACATGAGAGACGGCCAAGCTCCGTGCTCCAGATGCAAAAAGAGGGGTCTGTCTTGCACCGTCAACCGTAGTCTGCAGATGCTACTGGAGGATGATGCAGCGTAAGAAATGCCACCAATCCCTGCTCCGAGGCCGTGGTTGCTGATTCTGATGCCAGATGGAAGGAAACCATGACCCAGAAGGTCCAACGCTTGGAAGAATCCATGGAACAGGTCGCCGCGAGACTTGAACTTCCGGCACTTCAGTCTCAGCGACGAGCTCATCCAGTCCCTATGACTTCTCCCTCGGTACCGCTCGGGACAATTGATGATACGCGCACCGCGAGTTCGTCTTCTTCACAGCAGCCACCGCAGAGATGGCAGATTGTGCTGGATCCCCAGGGTGGCCCTGCATCGATTCCTGCGTCATGTGTATCAGAAATACGAACTACAGCGACGTCGGGCAACATGCCAGCATCGCAGTATTCCGATTTGATTACAATGGGAGTATTATCTTTACAACAAGCTCTTTCACTCTTCGACATCTATCACCTGCGTCTTGATCACTTCCTGTACAAAGTCCTAGGTGACCTTACTAGCCTTGATTCCATTCGCAAACGTTCATCGCTTCTGACTGCTGCCGTTTGCACTGTTGGAGCACTCCACTCGCAATCTTTGGGGCATCTATATGATATCTGCTATCGTGAATACAAAAATTTAGTAACTACAAACACGTTCTCAACTACGTTGAACGTAGATGATATCCGAGGCCTATGTATAGGTGCATTTTGGCTTCATGAGCTGTCTTGGGCATTGATTGGAACTGGTAAGTTTTTGCCCCCGAGTTTTTGGCACAGACGCTAACGGGCGTAGCTGTGCGAGTCTCTTCTGATATCAAACTTCATCACGGCATATATCGTGCTCTAAATGGCGATCGTGAAGGATATCTCCAAGCCCGTCTATATTACTTAGTCTATGTCTGTGACCACCACTTCTCAATAGCCTACGGCAGACCTCCAATGTCTCGAGAAAAGTTTATAGTCGACTCCGCTAGTCCTTTTCTGGAGACCGAACATGCAACTGAGGACGATGCACGATTAGTGAGTCAAGTCAAAGAATGGTCTATTCTCGGTCAGGTATTCGATACATGCGGTGTCGATGTTGAAACCCCAGTACCACTTGGATATCTTCTACAACTTCGCCGGTATTCCATTGAATTGGACATTTGGTATGCGGACTGGAACGAAACTTTCATGCCCAACCGGAACGTGGGAAACTATCCACAGAAAGGTGTGGGTATGCATTGGAATTTCGCAAAGCTATATCTATGTTCTCACGCCTTTCGTGGAGTCCCTGCGGCACAGGAAAGAGGCCATTTGGCGCCTGAACTAGAAGAAATCGCAAATACCGGCGTTCTATCCGCCATGTCAATTCTCAACGTCATTATTTCCGATGATGAAATGAGATCTTATTTACACGGGCTACCCTTGTATTTTGACACGATGATTGCATTCGCCGTTGTCTTCCTCTTGAAGGTAGCCACCAAGTACGGAAATACCATACGCATCGACACCGACAAGATAATACTGTTGGTAAATCAGACCGTCGCTGCGTTGAATGAGATCACCCAATATATGCATCCACAGCATCTTTTGGTAGCCATCGCCGAGGGTTTACAAAAGTTGCTGTGGAAATGTCAAGAACAAGCTCACATTACGCAACAGCCGGTGCAACAGCATGCTACTACTTTTGAGCATTCATCCACGGATATTGCCTGGATGGAAAACATTGCAAACTTTGATTTCCTGACCAATGTTCCTAATGTCAACGATTGGGCGTTTCATTACCCTATTCCGAATGGTGCACATACCGACCAATTTCACCCGATGATCCCCCACTAGCATTTTTATTACTTCTCTACCACCTCGACCAGTTTAACGTGAGATCAAAGACGTCAAAATTTCTCCAAGTTCTTGCTGCGGATGCTGCCCTGGCTTCATTGCTGAATCGTTTGTTCATGATAATGGGGATATCTTGCTCACTTAGGCCACCGTGAGACCGGAGAGTATAGTCTCTCACTTTTGATAGATCGTGCTCTGACTTCCGTGTGCCGATCACCGCCTCGGGCTTGGATACCACCACAATGTCCCCTTCACGATCTAGGGGCATATTGTAGATTTCTGCGGCTTCCTTGCCCGTTATCGCAACTTCGATTTCAGGAAGCGATTTGCAATATGCGAGCGTTGAACCAAGTGTTGTTAAATCTTTGAGGTACACTCGAACAAATGACCCCAAAGCACCGTGATGGCGAACAAAAGGGTCCGTAATGGGGCAGATCACGCGAGCTGATCTAGCTCCGAATTTTTCATGCAGTTTGTCCTCCAGGAACAGAACGTTTGGTTCTCCATCTGCATTTGACTTTCGGCTCATGCCGTGATCGCCCGTAACACCGACAATCGGAGCCAAGGAAGCCAGCTTTTGCAAACGTGCGTCAATCGCACCCATAAACTCGTCGGCTTCGTCAGGTCCTGGTGGATATTTATGTTGAATATAGTCGGAAAGAGTGAGGTATAAGAAATCAGATTTTCCTTCCTCTAGGAGCTTGATTCCAGCATCGAGCACAAACAAAGACAAGTCTCCTGAGTATTGACTCGGCGCTTGTCTTCCAATCCATTCTTCGACGTTTTCGATCCCATTCTCCTCAAGGGTACAGTCGCGAGCACATTCTGCAGAAAAACAGATTGCACCTTTGAGACCATGGGCTAATATCTTCCGGAGCTTATCCTTGTGCGTGACTGCAGCCACTCTCACCCCACGACAAGACATTTGCTCCAGAATGGTAGAACCTCTCAAGAGACTATCGGTAATCATAGTTTCCTTGCCCGTTTCCCGATCAAGAAAGAAGTTACCAGCAATGCCGATAGACGGTGGCGCACCAGTAATGATCGACACGTTGTTTGGATTGGTGAAGGACGGCATACAGCTCTTTGCTGTGGCATGGAAGCCATTCTCAACGAAGTGGTTGAATGTTGGCAGAATTCCTGATTCGAGATACTCTGGATCGAAGCCGTCGATACAAATCACCACCGTTGGTTGGATGGGCAAGTTGTATTGTCTAGAATGCAAAGTGAACTGGGTGCGTGATTCTGTCCATCTCAGGGCAGTCAGTTATTTATATCCTATTTTATGATTCGGGTATCCAATATCATCTTCATACGTGTCTAGGAACGTTGCAATTTACCTAATAGACAATGATAGATTGTCTCTTCATAAGCTGACAAATCAGGAACCTCAATATTTGGCACCTTCGCCAAATCATCCCACCGTCTTACGGCGAGCTTTGCTTCGAGCAAGGGGTCTTTCTGCACCTCTCTGACCTGAGCTTCATTGAAAGGTCCCCCCTGAGGATAAAAATCAGACCAAATCTTCTCTTCACAAAACTGAGCCATAAGACGTTATACCTGGTATCCCAACGTCCTCTTGCTTGCCTCACTCAACCAGTCATAATAATCCTTGTCAGTGGCCGTCAAATACCGCTTAGCCATGACATGGGCGCCAACCAACTCAGCCACTTTATCACTGAAACCAATAGTACGCAAGTAATACTCGCCGACAACGTCATGGCTCATCCGCCCAAGATATTCGCCGTCGGCTGCGTACATCTTATCCATCTTCTGGGCCGCTGGAATGAAGCGACCAACGTCGTGGAGCAAGGCGGCGATGACTATTTCGTCATCTTGGCCGTATACGGGATCCTTACGCGCAAGGTGGGCGCATTGGAGAGAATGTTCGAGTTGGGTGACACGTTCGCCGAGGTAATCGGACTTGCCCTGGGCGATCATATACCCGACCAGAGTTTTGACTGTTTCGCGGGTGTGCAATTCAACGGACTGCAAGGGCATGGTGGCTCCGGAAGCGTGTTTGATGCTCATATCGGCTGCCTTTGAGCATTCGGGAAAGAGTAAGGAAGTCTAAATGAATTTTTCAGGTAGTATTGGAATTTTGCGTTGAATTAGGTGTTCCTACATATTTGTAGATTGATATTCTTCTTATGGAATTTTCCAGTTCATGCCATAACAAAGGACCAGACGGAGATATGTCAAGGCATGAAGTCCGATGGTTCAGGAAATCAGCATGCTCCAATGCTTGCTTTCGATTGTTTCCACGCGGAGCAGAAACATTCTTCCGGCATGAAGAGCGCTATCATGATTGTCGGCACGAAGTGCGACTGCCTCTGGTGGAGTCCTTCGGCACGAAGTACTGTGGTGAAATATCGAAAGCATAGTAGATGAATGTAGCCTGATGGAGCTGACTGCGAGGTGAAAGAGGTATTTTCAAGACATTGCTCAGATGACAGTAATTTCAAAGGGACGGAAATCAAATTGCTGAAGTATTAATTGTTAACACTTCTCATTTTTTCATACTTTTCTCTACCTAGGTATCCATGGATTGACTCGACTAAGCAAGCTCTGAATCCGAAAGAATTACGTTTTATAAAGAGGTCCTCTCAAGAATTACAGAAAACACCAGTGCAATGTACAGCTTAACTACATCACAGGTAGAATCCTATCACCGTCACGGCTTCCTCGTTCTTCGAGTCGGCGAGCACCAACTTGTTGACCCGGCTGATCTAGCAAAGTGGGCGGAAGAAGTAAAATCATGGCCTCGTGAAAAGGGAAAATGGATGCCCTACGACGAAATCAATATCAAAGGCGAGCGTCAGTTGATGCGCACTGAGAATTTTGTGGGTTATCACGACAAGTTCAAGGCTCTTGTCTGCGGAGAGGAGTTGGCGGGTATTTTGAAAGCGTTGACTGGAGATGTAAGTCTATGAATTGTTCCCAATTCCATTCTTTTATTATAGCTAATACCGTAGCGAATTCTAGGATATGCTTCTTTTCAAAGATAAAATCAACTACAAGCAATCTCGCGGAAACGGGTTTCAAGCACACTTAGACGCCCCTGCATATGACCACATCGGCCGTATCGAGCATGTTACAGCGAACTTCGCTATTGACCCAGCCACTCCAGAAAATGGATGCCTTGAAGTAGTACCTGGAAGCCATAAGATGGACGTGCCGTGCATCAACGGCGGCTGCATCGATCCTACCTGGGAGAGCGCTCAGACTTGGCTCACGGTACCCCTGGAAGCTGGTGATGTACTGATATTCGGTTCGCATTTGGCACATAGGTCAGATGTCAATGATACAGACAAGGCGCGTGCTAGTCTATATGCCACATTCTATGGGAAGAGTGATGGGCTGGATTTGAGGGAAAAGTATTATGTGCATCGACGGGCCAATTTCCCTCCTGATCACGGTTTGTTTTGGCTACTTTCTGCTCTCTTTCTACTCATATTTTCTGATTGTTTTCTTCTCTATAGAACGTGAACCGGGTAAAGACTACACGCAAGGCTTCAAGACCTACGGGTTTGCTGCCCCCTTTTCCAAGATTGAAGACCAGGCTCCTGTTACGGCATGATAGCAGACACATTTGACAAGCCCTAGCCCTGAGCGATGTCGATATACTGTTACCTAGGTAACTATTCTAGGCTCTATTGTTATATTATTAATAGAAGCAATGCGGGGAACCCCGCTAAGCAGCCCCGGGCATTGGCCAGAAACGTCATCCTTAGTTAATCCCATTATAAATTTATCATGGCTAGATCCACGGCCAATTTGTCATTTTCATCATGCAACACACAGTTTATTATTAATTGTGACTTTGTACGACCTCCTCTCTGCATGTTTCCGTGCTATAAAATCAGACTAGAAACTCCGGATCAGTTGGGCTGATACAATCCAGTACAACTACCTATCCATGGGCAGGGAACTACTTATTCTACCACGACAGCTAAGATTGATATACAAACTTCCAACTACTGTGAAGACCTATCGTGGAATTTACAACATGGCTACTGCAACGCAAGTCAAGCTCTCCACATCGGATGCCGGTGTGTTCTCTCACAAGCCAAGAGAAGACTCGGCCCAACGCGCCAGTGAGCTCTTGCAGAGAGATATGAAGGAACATCATATTTTCTTCAATGAGAAGAGGTTCCATAGTATGATTCATCTAACTCGAGAGGGATTTTTGACCATTCTCTAACCGGAGTGCGATTTCTATTAGATCACATTGTTCATCATCTGCTCACTCTGTTTTCGTTGGGAGCCTCACCGGAAGAAATACAGGACGCTTATGACCGCGGACATAGCTATCAGCGAAAAGCGTATCCGGTGGATAACAAAGTCGTGCATGCTATTATTGAAAAATCGACTTTCAAGGATTATCTAGGAAAGGAGGAGCATTACTCGAATTTTCTTGCCTTTTTCCAGCAAGAGATTAGCACTAAGGGTGTTGCAGAAACTCTTCAAGAACATATCTTTGCAGAAGATGAACATGCAGATGACCTATTGGGCAGGCTCTTCTCAGGTAATTGTTTTTCCTTTGACCTTTTGTATAATGCAATGCCAGTGTTAACTAGGTATTACTTTCAGGCTTGATTCATCCTATAATTCATCTCGGTTTCGGTATTGAATTCAATCAACCAGCCATCATTGCCGAAGGCCTCGCCGAGGCTGCAGTACATGAAGGATGGGTGAGGCCATATCTCCAGGGCGCTGAGGACGCAGCAGGAGGGATTGGCTCAAAGCCGGGAAAGACCTTAACGGAGCTCGTACACGAACTCCGCCAGGACGAGGAGATACTTTCTAGTGTCCGTCACGACGATGCTAACCAGATGAGAGATGGGGTATTGAAACGTACCCCGGAGAAGATGAAGCATTATGCCAAACAATATACGGTGTCGCCGGAGACACTGAAGGAACAATTGGCTGAGATGATCAATGCGTTAAGTAAGTATGTCAAATATTAATAGCATCTAACTCTAACCATTCATAGTCTACATTGCCGCTGCTTCCCAGCACCCACCGAATGTAGTCAAGTATGAATTTATTCTTATACACGCCGTGAATTGTTCTATCTTCTTTTCCGCTATTTTGGACCGTCCCTGGATCAGCACCCGCGCAAAAGTCCGCTTGCTTGAGTGGAAAGGCCGCATGGACCTACTTCTATATGCATCTCGTCATTGTCCTCCCCTCTATCTTAGCGAAGTAACGAGCTACTCAATCGCTAAAACTTGGGACGAGGTTATTCAAGCCGGCAATACCCACAAAGAGGATGACGGGCACGTTGTTAAACTTATTAGGGCTATAGCACACGGCGAACAGATTACCGATCCTCTTGAGAAGCAGGGAAAGGCTAAAGGTTTGAAAATGCATGGGAATGCATGGCTTAAAGCTGCCAATATGGGTTCGCCGATATTCCCCCATGCTGTCGATGATAACCATACAAAATAAGGGCTTATGCTAATTTGAGCCGTCTCTATCAATATAGCAATTGATTCCACGGCGACTTCGACGAACAGATGGATTTTCGGAAATGGTTTCGAAGAAACATGGGCAGGCATTCCTAAACGTGCGCAACTCTAATATACCTAGGTACTAAGGTATGCACCTCCCGAGGTTGCCTCAGGGCAACTAAGTATCTTTTTTATTGAGAGTGCGATGCGTCGAATACTCATATGAATATACAGTCAGATTGAGTTAACTTGGCTAGTTGGGCTTCCAAGGCTGTGTGTATGACTTAGGGTTGGCCTTCTGGAAAACCGCCCCGGCGTCTTTATGAGTTTCCTGTGGCAGGCAATTTATGAAATCAAATCTTGGTGATTTTTAAATTGAATGTAGTATAGTTCGCGGGAGGCATCAATCAATCAAGCAGTGTATCATCAAGTGTCATTTGTAGATACGGGTCTTAGAAGTGCGAACTTCTAGTGTGAAATTTATATCTGAAGCTTGAGAGTTGTCGTCAATTGAAATATAAGCACCTCATCGAAGATTCTTGTCAGCCGCAAATAGCCTACAAAAATCACATAAATTACAGTGGGATGAAAAAAGTGTTGGCACCCCCCCAATATCGGTAACACCCGCACAAGGGTGTCAACACTTTTTTCGTGGTACTGTACCAACCACCTCAGCGGGGCTCCGTTTTGGTCGAACGGTAGATTTTCCGGTTCTCAATTTTTCATATACGTAGATGTAAGATGAGATAAAGTCCGATGCAAGAAGAAGTATATAGATCTACCAATCAGAGTACATTATTATACGCTAGTCCGCTTTAGCTGCTAGTGTCACGTGGTGATAACGATTGCCTCATCTTAACTTCCATCTCATTCTCTGGAACATCTCGACTTTACTATTGACACTACGACATACATTCATTCGAATTTTTAAAACCACCATTTTCACACAATTAAAGCACGCAAAATGGCAAACTCGAACGACGATCGCTCAACTGACACAACCACCAATACACAAAACAAGACCACGCCGCCACCCGATAACAAAGCCGATAGCGAGAACCCATTCATCGCATTCCGACGATATGCAGACGAACAGATATCTTCCATGCTCCAGGCGGTGATGGGTTTACCATCCAGTGCCGTGCCTCCTTTCTCCGATAAGTGGTTATATTTCCAAAACACCGACAACAACGACCGAGGCGCCGACCGAGAGTCTGATTATCGCTCAGACGATCACCGACCATGTCGTCGATGGGGATTTCATAGAGACGATAACTTTTTTGATCGTTGGCATTCTCACCATCGCTTCTCAGACCGCGGGTTCAACTCGTTCTTTGATGGTTTCCCAATGAATTTAGGCTCTTTTCTGTTCCCGGAAAGCATGCTAGAAGGCGACTCGCAGACGTGGCCACTTGCTTATCTTATATTCAGCCCTTACTCCCCCTTATATTTGGAAAGGTCCCAAGGTCATGACAGTCGCTATGGGAGGACCTCTTCCTCATTATTTTCATCCCGCAAGCCCGCTGATCTGGACCCCAACGAACCGCGATGGCGTGATGCCTTTGAGGACCTATTGAGAGTAACGAATGGACAAGAAATGTTGGACCGCGACACAGAGCCTGAGCGTAGCAAACAATCGGCTGAGAAATGGATAAAGGGCCTGATACAGAGAGGCAGTCTTGGGAACAACTGGCGGCTGCTTGGTTCCCAAGACTCCCAAAGTGGGCTCACCCTAGAGAGATTCCAGCAGCATGACCGTGATAGACGCGGTCAAGAACCACCACGTCAGCAGGAAGACTTCCTGGAGGATAAAATTGAAACAAAGGACATTGAGACAGAACTTGACTTGTATGATCGCTTCCTAGACGATATTTTGAATGCTCATGAACGATATTCTCGCGCCTTTGCCGATAGTCCTTTGATGCGGCTTTTGGACGAAGAACGGAGGCGTCATACACAGCGAGATAATTATTCACAAAGCTCCGAAGACACAAACATTTCAAGCAAAGATTGGCTCGAGTATACATTTGACGGAAACAAGAACTTGCTTGCTTCCCAGATGACAACAGACAATAACACTTCCGAAGAGTCCAGAGTCATTTCGACAATGACTCGCAGCGTGAGGCGCACGTTGCCCGATGGGTCGATCTTGACAAAGACAATTAAGACCAAGCGTTTTGCCGATGGTCGTGAAGAGAGCGATGAGTCGACCGAAGTTATTCCTCCTCCCACGTCTGAGAAGAATAGCGAGGCCGTTCGGGACGTGGATAATGACAAGGATTCTCAGGGAGGCTGGTTCTGGACTCGTTGACCAATGACTTAAACACACTCACCGGTTCCGCTTTATTCCGGTAAGTTGGAACGATATCACCATGTTATATCCACCTCCACTCTATATATTGCACGCCAACTGTGCATAATCTTTTATCCTCGATCCTTTTGCATCTATTCTATGACATTTCTATGACTCCCCACTCCAAGACTCAACCAAAGTCAGGTTTTTGATTTCTATTTTCAGCGCCAATCATTCTCCTCTTGTCGCTTTCTTCCATCGAGTTATCTTCATACTACAATTTGGTAGCAAAGGCACATGACCAATGTCTATGTGATTCTATGTATATATATGTTCAGTTAGTTGACACATCCAATGAATATGTAATTAAATAGCAATTGAATCATTGCGTGACAAGGAGGGCTAAACAGCCAATTGCGGGATAGGAAGCAGTCCTTCCGGACCAGTGAAACTTGACCTTTGCCAATATCTATGATCCTGGGATCCTATAATAATGCAATAGGAAGTATTCTGAAGTTTAATCAAGTATTTTGCAAGAGTGGATTGATTGATCGGCTAAACCCATGAAGTGGTTTGGGTATGCATTCCTGTCTCTTGATTCTGCCTAGCAACCCGGGTATGATCAGATATTTCGGGCTTGTATACTTCAAATTTTCTCACAGAATTCTTGATTTTGTTTCCTCCACCTTTTCCACTGCCCAGGTGGGAAGTCATATACCTACGCACGTAACGAGTTTTCCAGGAGTATCAGGAAACGGAGATGTATTCTAAACGTGTCTCGTTTATTTATCTATGATTGTATTGCAAATCCAGAATTTTGATAAAAATGTACAGTTGAAGAAAAAATATGTATTGTGCACATCCCCATTGGTAACCATGTGTCAAAGAACTTTCAGTAGATAACATCCTTCATGTCCAAGGGTTCAAAGTGCAGGTATCAACTCCAACGGCTGTACCAGCGCGAGCCGTTCTTAATAATATTTGTACTGTTTGGCAAGGCTTATTACCAGTAAGGATGATCAACAAGACGGCGCATAATGCGTGAGATGGGACCATTGCTGCTGCTGCCCAAATCAGAAGCAACGCCGGAAATAAATCCATTGTTGGCATAAGCCTGGCTAGCATCCCAGATCATAACACCGCCAAAACTGGAGAAGGTAGCAGAGTACTCGAGGACGGGCTTGAGGGCAGTTGCAGAGAGGTATCCGGTTCCGGCAGCACCGGTGTTACCAGGAACACCGACAAAGACCTTGACATCCGGGTTGGCAGAGGTGTTCTTTGCCCAGGAATCCCAGGTCTCGAAGTTGTAGTTGTTTTGGGTGGTAGGTCCGGAGACGTAGTTGTTGACACCGCAGTAGTTGTTGTAGAATTGGACCCAGATGGCATCAAATTTGACAGCGTCGTCGAGCATCTGGTTATCAGCAGCGTCAGGGTAAACACATTGTGGTGCAGCTGTCAAGTAGTATTTCTATTTCATTTATTAGTGACCTTGTCAATATGTTTAGATCGATCATTCTAAGACGTACCTTGCTGGTGTCAGCATCCATGAGAGAGCGAAGCTCATTACCGAAAGTGGCCATGTTGGAAACAGTAGCCTCAAAATCAAAGTCGAATCCGTCGACAACGGCGTCTCCAAAGGGACGGAGAGCTGAGATATTAGAATCCGGTCCGAAGGTCTCCCAGATCAATTGAGCTCCAGCTGTAGCGGCATTTTTTGAACTGAATCCTCCTTCAGAATAGGTTGCACCTCCGATGGAAAGGAGAATAGTCTTGCCCGCGTCTTGGCATGTCTTTATATCGGCACTAGTAATAAAGCTGTTAGTCCTCTTTACATAAAGCACTGCAGTAATGGAGACAACTCACCCAACCTGAGGACAGTTCAAAAGAGAAGTACCATCAAAGGTGGTGCAGTTATCGCCAATGTTGGCAAAGTTAATCTCCGGCGCACCGCCGGGGCCGTTAATGACAGTCACAAATGCCAATTGCAAGACGTCTACATCTGAATTTTCACAGTAGTATGCGAGGTTGTGTTGCTCAAGGTCGCCGCTGGCCTGGTTGTATGAATTCTGACCCCAGTATAGGGCGATGTTGCTCGAAGAGGACAAGTCAAGGGCTGCTTGTGCTCCAATGAAGCCAGCCATTACTGCTGCTCCTGAGAGAATGTACTTTGCTGAAGACATTTCTGCGAGTCTCTAATTGATAGGGAATGTGTGTAAAGCAATGTAAGGACTGATATTGATTGATACTAGTTGAAGGAGGGAATGAGGCGCAAAGCAGACCTTGAACTTTGTCGATTGACTGTTGACTGAGAAGAAAAAAGAAGGAATGTTCGAAGAGGAAATGAAGATGGATTTATAATCTAGAACGTACATTTTGGAACTCCGCTGTTGGACTGTCGTTTAGGGTTACGTGCTCCCGGGTCATCGTTTCATGGCATCAGGCTGCGTGTACCGACGGTAACGACAGACAGGAAGTACATGGAAAGCTAGATCTTCTCGATAAGGAATACGATGTACCATTGTCATTTGAAAGTGGAGCAAAGTACCTAGTATGAAAATGCCAGTTGGAGGCGCGGAAACGCATCGTTTCCTGTTCCTAGGATCTGTTGGAATAGCTAGCTACATTCCAAGGGCCGCTACCCCCACAACCAGCCATTTATCAATGAGCTATGGAATGTAACTGTGAGTTTCTAACATCCAGGATTATGACTGACTGGGAAAGTGAAAGGAAATCATTCTCGTTGCATCGGCCTACCTATTACGAGATGGGTTTGTCGCCTGTAGTTACCAACTAGGCTACAGTGGCTACTACGTACCAATGGTCTAGCTGCTGTTAGGTCACATGTAGGCTATTTTAGTCTGTTACCTATAATTTTGAATTATTGTAACATGGATCATTGTCGTCTAGAAAGTGCATGGATGAGTACTGGTGATTTCGACATGGGTTGAACGTAGACTGGTCAGACCAGCGATGCTACTATCTCAAGCCACAAGTCTCCCCCACGAGACACTAAGCGCTGTCGATCAATTTACTAATTGTACAAGCATACCTAGGTAAGTACCAAAGATATGGTTGTTGACAACATAGCAAGGTCCATAAAATATGAATGACTTTTAGATACTTGGAGCACATTGTATTCAAAGTGATGTATGCAGATTTCAGGATCGCCCAGACATGCGACAAAGTCACCGGGAATTGCTTTCCTGGTTGGGGAACTCGACGCCAACAATACGAGATCAGCTCAAGAGATAGCGCATATGGTGCTCCGAGCATATATGCAGAGGGCGTCTCGGCACATCATATGGATGACTACTGCAGGACGTGTGATATGACCCTCTCAGGAACCGGTGATACCGGAAGTACATACATGATAAGATTTGTCACTATTTTTTATGAACGGGTAAACTATATAATTGGTCAAGAATTCGAAAAGTGGTAGTCTCTCTGGTGAATATTCGCACATGGCAGTTGGTGTTAGGTTGATCAAGTATGCTGACCAACTCTTAAAGTAACCCTTACTACGAACGGCCATGATTGCTGTGCTGAGTAATAGTGCGTGATCGTATGCCAATTATTTTATTTCATTTATGAAATGCAAAAATAAACTCTTTTACGAGATATTGTCTATCGTACAGGATGACTATCTATGTACACGGGAACTACAGTCAGTATGTAGCCTCACATCTGAGGAGGCGTTGCAAGGTGTTCTTGCCACCAGATTCTGAGTTTCGAATTGATGGTGAAGTGAAATTTAGCTTCTAGACTTCTTGTTTCATGTCCATAAATAGATAATTAGTTAACAAAATTAATTATGCTTCGATTTCCTGACTGTGTTCATATGCAAAAGAGACTACTTGGGACAATGTGTCAACAGAGACGGACCTGCATAGTCAGAGTTCCCACGCTTCGGGCATCTTTGTGACTACTGCCAATATATCATTTACTTGATATGGATAGAAGCACCGAAGATAACTTATCAAGGCTGCGGGGTCCGGAAACTCGAGGATGAAGGTTGACGTTGCATCCAGTCGATTTAGCCTCCCCTTCATACCCTTCATACAAACTAGATATGTTAGCACTAGTATCTTACTCGTTAAATCGAAAATACGTACAGAGGCATTGAAAGTCTTTTTTTCTAACTTCAGGTCAGTGAAGCTGTTCAGTGACTTACTGGCCTAAGAGTATGGCCATCTTTGACCTTCCATTGAATTCCGAGGTAGAGTTCCATGGATAAATAACACCTAGGTTAGGGCCGTTAGGCATAGCAATGGATTGTATGAGATCTAGATTGACACCATCACATCCAAAGTGAACAGGAACGCGACGCGCACTTGATTTCTATTGGAGCACGGTAGTTTCAGTATGCCTTGAGAACCTCGGCAAAAACTGCGAATAATTACGAATCGAATATGAATAACGAGTTGCAAAAACCCTACGAATACGAATAAGCAAAATCCTCATTCGTGTGCACCTCTACTCACGGCAGTAGCCAGTATCGCATTAACACGTTTTGAATTGTTCAAGGAACCACCAATCATCGAGATAAAAGTATACTAGGTTTTATGTACAATCCTACCGGACTCTATACAAACAAAATTGAAAGAAATAACATTGAAGAAAAGCTGAGATTAGGTACGTAATTAGAAAACGATGTAACCATAATCATTTCCAAGACCGTTATATGGTGGTCTAAGACGCTGATCATACCTAGGTACTCACTAAAATCTTGGGGCCCTAGTGATGATCGATTAGGCAATTAGGAGAATCAGAGAAAATTTCCTATAATGGCAATTTTCGCTGGTATGCTCATGAGCTGAGTGCGAGCTATAAGATTCATCACTATGTCGAAAATATAAGAGATTATCATTTGATAGATGTTTACTGCACGTCTAGGCGCATTTCTTGATGAAATTATGTGGATTAGCGGTTGAGGGCATTCACGGCTCGTTTTAGGGCTAGAAAGCAAAGACCAACACCCGACCTATAGTATAAATGGGACAGATTCAATGTTCCTAAGAAACGACAATCGCTTCTCTTTTTCAATTATTGTGGTTGATCAACTTTCCGTGCTTTGCCCATAGGATATTAGAATTGTTACATGCAAATAGAGCAGGTGAACCTGTCGATACTGGTGGGTGTTTGGGCTCCAATATTCGAGCGAAGTTGACTAGTAGAAGGCACCCGAATGCATCGGTAAATACGAGCACACTAACACACCTGAGCATTTAAGTTTACAGCTTTGAATATCGAGGGAAAGTATTAATATTAGAATACCTAGGTATAATCCAACTAGGAACTGGTAACATGAGTCAAGCAGAAAAGATTACAGTATCACAGAAAGAAGCAAACATCGAAACTTTTCAGCAACCGCTGGTATTTGACCGCTTCACTTGGATGGCGTTAAATCAAATACGACACCGAGCGTCCTGGAGAACCGCACGATATGGGAGTAGATTGTTGGTGCAAAGATGATATGACAACACCCAATCACGTGGGCAGAGAATTTGGGATTGATGCAGTGACACGACTCACACTGCTCTATTCCGCCTCCTCCTCTTCACGAGCTGTACTTAAGGAATACCGGCCCTCTAGTTTACCGTGTTGTTCATGCTCTATCGTGACTCGCGATAGATTTGCCAGGATGTTCTCCATTTGGATATCGCCCTTACTCCTCGACTTGCGTCCGAGATTGTCCAACCATTCGAGTTTATTGAGCGTGAAATAAACCAAAGCAATGACAATAGTCACGCCGAGTGAGTAACCCCATATCCGCACTACGGTAACTATATCTGTCCATCCATTGTGTGTCTCATGGAACTGGTCAGCTGGACGGATCGGCATATTTTCGTTGGTGAACCATCCAAAGAGGCAAAAGATTGTGGCTAGAATGTCGACTCCCACAATTGCAGCTACCAACGGAATCGAGGGCAAGGTGTCTGCTCCTCTTGTGACAAATATCAACCAATTCTCGGTGAGTGCAACTTCGAGGAAGAGAACTTCTTGAATCGAACCCCAATTTTGGATAATACCGCCGTTAGGGAGGAACATCGTGCCTCGAATGACCCAAGTTCCCAAAGCCAACAAAATCCCTAATATAACAGATATGAACCAGATCTTTGGTAGCTGCCATTCCACAGGTCTCAATTCAAACGAAGCATTGTCATAGGCTACTGCCACTGTCGCCAAATCAGCAAACAGTGCTAGAAAAACAATCAGTTCGACTCGAATCGTCTCGTTGAGAATAATCATAGTGGTAACCAGGTAAATTTCCAAATGTAAACACAGAGCAATTCGGTATTGAATATAAGCTTTCATACGATGAAAGATTTGACGGGCCACTTTGATCGATTCAATTATGGTAGATAAGCCCGGAGCCAAAAACACGATATCTGATGCCGACTGTGCTGCTTCTGATGCTCCTTCCACGGCTATACCGCAGTCTGCTTTTTTCAAGGACGGTGCATCATTAACTCCATCGCCGGTCATTGCAGTTAGATGTCCTCGTTCCTGAAGCATTTGAACAACTTGGTATTTATGTTCAGGAAACACTTCTGCGAACCCGTCGGCTTTTTCGACCAAATCATGAGCCATTGCACCGCTCAGACCGCCGTGAATGAGGCGTTCTGAATTGTAAACCTTAGTACCCAATGCAAGCATCTTGCATGTCTCCTTTGCGATAGCAATGGCATCGCCGGTGAGCATTTTGACACTAATTCCAAGAGCTTGGGCTTCAGAGATTGTCTGCGCAGTATCCTCACGTGGCGGATCAAACATTGGCATCATTCCGAGTAATTGCCAGTCTCCTCCTTCTTTCTGGACTGCCACTCCAAGAGACCGAAAGCCACGATGTGCGAATTCCTGTGCTTTCTTTCTGTAGAGATCTGCAGTTCTTTGGGAACACTTCGCCAATCCTAAAACTGCTTTTGGAGCTCCCTTAGTACAGATATATCGGACGCCATCACATGTGCAAACTGTGACGATTCGTTTTGATACAGGGTCAAACGGCGTGAACTTCTCTGTTTTCCAGCCGGCCCGCAATATTTCCTTTGCCTTTGGATATTGTTTGAGAGTCATTAGTGTGACTTTGTCAATGGGATCCAAAGATTGTATGTTGTGGGAGGATGCAAGAACAGCCACTGCCATCATCCAATTGACATCGACCCCTTCCGCTACATAGGGATTCCTAATACTCAATTTGTTTGCAGTTAAAGTTCCCGTTTTATCGGAACACAAGATATCAACGCCCTAGCCATATTATTAGCTGTCTTCGTTTTCAGGTTCAGTGATAGGACAACGGATTTATGCTTACTGCAAGTGACTCGATAGCGGTAAGTTTCTGAACAATTGCCTTTCTGCGTGCTAGATAGGCCGCACCAACAGCCATAGTCGTGGTGGTGACAACAGGTAAACCGACGGGAACCCCAATAATCAAGAGCACCAGAGTATATTCCAGCAATGTCTGTTTACCGGGGCTCGCAATAGGAATATGCCTCCAGAAACCGCCGATCCATGCCGCCAGAATCCATGCCATCACCAAGATCAACAATGAAGTGCCGATTGTATCCATTACGATTTCAAAATGACCTTTGTCGGTCGCCCCTGCAACCATGCTTGCAGTTCGCCCAACGAAAGAAGTTTTTGCTGATGTCTGAACAACGGTATACGCTTTTCCGCGTTTGCAGTTTGTCGTGTAGTAAACAGGCTCTCCCATATGTCGATCAACGGCATGAGATTCACCAGTAATAGCCGAGTGATCACAAGCAAGAATCGGATAGCCTTTCCGACTTGGTTTTTCTTCTTCGTCGTCGTTTGATTGGGCACCTGCACTTCCTTTCCTTTTTCCTTCCTTGTCCTTATTCTGGTTCCCATCAGGCTGTTTCTCGTCTTCCTCTCGCTCCTGTCCTCCTTGTTTATCTTTGTCTTCCTCGCCTGAAGAATCTTCAAGAGCGCCTTCTGCTTCCATCCTTTTGAATTCCTCGAACCCATTCGGGTCGTCATAATCGCAAATTACTTTGCAGTCAGCTGGAACAACGGTTCCCTCTTGGACAATAACCTAATCAATTTAGTTCTATCATCCAACCCTAAACTCCATGTCATACGTACCACGTCTCCTGGTACCAGCTCCCGAGCTAGTACCTCGCATTCGCGTCCATCACGAACTACCTTACATCTCAATGCAATATCACCTTTTAGGCTTGCTACGACGTCCGCGGCTTGCTTTTCCTGATACCATCCAACCGTGGCGTTGAGGAATAGGATTCCGATGATCACTCCAAAATCAACCCAGTCTTTGAGACCGGCAGCGAGAAGTACAGCAAGTTCCATGACTTTTATCAACCGCAACCAATCAGCAGAAATTCTGATTATGACATGTCAAATCTTGATTTCACCTACCGTACAAGATTGGACCTTGGAAGTATGACATGAATTTCGCTATTGGGTTTTCCTTTTGCGAAATCAGTTCATTCCATCCAGCACGACGCCGACGGTTGATCACTTCGGCCTCAGATAGGCCTTGTTTGATATCAGTGAGGAGCCACTCCTCTGGAAATAGTTGCTTCCCTTCTGCTGCCCCTGTTGCAGGCACAAATTCTCTCCGCCACGGTGCATACCACACACGTTTCATCTCCCCTTCCTCCGTCTCAACCTCTGCTGTCCCTGGCTCTCTATAAACTGAGACATACTTAACCAACCTTTCATATTCGTCAAGACTCGGATCGTTCGCAATGCTGATGGCTCGGGACATTCTCCTCTCAGCACGAGACATGCGTCTTGAGGTACGTGACTGTTGCCCTTCCACATCGCTGGAAGCACGGGGATTGCCTGACATCCTCTCAAAACACAACTTTCTTGATCTTATGGCTCCTAGTTTATGTATCAACTAGCATAAGAGGTAGGTAGGATCGGTGTTCTCTTGAAAAGTCGTTCAAGATTGTACTTGGACTACCTGGAAGTTAAGATTAGAAGCGAATGACGGATGCTGCCGGCTAGCTTTTGCTATGTTCAAACGAATGACACGATTCAAAAGAGAGAATCATATGGGTTTAAACTCACCGTGACGTAGTGGAGAGGTAGTTTCAGCTCGTTCCTGGCGGCATGATTGTATTTTGAAAGGATTTGCACTCAAACCCTCATAATAACTTTCCAACCCTCCCAACCTGGTAATCGATCTGTTGTGTAATTATTATTCTCTTCGATGGTCTCGAACCTTTTCTTTGTATACCATACTCACAAATACGTCCAATGACGACAAGTAGGCTCGAAGGGACTGGGCTTAGAAGCTGGTACATGTAATTATCATTGGATCGGAGAATCAACGCAACTCAAACTGAATAGAATAACCGTGGAATGATTCCATGAATTTGCAGCGGATATGCTGAACGACGAGTATAAATCATAAGCTGATTGCAGTTTGACTTCCCGGCGAGGCCGACTCGAAAGTTAGCTGATGCAAGAGGCTCCATGGCGTATAGTGTCGAGCATGAATGGTATGGGATGCATTACTGAAGGTAAAAAGGATGGTGAAATAGAGAAATGAGAAGAAGTCACGATGGCGGGGGAGACTGGGCGTGACTTCCCAACTAGGAAGGAAAGGCAGGAAAGGAAGGAGCTAGCCAACGCGTCGTGATCTCGTAAATAAAACAACGGAAATGGAACAACTTCATCCTCAAACGTACATACTTACGACTATTCTTACATATGCAGCCTCTCCCATACTACAATGGGCTTATCCCCTGCCCAGGTACAAAAGCTCCTTTTGCCCAATTTTAAAGCTGTCACTGAACATATTATAGGCCATCGCCATTATCGTAGTCCTATCGTTTTTGTTGCTGTTCTTACACAAAATCCTCTCGCCTTGGGTAGAGCTCCCTCGACTCCCCGAACAATGGCTCGCGTTTCGCAGCGGCCTAGCTTGGACGATATTCAAAGACCGAGTGGGATTCTCTGAAGATATGGTGTTGGATCATGAGAGTGGGTTCGCAATTATTAGCTCTGATCCTGGAAGAGTATGCTGGAATGCATTATGGGTTTGTTCCCGCCTCATACATTGTTTTCGAGCATATCTGACTTGAAGCACTAGGGCCGTAGCCACAACCCTCATCAGCAAGGCCGGCTACTGCTCTACCACTATGGCGGCTCGGGCAGTCTTCGAGAAATGGAACTGGTGAACTTCCCTGACAATTTTGATTTCCATCCCCTCGGCATGGGTCTGTATCGCGAGATGGAAGATAGCCATCCAAGGCTGTTTGTTGTTAACCAAGGTGATGACAACAGCAGTGTCGAGATCATGGATATCGATTACGAAGACGCTCGGGCAGTCCATGTATGCACCGTGGAAGACAACAACCACACCATACGTTCTCCAGTTTCAGTTTCTCCTGTGTCTTACTCGTCGTTCTATGTCACAAATGATCAGTGTTTGATCCGTCGCAGACATCCAGTTTTGTCTTTTACCGAAAGAGTGCTTGGTCTTCCCTTGGGGTGGGTGACGTTTGTGGACTTTAGCATTCAGGCGCGGCCAATATGCACCATTGTCGCAGGAGGGATCCCCTTCGCAAGCGGAATACTAGTCACGCCAACCGGGAAAGAAGTTCTCGTCGCTTCGAATAGCACGGATACTGTTCGAATATATGAACGCAATCCGGATACCAATACGCTTTCGAGCAATTATAGCAGCGTATATATGACCTTTCATCCGGAAACTCTCAGTTTCGATAAATCCTTGGACATCGACGATCCCACAGTATTCAATTCTAATGGTTATTTTCTTCGTGGAGTGGTTGCAACGGGATCTCCGGACGCGGGCCGGTTGTTTTGCATGGCTACAAACCCTCATGGATGTGCTGCACCATCCGTCGTCGCAGAGATTCGTCGAGGGCATGGTCCTGATCTTAGTCCGTTTCCTGGAAGCCTTTTTAATCTGCTCAGTAAATACTACGCTCGCACGTTGTATGCAGGTATGTCAATGTCTTTGAGTCTGTTAAATCTATCCTGACTTCTCATTTAGATGACGGTACCAACTACCCAAGCAGCACATCTGGCGATATGGATTCCAAACGAGGTCGTCTTATTGTTAGTGGGGTTTATGCAGATGGACTTCTGGATATCACATGGGATCCGAGAGAAAATCGACATTGATTGAGCAAGAACTTGTGTAATGAGAATTGTGTATAGCAGCGTATACTTATTTCATTCAGCTTTGATTCTTTTCGAGTCTGAGTGATTTTGCTGTACCAGTCTTCACCAGCATCCCCGTCTCGTGTGCTGATCACACGTTTTCTCTCCATGGACTGGGGCCTGTAAGATCCCTACCTTCAGGGGAGCTAAGATCACGAGCATCAGGGTTAAGGAGAGGGCTTTCTCCTGCAGGAATGTCATCCCGGGACGCAGCCCGAGCTTCTTCCGTCGACTCGGCGTTTTCAAACACAGTATCGCTGTATGGAAGCAGTCTCGGGCCAGTAGATTCACCGCGCGACTCACTCCTAGCATATGTGTCGTTAATCCAACCATTCCGTCGGGCTCTAAATGCATAAACTCGTCCTGTACCAAAATTTGTCACGCCCAACTAGCGAATCCAATCCCCAATTAGTTATCACGAGAGCTACTGGAAGGAAAGTATATAATAAATGACTGAACGGAGATAGAAAAAATACCTTGATACCCCAACCCAAAACAGCAGCAACCAACACCAAAACAGCCACCCGTCTCTCCTGCTCACTCCAAGGCTGTAGGCAACTCTGCGTATACCCCGTCGTCCTCTCGCAGGCATTATCCCCGTGATTCGCATCTTTGAACGGCCAGGCTCTGTCTCGTGTGCTCCGCAAACCACAACATTGTAACTGATCTTGTATTGTGCGGATACTGTTCACATCCTTGTTGTGATAGTATTCCTGCCAAGCTTGCTCTAGATGGCAGTTGTTATCGCTCGGTGAGACGTATGTTGCGGTGAGAGTGGCGATCACAACGGGTAGAAGAGTCAGCGATTGATCAGCGATGAAATGTATGATTGGGTTGATTAATGAGATGAAAAATGATGATCGCGAGCTTCCTGACATTGGGATAATGCCGCTAACCGCAGTGACAGAGGTAGTATGGCTACCATTCTCGTCCGATGTAGTCGAACTTGTGATTTGATTCTTCGGGGAGTTATTTTGATTCCGCTGATATCGAGATGCGAGTATGTTTGCCATCAGTGCGGACAGGAATGGAAGTAATGGGTAGAGCGTGGATATTGCTCCTAATGAGGTTGGGAAAGGGAGGAATAGCGAATTGATGCGTGACCAGGCGATTCTTTATCTCATTAGAGGTTCTTTCACTTCAACTTGAGAGAGTTGGCTTACCCTCCGAGAGTGATGGAAATCACAGTGCTCTAATGATAACAGTAACTGTTTAGCAGATAAGTCAACAACCGAAGCAGGAGATACTTACTAAGAGAAACAATGTAACCACCACACCGGTGTTGATGGCAGAATAAGTAGCGGGCATGGCGCTTTGATGATTCTTTTCCCCAAGTAGATTGATTCTTGATGTTAGCAAGCATTTGTAATGTTTTAAGAATGAAGAGATGGGAAACTTGTCGATAATCTGGGGAAGCTTTATATCAAAGAACCCTAGGTGGGGCACACAGAGCATACATGCTAGAGCTTCGTGATTGGTATATATCAGCCAGGGTCTGTTTAGGTGAGATCGTGCCAGTTTATAGGCAAATGAATTGAGAATAATTGAAGAGTTAGTAGCATGAAAATACCATACAAAACGATTTGACTGGATATATCTCGGGATTATTTTCAATTCATTCAACTAATCGGAGTATCCCAGAGCACTTTTGAATCTTGAGGAACAACAAGATACATTCATAGCTGTTGTTAAGTTACACGATAGTCTTCATATCTAGTTGTTTGTCTTTCCAGTTGGGATCTCGAAGAACACAGCTGGCTTGCCATCAGCAGCAAAAGGACGATCACAACGATAGAAGGTCTTGCGCTCGAACTGAATGATATCGCCCTCCTTGATGTCTGCAACGTTTCCATCGGCAAAAGCTTGCTCTCTCCATTCGGTCTTGGGGTTCAGGAAGTCTTCGAAATTATCCTCTTCTTGAAGGGAGTCCTTTGTCAAAAGGTGGTCGAAGTGGACAAGCTCAACTGGGATGAGCGAGAGACCTGCGCTAGACAGCCAGGTGACCTTCTTGTCGGTCTTCTTGACATCTCCTTCGAGGTGCAGCTCCAATTCGAGGTTGGTCACGAGATCGCCCGACTTTTCAATCTTCCGGACTATGGCATTACCCCATTTCATAAGGGTGATTTCTTCATCCTGTTTGAATAGTTTGGCGTCCTCCTGCTCCAGGATGATATTTTCACTGAAAGCCACCTTCTTCATGCCAACCTCGGGGTTCTTGTCATGCTTAGGCTTATCGACAATCGATGGAGCAGTGGCTAGCGGAACAGAGTCTCCCTTAACATAAGCTGTAACCACACCTTCTTTCAAGATAGCAGTGTGGCGTGGCGAGATAGGGTCAATGTACCTCCTGTTCGTAGCCTAGATAATTGTTAGTCCTGGTGCAAGGAGAACGCTGCGAATTGAACATACCCAGAAAATAGTCCAGTCCAAGTTAACGATGTTGCGACTTGGGCCTTGCTTGAGGATGAATTCTCTCAGTGCAGGGATTGTCATGCCTCTCCGACGAATACCCCTGATGGTTGGGAAACGGGGACTATGACCCTAAGTTAGCGAGGTCGGTCATAATATATATTTTATGCAATAAACGTACTCATCCCAGCCCCAAACAGCGCCACTATCAACCAACTTAGTCAATTTACGCTTGGAAAGCAAAGTCCGCACAAAGTTCATGCGAGCAAAGTCCCAGATCTGAACCGGGCGGAGTTTTAGCGCGTTAAGCATCCACTCGTATTGTGGATTTCGGTCTCTGTACTCGATGGTTCTCAACGCATGGGTCACGCCTTCGACAGAATCAAGGATAGGGCAGGTAAAATCATATGTAGGGTAAACCTTCCAGGTCGATCCAGTACGAGGATGAGGTGTCAGCTGGCATCTGTAGATGACCGGGTCTCTCATAGCCTTGTTCTTGTTGTCGAAAGAAATCTTAGCTCGGATACACCATTTCTGGCCCTCTTCAGAACCAGTCTTCATCTCCTCAAAGCGAGCCAAGTTTTCCTCGACGGAAGCATCACGACGCTTGCTGGGAATTCCGTTCATTCGCTCGTGTGCCATGGTCTCCTTGTCGGTGTCATCTGCATATGCATGTCCTTCCTTGATGAATCGGATACAGTAATCATGCAGCAGTTGGAAGTAATCCGAAGAGTATGAAACTTTATCTGGTTTGATGCCCATCAAAGCACAATCCTCTTTTATTGCATCGGTGAACTCCTCTTTCTCTTTATTAGGATTAGTGTCGTCAAAACGCAGCAAAAGTGTACCCTTGTACTTTTCATGGGCGAAGTAGTCGTTCAGGAGAGCCGCCTTTGCGTGACCAATGTGGAGATATCCGGATGGTTCTGGAGGGAAACGAGTCAAAACACCTTGCTCAGTGTTCTTCAGAGCAATTTCGTAACTGGCACCTGCCTTGGACGCAGCAGCCTTCTTGGCTTTCGCGGCAGCGTTCACGGCATCAACAGCAGCGGCAGTCCAAGGACAAAGCTCCTCCAAGAAACGGAACCAGCGAGTCAAGTTGATCAACGTTCCTTTCTTTACTGCAGTTACAGCAACACGATTTCCGCGGAGTGCACCCCAAATAGCAATGTCGGGAGCGGACAAGGAGTAACCAACGAGGAACGAGCGAAGGGTCAGATAAGAATCCAGAGTCTGAAGTGGTGCTTCAAGAGCTTTGAAGTCTAACGGGACGTATTGGTTGACTCGAGATAACCATTGTTCCTCCTATAATACGTGTAAGAAACAAAGCTTCTCGCAAGGGGATCACTTGGCAAGGACATACCTGAGCTTCGTATCTGCTCTTGAGAAATGGGAATTGAACACGGAGCTCAGCAATTACAGCATTGAGACCTTGAACAGTCTCTCCACTAGCACCAGTGAACTCGATCACATCACCGCCAGGTAGTGTAGGGACATTCTCATAAGTGATTTCAACAACTGGACTGGGTCTTGCCTCATTGACGGATGTTGCGATCAGTGTAGCGGGCAGCAGACCGGCAGGATTCGCCCCGGACGCACAAACCAATTTGCAGGTCGCCATGTTGGGGGTTTGTCTTTTATTCCTACTCAAAGAACAATCGATAATAAAAGTAGATCAGAGAGAGAAAAAGTTGAATCATGGCGGGGTGTGAATCATACAAAAAACAGGTGATCCGATACCCCACAGCGAATCCCAGAAGATCCACTGAAGGGAAGAAATCTCGGTGCAACCTTTTTCCGCTCCTTTCAAAGCTCCGAAAAACATTCGGCAAATCTAGTAGGTCGGTCCAGTCTCTATACATTCGATCCAGTGTCGCGGTGTCAACAGCAAATGGCTTACGCCTTTCGAGCCTTGCCGGTGACGGCCGGCCATATATCAGCATCGTGCCGATCGACTTTGCGACAGAACAGTGCCATTGCCCCTTTCCTCTATCCACTGGGCCAGCAACAAGTCCGCACGGCGACCAGTAATCCCCAAGCCAAGGGAAAGAAAAACAAACAAAAAGAGTCAAAGAAGAAAGTCAAGGGTGCACGGGACTACCAACAGAAAGATTTGAGTCTGATTGATCAATATGCCTTGTGCGATGCGATGAGGTACGTTGTATTTTAGTCACTGAATGGTTGGTGTGCTTATTGGACTATAGATACATCCGCGCTTTCGAAGTCGGTCGCGATCGTGAGCGATCTAAATATGAGATTCATATTCGATTAAAGTCGAGGAAGGACGGTCCTGTCATTCGCAACATGGTCCGATTCCCTCACGCCGTACAGACCGAGTCCAGAATCTGTGTTATAGCGCCTCCAGGATCGAAGCACGCAAAAGACGCCCTTGAGGCCGGTGCTTCGATCGTTGGCGAACAAGAAGTTTTTGAGAATATTAAGAAAGGAATCATTGAATTTGAACGGTGTATATGCCATACAGACAGCCTTGATGCCTTGAATAAAGCTGGTTTGGGTCGAATCCTCGGTCCTCGAGGCCTGATGCCCAGTGTCAAGACCGGCACTGTTGTGGACGATGTCGGTATCAGAGTGCAGATGCTGCGAGGTGGTACCGTTTACCGTGAGCGAGACGCCGTGATCCGCATGCCAATTGGACAGCTGGGCTTTTCGCCGGATCAGCTCCGTGACAATCTGCGAGCCGCTCTGGAGCAGGTTAAGAAGGATACCACTCAATTGAGTGATCGTGTCCCCAAGGAGGTTTATGAAGTGGTACGCACACGACATCAAATCTCCTCTTCTCGTATTATTGTGCTAACGAGATACAGGTATTGAGCTCAACCAATGGTCCTGGCTTCAGTCTCAACGGAGACTTTAGATCCGACAGCTCCCCCGAACCGGCATATTTGACTGGATTGTAAATTATCTTTTCTTCATACATGTATTGTTAATTAGAAATATTTCATTCATGGCGTTCCATGGTATCTATCAAAGCTCCTAGGCTATTTCCGGTTCAATCACCGACTCCACGCTATGCAATATACTATTCGGTCAAAAGTCGTAAAACTAGTCTCCTGCAAACTGTTATATGGAAAGCTGTTTGAGAGCAGAAACCGCGTTGGATTCGGCCTTCAATGAGTCATAAAATCGTAAAACTTTGACCGTACGAGCTTCGTCTTTGTTTCCACCTTTCCGAGACTGCTTGAGTGCCGTGTCCAGGTCGAGAAGTAACGTGGACCGAATCTTCTCAAGACGGGGTTGTTGGCCAATTAGAAAAGGGTGATCTGAGCCTATTCGTTCAGCTTCGGAAATGATATATAGATATTTTTGTAGGTGACCCTCCAGTTTTTTTATTGATATTATGGTGGATTCGTCCTCTTCATCTTCAGAATCGCTCTCGCTTTCAGTGTTGTCGGAAATAAAGCCCTCCTGATCGGATTCGATATCTTCAGACGCAGTAGTTAACGCATTCGAATTCTTCGCATTGGCAATCATCAACCGCTGTTCAAGCTCTTCTATTCTTTCCGCAATATCAAGCAGAGACCTTCCAACGTTCGCTTTTATCCTGTACGCTTTCTTGTCTTGTAGAAGGCGTTCCATCTCAGTTTTCCGGGCTGCGACTTTGGCATGGATTGCTGTAACTTCTCGCTGGAAGCCTAGCAGTCCAACACTGATTTCTTCTACTTTCTCTTCCCCTCCTTGAAGAGCGCCGCCTAGAGACAGGAAATCTTGGTAGTTCTCATTGACTACATCAAGCAATTCTTTGTTTAGTCCTTGACTCAATTCTCGGAGTTCCAGGCGCAAGTCTTCAAGGGTCTGATGTCGATTGGTCAGAGTCGAGAGGAATTGGGCTGGATCAAATTCTGGAGCGAGAAACGACGATCGCGATAATGGTTTGGGAAATGGAAGGTCTGTGGTGTTTTCGTCAAAGTCGGACCCTGAATCGTCAGAGTCGGGGAACTGTCATACTCAATCAGTCACTATTGATCAGAGGTATAACAGTAGGCGGCACATACATATTTCTTGCTCATCCTGGCGACGCTCGCAAGAAAAGGGCTCTGGTTTTCAGATTTATCTGCTTCTCGAACGCGGGATGGTGTCGCAATTGTGGTTGGCTGGTGGTTTGGCTGGGGATGGTTAGCTCCGCGGAATGAGCAGTCAGTCGGAGGAAGTTGACCCCTCCTTGGCAATATCCAACATGCAACACAACACAACACAGCTCAACCTGCCAACTCACTCCCTGCTGCATACCCATTCCTCCTGGGTTTTTCCTATCTTGATTTACTGTTGAGCTACCGAATCGCGTATTTTAGGTCTGTTTCATTATTGTTCCGCTTTTCTGCAGGCTGAATATGCAGCTTGCGTCGACGTCCAATCTAATCCTGATGCCGTCGTCCTAATCCAGATTGTACTGGTGGATTCTTGACTCGATTGTACGTATGTCTCTGCACTTGAACAGCATTCTTTAAATCCATCTGCCGACAACGGTCAGCCACCATCCTTCTGTACTACTGCGGCCAGCAGCCTATTCTTGCGTGTCTCTTCCCTGTCACGCACGACTACGTAGCTTTAGCGTTGGGGATTACCTAGGTGGGCTGTGGCGGTCGATTAAGTTGTTCTAAGTGTATGTGTTCACATGGGTGTCCTGCAGCAGAACGTGGACAAAATGGAAGCCAGATCTACAATGATCTCGACCGACCGGAATGACGGATCTCGTCTGTCATCTTCCTTACCACAACCAGTTTTGTCTCGGGGAATTCCTCCGTCTTTCTTATCACCAAATGCTTCCTCTTCTTCCTCTCAATCCCGCCAAAGTCCGTCAATACTAGACGAATCGACATTGGCACGGAGAATTGCCACTCAGCGGCAGTTATACGGGAGTTCGAAGCCTTTACTACGGCGACTTAGAGAAAGCCAAGATAACAGACATAAAAGTGGACGTTCATCTAATTTAGCTTCGCAGCCAGTACTCGTCAGGGCATATACTCCTGAGACCAACAATGCTCGGTCGTCTACAAAGATGTCTTCAAACCCCACAGCACAGCAAATAGATCTACCCCCAGTTGAAGAATTTGGCATTGATGCAATTCTTCGCGCAATTGAACCGGATATCCGGAGCACATTAGACTCCATCGCGGAAATATGCGGCAGGAGCAAACTGAGTCTCGCAAATGAATATGGAAGCCATATTGCTCCATTTGGCGAGGTTAACGCTCCTCCGGGCAATCTTCTAGCTATCCAAGAGACCGCTGCAGATAATGCCGAAAGTTCAACAGACGTCGATGGCCATATTGTGATTGTTGACGATGACAATCATCTATATGATTCACCCTTAGGTCTACTAGACGATCTCCGGCAGACGGCATTGGCGACTGGGTACCAACAGACTTCACGGGCAGTCCATGAAGGTGACGTGAGTGACCCTCGTACTGGAGCTGCGAGACACGGAAAGAATCCCGAGCACAGGACGCAAGCTTCGGCATTCCCAGCAACAAGGATGAACGAATTCGCTGTCACATCAAAATCAGCTAGTACGGCCCTCTTAGGGTACACCGCGTCGAAAACCAAGGCTACCAAATCATCAACCACAACTTCTCCAGCTTTACTCTCCGAGATTCGCCTATATGCTCAAGGGAATAGGTCCTCCTGGCCATCGGTGCCTCCAGATACACCAAAGGGCTCTCCTGTACTGCACGCATCATCATTCACTGGCAACGCTAGTCGTACTCAAAACACCGTGGCTGACAGAATTTCTTTCTTGGCTGAAGTACAAGATTGGCTGAATTGGTTGAAGAGTGTTGTTCAGCGAGAGACTGCAAATCAGGTGGCCTGTTCTCACTCATATTCCGCAGAGAATTCTCTGAGGGCATTACTTGTTAGGGATCAGGACCATGGCGTTCCCGTTCCCACGGCATAAAGGGAATTTGGTTGACAATCTTAGCATTAAGATTTGGGTTTATCTTCACGATGTACTGAAATCATGATTCATAATAGCGATTGGAGTTATTATACGTTTTTGATGTTTATAAGGGTATAATTGAAGCTTCAATGAAGCGCACTTTCTATGACTTTTGGTATAATACATATATCAACGCATCTAACATAGAAATTACCACCAAACCCACTCGAAAGACCATATCTCTCTAATTCAATTCGCCTTCAATCTTACTCAGAAGTTGCTTAGTGAACTCTTCAAAGATGGGATGTGACCAGCAATCCTTGTACTTATCCACAAGTAACCTATCATCATCCTCAAAAGGATTCTGTTGCACATCCTCCGCAGCATCAGCCTCTTCATCGTCGACATCACTATCGATACCATCATCCCCAATCTTCTGGCTCTCAACAAGCTGGCCAAATTTAACATCAACCGGAACCCGTCCCAAAAACGGAATCGACATCTCCGCAGCCATAACCTCCCCTCCACCACGAGAAAAAAGGTTACTAACTTCTCCACAGCATGGACATGTATAACCTGACATATTCTCTATTACTCCCAAAGTGGGGATTTGCGTCTTTACGCAGAAGTTGATTTCTTTGCGTACGTCGGATATTGCGACGGCTTGAGGGGTTGTTACGAGGACTGCACCGGCGAGGAAAGGGATCCCTGATGCGGTAGCTGCTGTGCGCGATGTGGATGACATGGTTAATAGACTTTCGCCAATAGCGATGTGTTCGTCGCTCGTGCCCTATCCATGATCAGTATATATATCCATGGGCAATACGAACTTTTGGAAAGTCACAGCACAAACCGGAGGTGTATCAACAAGTAAATAATCCGTGTCCCCCCAATAAACATCCGTCAAGAATTGGCGTACCATAGCGGTTTTCTTTGGTCCTCGCCAAATTACTGCATCCCCGCGATCTCGGAGCAGGAAACCAACAGACATACATCGCAACGATCCGCGTGTAGTGGTGACTTCGTTCGCATTCCCATTCTCCTGAGTTATCTCGGAAGGGTATACCTCAACCGGTATCCATCCTCGAGGCGATTGTGTAATTTTTGCATCTTCTTTGCCAACAAGACGAGGGATAGAGGGGCCCGTAAGATCAATGTCAAGGATGCCGACTGATTTGCCTTGGAGGGTGAGGGCGAGTGCTAGTTGTAGTGTCACTGAGGACTTTCCAACTCCTCCTTTGCCGGATAGCACCTATAAAATATAACATCAGTGAATACGTCGTAAATTAAATCTCTTCACCCAGGCATGGTGTTTTGTTGAATTGTCTTGCTCTGTTATCGATAAGCAAGCGGGGAAGGGGATCGCGACTCACCAGCACGATATTTTTCACGCCGTCGAGGGGCATTGCATGTGAATATCGTATAAGCTTCTTTTTGTCGTCTTGAATACGATAATAAAACGATGTAATGCTTTTTCAATGTCAAGAAATAAGGAGATCTTGTATAAGGACTGAAGTTACTAGAGGGAGAAAAGCTCTGCGTCATCGGAGGGATGATTGATAAGCACAAAATTCCCGCAATTTTACTGGTCGTATCCCCTCCGATTTGATTACTGATATTCCAGACTTGTAAAGCGACAGACTACGTACTTTGTTTGCGCTTATAGTTCCTACGTTGTTTTGGGCTGTTTAAGTAAAAAAGAGTTCAGGACACAGAAAAATTGAGGTGTGAAGGTATATTCGTCTAGTTATATGATAACCGTCTGAGGTTCCAGCTAGCGTAACTGCATTAAGGACATGGGTCGAACTTGCAAACTCTATGGCAGCACTTTTTGAGGTCTAGGAAGCGAATGTAAGCTGGCAGTCATGTATAGACCATTATTGCCACTTCTGGACAACGACACCACCTCGCTTAAAATCTGGCAATTCACCCAAAACAGCAGCCTTATCCGTCAGCTCCTTGCTAGGAAACGTAGTCATCAATATCCAGGGACGAGACTGGCTTGCTGGACTAGCAGCTGCCACAAATGAATAAACATCGCCAATAGTATGGGTTGTGTTGAAACGAGACGTGAGGCGTGTTCCGTCGCCGAGACGAATTTGCAACGTTACCACAGGTTGCGACTCGTCTATATCGGGCTTTGCTGCTTCCGATGGGCTAGGCGCAACAGCTGCAGGCTCAGGTTGAGATGTGCGAATAGCAGGGGTAGGGCTTCCCAGTCGCTGTCCTGAGCCGGAGAAGGGTTTGTATTTTGGCTTAGGTCGAACATATTTCTCGTCGTGTTGCTTAATTTCCACGTCAACTTCCTGACCCGGCGCCACGTTCATAATTGACAAAGGGGCTCGTCCTCGCCTAATACCCTCAAGGATGCTTGCGTTCTGAGGATCGTCGGATCGATAGAGGTCTCCATCATCGACAGAGAAACCGTCAGCCCAGAAGTGTAACGTGCGATGTACTCGAGGAGGTGGGGTGGGACGATTTTCATTCGGATCTTGGATGACCTGGCTTGGGGTATCATCTCCGCCAAGGGTGCGAGCGGTTCCAGTGAAATGAGACTTGTGAGTCTCGGAGTCATCTGGCCTGGGAGGCTTAGCCCTAGTAAACGCGTTAGTTGAATGGTCCTTCGTTCTAGTACAGTAGCGCCTTACCGCATAGCTTTTTCTAGAATCTTTTGCTTAATATCATCCGGGTTCTGTACGGCAAGACCTGACTTCTCGCCACCAGCGAAAAAGTCTTGATTATCATCGTCTTCATTTCCTGAGTCTCGGCCACCAGAAGCTAGGTCTCCCAGGGTCGCAAATTTCTTGGCTGGGCCACGTTGCGAACTGGATGATTTGGAATTATAGGCCGATGATGAACGTGAAGTAGCTTCAGCCTCTTCACTCGAGTCATCAGTCCCTAGTCTCCGACCACCCCTAGGCTCTGTATCTTGTAAGAGTTCTTCTTCCTCTTGATCTGCGAAGAATTCGGTAACGGCCGCGTCGAGATCCCACTGATGGGTCTCGAGGAATGGGCGAGCCTGAAAGTATTGTAAGTTAGCATTAGACTCGAAAAACCGCTTGGTTGGTATCAAACTGCCTACTTACCTCGGATGGGGTGGCACCTGTCATGGAACAAAATTGTGACAAAAGCTCATCTTGGTTGAGGTTGGAAGCCATTTTGGCGTGGCGTTGATGAGGGACCAACGTCAAAGTAGATGAATTCGTTGGTCTAATTAAACAGGCAGTCTTCGTTCGGGAAGGAAGTTATTGAATGGAGAGTTTCCTCGTTTGTGAAAGTGCCAACAATCGCAAATAATTATTTTGATGGGGAGTGGAAAGAAGGGAAGAAAGAAAGAAAAGCTGAATGTTGACACTTTGATGCTGGAGAGCTGCCGTACGTCACGGTTGCCTGATTGGTCATCGAAGAACCTTCGGCCGCCGCTCCAGAGCAAGACTCCGTCGACTTTCGCGATCTATTAGCATTTGTCCCAATAGTTCCTTCTATTATCTAGGTGGCATCCCTCCAAGGTTTATTTTTCCTTATTATCCTAGCCCCAGATCTCTTGCCGTTTCGGTTCTCAGGAACACCTTTGTGAGGACCAGATATCCATTATATAAGCGGCTATTCCCCACCAAGTCTACAGGAGCTTGACGTCGAACTACAATCACAAAACAAACCCTCGACAGTCCACAACCGCCGGCCGGAAGACTCCTATAAGTGCCTGAACAAAGCCCCTTTGTCATTATATTCGACAAACTCAACACATTATGGCTGAAGATCGAACGAGCGAGCGGATCGAATTATACGATTCGGGTATCACTGTTCCTTCCGACTCGGAAAACTACTCAGCCAACAATGAGCTCTCTTCCTCCCCTCCATCCACATCAAGCTCGCCCGTGATATTATATAAACCCCCGACATTCTGGAGCATTTTGCGGGGAACAGCAATCAACGTTCTACTTCCGTTTGTGAATGGGTTGATGCTTGGTCTTGGAGAGTTACTCGCACATGAAGCTGCCTTCCGTCTAGGCTGGACCAACACAAAAGTGTGTATTCGAACAACAAGAGATATGTTACAGAATCTAACATATTTTTACAGATTCTCCCAACCTACAGACGTACGACACCTATTGGGCCCGGAATCGAATTGAGGGAAATTCGCGACCGACGGACGGACCCCCATGCCAACCTTAGGGATGCAACATCCCTTGAATAGATCGATGCCTTGACAGACCGGATATCCATCAAATAGGATGCTTTAAACAGCAGGAGGTCTCTTTTTCACATATCTTTTGTATTGACTCGATGATTCCAGGGACATGTACATAGAAAGGGGCACACTTTGGTTGGCGTTTCCGGCATTTGTATTCAGAACGCAGGCATTGATACGTTAATACTGTTACTAACAAAATATCTAAAACACCGACTCACAATTATACCTTTTCTCCAAAGGATAAATGCACTGAATCGTAGCAACTTCATCTTGCCTGGATATTATCGTCTGACCGCCTGGCAGAACCGGCCTTGGCATTTTATTGCGGAGCAAAAATATTGATTTGTCGTCCGCAGCACACCTGCCGATGCCGAATCTCGAGATTCATTCTTCAGCAAACGTCTTGCTTTTTCCCTCAATTATAACCGCCAATATGATTGGCAGTCGCAGTTTATCAAGGGCTACTGTGGGAGGCACTACCAGAAATATTTCTTTAATAAAACCCGCCTCTCCGGCTCGATCCGTATGTTTCGTTGGAAAATCGCATAACCGGGTCTAGAGAGTTGAAGAATACTGACTTTTTTTGCGGTAGCTGTCATCCATTGCCTCTCGCCCTGTCTTATCTAGCAGCCGAAATGATCGTTTACGACTGAAAGCTAGCTCATACTTGCCTTCGGCGTCAGTCTCAGGCCTTTCGTTTGCTCGATTCAATTCAACATCTACGCTCGGCGAAGAAACTTCACAAGCGGCGGAAAATGTCACATCATTGGGAGAATCGCAGCTCCCTGCTATCGATGGCATCCCCGAAAAAATTGGATATTTAAAGGAACTTGGACTCGACTATGGCTGGGGACCGTCAGCTTTCATGGAATGGTTAATTGAACACATTCATATCTGGAGTGGGATACCTTGGTGGGCCAGTATTGCCGCAGCTGCCTTGGTCACGCGTATAGCTCTTTTCCACCCTTCGCTCAAGGCGGCTGATAACGCAGCCAAAACTGGTCCCATCAAGGACGAAGCAATGGAACTCAGGAAGCAAAGAATGCAAATGCTTTCACAGGGAAGACAATTGGAAGCTGCCAAAGCGAAGTTGGCAATGGACGAACTCTACCAGAAGCACGATATCAAGTTGTGGAGAAACTTCGTACCGCTCCTCCAAATTCCTCTTGGTTTTGGAACTTTCCGAGTTGTGCGTGGAATGGCTACGCTCCCTGTTCCAGCTCTGGCGATGGAACACTGTGGCTGGGTTCATGATCTCACAAGCTACGATCCCCTCTACATACTCCCTGCGTTAGCGACGGGTGCTATGTATTTCACTATGAAGGTGAGTTGCCTCTTCCTTGCTAACACGTCTCGTTGCTCGCCAGTCTAACATGTCGTTTTCTGCGTGAATAGAAAGGAGTAGACTCTGGTTTAAGTGGGACGGGATCCACTGCTCTAGGTAGAGGCCTCACAATTGGTCTACCAGCCATATCTCTTTTGTTCATTGCGTGGCAGCCGGCCGGCTTGCAATTGTATTTCGCGGCTAGCGGTCTCTTTTCGCTAGGCCAGGCATATCTCTTTAACACTCCCATTACACGCAAACTTCTGGGAATCGCGCCAATCTACAAACCACCCGCCAATGGAGAGAAACAAGACAGCCTTCGAATGATCCAACAAGAATTCTTGTCTCAAATGCAAAAAAGAGTCGACGAACAAAGAGGTGAGGTATCAGGAGCTTCCACAAAATCCGGTAATATCAGCCTTGTCGACAAAATGGTCAACAACGCCAAGAAGGAGTTCTCCACAATGAAGAAGGAAATGAGCGACAAAGTCAACAGCTACTCACAACCGGATGAGAAGAACTACGACGGAACCCCGGCAGCTCCTCCACGTTTGTCTGCGGCGGAGAAGCGAAGTGCCGAATCTTATAAAGCGCAGAGAGAGATTGAAGATGCCCATGAAATGGCTGAACGCAATCGGAGACGTGTCCAGGAATACGAAGCTTTTATCGCTCAGCAGCAGGCGAATGCTGCTCAATCATGGCGACAAAAGGGAAAGGAGGTGGCAACGTCGAAAAAGCCAGTCAAGAAGTCGAAAGCTAGGAAATAGTTGCCTTTCCCTTTCCTTTCTCGTCCCCTCATAAGCATGCATCTGTTCATTTAGGACTGTGTTATTATTTCCTTTCTAGTTTTACTACATCTCCCGAAAGAGGTCATCTGATATCATTTGGTGTTGCTGGCTGTTTCTTTTACTGTCTACTTTTCACCTGTAACCTATGTATAGCTCTTTTCTTCAGTCCTGCTCCGGGATGTATTAACAATTTGTTCATTATCACTCATTTGAGGAAAAACCTTATGAAGGAGATAGATAGAGAAATATAATGAAACATATTCAATAAAGTTCATCCTACCAAATAAATAGATACGCATACCACCTATCCAAAACATCAGAAGTATTTACAACAATCTTTCCCCAGCCCGGTGTCGTTGATACATACAAGGTATTAACAAGATCCTAATCCAATTTCGTAGCCTAAACTTTGAATACTCTCACCGTTCCTAAAAGAGCGAACCATAAATCATGAACTGTGTAAAGTACCACTCACTATGTACGAGTAACTACGTGTTCATGGGGACATTGCCGCCCAGGACGTAGCGATCGAATTCGACCTATTGAACGAATATGTGATTAGCAATCTAAAGTGAGGATGATTAGTGTAAAGCGACTTACCCAATCGATAGCTCCAGGGGAAGCAACCATTTCTGAGAATGGTAATGTGAGGTTGTATGGATCTGTTTCAATGGGTACAAATTGCTCGGGTGAGATTTCGAGGGATTCCACGGATGGCATGGATGCTTTTGATTTTGAGATGTTAGTTTTATGACAAGTGACAGATGGATATAGACGCGAGGTATCTTACAAACTGTAGTCTCTGAGCTCTGAACGGTGCTCTCTGCACTTCTAATCTTTTTCAGAAGAACGGCCACAGCCTCGCTTGCACGGAAAGCGTCAATGGAAGTATCCTTCGATGCGCGCCAGACATGGTACGAAGTTTCCAATGCGGCCATCATTTCCTCACGCCGATCATGACCCCACAAGATAATATCGCTAGAGGAAGGGTGTGTGGTCTCATCGACACCCTGTTTCAAGTCTAGACATATCAACATAGCTGCGAGGAGGTAATCATGGCGGATAACAGAGGTTGATAGCCATTTGTGACCTGCTAAGCGGCCGGTTGGACCACTTTCATAGTGGCATATGGCTTGGTAATTAAGCAACGTTAAGGCGGCGTCGATAGCGACCTTCCGCGAATGGCTATATTGCGGGTTGGAACGAGCAAGTGGCATAAGTCGCCGATGAAGCACGCACAGGCCACTGTGCAATGTCTGGTCAATTGATATGCGCCGCATTATCATGGCCGGGTGGTCCAGTAAAGACTCCTGCATGGACTTAACCTTGAACATGGCAGGCAGCGCATCTCTCTCGGCGTAAAGCTCTCGCTCAAGGATTGGAACGTCGGAGTCTTTTGGATGGATGTCCTGTATATGCGAGGCAATCTTTGTGAATACTCGAAGGAGTCCCGCCTTGACCAGGAATGGAGATATTTTGGTCATCTCGTTCCATGGTCGGGGCGCAGGGAGAGCAGTGCAATCTTCGTCGAAATCGTCTTCGTGAAGGTTTCTAGGAAGCATCGTATCGCATTGACCTTGAGGGATCATACTTGGCAGTCCTACCTGCCATGATAGGAGTACATCCGTCTGTGAGATGGCCAGCCAAAGACGTCGACGCATCTCGCATTCAAAAGGCGAAAGATCGCCGTAAGAAGAAGGTTCACGGTGGAGGCCGAGTTTCAGTGCCATGCGAACTGCAGTAGCAACATTGATCCAGACGGCTATGCTTGTGTCTTGGCACTGAATGAATTCGGCATCTAGGTGCATTGCTAGCAATGTAAGTCTCTCTAGGGTTGGTTTAGCATGTAACTCCGTCATTAATATCTGCTTGGTACGCATTCGAAACAGTGTTTGAGCTTCATCCATATCTCCAAGGGTAGCTGAGAGATCAAGGCCGGCTTGTCGAGCCGTGTGGATTGCAGTTCTCATGATGACGAATAAGGTACCCAACCACGACTTTGAAACGCTGTACTGATCTTGCCAGAATTTCTCATACTGACGAAGGAATTTCTTCGGATGAAGGATAGCTACGATAGTGTTAGCTATAGTCATGTAGGCTAAAATGGAAATACGTACGTCTAATGAGACTCGATGCACCAAAATAGTTTGCAACAAGCAAATCCATTACTGGACGTGGCGGCAGATCGTGAGCAAATGTGTCAATATCCCATTTACCGGGGCTGCCTTCGAGCACATAAGGCTCCGCTGAAGGATTTCTCGCATCCTCGACTTTGTCAAGTTGTTTTTCGAACTCCGATTCGTGTTCTTCAAAGTATAACTTGATTTCGCCAATCTAGTCTCTGTTAGCCTTCGGTTCTCGGATACTTAATGAACAGCAATCTCACATCTTGAAGGACAGTTTCCCATAGAGAAGACGACGAGCTGCTAGCAGCTAAATTTGGTACCCGACGCACAGGAGGAACTTCACCTTGAGCAGGGGAACTGTCGGTCTCATGGCCAGTCTCTGATGCATGATGAGGCAGGTGATGATGTGCATGGCTTTCATAATCTCTAGTCGTCGATGGACCTTCTGACAGACCTTCGTGATTCAATGAACCTCTATCCAGAAGTTCCATGACCAGCGACTCGAGTCGCTCAATGCGCTTCTTTGTCTTTTTAGACTCCCGCGTCTGGTCGCGGGCTGTTGATCCATTAGTGGGATACACACAGGTATCTGCTTCGCGGCGTTTAATACAATTGTCACAGGGCCTAGCCCTATCGCATTTGAGTCTGCAAGGTTTAGTACAGCTTCGGTGCAGGGCAGCTTTGAGTGTGGCGATCAGTCTGTGGCCAAAGGTAAACCTACTTTCTGCGCTTGCATGGTGTACATGACAGCTGTGGGCGTCCCCTGATAGGTGCGTTGGATGGACGCACTCCGCTTCTGCTGGCCTCGGCTGTTGTCTGGAACTCCATCGTCCAACACGCGTTGTTTACATGAACAAATTATCAATAACCAGCTGTTTCTTGTTGATATCAGATTGATGCATCGGATGTTCTTGGTTGAGCTGGTGCAATTCAAGCAGGAGGAGGAATGCGACAGCTCGATCTGGTGGGGCACGGCCCTTTAAGGGTCTTCGTATTGATTCTGTATTGCTAGCTTCTGGCGTACAATTGTCACCTCAAACCTGTGTATTGGGCTAAACAAAACTTACTGCGTTACAGAACTAGTCGTGCAGATCCTAGTATATGATTTGTCATTACTGTATCGGGAGAGCCAACCGAATGCCGCTAAATCTTATCTCCGTCGTAACTCCATTAGCATAGATCACTTATAATAACAGTCAGCTCTTCTACGGCTTTATCGCAGACACAGAATAAACATTGTGAACTATCATGGAGTCAATGAAGTGTTGCTATGTGACAGACATAACCTTGCAAATGCTCATTCAGTATTCATTTGTCCACAATATGCAGTATCGAAGCTATCCGACTGCATACCTAAGAGGACGGGCATGACTGTCTGAAAACTGACTTACGAGTATGAATACTCAGAAAGAACTTCTGGAAAATGAAGATCAAGAAAGATTCCAAGGTCCGTTTCTATCGTTCGAGCTCCACGACATGTCTACCTCAGGCGATTCGTTCTTGCCATATGCTTCGATCTGGGACTGTGGCTGGACCCTAGACTCTGTTTCGACTTCAAGTCTGAAGACATTCCAAGTCACTGAAGCGGCATAACTATGAGTTCATTACTGTAGACCATATGTGTACCATGACTTTGACAGGAAAGTCTTGTATGACTAAAAGTCCATTGACTCTTCTACAGTGCACATATCCAGAATGGTGACAATGCCCATTGCCTAGTCTTATGGCACACTCTTTTACTCTTGGACATTTGTTTCACTACACACTAACCTATTGAGGTATGAATTTATAGCTAGACAGGGCACAGAGACTCTTCCACCCAGCAGAGAAATTAATATGTTAATTCTTGGACATGTGGTCATCTTAACTATGTATCTCATCTGAAAGATGCCACAGACTCGCAATCAGTCACTGTCTAAAACTGAGGTACTCACAGCAAGCACATAACCGCTTCTTTTGCATTTGACTCATGAAAAAAATGTTTCAATTTACCTCAGAGACAAGCACATACTTCGATGAAGCATGGATAGACACTCCAGACGGAGCAACCACAGAATGGGCTCTTGACAGTAAGATCTACAGAAAAATACGACTGCTTGAGCGCGATGGAAAAGAAGCACGAGCGATTTTCCAATGCAGCAATGCAGAAAGCATGAAATCTGTCATCAAAGTCCGAATGCTGTAAGTCCCAACTATCTTCTGCTGTACTGTAGGTCGATATACTAACAAGAAAACCACTTGAGCAGTGTTGATACACCTGGTGGGCACACATTCCTAGTTTCAGGGCCTGTATCCACGGAGATTGATGCACTTCACACGCTTAGTCAACGCAATTGCGGCTTCACACCTCCCTTTGTGGGCTCCATTGAATGCTCCCAAAGTGAACAATATCCAAGACCTGGAATACCTACCAGCTTCATTGCAATGGAGGAACTTCCAGGAAAGGTGTATGACATTACGGAGTTCTGTCAATTTACAAATCTGTGGCAGAGACAGCAGAGACGTATGGCATTCAAAACGGCGTATCTGTATGTTGATTCTTCCCAAAACGCTTCTGGTCGATTTTTTCACCTGTCAAGTGAGTGTTTCAAACCCGGGTACATAAACCTCGACGGTGGATTACGCAATCTGATCTTTAATGACGATGAAAACAAATGGTTATTTACATGCGCCCTTTTAGCTTCACGACGTATGTCTGGGAGGTCTCTATAACTTTCTTCACGATAGTTACATCATCGACTGGAAACTGCTGTTCCTGTCCTTCCTAGTCTTGTTCAATGGCGTGATACTATGTACGGAATGTCAGAATTGGCTCAGGACAGTCGAACAAACCTTCAAATCGCAGATCCTTGATCTTGTAGTCATCTACTATCTTGGTGAAAAGTCAGGCCTTTCTTCCAGGACTGCAACTAGAGACAAATTATACAAATCAATTTCCATTGTGCAGTCTGCTCTACTATAAGGGAATTCTATTTCTTGCCAAAATCTGATCAAGGAGCTCTATTTCGCATGACATAGGTCAAATATAGTAGTATCACTATCTAATCTGCTGGAGCACTTTGTACCGGTTTACCCAGAATATTTAGTCCAACCTTTTCTGTCTCGCGAGCGCAGTGAGAGCAGACAATTTGTGGAATAAAATGACTAAACTCTTCTACTAGTGCTCCTAACATCCCCTTATTGATGTATCCGTCCCAGCATAGCTTATGGTATTCATCCATTCTAGTTTTAACGGGCTTTTCATCTTGGTCGTCGTTGGCTCGTTGCCAGGTACCTCAGATCGCGGCTCTGGAGGGTGTGCAGGAGGTCAGGCAAGCCGATTTCATTGCTCCTCGTCTCCAGAACCAGCAATCGTAGCAGGTCAGGTAGACAGCTGAGACTGGGAGTATCTGGGACTATCACCAGGTTCCCATTGTCGAATTGCTCTTCAACGGCATGATGCATCATGGATCCGTTCAACGCCGGATTAAGCTGTGAGGGGTTGATGTTCCCCAAACAAATATCCATTGAAAATTGGCCATGCATGGATAGGAGTATGCGGGAGGCCTTCATATCCCTAAATGTGCACTGCTCGTGCATATATGGATGCTAACAGGTTCTTGGCATCATCCTCAGATCCATATAAGGACTTCAAAGCCAACTTTTTTTGGGCTTGAAGTCCTTCCAAGTAGGGCCCGCTCGTGTTTGGTAGAGTTGTTTGGCAGCATGGGACCAGAAAGCGTTATCGAATGAGCCATGGAGTCTACGTATCTTCTTGACTGCTTGGTCGTGTCATGATCGATCAAATGTCGGGGGAAAGGGAGCGTTTTTTTCTTCTCGGCGGTAGTGATCTGTTCGAAATAATACGTCAGCTCTAGACCCTCAAACAGCCCAGCTATTACTTACCAGAAAGCCCCATGAAGGGGTTCCCCTTTTGGGTAGAATGGTATAAATTTTGTTCCAACATTCTCCACTTCGCTAATTCTGTGGTATCAATTTATCGTGAGTTGACTTGTTTCAACAAGTAGTTTCAGAACGTAATTGTTGTGATGAGAAGGAAAGGTGGGTGGGAGGAGAGGGTAAGAGCTGGCGAGCGTATTAGGCAGTTGTGCTGGAGCCCACTAGCCTGTTCGAGTAGCACCTGCCTTTGTATACATTTCGCAAATTTGCCCTAGCCCTAGCCCTAAATCCCGCCGACTCCTTAGTGAGTTTTGTTTGAATGGTGACATGCTGATATATCATTTGCATAACTACTTAAAATTCTGTCAACTGTTCAGTTGATATCAGGTTATACTGTAAGCATGGGAAGTTCTATCTAATTACACCTAGTACACAAAGTCATCTCATTAAAATTAATATTTGTTTGGCTTCTATCAATAAAAGTGGCATGTGACTGCTATATGTGCGTTTGACTGTGCTACCTAATTCTTTCAGGGAGCCAGGAGCAATATATGATTTGTAGTTGCGCCCAAACAAACCATTTTTGATGCTGAAAAATTCCAAAAATACTACTGTGCACTGCTTGTGAGTCAATGGGGTGCTGAATGTCTTTGTCATTGGCCGTAATAGGTTATTTTGATATCTCATACTAAGAGCCGGATCTATGATACTCACTGTCGATAATATCAAATGAGGAGTGCAAAGATAATGATTAATGATACTTGGGCGCTGTCTCATTTCATCAACTGATATCCAAGATTTCATCCTGTCTACGTCCATGCTTGCTCTAGAGTAAGCATTTGTCTTCTTCATTTACCATCTCTATCTAATCCGTAAAATCACCAAATTATATCAAACCTCAACCATGCCGGTCCAACCACTGACGGTCCAAGACGGCGTGGCAAATGCTATCAGACGCGTCGGCCAAAAAAGACTCCACATCTTCACTGCGTGTAAACACACTGTCGAAGATAACCATTGCATGTACCCACCCGAGCATACGGAGAGAGCAATTCGACAGAATCCCCGTACGGAGACGATTGTCAGATTCCGTGGACTGTGCAGTACTTGCGAAGAAAGAGCTTTGATTCCAAATGCTATCGTGGAAGAGACGAAGAAGGTGGTCACTAGACACTTGCACGGGATCATAGACTCGAGTGCTGGCCCTTTGACTGAAGGTCCTGTGAAATGGGCAAAGGACAGACTTGTTGTAGAGTTCAAATACAAAAAGACGAAGCAGATTGAGACCGATGCTGATGAATGGGATGTGTGTCCAGTGGTAGTGTGGCCTTCGGTTGAAGATCCCTCCTCAGACTTAGGGGCACGACAATGGGAGGACGTGTACGTGGATATCGGTATCTGCAAGTCAAACCCGACTTTAGTCGTTGCTTCGTTGGATATCAGGTCAAAATTGAACTCGTTCGAGCACAAATGGAATGAGGTTGTCCCTGGATCTCGTGTCGCTCGTAATCGCTCCAGTGATGCCGACATCACGCAGGCCTTTCCGCCGTTTCCTGAATTGTTGCCGCAGGGTGCGAGGGTGCTTGAAGATCATTATCGATATGATGATCCGGATTTGTTTGAAATTCTGCCTTATGCTACACCGGAGGACTTTAACCATGGAATGTAGCTGCCAGGAATTTTCTGACTGGTGCGATTTGTGTAAATACAAGCCATTCTATGTGACTGCTTCTGAGATCTTCGACTCCTCGACTGCAAAAGTGGTCATTCATTAAACGGGTTTTATGTAAGAGGTGGTATCGAATCCACATCACATCTTCGAATTCCCACGATTTTCATGATGTAACTAGAGTAGATCAATTACAAATTTGAGACCATTTCGCAATCATTTTCCTTTCCAGATACCCAGCACCCTGGCTCGTATCATAAATAAATGACTGAAATTCGGTTTTTTATAAGGTGAGGAACACTCAAGGCATGATTCTCACTGATTATAGTTCCATAGATGCCCCATACTCGGGCACTGAGGTGTTTTCGAGGAGATATCTGGTGACAGAAAGGCCTAATTTTGAAGTCCTGACTGTGAAAACAAAGCCTTGACAAGCAGATAGCCCCATTTCAATCATTCAGTTCTTCCATACTGAGAAGTGATGCAAATGAGGTTGGTGAAGGAGTAGTTAAGTTAACTTAACTTAAAAAAGGGGCTGCTTATGTAATGATCACTGGTCTAACTTAACTTAGTTAAGCTAACTGTTTCAGTGAATCTAGTCACGGGATTTGTATGCCCTAGATAGAGCATCTTCGACTTCACTACCTTCTACAAGTATAAATATCTCATGGAGACTTAGTTGTATAAGGAACTTCTCTAGTTATTTGCCTCATATTCTAGGGATTTGAATCTACTCTGAGCCCAGTCTGAGCTTAACTAGAACCAGCTCTGACGGGAGAATTCAAACTCATATAGTCATTGGCCGAAACTAGCACGAAGGTGTTCAGTTGCTATTTTACCAAAAGAAATTTAGACAAAAAGGTGAACTTCCATGTCTAATAACTCTTTGTCTCTCTTCTAGCAATATTCTGAAAGGTTGTGGTCAGGTGAAGAGCGCCGAGACTTCTCACACAACCAGCCTGACGATGTGACCAAAATTCCCCCTCACTGCTTCCTCCCCTCAAGTCCTCTCCATGTCTTCATCTTCTCAGTCATTTCCATACCTAGGAAAATACACTGTTTCATCAACCTGGAGACTCCTGCAAACCACCATATACCTATTGATCATCAATATCATCCTCTCATTTATCCAGGCAGTCATGGCCCGCCGTCCTGCAGCACCACCTTCTTCTCCTATCCACACTACCGTGGACGAGACGATCTTAGCCTACAACAATACCCCAGAGGAGCGAGATATGCATACATTCGAGGATCTTTGCGAATCACGCATTGACATCCTCCATGCCCAGTACAATCTAGTCAAAGACACCCTGCACAAAGCAATGGGCGTCGCAGACATGTGGTGGGCAGCAGAGAAAATCAACGATCTCGAGTTACAGGAAACGCTCGGTTCAAAACTCATTGATGAGATCATTCTTCCTTACTTCACGAAAGTCCGAGCCCTTGTCGATGAACACGAAGATCGTTTCAGTGAAGATGGTGTGCTCCTGGAGTTTTCCGAATACTGCGCGGATGCAGTCTCGCAATGCTTCACACCGATCGAGGGTTATGATTATAAGCAGGTTTTTGTCGAAAAGGGTCTTACTATATGCCTGTCAGAGGTAGCCGAAATCTGTACCGCACTCACCCACTATCGGAAGGAGTGGGGACGAAAGATTTTCCTGGAGAAGGGAGTCCGCAATCGCCGGTGGGAGCGAATCCTTAAGAAGCCTGCAGAGGCTCTTACTGTCACCACTTGGTCTTTATTGTGGGCTAGACAGGAGAAGAAAGAGGATCAAAAACTATGGGTCATCACACCACTAGAAGACATTGAGTGGCACCAGCGAGATGCATTCAACAGGATCAAAAACGAACGACTCGCCGTCCATCAGAGGAAGATGGAACTCGCGGAAGATTACTGGGATTGGAAACTTGATCTTGAGGACAAAGAGAATCTCCTCGACAACGCGGCAGATGATGATGACTGGGCCGCTGTCTTCGATAACTCTTCGGTGAAAAGCTTCGAGTTAGTGATTCGAAATACCAAGTTGCACCTCATGAAAGATTTTAATATCTTCAATTTCCGCTTCCTGGGAACCCTCACCGATAAAATCGCCTTTGAGGAGTATCTGTATTCGAAGAGACCGCTGGACATGAGAAAAACCAGCTGGCCTGGGTTCGTGAGATACAGGTTGAAGAAGTTAGAGGTGGAAAAGGGACGTGATGAAAAGTTGGAATTCGTCCCGGTGAATGATACTGGTGAGTAATTAGACTTTACTCTCACTCTAGCCTCATTTGACTTGAGTAGAATGATTTGTAAGTGAGAAAGCGACTCTCAATATGCTCTTCATCTCCAGATGTCGATTCCAGCAACTGTCGAATGGGCAGTTTGATGAAGCGCCTGATTTTCAATCAAGTATTTGTTGGGTGAGCAATCACCCAAGCAATATTGTTGAAACAAGTTAATAGTCTCGGCAGTTTGACCTCTTTCTGATCGTTTCTAAAATGAATTTGAAGTGTTATTACGCGGCGAAGAGTGGTGCAACTTTATGACGATGTTTGATGATGTGATGATTGTTTTCTCCCAAAAAGGACAAGTTAGTTCAAGTAATGCTCAAAAATAATGCAAAGGGTATCGTCAGTAAAGCTCATATCCACAAATAAGCATTTTCATGGTTATCAGATTCATCGAAACAATCTCCTCCCTCCAGGTCCGGCCTGCCAGGAAAAGGCACCTCTAACTCCCATCATCGGCTGACTCAGACCAGACATACCAGTCCCTCCACCCTCGCCATCACGTTTGTAGCGTCTTAGAGCTTCACGAATGTGATCTGGAAGTAGCTGGCCACGATGTGGGTTTACTGGGGGGATAAAAGTGCGATGTGTCTCCATCTTCATTCCGTTGGCCAGTTGTCCTGCATTCGGAGTCGATGCATAAGGTGTTAAATGAGTCGTGGGAAACCCGGCTGCTGATGGCAGGGCTGGAATATTATTCGGCCCAGGAGGAGATTGGGGTTCGCTTTTCATTGCAGTGGTTGTTTTGTCGCTTTCTTTGGATTCGGCTGATGCTGATCCAGAGTTTGTTTGTGCTTCTTCCCGAGCTTTGGCATCTTCTTTTGCCTTTGCCTCCTCTCTGGCCTTGGCTTCTGCTTCAGCTGCTGCCTTTGCAGCTGCAGCCGTCTCGAGTTCAGCCTGTTCGCGTTCCCAGGTCACGCGAGCAGAGAGATCGAACGCTTCCGCCCATTCTTCCTGCACAGTTCTAGCTTTCTCGATAATCTCGCCGATGAAAACCTTGGTGAAGCCATTCACCACAGTCACAACGCTCTGCGGAACAGACTGTGACAGAGCATGATTGACAATCCGACGAAGAGTCTCTTTTCGTAATCGTGTACGGTTCCATTTCTCATATCGATCTGCTTGAAGCGGTGTGAATGAACCTGTCAGAACACTGTGATCGAACAGTTAGCAGAAGTATATTATCAAATTGTTTGCAAAAACATACGCAAGATTCTTCTTCTCCGTAGCGACATCAAGAAACCCCTCTGTGCCACCAAGCATATCCCCTTCCATATCCTGTTCCTCTTCCTCCTCTGCAGCTTCCTCATTCCCTCCTCCAGCTCCCCCTCTGACTGAACCTCCATCAATGTCCGCCGAACCAACCCTCGTACTCCGTCCATCTGCTGCACCACCTCTTGCTATCGAAGCATCTTCCCTTTCTTTATCAGCTTTCTTCTTGCGACCCCTTTTCTTCGGTCCGTCGAATACACTGCTTGTGCCTCCCAGACTACCCGTGAAACTGCCCGTAACACTCCCGGCATCACTGGGCGCTCGACTGCGTGAGTTATCGTATTCCAGGCCCATGCCCGTTGGGAAAGAGGTTTGGCGAAGAGGATGCATGCGCGGCCGTTTCGCTTGGCCGGATGCTGTGGACGAGATTGACGGCCGCTTGCGCGGAAGGAGGGCGCTGGGAGTGGTGGGTGGCGGCGACGACATTTTTTTAGCGATTCAGTGATGATGGTTTCGATAATTCTGTAAAGATTGTCGAACTCTCCAGGGATAGCGAATCGATCAGTTGTCACGAATTGGCCGTCGTGCTGAACTCTGTGCGATCAAGCAGCGCTCATCTATACCCAAGGAGGATAAGAAGGCCCTAGGGTTTAACCTAGAGTCAAACGTAAATAAGCGGACACCGGATCGTATCTGTCGAGGTAAGGTGAAGATAATATAGGTGAGTAGTGAATAAATAGTGACAGAGACTTGTGAGGCAAAGTAAAGGTCCTACGTTCTGACGATCCATTCAACTCAGTTCCCCACAGTTGAACAAGACTAACCTATTTTGGGTTAGGCAGATATAAATCCCAAGATGATCAAGCTGAAAGAGATGAAATCGTTCGATGTCCAAGAATCTCCTTTAGATGATGAATACAACTTGTACTCCATTGTGAGTTGTTAATTATATCTTAGTATCCAAAAATCATGACACGTTTAATAACTTAGGAAAAGCACGGTTCAAGATCATTATCGACGGTTGAGTTCAATTGATGGCTGTTCAATACACTAACTATGCAGTAAATACAGACTAACAAGACAACAGCAGCTGAAAATGAATGGATGCGAGATGCCCGAAACAAAAACTATTGGCAAACGGGCAGGTATTGAAAATTCGAAAGTGGAAAGACGAAAACTAAGCTCATTCAACGCAGCAGGTATTGAGCGGTAAGGACTGATACGTGCAATGAGAAAACATGAAATCAGCAGGCGAATAGCAATCTGAATAGACGTTGTTCCGTTTAGAGTTCTCCAATCCGTGGGGCTCCTCCCTTCCAGTCATTACGTTCATAGTAACGGAAGACTAGATCGTATCCATCCAAATCATGAACGATGCGATCCACACGACGATATCCAGGGATATTCTCCATCTTCTGAGCCCGGAGAATCGCTGAGCGATCATACTTTTTCTCGCTCAGGAACTCATCCGAAGGCTTCGCTTCGAACAGCGTAACAGTGAAGCGACCGGGCTTGAAGATGTCAACGACATGCTTAACAATATCTGCAGTTTCCCGACCACTCTGAGCGTGAGGCACGTTCGTCTCAAAGGACGCGTAGGAGCAGTGGGGCTCCGGGGTAACGTGGACGGTGAAATAATGGGTGCCAGACTTGCCGTCAGGTGCAGGCACGACACCATTTGCAGAGAAGCCGCATGGCGTGAAGAGATAGGCGTCGATGCGGGAATCGGGATATTTGCTAGTGGGATAGACATCAGCCAAACCGCACGACTCGGATACGACAGTACCAAGGGCATGGCCTTCGGTGGTCAATTCAGGAGGCAGAGTGTGCTGTTGTTCACCATCGGAGTCGGGATCGCTCATGTCAGAAGACGTATTGCTAAATACGTCCACAAGTTCGTCCTTTTCCTTCTCGATCTTCCGATAACGGATGTCTGCGACCGCACTCGCATGGTCGAGGTAGAATTGCTCGGCATTCTCCTCTTCCAAATCCGTCATTAGAATTTCAAGAGTTTCGTCTTCTTCTTCGTGAGATCCAGCATTCGCTCTCTTGCTTTCAAGATCCGCCGGAATGTTGAGCACGCGAGTTTCAGTCTCGCGAGGCGGGCTCGCTGGCGGTGTCAACGAGGTGTAGGGTTCAGTGAGGTAGAGGTACCAATGTTCGCCGTTCATTTTACCAATCATGTAAGCGCTGCCGTTTGCAAAGAGTTTGTCCAGGTTCTTGACCTCATCGCGCCAGCTCCTATGCGGGCCACGCTGACGATCGGGGAAAAGGAAATTCTTCCGACTGTAGAAGACACGATAGGGAGCGGCCGCAACAGAGATGTTACGACATGGAGGCGCGGTGGACTTGGGGAACCCAGCGAACAAGGCAGCAATCTCCAAGATGCGTGGAAGACCATACAATAACGTAGTAGTACCGCAGGTTTTCAGGATAAGCTTGTGGCGCCAAACAAACATGCTAGACTCGGACAATAGGTAGGCATCGACATCATCCGACTCGACGATTGACAGCACCTTGCAGTTCACCAAGTCAAGCATGTCCTTCCATATTTCAGCAGGAACAGCTTTGAGACCACGGGGATCAGTCCCACCGAGTAAATTGTCGGCGGCGGGAGCAAACCAGACCTCTAGCAATTTCTCGGGGCCTGAAACAGGATTAGTGAATGAGCAGTAGAAAGCACTTCAAAAGAACTCACCTTCGAACGCATTGGAGCTATCAAGGTCGACGACAGCTTCATGATTGATAGTCAAAGACGGAGTCCCGATAAATGAGGACGGTGAAGTTGTATAATTCTTGGGGATACCAATGAACACCATATCCGTAGGAGTTCAAGCGTCTGAGCTGTTGATAGTAAAAGTTTGAGAGCGAAAGACTGGTACGAGAAATTTTTTGTCTTCTTTTTTTGAAAATTGTATAACTCGTCAGCGAAGATGGAACACGACGTGGCTTAAGCTGGGACGACTAAAGCCGTATGAAGCACAATCTGCCACCCAGGGGACAATGCGGTGTCCGCCTGAGAAGGAGAAGGCCCGTTTATCGAAAGGCGAAATGAGCTGGCTAATCAGCCAGCCAAAAGGACGATTTTTAAAAAAATACCTTTCCCAGTGAGGGGATGTTAGGGGGGGCGCGCGGACAGGAGAACGAAGAACAGATCGAACGGAATGTTGGCGATCTGTTTTAGTCCTCGAACTGACAGATACCGATACCGTGGGGAGTATCGGGTCTAGCAGACGAGGATATCTGCTCTAGAAAAGATTTTGAAAGGTGAAAGTAGAGGAAAAACGGTAGCACGAGGGGTGTTATCGAGGCCTAGCAAGTGAAGTTAGAATTTTCGCATCCGGTGTGACGGGGCAATAAAGAGTCAAACAAGTGATTGTCTTGCAACTCGTCCGTTTGTTTGTTCGCGTAACTTGTGGGACTTACTTTGCGGGCTTGGACAGGAAACGTAGTAGGTCCTTCGGGCTCATGGAAGGCAAGCAAAGAATCTGCTTAAAAGGAGGAGGGCGCAGCACTCATCAGTGACGGGTCGCACCAGAGAATAGCAATAACCGATTGACTGCGAATGATAGGCCGGAAAGAATTGTCTGTAGGGAGAATTGAGATATTTGAGTCCGAGAATATCGATAATAAATTGGGAGAGAGAAGTTGGCAAAAGGTTGTTGTGTGGTTGTGGTCCAGATTTATTGGCGGTGCGCTTTTTTTCTGCGGAAGGCAGTGCGCGGGGCAAGCGCAGCAAATAGAATGCTTGGACCTTTTCTGGCAAGCCACCACACGACCTTCTTCTTTTCTTTTGTTTTCTTCGGATGGTTCTTATTATGATGGGCAATGAGTCAATGATACTCGCTGTTAATTCTACTGTATTCAAAGGCATATTCAGTCGAATTCGCGCAAACTCGGTTCATTGCAGGACTCAGAGCTAAGCAAGAGCTGGAGCGGTGAAAGCCTCAACTGAGCCTGATTCATATTATTCTCAGGGACTACGCAGTAAACAGTATAGACCGCTGTGTTAGAATAATATAAATAAGCAAGCTTATGTGCGTGAATTGCTGAAGTCGTTGCTTTTTGCTGTTGGGCAGCAGTGACGTAGCCAAAGCCTCCACTGGACTAGCTTAGACTGACTACTAAGTTAAGTAACTCTAGACTTGCGAGAACAGGAGAGGACTTCACATGGTCAACTATTTTGGATATCAATGTAAAATACATATGGACCATGATCTGGATATCTGGATATCTGAAGAATTAGAAAATACACAAAATACCTGTCGTATCCGTGATTCCGCCCATTTTGAACGCAAAACGCCAAAGCAAAAATACCCAGCCAAGTTTCAAAATATACATCCGGGGAGATAACGGGGGAAACAAAAATAAATACGAAAATGGGAATCATAAGAAGATAAAATGTCTATTGTTGCGCCAAAATAGCATGCGCTAATCGTACCTCCCCTGCATCCGCAATCCTGGTCGCAAGCAACTGGCCGATTTTATCCGAGAGCTGCTCACGCAGCTCGTCGGATACAACAGCCAGGTGCCCGTTAGTAAGGTGTGCGCGGTCCTCCTGCAACGAGGAAAGAACAGACAATAACAAGCCCAGTACTCTTTCCGCCTCGGGTCGTCGAGGTCCCTCTTCGGTAAGGGCATCTCGGAGTAGCTTTTCGTACGGTTTGAGGTTCGGTAAGATGAGTTCACGCACAACATCGGCGCCACCAATAGCATGCAGACCCATAATGGCTCCGTAGTGTGTGCCGAATGGTTTTGCAGGGTCTAGAAAGTTCTTGAGACATGATCGTGCAATTCGGGGTTTGAGAGTGTGCGATGCATGCGAGTATTTCTTAGCGATCATGCCTAGTAGAGCTGCTGCTAGGTCACGTAAGGCGAACTGCTCGGATAATTCATTATTGCTACCGCCGAATTGACGACCGACAAGACACGTGAGGACCGGAGGGACAAGTGCGGAAATCTAAATTACCACGAAAACAAACACAGTTAGCTATTATCTTGCCAGTATACGCCTCATTCAAAAGTTGATACTCACGTAAGGATCAATATAAAGCGATTGGTTCTGTATCATCGCCTCGGCCATTCTCATCACTTGCGTCAAGACAAAAATATTGTTCAAACTATGCGTCACTTTTTCAGCAATAAATTGCACAAAGTACGGCACAAGTTGATGGAGGCCAGGATCCTCCCGTAAGCTCGAATATGCCGAAGTTCTGTACTCCTCACTAGCCTGGTCAAGGAAAGCGTTGCATACTTTCTCAAAGTAAAGCTGTAATTCTTTGGATAATATGTGTTTGACGAGTGGTTTGACGGCGGTATTCTGGTTGCCGCTCAGAGCAGCGAGGTTGGGGTTAGTATTGGGGCCCTTAGCGACCAATTCAAGATTGCGGGAATCGTTCGATGTGGGATTTTGGGGGATTAATGGCTGGACGCCTTCAACGGCGAGCCAGTGCGCTTTTCCACAGCATCAGTATCATGTGATGATTTCTAGCACGGGGCTCCATTTCAGTAGTATAACGCACCAGTAAACGTAACCTCGCGAGGCACCTTTGGCAACGGAGCATTTATCAACTTTTCAAAGTCCACCTCTTCATCCTCAACATAGAATAAAGGTTGTCCAGGACCCAACGATGCCTCTCCGAAACGCAACGGGCGAGTCGACTCATATCCATAGAGCGGCTCGACATTGAGCACCCGCAAGGCGTGAGAGATGTCTTGTGTCGTGAGCACCGTCCGCCGTCCATGGCGCATAAACTTCAGAGCTTCCTCCAACACCTGAGCAATGCGATATTCGACATCACGGGCGAGATTCTCAGTCACATCCTTGCTGAGATTTGAGATTCCAACTGATTCCGCTACGTCGCGGATGTTGTCTGGGTTCCAAACAGACATCTTGTGCGAATAGCGACAGGTCGATTGCGGAGGTTGGTGTTTCTGACGGTGGACGGAGCGCGGAATTTGATGAGCCGCGTAAACTGGAGCGAGAGTGGAAATCAAGCCGGAATGTAAAGGCGCATGCTGTAGTCGCAGATGAGATTAATGGCTGGACAGTCCCAGAATCGTATTAAAGGCCAAGTGAGGACTGCTGAAGAATGATCTGCAAGTGAGTTAATTGAGAGGTCAAGCTTGTTGGAGAAAGGCAACTGCGGAAATGCCAAGACCTCAGAAATGCGGCCTCAGGCAGCAACACCTGGCACCAGTTCACTCACTAAGTGTACGAATAATGTGAATAATTACGTTAATTGATAGCCTTAATCTGTAGAAAAATAATCCCTATTATTTGAAACCTATAATATGGACACTAATTAAACATGTCAGTATGCTCTAACTGGGTATAACTTCAATCTCTGCTGGCAAACATAACTATACTCTCAGCCAGCCATCCAGCGAGCGCACAAGTACTGGGACAGGTAACACGGAACAATAAAAAATGAAATGAATCCAAGCACGCTCGGGATCGGGTATCTCGATATTAATCACAGGGTATATGTAATATTTGAATCTACTTGGACTCTTCAGCAGCAGGCTCAGCAGCGGAAGGCTCTTCGGGCTTAGAAGGCTCCGCCTTAGGTGCTTCCTCCCTAGGAGGCTCTTCCTGGAGAGCTTCTTCTTTGGGGACTTCGGTTGCTGTCGGCGCGGGTGCAGGTACGGCTCCAGATTCAACTTTCTTCTCAGTGGCTGTCTCTTTGGCTGCTTCAGTGGCTGCTTTAGCAGGTTCGCCAGCAGGGATATCATCAATCAGTGGAACTGAGCGGCCAGCGTCCTTGAGCTCGGCACCCTGTCCACCGTACGACTTAGGTAGGTCTTCAACAAACGCAAACTCTCTGCCAAGATTGGCACCGTTGGAGATGGGGTGGAACTTGCGGATGGTGTTCTTGCTCAAGAAGATCTTCATGGCCCCGAACATCCATCCCATGATGGCAGGGACGTTGACGAAGAACTTTTCTCGCAGTAGTTCTGGATAGGCAGTGGAGAAGACCTCAATCGTTTTTTTGGAAGCAGCTTTAACAGCGGGATCCAGGCGGAGGAACGAAACACCCTTGTAGTCGTGGACCTGGAGCATCTGATAGCGATCTTCACCATCATACTCGATAACCTCGGTTGCTTCGTTTAGCTTGAGCTCCTGGACACCTCTCTCCATGAGTGCGGTACGCCAGCGAATGAATCTAGAGATCAGTCAGTAACGGTTGCAATGTGAAATTTCAAGGAAAGACGACATACTCGTCCAAGTCACCAAATGTGTTCGGCAGATCCTTGGCTCCACCATAGATGTTCCAAGTAAAGATGGTCTCTCCATAGGTGGGATCAAGGTAAGATGTGATATAGCCAAGTCCCTCGAATTTCTTCGCACTGAATTTGGCATTCTTGGCAAGTTCAACAGGGTTGATTTCCTTTCGCCATTGCAGAGCTTTAGTGAGCTGCTCCTCAGCTTGCTTGATATTTCCCTCGTTAGCACGGAGGAATTTGATCAAGACGTTAACGGTAGGAATATCCTTCGAATCTTTCAAGGGTACTCCCCACATTTCTGAGTGGCCAGTTTTCTCGAGGATACCAGGCAGACTGTCAAAGAACTTGCTGAGGCCAGGTACTTTTGTCAAGTACTCGGGCTGTGCAGGGACTTCAGGCTCCTGTCTCTTCTCGGTGGTCTCATTCTTCTGCTCAGCAACCGGGGCGGCTGCCGCGGTCTGTTCAGCAGGAGCTTCGGCGGGAGCAGTAACGGCTTCTGTTGGTTTGTCTGTTGCGAGTTCGACTTTTTTCTCCGGTTGAAGCTCCGCGGTTTTGGTTTCAACAGCGGCAGTGGTAGGCTCAACAGCCTTCACTGTCTCAGGGACAGATTGAGTGGTAGGTTCAGCAGCAGTCTCGGAAGACATTGTGGATGTAGTCGGCTCGAGTACGATCGTCTTTGTCAGAAGGACTAGAGAATGAACAAAGATGACTTTAGTCTTTTATCAGATGTAAAGGATGGATAGACAGGGGATAAAAATGCACTCTCTAAGAAGAGCCAGATCAGAGCACGATTTGAAACATGTGAACAAATAGTCTGAAACAAATAATAAGAAAGGTAGCTATGCCTTGGGCGGTGGGACTTACCTTTAAATCACAAGGAGTCAAACCCCTATTCGATGCTTTTACCACAGCTGAACAGATGGATGGGGGTATAGGGATGAAGCACAAGGGAAAAGCTTGAACTCAGAAGGTCCAGGGTCGAAACATATGGGAGCTACTAATACATAGAGGGCCCGGAGTAACTGATCTTCCGGCGTCAGTATCAACCAACTGCCTATTACGGACAAGCTTGATGTTGACCAGCCAATAGAATGTCATAGATTTGACGGGCGGTGAATATCAGGGGCAGAAAAGACGGTCTGACCATGTAACGGCCATTGTCTCTTTCTCTCCTGAGTTCTGGCCAAAGATGAGATGAAATTAGAACAGCACGGATCAGACAGCTCCACGCTGTTGTATTCTATCAATAGTCAAACTGACTGTGCAACTTCAATTCATGTGTCTTTTCAGTAGAAGCCAGATCTATTTCCTGTTTGTGAGGTCATATGTCTGGCTATCTCTCGCAAAATGACAGATATTATTCAAATAAACCAGAGTCTCATACTCCCGGTCATTAGGAACGCAAGCTCCGGCTACTCCTTTTGCAACATGGACCTTGTGTCATTCTAATTAGTTTTCGGATTTTTCTGGTTCTGAATTCTGAACCACCGGCGGTCCTTCAATCTTCTTGACCTTTCGACCCTCCCACCACATCATCAGGCCGGCAGCTAAGCTCACTCCACAACCAAGTCCAATAAAAGTCCCTGCAGCCCACGAAGGTCTATCGATACGATTATATCCCCACATGAAACCTGACAGAGCACATTGAAACAGAGTGTTGTAAACCATCATCCACACGACAAAACTCAATTTCCAGAGCCGTGTTGGCGGTGCCACCTCGCCCGTAAATGTGACTCGTCTTTCCTGCTGTCCGCTCTCCAAATCCACTCCGTGATACCACCGAGGAGGCCGGAACCATGACTCGTTTTGCTTGCAGAGACGCATCATTGCGTGTTGGTTGTGATGGAACCGAGCTTGAACCATCCAGTACAGGTCACGGAAGCGCCAGGGTGCGAGGCCAAATCCAGTGACACAAAACAGCGCATTGAGGATCTGGCTGTCGATTTCGATCCATTTCTTGCGAGCTGAGTCGTCCGAGTCTTTGTTGGGGTGGTCCATGGCCGGTGCCGCGTCGAGAAGAAGAAAGAACAGCATGGCACCCCAGGCGACTATGTTAAGACCGTAGATTGTCATGAGAAATCCGGTGGGCGTCTTAACGAATTTCCAACCGACTGCAAGGGCATGTTGAGTGGTCTCTTTCCAGTTGTGTTTCTCTTCGGCCGCAACGCCAGCTTCTCCAGTGGATGTAGTTGGTTCATAGAGTGAAGCCGAAGACTTTGGGATAGTATCTGTCCTCTCCAGCGCTCTCGGAACCTTAATTTCGGTCGTTGTAATTGTGGTAGACCCAGCGTTGGTTGACGGGGCTGACCTCGCACTGTGACCATGAGCATTGTAAACAATATTTCTTCCGCCAGTCACTGGCTCTCTCAACTCTCCGAGCGTTGGTGCATATGCAATTGCTGTTCCCGTGGCCGCCCACATTCCCGGCTGCGGATTGTAGTTCATCACAACCCCGGTCACGGAGGTTGACGCTCTGCGTAGACGCTGGACGACCGTGGGCGGCTTTGATTGTTCATTCTCAGCCATGATTACCGAGTTATTGATATGATAAGGAGGAAATATTGGAGTACAGATATTTTTGTTGTCTCTTTCTCTTTCAATTACGCAGACGAAAAAAGGCCGAGGAAGGTAGGCCAGGCAAGACAGGGAAGAGGCTGAGACCCGATAGTTGCTGATATCTGGCTCTGCTAACAAACATAGGGCAAAAGCAAGCGGTGGACACCCTCCTTACCAAATATGTATACAGGTATTACCAAATCTGGGCATCGAACCCCAGTCAAAGGATGGAACCCAAACGTGCATGTCATGCTTTTCCGGTTCTGAGCCCTACAATGCTGTTCTATCAAAGTTAAAATTCTACTAGAAGGCGAAAAGTTAACCTACTAAAGTTAGTGGTATGCGGCTCGGGGTCTCGGTATGCACAAGAGTGCGAGTAGACCGGGATATCGTCTGATTTTACGTACACGCATAGCGGGGGATTTAGCGGGAGTCGAGAATAGCATCTGATATGTTCCCTGTTGTTTATTCAGGAAGCTTATTCGTACCATATCGTCAAAGTCAGCAGCCCAATAACCGTCGTGGGATTATCATCTAATGGGAAGCCAAGCTTGACATGGGGAGGAAGCTTTACGTATATCAGGGCAGCTCACTGCGATCAAAATAGGGATTACTAATCTAACCAGCAGGCCCTTGAACAGTTGAAACTATAAGTTTTGGTTAGATTTAAGCCTACGATTAGCTTGAGAGCTGCTTCCAGTATGAATTTAAAGATTACTCAATTAACTAACACATATCAAGATGTTTATACGAGGTCAACAGGATAAAAAAGGTAGAGGATCTTGGAAGCAGTATCTTCTCATTGTCGTCAAGATCAATAAAATACGATATAGAGTAGGCCTCGCGATGGTAATATGGTGGGTGCATCTGAAATGACACTTGCTCATAGCATTATAGACTTATACTTATTATGTATACAGTCAACCTGAGGTGGGTATAGATCCATTATCGGATGCTTATAACGAGGTGCGCCACAGAAAATTAGCCCTAATCTTGGCGCTCTCACATGTTTTACTTTGGCTCTTGAGCGTCCTGAATTCGCCCCATGATAACAACAATTCTTTGGAAAACTAGCCAGTAAACTAGTCAGAACTAATAAATATACAAGCTCTTTTAAATTTTTCACGTAACATCCATTCCCTGACAGTGATTGTGAAATTGCATAGGTTCAGCTCGTTGGGAAATCCGATGCGACACGCCTTTGAAGTTCCAAGGTAGTCAGTCCGGTTTAAACCTCCTTTTCTTAGCAATCAATTATTATAAGAGATCTACAGTCGATCAAGGATCGTATCTTTCAATCTGCAGTCGTTGAATACTTCTTGTTCTCTCGTTTTCACCCATTGTGTGCTTCTTTCGAGGGTTGCTGCATCATATGTAATTTTTGATCGTGACGACATAGGAAGAAAATCGCTTCACCATGGACAAAAACGGAGGCCTTCAGCCACCCACTGTCAACGAGCTACTTGCTACCAAGGGATCACGCCGGTCCGTGGAGCTTGACAATGTCGGAAACGTGTTCATCTCCAAAGAAGGCTTAAATGTGTCTGCAGAAGTCAACCACGAGGGTTTGGTAGACATTCACTTGATTGACAAAGTTCACAAGTTTACCAAACACCTACAGAAAGATCGGAAACCGCTATGGAGTATCCCTACACACACCAATCATCTAAATCACAATGAGGACTACGAGAAGAAATTCAAACATATTCTGACAAAGTACACTGGAGTCACACGTTTGAATATTGCGATCCATATTGTTGGCTCTCGAGGAGATGTGCAGCCATTCATCGCCATTGGACAAATACTCACCAAGCCACCCTATGGACACCGCGTGAGAATTTGTACACATCCAGTGTTCAAGGATTTTGTGGAAGAGAACGGACTAGAATTTTTCTCTATTGGTGGCGACCCTAGCTCTCTAATGGCTTACATGGTAAAGAATCCGGGTTTGCTTCCGGGGAAAGAAAGTTGGAAGTCAGGAGATGTAGGCAAACGTCGAGCGGAGTTTTCAGTTATCCTCGAAGGTTGCTGGAGAAGCTGTATTGAATCTGGAAATGGAATGGAGGAGGATAAAGAAAAGACTTCTGATAACGGCACAGATACTCAAAGTGAAGATGCCCAAAATGCGGAAGCAGATAGGGCTTTTATTGCAGATGTTATCATTGCAAATCCACCCAGCTATGGTCATATCCATTGCGCAGAGAAGCTGGGAATTCCACTTCACATAATGTTTACGTGAGTTTCACTACTACAAGGGATGTCTATGGCAAGGTCTTACTCATCTTATTTCTATGTAGTATGCCGTGGTCGCCGACACAATACTTTCCACATCCCCTAGCATCGATACAAGGAAATAAAGCAGATCCAAAACTGGCTAATTACATGTCATATACGATCATGGAGCTTCTAGCATGGCAAGGGTATGTGCATCATTGTCTTTCCATTTGCGGGTTGGAGATTGCTAAAGTTCGAGGAGACTTGGGGATATCATCAACGGTTTCCGTATGAAGACACTGCATCTGGACGCTATCAGCCCTCTCTGGGGCCATATGTTGCTCTCAAGAATGAAAATTCCATTTACTTACACCTGGTAAACTCTGCAACTTCACAGTTACGTTCTTTCTCTTGACACAAAACAGGTCATCGGCCCTTATTCCGAAACCTGTGGACTGGGGTTCCCATATCAACATCACCGGTTTCCCCTTCCTCAAAATTGGATCAGACTATACTTCACCAAAGGATCTTGCAGACTTTTTAGCAGGAGGACCACCCCCTGTCTACATCGGCTTTGGCTCAATTGTCGTCGATAATCCCGAAGAGCTCACAAGAATAATTTTTGGCGCCGTTAAGAGAGCTGGTGTTCGTGCTCTTGTATCTCAGGGATGGGGTGGACTTGGTGGAAAGGATGTTCCTGAAAACATCTTCTTACTAGGAAACTGTCCACATGATTGGTTATTTCAGCATGTTTCCTGCGTCGTTCATCATGGCGGAGCTGGTACCACTGCAATCGGTATCGCCATGGGTAGACCGACCATTGTGATTCCATTCTTTGGCGACCAGCCGTTCTGGGGTTCAATGATTCACCGAGCCAATGCTGGGCCGGAACCTGTGCCGTTTAAGTCTTTGACGGAAGAAAAGTTGGCTGAGAGTATCATAAAAGCACTCCAACCTGACATTCAAGCATCGGTCCTAAAATTGAGTGCCAAGATTGCAGGGGAAAGTGGAAACGAGGCCGCAGCTGCTTCGTTCCATAATTCGATCTCGTATGACTCAATGCGTTGTCTGCTTCGTCCTGAGGATGTGGCTATCTGGAGGGTGAAGAAGACAAATATCAGACTAGGTTTCTTAGCTGCTACCACTTTGGTCGACAATAAGATCATCTCTCTGCGCGATCTCACAATGTTTGCCACCCCCCTCCCTTTCATGTTTGCTTGTTATCGTCTACCGAGGTATACTAATAAGAACCAGGCATCGACATCAAGAGTGGCACATTGACGAGGGAGCCGCAGGTCCTGTTATGGGCTTCCTTGCATTCGTATCCGATACAGTCGTGAAAACATGGGACAGTGTACACAGCTATGCTCGCGACATCTCCAGGACTATTCACAGAAAATCCGAACCCCAGGGTCCTATCATCCCAATGACCGAACGACGCTCATTCGAGCAAGATTACCCAGAGAACGGGACGGTTTTCTCTCAACCGGTAACAGCAGCATTGTCTTATTCACCTAACCATCTTGAACGAGTGGCATACAGAATGGTATCAGGGACACTACCGGACTTTAGTAATAGTTCGAAGTATAGAAAGACTCCACGGATTACAAGAACGAATACATTCAGGTCTCTTCTGAAGAAAAACAAGGGGAAACATCGTAGCAAAGTGGAAGAATTTGGCTCCGAGACTGCGCATTTCGCTTATTCCGTGTTACGTACCGGACTTCACGGTATGTTCACTTTTTAACAATATATGAAACTTTCCATTAACTCAGGTCTAGCACCGGTTGCCCTGTTCTATAATCTGGCCAATGGGTTCCACAATGCCCCCAATTTTATTCTGAAGGATGAGACAGTAAGGAAAAGAGGGAAGATTACTGGACTTAGGAGTGGCATCAAGGTAGCCGGCAAGGTAAGATAATCCTTACCTACCTACGTGCCGCAAGTTCCACTAATTCCTCTCGTAACAGAGCTCTTTCCTCAACCTATACGATGCCGTGACAGGTCTCGTAATACATCCATATCGGGACACCCGAGAATACGGAGTTGAGGGCATCGGAAAGGGAATCGGACGAGGTATAGGAGGCTTGTTTTTTAAGTCCATCGCCGCCGCCTTTGGTCTACCTGGATATTGTTTGAAAGGTCTAGAAAAGCAAATTGAGAAGCGAGACGATAGGGATCTGAGAGCACAAATTTTGCAAGTGAGAATCATTCAGGGTCTTGCTGCGTATAGGCGTGCCAGTGAGGAGGATAAGCAGGAGATTTTGAGGAGGTGGAATGAAGCTGTTGCTGCGGAATCTGGATAATCCACCGTAATTTATATTCGTGTTTAAACCTTGTATAGATACCTTCATTAATAAATCGTTTCTTATGTCACCTAGCATTCTTGTCTTTATGCCAATTCGAAACATTCAACACCTACCAAGGACGTCTTGGATCGCTACCAGAAACTTGTCAGACTGTTATATCAACACTTTGTTGTCTGTCTACTATATACAAAGGTATCTGTGAATGTAAAAGTATATCAGTCATACCCAGTGCATTGTTAATTTCATCAAAATTTCTCGTCTTTTCACTATCCAAAGGGTTAGGGTTATGGCACATAATTATGCCAAGACTTTATATACAATCTGCCCGATGATTGGATGAGCAACATCACCAATCATCAATTCGGAGAAGCGTCCGTGCCGATTGCATGTCTCGGAGCTCAACTCTCCAACAACTTTCAAGAGGAAGCTCTGTATCGAGTCAATATGTCTTGATTGATTATAACGACATATTGAAGGATTAGTGAGCACGTATTGAAATTAACAGGCAGATTCGCGGTCTCGCGAAGCCTATATCTATGTGGCCAACATGGCTATGACCATGCGCGAGATTGTGCTCTGCGCAGCTCTAATATTTGTCATTGGGGGTATGCTTTCGCATCATCTTCTTTAAAACCTCATACTGATATCTAGGTGCATCAGTTTCTGTATTAAATCAAACAGTTAATTCAACATCGTCCCTTTCGAATCAGCTCCTACAAAATGACCAATCCGCATTGTCATCCACATCTCCCTCCATGATCCACCTGCAGCAACAACAAAAACAACACGACCAAGACCAGAAACTACGGTTAAACAATCTCCAAGTCATCGGCACACATAACAGTTACCATCGCGAAGTCTCCCTGCCGGAAAGAATCCATTTCCCTTACCTCATGGCAGACGTTGACCAGCATGTTGAAGGGTATTACTACTCCCACGCCTCCGTGCACGACCAACTGGAACACCAGCAAGTCCGCAGCTTCGAATTTGATGTCTATGTTGACACGCATGGCGGGCTTTTCGCGGATCCGCTTATCCGTCGAATCGCAAATATGTCCGAGTCGGATAATGCGCATTACGGTCTACCGGAGGACGTGATGCGACAACCAGGTACAAAAGTGTTGCATATTGCCGATGCAGATGTAGGAACCATATGTCATACGCTGGTCGAATGTTTGACGCAGGTGAAAGCTTGGTCCGAGTCAAAGAAAGGGCTACATGTGCCCATACCTATATTGATTGAATTTAAGAAGACGGAACCCGGTCTTGAGCTACAAGGTGGTGTCGTCGCTGAGGATTGGACTGTCGATGCCCTAGATCGAGTGGACGCGGAGATTCGTTCAGTGTTTAGTGATGACCAACTCATCACGCCGGACGATTTACGCAAACATGCAATGGACAACGGCGTGGTCAGCCGCAACAGCAACAAAAACATAACTCTAGAAGAAGCAATTCTCGCCTTTGAGCATGGCGGTGGCTGGCCCACGCTCTCATCATCTCGCGGCAAATTCTTCTTCGTCATGGACAATGAACCAACACATCCCATTCAAATCCGCGATCCATACCGAAGCGGTGGTCGCACAAACCTCGAGGGCCGAGTAATCTTCACAAACTCTCTGCCCGGCGAACCAGATGCGGCATTCATAAAACGCAATAATCCAATTACAGGCAACAATCAGCACCAAATTCAAGAGTTAGTTTCAAAGGGGTATTTTATTCGTACGCGCGCCGATGAACCGATTCAAATGCTTCTAACAGATGAAGTGCCTGCCATGCGTGACGCGGCGCTGGCGAGCGGTGCACAAATTGTTAGTTCGGATTGGGTGGGAGCTGGTGTGAGTGCGAGGTATAATAGCGATTATTTCGTGGCATTACCGCTGGGAGGAGCTGCGAGATGTAACCCCGTAAATGCGCCGAAGGGGTGTGTGGATGAATACTTGGAGTTGTTGTAAGCATATATAGCTAATAGTATTTATTCATCTTGAAACATATGGCAGCATTACCGCCTACTATATACCACCTGGGCAGTACAAATGTTGTCCAAATGAATACATTGATTTTTAACAGTCAAACCAACTACTTACAAGCGATAATATAAAACTACAGACATCCAACTCATCCTCGAATATGCAGGGGTATCCACCTCACCCAGTACCATTCATGCAGACAGTAATACGTAGCGAGTTTAGTTTGACATGAACAGAAGAATAACCGGGGTATTAAGAAGGCATCGGCGAAAGAAAAGTGTCAAAGGAGAAGATCCAAGAATAAAATATTTCAAGTGTTTTCATAATCTCGTGAAATTCGTCCATGCAGCTCGTGTGTCTACCCATGGAGATCAGGACAAATTCTTTGGAATTTGTGGCACTGCTGGTGGCTGAGCGTCGTCGTCTTCGTCCAATTCGTCGAGTTCTTCGGGGTGACTGAACATGTCATGTCAGCTATTCTGTATTCAGGCATCGAAGAAATGGGATGGCATACGCTAGAAGATCCTTGATGTTCTTCATTTCATAATGCTTTTTCCGGTGCTCCTCAAACTGACGATGTTTCTCTTTTGCTTCTTCAGATGTCATCAAACCTTCTCCATGGCCAGTACTCTCCCCATCATCATCAACAATAACATCGACATGCTTATCACTTCGATTTGAGTTTTGACTCAGGCTACGTTCGCGGGTAATCCGACTTTCACCGGCTCGGGCCAGATTCTGCTGCCCACTTAGATCTTCCTCGGGCTCACCTAGCTCGAAATCTGGGATTTCATTGTCTTTCACAGCACCGGTGGCTTTCTTCTGACGAGCACTCTTAGCCTGATCAAGTTCATCAACCACCAAATCATGCGCATCGAGCGTGCGATCTTCAGCTTCTAATTCCATCTCCTCACGCTCATCTTGTGAGGGATCGTAGCTCGGAGCCCAGGGGGTCTTTGGTTCGTCAATTTTCATCTTGGCCGTTTTCTCTTGCTCTGCAAGATACAGGTTTGCTTCGTCCCATTTCAGATGCGTAGAGCGATCATCGTGATCACCGTGTGCGGAACCAGTGCCGGAAAGGCGTCTTCCAGAGGAAGTGCGACGTGTGCTAGACGAGCGACGACCGGCATTTTGTAAAGTATTCTGAAGAGTGATTTCTTTGTTCTCGACCGGATCAGCAGGGAGAGGTGGTGAAATGGCGACTTTTTCCGGCGATGTTGCCTGATGGACGAAAGAACTCGAGTTTTTTAAGATGCCTAACCACAATTAGTCTGCTCAACTCCATGTCTATACCAGCCTGAAAAACAAACCTTTAGGTCTTTTAGGTGCATTTTCTGGGCTATGGGCGTTGCCCGTCGTTTCGTGAGACAAAGTCATGTTGAGCAAGAGTACGGTCGTTCGCACCGACAGCGGGGTAACTTTGGTAGAGACGGAAAGCAAAATATCTCGGAAATTAGAACATCTACCGGCCTTTTTAATTTCCTGTTAGTTATATCAAGCTGAAACCACAACTGGCAAGGATTAGTAAGTTTGCGCTGAATCGCATAGACAATCCAACAGCATTAGTAATGTTTTGGCGTTGCTAAGCTGAGTGCAAGTGAAATCGATGACAAGAGACAGATCAGATGGTAGCTGGAGTTAAATACCTTTCAGCGTAAGTTACAGCGTCTGGCGTTGTTTGTTGTGCCTGATGGAACTTTCTGTGGATCCTTTTGCCTGACTGATAAACAGAAGTCTGAAGTGAATTCGTCTGTTGGGTGGAGTGACAGGGATTCTATTTCCAGGAGTTGAAGAGGTTAACAAGAGAGAAAAGAAGAGGTTGTGGAAGTGGTGGATATACAAAAGGGAAAGTTATGACGCAATGGCCTTGTGGCTCTCTCCCCTCAATAAGACCACCCATTAATTGTTCGGCATCTATATCGATCAGCTCAGAAACTGACGATTCTAAATACATGTCTATACTCTATATGCAGTACCACTCTCCTTATCTACATCATCCCTCCTTGCGTGTGTGAAATACTCCGGCCGCTCTGCTGAGCTCCAGGCATGTGTCGTTCAGCCATTAGCTGAGCGACTATCCTATCACAGATTCATGTACGTCGGGCGAAACTAATGATTTGATTCTTTATTATTTAGCCATCAGTTACTGAAAAAGGAAGCTTGCAGTTTGTTGCCGACATCACAGAAATCTACAAGCAGAAAATCCCGCATACCAGCAATATATCCTGCCACTAATAACTCATAACCGCGGAATTCAAGAAACGACATTGGAGAAACGTTCAATAAGCCTTTCACTGTAGAATAACTGCCAAATAATGCCAAAAATATATAAATGGTATATATAGTTAATCAGTGTATCCTAAAAGCCCGTGGACGCCGTCTTTGGAACCAACAGAGACCGACTACCTAGGTAAACAAAATGCCTGTAGATCATTCAAGCTGCCTCCCTGGACTGCGCCTCTTAAGCGAAGCGAAACTGATCTCGACTCTCAACTCCGGCGAGAAGGAAAATGACTATACGGGTGAAGAAATGACAACATTGGTATGAAAAGAATGAGTGCCTAAAAAGGTATTGCTGTCAGCGATCAACGCAAACAGAACGATGGATATAATGCCATGAAAGCAGGCGTCGAATAAATGCTATGTTGTCAAGAATCGACGCGCTTCTCACATGTTGATTCGCATATTAATTAGAAAATAGAATGAAAGAAAAGATAGCGTAAGAATAGACCGAAGATGAGAAAGGGGGTATAGGTGAAACTTAAAAATGATCGCATAAACATATAAGAAAAAGGAAATCAAAATGATGGAATGAATATAAATCAAACAAGAGATTCAAACTCTTCTCGTTCGCGAAGACGATTTCTGGCTAATTCGTCTCCACCGCTGGCAGACAGCTGCATCCAGTGCAGCGCCAAGCACATACTCTGCGGATCAGATTTGGAATCCCTGTCACGCCGATACATCATTTCCGCCTTGAAAGTGTCCCGTGGAAGGGTTAAGGGTAAAGTCACCCGTGGAAGAATTTCTGGATGTGTCAGATATAAGATAGCAAGCTCACGTTGGGCCACAGGATAGCCTTCTTTGGCGGTTATGATCCACATTTTGGCCGCATCTTCGATGGGGTCTTGCGTCCGAGAAATGAAATCAAATGCCTGCTGCGTGTGACGTCGGTTGAGCTCTTGAGACACTATCCGATCCGCTAGCTCGACCATGCTGGCACAGACATCTTCTTTAAGTGACAGCGCCGCAAGTCCGAATTGCAAGAACGCAGTTCCACTGTCTGTCTTATTCAAGGTTTCACTCGGAACGAAAGCTGATACAAACTGAAGATCGCGGAATAAGGTCTTCGGTTGTAGTTCCCTCAAGATATTCTTTATTGCTGTGATTATCCGACTTTCTGATGTATTCAACAGGTCATACGATGGGTGAGAATCAAAGTCAATAGATTCCGGTGCTGGTGATGTATGCATTCGGAAAGAATCGTCTTGCTCTAGAAGCTCTTCTGTAAAGCTACGACGGCTCACCCTCGGATTTTCCGCAGACACGCCTTGAGAGTTGACGAGATTCTGCGTTGGTGTAGGGGATGCATCCCCAACCCGGTCCAGAGATGCGACGACTAACGCCCTCAGATCTCGCAAAGCCCCAAGTTTCACATAAGGGTTAGCGTTGCGTGAAAAGACATCTAATAGCTGAGAGAACGCAGATTTGTAGCTGAAAGCTGATTCATCTGCAGTTTGTACGCCTAACGTATTGCCGAATGGCCCCTCAGTGGTGACCTTAGGAGTATCATGCACAGTCATCAAGATTGGATCAGCCGATACACTCCTTCGATGAGATGTGTATCGTTCTCCATTCATCACTCGTCCGCGACGCTGGTGTATAGCCTTTTCAGATTCGGCTAAGAATTTCTGGATCCGGGCTTGCTTGTCCATTTGTCTTTGTACCCGGGTCTGATTGAGAAAGCCAATGAACCATGCATCCGTCTCGCTACCGCAGCTCCATACAGGAGAGCCCAGATCACTGAGCAAAAGGCTGGTCAATGTTTGTCGGAGATCGTCCAAGAAAGTTGTTTTTCCGTGTATAGTACGCTCCGTACGACGGGGTGCCGGCGCATCGTTAAACATAGATGGAGGGCGTGATTGAAAGCTGGAGGCGCTAGCCGCAGATTGAGCCTGTGTCTGAGAAGGTGACCAGAAGGTAGTATAGGATTCAGTGGTGGAACTGGATGCAGCCCTGCTACTCGAGCCACCGGAGGACGATAGAGTATCCAATTCGAGCTTACGTGAGTACTTCCAAGTTTCTGACGACAGGTTCTGGTATATCGATGATGATGGTTCTGATGGACGTAACGACTCTGCACCGCGAAAATTTAAGCTGGAGAAAGGCATGCTAGACAGTGCTTCTTCGCTGCTGATACTGGATGGTCGGGCTCCTGGTGTCGGCGAAATGTGCGAATAACTTCTATTGTTAGGCCCTTCAAATTTGGCACGTTCTCTCTGAAACAATTCGCTCGCCCACAAAACCGGCGTCTCGGCCATGGAATCTCCAACGAGTTTGTTGATACTAGACTTGACTTCATAGCAAAAGCGATGAATTCGCTCCTCACCACGACAGAAGTTGTCTATACCGTGATGAGAGATCCACTTTCGCGTAAGTTCAACCTGCTCGTCACTCAACTTATTAGGACCACCTTGGCTTGTCGAGGCTTTCATCACATTCATGACATGCATTTCCGGTTTTTGAAGAAAAGATCCGCCAAGGTACCTGGATCCATTGCGGGAACGGTGCTCATTTGTGGTGTCGCGATGTAGGTTTGGGTATACCATGGTCTTCAGTGCAAGAGCCACATGTTTCGCATCTTCATATCGCATGGAATTTTTGACATCGGTCATATACCACATTTTGTTCCTTAGCTTGGTCATGCCGGTGATACTCTTCCTGCTGTATTCTTTAAGCCGTTCGACCAGAGGACTCAAAGTGAAAAGACCTTCTTCGCATTCATGGATAACTGTATTGCACTTAGAGAAAGAATCGTGCGATGAATGAAGCATAGGACCAAGAATCCAGGAGTCATTAGGCGGCGGGTTAATCGACTTTGAGAGACTTTGCATTAGCTGATTGGACGCAGTCCACCAGTAGTGAGCGCCCAGGAAATCCGAGCGACTCTCACAGACCGATCGCGCGGCATCAAACCTCTCTTTTAATGACGAGAAACGACTTTGGCGCACGAGGGAAGTACGGGAAGTTCTTGATCGGCTAAGAGTCTCAAATTCGTTGACCAGTTTTTGTATAGCCCCATGGAGTGCTTCATAATCCTCTTCCGGTTGGACCGTTCCGGACCGATCACCATTGTCAGAAAGGCCTTCAAAGATGCCATCAGAGTAATTTCCGCCGGATGTTTTCCAATTCAAAGATTTCATGTCCGCAGAAATTGCTAGTAGAGTCCAATCTTCCGTGGATGGATGATCCAGAACTGGACGGGCATCTGTTTCTCCAAGATCAGACAGCTCAAAACGGATAACATCTGCGCGTTGATGGAACCGGGATCGTCGAGAGTTTTCCTGTTTGATCGAATCTGGCTTGGTCGGTCGTTCAAGCACAGTTTCAATCCTTCCGGACCAGTGAGCAGGAAGAGCTGCCCGTCGAGGACCGCTATATTGTGTAAAACTTAGAGCTGGATGGGTTGAATTTGACGACAAAGAGCCAGAGGGACTGTTAGTGGTTCTTGGAAACAGGACATTCAAAAGGGTGACAACGTCGGCGGCACACAACATGAGGAAACTGGATGAATCACTTGCTTGCTCGTCGTACTTATTCGACCCCGCGACCGGCGCTGGGTGGGAAGAGTACAGGCATCTTTTTATCATGCTGTCGACATGTCGTCTCACCTGTGTATTAACAGTAGAAAATTCTGGTCTATACAAAAATTAGTGGATGCTTGAGCCATACGAGCGTGTAATACACGTACACTGAATGTAGGACTCGATAAAACTGAGACTGGGCACGTAAAGCTATCTGGCTCAGAAGCTTCTCACGTGCTTCTTTGCTAATATGGAAGTCGAGCAATAAACTTTGGCCCTGTGTAAAGTGTTAGTACGCCCGGTATTATTCGCGATCAGTATAATCTTCAGTAAGTTACCTCTGGAAAAGTCAAGGCATAATAAAGATATCTAGAGAAAAACCATTGAACAAAAATGAACTCCAGAAAGCGATCCCGGATCTCTGCATCGGCCAGTTTATTCAAGACTGCATTGCAAAATTCCAGGGCCGCAGATGGAAGGCCAGCATCTGAATCATCAAGAACCTCAAACAAAGTTTGGACAGCAGATTCGAAGAATTCCTCTGCAGCGTCCGTCCGTAAAGGATCCGGCGGTTCAACTCCAAGGGAATGGGCTACCGGGCTTTCAATATTTTCCAAAAGGAACGCGCCCTTTTGCAAAACATCCATAAGGTAGAGTTCAACCTTTTGGCGGGCTCGCCAGTCGCTAGCCGTTGACCAGTAGGATAGGACCTGGCCAACAAAATTCAAGTATTTATTATCTCCAGAGGATAGTAGCTTTGCGCACACAGAAGACCAAACATTCAGACGTAGTTCTGACTCCTCGGGGTGCCAATCTAGTGGAACAGCAAAAACATTGTAAAGAAGCGCAGAAAGTGGGTCCGATCGCTCAAGGGCCCAGGCATGTTCTTTGAAGGGTATAGAATTAGGAGTGGCACGTTTCGCATAGGTGGCAGAATTCCGGGACCGGGCAGTGGAATGCGGCGAGATGGTTTCCCCGCTGGCAGAAAATCCAAGAGGAGTAGTCAGTGAAGAGAGCTGTGATGGAAGCAAACCGGTAATACAGTCGACCAGGAACTGGGCGTCTGTTCGGACTAGAGCTAGGATTTCCAGGAGATCCTTCCTACTTTGACAGCTAAGCTGATGCATGAAACTGGCGGTACGGGTCCTGGGAGATTGTAGAGAAAATGTAGACTCCTCCGGAAAGGACTGCGGACGATTGATGGAACGACTGGAGCCAAGTTCGCATGCTTCCTGGATATCATAGATCGTATTATATATGGAAATAAAGCCGGCTTTATCTCCATGTTTGAAAGCGTCAACGAGACCGCGCTGTACAGTCGCGCCAGTTCTGAGAAGCCTCGAGGACAAACATATCGAAATTTTAGTGGATATTAGACGGTGTTCCAAAACCTGTTTCTCAATCTCCACTTGCTGGCAGCGTCTGTATTGGGTCGCAAATTGTTCGAAAGAGACCGTACTCTCGGGGGTGATGGACAACGGGATATGAACAGTAGAAGCCGGGGATGTAGTGAAAGGCTCCTGGTCCTTTGGTTCCGGTGTGGTGCAAGTTTCTGAGCTCACCACGGGTATCTCAGGCTCACTTACATCAATAGGCCTTGGTTCCGGCATCGGGATAGGAACAGGTTCCCCAGCGGGAGTGGGAGTGCGCATGGTAGGCGCAAGTGGTGCCTTGAAAGGAGAGCATTCTGCCTCATATAATTCAAATGAGGAAGAACATCCTACTGGGGACGCCACGGGTGAGGGAGGGAGAGCTAAGATGATGTTAGCTTGTCTGTTTAATCGGATCTGCCGTAAGAAGTATTACGACAGAAATCAGTTCGATAGCGTTGCTGTCAATTCGTTCGCTGCTGCAAAATGCGACGGAATTTCACAAAGACGAGATGATGGAGGAAACAAATGAAGAAAACGTACGAATTGTAAACTCCAGACCCAGCGGTGGGGAATAGGCATGTTGGGCATCGATCATCTTGCCATGGGCGACGTCCTGGCGCCGTTCCCGAGACGATACTCGAGGATGCGCAATGCCCGTGGCGAGTGACAAACGAATTAGTTTCCTAGCGCATACTTCTAATCGCTGGCGCGCAATGAATGAGTGAATGAATGCCTGTTTGCGCCGAGTACCACCCCTTTGATTTTCTGCTTGTCTTTCAAGCAAATCCGGATGGACCGAGAGTATAATAGAGGAAGAGTTTTGGAGCGCGGAACAGTTCAGAAATGTGGCGGGGAAGTAGTACGTAGTTTAGTATCTTAGGCTAAGACCAACATAAAGTCGCAGAGAGTGGAGTGGAGTGGTTGGTGTAAGACTAGGACCCGCTGGGCGGGATGATGAACAAGGGTTTTTCGTGGTGTCGATGTTGATGAACTCGAGTAAACAATCCTATATAGAAAGAAAAGAGCAGCGAGAGTAAGTCGAATAAAACAACCAATATCCGGAACTCGACACGATCAGAGAGTCACTTGGGTTTTGCTTGGTGAAAGAGTCGGTAACAATAATCTGACCAGCGCCAGCTAGCGCAACTGTCAGGAGGGGTCAGTTATGAAACTCGAGACTGATTTGCAGAGTCACAGACGTTTCGGCAGTAAGGAGATGGCAGGTGCAACCAGACACTGTCGGTCGAAGCGTTGTTGTTAGCAATACGCACTAGGTTGGTGTAGGCCGTTTCGATGAGTCCGACACCTTTACACGCATGTAACTAGCATCTACTACATGCAAGCGCGGTGTTCTGGGCGAAGCGGGCTGACTGGTTTCGGACTGCTGCAGGTTGTTGATAATGATATATTTGCTGGACGAATACGAATCTCGTCGCGCAAGGGAGGTTAGTCGCAGCTTGGTCTGGCTGGGTCTGACTGGGTGTGTGTTGTCCACCACCCAAGGTCAGACTCGGTTGGGTTTGGACGTTCTGGACGAAAAAAATAAGCGTATCGGTAAAGGGTTCAAGGTTAATTTATTTTTATTTTTTTTTTCTCCGATCGACTTGACGAGTATTGGCTCTGGAATGAACGTATGTTGAGGAATAGGATTGCAGTGTTAATGCAATCTAGTGGGAAGAGATGAAAGTTGGTGGTTGATGGGATGGATGCTTGGGGGATCACGGGAAGGACGCGGAAGGTCACAGGGTCAGTCCTTGCCTTTACTCACGCTACACTACAACTTATATTCTACTTCTGCCTCTCTATCTATCGTTAATCCTACATCCCTCGCCACGTTGGCAAAAACAACTACAGAGGCGATATGCTTCAGCTGGACATGTGCATTTAGTCAGTGTCACGATAGTCGTCGTCCCACGATGACTCCGTCAAGGCAAAGAAAAAACAAGCTGAACAGAGACATAGTGGATTATGTACTCACTCCACGCTCTCACTGCGTATAGTGTGTCTAAAACCAACTATGTATACGCGCACTCGACGGTTAGATTCATAACAATTTTGTCACGACCAACCTTGTCGATCGAATTCACGGTTCCACGACTGCCACGTCGTTAGCATCAATCAAAACCAATCAGATCACTAACTAAAGCATTGTATACAGAAAAGTCTCAGTGAGTAATGAGTATGCAGTGCATGCAGCCATCCCATTAGAGAATGTACTAAAATCCACAGTGAGAGGGCGGGATGTGTTGGCACTGCAGAAATGCGCTGGCCTCTCTAAACCGCTACGAGTTAAGCGCGTATTCGGTTGTATGCTCGAACATTATTGGTTCTCGTTTGATAACTATATCTGAAGATTTTTACATGACCGTCAATATCTGAAAATATGACTCAATATATTGAAGGTATTTATGGCTGGATTTAAATATATTCAATCCTTCCAGTGTTGGGATTTGTCTTGTCTACTCCGCTCAACTAGGAACATCGTTTGCCACGCCACGTATGGGCGATTCGGCAGAAACAACCAAGTCATACACGAATACTCCGGTTTTGAGCTCTTATTGATACACAGTATGCCAGCTGAAACGTGGAGACCTTCGTTGTAGGCTTAGTTGATCGACGAGAATGGTCCAACATCATCCTCCCCATTATGTATATAGTTCAATTATGATTGACAAAATCTCGGACTGTCCCCGATGCGTATCACCATGTCATAATGTCTTGTGTCTCATACGGATTGCTTGAAAGATCTTAAGTGGTAGGCTGGCCTGCCCCAGTTCCATCTGGATCCATCTCTTATAGTATGACAGTAGATGTCGACGTGTCAATCCTTATCCACAGGTGGCAGTCGTATCGATCGATCAAATAGATGACCGGTATGCCTAGAACGTTGCGGGATTGGCGGGCTTGCCACGTTTCAGGAACCAGCCACAACCGAACAAGGAACTATAAAGATGTTTAACCCTGTCAGTGACCCTGGTCGCGCACCAATCGGAGATGGTCGAGGATGGCCACAATCGTCTGTACCACTAGTCTGTCTAACTAGTAGAGAATGTGTCTTATGGGTCAAAAGCTTCAATGGAATATGTTTGCAAGATCCACTTCATCTACCGAGAAGAAGAGTATCATTTGCAAGTCCATTTCTTGTCTGCTTCTTTCTGGCCAACTCGGACAGCAACGGCATTGACGGTGTCTTTGAGTGTGTCCTTGGATACTTTAGGAAACCTTGATGGTAGAACAGCAATTAGCCGGTGCATACAGTTGAAAACACCGGATAAAATACTTACCGCTTCTTAAGCACCTCGATCAATCCAGCCTTAGTCAGGTCACAGCCCTCAACCGTCTGCTTGAATTCCTCTATATGTTCAGGAGGGAAAGGTTTCTTCGCCTTCGACGTGGTTGAATTGTCTAGAGTTGCGGAAGGAACAGTTGGTGGTGCAAGTGGAGATGGTGTGTATGTTGATGTTGATGGATTGATTGCATAGGCGTGCAGGGTGGCTCGCACAGGTGGCAGGGATGACGACACTTTTGGTGCTACGTGCTCCACTACCTTTGGCTTTGGCCAGTAAGCCGTAGAAAAGGGGTTGATAGGGAAGCGGATGGTTTCTGTGCATATGATGTTAGAAAGGATATATGCAGTACTCACTCCTGGGCACACGACGATACATACCTGATAATGCCTCAATGCGATAAACCTCCATGTCAGGATCAGCATTTCCACCATCTTCCCATCTGACACCGGTACAAACAGGTTCCTGGTCACCGACAATGAGACGTCTTCTGCTATCGAGTTGCTCATCTTCATCGTCAAGGAATCCATCCATGTCATCATCGCCGTCATCGCTTGCATCTTCTTCTCCTTCTGAATCTAGGTCTTCGCCCTCCTCAGGCTCCTCCCACTCAACCTCAGAGTCGTAATCATAATTGACCTCTGGGAGGACACGAGAATACGGAGCACGAGAGACTTTACGAGCTTGAGCTTTAGACAACGGTCTGGTGAATGTACCGTAGTACGGAGGCCGGACGTCTTCTCCGAATTTAAGACTTTTCATTGTCACTTTCTTCAGCTCATCTCTCAGGGCGGTGGTTGAGGGAGTAAGGTCCATGTCCTGAGCCTTGGCCAATAATGACTTTACCGACACGACGTTCAAGCCCTTTCGGCGTCGGTATGGGATCATATTAAATAATTCCGATCCGCGATACGCAGGAAGCGCTGTAGGTTCCTTCAGGTAACCGTCCAATTTCTGTTGAATATGAGCCAAAGCCTCGCTATCACGCTGGAACTGGTGTGGTGGAGAAAGGTGAGTATGGCTTTGAAGGAAGAAAACGGGGAATTCTTTGCGATAATCGGACTGTGGTGGATTATGAGATTTGACGGCTGACTCGACGATCATATATTCCTGCATAGTATCCTTGCGAGGAGAAGAAGGTACTAGACTTGTGCGCTCTGCAGCAGTACCGGACGGCTTCGAGAAGAAAGCCTTGAGTCTCATTTGGGACTTCAACATGTCAGATGAAATATTGATCAGCTGATGGGAATGAACAACTTACTCTTTCCTTCTTTTCCCTCTCCTCCTCTTTCTTTCGTTTCCCTTCTTCTTTTGCCTGCCTTTCCTCCTCCTTTTGCTTTTTTTTCTCTTCTCGTTCTGTCTCCCGCTTTTTTCGCTCCTCTTCCTTTTCAGCCTCCTTTTTCTTGCGCTCTTCCTCTTTGGCCTTCTTCTCTGCTTCCTTTTTAGCCTTTTCTTCGGCTCGTAGGCGATCCCGCTCTTCCTTCTCTTTTCGTTTGGCTTCCTTAGAACCTGGGGAAAGTTTCAATTTTTTGTTGACGAAGTTCGCTGTGTTGCTAGAGGTAGTTGCATGTTGTTGGGGTTGCGGGGGGGTCGAGGGAACAGTTGGAGTCGTTAAAGTAAAGGTACCATTCGATGGTGGATTAGGCGCATTGGCAGGAATCTGAGTAGCCTGAGTCTCAGTCATGTTGGCTGCAGTTAGTGGGACCTTGTCGATATCGATTGCGTTGACGTATTGCAACGGATTTTGATTTTCCTGCTCATCATCGCCATGTCTTTGTGGCTTGATAGTATCTGGATTCAATATGTTGTGTCCTCCTTCCACTTCGTTGAAGGTGCGCTTGCGGTTCTGAGGACTCGTCGGCGATGACATTGGTAGGTGCTGGTTGAGAGGGTGCTGTAAGTCCATTGTAATTTCCATTATATGCTCGTTGATCGCAATTCAAGAAGAGTGAGAGGTGGATATGAGAGAATAAGTTACTCTCTGGTGAGGTGAAGCAAGTTGTTCATGGGTTTCTAATAGACGTGTAATGGATGAGGATGAGGAAGGTACATGAGGAATCGTGTCGAGAGGTAAATTTGTACAATAAATTATGAGGGATCAATGAGAAATGACTGCGGTAAAGAAAGAGGTCGAGTTTGAAAATGTGAGGCGATTGTTGTTGGCCTCTTACCTCCTGGTTGTTCCTCTGTTAATAGTAAACTGAACTAATTAATCATACGCGATCTCACGCTGTTCACGCGTGTCGATGTTAATTAGGTCACGTGAGTATGGTCTTGGCGCCTGATCAGAGCTTAGCCCTAACCCTCATTTTGACATCAGGAGAAAGTCAGATAGTTATGAAATTGGATTCTAGATGCAAAGGATCAAAAATAGAATCCGGTATAGCCATAAGAATCCTTTGAGTGATCAACTTCTGTCAATAAACACACAAAACTGCATGTAGCCATGGGATAGCCCTGACTACTCACACAAACCATCATCTCAAAATCAAGTCTAGAACACCTCTCACATTGCCACGAGGCCACTTTGATCAGCTCCCATTTCTGAAATGTATAATGATCCAAAAGACAGTTTCTCGCTCCACCATGTCGCATTATTGTGCCTTGGTCAAGATGGCTGCTGAATCTGGGGGATTGAACCAGGTACAAACGACTTCCATCTCCCCATATTCACGAGAACTCTCCGTAGCCTTCTTCGTTTCTGCCTTCAGAGTTGATTTCTATTATCTCTTGGGTGACCAAATTCCGGTATCACTCAGGATGTATTGGCTAATTACTTTGGTTGATCTTCTTCACCCAAAGCCATGGCAACCACACCGCAAGTCTCGAAATGATCCCGTTCATGTGAGGCACATATCCAGCCTATATGAAGCTTCGTATCGACACATCTCTGAATCAAAGCCGGTCATCAATGGGCAGTGTGAGACGTAAAGGAAAAGCCAGGCATTGCGAATGTAGTGAATGGAAATATGGCACCTGCGCAGCCAGTGGTGCAACTGTGGAAGTACCTATCCTCAGTATAAAAGTGGAGGACCAGCTTGTTAGGATGTGCTCAGGTTGTGCACGACAGCGCAGACATCATCCGTGTAAATGATCATTATTATTATTAAGTATAGATCGTTAAAGTTAGCAAAGACAAAATGAGTACAAAAAGTAAAGGATAATTCAACGACCACAGAAACACCGATATATATCAAGACAATTGTCGCCAACCGGCCATGCAGGATCCGCCTAAATCAGAAGCAGACCAGATAAGAAGAAAAACGCAGATTCAAAAGTGTTGTAACCAGCACAAAATCAAGAAAGAAGAATTATATCAAAAGGGTATCCGATTGAACATTTTCGGAAGGCAAAAAGAAAGAACAATGAGACGAGGAAAAACAACTCTCTAATCATCTGCGTCCGGGTTGGCGACGAATAATCTCACGCCCGTCAGACTTGTGGTGCGGTCATCGACACTACCACGACGTCGGAGATCATCGGCCTTCTTTGCTTTGTTCATGGTAATATTGGCGGCTGCTGGAGCACCCATCTCACCCAGGCTTCCAAAATCATTTTCGCCTTCATGGTCTTCGGTGGGGAGGTCCATTTGTGATGACGAGGAGGAATTGGTGTTGATGGTGTCCTGGGGTATTTGAGCCTTATCCGGGTGAGCCGCCGATGCGCTATTTTCAACAACTTCGGGAATATTTGCCTGTTCGTTTGGAGGCGTTTTGCCTTGTGGACGCTGATAACCACTAGGATAACGATGCATGCTTCCTAAAGAACTTCGGGCGCTCCCAGTACGACGGTGGTAGGGAGCTCCCTCGCTAGAACGATCATCTTCCTCGTCGTCGCCAATCTCATTTGCACTCAATCGAGGAGGCACAATGGCACCAACCAGAGTCGAAGGCGAGTAACCGGGAGCCGCTTTGCCGCTATGACGAATCTTTCCACTTGTAAAAGTACTTGAACGTCCTGAGTGACCATGGAGCTCCAGATACGCTCGTTGTTTCGCAGCTCGTTTCTGGGCTTGTAGACGCGGATCTTCGGGTTGGGCGCGGTCGCACCATACGGTGCCCTTTTGCCGCCTCATGAGAGCAACATAGCTCAGCGGAGCGGTTGTCGACCGCGAAGAGCTGCTGCGATGGATATCGGACGAGGACATGGTAGACATTGTGTGAGTAAGCCGTTGATGATTGCCGCTAGTCGATGAAGTCGAGGTTGTAGCGCTTGAGGAACTGCGTGTGGGGACCGGCCCCGCTGTAGAGGCAGGTTGCGCGCGTTGATGTGGCTGACGGTGGAAGATATGATGTTGTTGATGTTGGTGGCGAATATGCTGAGAATTACCGACGTACGGAAGAACGGTCGATGAAGTTGTTCGGGTGCGTGAGTGGGATTGCAGGTGGTCGAAGTTCGGGGCAACTCGTTGTTGAGGAGACGGAGTCTCAGGCGGCTGCTGAAATTGCAGACCGGCGTGGTGAGTTGCCCCGACGGGTCTGCGCGATGGGACCTGGTACATGCGATAATCTGTCGGGTTATTGCCCTGTTGCATTTGCACTCTGGCCGCCATTTTCTTCAGATCCCTTTTGCCTATTTTCTGTGGTATGTTCCCTTCTCCTCGGTGTGCTGAGCGAGGAACTAGGAAAAATTCAAAATAATGGCAGAGTCGTGGGATTTTCTTGTTCGATTAGGTTCTGCGGGTCAACCCAATGGTTTCCTTCTTGGTAATTGAGGACGAGTCAAGGCACGACCGGTCGGTCTGCTTAATGTAGTGGAGACTCGTATGATGTGTAGGCAGGAAGATATCAAATTATTGAGAGAGCAAAGGCCGAAGAGTCAGTTAAAATAATATAAATGACTCTCAGCCGGCCTTAGATAATAATAACGTTATCGATTGAGCGCTCCCACAAGAGATGGCGAATTAGTCAGGGGCGGCTGACTTGATGTAACTACCCCAAAGCAACTCGCGTATCTTTGCTACTGGAATGTATACTACGTAAATCAACAGTAGAACGCTTATAAGAGAGGATTTATTAACAAGCGAAGATGATAAACGGAAACCTATTCTCGCTTTTCTATTTCGAATCTGTCATTGCCTGACCAGCTGAAGCTGAAATGTGGTCAAGTTTTTTGTCCGATACGAAGCATACCGTATTACAGTGTACGGAGTACACGCAGCAATGATACGCCTGTAGAGAGCACGTGTATCCAGCAAGCTCTGCTTGATCACATCTCCAAGCTCAGTCCCTTTTAGGGCTAATGCTACTTCGTGCCTGATTCGCAACCGGTTGGTCATTGATCGAGCCAATTAGGTAACAATACAGCCAGATCAGGCGAGCCGTCCAATTAAAAGGTCAGAACAACCGCCAAGCCACTGCCTGTCCATGTATCAAGTAAGACAAGAGTTTTCAACTGATACCCTTTTCTGTCGTCAATTGTGATCATAAGAAGAGACAATAAGGTAATCTATTTGCATAAATCCGAGTCAAACCTTGCGAATACGCGTATTATACCGAGCCATGTATCGGCCCGAAAGAAACAATACGCTGTGACGTCGTCCTGACTCCACTCTGCTTCATCGATGATTCATTATTATGCGCAGTTCGCAGCTCTGATTGGTGGTCATATAAAAACTCGGGAATAAAAAGGCTTCAAATTGCAACCAATCGCTTTCGCGTAATTTACAGAGTAAGCATTGGTCAACCTGCGCCACAGTACCGTTACAATTAGCCTGGAACATGTCGATGTTACCAAACCATCCGTTTTCCAAGATTCTCTCTTATATGGAACCAGGTCTTATATCGTACGTATACAAAAATATAACTTATGATGGACACATGAATACGTGGCAGTTAAAATCTCCGGATTATAGCTTAGACAACGCTTTGATTGAACCCAGAATCCCGTCTTGCTCCAGGTATTCCTTGCCCTTGGTCCAACCAAACCATTCCTTCAATCGCATCTCACCACCATCGCCGGGGAGCAGTCCCCCGCCTTCCCAACCTGCTTCATCCGCTTTGAAAGTCTTGCCAGGCGTACTGACCAGGGCAACAGGGAGTCTCTGCTGATACCCATTTTCTTCCAGTTCGCTTTGTTCCAGTACGGGAGTGGCACAGGCATCGGTGCCGTCAAAGATTGCTTCCCATTCTGCCCTAGTCTTTTCCTTGAATCGCTTTGTAAAAATCTGCCTGATAGCAGGCCAATTGTCTCTATCTTCACTCGCGGGAACATCATTTTTGGCGAACCCCAATCCTTTCAAGAGTGCCGCATAAAAGTGCGGCTCAAGTGCCCCAACAGCGAAATATTTCCCTTTGTCTTTCGTTTCGTACGTGTCATAATAGGGACACCCGCCATCTAACAGATTCTGTCCCCTAGGCTCACTCCATACAGGTGTCTTTCTTGCTAATCTCGGCATTGTAGCCAGATATGCCGCCCCATCTACCATGTTTGCTTCAACCACTTGCCCTTTACCCGTTGCTGATCGGGAGATGAGTGCTAGCAAAATACCGAGAAAACACATGGCGCCGCCACCAGCAAAGTCTCCTAGCAAGTTTCCAGGTGCCAATGGAGGTTCACCACTCCGCCCAAGCATAGAGAGAACTCCAGACACCGCGAGGTAGTTTATATCGTGTCCTGCCATATCCTTGTACTTTCCCGCGCGCCGGAAGCCAGTCATGCGAGCAATGATAAGACGTGGATTATGCTTGAGCAGAACCTCAGTCGGTGAGAGACCGAGTCGCTCGAGCACACCTGGCCGAAAGGGATCAATGAGAACATCAGCTCGTAAAAGTATTGAAAGTAAGAGTTCCCGAGAGCGTGCGTCCTTCAAATCCATACAGATGGAAGATTTGTGACGTGTGAGATGGTCGCCAGCTGGTGCAACTGATGTGTTGGGTGGCCGATCAACACGAAGCACCGAAGCGCCGTAGTCGGCTAGGAGGAGGCCGGCGAAGGGGCCTACAATATAGTAAGCTCATGATATAAACGTAATGTGAAGAGTGGCGCACCAGGTGCTAGTCCAGCTAGCTCAACGACTTTGACGCCGTGTAAAGGATGTGACGACCACATCTATGAATCAGCAACGCGTCAGATTTCCTCGGGTGAAGCTTTTGTAGGTGACTTTTAACGTTGAGTTAGTTTGAGGAACTGGAGTGCGATGCGGAACAATGTACTTACATAGAGCTCTATCAGCTATAGCAATGATGTTAACCTTGTCCAAGTAGCATCGACACGATTGGTGAATTGAAATTGTAAGGAGACAATGAACACGTTCCCAATAATTAGATCATAATTGATGCTATGAAGCTGTCAACAGTGTGAGTTGTAGTTAGTGGGTTGGAGAAAAGGTCCAGTAGGCCGAATTACCGCGGCATCTGCAGCCGATGCGGGGGAACAATCAACTCCCCTTTTCATCCCCAAAATACCCCTTTAGCAGAGTACGCAGTGCTGCTCGACGTTGAGTAGCTATCGTCCGTTATATAGATTCGCGACCTCTGATATGGTCCGGAAAATTCATAACCTGTGTTAAATCAACTGGAAAAGCTTCTGACGTCACTTGGGACTATCCCATCTGAGCAGGCACGGATCGAGTTACTGCGTTGAAACAGTCGCGACACAAGTCAAAGTAAAACGAAGAAAATCACTCCAAGTCAGCTACAACTCTCCCATGGTGCTCCGATTGACTCGGTGCTAGATTCACAATCTCAGTATGGCGGCGTCGGCCTGGTCGACATACACAGTCGATGCCTGTGGTCCGTACCTGCCTCAACCTCCACGCCTCTTAGCTCTTTGCTGCGATCTTGCACCGATGAATCGTTATCTTATCCAGATAATCTGGGGCAAGAAAATTTGACGTGGTGCTATGTGGTATTAGAACACGGTAATCAGTATCGCAGGCTACGGCGAACACCCGTTCCCTTGCTGCAACGCGAGACCTAGAGTATTGTGACGGTGATAGCCGTTCCGTCCCTGGGACTTATGTTCTGTGCCATCTTTATGAGCTCTTTTAAAGGATTTCTTCATGAAAATAAGCATTTTGGATTTCATCCACAATCGCAGGATAGTAGGTAGTGGCATGCAGAACTGGACTTGTCAACCGTATATTACGGCTAGGCCTGATATGGAATATGCAGCATACTAGTAGTAAAGCCCACAACTTGGCTCTCATTGGCCTACGACTTTCCCTCGCTACAGCGATTGCAAGCTAAATTAGTGCACACACATCTGCACTATGTTTTGTACGGACATCTATGTCCGAGTTTTCTTTCCTGAGATAGACATACACAATACATACATTTACACGTCCCACTCACGTTCACAGGACTCTTTGGCTCTGAATCTGTTGGCGCTAAGTGCCAAGCCGGTAAGATCCGCCTAACCGACCCACCTTTCTGTAAGATTTCAGATTTTTGGAAAGTGATTGGCTAAAAATCCCCTTTCGGCAAGTTTTGGCATTGATTGGCCAACCTTCATTCTTATCTAAGCCGAGGCATCAACAAATGCGTAAAATTTCTCCGGGCTCAGAAGAATAGCTGGTTTATTTCGTGATTAATGACTATTGTAAAGGTCATGATTCAACCTAAATTTCAGGAAATGCCACCATGAACTTCAAAGAATATATTTTGATGATCCCACTCGATTTCAATGTCACCGACCAAAGCCCCTCAGCTTCCTACTTACAAGACGAACTGACCATGAAGAACCTCCACGCCTTCCTCTCGTTGCGGATTATACTCCGCCACGTTGCCGTTGCGTCTGAACCGTCGTCTCCGAGACCAAACAACCAGAATAGCGATCATGATAAAGCACCCTATCACGCACACGACTGATATGACTGCTATATCCCTGGAGTTATTGACGGAACCCGACGACGCAGCTTCCAGCACTTCCTGCACCTTTGCAGATTGTTTATGGTTAACCGGTAGACCGGAAAGAGAAGTTTCGTTTTTGGGTGGCATGGAGAGTGATTTCTGTGGATTTACTACCCTCCTGGAATCAGACATTGGCAAGGTATGGTTACCGAGGCCGTTGAAGAGGGGTACTTACCAACACGTGAATCCTTGATATACGACTCAGTTATCTCAGAATGGACCAGGTTTGTATTCTCCTCTCATAACTATCGCACCAAGATGACACTGCAGCCTCTGGTTTTTGGGCCATAGGAAGAACGTGGACTGATTTGAATCCCGAGGATATCTTGGTGTTGAAGGAGGGGAGTGGAACAATTCCGATGATTCATTCACTTTGGGGGACATTATATGGCATCTAACATCATAGAGCAGTGTAACCACGAGGTGATACCTTTCCAGAACAACTTACGATATTCCACCGTGACACGTGTCTGAGAAACAAAGCATCGACTTCCTTAAGATTGGAATGAATTATACCCTACATCTGATAGAGAGTGAGGCTAAATACGAGATTATGGTTGCACAGTGAATGAGGTCCTATATCCTATATACCTAGACGGTGTGCGACCGACGAAAACGAAGGATGTACCTAGGCACTGCATGAATCCTACAATTTCATATACCGCTTCTTAATGCCGAGGCTGTGGTTCCATTGTTGATATTCAGTATCCAAATATGAACCGGATTCATACATGAAGGATTCAATCCGCTCAGCTCATCACCATCCATCCCTGCCTTCGGCTTTGCCTTCATCATAGGCATAATCGACCTCATCACCGAATCGCTCAACACGTCCCACTTTGTCTCCGACCCATTCGGCAGCGTTTTCAGGGAAGTCCTCCACGTCGTTCTTGATTCTATCGGCTTCATATTCGACTTCTCCGACCTGTGGTACAAGGCTTATTAGAATAGGTAATTCCACTTCCAGATTGTATGGCGACTTACCTTTTCGCCGGTCCATTCAGCCGCATTTTCAGGAAAGTCTTCAACACGCTCTTCAATACGATCCTCTTCTCTGTCCCAGGCGTTGTCTACTTGTTGTCAGTATTCCGCTAAGTAACAAGCGGCTGTGTCAGACTCACGGATCTTCTCTCCTTCATAACCTAGAACAGCTCCTCCGAGAACACCGGCCGCCACACCCGCGGCACCGTAAGCGAAGGTATGATCTTTGCGAGGCTCTTCCCGCACATAAGTATCTTCCTGCACATAGGTACTCTGTTCATATCCGCGTTGACCCTCCCCGTAATATCCTCCACCGTTACCACCACCGTAAGGCGCTTCCCAACGTCTTTCACCGGTCTCTTCGTTGATGTAGAACCAAGCCCGTTCTTGCTCGGCCCAGCGCGCAACCCAAGGACGAGGGACCGGAGGGGGACCACCAGGGCCGCCGGGGCCGCTGGAATAGTATTCCTGTCGCTCTTCGACGACTTCTTCTCGGCGACCACCGCCGGAGGAGAAGCTCTCGACGACGTTTTGGACAAACTCCATTTTGGGTCTTGTTAATGATATGGGAGTGGGCTAATTGGAAGAAAATAATAATTACACGACAAGCACGATTTGAATGTAAAGGTTTCAGTAAAAGGGAAGTTCCATATTTACAGAGAATCCAAAGCGAATTGATCATTTAATAGCTCATCCTATGATCTGAGATGGTGACAGCTAAGCCCCTCAACCCCACCAATCGAAAAACGGTATAGTTGTCAGGGGCGACTCAGTGTTGCAGATTAGTTGCTCAATGAGGTGCCACTGGCAGATAGCGTGGATTAGAAAGTCAAATTGGCTAACCCCTGATTCAATCATTCAACAACATCACAGCGTCAACTATCAGCTCAACGAAGCTCTCAATCCTTGACCTCCAATGCTTTCAGAGGTTCTAACTACCTCATGTGCTTTTAAGTTACTAGGAACGAAATGTGCAAGTCTTGAGCATAGCTGAGGTAAAAACATGCATCACTTATTTCTTTGCGACAACACTCTCTGCTGCAATGCGAGATAACTAGCGGCAACATTAGCAACAATAACAATACTTCATGTTATTTGACACAGCCACAGTTCCGGTTTACACCAAACTTCTCCATGCTGCCTCAGCCGCACTTTTCCATCACCCTAGTCGATCGTTCGCGAATCGTTAGACCCCCTTGATACACTTCTACAATCGCCCGAACACGGTTGACCGGTGACTGCTTCCTATACCGGCTCCTGTCTAGCATTCATGTCATCTCCTCCATGACCCGCTCCACCCCTTTCCCAAAAGACCCGCTCAAATAACAAACAGCTCTGTGCGTGTCTCCTCCACCTTATCACTGTCAGTGATTCCATCTTGCACAGTAAATTGCGCGTTGAATTCCAACGTGGCGCCTTTGACAAGTTCAGTAACCTAAAAGTCTAGCACGACGGTAGTTGGACATCCTGGTTCGTCGGGGTCGCCTAACATGTACGCAAGGAATCCATGTAGCCGTTCCACTTCGAACAGATACTCTGCCAACTAAATGTCATTGTCCCCAGTCTCCATCACATGCTTTGAATTTTACCAACGCTGACTCCGATATGGAGAGTGAAATCATACCTGGGAGGGGAATGTGTGCATTTTTGCGCAGCCAGTTCATCACGCCAACCCGGTGGAATCATACTTAGATTGGTTTAGACACATCATGTCTTGTATTATCCGGCCCTTATACACTGACAATAGCCCAGAGTAAGCTGTATGAAAGCACTATCGATCAGAATATTACCGCTTTACAACTAGGAACTGTTGGATTAGCACGTTTGTTTTAGAGTCGGCAAGGGGCGCGACAAATTATTTGATTAACTAGGTAGCTATCATTCAAAACACAACATGGTCAAAGATCAATGATACCGTTACTATCCGCTAAAACATAGAGTAAATATCGAAGATTCCCGCCATTTTCGAGGCTATATCCGATCCGCGTTGGTTTCAGCCCATTTGTACCTTGATACCAGTGACAAACCACTGCAGCCTTATGCTCTCGTCCCGTTGACATGAAGGATTGAAAGATAGAAGATGTCTCTCCTGTTGTACTACTAAAGTGACAAGGCAACAAAAACCAACCTAAGCAAGGTTTGTATACAGACCACCCGTCTCAACCTCCCGCACCCATAGTTTCCATGATCTCATCACTGACCGTTGGGTGAGTTCCTTCGTGCCCCGTATTTCGTGCTCTGGAAGAAAGTAGATGCCACTATGCGGTCCATCCCCTTTTGCTGCCGCAGCGCTGAGCGTCATACTTACGGTCTGAATCTTCGCATTCTCGACTGTGTAAATAGCACGATAGACACTTTCTGGAATGCTACCCCCGACTGCGGTGAAGCCGTGGCCACGCATTAGAACCACAGACCGTGTCGATTCACTGTCGCTTTCTGGAGCGGAAAAGCATTCCGCAAGATGGGCTCCTAAATCCTTGTTTCGAATCAAGAGATCACATTTGTCATCCTCTTTGTAGAACTTAGCAACGTCGAAGTTGGGGACTGATGCGCCTGCGCTTGATGGTTCAGCATCCGATGCAATGTAAGCATCATTACTGCATTTTCTGTCATACCTAGAAAACCGCTCATGTGTACACATGGTCTCAAATTCACACCTGGTGTTACAATTAGTACTTGTATCTCACAGAAAACGTAAGCAGCGGAGTGAAGTGAGATGAGTGTGCCCTGGGAAGAGATTTTCTCCTCCCAGGATCAATCTGGTCGGGACCAACCTGTTATGGTATAAGGGAGTACTGTCGACGCATGGCTGTGGACAACACTCTGGACTTCGGGGTATTTTTGATAGATTTCACTGTGGATAAATCGCTCGATATATCCCGCCGGACTGGCGGGATTCACTGGAGACGCATCGTGCACAAAGTATTCAACCAAGTCCACAGATGATGAAATAAGACCTGGCGCTAGATCGCGAGACATGAAAAATGTGTCGCTACGTTCCGGATTTCTGACCGATAGATGGCCATAAGCATCAAGCACACTGCCAGCAACAACGAATTAGTTGGGCTCACTCGAACCCCTGACACGGCCTTTAAGCAACAAGGACACTTTACTGGTGACGATGAAGAATATGGCAACCGGATATAAATGTCCGTACTGGAATGCTTGCGGGTAAGTTCATTGCGAAGCTGAACCGCTGTCTGAGTAGCAGTTATTGCAAGACTGGTTAGAAGCTAGTTCTGAAATACTACGACCGACCAAATGTTGCTGAATTTATTCCTGATAAAAAAAAGGGATGACTCTAGTCTTATCTGAAAGCAACAACACTTTATGGTTCTATTGCGTAGCACATTGTGCCACTACTACGTAAACCTGTTTGTAGGTTGTTCTATGTAAATCCGAGCTTCGGCGTTAGGCAGCTGTCTCTAACTCCGAGCATCTTTATATTGTTCCACAATCAACTCTCAAAGATTGCATCATGACAAGCTACAGATAACAAAGAAATAAATCTACTAGTGAGAATTAAGCTTTTTGATAAGCTTTTTACATTTGAGGGATTTTCTATGCCAGTACTGGGCCCTGCAGTGGCGTTCAACCTGACAAGGTTCAATACAATAAGTATTATTACCTATGATAGTTTTATGTAACTAAATCATTCAAGCGTCAACCGATATTTCTCTGAGATTGTGATTTAATAGGTCAAATTAACCATACTAAACCTCTTTAAAGAGCTATTATCATCTTCGCTTTCGCTTTTGTCGTCTGCTACGTATCCAGGCATGCTGTTAGGGGTGTCTGCGGAGCTTTACCAGGTGGAAATGCTGCAAAGGATAGGATTATTGGAATGTAAACCCATCAGCAGCGTCAATATTGAATGATAGATAATGCGATCTCGCTTAAATGAGCCGATACTTCCGATCCTCCGTTTATCCCTTTCTTCTCTTCGATAACTCGATTTTGGCCTTACTCTTTCCAGTCTTAGGGTTACTTAGATCACGTGACTCTGTAGGATATGATATTTGCTTGCTTTTGACAAGACATGGCCAGAAGATTCATTGAAGAATATTTACCCATCTATACTCGAAGAAATTTGATGCAGGGCTCACATTACCCAGGCATAGTAAGTGCAAATCTAGACTCTGGGATCTGAAGTTGGGAATTCAAGCTAAAAATTCGCAAAGTACAGCCAACTTTCTAACTTTCTTAAAGGTTACTCATGGACTTTTCTCTTCATATCCACAGCAAACCTGACTGCTTCTCAATTAAAATTCGGCCTTAAGCTTTAATCGATGGAAAGACTGCAAACGTAAATTAGACTGCTCTTTCTAGTTTTATTCTCATAGAGTACTTTAATAGAACCTGGCTACAACGGATAGAAGGCTTCATGGCTAGGCTCTACTGTACAATACTATTGCTGGAAAGCCTGATGAATATGAAAGCGGCAACCAGTTAACTATATAGGTAGTGATGAGGAAGGAATGAAAACAGAATACATATTAATGGCATTCGAGAGCTAAATCTTCATTCTATATAATGATGCTGGGGTTGTCCTTGTTATGGGATGGTAACATTGAATTTGTGAACTGACGGGTATCCAACCTTTGAATCGGCGACAAGAATTCTGTCAAGGGACCTCACCTACTGCCTCAATGGACCGCAATAGATTGGAGAAGTTATGTAGTAATAAAAGAGTTGTTTGGAAATTGGTTAGCGGCATTCCATATAGACAGGATTGCTGCTGTTCAAACTCGTGTCGAGACAACTATTTATATAGGCGCTTATCCCCCGTTGTCACTGTTCAACGTATGTGCTATTAAACTTTAAACGTTGGGTTCGACCGACTCGAGGGGTCTTCTCCGAATTTGAGCAAGAAGATTGGACTGTCGAAAGAACCATTCATTTTCAGCCAAGAAGGTTTCGGGTTTGACGATACTTATCTATTAGGATGTTAGTCCCGAAATCACTGTTTTCCCTTGGAGAAGAGGTAAAATAGTAAAGTTATCAGAAACTCGATAATATGATGCAGAAAGTAAGTTAGCAAAACTTACATCGTAATTCAAGACGAGGAACGGTATGAGTTTCTTGACCTCAAAAATTCCAATATGTTTACCCAGACATATCCGCCGTCCTGCCCCAAACTAATCCAGTGAAGATCTAGTTAGCAGTAGTACTCTAAAGAAAAATCAAAAGTAAACTTACAGTAAGTAAGCCGTCGTCCCGTTTCTTTCGCACCTCTGGACCGCCCTCCAACCACCTCTCTGGCCGCCAGAGTTCGGCATCATCACCATATGTGGGTTTATGGCGATTTACAACGTATGGACTTGCTCCAATAACTGTATTCGCTGGAATATATTGACCAGAAATGTGCAACCCCCCTTCTGGGACAATTCGTTCAAATGGCAGCGCGAAGGGAGGGTGGACTCGGAGAGCTTCCTGTACAACGGCATCTAGGTACGGCAGGTTATGAACCTCACTCCAACGTGGACGGGGACGTGAGACGTTAGCGGCGACGAGCTCGGCATGCAATTTTTCGAGAGTCCGAGGATTTGTCAGAAGATTGTACATGGTAGTCTTCATGACTGTCCCAACAGAGTCCGAGCCAGCTAGGACGTTTGAGATGGTCCAGGCGGTGACGAACCTACAATGACAGTTAGCATTAATCTTACTCTGTACTACTCGATTTTTGGAATTTCACAACCAAGGAGGTATGTTTGAATCTTTTTTCTGTGTTATGATGTATTCGTCCAAGAAATCGTTCTTTCCCTTTCGTGCCTTAGTGAAGTCCTCGTCCTCACTGGCCGACTTCTGTCGCTCGTTGATAGCCGCAACGACAAACTTCATGATATCGCTCCCTGGAGTTCGTTTGAGGGAATCGGCAATCCGGTTCTTATATAACACCCTATCCAACCACGGGTTTTGCATCACCTCCAGCAAATGTCAGTCCCGGCCTCTGCTAGCGAGAGGGGTAGTCTTACCGGAGCAGCTTGCTTCATGAATTGACCAATGGCATTCAGCATCCCACCAACGTCCTTTCCTTCTTCTAAGAAGCCGTATCGTTTTGAAAAAGTCATTGTTCCCATAACATCAAAAGCAAAAAATTGCAGCCATTCAGTCAAGTCAAATATCTCGCCATGACTGGCGAATCGACGATCTAGCTGTTCGTCTATCACGGAAAGGACTTCATCAACGAGTACCTCAAATTTCGATACGTTTGAGAGTGAGAAGAGAGATGCCACAGGATACTTGAGCTTCATATGCAGATCCTCATCCAATGCCGTAAAGACATTTGGAATGGCGCCTCTATTCCTGGTGTAGGGCCGTAATGGAACATAGAAGTCATTCTACTCCCAGAAACAGGGGTAAGGTCAGTATGAAGGACAGTGATGTATTTTGGAAGATCCATCAATCCCACCTTTACAAGTCCCTTTCTCATGGGATAAATTATATGGATAGAGGCTGGGTCACTAATAGAGACCATGTTAGGGCCAAATCGAACCACATCGCCATATTTCTGGTGTAGTTCCTGATGAATTAGATGGGCTTTCTTTGTGAAGACCCATGACATCCGAACAAAGTTAGTCAAACTGGCCCCCAACGGCCCAGGAATGTGGCGCAGCCGGAACCAGACCCGAAAACGCCACGCTAAAAAGCTGACGATAAGGAGAATGATTATGGACTGGCCGCCCGAAAGCAAAGTAAGTTGAGAACCGTAAGCCATGGTTGTTCAAATTCGAATTTTCTTCGTTTCTTTTTTTGTTTGCTAGCCAATTCACACGCACAGAATATATTGAGAACAAGTTTAGATGTTGGATCAACAGAGCTCCAACACCCAGCATTTTTACTCTAAGGGAAGCTCGGCCAAGGGCGGCTCGGAGATAAGATGATCGCCGTCCGGATCGGAGCAATGGAATAAACTTTATTGGACGCTCGGACCCGCGCCAACTGTAGCCGGGCCGTTCCATCTACTTTAGTGCACATCAAATACTATTCCGAGTTCGGCTAAGCAGGTTAAAATAGATTTGTATGTGAGACTATCAATACGTATGAAGATTCTGGGTCTCCTGACGGTCGTTTCTCCAAATTTACAGGGTTCTGAATAAAGGTCGGAATTATTCGAAAGGCCCCGAACTACATCTACCCACGTACCACTGCATGGATTGAGCCTGCATAAATGCAACACACCTGCGTTTATGTCTGTATGCACGACCTTGATGGAGTTGATTACGCACCACTCTCCAAGTATAGATACAATAATCTTGCTTGATTGTCTAATCTAGAAAGTGCTACAGAGTTGCGATGTTTGTAGAGAGGAATAATATGCTGGTAAGGTAGGTGGCTAAAAGCTTTAGAGACTTTAACGAATTACTTGCGTAGCCAACTGAGATTATATTATAGAAACTGAATGTGGCTATTCATCAGCCGATATAATTTGTTGGAAGCTGAAACTTGTTTTTAATGTGATATTGCGGACACTGGTGAATGCCACTGCTATTCTTCTCATGGGCTTGCGAGGGAAAGTTGATGTTCAGCAATGCACTATCAAAACTGTGGTTTAAAATTAGATAATTAATTTTGCTATATGAACCATGAACCTTGATTTACTTAGCAACAAGCTAGGTAGGAACTGGAGCGACCATGTTATCAAGATCCCATATTGTGCCGATATTTCTCAATTGCCTCTTGTAGCATTGAATTGTAGTCAAAGTGCCATATTTTGTGGGACCGATCTTTAATCTCCTCGAAACAGTTCTCCGCCTTTATCCGTTTCTGGGGGTCTGCCCATTCAGGTTGCTGGTATAAATCACATACCCTCCGGCTACTGTCTACAAACCATTGAGCTCGAACCCGCCGAACGGCATTAAAAGATCCGAACGCCGCAGCTATAGCTCGATTGCGAACAATGGAACTTTTTCCACGAGTTGAAACAAAGACTTCGGCCAGCAAAACTGTCGCACAGAGGGCATCTTCTATACCAATGCAAGCCCCTGCTCCATGATGCGGGACAGCAGCATGGGCCGCATCGCCAACGAGACAGATTTTCCCCCGACTAAAGAAAGGAGCGGGGTAGTCGTACGTGTCGAACATTGCCCATCGGTCAATATTTTCTGGCATGAAGCCAAGCACGGCGCGGAGGCCGGGATTCCAATTGGCAAAGTACCCCATTGCCTCTTCCCTTGTTGCTGGGCCCACCAAACTCAACTTATCAGGCCATTCTTCGGGATCGGATACAAAGGCGGCGATGTTGACCATGGTTTCGTTCGCGACCGGATAATGGATCAGATGAGCGTTTGGTCCCACGTGCATATTAAGTGTGCGTGCCTTGTCTTCTCCAAGAGCGGAAATGGCGTTTTCCATGGTGATAAGACCCCGGAAGGCAAATTTGTGACTGTAGTGGGGATGGGAATAGGGAGAATCCTCTCCGAAGAGATGTTGACGAACACGAGATCGAATCCCATCGGCGCCAATAACTTTCAAAGCATTAATCTTTGGGTCAGCGGCATTGATTTCCAACTTCATCTATAGAATATGAGAAGGACGGATACTAACCACAATCAACGTGAGCAAATGTACCGTCGGCAAATTCCAAGGTCACTTTTTCAGTCTCATTCTTTTCGTGAATTTTCTGTAATCGCTTTTGACACTCAACAATGCCTTCAGGGAGAACCTTAACTAACGCTTCCAAGAATTGGTCACGTCTGCAGGCCTCAAAGCCCCTAATCCCTGCATCTAACTGGTATAGCCTTTTCGAGGACTCATGGTATCCATCCACCCATCGAAGATAATCGCGCGCTTCTGCTTGATGATCTCCGATTGAGATGGGGACTGCACCGCTGGATCTTAGGGCCCAGACGATTGCCGGGTCAAGCATTTCCATACATCGTACTGCATTGGCTGTGAAGGCCATTCCAGCCCCGATCTCACGGAAGCCGCGTGCTTGCTCAAATACTTTGACATCAATGCCGCGCCGGACGAGGCCTGCTGCTAAGATGACGCCGATGATACCACCGCCAACTATCCCTACGCTCAACGGCTGTTGTCGGGTATCTATTAGGCTACCAGGCATGTTGAGTAGTGGGATTATCTTGCTGTATCTTTTTTGAACAAAGATATCAAGAAAGAAGCAAGTTAACGCTTTGAAACTTTTTTCTCAGGAAACGAAATTGAAATTTCGAACTACCTATCTAAAGAACAAATATGAGCGAATTAGATTGGCTGTCTTCCATTCTTAGCTCTTTTGTTGAGACGGCTTCTACTGTTAGCCTAGGATAACCGCCCTCCGGGTCGTTTAACGGAGCCAAGTACTCATTGAACAAATAGGATGGCATGTCTGTCCGGAATGTATGATTAAGCCGGGTGCTGCATTCAGGACCCGGATCTTTTTACGCCCCCAAATCTCGGGCTCTAAGCCAGAATTGTTTAGGCTCGGAAGGACCCAAAGTTTAACCTTTTGTTAGCTTGGGGTTTTGGTGTGTACGAGTGCGCGTGTATTGTGTATGCGTGTCTCGATAGGTAATACTTGGGTCGTTATTGGAACGGAGGTGGAAGAGATAGTAAACCACATCTATGGATGGACCGACCAGGAAGCTGTGAATAAATACCCAAGTAGTTAGTTTAAAGTTCGGATAAAATCTTGAAAATATTGTCTTGAGCAATATTCTCTTCCTCCTCTAGTTCAACAGCTGCATCTAGGATAGATTCAACTTCTTTCGAGCCGCATGCAACATGGATCCCTTGGCATCGAATTTTCGGGGAGAGACAGTCCTCCTTTTTGGGTCACAGTCGCTATCCTTTGATGCAAATACATTCAATGCTATCCGGTCAAGCCTAGAGAAAGAGGAATACCTCAGGTGGATTCGCCATACGGTGGCAGACCTCCCAAGCGCACTGAACACTGCATTACAGCATGTTCCCCATCTAAAAGGCAGCGAAGAATGGGCTTTTTCTGCGGTGCAGGAGCTAAATGACTGGCTCGACTCCGGTCATCAACCGAATTCGCTGGATCCGTCAGCATTACCAAACACTATCCTGACCCCCCTAGTCGTTATACTGCATCTGAGTCAGTATATGAAATATCTCATATCTGCCAATGATTATCAGGACGATACTTTGCTCTCTAAAAGACAGCAGGAGACCTGCGAGACACTGGGATTATGTACAGGACTTCTCAGCTCCTTAGCGGTATCAAGCAGCAGGACGAGATTACAGCTAGAGAGGTACGGGTCAGTTGCTATTCGCTTGGCCATGTTGATAGGACTTATTGTTGATGCTCGTGATCGATCGACTTCTCATGGGCCGTCTCAGTCAACCGCGGCTTTGTGGCATTCTGAAGAGCAGAAGGAGAAATTGCTGGAAATTCTAGCAGCAAATCCAGAGGTAAGAACAGGCAGTTGGACAACATGCATGAAATATCTAGACTGTATGTTGAGTTCTAATTGATTCTTCACCAGGCATATATCTCAGTTTATTATGACCAGAATCGAGCAACAATTACCATTCCAACCGCTCAGACTGCCACAATCCGCAAAGATCTAGCTTCCGCTGGACTGACTACAACAGAAATCGGTCTTCGAGGACGATTCCACTGGAGTGGGCATGAAGCAGAGGTTGATCAACTGATCAAACTTTGCGACATCGACAAGAGATTCCAATTCACACAAAAGACAGCTCTTGTGCTCCCGAATCGGTCATTTGACAGTGAGCCACATGTCCACCAAGGACCTTTGCATGCGATGGCCTTATGGTCCATTCTGGTAAATCCTCCAGAATGGCAAAAGACGGTTAGCGCAGTCTATGCCTCCACTCTGGTCAGCACTACCGCGAAGGTAGTTTCTTTTGGACAAGAACGCTGTGTACCACCGACCATCTTACAGAACCTGGACTCGCGGGTCTTTTATATGGGAGACCTGGAGAAAACATCCTCTCCCCGCCCAAGGGGTGACGACATTGCCATTGTTGGGGCGTCAATTAAGGTCGCCGGAGCAGATGACCTCGAAGAATTCTGGGAAATCCTTTCAAAGGGAATTTCACAGCACAAGGAAGTGCCGCCAGAGCGATTTACTTTTGACACTGTTTATCGCGATCGCGACCCGAAAACGAAGTGGTATGGCAATTTCCTAAATGATCCCGACAAATTCGATCACAAATTCTTCAAGAAGTCACCAAGAGAGGCCGAATCTATGGATCCACAGCAACGTTTACTACTACAGATCGCTTATCAGGCCCTTGAAAAAGGGGGGTATTTTCACAATGCAGGCCCAGATCAGCGTATTGGATGCTATATGGGTGTTTGTGCTGTTGACTATGAGAACAATCTCGCTTGTTACGCACCAAATGCTTTCACAGCCACTAGCCATCTGCGTGGGTTTATTGCAGGCAAGGTTAGTCACTATTTTGGTTGGACTGGTCCTGCCTTAACTATTGATACTGCTTGTTCCTCCTCAGCGGTCGCAGTACACCTGGCCTGTCAAGCTATCTTAAAAGGTGAATGCACAGCGGCACTAGCTGGTGGAACCCAGATTCTTACAAGTCCGCTATGGTTCCAAAACTTAGCAGGCGCGTCTTTTCTGAGCAAGACAGGTCAGTGTAAGCCGTTTGACAGTAAAGCTGACGGCTATTGCCGTGGTGAAGCTGTGGGAGCAGTTTTTTTGAAGAAGATGAGTGCTGCGCTTGCTGATGGAGATCAAATACTGGGTGTTATTTCTGGGACAGCGGTTCAGCAGAATGAGAACTGCACCCCAATCGTGGTCCCAAATAAGCCATCATTATCTGATATGTTTCAGTCAGTTATTGAAAAGGCTCGCCTTCAACCAGACCATATCACCGTTGTCGAAGCCCACGGCACAGGTACAGCAGTTGGTGATCCTGTAGAGTATGCGAGTGTTCGAGATACGCTTGGAGGGTCAAAGCGTACAAAGAAGTTATTTCTCGGTTCCGCAAAAGGCCTCGTGGGGCACTGCGAGTCTGCATCCGGAATAATTTCGCTCGTCAAGGTCCTGCTCATGATACAGAAGGGAATGATCCCACCGCAAGCTAGCTTTAATACTTTGAATCCAGCCACGAAGGCGACCCCTGCAGATGGGATTGAAATCTCACGGCAACTAACCGAGTGGAATGCGCCTTTCCGTGCTGCGCTCATCAATAACTACGGCGCATCAGGCTCAAACGCTTCAATGGTTATCACTCAAGCTCCACGAGCTACTACGACTATTCCAGGGGGCAATGAGATGGAACGAGTGCCTTTTTGGTTTAGTGCACTGAACGAGAAAAGTCTTCAGGCATATGCAGCGGAATTCCTGAAGTACCTCAAAGCAAATCATGGGCAGCTATCTTTGCCGGACCTTGGGTTTAATGTGTCCCGTCAGTCCAATCGCTCTCTTCCTCGTAGGCTCTTGTTCACCTGCCAATCTACCAACGAACTTCAGCAGCGGTTAGAGGAGTATGTAAAGGGCGATTCAAAGACATCTTCTAGCGAATGTCCAGCAACACGGCCGCTAGTTCTCTGTTTTGGTGGGCAGGTTTCAACATTCATAGGACTGAGCCGTCAAGTATATGAGGACGTCGCTCTCTTACGTGGACATCTTAACTCCTGCAATCGTCGCTGTCTAGCTTTGGGATTGAGAGGCATTTTCCCAGCAATATTCCAAAAAGGTCCAATAGAAGACATCGTCACTCTACAGTTGAGTCTATTCGCCATGCAGTACTCTTGTGCCAAAAGCTGGATTGATGCTGGTGCTCAACCCGTCGCTGTTCTGGGCCATAGCTTCGGAGAACTGACAGCGCTTTGTGTCTCGGGTGTCTTGTCTCTTGATGATGCTCTACGTATGATTGCTGCTCGTGCACAAATAATCAGAGATAGCTGGGGTTCCGACGGCGGTAGTATGATGGCTTTGGAAGCAGACTTGGATGTTGTGCAAAAGCTCTTGGCTACATCTAATGCCAATCTTCCTGAAAACGAAGTCGCAGTAATTGCATGCTACAACGGCCCTAGAAGCTTTACAATTGCTGGTCCAAGGCGCGCAATTGATGCGCTAGATACATCTCGACAGGCAAGCCCAGAATTTGCCAGCATTAAAGCTAAGCGGCTTGATGTTACCAATGCCTTCCATTCAACCCTTGTTGAACCATTGCGAAATAAGCTGACCGAAGCTACCAAGGAGCTAAATTTCAGGGAGCGTGGTACTATTCACTTGGAACGTTCTACAGAGACACGCTCAGAAAAGCTCATAGACAACCCCGGCTCGTATGTTGCCGATCATATGCGCAACCCAGTATTTTTCCATCACGCTTTACAGAGACTTGATAACCAGTTCCCCAACGCAATTTATCTCGAGGCTGGATCGAGTTCTACAATCACCAATATGGCCAGCCGAGCTTTGGGAGGTTCAGGAGGAAGACATTTCCAAGCCATGAGCATCACGACAGACAAAGGGTTGGATAACCTTATCGACGCTACTATGAGCCTATGGAATGCTGGACTGAATGTTCGCTTCTGGAAGCAAGCCTTTGTGGAAACAGAAAATTACAAACCTCTGTTACTGCCTCCGTATCAGTTTGAGAAATCCCGACACTGGCTTGAGCTCAAAGAGCCGCCCAAACCTGAGATTATCACAATGTCCGCCGGTGGGCAGCGAACAGACAAGGCACCAGATACTATTTTGAGCTTCGTTGGATACCAAGATTCAAATAAATCGCACGCCCGGTTTCGACTTAACACCGAAAACCGTGAGTACCAGGAGCTCATGAAGGCGCATCTTATTGTATATACTGCGCCTATCTGCCCAGCGACAGTCCAAATGGACATCGCTATTGAGGGTCTTAAGACCCTGGTACCGGGAATTGGGTCCGAAGTTCAACCTCAAATCCATAACGTCGATAACCAGACACCCATCTGTGCCGATAAATCACAGTCCATATGGCTTGATATGAAACTTGCTGATGAGCCGAGTAAAATTAGCTGGCGTTTCCGGTTCTTCGGCACAAGCCTTGATAACGATAAAATGCCTTCAAACAAGCAAGCGGATGCCGGTGTGACTTTCACCCTTGGTACCTTGGTGGTTGTCCCAATGGAGGATGAGCAAACCAAGCTTGATCTAACCCGCTATGATTTACTCACTGGCCACAAGCGCTGTGTCGAACTGTTGCACAGCACCGAAGCCGAGGAGATTCTACAGGGACGCACTATCTACAAGACTTTCGCTGATATCGTGGACTATGGTGAGCAATACAGAGGACTTCAGAGATTGATTGGTCATGGCAACAACTCCGTGGGGAGAGTGGTACGCGCCTACAATCCGAAGACCTGGTTTGATGCACATTTGTCCGATGCCTATGCTCAAGTCGTCGGTATCTGGTTGAACTGTATGACGGAACATGATGCAGAAGAATTATACGTTGCACGAGGCTTCGAAAAGTGGATCCGCTCTCCTGATATCCAGCCGACGAGCAGACCTGACAGTTATGATGTTCTAGCCTACCACAAGGGACCTAGCAGGAACTCCTGCTTGTCTGATATCTTCGTCTTCCATCCAAAGACTGGTCAACTCATTGAGGCAATTTTGGGCTTTCAATTTGTTAGAATACCACGAAAAGGTTTGGCAAAACTGCTTACTCGATTGACCCGCGATGAGACAGCATTGGCGACCAACGCCCAGTCCAGGGCAATTCCCCCACCATCAACAAATACAACACAATCTTCCTCTCAGCAGACACCTATACCCAAAGCGGCTGCTCCGAAAAAAGAGAAAAAACGTCCGGGAAACCCCAAATTAGATGTTTTGCCAAAGCTCATTACGATCCTGGCGGACTTGGTGGGACTGGAACCAGAAGAGATCACCATCAACAGTGAGCTAGCCGATATTGGGGTTGACTCTCTAATGGCCATGGAGGTTGTGACAGAGATTGAACGCGTGTTCTCGTGTTCAGTTCCCTTGGATGATGTAGCCGATGTCACAACCATGAGTCAACTAGTTCGTGTTGTCGAATCGATAGTGGGCATGGAAGGGAGCGAAACTAGCAACCTATCTTCTGATGATGATGACGAAAATGGCACACCATCTACCCCAGAAACGGACTTAAGTGATGCTTCTGTTGATGCTGTCGTTGATAATGCGGAATTGATCGCATATTTTGCTGAAAGCCTCGGCATGGATGCTAGTGAAATATCGGCAAACGTTCAATTGAAAGAGCTGGGAGTGGATTCTTTGCTCTCCATGGAGCTAGGAGGAGAACTAGTTGAAAAGTTTGGCTTAAATCTGAACGAATCCACTGTTCTCGAGGATATGACAATCAACGACCTTCGCCAGACGGCACCTGGAGCTGCTGCGCCTAAAGTTGCTGAATCTACCATCACTTCCGCGCCGCAAGTGACAACTTCAAAAGCTGTTCCCTTGACGAACGGGACATCCTTTAATATTCCTGTTGAGACCATCTTGTCAGCCTTCAAAGAGACAAAAGCAGCTGGAGATAGCTTCATAACTGCCACCGGATGTCGCGGATATGTCGAGCAGGTGTTACCAGAACAGACTTTACTATGCGCTTTACACACTCTTGAAGCTTTTGAAAAAATGGGCTCATCAATTCGAACACTTAAAGCTGGTGATACTATGACGCTGTTCACGCCCCGACCTGAATATGTTTCACTTATAGAACGTCTGACAGAGATGCTGGAGACTCAAATTGGACTGATCAAGGTGATTGGTGGCCCAGGTCTCACCATTGAGCGAACACAGACTCCGTATCCGACGGCTTCCAGTACAGTTTTAATGCAGGAAATGCGACAGAAGTACCCCCAGTACCAAAACGTGAATGAGTTGATATTCTACGTTGGTTCCAATCTTGACCGAGCCCTCCGCGGCGAGACTGATGGTATTAAATTAATTTTCGGCTGCGCTCAAGGACGAGAACTCGTATCTGGGCTTTACGGTGACTGGATCATGAACATTTGCTATTACCGACAGATGGAAGATTTCCTCATACGACTTATTGCTAAACTCCCCTCAAACGAGCCACTGCGGATACTCGAGATGGGTGCTGGCACAGGAGGAACATCGAAGTGGCTCCTTCCTCTCTTGGCTCGACTTGGTTGCCCGGTTGAGTATACATTTACGGACCTGGCACCATCACTTGTAGCAGGAGCACGCAAGACATTCAAACAGTATGCCTCCTTCATGAAATTCCGAGCACACGACATTGAGCAGGAACCTGCGGAAGATCTTCTCGGAACGCAGCATATGGTTGTGGCGAGCAATGCTGTCCATGCAACTGTCAGCCTTGTCGAATCGGCTAAAAAGCTGAGGAAAGTTTTGAGACCGAATGGAATTCTCATGATGCTGGAGATGATTGAGCCCCTATATTGGATTGACATGATCTTTGGTTTGTTCGAAGGCTGGTGGCTATTCGCAGATGGACGCAAGCATGCTCTAACCCCACCCGCGCGCTGGAAGACAGATTTGCAGGCTGCAGGCTTCGGGCGAGTAGACTGGTCTGATGGCAATCTGCCAGAAAATAGCATCAACAAAGTCATCATTGCCGTCGCCTGCGAGCCTGAAAAGCCCGAAGAGCTTGACAGAAAAAGTGTTGTGGATGAATTTGTCCACAAATATACTCAGGGAGTCGACCTTCTTTCTCCAGCTATCAGGGTAAACCGGAAGTCGTTAGGCCATGCTGTGCTTGTCACAGGGGGTACTGGCAGTGTTGGAGCCCATGTCGTTGCGCATCTTGCTCAACAGCCCTTCGTCACAAAGGTTATTTGTCTGAACCGTCGTGGCAAGCTCGATGCGCGCCAAAGGCAACTAGAATCCCTTGCCCAGAAAGGCTTACAATTGTCTGATGAGAGTCTTGCAAAAATTCAAGTCTACGAAACTGACCTCTCTAAGCCACAGCTTGGATTATCGCCAGAAATGTACCTTTCTTTGCTGGAATCTACTACAGATATTATTCACAATGCTTGGCCTATGAGCATCAAGCGCCAAGTACAAGGTTTTGAGGCTCAATTTCGCATCATGCGCAATTTGATCGAGTTTGCTCGCGACATTTCTCTCGGCGGGGGTGATCCTCTTGGATTCCAATTTATATCCTCCATTGCGACTGTAGGTCACTATCCACTCTGGAAGCAAGAGATCCGTGTTCCCGAAGACCGCTTGCCGCTTGATGCAGTTCTTCCCATCGGATATGGTGATGCTAAATATATTTGCGAGTTGATGCTGGACAAAACATTGCACACATACCCCCACCGATTCCGCGTTTCGACTGTACGATTGGGACAAGTCGGTGGATCTAAGATTTCAGGTTATTGGAATCCAGTCGAACACCTTTCTTTCCTATTCAAATCGGCACAGACAATCCAACAACTTCCTGATTTACATGGACCGCTCTCCTGGACCCCTGTTGATGATGTCGCCAAATCCCTAGTCGATCTTCTCTTCACTGAAAAGCCATACCCTGTCTATCACATTGAAAACCCGATTACTCAACCCTGGCAAGAAATGATTCCCATTCTGGCAGATGCCTTGGGCATCCCACGTGGAAATCGCCTGTCCTTGAAAGATTGGGTCGCTCGTGTGCGTGAATTCCCAGAAGATCCTACAGATAAAGATAAGAATCCTGCTACTGCATTAGTCGATTTCTTTGAACAAGACTTTGAACGCATGTCAGTCGGTGGTCTGTTACTTGATACTACAAAGAGTCGGGAGCATTCCCCATCTCTCCGAGCTGTTGGGCCGATAACCCCAGACCTTGTGCGAAAGTTTATTTCTTACTGGAGGAGTATCTCTTTTGTTGCCTGATTAAACGGTGAATAAGAAGCCCTGGAAGGCATGCGTGGAATCTGAGACTAGTTACTATATTGCGTTGGATAGCTTTTTTGTAATTTTTCGTGTTCTTAGTCTATCCTAGTTTCATCACTTAGAATATCAAGATATGACCTGAATATATTCAGTATAAGTTCGTGTTTATTATTGAGAAGAAACCTTCAAGATACTGCTTCCATCTCATTTAGAAAAAATTTCATAGACAAAACAAACCCTGACTGGCTAGGTGAACGATATCATTTAGGTTACTTTGCGAGTCAAGATTGGAGAACCTCTACTATGGCTTCATCGTCTAAGGAATCGGATACTAGGCCTCATCATCCATGTCTGCTGCATATTCGTGACACATTACCCCTCGTAGGCCAGAGCCACATCGCTACAGCCTCTTCAGTACAAAGATTCCCTTTCTCAGAAGGTAGATAGTAGGGTTTATTTTTCCTTCATATACTCGTTGAACCACTCCACTGCCTGTACAAACGCACTTCTCATGGCATATCGCACTTCGCCTGCATTCATATCCCCTCTGACCCCAAAGCCATGACTGACACCACTGTACAGATTGATTTGATATGGAAAACCAACTTCCTGCAAAATTTCCTCCGAAACATGACGCTTTTCTGCTGGAAAGATATTATCCTTCGCTGCAGCTGCAATGGCCAGCGGACCTTTAATTCCTTTGAGTTCACTCTCGTCAATATGAGATGGATGTGCAGTATAGCCCACGTCCATCTTTCCAGGAATTAGATGTCGAACGACGTATTTACCGCCGAAACAATAACCCACAGCACCAATTTTCTGTCCTCTTGTGAGTTGTTACCTATTGTGAGGAGGACAGATTCATACCTTGCATTGATATTTAGAGCGCATCTCGGAGAGACAAACTTCAACTATGGGATCCACGGTTTCTGGGAGATGGTTCTTGCCCTGTGGATGGTAGGCGCCACTACGCCATTTCCCCATGTCGAATTCACCGGGCTTGTTTAAAGGGACAGCATCACCAAGAAAAAGATCCGGCATCATTACAAAATACCCATTCTCGGCAAACTGATCAGCAATTATTTGGGCGTTAGAAAAGCGATGACCAACTATATCAGTCAAGCTTTACATATTTTGGAGAGCTCTGTTAGACTTGAAACTCATTCTATGATAGCGAAGGGAGAACGCACATCAAGACTCCGTACTCGGTTGACTTGTCCGGAGGATAGCTGGTATAGACTTCTATGTCCTTCACCATCGACAGCGTTCCTTTCGGCGCTCCACTGTGCCTAAAGCCCTGGTAGCAGCAAGATTGGGACGGAAGTGATGCCATTTTGAACAACTGAATTCAGAAGAGATTCGACCTAGGTGTAGTCTGTATAAGCAAAGATAAAACAAATATTTTACAATTAGGAGAACATACAAGTTTCGAGTTGAAAGAGGAATTGAAAGTCTCATTGGGATCATGTTGTGATGGCACTATTCTCAAATCCGATCCTCGGCCGGGTAATACGGCAAGACAGAGAAAACAAGCATTTCTTCGGATTTGACTAGACACAAAGAAACAAACCTTTATCTCCGAAGACCTATTAGCCCGGATCCAGTTGCCGAAGTTGAGTAAGCCTTCCCGTCTCGAACCGCGATTCGATTCGAAGAGTGGGTCTTTTGCTCTACTAGAGCCTAGAGGGAGAAGGATAAGTGGGGACATGGCGCTGAGAGTGGGGACATGCAGACAAGGGTCGAACTATCAAACGGCTTTGGATGACGTAAACATATCCGAGACTCTCGGATTTAGAGCCTCGGAGCTACGAAAATCGTTGGCAGGCAAAGAGCATCGGGCAATTTTGCAGCAGGAATAAGGAGATTCTCGATGCTTATGATTCTCTCGGCTTAGGCTTTATAATGATGACAATGGTACGTTTTTCTTCTTTTACCCTCAGGTACCACCGGACACTGAGAAGATCGAAATATGTCGAAAGATCTGGAGGCAGGTGAACCTGCACCGAAGCAGGAGCTCCGGCAATCATTAATTTCTCGACTTCGACTTCGGCAACCTGGACAGACAGCTACCTTTACGCACCCAGATGGCGACCGCAAGTCAGACAATAGTTGCATCGTGGATTTTGATGGTCCAGATGATCCGTATCGCCCTATGAACTGGAGCTTCAAGAAGAAGGCGCTAACGACGGTCCTCTATGGAATGACTACTATGGGTGCAACCTGGGCCAGTTCTGTGTATGTTAACCACTCGTTGTCTACCACTTTGCTAACGATTTCAAAGTTACTCCCCCGCTATCCCCGGCATCCAGAAGGAGTTCGATATCGGCGAGGTCACCGCGACACTGGGCACGTCACTCCTTCTATTCGGCTTCGGGCTTGGGCCAATTTTGTTTGCGCCTCTTTCTGAGTTTTATGGACGCAAAAGAGTGGTTTTGACGCCTTACTTCATATCTATCATGTTCTCCTTTGGAACCGCCGTGGCCAAGGATACTCAGACCATCATGATCACTCGATTCTTCTCGGGATTCTTTGGTGGTGCTCCCATTACCAATTCTGGTGGTGTTCTTGCTGATATCTGGTCTCCAAAACAACGTGGTGGGGCGATGGTTGCCTATGCAATGGCCCTTCTTGGAGGACCGATGTTGGGTCCCATCGTCGGTGGAGCGATTGTTGATAGCTACCTGGGATGGAGATGGACCGAATATGTATGTTACACTTTCCCTTAAAAGTGCACTCTGCTTTCTTTAGCTGACTATATCTGAAGATCACAGGTATTCTACAGATCACAACTTTTACACTTGCCGTTATTTTTATCGATGAGACTTACGCTCCGACATTACTGGTGTATAAAGCTCATCGTCTCCGCATTGCGACTGGAAACTGGGCTTTACACGCGCGTCACGAAGAGATCGATGTCCAGTTTAGTGACATAGCCAATAAATATCTGCTCCGTCCGTTCCGGCTCCTAGTAACGCCCATCTGCTTCTTTGTTGCACTCTACGCATCATTCGTCTACGGCATTCTTTATCTGAGTTTGGCCTCCTATCCAGTTGAGTTCCAAGAAGGTCGCGGCTGGAATTCGCTTGTTGGAAACCTTCCATTCTTGGGTATGCTGGTAGGCATAGTATTAGGAGCCCTCACGAATATACTCAACCAAAAGTTTTACATCAAGAAGTATATCGAGAATGGCAACAGAGCCGTTCCTGAGGCACGGCTTCCTCCCATGATGCTGGGTTCTGTCAGCTTCGCCGCCGGACTGTTTATTCTTGGCTGGACAAGCCCCAAGCATGTCTTCTGGCTGTGCCCAATTATTGGAGCAGTCCTTCAGGGTCTTGGATTCTTCACGATTTTCCAGGCTGCTTTAAACTACTTGGTGGACACATTCACTCGCTTTTCCGCCAGTGCCATTGCCGTCAATACTTTCATGCGCAGTGTTCTCGCTGGTACTTTTCCTCTATTTGCTGCCATCATGTACCGTAAGTTAGGAGTTCCCTGGGCTTCTAGCTTACTGGGATTCATTGCAATCGCCTTGATACCAATTCCGTTTGTGCTTTATGCGTATGGAGCGCGGATCCGGGCTCGCGGCAAATGGTCGAGACCTTCTATTGAAGGCCACGGCCACTAGTTCTGGATCGGTTGCAAATAGAAGCAAAATTAATAGAAGCATTAGATATTTGAGCGTTTCTCTATTCTCGGGATACGTTCGCCTTATATTATCTACATTGGGCTAGCAGTACTGAGAAATGCACGTTGTGCCAATATATTTTGCATCGAAAAAAAATAGATGATTTGACTAGTTATTTGAAGCTGCACTGATAGGGATGTGTAAAGATTTATTGCTATCGCCATGTGTATCTGTGTAGAGAGAACACTTTTTCGGTAGGAATATACGGTGCTTTAATATCTCGACATATGTATGAATGGTGAAGCTTATTGTGTTTCTCCTAGTTGCTTCTCCTTCTACTCGGCAGTTTCTGTTGAACAAATGGCATGAAAAAATGTCGTGCTGAATGGTATCGGAGATTAGAGCTTGTGGTTGCTGTAAAGTCCTCGAGGTTTAGAAAATGTATATTATTAGATTCATTCCACCTACGTACACTGAAAAAGGAACTGTCCCAGGATGAACGCAATAGCGGCGAAGTGGAAAGGTACAAGAAAAGGTAAGCAAGGAAAGGATATCTAGTCTAAAACCGTCTATAATAGTCTAAAACAATAATTTCTAGTCAAAAGTTGCTATCCCTGGACGTTAGAATGAGACACTGATGCCCATAGCACGTTGATCTCCTTCACCAAAGTGGCCACATCCTTCGACTTCAGTGGCACCCTGTGTGCCCCGTCCCATTCCATCACTTTTGAATATCGCGGATCGAAATCGTCATAGTAAAGCTTTCTATGTAGATCTAATGCTGGATCTTTTCTGCCATGAACGTGAATCGTTGGGACCTGGATTAATTCTCGAGTAAGAATGACGTTTCCGAGATTTTCTTGAGAATCAAGACCAGAAGAGTCGTCATTTTCGCAGAGATGAGCCATCTTCTGCATAATATCTGCGCCTACTGACAGATGAGACAGAGTCACCAGAGGCCCTCGCCCAGCCAGTAGCACCGCAAACCGCCATTGGGGAAGCCTGAATGGCAAATGACTGTGATCTCCAAACGTCCGACCAAGAAGTTGCTGCTCCAAGATGAGACTGGCGCACACCTTTGCGCCCTGACTAAATCCGAGTAGGCCAACCACGGGTCCTGTTGCACCGCGCTGATCGTCTTCCATAATGGCCTTGCAGATCGAAATTTGCAGTGCTTCAGTCATGGTCACCGGGTTCGCGTCCGGTGAATCGATCCACGCGCGGAAGGGTCCAAAATCACGATAGACGGCCGTGACATCGGGTCCAGGTTGGGATGGGAATAAAGCCTCGGCGTAGCACAATCGAAATGAAGTACGAAGGGCTTTTTCGAGGGCACGACATTGCGCGCGGAAAATGCGAGCATTTGTGCCACCCCCATGAAGGCAGAGTATGCGCGGGAGGTGAAGTGTGTCCTTGTTGTTGGAGGGGAAGTTGTGTTTCTGTGTCATGGTATATCGATACAAGGTGTGGAATTCCAGCGACGACAACAATTCTATACTTTGAGGGCTTCCTTGGTTGGGAATCGAATCACCATTCATATGCACCACACACTCGAGAGCGCGCATTCAGGGGACATGCCGTGCAACATATTTTCGGCCCTACCCGCATCTCGTCTATCATGTTTCAAACTTGTATCGCATTTTTTTCTCGTCTTTTTCTTATCTGATTTTCCATTTTGCGTTAGTGGCGGAGATAACTAGTAAGTAACGTAGAAATCTACGGAGTACCCTGGAAAAAGAGCCGAAAACCTTCGGGTGTGGGTCTGGCGGAGAACAAGCTTTGCAGAAAAGCCTTCGGCTCCGCCCGGCTCCGCTATCGGATATGCTAAATCCGAAGTGCTCTACCCTAGTACGGGCTACATTCCGCTCGGCGAGAAGCTGTTGCATTGCAATCAGTATGCACTGTAGAACCCTTATCACAGCATTTAGAAAAACATTATACGTGGCTGGTACTGGCGCTGCGTCTTTCAGTTCTCTTCCGCTCGGCCTGTGTGGGGTGAAATATTGCCAGTGCACGGAACTTCTTGAAATCGACATCCTTCCGAGTTCTTAAGCTCTCGCTGATCTTCTAAGACACCCATTTCCCCAAATGGTTAGTGTATATAGTAGTTATACAAGCTGCAAGCGATTTTACACAGGAGCTTTGACTTGTGTATTTAGACTTCTTACTATAAATTCATGTAAAAGCTAATCTTATCTGGAGAAAAAGAAACGAACAATTGATTGAGAATTCAGCCCTTTAGTGGTTCCTGCTTATTTTGGATTCTTTCTTAGTCGATAACCATTTGTCAATCGGAAATGGCGCCAAACTTTCCTCCAATTGAAGAGGCTCTACCTTTACATCATGATCTTTTCTATGATGGCAAATGGCAGACTCCTATTACTGACAGTCGTCGCGAGACTCTAAACCCTAGTACGGGTCAGGTTATTGGCAAAATCGCTGATGCCAGTACTACCGATGTTGACAAAGCTGTTGAAGCTGCGCACAAGGCATTCCTTTCATGGAAGAAAACCACCATGGCCGAGCGGCAGGGGTATATGCGCCGTGCAGCGGCCATTCTACGTGAGCACGCGGCCGAGCTTGCCCTCGTCGAGTCATACAACACGGGAAATCCGGTTGCCGCAATGGTAATTGACGCCGAGCGTGCTGCTAATGCTCTCGATTATTTCGCTGGTCTGATCCCAATGCTTCGGGGAGAGGTCTTACCGGGACCTTTCCCAACTGAAGATTATTTGCACTATACTGTTCGTGAGCCAATGGGTGTCGTGGCTCGCTTTGTTGCTTCAAACCACCCCTTCATGTTCGCTGGCGCCCGTATGGCCTCCGTTATTGCGGGCGGAAACACTGTCATAATCAAACCGCCAGAGCAGGCGCCACTTTCTTGTCTCCGACTTGCAGAGCTCCTCGAGAATGTTTTCCCTCCAGGCGTTGTGAACATCCTCCCTGGCGGAGCAGAGTGCGGTCAAGCGCTCACCTGCCACCCACTTGTCAGGAAAGTATCTTTGATTGGCAGTGTAGCTACTGGAAAAATCATTATGCGCAATGCTGGAAGTCTGATGAAACAGACTAGCATGGAGCTAGGCGGGAAGAACGCGTTGATTGCTTTCCCGGATGCAGACATTGATCACTTGGTTCGATCAGTCGCAGCGGGTATGAACTTTACTTGGGCTGGACAGAGTTGCGGATCGACATCAAGGGTCTTTCTGCACGACTCTATTCATGACGAGGTCCTCGCTCGTGTTGTGGAGGTCGTCCGAAAGGGGTTCCGCCCCGGCCTCGCAACCGACCCGACAACGACGATGGGATCGCTTATCAGTAAAGCGGCTCAAGACCGAGTGCTTAACTATATTGCTTCAGCTCGGGAGGAAGGCGCCCGGTTGGTCACCGGTGGCGGTATGTTTGATGATTTGGCTGGAACGCCAGTGGAAGGTGGTTTCTTTGTGCAGCCAACCATTTTTGCTGATGTGACGCCGGATATGAAGATCGCACGGGAAGAGATCTTTGGTCCGGTTATGTCTGTCCTCCGGTGGAGTGACGAGAGCGAGCTGATTCGCATTGTGAACTCCACTAATTACGGTCTTACTGGGTCTATATTTACAAAAGATCTGGCTACAGCACAACGGATGATCCGTCAAGTAGAGGCCGGGTTTGTCTGGGTCAATGACGTCTGTAAACACTTCTTAAATGTCCCTTACGGAGGCATCAAGGACTCTGGGATTGGGCGCGACGAGTGTATTGACGAGCTCTTCGCGTATACCAATATTAAGAGCGTCAATATCAACCTGGGAGGAGTTTGAGCGTCAGCACCAGAGAAATATCATAACGGCTACAGGCAACTCACCTGGGCAGTCGTTTATCGCAGGCTGGTCAAATTTCAAATACTTAGGTAGTTCTATATTTGTAAATATGGTAAGCTAATGTGCAAAGCATCAAACCGTTGCATCAAAGTAACTATGCAATTCCAAGTCAGAATATATACTTTCCCGGCTTCCGAAGGTCGAAGTAAACAATATCTAATTATGATTATGGGAAAAATCAATTTAGATAGAGTAAAGGGACGAGAAACAGAATATCATGAGAACAGATTGGAAGATTGATAAGTCGCAAATTAGGCGGGAACAAGCCTATCAACCCAGAGCTGGGATATTAATATGACTATAAACTCCCGTAACAAAGTTGCTATTATTGGTGTACTCGCTATAAGGGTTGAGACCAGTATATCAACTATTATGTCTAAGTCACCTAAATTCTGAAAGGGGGGAAGTCCCTTTCTATACGACATATGAAAAGTAGTATCATAGATCAAACTGGAAGTCAAAATGCTAAATCCGATTTTAACATTGTTTTAATGAAGGATGTGCCTTATGCCACAGAATGTATAGCACAAGGAAATATTTGACCACAAAGCAAGGAGCGAGTTTTAAAGATCATGAATGAGTGTAGAAAACAAGACAAGTTTATTTCGTCACCCAGTACAGTCTTCCATCATTCAATCAAGATCGTTCAAAGCCTACCTCAAATATTTAGCGTTATCACCAAGGGTATGTGCCAGTCTGCTGTTGATATGTTCTCCGACAGACGCTTCTCCACCAGAACCATCGAGCGGCTTAATCTTCAGATTGAGGTTTCCATTCAGGAAGAATGCAACACTGTACCGTCGCTCTCCTGTTATATAAACACGGTGACGAGCACTTCGATAGTATCCACCAGTCCAACGGTGCATAGTATCGCCCATGTTGATCACGAATGCATCTTCAATCACTGGCACTGGGATCCAGGTCTCCTTTGGAGGGTACCAAACCTCCAATCCCTTCGTTCCCTTCTGCTGGAGGAGGATGGAAACACAGCCAAAATCCGTATGGTCACCAACTATGGAGTAACGCAAATGAATAAGCATAATCCAGTGAAATATGCAATAGTTTATGATTAGATTGTTTCAGAAAGCAAGGAGAAAAGAAGGAATGCTATAAAATACTCACCTCCAAACTGTCTGGGGTCGGGGTTCTCCTGCGGAGCATAGTGCAGCAGACGCATCGGTATGGATGGGTTGATCAAGATGTCATTCAGAACATCCGACGGATGGCCAAACGCCTTGTGAATTCCTTGACCAAGAATTCTGACAATTGTGCTGACAAGATCAAGCATCAAGGCTCGATATTCCATCACTGGCTGACGGAATTCCTTGTCTGATAGTCCCTCAGGCCAAAGATTCGGTCCTGTGGAAAACTTTCCAGCATCCGGATGATCGGCTGGAATTTCAGCACCAGTAATAAAACACTGTTTTTGTGTAAGCATGAATCACAATTGAACTGCACCTTGAAGCTGTACTAGCGGAAGACCGATGGAAAGTCAGCTCTCACCTCTTTGGTGTCTGGCAGTAAGCCGTCCTGATGTGTTTGGATCAAGGAAGGCTCATAACCTCTAAACGACTTGCCCAGTGATTTGTCGACAGAGATTTTCATCTTCTCTTCTAGAGGAAGGTCGAAGAATTTTTTAGTGCAGCCGAAGATTTTCTCTCGGGCTTCAGCTGGAATTCCATGGCCCACAAGGTTGAAGAAGCCATACTTGTTACAAGCGCTTCTGACCTCCTCGACTACTTTGTTTTTGGACTCTGGGGACGCAGTAGAGGACAGCCAGGCGCTGATGTCCACAGTTGGAATGACTTCGTCTCCGATACTCATGTTTGCTATGTTGCTTTGATTTTCTCGTCTCTGTTTTGTTGTGCCGATTGAGTTCTCTTGATTGATCTTGAATTATCACTCAATAGCCATCACGTATCCCGGTCTTGAATTTATTTGCTCGCTAAACTTATAGACCAAGTTTTCTTTAACTGCGGCATACGTCAAGCGTAGCATAGGACGGACTTATTACGGCGATACCTTGCAACCCCTCCCGGAAGAAAGATAACCATTCAATGAACCGAACCTATCATTTGAGACCGAACACGAGACGTGCCCCGGAACCGACTTGCCACCGGGTCTGTAGTTTGTCTTTGGACCATCCTGTCAAACATGACCCGGGCCTTGGTCAGTTGATGTTGGAGGCGGATGTGGTATGTGTGTCTCAATTCCAGATCTGCCGGAGATGATCATTTCCACAGAGTCGGACGGACCGGCTGCTTATGCCCTTCACAGGCCTGTTTGCAATGACTTACGAGAGGTATTTAGCAACAAACACATTAATGTTGATTCAAAACTTCATACCTGGAAGACGGAACGGCTTGTGGCTGGCATAAAAACGTATGAATTATCTCATATTAATCTAGAATGGATGCCTAGCTACATGTTTCCTTCCTTTAGATGCATTACTATCTCAAAAAAAACCCCCATATTTAGAGTTCTCATAGTCCTCACTCGGGAACAGTCTCATTCTGATATTCTCACAAAATTGTATCATATACTACTGATCGCATCTGAAATAATCCATACTCCAGCATAGCCTCTAAGATAGGTACTCCACAGCAATATTATTCACTTTGCTTATATGTCTTAACAACTCATAGATCTGCTTGACCGCCGCTTGCGTGATTTCATCCAAGTTCTGATTAGATTTATAAAACTCCATGCATTTCGCAAGTATTAGAGGCGTGAATGGATGGATCTGAGCGAAGATCAGCGTATGTACTTTCATAAAATTAAATTCAGAAGAGAGCAGAGAAAAGTGCTGTACCTTGAAACGGCTCATATGAAGAATTGAAGTTGAAAGGTTCGCAATTTCTTGAGCAGCCATTTGTGCTTCGTATTGAAGAGCCATTGAGATGTTCTGACTGCTCTCTGTCGCCCGAGAAAAAGATTTCTGCGTATTATAGAGATATAGCACGCTGGACTGTGCAATCATAATCATAAAAGTTTCCATGGGGTCGTCGGAAAAGGGGAAGTGGGAGTCTTGATGTTTAAATGATAATGAAGCTAGTCGACTCTTGAGTATATTCCTGAGTAAATCAATCTTTGACCACACATTAGTCGAAGAGCTGCCGGGGCTTAAGCCTTCGAGCTCCGAGGTGAGAGCGGTAATCCGTCGAATAATAGTCGCGAAAACAATTGACTCAGCCCAGGGCGAAAGCACGGAAGAAGAAGCACCCGAAAGAACAGTGCCCAAGAAAGGCATTTCTACATAGTGACTGTTATCAAAGTCTTTGTCTAGAGCCGGGAGTCGAACAAAGTCCTAACACATAGCTGAATTAATTGGTTGAATAGAAAAGTACAAAAAAGGGGTAGTACCGTGCCGGTCAGACTCAGCGGCCATTCGCCTCTCAGGCTGATAAAAAGATCCAACGAGTAGGCCATCCAAAATGCCCTTCGCTTTTCCTCACGCTGTATCCAGTCTTCACGATCATTTCTACCTTTGGAACGATCAATTTCAAAGAGACGCATTAGTTGGATAACCCGGATACAACGCCCGGCGCTGGTCCAGCCACGCCTGAAATTTTCCTTCATGAGATCATAGTTAACAATTAAGATGCATGCTTGCGCATACTCAATCTGGGGAGCGGCCGTATCTTGGGCGGTAAATTTATCAAGAAGAGAGCACGTACGCTGGTAAAATGACTCGCGTAGATGCTGAAGTTGTGTCGACAGCGATGTTGCTAATGTCCACATGGCAAACTGCAGGCATGTCTGTGCATCGGTTCTATTGGGTGATCGCGTCCACGAAAAATAGCGTCTGCGATGTAAGATAGGAATCAGGCGATGTACCCTATCTAAATAGAGTTGGTCTCTGTAGAGCGCATTAGCATTTCGTAGCTTAATTTGTGTACTATAGAGCTCTTCGATTGTAATTCATTTAGGAACCACCTACAAATCTTCATGCATCAAATCATTAATCGGGTCATTTAGTGGAGGAGCAAGAATTCCGGCCGTTTCGATAACCGTTTGAGGTTGACTGCATTCGACGGTCTCGCTGGGTATCAATGATGGCAAGGAGTCAAGTGGTGACAAGATAGGAAATGATTCCGGAGTTATATTTTCGAGAAAATTGTAATCCATATCATAGAAAGAATCCATGTGAAAATCCAGGTTGAACAAGCCTGGATTGAATTTGGGCTGCACATCGTAAACTTCAGCGTCGGAGGTTTCTATTCAGTACATGGTTACTCTCGTTAGCATCTGAGAATCACAGTGGCTTCAAGATCGGCCTTTTAAGTCCAAATCTCTGATCTTCAAATAATTGGGAAGCTCCATCTGCCATACCCACTCGATCTTGAGGACCCTCTATATGGTCTCTCTGTGCGCTTCGCTTTCTCGAGTAGTTATTTGAACGTATACACTCCACTCCTGCATTGAAGCAATTTTTGCAACGTGGTTGAAGAGCATCGCATTTCATCTTTTTGTTTCGACAATGGAGGCATGCAGAACCAGGAGGTTGGCGAGTTGACTGCCCCCCGACTGTGTTGGTACTCATCTTGATTGCAACGCTCATTAAGATATGGATGCGTGCATAGCATAGCCCCGTCAAGCAAAGTTGTGAGCGTCCGATGTTTTTGGATTGCCCGCAGTTACGAGACAATGAGCTGTTTGGGCATTGCGCAAAGAGATAAATAATCGTAGTGGGAATTTGTTCCCTTTCATAACCGGAGGGCAACAGCAATAATGGAGGCTCAAGGAGGTCAGTCGTATGCACAGATTATGTACGATGATTGGACTGGGGTGGACAATAATAGCTCAGTTGCCTCTTTGGTCTCAAATTTATTACAATATCCAAGGTTGTTGACCTGAAGAACCTTCATGAAACATCATACGGGAGTAAAATAATACTTTGGTCCGGTATTGCTTCGCTGGGGCTATACTTACTAATTGATCGTCATTAGATCCGGCATAGCCGGTCTTGTATCGTTTTACGTATAGAAGTTATTTCTTCATTAATGCTTTAAGGCAGCCCTCCTAGAGATGAGGGAGGCCTCATGCTGTTGCATTATCCAACATGCAGGAGCAAGGATCTGATAACGTACTGACGTGGGTTCTGACGGAAAGTGGATATACGTTATACTAGAGATAGCAAATGGGAGCCTATCATTTACCCCTCAATTCGATAAGCTCCTTTTATCTGGAGGATTCCTAACAGCCCTAAGCTAAGACTAGCCTGGGTAGGCTAATACTACACTAATATGCTGAGGGAATCAAATGCTCGTAATTTAGATGTGCGAGACCAGAAGCGGCTGGTCAAACCACCCAAAACGGTAGGTTAATATAGGCCCGGACCTGAGTCATTGGCTGGTTGGATAATAATATACACAATCTGCAAGTAGCTAAGAAGTTACGGAGACTAGTTGTTGACGTATAATACGTCTGGAGCGGACCCTTCTAGGTTTTCCGCCGAGAACCCGCGTGGTGGTGGTATACAATCCCTCGTCGTTCTAGAATTGGTAGGCTATGCCCCGTATATTTCCAAGCTAGGAAAACAATTATAGTCGATGAGATTGCGGTAGCCAAGATAAACCCATCGTTGTTTGTGGATATGCATGCAATCGACGGAGGTAGGTGTTCCGTAGTATACCTATATTTATAGCCCCGTATCTTGTTCACCACCAAAAAGGAAAAAGGAATACTAAAGGTGGATCTGATTAGTAAGATCGACTTATATTTCTCGTATGGAAATAACTGCTTTCTTCAAACTTGTTTCACATGAACCTCCACTTTTGACTCACCATGGTAAATTTCAGGATTCATCGTATCATATTCTAGTGCAAACTCAATTCTGTGGCTCCCATAGCTAAGAGCCTAAGAAAAAGCTTACATACCCTAGCGCGGAACCCAAACCTGGTGGGGCCGGAAGTCTAGCAGAATTCTGTCTCAATTTTTAGAGAGTAAGATCATATCATGCTGCCCTCTGCAAAGTGGATTGTTTTGATGGAAGAAGAAATAAAAATGCGAGATGGAGCCCTATATTCGTAGAACCACAAAGCTCCACCGGAGTCTTGGCGCCTTGGCGCATCTCGGGCTCTGGGCTGAGACTCGCACATGTGAGCCAGCTAAATGTCCGGATTTCTTTCCAGACCGCGGGAAGCGTTGAGCGACCACCGGCAGAAAATATTAGGAATATTTGGTAGGGTACCCACGATGTGATCGACGCAATGACATGCAGCCAGCACACGCCAGGTGGGTCTTTTCGGATGAGGGTTTTGCCGCAAACCAGTCTCCTATTCAGATCTTCTCCACGATTTCCGCTGACGAGTAGGAGCCGGCCGAGCCATATACCACAATAAGGTAGTGGAGTGGCAGTCCAAATGAAGAATGGCGATAATGCGTACATTTGGAAGGGAGGATGATCCTCTCCGGTGATTTCAACCTAGAACGCCGACCAAGAATCACGGATCAATGAATGCGCCAGGGTTGTACCCCTTTAATAGGAAACAATAGGCAGTTTACCCAAGAGAAAACAATATATGATCACATCTAACCCCATTACGCTTTTCTCTTGAGCATACGCCTGCATAGAGGTAATCCTAGCAATCTTGATATGCTTCTATCTTGTTGTAAAACAGCTTTCTAACTGGAACATCCCCAAGTCCTATTGTGAATTAATAATAGACGCTTGGCGTTAACATGAGATCTGACTCGGGTTTGGCCTTGCAAGGAGAGTTTGCTGAATCACAATGCATGTGCCATCCGAACAACAAGCTCCTAGTCACCGAGTCTGTTTGGACGGAGATAACCGTTCTCTTCTCGGGCCAACGTATCTCTATACGGCTCCTGTACCGGTCCCGAGTAGTTTATAGCCATCCGGGAAGTTTTACTAAATCAGATACTAGCCCATATTCTCCTGTTCACAAGTATATCAATGGCTGAAAGCCACAGCCAATGGTTAGACTAATACCTACTACTACACACTACATTGATATTGGCCTCAACCATGGTGCTTTCAGATAAAAAATTTGTCCTCGTCACTGGGGGTAGTAGTGGTCTCGGCTTCGAGACAATCAAAGCCTTGATCCAGACCAACCAACCTTACCACGTCTTTCTTGGCTGCCTATTCCCCGATGAGGGCCAAAGTGCAGTTTTATCCTTGCAACGGGATGTGCCCGAGACTCCAAGCACTCTAGAATCAATCTTGGTTGATGTCACTGATGATGAGTCAATTGACCGATGCTTCCACACTGTACAGTCTAAAATTGGCCACCTTGATGTGTTGGTCAATAATGCAGGCAAGAGATTAGCTCCCTTTCCCGCTCGCTTATATACAGCTCTCATCTTTACGCCTTCCATATTCATCTCGTGTTCCAAGCGTGTTCTAAAATTATAGTTTACTAGGGATCTCCCTTCAGGCATCTGAAATAGGCATGCGCGAAGCATGGAATCGATGTTACGACGTCAATGTCACCGGGGCCCAAATCATGACCCATACCTTTGTACCGCTCCTCCTTCGCTCTAATGATCCACGTTTAATCTTCATCACCAGCGGGTTGTCTAGTCTCACTCCGATGAGCAACGTCTACACGCCCACCAGGATGACTGTTCCCGCTGGTTGGCCAAAACCGGAGGTACATCCGTACCGGGCGTACCGAGCGACCAAAACAGCACTGAATATGGTCATGTTAGAGTGGCACTGGCAGCTGCGAGAAGATGGAGTCAAAACTTGGGGTGTATCACCAGGGTTTTTGGCCACCAATTTGGGGGCCAGTTTTGCAGGAATGGATGGCGCTCCTCCTGTGTTGCCTGCATCTGTTGGTGGAAGACTAGTGGCGTCAGTGGTAGAAGGCGACCGAGATACGGACGTGGGCAAGATTGTGCTCAAGGATGGTGAAGTACAGCCGTTCTGAGAATCTCGGTTTGGCCTCAGCAGGGGTTCTTCAGTAAATAGCATCTCAATGAATACGCTCTTAGTCATTGGATTGGTGCCACGCCATTTTCTAATGCACCGTCTAGTTTTTGTAGAGCCTTGCATGAAATGAATTGTACAACGGCGTTCTTTTCCGAATATATGATGCACTCTCATTATTTTTCTTTTTTTAGTGCCTAGCTCTGGAGCTCCTTTTTTCGCTTCCTTTTTCTTCTTTGAGGAATTAATTAGGAAATTCCGTGCGCCCTCCAACCTGTAACTACTTTATTTTGGTAATGTCTCTATGAGGAGCGTTTTTGACAAGCCCTTCATTCTTCATCGTAATGGCCCATAACTTTTCTAAGTATATATTGAGTTTCAAATGATTATCTAGGTAGCTTCCGACCTCCTTGTTCAGAGGTGCCTATTTCCATGAGCGCTCTTTGGTTCGCCGTAGTCCGATGTACGTTAAACTATCAGGGATATTCGACGTAATTGGCGTCTCGAAAATAGAAAAAGAAAACACGAAAGAAAGTAACGGCACTTATCGTTTCCTCCGAGTGCTTTCTCCGAGATCCGGCATCTACTTAAGCGCCGCCATTACCCCCGAGGTGTCGGACCAGACAGAACTGAGAGCAAGGCGAGGCTTGCCGTCGTTCACGCTAGCTTGATCTACTAGCATGCGGCATGTGTACTCATTCGTGTACGATTTCCCGTTCTTCAGCCCAAGTTCAACCTCGCCAATGAGCATCAGGTCGTATCCGTTCTTATCAGCGACAAATACTTGTTTGACACGATGGCGACGAGAGGAAAATGCCTTCCAGGCATTCAGCTTGGACTTTCGTATTTCTAAGAAAAAGAAAATAGAATTATCAGGCAAGACTCTTGACAAGATGACGTGATCTCAAAGGCAGGAAAATGAATTACCAGCTTCACCCACAAAAACATCAGATGGACCGAAAGGGCCCTTCATCATACCCGTGGGGGTAAAGATGTCTGTGGCGTACTGATCTCCGGTTTCTGGGTCCGGAATATCAGCTAAAACATAGAATTGGCGAATCAATTCTTGAACTTCTGGCAGCACTGTAGCGGCTGTTGGCCAGATTGTGTTTTCAGTGATATAAGACATTTTTTGCTTGCGCCAGTAGTGTTAAGAGCAGAGACTATGATAATGTCGAGTTTGTTGCTTTGTTTCTATCTGATTACTGCGCCAGGGGAAGAAGGTCCATTTTACTTTTTAATCTTTGATATCCGAGCTGAGGTATTCAGAGCATCTGGCAATGAGGGTTGCACCCCGAGCCGGGCTCTGATATGCTTGCCATCAATGATTATAGGTGTCACTTCAGGGACCGGCTTGCCTAGATCCCGGATCCGGGCAGTAGCCGAGCCAAGTGGGAACAAATGTGCAAGCCTCAGCACGGATATATTTCATAAAATTGACTTGATATAACCCAGGTCCGTGCAGCTAATCAGATAAAAAAGTTACTGGGATGTTACAGTGAGTACGGAGTACGCAGTTCCTAGCGGATGTACTGATCCGGCTTCTGGACTTTGCAGATCAGTGCATGTTTCCATCTATTACGGTGATCTCGCATTCAGAATCTTCATGAAGTTCCGACATTAGAGAGTGGAAGGACAATTCTCCAGCGTGAAGGCTATAAGGACGGTATATTTACAATGCGCTAGTCACCTAATCAGTTGCTCCTTTCAAGTAGTTTGCATTAGCGCATGTAAGGCTCGTATAATTAATAGAGGTCATTGGTGAGAAATACACTCTCAGTCCCACGAGCTCAGTTCCGAAGCTCGGAGAACTCGGATATAATGTCGAATTCAAGAGAGCACAGGCTAGTTGCGTCCCTAGGCAGTTAATAATATTTTAGTACTCTAACCGAGACATATGTCGATGGCAAAACATTCCAAGTTTGAATCAGCAATTAGTAATATTAACATAGACATATCTCAGAGAGCCGAGGTACCAAGTCCTCTGTCAGCAAACACATTACCCATAGATCTAAACAGCAAAGAACTTAGGACATACCCTAACTGGACCCGTCGTTACAATACGAAATTTACATAGCGAGAGTCTACACATTTCGAGATATTCGAATATGGAATGGGATATTCTCACTCATTGATCTAACTCCAAGTAGAGTGTACTGGTCTAATAGAGAATGTATAACTATGAGATAGCTTGGAAACAAACTTGTTTGAAATGCAAGACCTAGCATGCTCTCGCAATGGATATCTTATCTGATTGAATTCATCTTCTCCACAAAATAAACTTCAATATGCGCTCACAGATAAGACTAATTTCTCCGTCCTCACAACGTGGAAGATTGTCCTCCGGGTTGCCACGAAGCAGAAACGTATTACACGGAGATGATATTGCCCAATGTTGATCAGTGGATTCAAAGAATACATCCGCTTGAAATATTAATTGTATATGCCCCCATTTTATATAATTACTCAAATGTGATTATCTTCCTCATCTCCCATTGTAGGACAAGCAGGCTGGTTTTCCATACCATAATACCCGCTTCAATCCATACCGAGTATGGATTAGTATGGACGGTTCCATACTAATACCTAATCCATACCGTCCATATTTCTTGGCATTATAGCCTGCATACTAATCTGCATGTTCAAAGCATTATTCATATAAATTAAAACAAAAGGAAGTGTTGGATGTGCGGGTGCAGTCGAGAGCCGGTCACATGATATCATTCACGTGACGCAGGCTACATGTCGGAACGTTGGTTTACTAGAGCGATGACTAAGCGAAGGCGAGCACTAAACAATACGTATAAGGAACTGGTCTATTTTCCGGCACTCCTCTCTAAGTCGCTATCTAGGAGTTTTGAGCCTGTTTTTATATACAAGATTCCATAGAAGTGATATCACCAAAAGTCGACACTTGTGCAAATCGAACTTTCTAGAGATAGGCTGTAAAGTTGATTTGTAATGTTCAATATCGCGTCGGAATGTGATGCCAATTCTCGAAATTTCTTGATACGCAAATCTTGTCCTATTCCCAATTTGGTTTAGTTCATTCTGAGTTCCAACACTACACGAAGGGATGATCTACCGCGTCGAGGTCGAATAGCTACAGAAGATAGACAATCAGAATAATATGACCCTACCAATTGGTTACTAAGCTACTTGTATGCACATGTGCAGAAGTGCACCCACAGGAAGACCAATATTAAGTTATTACTTATATTCTCATTTAAAGCACCATTCTGCTCCCAATGCTTTAAACATTCCACTTTTTCAAGAGTATCAGGCCCCATCTGCGCTCTTTCCCACGAGACTGTACGACGTGCTCCTGAAAATACTCGCTCCGGCTCATCACACATAGCTAGAATTAATAATATATCAATTGCCATTGATGATAATCTTGGCCAGTGTTTTCGCTGTTGTTCTTGACACCACCATTCAAGCCCAGACATCTTACCAATATCATAAGGTTCCCCATTGCTATAGTCCTCATATTCATCTTTGCTAGCCGGTTAAGTGTACTTTCCTAAATTCTGAGCAATTTGATCAAATGCATCAAGATCTTGATCTTGAGAAGATTTCCTTTCATATAAAGGAAAAGTAAGAGATGGAACTCTTTCCTAGTGAGATATCCAGAGATCTCTCACTTTCTTCAACATGGGCTTTTGCCATTTTGTTTTCCAATTAGCACAAATATATTTTGTACGACGATTTAGATGAAGAATACGAGCAGCTGCGTAAAGAGGGGATTCATCTATTTTGCTATAGTATTTATCAAATGTGTCCCATCCTTTTTGAATCCTTAAGGAGAACTCCTTGTCGGCAATAAAATTCAACTATTACAGAAGTATTAATGAACATCAAGAATATAAACTACAAGGTAAACTTACAAGATAATTTTCAAAGTACTGAATTAGAATATCCATAGTAAAGAGGACGCAGTCAATTGTTGCACGATTCCCCTGAGTCTCCAATGTTGCTCGGTAAAATGGTTGAAGGAAGGACTTAATTATATGAAGTTGTTTCCAGTCCTTTGGAGAGAGATAGTCTGCTTGTAGTGTAGCAAAATGATTCTTTGCGTAGGTATCAATTGATCCCGCGTTTTGATTAGCCACAAGAAGCATCTGATACCAGCTATTCCATCTGGTACGATTGTCAAGTGCAATTATTCTTCCTGCTAGATTCTTGAACTCCTTTGTGTGACTAGCAGAACCGCGGATATATAAGATAATATTATGAAGCTTTCCCAGTGGCCCTAAAAGCTGAAAACTCGACTGCTTCCCTTCCTCATCTCTTATTTCTCCTTTTGCTTCCTGTTCATCATATGATTCAAGTTGATTTATCTCAATTAGGTTATAAAATAGAAAGGCTTGTACGGCTAGATTAATAATATAGTCAATACAGCGAATTTGTCGAAGGATAGGGTCCCATTCAATCTTCTCTTTCTTCCAAAGATAAGCGCTCACTGCACGGCAGAGTGTATCATTTAATAAGGGATTGTCACAATAGAGCCAAGCTTTTATATAGTTCTATAGTCCTGGAGAACTGGAAGAAGAATAGCGAATTGTTCATCTCCACTATAATTTATCACAGGTCGAAGAGCAAGAAGAGCCTTAGAGAGCTGTTCTCGATTTTGATTAACAAAGTGAGCGCAGTTTCCGAGAAAAAGATACTGGTTTGGAGAGGTCTATATATCAAGTGAAAGGTGAATATTTGATAATGCTGACTGAAGTTTCTTTTATATAACATCTTTTTGGATTTGCTATGACTGGTTAATCAACTTAGGAACAGTTGAATGAGCTGTAATAAGGTAGTCCTCTAATTCAGGATTCAGAACTCGACAAAACGCATGGAACTTGGGCCATTCAACCATCCGAAATAAAAGATTTCTTACGACGATTAATGAAACCAATGCTTGGTCAATAACTTCTTGATTTAGTACTTTTTGCAGTACTTGGCTGTTGATCTGTTCTGCTTGGCCTGAGGAGTCTGCTTGGTGGTAAAGCTGTTGAAGTTTATCAAGTGTAGCTAATTATACATGGCATAGGTCTCTTTCAACCTGGATCTGATGCTTAGAATTGAGATGTTTCCGGAAGTTAGTAGTAATTGAGCTACTATATTCTGATCCTGGTAGGCAATGAATGCAGTAGATAATGCGATTTTGGCCTTTAAATTCTGGTTTACCATCTTGTGCTGTTCGAGCATGTGCCCATGTCGCAAGAGCTGACCGACTTCTTATTGATTGAGTTGAGATTGAATCCACAGTTATTGAGGGTGCAAAAAGCGATGAATCCACTTCAGAATCCATATTTGCCTGATATACAATATAAAGAAGGAGAAGTTAAAGCACGTAGATTATTAAGATGGGCATCATTGAATTACTTAACTTGTGGGGTCTACTAACAGGTGGTGAGGCCGGTATGGAAAAGTAGGGATAAGTATTCCATCCATACCATACTAATCCATACGTGGTATGGAAAACCAGCCTGGTAGGACATACTTCCTACGGGCAATGGGAATAGATTACTAGAAAATAACGGTTTGCAATGTGTTAACAAATCCCGACTAACAGATTTCTCTGCAGTAGCACATGCACATTGGAACCGACCTTAGGTCTAGATGAAGAGAATATTGATGGATTAGTCGGTTTATTCCAGGCCAATCCTGAAGAGTGTTTTACTAGGATGAAAAGAAAAGAAGTGACTAGCAAGATTGTATCTATTCAGTATCTTCCCCGTCTCCCTGTCTTTCAAGTTTCAAAGCCGGGTCCTTTATAGACACCTTTGGCGGGGTGATTTGTGAGCTATCAGGAGAAGTAAATATTGGGCTGATATCTAGGTGCCCAGATATATGACCTAAGGTGCCTTTTTAGACCTGTAAGATCGAACATCGAATCTCTCTGCCTCGTTTGTAGTCCAGATTATCTGACAGATACTAACCAGGTGCTAGAGATAAGCTGGATCTAGCATTGCGCTTTGCCCTATCTAGGAATCTTAGATTTTCTTGCAATGAAAAATTGCTAATGTATCTGCATTAGACTATTTGACAGTTCTCCGTAGATAGATTCGAGTTTCTCAAGCAGTTGTCAGGACTTTGAGCACGCCACCGCAACTATATGAACTGTGGTAGACTACCTGGTCTTTTTTATAAGCGACTTTGGTCTCCACGCCTATTATTTAATGCAGTCGAGGAACAATAATTCAATTCTATATCATCAAAGGCCAAGTTCCGAAGCGAAATCATGCAATCAGGAGACTAAAAGTCACCAAAGGAATAGAATTGAAGACTAGGTATAGTCATATGACTGGTCAATACCGACACCTCAGTAGGGTACCTAAGTAGTAGAGTGAATATCTTTTGCAGAGGATTTGTTCGAGGTTTCTATATCAGTAGTTCTACGATTCGACGATCTCAAACATGAGCATCACCTTATTCAAATTGATCTTTTTTGGTGACAGTGACATGTCAAATCTCGCTTTAATACAAACTTCCTACTTTGGAAATACATTGAGGATGAATATCCCCGTTGATAGAGAGCGACCGGACAGGAAATTGGAAATTTCAAATACTGGTATCATTATAAAATGATATGCTTCCTCTGAAGATCAACTTTTCTGCGAGTCATCATCGGGCATCAGGCGTCCACGCTTGTATTTCCCACAAACGCCCGTACTAACAACTGAAGGTGTAACATACCATAGGGATGATTCCAACTGCTATTTTCGGGATCGACTTTCTTATAGACATTCTTTTGGATATTCTATCAATTAAGCAAGACAACTTATCCGACCTTCATTAATGCATCTTCTAACCTGATTAGTGGACCGAATAAATCAGATATGCTGTTTGCTAAATGGCCGGCTCACTGAAAAGTCTATGGTCATGGTTGTTATTTTGAAAAACGCCATCCACATTCCATTAAAGAATCACTGTTTAAGCTTCTCGTCATTCTGATGATGCCAATATTGTGGTAGAAATCATTTTTCTTACAGATGGCATTGTTTGCAGTATGAGAGAAGACGTAACCTGTATGGCGGGATCTGAAGTTGTTGCAAAGGTCAAAGGCCTTTCGAATGAATGGGAACGGATTGGCCCAAAATATGATGTATTTTCATGAGGTGTGTGTGTCTTTGCTGGAATCTGACCTCGGGAGATTCTCACATCGTTGGAACGAGGGTAACGTACATCATTCAACTAACGTCACTATTTAAATAATTTGAGTTCGCAGAGTAATTTAACTGTTTATTGATCAATGGATTTAAAGGTTAAAATAAGTTTATGGATGCTTCTTCTAGAAGCTTAAAAAGCTACTTACTAAGCAAGTATATTTTTAACTTAGTAAGTTAATTGAGTTTAGCTTAAGTTAGGTTGTAAAGTTTGGCTAGGACTAGGACTTTTATTTCCACCTTCACCATTTTCACCATTTTCACCACCGTCTGCTTGCATGTCTGATCATGCAGTCTTGATTATGTCTGCGCCCGAAGTCCGTCAAGTCAAAAGACCACGGATATCACTGAGCTGTAGCGTTTGCCGAAGCCGAAAAGTCCGCTGCGGTCGTGAGCAACCAGCATGTACAAACTGTATTCGATTGAATAAAACATGCGTTTACAAGGCTGTGGTTCTTGAAAAATCGGCCAATCGAGCCGAACAGCTATATCCCGGTTTCCGGGAAGAATATCTCATTGGAGATGATCTTCCCAGTAGTCTGTCCCAGTCCCAGGGAAATGCCGTTTCTCAAACAAAGGAAAATCATCCAAATCAGAGCAATCCAAACCGGGATGGCGGTAATAGCATTAGCAACAACAACAACAACAACAACAGGGGCGCCTCAAGCCATCCTCATTCACGCGAGTATCACATGCTACCCGATCTTGCTCATTCAGCGGTGTACCCCTGGGAGCAAAGCATGCAGGTTCTCAGCAACCATGAGATTGCCGGATCTGGGGTCAGACCAGGTTCATTTCCCAACCAGCGATTATCCACGCAGAATCACCAGCCTAGTCTCCTTTCCCGGGACTATCTAAGTCTACGACGAGGTAGTCGGGCTCGGTTCATTAGTAAGACCTTCTGGGGGCTGGTTGCTGGACAGGTAAGCGTCCCCCTCGCGAACCATATTAAGTCTTACAGAAGGATATTTTACTCAGTGATGTTGATAGCTGAACTTTTCCCTGCAGGAAAGACTTAGTGACGACTTTTTTGATGAAAACCGTCATACTCCTCTCGAGTTACCGCCCCCGCACATCGCCGCCGTGGGTCTGTTCAAACTATTGACATCCTTGCCCGCCAAACCCGTGTGCGACGTATTGCTCCAATCCTTCTTCATTGCGGTGTGGCCCCTAGTTCCTTTTCTGGAAACTTCGAGGATTCAAGCAGACTACGATGATTTCTGGGAATTTTGTCGGAATAGTGATAATGCAATACCCCCCTTAAAATTTCAAGATGACCCGACATTCATATGCCTTCTTTTCGCCGTCCTGCTTTGTGGTGCTTCTGCCGCCCCTATTTCCATGTGGGAGTCAGTGAAACTTAAGACTTTGCGGAAGGATACGATAGTGGATCAGTTAAGGTCAGCTTATACAACCAGCCTCTCCATGTGTGCATACACCGAGCACCCAACATTGAACTCCTTGGTCTCGACACTTCTGACAGGTCCATTCATCGATGATCCTTTGAAATTGATGCACAACATAATCTCTATTAGCACAACTGTACGGATAGCACAGACAATGGGGTTGCATTCCGAGTTAGCATACTCTGCCCTGGACCCAGTTGCCCGGGAGATGCGACGTCGGGTATGGTGGCACATTGTCTGGATGGATGTACAGTCAAGTATTTCCGCTGGGCTACCCTTATGCTGTGGCAGTGCAATGCTGGGTGCAGTGGGCATGGTGGCATTTACGAGGGATCGAGATACCGGCAATATTTCATCGTCGCCTGTGGAACCTTTGAGATCGGGAGAATCAATAGCCATGATTTATACCACAGGACGGTACGAGACAGCACGTCTGGAATTGGAAATTTTAAATAGTCTACAAAGTGCGCAGGGGTTGAACCATGAAGGGTTTAGAGAACTGGTCACCGCCACAAAGCAATTTCATCAGAAAATCGACGCGCTCATGACTAGGATCCCGACTCAAGGGATTCCAGAGGAGGGGTTCATTTCTTCCCGCCTAGCTAACGCAACCATGCTCACGCATCCGGCTCTTTATAAGGATGATACCAGTCAACACACTGTCTTTGGGACCTGGACACGCATTACGCTGACACTCTTCAAGCTCGAAGTGTCAGTTTTATTGCAGAAGCCATTTTTGAAAACCCCTGAATATGGAAGCCTACCAGCTCAGAAGTTATGGACCAGGTACGTATTATTTGAGATTCCCATCTGGCCCCTTTCATTGCCCTATGTGTTTGTTGGCAGGCACAAGAAAGGAAAGACCCTGTTCCAGATACAAGGCGTAAAAGTTTAGTCATCATAGAAATATATTGTTAACTTGCATCTACAGCGTCGTGCAGCTCTGCTTGGGTTACTTGCGCAATTTTTTGCGGCTTCTCCAAGTTCCAGCATTCTCCCAGTATCTGTGGTCTTACCGCACGTACTTTGGTCCGCTTCAGTGTACATTTCTCTTATTAATCTATCTGCTTCATTTTCGACAAAGTTCAAATTATCAAGCAGCTCGATATTGTGTTGATGAGGTATTGGAATATTACACAACCCAATATCGATCAGCGGACCCCTTATCTACAAATGGCAGCCCGGAAACTTCTACACTACATATTCCTAATACCATCCAGGTTCTTATCGATCTTCAACGTCGTCTTGACTCACCTGCAGGAAGCAGTGATCTGCCACCAGCATCAGGGGATTGGACTAGATCAGCGAGATACACCCACGATACAGCGTCTGAATTACATCCAGGTCAAGACTTCATTTCCACCCTGTCTGACCTTCAGGCTTGGTCATTACAGTTGGTAACGGGGTGAGGGCACTTTCGAAGGAGACCGATAATCCAGAAATTTACAATAAAGCATTAGGCGTGGAGTTAGAGCACGCGTCTATCTATCATGCTGTCCATCATTTTCTCTCTTTGATCTCCTTGACTCCATTCTTCATCAACATCACCCCTATCACCGCAGGAGCGAGATGCTACTTAGTCACATGCGTGTACAACATTCTGCAGGGATGATCAAGGCAGCCTAATGCTGAGTTGAAGAGCATTGTGGTAATGTTACTGAAGTTCCCATAAACCATCATTCGGCCCTGGGTTTTACAAATTGTGATCTATAATGCGTAGTTTGGCATATGACTACTTAAGTAGGAAGAAGTAAATGAACAGCGGTCGGGTAGTACAACGAACATGTGGCTCAATAAACTCATTTTAATTTCTAACAGTACTAGAAGCAACCAGTTGTCATTCCAAAGAGGACTTGAATGGCCTATTGACGCCTCGTTTCATACCCGCTAATTCTAATTGACCTCTGGTGGAAGTGTGGTGAGCCGACTAAGCTCCTCGATAGTCTCCTCCCATATTTTTTTCTGCACCTCCTGGCCCGCTGGGGACGATATGTATTGGCTCTCACTGATGAACAAAAATTTGATCAATTATGCGCACAAATCAAAAGTGAGCGACGGTAAGGAGCATCACTTACCTGGCAATATCTTTGTCTATCAGGAACTTTCCATGGGAGTCAGGCCCTGCAACTAGAGCAGCATTCAGAATAATCCAAACCCCCACTTCCACAGGCCGGGCACGAATTGCCTTCACAACATTTATCACTGCCCGGAGATAAACTGGCAGAACATCACTCATATTTGTGTTGACCATTCCCGGACACAGCATGTTGATAATAACCTTTTTGGGGTCAATTTGCCGCGCCAGGCTGCACATGAAGAGAAGACAGAGCAGTTTGGAGTCACCATATCTCTGGAATGGTGCAAAGAACTCTTTCTTGTCCATATGTTCCAGAACGCGTTCGTTGGGTTGAAGAGGAGTTTTCTGGAGGCTCGTTGTCTCAAAGGCTCGACTGCCGACCCAGGTGATACGGGTAGGAATGGTTGTCCTCTCCGCACTGGCTTTTAGGTACGGTAACAATTCGGCAATCAGAAGAGCGTTGGAGTAGTAATTGACTTGGAGTGTTCGATCGTGGCCGCTAGGGCTGCGGTCGTGCTTCAGCAAACCTATCCCTGCATTGAGAATAAGAAAATTGACGATAGGAATCTCATCACGGAGATGCTTGGCGAATCGCTGGACGCTATCATATTTGTCCATGTCAAGTTCCATGACTTTGAGAGTAGCATTGCCATTGTAAGTTCTGATGTGAGGGTCTCCACGTAATTGTTTCACCACATTCTCACCCTTGGCTACATTGCGGACGGCAAGGATAACGGTTGAGATGTTCAATTGCAGCAGTTGTCTAGTCAACTCAAGACCCATGCCAGCACTGGCACCGGTGACCACAGCTGTACTACCCTTGAGGTCAATCCCATCTGGCAGGGGACTTATCTTTGGCTGGAAAAATTTGACCATGGTGATCAATACAATCGCAATTGATACGTGCTAGAGAATGGGAGGTAAATAGATAGACGGATTCACGAGAACGAGAACTAGATCATACGAATTGGATCCACTGGAGTCTGGACATGGCAAGATGAACACTGACATTTAAGTCAATGGACTACATTCCATGCATCTATTGACCAGCAATTCCATAGCTAGAGAAGCTTGATAATCCTCAAAGAGATGCTTACTGAGCAAGTATGTTGACGGCGAATCAGCATCCGGCGTAGGCTTGCTGATTCAGCGTTCGGCCGAATCTAGTCTAAATACAGACAAGCGTCGCCCGAATTATTTAGGGCTTCACGATCCTTACTCTAACTTGCAACGCGTCACTCAGTTACTTCCTTTCAAGGAAGGTCCTCGTGTAAAGCTTCTGATTATTGCAATACCAGCAGATAAACACTTCTGTTACATAGGGCTGTTGACGATACGATATCGGCATCATTTTTCCATATCGTCTATCGTCATCGTCTAACCTAGAATCTGCCGATATCGTATCGTCAATCGGCATCGTCTAATCCTAGGTGTGCCGATACGATATTGTCAACTATTTGACGATATCGTCAATATCGTCAAAATCATTACTGATACGCAAATGGACTGTGTGAATTGACAGTGGCTCACCTAGCCATAGATCTCATTAACCATCAAGATGCAAGGCTCTGTTAAATAGGTTATAATCTTCGTCTTTGAGTAGTAAATAGTATCTGCCACTGCTACACGCGTTGCGTCTCTTTATTTATCACGTGACTCGCTCATCACGCCCGATATTATTTCGAGTTGATAGACTACCCCTCCTTAAAATTCTTCTTGTTCACAATCGACTATCAATTATTGACAACTAAAATCTACATCAGCCCTCTTACTCATCACGATATCTCGTTTTATTCACATCCAAATGCGTACGCGGCAGAAACGTCTCAACTACCGAGCTCTAAATGATGGAAGTGTGTTATGAGCTGACCTCATGACCATGTTCGGGCGAAGCCCTCACGGATATTGACATATAGAGTTTCGCTAGATTATTGTTCGGCAACCCCGAACATGAAGCTATTCCCAGATTGCGAACGGACACCCAATATCCGGCCGGATATTGACAATAGCGCTCTCTGCCGATCCCCGGCAGCCCCGACAATCTCAGCAACCCCGGACATGAGGCTATTCCTAGAGAGAAGCCCGTCGGAAGCTCCCAATTCCCCTTGCCTATATAAGATTGTACGCGCGTGAAAAAATTGTTGTTTTCTTTCTCTTTCCTTTCCTCATGTTACGTTTTCTATTCGAATATGCCCTTATAGTGAGCATTAGGCGGGACTAGCCCGTAACAAAGTGACGATGAAGCTTTACCTGAGGATCGAATTGATCGACTGAGCGAATCACAAGCAATTTCACTAGTATTGCTACTGCTCTGCCGCTAGTAAGCCAAGAAGATGTGGATACTCTCACTAGTATCCCAGATGGTGAACTCTTGCCTTCTGAGTTAGCATCACAACTGCCAGCATTACAAGAAAGATCAATAGACAGTGGGGCTTCAACTATATCTTATAACCTATTTTGTTGATACTGTCAACGAGCAGCACCTGCCACTAAGTGGATGTGGGCATATTCTGAGACCACACCTGTTGATTGCCCATGGTTGATTAAGAAGACTAATAAAAGGAGACTAGTCGATCGAGAGATTCGTTGTGCATATATTGATGAAAAGACAAAGATAAGATGCCACTGGCAAACATCAGACTCTCAGAGATAAAATACCACAAGTAATATGAAAACGCACTTGACAAAGTATAACATTTACCCTCCAACATCTGATATACAGCCAACGAAGAATCAACCAGACATTCAGAGTTTCATAGGTGGAAAAGAGAATATTACTCATCAAGAAGTTCTTGAGAAGAATATTATTTGCTGGATTGTAACTGACATGAAAGCCTTTAATACTGTTGAGACTCTAGAATTTTAACAAATCTTCTGAGATATCCTAGGAATTGAGCCTCCATTCACTTCTCGCCACACTTTATGGGATTAGATTGTGCAAGAGTTCAAAACGCAGCATACTGAGCTGAAAAATGAGCTGGCATTAACTTATAAAACTATTACTTTATCACTGGATGTCTGGACAAGCCAAAACCAACTTCCTATTTTAGGGATTATAGATTATTGGCTGACTGAAGAATTTGAGTATCAGGAGAGATTATTAGAGTTTACTGAACTTTAAGACACTTACAGTGGGAGAATCTGGCAAATGCGGTAGAAAATATGCTTGTTGATCTAGGTCTTGAGGGAAAGCTTATCTCTATTACTGGCGACAATGCTAGTAATAATAAGGCTATGGCATTAGAGTTATACTTCAGTTTAAAAGACCGACTTGGGGAAGAAGCAAATCCAACACTTCTTTATCATGGCTTGGATAGCTATGTCTGCTGCTTAACTCATATCCTCAACCTTATTGTGAAGGATATACTCCATGCCTTGGAGTCGAGTGATATAGATGAAGCATAAGCTGCTTGTGATAGGTTACAGGATGGTAGCCTAATTACCAATCAGTCAGCTATAGGAAGACTCAGGATCCTCGCTCTATGGATTAATCGAAGTCCTCAACGCTGGCAGAAATGGAAGGAAATTTGTAGGTTGAATGATCTCCCGGAAAGTTTCATTAAATATGATATTGTAACCCGATGGAACTTAACATTTTGGATGATTAATAATGGCTTAAAATTGAAACAACAAATCAATAAGTTTCTTAAGCTTCAGAAAGAACTTCCACCCTTTACTACTAGCGATTGGTCCCGACTCGAGCAGATTCACTAAGTACTTGAAAAATTCAATGAGTTTACATCATTTATTTTAAGATGGAATCCACAGATCAGCCTTGCCATTCCTATTTACTATGAGCTACACGAACTACTTGATGATGCAAGTCAACGCAATGGTGACTTTTCAACACTAGATCAAGATATCGTAGCTGCAGTGAAAAGGGGTATGATAAAGTATGAAAAATACTACTCTTTTATGGACGACTGTGATACCTATTACATTGCTCTTGTGTTGGATCCTAGAGTCAAAGGTGAATTAATTTTACAAGAATTACAAGAAGGCAATGCAGGCACTATAATTCTAGGAAACATCTGCACTAAACTCCATCAGAGATATGCGATTAGCGATACTGAGCATTATTCTACCGTACTACAGTAGTCTTCGGGAGAACTGAGTAATGTGGAATCAAGAATGCTAAAGAAGTTGCAGCCACGAAATCAATCTCTAGTCTCAAATATTGATAGGTACTTTGAAACTCCTCCAGTTGATGTTATAAATACTGGTGAAAATTGGCTATATAATTGGTGGCGAATACACAAGGATGAGTATCGGCAGATGGCAGCAGTAGCCAGGGATTACCTGGCAATACCTGCCTCTGAAGTTGCTGTTGAGAGGATGTTTAGCGCAGCAAGAGATCTCTTAGGTATTTGAAGGCATTCGCTGAAGGGAGATACTATAAGAATGCTAATGTTCATTCATGATGGGTTTAAGCGGTAGTGGTTAAGGGCAGCGTGGGTACTTCAGCATATTCTACTCCATACAGATAATCTTTGTTTTAGCCTGGTGATACATGATGTATATGTATTTAACGTTGTATTAGCGAGGAAGTGGTACTAATAGAGATGCTACTTAAAGAGTTCTATATTCGCTAGAAAATAGTTGAGGAATTGAAAGTAATAGAGTAAATTTCATTGCCGATTGATGATATCGTCAAATTTTTGACGATATCGTATCGGCAAACTCAGGTGTTGCCGATTTTTATCGTCAATCGGCATATCGGCATTATCGTCAACAGCCCTACTTCTGTACTGTCGCATGGATGATCGGTAGCGGCACGGCTGAAGATCGTACCCCTTCATATCTTGGAGGCCCAGTGGTATAACCGTAGCGTTCATTCTTTCCTCAGAATCACTTACAAACAATCCTATCACCGACGGCTGAATTGAATGATGCAAATTCATCGAGAAAATTGCCTGTACGGAACCTTCCAAGGCTGTTCGAAATTCATGAGGCTGTGACAGCGCCAAACGACAGCTTGAGGGTCACTTGTTTGTAGCGCAGTAGTCTGCTTCATATATGGGAGTCAGACAAATATGGCACATTGTTGATTTCACTTACATGTATCATACCAATAAATCTGAAAATGAGTCGAAAGCAAACCCTCTTTGTCTTCTAAATAGTTCTCGTCGCGATGGTGTCACAAGGCTGACAAGGATAAAGACTAAGCCCTAAAAAGCCGGGCCGCAGTCTGATAATTTCCTAATAAAGTAATTTCTGGAGTTAGGGTTTCAACTTTGGCGCTGTTTACCCGCCAAGTAGGGCTATGCTGGGCCAATATGCATTAGCCATTCAACCACCCTCAATCAGATAAACTATTCTATTTCTTCTGTATCGAACTGTTTCACCGAGGCATACTGGCCAAACAGGCCACGCTAGCTAATGAACGAACTCCTCCTCTCTTACAGCGCCTAAATCGATGGTAGCAGCTAAATCCACGTTTTTTGCTTGGGAATAATTCGAATCACATACCTCACTTTTTACAGGTCAATTACAACAGTTTAACTTTGTTAGCGTATTTTCAAACCCAAATAATTGTACAAAGTAAGTCATCAGTCCCCTTCAATCAGCCTTGTCATATCTGACAGTCGGCGCTTAGGAAAGAAACCGGTGTCATTGTACAACTGGCGTAGGCAGATAAATGAGATACAAGGTAATGGTTTTTATGGCTGCTGAGCCCTAGCTTCCGCAGGCTTGGTGCGGCATGTGGTTTCCTATTATGAAATCCTTGTCGGATGGGAATATCCGTGAAGACTCGTGATATCAGTGGGCTTCTTTGTTGTTATTGAAACTCTATTGGGATACAGACTCTGTCACATCATTACTTGTATGGAGTTTGTGTATACGCCATGTAGTGATATGGGGGTCTATAAATATAGGCCATATCCCCTAGCTAGATTGATTCCTTTCCTCATGCTTAGTTATTTTCGTCAACACAGCTGCCCTTTCAATAGGTTTGATTTGCTTGAGCAACTAGTTACAGTTTCATTTAATTCTTTGCCCTCTTATTTATTCTATTTGTCCTATCTACTTTGAAACAGACAACGAGTGTCTGAAGACAATCAATCAACCACCCCTTAAACGAAGCTTTAAATATCGGTCAACGTTCCGTCATTACAGATAGTGATTGTATCTTGAGATATCAATTTGAAATCTAGATCGCAAATGCATTCTAACGAGCAACCCCCGTCATACACAAGTGATACCTACAACACTCCGACATCACCGGCAGCAAACGGCACCCTTTACAGGAACGACAACAGCGATAATTCGAATACCAGATTCAAAGAACCCTCAAGTTTCCCTCGACACGAATCCGGTAGCTCCAATTCCAATTTAAATCTTGGACGTCAGTCTGCAAACAACGACAATAATAACACACAAACAACCCCTCCGCGCTCTGAGTCTTGGCTCGATAGTGTGTTCCGGGTCAATAGCCATGCAGATGCTATAATAGGAAACTTGACCTTTGTCTGTCTCATAATACAAATCCTTGCAATAGTGATCCTGGTATTCGTTTCTGGCATTGCCATGGGTCTGTACCGGAACTCGCGGGATCGACCACAAGTAATCAATGGTGCGACTCTGTCGTATGGTTTAGCCGGGACAGTTTTGGGGTTTGCCACGGTATGTTTTCTCAAGTATTCTGTTTCACTTTATATTTGATTAAAGCCAATGCGTTTTATTGATATAGGGGATACTCACTCTTGCATGTTTCCCCTTCACCGGCTTCCTCGGCCAAACTGGTTTCCTAGTATCTCTCCTTGTCACAAACATCATGTATGCAACGATCGGTGCATTGACGGGATACGGTTCCTACATCACACGTTACAACGAGGTCTGCCATCATTCTTATGCGGGTCTCCACAACTGCTATAACATCCGTCTATCAGATGGTTGGCGTTGTGGAATCGTTACGGTCGTCATGTGCGCTGTTATCATGTAAGTCTCCCCTCATCACGAACAATCATTGTGAGGTTAACATAGTACTTGAACAGTATGATGACCATTATTTACTCCGTAGCATCATGTATCGAATTGCTGTGGCGTAGAATTCCACGGCGGTCGAGGGATGTCAATCCAATGGTCTAACCCCTGTTTGGCTGTATCGGTGTTTGAGTCTTCCTGGGTTCTTTATTTTGTGTTATGAAATATTACACACTGAAATTAGATTTATAGTGTCCTTTGGCTCTGATTCTCAAGGTTGGATTGGACTGATATTGATTTTAAAATAACCCCGCTAAATTGGCCCTGTTGCATCAATCATATACATACACGTTATTCCATGACACTTTCCTCTCTAGATCCTAGGTTCACAAATCTCAAACTCATTCCTCCTCAAGATAATGACCCCATCTCTCTTTACCAATCCGCGAGAGCAAATCACTACCAAAGCGATCACCAATCTCTTCCGCTTCCGCCTCCATCTTGAACCTGGCCTCTACCAGCCTGGCCATAGTCATATTAGACAACGTAGTCCCAATCTTCACCTTCGCTAACTCTAATACATTTAACCCATAATCAACAACCATTTTCAGAGCCTCCGCTCCAAATCCCTTACGTCTTGAAGGATTGATCATCTGTCCAGCAGCGCCAGCTCTTTTATATTCATGAAAATCTCCGCCATCTTCGCTTCGCATGGGACCAATCCAGCCTAGCCCCGCAATACCTACAACCACCTCTTCGTGATGATCATTGTTGACGGTCTTATCCATTGACAAAGTTCAAATAATTTAGTAGGTTGCTCAGGGTCAGCCATTGGCGACAAACATTCTCACACTCTTGGTGAGTCAATGAGGCGACCGATAGATTTTTTTTGTGTTCTCAGGATCGGAGAGCACTTTTATTAATAGTTGTAGGTCTTTTACCAGGGGATTCGAAGTACGAGAGGTTTAGACAGGGAGCATAAAATGGCTGTTGGCTAGGTGATGTCGCGGAGATTGGTTTGATGGGAATGTAGATACCTTTTTTGCTGGCCATTGTTGACAAAAGAATCGAATATACTGGTGAAATAAAATAGTATAGACGACTGCACAGGAGAGAAGGGGACGGTCTTTGAAAATATTTAGTCGCATCGATGCGTTGTAAGATGGGCAACTACTCAAAATCCCGCTTATGTCGAACAAGCATCTTATCGGCCAATTACATGGTACTAATGAGTGCGTTATCATACAGCACAAAGGAATACTGTGCTGCAGAAGCACATCATTCACTCCGGCTTAGACTGGGATATCTTACCTTGAGAGATTGTCTTATAAACGACCTGGGCAATAAAGTAAATGATCAAATGTATTTCAGGATCTGTTCTTCACGTCTCTCTGCAATTAGCTACTAGTGGCATGGTTGTAGTCATAGTATGGCTTTTTGAGTCACATTCGAATGTACAATTAGTCTGATTCAGAATCGAGACATGACTATCGTAGCCAAGGTTCGTAGTACATATACGAGGTATAAAGAAAAAAGAGGATGAAGAATATAAAATTTAAAAAAAAGTGGGTGGAGGGTGGGGTTTTGATCAGCATGGAGTCAATAGGAGTTGGCAGGGCCATGCTGTAAACGCCTAGAAGGCGCGGCTCTCTGCCTACAGGTTCTAGATAGGCCAGTCAATCACTGAACATACCTTCCGGCTCTATATGCACCATGAATCCCTCGTGCCGTTCGTTGGACGCATCTTCTACCTCTCGGGATCTGCACTTTTTCTCCAAACAAACAAGCATTCGCTTAGCCAGTCTGAGATAATCCACCTTTTTTTTGGCGTATTGCACAAGAACTTCATCAAGAACATCTTCAATCAAGGGATGGACGGAATTGTAGATGATAGATACCATTTCCAATGCTGCGTTGTCGTGCATAGTGAAGGCATTGTCTTCCAAGAAGCGACGATCTTGCATTTTGAAAGTATTTGACATTTTCCTCGCTAACATCGCGGTCCATATATCTCCAAATTCCGCGAATGATGGCATTAAATTTGATGTGTTGGATCCATGCTTTCCAAGTGAAGGAATCAACGAGTAGCGGCGGTGTCTTTCACATGTTGCTTCACGAGGGCCTGTCACGTAGCGTGGCTGATGGGATCTGATAAATGGCAGCCTCTTGATAGTTAGGCGTTTTCAATAGTAACTAGTTTGGGGGAAGGAGTAGCTTACTGTATGTAGTTGAAACCTGAATCTGTTTCTCCTTCTCAAAACTAGGATGTGGAACAACCAAGTCTGATGCAGAGAGTGGATCAACTCGAGAACTCAACAATAGAGAATAGCTCTTTTTATAGACGTTAAAGATGGATACTGTTTCAGTCTTAAAGTCATCATCATGACTCACATTGTTGAGACGTGAAAGGAAAAGGAGAAGGCACCTCTTCAATTTCATCCAATGGGCAATTATAGCAAACTAACTCCTCGTTTGATCACCTCCAAGCATGAGCGGCATGGTCAAGAGTGTCGTTTAAGGGTTCTGTGTTAGTCGGCATAAATTTCAAGCACTGGATTAGCATAGGAAGCGAATGCAATTTTAGGGGCGGTCCGGGTCAGACGGATACAGTCAGTTCTTGGAATATGTAGCGCTGTAACTTCCAAGGTTGACTTCGTGCCTACTTCGGCCCAGTTCTTCTGGTACAAGCATAGACAAAAGAAGCTCTCAACATACTAAAAGAGACCAATTCTAGGGTTATATATCTGGACATATTCGACTCGCAAAGGCCCACATCAGTCAGCATCGTCGCCGACTGGGTAAGAAACCGGTAATCATAGATTCGTGATGTAGCCATGATACTCAGACAAAGGACTTCAGATATGCTGTTCAATATTCCTACCGGTCCTCTTGTCAACACGTGACAGATCCGGTAATGGGACAAATTGCCCCCTGTCTTGGCCAAGTAACGCACGTGCACTGCTGGCCGATGGCTATCCGTCGATGAGTAACCCTGCAATATTTGAGTGATTTAAACTGGACAAACTAGATCACATCGACTGACAAGGGTGCAATGCTTGTCGGCGAGAGAATACGTTCTAGCACAGATTATGTGGTATTCCTCTTACCCTAACCCTCAAAGAGATCGGAGGTTCAGTCAGGGGGAATGCCGATGGAGGCTGAAATCTGGCCCGAAAGAGGAAAAAATGAGTCAGGCACAAGCAGGATTTTAAGATTAAGGGCCCCTCTTTATGCATGCACTATGCACAGTCAGACGCACAGACGGGACAATTAGGCTCTATCAGGCAATATCCGAGCCAATGACAGGCTATGCTGTTTCTTAGTTCCGCAATTTGTATCCTGATTGGCTGGTATGCTGCATTGGCGGCACCACTCAAATTTAGCGTTCCATCAGAGGGCCCGAACGGTGGGAAAGGTTTGCCGATGAAGATTTTGGCTGCTAGTCTCTGAACTGACTCGTTATATTCTTCTGTGTAATACTGATTCTGGGATATATACCATCTGATTTTGCGTCTCAGTAAAAAGACAGATGAATCAGTTGGAAGAATGCCCAAGAGCTATGATGTTGGACTTATCGATAAGCCATACATGGTTCAGCAACAGGAACAGGAAGGAGCCCTGTTGATCCGGTCAGTGCCGCCTTAGCCTGGCTATACGAACTACTAGCAATGCTACCATGTCTTACGCCGCACTAGCTGAGGCTCTGCGATGGTCCGTCAAATAATCTCGAGCCAACTCCTCCACAGGGCCCTGACTAAACAAATGGGACCAACAGATATCTCATCTTTGATTCGTCGCTCTCCAGCTGAACTTTTAATCTATCGCCATAAACCCACCGTACAAACCCTACTCTTACCAAGGACGCAGCCAGTGACAGTCAGGATGGCTTGATGGCGCAGCCAAACACAACTGACGCAAGTCACACACAAATCAATGAGGGAAAAAGCCACGGCGTCAAATTTCCACCGTTCTCTACCTTGGTAGTTGCGCAATGGTACGGTCGTATACACTACTGCGGATGCGTACATAGTCTAGTCGTTACTCGGTTGCACGACTCAACTGTCTGGCATGAATGGAGTATGATTGAGAGACGCAGACCCGAGGCGGTGCTTGCAGCTTGAGTATTTGATAAAGCCGTTGTCACTGGGTATGTAATACTAATATCCGCTACAGTATCGGCTATGGAGCAGCATATCTCAACAGCCTAGAGACCTGGACCCTCTTTCAGACGCTAGTCTCTGTAGTCAACCGTTAACTCGTCGTAGCCGTATTAACTAATTTTAAGTAGTCTGTTAGGGTCACTGTTGGTACTGTTGGTGTGGCCAAGTGCAGCCTCCAGTCGGATATTCGGTGAACCCCCCTTCATCACTTGCCTAGTCGGGCAGTGGGATGCCTCCTGCTTACTCACCCGTTGCATCTCTTTTAATCTGACCATCTCTCAACTTCTTCCCTTCCTTGCCTTCCTTCCCTTCCTCCCTTCAGGCACCTCTCCGTTCGTTCAAGGCGTCACCCTCATTTCCAGTAGACATTCTGTCTGCGTCCTCTCATTGAGCTATCCAAGCCTTCATTTGCTGTTTCTGGCTTTGTCAGATTTCCATTCTTTCGTGAGGAGGCACCGAAGGAAATCAGTAGCAATTCATTCATTCGTTAAACTTTGCATTAGTCTTAGCACACTCATTTTTACCTGCCATGTCTCAACTTTCAACTGCTGGTGTGACCTTTGCCGGTCTCACATCAGTTGCTACTTATTATGTATGCCTGTCCCTGCCCTCTAAAGGTACGTTATGCTAACTCTTTTCGCAGGGCCAAGGAGCGTACCAACCCCGTCTGAGCACATTCTGTGCTGAAACGTCTCTGGACATCATCAATATTGGCTTTGTCAACTACTTTCCCGACGCAGGACAAGCTGGATGGCCAGAAACGAACTTTGGCAACCAATGCGATGGCACCGTTTACTTACACAATGGCGAACCAACTGGGCTGCTCAAAAACTGCCACCAGATTGTGGAAGATATCCCACTCTGTCAAGCTGCTGGAAAGAAGATTCTCATTTCTCTAGGAGGGAGCTACCCCGCTGCAGGTCAATACATCGCCAACGAGGACTCCGCCGTGGCTTTTGCTGAGTGGCTTTGGGGTGCTTTTGGTCCGACCGACTCCGAATGGGCGATTGAAGACGTTCCTCGTCCTTTTGACGATGTGGTTGTCGATGGTTTCGACTTTGATATCGAATGGGGCTTGGGCTCTTGTACGTGACACTATCCCTTTCCCTTCTTAATCTATAAACAAGCTGACCACAGGTAGATTACGGATCTTTGGCAAACCGTCTTCACCAGCTTTACGACTCGTACAATGCCGAGAGATCTACCCCGAGGAAATTTCTACTGAGTGCCGCACCACAATGCGTCATCCCGGATGCACACCTTGCCGACGCTATTCACAACGCGCCCTTCGATTACATCTGGGTTCAGTATTACAATGATTGGGCTTGTTCGGCTGCCAACTATGTAAACGGACTTTCCGGGTTCAACTTTGATGAGTGGGTAAGCGTCATTGAAAAGAGCGCTAACCCCAATGCCAAACTCTTTGTTGGTTTGCCTGCCGAGGAATCAGAGGCCAAGCCTGGTTTCTATGTTAGCCCGAATAGTGTGGCGCCTCTGGTTGATGAGTACATGAACAAATATCCGTCCACATTTGGTGGTATTATGTTGTGGGAAGCCACCGGATCTTTCAACAACACAACCCCTAATGGCAACACCTACGCGGACAACATCAAAAGTGTCTTGGTCAACTATGCCACAACCATTGCTCCATCGCCGACTCCTACCCCAACCCCTACTCCCACGCCCACGCCCCCATCAAGCTCTTTGTCCTCGTCTGCTTCCTCATCGTCTTCGTCTTCATCCAGCTCGAGCCTGAGCTCTGCTTCAAGCTCCTTGTCAAGCTCAGCCGTTGTCATTCCCACGCCCACTCCAACTCCAACTCCATCAGGAATCTCTTCATCTTCCTCTTCCTCCTCCTCCTCCTCCTCCTCCTCCTCTTCTTCTTCTTCCTCTTCCTCCTCCCCGGCTGCGATCAGCTCGAGCTCAGCCATCATTTCCAGTTCGACCCCAAGCTCAATTCCAGTAACACCGACCCCGACACCAAGCCCAAGTGGAACTTCTTCTTCTTCTTCTTCTTCTTCTTCTTCTTCATCCTCGGCCGTCGTCATCCCAAGCTCTGCCGCGATCTCTAGCTCTTCCGTCTCTTCCTCATCCAGGGTGGCAGTCAGCTCTAGCTCTTCTGCAGTTATTCGGTCGTCAACTCCCCCTGTTGTAGGAAGCTCGAGCGTAGCAGTCACTTCAAGCCCTTCTGCTTCCTCTTCTGCCATTCGATCTGCCACCACGACGTCTTGCACAAAGAAGACTCCATTGCCGTCGTCATCAGCTGTGATTAGCACCCCTTCTGTTTCATTGAGTACCTCCAGCACAAAGAAGCCATGCTCCACTGGGTCCTCTTCCCATGTTGTTGTGCCATCATCCTCTGCCGTCGTGAGCACGACTGGGACACGCAGCTGCTCTTCAAAACCTTCATCTACTGCTGTTCCTCCTCCTAACGGTGGGTCTAACCCAGGAACCTCTACATCTCCCGGAACTAGTTCACCTTCGGGCACGGGATCTGCAGGTACGACAACTACTGGATCTGTTGGAGGTTCTACTTCTAGCACTGGCTCGACTACGCTCACGACTACCCAAACTTCTGTTGCATCTGTCGGACCTACTGGGGCCAGCTCCGTCTCTCCCTCTGCCTCTGGATCCATTAGCTCTGGTATTTCTTCCACCACCAGTCCTATCACTGCTACTTCCGCTATCGCTACATCCACTGGTACCGAAGCCTGGACTACCACTGTCGTGACAACCTCCTATGTCTATGTCTGCCCTACTGGTCTAGCTACTAGCACCATTACATACACTGAGTCCTACTGCCCTTGCACAGCGACAGCCAAGCCATCAACCGCTGCGCCAACTGGCTGGGTTACTACCACAGCGGTTTGCACAGTTTGCGGTCCTCAGCCGACAACTGTGACACTGACTCTACCACCACAAGTTAGTGCCACTTCCACTGCACTCCCTGGATCTAACCCTGGTTCCATTCCTGGTTCTGGCTCCTCAAGCCCTAACGGCAATGGGTCCAACCCTAACACTGGCACTGAGTCGTCATCCGGTTCTGGTCCTGCCCCTGGCTCTGGCTCTGGATCCTCGGGTTCTAGCGGCAAGCCCGGTTCTGGATCTGGGTCTGGATCTGGGTCTGGATCTGGACCTGCTCCTGGCTCCAGCATCGTTCCTGGCTCTGGTGTTGTTGGCAACTCTGGTCCTTATCCATCAACCAGCACTGCTCTCACAATGACAGTCCGTCCAAGCGCATCGTCTTTCCCTACTTCGCCTAGCCACACTCAAGCGGGCGTCAGCCCAGCTTACACCGGAGCTGCTGGTCGGGCGAACTTCAGTCCTTTTATTGGAGGCTTCATTCTTGTGGTCTCCTTGTTTGCTCTTCTTTAAAAGATGATTCATCCTCTCGATTTTGACTTTATGCGGACCACGGAGGAATTAATTAATCTAAATGATATGTTTGCTGTTAATTATTATGTACAATCTTCTCCTTTCATCAGCCTTGTCAGGACTTTTTTACGACTTTCGATCTTCTTCTCCAGTCATCGTGTAAGATATGCTTGATTGTATATACAAGTTTACGTGACTTCATCCTTTAATTCGATTCTTGTGCAACATATCAATAATGAATGACATGAATTATTCTCAATATCGTTCAAGAAGTGTTCAGACGGAGCAATCGAATGCTTTAATAAGGAAGGAGAGGATCTAGCCCTATATCCCTGCCTTAACCCTACGATTCAGCCAACATTCAAATTTATCCTTAGTAAGACACACAAGCATCATCGAGGGGAATCCCATCTGTCTCGCAATACTTTATGAATTTTATTTTCGATATTTTTAGATTACAAAAATCCCTTGTGCTACTACTAAAGGAAGCGGTCGTGCCGAATTTCTCGCCTTTAGTACAAGACCCCTTGGATAACAGACCCGACCCTTTCTTCATTCACCACCTGCACGAGACCGACGCTGCCGACCTCCTAGACACGAATATCACAGATAATAAATCCGGCGACTGATACGGGTCATAAAGCCAGCATGATGAACAAACATGATGGCTCGCGCCGAGGGTTATAACACGCGCCCCCTTAACAATGTGGAATTTCACGCCCGCAACATTCTTCACCACTCCGCAGCGCCTACCGAGTTGAAAAAGCTTCCGACCCCTTTCAACCACTTACGAATGCTAAAATTATTAAGCCTTAAGGCCTTATAGGAATTATTGATCTTCAATCGATCGAATTGTACCAACCACTAAAGATGGTGGCATTCCCCGCCCTTCTATTTATGTCTCCTATCTCATTTTGGCCCGCGTTGAAAGGACGCGTTTAGCCCTTAAGTGGATGCCAGGCGTGGATTGATGAAGTCGTTTATATGGGAATGCGCCCTTCCTCTTCCCATTCAACTTCTACAAGATTTTGAGGGCTACTTATGTCTATTATACATACGGAAAAGTGACGACTTGGCCATTTCGTGGTCATTGCCAATGATTTGGTTTGACTGCTGAGCTCTTGTATACTATACGATACTCTGACATCTGCCGGTATCTGTTCATCATGTTCGGCCCTCCAACAACTAGCAACCGAAGCCGACAGGTGTGGATTCGCGCTGTGATTTTCGTCGGTCTTTATCTGATACTTTTGCTGTCGTTTACGCAATGCGCGCTGGTTCTGTATTTGTATGGCACCTCTCAAGTCGATGGGTTGATGACGCCTAGCCTGATTATTGGGTTGATTGCTGTGAGTTCTTTCCAACCTTTCTCGGGAGTTTCTGTTCTTGATCCTCGAGCAGCGACTAATATATATTTTATAGTCATTCCTATCAGTCCCGTTCGTGGTCATACACACAATCCTCTCATGGCAATATCGGAGAGCACCCGGATTGAATATGCCGCGCAACGCGCTGCATATGGCATGCTCACATCTTCCACGCATCATGGTGGCTATGTGGCTCGCTGCTTCAGTTGCCGGTTTATTCGTTGTCTCGAAGCAGGCGGTATGCGTCGCATCTACCACCACACAGAAATACTGGAAAGCCGGTTTGAGCTGTCAGATTCACAGAGGAACGGTTATTCTAGAAATTCTGGCCTTGTAAGTCGACAGACTTTCCCATCACGTTTTAAATATATACTTATTGTTTGGGTAGTATTTCTGCGTCAGCACTCTTTTTCTGCTTTCAGGTCTGTGAACGTCCATTCGGTGCATCCTTACTCGGTCTCTATGCACCACAACGCCCACCCCAAGACGGCAGTATCTTTTCCGAATCAAGCTGGGAGAGCGAAACACTCAAGAACGAGATTCTCTATCTATGCCGGCATCCTGATGCTGGTCCCGGAAACGGGGAGTTATACTGGTCGCCCAATGATAGCTCCCTTTTCGAGACTCCAGTACGACCTCCCAGCATCCGATATCCGGGGCCCACGCGAGTCCGTCCACAATTACATGTCAATACTCATACAAACTCGATCAGACCATCGATTGTAGGTGCTACTTCTGTCGCGACGGATACATCTCCCAAAGTGTCGCCTGTAGAAGCAACAGCAGGCGCCAGATCATTCAGTTTACGAAGTGATATCTCCCCTTTATCGAGGAATCCTTCACTTACTTCAACTCTACAGCCTGGTACGGAGTCTGCTTTGACTAGACCACCACCGCCGCCGGTGCCCAAGATTCCCGAAATACCCGAGATACTGGCCAAAGCCAAGACGAAACGTACGAGACAAAAGTCGTCAGTTTCAAGTCGAAAGTTTTTGCCTAAGGATTGGTTGTCGGAGCCTCTATCAGAAGATCCGCAGATTCGTGCTCTTGCTTCCCCGCCTTTGCCCCCTGAGTTTGATGCAGTGTTTCAATCGAGCGGGAGCGAGGATGAAGAGAAAGAGAAGGAAGAGGAGAAAAGAGATACTGCCTTACCCTCCCCTCCAGCACCGGTAGCGCCTCCAGAAGGAAGGAAATCATCTGACGATGCTCAATCTGATTCTAGTAACGGCTCTTCTATACAGACCAGACATCGATCAATGACTGCACCGGGAAATCCGCCTCTTGTTCTTCCTCCAGTCCCGCTGATGGTCCGTAAATCGCAGACATCATATATCAATCAGACACCTCGGTCAATACACCATCCACATCACCCTAATTATGTGCCTCCAGCAGTTACACCAAAGACATCGACAGAGGGAATCAATAAACAACAAGCACCGAGAAACAATCAGGGTCCTATAAGCAATATCAATAACAAACAAGCTATCCAACGAGACAAATCAATATCAAAATCAACACGTCTCCCTCCTCGGCGCCAACTGAGCACGAATCATCATCCAAATCCACGTCTTCCACCCAGTCAAACAGCCTTACCATCTCACCGCTCCCTAAAAGACATGCAACGAGGTCTTCGCACATCCTCGTCCTTCCGAAATAGCCACAATCAATTCCCTCGCCGTACCCCATCCCATAATACCCTGCATCCACACCAATTACATTATCAATGTCAATATCATCATCAATATAACATGCTACATCATCCTCCTCGGGTCTCTACAACAGCACTCAGGCCAGCATATACACGTCGCTTCCACTCCAACGATGGCCGAGGCTTTGATCCCGCGCGAACCTTACCCCCTATCCCACGCAGCGACGATACAGCAACTTTGTATCCAAGTACAAGACGACCACGTATTTCTACCTACGGCGGGTTTCCAAGAACTACTAGTACTACTAGCGGCACCCTTTCCAGTGCAGAGAATACGTCGACAACCGGGACAATATCTGCGCGACGGACGTCATTGAGTCTTGCAGGTGGAGGCGTTGCGTTGGACGGGGACAGGGAGATTGTTGAGAGGATGAATACGTATAGAGGTGCTGAGAGGACGAGTATATGTGCACCGCCACAAGGGGGTTTGATGCGAATGAGTAAAATGGATGTATGATAGATTGTTATGACCGATGTCTACGTTTTAGATTGTTTTTGTTTTTGGAGCTTGTATGATAGTCAGATATTTGAGTCAGTCTGCGGGTTTGTCTCTGAATACCTATTTCTTTTAATAATTTATCATCATTTCTCAACTGGATTGTCTACTTATCCTAAGCCATAACACCAATAACCTGGCCAAACCAATCCTAAAAAAAACAACCACTCGCAAACCAATTGCCAATAATCCATTCCCTTAAACAAATACCCATCCCCAATCCCACAATGCAGGCAAAAGGACATAACAGACCCAACAAAACCCCTCCAATACGCAAGTCCAATGCAAAACAAATGAAACCAAAATGAATGAATAATTGTCGTCATGTCGAAAGGCTTATAATCGCACAACGTACTTGTACCGATACCCCTGTCGAGGGTTACCGGTACTCTTCTCCTCTGTAGCAGACATGTCTCCAGTCGCTGCTGCTGCAGAAGCAGACCCCTCAGGCTTCTTCGCACGATCGGCACGATCAGAAGAAGTCTTACCAACCTCTTTCTCACCCCATGCCCACATCAACGCTTTACCCATCTTATCCCTCTCGCGAAGCAACAACTCCGTCCTCCGCTCCCATTCCCGTTCACGCTTTTCAATAGACTTGGCAAGCATCTTATCCATTTCAGCGGATGTTTCTTCTTTCAAGGACAAAGTGGATTGTAATTGCTGCACTTTGGATTTGAGGGCTGCGATTTCATTGGATTGCGTGGATATCGTCGATTGAGATGTTGATAGTTGGTTGTGCAGCTCGGTTGCACGCTTTTCCGAGGTTGAGAGCATGCTGCGAAGGTGTTGGATGCTGTCGTTGTAGGATGTGCGGAGGTCGTTGATGGAATTGTTGTTGATTTCGCGCAAGTTTTGGATTTCGAGTTGGTGCGCTTCACGTAGGGCTTGTGTTTCTGAACTAGTGATGCTGGCTTGGACTGGTAGCTGGCGAACGCTGTTGATGGATGCTAGTTCGTGTCGATGTTGTTCTTTCAGACGATCTATTTCTTCACGCGCTTTGGTGAGGTTGGAGTTCAGTTCTTGTATCCGAGCTATCAGACGAATGTTTTCTCCTTCAATTGTTGTAATGAGACTGCGGGTTTCAGCAAGCAGGTCTTTCGATCGTTTCCATTCTGTCTCGGCAACTTCTTTTTCGGTGGCAGACCGTTGAAGGACGGATTGCGCTTCACTTAGCTTGCTTTGAAGCTCTTCTTCTATTTGGGTCGATTTTCCTTTATCTTGGCTAGATTTCTTCATTTCCTTCAATTGTTGTTGGAGAATGCGAATGACCTCGGCATAATCCTTGCCTTCGATCTCAATAGACAGATCAACCGCCAAAGTCAAGACTGCGTTTCTCTGCAGGGCCACCTCTGATCTGACCTTGGCCAACTCTTTTTCGAGTAGGATGTTCTTCTCTTCAAGAGGACTGTTGCGCGTCTCCAAAGACTCGATCCTATCTTTCAAAGTATCATACTGCCGCTGCATGTCCGCTAATTCTTCGTCAGCATCTGCAGATTGTAGTTCCTTCTCATCGATTTGCGCTTTGAGATCGTCAATCTCTGTATTCTTTTGGCGCAATTGGAGCTCACTATCTGCAGTCAGTTCACGCAGCTTCTTACTACTGTCTTCCAAAGCTTCGTCTCGTTTACTGATCTCCTCTCGCGCGTCCTTCAGTTCCTCTTGCAGCTTCATGATCTCTTTTGCATCATCCTCATTACTAGCAGCCTCCTCGTCGGCCTTCTGTTTCAGTATTTTGAGTTGCTCTCGTAGCGCGTCTTCCTCGGCCCGCCGGTTATTGGCCTCTGATAACAAGGAATCTTTGAGCTGTAGTTCGGCCCGGAGATTCTCAATTTCTTCGCGAGCAGATGCCAGCTGCTTCTCATTCTCTCGAATCTTCTCGTCTCGGTCTCGTCGCTGCTCGTGCAAATCTTCAATCTCGCGAAGCACTGTCGTAAACGTCCGGCTTTCCTCCATACCGCCCTCCTTGTCGTGCTTGGAAGGGCTATCCCCTTTCTCAGGCGAACTAAAGACGCTCTCTTCTATATCTTCCAAGCGTGTCTCCTCCTTGCCCGATCCATAATTCTTTCTCCGCATCAAGTGCGAAGGCGTGGACATGTCCACCGGAGGCCCAAATTCACTTTCCTCGCCTTCCACTTGACTATGGTGATGTCGCGGCCGCGGGGATGGTGATGGTGAATAGTCTGGGAGCACTTCCTCTTCAGAGTCGGGGTCATCCTCACGGTGCTTTCTGTCCACTGGAGACGTCATCCCGTTCAAGTATTTCTCCAAATTCAACGTGAAATCTTCGGGTCCGCCAAACTCTGGTCCCTGGTCCTCGTCTTCAAAAACGTCCTCAATCTTGTCTTTACTCCCTCCAGGAAACTTGTTCCAGTCGATTGTGTATTGTGACAGGCGCTTGTCAATATCCAACGTAGCGATGCCATTCGACCCAGCTGCCGTCAGCTGATTATTTTCTCCGCTGGGACTTGTACGATCATTGTCTGAGTCCCGATGCAGCTGAAGCGTCGGAGGTGAAGACGGTACCTGAACTGGATAGCTCAAAGTTGACGTGCCGATCGTATCGTGGGTTGTGGGAAACGGCGACGTGTGAATAGGCATGGTTATGCAAAGATCGACTCAAATGAGTCTATTGTTGTTTTGGCGTGTACAACTGTGGTTGATGATTCCGGTTTGCATTAGTCGTACTGTTGTAGGTTGAATAAAAAAGAGTCGGATTTCACAAGCAAGTCGCGGGTTGGGGTGACGTGACAGCATGCGAGTGATAAACGTTGATTGGATCAAAGTTGACGGTCGAGATTTATGTTTATATCACGCCAGGTTGGGAATAGTGCGATCATCCCACCAACAGTAAACAGTCAACGTCAATGATCATATAAATATTGGGTCTTGGCCAAAATTCGACGCTGTACAATACTGTTACAGGGTCTCAAAACAAAATAACAATTCAAGCAGGTAATAAAAAAGAAAAAACCAACCCATTCTGGTCAACAACAAACAAAAAGAAAACACTGGAAAAAAGATGCACTTACGCGGGATCGAACCGCGGACCTTGTCATTACTAGTGACACGCTCTACCACTGAGCCATAAGTGCTAGATGAAAGTCACTTCACTTTATTGACCTATAATTTAATATCATGCATTCAACTTCAGATCAATTGTCCCAGTCCAATAAAGACTTTATCGGATTCATCCCTTCGTGGTAACCTTGGAATCAGTTCTTCCATACATTGGCTTCGGTTTGGAAAGGCCTCCTATCGTTCTGGCTAGGTCTATAGGTCTAGACCCAATGCTTCATCAAACACGTTTTCCACGTCAACCCGAGAGTAAAAGTACAGCTGAGAGGTACATATATATCGACAATCTATAAACACGACGGCAGACGTGAACGTTGTCTCCCAGCACGCTCAGACGACGATGTCTTCATACTCCTCTGAAAAGCCCGACCCCTTGCGTGGTCTTCCTCTCTTTCGACCTCCTTCACCAGCAACCTTTCCCTCTGCGGTGGAACCATGTGAAGCTCGTCCTCCCTTCGCTGCTATCTCACGCTATCGCCAAAGATGAACCGTTAGACTGATTCTGAACGACGCCCCGCAACGTAACTTCTCGTCTACAACTAACACCTAGAGAGAAAGGAAAAAGACCTCGGTAACTTACCTGCTTCTGAGGATCCATGTCGTGAAACCCACCTACCCCCGTAGCTCGACCTCCCTTCTGACCGCCCCTTTTGCTGATTTCTCTCAGTTCTTCCTTGGGACGGTTCGCAAAGTTTCCTGGGTTGGGATGATGAGTCTGCTGAGTCGGTGTTGACGTGGCGTAATCCTTGAAATCGGTACTACGGGAAATCCGGATGGTATTCAGAGGCCATGAAGAAATTGACTGTGTTACTCTCCAGAGCGGGAGACGTTGTGCACAGCGCTTGTAGATTTGGCGGCTAGCAGACATGTTTCACAATAAGAACCGTATGGCCACAAAGTGCCAAGTATAAGGAGGATATGTGCTATGAGATGGACTATGAAGTGCTAATTCTAGGGCATTGATGTTATACTTGGTCTCCTGTGGCGGGTTATCACGTAGCCACTCTGCGGTCATACTTTCATCAACACTACAATTGACTCGGCACTCATCACTACTAGAGCTTTAATTACCGAACGAATCTCTATTTCAGGCCCAGGAGTAGTAAGCGTAGCCATGAGATAGATCATGTGTCGACAGCACGAAATGGTTTTGGCGTGGCTGTTCGGTCTGCACAGATCGCACAGTCCACCTCGCTTAGTCATCAAAATGAATCAAAAGTTCAGCTCGTCAACTTCCCTCGTCAACAGCATTGCATATCGCCAATTACTGAATAAAACGGGTACCAAGTAGTTTGCTACCGCCGGGCCATATGAATTGAAGCTTATTATTTTCTTCTTCAACCTTGAAATGCTCCTCCACAACCAGCCCTGTCGAAAAAGTACCAAGTAACGCGTCGTAAACGGGCACATTCCAAATGCCGCCTCTGCCTCGCGCTGGAATCCCCAGCCAGCGCCGCATAGTGCTTTATCACCAGACAATAGTGCCTCGTGAGCGCGGTTATGTGCCCATGTTGCCTTTGGTAGAGAATTATACCGGTACAACACATATCATATTAGCTGCCTTTCACATCAACGGCCAGCCGGGTAACGTCACGCTCAATGACGACCCACCAGATAGCCCCATCTACAATCCATTATGGGAGGAGGTGCCTCTAATACAACGTTCCGGAATCAAAGTGATGGGAATGCTAGGCGGAGCTGCAAAGGGTACTTTCCAGCGCTTGGATGGGCTACAGGAAGAGTTCGAGGCGTACTACACTCCATTGCTGGCGATCATCCGTCGTTATGGTCTTGACGGGTTGGATCTGGATGTTGAGGAGGCCATGTCACTACAGGGGATAATCAGACTGATTGATCGACTCAAGACTGACATGGGCGATGGGTTCATTATCACTCTAGCTCCTGTTGCAACGGCTCTTGTTGATTTAGGGAATCTGTCGGGTTTCAATTATCGTGAGCTAGAGCGCAGTAGAGGGTCTAAGATCAGCTGGTATAACACACAATTCTATAATGGCTGGGGCCAGGCCGAAGATCCCCGGATATACGCTGCTATTATCTCCACAGGATGGCCAGCGAGCAAAGTCCTCTTGGGTATGTTGACAAACCCTGGAAATGGGAGTCAGGGATGGGTGGCTTCAGAGGATATCGGCCCTGTTATTGCATTCTTAACCCTGCAATTCCCTGATTTCGGAGGCGTAATGGGATGGGAGTACTTCAATTCTTTACCGGGAGGGCTAGAACAGCCGTGGCAATGGGCCGCTGAGATGTCGCTCAGTATGGGCATGTCGCAAGTCTTGTCAACGGCGCAGATGGTTGCGGGAATGGGTGCTTTGAGAGAGGGACTTATGGGATTCTTGAACAATATACAGAACCAGCAGAACCAGAACCGAGGCCAGCGCTGATCTCACGACGCAATGTAATGACAGAATGAATGATGATGCCCATGAATATTGATCTGTTCGGTCCAAGTAGATGTTGCTTAATACCCGATGGACTTTAGATATGTAAATATTGCCTTCGTGTCAATAGGAGAAAAGAACGTCAATCCACCATCAAAATGGAGGATAGATGGTTGACGTCATCGTTGGCTGGAGACCGACACAAATTAATTTTGGCGACGCGACTACCAGCTAGCCCTTCGGTCATCTTCATTCCACCAACACAACACAGCAGCTGGCCGATTCTGCTGGACGGAATCAATTATTGAAGCTCTTTGATATACTGAGCTGATCTATGACAGTACTGGCGTCGCAATGAGCAGCTGGCTCACCGTCGTAACGGCTCTCAGCTCCGCACTGATCCGAATTGCGAGCTTCATTTTTCTGCGATGGGTATGCTTTACTTCCTCTACCTAGAGCTAGAGTGAACTCTAACATTTTGTTTACAGATTCCAGGCCATGTGTTTCCTCCTGTTATATTAACATGCTCCGGACTTTACCTGTCATCGACCTTTTTGATACTTGGGACGGACGCGGGCGCTGAGGTACAAAAGACGACGAGTGAGTTGCTCGATTTGAACATTCACGGACTGGGACTGACCGATTTTAGCAGTTGATAAGTCCAAGATACAGACGCGCAAGCATGATACTGGAGAGACAGGATCGACATTCAAATCACTTTTGAGCGGCGTGCCATCGAAAAAGACGGTATTCTCAACAACACTCAACATCTTGATAAACTTGGCGTTGACAGCCCTTACGCTGGACTTTCTGTATCGTGGTCGCATTCTGCATCCAACTGATGACCTTGCATTCTCTCGAATTGGCTATGTGTCTCCCACGACGGCAAACCTACTGGTCAGAGAACCACACGTTAGCAACTTCCCCATGACGATAAAATACCAAGAGGCAGCTCAGGTCGATTCCGATTACTGGGTCGAAGAAGGGAAGATTTACCAACTTAATGCAGTGAAAGATTTCACATTCCCAGTGACAATAAAAAACCTCAAGCCTTCAACGCAGTACCGTTATAGCCTGTCCAATAACCAAACTGGTACTTTCATTACTGCTCCACAGTCTGGGACACAATCAGCAAGCAGACTATCGTTTCTGACTTCGAGCTGTATCAAGTCGAATTTTCCATATAATCCGCTTTCACACCCGCTTCGCATTCTGGGTGTCGAGGAATTGTCGCATGCAATCAAGAAACTGCCATCTCTCAAGCGACCCTCGTTTATGCTCTTTCTCGGAGACTTCATCTATATCGATGTGCCGCTAAGATATGGCTCCTCTCTAGAGGAATATCGAGCCGAATACAGGCGTGTATACTCCTCTCCAAGCTGGCACGAACCTGCAGATGAACCTCCCATTGATCTACCTTGGATTCATACTTTGGACGACCACGAGATTGCCAACGACTGGGATAAGGGTAACTTGACACATCCCTACCCCGAAGCAGTTGATCCTTATCATCTGTATCACGTCAGTGTGAATCCTCCCATCCCACCATTACCATATGCTACCCCGGAAAATACGACGTATTTCTCTTTCATCCACGGTCCCGCATCGATTTTCATGCTCGACACTCGCACATACCGCACGACAGCTAACCTCTACAACTCTACAATGCTGGGCTCCGCACAACTCAAGTCTCTCCTAGCATTCATCGCACGCCCAGAAGCAGCAGAAGTAAAATGGAAAATCGTGGCATCCAGCGTTCCCTTCACAAAGAACTGGCACGTCGGCACGCAGGATACATGGGGCGGATTCTTAGGCGAACGTCAAGTCGTTTTGAAAGCAATGTGGCGGGCTGAACGAGAACTCGGCGTTCGCATCGTTCTGCTAAGTGGTGATCGCCACGAGTTCGGCGCAACTCGTTTCCCGGATCCAAGCTATGGATTAAGCTCCAATGAGCTTTCATCAGGTACAGCAGATGCATATGGAATTCATGAATTTAGCGTTGGTCCATTGAATATGTTCTACCTGCCCATTCGATCGTATCGCCAAACTGACAGTGAAGATATAATGGTCAAATACGTTCCGGACGGAAATATCAAATTCGGTCAGATTGATATTGAGCTCTATGATGGTACTGGCGGCGAGTCAGATGTTGTTTATGACCATCTCGAAGGCCCTCATTCAGTACTCACGTACTCGTTACATGTTGATGACAAGATTATATGGAAATATCAATTATCCATCCCTTTACTGCCCGATGAAATTGGTACTGGTGCTCAGGCACGTTTACCGCCTGGTAAGGTTCTATTAGATGACGCGCAATTGCGTGGCTGGGGACTACAGGAGGGTATTGGGTATATCGAAGAGAAGGCGAAAATTGCTTGGGATGATTTGAAGGAAAGGATTGCTCCGTTCTTGAGTTGGGAGAGGAAGGAGATGAGGGTCGATTAGATCAATGTGCGCTTTGGTCATTGCATGAGACTCAATGTACAAGGGACATCAATTAATATATATTGTATCTGAATGAACTTAGTACAGCTACAAATTCGTTATCAAACGCCAGACGCCAGACCTCGTGTGATCTCTTCATGCATCATGCCTGTCAAGTAGAAAAGAACGTACGTTGAAAAAGACAAAATCACCGTCCTCTTCCTCTACCACCTCCTCCACCCATACCACCACCACCCATAAGCCCACTCATCTGGCTCATCATACTCTGCAAATCCATGCCTCCAAAATTCGGCATTCCGCCCGCCCCACCAGCGCCTCCTTGGCCTTGCAACATCTGCATCATCTTAGCCATATCGCCCATTCCTGGCATACCTCCGGCACCACCAGCGCCACCCATGGACTGCATTCGTTTCTGCATAGCGGCCATTTGTTGTTCCTTGTTCCCGCCCTTGAGCATGTTTTGGGCGCGCTGCATTTGCTTGCGTTGCCCACCAACTCGTTTGGCCATTCCGGCCATCATGCGATGTTGTGATAGGAGGTCTTCGACTTCGCGGACTGTGGTCCCGCTACCGCAGGCAATACGGACGATGCGGCTGGGTTGTTCGACGAATATTTTGCCATCGCTGTCGAGTTCGGCGGTAGTCATGCTATCGAAGAGATAGATCATGCGCCGAAGTTTCATGGTGCCGTCTTCATCATCGAGGCCTGCAGTAATGTTCGACAAGCCAGGAATCATGCCTGAGATCTTTGACAAGGGGCCCATTTTCATTATTGATGTGATGTTTTCGCGGAAGTCTCGTAACGTGTATATACCGGCTGAGATGTGTTTATACGTCTCCTTGGCGCCAGCAGAATCCTTCGTTATAGCCTGTACGTGCTCGACCAAACCAGCCATGTCTCCCATGCCAAGCAATTTCTGGATAAAAGCCTTTGGCTCGAATCGTTCCAGGTCCATCATGTGTTCTCCAGTACCCAGGAAAATAATAGGGGTATGCGTAGCAGCAACTGCAGAAATGGCACCACCTCCAGCAGCATGACCATCAGTCTTGGTGATGATAATAGCACCGAAATCTGCCGTTGCCTTGAAAGCTGAAGACTGCGCCTCGGCTGCTTGACCGATTGTGCTATCGAGAACTAGAATAGTCTGATCAGGTCGCACCGCGTTTTGAATCTGTGTCATTTCCTCGAACAAGTCCTCCTCTTGCTTGTGACGACCACTCGTATCGACTATGATAATATCGAATCGCTCCTTCTTGAACTGTGCGACACCCTCAGCTGCCACAACGACGGGATCCGTCTGTGTGAGGCTACCGTAGTATGGAATCTTCGCTTTGATAGCATTCTGTTTCAACTGATCAAAAGCACCTGCACGGAAAGTATCGGCGCAAACAAGTGCTGTCTTGAATCCGCGCATCTGATAGTGTCTTGCTAACTTTGTACATGTTGTTGTCTTTCCGGCACCTTGTAAGCCCACAAACATGATCACATTGACTCGTCCTTTTTTCGGCTTGAATGGTTCCGCATGAGGGTTGACGAGTGCGACCAACTCATCGAAGACAGCCTTTTGAATCAGACGCTTTTTGTTGACGGCGGAGGGGAGCGAGGAGAAATTGACGTTGTGTTTGATCGATTTTCGTAGACTTTGAACTAGTCGGACGTTGACGTCGGCTGACAGAAGAGCTGAACAGATCTCTTTCAACATGTCATCGAATGCCTGGATGTACAAATGTCAGATCCTGAGTACATGACAACATGAAAATAAGAGCTATACCTTCTCGTCAACTGTGTTTGATCTCGTGAGATCACTCACGGCGGCGTTGATGCGCCGCCCCAAGTCTTGAAGAACCATGCCGGATTATGTCTCTGGTTGTATGTCAAGATGCGAAACTCAAGTCGAAAAAAACAATGCGAACAGCAGTCAAGTGTAGAAACAGAGTATGGTGGGATGTGTTCTTGCGGCAATTGTGGCAATTCAGAATGCGGAGGGTCTCCACCAATCGGAGTGAGCTTGGTCCCTCCGCCTTTTATCAGAAGGAAAAAATGTAGAGCTTCGTATCCGCTCAGAAACATTATATTTCTCAACAACATATTAACACTCATTCACAACAATGGCTCTCACATCAGCTTCAAAAAAGAGAAAGGTTCAAGATGGAATGGCTGGGAGGATACAGCCAAAGAAGAAGTTCAGAAAGCAGACCGAATACCATAGCAGCTCTGAGGAAGAGGACGAGAACGACAACGATGCTGGCACTTTTGCTCCCGTGAATCTAATGGATTCAGATGAGGATGAGCATACGAAGGAAGTCGCGAAACCTAAGTCAAAGAAGGACAAATCATCACTATCTGCAGCGCCGAAGAAGAAATCGAATAGAAAAGAAGAAGTTGCCGAAGACGATGATATCGAAGAGGACGACGAACCAGATGTGGACGCATTTAGTGGAGATAGTGGAGATAATGAAGACGACGACGACCAAGAAGACAGTAACTCAATTGCAGATGATGACAATGAAGAAGGAGGTGTACGTGTGAAGACAGTCACAAAACGTCACGATCCCACTGCATTCTCGACATCCATATCCAAAATCTTGTCCACCAAGCTACCTACATCCGCACGAGCAGATCCAGTTCTATCGCGAAGCAAATCTGCCGCCCAAGTATCATCTGAACTTGCAAACGAGCGTCTCGAACAGCGAGCACGATCAAAACTTCGCGCCGAGAAGAAGGAAGAACAGGAAAGAGGACGAGTCAGGGACGTGCTGGGAACCGAACGTGGCGAAGCCGGAGAAACAGCAGAAGAAGAAAAACGGTTACGCAAGATTGCGCAGCGTGGTGTCGTCAAATTGTTCAATGCTGTTCGTGCAGCTCAAGTACGTGGTGAGGAAGCTGCGCGCGCAGAACAGAAGAAGGGCACAGTTGGAATTGAGGAGAGGAAGAAGGCGGCAAATGAAATTAGCAAGCAGAGCTTTCTGGAGTTGATCAATGGGAAAAAGGGCAAGGCATTGAATATTGAGGAGGCTTGATAGCCATGGATGATACGTCTTGCACTGTCTAGCATATTCCGGCGCTACGTTTCTGTTTGGGGTCTTGGTCCTTCAAAAGTCTTTTTTTCAGTTAAATACGAAGTAGGTTATCAATTATATATCTATCTACAAGTACAAGCTGCTGGCTTACTGATTCCATAGCCACATCGTAGCAGTCAGAGTAGAGAGGTGAAAGGTCTTTTATTTGAAATCGCTTGCCTGCAAATTCCTTGTCATCGCGGGCAATCGAACCACTAATCCGTCCAAATCTTTCGTCATTTTCACCTGGCATCCCAGCCGCGACGTCTCTGTAAGTCCAAAAGCGAGATCCAGCATATCATTTTCGTCGTCGTCGGGTTCTGGCATTCGGTCGTATAGTTCGGGGTCTTCTACAATTACATGGCAGGTTGAACAAGCGCAGGAACCTCCACAAGCGCCTATATGAGAAGGTAACGATCAGCTCGTGTCCTTAACCCAGCATTGATAATGCGAACTCACCCTCCATTTCCAAGTCGTTTGCTTGAGCAATGTCCAATAAGTTGTCGCCTTCGGATACTTGAAATTCGTACTTTTCGCCGTCTTTGTCAATGAAGGAGACATTTATCCTACCGTAGTCAGTATCTGTTCTTCCGGTTGTATGCAGTATCTGACTCACTCTTCTCCAGGCTTGGGGGGAGTGATATGGCCATGAGCAGCTACCGATGTGGCAGAGAATTGCCGTCTGGACAGCGCAATGTTTTGTAAATGTGAATCTCGATGCACGGTCTGGCCGATCTTGGTCGATTGTAAGAATTGCTTTCGTGCGCCGTTAAGTCCGCTGATATACCGACGGTCGATAGAGGCCGTCCTTGATACGGCTCGTCGGAGCTGGAGACCAGCTTCTCTCCAGAGAGTCATGTTGCCAACTTATCCTCCTCAAGGACAATTCAATTGCAAGAACAAGAACAAGAGAAGAGTGACGAAGAGAAAGTGGTTTTACTAATGTCCGATGGCTCGGACGTAATTACCTTGTGGAGACCAGAAAATAAAGGCGGCAATTTTTCTGCTTAAGCTTCCCGCGGGATCACAGCTCCAACTACCACTACGCGTATACTGGTTGACAGAAAGAGCTCGCTTTGAAAATATATCAGTTAGCATCGAATGTGCTCAATATAACCACGGAGTCCCATCTCCTGAAGTGACAATCTCGAAAAATATGGCCTCGCGCGAAGGAAGCAATCCATTGCGTCCCTATTACATCCCTCCTCCTATTGGGCTTTCTCCCACAGAGAGCGTCAACGCCTCATCTACAGCACACATTGTCTCGCATGCGTCGTCGAGAACTACAATAGGCGGCTCGGCAAGAGATTTGCTGTCGGACTTGGATTATAGCGACTACCTAGATGCATCGCCGACAGTGTCGGAATGGTTCAGGGATTTGCTCGATCGGGCAGTATGGAAGTACTCGAGTGCTCTTTTAGCACAACCGTTCGACGTCGCGAAGACCTTGCTTCAGATATATGTTGTACCGGGTGAAGAGGAGAATCCAGATTTATACGATACTCGAAGACGGCAGAGTCAACATTTCCGAAATGATACTTCCGATCAGGTATGAATTCTGCTTCTTCGCTAGAAGCTTAAGAGCTAATAATCTGTAGGATTCGCAATCTTCAGACGACGAGAGCAGCTATTTTACCACCACAGGTCCGACTACACCCTCGCCTTCGACTCCTCGATCACGCAAATCTCGTCCTCAAATTACGGATCGAGCCGGGTATATCCAGTCGCCTCCGACTTCGAAACACCGTCTGCAAATCAAGAACCCCTCTTCATTGATGGAAGTCATCTCACGCTTATGGACAACAAGCGGACCAACATCGGTCTGGAAAGCTACAAATGCGACGTTTATGTATTCGCTTCTTCTACCTACGCTCAACACGTTTCTTCGAAGTCTTTTGTCCGCAATCATCGGATTGCCGGAAATTGGAGAGTCGTCGTCACTTACTGAAGATATTTTGACCGTATCCTCTCCAACTGCTACATTAATTATAACGTTTATTGCATCCGCACTTTCATCGATTATCCTGGCCCCTCTCGACACCGCTCGTACATTTCTTATTGCAACTCCGCTTACACACGGTCCTCGATCTCTGTTCCGAGCGTTGCGACTTCTTCCAACTTCGAATTATACAATACCCGCCCATCTCGTCCCAATCACAGTCCTTCATTCCAGTCTACCTAGTTTACTCTCTATGAGCACGCCGTTATTCTTGAAAAATTATTTTTCAATTGATCCCGTCCTCAACCCATCCGCATGGAGCCTATTCAGTTTTGTTTCAAGTGGATTAGAGCTTGCCGTGCGGTTCCCGTTGGAGACAGTCTTGCGCCGAGCTCAAATTGCTACCTTCACATCACCGGCTTTGCGTCAACGAGTCCAACCAACCGTCAAACCCTCACAATCTTCAAAAGCCTTGGCTAAAACCGACGCTGAGAGCACCGAGATTGAGACAATCGTACCTGTACCCAAGACATATCGCGGAATCATCGGCACGATGTGGAGCATCGTATACGAAGAAGGTGTATCACCAGATGCAGACGAGGACGTATCAAGAATAGTAGGCACGCAAGGCCGTCAACGACGGAAGAGACCCGGTCAAGGTATTCAGGGTCTATATCGTGGTTGGAGAATGGGCATGTGGGGGTTGGCAGGTATATGGGGAGCAGGCTTCCTGGGAGCTGCCATGGGAAACGGTGAAGAAATTGTGACATCCACGCCTGGCTTTGAGTATCGCAAGGGAGGTGTCGCGCGGCCTTTTTAATCTTCCCATCTCCAAATCTGGGGATACACTCTACTCTCCTTCAGCAGGAAGTTTGAACATATCGAGTTTCGGCGTTTGTACATTGATGAAATAGATGGGTTCTGGAAGTGGCGGTTTGGTTGTTTTCGAAAATTCTTCTTCTACATATACCATGGCATGAGCACGGAGAGCATCATGATTGATTCCCATTCTTTGACTTGTTTGTGTATGCTTTACTTTTGTGTGATGATTCACAACTCAACTCTATAATATACAGTACATAGTATAATATTGACTGTACCTATAATCGATTTATGGAACTGAACTCCAAATCCTGTACTTGATGATGGTAATATGGAACTTGTTTGGATGCCTTGATCAGGGTCTGACTGCGGTTATCTCCATCTTTATGCTCGCACAACATAATACAAAACCCAATCGTAGCAAGTCTTATCTAGTACAATGATCTACAGTTTGCTCTGCAAAGTCTCTCCCGTATAGAAAGATTGGGTCTTGTTCAAGGCCTCGACTGCTTCTTTCTCGATACGAGCAAGCAAGACTTGACAGGTCGGGATGTCATGAATAAGACCAATGACTTGTCCAGCCGTCCAGACCTAGATTTAAATCAGCATACGCCTTGATAATCAATGATATGAAAGGAGCATAGGCAAACATACACCAAAGTCCGGATCACCATTAATAAAAACCTGTCGACCACGTTGACCACTCACAAACGGCGCAACTTCCGTAAACTCTCCGGTCTTGGACTCCTTCTCAATCTTGATCGCTTCAAGGGAGACTTTGTTTTTGAAAAGTCTCGTGGTATTCTTCCAGCGGCGGAGCACAAGCGCAGTATCAGATTCCTGAGCCTTGACGATAGCTTCCTTGATATTATTGTGAATAGGTGCTTCGACGGTACACATAAACCTCGTGCCCATATTAATACCTTCCGCGCCCAAGGACAAGGCAGCAGCTAGACCCTGCCCATCCGCAAATCCACCAGAGGCAATAAACGGAACCTTGAGCTCCTGTCGTGCGCGACTCAGTAGGATGAAATTCGTAATGTCGTGCTCACCAACGTGGCCAGCACACTCAAATCCATCAATTGACAGGAAATCCACACCCATTCTCTCGGCGGCTTTCGCGTGACGGATAGTCGTGCATTTGTGTAGGATTATTATACCGGCTTTCTTGAGTTGGGCGATTACGGGACCGGGACTGTTGCCGGCTGTTTCAACGATTTTGATGCCTTCTTCAATCACGACGCGGGCGTAGGCGGCGTAGTCGGGAGGTACGAGGGCGGGGAGAAGGGTTATGTTGACACCAAAGGGTTTCTTGGTTAGGGCTTTGGTTTTGCGGATTTCTTTTCGGAGATCTTCGGGCGTGGGTTGAGTGAGGGCGGTTAACTCGATGATGTTAGTTGTTGTACACCAGATAGTCATAGAATAGGTGTCCAGTTGAAGTGCGTACAATTCCCAAGCCGCCTGCGTTACTGACCGCAGCTGCGAGTTCGGCATATCCGACCCATTGCATTCCACCCTGTACAACAGGCACTTTATGAGAGTTTATTAATATATCTTCATGGCAGATAGGAGTAAGATGACTCACCTGCAATACCCAGTTTCCGGGTAAGAGCTGTATTGAAAGGCATCGCGTCGATTCACTTCACTTGCTCGAGTGTACCTACACGTATATAGGCAGGAGGGGTGTGAAACTCGGTCAAAGAAATAGCTCACGAGATATATATATACCCAGAAGATATTGCCGAAGAAGTTGTTGTCTCTGGCGGGGAAAGAAGCCGAGGCTTGATTATGGATCACCCGCTAAGTTTAAGTTAGCTACTGTGGAGAGAGTTCGAGGTGGATCACCGTTGACTTTCTGTGAGTTGGACACTCCCGAGGTCATTGGTAAGGCAATCCGTATCCTTATTATGATATTCCCACTTGTATGAATATATCGTCCTTTGTTTAGCAGTGAATATATATGATTGAACGGTCGATTATTTTGAGGCGTTCCTGACACTACGCTCAAAATTTCCCGACATGTGATCCGCCTTATCGATAAGAGTGACACTAACCTAACTAGGTAATTGTTGTATTCGTCGTTCAGCATCGGGCTGTTTTGCTTCGAAATCCGCCGCTGGCTCTGGAAGAAAAGTTATCGTTTAGATGATAGTATGGTAGGCTATGTATAGTTATTCGGAAAATATATTTTTATTGCCGGATATGTCAGAATGAGGCTGGGGGGAGGTAGAGTTGTGTGAAGTTGGGCGGGAATCTGGGTATATATATATATATATCATGAACATAACTGTCTCTAATTCTACTTTTACTTACACTTTCAAATAATGTACCACCACAATGACTTTATAAGGAAATATGCTTATGAGAATAAAGTAGAGCTACTGAAAATATAAGATCGTCAGCGGTGGTCAGCACCTTGGAACACAAGCAAACCTTCAAGGCTACCCAGCTAGTGGACAATGTGATAAGGTACCTAGGTGCCTACATAAGTAGAAATAGTATCGATTAAGCCAATACCTAGGTAGTGAGGTGACTACACCAAGCTATTATGGAAAATAAGTTCTATATCTGAAATAAAAACGTGGATTGTAGAGTAGGAAGAGCGTAGTAAAAATACCACTCCAAGAACACTTGGACTATAGATTATACCGAAGAGTTATATTGAATATGCGTGTGCTTTATAACTAACAGCATGAAAGCAAAAGTCTAGAGTTCCCAATTATGCCGAAACAATCTTTTATTACATTTATACCACCCAACACCTAACAGGCGAGGGAAACAAAAAGACAAGTGATAGAAACAAAAAAGTAGATGTAAAAGGAAACCCCTTTTTCAATGTGACATCAATCCGAAATCCTTCACAATCCCTTTTCCGGCTTTTCAACATTGAATGCGAGATACATGACAATCAATTAGAAAGGTTGATAGAATGTGACAAGAGATGAAAGGAGACAGAATAGTTGTACATAAGAGTCCTTTACAAAAGGGAACCAAGAGCAACGCAAGGAACATTGAGTCCGATAAGGTCGCCAGAAGAGTCGGCAGTGTTGCCCTGGCAGCAAGCAATGTTCTGCTTGCATTGGCTGTTGATAAGATCGGAGATACCAATGAGGACTGGAGACTGTTAGTGTTGCAAGAGATGCTACTAATGTGAAGAAACTTACCATCGATGTTGAGCTTGGAGCACTTGTCAAAGAGACCGAGACCCTTGGCACCATTCTTTCCTCCGAGGAGATCCTTGAGGGCACCAGCAAGAGGGCCAGATGCAACCTCAACCTGGTCACCAGTGAAGGTGGTATCATCGCAGCAAGCAATTTGGTTGTCGGTACCACAGGCAGCCTTGGCTTCCTCGACGGTCACGTTGTCGCTAACAGGCCAGAAGGCATCCTGTTTTCCAACCTCAGCACCCTTGCCAGGAGCAGGACCAACGTTGGGAAGAGCAACTGCGGTAGCAGCGAGAGCAAGAAGAGCGGTGGTGAACTGCATTTTGATTTTTGTTGGGTTGTTTTTGGGAAAAAACGAACGAATGTTCTTAAGGAATTCGGTTAAAAGTAAAGAGTGCTTGTCTGGAAGACTGCTCGGCAAAGAAGAGAATGCTTGAGAGAGTGTGATTATGATGATGATGAGAAGAAAAAAGTCGACTTAGTACGTAGATTCAACACCCTTATATAGATAAAAGTGGAGTGACTTTGGGCTTGGATTGTTTTCGACCATAGGGGCTTGTTGTGTATGAGCAACACAAGCAGACCGTGTAGAAAGACTGGATGTGGAATGCAACATTCATCAGGAATTGTAATGAATTGTCGTGTGTTGGGACGTTGTGATAGGCCCTGGAATGGGATCAAGGTATCCTGTGGAATGGATCACCCTCCAACCACCAAGGGGAGACCATCTGCACGAACCTTTAGATTCAGGAACACCACTCATATGCCGTAGCAGAGGTATGCTAATTTAACTTCTGCTTATTGTGTGTGGATTTCTAATTCATGACTGCGATCTTTTCTCCATCCTTCAACGCCGCGAAAACAGGTTACAACAAGATCGAGACCGGTTGATCTTCTCTCCTTCCAGGGCAGTTTGTTGAACTTCTCCTCTACGGAGCTGAATATCGTATAGTGCATAGATAGTCTGTACCTTATCGCCCCGTAGCTATTGACCCATAGCTACATAGGCATACCTTGACGGTAGCATTTCTGCAGTAGACCCCAGTAGAGATCCTGTTGCGGCAAGCTCAAAATTCCGTTTATTGAGTTTGTTGCAGCAAAGGGATAGATTAGTATCACGCATATACCGGGAAATTCCTAGTCATACAACATGGGACCATACTATGTAGCCCATGCATCCCAGCACCTAATCACTTACTTTCCTGCAACTCTAATCCAAGCTTTTCCCTAATAATTCAGCTCACACCTGCATGGTTTTCGAGTCAGTAATGTACGTGGCGTGCCAAGCATCCTGGAATGCATTTCAGGGCGACTCATACTGTAGGATTGTTATCTGCAAGGACTCGCACGAGGGGCGGCGACATACAACCAGTCAGATAGTCCTACATTGTCCGCAAGAATTAACCATTAGTATTGACAAATAAAGGGACTGGAATTTGCTGCCTCTCTAAGCCGAGGTTATAATCAGTAGAAAAAGGCATGCAACGGAAACGAAAGCAGGTTTGGCGCTTTCGGCAAACTAGGGTTACCGGTAGAGAATGATCAACCCTCATTATAGGAACGAGGAATATCGAGATGTTTTGCTTAGATAGAGCAACTTATGTATGAAACGAGTAAATGCCAGACATCGCTAATGTTGCATCGGGCAAGAGTTCCGATCCCGTTCTCAAGATATTTTCTTGAAGCATTTGAGATCCAGATTGCCGAGCTCATTGCGACTACGATAAGCTCTGTGGAACTGGTCATCGGATTATTGCTAGGTATGCTAAAAAGTAAAATTCAAAAGGTTGTGATGCTTGCATTGTTTCCTAGTTTGTCGTTGCTAGAACTGATTGACGAAACAAACAACGCTCGGACTGGCGAGTTGTTAAGCCGAAGTTCACAAAGCTCTTGTTACCGCCAAGGCAAGCAAGCCAACTGACCTATTTGTCGTATTATTTACCGTAAGTTTAGGCAAGATTTGATCCTAGATGCTTTTGGTGATGCAAACCTCAAACTCGAAACGTCATGACCGACGACAGCGAATGATGTGAAAGGGGTGCAAAAGTTCCCATCATGTATCGTTTGAGATGCAGAAGCTGCTCACTATCGCCTCTAATGCCAGTACGACTGTATATCTGTATTCTCAGACACTCCTGAAGCTGCTCTTCGAGCATCTCTTTCATCGTTCCACGAGGTGTGTGCGGTATAAAGCTGGGAACCGTAACTGGCCCTATCAAACCTGGAACGCTTAATGGAACACCCTCAAGCTCATTTTGTCCATCGAAAATAGCTAAGACTCTATATTCATCTGCCGCGATCCCTCTGTAAACAAGGTATTCATCGCTATGATTTGTAACTGGTTTTGGGGGTGGCCATCAAATACATTGCCATCGCGGTATCTTAACGTCTTCGCAGCTTCGTATGCATCGTACACGTTGTGAAGACCTTTGGACCAGACAGCAATAATGACGACGTCTTGTCTACCTTTTCCTATGAGTTTCCGTCTCCTCTTCAGTGCTCTTCCCCAATCGATGGTGAAGGGGATGAATGGCGTTGCGTTTGGTCTCCAACAAAGGCAGTCATCGAATGCTTCTTTCGTTATTGGCATATTCGGATATCCTGCCACCATGTTGAAGTTCTGAAAAGTATTATTATTGTACCCGACTCGTAGCAGATTCACAGGGGGTTTTTTTATGGGTCCAAAGAGTCCATGCGGACCCATCTTTTGCGATACTGAGTGTTTTAGATTTGGGTTGTCTATTGTCAGATTGTGTAGGCTTGTCAAGTGGAAATTTCTGATAGAAAAAAATTGTTGTCTCTGATCGATGCGGTGTTTCATTGCCTCAGCGCCTTACCACTGGGTTCGGCATAGTGTTTATATATTGCAACAACTTCTTTGTAATCACCTCAGCACGTGAGCTTTGTAGCTTACTTTGAGACAATTCCTTTCAGTCAATAGATTCAATGCGAAGAGCACCACCAATATGGATAGTTCATGATATGCCCCATCATTGCTAGTTGATCATGGCGCTTCAGGAGAGGCAACCTTTGGACTGGCAAGAAAAAACTGAAACGGCTTCTCATCATCCTAGTGAGTCGAATTTTAACCAGCTGAGTCAACAGAGATTCTGACAAGAAGGTCTTGAGAAGCATCGATGTGTAGATAAAAGATGAGGAGCAAAGGTCGAATGACGTCGAATATACAGTATCCCAAACTGGTTAGCGTGTTGTCTGATCTCCACTCGATTTTCTAAGCCAGCCGATCTTCTTGACACTTCCTCTCCTCAGATGATTCAGGATTGAGATTATATATGTGACTATCTTTCTGTTCAGCTGTGACTGATCAGGCGCCTGCTAGCTGTACTCGGAGTCTAGCTTGGATTGTGGTCCTTTTTGTTGCACTGAATAACTTCAAAATAGATTGAGAGTTTTTCTTTTCACCACTTGTGCAATTCTACTAATTTCAAGGGAGAAATGGCCGAGAACGATCGCTTGGCAGTTGCGGATACCACGGAAAAGTCTTCTACGAGCGCATCGAATACAGATCAACCGGGCGATGACTCGTCGAGGACGGAGCACAGAGAGGAGGTTGAGGCGGAGGAGAGCGATGGAGTAGAGACCACCAAGCAGAGAAGGCCTGAAGCCGGGGAGGAGAAAGGTGAGGATGGTTCTGAGGAGAAAAGGGAGGTTGAGGAAACTGGAGAAGTGAATACAGAAGAAGCGCCACCATTGCCGGACGAAGAAGTACCGCCACTTCCCGATGAAGCACCTCCAGGTCAGGAAGAGCAACAAGGGGACGATGGATGGGAACCAGTCTGGGATGCAAACGCACAAGCATATTATTTCTACAATCGGATAACAGGGGTATCCCAATGGGAAAATCCTCGCGTACCAGATGCTGCATCGGTGTCGGCGCCAAGGGCCCAAAAAGTGGAAGAACAAGTTATTCGAGGGGGTTATAACCCTGCCATTCACGGCGATTATGATCCCACGGCTCCGTACGCCCAACAATACGAGGCGGATTTACAACTCGCAAGTGCCGTGAATGCGGCAGATCAGTCACAATCCTACACAGCTACGGGAGCATTCAATCGCTTCACAGGCCGATGGCAAGACTCATCATTGACACCGGAAAATTTCAATGATGAGAACAAATCCCGGCGGCAGATGAACGCTTATTTCGATGTCGATGCCGCTGCGAATAGCCACAATGGAAGGAGTCTCAAGGCCGAACGGAGTCATAAGAAGCTTACCAAGGCTGAAGTCAAGGCGTTCAGAGAGAAGAGGAGAGAAAGGAAGGAAGAGAAGCGTCGAGCTTGGTTGCGGGATTGATTTGTCTGTGCTGTATTATATTGTATGATTTTTAAAGAGGCTGGACTTGATACCACTTGCGACTATATGATCTTTTGGCTTGTTGTATTATTCTGTATCATTTGGGGCGGTTTGCTGGCTCTGCATTGGATTGGAGTTTATAGCAACGAGTGTCTTGTTGATCTGTTATCTGCCATGGTAGACGATTATGGGATCTTATTACCATAGCTATATATACTTATATATTGTAGTACAGCTGTAGAATCCGTCTAAATATCCTGCAAACTTGAAAATTTTGAGACTCAATATCTTATTAGGTCACGTGGTGATACCCGCGATAGCACATGCAGATTTATCGTCGGCTTTTTTTTTCGATACAAATTGGATCCAATCTTTGAAAGTATAGCGTATAGCAAATCTCCACTCTTCTCTTATTTGAAGCAAAAAAGGTACGTCCATTTCATTTTAAATCGAATACGTACATTTCCTGTATTACACATGGCAAGAAAGCAGTGCGATACGTATTAGTTTTTGTTCCCCTCGTTTTTATAGATATTCGCCCCACTGCTGTGATGAAGGGAAGTTATATATTTTCCAGGGCCGCAGTTTGATCAACCTGATATCTAATAATCCCGGATTGCTCAAATTACGATTAATTTTTTCATTTTGAGATTACAAGCATCAAAGACTGATCCATTCCAGGTCCTCAGTTTCATTTTCAACTGCAACCGGATACGGAGAGAAAGACGGCAAATGTCCAGCCAAAAGAAGGCAATTGACTAGTATTCAGACTCGAATCAAATTCAAAAGATAGAAAAAATGGAAAAATCACACTCTTCAAACCCCCCGGCGCCCGTTGCCCTCTCCTTCGAAGCAATCGACGAACTTATCTACGACGCCCGACTAGGCGACCTCGATGCTCTGAAAGAAGAACTCTCAAAATGGAGTCGGGAACACGACGTGCCCGCTGCAGCCATAGTTAGGTCTGCTCTGGATACCGAGGATGAGAGTGAAGGTGGTACCGGAGCGTGTCTTTTGCATTGGCCTGCTGCGAATGGGAATGTTGGTATGCTTATCTCCTCTATTCTTCTCTTCAGTACGTTAAGATACTAACGATTTTAATTGTTGATAGAACTCCTGAACTACCTTTTACAAATCCTTACAGATTCCGATGCAGCTACTACTCTACAAGAATTCACTTCATTCATCAATTATCGCAATTACACCGGAAACACACCCTTACACTGGGCCGCTCTGAACACGCATCTAGATTGCGTCAAGGCACTTGTTGAAGCTGGTGCGGATATAGGCCTTAAGAATGATGCGGGTCACGACGCGCTCTTCCTCGCTGAGCGAGCGGATTGGTCTGGAACGTACGACGATGAGGATGAAGGCAAAAACAATGATAATAATGAGAAGCAAGAAGAAGGGAACGGCACGACGGAGATTGAAATTGAATTGAATGCGGAGCAAGAGGGAAAGAAATCGGATGTACCGCCCACGAAAGCGAGACAGGTTGTTGAGTGGTTGTTGAGTTGTGATAAGGGTGCTGGGTTTGAGCGTCCGGTTGATAAACAAGAGAGTGATGCACAGATGGAGGATGCTCAATGAGATGATGTATTTCAAGATACCCAGTAGTTAGTCAGAAGCAGGAGTATATATAGACAGGGTAATGTATCATGAGGTCAATTAAGTCAAATAAATTTGCAGTGTGATTAATGCAGCGAAGATTCATGCTTGAATCTTGAAAATTGTAATATATGTACAGATAGTCATTTTATATCCTTTTTCTCCCAACCCAACCCATCATCAATACTCATGAATCAGTACAACATCAAACAAAATGAAACGAAAAAAAGATCAATCTTTCCTGATCTTATTCCTCTCAGTAATAGAGGAAGAAGATGACGACGAAGAACTCCGTACAGGAGCCGTATTACCATTCGAATACGACGAATCATGAACACTCGGCAATAGACCAGGTCTTGCAGACCCATCAACCTCACGGGCTTTAGTATCCCAGAGAGAAACCTGGAAAGATCGATTCCGCCAGGTCACCGTCGATCCGCCATAAACAGCCCAGAACCAGATCGGGAACGCGAGGGATTCACGAATGATCCATGCTGCGAGCCAGTGGAGGAACGGCCGTCGAGAAGGACTTTTTGATGATTTCAATGGTGTTGCGAATGGGGGCGTGTTCTCGTCGATTTCGACTGTGGCGCCGGAATGGAGTTTGAGGTATAACGTCCAATCGACCATGCACCAGATGAAAATGCTAGTGGCCCAGAGCAGGAAGAAGGTAGGCCATTGTTGAAGATATGTACCTATCTCGAAGCCACGGTTCTCCAAGAGCATAGCGACTACCGTACTCATACCGAATGCGCCATATAATGAGCATACGATTGATTCCGTGCCCGGTTCGACCAGCGTGGCTGCTAGAACAGTATACTTGCGTACGCGCAGCCAGCGAACTCGTCGTGCAATATATGCCTTGACACTCATGTTGGCAACCGGCTGAAAGGCGTAGTCCCCAAAAACCATACCGTGCTTGCTAAGTCGTTTCATTTGTTCCTTCTCTTCTCTCACCTTATTCCTCCACAGCCAGTCGCCGATGATATGATCTTCACATAATTGGTCAGAAACCCAATCAATACCTGGATTGCGCACCGGACCTCTGACTGGAGCTTCATCTGGGCTCTCAGTAAGATCATTGAGATGCGATTTTCGAAACATGTTCGATTTCCCCACTATACAGGGCGCGATAGACACAGTGTTGATTGCGGTATACATTTTTGCATGAGACGAAGAGAGGAAAAGCTCTTCGAGACGTCCTCCTCCTTCGTTGAGTATAGACTGGGTCCTGCTTGTACTGGATGTGTTGTAAACACCATTCACGTTCGATAGCAAGGGTTTAGTTTCACCCATCAACGCATCCTCCGGGTCGACATTGACTGCAAGTGGGAGGTGATGTACAAATTTGTATCGTTTTCCACCATTGCCAGGTCCGTAACCGCACAGTTTGTCAACCATTCGCCCACAAACCCCCCTGCCGACCCAGACATTGCAGTCGATAATCCAAATAATATCGCCTTTCGCCTCTCGATATGCGCGACTCATATTCCGGATCTTCGGATTTGGGCCCATGGGATAGATACTTTCTTCTTGAAGAAGGGGATCTTCCTCTTCAACGTATATACGCACATCGCATTGATCTGAGAAGTCTTCGACCACTTTTTCTAATATGGGGAATGCCGGATCTGCTTTTGTTGAAACGCATATACACGTCGTCAGCTTGTTGCGTGGGTAGTCTTGTCGTAGTGTAGACGCGAGGCATTCGTAGAGGTATGGCTCGATGCCTTTTACAGGTCGGATGGTAGTGACATGAGGGGCGTCAGACGACCTGGAAGATTGGGATTTAGGTGGCGCATTTGAATAGAGCCGCCATCTGCATAATCTTCATTAGTCGTGAATCCGTCAGAGAGCAATATCCGAAGGAATTGGCCCGGATCATTCGGCGATTGGAAACCCTCTCTACTCACATCTGCAAATACCCCAATGCACACACAACCACAACCAGCAGATACCACCCAATGGAAACCCATCCGAAAGCTTCAATCAGCCATGGCACGTCAAAGCCAATTGTTGTTGAACTTCCGGTCGTCGCGCGTTGGAAGACAACGGAGGAGCTCAGCGGATTTGCTATCATGAGCGGGGACGGCGTGACAGCAACAACGAATTGATCATTTGCAAGACTCAGTCTATCATGTAGAAAACGAAGAGAAGAAAAAGGATTGTTAGAGGAGGAGCAGCTTAGAAATATAATTTTTGTAGACAAGCTGTTCCGTTGGTCAAGAGTGGATCTCGCGGACCGGACGGCAGAAACCCTGGGATGATTTTGGGAGTTTCACTTTCTGCGCTGGATGTGATTTCGGATGCTTCGGTTCTCCCTTTTCCCGCCTGCGCGACTTTTTCAGCTACGATTAACCTTGTCGAAGCTGAGGCGTTACGTCCTCCAGCTCTATTAACTAATGCATGTACGTCCTGTGTGATATACTCGGACTATGTCATTGGAACTTCGGGTTTCGGTTTCGGACTGGACCTCACTACAAACTTTGATTTTGAACTGTTTTTTTTTGAAATTCTTTGATTTTAGCCGGAGTAGAGCTATGTCTTCTTCTTCTTTCTGACGAAACTGGCATTCAAAACATTGACCCCGGTTTCATTAGACGTTTCCAACAAGGGTTTGTCTGCGTCGACTCTCTCAGCCCCCACGCTGGTAGTTGTAGTTGTCGATGTAGCTTCCTGCGCATCCTTCTTCCGTTTTCGAACGATAAGTCCTGGAGTGATCGTCTGTGTCTGGACTGATGGCTGTGTTGGCTCGATAAGTTTCTTCTTGCCAGTAACCTTAATCCCCCACCAGAGAACATCTGAAACTGATGCCACTTTCCGGATCCAAGCCATTGTGCCCCTCATAGCGAGTTCTTCAGTCTCGAAGTCTTGTTCAAGTAGGATGTCGTTGGCAACTTTGTAATCGGTTTCGCTCAATATGGTTTCTCCTCTGCCTATTTCAGGCCAAAAGAAAGCACTGCGGCCGGTAACGTCTCCGCTTGTAGATGACTTTGTAGTAGATGGTTGGGTGTCTTCATGCTGTAGAGCTGATAAAGACCTGTTGTCGAATTTTGCTTCTGTGGCAGTTGTAGCAGGAGCAAGATCTTTATCTCCTGTTTGTATCTCTTTTTTCTCAACAGTCTCGCTTGCTTCACCCTGGTTTACTAGTTTATCCGAACTGAGTAATCCAGGAGGATTGATAACCAGCCACAAAAACCCCACGAGTCTACCTGCAGAACACTCCTGTCGAAAGGACATCATCTCCCAGAACTGATCCAGAGACCTAACACTTCGCCAATGACCGGGCTGGTTGTTTGTCTCAGAATCACCGTGTGAATTCTTAGGCAACTCATCGTCTAGATCGCTAAGGAAACGTGCCTTTGGATCATCTGGAAATCGCGGTACTAGACATCGAGGCGGTGCATCTGGATGACCACATATCTGGCTCAGGGGATACGATACCCGCCATCTGGGATGAAGCTGATTGTCATCAGTCCTCGCTGTAGGCGGGAAAAAGGCACGAGTTTCGTACTCATCACATCCCGGAACAAGTAGATACGCAGTCGCTGAACTTTTCGTGCTCTCCGCGTTATTCTCAATTATGTTTTTCTCATTTCCCTGCTGTTGCTGTTGTCGAGATTCGGGAGCATGCTCGCGAAGAATAGGATCAGCAGCCCGACACCACCATTTAATCAACCCTCTATCATCCAAGACATGTTTCCGTTCATTATCCGCACTGCCAGGAAAAAGATATTGATTCTGCGCTCGCGCAAACAGCGAGAGAACCAACCGAACTCCCGGTCTTTGATATGATTGTGCCAGAAACGATATAAAAGTAGTAGTCAATAATCTCAGCAATGAATATCTTGGAGTTGTTGCTTCTGCCGATGCTTTTGATAAATGCACGTATCCAGTAGAATCAGCCTTTGAAACAAACAACGTCGTAAGTCGATCAGTCGTATAAATGTAGACCTCAACACCCAAGATCACAATCTCATCATCAACAACATCCTTTTCTCCATCTTGATTCTTGTTGATGGTCACGATTAAAAAATGTGATTCACAAAATGTGATTTCGGGGACCTGGCCAGGCGGCGCGGAGAAGATGGCTTCGCAGCGGGTTGGCGTCGTGGAGACGTGACGTACGTTGATCTGGACGCCTTTGGGGATGGCCTCAGCTAAGAGGTCTTCCAGCCGTGGTGTAGCCATGATTGGATGTAAAAGGCATTACTGGTCAGTAGGTTACTATCGAAGGAGTCTGTGAGTCGTTTAATTGTTCTCTCCTTGATTGTTTCAAGGTTTGGTTCTGGTCTGCGTGCTGATTGGACAATTTATTCAAGGTCACGTGACGTGTTTTTATATGCGTAGCAGCTACACTATGTTTTTCTTTTGCTAAATGACAGTCTCTTTCTCTGAATATGAAAGTGAAGATCACCTGATTGTATAGAAGTAGATAACCATAATACATTGCTAGGGAAGGGCTTTGAGACCGAAGTACACAGCCGTACGGGACGAAATGAAATCAAGATGGACTAAGTATATACCTCACTAATATGTTCGAATAGAATGGCGCTTTACAATACCTAAAATAACTATAACGCCCGCGTGGCTGAAAACTCAAAAGATATGCATCATTCATACAATTCAATCAAACGAGTTCAGACCTCTCGGGTGCTTGGCGAATGGACACCGTTCGAACTATCCTGAGTGTTACTTCGTCCAGGCAGCCTCAAATTACCTATCCGGTTAACGAGGTTGCTACCTACGGCGTCAACGGCGCCCTTTGGAGCCAGCAGCGACGGGCCCTGAGCGGCTGTTTCCTGGACTTTGAAGAGCTTGATTCCTGTTCCGTTCCAAACGCCCACTGAGCCTGGCGTGGAGTTACTTGCTGATCCAACGAGCATCTCACTTGAGAAGATGAAGCCCCAGAGTAGTGATTCGTACCAGCCCAAGGCGAGTGCAGACCATTCGAAGGAGTGGACCTTTATTGCAGATGGTTCCGCTAGTAAAGCGCGTATATTGGGCTCTTCGGCGAAAGTGGGGAGGTTGTTGATCAAGGTTCTGGCTTCAGGGTTCGAAGATGATTGTAAGGCGGCATCGGGTATGTGAGGTAGAATCGACGAGATGATAGTCAGGATAGTATGCAATGGGAGTTCCACTACCCAAGATTCGATCTGTATCTTAGTTAGTAACCGTACGGTTCCCAAGTAAGGTCAAGCATACCCATGCAGCCGTCGGGATAAAAGAAGCGGCCGTAGAATGAATCGTAGCGGAATAACTGCTTAAACTGGTCAAGCTGTTCTGTCGAGAAAAGCCCATCTGACCAGCCGGCCTCTTGCCCCTAGCCTTTTCAGACATTCCTCTGACCTGTAATGGTACACTGTCATCAAGAGAGGACGATATTGAGGGTGCGCGTGAGTTCCGTAGGGAAGGAGATGATTGGGAAGGAGTGGTTGGAATCTCGCCTTCATCCTCAGAGTCGTCACCTCCAATAGCGAATGGACTGTTCTCTTCTGGAATGTGAGTCAATGAGGATCGCGCACCACTGGACCTTCGTAGGTCCTCCATGGACTGAGACGCCGAACCAGTGAGTCCATCGGTTGAAGAAGCCGCTTTTTTGAGTTGGTTCTGACGTTCTATTTCCTGTTGTCCGCTTTCTAGCGTAAATGTACGTAGAGATTCGAACTTTTTCCTCGTTTTCAATATACCATAGACCAGGAAAGGGTTTCCTTGGGACCAGTTAGCCATTTGCTCGTAAAGATACGGATAGACAACCTACTCGTGAATTGATGCTCTAAAACCACATTCATAAATTCAAGCAAGGCCGAAAGAAGGTAGTTATTCGTTTCATTCGCAAGCAAAAAGCTTGGGGATGACATGGAAGCGAAAAGTTGTAGTATTTTCGAGCAAGCAGTCGAGGACAATCGCTCCACGTATGGCCCAATATTTTTCAGAATAGCCATGAGAGCAGGATAGACAGCATCGAGCTTTCCTTTGCTGCTGGTCATCAAAGTATGTATTGACTATAATCCAGTTAGCAACATTCCCGAAATCCGTGAAATTCACTTACGATAATGAGATAGTCGGCATAAGTACCGCGAAATCCAGCAATACGTATACTCGTCGGCAAGGTATCTTGAGCCTCAAACTTCATATTTAGACGTTTCCCGAAGCTGACTTCGACACTCAGAGTCTGGAGAATGAATATGCACATCTTCACCATTCCTTGTTTCGAAGGGTCGTTCCGATACTCAGTTGCATAGAAAATGCAAAGGATGACAAAATCATGAGACCGATTAGATTCAATGATAAAAGCTCTGAACCGCTTATTGCACTGCAGCGCTTCCCAGAATAACATAAGCATTTCAGGGGCCCATTTGACGGATTTTTGACTGCCGGGGAGGTATGAACTCGTTACTTGCATCTAAGTGAATATGTTAGTAGGAGGGACTCCGGATTGGATGAAATCCCACTCACTGGTTGGTTAAGGATTCTCGTCATGCCCTCAACAAGGAACTGAAAATCTTGTGGTCGATGAAGTCTTCCAAAGTAATGACGATAATAGTTCTTAGGAGGCGCGCCACGCCCGTCCTCCGGGATAGGGTATAGTAGAATAACCAGCAGTAGCTGTAGACAGTAAATGACTAGAATTTGCTTCGAGTCTTTCCAGACGACATGATCGTATGGCACCCTCCATATAGCCGGATTATATTTGATCGTCTAGTAGCATGAGTAAAATCATCGCACAGGAGGAGCGTCGCGAAGACTTACGGTATTCAATAATGAGCAGAGGAGGGTCAGAACAATCTGCTTATCAGAGCACGTAGCAAGGTATGTGATGGCTTTGACACCCTTAACCGGAAGGAGGGCTGTTTCTGCGTCAGCCATGTAAGTATTATTGAGAGAGAAGATAACCCACTTGGAGACATATACATGGATTTGCCGGTCAGAGTGAGCAGAAGTCTCAATATCTCCATGCGATTGTTTTCATGTTCCTTGGTCGAGACCATCGATGTATTGCATCCAACTCCACTTTGCCATATTGCGTACGACACTTTCCCCTCTGATGAGGCAAGTTTTGGAATAGTGAAGCCGGTATAGAATAGAAGATCCGTAAGAGTATCTATCAGCTCCTCTGCCAAAGGTTTCGCATCTTCGCGGCCGTCAACTCTGGGCTGAGTTTGGGCATTATCCGTCTCTCCTTGGGCTTCGTCAAAGAGAACCTCTGACGCGACCTGTGCCTGGCGTGTCTTCTTCTTGCGAGGCGCCCAAAAGAACTGTTCCTCCCATTCCTCGAGATGGTCTGCTTCATATACGAACGGAAGGATTCTCGTCAAGATGCGAATGCAGTTCAATGCATTGGTGTCTGGAGCAAATTCGGGATCGGGAAATGAAGGGTGATTCTTCAAGACGATCAGGCGAGAGCAAATAGCGAGGAGAAGTGTTTCGAGGTTGGCTAAGGACGAATCGCGGACACGGCGTATGTCTGTCGGAGTGAACAAACTGAAGACGTCTTCAGTAGATTCAGGTAGCTCCCAGAACTTTTGGAAGTCACATTTATATCAGCAGACTCTCCCGTAAGTGACAAATAACTGTATTCTCTCACCTTTATCCAGAAAGGATCATCTGCGGATATGTTTTGGTCCTCATACAAGCGGAAGATGCCTTGCTTGAAGACAAGTTTCGACTCCGAGGCGCCCATCTCCGAAGCGAGAAATTATTGTTGAGTCGCCGTCATCCACAAGTATAGCTCGACGGGAGTTACTGAGTAAACGTCTTTTGTTGTGTCCCTGAAACTGCTTCGGTATTTCAGCGCTTTGATGTGGGTTGAACTGGAATAACAAATGCGGGAGGGCATTAGACCGTGTAGTTATCTGAGCTCCGAGGTCTTCTCCCCACATTAGTTCTGTGTTACAAAGGCAGTATATGCGCAAACTCAGTGAGAAAGACAAAGTCATTATATTAGGTATCGCTAGAGAATCTCAACGAGCAGTATATAAGCGTTTTTGATCGATAGCCATCTTGACAGAAAATTTAAATAAGAATTTACACAGAAGAACGCCGATTAGACAAATTCGCTTCAGCCAACTCCAAACTCCATATATCCCGAAGATGCATGTGATTGACTATGGCCTCAGATCAGGCTATTTCCAGCAGAGTGCCTGCGACTCTTTTCATATAACCACTTGTTGCTCAATCCCAGTCTATTGCCCTTGCCAGCTGGCGTCGGAGTTGAAGGGAGAGGTGCGAGAGTTGACGATTCTCTCCAGGAAGTACTCAACGTAGAAGAGCCAAAGCTTTGTCGCCGGACGCCGTCCCTATTTCCAGACACCAGCGCCTTTTGAAAAAGGGGGCTGTTCGTCGTGGGGGAGTAAGAAGGTTGGCGACTAACGGGACTGGCACTTGTTGATAGAGGTGAGGACCCTCGACTGGATGGGCCACCAGCTCGCGAACCAGAGACAGTTCTGTATCTTGGGGGGGTGATGTACTGCGTACCTGGCGTCACGGGAGCGCCAGTATTGGGATTGAGGCCAAGCAGAGACCGTTGGGATGGTGTCAATGGAATGTCAGAAAGATCATCTCTTCGGCGAACTAGCGGGTATAATGCAGTTAAAATATTGAGGATAAAAATGAAGCGAAATACGACCAGAAGATAATCTGCTTTTGCAGTGATTCCGGCGATCGCAGCGAGACTGTGCGTACTAAACGAGTTAGAAATGACGAATGTTCTGCAGAGATGGATACCGGATGTTCCTCACAGTGAATTCAACGGCTTCTCAGCAAAGAGTGTCGCCATGATAGCACCGGAATTCATTGCTATTTTCTTAACATGGCGACTGTCAAATGTGGTCGCATTCTGTCGCCTCACAATCTCTCGCAATCGGGGATGTCGCCATCTCCCTGGCGACTGACTGTCGGGGGAAGAAGATGCTCTGGGCGTGGAAGGAGTTGTGATCGAAGCCATTTCGAAAAGGTTGTCGAATGTGAAGTCGGGGTGAAAACAAAGAGGCTGCTGATGGGTTAGTATAACTGACGTGTGGGAATAAATGATCCTGAGAAGACCGACTTACCAGGAAAAAGTGAAATACAAATACTTACCGAGTACTTACCTTTCAAAGAGTCATTTCCGGGATTAAGCTGTAAGAGACGCGTTCATTGTCGGAGTATTGAGGAGTATTGAGTGTTTCTGAGAGATTGTTTAGAGTCCCGAGGTGTTCACTGAGAAACCAAGAGCTAAGGCAGATCCGGTTAGATGCCGCGGAAATCAGGCCCATCATCCATCAACTACATATGGACCCCACGCCAGCTTCTTTCGTTCTTTCTTTCTTTCTTACAACTATCATCCATTCAATGTATGCTCCAGACAACAAATGATCCAAGAACTCTGCACCGAGTTAAATGAGATCTCAGCCGATAATCTATCTTGCGTCCTCCCTGCTCTGAAGGATCGTTCGTTCCTCAAAATGGCGGCAGAGACCACCGGGCTGGCCAAGCTAGATACCTTTCTGGCCAATATATTCGCCAAATGGGATATCTACTCAACCATCATCGCCACCATAATTGTTCTATTTGTCACATACTCTTTATTATCTTCAAGGGACCCCGATGTTCATCCTTATCTTCTTGCTAGACAATCTACAGAAGCTCCCGTTAGACAACCCGGTCAATCAGCTGCTTTTAGAAACCTCGAGGTGCCTCATGGCTTTCCCTTGAAGCATGGCCTCAATGTAAAGGACCCTGAAGCTCCAAAGTGGACAGGTGGACGCAATGGAGATTTGCGGGATATCTGGAAATTGGCCATTTCTGGTTCAAACGGCGAAATCGGAACCACTCCCGGACAACGCGGCAAGCTATTCAGTGTCCTAGGAAAGAAAGCTATTGAGCGCAATCTCGACGACATCACAGCAGAGATCAATGTTATCGGCAGATATGTCCAGGAATCCGAGGCAAAGGTTGTCGCTGTCAGCTTGTCCGACTCGGTCGAACTATTAGCTTCACTGTTCGGTAGGTGGCCCCTGTTGCGCAGAAAGTGGCGTGGCTTTTAGCTCACAACTCCACAGCTAGCGCATTCTACAGCTTCCAGGTAGTTTTGATTCCTCACAATCTTGATCCTAAGCAGCTCGGAAGCTATCTCAAGAAGAATCAGGCAGAATTGCTCATCGCGGAAGCAGGCGCTGTGGATCTCACAGTGGTCACAGTAGGTAACAAGCAGCTAAAAAATGTCATCTGGATTGCGAAAGAGGGAAGCAGACACATGGATTGGAACGAGGTCCCGGAAAAGCTTGCGGGCAGCGTCAAGGTTGCCGTCTGGCATGAACTTGTTCAGGAGAAGAAGACCCTCAAGGACACAGAGGTTCCTGGTTACGATCCTAAGGCTACAACTCCTTCTATATTTGCTTTCTGGCCGACCACCCAGGAGTTCATTGAGTACAAACCTCAAGTGAGTATAAGAAATGATGTGTCTACAGTCACGTCCGCTAACCAGTTATAGAATCTTGTATCCGGAGTTGGTGCACTTTTGAGCTCCTTACCAAGAAACCAACGGTTGGACTCCAACGACGTGGTTTTGACAATTGACTCACTCATGCACCCATACGCATTGTGTTGGATTTTGGCTGCCCTTTATTCTAATTCTTCCATTGCGCTAAACTCGGTCGCTGGTGAAGGAGTTGACTTTGCACTTGCAACCCTCGGCATTTCGCCAACCGTGATCGTCTCATCAGCACGCACCATCTCCGACTATCACAAGAAGTTCATGAAGCCCCATACCGGTCTTGTCTCATCTATCAGCCGTTTGACTCAAGCACGTGCACTTGATGCTGGTCGAATGCCTTCACAGAATATACTCAGTCGGTTAGCCAACATTGGCCCGACTGCTGAATTGTCGTTGTCGAAGCTTCGCTTGCTTGCTGTGTCCTATCGCGTAGATGGCTCACCAGACGATCTTCTGAGCTCGGAGCTACTGACCGACCTTCGAATCTTTACAGGTGCTCGCATAGTGTATGCCTTGACTGCACCAGGTATTGCCGGTGCTATCGCTCAAACACATCTCTTTGATTACAGACGGCACGAGGGACCTGCCCATTTTGGTGCCCCATTAAGCAGTGTCGAGATTGTTTTGAGTGGTCATATCGAGGACACTGGTATTGAGAGAGCCGTTGAGGGACAGGTATGTTGTATTTTCCAGCTGACCTCTGATTCCGACAAGCTAACCTCCTTTCAGCTTACCGTCACTGGACCGGCAGTGGTTACGAATACAATTACGATTCCTGTGCGTGCACGTTTCCGTGACGATAACACGCTGCAGTTACTCAAGTAAAGAGTTGATTCTCAAGTCATGCAATTTTAGGTTTATTGAAATCTGCAAACCTTTCTTGGAACATAGTGATATTCCATTTGAGGCTTTCTGTATGATTTAGACGGCTTTCATATGAACATGATGATATTCTTCAAAATTCGTGAATGCAAAGACATACATTCTTTTGGCCCGTGGGAAGATTGAATGATGATTTAAGGCCAGGGAATAAATACCTAGCCAGACGAATGTAAAAGTACACGAAGTTATAGTAAAATACACTATTGAATAGAACACGCCGAGGTTCTTATGCAACTACCATCTCAGACCACTGTCTAGAGGATAGCTTGAGCTTCCCTAAGACCCAGCGTGGGCTGTTTCTTCCTCTCCTCAGGAGCAGGATCCACTGCTTTAGAAGCAACAGTTTTCAATTGCTTCAACCGCTGCTCAATAGATTTCGTCAGGTTTTGATCCTGTGCCACGCTCTTGACTTGTCGCACCATCTCCAAAGCCGAATATATAAGTGTAACTTCTTGTAAAAGTGTATCCGTCTCGTACCATGAACCTAATTCACGATCCAACGCAGCTAGATCCCACGTTCCCAACAGCTTCTGTACATAAGATAGTACTTTACCATTAACATCCTCACCGCCAGCCTGGTCAAGGGCACAAGCGGCACTTAACTCCGTAAGTACCCCAATGAAAAACGGCTGCCGTTTCGGATCTTGCGCAATATCTTTGTTGGTATGTTCAGCCCACTCCATCAATTGAGCCGCCTGCTCTGCATATCGGAGTGCAGCCGCCGTCTGCTCACCCTTGAACTCCGCCCTTTTGGCCTTTTGGTGCAACTCAAATGCAAATCGGAACGCGACGTTGCGATTCGCGAACGAAAACCCTGTCCTGCTGGACTGTTTCGCAGCCTCGAGGATAAATGCAAGCGTGTCCGACTTGCCCGCTAACCGAACCCATTTCTCGATATTGTCGGTTTTAGGCTTATACTTTGAGTGCAGAGATCCTATCAGGAGCGGAACGAAGTTCTTCCAATCCTGGGTATTTTTCATTGCTTCCACTGCCTGATTGACTTCGCGCTTGTCCGGGAGAGACTGTCGGTTCCTGGGTCGAAGGGTGAATTCTTCGTTTCCAATTGTAATTTTCACTTGTTCCTGCTCTAGGCGCTCGCGGTACCTGTCGCGGAAGATGAGGCGTTTTTGGTGCTCGGCAAAGTACATGGGTACGAAGAGTTCTTGTCGTATGCGATTTAGTTTTTGGTCTAGGTCCACGGAGGAGCTTTGGGTGAATGATGGAACGGCTGTTAGGCATTAGCTAGTTGTACTCCCCTTCAGATATCGTAGAAGGGAGTATACCTTTGGTAGATTGACATCTTCGCCGTACCAGTGGGCTTAATGTCTGCTGGAGTCTGCTTCCAGAGCCAAAGAGCCTTTTTCCAAAGGCATTCTGTGCCATTTTGATGGCGACCCTAATTTAGTCAACCTAGGAATTTGCCGAACTGTCAAGTGTTTGATTTTATTATCAACAATAAAACTCTAATGGCTGATCAGTTCCTTCGTTGAATGATGTTCGTCGACTGGCAGTAAATAATCCAAGTTAAGCAACGGGTGGAAATTCTGCGGACGCTCGGACCACCCTAACCTCCGTCGTCTCGCGCTGATTTCTCCGAAACCAACTCTTGATCAAGCAATATTGCAAAACACATTGACGCAATGGCTTCGTTCCTGCAGGGCTTGCGGCCGCTGGCCCTTTTGAGGCCGAAGAATGGTCTACTATCACAATCGCGAACAGCTGTGCGATCAATCACAACGAAATATACCCCAAAACCCAAGCCGGTCCCTCTTCCTGAAAATCTACCAGAGCAATATTACTCACAGCTCCCTCTACACATTCGTCCGCAGCCAGGTGCGTTTTTCTTTTCGAGTACATCCAGATGACTTGTTTTCATTTCTTATGGAGATTGTGGTTATACGAGCAATACTGACTGCATGAACAGAAAAAAAGAAATGGCGAATCCACCCATCACCTCCCTCCGAAATGAACATATGCAAAGACCCTGTCGCAGCTGTCTCAAATCGACAAATGAGTATTCTAGATCCTACAGGCGAACGCAAAGCTCTGTTTGATTATCGACGAAGTGCTCGCAGCATCAAACCCGGCGACATTGTGCGAGTCACATTCAAGAGCGGTGATCCGTTTTCTGGTGTTTGCTTGGCTATCAGACTCCGCGGGGTCGATACATCGTTCTTATTGAGGAATCAATTGACGAGAGTTGGCGTGGAGATGTGGATTAAGGCATATAGTCCGAATGTGGAGGGTGTTGAGATTGTGCAAAGAACCGAAAAGAGGAAAAGGAGAGCTCGTCTTTATTACATGCGGTATGTCCTGTCCCTTTATCATTTCCCTTCCTTAGAGGATTTATATATAATGCCTTCTTTTACTGACTATTGTGAAGTCAACCCAAGCATGATATGGGTAGTGTTGAGAATATTGTCCGCAACTACCTCCGCCAGAAATCCGCTATGGCTGGGCGATCATAGGAAATGCAAAGACAGAACGTTGGACTCGCATGAAATAACATACCTGTATATTAGAAGAATTCGACAGCAATGGAGTGTTTTGTTTGTTTAAGTACGCTTTCCCCGGTACAGGTCATTCTTCTCTATATGAGCGCCGTTTCCCACGATCGAAACCCCAGTTAAGGTATGCTATGGCAGTACAGATCGAAGCTATTCAAGTAATTGGCCTTAATAGAACCCATACTCATAAGGGTTAGGGTTAGGGCTAAACCATCTGATGAAACTGGGAAAAGTTGGTCCAGCCGGCCTCTGATTGGTCCCCTGCGAAGTCGCTATACCAAGACGACAGTATGATGTCAGTCATTCTTTCCCTCGCTATATAACAGAGATGGCTGCTCTCTTACACAAAATGGATTCATACTCTTACTTGGATTATACCCGATCGTCTCGAATTACTATAAAAGATTCGATTGATTGATCATGGCCTTCTCGCAACCTGCTAATCTAACCGAAAAGGTCTTGCCTCACGAGCAGCAGCCTATCACGGAACACGTTTCCAATTATTCTGCTGAGGAATATGGCGATCATAGCCAGTTGATGAAAGCGCTTGTATGGAATGGAAAGTACAACGTGAAAGTTGGTTAGTGGCTACCTGAGTGTCTGTGAATGGATTGAGTATGGTTCTAATAATCCGAACAGTTGATACACCGAAACCAAAGATTATTGATGATAGGGATGTCATTATCAAGGTTACTGGTAGTACCATCTGTGGCAGTGACTTGCACATGTACCATGGTATGTCTCCTATACCGGATTCTCTATCGGTAAGCTTGTACTGATTTCGTTACAGGTGTGATTCCCGAAATGCAAAAGGGTGACATCCTCGGCCACGAATTCTGTGGTGTCGTCGAGTCAGTAGGGCCCAAGGCCACAAAGTACAAACCTGGCGATAGGGTTGTGGCTTCGTTCCAGATTGCATGTGGTGAATGTTACTATTGCAAGAAGGGGCTGTCCTCTGTATGCGAAAAAACCAATTCAAATGAATTGGCAAACAAGTTATATGGTCGACGGACTGCTGGTCAGTAGCATCTGGATAATTCTCTCTAGCTGATGATAGGGCTAATTATGTGTAGGAATTTTTGGCTACTCACATCTCACTGGCGGTTTTGCTGGTGGCCAAGCCGAATGGGTGCGAGTCCCCTATGGTGACGTGAACCTATTGAAACTTCCCGACGACGTGCCCGACGAAAAGGGTCTCTATCTATCCGACGTACTGGGAACTTCATGGAACGCAGTCGTCGACACCGGTGTCGAAGAAGGTGACACCGTCGCTATCTGGGGCGCCGGCCCTATTGGACAAATGGTCGCCGAATTCAGCTTCTTCAACGGCGCAAAACGGGTCATTCTGATTGATGGTGGATCTGGTGCATGGAGACTCGAATTTGTGAAGAAACTCTTGCCCAATCTTGAGACAATCAACTTTACCGATCTGCCCAAGGGTGAGAGTGTGACGAGTCAGTTGAAGAAGATGTGTCATGGTCGAGGACCGGATGTTGCTATTGAGTGTGCTGCGGGCGAATATGCGCAGGGCTGGCAGCATTATTTTGAGACTCTTTTGGGCTTGGAGACTGATACATCTGAACTCCTCAATGAGATGATTACCTCAGTTCGCGCCTATGGACGCTGCGGAATTACTGGTGTCTATGCAGGATATGTATGCCTCCTGCCATCGATGAAAATTGTTTGTCATGATACTGATAGAATATAGTGCAACCACTTCAACATCGGATCCCTCATGCAAACTGGCGTTCGCTTAATTGGAAACGGCCAAGCACCCATCCAGAAATACTGGGAACATCTCCTGAAACTCATTCAGGAAGACAAGATCAAGCCCCTTGACATGGTTACCCATCGTTTTGATGTGACTGATATGGATAAAGTGTATGGTTTATTTGATAAACGGCAGCCTGGCATTCAGAAGGTGTTCATTCAGACCAGACATTCAGCACCACCTGCTAGTGGGGCACCACAGTTGACTAAACTATAATGCTTTTTGTCATTGTTTAGTATGTGGTGTAAGGTGTCCTTTTGTTTTGTGCTCTTTCTGCTCTTTCTGCTCATTGTATATCATGTAAATGTACCTCATGCACAAAGAAAATGTCAAGCTTCTTGCCTGAAAATAATCCCAGGTACAAGCTTTCACTGCTTATTATTGTGTTTGATAGTGAAATCTGTTTTGTCTCCACATAGGTGATATCACATGAGAAAATAATCAGTACAAATCAAATGGGCCTTAACTTGCAAACAACGTGGATGTCCTCAAAGATTCTATTAACCCTCCCTCAGAGAACACCTGAGCATCTGACTGGGAGATAAAGGATGTTGTCAGGACTGATGGAATGAATAATTACCTACCTAAGTACCTACGTAGGTATAAATACCTGTCGTTCAGTCCCTCCTGACTTCCTCCTTTTCTCATCAACCCTGGTAGGCAGCCTGCCTAGGCAGGTACTTATTCGGGGGCATATACCTCTTGTCTTGAATATCTACCTATATACATCCTCACTGCTCAGTTGGTGTTCACATTCTTCGGATATCATCGAAGGGCCTGAAGATGCCTGTGACCTATCCCAGAGACTATGACAATTAGGAGCTAGCCCTCTGCCCAAGGTGAAACGCGGCGAAATCCTTGGGACATTACGATGTTCCGACAGTCCATGGCAATGATATCTGAACAGTTGAATGTGTCTGGAAACGAGTAAGTCAAAATATTGCCTTGGCTCAGAAAAATCCCATTCTTTTCTTATTCTTATTCTTATGTTTCTTGAGCAGATAACAGCGCTCACCGAGCCTGGAAGCGCATGTTGCAGGTGGTCCCCTCGTAGACTCTTCTGCGTGAAAGGACAACTTGTGCACTACCCAGCTATACCATGCGGTGGAACCAATTAGAACCGTTATATATACAGATCCTCCGTCAAAATCGTCGTCATGCAACCAGAGCCAGAAAGTCATGCATTAAGCGGAAGTTTACCGAATTGAATTCTGTTGATGGGAAGTTCCAGCTCCCAGCGCCGCCTGCCGCATGTAGTTTAGCGCCTCATGGAGAAAGGACATATCAACAGTTCCTAGCGAGGGCTGCTTTCTCCCAGGACACAGAAGCATTGGTTAGTGAGCAATACACAGAATTCTTTGCTCACCACTCTCAAGAAATTCTTTTCCGAAGCAAAAGATCCAACATCTTGCGTTCTAAGGATACGTCATCCCGTGAAGGGCCCCGAGATCTATTTCAGACTCTGTCTCAATTCAGTCCTGTTCAACTTTCCTGCCATCTGCCAAATCTCCGAAGAGATGCAACACGAATGAAATCTGTCCGCAAACAATCTCATGTTTTGTCAATGTCGGTCAATCAACTCAATCTTTTTACGTCAAAATCTTTAAAGCCTTTAATACAGATGACGATGAGAACCTCGACTGCCTGTCCGAAGATGCCGACGTGTTCGTGGTGGATGAAGAGGAAACTTCAAAGACAGAGGCAGACCTTGAAGTCTCTAGACGACAAGTGGCAGAGCGGAATGAGGCGATTCGAAAATATAAGCTCTGGTCTTCCTTGTTTCTTGCCTAGCATCCAATTCTGAACGAAGCTGATTGCAGTCTAGGTTCTGCGAGAAGATGTCTATACATTGTCCCGTTGGGAAGTCTGCATTTGAAGGATGTGAAAGGACCGAATCATGTAACTTGAATCTTGGAATGCAAATCGAAGGGATTCAACCAACATTTTGGACACCATGTCAAAAACAAACACACGGAGGATCCAACGATTAGCATCGTGACATTTGTGGATATTAGACCTACCGCAAAAATGTTTTGGATAACCACGATGCCAGCCGCATACAACATCCCTACAATAATATGGATGTCGATATCCTTGAAGAGGAAATCAAGGGGAAACTGCGTAGTAAGACCCAGGATAAGGTCAGTCAACCGTACCACTTGGACCAGGGGTCAAGTCGCAACTAACTCGTCTACCGGACAATGATACCTACGGTCTATGAACTACCCGATGCCGCCTGATCTATCTATGTAGCTAATGGGTAGCACCGCATGATGGCCCTTATAAAGTTGTGGACACGGTTGAACAGATCTAAAAAAACCCCCACCAGTCACTATTCTACTTGACCTCTGGTCCAATGTCTTGGTTCGCTGATATGATTTTAGAATTACTTCTGGACTGTGGACTGCTGCTATATACTGGATGATATGGACCGCGAGACGTACTAATTCCTGGCAACCAACAAGTACCCGGCCAAAAAAAAGCAATAGTGAAGACTATTTAATGTACCATATCACAATAGCCTTCAACAAGAAGATCGAGGACGAGCAGGAACGGAAGCAGAGTCAGAGTTGGAGTTACGTCGTTTAGGGTCTTCCCGTCAACGTCAGTACTCGCGGGCCCGACTGCCTCCTACTTGCGGACTTAAGGCTTGGATAAAGCGGATTCAGGACATTTGGAAGCACCCTCAGCAGAATATGAAGTCAGCGCAAGATCGCCAGACACAGCAGGCAAATAAGAAACAGAGAGATGTCAACTTTACCGAGGGTGTGGGTTTATGTCATTAACGAAGGATGGGATACAGGCAGTCCAAGCCGGAAGCTAGGGTACCAAAGTAAAGAGCCATTCAAGATTATCCGGCAAGTGGGCAATGCTTACAAACTTGATCTGCTGGAGGGTATAAAGGTGCACCGGATATTCTCGCCTGACAAACTCTGACTAGTCGCCTCGTACTTCACCAGTCACTCTAGTTACATCAAACTAATGACTACGTTAGGCTCAAGGTTCATCATCATCATCATGCCTAAAGGTCATCTACACCCAGTCTATTCATCGTTCCACGTAAAGCAATCCACAATTTCTGAACTTTACTTGACCTTGGACCTCAGCCGTGTCCTTGTAGCCGAGTACTCATGACACAAGACAAGAATAGAAATCGGTCTCCACAAAACAAACATTGCTCGCTACGTCCCAACTCGGTGCACACACTGCCAAGCCGTTGAGGTGCATAAATTGCCAATCGCGATGTCCTGAAAGATCGTCTGACGACTCTCTATACATCTATTGCAGTAGCTGCTATCTATCCGGTTATCCTTTCCCACAGTTACTATACATGGGCGCTCATACATATGACTGTTGGTCACGTACGCTCCGTCAGAGGTGCACAAGCTACTTCTTGACTGGCAACGAATGAATCACTAGCCGTTAGCATAGTTGGGACACAGAGCTCAACACGCACAAAACAGCCCTGAAAACTCGAAACGGCCTCGAATCCACCAGATCAGGGCAAACTCAATATAATGTGGATATGGTGTCAGAGATACCAACAATGGGATCAGAATCCAGACTTGAAAATCTTCAGCCAACCCCAGCTCGAGAGTGATGGAAAGACGCTCCTCTCGATAACAATCGACCTGGGTGATGAATTATAGTATCGATCGATACATTGCAAAACATATACAACGCTTTTCACGGGGGATAATATTATCTCGTTGGCACTGATTTCTCCGGGATATTGAAGGCCGTATTGATAACGATGAATTCGAAGCGCTAGTCAAATCCGCAGAAATTCGCAGGTGACATCACATCCTGTTCGCCGCTATGAGACGTCAGAAAAGACGCTTGCTCCCGATACTCCAGTTGTCGATGGACTCAAGGAGCAGGTTGCTGATCTCAACACCACACTCGGCGCTGCAGAAGAGGAACTAGCGGGATCAGAGGACACAAACTCAATTTTTTGAGTTCGCAATCCAGCGGCTCACCGCCGTCATGGTTCAGGATGAGGAGAAGCTGCTGGATGAAGTCCTTCGTTCGTGGACACATCAGCACAGCTCCTTGCACATTATTACGGTCCCGAGCCTACCTCACCATTATACAAGGAGCTGAATTCCGGCACAGAGACTCCGTCATTACTGTGTCTAATTTTCCAACGGGAGTATCATGGCAGAAACCTTGGAATACTTTTCAGCAGGATGAGCTCGGTGCAACTTAAGTATTACTTGGCGAGGTGGCCAAGGTACCTGAGAGCTTCAAAAACATGTCTGAAGTATCTAAGACTACCCAAAAAGTTCCTGGGTTGTCCCGAAGAATCATCCACAGGCGGCGCTTATTTTCTCAATATGACTCAAAAGCTGGTACGAATACTAGGCGATTATCGGAAGAATGTTGGCATAGACAACCTTTGCACATTTTGCCAACAATTTCCGCCTTTGTGAGGGCTTGAGCACATCACTATCGAGGGCTACGAAACAGCCTGTGTGCGCTGTGCAGGCGTCTCTTTCTCTCTAGATAGTTTCTATGTTGGAGAAAGGAATGCCAGAAGGTACCGTAGGGAGAATCTCAGGCATAAATAGCTAGGAATTCCTACCAGAGTTACTTAAGATAGTTATCCAATCCATCATATTACTTTTTCTACATCAACAAAAAAGTTGTAGGATCTCAAGCCGGCCAATCAATTATACCTTGGTGGATAATACCGTAATTGATTGTTGTGCCATGCATGAGCGTTATACGTGAATGGTATTCCCGTTTAGTCGGAGAACTCCAATGTCCCATACGATACGCGTCTACCGACTCTTTCCGGAAGTCCTACTATCAGCTTTCATGAAAGAAGCGGTGTCAAATTGTCAATGCTTCTACTCCGTAGCAGATATTGCATAGTCACTGCGGTTGCACTATGGCCGCTGGTAACATAGATATTACGAAAATAATACGCCAAATTCTGTAATCAGCAAGAAAAATAAAGTAAGAACCCCTTGATTGTAAGAGTAACAATGTTAATCAGGCCATGTCCGGCCAGTCAATTCCGGTCGATATGCCCTAAGTGGGGTTAGAGCATAGTACAGCCAATAAAAATAGAGAAAAGGATCAGATAAGATGGAGCAGTACCAGATTCTGCAGGCAGCGACATCGGGGTTTACGAAATAGCCACGTGACTCAATCTAATCAATCAGATAATCGGCTGTCCCACCGTTTTTCTTTTCCTTTTCTCCTCGTCTCCTCCTCCTACCCCAGTCTATTAGTATGTTTGCAGTGATATTCACCCTCAAACGACGAGAATCATTCAATAACTAACTGCTCATGACTTTATTCAAGCACGACTGACTGACCTGGTGACTTGCCACCTGGTCTCCGGAATCCGAGCATTTTCTCCGAGGCTCCGCCGAGACGCTCAGGCCACCCACTGTAGAATCATCCATCATTCAGAATGTCGGCAGCTATCGCGCCATCCCCAACTACTACTACCACTATATCCAACGGCGTACCACTCACGCCCGCTTTGGCGCCGGCCATGCAACCAAAGCCTGCAATGAGTGCGAATGATGCCAATATGTCTCCGAGCCCCGGGCCGGGAATCACGGGTTCGTTGACCAGCAAGGAATGGGTTATCCCTCCACGACCAAAACCAGGTCGGAAACCAGCTACTGATACTCCGCCTACTAAACGTAAGGCTCAGAATCGTGCTGCACAACGTGCTTTCCGTGAAAGACGGGCTGCACGGGTGGGCGAACTGGAAGAGCAAATTAAGAAGATTGAAGAGGATCATGATTCGCTTGAGCAGGAACTGCGGGATCAAATTACTCGACTTACCAAGGATCTGGATCAGGCACAGAGTGATGTCGCGTGGTGGAAGAATCGGTGTCGCTCGTTAGAGCAGGAACTTGCTCAGGAAAGAAGTCAGACAGCCAACGCGACTGCAGATACAGTTCCTATCAATATACGCCGTAAGACGAATAGCGGCAAGAGAACCGATACGCACATCGCTGAGCAGCGAGCACTGCACAAAGACACGACCAATCAATCTGAACTTGCTGCCACAGGGTGTGGTAGCTGCTCGACAACCCACTGCCAATGCGTCGAGGACGCTCTTCAAGCCATGAGTTACAGTGGCGAAGGAGAAGTAACAAACGCAAGTTCAGCTCCCGAACCGGCAGTCAAATATGACCCGGATCAAATGGAAATCGATTTCACGTCGCGCTTTACTGCTCCGCGGACTACCGCAGCACCACTAGCTGAGACTAGAACCACGACGTCAACTCCTCCAGCAGAGCGATGCGGGTTCTGTGGAGATGGTACAGCATGTATCTGTGCCGAAATGGCGGACCAGGAATCCTCTTCAAGACACGAGAATCTCTTTGAGCAGAATCGGTTGGCTCCTCTTCAAAATTATTCACAGTTTACTCCACCTCCTTCGGACGGCGATGCACGAGAGGTGACTCTCCCGTCTATCTCGCAGGCTACGAATCCATGCGCCAATGGACCAGGTACCTGTGCGCAATGCAGAGCCGATCCCCGAAGCACACTTTTCTGCAAGACATTAGCAGCCTCTCGCACAGCCGGTGGATTACCCGGTGGATGCTGTGGTGGTAAAGGGGCCGACGGCGGATGTTGCCAGTCACGCCCGGCTACCCGTCCGTCTGTATCCAGTAATCCGTCGCCCCTAACACTGACCTGTGCCGATGCATTCACGACACTATCACGCCACCCGAATTTCTCCCAGGCTACTGATGAATTAACCAGTTGGCTTCCAAAACTGCATACCTTGCCCAAGCCACGTAAACCTTCTTTGACCGACAACTTGGGATCTGCGATATCTGAACGGCCCGCTATGGAGGTTGAAGCTGCTAGCGTTATGGGAGTTTTGCGGTATTTTGATAGAAGATTTGCTTCCAAGTGATGATTTGTAGATGAGCAACGATACATATCTCAACTCATATTTTATTCTACGACCTCAGATTAAGGCGACCCGACCATCGGAGACGTGCCGAGAGAGTTTGATACCGAGCCAACATGCCTACGGAGACAGGTATCCCCCGAGACCGCGTCACTGACGACTTGCTATGAACTAGTTACGACTGATGACGATGGCAACAAGCATACCTGTCCCTTCACTCCCCCACTGGGTGACCGGCTGCGCCTCGAATGTACATTACTTAGCAATAGTTTTGCAGCCTGCAACTTTCAAGCACACGCTATTGGCTTAGAATAGTATCTCAATTGACGAATCAAACTATATCTATTTCATTTCTTCCAGATTGCTTGATTAACTTGCATTCGTCAATTAAATTGTATGGTGTTGATTATGTCTCCCTGATATGAAACCCTTCCATTTCATTGACAGAAAAGAATGGGCGATTAACGACGGGCAAAATCCCTCTCAGGACCGTTGGTAAGGTAGTCTCTTGCGATAACGACAGAAAGCCGCATCAATGAGACTGAGATTGTCCACAGGCATGACATTCTACTGTAGTTCGAGCTGTGGACATGCGGCCCTTGAAGAGAGAAGAAGGAAAATAAAAGGAAAGATTGGAAGATTCTTTATTTGTTGTGTTGACTCGGGTAGCTCTCCGCCTGCCGTATCAGGATACGGCAGTTTTGCTGTCTCTGATTGGTCGGACAACGGGAATCGCGGGAGCAGTTGGCGTCCCGAGGTTCCCCGTGACGGCTTCAACGCTTTGCCGACACTGTCAATCTTCCTTCCGTTCAACCTCCGTCACTGTCTGTCGCGACTCAAGACTCTCCCCTCTTTTGCAAGTCAGGACAGTTTTCGACATGATTTCTCAAAAGGTTGCGCAGCAATCGCTGCGGCGATGTACGTTTTTCCGTATTCTGGTTGGAGGTGGAGGTTGCTAACTCGTGTGCTCGTGATGGAATAGTGGCTATTCAATCACCCTCCGGATTGACTCTATCAATGGCCAAATTTGCTACTCCCGCTGCCATTGCTACTGGAAGGTATATGCAGATGAGGTATTTCTCCCTTCCGTTGCCCAATTGATATACATTTCTCGTGGTGGTGTGGTGGGATATAGAAGACGTCATCCGGCTAACCGCTATAAAAAAAGACCAACCTCGACAACTCCCAACACAACCGATCCCACCAAGATCCTCGCCCAACAACGCCTCAAGCGCCCCGTATCCCCTCATCTAAGCATCTATCGTCCCCAAATCACCTGGTACGCCAGTGGTCTCCACCGTATCACCGGTTCCATCGCCTCCGGCGGTCTCTACGTCTTCGCAACCGCCTACCTTGTTGCTCCTGTATTCGGCTGGCATCTTGAATCTGCCTCAATCGCAGCTGCATTTGGCGCGCTACCTTTTGCTGCCAAGTTTTTGGTCAAGTTGGGTCTTGCGTTGCCTGTTACTTTTCATTCATTCAATGGTGTGAGACATTTGTTGTGGGATACGGGGAGGTTTTTGACGAATAAGCAGGTCATTCAGACTGGGTGGACGGTTGTGGGGTTGAGTACGATTAGTGCGCTTGCTTTGGCGCTTTTGTAAGGTATCAAGGTAGTTAGATTGTTCTATCTTTTGAATTTATTTGTCTCTGTATATTTGACTAGGGGTAATGAGGTTGTATTAAGACTGAAGAGCAGTCAATCTACATAGTCAAATATCAAGGTCAAATCAACCATATCAACGCCGGGATTATGTCTCCCAAAATAAAGTCCCAAGACTGTTCAAATTAGCAGTAAAGGCCGTCCTTTTCCCCATCATGTTTCGTATCTAGATACGAAGTAAAGCATTCCAATCACTAAATGCTCTCTCGCCAATTTTACCATTTCAATGTGATTTGTATTGCAATTCCGTTGTATATCTCCTAACGAACATTAGCATATATCTTAACGAAAGTTAGCAACATTCATACCAACAATCATACACTTCTCCCTCTTTCCCTCCTCATTTCAACCAATTCATTTCCCTCGATTTACCCATCAACGCCATGGACAGGACTAGGAGGCGGATTCGGCGGATAAGGAGGCGACGAAGGCGGATATTGAGCTGATTGAGACGATACTGGGCCGTAATTGAGTGATATGTTGTTATTTGAATGGCCTCGTCTGGGGATGGGGCATATGATGTTGGAATTTGTTGAGGTTGAGTGCATAGTTTGAGACGAGGATTTGAATTGGTTCTTATGTAGGTGCTGTTGCTTGGTAGGTAGGTGGTGGCTGAAGGGGGTCGTCTGAATTAGGGCAAGGTTGACAAGGAGTAGAAGATAGAGTATAGGATCAAGGATATGAACGAAAGTCGAGAGAGTTTTTGAAACGAGTGCAATGTCTTTCAATCTTGGTTGCCGAATATACCAAATATCAGTACATAAGCCAGTTCTGATACTGAGGTCGAAAGCGAGAGACTTGTGATAGATTCTTTCATCATGTCGAAGGGAGATCTCGGGGGCGTTTTATATCCTACAACCTTATAAATACTACCTACATGCATGTGTGAGCTTTCTTCAGGTTGACATCTGTCATGTATGTATGCATCCAGGATACCTGCTCTTACATGCAAAGTTTGATTGATTGGGTTGGTCTTCCTCGCAGACCGCCATCTTGAAATCTTCCTTTTGAGATGCAGTTTGCTCCCTGTCATATTTTGATTTTTTTTCCATTGCAGCCCAACCGGATAGAAAGCCCTAGTTGTTAAAACGCAAGTTTTGCTTTTCCTGTTGTCCTGACGGCTTCGTCCTTTTTTTCCTTTTCTTTCAGTTTATGCAATTGCCCGTAGAGCTAGACCAAACCTGTCTGCAGAATAGTCCTTTTGAAGATTATTCAAGTTTACTGATGCCAAAAGAGGATTCTCCTTAATGGTCCTAGCCTAATCTCTATATCATATAGAGTTAACACATCCACTGTAAAGTTGTACTGCAGACGTGTTTATACCTTAGATTTATGACCATGTCTGTGTGTTCGTGTCTACACCGTTTGTTTGAACGCAATGATTGGCGAGGTGCTGTCCTGGCTACCTGACCGGTATCAGAAAGCATTGTTCAACAATGCGGAGTGTTTTTCGGTAACTGTACCATGTTTTAGGAACTCGGAATCTACTTTCCAGTATTCCGTCTGTTGGAACAACGGTCTAGATGTTAGCAGAACACAAGATCAGCTTGAACCAGACAAAAACGTCTGGGAGCAAGTACTTGGCAAATGTTAGTCAACATTCATCCCTGATTGCATGGCATGAGCGGTCAACCTGAGAAGTCGACATACCAACGATTGTTGGACTGGTTCCCACGAGGACGGTCGAGATGTACTGTCGGAATTAAGCATATCAATCCATCTAGGATATGCAAGGAACCGTTGTTACCAACGTCGAATGGCAGCAGATATCCGTCCCGACAACGCCTAACGCCAGATTGATGCCTGTGACACGTATCTTGAGTTTCTTCACATCCGCTGCTGTAGCTATTTCCATTATCTGATGTTACATGGCCCGCCTTGGGAATGCAGCAGTATTTGAAATCAATAACCTCTTGCCGAAATAGGCATGACGAACTGGTGAAAAAAGACCATGTATGTTCATGGCAGCTGGACTCGATGTCAATTCTGGTCTCAGACATTCGTATCACGAATTGATACACCAAGTTAATGCAAATGTCTCATATATTTCACCATAGATTAGCAACACGTGTTCTCCGCAAAGTCCCTATTGTTATATGTGCGCAACACTGATACCCAAGATCCTTTTCTCCGGATATCTAGGTAGTGGTGCATGAGCTGGCGACATGGTTTCAATGCAACCTTAACTTTCTGTTGTACCTACGTAACGTAAAATGACAGTCACCGAATAAGTATATATCACAGTCGCCCACGAGTCAAAATGCCAAATCTTGTAAGGCATCCAAACAAAGGAGATTGCTTTGGAGAGGTAGCACTGGGCGCCTATGCTGACGGCTGTTTAACATTGACGGGACTCAATTTGTGTAACTGATTGAAGGTTGCTTCCATTGTTATATGCTGTTACTGTTGCTCAGGCCTAAGAGGTTGCTGCACTTGACGAAAATACGGTGTGAGTCGAGCAACCTTCCAGACGGTGCTGCTAGTCGGCAATTCATCAATTGTACAGTGGCTCGTTGCAGTTCAGTTGCTGAGTCAATGCTGGGCATGCAAACTCACTCGCGTCCTCTTCCATTCAGCAGATAAAGAAAAGAAAGGAAGAGAAGAGACGAGAGTGAAAGGGGGGAGAAGACTGAGGGAAGATTGCTCGGTGGTATGCCGCTTGGCGCCTTCGGCCAGGCACTGACTAAAATGGACTAGTGCGGAAACAAGAATCTTTAGACTTTAGTTTCGTCCTTCGCAGGTGAGCAACGAACTTCATTCACGATAACTGGAATACCTTTATCTCTTTTCCCCTTCTGTGTCTACACCAGCATTTGTCTGCCGCAGAATTGCTGAGTCCTCTTCTACACAATGACAACCAACATCCCTCGCCAGACGATACGAGTCCTCTCGTCACGAGCCCGCTCCTCCCTTAGACCATCTTCCCTCTCCTCATCGCAACGGGCATTCTCCGTCTCAGCATCTTGTGCAGGTGAGAAGAACCACGAGTATGTGGATAAGCCGCGCTGGTCTTACACTCCTCCCGGCATGAAAGCGCCATTCAGTCTGCGCCAAATCGATAGTAAACGACAGCCGTATCAAGTAAACGAGGACCCGGCGGTCTTGGATAGGTTTTATATCTCGTTATTGGGTCCGGGTGGGGATAAGAAGCTCTCGGAAGAGATCAAATGGTTGGCGGTCACTCATAAGAGCTTTGATCAGGGTCGCCGAGGTTTCAATGACCGCCTAGCGCTGCTCGGTATGCTCAACGTTCTACAATCTGAAATCTATTCTTTACTAATCATAATACCAATTGAACAGGTAAACGCATTGTGCAGCTACAGGCATCGTTGAATCTCGTCCAGAATCCGGAAAATTACAAAACCAATGTCCCGCCTCTGAGCCGCGCTGATAAAGGAAAAGTCTTCAATCATCCTGCTCTAGAAGGCTTAGAAAACCTCACTTTGGATAACCGCGGATGGTTTACACATAAGATTAACTTGGCGAAAATCGCAGAAAAGTACGAGCTGTTGAAGGTTCTCCGATGGGCGCCGGTGAAGGTAAGTTAAGAGCTGGCTATCTCCGTGTGTATCTTGAGCTAATATTTGTGTTCAAATTAGCCTGATGATTTGGAAGGCTCCGGTCTCAATGTCGTTCTCACCCATACGTTGTATGCCATCGTTGGAGCTATCGCCCTCGAAAGAGGTGGCGTTGAAGCTAATGAATTCGCTCGACAACGGATCTTAGCTCCCCAAGGATTGGGGAGTGCGTGATTGTTCATGCGGTTAGGCTGTTAGCGAAGGAGCATTCAAGGCGTTTATGTGAATTTCTTCATCTTCTCATGTATTCATATTGTTTATATGTGGTTATATATGGTTGTTTGCTTGATTGGTTCTTTTACTGTCAAGAGGAAATGTGTAGAACAGCATACTGTATTATACGACTTCAAACTAGTCATCAAATATATACCTGCGTAATTAGACCAATCTTCTATTAGTCAGATAATGTATGATTCATCTGACACCGCCTGTGCAACGGTGCGTAACCTCACAAGAAGTCATGCACAGCCAGCTCTTATGGAATCGTTGAAAATAATCCTACTCTCCGCACCTCAATATCGCAAGGGTCAGCAATAGAAAGCCTGATAGGTACAACTGACAGAATGCCAGAGTAAAGCAGGTGTTGTCTTGCACTGTCTTTAGAGAGCGTTGAGAGGAAAGAGAGGAGAAGGAAAGGATGAGAAAAATTGGAGAGCAAAAAATATATGAGACAATAAGACGCTAGACTGTTTTGGGCTTGGGCTGCGGAATTCGTAATGAGGACTCTGATTGGCTGGGAGAGTAGAAGGGCCACATGTTGGATCAATCAATATTATAGAGGAACAGCATGATAATGTTGCCCGCAGTCGTCGATAACCATCTTCACGGCCTCAGCGCATTGATTATTGCCTGATTGAATTGTTAATTTGAAGAGACTATCGGGAGAATATTCGAGATGCGCTTCTGATTAATTGCACTTGAATTACAACAGTCGACACCTAAATCCCTCTGAAACCGCGCGGAGGATCTCACACAGCACTCACATCATGGCGTCGGCTGTTTTCTTTCTGGACTTGAAGGGCAAGGTAAGTGGATGACTGAAGACTGGCGGTTGAAAGAGCTATATGGATGCACTTGGAACTACCAACCGGGAATGCTTTCTATCGATCGATAATGCTAATCGGTGTGCTATTTCAAAGGCTCTTCTTGCCCGCAACTACCGCGGTGACATCCCCATGTCCGCTGTCGAGAAATTTCCTATCCTCCTAAATGAAGCCGAAGAAGAAAGCTCAGCCGTGCCTCCTTGCTTCTCACACGAGGGCATCAACGTACGTCTCATGCCCCGCCATACGATTATCTCCAAGGACTAATCCAGAACGTTGATGACTGCAGTACCTGTACATTCGCCATAATAACCTCTACCTTCTAGCGTTAACGAAACGAAATACCAATGCTACGGAAATCCTCCTTTTCCTTCACAAGATCGTCGAGGTTTTTACCGAATATTTCAAAGAGTTGGAGGAAGAGTCTATCCGGGATAATTTTGTTGTTATCTATGAATTGCTGGATGAGATGATGGATTTTGGTTACCCACAGACTACAGAAAGCAAGATCTTACAAGAGTCAGCTGTCTTCGTCAGAATTGGGTGATGGTCAGACTAACATTCCGGCAGGTATATCACGCAAGAGTCGCACAAGCTGGAGGTTCAAGCACGACCACCCATTGCCGTTACAAATGCCGTTTCGTGGAGAAGCGAAGGGATCCGCTACCGGAAGAACGAAGTCTTCCTGGACGTTATCGAGTCTCTCAACCTCTTAGTCTCGGCCAACGGCAACGTTCTGCGCTCGGAAATCCTAGGAGCTATCAAAATGAAATGCTACCTCAGCGGAATGCCTGAATTGCGACTGGGACTAAACGATAAGGCCATGTTTGAAACGACAGGACGAGCAACTAGAGGTAAAGCAGTGGAGATGGAAGACGTCAAGTTCCACCAATGTGTTCGTCTGTCGCGATTCGAGAATGATCGCACAATCAGCTTTATTCCGCCGGACGGAGAGTTTGAGTTGATGAGTTATCGTCTTAATACGCAGGTGAAGCCTTTGATTTGGGTTGAGTGTGTAGTAGAGTCTCATTCTGGTTCGAGAATTGAATACATGCTCAAGGTAACTCCCTATACCTCGGGTCTAGTTTCTGGCTCTAACGTTTATACAGGCAAAAGCTCAGTTCAAACGCCGTAGTACAGCCAACAATGTCGAAATCCTAGTTCCAGTCCCTGAGGATGCAGATTCACCTCGTTTCCGCACCAACATAGGCTCGGTCCACTACGCACCTGAGAAGTCTGCTATCATCTGGAAAATCAAACAGTTTGGCGGCGGCAAAGAATTCCTCATGCGCGCTGAACTCGGTCTTCCTTCAGTCAAGGGCGATGATGAGCACGGCGGAGGTATGACCGGTGGATTTGGTGGCAGTATGGGAGGAGCAGGTCAGACCGGGAAGGGAAAGCGGCCTATAAATGTCAAATTCGAGATACCGTACTTCACAACGAGTGGTATACAAGTGCGGTATTTGAAAATCATTGAGCCAAAGGTAAGAATCTTCATCGCTCATGAAGATAGTGTATGACTGACTCGATCCTAGTTACAATACCCATCCCTACCCTGGGTACGATACATTACACAATCAGGCGACATTGCAGTCCGTCTGCCAGATGTACAATGATGAGGGTACAGTCGAATGGAAGACTCTATTTATACCATTAGTTCAAATAGTATAATAACACTTATATTCACACCAATTGACACGTGAACAGCAAGATGACGGTAGTATTAGATAATCCTTCCGATTAGGAAGGTGGCTTTGACCTTGATTCAAGCTCCACGATCAACATGCTATTTCTACAACCTTCACCCTTTGACAGTCTATCAGCATGGGATAAAGTAGAAATGGCACTCACCTACCATGAAGCCCTCCAAATACTCCAGAAGGAGGCAACAGACCACCGCAACACCTTCCATGCAGCACCCGAGACAGTCCCACTGGCCCATGCCGCCAATCGCATAACATCAAAACAATATTGTTCTTTGCGCAACACGCCTCAATGGGACACGTCGGCGATGGACGGCTATGCCGTCAACGCGCAAGTGACGCAGACGGCCTCAGAAGATACGCCGGTGATATGTCAAGTCAAAGATACCATAGCCACTGGAGCAAAAGAAGTAATCATCAAAGCAGCTGAAGCTAATCAAAAGAAAATACCAATATGTGTGGAAATCATGACAGGAGCCCGTTTCCCGAGTGCAGACTTTACTCATCCTCTCGACAGCCTAGACTGCTGCGTCAGGGTCGAAGACACAAAACCAATCTCATCCGACCTGAACGGCGCAGAATCCAGTCAGCGACTAATCCAAATCCTCAAACCTGCGCGACCAAACCAAAACAAGCGTTTGGCAGGCGAAGATTTCCGGATCGGTGATGTGATTGTTGATCGACATCTGGTTATTCGACCAAATCATGTCATGGCACTTGCGTCTGTTAGTTATGACTCTGTGGAGGTACTTCGACGGGCTCGAATTGCGCTCTTCTCCACTGGCGCGGAGATAGTTACTCCCAGTATTGCTGATGACACTTCAGCGCGGCAGCAGGTGTCGGATGTAAATGGTCCTTATATCATGAGCGTGTTGCAGAATGCGTTTTCCTGCGAAGTTGACTTTCTCGGGATTCTGGAGGATAATGCCAGAATTGCAGCGGGTACGATATCAGATCGAATTCAGGGGAAACATTACGATACGGTGATTACGACAGGAGCCGTGTCTATGGGCAGATTTGATTTTGTTCCGAAAGCGCTAGAAATGCTTGATGCAAGAGTTGTATTCCACAAAGTAGCTATGAAACCAGGTCATCCAGCACTTTTTGGCAAGATTCCATCTATGACCGGGGAGCATGACTCCACTATTCCGTTTTTTGGGCTACCAGGCAATCCAGTAGCTGCTGCTGCGTGTTTGAGGTTTCTTCTGTTCCCGTACCTGAAATGTGTGTTGTATCAGGGGCTGGAGAAGCCTGTGCAAGCTGTCATCACATCCGTCGGTCTGAACGACCAGCGAAAGGCATCCAAAATACATGATCTTGAAAGAAATGTGATTCCAAACTTCCCACCGGACCGGGACGTCTTTCGTGCTGGTATTGTCACGCATCAATCTCGACACAGTCTCCAAGTACAAATGATCCAAGACCACAGTCCAGGAAAAATCAGTCCGTTTCTAGCTGCTGATTGCTGGATACATATCCCCCGAGAAAAGACAACCTTGCACGACGGCGATCTTGTAGATATCTTCCTCATTTGAACCTATTCATTTAATATCTTTAAGTAAATGACAAGCTTCCTGCAACTCTTTCACAGTATTCACATTGAACAACTCCATCTCATTCTCCGGACTTATGATCTGCGCATCAGCCAGTTCCTCTATCACAAACCTCGGCCCCGTCCGTCCCTGTCTCACATTCTCCGCAAGTTTCTCAAGTCCTTCAGGAGACCATATGGCAAGAAACGGCTCACAAAACCCCTTTGAGTTTCGATAACATGTTACCGGAGAAGAAGTAGAAGACTCGATCAACCGTTGCAATGTCCTGATTTGAAGAAGCGGAAAATCGCACGCAACTATGAGCCAGTTTGTCTTTGGATTGGTGTGATATGCTACTAGGAGGCCTGCTGCTGGTCCGATGTCTTTTGCTGTATGTGTGGTTTTGTCGTGATCGCTGTCATCATATATAAACCGTATTGATACCTTATTTCCTGTAGACTGAGTCCGGTGCAACTCCCATGGCGGCACGAGATTCTCATTCTTGACTGACATGTAAATCGTATCTAGTTGAGGACACGCCTGGCTTATGGTGTTGATGAGGTATTGATACATCTGTAAGCCGCTGGGATGGTTGAGTAGTTCCTTGCGTGAACCCATGCGTGACGATTGACCGCCTGCTAGGATTAGGCTTGTAGAGTCATTCCGATGTTCGTTTTCACGTAGAAACAGTGAGAATGTTAACTTTGAAATCGTGGGGTACCGAATTTCAAAATTCTTCCCGGGTTGGTCAGTATGATGTCAGTTGCGTCCTAGAATTCTACATCGAGCAGAATGCGTTCCCATATAACCTCATTATCAGTCGTTGTTGTCTCATTCTTATTATAACAGGCAATGCGTAACTGTCTTTTTGTCCTATCCATATCCACAATACCAACACCATGAATGCGCGCTTTCTCCGGAATAGATATGATACAATCTTTCACGGAGTCGGCCATAGGGACTGGGGTTTTTTGACCATATTCGTGGAATATTATTGCATATTCTTCCTCATAGGAAATGACACTCTGGGCCATTGAAGCCATCATTCGGCCATCCCAGACACCTTCTCTACCGCACATCGACAAAAGACAGACAGCACGATGCCTTATTATGAACTCTCGGCACTTCAAGGCAGTAATGTAAAGAGGATAGATGAGTTTCATATCAATGCAGAAGGCAGAGCTGGAAAAAGCTTCACTGCCGCCATCTGAAAAGAAAGAAGGTTGTTCAAGTTGTAGAACCGTTTCCGAGAGATCAATGATATGCGCGAATATCAAAGTATAGGAGTCATACGTCGTTTCATCATAGCTTAGAGACGTAGACAGCAGAATGTAGTAAGTAAAATACGACAATAGCATCACGATTCGTGCACATTGCTGGTGGTAATCCAGCTGCCTTTCTGGTAACATATTTCTGTTCGTCCCATAATCAATGATAATGTTACTCAATTCCAGAGAAATGGTGTCAAAATCGATTTTCCATTGCTGTAATTGCTGAATGAGAATATCTCGTTCCTTTTTGACGGCTCTGAATTCATTCTTTTGATCCTTGCCTCGTTTCGACTCCGCAGAATACTTCCACCTGATGACCGTTTCGGAAGCTACGAAACGAGAAATCTCGACCTGAGTTGACAACAAGCTCTGGCGTAACTCCTCAATAGTGCTACCACCATTGAAATTGTTGCCTGGAGATCTCAGTGTTGAATACTCGGTAATCGAGTCAACATTGTCAGGTCCGATAGGAAGCCTCGAGCCCGCAAACGCCGCTGCTTGAAGATCAAGTTGCTGAAATATCAATCCAAGCGCTCTTAGCAATTCTGAACTATCAGGGAAAGTTGCACATCGATTCTCTGCTAGAACAAGTTGAGATTTTGCAACTGAGGGAATGGAGATCAAGTTGATCGCGCCATCGAGGTGATACTGAGCGGCGACGTCAACCCCACGAAGGACTTCGCATACGACCAACAGTAAACACGCAAAGGAAGTTTCTAGGAAGATGTCGTGTTTTTGTACGGCGTCAATCAATATGAAATTTAACCTTTGGATGGCTTTGCCGTACTGCCGGTATGAATATAGTCGTAAAGCGTGCACTAATGTTTCATTATTATTGCCATGACTGCTGCGGATAGTCACTTCATGTTGCGCACTCAGTGCCAGAAGTGTGTATCGAATTGCTGGGAAAGCGGTACTCAACAGGGGGATGGCCTCTGTCCAAATTCTCAAGTCGAGGACTGACGGGATCTGGATACTAGCTTTTGTGATAAAGTACCGAAATGATTGCTTTTCCTGAGAAAGTTCATATTCTGTCAAAGATTCTCCTATGGAGAAGAAAATAGGACCTGTGAAGTTGCCGTGAAACCGGAGAGAACAGTTAGCCGGCGTAGACACATCCACAGCTGGATGGTACTGGAAAGCATCATTGTATCCTTGACAGGAACGATTTGATCGGGAACATTTCAGACATATCGGCTTTGTCTCATCACATTTGATTTTCCTTTCTCCATGGCAAAACTGTCAGCTGTTTCCGAATAATTTGGCCAAAATATCACCTACTTGCATGTCAGACACCCACTGCGCAATTTGGATGTGTTTCGCCTTGTTGACTTTTTTTCTGCTGTTCTCATGTCTGTATTTCTGCCCTTGATTCTTGAATCTTACATCTGGAGAAAGCTTCTCTGATGAGGATGAAGATCAAGTTTAATCTGGAACGTAGCTGCCTATTTCGTATACTCTAGCTCACGTGATCCAAGAGAACGTTTGCTGGTTATAAAGAATACAATATTTGTAGATAGGTTTATGTGGTTGTATAGAGTTCGAAAATAAAGATAAATAGAATAGATTAAAAAGAACGGATAGAGTTAGGATAGAAAGTAACCCTAAGAGGAGCCCCTGATTTGAGATACCTCTTCTAGTACATGTAAAAATAACAAATACAAGCAGATCTCTTCTCCATATCACAAAATAATTTCGACATAAAGCAGCAGGAAAGAATATAGCAAGATTTTCAAGCCAACAAGGTGAACAATGAAATACCAGAGGTCAAGCTTCAGCGCCAACGGAGCTAGTATGCATATCTACCACTCAGATGGAATCTCTGCAATTGTCAAGAAGCAGAACGATTACCAGTCTAAGCAGTCTGAGTATTGAAGTACATGGTTATCACATAAGTCCTCAAATACGGCGAGAAAAAGTCATAACCAACAACAACATCGCAACTGTCCACGTAGACTGTCACAGGAATAGAGCCCTGATACATGATCTTCCACTTTATTCCTCACAATTAGCATTTACCAACAGCACAGAATAATCGTTCAACTTACAGAAGCAACCTTATCAGGCAAGAGCTCCCTCCTTACCAATCCTCCATACGAAGCACCATTTGAAACCAAAAAATCATCCTTGATAAGCGGAAATCCAGGATTGACGTATCCTCGATAACTTTCGGAATTCGTATCATTGCCGTCGATGGGGATGTAAATGATCGTATTGTCGACTAAACCATCCTTGGAGATGTTGGCGTAGTTGAATGTGGATGCAGCCAGATTGCCGTCGTAGGCTTCGTTGGAGATGACTAGGTTTTGCTTGGGGAGGTTGTAGATGTAGCCGGATGTGATGTGAGAGAGGTTTGCGTTCCTACCCGTAAGTCAGCAAGTATTCGCAGTGTATATAGACTGTATTAAAGCTGTTTCACCATTTATGCTGAAGAAAACTGGTGTTGTAGCTGGATTTCACCAGCGGAGGAGCTGGCTCCTCAAATCCGGACGTAAAGATTTCCATGGAATCAGGGAAAGGAGCGCAAGACTTTTTCGCAGCTGCAGTAGCCACCAGCATGGCGGAAAGGTAAGAGAGAATGTGAATAACCTTCATCTTGATGAATAGACAATGTGACCGTTTGGAAAATTGACAGCGAGTGTAAGGGTAGATGATGAGAATGTGAGAACGTCCAAAGAATGTACTAAGTTGATTGATCTATTCAAGATCATTGAGCAGAAGATTCGCTCTTTATATGCCTTTCTACATGTCTCTTGATTTTCCTCTTGACGTGAAGATATACGCGATAACGAAGCAGCCTAGAAGATCTCAGTAGAATCGCCTAATCGGGTAACATAACCCTAAAATGTCTGATCAGTATCCACCGCGCTAGTCTCTGTTGAGGTCGATTTACGAATAAGCATTGCCCAGAATCCTCCATTGAGGATGGATTGCTATTTTAAGCAGACAATATGTAGTTTATAGACGAGCTACTTATTATAGTGCAGTCTAAGCTTGATGTCGTCGCTGCGGATCTTGGTGCTTGGAAATACAGACATCAAGAACCACCCGGCGGCCTCTCACACTCCAAATCCACCTCCACAGGCACCGGAACCAGAAGAGTCTGGGGACTCTTCGTCTTGAGATGATGTCTCGCCCAAGCCTGTTGTCTCGCAAGCTGCGCCTGCGCAAACCCCACTGCATCACAGAACCCATTATCCCACAACGCCATGCTCGCCGGCTGCAATGCTATCAGATACCCATCTATATACGTCACGAACAAATCCACCGCTTGTAGAGTTGTGATCACGCGAAAAGAATCGGAGCCACGGGATAGAGAGAATAAAGAGTCGCGCAGGTCCCGGGAGATCTGTTGACTGTATCGTCTGCTTTCGTGGTATTTCTTAATGTACGGTTGTAAATGGCTGATTATCTCATGGGTGATGTTACACATAACCCGGAGACCGGATTGAATGTCTAGATCTTGGATTAGTTTCGGAATGAAATTTTCGTATATTTCGACCAAGGTGTTGAGAGCGTCATGTATTGCGCCGGGCCATGGTTCGAGTCTTCGTTTCTTTGGCTGGTCTTTTGGGGATTGCTTCGACTTTTCTTATGGCTTCTGTATGACGTTGTCTGGCGTGAATTTTAACAGTTCTCTGGTCGTCTTGGGCTTTTTCGATTTTGACGGCGCCGGACTTGAAAGTTGGTTGTTTGGAGATTGGGTCCTATTGTTCTGTGTCGTCAGCTTCTTCCTGATATTCAAATGGAGAAAGAGGCATACCGATAGTTAACTCATTTGCAGCACGAGCACGCTCATTCTTGGCATCAAAATATCCAAAATGAAACGGAATAAAAACCTGCCCTTTCTCAATATTCCCAATAGTAACAGGAAGCTCAACAGCACCCCGACGAGAACGAACAACCACTATATCCTTTTCTTTCAGCTGTAAATCTTGCGCATCCTCGTGCGAGATTTGTATTACTGCCTCGGGGAATGCACGTTGCAATCTGTCCTTTCTGCCGGTCTTTGTGCGCGTATGGAAATGGTATACGTTTCTACCTGTGGATAATCTGAAGGGATATTCATCATCAGGTGTTTCCAGGGGAGGTCTATAATCGGAAGCTTTGAGGATCGCACGACCTGCAGGATTAAGTGCCTGGGACTGGGATTTCGTCATTGGCGCTCCGGTCTCAAGATCATGGCCGTAGCTTTCGCAATAATCAATATCAGTGAAAAATTTGCCGTCTGTAAAAAGACGCTCTGTACCCTGCGGGTTTTCTGCATTGCAGGGCCATTGTATCCCCGAACCACCCGTAAGCTCCTCATATGTCAGTTCACTATAATCGCATGGTCTCCCTTTAGACAGTTTCTTCCATGCATTAAACACTTCCTCCGGTTCTGTCCAAGGACACAAATCATTCCCGTCCTTATCCTTGAAGCCTATGCGTTTCGCAAAATCAAGAAAAATATTCATATCCGGTTTTGCCTCTCCCGGCGGTTCAACAGCCTTATAGGAGATATGGACAGTTCGATCAGCATTCGTAAAACATCCCGTCTTCTCCCCCTCACTGGGCACAAGGGAGGACAACATCTGCAATAGCCGCTGTTTCAGTCATGTATAGATCCTGACAGATTACGAACAGTTCTGGCTTTGTGAATAAATCACGCACCAGCTGCAGATGCGGTAGACTGACGAGCGGGTTAGTACCCGAAATCCACATGATATCAATCGAGCCGTGTTCGATATGTTTGAGCATGGTCTCTATATGCGTTGGCTGCGCCCAATGAGGGACGTGCATATAGCCAATGTTCCAGGCATCGGCAATTTCTTGCACATGTTTCGGGTTTTGGAAGTTGCGGAATCCCGGATATTCGCCGTCACAGCCTGCTTCGCGATCGTTTTGGGCTGTGGGTTGACCGTTCATTTGTAGGACGCCGCTGCCGGGTTTGCCAATTAGACCGCGGAGGAGGTTGATGTTGTTGATCTGGCATGCGCTGGCGGTGGGCTTGATTGGATTGATATACGCCTTGCAGGGCTGTTGAGAGCAGGCTCTTTGTCGTGCCAATAATGCGTGCTGCTTCTTTTAGCTGGACTGGAGGAACGCCGGTGATTTCCTCGACGTATTCAGGAGTATACTTTGAGACAATCGTTCTAAGCTGCTCAAGTCCCACGACATGTTTAGAGACAAACTCCTCATCAATCCATCCATCGTTGGCGAAAAGAAGGTGCTGTATGCCGTTAAGTAAAGCCACATTCGTCCCAATCTTAGGGGCTAGATGAACGGTCGCACGTTCCGCGGTATCTGACCGTCTTGGATCGACGACGATGAGGTTTGGCGGATTCGGTCCGTCCAATCGATCAAGCATACGACTCCAGAGGACAGTTTGGGTATGTGAAACATTATGGCCAACTAAAAACACGCAATCCGTGTAATCGATATCAGCATACGAGCCAGGTTGGCCATCAGACCCGAATGACTCGCGCATTGAAGCTGCCGCCGTCGCCGTACACAGCCGTGTATTCCCATCCCTGTCTAATTAGCAATTTCCGTTCTTAACTCGATTCGAGTCGTGGGTTATACATATGCAACGTATTCAACCCAGCTTTCCCAATCATAGCCAAAACATAATACTCCTCCAACAACAGCTGACCACTCGTATAAAACTCAATGCCATGATTTGAAAGCCGCGCTTGTGTCTGCTTCACCTTTTGCACAATGCAGGCCATGGCTTCGTCCCAGGAGACTCGTTCGAGCTTCCCATTTTTCCTTACGAGGGGATACGTCAAGCGGTCAGGATGCGATATTGCGGTCCATCTAGCCTCATAATCAGAATGGGGTGACAGTAGGAGATGATGCTCAAACTAACCCGTTCAATCCTTTGGGACCTAGACGGCCCTTGTTCACGCGATCGGTTGCTCGACCGCGGACACCGACTACTTTTCCATCTTTGACGCCAATGTCTAATCCGCATCCATTACTATCATGTCATTATTAGCCTTACTAGAGTAACAGAAGAAAAGGTTGATATACCTGCACAAAACGCATGCGCTCTGAACCCATTTCTCGGGCTCATCTATCAGTCGTTCGTCGACGCGGGTAGGCCATTCGTGCTTGTATGGTGTACGCTGACCCCAGATGTCTGCGATGGAATCGCCTCCATCGCAGACATCGTATACATTTGAGCATGGGGTAGTATTCTCCATGACTTCGTTCAATGTGTATACAATTGAAGAGAGTATGTTAAAAAGAAGACATCGTGATGGGCTTTGTGGTTGTTGATGGGGGTCATCATGATGATGCAACCGCATTCCCCTTTTCGTCTGTCTTTCTTCCCTGTTTCGACTGTCCGAGCAACGAAATAGCTCCTCTGCGGGTGTATGCTTACGTACTTAGCGACAATGGGAAGGGTATCTGTTCATTTTCGACTATGTACATGAGTCTATTCGTATCATCAAATGCACCGGATTTATCAAATTCATACCGACATTCACACCGAGAAGTCTTCGTGAAATCAATGCAACGCCTTCGCTGAACACTGAAGAGCACTCAATAAATCAAACCACCAGGACCACGTAATCCAACAGGCAGGAAAAAGGAAATTGCGAATCTATCGAACATCTTCCCCGTTGTCATTCATATCGTACTGTTATTCGCGCAAAGATCCGTATTGCGCTGTTGACGATGCATTGTGTCCCTTGGAATGCGATGTAGCAGACGTAGACATGGGTAGAGGAAACCCGTCGCCGCCATGTCCTGACTGAGCTGCCCTTGCAAACCCTTCTCGAGCCAACATTGTATTCAACACTGCGCAATTGTAGGCCGCTTCGCCAGGCGGCACAACGACAAAGATATACGTGTTGTCCGTAAACCGTCCAAGAAACACGTTAAACTGCGGTGTCTTGGTATGCATGACCAAAAACCCAGCCGAAGCCGGGGTAGTATGCGTATTCCGAGCCGCGCAATGTTTGAATGCCTTCATGATATTCGACAGTCGCTCGTGACGATCGTAAATCGGATTCAAACTTCCGACTTCAGACGCAAACGACGTAACTGTCAAAAAGGTCGATCGCTCAAACAGGATAACCTCCTCTGCATCAATCTTGGTCGCAAACGCGCTGAGAAAGCGCTCAATCACGTATAGATTCGGAATAAGTTTGTGCACAATCCCCGCCCAGGCCTTGTACAGCGATTGATCCCAGATACTGCTCCCAAAGGTATCGATATCGAAATGGTTTGAGCGATGGCGGATCAGGTTCGATCTTTCTTCGTAGATGCGTTGGCGATGTTCGGCTTGGATTAGGTCGAGTTTGTGGATTAGACAGAACACGTGGGCGCTGGGACTGTGTTGGTGTAGGGCTTCGATGATGGCGTTATAGGTGTCGAGATCGCGCTCGACTTCACGAGATTCAATGTCAAAGACGTAGATCAGGACGGCGACGTCGGAGAATATGTTGCTTCGTTGGCCGCCGAGGTATGTTTCCGTGAAGGCGTCTTGTCTAGAAGATGTCAGTCAGAAGAAAGAGTTGAAAGAAATAAAGCTCACCCTCCACAGTCCCATAGATTAAGTGTCAAATTCCCCATAAACTTCACATGGCTGTGTTCCACGTCAATGGTGGCACCTAATCGGCGCACATCCTTTGCAACATAGTTGCTGAAAATAATAGAACGCATTGACGACTTGCCAGAGCCACTCTTACCCATTAAGAGGACCTTCCTTTTTTTTTTGCGGAGATCCATGCTGGGATATGAATGGCTGTTTACCAGATCTGGTTGTGATGGAACTGAGGCTGTTGTTCGTTCTGACTTCTCAGTTGGTCGTGTCGCATGGACAGTGGTCCTGTGCGTAGAGCTAGCTGGGAACTCCCATGTAGAGATGAGACTATCTATCAGTAACTCTAATAGATAGAACAATAAGGAAGTTATACAGCTAGATTAGCTTCTAGCACAGTGATTGATTATTGTTTTGAGGATCATCAATGAAATGAGGTGGACAATGATAGATAGAGCAAGGCTTACTAAGAACATCCCGCCAATAGCCGTACAGTCAGGTGGGGTGGGTGTTTTAAGAGAGAATAATGATTAGAGGATACTAAATATTATTATTCTCTACAAACTAAGATATAATATATGCTTCATTATACAAAGCACAGCAGAAGAATGAAAATAGATATAAAAGGGTTCGCCATGTAAGAAAGAATCAGACAGACCCATGTCAAGAATTGAAGCCTCGATCCCGTCTGTATCGATTTTCAAAATTAATATAAAATGCTGATAGATAAGATGTAGTCATGCGATGCGTAGGTTGCATCATCATCAAAAGTAAATGTCTTTGCCGTCATGAAGTGAAACTCATTCAACCATTGGTATCATCATCAATCAAATGTCTCACTGTAGAAGAAGAGAAGAAGAGAAGAACAGAAGAAGAGAAGGAAAGAAGGAAAAAAAAGTTGAAACAAAGATAAGAGAAACGAAGTGTGGTCGAAAAGAAGAATATGCTCAAGAATTGGTTAGAAAACAGTGCCGTCAGATATAATCATAATCGGGGGCTCTTTGGTGTTTGGTCTGGAGACTTCTGCAATCTCACGTCCGCCCTAAACATCGATCATTAGGATTGATTGATCTGTATAAGAGGGAATTGAACTCACTTTCCATGTCCCAGCTTCAAGTAATTGAGCCAGAGATAAAGCATCGTCTCCCCGCAGACCAAGTTGATGATTGACTTCCTCCAATAAATCATCCAAGAATCCTACAGTAACAGCTCGCCATTCAACAATAACGTCGTCATCTGCCGAAAACATCGGAACAACCTCCATGCTCGGTTGGCCTTCTTTCCGGGAATTTTCCTTATAAGTCACGAGACCCCGTTGCACATCCGGTTCCTTGAGGGTTAATAGCCCCAGGTCGATCAAAAGACCACCATTTCGATACTCGGGAAGACCTGTGAGCAGCTCCGCGCCAGCGAAATGTATCTTCATCAGTCGTGTCATTGGCACCATTATGGAATAGCATAGCCACTGCGTTAATTTGTGGAACGGTGCAATTGCCTCCCAGGGCTTAGCTGGCGGAGTCTGTGGCAGGGCCTTGCACGTCCATGCATCACCAATGGAAACTCCATCGATCTGTGTTCGTGAAGGTGGCCAGATAGCAGCTAGTCCGTCCATAAGCACGGACCATAATGTGGGTACGGACACGATTGGAACTGACGATGCTAGGGTTGTTGGGTGAGACAAAAGATAATCTGGTACGCTTACATTAGACTTGTCTCCGTCCGAACGAGAATATACACATACCGAGCATATTACCAGGACGGGCATCAACCCCAAAGAGATCCTGATTGTTCAGCGCCTCGGAAAGTCGTACCAAGAGCCCCGCTCGACCCTCTATTCCTGCAAGCGGGTTCTGCTCAGAGTGTTGCATACCCTTGGCTAAAGCTTCAACGGTCACTTTTTTCAATCCTGCTCCATCGACCTGGCATGGCTCGGTGGGGTCACTGCTGAATAAACCCGTCTTGAACATTTCCAAGCTTGCGACGGCAAGACCTTCGCTTCGCGAAAACACCTTTCCGGACTCCTTTGATTTATAGGACCACTTGTTCCCTGCACCTGCATCCAACAAAACGGATACCAAGAACAGATCAATCAGCCTTCTTGTTCGTTCTGTGGGGTCAATCGTGCTGGGCCACGACTGTAACAGCTGGTCGATTCGAGGCCTTCCACCGACATCGAAATGTTGCCAACGACCGTGCGGAGGGATGGACGAGTAGTCAGGAGAGTAATCTCTCTAGAAAACAGATCATTAGTAGAGTGCACAAATGAAAAAGCCGCAATTGAGTCACACCTTTATAATTGACACAACATATGATGCTGTCGCCTCGAATTTGCTCATATCCACATCAAAATGGTTCAATTTGTCTGCTCTCGCTTTTTGAAGAACAATCTTGGAGCGCTCTCGAACAGCATGTATACTTCGTAAATAAGCAGCAGGATCGAGATTTGGATCGGGGGGCTTGGAGATCGGCACTTCTGGAATTGAGACTGGTAGATTCCCAGATGACTTTACCGCGGACGACCTCAGAGACGCAGTTGAATTGCGTGTACTATGCGCCGATAGAGAGTCTTGTTCCTCCTCGCTGTGAATGGAATGTTTCGAGTCTTTTCTCTTGAATAAACCCATTGTGACTAGCCGTGTTGCTTTTCCCTGACTAGTTCACTTGCAATTGTTCTGGTGTTTTCGAGTGTGCGCCGCCCAGCATAAGAAAGATTAATTCGAGTGCGGGGGAGGGGGGGTTGTGAAGGGGGGATTTAAGGAGTAGAAGACACGTGCTGCAATTGCAAAAATAATAGTTCGCTTCGAATACAAACTTCAGAGACAATTGGAACGGTTGTGCGTATCACAGCTAATGTATGTCACTTCGCAGACTGGAGTACTAGTTATTGAATCAATAGTGTTTTTTTCCAAGCAAGGAGCCGTTAGTATGGTGACCCCGCGGGGTTGAATTGATGATAGCAAGCACAGATCACCTCAGGTCGAAATGCTTTTGAAGAGCGAGGGAAAAAGAAACGACATCCAAAAAGAAAGTGAGTACAAATAAGGCAACGAAGAAAGGTGTTGCAAAAGAAAAGAAGCGTCGGGTAAACTGGGGCCTGACTAGTCGGGCGGCTAGAGCCTGGACCCTGCTGGGAAGAACCCCCGAAGTGACCCGTGAACCATAACAGGGTAGTTTCGCCGATACGAGAGTGAATAGCGTAAGGAATTGATTACTATCATTTATGATTTACTTATGTATTTACTCTATTTTCCATGATTCCATCTGGTGTCTTGTCTGTTATTAGTACGTGTGCATGGTATGTATGTAGAGGAAATATAGACAGCAGACCCTTATCCCTGCCCCGCCAGTGTGACCGTACAATCTGCCCCTCCCGTAAGTATTTTTAAAAAGTGTCTTTTATGTGTAATTATCGACGGAGTCTATTTCCTGTAAGCTGAAGCACAGACTCCCGTAGCCCGATGCAAATACCGGTACGTATTTACGTACGAAAAATACGCTACGTCCAGGGTGACTTATCACAGTATCAATCAATCTATCAGACACGCGATCAATCATATTAAGGGGTATTATCATACTAGGGACAGCTGTAGATTAATAGTGCTGGTTATTGATAGCGACTCCATGCATCCAGAAACATGCATCCCCGCGGTAGGATCTCGAATACATACTTTAGACATAGCACCTCGCCAACTCAACCTTAACGGTTACCCCGTATGGGTACATGCAACGGAGATTGTTCCCTTGAAAGGCAAAGAAGAAAGGCAAAGAAGACAACGATCATACTTTGGCTTGTCGCAAAAAGAAGAAATAACAGGGTCAAAGTTGCAGGACATGGAATTAGCAAAATCCGAGGCCTTGACACCGGGTCGCATATACGTAGTACTCCGTACATAGTAATGATAGTATGGTCTGATTCACGTGTTTGCAGAGACAATGTCTTATCGTGTATTATTAATTACACATGCTCTGTAACAGGCACGTATTGCGATATTGCATACGGCGTCCTCCGATTGCTGATAGTAGTTCACTTAGCACTGCCAACACAACATACACATGGCACCTAGATACTTCTCAGTGCTCACCATCACTCGACTCTGCGAGATGCGACAAGCGATTCGGCAAAAATGAACACAAATCGATTGAGTTTTCCCTGAATATAACGTTCAATAGTGCAGCAATACACTTGTGAACACGACAAAGTACTCCGTACTCCGTATTGGTGGAGACTCGTCTTGCTCCACGGGAAGACTTCCGATGCGCCAATTCAGACGAAGTTTAAGAACGAGGCCCACACGAGGTACAAAATATTGGCACAGACAACAACGATCACGTTGACTCAATAGTACGGCGATGGAGATGGAGAGAGAGTCATGTGGTATGAGTCAGCTGACTTTGAAGCATCAGTGATTCCAGTATAGATGTCATCGATTGCTTTAAAAATTCACGGAGAGAGTTTGGATGCATGTACAGAGCAAAATGGCGCCATAAGCTACGAATAATAGGCGCCCTGGCAATACGCCTGAGAAATTAGGCAGAAATTGAAGACTACACGTAACTGCACACCAGCCACCGTGGCAGCCGAGTGGCTGTGTGGGCAGTGGCGCCATGCTTAGCCACATATCAGTGGCTGCTCCTGATATAGCTACACTCTACTCTGCTGACCTGTTTCATATGTGAATATTTGTCGTCAAACCCTCCGACGACCTTTTCTGAGTTAATGACATGATCCATTTGTAACACCTTTCATAGCCTCCATGACTTACTCCTCCCGAAACTGTGTGGCCCCCTAAGACCCCCGCAAAACCTTGAGACGCCCCTCGTCTCTTCTGCGCCGTTTAACAGAGTCCGATCCCTTCGCGATGGATGATCTTGCCGGCCTGAGTTGGACTCCCAAGTCCAACGAGTCCAACAATAAACCCCCTCCGATGAGCTCTGGGTCAATGAACACAATGCGTATCCCACCTATCCAGGCACGACCGACACCGCCGCCGTCATCAAACGGGCATTCCTCCAATCCGCCATCCAAGCCAGCGACTCCCGCCAACGATAGTTTTGCGAATCTGGTATCGTTTGGGTCATCCAATTCGAATAACAAGAATTTGTCTCTACTGGAGCAACAAAAAAAGCTACAGGAAGAGAAAGCAAAGCAAGAAGCCGAAAAGAGGAGCCAGTACGAGGCACAATACGGAGGTCAAAATGCTCAGTTCTGGGATAATTTGGCTCAGAATCGGCGCGTAGCATCTCCGGCACCGGCACCCGCACCCGCACCGGCGCGGGCAGCTTCCCCAGACGAGGACGATATATTAGCTGCCTTCAATTCGGCTGCCCCTGTGGATGCATCTACAAACTTTCCTATTCCTTCTCGGTCGACGACACAAAGTCCCTTGGATCAGGCAATCAATCAGCCCGCGAGCAAGGCTGGGTTTGACGATGACGACGATCCATTTGGTTTGGGAACAATGAAGCAATCCAGGCCGACAGCGGTGCAAATTTCTACACAGGATAATGACGATGACGATTTTCTTGGATTACTTGGGAAGCCTGTCTCTGAAGCGGCGCCTGCTAGGGCTAAATCAAAATCTCCCGCTCCAAGCTCACAACCGCATGAGGAAGATCCACGGGATCGCGCCGTGGCAGAGTTAGTTGATATGGGATTTCCGCCCGGAAAGGCTGCCGAAGCTCTACAAAATACAGAATCTGGTGCAGATGTGCAGGCTGCTGTGGGATGGCTTCTGAATCAAGCACACGCAGAATCACGGCAGAAATCGAGATCTAGAGCGGGATTTCCGCATGAAGAACATCCACCACGCAACCGAGAGGACCAACGACCACGTAAACAGAACGTGCCTTCATGGATGAGGGAGAGCGGATCTGAGAGACATCGCGGGGATAGCAGGTCCCCGCAGCCGCATGAGCGGGATGTGGGTGAACTGGCTGCTAGTTTCGGTAACTCGTTATTCAAAACCGCAAACTCTCTCTGGAAACAAGGAAGCAAGAAAGTGCAGCAAGCTGTTCAGGAGTTCAATCATGATGCCGATCCCAATCAACCTCGGTGGATGCGAGAAGCTGTGTCCGCTCGTGTTACAGAGGACCGCGGTGCTCGTCCTAAAGTTCCGCAGAAAGATGTACCTCGAGGGGGTGCTGCACCCGAACAGGCAGCGAATATAACGGACGAAGCTTTACTTTTAGAATCGGATGCTAGTCGACCCGCCCGTACTGCTCCTCGAAGACCTGGGTCTGTGGAGCCACGACATCCACAACCTGCACCTTTTACTGAAGCACCAAATGAGAGGAGGGAGAATAAGAACCCTTTCTTACGGCAACCGCAAGCTCAACCTCAACAACCTCAGCCACCGCAACAGCCGCGGCGACAAGAATTTGTCAGAGACGTCAAAAGCCAATTGACTCGAACTGCGTTGGAAGAGCAATCAGCACAAGCATACGTCAGCCCTGCCAGAAGGCGAAGACCACAGCAACAGCAGACTTCTCCGCCACCCACTGAGGATAATAGTATAGATTTATTGGATAGCTCAAAACCAAAAACACCCGTTCCGACCAAACCACCCGCCCAAGCTCCGATTCCGCGAGCATCGAAACCATCAACTCCTATTCCATCACGAACAAAAGCGCCTGCGCGCACAATCCCTCCAGTCTCACAGTCGGCACTCTTATTGTCTTATAAGGACCGCGAAAGTGGGAACGAAGCATATAAACGAGGAGACTATGGCGCGGCGCATGAAGCATTCACGAGAGCACTATCCCATCTTCCAAAGGATCATCCCGTAACCATACTTGTACTCAGCAATCGCGCCATGACTGCCCTAAAGATCGGAGAGCCAAAAGTGGCCATCTCTGACGCAGATACAATTCTCGCATTCATTGGACCTGCAAAGGGAGAAGGGGAGAGTATCGAACCCGGCAATGGTCAAGCTTCCAAACCGATGAAAGACTTCTTTGGGAAAGCGCTCATGCGTAAAGCCGAAGCATTGGAGCATCTTGAGAGATGGAGCGATGCCGCGCAGACATGGAAACAGGCCGTTGAAGCGGGTCACGGCGGTAGCACGAGTATACAAGGTCGAAATCGATGCGAGAAAGCAGCTGGAATCAGTAAACCAGCACCAGCCGCTGCACGACCTACGGCTCCTAGAAAACCACAGTCAACCCCTCGTACATCTGCTTTAAGCGACCTCTCAGGTCAAAGAGCAGCCCCCACGGCTGAAGCCGTAACACGTCTCCGAGCCGCAAACGAAGCCGCGGAACGAGCAGACGAGGAAAAACTGGCCCTTACCGATAGCGTCGATGCGAAAATCATGGCCTGGAGAGACGGGAAACAAGACAATCTACGCGCCTTATTGGGCAGTTTGGAGAATGTCCTATGGCCAGAATCGGGATGGAAGAGGATTAATATGTCTGAATTGATTCTTGCAAATAAGGTGAAGATTCAGTATATGAAGGGGATTGCGAAGGTGCATCCTGATAAGGTATTATTTCTCTTCTTCAGGCTGAAACTTTGAGAATCTATGCTGATTGAGACAGATTCCTACGAATGCTACCACGGAACAACGAATGATTGCAGGAGCAGTGTTTAGTACGCTCAACGAAGCGTGGGACAAATTCCGTCAGGAGAATAATCTTTGAAATCGATAACGTGAAGGAGTCAAGAAGCATATAGCGTTGCATATTGCATATTCCATACATACTTTGGCATGATTAGAGATCACTGAACATATTACCACACTTGAATAGTTATATAGATATCCAAACTCGGCATAAACCGTCTTTTATGCTTTTTCTACCCAGTATTGTATGTACATTGTACTAAGTAGGCCGCGATGGATATAACTCCCTCGCTTTCTGTTCATCTTCCTCCGACCACGCACGAGGCAATACTGCAAAGACGAGATATGAAGTATGAGTCTTGATATCTGGTTCGCTGCGATGGACCAGTCTGCCGAGTTCATAGCTAGGCACTTGCGCCATTTTCTGATCATTCCGTGGTGGTTGTTTCTGAGATGACGAATCATTTGATTCTTCAACTTTAACAACGGCTTCACCATTAGCAGCAGCAGTAGCAGCCTCCCTCTGAATCGTCTTAAACTCCTTTAACCGATTCTCAACAACGCGTAATTTCCCAACTGCCTCTTCCACTGATTTCGGATATACGATTGCCCGTCTCACGCCTTCATTATCTAGACCGACTACTTCCCTTCGAACCTCTATCCTTTTATGCATGACTTCAACCATTGATATAGACAGCCAGCCGTATTGGCGAAGCACACTGATCGTCTTTTGGACCTGTTCCATACAAGGCGAGAATGTGCATATGCGTACTGCTGAGGATGGGTCCAAAGGTGACTTGGAGCCATCCTCTGGGTTTCGCACGAGGTGTTTGAGTGCTAGCCAGGGGGCTGGTAGATCCAGAAAGATGGCGTTTGCCTTTGGTGATGATCTTTCTGATGGTTCATCGCCGAGTAAGAAGCCATCGTTGTAGACATCTCGATGCGTGACTCGCACAACGTCCTCTAGACCATGCTGTACCAGCTCTTCTTGGACCTTCCCAGCTCTGGCTTCGTGGAACTCGAAACTGCAGACTTTGCCTAGTCTTGTTTTTTGTTTCTTATGTGCTGGCCGGAGACTTTCATAACCATTGAAAACTGATCGAGCAGCGGCGTGCGTGAACGAGCCACTTCCAGCACCTGCTTCGATAATCGTCTTTCCCGGCGAGGCACGCAATCGGTGAAGAATATAGCTATAATCAGGCGTGTAAACCACCTGCGTCCGATGCGGTAGTGCCGAAGTCCACGATTCAGGCGTAGGCGGTAACAAATGAATGAATCCACTACTCGCAGTTTTCGGAGATGCAGTAGTCGCAGCAGTACTGGTAGCAGTATCATCACCGTCATTCAGAGCTGCCGCTTTTCTTTTTCCTCCTCTCTTGTTCGATCTCCTACCCGTGTTGACCTCCGAGGCTACGATTTGAGAGCCCCATGGTTGATCGATCAATGTACTGTGTGGAAATGATCCGAAGCGTGTATTTGTGACTTTTCCTTCGTCGTAGCCTAGGTTTTCGTCGTCGTGGGTTCGGAGGATGGTGGGGACTAAGGCGTCTCTTCGTAGGTGTAGGATGGCGAGTTGATCGGCATGCGAGGTTGTGCCGGGATTGAAGAAGGGGGATGGCATATCGATTGTAATTATTCTTGAGTATTTTCAGTCAATATGAATAATTTGTTATGAATAGTGTGTCACCATCAGTTGCGCAGTTGGGTTGCATCCAAAATTCCAAGTTGGTCAACTTTTTTCTCCGCAACTCACCCAAGACGGTTAGCCTCGTCTGACTCTGGATGAGCCGTCGTAACTTCAACTTTTGACTCACAGGACCTGCCCCTCCTTGCGCCATAATCAACATAAAGCCCGCTCTATCCCTTCTTTTTCTGTACTTATTCCTTCACTCTCTTTTCATCTCTTCTACATGAAATTACAGATTTCTCTGTTTTCTATACGATTGCGCCTTAAACCACAGTCCAAATCGACATTCATTCCGATCTTATTGTCCAGAACCATGGCGACTGCTCGCCAGCAGCCCGCATGGCAGCAACCCCCTAGTCACCCCGATACAAAACTGCCAACTTTGAAAATATACAATTCCTTGACCAAGTCCAAAGTACCGTTTGTGCCGATTGATCCCAATGGCAGGAAAGTGACCTGGTATGCTTGCGGGCCAACTGGTCAGTCCATGAACCCGGTCCCTAGAGAGAATGTTGCTTGCACATTAACTGACTCTACATTTTTTGCTGGCGCATAGTATACGATGACTCCCATCTTGGTCATGCGAGGAATTATGTAACGACCGATATCATTCGTCGCATTCTCCGGGATTATTTCAAGTTCGATGTACACTTTGTCATGAATATTACCGATGTCGATGATAAGATTATTCTTCGTGGCCGACAGCAATACCTTTTTAATAAGTTCGTCTCTGCGCACCCTACAATCGATGCAACCGTACTTGATACCGCCAAAGCCGCATTTAAGACCTACTTAACGAAAAATTTGCGACTACTCAACCCCGAGCTGTCACCCTTAAAATTTCAGAGCGAGGTGGAGAAGGTTTATGCGACTCTATTGAATGGAGGTCCTCTACCTGGAAACGAGAAGCCCGGCGACGAAGAAGCCAAGGCAAAGATGCACATCAAGACACTGTCGTCTGCGGCAAAGGTTATTGCAGAGGCCGAGGTCGTTCCTCCGGCTTTGAGTGAGACTTTCTATACGGAGGCACAGGACATTTTTCTTCCGTATCTTGATCAGCTTGAGGGGTCTACAATCGATGCCGATGATCACTCTATCTTCACAAAGCTTACCAAAAAATACGAAGGACGTTTTATGAAAGATTTACGAGATTTGAATGTCTTGGACCCTGATGAACTTACTCGCGTTACTGAGTACGGTCCGCAAATCGCTCAATTCGTTGAACGCATTGTGGAGAACAAATTCGCGTATGTAACATCAGATGGCTCCGTCTACTTCGATATCAAGGCGTTCGAAGAAGCTGGTTTTCCATATGCTAGACTAGAGCCGTGGAGTAAGTCAGACGGCAAACTCATTGCAGAGGGAGAGGGAACTCTGACCAGCAAGACAACCGAGAAACACTCGCTGTCTGATTTTGCACTATGGAAGGCATCCAAACCAGGTGAACCTAGCTGGTCTAGCCAATGGGGTAAGGGCCGGCCTGGATGGCATATTGAGTGCTCGGCCATGGCTTCAGATAGATTGGGCAAGACTATAGATATTCATAGCGGTGGAATTGACCTGGCTTTCCCGCATCACGACAATGAATTGGCGCAAAGCGAGGCTTATTGGAACACTCATACGCATGACCAGTGGATCAATTATTTTTTGCACATGGGACATCTCTCGGTAAGTCGAAGTGTCCTCGCTTCAAGTGCCTGTTACTAACATGTGGTTAGATCCAAGGCTCAAAAATGAGTAAGAGTTTAAAGAACTTCACCACCATCAGAGAAGCGCTTGAACGTAAAGATTGGACCTCTCGCAGTCTGCGAATTGTATTTTTACTTGGACACTGGAACGGCGGTATTGAAATCACAGAAGACCTTGTCAATACCGGTAATGCGTGGGAGGATAAACTAAACAACTTCTTCCTTAAGATGAAGGAACTTGACATCCTGAAGAAATCGAGTTCCGGAACAGACCAATCTTTGGGCGAGGCCCTTGAGTCGACTAAAGCGTTGGTCAACGAACACCTCTCTGATTCCTTCAATACTCCGGCAGCGATGGCCGCCATCTCCGACCTCGTTACAAAATTCAACTCTGTAGACAAGGCCACGGTCAATCCTGAGCATGTCGAGCAAATGGGTAAATGGGTGACGAGTATAGTCAATATATTCGGATTGAATGGATCTGCGTCACCTGATACTACAGAGATTGGCTGGTCTGGAATCGATGTGCCGGAAGAGGCGAAACCATACCTGTATCCTCTTTCTGCTCTACGCGACTCGCTTCGGGAGAAGGCGCTTTCTAAGGAGGGCATTTCTGTTGAGGATATCAAGAATATCATCGGCAGCCAAGCCGAACCTGAGACGGTAGCATCGGAGTCTGCCAAACCATATGCCAAGGTGCTATCAGACTTTAAAGATACAGTCTCCTCCCTCGACAAACCAGACGCCATCGGAAAAGAAATCCTCGGCCTCTGCGACCGTCTCCGCGATGTCGATTTATTCGATCTCGGGGTCTATCTCGAAGACCGCGAAAATCTTCCCGCCTTAGTCCGACCTGTCTCAAAGGAACTGTTACAGCTACGGGAAGAAAAAGCAGCAAAATTTCGCCAGAAACAACTCGAGAAAGAAAAACGTGAAAAAGAAGCTCTCGAAAAGGCTGAAAAGGGCCGTTTGAGTCATTTGGAGATGTTTAGGACGAATGAGTATAGCGCCTGGGACGATGAAGGTCTTCCGACTCGTGATGCTGCGGGAGAAGAGATCACCAAGAGTCGGACGAAGAAGCTTAAGAAGGATTGGGAGAGGCAGAAGAAGTTGCATGAAGCTTGGTTAGTGGCTAATGGTGCAAAGTAAAATAAAAGTCTGGACGTATTTGTTTGATGGGTTTTGGTGATAGCAGTGTTGATTCCGAGTAAACATTGCATGGAAGGCGTTTTGATCAGCCGATCGGCTTCTTGTTTTTGCTAGCTGTGTAGGTAAATTCTCAATATCATTGCTTAAATACCCCTTATAAGCAAATCTGATATCTTAACATCTGATCGAGTTAGGGTCCCTAAGTGGTTGATCGACGGTCGCCAATGACAGAGCCGACTACAGCTCTCCGCAGTGCGGAGAAGGTCATGGAATCTTTCTTGGGACAAAAACAAATGAACTTCAAACTTATCTGATACAGATACAACATCTTTCATAGCTCACAAAGTGCTCATATTTACATAAAAGCTGCTAACATATTACAGCGACTATTCCCAATATACTTCGACATACACCCATCCAAATCCTCCAGTGTTCCCCCGCACTCGACAAGCAGACATCACGATGAACGCAGCCACACAAGGCGACAAAGCCGCCTCCCTCTCTGACTGGCCCAGCGCAATAACCCACTACACAAACGCTCTCATCGAACTCCCCCGCGCTCCAAGCTACTACATCAAACGATCCACAGCCTACTCTCGCCGCAAAACCGTCGATGGGGGACCAGATCTTCAAGCCGCGCTGCGGGATGTTGAGCTTGCTTTGGCATTAGCCAGGGAGCGAGGGAAGAGAGAACTCATTATTGAAGCGCAGCTACGCCGAGCTATTGTGTTTTTCCAATTGGAACGGTACGGAGATGCGGGGTTTTTGTTTGATTTGCTCGAAGAGAACGTAGGGAAGAAAGATGGTGCTGGTGGTGATAAATCTGTGCAAGTGAAGGCTGCAATGTCGGCACAGAAAGGATCGCAGCAGAAACTGGAGAATGAGTTGTCGATTTGGAGACTTAAGATTAAAGGCAAGATTGGAAAGTTGGAGGGAAATGATGAGAAACTTGCGGTGACAGTCAGGGAGTATCCGGATATTAAGATTCCCTCTGAGGAGGAGTTGAGGAAGCGCCTTAAAGATCAGTTTTCTTCTACGAATACTGAAGTTGCATCGGCTGCAAATAGAACTACTGAGAGCACATTGGCCGTGTCAGGGTCGACTTCCGCTGCACCACCGTTTACTGCTGGTCCAGGGGCACCTACTACTACACCTGCCCCTGTATCTGCGCCAGCAAAGATTCGCCATGAGTGGTATCAGTCACAGGATTCTGTCGTTGTGACAATCTATGCTAAGAACGTCGACAAATCCAAGCTAGAGACTGAGCTCCAAGAGAACATCGTAAGTCCACGGCCTTGACATTTTGAAACTTATATCAAAACTGACTATATAAGCTATCCCTCGAATTCCCTCTACCATCTGGATCAACATACTCATTCACCCTCGATCCATTGTATGCTCCCATAGACACTACTCAGTCCAAAGTCAACGTGCTATCTACCAAAATCGAGATTACTCTTTGCAAACGAACACCAGGACAGAAATGGGGTGCTCTTGAATGCTCAGCAACGGCACCTGTTCTATCTAATCCTGCGAATACGGTCACGGTAAACTCAACTGCCGCAGTACCCATCACCCAGACACCTACTCAAATCAACAACAATACCGGTGGTCCTGCATATCCAACCTCATCCAAACACGGAGTAAAGAACTGGGACAAACTCGCTGATGACTTGACCGCGAAGAAAAAGAAAAAGGACGAGAAGAAGAAATCCGGTGAAGCACCCAACGGCGAAGAAGATGATGACGACGACACAGCATCAATCGACTCTGACTTCGGCGGTGGCGACGCAGTGGATTCATTCTTCAAGAAATTGTACGCTGGCTCTGATCCGGATACCCGTCGTGCTATGGTGAAAAGTTTCTATGAAAGTCAGGGGACGGCATTGAGTACAAATTGGGATGAGGTTGGGAAGGAAAAGGTGCCTGTTCATCCACCATCTGATAATTAATGGATTAATCCTTAAGGAGCGGAGATAAAGTATGCATGGGATGATTTCTTTGCTTCTATTGCTTGGGTTTATCATGCTTCTTTTTCCCTATTCGAGCGTTTCAAGGCATTCAGGAGTTTTGAAATTTGACTGGTTTTGCCGGATCGGGACGTGTTATGGGTATCATGGAGTCCTGATGGCTGGTTTTCTGTTCTACATCAATGAAATGAACTTCATGTCGGCTTTCTGACGCCCGCTAAATACTTAACGTGAGTCTATTGTTAGGTGTCTTAAGCATACGTAGCCACAAGGTAGACAAGGTAGACAAGGTATTCGGATTTTTATTCCAACGACAATCAATAACCATCGTCATCTTTCTGATACAAGAAAAACTGTACAAAGATAGCCATATCCAACAACAATGTCCCCAAACTACCTATCAGCCACGACAGATTGACAAGTATATACCGTCCATAAATTGCCCCAACTTCTCCCGGCTCACAGACCTCTGATCGGCAAACAGGAGAATAAGCGAATATTGATAAAACATATGTGAGATTGCCGATACATGCGAACAAAAAGAACAAAAGCGAGACACCCTCTGTTGACTTTCGTTGATAGTTGAGGAGGAGTTGTGGAATGCGTGAGCCAAGATACAGAACGGCGCAGAAATAGCCAAAAATTTGACCCAAGAGATCGAATGTAAGAGGTTCAGGGGATGGGTCGTTGTCGTCGTTGGCGGGTTTGTTGGATACACGAGAGCTTACGTACCAGCCTAGAACACCTGCTGCGCAGACGAGAATGATGGCGAACGTGTTGAGAAGAGCAGCTTGGAGGCTGGAAGTCGATGGGCGCGAGGCGCCTTGTGAGGTTTCATTCTCTGAAGGCGGAACAACGTCTATAAAAGGTGTCGCTGGAGAAAGGTGCGTGATGTCAACTTGAACAGTGCGGTGAGGCTGCTGTGTATTGGATCCGTTCGTATGAGCATGTCGATTCCCATTTTCCTGATTTAAAAGTGCCGTCCGCTCCGTCGGTTCCTCAACGTCTCCCTCCTCCAATTCGCCGTTTTGTATGTTTTCCTTCAAAATTTTCTGGCCAGAAAACCAAATCCCTCGGTAATAAAGACACTGTCCTAATAAGACAATGTCTGCAAGCGTATAATATACCGCCAAAATAATCATCGTAGGGAGTACACCCTGGAGCACTGCTCCAAGAATATTAAAGACATCGCCCGCGAGCCACACAACAATGAAAAGAAGGGACAGTCCATCTGCCGATTGACGTCGGAAATTCTCAATAATTTGGGGGGAAAAGACAACAACCCAACAGGCAATTGAGATGGAGCTAGAGTAGAGGAAAAGTTAGAAACAATATCGTCTTGAGAATAGAGAAAAAAATGGCATACCCGAGAATACCGCTTAGGGCTTCAATGTCCAGATTACTAGCTTGCGGAGGAAACATTATTTCGCCAAGAGAATATGAATTTCCTATTGTAAATTGCAGAAAAATTGACCGGCAAGTTTTCTGCATGTATTGGTCAAGTGGTATAAGTGAGTCGACCGAATTGATTATCCAATACTGGTTTTATATGACGACATGAGCCGAAGCCTGAAACCCGACACGTTATCGTGCTCTTCAATTTCCCTGACTGAGACAGATGGACAGGATTCGACTATAGAGGGTTAAATGAGAAGTTGAATAGAAAATGCCCCTCTTCGTGGCATGGAGAACTTGTCTGAGGGGTGAAGAAGGGAAGTTGACGATGGAGTTCCAAGAGAAAATTTATGTCCTGCATGTCACGTGCAGCTTCCTGATTGGGATGAAAATCTGGGGAAATTCGGCTTTCTTAGCGCGATGCTTGAACTTGCTTCTTTAGGATAAGCGCCATTTTTCACGATATAAAATTGGAGATTCGAGATTTCAACCTACATACATGAAAGGGGTACTACGAGAGAAAAAGCTACTCCGACTTGGACTTGATCAATGCAATCAGTTTGTCTTGCATGTCGCAGAAGATGTTGATGGCCTGTATATACGAGTTAAAAGAGCTCGACTGTCAAGTCCTATAAAGAAAACATACCTGCGTCAACTTCTCCTCACTTGCTCCCGCAAGATCTCGCGTAAACGCAATCCGGTATGCAGCTTCATCTTTCAAATACGATGTCTTTGGAAGAGCCAACAAGCCCGCAATGTCATTATCAAAGAATGATTGGGTAATAGGACAATCCGGGAGGGACAAAAGCTCTAACAGCGGTGGAGCAACTGTGATATGGTCTACGCCAGCGAGTGCAAGCACTTCGTCCGTTGAGGTGAGGCTCGCAGGTAGGACTTGGGTAACAGCACCGATGGATTTGTAGTATTTTTGAATTGCGACACAAAGGGAGAACAGCTTATTACGGTCGACAAATCTAATATGTCTGTTAGTCCAACCTAGAACGAAGAAAGGGTTGGTGAGGGAGTGAGACACTGACCCGGGCTCAAAGTGTACTTTGAGTTGGTTCACATACGGCGCCACATAGGTACAGCCTACCTCCGCAGCAAGGATTGCCTGGGGCATCGAGAACAGTGTCGTGGCTAGCGTATGCACACCGGCTAGTTGTAACGTTCGGCAAGCCATCATCCCTTCCCATGTGCTAGGTATCTTGATGCAGATTCTGGAAGATTCCCAGTTTGGCGCGAATTCTTTGAAGAGATAGACAATTCCTGTATGCTTGTCAGAGTGAGTATAGACTTTCGGAACGTGAATGGATCTTACGAAAAGCGTTGGCGATTGTCTTCTCTGTTGAATATGCATAGTATGGGTTGGTCTGAATGTGCATTTTCCCTTGAAGATGAGTTGTGACTTGGATAGCGACTTTCACGGTCTAGCCATATAATCAGCAACCAAGTTGGGATTAAATTGTAGAGTGACCTACTGCAATCTCAATAGCCAATTCATCAAGTTCGATACCAGCAAATCGGGGGTCCTTGGTCTCTGCCATAGATTTCAAGAGTGACCCAGCTCTGAGGTGAGACTCAGCGAGTAGTTCTTTGTGTTCCGGTTTCGATAGCTCAAAGAATGCGATTGCCTATTTTTTCTAAGAAGACGTTATGCTCAGATTATAGGTTGCGTACCTGATTAGATGTACAGTCCTGAAAGGGTCCTAATGCCTGTGCCACTATTCAACCAAGTCAGCATCACTTATAATATTCTTCCCGGCTACGATGTAATTGAAAGAGTACCTTTGGCATCAAGCGTATCACAGTCAACCACACTTCGGGTTCGAAGATAACTCAAAGCGGAGTTTGAAGTCACAGCCATGTTGCCGACTGCTCTCAGGTAGTGAATCGAGGTCCTATGATTGCTGTTTCGCAAGATCTGTAACTGTTTCAACTAGTATTCAAATATCCTGTCACCATACGCTATCTGGCCAGAGCCGTCCATCACTTGAGAGAGTAAAAGCAGGTTGTCGTTAACGCTGGCTATAATGCACCTGCAGCCTTAAGTTAGGCACTAGTATTATGTAATCATATTTATGGGTCTACAGCCAATCAGAGAGCGGGGATCGTCTCTCTATGGGGGAAATATGGGGGAACTTTCACGTAAAGGGGCTCGCTTCTACACTGGCTTGTTCTGAATAATAATAGCAAGAGGTCAAATTTCACAAATGGAAGCTAACATTTTCTCTGCCAAGGGAGGAAGAAAGGGAATTGGATAAAGACGATCCTAAAGAATGGCAACCACTCAATCTGGATTATTCTGGCGAAGGGTGACCCTTCCTATAGATCTCGTTTCTTCAGCTCCTCAATAATCGACTCTCCTACTGATATTTCTGAGACTGTGTCTGGATTACCACTCTTCTTCAATAACTCTGCAATTGTCCGCTTGATCCATTCCCGTGCCTTTGTTATTTGTGACTCCCAAAGTGCCTTCGAGGCTGCATATGTATGGGTTATATAGACGACAGTAAGGATAGTATCGCTCAATTCACTGATACGATAGTGCATGGCCTACGAATATTGATTAAATGGGAAGTTGATGCAATTGTCGAGGGCATTACTAACGTATTTCTGTTTGAGGAACTCTCGAAAGTTCGAGCTGGCGAGCTCGAATCTGCCATCCGCTTTTTGCAAACAAAGGACTGCTTCCAGGGCATAAGCATCGGCATCATCTACATCTGATGTTGTACCAGGAATTGACCCTACTTTTTCATGTAATCTAGGCATGTCGAGATCGTTCTAGGGTATTCATGTGGGAAAGGCCATCTGATATTATTATTTTTCTACTCGCGGTCCTTGTTACTGGGAGTGAATCCTGATGAGAAGGGGCTGCGAGCATTCCGTGGGTTGCGTGTACAGATCAACTGAAGAACTTCGATAGCGTCAGCTTTATAAACTGATATGATTTGGTGTTGGGACGTGGTGCGATCAATAACCACCCAGCTCGTCCACTTGATAGATATAGACCACATCTCCCCAACGTGCTGTGCTTTCTGCTCCAAGATCCTTTCAAATGCAGTCGGATCGGCGGACTTGAGGCCTAGGTTAAGAGAATGCAGTCAACTTCGTCCAGTTTCAAAATTGTCCCTTCAGCTATCGCCTGGATGGGAAGCTGTACTGTAAGCTTCCGGCCTTTATCGGTCGTCGCAGTGATGTTGATAGTTTTTGGCAGTGAATTCAAGTCACTCTCTAATATGTAGTAGAGAGAGAAATGTGAAAAGGTACTCGGTATAAGAATGTGACGTGGAGCCTGCACACACTCTGGGTATTACACTTTATATCCCGCAACTTGCCGCTCAGATGCTTTTAGGACACGATCCTCGCTGAGTTCCACACTGAACTGAAGGCGAGATGGTGTCAACGACGCTGCCTTCAACATTTGTATCACCCTCTCTTGTGTAACGGTTCGGTTTGGATTGCAGAGTGCAGTGACCCGGATAGGACAAATGTATACCAACAGCGAAGTAAATCATGTCTGACAGGTGCAGATAGACACGGTGGGTCGATGACCTGGCAAGTAGACCATCTCTTTACTGACGAAACATCTAGCTCAGCAACTACTTATGCTGATGTTGCAGTCGGTAGTGAAAGGTAAATACCACCCTGTCTAATCTGTGTATATATGACTCTTGTGTGCTCATTAAGATACAGGAGATCATCTGAGCCCCTATCCAATGATTGAAGAGCTCGCTACAATCAATTGATGAGTTAGAGGTTCGGGCACGGCACCTGGGCAGTATCCTGGGTATGTGTGAAGTCCCTAGGTAAGATTACTGCACCACCAATACCTTTTATGTATACATGCGTGGTTGCATACCGACCTTGGCATAGTGAATTCTTCAGGGATGTTGGAATTATCAGAATCATGATTATATTAGTATTATAAGGTCATATAAGACATCATGAGAGAACCCGAGCATAATAACAGCTAGCAATCAACTTAAAACAAAGCCTCATTGCCAAACTTTTGAGAGTAAAGACCCAATGCTCGAATAGGCCAGTAGAACTTGTAGTTTGGATATGAAATCATGCTGTTTCAAGTCAGTAATTCCTCTCTTGATGTATGATTGCAAGCACTTACCAAGACATATTAAAGACGCCTTCGATTGCCTCCTGAAGCCACTCTCCGTTCGCTTGTTGTCGGGACATTAGAAGCTTGATTCCTCTACGGATAGGTTCCGGATCAGGGTAATCAGCTTCCAGCAGAGCCAGACACACCCAAGCTGTCTGGACAACTTGAGACATCTCGTGCTGGATGTAGACATGTTTTTCGCTGCTGAGATATGACTCTCCCCAGCCACCGTCTTCCTTTTGTTTACTAAGTAAGAACTCGCACCCACGACGGGAATATTCGCTCGTGCTGTACGTTTCTCCAATGCTCGAGAGACTTTCGAGCGCAAACATGGCTGCATACGTGAAGCAGATACCCCACGCTCCATACCAGCTTCCATCTTTCTTCTGGACACGCTTGATATATTCCACCGCCTTGTGCTTTGCAGCTTTTATCTCTTCAACTCGATAGTCCGGATAGAATCTGCTGAAAAGGGATAGCGCGGTGATGGATGCAGTCGTACACTCGACGTGATCGTAACTGATCATGATTCCTCCAAACACCTCTGCTGCATTAAGCCACTCCAAATGAGGGGAACCACGTCTGCTCTCATATTCACTAAAGCCACCGGTGTCATTCTGCAATAAAAGGAGACAATCAACAGAGTCTTTCAAGCGATCCGCAGAGATAAGTCTGGGATATCCATAGATCTCCTGAAGCTGCAAAGTCGATCGAAGTCCCTCTGCAGTGCAGTCGCTCACAGTATAGCCCTGAAGTTTATTGCTGAAAGGCCAAGCCCCTTTTCTATGTTGACGATAACATTTGTCTTGATTAGGGACATTTTCTCGGAGCTGGTGATTGTCCAGAAACTCAAGAGCCTTGGTCAACATGGGTCGCCATTTTGGCACATCCGCAAACCCAGCCACAGAAATGGCCTGTGTAATAAATGCCGTGTCCCAGACTTGAGCGCCGTTGGTGCCATTGCAAAGCATACCCTCATTTTTCATCCACAGGTATTCATGGAGGGTCTCGCGATGTTTCCTCACTGATTCACTCCCCTCACCGTCGTGAACGTAGCAAGCTACGAAGTTCATAGGATTGCTGACAGGAGCAAGTCCCGCATAATCTGTGTTCTCGTCCTCCATTCGAATCAATTCCCATGCCCAGTCTTCGGCCTTTTTGACTATAGAGGGCAGACGAAACACAGGCATCCATACATTTACCAGAAATGCATTGATCATGTTGAGAAACCATGTCTTTGGATAGTAGTTGTCCTCTTTAGCGATAGAGTTGCGATGTGAAGCAAAGTTGATACTTTCATAAGGCTGCGTGTAGATCTCACTTTTGAGCTGTTTTGTCATTTTATTTTCTGGAAAGGACCATCTCTTCGACCACAAAAAGGACATTGGTAAAAACACCATGCGCATGTGAATCCACCATCTCCAAGGAGCTATTGGTACCCAATCCGGCAGTAGCCTGAAGAAGTTAGAATATTGCGGGAGATTGTTCACATTACGATGCAAGGAAAACGTACCAAAGCTCTGGAGGGACTGGGTTAACGCAGCTCCAGTCCATGACACCCAGAATAGAAAGCCAGAATTTCCCCCAATGGGGCGCGTAAAGTGCGCCCCCAAGCTTGTGAGCGAGCCCTCGTGCTTTGATCATTCTAGGATCTTCTTCACTGGTTCCCAGCAGACGGAGAGTTACGTACGTCATTACCGTACCAAAGGCCGAGCTATGTCCTTCAATATGAAGTCCCCAGCCGCCATCATCCGGATTCTGCCGGGCAAAGAGATATCGCTTGATTTCTACCGCATACTCAGGAGGTATGGGTGTATTGGTGACATACCAAGTGATGACCACACCTGGTAAAAGAAACATAGGGCCACCATACTCGCAGGCCCAATGTCCACTTGGCATCTGCAGTTTGGAGAAGAATTCCAGGCCATTGGCTGCTGCGTCCAACGGAGTCTTCGCTTTTGGCAGCTCCGGGGCACCCTAATCGGATGTGAGTGAAATATTTGTATATCAGGAATTAGAAATCACGCACAGTTAGAAGTCCAAGATGGTATTTATCGTAGAAGGTTTGGGGCCATTTCTCATTTCCTTCATCACTTTCCAAATAGCGCCAAGTTAACCGGCCTTCGTTATCGTGTAGCCTCCACCTCGCATAGTCGGTTTTGTCGTCCCCTTTGGTATCTGTTGTTAGGTGGCCATTCGCGTTTGTCCGCCAATTGGCAATGGGGACGATTTTGGGTTCCTTTGCCATGCTTTTCGCTGTCTGTTTACAAGCTACAGAGCAGAGAAGTGAATGTGAGAGAATATCATTCCCCGCATTAAAAAGGAGGCAAGTAAGAGCTAGCCAATCGGAAACTCAGTTTGGCCGATCCCAGATCACATGACTCGTCAAAAAGATGCTTAGTCATCAGGAACGACTTTTTGACAGTCTGTAATTGGCCAATATGTTTTGCGCATGTAAATCAACAACGGAGTAGAATATGCAGATAGTGCGAGTGAGATAGAAGCGAAGAATGCTTTGTTTTTGAAGAGTAGTAGATAGAAGTAGAGCTTTGAAGCATTTGCAAGGTACAGACGGGAAGTATGGACTATGACAGTTAGGAAGGAACCAGGAAAGCAGTCGCTGCTGTCACCAGGACACAATCTGGGAAGGAGCTAGAGAATCGACTTCAACTCTTACAGTACACCTCGCTAGCACTAAGCCATGGATCCGTCTCTAGAGGATATTGTCCCGACTTCCATAGAGAATCCCCTTGTCCGGCAATTCTTCGACCGTCTGCAGCTGTCCTTCCTCGATGAATTCGACAAAGATGTCGCACAACCAGCAATTACTTTGAAGAAAAGACCGTCACATTTCCAACTCGCGACGCATGACAATGATCCAGAGGAAAGGATGCTGTCGAAGGAGGTCGATAGGTCTGAACGACTAATAACGTATACATGGCCAGGGAGAAGCCCTTATGAGGCCTGGAAATTTAGTATGTGGCCATGTACAACATTGTGGATGTTACTGCTGAACATAGAAGCCTGTATCCTTCGAGTCCTATCACTCATAACCGAGGCGGTTCAAGATAATCTGTTGATCACTAAGAGGTTGGTGCACCTGGCCGAATCAAGGAAGTTGTCGGCATGCTGATCTAAGGCTGAAGGAGTATCTATTACGATAACCCAGGATTGTTCGGCACCCAAGCTGTGGTGAATACAATAGTTGACGATATAGCATATACCATTGGAGTCGACAGAGCTGTTCTTCACATCGTATGCTCCCCCATGGGCGTATCAAGTATTGATTCTGATTGAAAACGACAATCCAGATTTCCGTCGGTAAGGGACTGGCAGTTGGCGCTGTCCGTATCAGGACCAAAAGCGACAGCATGCTTGACCTGACAGCTGAGGTGAGATCCAACTGGCATTTCCCCCTTCAAGGAAGCTAACAAGACTCCGAAAGGATGCTCTTATACCTCGCCTGATAGACGTCAGCAGTGTCGATATTTCTGAGGTCAAATGGGTTTGTGTCGTTGAGAAAGAGGCAGGTGCTCCCTCGAGTACGAGGGCATGATGTCCACGATCTTCTTCTAGCTGACAAAAGACAGGCCGTCTTTCGAAGACTTGTGCATAACAGGTACCATCTTGAGTCGGCTGCCGGTAAGGGCATTTTGATCACGGGCAAAGGTTACCCAGACATTTGTACACGGGAATTCGTCCACCTTATCTCAGACATCACATTCCGAAGACACAATGCCACGCTTCAGAACATTGATATTGTCCCGTCCCCAACTCCACTGCGCTTCTTCGCCTTGGTGGATGGAGACTGTGATGGAATCGCGATCATGTCCACATACAAGTACGGCTCTATGGCTCATGCTCACGCAAGTGCCATGCTCAACGCCCCGAAACTGCAATGGCTTGGAACACGAATTGAAGATGTGATCATAAAGCAGAATGGGGCTGAAGTGGAGGACGAGGATTGGGTAATGATTTCGTTATCCAACAGAGACGTCAAGAAAATTCGAAGCATGTTGATGAAGAATCCAGTGTTTGGCGAGAATGGCCCACAGCTTGACTGGAGAGTCGAATTGCAGATAATGATGATGCTGAATACGAAGGTTGAGACTGAAGTTCTGTATGGGACCGAAGGGAGTTTAGAGGGGTGGCTGGATCGTAAGATGGAGAGTCTATCTCGGTCAAATTAGCATGGCCAATTATGCTCCTTTGTAATGTCAACTTATGACATGATGTCAGCTCACTCAATTTTCAATTGTTCGTAATAAGTATACCTATGTATATACATGCTGAACCAGAACCACTCAACGTAGACTGAGGAGGCGCTCAAATCCCCGAAAATCAGATAACGCCGGCCGTAGGAAATAATGCATCAGATAATATCGGGCACAACAATAACATACCACCATGGCAGTAAGCTTCATAATAGCGCTTCATACGGTTCTTTAAAAAGATTAAAGTCCGAGACTCTTCCGGACTTCTTCTCGGACGCGTTTCTCATAGTCACCCCTCCGTTCACGCCACATCTTTGCTGCCTCGACATTCGCGGGACTTTCGTCGTTCGGTTCAGCCAACATGCTCATCACTGAGATAAGAATCTTCTCGACACTCTGGATCGGAGACCATCGCTCGGAGGCATGTTCGTAATGGTTTGGATCATCGCCAGGGGGGTGGAGAATCGATATACACACGGTGCCATTGGGGTAGACTATTCCACAAGACCACTTGTTAGCATGGACTCTAACAGAAGGTGTAAGGGGAGATATGTATACCATTAGGATGCCAAACACCACCCAAAAACTTCATCGTTGGCGGACTCAAAGGGTAATCCTTGGGAAACTTGAGCTCTGCAGCAAACACTCCTCCCTCAAACGGCGTTCCCTCGGGCCCTTGTATTAGAGCTTCCCAGTGGAACATGTCATCTTCGGTTATGGGGCCTGCGGTGATTCCTTCCGGAGGGTTGGTGGATAGATTTCTGTATTCGTGGAAGAGGCGCTTTTGCGCTACGTTTGAACCCATTGTGCTTTTTCCTCTCGTGCTTCGAATATGATGGGTGGAGATGGCTGTCTGAGTAGTGACGTCGGGGGATGGAGAGCCCGGTCTTATCGAATGGATTTCGTAAGGCGTTTGGCGGCGGCGAAAGGGGGTTGTTGTTATTTATGAGCTACGCAATCTCTATGGTTTGCAGCTCATTCGAGATACGATTTAGTCACAGGTGCATATGTCGATCAAGAAAAGACATGCCCGGAGTTGGTGATAGAAAACGGGCGGCTTTTGCCCCTCCTGAACGGTGTGGGTCGCTGATTCGCTGCTTATCCACTGCCGAACACCGAATGCTTATTCCACGAATTCGATGTTGACCAGGTGATACACTCCTTGGATAGGTGATCACAGCAGATGCGAATGCCTTGTCGGTTCTTGAAAAGTACATATCTACAGAACAAATCATGAAACCTCACATTGATCAGACAAAAAAATCACCAAGCGCCGATGAAACAAATTCAATGTACCAGAACGACCGTCTAAAACAATGCTAATCGCTAATATACTCCAAAAAAGCTCTCTCTGCCTTTGTATCAAAAAGGCGTATGGTACCTCCAATCACAGGAGACCCTTGCGAGCCAATTCAATTTTCCTAGCTGCCTCTCCAGGCGCGAACCCTCCTCTTGACACGCAAACAGCACTTCCCTCGCCCAACTCGACTTTATCCTCGACGTTCGGATGCGGACAGGGGCAATGATGCGGGAAATGAACGCAGGATAGAGTACCGGGACATAGATATCTCGTGCAATGTGCTATTCCAGTCAAGAACATTAGCTCATATCCATATAGTGTAGAGAATTATGGTAGTCAAGGAATACGTACCTCCTTCCCATGTTCTCTGATACCAGGCACTATCACTAGAAGCTTCCTGTTCGTGTGGGTGACCTTGTTGCGCACCGCCGCCTCCAAACATTTGCTCGAAGAACTGGAACTGTGCTTGGGCGGTTGAGATGAGTAGGAACAGTGTCCAGATGGCAGTCAGCGGTTTGGCGAGCATGCTGCGAGATAAGTGGACTCAGATATGTCGGAGAAGTATATACTTTAATGACTTTGTTCTCATGAATAAATCGGAAAATGATGTTCGGTAACTAGGCTATAGAGTGAATTGTCAACTTGTAGAATGAAGCCAGATATCTGCATCGCATACGACACGTGACCTGATCACCATTAGGTGGTCCGTGCTCGGGTTGCTCCCCCGAGAAAAAGTTCCGTTGTCCGCATTCACCTACATTCAAGTCTCTTCAACAGCACCATTGCACCTGGACCGCGCGCCATTATCGGCCCTTGTGCTCCCAGGAGCATCTTCCTATAATACTTCACAATGCAGCAGAGTCTCAGGACGTCATGGCGGATCCTGGAACGCTCCTCGATTCTATCCAGTCTTTCCTCGTCAACACTCAAAACGAAACCTACCATCTTCTCATCCGTATCAAATAAGTTGACAGCAGCAACAAGGCCCTCAATTTCTAATTATATCTTCCCAACCGCTCTCCAAGTCCGATACGCTTCTCACGCTACCCAAGGACGCGCCAACGCCAAAGCCCGCGATCCAGCCGGTAAACGTCTCGGCGCCAAAAAGAGCGGCGAACAATACGTCGTCCCCGGAAACATCATCTTCAAACAACGAGGCACAAAATGGTTTCCTGGGGAGAACTGCGGTATGGGTCGAGATCATACGATTTATGCCACTGAAGCAGGGTATGTGAAATATTATCGGGATCCGGAATTGCATCCCAAGAGGAGGTATATCGGTGTTTGTTTTGAGAGGGATGGGACTTTGCCGACGCCGAGGAATGCGCCGACGAGACGCAGGTTGAATATGATTGCTGTTCCTCGTGTGGAGGAACCTGTGGCTGTGGAGCAGGATCTTGCGGCAGACGTGGAGGGAGACAGACCGAAGGTGTTTGATGTTGAAAGTGCTGTGAGAGCAGGTCTGCCGGATGTGGCCAATTCTCTACCGCTTCGTCCTGGATATATGTATCGTGAAGCCAATTGGCAGATTGGAAGAGCTGGTGATAAGGCTGGTATCACTGCAGAGAAGTTTGACCGCAAGAATCGATGGTTGGCCTGGAGAAAGAGACAGGCTCGTGCCCAGCGTGCTGCTCAGATGAAGAGCTTGAAGGGCAAGAAGAAGGCTGGCAAGAAGGGCAAAGGCAGGTAATCGCTTTTCTAGGATGTGGTGATTCTTGTTCTGGTATAGGCGTCTATTCTCTCCTACATTGTATTCTATTTGTTATAGCCACCATCGGGCGAGTTACCAAACCCTCGCTTATCCCCCTGTTATTCAGCTTTACCCTCGACTTAAAGGATCATGTAGATTGGTCTACAAATGTATCATACGACGACCGTTTCAAATTGTACGAAATCTATCAATTTTTTTATATCAGTAAATACTCATGTCTCAGTAAATGGGTCGGGTATCTTTTTTCAATAAAACAAACATTGTGTGACAGCGAGTACATCGAATAAGAAGTAAACGTAAAAAAGCAAATCTATTTGCAGATCTTCCCCAATATCAAACTCTGACAGACGAGGTCATTGCTCATGACTTGTGGGAGCGTCTCATTAGATTCCAGGAACAAGGCGGATCGCTTCCTTTTTTTGCTACCAAAAGAGACCTCATAAGGATCACCACCTACCAATACCTCCGCTGCAGCTTCATCGGTGTCGTCAACATACAGCCAATCCCATCTGGGCTGTTCCCCTTGCTTTTGTGCATGTTTCCGGAGAAGTACCTTGGCCGCTTTCAGATCAAGAACACGTGCAACCCTCGCGGCTCCCAGTGCATACATCAGGAAAATATAAGCTTTGTGTCTTTCTTCTGTTTTGCCGCGTCCCAGCACCAAAAGTACAGATTGTCCGTCGAGTAGTTTTGCACGTCCATCGAATGTTTGCGAAAATAGAGCCTTGTCCGCAGCGACTGGAGTAAGCACCCGAGATTTGATGGCTCCATAAAGGAAGCTCGATTCGCCAGCGGGAAGAAGGTAATGATCCCAGCTGAGAATACGATTCTGCTCCACACAATCTTCAATCCACCTTCTAGAAAGACAAGGTAAATTGAGAGCCAGAGCTTGCATATATTTGGCACGACGAGAGTGTTTGTCGGCTATCAAGCAAGCAAATCCTGTATTTTCATACTTGGATGCCACTCGAAAGTCTATTGCTTCTTCAGCAACTTCACTTTGTGACAAAGCCTCTGCCTGCGTAACAGCAGGCGGGCTAGATGGATATTCAAACAGTTCTTCAAATCCATCTTGGAGGATCTGGCCACCATTCGCGGATATTAACTTGACAATCCGGTTCTTATGCGCATCCTGGTCGCCCAAAGAGATAGCAAACACCATACCAGAGAAAAGGCCTAGGCGTATAGTAAGATGGGTGCGAGAAAGCCTAGACGCTGGCGATATCGGTGTTGAGACACCACGACTTGGTGTTTGGAGAATGCTCGGGACCGGCTCTGCTTTCTCACTGATAGTAAAGGAGCGACCTTTCATCTGGTTCCATAATATCATGTCTAAATAGATACTATAGATTGGAACTTCAATGGTCTGCTCGTTCTCCAGCTGACCGCCACCCGGAATGCTCTTACGCTGTTTTGGGGAAACGATAACTGTCGAGTATCCGTAGATATCCGTAACAGGTAAATAACCAGACTCGTTTCTCTGTGTCAACTCCTCAGGTTTCAGCTGCTGGGAAAATCCGCGGATGATATGGGTGACTTTTGGCACCGTAGGGAAATCAATTTTGATAGCGTCTCCCACACGCAGTTGTAATTTCTTGACAGATCCAAGAGCAATATCTACAGGTCCGCTATCTGCAAAAGCTACCACACATCGTTGTGGCCCACCCGCATGCATGAAAGTGGCAGGATAGTAAGCACGTTTGCGACCGTTCCAGAAGGCCAATACCTGATTTGGAGCAATAATAGGCTCTTCTGGCTCTGGAGACTGGATAACGGATGTGAGGTTCTCGGCCTGCGACACGGAAACTGATAACTTCGTTGAAGAAGCAGCAGATTTTTCTGGGGCTGTTTGAAATGGTTGAACGTCGTTGGAAGCTGTCCCCTTGGCTAATTGTTGTGAATTGCATGTAGGTGATTCGTTCTCCTGTAGAGGATGGGGTTCCGAGGCCGATTCCTGCGGTGGGAGATGTTCAAATGACTCGGAAACGCTAGGTGCAGAAGTCCTCTTGCGGACTCGAGGTGATCCTTCCATTTCATACATGTCCTCTCCAAGCCGTGACGGCCTAGCATGTTGACGACGAGCCACAGCTCGCATAGGTGTGACGCTCGGAGACTCTGGTTCCTGTAGGTATTGGTCTGGAGGCACAGATTGTTCTACATACAAAGTCCGTGTTGATTCAACGTTTTTCAGAGGAGATGAACCGTAATGTGGGCTGAGATAATCTGTAATTTTTTGAAGCCTTTTTCTAGGTGTACGGTTACGGCCTTCCAATATCCTGGAGAAACCCTCATCATCATCATTGTCGAAAAAGTCATTGACATCTATGGTATCCCCATGAGCAGACTGAGGTGACATATCAGCGGATAGCTCTGACAGTGTTTTTATAGAGCCCTTGTCTGGACTAGAGCCGAGAAAAAATTTTGGCTTCTCTGTATTGGAGATCCTTGTGGCTAGTAGGCCGCTGTTCCGTTGCCGGAGATGGCGTTGAGGAGGGAGGTCATCATCATCATCTTCTTCAGTCTCCTGCATCACAGGAAGTTGATTGAGAGGGCCTAGGGTCGAAACAGGTGGCTGACTGCGATGCGGGCTTGACCCTGGAATACTTGTTTCGGGAATAGTGTCACATCCAGCTTTGTTTACCGGAGTGTTTGCAACAAGTGACGGTATAGAGGATGGTTTCTCTGTGCCATTGCGGGTTGAAGATCCCTGGTCGTTGGAAGATGCCTGATGCTGCGCAGGCCGAGTTGGAGACTGCACAGACGCAGTTGGTCGTGCATTTTGTTGCGGAGATTGCTTGCTAGGTGAGAGAGGAGGCTTTTGTTCTGCAATACGTTGTCGGCGCTGCCTTTTCGTGGGCGGCGACGAATCGTCATACGATGACCGGATATGTACAGACTCCGATTGAGATAAAAGACTTGTAGTTCTTTTATGTTTCAATGCTCCTTGACTGGATGACGGTTGAGAATCTCGCACGTTAATCACTTGTTGCAAATTTCTAACGCAAGTTTCGCCTGCCGGCTCATGAGATTCTGCTGGGGGTGTCTCGATCATCGTAGAGTCGTTATGCATGTCCAACACCTGTGACAACCGATCATGTGCGGCAGCAGTTGCATGTGCCGTGTCTGTGTATAGTCCAACATGATTCTCCTTGTCTTCTTCGGACGAGGATGGAGCGTGCCGAGTTTGGCTGTGGGGGACTACTGCAACATCTTCTCTATCCGTCTCTACTTCGCTCACATCCTCACCGTTGAGGGGACCGGAGGGTTCTTGTGTTTCGTCCGCTTCCACTGAGACTTCTCGACTTGCAGCCTTAGTCAAAGAGGTTGACGATTTAACGCCGGAATCACTGGAGAATCTTCCGTGAGTTATAGACGCAAGACGCAGACTGGTTTCATGGTCAATATTCCTTCTGCGGTTCGAGCGTTGAACAAGACTTGATTCTTCTTCGAAGTCCTTGTCAAACGGTTCTTCGGAGTCAATATTTTCAGCCGATCTAGTCCGTCTCTCTTCCCTTCTCTGATTGCGCCGCTTTTGTGACTCGTCCATGGAGACGTACGAAAAGGGATCGGTGTGAGTTCGAGTAAAATTAGCTCGGGGTGTACGGGAAGGAGAGGATGTGTATCCATTCAAGGGACGAGCCTGGATAGGAAGATCAGGAGAAGGACGATCTGACAGCGGCCCAGATGTTAATCTAGCTGCAAAGGGCGAGACGGGCGTCTGAGTTGCCTTGAACAGTTGGCTGAGAGGGAGTATTCCGCCGCTGGAACTGAAATCGGCGGCAAGAGGGTTCCGAGGAAGGGAAGGGGTCGTGGCTGCCATGTTGGGAACGTCACGACTTTTCTCCGCAGTGATTGGAGTTGTCAAGAAGCGCTGCGACTCCGGGAAGACGTTGAGGCTTGGGAACTGTGAAGGAGACGACTGGCCATCTTTTGAACTATCTACCTCGTCGTCCGAGCTATAATGTTGTGCGGCCGCTGCTTGTTTATTCGGCTCGAAATCGGCTAACAGATCGATATGGCCTGTTTCTCCTTCCCTTACAGTCATCTGAAAGGATTCCTGGCCAGCACTATGAGCATCTGAAGAACCAAGTTCGCGGGCTTGTGAGGGTTGGAAGGATTTTCCTCGCGATATAATATTCTCATAGATTGATTGCGAAATAGGTTGAGTATCGCCGGTACCGCTATCTCCCGCACTCATCTTGGGTGTATTCGACTCAGGAACGCTGCTCAAAAGCTCTTCTTGTGAATTTAGGACTCGCTCAGTAAGCTCGTGCACATCGTGGTTCGTGGATGGAACAATGTGAACAGCCACAACGGACTCAACAATTTTCGCACGAGAGGGGCTCTGGCGGAGAGAAACACGTTCTTCGACGTTTATACGACGGTCGGCCGTAAGAGGCGGCTGAAGGTTGAGAGACGAAGAAATCTGAGATTCAGCCTCGCTGACAAGCGCTTGAGACACATCAGTTTCCTAAAAGCGTTATATTGGAGTTAGCGCGTTTAACCAAGATGCCGGACGCCACCGTTATGCCAATCACCTCGACGCGAGACATACATCGAAGCCTAATGCAAAACGTTTTAATTTTGCTATATCTAGACTGTCCTGTTGAGAATCCATACTCTAATATGACTGATCAGGTAAAAAGGACATTGTGGAGTAGATTCGTTCGAAACGATATATGCATCCATTGATTCCATTCACTCACAGCGGAACATCATGACGCGAAACGCGTAACTGCACGTGACAAGTTCGTGCCTGGACTCTGGTGGGGCCCTAATATCACCCCATTTGGCTAGCGCGACTTACATTAAAAGGTATTGACTATAATCCTAACTATCTCAGAAACTGGGTATCATGCTATCATACAGTCATCATGCATTTATGTACAGACCAGAAAATTGCATATGACGAAACAGATCGCATCGATCAATCTCGCGACCGATTAGGCAGCCAGCGCCGAAGGAGAATCTCGCGTACTTTGTACTGACGAAGAATCCCTCCTAAATTCTCCCACGACGAAGGCAGCGGGGGTGGCACATCAACAAAACACAGAACAAGTGTTTTCTTAACTTGTGCCTGTACACGGTTTACGCCATGTAGCCACCACCAACTCCGCGACTGCTTCTTGGTCGAGTATTCTCTGAGTTCGGGTGTAGATTCCCAGTATGGATTTTCATAAGAAGGTAGAACGAGGACGGCAAATTCTGCGTGTGCAAAGACCGGTCCACGGTTGTATAGTAGGTAGTCGGTGCCAAATTTGACACCGGATCGAACGACCCAGCCAAGAGAACGGAAGTGGTGGTAAGCAACATAGGAGATGAGGAATGGATCATCCGGAGAGATCGGTTCTGTATCTGACCGGGCAGGAAATGTGGAGTTCTGGGTGAATAATTTGATAAGAGATGGTGTCGGGATGATCGTATTCGTGTCTTGGTCAAATACTTGAAGAGCTCCCAATCCATACACAAGAAAGAGAGCCTCTTCGTGAGTAAGCTGAAGATGCTCCTCATTGATCAACACATTCTCGGCAAGTTTTGTGGAGTCATATATAGACTCTTGTGGTTCCGGTGTGAATTTCTTCTCTTCCACGACCGGCGAGAATCGAACAGTCTTGGTTGTACTTGACGTTTCACCGGACGAGACAGTGATCTTCTCGACGGACCCATTCGAGGGACCGTTTGTGTGCTCCTCAACCGTTACAACTTCGGAAGCAAGAGCAAGTCTATCAGCAGATCCATTAGGAAAGCCATTCATGTGCTCGCCAGCAGAGGTAGCCAGTTGGTCTGATGAGCGGGAAGCACCCGCTTGAAGCCTAGCTGCCTCTTCCTTTAACTGCTGAGCAATAGCCTCTTGTTCTTTCCTCGCTCGTTCAAGTTTCATTTCACGACGCTCTACTCTTCGCTGACCCGTTACTTCCTCGTTCGTCTTCGTGGCTAATAGACCTCTTCTTTTCTTTTCCCGCTCAAGCCAGCTAGGCTCACTTCTGCTCAGGTTACCTCTACCGAAGAAACCCATCTCCCATAGGGCTCTCATGGTTTTTGGATCCGTGACTTGTATGGATGAGGTAGATGCATCAAAATAAGCGGAATATATTTCTTTCTTTGGTGGAGAGACTAAGTATGTTGTGAGATACGACAGGAGGACACTAATGACAGACAATGGGTTGTGGGGGATCAGAGGTGGTAATGGATGCACTGCAACAGGAAGTGGGAAGCGATGAATATGCTTGTAGTTGGGCTTTGCTGGTCGAGGATGCTTGTCCTTGCCGCCGGCTTGAAGCGGCCGGGCAGGCGAGTTCACCGTATTTGAAGCCATGGTTGTTCTCCAATCCCTACCTAATATCAAGTCAGCTTGAAGTGAATCACACAATATAACTCAGTTGCACATGCAGATATAAATTGAAGGATTCGCTTTGCTCAGATACCGTTGTAGTCTATAATCAAGCGCCAGCATTGACAAACAGCAAGAAATCAAAACGCTGTAGGTCTAGGCATGTATGATAAGGTGTCATCACCGAAGCAAGGGCAGTAGATCACTGTTCGAAAAAAAAAAAAATATAGGTAGCTTACCAGTTATGGCATGATGTTGGGAGCAATGCTCCCTAGAATGGCTGTACTTTGGCAGTATTCGTTAAACAATTAGGTTAGTACATCATCCTTATGACTTTTCGTCTGGATATCATATAATCAATGAATTCCAAGGCTCGAAAAACAGAAATATCGTTGTCAACAATGAAAGAGGAATGAATAAATAGAGAAGAAAATCAGAACAGAAATTTTCGGCTTGACTAAAAATTATTGTCAGCGCTTCCCGGACCAATGATATGCCGACTTCGAGGAGCTAGCTGGGCCTGGCGGGCGGTGAGTGAAAACACCAAAAATTTCTCCAACAGTCGATCGAGAAATTTACCTTGGAATCGATAGTGATCGAATATCGTGACTTGCTAGCACTCGTTAAGAATAATTCGTTACTGGAAAATATATCACATCCGCCAAAATGCATCTTATGGTACGTCCACATATTTAATCTGTCAGACTGGAACAATGGCACTAACGCTAAGACTTATATTATAGTACACTCTCGACAAAGATGGCAAGCGTATCTGTTCGTCTACCATCCACAATCACAGATATGAAACAATCTTAATGGCATAGACTAACGTAGAAAATGATACAGATACGCTGAAGAAAGTTCTTCATGGTGAAGTCACCAAATCCGCACACCCAGCACGATTCTCTCCGGATGACAAGTACTCGAGGTGGGCTCTCAATTTACCTAAGGACCAGATGGAACAAATTCGCTAATAAATGCTATTTTCGACGATATAGACACCGAGTCACACTGAAGAAGCGTTACAGTCTCCTCCTCACACAACAACCAGACAAAGTGGCCGCTAAGATGTAAAGAAGCTTTCTATATTGCGGAAATGGGAAAATCAATGGTGTGTCAAAAGGCTACGATGTGATACCTTTTCAAAATATATGGCGAACGGTGTTTTATTTACTTTGGGGTGTTGTTTAAATTCTGGATTCGTGGTTTTTGATATCTTGGAGGAAGTGTATAGCTGAAATCATCTTTTTGAAGACTGTCGGTATGACATTGCTTATGTTTCTCCGTACTTTATCAGTGCGGTATCTATGTACCCGTAGGATTCGTCAAATCGTAAATAGAAAAGAGAAGAGCGACATATGCTTAGAAAGTGTGTATATGATCATGATCCTCCCAAACGCCATCATAATGCAAGACCATGCACGATCATCGTCTTCTCGAATTAACGTTACGACCGGCTCCAACCTTGACTCGGCCACCCGATCTATGCCGCTCGCCAGTCAAAATTCCAGGAAGGTAATCCTCATCCATAAGATCACGCTCTCTCCGTTGCTGACGCTTTTCATCTGTCACTGCACGCACATACTCCTTTTGATCCTCAGCGAGAATGAGACCTGTTCCCCAACCGCCTTGTCCACCGCCGCCTTTCCATTTGCCATTTGCAGATCCATGTATTGGCTTCGGCACGCTGAATACATTTCCTCGGTTGTTCCACTGCATGTTCTTCTTGAGGTGGAGTTTGAATTGGCCATTGGCGTCGGTCGAGCAGGAGACTCGAGTAAGAGTGTCTTTTCCGCAACGAGGACAGAACTGTTTATTCATTTCTTTTGTGATAGAGAAGCATGCATGGCAGCGCTTGACGAATGTCCTAAGGTGACGGATCCTTTGGAGTGTCGTCGTTGATAAAAGATTCAAGTTCATTTGTAAAAGAACATTTTGACACTAGGGGAAAATCAGCACATGTAAATCTTCTCCTTGTACGGGAAAAAGACTTACTGCAAAATCAGTTGTCATAGTAGCGACTTGCATAACTTTAGGTTCTGGTGTTGCCGATAAGCCAGCTTCTTCATCACGAGCTTGCTTCTTCTTGATATTCGAGGGTGTTATCCATTCACCACCGCCATCGGAATCTTCGCCTTCTTCTTCGTCTTCAACAATTTCAACAGAAATGTCTTCTGTGCCATCTTCTACTGTAGTACCGACAATGGGAGTAGTTGTCTCAGGTACAGCTTCAGTTCCCTCGTTGCTTCCGGTAGTGTCGTCTTTGATTGTAGTTTCGGCCAACTCCTCAGCGACTTTACTGACGTCTGCTGTAGACGTTTCACCATTTATTTCTTCTTTTTCCTTTGTTTCTTCAGTAGCCTTGTCAACCCCTTCCTGGGCTGTAGTATTTTCCGCCGCTGACTCTCCCTCCTTAACCGGAGGCTTCCCATTCACTCTTTTCTGTCCAGGCACACTCCTCAACCTCCAATCACCACCATTCTTCTCACACTCAATTTCATACGCAAGCGCCAAAACTTCAATATCGACTTTACTCAACACAGCGCGATCTCCAGTCTTGCGCGCAAACTCGCTTATCACTTGCACACTTTTGGGTGATGGTGACCTTTGCTTCAAGAATGGGAGGTATAGCGTCTCAAATCGAGATCGGGCAACAGGATCACGGATTTCGCCTACCACTGCGGGAGTAGTCACTAAATCTTCGGCTTGGGCAAGTAATGTCGATAGCGGGGGAACGTTTTTCAAGATGGGGCCGGCGTCGAGCACGATTGTGTGCACCGGTTTTGTCGGTGCCGGCTGTTCTGCCATGGTGCGATAGATATTTAATTTCTTCTTATAAAATTCGAAATATCATCGGAAGAGATATACAATCGTGTAGTGGAGGAATCGGCAAGTTGTTGCTCGTAGAATTTCACCAACTTTTTCTGTGGATGGTCCGTGCGCTTATCCCTTATCGGATGGTCTATATCTTATCGGCGATTTCCTATTTGGCGTTTCTACAGCCCTATGTTCGCCATTTCTAGTCTCTTGTAAACTGGACTAAACATTAATTATTGGTAAAATAACGCTTGAAAGGTTGGGGAACGCGCACCGTAATACTCGAATATGACTTGTTGACAATTCAAACGTCGGAAACTGACCAATGATGTGGCACTCAGTGTTAGTACGATAGAAAAGTAGACGGTCTTTCCCACCTACCGATCTCCTATAGCTTGTCTGATATCAATACTCCTTTGCCAAATTCTATTAACATGTCAAAAGTAGCTAGGATAACTATTTAATTGTACCTGAAGGCTATCAATGACAACTCTGACGAGAAAGTCGCAGAATCTGTAAATCGATATCTTCAAACTCACTGGACTCATTGTATACTTCGCGTAAAGCAATATAGAACACTCGACGGACTATTTTGCACCGTTTTAAGTACCGCTTACCATCTACAGATGGTTTTCGTTCAAGGTAACTAGCCAGCCTTTGATACTCGAGCAGTTCTAAAGATCAGACGACATCATGCGCTTCTTTCATAGCTAATCCTTTCACGATAGCACAATGACCCAGGCGTAGACAGGGCGTAAGGAAAACCTACTGGTCTTCGAGCTTCTAGGCTCATAGAAGTGTTCTGCAGACTCTGTTAGCACCCACGCGTATGACGTGCCTCCTTCGCGGTCTTTTCGTTTATTTCATTACCAAAACAGTACACACAGCATATTCTTGCTACTTGAAGCTGGCTTCAACAGTCTCTTTTTTATCCTATTGGATACTTCTGACATTACCAATTCTTTCCTCAAACATTTCATCTAGACAGTATGAGCACTCCTGATACTCAGGTGCTCTCCATGGGACACGAAAGTACCCATTCAATAATTGCTGGCCTGGTTCTCATGGGGGTAGCAACTCTTCTGGTCGCTGTTCGCTTCTATACTCGACGCCATATTATTAAGGCCGTGCAGTGGAGCGATTGGACTGTGCTGGTTGCTTTGGTAGGTATGCCCTACGTCTAATGCTTTTGAATATCATCTAACTTCAGAATGTTGGTAGATGCTTTCCATGGCTTTCGTTGGGATTTTCATTACTGGTAAGTCCCCTATCGTGCTTGATATTGGTCGTCAAGCAGATCCAAGCTGATGATGATTTATAGCTGTCTTATATGGCATGGGATTGCAGGAAGCAGAGATAACCACGACTGATTTCAACAGACAAAAGAAAGTAAGTAACATCAATTCTTTTCTTCTACCAGAAACCATTGCACGCACTGATCATCAACCTCATCAGCTCTTTTGGGTCAGCGTCCCGTTCTATAATGCCGCCATGGTAACCGCCAAGGCATCCATTATCATCCAATATTTCCATGTTTTCCCAACGAAACAGATGCGCATTGTCTGCTGGATGGTGAGTACCATTCTCACCATCTATGGGGTATGGTCCGTTCTGAGCGCGTTCTTGAACTGTATCCCTGTCGCGAGCTTTTGGGACTCGAGTACTGAGGGTCACTGTCTCGACTACAAGGGGCTTTGGTACTCTAATACGGCGCTGAATATCGTTACGGATGTGGTAATTTTGATTATCCCCGTTCCTGCGCTTGCGGCATTGGATTTATCATTGAGGCAGAAGGTTGGCCTGTGCTGTGTTTTTGCAGTGGGTGGTTTGTAAGCTTTTACCCCTTTTGTTCATGCATCTGCTGGGACAGTAAGTACTAACTTATTGGCCAATTTCAGTGTCTGCATTACCAGCGTCTTCCGTCTCCTTAGTGTAATCGCACTCGTCAGCTCAAATGGCCGTTCCTGTAAGTCTCCTCATCAATGATTCAGAACCGAGACTTACATATGCCCCACTCTCTCCTTAGATGATTGCCTCGCCGTAATGATGTGGTCTGCCATCGAATGCAATACCGGAATCATATGCGCATGTCTACCAACACTCCGTCCAGCCATCGTTCGTCTTTGGCCTGCGCTATCCGGACTCTTAGTCTCACGCCGTCAACGCAGTAGTTCCGATAGCATAACATCTTTCTACGGCGGTAGCGAGAACAGTGCTGCCCTCTTTGGTCGCGACGTACACATCACTACTAGGGGCGTTGAATCTAATCGGGGATCTGTCGTCAAGGCCAAATCAGGGACAGATAGTGACCGTGGAAGTGGAATGCAGCAGGCTCCGAATGTTAGGATGGTGCCGATGCCGGGGAATGGGTTTGCACAGGATCTGGCGCGGAAGGGCTCCTTTTTCGAGCAGCAGCAACAGCGTCCTAGCAGTTATGTATGAGAGTGGGAGTTTGGTGTGGCAACGGGAGGATAAAGTATTTCTGATTATGAGTGATAGCGGAGTGAGTCGTGAGAAATGACGACAACGCTGATGATCATGATGATGTGGCGTGGAGATTTGGATTAGTGGAAGATATGGCCAGTTGGGAGGATGTGTGGGTGGGTTATCGGAGATACTGGCTAGTGGTATAAGCGGCTCTGTATTGATAGAAGGGTAGTAAGCGAGATAACTTGAATAAATTGTAACTTCCCTGAGCAATCGATAAGATAATAGAGCGTAGATGATAGGCACATCTATAACCATGATAGTATTCAATTCTAGATTCGAGCCGTTCTAAGAATAGATCTATTCGAACATCAGGAGAACCACGAACAATGCTGAAAGCGAAAAAGAGAACTTCTCAATCACATATAACACATTCAAAGACTTGGAAAGTTCTTATCAATCTCCTCAAAATGGTCAAAAAAACCCTTGAACAACTTCACGCCCAAACCCGGATCCAAACTTCCCGTTGTTGCTCGAATGCTATGCATGCTTAATTGCGGAATGCCGGCATCGATGGTCCTCAATCCAATTTGAGCGCTGGTCATAGGGCCAATAGTGCCACCTGATCGGGAATCGTTTCTGATCTGGAAGATTTGTAAAGTTGAACCCGACTTTTCGGCAACTTGTTGAAGGATTGCATGGCTCACTGCATCGGTAGCCATATGTCCGTTGGGATCTGCGGAAACAGTCACACCGACATTCAACCGCGGCATGTGGTTCTCCAGGTAGGCGTTAAGGTAGTTGGGATTCACGGCATGAATGACATCAGATGAGATCAAGAAACTGTTGGCGATAGTCTGGTTGTAAAGGTTTGGTCCGTAGTTACCATCAGCAAATGCCTCGACGATACGCTCGATGACGCTGCTCAGATAAGTTGACCGTGCACCTTGACGGAGGAGAGAGCCGACTTCCTCATCGTCGAACATGCCAACCAGCTTAACCAAACCCGGTGAAGTCGAGTCGGGAGAAGCGAGGAGAGCTTCCTGAGCTGCGAAGCAGCAGAGTTTGTCGTCAATACGACCAGCAAAGATGAAATCTTTCTCAAGACCACCGAGTTGTGCCGGTTGGCTATCAAAGAGCTCCAACTCCCAGTTGATGATACTGCTATAGTCGGTAACACCAAGTTCTCCCGCGATGATCTGAACTAGTTTGGGAGGTTGAGTGGCTGCAAACGTGCCAGGCTTAATACCGTCCAGCTTCTCATCAGAGCCAGATGGGCTACCAAATAAGTCGGAGTTATCAATTCCGATAATAGGAACCATATTGGTTTCAGGGTTAGCGGCCGTGGAGGCTGTGCCAAAATGGGGAGCCAAAGTTGGGATACGAGCGATGGGCCAGTCCAGCTTGACCAGCTTGGTCTTTATCACACCATCTGTGCCCTTTACCAGGACACGACCACCAATGCCCAAGTCGCGATCCCACCAGGTCTTGTTCAGGGCACCGGCATATGGAGCAACTGCTAGCTGTTTGAATCCAACCTTGGTCGGCAACGTTGGCACGGGTTTCAATTTGGCGGTCAACGCATCGATGTGTCCGGCGACCAGACCAATACCATTCCCACTCTTATACCCGGTACCCACGACAAAGGCGATCAGCGAACTGTCATTGCGAGTGAGGTAGTACTTTCCGCCGCGCTTCAATTCGGATGTCCACGTGTCTCGTTCGGATAGCTTCGTGTACCCCTGAGCTTCGAGCTGCTTGCTGAAATGGTTCACAGCATGAAAGATAGTAGGATTTTTGCTTATGAAGTCAATAAATGGCTGGGTGTAAGCTTCTGGAGAAAAGCTGGTGGCCGATTGCTGTGGTTGCTGCGGGGAAGCTTTCGGGCTTGGTTCCTCCACAGCGACAGGCTCGGATAGCTGCAGGCGCGAGACCGAGGAGTGAAGGGATGAGATTCGTTGCTTCGTCATGTTATATGTACTTTAGGGTATGCAGAATGAAGGAACTAGAGCTGGTAGTGATACGTGTAGTGAATATAGGGAGCAGTATTTGTAATCGGAGAGGCATGCGAAGGAGTAAACAGAAGGGAGGCAGCCAGGCACGGGAGGAACTGTACCTTACCTAAAGGCTAACCAAAGGCCCCATAACAATGATAACATCGGCCTCCTATCAGCTGCCGTAGTCACACGGTCTCTTATCTTATCAGCTGGTCACGTTGCTACGATAGCCCTACTATGTAATTACGTACTCCGATGCTTAACGTTAGTTAACTAAGTTACTCCGAGGCTAGTTATCTAATGCAAGGTACACGACTATTGTCTATCAGACTGTGAGTTATGGAGTTTTGAAAAGAAATAGAGCTCAAAAAAGTTCTTTCAAGGTATTTAGAGACAAAACAAACATGCCACACCGTGTCTGCACAGCTTCATCGGGCTCAAGGGTCATCTCATTCACGTCGAGCCAACAATTGCATTCCAATTAACTATTCCATCAACACAATCAGCCGTAATAGCTGGTCCCGTGGTGTATGCAACTTCAGTCCGATTTCTCATAATCCAGAATTTCGTGTTACCCGTCTGCCCGTCAAAGGGTACCTCGAACGTACTCAATCCGGCCCGATCTGCATACAAGCTAGTTATGTTATTACTCCCAATCTGTACACTAATCCAACTTGGCTCCTTGACCAGGACAGCAATGTAGATTTTGTCCTCCGCAAGGGCTGCTGGGTCCATTGCTTGTTGACCCTGTTGCGGACAATTACCAGTAGTACCACCATTACTACCGGATTGGTTCGGGTTGGGTCTGTACCAGTAGACCAACGTGTCTCGTGCAATGCGGATTCGGGATCTATCACCAAATTTGTATGATGCAATAAAGTATGGCAGCAATTCTCGCCATGCGTCGTGGTGATTGTTCTCGACGTATCGTGCTGCTCCTTGCGGTATACCATCGGCATGAACGGGACCGATGTAGTGCGATTCACCGTAGTCATTCCACGAAATAATCTGAACCAAATCTGGCTGGAAACGATAAATCTGTTCCCATCGCTCTGTCCAGAGCTGAGCACCTTTCCACAACCAATTCTTGTTCCATTGGGAAAGATTCGTATAAAACCACGGCGAAACAGGCATCATATATGGTCTACCATGGGTAGCGTTTTTCCACACTCGATCACTATAAAGCGACTTATTATTGGCACCAGCAGGCCACGCATCCCAACTGAAGAATCCGTCCACGTTATGCCGAACTTCTGCAAATCGCTGCGGCCCGAGACTCGTCCAATCCGGAATGGCAAAACAGCCTGTCTTGTTGCGTATACCAGGCCAGTCGTTAATATTGGCCACTCCTTCAAATGTTGAAACAAGTGGTCTGCCATTGTAGTAAAATTGCGCCGGTGACTCCTTGTACTTGTTGATGGTGTCGACCACTCTATCCACTGGCCAAGGACCGCCGGACAGATAATCAAAGGAAAGAAAAAGGGAGAAATCTCCGACATTCTCAGCTGCAGCATATGCTTTTTGTAAGATATTCTCTGTATTTGTGTCTTGTTGGGCTATGTTCAATGCAAATCCGTCGATAAGCGAATGTTTAGCTAATCTGATTTCTGATTCCCATTGATCTTGTGTGAGAGATGCCGCGTTGCCACCCTAATATAGAGTCAATTTGTTTATCAAAGCTCTCCTCAATTTGGACTCAAATTAAACTCACGATAAAGTGCGCAAAGACGAATTTGGGCATAGCAGCTGTAGCATGGTCGATGAGAGCGAAGAGGAGGAACGTCAATTGATAGAGGACCATATTGAACGCTATCGACGCAAGAAAAGCGCATTGTACCTAGGTAAGAAAGACAAACTGATAGTCACAATAAACGCGAAGATTGGAAGATATACATCCTCTAATATCCGAGCTCGCGCTGCAAACCCTAAATGCTTCAACAACATTCTTACCTCCGCGCCAACACTCCGATCTTCTATGAAAAATAAACAACAAACGAGCAGTGCACATAATTCAATTAGAAAATAGACTACGTATTAGCAGAAAGCTCATCCAACATGGCACGTAATCAACTTAAACTATCAATGTTGTTGTCTCGGTCTGGTATGGACAGGGAGGCGTTCCCACGTGTTGGAATTTCCGGGAAATTAATTACATACTGAATCATATGAAATCATGTAGGAGATCGATGTCTGAGAGTAACATAGTCCAGAAACCATGAAGCGTATTTAGGGGTTCGAAGTCATTAACAATTGGTCCCGATAGGGGTAAAACCCTAGCTTACTCCCTTAGTATACCTGAATGACAAGCATTCTTAAAAGGTAACGATTCATTTCTAGCCAAAAGAGAAACAGTTATATTATTGATGTAATGTATTCAAGTATCTTTATGTGCTCTATCTTCTTTCTTGGGATTACCTATTCTTCGAGTGTCTAGCGTTGCCCATTTTACAGACTTCTCGTATTCAATACATCGTGGTGGATGGGTTCAATTAAATTTCCAGACACTTCCTGACATAAAGTCTCCTCTCAGAATAATAGCAGAATGACTATACGCTTCTCATCTTATTCACTAGCAGCAACCGCAGCTTCCTTATCCGCAACCAGCACCCTCTGTATGGCTGGTCGCTTCACGCATCGGTCCCACCATGCCCTCACAGCTTCGCGACTGTCGATGACATCTCCATACCCGCATGCAAAAAGTCTTTGGATCAGCGGAATGTAGTAGATATCTACTAGAGTAAACTCATTTCCAGCCATATAGTCTCTGTTATGTAAGAGACGATCCGCAACATCGAAAAACATCTCAACCGACCGCAATGCATCTGCGATGACAGCTTCATTTGGAGGCAGGCCCATAAATCTTTTGGCGAATTTTTCAAATGCGATTCTACCTGCAGGTTCTGCGAAGTAGAGCATTTCTACGCTTTGCGCCTCGTCAAATAGCGCTGTGGCTTCGACATCGGAGTTGGGTGGTAAAAGACGAAAGGAGTACGTTTTTGCGAGGTATTTGCAGATCGCGCGACTCTCGTAGAGAGTGAAGCCCTCGTCAGAGGTTACTGCAGGTATTTTACCCCATGGGTGACGTTTCAAGTGTTCTTTGGACTGGTATAACAGCGTTAGCTCAAAATACCTGATAATCGAGGAAATATTTTGCGACACGACACAACATGGGTACAGTTTTTTTTTACAAGGAGAGACCGCACGTATCGACATTCAAAAGAAACGATCACCCACCCTTTGCTCCCCTTTTGAAAGGTTAAGAAGCACGAGTTCATAATCCGTGAATCCACCTTCAGCGAGAGTTAGGCGTACACGGTCTGTGTTTGTCGAACCGCGAGAGCCATATAGAGTAAAAGCTGGCATTTTCGAGTTGTGCAGTAGTCTCGACGTGAATATTGGTCTATTTGTGATCTTGGCCATAATGTAAGCACACATTTCAAGAGAAGTCGGGCCAGCGACTTCATTTATAAGCCGACGACATCACAAATAGAGCAGGATCCAGCAGTATCTACATAGCCTGGATTTCTTCACTTCCATTGAGGAAACCTGTGTACTGGGTAGAAAACGAAAATGAAGCCTTGCAAATGGCTGGTTCGCTATCACTACCCAATCGAGTTAGCGTAATGTCTCCACTATTTAAATCTAATTTTAACCTCGTGCTTTTAAGGCCGGTCAGCCTTCCTACTCATGCAGAGATGATATGAATCATATTGGAACTTTTGATTCGTCTGCTCGGATCCCTTGCCAGCTACAAGCTCAATAAACTCCGGTGATGGGTTTTTGTGCTGTATACAGATGACAAATCTCTTATCCTACCAAATGATAGCCGTGGAGCACCAGTACGACATTGGTGGGCCTTATTCTGACATGGGTTGAGGTTTATTTAAGAAGAGAGGTGGATATCACAGCCCTGATTCACCGCCAAGTGACTTAGCTTATTCGACTTGTACTTGAAGGCTCAACGACTCTTTCTTTCTTTCGTCTAAAGGGTGCTGCGCAACAAACGTGAATTCCCGTCCCTCAGCCTGACGATGGCCGGAAGCGTTGTGACCCGCAGGCGGGATATGAAATGTAAAACTAAGATGAAAACCGGTTGCTCGACCTGCAGGTAAGTTTGTATTGCTCAGATAGGAATGTCAGCTCTCCTGTGATTGTGCTTACCCACCAATAGAATCAGGAAAATCAAGGTAACCAACGACGTTCATTCTTTCCGAACATCCTTTGGCGCTAATTCAGGTCAAGTGCGATGAGAGTAGACCATTGTGCCAGAAATGTGTCAAAACTGGCCGGACTTGCGATGGCTACGACTCCCCCTTTAGAATCTTTACCGGTGAACCTATCAAGAACGCTTATGCTAGTAGCATCAAGTCAGTTGTTAGTTCACAACCCACCTCCATTAGGGTCACTTTTCAAGACATCGACCTTCTCAGTCGCCACTTCTCGACCAAAACTCTGTTCAACGTGAATCTGGGCTGTGACGAAGAAGCCAGGCAAATACTCCAAACCAGCCTAACGGATCCGCTTGTACGACACGCGCTCTTGTCACTCAGAGCTCTCCGAGAAGATTTAGAGACGGTCGGAGATGGTGACGCGTCTTTCGCTCATCAGACTTCAAGACATCGCTATGGCCTCCGGCAATACACGATTGCTTTAGGTGGCCTTGCGTCTAACCTGTCATCCTCGGGTTCCAGCGAGTTGAAGTCAGCATTGCTTTGTTGTCAGATCTTCATCAGCATTGAGCAAGTGCGGAAAAATTATTCTGCGATGGCTCAACATATCATTAAAGGACTCAGGATCATGCACGAATACCGAGCAAGACCATATTATGATGCTGCCAACAATTTATTACCTGCACTGCATGACCAACTACCTTTCCTGGATGTTTTCATCATTAAGCTGTTTGTTGCACCATGTAAATTTACAGATCCTCCAGTAACAGCAGAGATAAGCGATACGCCGTTGTCTGCGTGTCCGCTTGCGTCTCAACAACAACCTGTTGGATCTCGCACGATCGCACCCGATATGCGGACGGAGCTTACAAGGATTGCTGCGTTGACACTTGGATTCCTCGACAAAGTGTCTCGAGTCGAAACAGTAGAAACCGCTCTTCGATTGGTCCCCGAGAAAGCAACTCTGCTAGACTCTTTAGGCTCGTGGCTTAATGACCTTGAGCTTGTTCAGACGGAGTACGGACCTTCAGGTCCCGAGCCTATTTCAGTGTCCTTCTTGCGCATCTTTCATATCATACTGAAAATTGTCCTCTTGGGGGCATTAGACTCTCCACCGGATCTTTATGCCGACCTACGGGATGAGAGTGACCGATTACAGGCCTTAGCCAATGAAGTGGATGGAAGAGTTAGGACTTATATAACGTGCAGTGGGTCTAATGGTAATCGGGAGGAAATCTCCACAATGAGTGATTAGGAAATTGGCATGGGAGGATTCGACTCGCATCTGATTCCTTCATTTTAGTGTTAATGGAATATCCAATCTCTGCTATATTGTTAACAGGTCAAGCGGGGAAAGTCGGGGTTACTATTACTCTATCCAACGCGGTCTAGACGGAAACCTAAAGCTGAAAGAGCCGAAGATAAGAATAGTGGAATAAGCATATGCCTGAAATTACATGTATTTCCAATTGCAGCACACAGACCGAGCAGACCAATGAGCGGCTGTCTCTGTCTCTGAGCCTCTCTCGCCACCATGCTTGTTCGTTCTGAAGGTCTTCATAAAGGAGTCCTCATCCCTGTCGATCTCTTTTGTTAAAACTCCTCTCCCTCTCTCATCAAGCTCACGCAAACGAGTATTCGTCAAAACCATGCATTTCCTCCTCCTTGGGGCCAGTGGACGAACCGGCCAGCACGTTGTATCTGAACTACTCTCCCAGGGCTACACAGCAGTAGCCCTTGTGCGTACCTCTAGCAGTCTCACACCTCGTCCTGGCCTAACCATCGTCACTGGCTCTCCGCTATCAAAATCCGACATACGCAACGCTCTTTTCGCGGTGCCTTCTCTATCACCTTCTGCAGCAATCATTACTTTGAACACAGTCCGTAAATCCGACAGCCCTTTTACAGCCCAAGTCTCACCTCCTCGCTTCCTGGCCGATTCGTGCGCTAATGTCTGCGAGGTTCTGGAGCATGCAGGCATTCGTCGCATTGTAGTGATGTCGACGGCAGGTGTAGGGGATTCATGGGATAACCTGCCATGGTTGAGCAAAGCATTCTTGTCGTGGACCAATGTCAAGTACGCGCTCGAAGATCACAGCCTTGTAGACAGGGAGATTCGGCTCACTAAAATGGATTGGACTCTGGTGAGAGCTGTGAGGCTACAATTTGACGATCAGAAGCTGGACGCCACGAAGAGGGAGGTTAAAATGCTAGGCAGTAACGGTGTAGGAATGAGTTTATCCGACAGCGTGAGTGTTACTAGTGTTGCAAGCTTCCTGGTCAAGGTTGCGGTCGAAGGACTTTTGGTTAAAAGCGCAGTGGTCATCACCAATTGAGGAGGCTGGGGAGATTGTGACTTTGTTGATATCGCGCTCCTATGCAGCCATGGATGATAATATAGCAAAGCTTTTTTTGAAACATGATGTATATTCTACCTAGGTAGATATCTAGTTACATGGATTGATTGCATCAAACTCCCTATGTTCCAAGTTCGATATGGTGCGACAAAAGCCATGGACGAAACATCGTTTCTCTAAGTACGGATATTTAAATTCTTCTCAATCTTCTGAAATTTGAAAAGTCCATGTCAACTATAACATCCACAGCTTAGTAAATATATCGAAAACTGCCACAATCGGACCAGTCAGCTTTCCTCATCATCAAATCGAAGCAAAGGTGTAATACGCACTTCAAATTCTCCCGATCAGTCAAATCCAAAAACGCAGTGGCATCCAAATCCCTTCCTTCCAATCCGCCCTCCATCTCTGACTGGATCTTATCACGTCTTTTGTTCTCCCATCGCAGAAGAAGACCGAGGGTTGAAATGAGGACGACTTCGATGAGATGGGATCCGATCATGGACCAGATACCGAGGGAGTATGTTGGTCTGGAGACGTTAGCTGAGTCGTTTAGATGGCGGGAAGGAAAGAGGCATACGCTTGATCAGTCTTATAAAAGAATGGACCAGCAATATTACCAGTGCAATATCCAAGAAACAGTACTGCATTTGTGACGACTTTCTTGGTATGTCCTACATGCCCAAATCCCATCAGTCATTGGCAAGCAGTAGGTGAGGGAGAAGCTTCGTACCAGCAGTATTAGCAATCTGCATACTAAGTACCAGCACAAACGCCGCATTATACGGCCCCGTCAAATAATAACATATCAACCTGCCCACTTTCCGGTCAAGAGGGACAAACCGAAGCCCAAAGGCTCCTGCAATGTTAGGGATCAAGAAGAGAAGGACGAATACACATCTTCTGTTCTCGAAACGATCGTTGAGGAAGACACAGAGTAGGATGGAAAGAGCAATGATGACTCCGTAGGGGATTTGCATAAGTGTAGTGACCAGTGTCGAGAAGCCGAAGCCTTTGATAATGATAGTGCCGAAGTTGGAGATGCCACCGTTGGGAACGTTGCCTGCAATACATTACTTCCTGTTCGAAGCAAATAAAAATAGAAGGGAAAAGACTTACAAACGACACCAAGGAGGAAAAACATGTATAACTTGTAGTCGGTAAAGGCTTCCCGGATCTGGTATGGTTTCAGGTGTTTATTCTCAATACCGGTCTGATTTTCACGCAAACGTTCCACGGCGATACGACGTTCTCGCAATGTCAAGCCTTTGGCTGTCACTGGGCTGTCGGGGAGATAGATGAACATGACAATACCCCATACTGAACACAGAGCGCCACTATTTCGCAGTATTGTCAGTAATCTAATCACAATCATAGAAAAGATAAATCGAGGCCCTACATGATCAAAAACTCATATTTCCACGACGGCAATGCACCTCTGATATTACCAATGCCGTAACCGAGCAGTCCGCCGAGTGCAATCCCGAAGCCATTGGCCGTATACCACAGACCAATACGTACGGGTTGCTCTCGTCTTGTGTACCACATACTAGTTACCAACATGAAGCCTGGATCAGAGCATGCTTCGGCGGCACCAGCAAGTGTTCGAAGAACTCCAAGCGTGGCGAAGTTGTGACATGCGGCTTGGAGCATGAGAAATACGCCCCTATCTAAGTCAGCTCAAGCATTACTACTTTGTGATTCGTGAGGAAGATCTACCACATGAAGATGTTAAAGCCGAGATATTTTCCTACAGATTAGTTAGACCATACTTCCGAGTAGGACCCCAGAGGGTAGGAGACACTCACCGATAGGTAATCTCTGCAACAAGAAATTGGTCGGAAAGGCCCACGCCAAAAATCCAAAATAAAACAAACTACTCAACCAGTTGTACTTTGTACCGACAAGATTAAGATCCTCTCGAATACCGAATATGGCCGCATAGCTGAGTGTTGTCTTCACACACCCTCCATCAACATTCGACCTCTCGAGTGAAAACACCAGAAGGACGTACGAACCTTATCAATATAGAAAAACGCATAACAAACCGCCAAATAAGGCAGAATCATAAAATCAATCTTACGCAAGACCTTCTTCTCATCCTCATAACTGACAGGTTCATGGAGATCGTCACTGTTTTCGAACAGAGCGAGTGCGGCATCGCCGTCTTTGGTATTCCATTTTTTGACCTGGATGGGATCTTCTACCTCCATGGCATGTTCTCTATGGGTTGCTGCTGCTGCTGCTATATCGCCGGATGAGGGTGGGGTATCAGCCCCTGTTGTTTCTGTTGACTTGCCCATGGGCAGTTCTCTGTATCGATTAGGTATATGTGAAGTGTGTTTAGATAACTCGTTGGTACGATAAATGCAACGGACAAATTTTGGAAATAGCGAGTTCTGTGCAGGTGGTATACAGCGCAATGACAGGATTATGTACCCCAAGATATAGTTGAAGGAATCCTACTAACGGCCACACAATATCCAATCCGGCATCTATGCCGACTATCCCAACTCAAATTCGACATACATCCTCTCTACCACCAAGGGTCCACAGGAGACCTCTCCGATCCAGTACTATGTAGTACATATTCGCGGCGTAAGTGCGAGGCGGAGAAACAAGACTTGGTATCAGGCGCAGATCGATGTGGCTCCCCATACTTTGCGGGGAGCTTCTCTCCACAAGAAAATAGTATGGGGAAACACTTCACGAATTTGCGGGGTTGAGTCTTTTATTTCTATTGGAAAGCCTAGAAATGATAGCACAGACTAACCTATGTGGAATAATTGATTTGGTTGGTGGAACAAAATCCAGGTCTTCTGAGCATGATGAGTTGATTCTCGGACTTAGTCCGAGTGACTTGTTTCGTTCGTATTGAGACTCAAAGTATGTCCGAGATCGTTCGTATAAATTTACCTAGGTAGAAAGGATGTCGGCTATGTTGATGCCAATGCTGACATGATCATGAATGTGACAGGTCGACCAATATTTCGTGGGGGACTAATAATCCTGTGACATTCATACGGCGAACCCTAATTGACGAAATTACTCGATTAGGTAGAAATTCGTCAACGACTGTCGGAACCCTAACAATCCTTTCCACTATAAAACAATCTGGTTTCTTGCAAACATGTGGCTAAGCAGCGGTTTTTCAGTGAGAGATAGGTCAAATGTAGTAGATCGTGGCTATAACGAAAGGAAGGCCGCTCCACATTTCCACTAATATCGGCTTGGATGACTTTGATATGGAACCGAAGAGCATCCAATTTGTTAATGCTAAAATGGATCAATGTATTGGAGATGCCCCTTCATCACTAAATCGAACTTAATTCTGGATATATTGGCTTGGGCCCTGAGAGGCCTTCTGTTCGTTATAGCCAGGTTCCACTATATACCCATCTACTCAACTAGAGCACTCTATTCCGATTTACCTAGGCGTACTTAATTCAGCTTACTCCGTCTCTGGAACGCAACAAGAGCAGACTACTGTGGAATCATGAAAGGGTCTCTATTCTCTATTTAATCTAGTTCCACTTCTTCTTTCTCTATTGGAAATGCAAAACATGGCTTAACGCTTGTTGAAGTTCAGGTATCGCGCCTATACAGTACTGTTAGTGGGTTTAGAATCAAACATGTGAAGATGGTTTACTCACCCCGAGGAAAAGAATGACGATGTTGCTGACGATGAAGCAAGCAAAGATACCCAAATCTCTCCAGCGATTATTATAACTTAAGTCAAAGGCTTCATAAAACTGATCTCCAACCTTGTAAGCACAGTATTGACAAGCGCTTGTTGCATTATTGACAAGGTAGCCCGGAGCGCCCGCTGCAAAGTAAGGAGCCATATATTCACCACAAGTTTGACCATCAGGCGCAGAAAAGGTATTGAGTTCCGCGTTTTTGCAGACGACTTCACGATCATGTAGCTCCGTCACCAACATACCACCAATTAGACGGGTGAATGGGTCAAGCTGATACAACCATGCTCTCCAGAACTTGGGAATCTGAGGTTTGGGAATGGCTACGCCACAGAACAGCGCAAAGGTGATGATCAGAGGAGGATTGAGTTGTGCGGAGATATACGAACTTGGCGTGATTGCTGCAACCATCTGGCCCAATGTGACTGCGAAGAACTCGGTGATAAGAACCATAAGAAACTGATATCCGGCACGGTCTGAGGCACTCTGGAAGCCTGGGATATAGTAGATGGGCAAGAAGAAAGCAACCGTGCAGAGTAAACTGTACGGAACTTCAGCCACTACCATAGCAATTGCAAACGCAAGCGATTTATAGGTCTTCGATGCAGACTCCCGATAAGAGATCAGTCGTGAAAACTCATACTTGGGCTCCACTTGTTGGATGATGATGGCCGGAATGACGGTTATCTGGAACAAAACGAAAACACGGTACTGAAGAGAAGACCGTGAATCGTCTAACTGGAGAAACATCAGACCGGTGAGAAGTGCAATAACCGCGTGGACAAATAACCTGGTAAATCCGTAATTCGGTGATCGCCAGAAGGACAAGTTCGTCCGTCGAACGACAGTTTTGATCTGATACCAGGTAGGCGTTGCGTACTCGACCTCTTGAGAAGAGCTCCCACTCGAACTGTTCTGTGCTGAACGTTCATTCTTCATTTTCGTAATATCTTCCTTGATTTGAGCCAGTTCGGGAGATTCGCGCCATATATCGCCCCAATCACGATCCCCAATTCGTGGAGTTTGGCCAGCACCAATAGCGTCAAGCATCCATTCAGCGGGATTTGCGTTTGGAGGACATTCGGCTCCGTTGCGCCGGAAATAATCGATCAGGACACGACTGTCTTCACCAATATCACCAAAGTAAACGCAATTGCCGCCCTTCTGTAACAGGAGCAATCGGTCAAAGCTTGAAAACAAGGCCGAGTTGGGTTGGTGAATCGTGCAAAGAATGGCTTGACCAGCTGCGGCTAGTTTGCGCAGGAACCGTACGATATTAAAGGCAGACTGGCTGTCAAGACCTGACGTGGGCTCGTCCAAAAACAGTAAGAGCTCAGGTTTGGCGGCAAGCTCCACACCAATGGTCACTCGTTTACGCTCCTCCACAGATAACCCAATTTCTGGAAATCCAATAACTGCATCTGCCAATGTCTCTAATTCCAACAGAGATATGATTTCCTCAACGTAAGCATGTTTCTCTTCTAATGGCACGTGATAAGGTTGACGAAGTTCAGCGGAGAAGCGCAACGCTTCACGTACAGTCTGAGTAGGCTCGTGCACGTCTAGCTGTTCTGCGTAAGAGGTACCACGCTGGAAAGATGCCCCAGGCCTATGGCCATCAACTAGAATATCTCCCGTGATAACGCCAATACTTTTACGGGCAGCCAACACGTCCAACAGCGTTGTTTTTCCGGCCCCAGATGCGCCCATCAAAGCGGTCAGCTTGCCCGGCTGGACATAGCCATAGACCGAGTTGAGTAATCGACGGGTGCCAGATGGTACTGGTACATCATAATTAACATCCTCCCAGGTTAGCACGGCTTTTGAGGTGATATTCAGATTTGAGGAAGAATCGACTGCCTCTTTATTCTGACGTCTCTGCTTTTTAGCCATCAGTTCCTCGTTCAGCTTCTTCCGCTCGGCGTTCTCTTTCTGATAGAAGGTAATAGTTCTACCGCCTGCACCCCAGTTCACGGATTCTCCCAAATAAGCATTGGTGAACAAGAAGAAAGCAATCAATGCCACAATGATTCCAAAGTTACGCCAAAGATCTCCGGTCTCGTAACTGAAGCCGGCACTGAGATAGGCGGAACCTGGAATGATGTCTGAACCGGGGGAACTTCCTTGGAGAGTACATGTTTGATGAGCGATGTCACCATAAGAGGGTACCAGAGACGAGGTGGAGCAAGTCAAAGTAATTCGTTTGAACTCATTCACCATCAAAGCGGCAAATCCTAAACCGAGGGCATTGATGTAAAAGATCCAACGCAACCAGACTTGCTCGCTCTGATACTGGATAAGATAGCCAGCGGTAAGAACATACAGCGTAATGATGACGGCTGCAAATTTCATCGCATAGTCAAAATCAGGGCACAAACAGCCAATTGTTCGGAAGAACAAAGTCATGGAGAGATATCCGGTTATGATGATGAGGACGAATGTGAAGAAGGCTCCGGCGTCGAGGACTAGACCGCACATGAAGTAGACAATGATACTGAAAACCAAGATTTGCACAGCAGCAAAAGCAGTATCGACCAGGATTTGAGCGATCCATAAGGCACTTGGACGGTGGAATGTATAGGCTTTATGCTTGTTCACAATCGGACGACCAAGCATAGTTGAACCTAGCTCTGCGAAAGCTTGGAAAGCGTTGAAAAGTAGGGATATGAACAACAGTCCACCTCGAGTGAATGCGCCTGAACTGTTAGTTGGCAATTTGTACCAAACCGTTCCTAAAACAATAGCCGTGATAATAGATGTAGCCCAAGAGACAGTCAAAGTGAATTTGTCCTGCCACTTTACAAGAAACTGACGTTTCATCAGGGCCCAAATCTGAAGATAAAAGGGGATCGAGTAAACCGAAGATTTAGCGGTGTGCTTGCGTTTGGCTTCCTGGTGAGCAAGCTCGAATTCTTCGTAAACATGCTTTTCTTCTTGGATTTGTGTACGATATGCTGCAATTTCCTGGTCAAGCAATGTGCGGTACTTGGACTCATCGAAAGCCTTTACCAAAGCATCTGGCGTGGACGGCACATTGTCAGAGTTGCGGCCATCTTGGTATTCCCTTTCAAACGGGTCAGTGCAACCGGTCAAATAATCAGGCGTTGTCTGTCGAGGTTTCGGCATGAAACCAAGTCCTTCAAAATAGGCTCTTGCTTCAGTCGTAGGTCCAAAGAAGACTTGGCGGCCTTCGTCGATGACCATGACTTTGTCGAATTGCTCATAGATATTTTCCGATGCCTGGTACAAAGAGACGAATGTTGTTGTTTTGTAGATGTTGGTCATAATCCGGAGAGACTTTGCGAAGTCTAGGGCAGTAGATGCGTCCAAGCCTCGAGTTGTATTGTCCCAAGCTAAGACGGTGCCAGAAGTGATCATCATTTCTGCGATACTCACTCGTTTGCGCTCGCCTCCAGAGACACCCCGAACGAAAGCATTGCCGACAACCGTGTTTACTGTATGTTCAATGTTGAACATCTTCAGCAATAGTTGTATGACCTTTTCCTTGAACTCCTTTTTCGACACACCAGCGGGTCTCTTGCCTGGCGTTTTGGTGTCGAGGGCGAATGAGAGTGTCTGGCCAACAGTTAGGGTTGGGTGGTGGACATCATCTTCTTGGTTGTAGACAGCTTCACCGCGAAACCGTTTTGCAAAGGTGTTGCTATCGAATGGTCCGTATGATACCTCACCATCAAACGATGTGTAACCGTAGCGTTGATTCGTAATGACTTTCAAGAACGTAGTACAACCGGAGCCGGGCCGACCTAGAACCAATACCATTTCTCCAGGCTTAAGTACGCCTCGGAAATTGTGAAGAATGTCCACTTCCGCACCTTGCTTTTGAAACCCTAGAAGAGTTTTTATTGTAGCATACACGTTGAAAAAGCCGATCACGGCATCTGGAAACGTCTGTACGAATGTCTTGACTCCGCCGAATCCTCGTACTGTGAGACCATCCCAGACGACACCTAGATTGTCGGTCAGTTTGCGCTAATACATTTCGCAACGTAATGTTGATAGCCTACCAATATGCTTCGGCTTGATTCCAGCCTCGACCTCGGCTGCTTTAGATCCATGGAGAGATGTCTCTAGATCCCAAGGATCATCAGATGATGCGTTTGAGCTACCGGTCTTCTCGAGGTCGTGCACGGAGGCGCGTTTCGAAGGCCGCGACGCCTGTTTCGACAATCGCCTCGTTTGCTGGGAGATGTTGGAGAACTGTCGATTGAGCTCTGCAAAATCCCTCTCTGCTCGCTCGACATCAACGCCGGATTGGATGCGTGAGAGACCAGTAGGGTTGGAGGTTCTCACTTGTTCACGGCCGTCTTCATAAGTGACCTCGGTGCGCACACTTTCATCTTCCTTGGTCCATGATTCAGTGTGAATAGCAGGTGACGACATTGCGCCTGTTGGATGAGAACCCAGCACAAGTGCAAAGTATGGTTTGATTCTGTCTGCTGTATTAATATCCAGGTGAATGTTCAGATTAGATGATTAGGATTAATGCCCGGATCTGAATAAAGTTAGGGGTGATAGCTCCGACAAGGCTGAAAGAAACTGCACAGCACCTAGAACCATTTGCACAGCAGTGTGCAGGGTATCAGGTTTGTGAAGAGTGAAGAAGAAGAAAAAGAAGAAGAAAAGGGAACGAGAAATAAGAGTGGGACGACTGTCGGGAGCTGCCTGGTTTAGTAGCTCTTGCCCAAAATGGCAGCCAGTAGCTACACTCTTCTCCGCCAAAACGGCGGCCCCATCAGATAAAGTCTATGGTATCACTGTCAAGGTCTCGGAGGGAATCGTCCGCACTCCATACCATTCTAGTCTCCAGCAAGAAGTCGAATTACTAATCCAGTCGCGACGCGCGAGGCATAACCGACTTAATGACCAATTGATTACGAACCAACAAGAGCTGCTGATAATGGCTTTTGATATACTCCGTGGGTAAATCCGTCCCCTAATGCGCTCCGTTGCGGGGCAAGCTACGCTACCCTAAACTTTTGTTCTGCCATGTGTAGATGTAATTTTGCTTCATTCGAGGTCACACCGCGCTGCACCCTGCGAGTGTATATGTCTTATGATTCATGTTGACTCATCGATTTGCATCGGGACATATCGGTTTGCTAGGTAGCATCTTGTTCAACCCTGCATTGACACATCACGATGCGACAAGGAATAAATGCAAACAATGCAAACATGCCAAAGACGGAGCTAAACTAGGGGCTTCAGCACCTTTAAGCGAAACAGATTATTCCAATCTGGACCAATCGCCTTGTTGTTTCGGCTGAACGGCATTTTCCTCTGCAATTGATCTAAAAGAACTCGATACCAGGAGATAGATTGCTGCTCCGTCTCGAACCCATCACATATCCATCTTGAGCAGTAATATTGGATATACAATCTGGCGTTGATATGATTGTTTCCTCCAAAACATTCAGCAAAAAAAGTCCCGTGCGCAAGAAGAAGTTGCTTCCGAAATGACTCGTCAATTACTAGCTGATCTGGCCCGGCAACTCATATACTGATTCATGCAGGAAAGCGTGTAGCGTTCTGCATATCGAGTTTGGATCCACCATACCATGACTAACTACGCTCTAGGTTCTCTCTAAGTATCAGATTTTCTTCTTGAATCCTTGTTCGGGGCTGTCTACGGATCTGCGGCGTATTTTTCATGCGCCTGTTTCGCATACAGCTTGGTCCGTTGTCGTAGTCAGTCTATGCCCGACCTTTTCTCTGAACTCCAGTCGACGACTACTTCGACCATTTCTTCTTTTTTATCGTATCGTATCGTATCTGAATTTTCATCGCCTTGACCAGAGAACAATTTAATAGCGGCATCCGTATGCTTGGATTTCATGGATAGGCTCATTATTATGTCTTGCATGCTACGAACAAGTTCTAGGATCTTATACAGCAACCCCTAACCCTACAGATATCTTCCCTCTTCATTGAACCGAAGTCGACGACCATGTGGGTATTCATACCCCGCGGTATAGTGCAGCAAATACCTACCATCTCTTAGTTAACGCTCTCCATAGCTGCCTCACAGTCCCCGAGGAGACACTAGAATCAGCCTCCAGCGCATTAGGCATCGTAATCCAATCTCCGTTAGTGGTGTGGAAATCAAACATAATAAAAGGTGATAGGGAAATTGCTCTCATCCGAAGAGGTTGCTCTCCATTCTGATGGCGGTAGGGTTAGGGTTAGGGCTCTTAGCTCCACTAGATCCACGCTGCTTAAATTGCGGGGAACGAGCCAGCATTTACCCTGTTCGTTCTACCTTGCAGTTACAACTTCACGTGTATAGACTTACTGCAGTTATCTGCTGGGAATAATCGAGTTCATTTATGAACCGTTGGTCTCCTTGGAAGCAATTGTTGCACTACATTAAGATCTGAAGAGAGTATCGTATGACCAGATCCTTATCGATAAGGATCCGATAAGAAACCAATCTGTCCCTGCAGTAGGGCCTCCGATATCGCTGGGATAATTTCCATTCAACACGACTCACCTGATTTGGATACGGCGAGATTGGCTTTTCTTGCCCAGCTCTCTCTGAAAAGATAATACTTTTTCTTTGCCCAGAACTATATCTAAACTGTGGGAACTCAATTGAATAGTCTGCATCCTCAGCTGATAATCATGCAGTGTGCCCATATAGGAACAGCTGTTGGTATTCATGAACATAACCGCTTCAAGGGATGAAGGCACGACCAGTAAATAGAACGGAACGCAATTCCGGCATTAACTTCAGAAACGCATATCTTCAGGAGACTCGGAACTTGATAACTGAGACGCCCGTCCAGCTTCGAGCCCAGCTATGAATGCAGCAAGGTAGCACTCCTTTATATAAACAATCACCGGTCAACTGAACATCTTGTCACGGAGCTGCGACCCGTTTCCGTAGCAATTCGGGTCAGAATTAGGTGATACGTTTCTCCGACCGAATCCGTACGTACATCGTCGACCGGCGCGAAACGGAGATGAATGATGGCACGAAGCGGCGAACGATGATATCGACGTGATTGAGTGACTGCCGGTCAATAGATGGAAATATATCATTCCAGCGTACTCCGAAGAGAGTATGACCGATCAATTGAGCCATTGAGCCGTGTAGAGTAGATATAAACATGCAACAAAAAAAAGGAAGAAGAAACAGAATGGCGCAATCCGGCAGTATTCTGAAGTTAGTACCCCGCAAACTCACCGCTTCAGTTTTCCGGGCAACCACTGGACGCCTGCTGGAGCTCCAGCGCTTGCTTTGGCGGGGCCCGAAAATTTCGGAGGCCGAAGAACAAAGTCACCCCTCCTGCCTCACACTTTTTTTCTGTCCTTTAATACAAGCCTCATTTCCTGTGTCCTCTCGAGCTTCTTTTTTTCCTTCTTCATCTCACAATTCACAATTGTCGCTGATAAACTTGTTTTTCTTGTCATTCAGCGTAATTGTATTGCCTTGTGAGGCCATTTTATCAACTGTCTATTATCTGTTCATTACTCGACTCAAGTCACAATGGTTCAATCCGCAGTCTTGGGCTTCCCCCGTATGGGAGTCTTGAGAGATCTCAAGAAGGCCACTGAAGCTTACTGGGCCGACAAGATCTCTCAAGAAGACCTCATCGCCGAGGGAAAGAGACTCCGTCTTGCTCACTGGAAGATCCAGAAGGATGCCGGTGTTGACATCATCCCCTCCAACGACTTCTCCTTCTACGACCAAGTCTTAGACCACATCCAGCTCTTCAGTGTAAGTTGATTGCTCTTTTTTTTTTTCTGCTATGAGTATACTCAGAATCATCTACAGGCCACCCCCGAGCGCTATGCTTCCCAAAAACTCAATATCCTCGACGAGTACTTCGCCATGGCCCGTGGCCGCCAACGTGCCGGTGTCGACGTCCCCTCCATGGAGATGGTGAAATGGTTCGACAGCAACTACCACTACACAAAGCCTTCTTTCAGCGACTCTCAGACTTTCTCCCTTGCAAAGGACGCTAAGCCCGTCCGGGAATTCCTCGAGGCCAAGGAGGCTGGCTTCGCTACCCGACCGGTCATTCTCGGTCCCGTTTCCTTCTTGGCTCTCGGAAAGACTGAGCGTGGTCACTCTGTTGAGCCCATCTCTTTGTTGAGCAAGCTTGTCCCTGTCTACGTCGAGCTCCTCAAGGCCCTCAAGGCTGCCGGTGCCGACAGTGTTCAAATCGATGAGCCTGTTCTCGTTTTCGACCTGAAGCCTGAAATCAAGGCTGCTTTCAAGCCTGCCTATGAAGCTCTCGCAACCGCTGGTCCCGAGATCACCATTGCCACCTACTTCGGTGACATCGTTCACAACCTCGATACTGTTTCAGCTTTCTCTGGACTCCACGCTCTCCACGTCGACCTTGTCCGTAACCCTGAGCAGCTCGAGACCGTCATCAAGGCTCTCGGCCCCAAGCAGACTCTCTCCCTTGGTGTTGTCGATGGACGTAACATCTGGAAGAACGACTTCTCCAAGTCCCTCAAGATCATTGACGCTGCCGCCTCAGCCCTTGGCAAGGACCGTATTGTCATCGCCACCTCCAGCTCTCTCCTCCACGTTCCTCACACTCTCGCCAGCGAGAAGAAGCTTCCCGAGGAAGTCTACCAGTGGTTCTCCTTCGCTGTCGAGAAGGTCCGTGAGGTTGCCATCCTCGCCAAGGCTGCTACTGAAGGCCCTGCCTCTGTTCAGGCTGAGCTTGATGCCAACGCTGCTGCCCAGAAGTCTCGTGCTGAGTCTAAGCGCACCAACAACCCCCAGGTTAAGGAACGTCTTTCCAAGGTCACTCCTGACTTGTACAAGCGTAAGTCAGGCTTCGAGACCCGTTACGCTCAACAAAAGACTCACTTGAGCTTGCCTCTTTTCCCCACCACCACCATTGGTTCTTTCCCTCAGACTCAGGAGATTCGTGTTCAGCGTAACAAGTTCACCAAGGGAGAGATCACTGAGGAGCAATACGATGCATTCATCCGCAAGGAGATTGACTATGCTATCCAAGTCCAGGATGAGCTCGGCCTTGATGTCTACGTTCACGGTGAGCCTGAGCGTAACGACATGGTTCAATACTTTGGTGAGAGACTCGAAGGTTACGTTTTCACCACCCACGCTTGGGTCCAATCCTACGGATCCCGTTGCGTCCGCCCACCAATCATTGTCGGTGACATCTCTCGTCCCGCTCCTATGACCGTCAAGGAGAGCAAGTACGCTGCTTCCATCTCCAAGAAGCCTATGAAGGGTATGCTTACTGGCCCTGTCACTTGTCTCCGATGGTCTTTCCCTCGTGACGATGTCCATCAGTCTGTTCAGGCCTTCCAGCTTGCTCTTGCTCTCCGTGATGAGGTTGTTGACCTCGAGAAGAACGGTATCTACGTCATCCAGGTCGATGAGCCCGCTCTCCGTGAGGGTCTCCCTCTCCGCTCTGGCAAGGAGCGCGAGGCTTACTTGGACTGGGCGGTGAACAGCTTCAAGCTCTCCACCGCTGGCGTTGAGGATTCCACTCAGATCCACTCCCACTTCTGTTACTCTGAGTTCCAGGACTTCTTCCACGCCATTGCTGCCCTTGACGCCGACGTTCTTTCCATCGAGAACTCCCGTTCCGATGCTAAGCTCCTCAAGGTCTTCATTGACGAAGCCTACCCGCGTCACATCGGACCTGGTGTCTACGATATCCACACTTCTCGTATCCCGCCTGAGGAGGAGATCAAGCAGCGTATCTCTGAGATGTTGCAGTATCTCCGCCCTGAGCAGCTCTGGATCAACCCGGACTGCGGTCTCAAGACCCGTACCTGGGAACAGGTCAAGCCTGCCTTGACCCACTTGGTCAATGCGGCCAAGCACTTCCGTGAGCAATACAAGGCTTAAGTTGTAGCAAGCTAAGAACATTGGTCTATCCTCTTCCTCTTTTTTCTTCTTCTTTCGTCTCCTTTTCGTCTTCCCTCCAGACCACATGGGACTTGATAATTCTCTATTTCAGTTGATATCCCTTTTAACGTTTTTCCTTTGTCAAAAACTATTATACCTTGGAACTCGGTATCCAACCAAAATCTTTGTTTCAACAGCATATGCATTTACCGGAGGGTTATGGGTGAAAAATTTTTCCTTGTTAGAACGATGATGTGTGATGAAATCCTTGAAAGCTTTTCAAACAGGCGCCATTCTCAACGCGGCGTTTCTTTGGGGGCATTAGTTTAGTTTACTTATAGATTGATGATGCCTAGTAGCCTGGGTATCTTGAAAGACCTCAAAAATAATGAGTTTTCTACACCTTCATATTCTCTGATATGTAACCTTGAAGTGATTTGCTCTTGAAATGATGTTTATTAAAAACTTACATCTTATAAATCACAAGAATGGATTTTATGTAGAATGTAAACAAGAAGTAGATAACAGGAGACAGAGAAAAAAAGATCGATTTACAACTTTACAAGCATGCCAATGTAATACAGAATCAACTATCAAACAACAGGAGTATTACCCCCTTTTCAAGCAAATCGAAATAGCAGGAAAAAAAAATCAAAAAGGGCAAATGGTCGTTTCGATCGATGATATATGTATATGTATGTGCGAATATCATCTTTTGCTTTTTGTGCAGGGGTTCAAGAAATTGGTTTACAGAACGAGCATGGCACCACCACTAAGAAGAGCAGCGAGGATATACGCGCTCAATTGCCAGGTACCGACAAAAACGGCCTGCGGGGAAGCACCGGGATAAGCAGCCCCCGAAGAAGTGTGAGAGCTACCGGTTCCAGTAGCGCTGGCACCAGAGGCAGAGCCCGTACCAGCGGTGCCCACGGCGGCCAACATAGTGGAACAAGAGCTACCGGAAGTAGTGGCAGCTTGGGTGGTGGCGGAGCTGCTGAAGTCGCAGGCATTGTTACCGTTACCCTTGGCGGATTGGACCTGGTAGTAGGCGTTGAGGGCCCAGGAGAGTTGGTCCTTGACGGCGCACATGCTGTAGGCACCGTATTTTCCGCTGGTGGCGTTGGCAGAAATGCCGGCAGTGTAGGAGGTGTCGCCGAAGCCGTAGATCAAGTCGAAAAGTTGGCCGTAGTTCTTGGAGTCGACGTTGTCGGAGACAACGCAGGAAAGAGAGGCGACCATGCAGTTGCAGAGAGCTTCGTTGGGGGTAGGGGGAAGACTGGAACTAGCCTTCCAGACAGAGTCGACGGTGGGGCAAGCCTGGAGAGCGGTGTTGGTAGGAGTGTAAGAAGCGCTGACGACACCGCTGGGGGTGGCCTTGGCGATCTCGGTGGAGAAGGAATTGTAATCGGAACGGGTGCTGACGCTAGAGCCCTGGAGAGAGACCAACCCATAGTCGTTGGCCTCGTTGAAGTATTCGTAGACGAAACCACCGTTCAGCATATCCTGCATGTCTGGACCGTACATGGATTCGATGTTGGTAAAAGTACGAGGTTTAACAGTGTTGCAACCGTATTCGGCAAAGAAGTAGGGGACAGAGTAACTGGAGTAGTTCTTGACGATCTCGTTGTAGCCCGATGTCTGGAACGTGGCAGTAGTACCGCACCATTCGTAGACATTGTCGCCGTAAAAGTCAACAGATTCGTCGGCGGAGTGGCAGTTGAAGTAATCGGCGACCTGGAGACGGATATCCTGGGCATCAGCAGTGGCGTAACCGACACCCTTGTTGTAACCCTTCTGCTTGACATAAGCCTTGGAATCACGGACGGCAGCCTTGACGAAAGCGCTAGCTTCAGTGTAGGAGGCGTTGTTGGTGACTTCGTTTCCGGCAAAGAAACCAATGACGTTGGTGTAGTTGGCGAAAGCGTCAATCACAGCAGTGTAGCGCTGGTAGAGAGGGACTTCCCAAGACGGGCTGGCACGGTTGATGGAGTCAGTGGGGGAGCCAAGATCGATGATCATGTAGATGTCGCTGGCGGCGAAGGCGTTCATACATGCCGAGTGGTCCTTGGTAGGGTCGACGCCGTAGACACGGATCGTGTTTGTGCGGATGGCAGTCAAGTAGGGGATATCACGATTGCAAGCATTGATATCGGCCAGAGGGTCGATGAAGCTGTTGCTGCTGGTGGCCGGCTCCTGGTAGGCAACACCGCGGATAAAGAATTGAGTACCATTGGTCTTGTAGAAGAACTTGCTTCCCTTGATGACGATCTCGTCGACGTCGGCAAGAACAGTGCCAGCGAGGAAAGCGCCGGCAGCGGCGAGGGCCGAGAATTTCATGGTGAGAGGGATATTCTGAATGGAAAAAGGAGGTGTCCCTATGGATAAAGCGAATGTGCCGGAAGAGCGAGACACGCTCTTCTACTAAAGGATTAAATGTATAATGAAGGACTGACTATGAAGATGTAAAAATGATAAGCGAACGATCTAAAACGGAAAATAGCTCATGGAGCGTCAAGAAAATGAAGCTTTTTTGGTCGAGAATGAAGGCCAAAGCCAAGAAGAGAGGATGTATGAAAGAGGAAGAAGAAGGGGAGAGCCAAGGACGCAGGTATTATTAAACTGGGGTGCATCAGCGTTCGATTTCAGCGTATTACAGAGTGTAAAACATCCTGTAATAAGCCCCACAGGTAGGCCCCCTTCCGGGTGGTCCGCGCGGGTGGGCCAGGGACAGTCTAGAGCCAATCAGAAACTGAGAAGTCAGTAATTGGCGCGTACTCTCGGCCCAGTTGCTGAGCCACGCTCGCTGATTGGCTCGTATAATACAATACTTGTCTGTAACTACGCTAAGTCCAGAATGGCCGCCCCTTTTGGCCCAGGAGACGCAAAGAAGTCTGAAGCGGAAATGCTCTACGGAGTATAGCTAAGCTACGATGATACAAGACGGAAACCATTGATGTTTGGCTGGTGAACTCGGAAGATTCATCCTTCAAAAGGGGGGGGGGGGGGACGGTCTATTATGATGAGCAGTCAGACATATGAGTTAGTCATGGTCCTGATGGATCTCGTCTGGGTCTGTCTGGGTCTCCTCCGACTCTGTACGGCTTGGTGCTGCTATTTTAAGCGGCCTTGTCTTAAGAGAACACTAGCTTGTCCTTGACCTAGTCAGCGACTCAGCGTTGCTTTCTCTCCACGGAGTACGTAGACGCGGTACCACAGCAAATACATATCAGTCTATTACATAGTACAGAGTATTCAGTGACTACTCCGTACGAATTCAGCAGGTATCGGATTGTTATTGGGATTCATCCGAGTCTTCGTTGTGTGATCTGACCGTGGTGATCCAATTGACTCCTTGTCTTCCTCACCCGGGGCGACTACTCAACTGGTCACCCTATTCCAGAAGGGCATATGGAAGAAGTTTTTGAACGCTCTCAGACCCCAAGCATTCCCTTTCTCTAAAAGATGGAACTTCCACAGATCGACACTCTTGTCGACGGATCATCCATGCAGAGAGTCTTGACGATATCCAAGTCGTCCGTCGTGACTCGTCAGCCCGGTCAGAGTGTCGGCTGTATGTGCTCCGGACGCACTCCGCAGGTATGCGTAGGTAGCAGTAATCACAACGTTGGATCGGAGTTGCTCCCGAGACATTAGACGAATTATTTATTGGAGAATCATCTGTTGACTTGGAAAGTTTGAATTAAGCGCAAATGTCTCTCGAAGAGAGAGAATCGGCATTGGCCGAGTTGTGAAGAGTAAAGGGTTTCCGAAAATGCTCGGCCCGGTATTCGTCACGGGACTTTGACGTCATATGCCAGTGATATTTTCCTCAACATCTGATTTCAGCACGAACGGGATATATTTTGTTCTTGTATAGATACAACCGTTGCAACATATGTTAAACTGACCACCTACTATGTAGTTATCCTGCAATCAAGGCCCACCCGCTCAATCATGACCATGTTTTGACCTGTACGTAGCATCCAAGTATTTTCATCATGTCACTCGCAGCCAATACTGTGCTAGTGGGGATCATCCCCCATCCTCATAACCAAATCGTCATAGCTGGGAAGCGGTTTAATTTCTTCATTGGCAACTTCTTCTCTTCTTCCCTTTTCACTATTCTATACGTCTGACCGATTATCAGCTTTGATTGATTAATCGCCACTGTATTTTGAGATCTTCACTTGAGATAATACAAACATGGCTACGAAGGTGTTGCTCATTGGAGCAACCGGAGAGACTGGCCGATCCATTGCGAACGGGCTACTTAATGCAGGCGGATTTGTACGTACCTTTCCTTTTCCTACCCACCCATCTCTTAAAAAAAGAACGCTGTTTCTAAATACAGACGACAGGAAGTCTACGCATTCACCAGAGCCGCGTCCGTCCACAAACCGCAACTCCTCGACCTCGAAAAGAAAGGCGTCATAATCCGCCAATGCGATCTGACAGCGCCCAAGGAAGAACTAGCCGAGGCCCTGAAGGGAATCGATATAGTCGTCAGCAGTGTCGGGCCGTCCGATCAGCATATCCAGCACAATATCGCGACGGCAGCAAAGGTTGCGGGTGTCAAGCGATTTATTCCATGTGGATTCATCACGATCTGCGCGCCGGGGGGGATTATGTGGTTGCGCGATGAGGTTTGTCTTTTCCCTCTTTCCCGGTTAATGGCCGGCTACTGACAGCCTCACAGAAGGAAAAAGTATACAATCACATTAAACAAATCAAACTGCCCTACACCATCATCGACATTGGCTGGTGGTACCAAATCGCAACTCCACGCCTACCATCCGGCAAAATAGACTATGCCATGACGACCTCCAACGACGAATTGATTGGCGACGGCAGGACGCCCAGTTCATTCACTGATTTGCGCGACATTGGGAAATACGTTGCCAAGATCATTGTTGATCCTCGTACAGAGAACAAGATGGTCTTTGCGTATAATGTGGTGATGTCGCCGGCAGAGATTTTTGATACGGTTGAGAGATTGAGCGGTGAGAAGGTTGAGCGGAGATACGTACGTCCGTTCCCTCCCTCCCTTGCAAAAGGGGGGGGGGAAAGAAGAAAAGAAAAGAGGAAAAAAAATCTTTCATACTGACAAAGGATAGATCCCCGAAGAAACCGTCCACAAACGAGTCGCTGAAACCCGGGCCTCAAGCGAAACATACCCCTTTGAACCGACCAAATTCACCGCTCGATTCGTTGCCGAATATCAACTGTCGTGGGGTATTCGAGGCGACAACGTACCTGAATATGCAAAGTATTTGGGCTATCTAGATGCAAAGGAGTTGTATCCGGATTTTAAGCCGATTTTGTTTGAGGAGTATGTTCAGGAGTTATTACATGGGACTGCGACGGGGGTGTATACGGATCGGATTTCGAGGATTTATTAATCCCCAAAACTTTTTAAGAGCGAGTGTGGAAGAATGTGGAAGAATGGTTATGGTCTTTATCGTTTTGTTGCATTGGAAGCTAGCTGGCTTTGCTTCCACCTAGGTGCGGACGGAGAGGTGAGATAGATATTATACATGGATGAAGCTTTTCGTTATGCCGGCCGGGGGGGTTGGTATACGTGTGTACGTTTGATTAGACGACTCTAGTACTTGGCAGATAATTACCTAAGGTTCCAGTCATTACTACACTCTACGCAACAAAATACATAGCAATAATTTCATTCACATCATATGCTGCAGTAGCGTATCGTATCTACCATCGCTGAGGACGATCATAATCAGGATGCCACTGATCCTGTCCACCGTAGTGCTGATCATACAGACCCTGCACGTTCTCCTCCGCATGACGCTTGGCCTGGATTCTGTCGTATTCATCGAGACCCTTTGTTTCGACGAGCTTGTCGACTTCGGCGCCGACGAGGCCGACGAGAGCCTCTTTTGCGAAGGCGTGGGAGACTGGTTCTCCTATACGAGTTGTAAGCATCATGGTCTAAAAAAGCGGACGGGGGTGGAGGGGGGGTTTACCCTCGGCACGGCGGTGGTCTTCAAAAGCCTTGAAAGCCTCGAAACTGGCGGCTCCGGCAATCAGTTCGTGAGAGAGCTTGCCTTCATGAGGCTGGCCGCCGTAGACCTGCTCGTGAGAGGCTTGAGATTCGTCTGTGTTTAGCAGTATTTATTAGTCATGCATGGCATGCATATGCAGTGCGAGAAGATACATACCCCAACCGAAGAAACCCATGTTGATGTTGTATGTATATAGATATATATATGTCTTGATTGAAGAGGAGTAAGTTGTCTGAATGAAGGAGAACTGTGAGTAGGGGGAACAGCTTCTTATAAGCTGCGGGGACTGCTACCCCTCACTAGACAGCTGTATGATACAGAAAGGTATCTCGTAATGTAAGCTTTGGCCAAGTAACTTGGCTAAAGCTTCGATATGGTGCTCCATTTGCTGTCAGTCTACCAATCAGACGACATTTTATCGCAGAGAATGAAGAATGATTGGTGCAATTGAGCAGTTTCAGACGACAACTCAGCCACACTGGCCATCGATTGGTATATCGAAACCATGTATCGTATATACCTGTATCGATGCGTCTTTTTATTTAAATGCCGATGCCTGGGACAGCCAATTGTCGCATCATACAATACCCCTGAACCACGACTGACTGAAACAAATGGTCTCATAAGAGGAGCAGATCAATCTGAATGACACAATTGCGTCCTATTTGCCATCCCATTTGTTCCTCTGTGAGCGTGGCTGGCTGGCTGGGAGAATATTCTGTTGTCTCGTACGAATGGCGGGGCAGGAGGAACATACCAGCCACAATACGATGCTGCATCGTGGCGGTGCTCGATGGGCATCAGATCAGTCAGACGGAGATACTTGCCATCAATTGATCAATAATCAAGCAATAGGTTGAATATGAAAAGTATGATCCCGATGTCTGATGTCTGATGTCTGATGTCTGATGCGTACGTAGTCGTGTTCACCGAAACTCGTAAATCGTCATAGCAGTAAACTCACTTGACAAGTCCGCACTCCATCAACCACCACCACTAACCTGGAAACCATTGACGATCCTCAGAAGACAGAAGAAGAAGAAAATGCCACCCAAACTCCCCATCGCAGACGACTTCCCCCCAAACGCAACCATCACAATCTCCTACCCAGGCTCACCCGACACCACCCCACCACCCACCTCAACCTCCGCCCATAACATCCTCATCCTCCTCCACGGCCTAGGCGACACAGCCACCAAATTCGCCTCCTTCGGCCGCGCCCTCAACCTCCCCGAGACTATCTGTATAACCGTCCAGGGTCCCACACCCTTACCGAGCAGTTTTATCGATATTCCCGGTGGAGGATTCCACTGGGGCGATGACGTTGTCTTTAACAATGATAACGATAGTCGGACCGAGGGGGCGTTGGCTATGGATGCCGGGTTTGATCGTGCGCGTCGTCTGTTGGTAAAGGATGTGATTACGGATACTTTGGTCAGAAAATGTGGGTACAAGTTACGCGATATAATGCTTTTGGGATTTGGACAGGGCGGGATGGCGGCGTTGGATGCCGCGAGGGAACTGGGTTTACATCCCCCCGTTGAAGATGAAATGACCGTCGCAGCATCGATTGAGTCTTCGACGGAGTCGACCTGGACGCCGTCCAGCGCGAGTGCGAGGGAAGGGAGGGGTAAAATAGGTGATAAATCGTATTATCCCTCGTTGTCGGGTGTGGTTTCGTTTGGTGCTGCTTATCCTCTCTCGGCGAGTACGTTAGGTCCCAAAGACAGGACGCCGGTGTTGTTGCTTGCAGGTCGAGATGATGGTTTTTCGGCGGTGACGGATACGGCTCTTAAAAGGACAAGGGATATCTTCGAGTTCGTCGAGATTCATCGTTGGAATAGACGAGGGGATGGTATGCCGCGGAGCAGAGAGGATATGTTGCCGGTTATGCAATTTTTTGCGAGGAGACTCCAGAGTAGGAAAGGTGTGCCAGATGGAGCTATTGAGTTGACGTGACCACTATATCGAAAGTCTAGTAGTTTACAATGCAATAATACTAACATCCTAATATAATATACACTTATTTCTCCCGAACGTCTTCAAGCGCCTTTCTAGCGCGAGCAATAACCATCTTCGCCCGCCTTTCAGCACTCTCATCCCTTGGTAAGGACGGCCCATCTCGAATCAACCGACGCAACACTTGCTCCGTCTCTATCAACGCAGTACGGCCCTGTTCGCGAACTTCAGCTTGCCATACAGCTCGCGCATTTTCCCATTTGACCTGTTGTCGACGAAGGGAATACATCAACCCAACAGCCGCGATTGTGCATGCTTCGTACAGACCAGTTGACGCGGATGTGTATAGTAATGCCGATAGAGCCGACGTTAGACCTGCAGTCGAGGCGCTGAAAAGTACAAGGCCCTGCGAGAGCGCTTGTAAAGACGGGACAGTCGTTTTGAGCATGTGCAGACGGCTAGTAGCGATTTGTAGTGGCCAGGGAGGGGTGTCGCTTTCGGGCTGCTCTGTATCCTTGACGGGCGACGGCTCTGCCAGATTTGGAGTGTCGGACGCTCCGTCTAACAGACCAGTCTGCTCAACACGTCCTGCCGTCCAAATCATTTCCTTCTCGGATCGGGGGAGATATCTAGTTTGTAGAATCTCTGACGTGACGGATCCCACGTCGTCGACACGCCAGAAGAGTTTCCACCATGACAGTCCATTCCATCTCTGACTCGCAAAGCCCTCGTCTAAAGCGTTGCGAAGCTCGGTATGAGCCCGCTCAGCCCATATGGAGACTGACTGGTCAAGACTCCGGCGGGTCTCTGCAGATGTATCAGTCAACGCCAATTCCTTGCCGCGCCTGACTTCTTCCACAGTAACCCCTTCTTCAGCTGCATCTAGCAATGATTCGATGATTGTCTGCAGCTCCGAGCTCAATCCTGACTTCGTAAAGGCCGTAGGTAACCAGTCAGCCACCGACTGAACACCACCTGCCGTCCAACCACGCTCATATTCCGATGCAAATCGAACCGATTCCCGAAACTTGTCCAATGCAGTCTCTGCCACCTCCGTGTTCACAAACGTCACTGCGCCATCCTTTTGTCTATCTCCCTCAACACCCAACTCAATAACCCCATGCACCAACTTTTCCGAAGACTTCCAAGCAGCACGACCCAATAAACCAGAATAGGCCAACAGCCCTTCTGTGCCCGTACCAAATATGATAGTTTTGTGGACCGGGTATCTAATCAGTTCATGTCCACCACTCTCCATCGACTGAACCGTAATCGTCGGCACGAAAAACACCTCATCTGTAATAGGGCCCGTATCCGGTTCTTGACCCGGACCAAGTGTGCTCACAAACAATTCGATCCGGCCTTGTTTCAGCAGGGGAGAGTTTATCGATATCGTAGGACAAAGGTTATTTTCGACAATGCCGGATTCTTCGCCGTATCTATTTCCAGAATCTATCAGCCGATGGCCCTTTGTTTGCAGAAATGTAACGATTAGATATACCGAATGAGTAATCCATTCGACCCTTCAATTCCATAAGAATCTATCAAATCTTCCCAAGACTGTCGCTCCGTCAATGGATCCGCCAAAAGTAACCTAACCAGTCGACGAGTAGTACGCGCATTGTTGACACCAAGCACTACCACCAAATCAGCCATAAACACTTCAGACCAGGCAGGGGGGAAACTACCAGCAACACGAACAACAGGCTCCTCAGACTCCAATCCACGCTGCACAAGCTGCAATCGGCTCAAACTGATATGATCCGCAGCAACATCCTCCAACTCCTTGAGCGCGGCGTACAACTCTCGAAAGCGGGCGGGTACGCTCTTGTCGACGACAAGACTAGCCGAGGAATTCAGTCTCGTAGGAGCTGACACAGTCAAATATCGACGTGTCGCTGCGTTGATTTTGGGGGTGTTATTGTCGTGGAAAACATGTCGAAAACCAGCCGGGTTGCGCGCTCGGTAACTATTCGTGACTGTTGAGACGGTTCGTCTTCGCCATGTTGAGCAGGAAGGACAGTAGAATACTTTTCCTTCTGTTGTAATGCCTACACCGGTATTCTTTCCTGCAAGAGGACTTAAGCTCCTGCGAACTGCGGTGCGCAGTTTTGTAGGCATTCTGGGGTTGTTATAAAGAAGCTATCTTTTCTGGATTCTGCGGATGTCAGCTTCTTTTTCTTTTACGGGTACGTTGGCTGGCTACGGTTCCGCATTTCGGGTGCCGGTACCTTTTCAGCTATAAACATCAATGTTTACATTGACAATTTTCTACAAATATTTCAAAAGAAAAGCAATTGTTCATCAAACTCGTAATCACATCAAGACGCCCAGCCACGAATACATCATTCCAACCAGCCAACGCTCTGCCGAACAACATGAAATAGAAGAAAATCCTTGAGTTATTTCATTGTTCATTCCGCGGTGTATGTACATATCTCATGTCAAATACATTTGACATTGTGGAAGAAAGAATTAGAGACTGCGATAGGATTAATTCGCATGGGTATATTCTTTTAGTAACAACCGACGTTAACTAGAAGCTTCGCGATTTGCTGCTTCTCTTCGGCGTCTCGAGTTTCCAGACCTGATAAACATTAGAATCTTGTAAATATACCTTATAAGGGGGTGAACTTACATGCTAATACGTCTAGCCACAGTGGCCAACCCGGTATCGTTTTCGGCCTCTCGTTGAGCCCTTTCAAGAGCAATTCGGCGATCCTCCTCGCTCTTACGAGCAACTTCTTCCTGCGAGGGAGGTAGTCGCTCGTTTTGTAAATCAACCTTGCGCGCATCCTCAAAGTTGTGAATCGCTTGTTTGATACCTTCGGCACCAAGCATAAGTGTTCCAGCAGGGAGACGACCACCAGATGCAGTTTTGAGTTCGGTAACTCGCTCAGATTCCTCTCGCAACACTTGGAAAACTCGGGAGAGACGGCCAATGGCGAGGATTTTATTCTTGATTGCACGTCGCTTGAATTCGCTGTCGTCCTTATCGGTAGCTGATGGCGGTGAAGGTAGCGTAGGCGAAACGGATGACGGAGTATCGTCTTCGAGTTCCTCTTTTGAGCAGGTGTTCAGGATGGCAATGAGCATATCTGTAATCTTCTCTCCCACAAAAGGAAGCGACCAGGTGAAAACATCCATGAAATTAGGAAGCCAGTACGGATGAGGCGTGCAATTGAATTGACGGATATTCATCACGTTGTTCTCGTACTTGAGAACGGCTGCCTTGTTATTATAAACGTCCAAGTAATTCGGTGCGCTGAAAATCGTCATCACACTCGGGAAGCCAGTGGTACGAGTCTTTCGATACATTCGATAACCCGCATCTTGTGCCTCGTGGGCTCGAATGATTGAAAGCAAGTTATTCTTCTCCAGAAAAGCGCATGCAGCCGGATACGAGAAGAAATACGAACATCCTCGGACGTTGTTATGCACAAAATATTCGCCAGTCTTCTCCTGTCCAAATTCCTCCAACGGATCAGCCCAAAGGATGTCGCACATCAATCCATGAGTAGGAGGCTCCCTAAATCGATCGATAGCTTTGATATCTTCGAGGGTATGCAACTCTGGACTCAAACCCCCATGGATACACAGAAACTGTTTATTCATGACGGCAGCCAAAGGTAGAGCGCAAAAGGACTCCATACATGCATCGTAAACCCTCTCAGAATACTTGTGCTTGCACTCGAGTTTAAAGGTGAAGTAATCTGTCAAATGGCGGCATTCGTGATTTCCTCGTAACAGCCAAAGGGAATTGGGATACCAAATTTTGAGCGCCCATAGATAAAGCACGCACTAGACATTCCGTTAATCCACGATGCAGAAAACATGGCCAAATAGAACCAACCTCAATGCTAAAGTAACCTCTATCGACATAATCACCCAAAAATAAATATCTGGTCTCGGAAGGATCTCCGCCGACTTCAAACAATTTCATCAAATCATAGTATTGGCCGTGCACGTCACCGCACACCGTGATCGGAGCGTCCATTTCAAGGAGGTTGGGTTCGGAGCGAAGTATTTCAGTACCGGCGTTGATAATCGACAGCGCTTGTTCTTCTGTAAGTCGTCCTTCTCTGTAAAAATGCTGCTTCAGGAATGGCAAGTTGGGTTTGCTGGGATCATCCGGTGACCAGAAACTTTCGTCCGAGGGAACTGTGAGCGCCGGCGCCTGCACCTCTTTTTGATATCAGTATGGTATCGAAATGGGGTTAAATCGACACCAATTAGTGTCGACAAAGACAGGGGACAATACCTTTGCATACTCGTTCCATTGTTGACACTTGGGTGCCATCTTCCATCCTGTGCAAGGTAAAATCAATCTCGGGCACGGGCTTTTTGTGCGTCACCGCATGTTCAATCTGCTTGTCCATCATCTTGACTAAATATCAATATCAAATCGAAATCTCAAATTCAATATTAATATAATCGGCTGAAAAGATAAATGGACGCCCGTACGGCTGAGCGTTTGGAGCAAGGTCGAGGGGGGGAAAAGGAGGAGAGAATGGCGGGAAGGAAACACAGATTGAGAGCGCGTGTGGCGGCGGGGCCCTTTTTTTTACTACTACTGGGAGCCGTACGCACAACTCAAGACGACGAATGTGTATGCTGATCGATTGTATGTCACTCCACTCGATCTGTCGAAGAGGACCTTCGATGAAATATTCAGACGGGTGGTTGTGCTCGAGAAACGTGTCGAGTGGGAGGAACGACGAAGAGGGTTGGATCAAGCTCTCGGATATTTATTGAAATCGCAAACTAGATGCTCGTGCGGGTCGCGTGCGCTGTGAGGGTTTGATAAGAGATCTACCAGTGGCAAAAGTGCAATACCGCTGGAAAGATTGGAGGAAAGAATCTGGCTTTTCATCAGATTTGTCGCGGAGTTAGTTGAATGTGCTGTGCGGCTGACTGTCAGGTAGGAGCCTCCAGAATCAGGCAGCGGACACTGCATGGATTATTCCTAATCATGTGATTTTTGGTCAAGATTGGTACGGAGTTTTGCTGTATTCGGTCATATCTCTTGAAAATGAATTCGCATTGTATTGGTGATGGTTTATAGTGTACCTAGGTATATTGTAAGCTCCCCTATACTCCCGCCTCTTGCTGTAACTTATCGTATCATGATGCTCGATTTATATAGAATGGATTTCAACAGAAAGCCTCCCACCGCAATTAATGGACAAGGAATAAGATAAAATTGATGAATAAGACCTTGCACAAAATGCCGGATTTTAAGATAGCATGTGCTATGTGTCAGTTCACGGGAACTGTTGGTAATTGCCACCCTCGAGCTGCCAGGACCTGTGCTCCGAAGCTAAGTCCCATACTAGACCCCCAGATTCGAACAATTGGTCATCAAAATCAGCTTCAAAGGCTGGAGAAGGGCGTGTTGCGTTCGTTTGAGTTGATTGTGACTGTAGAATCCGATGGGCGGTGTTAGACCTGGCTGCCTGCTGAGTTGTAGAAGAGCTACTTGAAAATACGCCATGATCGGGCCGGTCACTTGACCGGTCGAGGTTGACAGTTGGATACGCTTGGCTTGGAATCCCGGGTTGATCGGCTGAAGGGAAATCGTATATATTTTCCGAGGAAAGTAGTACCGGTACGGAATACATGTTCAACCTGATACCCTAGTTAGCACACGCATTGGGAGGGAACAAGAGAATGATACACAAAGTCCTTCTCACCTGCCGTTCCTTGTAAGCATCATATTATTCGAAGGCAGTCCCGACTGACGGTTGAAATGGATGCGAAGGCGCCTTGGTAACCAGAGCCTATCGGCAGCTATGATTGTAGGGTGACCTCTCAACCTGTTATCTCCCCGATACGGAGGAGCAAGGTTGCGCGCTATATCGTTGATTTCTGAGCGTATCTCAGGTATCCGTTCACTTAGCAGCCGGCGTATACTATCCTGAATAGCAGGGGGTATCAGTAATCTTGGGAACCCCTACTTGGATAAACAGGAACAGGTTGAGCCTCACCAGTGGTTGCATAATCGAATGGTTCGTAATGTTCCATTCAATTGGAAGAGGAGCACCAAGACAGTTATATATAAGTTCAAGGGCCCTAGTCGCAACGTAATGGTTGCTATCTCCTTCATCCACGAGAGCTTGCAAGTTGCCTCCCAGATCCTGGTACAACCGACACAATCGATCAATCAAGAAATACACTAGTGCAACACACCTCAACCGTGCAGCATGCTGTTCTGTGTATTCGCTATATATCTCAATAAAATTGAGATTATATAAAAGGATAAAGTAGCCGCAAAACATTCGTGTCGTCCAAAGAATTTCCTCCTGTGCTTTGTGTGAGTAAGCCGTATACCGATCCTTAAAAGAAACCCGCTCACTTACTTGAGCTTCGGTGATATCTGAATTGTGACATCCCCACTGGTCCTGCCACATCTTCTGTGAAATGAAAGTATCAAAAAACCTATCCATGGCCGGCTCCAAAGTAATAGGATGTGTATTTTCGTCCGACTGTAACATATTCCCGAGCCTACAAGGATCAAAGGACACGAAGAGCTCATCTTCCAGGCGTGGCAGAGATAAGGAATCTTCCAAAGACATGCTCAGGGCGACAGGGTTATTCTGAGGTCGGAAAGATCCTCCGGCGTGCGATCCAATTGCAGTGACATTCTCATACAGGGTACGAATCGTATTCTTCATACGCCCTATTAGGATGTCAGTGTTAATTGCGTAGATGAACATTTGGAGCACACACCTAGCGGCACGAAAATCAAACGGCGCATGCCAATGAATGTTAGGAGGGATTCCGTATTTGAATTCGTATGATGCTTGCACTGCCCACTGCACTCAGCAAACCAGTCAGCTCGATCTTGTAGGAGCATATCACCTTTTTCTTCTTAGTCCTACATTCCAGGCAACTTCTTCCTTTCAGCCCCGGCTGTTTTAGCTGATTTTGTCTCGGCTCAGTTGACTGGACGAAACGCCTGCCTCTGTGTACGCCGCTCTGATGCCGTAGAGTTGCTCCGAGAGGTGTTTGTCGATTGAGCAGCCTTGGATCAATAGACCCGCCGAGAGAACTGTTGTTGGCACCATGGTGTATATCATAGCACTATATGTAATTAGAACAGCATCATGGAAGTGATGATAGAGGAAGGGCCCGATGTTATCTCCAGCTAATGGGAAAGAAGGGGTGTTTGTGTGAGATGCAGGATATCTTCGTTCCCTAACATGTGGAAGGTGTTGCTGCATGGTCAAGAACAGGAGGTTACCTTAACACAATATAAGAGGCTGGGACTTCAAAAAGAAAGAACGTACTAGAGGGGGCTCCGGTATAACAATACTCGGAGCTTCTAATGAAGTATCAAGATTAGTGGCTAAATCTGGGAGGAAGTGATGATGACTCGGAATTTCAGCCTCCTCTATGGGATCAAGCCCATTTGCACGAGGCTGGGCCATTGCAACTGCTAATCCTGCTAATTCAAATGTTTTATGATGTCCAGCGCGTGCCCTGACAATTCATTTGAAGAAGCAACACTTATTGAGAAAATTAATTCTCAAAACAAAGCAGCAGATTTATACCTGCTGGTTAATCTAAGTCCTCCGTGCACAAGGACGCATGTCAGGGTGAGCTCCGGCGTGGAGCCACGTCCACTGCGCTGCTTGTCGGACCTCAGTTGAGGAGCCGCAGCATCTCAGCCTGTATGTGTATCGCTGCACCCAATCGCTGGTGACGTGTTGGTGGCGGAAATATATTCCCACATGAGACTTCATCAAGTTCCTGTACAGAGAGAATGTCGAGAAGTTAAACAACACATCATCTAACTCGAGGACGGTCGAATCCTAATCCGTTGCCTGCAATTTCGACTCAAGCGACCTGCTCTCCTTAACGACAAGGTAGAACCCCAGCTTAGATGAGAATGGGCCCCTCAGGGACACGCTCTTATCTTAGATGGCATAATATTTTCGATGTTGTGTAGCACGATAAAATATCAGGTCCGGGCGCGTTCATGACGATGCATTAATGCTTCAAGATAGAACTTGTCCCAGTTGGTGGGCGAGCTTCGAGCTTAGAACCGAGGGTGGCAAAAGGAAACATGTAAGTGACCACTGGGTACAAACTGAGTATACGAATTGTCTGCCAACAGGATGACTTTTATATGTACCTGCAGAGTAGACGTTGGGTCGTTAAATGATTCCACTTTGAAGTTGTGGAGTCATGGTTGACTCTTGAATGATTCACCCCTAGTGTAGGTGGGACCCCTAAGACCGGTGACACAGACACCAAAGTGACCAAACAGCAAAATAGCTATTACAAAGTGATCATCTCTAGTTCAATTCTGTACGTAGAAACTATCATAATATAGAAGACATATTGACTTACTTGGCTATTAATAAGCAGGAATAACCCTGCCACTAGAATCATATGATTCAGGATATGATCGGTCTTCAGTGTAGATGCGTAGGAAGAACGCACATGATAAAAAATTCTTCTATTTTTCAAATGGCCTTTTGAGCTACTCGGGACGATAATTTTCGTTTCATATTTCTCAAACTTGCTTGTCTCGAAGTTTCTGTTGTAAGAAATCTGCCTTCTGACTTAAACTCGAGCCTTACAGATCTGGAAATTAGCCCTAATCTTGGCATGCCCGAGGTAAGAAGAGGCCTTTCGCTCGCATAGCCAGGTTCCCAGTCATGCAGACTGGTCGCTTAAGAATGGCCGCGATGCTGGGATCGTCAAAATATCGGCGAGGTCATTTTTCCCATCGGATTAGTAGGCTGGCTCCGAAACCGCATATGGTCGAAAACAGTATTTAGCTCGTTACGAAGATCATCGAGGACGAGAGGGGTTGGTTCCTCTACAAGCTGGCGAGCCCCAGAATGCTCACGTAGCAAAGCCTGCCACGGAAGAGTAATATTCCGAGTTGCATATTTTGCTGGAACCGGGTATAGCACCTGATCTCCATTAGCATCTTCTGTGTTATCCAAGTCTAGAAACTTACCTGTCGATTTCCGAACTGTTCTGCCCTTGTTGTTTCTTGGTTGATTATCCATGGATTGATCGATCTGTTGCAGTGACCGGGGTTATCTTCACTAAGATAACGATCCAAATGGCGCCCTCTGAGCCTTCTAGAAGAAGTTCTGCGTCGCTCTTGAGGTCCATATATGATTTAGTATGACCGGCCTCGAGAGCAATAGTCGGCCATTTTCTGAGAGCTGGGAGCATAAGAACTCCAGGTCGTTCCTTGACACTAGAATCCATGGATGAAATTAGTATCGAGAAGGTAATACGAAATATGATGAGTGCCTAGAAATGTTATAGACACTTGATTGTGTGTCCTAGCTAGGTGGTAGGTCGAGGGTTGATATTAAAACGGGCTAGTCCCAATATGATACCAAGGCAGGCGTCTACGTGAGTCAGGTGATATTCTGTCAGAATTTAAAATAATTTAAAGTAAGATAAGCTTTGCGGATAATTATGAGTCCAGTGGAGACGAGATGTAGCCTAATTGATTAAGAATATATTGACCATGCAGGGACCATTTCTGTTTAATTAGTGACCACTGACTATCAGAGATTTTAGTCAGGTATTATAAGTTAGTTAACTTACTATTTACTATTTACTATGTATATATTATGATATTTTCCCGCGCTTCCATTCCTCTTGCCGTATGGGTCCATGCATGCATGCAACTTGTTTAACTACCCACATCCATAGTGGAGAAATTGGTAATTATTGTGCTGTTGTCTGCCTATCTGGCACAGTTTGCCATATTACGTTCGCTATTTTGTGGAAATGTCACAGACGTGGTTCCACCAGTCCTAGATGTTCGTTGTACTGTTGACATATGCTAGGATTGGTTGAATTTCACTCTAACGAGAGTAACTACTAAGTCGTTGACCTGCAAAGGAGAAAAAAGCGAAGCAGAGGATAACCACCTAGGTAGTCTAGTATCTATAACGGTTAGAATTGAGTTAATTCTCTTACTAGTTTTCAAATGGCTTGTGTTAAAGAGATATGAAATAGTAAACAGATCATACTACATGTAACCAGGTATCCTCATATCTCCGACAATCTAGTCATTGACTGTGTCATAAAAGAGTCACGATGTCCTCTAATCCCTGCTCCACTAATGTATTTGGATATCTAAGAAAAAAGTTGGTAGATACATCTTGATTCATGCTCCGAAAGTGTAATTTGCCAATCTAAGACTGCATAGAGTAGGATCGTTTGATTCCGGGCTGTATATTTTTTTGGTTCCTCTGTTTAAAAAACCCCAATACCAACATTCTTCCAAGGTTATGTGCCAGAAGAATTTGACCTGACACTGTGTGCCCAGGTGTCATTGCCCTGGCTGTTGAATCAACAAACTACGAACAATCCATCCCTATATATTGCAAGACTTCCTTCAACTTGTCCGTATTTTCGAGATGTCCAGTATCGGCATTTTCTAACCACCTTCTTTTAAAATCCTTTTTTGTCAACCCATCATTTGTCTCCACGATTGCCGGAGCATCAACGATGGTCACTTTGAGGTTATCAGGCGCACCATCGTAGAGAGGGATCGATATGGACTTTACGTCAATGCCTTTACTGGCATTGTGCTGCAAAAGCGTCTTTAAGGTGGCCTCCAGGCGGATATTGCGAATATCCTGGAGGACTTTCTTGAGCAAGTCGGCGTTGGCAGGGAGGAGACTGGCAAACGCATTGGCACTGAACGCAAGTTTGGCCAGGAACTCGTCGTACGATCCTTAAAAGCGAGGCAACGCACGTCCTGTGTTTATTGGTTTACCGAAATCATGACCCTCAGAGTCTTTGACTGCAATACTTTAAGCCGTCTGGTCCATGTCGGGCAGTGCTGGGTAAGAAGTTGCCGGGGTGGGTCGGGTAGGAATGCCATTGGGATTTTTAGCAATATAGCGGAGGAGTTGGTCCAGGGTACACGGATTTCCCCCTGTGCCTCTGCAACCAGTCGCAATCGTCGCCGGTTTGCCGCCATTTAGCTGGCAATCGATGGAGTATACGTAGTAGAGGAGAATGCGTTCGTAGGCCCCAGTCAACGCCGAATGCACTTACCTGCGAGATTCTGAAAAGGAGGAGGGGAACAATAGCAAGACACATTGTCAAATGAGATAACAGGTAGAGGTTTGCAGCGACTTGTTTTTGACGTGACAGTATGAAGGAAAGAAGATTTTGTCTCAATAGACTGTCTATCTTACTTCACACGGAGTTGGGCAATATTAGTAGAAGGATAATCCTAGGTATTATATAGTTTTTGTATTGTGCTTGTCCCTGTCATTGTTGCTATTTACTACTAAGCATGGGAATTTGATACCAACATCTCTAGCCCTCCTCGGGCTTCGACGATTATCAGCTGCACCTTACAATTGAAATCTCGACTACATTTCCTTCGCTCAAAAAGGAAATATCTTCTCATCTGAACACCTACGCCATAATTATTACTTTCCCTCTTGATACGAATTAGTGACATTAACCCCCCCCACCCCCCCAATCTTGCTTGATCCGGCTTACTTTGACTTACCCTACGCTTTGTCTGTGCCAGTCAAGCCTAGTCAAGACATTGCGACATGGCAGAAAACAACATCATAGACCGCTTGAGGTCGTCGGCCTTTGACCTTGGTGAGGTCAGGGACGCTCTTCGCGGCAAAGCTGTCCCTACGGTTCTGGAACATCGAATAACGCGACTCTGCGTGATCCGTGGCATTCGATACCACGAGCAGTTCGCCGAGGATTCAGAGCTAGAACAGTTCAGGCAATATGTGCCTGAAGTCTCTCGTGCTTTAACTGCTCGTGCGGTCATGAGCAACAAAATACCCTCTATCCCTGAAGCGCGAGACAGACCTTACTGTATCTCGCACCCTCAGGTGGCTTCACAGGACACCTACAGGAAGCTGTGGTAGCAGTGTCCTGACATGTCGTATCAAATTGCTCGCGCATATGCTGTAGCCAACTATGTGGAGCTGTATCTCGAGATGGATCTGTCGCCGAGGAAGCTCGCGCTAGTGGATCCATGGAAATATTTGAATCCATCATGCGAAAACCTGTTCGATACCGCGTCACAAATGACTACACTAGAGAAATTACGCTGCAGGACCCAACTACTGCATGCTTGAACGATGATAACGCCATTGTATTTACTCTCGATATCGACCAAGGCATCAACAAACCGAGAGACGAAGAGAGAGACCCTGTCATTGAAGGGGCAACCGTTGAAGAGTCCCAAGATGCCAGCGACTTTGACGGTATGGACTATCTTTACCCCTTCTCTGGGTTTGATGAGAAGATGTTCAACATTACAGAGGACATAAACGTGGGCGAGGTGGATTCAGAAGAACCACATCTGAATTACCTACCGGAATTGCTCTTTCAACCTCTCCCCGCCGATTTGCCACAGGGAAACAAGGACCTTTTGATCCTGATAGCTGCCTATTATGGAAACAGCGAAAGGTATGCCAGGCTGCATCGTCCTCGCATGATTAAAGGGGAACCAGGGTGCGTCGTGCGTGGAATCTATCACAACTCTATGTTCTCCCTCTGGTGTGCGACCCAGACCATACCAGACTGGCCGGCTAGCTCGCATGTGACGATGGCGATACATGCTCGGATGGTTGTTTTCCTCCGCATGTGATGCGTTGAGGTCGACTAGGTCATGCAGCCTCGAATATCGACGAAGTGAAGTGTAGATGCGCTCTTCGTGCTCATCTGCAGAGACGTAAGTCTCCACCAATCATGAACGCCTTCTTACCGCCTACAATCTCAAAGTCAGCCTTGTCATCTCTTTATTGTTCAGCCTTGTCAACACTCATATTTATGGGACTTCGCATCGTAACGCCTCGATATGAAAAAGAATGCCTTCATATCGTTAATTTGTGTTCTAAGGCTCAATCCTATACATGCTTGTGATATTATGTCTCTAAGCCATGGAAAGTCCTCCATCCCGAAACGAGTTCCAGATCGGTTGGATATGTGCCCTACCTATCGAAGCGGCCGCCGCAATCCAGATGCTGGATGAGAATTTCGGTATTCTTCAAGAGCAGGAAAGGACTGACACCAACACATACAACTTAGGTCGGATCGATCGTCACTACGTCGTGATCGCGTGTCTGCCCGATGGACAATACGGGGCTACTTCAGCCACCACAGTTGCCAACAACATGATGCGAACATTTAGTGACTCGCTCCGCATCGGCTTGATGGTGGGCATCGGTGGAGGGGCCCCTTCTGCTAACTATGACATTCGCCTGGGCGATATCGTGGTCAGTCGTCCTGAAGGCTCTCATGGCGGCGTCATTCAACACGACATGGGAAAAATCGGCAAATATGGCGAAATTCAACGCGTTGGATCCTTGAATAGCCCGCCAAAGTCGTTGCTGAACGCGCTGGCTCAGATGAGGGCAGCCGAACTATATGATGATCCTCGGTATCCTGTTTACCTTCAAGAAGCTATTGGAAAAAATACACGGACACGGAAAACCTTCAGCCGCCCTGACATCAAGCTGGACCGGCTATTCAAAATAGAGCATACGCATCCTGAAAGTGCAACGTCCTGTGATCAGTGTCTAGCGGAATGGGAGGAAAATCGGACCAGTCGTGAGGAGAGCTATCCACAGATTTATTATGGAACGATCGCATCTGGGAATACTTTGATCAAAGACGGAAAGACGAGAGAGGCTATCCGCAAGGAGACCGGTGCGTTGTGTTTTGAAATGGAGGCAGCAGGCCTGATGGCGGACTTTCCTTGTCTGGTGGTACGTGGTATTTGCGATTATGCCGACTCGCACAAGAATAAACAATGGCAAGGTTATGCTGCACTAGCGGCAGCGGCATTTACGAAAGAGCTGCTGGGTTATGTCCCAAAGGGTGTATCTCAAGAGAGCTTAGCGGCAGATATCTGTCGTAAGTGATTATCAGCATCGTATAGTGGTTTCTCCCGCGTCTAACACGAAGCTTTACTCCATGATCACTAGCTCTGCTTGAAGGCATTAAGGAGGACCAGAAAAAGGCTTTCGATCAACGAGAAAGCCATCACCGCGAAAAAATGGAGAGAGTCTTGACGAAGATCAACGTCGCTGTCATCAAGCATTCAAGACGTCAACTTATAAAGATTTCAAAAATCGCAACCCAAATCGAGCGAAAGGAACGTGTGAGTGGGTACTCAACAGCCCCGAGTACCTGCGTTGGTGGAACGCCACAAGCAATGATCTCTTATGGATCTCGGCTGACCCAGGATGCGGTAAATCCGTACTCGCAAAATCATTGATTGATGAAGTATTCCTGGCTTCTGACTCGAATGTCTCCATTGTGTACTTCTTTTTTAAGGACAATGACGAGCAGAACAATCTTGCTACTGCGTTGTGTGCCGTGCTTCATCAGCTATTCAGCTTGCAACGCCAACTGTTGCGACACGCATTACCATCCTGGGAAAGAAACCGAGAGAAGATTCAGTATGAAGTAGACGACATGTGGCACATTCTTATGACAGCGACCTCCGACCCAGCATCCGAAAAAACAATATGTGTTTTCGATGCTCTTGACGAGTGCCGAAGCCAGGACCAAAAACAGCTGATTGAGAAACTTCGTGAATTTCATGATCAACGTTCAGCTAGTCAAAGAAATTGGTTGAAGTTTCTCGTGACGAGTCGACCATATGATGATATTTATGATATTTTCGGCCAGTGACTGACTGTTTCCCGCAGATCCATCTTCGAGGTGAAGAAGAGAATGATCAGATTCACAATGAGATCAATCGGGTAGTAAAAGTCAAAGTGACTGAGCTGGCGAAGGACCTAGGTTTATGTGCTGACACGCAAGAGCAGCTTCAAAAAGAGCTGTGCAAAATGAAGCATCGCACATACCTTTGGTTGTATTTAGCAATCGATGATATCAAAAGGACATTGAAAAATAGCCTTCGGCCAGACAATGAAATAATTCCACCGCTTCCAAGAATGTCCCTGAAGCATATGAGAGAATACTTGATCGAGTTCCTTCTAACCAAAAAGCCAAGGCAGAAACTATTCTACGAATTATTGTTGGTGCACGACGTCCACTAACTATTCAGGAGATGGCAATGGCTTTGGGAATAGCGACGAGTCCAGATGCAGAAACAGCAACGGAGGCTGGCCTAAGCCCTAACGGATTAGACGAAAAGATACGGCAACTCTGTGGGCTGTTTGTTTTCATCAAAGAATCCAAAATCTACCTCATTCATCAGACTGCAAGAGAGTATCTTATTAGCAAACACAATAGATCTTCCAGCACCCATTGGCAGCGCAAAACAGAGATACAAATGACTAAAATATGTGTCAAATACCTTCTTATGAATGATGTGGTCAGTAATGAGGGAGTGCTTATACGGAGCTTACTAGATTATTCTGCCGAAAACTGGGCCAATCATTTTCGAGACGTACTATCTCCAGAAGACGAGATAGTGGACTGGGTCTGGAAGCTGTATGATGTTAGGACTGAGCGATTTCACTTGTGGGTTCCTAAATTTTGGGTTGCAGCAATGCCGTATCATCGAGACCCCAAAATGAAGGCACTGCATTTAGCTGCATTCAATGGCCATCCTAACATACTGTGTCGGGTAGATGTGAATGAGACAGGTGCAATTGATTGGGTCGACGGGTTAGGAATAACTTCATTACAATGGGCTTCTGAGCGGGGGCATCCTGAAATTGTTAAGCTACTACTCGAAAAGGGAGCGGATTTCAATGCTCAGGGTGGACAATATGGCAATGCTCTTCAGGCTGCTGCTCAAGGAGGACATCTTGAGATTGTTCAACTACTACTCGAGAAAGGAGCAGATGTCAATGCACAGGGTGGATACTACGGCAATGCTCTCCAGGCTGCTGCTCAAAGAGGACATTCTAAGATTGTTCAGTTATTAGTCGAGAAGGGAGCAGTTGTCAATGCTCTGCAGGTTGTTACTCCAAATAGATCTCAGGAGACTGCGCAAGCGCAGGGGGGAAGGGTGTGAGGGAATTTGAGTGAACGGAGGGGTTTGGATTGACTATTTTTGTGGGGTGGAGGAACGGAGTTGAGCAATTGTCAAGGAATATGCTCTTTGAAGGGCGTGCAGAAAGTGAAGGGACGGTAAGATTTGATGTTCTCTAAGGTAACAGCCATGATCGTGGAACAGAAATAGAGAGCTCAGGGAAAATGAAGGCGAGGTCTGACGGATGCACTCCATTATGCTGTGCACCGAGAGGCTTTTATATCCATCTAAAAATACGAAAGCTGCAAACCGATGATTGTCAATTTCGCCTAGAATGTCGCTTTCGCTGCCACTAGCACCGTCTCCGTCAGCGTAGTCTCCACAAGCAAGAAGGAACGGCGGCATTGGCGTTGCAGTCGTCGTATTGAACGGACTGGCCGGCCTCCAATAAAATAACCCAACCAGGCTCAAAAATGAAGCATGATCTTGTAGCTTGTCCGATACTATCCACGCTCACGCGCAACTCCGCTCCGTTCCCCAATTGCGGCATTGCTGACCACATCTGTGGCCAATGTCGTCTCTAGATTACCATCTCGTTGCTTCTTGTGTCAAAGATTTGCCTTCATTGTTCTCTGTACCGGCTGTAATGAGAGCGGGTTCCTCTCAGTCCTGGCTTCACTTGCACGAGTGTAGCCGTTAGGAACTTAGCAGTGCAATCGATTGGGTGGGGCTAATAGTCTGGTGATTCAATCATGTGGTATTTGAACTGGAGGCTTTGATTCATGTATGGTTATCTTCCATCATCTGAATTGCAGATGATGGCTCACTGCTATAGAACCCAAATTTCTGTCAACTACTCAAAGGTAGTCACGGTACAGAAAGGGAGGCGGCGCAGGAATAAGGTGGATCCGCGCAGGGGGAGGGGAAGATGCTGGGATCAGCCATTCGTGTAGTTTTTTGCTAGGTAGACACGGCTAGGGAAGAGGTGAGCAGCTAGAGCGGTAGACAAGAAAAAGGAGACGTGGAATCGATGGTCGTCGTTCGGGGATGCACTCGCAGTTTATATAGGCCTCACCCGGTGGGGCCACTCTCGTTAAAGCGACGAGATGGACCACTATACCCCATATAGTACGGAGTATACACAATACTTCCACGATAGCCGGAGCAGAGGAATGGAGTCAGCCGGAAATCGCCTACAAAAACCACATAAATCACTAACCCCTTAACGGAATGGCATATTGTCCGGTTCTCAAATGGGCTCTCCAAGGCATCGATAGCTCGTTCTTTGCTGACTTGTTAGCGACTGAAGGTGTGAATCAATAATGCAGAGCTGAGTGATCTGCTCGTTATAAATATGTCTAGATAGATTCACCTTAGGGTTTAGGGTGAGAATCCTTCTTGCGACTTGTGGATGACTAATCTCAGTAGTTAAGCACGTGATTTTCTGTCAAGATTCCTGGTGGATCCTGCATACCGCCTAAGTTTATGCCTCGTGCATGGCTTGTAGCCAATCGGCATCGCGCATTCTGACATTCGGCCAAGTGGCAGAATAGAGCTGTCGTCAATAAGATCAACAGGACCTTCTTAACACATATACCTATAACGACAAGATATGCTCGCTCCAGACATTGTTGGAAAGCCGAGCACTAGACCAACGATACGCACTGTCAATTGATCGCTGTTTCAACTAGGAATCCTTGCATGGAGTGCAGTCAATTGCTATCTTCGTCTCCCTATACTTCCTGAGGGACTGGAGGTTCCCCTCTTGTCCGCTACTTGAATGCTTGTTTTGGCTAGGGAGACATCATAACGAGCAATCATGTCTGAGTATATAACTCAGGTTTGCATGGAATGTGTGCAGGTGCTGAGCACCGTTCCACCTTCTGTACTGCTTCTCTCACTGGCCGCTGGTGCCGTTGGGGTTGTTGCTCTTGTAAGTTATTCAGGTCTCCATCGACTGTGAACCCGACAACCACGGATGTGTATACTCATTAAAATCTAGGCATACATCCTCCTCTTTGCTGTTGCGTTCAGACCTCGACCGCCGTTCCCCGAAGAAAAGACTTATCGTACCTTGGCGGAAGATGGCACCCCGACCCAACCCCAACGATTACCATGCTGGCAGGATAGTTGGGAACATCAGCGCCAGAATATATCGGACAAACATGCTGTTTTAGATATAGAGAAGCCAGAACTGTTCATGTCGGTCGTAGTTCCCGCTTATAACGAAGAAGAGCGTTTGGTCGGAATGTTAGAGGAGACGGTGGAATATTTAGAACACGCGTACGGCACTTTAGCCGGACAAGCTAACGAGCAAGCGAAAGTGGGAAAGAGCAAGAACGATAGTGTACGACAACGCAAGATCGGCAATGGACAGGTCTCGGATAATGATTTGTCGAAGGGATGGGAGATCCTTCTTGTTTCGGACGGTTCTACAGACAGAACTGAAGAGGTTGCATTTGAGTTCGCCCGGGATCATCAACTGTCTTTACATCCTCGAGCTCATACCGGGCCTTGGTCACCGGACGAACACGAAGGAGTACATATACCTCCTGGGAGCATACGAATTGTCACCTTGACTCAAAATCGGGGTAAAGGCGGTGCGGTTACACATGGGATGCGACACGTTAGAGGGAAATATGTTGTTTTTGCAGACGCTGATGGTGCTAGCAAATTCTCAGATCTCGGGAAACTGGTGAGTGCTTGTCAGGAGGCTGAGGACTCCGAAGGAAGAGCGGTAGCTGTTGGTTCGCGAGCGCACATGGTCGGCAGCGAGGCCGTAGTGAAGGTATGTCTCGATCGAATTTTCGCCGTGTCTTAAATCTGAAAGCTAACAACTGTTCCAGCGCTCCAAGCTCCGCAACTTCTTGATGCATTCCTTCCATCTCATACTCTGGCTCTTAACTCCCCCCGCCACTGCAAAAGTAAAAGATACCCAATGCGGCTTCAAGCTGTTTTCGCGCGCCTCACTCCCCTACATCGTTCCGTACATGCACTCCGAAGGCTGGATCTTCGATGTTGAAATGTTGATGTTGGCCGAGTTTGCGGGGATCCCTGTGGCCGAAGTAGCCGTGGGTTGGCGTGAAGTCAAAGGAAGCAAGTTGAATGTTATCTGGGATAGTATCGGCATGGCTTGGGGGTTGTTTGTATTGCGGGCAGCATGGGGGATGCGAGTTTATCGAAGGACATGATACTTTCCAGGGTGTTGTAACTGTACATAGATCTATTATACCATCTGAGGATGTAGGAGAAGTTGATACTCGAAAGGTGACTGACTCGGTGACACTAAACCGTTCCTGGCAGCAATACTTCCAGCCAATCACAAGCGCAGCCGTTATATAACCACGCCAAAAAGCAAATTAAGAAAGATCTGACCCATCTCAACTTCTCAAACACTCACACACTCACACACCTACTCGTCTTTCATTATTCTCTGCATATATTTTTTACAGCTCTTCCAAAAGATCAAAGAACGTTGACATACTATTTATATGGTTCTTTTCGAAAAACCACGTCTCGAAAAACAACGAAGCGGGATCCATTAACCTGCAACTCGCCAAATTGTATCACTCTTTATATACGAACAAGAAACGGCTTTTCTTCTAACGACGTGACGAATCTCTTGCTATTACGACATTTATTGAAAGAATACCATTATCGACCTCGCTTTTATCAGCTCTCTGCTTCAGCTTGAGCATCACAGCAGGTGTGGAGTTCTACCAATCACAGACCGCATAAACCTAGAATCGACATTGTAAAGTCTGAGTACCACTATGGCGACAGGTTAGTTTTGTCATTACAGCAAGAGGAAATGGATTAAACTAACATGTTCCAAGATGTGCCCAAAGTCGTCCCCCTGACTTGTCATGGACATTCTCGTCCAGTTCCACATATCAGTTTCTCATCTATAGTGGAAGAGGATCAATACTATTTGATCTCAGCATGCAAAGGTGTGCTCCGTTTATGAAAACATTGAAACATAGTTTAATAGCTCATTGTTTATAGACAACAATCCAATGCTTCGTGATGGTATTACTGGTGATTGGTAAGACCGTCTCTGCCATTGGAGAGAAGCTATTACTAACATATAGCCAGGATTGGGACTTTTCTCGGCCATAAAGGTGCCGTCTGGCAGGCCCGATTGTCTGCAGATGCAAACATAGCCGCTACGGCAGCTGCAGATTTCTCCGCGTATGCACTACATCTAGAATAGTATTTGAATTCGTTAGAGCTGATTGTCTAATTGTCAGGAAGGTATGGGATACACATACAGGCGAATGCCTACACACATTACAGCATAACCACATAGTCCGAGCAGTCGCTTTCCCCGTCCAGACAAACCCTCAAGTCCTGGCTACAGGAGGCATGGAAAAGAAACTGCGCATCTTCGATCTTACACGGAGCAACACTGCAACCAACAATAACGATGGCGGCTCACCGCCTTTAACCAATGACACTAATAACACAACATCATCTTCGCCAAACCCCAACGGATCAACAGTAACAAGCTACGAAATCGGTCCCGGCGTGCACAGCGGCACCATCAAATCCATAATCTGGAACATAGACTACAACATCCTCACTACAGCAGCCGAAGACCGCAAAATCCGCTGGTGGGATCTACGATCTCGTCACCCCGTCGTTGAATATAGCGTCGAGGGGACAATCGGTAGTTGCGAATTGAATGTGCTAGCTACCCGACCCAACGAGGCTGGAATTCTGAGCGTTGCGGCGGGGAAGAGCGTTTACTTGTTTGACGGCGCGATGCCGGGACGGTTACTTAAAAAGGTCGATTTTAGGTATGAGGTTGCCAGTGTAGCGGTGAATAATGAGACGGGTAGATTTGTGACTGGTGGTGCTGGAGAGGATACTTGGGCGAGGGTATATGATTTACATACTGATGAAGAATTGGGTATGTATTCAGGTTTTTCCCCTCCTGGCTGTGGAGAATATGTCTAACGTGCGAATAGAAGTGCAAAAAGGTCATCACGGTCCCATCTGGTCGGTTAGTTACTCGCCAGACGGGAAATTGTATGGAACAGGCAGTGAAGATGGAACTATCAAATTATGGAAAGCATGTCGTGAGCCGTATGGATTATGGCGGTAGTTTTCCATGTCCCTCTCGCCTTTCAATTTATTGTTAGCTAGCTACGCTGTACGAATGTTGAATGATTGCTAGGTCAGGGATATAGACTACGTATCGTATATTAAAGAACTCGCAAGAAACTCCTACGATGACAGATTTACAAGTAGAACCTTGGCGAGGAGTGTAGTCGCGAGCCTCAACACTTCAAAACTGGCTAGCTAATAGCTAGAAACTGTATATAGTATTGCTGATTCATCTTCAAGAAAAAAGAGCTTTCGTGCAAGTCGATGTGTGATAATTAGGCAGTAGGACGAGACACGCGATAACAGTATTAGCCATAGTAGTCGATGTGTGCATTGATGCAAACCTGTAGTTTAGCAGATTAGAAAGAAGCAATTAAGAGAAGAGGCTTCAATGGCACGAGTTCCTTAATTCTAGAGTGTGATTTAAGTCGGGACTATTGTTGAAAGATATTACATCTAATCCTACTATCTACAGTCGTGTCTCCATATTGAGAACACCAATTTATTTATGAGGATTACTAGTAGAGAACTCCATTGCTGCTCTAGGTACTTACACAGGTGGAGAATAGCAATAAGTTATCCGGTAACAGGTCTATCATCAAAGGAAATGTACCAGTCTGAAGGTCAAGCCATAAATTCAGCAATCGCTAATACACAGTAGTCGAACGATGGATGACCTGCTCACGAGCTTGATTAGTTAAGAATATGTATACTAACATAGTGAGCATCTCAAAAATCATGGAGGTCTTGCTCCTCCTCGTCTTTTTGATTCGATCCCGCGTCACTCTTCAAAGTTGCACTCAGCACTGCGTAGAATAATACTCCAGCCTCCAGATACCCCAGTTTCTTGACCTGTTGTATGTCACTGCAAACAGACCTTTGATTCCAAGCCCCCTCACGATTCGTATCTCATACCTCGTGTTTCACGCTCAAAGAGATCTAAATCCTTGCTTCGGTTGTTATTTCTTATTTGGAGGGCGTCGTCCAGTTTGAACCGCTGCCCGCTCAAAATCAATGAACATAACCTTCTTCGTTCCAAGTCATGTTCCCAGCTATCGGACCATTGTGCAGCACACCGAGCTCGTGAGTCGCTTGTAAAGATCTTTCGGCTTTCTCAATCAGTTGGGCAGACTCAATTTCAAGCCGTCGTCTTGCTAGTGTTAGCCCCGTACAGCTCATGAAGATCATATGGATCATATCTGCAATACCGTCATATGAAAACGTCCGTAGATCGAAGCCGCCGAGCAGGACTCGCACACATATGCCTTGCACCTGAGTGAGATACGAATATACATTCTCTTCGTGCTTCGAGCACCCTACAGATTCGACCGGAACACCTTTTCCTACAAAGGTATATCCGTGTGGCCATAGGGTTACTTCAAAAAGAGCATCACGGATCCCATGGATGTGCAGCGATACGATTCCCATGTCAAGCTGGAGATCATTGCTAGATAGCTGCTTATACAGTTCGCGCATCAACGTTTTCGGATTCAGTCGATGTTTATCAGATTTCTTATGCAAACCATATGCTAGTGCGTTAGGACACTTGACATTTAATTTTCTCCCGTGATAAAACTTCGTAGGCATTTCTGCGTGCAATACTGCGAAGATTTGCCCTTGGAGCGTGAACCCTGTGATGTTTCAGCAAGCGATGAGGTTGACAAAGATGATTGGTCTTGATGACGAGGCTGTCGAGGCTGTCGACTGGGCGTGTCAGGACCAAAACCATCACCAGCGTCATCATGGTTGCTCGACAACCTCGGATACTACGAAGGATTGCAAGATGCACGAGTAGTGGACTTCGACCTGGTTTTCACCGGAGATATACAGAGGTACTCCGACTCTGCGGTGAATGATAGACAGAAGAGGGACGGCAAAGGTCCTCCGGGGTTTTATTTTTAGGCATGCGGATCACCTGGTCGCCATCCACGCCTTGTAGTTTGGTCTTGATATGGGTAAGGGCGACTGTATGAGGTGCCTTATATTCAATAATAACGGCAGGGTCCCTTCGCTCTGCACTCACATTGTACACATGTTGCTGTCGTTCTTCTGCAAGAAGTTTGTGTAGTTGGTTTACCTTGTTCTATGACATATCTAATAGTCTTTGTAATGGTGCTCAAGCCTAGCAAATATATTGAGAGGGTAGCTGTGTTAACAGAGACATCTAAGCATGAGGAATCTATCTAGCTAGGGGATACGGGCCGTATTTATAGCCAGCCATATCCATACATGATGTATACACCAATCCACATATAAAATCATATGGTCAAGTCGGTATCCCAATATGGCACCGGTGCATGTCAACAACAGTGGACAATGCCGACAGATATCAAGCTTCTTGACGGATATCACCATACAATAGATTTCCTAGTCGGGAAACCATGTGCCAAGCCTGCGGAAGCTATCATAAGGCTAAGTTAAGCTGTCACAGTCTGGTTATTGCACAATTCTAATATACTTAAATTAGGATTATTTATTTTGATTCACTTATATACTAGCACAAGGTGGTGTAGATGTGTTTGCCATTCAACAGCTGGAGATATTTTGGTTATTGTTATTAGTTATCTGGGAGAGACCAGTTATAATTAGATAGGTATAATGAAAAGAAGGCTGTCTCATATTCCCTCTGATCTCAGCTTGGATCACTTTAATTTGGAGCTGAAGAGCATCCTATTTGTAGATTACTGAAATAGATGAGTACATCCCTAAATTGAACTCACTTCTGGATATATTGACTTGGATCTTGAGAAGCCTTCTGTTCGTTATAACCAAGTTTTACTGTATAAAGCTTTTAAAGGCAAAAGAAATATACTTAACTAACCTTGGAAATTAGAACTAATCAGTATATGAGAATAGCAGCCAATTGAAGTCCTATGAATGGGAGGTAGTGGCAGATATGTTGCCTTTCATTCCACTAGCAAGAATCTGTTGAAAGGGATGCTTTTGTATTTTGGACTCGAGTTTATCTATGTCCTAAGATGGAATTGGATGATGATAGTTAATACACTAGACATGCACCTATGAAGATACCTGATATGTGAAACATGCATGTAGGAACAATTTCGTTTCAAAACATGACGAATTACCCATTTCGGTGATAGTCGAAGAAGCTCACTCTATCATGTCAATATCATCGTCATTTCCTGCCGACGCAGCACCACCCGTTTCACCAGTGGCAGCCACAGTCGCAGGTGCAGCGACAGTATTCTCCTCGGTAGTAGTACCAGTAGCGGCCGTCGTATTCCCCCAATAATCATCCATCTCCGCATCAAGTTCTTCCTGCGTCTTTTTAGGACGGGGTCCACTACCGCCATTCGCGTTCCTACGATTATTGCGTCTGTCATCTCGGCGTTCTCCAGGTCGGCGACCGGTCGCATTTCGACGACTCGGTGATTGTTGACGACCAGGTATGTAGCGATCAATGTGATCCGGAGCAGGTTTTGATGTGTCACTGCGACGACCAGGTGCCCCCGCCGCACGTCCTCTTCCGCCTCGACGACGTCGTCCGCCGCCTGTGGCACCTTCTTCGTCAGGACTAAGGCTGCGCTCGGTCCGGTCGTGAGGACGCTCGATTCGGTCAAAGAGGCTCTTTGATTTTTCTGTTTTTGGTCCACCACGGCCGCCTCCACCCGGTAGGAGGGTCAATCGAATTGGTTGGCCTCTTGCGTTGGCACCGTCGAATTCGCGGATTGCCTGTCTGGCGTCTTCGACGTACTGATATGTAACAGTGGCGGTCCCTTCCGAGCGGCCAGCACGATCAAAGTTGATACGAACTCTCTGTACTGGCCCGATTTTGCTAAACAAGCCCTACCCTATAATAAGCATATGGCCATCGATAGCGAAGTGAACAGTCTAACCTCCAAATCTGCTTCCGTCAAGTCCCAGTGAAGATTGTCGATACGCAAGCGAGCTCTGCAATCATCCATCTTAGCAACTAACCAAGACCCAGTTCGGACACGGACAAACTCACGGTTGATCGCTATCCGGCGATTCTCTATCGCGTCTAGATCGGTTATCACGACGTGAAGAACGGGCTGATATAGATATAAGCGAGGAACAATATTTCAGCGAGCAAAAAACGCACAGTCTCCAATATCATCGAATCGATCATGAACCCAATCACTATAGAACCAGCACTACATCAGCAACCAAGTCTCATACTAAGCAATTGAAGTCAACTCACCGATCAAGATCAACGCGGTCACGATACGACTGTAATTTCAAGAGGAGGACAAAGGTCAGCTGAAACGGTCAAATGTTTTGTAATAATGATAATCTTTTCTTTTGCTCCAAGGATCGTCCAATTTGTCTGGTTCTGATTGCATCGGTAGATGTTTTGTCCAATCGATTTGCTTATCATATCGGTCATTGAGGAAGAAAAAAGCAAAAGAAAAAAAAACCGACCGACCAGAACGGTCACAGCAATAGATGCAATCAATTTTCGAGTGTCTTTGACTCATTGTGGAACGGAGACTGGATGTCGGAGAAAATGAGGAGAGAGAGGAGGAAGGAGGGAGACCTTTTGTCCCCGTTAGATATATCGCTTGCACTTTTGTAGAGAAAATGGAGGTTCTACCTTTTTCACACCATCGCGTGGCGCATTGCTATTGTTTCCACTACCGCGTCCCCGACGATTCTGCTGCTTCGCCTGTAAATAACGTTAGCTTTCCACATTTCATTCCACCAACGAATATTAGGCACAACTTACAGGGCGCTCAGAGATGATTTCCTCCAAACTGCGATCCATGGCTTCGTGTGTACGAAAGTCTGGTTTGGACTGAGGAATGTTGTTGATGGTTGAAGGATGACAAGTGTTAGATTAAACTCTAGCGGGAGTGGAGAGAGACATATGAGCCGGCAACTTGGTCACGTGTAAGTCCTACTCATCTCAGTGATGAATAGATTGTTCCAGATATTATTTAAAAGACATGTTGTTGGAACTATTGAATGATTAAACTTGGTATTTGTACACCAAAGAGAAGGTTGAAAGCACAAAAGATTAAAAATAATGCCTGCCCAGCAGCAAAAACAGTAATCCTGAATGAACAATGATAAACAAGCCACTGAAACAAACACCCCCTTTATGTATGTGATGGACAAAACACCAGAAATGCTGATTACTATAAAGCAGTTGCCAATTCCTTCTATCGATTAATGCCCTCCATTGACTGGATGTTTATTATCTTCTGAAGACCCCTGATTATCCATCATTCTCTCCATGAATGTAATATAGTCATATTTCGGCAGATCCCGGTCTTCTAAAAGATCAGGGCCTTCGTGCTTGGGCATTGACTCCAGAAGATTATCGATGAGTTCGTCGGGAATGAGAGAATGTCGGAGATCCAGTTCTGTGACGTACGGCTGGTATAGTGTTAGCTTGAAACATTTTGCTCTTAAAGATGTTTACTTACCTTCCCATCGGCCACCTCGCGGAAACTCTGAAACACCTGCTCTGCAGTGTTCTGATCTTCAGTCACACTGACCATAAACCGAATAAACTGCTCAAAGCTGACTGTGGAATTGCGGCCGCAAGTCTCCAAGAACACTTCATGCATCTCGTCTTCGTCGTAGACAAGACCAAGACTGGCCAAGGCAGCTGAAAACTCAATCTCCTGTAAAGTATTTGACCCGTCTCGGTCGAAGTGTCGAAAAACAGACTCGAATTCTTCCAATTGGATTGGTGTAAGATTGGTCATATTTCGCGCCACCATTTGATTCTCTAGGAATGCAAGCTTCTTCGCCACGCTTGACTTGACCAGTCCCAACTCGTACGACAACTCGTCCAGCGTATACGTTGTGTAGTCGTTCTCTTCAATGTTTGCTTCAGCACACTGTTCTTCCAGATCTGCAATGGTCTCTAAGAACGCGTCAAGTGGGGGTAGGTTATCATTCAAACGTTTGACATGAGTCAGCTGATCTTCAACATCACCCTCAAGGCCCGAGATGGCAAGGGTTAGCGTCTTCAAGGTGAGCGCGAAATCATTGGCCTTGTCCGCAAAAGAGCGACGCAACTTGTTCTTGATATCCCGGATAGTTTCATTGATGAGCTGGCTGCGTTCTTGCTCCTCCTTCATCAACTCTTCCCAAACTTGGTCACATCTGTCGAGTGCCAGCTCTGCAGGAGGTTCATACGGTCGTAGGCGGTAGGTGCTGAGCTTGGTCTTGATATTTCCCAGCAAAGCAGCAAGATCGGACTTTTCCGCCACCCATTTTCGCTTCTGGTTTCTCTTATAATGCGAAAATTCAGCAAGTTGCTCCTTTGCATCGGTGTAGGTACCCTCGAAAGACGCCCCTTTCCATTCCGCTCTTTGATTCGCAATCTGGGCCAGCAATTCCTTCATTCGTTTCTCGTAGGATGACTGCATTTCCCAGGCGCCTTGCATATTGCTCACGAACTTCTCAACTCTCCGCCCGGCATTCTCAACCTTCTCCAACTGCGAAAAAGCATGGAACCAATAGGCGATATAAGTCATCAATGACCGCTCGTCCGGTTTATCCACGTCACACACGTCTTCCACATCGAGCAAGTCCGGGATGCCAATCTCGTTGGCGGCAATATCAAAGGCTAGTTGCATATTACCTCGGTGATCATTTTTATCTAGGGAATCAAAATCGATTAAATCCGGGCGATGAATATCCAACAGAGCACAAAACGCCAGACCGTCGTTCCAACTCGCCGAGAAATCTCGAACCTCGACTTCCGGGTAACAAGCCGTCTTTCGCTGACACCATAACAACAGCCCTTCCTTGGCGGACATGCCCTCTGAACTGATATCGCTGATTGTGAATTTCGAAATGAGTGTCCATATCAAACCAAGAATGATCTTTTGGTTTCCGTCCACGATATCTTCGGCACCGATATTGGTCATTTGGATGCCGCGTAGTTTAATGAAATCCAGTCCTTTGTTGACATTTTCGAATTTTTGTACGCGTAGCTTTGGCTTCGAGGCATATCGACCGAGGGATTCATCTCCGAGGATTTCCAATAAGTGGATAAGCATGACCTATAACCATGAATATTAACTGCCGGTTCGTCATGCCATGGCAGGCAGGCATGCAGGCAGGCAGGCAGGCAGTTAGTCACTTACTCCATCGGATAAATCACATCTCAAGTCGTTGATGGCCAGATTTCTGACCTTCAACTTATTATTCAGCCTGAATAACGATTAGACAAGTATCAACCGAACAGATCTCGACCGAACATACCATTTGGTGAATGTCTTTTGCTGTACAAGAATCCAGTGCTTCTCGACCATCAACATGGCTGGAGTAGAGGGTCTGGGCTCGGACGGATGAAAGTAGTAATAGCGAATGAATAGTGTATCAAGGATAAAGAAGAGTGAGGAAGCTGGAAGTGCAAGGAGGGGCAGATGCGTGAAATGACCAGACAATTGAAACAAACAAACAATGATTCCCCTCTCCGCGGTTTTGACGCCGATCCGGATCGAAACACGAACAGATAGGATGCTGTAGTCCCTCGCAGAGTAAGCAAGGAGCGTATGTCAATGAAAAGAAGAGTATATTAATAGAAGCAGATACACACAAGCAGATCATCAACGAGGATTGATGGTTTGTTGTTTCTTTTCTCCGCACGGGCAGGGGCGACTCGGTCGCTCCCTTTTTTTGTTTTTACCGTTTTGGGACTAGGGTTTGTGTTGTCAACAAAAGCCTTATCCGGGCAACCGAACCACACTTCATTCAGAGACAAATTCATGAGATAATACTCCGTACTCTTAGTATTATTCTACTGTTAGAATTCTGCCTGGATTAAGCTTACAGCTGAACAGACTGGTCGGACGGACCCATCACCTGAGACCCTGAGACCCTGAGACTGCATAATAGATCGTGGATTATGTACCTCCTCCTCATATATACCTTAGTATAAAGAATACTAGTACTATTATTCTTATCGGACTACATAAACACCGTGTATCAACAGAAAGGGGCAGAGCTCAATTGTGTACAGACTGCCAACAGTGGAAATGATATCATCTTCTCTCCGATTCCGTCAACAGCCAATGTGGGGTTTTTCTTATCTGCCGATGAAACGTCATGTCTCGAAAACTATTCTTTACAACTTTCACAACCACAGCTCCCAGCACTTCCACATCCATTGAATATACAATGCCACCCAATCTATCAATAACAGACCACCTCCCCCTTCCCGAATCAACTGTCCAAATCCCCCGTCTTGGTTTTGGCGTGTACCGCGCGCACGCCGAAGAATGCATCCAATCCACGCTCACAGCCCTCAAGACGGGATACCGCCACATCGACACCGCGCAATTCTACGGCAACGAAAAGGAAGTCGGGGAAGCGTTTCGACGGTCGGGCCTGAGAAGGGAAGATGTTTTCATAACCACCAAGATCATGAGTCCGGGCGGATCACCGCAGGCGACGTATGAGAAGATTATTGAGAGTGTGGAGAAGATCAATGCTGGGGATAAAGATGGGTATGTGGATTTATTTTTGATTCATAGTTCCAAGTCCGGACTGGCGGGGAGGAAGGAATTGTGGCAGGCGTTGGAAAGGGTATTGGAGGAAGGGAGGACGAGAAGTATTGGTGTGAGTAATTATGGGGTTGGGCATATTGAGGAGATGAAGAGTTATGCCAAGGTCTGGCCGCCGCATGTTAATCAGATTGAGGTATTTCCCTTCCCCCCCCCCCTTTCCAAAATATGAGAAGTCTATCTACTGTGGAGGGAAAAAAGAGAAAAGAGAGAAGAAAATTGCTGACAGAATAGCTTCATCCATGGTGTCAACAGCGGCAGACGGTCCGATACTGTCAAGAACACGGCATCGTTATCGAGGCCTATTGTCCCCTTGTCCGCGGCAACAAATCCAATGATCCGACGCTGGTATCCTTGGCTCAGAAATACGGCAAGACCACTGCCCAGGTTTTGGTTCGATACAGTCTACAGAAGAATTGGGTTCCGTTACCAAAGAGTTCGAATCCGGAACGAATCGCTAGTAATGCCGATGTATATGACTTTGAGATTAGTCAGGAGGATATGGATGTTTTGGACGGGCTGGATCAGGGAGCCGCTGGTGCTGTGGTTGAATCGGTGGATGAGTAGATCTAAGACATCCTGCCGTTTTAGTCCATGAAAGAAACTTATCCTCAATATTGGAATGTTCAGTCAGGTGTATCAGTCTGGTCTCTGCAAGAGAAACGCATTGACCGATTGGAGTGTCGCCCGTGAAGGATTAGCGTCCGGGTTTGACGTTACAATCCATGTCAGCCGTTGGCGGATATATTGTTTGTCGATATAAGTGTCTGCCTGCGGCCCAGTGCAGTTACCTGAGACGCGGTTAGTACATGGAAAGCGGGTTCAAGCTGGAAGGACTTGCATACCTTCGTCATCATACAACAGACAAATAATAGCCAAAAGAGTCCCAACAGAAAGGTCTTTTCCCGTTTTGCAAGTGACTAGTAGAGATTGTGAAGGATTACTTGTAAGATGTTTCTCCGCAAACACTTTTACCTTTTCCAGGGCAGTGCGTAAATCTCGACTGCCCAGTTTATGGGAACCACAGCCGAGATTCAGCCTCTTTGAAGAGGACAAGCCAGGTTTGTCGTTGCAGGCAATGACAAGGTCATATTCCTCTCCCTGTATGTCGGAATTCGGTCGAGACTGTGAGATGTACAGATTCGACGAAGGGCGGATTAAAATACCCTGTTTCTTGTTCTGACCGGCCCCACTGCCGCTGTTGTCGTCGGTCCTTGAAATCAAATCATGAATAACATGCGGTAATTGACTCTCGTCGGTTTTAAAAAGAAGATCTTTGTTTGCCCAAAAAACTGGCGCTGTCAAACCATGAGACCACTTCTCGCTGTCGTCGCCTGCACCTTGAATATAGCCTCCTTCAGATGCCTCAGCGCCATGCACTCTTCTCGAGGCCGAGCAAAGGACAAACAGATTATAGCCCTCTCCTTTCTGCAGCGTGGTCGGGTAAAAATAGGTCTGATTCGCCCAGGCGAGTCTAATCGGATAGCCTAGATCTTTTCTCAACTTGTCCAAATCAAGCTTCAATTCCTATCACGATAGCGAGCAATTTAGTAGTCTTCACCGAAAAACCAATACTAGTTATACCGCACCTTGAAAGTCCTAACAAACCCGTCGATCCGTTTCTCGATCTGCGCCTCTTCCGAGGCACCTAGAAAACTGGGCGGGAACTGAACTGGGTGATATGCAGGCTCTGACGGAAACAGCGCTCGATTCAATACAGCACTCCATATCGGAACAGTCTTGGACAGGGCATCGGGCATCACTGTGACACACGTGTTACTACCGTAGGACAATGGGATCCATGTCACATGTAACATAGACACATAGATGCGGGATACCAAAAACCCCCGTATTTTCTTGGTATCGATCAAAACATGGAGTAAGTGGGTTCACGTACATTTGCCCCGGCGAGTGGAATCCACAATAATACACCTAATCCTCCATATTATTATTATTATTATTTGGTCGAAACATTACTCGTACCGGGAGGTAACGTATGTACGACTGTATTAATGAGTGCATGCAAGCTTACCCGCCATTCTGCCGAGCAATCTCGAGAACTTGCAAATTGAGCCTGCGGAAACTGAACTCCCATACTCCCGTATGCCCATCCGTGCTCTTGAAATAAACACTACCGGCTTTTTGGTCCGGATTGATATACCAACTGCCACAGCGTTCGTTGGCAATGAGGGGTAAACCGCCGTAGTGATCTGCCGCTTCTGACACAAAGCGGGCGTCTGCTTCAATAGACCGTAGACGATTCGTAACTGACAGCGCGGAACGGCGTAATGAAGTTAAAAGTTGTGATACCGAGACGGCTGCAGATGGAAATTCGATTTCTGATAGTGAGACGGGATACGCAGTCCTGCCGTCGGAGCTCATTGCGCCGGATTGTATGACTGGGCTTCTGATGATGATGATGATGATGAGGGCCTTTTTTTTTTTTTTTCCCTCTTCTTTTAATCTTTTCCCCCCAATCTTTATCTCGTCAGGCCATTGGCGAATGAGCAACAGACGATTGTTCCTGGAAAGTTGCGTCCAATCCAGTGGATGAGTTGGATTCGGGAGAATTGGGTATCCGCGCTAGGCACGGTTCGGTGAAAGTGAGGTTGGCCAGGCTAACCGGAAGGAGTTAGTGAATATCGGTGCCATTGTGGCCTTGTTCCAGTAGCAGTTCCGCTGTATGCTCCATAGTCATGTTCAGTTGCCGAGTTTCGTTCAATGTCACGGTCAACTTACTCGCTGTACTCCGAACAGGCGGCTATTATTAGCTAATGGAACAGGGCGCGGCAGACCTGTGTCTTGTTTCTAAATCGTTTGCCCAAAACGGTTGACCGGAGAGGAGAGCCCACGATGATATGAGTGGCATGTAGCTCCGTAGAGCGTGGGGCTAATGAAACAATGCTCAGCCCGTGGCGAAGTCAACGCCTTCTCGTTTGATTCAGCCATCTAGCTAAGCACATGAGTGAATTAAGAGTCAAGTCCTCGATGTCCTTTTTACCGAAGTTGGTGCATCGTAGGGATGATGATTGGCTTGACAGTGGTTGGAGTACGACTTGGCGGTGCTGCAGTATCATTTACCGTAGTAGATAAAGAGGCGCTAGTCCCGTTTGACGGCGACGGTCCCCGACTGGACCCGACGCAAGATTTCAGCCAATCGCAGAACAGTTACTAAGCTCCCTCTGGCTCCGACTGGGCGACATCACCGCCTGGCGCCCTGATTGGCCACAGCCCAGTAATCAGGCCCACCGTGCTGTCTATGATTGGGCGTTGCCCTGATGACTGATGCAATCACTCATCAGCGTCATTGTGCCTTCCTGTTTGAGGTCCCGCGGTTCTGTTTGTACTCCCCTTCTTGTATACCATACTTAAACACGCTTCCTCCCGTGTCCCTGATCTTTCTTCCTTCTTTTCTCTCGTTCCTTCATCAACCGTCCATCCACATTCCATCCCTTGCTCGTCCCTCCAGTCTTTCCACCATCCATCTCCTCACCTTTCTGCATCTGCATCTACATCTACATCAATCCACGCCAACACCCTTCCGTCATCTACTCGGCCCTCACTCTCTTGGCTATACAGCTAACAGCAAAATGGCAAAGGTATGGTGCTTCCCCGGATCTGCGGCATCTTCCTGGCAGACCCACTAACTGACTCCACTTATAGATCACCCAACTCCTGTTCGACTGCGACAACACCCTCGTGATGTCCGAGGAATTGGCCTTCGAGGCGTGCGCCGACATTGCCAATGAAATCCTGGCGAAGCGCGACATCACTGACCGCTATACTGGCGAAGAACTCATCAAGGACTTTGTCGGCCAGAACTTCCGCGGTATGATGGTCTCTCTGCAAGCCAAGTACGGCTTCGAGATGGACAAGGACGAGATCGAGCACTACGTCAAGGAGGAAGAGAACCAGGTTATCGCCAAGCTCGAGGCCAAGGCTGTCCCCTGTATTGGTGTTATGGAGGAGTTGGAAAAGCTCCACGAGTCTGGTAAATACGACATGGCTGTTGTCTCGTCGTCTGCTCTCCGCCGTGTCCGCGCCTCTATCAAGAAGGTCAACCAGGACAAATACTTCAAGCCAGACCACATCTTCAGTGCTGCGACCTCGCTTCCTCAGCCTACCTCCAAGCCCGACCCTGCCATTTACCTCCACGCCATCAACGTTTTGGGCAAGAAGGCAGAGGAATGCGTCGCCATCGAGGACAGCCGCTCCGGTGCTCTCAGTGCCATCCGCGCCGGAATTCCTGTTATTGGCTACGTGGGCAGCTATCACGGCGACGACAAGCGCGGTGAAATGGCCGCTAAGCTGACTGAACTCGGTGCCAAGATCGTCATGAAGGACTGGGCCGAATTCGAGTCATGCCTCAAGCACATCGAGGAGCCTGCTGACACCAGCATGGCCAGTCTCTAGTCGACTGGCTTTTGCCATGACCCCCTTTTCTCTTGTGTTTTTAATTGATATCCCCTTTACTAGCGCGCGTCCCCTTCTTATCTTCACTTCACCATTCCAACCTCTTTTACGATCCAGCCGCTCAAGCGCTCAAGCACTTGACGGGTTCGCCGGAGTTGAGCTCCCCCTTTTTTCATTTTATTTTCTCTAATGAGCATCACGAGGGTTTCATGGATTGCATGATCGTCTACTGTACTTTATTCCAATCGGCGAAACAAAGCGCAGCGGCTGATCTGGCGCACGGGTCTGGTTTCTTTACTGGGGGGCAATTTGCCTAATTACCATTACTTATTTTTTTTTTGTCTCTGCAAAACCATAGATATGATTTCTGTTACATAGTTTCAGGAATAGAATACCTTGCAGATTTGTCTTTTTTTTCTTCAACGTGTAGATACGCAGGGATCATCGATGTAGGGATGGACGTCGGTTAAGGTAAACTATCATCCCCACAAAATGGACGCCGTGGCTTCAAGGCTAGATATGCACGACGACAACTGCGTAAGCTTGTGGGGAATTAGTCAGGATCCAATCGGTTCAGTGTCGTCCGTGGCCTTGACCCTTTTTTTTGGTGGTTGTTCGGATTTGAGGCCGAGTTCGTGAGGTTTTTGTCAGGGTATGATGTGTATTGTATATAGGCCCTATTCTGGGGATTTTGCATTGGTTGATACTGGGCATTAACATAGAGAGGCGTATCGACAGGAGTCATCTCGGATTCTCGGATATACATCAGAATTCTGCTCCCCGCCATTGTAGTTCGATACAGCGTTCGGCTGTGATAGGATTGCATAACCGAAAGGCTGCCACGACTTTCTTTTCTTTTTCCTGCAATTCTATGACGCGCATATCAAAGTTCTTGTCACAAGCTTGGATGTCATTTTTGTTATCTTCAATGTCCCTTCCTTGATTCTGTCATATATGCATGTAGTTATAAGATCCGTGCGTCGTGCACATGCTCAACCGGAGATGTGTCGTACCGATAACCACCGACTGGTCATTCCTCTTCTATCAAGTCCATAGATACCTATACAATAAGAGGAAAAATCAAAATCTAAACTTCTTCGACAACTCAATCGCCTCCGCCAACGTGCCCACTCTCGCATCAATCCCATACCCTTCCTCTTCCAGCCTCTTTGTCTCCTCCCACAGCGTTGCTAGAGGAACCGTAAAACACTCTATAAATTCATTCTCTTCTAGTTCTGGTTTCGGATTCTGGTTTTCGGGGAGATTCATATCGATGCGGATGTGGACCAGACTCGAGTTTGCATTTGTGAGGCCCGGGTCTGTAGATTTCACATATTAAATATCTGTATGTATTTCCATAGTTAATGGGGGGTGATACCGTGGAACATAATCGTACTCGTCTTCTCGACTACACCGATATAACCCGTCTCTTCTTTCAGTTCGCGCACGGCACATTGTTCTGCTGTTTCGCCCTCGTCAATCAGACCAGCGGGTACTTCAATGGAGATTTTGTTGATTGGTGGTCTGAATTGTTTCTGCAGTAAGATCTCCGGGCCGTGGGATGTATCAACGATAGCGATGATGCCGACTCCATCGATGGTGCTGTTTTTAGGGCGTGTCTATTCACCCACCAGATGAGTTATGACTCGAAGTGTTGAACTGGTGTTTTAGGCTAGCTACCTGTCTTTCAGCGGTCTCCCATACACGTTTTACGCCCAATGGGTCTGTGTAGGTGATTTTCTTGAGCCTTATCCATTTCGCTTCTGCGGGGTCCTGTGGCTTTGTCAGTCAGTCTTTCTCAGAGAAGGTCCGGGTGGGTTACCAATGGACCTGTTTCTAGGACCTTGGAAGCTTGTTCTGACCAGGTATCTGATTGCGCCATTTGGAGATGGAGATGTAGATGTAGGATAACTTGAGATGGTAGAACAGAATGCCGGTAGGTAAAAAATTGATGGTCATTCAACGTGGGGTTCTTATCGATAAGAAAGAGACGCATGCAAACTTGGGGACATTTTTCTCTTCTTCGTAAATTATAGTATTGACTACTCAGGTACAGTACCTAAGTACATATAAAATGAATGCTTAACCCGAGTATAGATGCATCTTTCGGTAGATGGGAAAAAAAAATATGCTACAAGATAAACCAGACACCGAAGATCTCGCTTCTCATTCCCGATCAAACCGGGCTGTACAATCGAAGAAAAAGAAAAGAAAAAGGAAGGTTTATATCTATCACGAGTAACAGGTGATTCCGCCTCGTTCGTGGTGGTATGTTGTTGATGCCTGTAGACTCCCGACGGATAGCTTCTCCACAAGGCTGATTCAACCTTAACAAAGTTACATCATTCAACTTTGCATATAATCACCACGAATGGAACATCGAAGGAGAATAAAATACTCATGAAACCCATACTCAGACTTCAATCACTCTCAAGATCGATATATTCTCCACCACGAAGAGGGATATCAACCATGACGACTACATTCACAATCCCATTCGACAATCCTTTCAACAATACTACAAGTATACCAGTCATATTAGCAGAAACAACCAGCATATCAAAAGGCCAACTCCTCTCCTTCCCCGCATTCAAAACCTGGCTTTCATCTCTACACAAATCCCTGGCAGAGCAGAGCTCATCGACCCATGAATTCCACAAATCGCCTTACATGCTGCGCAAAATCGACATTCAGGCTGTCGATTACTTCGGTGGAGGGAGACTAGGTTTCTCGAAAATGAAGGTTGATGTTTCTAATGATATCGGGGAGAGTCTACCGGGTAGTATATTACTGAGAGGCGGGAGTGTTGCTATGCTTGTACGTTCTTCCTTTTCGATTTCTGCTTTCAACGTCTATGGACTAAATAAAGATAGCTTATTCTGCAAGCGGATGATGTACCATCAACATCCGAAAAGGACAAGTATGTAATTATGACAATCCAACCACGTATTCCAGCAGGAACACTCAAATTCGCCGAAATTCCAGCCGGCATGCTCGACGACAGCGGCACGTTTGCCGGCGGAGCAGCAAAGGAAATTCACGAAGAAACCGGCCTCTCAATTCCACAGGATGAGCTTATCGATATGACGGCTCTTGCTTCTGCAACTGAATCAGAAGGGAATCTATTGCAAAAAGCGGTTTATCCATCTCCTGGAGGAAGTGATGAGTTCATTCCTGTGTTTTTGTGTCAAAAGAGGATGTCCCGAAAGGATATTGAGGGTATGCAGGGTCGATTGACGGGAAATAGAAATGAGAAGGAAAAGATTACGTTGAAGATTGTGCCGTTGGAGGAGTTGTGGAGGGAAGGGTTTAGGGATGCGAAGACTTTGGCTGCTTGGGCCTTGTATGAAGGGCTGAGGAGAGAGGGGAAAGATTTGAGTTGTAGATAGCTTCTAGAGTGGTCGAGCGTCCATTCCATCTTTAACACCTTCACCTGTTTCAGCACGTAGAATTTCTGGGTTTGTTGTATAGATAACTTCAGCCGAATCACTTCATATCAAGCCCCCCAAAAACCCTATCCAATTCCTCACCCTCATCCCTCGGCGCAATAGCAGGCACCGACTGTGCTTCCTGCTCCCTCGTACTCGAATCCAATATACTCATACCCGTATCCCCACCATGCGCATAACCATCCTTCGACGCATTTACAGAAGCATGCACAGCCTCAGGCTGAAGTAACTTCTCATCTCTATCCAACCAACCAGGCGCCAATCTTCTTTTTTCCGCCAATTCGCGCTGTCGAATACCTTCTTCCCATTCCTTGATTGTTCGCTCTGCGTCGGTTATGGTTTTTCTAAGATGTGTTTCGAGGGCCTGGCACGATGCTAGGATTTCGTCCGGGTGCGCTACATGTCCGCCTGTAGGGGAGACGACGTAGCGCGTTTTTCCGGCGGGATCGCTTTGATTATCGGCGGTAGCTGTGATTGATGGTGGAAGCGTGGAGGAGATTGATTTGTAGGTGTATGGTAAAGTTACTGCGGAGGGGAGGGAGATGAATGGGGATACGGTTAGGGATACTTGGGCTAGTAATGGGTGGGGCCCTGCACATAGTTTATTAGTAGCTTATCATGAAATGGGAAGAAGATACTCACGGTTTGAGTCGTACATGGTCGCTATTGTCTTCAGAGAGTGTCGAGGTTGTGGTTTTGAAAGTTGATATTGAGTCGGTCTTGGACCTGACGTAGATCTTGCGCTAAGCTATTTATAGAGCAGAACTATTAATATTCTGGCCAATCAGATGACTATCGCTCTCTTTACTACTTTGCTTGCAATGGGATGAGATAAAGACCAAATGTCGTATTAAAAGCTATTTCCCAATAAAATTCCATATTTGTAACGTTGTTGAATATGCCACATTGACTATAGGCAACGGAAATGAATAGAAACGTAGAGACTTCACAAACAGAACATAAGATACAAGCAATAAATCGCTCATAAACCGGAACGGACAAAAGAGAAAATATAAATCTGTCAGTACAACCCCAAAGGAATCTACCTTAAAATGCTTGGATTTCTGTGTAGGATGTTTGTTCAGCCGCTTCGCCCGCAGGTTGACAGTCGCTATTGCGTCGAGGATGTCTCTTTAGGTAAAATTGAAACCCTTGGGGCGTTGGGGACATTCGGATGCTTGAGTAGATGTCATCAATCACTACAACATAACTATGGTGATTAGGAAATAGTCAGCTTTCTGTCATGACAGTATCTGTACCAGGTTTCCCGTTCGAAGCCTGACAAAGAATTTGATATTGTCCTGACAGCGCGGCGAGTTCGTGGGCGAATTGAGTGGCGCAAAATTTGCAGCTTTCAGTGTCATAGACCAGCCAGCAGTTGAACTAGGCGAACAGTTAAAAAGAGCATCATATAAAGCACGAGGTAAGGGGAATAACTTACTTTAGCAATCTTACTTGCCAACCATAAGCATCGTCGTGTCCGTGGGACGATGACAGATGGAAGTTCAATTGACCGCTCATCGTCTTCGGCCATGTCAGAGAAGAAGTTTGGCGGATAGTACATTCTACTCCAGGAAAGGCCATGGATTAGGAAATCCTCTGGTAATTGCCGCGAGGCCCCTGACTCCTGCGCCGGGAAAGCCCCGTTCTCAATTTCAGCCATATCAGTATCGGGATTGATTAGCGTATTTAGATACGTCGCAAGTCGTTCCCAGGGCACGTCCGCCTGAATACGAGCCATGCTTTCCGGTACCATTGCCATACACCATAGAAAAGCCAGAGAGACGTGTACACTTGGCAATGTATTTCTATCACCCAAACGATCAAGTATAACATCGAGAGTGGTGAATGCAAAATGAGACGCTATTGAGACTACCTGCTCACTGGAATTTATTCCAACAGTTCGATGCTCGATTCCAACCTGTACACAAGAAGGGTTTTGCCAGGATCTGTATGCTTGCTCCAGTATCTCGAATGTTCTTGTCTGAATGAGCCCAGCTTGATCGAACATGGAAGGAATCTCTGCACCATCATGACCATAATCAAAGATGGCAGCGTAATTAGAAGCTGTTATGTATACCCCTTGTTCTCTAAACAACGGGCCCACGAGTCCAACGTGTTTATCAAGTTCAGACAAGAATTCCTCGGCCAGCCTTAGAAACGTAGAAACGTCCTGTCTTGTGAATAAAACACCATGAGCTTCGACAAAAACAGTCAGGGCTCGAGGATAATATTTGGAGTACTTTGCTGCAGCTTTTGCAGGGTCTAGGAGAGGCCCGAAAAGGAGCAAGATACTATCCCGCGCATTGGTAAAAGGCTGAACGCTGACCAAAGCCTTGGAATAGTAAAACAACTGCTGCAACAGATTCGGCCGAGCAAGGACGGCCAAATGATGCTGAACCCTTCCAACATCCGGATTGAGATCGGCGGCTTTGGTATACCAGTACCTAGCAACACTGGTGTAGATTTCTCGATCGTACATGTCCACCTCTGCTATGGCCATCCGGTAGCGTGCCAGATCGCCGAGACATTCAATCCACGTTTCCTTATAATCTGGGACGCTCTCCAACAGCAGAGTAATGTTTGCATACGCCATGTAAATAAAGGTGTGCATATGGTCAAGTGACGAGGGCAACTTCTTTCGCAGCAGTTCCAAGAACGAATGAATACCATATCGCCACATTCTTGCTGGCATAGAATAGGTTTTCGCTAGTGCTTTCAATGACTTGTTTGCAGCTGGATGATTTGAAGCAAGAAAGAAATCAAAATGCTCATGGAGGAGCGTCCTGTGCAGCGCAGTCAGGGCCTGCCATTGCAGCACAGTAAGTTCCTCTGGATTCTCACTTTGTTGCTTGACAATGTCAATACATTTCTTCTCGACCATCACTAGACCAGCGTAGATGGCTCTGACTTCATTGACTAGTTGTTCTTCAGTGATTGGATGGGTCTCAGGTTGAAGAAACATGCCATTGGTTTGCTCGATAGGTTGGTGCGTGGCGACAGCTGATTTGCGACGTTGCCGATGAGAAGACGCTACAGAGAGTGTGTGAGAGCCTGATGATGCATCGCCATCGTAATCTTGCTGTTGCGCATTGCGTGTTTGGCCAAAAATATTGATGCGCTCATTCGAAGGCGTCGGGGATCCATTGTCATTGTCGCGAAGGCTCCTTTGCGCCACATTGCTCGAGATATCATTATCTTGCGAAGTCCGGCTGCGGGAATTCCGAATGCGACTCTCTTTCAATCGAGTAACAACATTTGGAGAATTCATCATGATCCCTGATCTCTCATAGAGCGGGAAAGCACCACTATTTTGCTTTTCATTTGAGACCTGCAGAGAAGCCTCTGTAAGGGAGTTAGATTCATGGTGACAGTTGGCTTGTGTTCCAGGGGAACTACTTATTATCAGCTGCGATGCACTGCCAAGGGAAAGAGCGCAACAGACGCACCTCGTGTAGCTCATGATATCACCAACTTTTTGTCTGCACAGCAGCACTAGAGCCTTTATGTATAAACAAAAATCCAATGATACCGCCGTTGAAATAAATCAGTAGAGCGTTTTGAGGCTTAGGTTATTCGCAGACTGAAAAACACAATAGTGGCTGAGTAGAAGATCGCCACGAGAGCAATGGACATTAACGAGAGTAAGTATTGGTGCAGATTTTTCAAAGAGTCATACTAAAGAAGAAGTCAGTCATCAGCAATCTGTCTGACTTGTATTTATCATCATCTCTGATTTGGAATGGTATATGGCTGTGGCAAGAACAGCGCCGGTGTACCCGATGGCGCAAAAATGAATTAAAGGGACGAAGGCCACTTACGTGACTTAGTAGCTTCTATAATGAGGTTTTTACCTTCACGAATGCCTCAAAAATACTGATGGCATAGAGGGCATAATATACCTGGATAATTTGAGGCTCAGGGGGTCGCAGACCAAAAGGCATCCACTATCCCAAAAATGGTATTGTGAGCACGGGCCGCCTTTCACATTCTCACCCAGGTGAAAGGCTACAATGTTACTAATTAAGCCCCGATACCAGGGCTAAAAAAAAAAAAAAAAAAAAAAACAAAACCAGCCTCATTCGAGTAGGAGGTAGCAGGTGCCTGCTTATCTGTCATATTTCTGCGCTGTATTCAGTCGGACGTGAAAGTACGCATGGAGAGATGGTTTACGTAGATATTTAGGTAGCTAATTTTGGGCACTCCCGTAAGAGTCTAGGCCGCCTAGGTCCGACACGGCTCTGCTGCGCTGTTGAAAATGTGCCTACAATGCCTGACTTTTGAACGCGTAATTGTATGCACGTCACGTAGGTATGCGTGAGTACCACGGCAGGAAGCAGAAAGAGCAACAGTGACTTGCCGCGCGATAGGCTGTCATACCTATGGAAGTACAACGACATAACCCAGCTACGTACATGTCTCCATGGGCATAAAGGAAGGCTGAAAGTCATCATACCGCGAGGGTAGCCATTCTAGCGGCATTTTCAGTCTCTCTAGAAAAAGCCTTACTTCGAGAAGACGTCGAGAAAACGTCGAGAAGACACAAGAAATTTAGGCAACCAGCCTTATGCCATATATCAGATGACGAACGGGCCGCTTTCGGTCTCCGAGCTTGGGAGCGATACAACGACATCTGACAAGGTGAGACTCTCCAATACCGGGTTGATCATTTGTAAGTTGGGTCAGTATGATGGTCTTGTTGAACAGGATATGACACAGCCTTGGAGGATAGCTGGGATAGAGCCTAGGATTTAGTCAGAGTATGTCCGAGGACCGCCCTTAGGAAATGTCATAATAATGAAGTAGGCTGGGAATGGCTCATACTAGGTGATCTCATGCGAGGTTGGTCGAGAGTATATAGAGAATAAAGCCTGGTCCGTGAAGTCGATGGATGGTAGCGCAGGGAAAGACATCTGTATAGTTTTGTTGAGACTCTTACCAACTAGACCAAAGAGCTGCACGCATACTAGATCATCTAGCATGGTAGCGAATAGCTTGGAGAGGAAATCGTCTGGAATAAGGTGATGTTCCGGAGCGGAGTGAGGTGATATCCCAAGGTTTTCATGGAGATGAACTCGGGAAGGAGAGCTGTTAGAATTCAGACAAAAGCACGTGAACACACACACGCAAAGAAATAAAGGATTAGACATAGAATCGATTCATCAAACGTAAGTGTTATCAGTCTGCCATCCCCTTCGATGGGGAGCAGTAAGTAGTCATATATCCATGGATGGAGGAGAAAATTCGCGCATCCCAATCTAACCACGTCGAGTCTGACTTTCATTGCAGATTTTCTGTGGCTAGCACCCACGTGTGCAGTAGTGGGAGATGCCATGCGAGAGGACATCTTGGCAGGTTCAATGTTCAAATTCATCCTGTCGGTTTAATATTTGTATCAAAAGAAGTAGGAGATATCCAGGGAGTAGCAAGAGATGTTGTCAATTCAAAGTTGTGGGATGTGGAGCAAAATTATCATTTGGGCGGCGGCCCACCAAAAACAGAAAGTGGAAGGGCAGCCTTAGCCCTAACCCTACGATCTTTTGATCATGGCATGCCCTAATCTGAGGGATTTATTTCGTCCCTTCGTTTATGCTGCTCACTCATCGTGGCGTAGCAAGGATGAGGGATTTACATACTACATGGAAAAAATTCTACTCCAATCCCAACTGAGCTCTTGGTTGATTGTCACGATAGTCGAGCCAGAGATAAGGGGAAACATTGCGATTTGATAGATTGGTATGCTGCATTGGCCATGTGCTCGACATTAGTCCGGATCTAGTAACGTGAGATCTGAGTTGAGAATCTCAAGACTTAAAAGCAATGGACGAGCCCACTGTGCTCAGGCGGAATGTTCACAGGATTCGTCTTCTCTTTGCCTCCCTCAATACCTGACAGGCCAATTTTTGCAGCGCTCGTATTAAACTGAACCAGGTACTCAAGGTATGGGAAGCTCCAGCGACTCCAGTGATCAGATCGACGATCAGCTCTATACACCATCCACTGGCGGTGGTGTCTTTTCGGCGAGACGTCCAACGCACGACGACAGATCGTTGCGTCGCCGGTCTACTGCCAAGGACGCTGATGTTGAGACTGCTTCTGTGAACGAGAAGGATGATGGTGTCGATGAGAGGGATTTCCACAAAAAGCAGGTTTTTACCGGATGGCAGCTAGCATGGTAAATGTCAACTCTTAATTCTCGGGGATTTGAGGAGACAGCTAAGTATGACAGGCTCTCCTACCAATCCCTCGGAGTCATATACGGTGACATTGGCACAAGTCCTTTGTATGTCTTTTCGTCCACCTTCAGCGATAACCCAAGTCAGGAGGATGTACTCGGCGCAATCTCCCTCATTATCTGGGCCTTGACTATCATGGTTACTATCAAGTACGCGTTGATTGTCCTGAACGCCGACGATGAAGGCGAGGGCGGTACTTTTGCGTTGTATTCGCTTATATCTCGATATGTAAGTTGTTTGACAATTATCAGAAAGTGTGCTAGCTGATCTAACACTGGTATAGGCGAATCTGATTCAACGTGATCCTCGCCAACGCAAGCTAGTTCGGATAGAGAGATACCGGGATGAGGATATGCCCAAGCCTAATCGCTTAATTCGTTCTTGGTTGGAGAAGAGTGTCGTGGTAGGGGTCCTTTTCAAAGTTGTTGGCGTCTTTGGCGTGGCTCTTCTACTAGCTGGTAAGTAGCAGTCCCTGAGGAAAAAGGTCATTGTTTCTAAGAAGATTTGGTTTAGATGGCGTTCTCACCCCGGCTCAATCGCTTCTCGGAGCTATCCAAGGGTAAGTCTAACCCCTTACATTTACTGCTTGCAAGGCTGACGAACGCGATCCAGAATCACCGTCGTGAATTCAAGCCTCTCCAGTTCTACTGTGGTCGGTGTATCATGCGGCATTATCGTTCTCGTTTTCCTCATTCAGCCATTTGGTACTGGCAAGATTGCCAACACGTTCGCTCCAATCGTTATCATCTGGATGTTCTTCAATTTATCCTTCGGTATCTATGTAAGCTCCCCTCCGCCTTGATCGTACACGGGTAATACTGACTATTGTAGAACCTCGTCCACTACGATGCTTCTGTCTTCAAGGCCTTTTCGCCGTACTTTGCAGGTAGCTTCCTTGTTCGAAACCGACACGGCGGATGGCTTCAACTAGGTGGAATCTTGCTTGCGTTTACCGGAGTTGAGACACTGTTCGCTGATCTCGGTGCTTTTTCCAAAAGGTAACTCGACATTACTCAGTTAAATTCACCGGGTGTAGACTTAAATGCTAATAGCCAAAATATAGGGCTGTGCAGATATCTTGGTTGTTCTTTGTGTACCCTTGTCTTTTGATTTCGGTTAGTTAATTAACAACCTCCCCTTTACATTCACATCTCCTGACTCAAGATAAGTATATCGGACAAGCCGCCCATATGATGGTTGATCCGACTGTTTATGCCAACCCGTTTTATCTGACTGTGCCTCCGGGAATGCTCTATCCCAGCCTTATTGTTGCCATTCTCGCCTGCATCGTCGCCAGCCAGGCTGTCATTACCGGTTCATTCCAAGTAAGATTGACTTGCCAGAATGTTGAGACATACATCGCTAATAGCCATCAGCTTCTTTCCCAAATAATGAAACTTTCCTACTTTCCTCAAGTTGAAGTCGTTCACACTTCGAAAAAGTTCCACGGGCAGGTTTATATACCACTTGCTAATTGGATCATGATGATCGGAACTGTAATTGTGACAGCCGTTTATACTAATGTAAGGATTCCAGCCGTATCTGAACAGGGTAGTGAACTGACGAGTATAGACTACCGCTCTTGGAGAAGCTTACGGATCATGTGTCATCCTAGTTTCATTCCTCACCACTTGCATGGTCGCTATCGTCGCTATCATTGTCTGGAGATTGCCCCTATACATCGTCTTCCCAGTCTTCATCGTCTTTGCTCTCTGGGATGGCATGTTCTTGTCCTCTGCACTCAGCAAAGTCCCCCACGGAGCCTGGGTTACTCTCATGATCGCAGCCGTTCTGACATTGCTTTTTGTCCTATGGCGATACGGCAAAGAGCAGCAATGGGGAGCTGAAAACTCTGATAACGTTCCATTGTCTCAGACGACTGTGTTGAAGAAAGGCCAACTTGCTCTACAGCCGAAATTTGGCAGTTCTACAATCGTCCCTATCAATGGCCTGGGCATCTTCTTTGACAAGGCTGGTCTTTCGAGCACAACCCCTCCAGTTTTTCTTCATTTCTTGCAAAAATTCGGCGCGGCTCCAGATGTCTCTGTATTCTTCCATCTGAGAGCGCTCAACGTGCCTACCGTACCACCAAATGAGCGATACACAATCAGTCGCTGTTTTACCTATAGCGCCGAAGACGGCAGCAAACATGCAATTCCGAACACCTTCCGGCTGATAGTTCGACATGGCTATACCGACGAAGTCATAACCCCTGATTTGGGCATTCTCGTTCTGGATCTGATTCGGGAGTTCTTGAACAATGAGTCTCCTAAATCGTCTTCTCCTTCGTCAAGTGACAATACTATGGCCATAGAATCGGCCGCCTTGCAACGCGCATTCACCTCCCAGGTGATTTACATTGTTGGCAAGGAACATCTCAGAATTGCGCCGGGAACGAATATTGTCAAGAAACTGTTGTTGATGCTATTCCTTTATGCCCGCGAGGTGACTAGCAACAAAGTGCAACACTTGAATGTACAGGCTGATCGGGTTGTGGAAGTTGGATTTGTGAAAGATATCTAGCAGAACTTTTTTCATTTTTTTCTGGATAGAATGAAGTTTCTAGACTGAAAAATGCACACCTAATGAAGCCTCCTCCTTAAGCTAGTATCAAAACGGCAACATCGGCCAACGCCGTCTTGCTTTCTTTTTTTTTTTTTTTTTTCGCCTCCACGACAATCAAAGACTTCCGATTTCATTCTATGTAGACGCTTTTCTTTTTACACGCCTTTTCTGACATCTACATAACTGCTCTTGGGTTTTCAACTACTTAAAGAGTCTTAATTAGCTTGAAGGGCTACTTCAGGTACAACGGCCGTTTAAGCTTTTGAGCATATGATATCCACAACCGAAGAGCATCAATCAATATGGTCCACATCATAAAATAGCGGTCTGGAAAGCAGCTAACCAAATTGGCATGTCGATTTTCAATTCTATTTGACAAGCACATGCACTGGATAGCGGAATCCTGCTGGTGGTCTTTGTTTTCTTTTGGGGCCATCGGTAGAGCTTCGAAACCCCCATGTTACTGCCGTGTATCAAAAGCAACGTTGATGAGATACAGTGAAACCGTTTACGAAATTTACGATTCAAGTTCAACCAGGTTATCCTGGCTTGGCTTTTAGCATGGATTTACTCCTGAAAATTCATGAAACCAGTGAATCGACCTGCTTCGATGGGCTCCACCCTTACACGGGGACTTCGGTGCCCACAAAGCCTCAAAAGAACCCCCACAGACTCAAAACCTTGCATTTATTTTGAAAATCTACTTGCAGAATCAGATTAAGTGAAGGTTTTTGCCTCAGTCATAGGCTGTGCATGCCGTAAACCGCTTTCGCCACTTGCCCGTACGAGAAGACCGGAGACGCCGCCCGTTTGCGATGTGTTCACTACATAATGGAGTACGTATCTTAGCGGTCAGCATGCAGCTATCCTCAGCCTCCGGGTTGTGTGGGTTGCATATTAGTTGTTTTTTTTAGGGTCAAATGGACTGCCTAGGCGAAAGGCAACCAGTTTTACTAAAATCTCTCTCACAATGTTGGTCACGCGAAAGCCAATGATGAGCCATAACATTGCTAGGCAGCTATGGGATCTCCTGACTGGTTAGGTTAACCATCAGCCAGCTCGAAACTTGGGATTATCACTGGTTGCTATCATGTTACTCCATCACTTACTTTCCCGGGTCACTACAGGTCCTGTACAGGGCGCAGGCCCGCAGGCAGCATTGAGAAAAGCCGGTATGAACCCGGGCATTGGGCAAATATTCCAGCCGGGTGCTTATCGACACAGGAAGCGTCTTTTGTTGTCAATGTGAGCTATTATTCTCGCCTCAATCGAGACTGACTAGGGACTGATTCGTGCTCAAAATGAGGCTAAGCGGCTGCCTTGCATTTGTTTACATATCTGGGTAGAATCCAGATATGCAGTGGTAAGAAATATATGCCTCATCTTTTACCCATGGCCCATTCCAGCAAGCCACGGGTGGACAGAGCCAGCCTCTAGAAGATGGGTAGCATTGTGAGACCTCCAAGAGTAACACGACTCTGCCCGGATATGACAAACATCGCCTGGGAAAGTCTGCCGAAACGGTGCCTAGACTTCAGCTCTCAAGTATTAGGGTCCAAGGCAGGAATTTCTCAGACACCTAGGTACTGTAGGCAGAGCGCACGTCACGTTATCTGATCGAAGGTTGACTACGTATTGGGCTTGATAAGTGCCCAACTGCCCACTTACTAATATCAGCTTCTCTGACTCTCCAAAGGTTTTATCACACTTATATACAAATGGATTACGAGGCCGAATTCAAGAGAAAAGTGTAGTCAATTGGCTTTCGATCTTAAACTGGAAAACATGATAGCTGAGCACATTTTCACTGGTTATTGTGAATGGTCTCGAGAATTCGTACATCTCTGTCATTCAAGTACAGATTACGGCCATTAAGGCCTCGGAATAAATTGACAGCAGCAGACTTGGCTGTTTTAACCCGGGTCTTTTACATGGCCTCGATGGTTCCGCAGCATTTATACTTCAGGGAGTTGTCGGGTGCCCGAGGATACATAGGTACCTAGATAGTACTTGGTAACATTTATAGGTAAATTGTTGGACACTTTTCTACTACTTGACGGGTATAAGTTCTATTCATAATCCTCCTAGTATCCTTTTCAATTTAAGCGTTGCCCTTCCGAACCCAGTCAGAGCTATTCGTACCTTTATTGAAGCGGATAGCATATTCCCTGGACGGTTCTGACGAAAGCTTCCGATTACTACATGTAGGTACTTGGAACTACATATGCCCAGGTAGGTAGATATTATAACTCTACCCATTTAGATATATCTGATTGAATTGAACGATAACGACTATAAATATGCTGATTATACCCGTCTCATGATTCTACGTCGGTTGTATACTCCATAATGACATATTGACTACTTCTACATCTAATCAATTCACAGAACTAAAACGGACTAATGCAGAGATCTGCTTTAGGATATTCGTCTCCCCGAGGTTAGATGTGTAGATCCGTGTTCCCGGACTATAACCATAACATGATGCCAATCTGAACTCTCCGTAGATATGCGTCAATTGAACTGGAGGAAGAGACTGGACATGGTTCACACTTTATATACCCTGGCATTTACTAGGTATATCGGATGAACCGTGTTCCCAACCATGATAGAGTGTACTGAATACACTGGATGATACCACGGACAGTCAATCTCTAGGTTGAATATGGCTGCATCTAGCACGGCCGAGACACACCTGGCCAGTGGTCATCCACGAAACGAATACTACACTCTTCCAAGGACGAAGTCGTGTATCCATGATGAAAGACGTGCATGAATCAGCATACTGGGGGATGTCGAAGCGTAGAAGATCGCGACGGATGACGTAACAACCCCGGTCACATGTGTGGCTGCCTCCTCTTTTTCTTCCCTCTGACTTTGCGCTTTTGCTTCTCGAGTATATCTATCAATCGAATATATACAGGTGTTTGCTATCTCTTGTATCTTGTACCTGATTCTACTTTTACTCTGGTTCTTCCAGGCACTGAATGCAACTGTGTGACGTGCCACGTCGTGCCTGAGTATATAGTGAGCTTCCCCACACTGCGCATGACTCTCTCTGAGTGACTGACTGACTCTAGTTAAGTAGAGACCAATTGAGTCATATGCTCCCACCTGTGACTCTATTTGACTGGCAAATAGAGAAAAAGAGAAAGGGGGAACTCAGCATCGTCCGCAACTTGTCTACATCGTGAGCCATCAAAGACAACTCCAAGACGCGCGAAAAACAGGTACAGCTACCAACCCCAGATCGAGTGGCGACCCAACTCGAGGCCGTCAACGATCAGGCACCATTTGATAAACTCGCGCATGCAGTGGTTCCCTCAACTGCCGATTTTTCTCAAGTCGAATTGCTTGAATTTCTCAATTTCAGACTTTTGTTCTTGTGGAGAACCTCTTGAGGCTTGAGCTTAAAGCGGGTCCTCGGTCCCCGATTATTTATTTCTGACCAGACTCGCGGACGCTCCCACGAATTGATCGACTTCTATCGCCAGAATCACTCGTCAATTGCAAAAAGTTATCAGCAGTAGTGAATGAGACACGACAGCTTCATTATTTCCGTGGACTGGATTCTGTGAATTCCTCCGGAGATTGTCGTTTGCACTGAACTGGATCCACATTCTATAGGCGCCGTCGTGCGGAGTCTTTTAACAGCGCACGTACTATCCACTAATTTGATAAATGTTCCACTAATTGCAGCCTATCGAATCAATATACACTACGCTACACCTTCACAATCAATCCGAGGTTAAAATTACTTTTCTCGTCTTTTCAAACATCGACGATACATTCAGTTCAGCTTCAGACTGCGGGACGGTTTGAAACAAGCATCGAGACATTTCACCAAAAGTTCGAAGACAAAACAAAATGTCGCAGCCATCGTTAAAGAGTCCGTCGAGTCAGCAACCCGGCCACTTTTTCAAAGAGGTCCGGTTCTCACATCCACTCGTTCCTGTACGCCGTGCTCGGTCTGTTGCGTCTGGCAACCCTTACCTTGACTCAGCATACCATGCCGCTCGTGTCGCCAAAAAGGCATCGACAGAACCCACATACAAAGATTTTGCCGTCTATATCGATCAATCACAATCGGTATTGGAGAGCCAGCGAGTACACTTCGAACGCGAGCGTTTATTATTTGCAGAAGAACGCAAGCTATGGGAAATAGAACGATCGTTGCTGAAGTCGAGGATTGCGGAGCTGGAGAAGGCGGCGGGAGGAAATAATGCTCAGCCATATATGAGTCAGTTTCGACCAAGTTTCAGTCTGAAAGGGGGCGGAGTGAGCAGTACCGGTTTATGGCAGCCAAATAAAATGTTCAATGCGGGTAGAGACGCTTCACCAGGACAACATCATGTCTGGGAGGGACCTTTGACAGGATCACGGCGGCCAACCCGAGTTTTCCCTGGCGAGGACGATTCTGACATGAATACGACACTGTATTTGGCTCCAACCGAAGCGAATGGGTTCGGGTTTTGTACCTCGCTTGACGCCGCGCTTTCGCCTCAATTATTTGATCGAACGGGTCATATCAGCATGCCGGTTCCTATTGAAAAAGTTGACAGTGAACTTGATGGGATCACTTTGAAATCGACGGCGCTTCCGCCAGATGTAGTTGCCAAGGTTATGACACCGCCAACTTCCATCTCTCCAACCTCGTCCCCCCCGAAAGATGAGCCTGATACGTCTAAATCCGCATTAGAAGGGAAATCACCTCTCAAATTGAGCTTGTCTGATCTTGGGCCGCTTGATGTTCGTCTCACAAGAGACGCCGGCCACACACCGATGGCTATTCTTGGCACAGAGACCGAAGCCAGCTACCAATCGCCGAATGAAGTGACATTACACCAGACAGAGATGGAAGAGGAAGAGGCGCCATTAGCGCCTGTAGTGACAAAACAACCAGTAGAAAGTGGAGATTCTTACTTCCCTGTTATTGTCGACGAAGATCCCGCCTTGAAGGGACCTCTCACATTAGAAAACGACGAAAACGCGGACAGCGCTTTTCTCTTGCAGCTGGATCAGAAGCTCCTTGATGAAGCCAAAAAGGCTATTGGAGGGTCATTCGCTCTAGACGAAGAAAAAGTGGATTCGGAAGATGATACCGCTGGCGGCAATAACGATGATGAACCAGATCCCGAGTTGAAGTTGAAGCCTTCGACTAATTTTGGGACTGCTTTTGGACAATGCTGAAGCTGTGCTTTTGCATTCAATTTTTCTGTGCATTATACCCCTCTGTGATACCTTGAGCTTGATGAATTACCATGACGAAATTTGATTGATTATATGCTTGTTTCTCTCAGCCGAAGTACCAATAGTATGCAGGTTGACCCTTGACTCGTTTTCTTGTTTAGAAATGTCGTGACACTACAGCAGTAGGTATCTACTGCACACTACATTATGGACTTGGACAGGTGTCATGATTCTCTTGGACGATCATGAACTCTATGATTTTACATAATCTGCATGCATGTTTTGGGTACCGTACCCCTTTCTGTACTATGATACCAGAGGTTGTTTTCAATATCATGTCTTGCAATATGTCGCCTTAAGATTGCTTTTTGCGTACCTGCATAGGGTGTTTCTTGACTGATGTCTAACCGGATAATGATATCCATGTAAAGCCAACGAATGGATTATTCAAACTGTCTGAGAGGTGTTAGAGACTCGGGACGGCTTAAGATGTGTTCTTCCCCTGCATTAGGGCTACCTTACCACAGACTACCCCCTTACGTCGGATCTAGGTTGATGATAATGATATCACAAACCACAAGATTGCTTGATGATATTCAAGCATGTCGATGACTGCACTATTGATTTTCTAGCATTAGAGGTTTGATGTTGGGGGTTTACCTTTCAGCATCATGCAGGAAGATACTCAATCCGTGAGCCCCGTATATCAAAGGATAATTGAATCAAATCACGATCGACCATTGTATTTTCTGATACCTTGCATGCACCTCATTTGGGCTAATAGTACGGTAGTATCTGTTGCTACTGATTACTGCTTTGAGCGAATATTGTCATCACGACAGTACCCTTCCCCGGGATGAGGTTTAGGAAGTTCTGGACATAAAAGGGCTAGCAAGGGTCCCCTTCCACATCAATTATTTTTCTTGACTTCCATCAAGCAAGCAAGCGAGTAGCCATTCTCTCAGAATCTCCAACTATCAGTCACTCTTTTCATATCTGTACTCTCTCTTGCTTTGTGAAATACCCGATATCACACTGTCCTCTAACAGGACGTCAACAAAATGAAATACACGACCGCACTCACAGTCCTCCTCGCCTTTGGGCCCGCAACTACCATCCTAGCAGCCCCCGTCTCCCAAGATCCCACTTCAGCCCTAACAGGTGCTCCTTCGGGACAAAATGAAGGCGCGAAACAGCCCGCTGCTGGTCCTGCGCCGGGCTCGTCGTCACAGGGACTGAGTGGTTCGTCGAGTGGGAATGAGGGATTGTTGGATAAGGTTGAGAAGATTGTTAAGGATGTTCTTGGTGGTGTAAGTCAATATATTCACTTTGAATGCTTGGGTCGAGGATGACGTGCTGATATGGATGTTTAGCTACGCAAGCGTGGGCTTGTTGAGGAAGTTGGAGAGGTTGTTCAGATGACAGTTGATAGCGTGAGTTCTAAAATCTCTCTCCTGTGAAGCATGTATTACTGATACTGATCTTCTTTTAGACCAGCAAGCTTCTCAACGGCGAGAGCTCCGGTAGCCAGAGCTCGTACAACACCCAGTCCACTGATCCTGATGCTCTCTCTCAGGGAGCTCCCCAAGGTGGAAAGGGAGACGACGACAAGGACGGCGATGACAAGAAAGCGCACCCAGCTCCAGCTCCGACTCCTGCTCCAGCACCTGCGCCCTCAAAAGACTCTAGTTCCAGTTCCCCTCTCTCCAAACTCATCGGCGGCCGCTCCAACGCACCCCTCTCCGACCAAACAGACCCCGTAAACACCTCCGGCACAACAGCACCCATCTCAAACGAAGGCACTCAACCCACTGAAAGCCATAAAGTTCCTACTGAACAATCCTCTCCCATCGAAGGAGTGACCAAACCATCTACCCCCATCCCTGTCCCAGTCGACACTAAGAAGCAAGAAGGAGAGAAAAAGGAGAAGGAAGGTCCGAATATTGGTACCCCGACTTCTGATGCATTCCAATTATCGCCCGAGGAGATTGAGGTGTTGAAGAAAGTTCTTCAGTCTCAGTCTAAGGATGGTCAGGGTGAGGGATTGTCTAAGGCTTAAGTTAAGTTCATTTCGTGATATTTTCTTCCCACACCTTTATTTTTTTTTATACTTCATTTTTACATGATACAGGTGCTCCTGGTTATTCTTTGTATTTCGCTTCTCAAACTTTGTGACTTGCTTAGACTACACATTATTTCTTCGATGTTAACAGTTAATGTATTTGTCAATGACATATTCACTGTCCGTTCTAAAAGTAAAGGCATTATTGATATCGTACTGATCGAATACAAATAAAAACACCGAGCAGCGACTAAACCCCCATCGTAAAATCATGCTCTATACCCGGCGTAACACTGGAAATAAATTTCAAAAACACAACCAAATACTGATCCACACGAATCGCAGACTGAAACTCATCTTCTTCTGATTGATTGCCATCGTTCTGTAACACTTCCCACTCATCACCCATCATATTATTGTTATTCGCTGAACTTCCACCATCTTGTTGTTGAAGTTTGCGCTGTCTCTCGGTAAGAGACAGATTATTCGTATCATCAACTAGACCTTCAAGACCACTGTCGAATTTGATATTTGACGCGTCTTCGGCAGAGCGGGCCTTTTTTAATTTCTGTCGTCGAATCTTGAGGGCGGCGTCTGCTCGGTCCAAGAGGATTTTCATGACGGAGGCATGTTGACATGGATGGACAGTAGCCATGGGTACACTGGTGTCGAACCAGGGGAAATCTTCTAGTGTGACTGTTTTGTCTTTGTAGTCGCCGACGATATCTTCCATCATTAAGTGTGGCGGGAGTGGTTCGGAGGGGGAGAGGTAGCCTGATAGATAGAGTCGCGGTGTACGGTAGTAGTTGGCGTATGTGATGTAAAGATTATATGTTCGGAGGGGACTGCAACCTCAATTTCAGTAAAACCAAATACCCCAAATCATAAAAGGTATACATACGCAGTTGTCCCCGACGCCCCAGAAGGATCCCGAATAATAGCCTCCTCATCATCATCATCATCCTCCATATCCGGAATCTCATCCTCATCCTCTCCCTGTTCAGAAACATTTCCCGCTTCATCAACAGTCCTCACATCTTTTCTTTTAGCTTCCTGCGTATCAGCATACTCCCGTTTCCCACCAGTCTGTAACCATCCATCATCTTCACCGTCGCCTCCGCCACTCCCTGGCCCCGCGCGAAGCATATCTTTAATAATCACATCTTCCTGCAAATCACCCGCGAAATTATCATTTAGTCTTCGATGGCAGGGCACGCCACGCGTTACTAGATATTGCTTTCCGGGAGGTAAGAAAGGAACTCGCTGAGCGGGCGTGGATGCATCTGCCCATTGCCACGAGGGGAATTTGAAGACTAGATAATCTCCGGCAGCGACGAACTCTTCGGGTGTGATTTTGCCGGTTTCGCGGAATGTAGATGTATGTGTCACTGGAGTGATCCAGTCTCGCCATGTTGACCAGGTTTGGTGGATGAGGTTCTTGGACATCTTGGGAGATATTGTATCGTATCGATATATCGCGAGTAATGCGGGGTAGAAATCTGTTGGGTAGTGGTTGTTGAGAATCGCAAGGCTTTTGATGATCAACTACAGTCTTGCTGTATTAGCTAGGATGGAAACTGGTCTTGAAAGAGAAATATAGAGAAGAAGTAAGAGGCAAGGCAGATGGAATCGTGAGCGAATCTCGTGAGGGGTTGGAGATGCCCGAAACGCGGGCGGTCCAGGCGGTCTTCTCTTTTATTGGTGGGCTTGACACTGAGCAGTCAACAGTGACTCTCACGAGATGTAGCTATTGTACACTGTATTCACTGAGGAATAATTATATTATGAGCTTATCCAGATATCTAGTCTTATGTATCTCAATAACCATCGCGAGTCAGCTGACAAGGCTGACGTCAATGTCACATGTCTCTATCACATTCTCTAGGAACATCACCATATACGTGCTAGTGACAAGCATGTGTATACAAACTCCATGTGAGTCACCTTGACTCTTGGTTTTGAACTGGATATAAGAGTTTGAGATTCGTAGCAGAAAGCCGCAGTCTTCCAGTCCTTGGCTATCGTAATATCGTGTCCAAGGGCCTGGAAGCTCGTCTGGGTTGGAACCGATGTTGTACACCTTGGGGACCATCGATGATTAGGACATCTGCTGACGGCGCCGACGTTTGGCAATTTGGCATGATTGAATTCGTGAGAAGCCGGCCATTCATTCACCTTCTTGTGACTGTCGCTGCTGAAGTTCCTTTTCGACATCCTCAACAACCACGGGTATACTCTTTCCCTTCCAAGTCTCTTTCTCTGCTTTTGCGAACTCTTCCATACTGTTCATAGCGACCACCAAGAACCCCAGTTCTTCGCGGTCGACATCGAACACCTCCCACCATTCATCTTCCGCTAGCTTTACGCCGACTTCTCGCGCAGCAAGATAAATAGCAGCAACAGCCAAGGCATTAGGCTGATGTGTCACATAAAGTAACTGCGGTGATAAAAGGGATGCATTAAGGTGCTCAAAAACTCGTTTACCGAGAGCGCTCGATGCGGCGTTGATGGTTTGTAGATACGTAAGCGCAATCGTATGAGGGATGACGATATGAGTGTTGAAGCCAAGGGTACGAAGGATTATCGTCTCTGTTTTGAGAAGCACCATGCGCTGAGATTGATAGCCACCTTCGGAGAGGTAATAGGTCTCTGGTTTCGGTTTGCCGACAACGCCTGAGGGATTGATAAACCATAGAGGTGACGCCTGTTTCGAGAGGAGATAGTTGTAGGTATTGAGAACGGAGCGAGGCGAAGTGGGATGGAAGGACAGCTTGGCTATTAGATAGATCGAAGCTGCAGATACGTCCTGTCCAAGTCAGTTGATTCGTAAGTAGCGATTCCATATAAAACCCACCTTTGCAGAATGTATCGCAAAGCTCCCACCATCAGGACCAATCCAGAATCGCGTAAAGATCACGATCGCCTGAGCAATCACATCTTGAGGCAGTCGCAACAGCACACCAGCCGCTTGCGTGAGTAGAGCACCTGCAAAGCGAATTGAGGATTCTAGGTCAGATGGAATGCCGTCAAGTGAAGAGGACGAGCTCGATAACTGGGCGGGTGTTGCGAGAGCATTGGAAAGACTATCCAAAGTGAGAGCAGAAGTCATGGTGGTGATGGTGGTCTAGAGGAAAGAGCTCGATGCGAATATTTGTTTAGGCGGAGACGGAGGTGCCGATCGTCGACCTCTCTCTTACAACTACCTCCTTGACCCAGCAAACCCAGCAAACACTCAAATATGCAGTCATCTAACACAAAATTTCCGAAAAGATCAATCAATTCGAATCATGAACAACACCGATGTTTCAAGCTCGCAAAGACGGCTTATGCGCCGATGTACAGCCACATTGCAGAGAATGATTCCCGCAGACTGTGGCGGTGCGCTGTATCGCCAGGCACACACAGCCTAGCTTGTTTCGATGTCTGACTGAATCCTACGCTGCAACATTCTTCATCTGATAATAGGATTGCTCGTATGATTGGTTCTGGGCGTACCTTTATAGCTGATCAGTCTCGAAGCCTGGAGTCCACCGCTCAGTACTATTTAAGAGAATCACGCTGTGATGTTCTACATCTCCGCATATACATACTCAGATAGCCCTACAGTACGGAGACCATAAGCTGTGGTGATAATTGAAATTTTTTTTTTTGAAACGACTCCAATTTGCAGACCGCATTACATTCAACTCTTTGGCATGCCACAATTTCCCAACACGCCAGAGTCTATACTACCTCGGTCCGACTCGCGAAATCCAGCTTCAACATGTCGAGGTATTACTGTGAATGGCAAGCCGTGCCGTCGCTCATTAGCAGCGTCTCAGTCTGCGTCTGCCTCGAAGGGAGTTGTTGCAAGGCTCAAAGGCCAGAACCAGCAGCTTGACCCGAGTGCTTTCTATTGCTGGCAGCATAAAAATCAGGCTCCAGAACCTGGCGATATCTCTACAGAGAACAAGCAAGCGCAAGCTGCTGCTTTTGCTAGGAAAACCAGCATTGATAGCCTGATAGAGCGTCTGGGAATTCTCGAGGTCAATGATCGCCAACGGCAGCACCGACGGCCAACTGAACGTGATGCCAGATATCAGAGGATGCACTCTGACAAAAATCCCAAGCCTGGCAGAGGGCAACAACCGCGTCAAAGCCCATTCTGCTGTTTTACAATAGTGGAAGACAGCGAAAACCTGCCTGCAGCAAAGCGAGTGCAAAGCTCAAGACGAGAGAAGCCTGTGGCTTCTCGACCTCCAGCAACCCCACAACGGCCTGTATTTGTTCGAGATCCTCGATCAGGAGGATCGCCGATTGTTCAGCAACGTTCAGCTCCAGTTACGCCACGGCGGTGGTCTGAGACCACGCCGCAAGCGACTCTACAAAGCGCCGACCGATCACAATATTTAGGAACACCTACAAAGCCTTCTCTTCCTAGCACACCAAATTCACATTCATCGCAAAATCGTCCATTGTTGTCGTTGATCCCACAGCATCTCAGTCCTCAGACCACAGCACTTTTGCTGACAGAGCTATCGAAACCAATATCGAATGCGGATGAAGAGGGCTATATCTATATTTTCTGGGTAACACCTCAGAAACATAACTCAGAAGCACCACCAGGAGACATTGCATTGAATCTTTTACCACCTCCCGGTCGACCGAACCATTCCCGTCGGACAAGCGATGCTTTGCGGGCTGCGCAGGCGATCGATCCTCGCTCCAAAGGATCCGCGAATCAACCGGGAACCATTCGCCTCAAAATCGGGCGTACAAGCAATGTTCACCGTCGGCTGAACGAGTGGTCAAAACAATGCTCTCATAATCTCACATTGATCAGGTATTACCCCTATACCAATTCCTCGCCATCTCCGTCTCCGGCGCGAAGACCGGAGAGTGAGCATTTTCAAGGACACGGTCGACGAGTGCCTCATGTCCATCGCGTTGAGAGACTGATTCATATTGAGCTGGCTGATCAACGCGTAAAGGGGAAAGGCCCATGTGCCCAATGTAACAAAGAGCATAGGGAGTGGTTCGAGTTCAATGCTACTAAGGATGCGTTGAAGCTTGTGGATGACTGTGTTCGGCGATGGGTTGCATGGGGAGAGCAGCATATATGATTACCACATATTGATTATTGCATTTAACGGCGTTGTGTTAGTTACTTTGAAGCGTTCAACGTTGATCAATAGAAGCATCCATCCACATTCTGATTTCCTCCTTTGGCTCATGATTTAACTCAAATCGTATGGAGACATCAAAGCTACTCGCAGAGTTTTATTCTCGATTTCATTTTTTGCTCATTGCTTTGTAACAAAAGACAAATGGTTACTTTTCAACTATTTGAGGTGATATGCTGATTACATGTGATACATGTGACTATGACGGAATGTCATTGGTGTAAACAACACGGACGGAACATAATCTACAATTTCTCTTCGATGAACCTATATATCACCACTGACTTCAAGGATGACTCTTTTGCATATATTACCATCTATTTTCGGTCCTTGATATTAAACTCTGCATTTACGTCCACAAGGACAGCATGCCATCCGAAGCATCAAATGATATCATCTCCACCGCGAGATCAAGACTAGCAACAATACTGCACTCAGCATGGACGCAAATCAAAGCAACGATCAATGAGAACATACCGCCGGAAACGCGAGAAAATCTAAAACAAAATCTGGTCGCATTTGCGCGCTCACGTCCCATACTTGCTACGCTACTACTATCCCAACTCGCATTCTCCGGTATCCCGCTTCTCTTCTTCATCTCGCTTACTGCCGGCATATTTATCTTCAGTTTGGTTACTACTCTTGTATTGGGAGTGCTTGGTGCATTGATGGTTACTCTGTTTTGTATGGGGTTGGGGTCGCTGATTCTTATTCCGACTTTGTTTGTGACCACGCTTACGGCAGGGGGGATATGGCTTTGGGGTTGGGGATTGTATTATGTTGTTCAATGGGTTGGCAATGGAGATACGGCGCTACTTACGAGGCTCAGTCTGTTGCTTGTGCCTCAGAGGCAGGTGAAGCAGGGTAAACAAGACGAGGACGGAGGGAAAGCTTCATTGCAACAGAGTCAGAAAGACTAGCACTTCCAGGAGAAGAATCCTGACGGGCGGGTGTCAACAGAATCTAATGGATATGGTGAGAAACAGGCCAACGAGCCTGCTGTCAATACTGTGAAAATGGAATCCAGTTAGTGAGTCATATACTACTGTCATGTCATTTCTATATTTCTATTGTGAATGCAGCGTAGAGACTCTTAGGTGTCCTCTTGATGGGGCGTGCTGATTGGCGCGTGGCAGCTTCTAGCGGCTCCGTGGGGAGCGCCCAACGCGGCATAGCGGCAGAACTGGCCAGCAAGACACACTTTCATCTTTCGTCTCTCCTTACAATCCCTTTGCTTCGTATATCTGTCTATCCCCCCATCCTCTTCCTCCACCAGTCCTTTCGTATAGTTTCCTTTCTTCTCTTCTTCCTGGTTGATACCAGTCCTCGCTCTTTTTTCTACTGGGATTGACTTATTCCTGCTAATTCGTTTAATTCCCCCGTTGTTGACAGCATACCCGTCGCCATGAGCGGACGTGAGTTTCCCCCAGCCTACCTCAGCACGCGACCATACATAGCTCTGTGTTGTGCGCTCAATATTCCGATCAATTGATCGCTAATATGCCAGCAGTTCGGTTTCTCGATTTGATCAAACCCTTCACGCCCCTCCTTCCGGAGGTGGCCGCCCCCGAGACCAACAAGGTGCCTTTCAACCAGAAGCTTATGTGGACTGGGGTACGATCAATTTATTTCGTCTTATCGCAATGAGAATCGCATTTGTGCTGACCGCCGTGTTTAGTTGACTTTGTTGATCTTCTTGGTTATGAGCCAAATGCCTTTGTATGGTATCGTGTCGTCTGACACTTCGGATCCTCTTTACTGGCTCCGTATGATGTTGGCCAGTAACCGTGGTACATTGATGGAGTTGGGTATCACGCCCATTATCTCTTCGGGAATGGTTTTCCAGGTGTGTGTTGAGTCGAATATCTCCATTGACCACAGCAGTGGAATTGACCGTCCTGTATAGCTCCTTGCCGGAACCCACCTCATCGACGTCAACCTCGACCTCAAGACCGACCGTGAACTGTACCAGACCGCCCAAAAACTCTTCGCCATCATCTTGTCCTTTGGTCAAGCCTGCGTCTTCGTCCTTACTGGTCTCTATGGTCAGCCCAGTGACCTCGGCGCTGGTATCTGCGTCCTCTTGATCGTGCAATTGGTTGTGGCTGGTCTTGTTGTCATCCTTCTTGACGAATTGCTTCAAAAGGGCTATGGTCTCGGAAGCGGTATCTCCCTCTTCATTGCCACCAACATCTGCGAGTCTATCGTCTGGAAGGCTTTCTCCCCCACCACCATCAACACTGGCCGTGGTCCCGAATTCGAGGGTGCCATCATTGCTCTCTTCCACTTGCTCTTGACCTGGCCCGACAAGCAGCGTGCTTTGCAGGAGGCTTTCTACCGACAGAACCTCCCCAACGTCATGAACCTCTTAGCCACCCTCTTGATCTTCGCCGCTGTCATCTACCTCCAGGGATTCCGCGTTGAGATCCCTGTCAAGTCTTCCCGCCAGCGTGGTATGCGCGGATCTTACCCCATCCGTCTGTTCTACACCTCCAACATGCCTATTATGCTCCAGTCAGCTCTCTGCTCCAACGTTTTCTTGATCAGCCAGATGCTCTACTCCCGTTTCTCTGACAACCTTTTGGTCCGTCTTCTGGGTGTCTGGGAGCCTCGTGAGGGTTCTGCTCAGCTCTACGCTGCCTCTGGTATCGCATACTACATGTCTCCTCCTCTTAACTTCAAGGAAGCTCTTTTGGATCCCGTCCACACCGCTGTCTACGTGACCTTCATGCTTGTTGCTTGTGCTCTCTTCTCCAAGACCTGGATCGAGGTTTCTGGCTCCGCTCCCCGCGATGTTGCCAAGCAGCTCAAGGATCAGGGCTTGGTTATGGCTGGTCACCGTGAGCAGAGCATGTACCGCGAACTCAAGCGTGTTATCCCTACCGCTGCTGCTTTTGGTGGTGCCTGCATTGGTGCTTTGTCTATTGCTTCCGATCTCCTCGGTGCTTTGGGCAGTGGTACTGGTATTCTACTTGCCGTCACGTAAGTAATAACCCACATTATCTCGAATTCTCTTGCTAATGTTCTATAGCATCATCTATGGCTACTTTGAAATTGCTGCTCGTGAAAGTGACTTTGGCGCAGGCCTCCGAGGTCTTGTTCCCGGCAACTAAACAGGAAACAACTATCCTTTCCTTTTCTATAAGATGATTATATTGGACAAACGGGGTTGTCCTAATGATCTCATATTTTTCCATCTTCGTTCTGTCACACTAAGAACTTATCATTCTGTTTTTTGTTTAAATATAAAGTTAAATGAATCATAGCAAAAATCGGGTGTACTATTTGATTCTCGCTGGTTATGATAGGATTGTTTTCCTATCCACATTAGTTGGGTTTGGTTTGAGACCGAAAAGGTGTTGAATTATTCTGTTGTTGCTGTGAATTGGGTTGGTCGTAGTTTGTACAGTATGGATATTATGAATGCGCTCATTGGACTACTATCAGTTAGGTGAATGAAGAATAAAAATTTGATTTATACATGATATAGATCTCTGTCAAGTCTATACTCTATCCCAGTTGAGACTGAATCAATCGATCAAGTCCGATAGTCACCGTTAATAGTAACATACTCATGACTAAAATCACAGAACCAATAGACAGCTTCCTCACCACCCAACCCTTTCTCCCCTTTACTACCACCACCAAGATCAACAATGATCTCTAAATCCTCATCCTGCAATATAGCACTTGCACGCTCTTCATCGACTACTTCAGGTTCGCCATTAACCAATAACCGCAGAACAGGTGAGCCATCTACAGGCTTGAAACTGACGCTCGTACGTTCGGGGATGACAGTACCCTCAGTAACGCCATCAGCGTATCCGACGGCGCACAGGATACGGCCCCAATTCGCGTCTCGGCCGTACAGGGCTGTTTTCACGAGTGGTGAGCGGGCGATGGTGGATGCGATGCGGCGTGCGGATTCGTAGCAGGGACTATTTTGGATGCGGACAGTTACGAATTTTGTAGCGCCTTCACCGTCGCGAACGACGAGTTGAGAAAGTGATTGCGCAAAGGATGTAAGTACTTTTTGTAATGCGGTGTAATCAGCAGATGAAGAAGTCACTGGCTGGCCACCAGCGGCGCCGTTGGCGAGAAAGGCGATTGTATCGTTTGTGCTTGTGTCGCCGTCGATGGATATAGAGTTGAATGAGCGTGAGACGGCTTGTAGTAAGAGTGGTTTCATCGCGGAGGCGTCGACCGGTGCGTCGGTGCATAGCACGCCGAGTAGAGTGGCCATGTTGGGGTGGATCATGCCGGCGCCTTTGGTCATGCCGGCGAGACTGTAGGTGATTCCGGGTGAGGAGGGAAGGGTGAAAGTTTGAGAGATCAGTTTGGGAAATGTATCTGTTGTGCAGATTGCGCGGGCTGTTGCAAGCCAGGCGTTGTGTGTGTTGGCGAGGTTGGAGTATGCTGTTGGGATTTTATCCAGGATTTTGGAGATGGGTAGTCTATTCAAGTTAGTATGTTGTTTACTAGATGGTGTACTCACGTTAAGCTCTAGAAGATAGGGGCATACCGCTGTCCAATAACACCAGTACTCATAACAAGAGTACTCGGTTCCGAAATACCATTACATTCATCCACTTTCGAAGCCATGCTCTGCGCATCTTCCAACCCACCCTTCCCCGTAACAGCATTCGCGCATCCAGAATTGATAACCACCGATTGAATTCCTTTCCCCTTGCGCTGATCCAAGGTCAATTTACTAATCTGCACAGGCGCAGCCTGGAACTTGTTCGTAGTAAACACCGCTGCCGCAGTACATGGTTCATCAGAAGATATCAAAGCCAAATCAGGGTATTTCGTATTTGCGGCTTTGACGCCCACATGAGTACCGGAGACACGGAACCCCTTGGGGTATGTTCCTGAAGATGGGATGTGTTTTCGCTTGGGTTCGGGGATGGTGGTGTCTTGGAGAATGTTGTAGAGCCGGATTTGGCCGCGGCGAGTTGTGGCGATGATGAATGAATTTGTGACTGGACCGAGAGGTCCAGTTTTTGTAAGAATCATCATTCTTTTCTTGGTGGATATCAGATATGAGACGACTTGTCCGAACTCGATATAAATAATTTCCTCGGAGGATTGTATGAGTCACCCGTGCTTATCACCCAGTGAAGTCAACTCCTGCCGAGTGCGTCAATTGCTCAGTAGAATAAACCTGGTTATGACACTCAGTCAAAAAGCGCGCTTGATTGTGTCAATTTATTCAAGTTCGTCTTCCACAGTTATATCTTCCTTCGTAGCTCCGAAATCGCTGTTATCTTTGCCGAAGTGCAATTACTTGAAAAGTCGCGCATATCACGAACCTTCGATTCTATAACCCCAGATGGATCAATACACCTGGCACAGATAACACACGCAAACAGTAGTCTGCGTGATTTCTTCTCCGGGTGGTGTCCAATTGACTTCGAGTAGAGATACAGCTTTGAAATGTCGAATATTTGTGGAGGAGAGACTAGGCCGAAACAGGCGACTACGATGGCTTCAGATCCCGCACTACCATTGGCTGATCAGTCAGTCCGTCCGTGTCGGCTTGTTTCCCTTGCAGCTTTCATGCCTTCGCCGACAAGTCCTTGAAGTCCCACGCGAATTAGGTGGGTTGTCTCGATCAAGGGAGATTTTTAACTATGGTATGCTATTTCCAGACTCGAGACAAATCTCGTCTCCTTTATCTTGACTTCTGCGGTGACCACTTACACTGAACGATGAAGCGCAAAGTAGCAGATTCTCCCAACGAGAACCACGACAACAACAACAATGACTTGCCAACAGCATCAACTCCGAAACGGCAGAAACGAGGCCCTGGTCTCAGTACGATACACGAAGTGAATGAACACGGGTCGAATGGCGACGTCACTCCTTCAAAGCGAATGCGCAATACGCCAAAGAAGGTCGATCGAAACGATACACTGAATGCATCTGGACTCAAAACGCCTACACACAAAACCAAAGCGAGATCATTATTTACGACACCGAAAAAGGATCCTACGGCTACACCGTCCAGAGTCAGAAACGCCGATCGATCAGCCAAGAGGAAGAGTGCAAGGATATTGCTAGAGCAGGACGAGGAAGATACCTGGGACGGTGCGGACAAGCTAGCAGAAGAAATCCTCGGCGACGATAACAGCACAAAAACCAACTGCGTAATCGAAACGACGGAGAAGGATGGACAGGCAGCAGAAACTACCGCACCGCCCGTAAAGCGCAGGGCAGGCCGACCAAAAGGAGCAAAGAACAAACGATCGCCGACTCCAGAGGGAGATATACCACCACATGAACGTTACTTCTTTCAGAACCGGCCGGGCCCGCCGAACACGTCGAATAATAATCTGAATAAAGTCTCCCTGCTAGCCCATGACGAATATTTCGAACTACTTGGCCGATACAACGATCCCTTCAGCGAAGAGAAGGAGCTGCTACTGAATATACATCGTCGCTCGTTTCCTCAGTGGAACTTTGAGTTTTATGAAAATTTCAACATCTGTTTATATGGATATGGATCGAAGAGAGGGCTTGTGCAGAAATTCGCGGATTGGTTATACGTGCAGTCCGAGTCACGTCGACCCATCATCATAGTCAACGGCTATGCTCCAAATACATCTGTCAAAGCGATCCTCACCGCGATTGCAACTACCGTGTGCGGAGAGGATGTACCCTCCAAAATCGGCGGAACACCCAGCGAGGCACTCGAGTTTTTACAATCAGCTCTACAATCACGGAAGACACCAATAACGATATTGATTAATTCAATTGACGCGCCGCCTTTACGAAGGCTCGTGCATCAAGCACAACTGGCTCGCTTGGCTGCGTTGCCTAATGTTAATCTTTTAGCAACTGTCGACACACCGAATTTCCTGACTATGTGGGATGTTAGTCTACGCGATCAGTTCAACTTCGTGTTCCACGACTGCACTACATTTGCGCCTCTTGATGTGGAGATGAATGTTGTGGATGAGGTTAATAATTTACTGGGAAGGAAAGGTCGGCGCGTAGGGGGTAGGGACGGTGTAGCATTTGTGCTCAAGAGTTTGCCTGAAAATGCGCGGAGTCTCTATCGGTTACTTCTCACCGAGATTCTGACGCTACAGTATAGTGACGGCAATGGAGGGTTTAGTGAGGACGAAGACGGTCAGCCCCAGATGCAGACTCAAAAGACTGGCCGGCGTGAAGAGCCGGGTATTGAGTTCAAGATGTTGTATCAGAAAGCTGCCGAGGAGTTTATTGCATCGTCTGAGATGATGTTTAGGACATTGCTGAAGGAATTCCATGACCACCAAATGGTTACTTCGCGGATGGATGCCAGCGGAACTGAGACGCTTAGTGTTCCTCTATCTCGAGAGGAAATGGAGGGTGTCCTGGAGGATCTGGTCCTGAGCTAGTCTGTTATACCCTTGTATCGTAGCATATTCCATGCATTCATATTGACACCATATATCAATATATCATTTATGGACAATGATCTTTCAAGTTCCAATCGTACAATCAACTGTAATCCGCAAAACTGGCAAAAGCTGCAAACGCCATTGTTGCACCAAAGCTGACTTTAAAGGGGACATTCTCCCGCGTTGCTCGTTGCAGATCAAATTTCTTGACGTATTTCTGTAATGTGTTTACGGGAACGATATTGTAGCCTTTTGAAGCCGCCCACTATCAACAGTCAGCATAACTCATGCTACGTGTCAGGGCAATACAGTCAAACCTCAATAAACACAATCCCAATCCCCAAGACAAACACCAACGCCTTGGAAAACACCCTCAACCCAAGACCAGTCGCCAAACCCAATACACTGCCCAAACTAACCTGTCGCATAAACCGCGCATTCAATAGACCTGTCCCGGGTTGTGTGCTTGACGTCCGACCCTGTTTTGCAACTGCTTCAGAACCTGCAAGGGACCATCCGGAGTCCGGGGAGGCGGTTGGACTGTAATATGGCGCGGTGTATTGGCATTGGAGTGGTGGGGAGCGGAAGGGGGAGGATGGAACGAGGAGGGACAGGCCGATGCCTGTGCCGAGGAGAGTGCAGGTCGTTGTCAGGACGGGGCGGAGGGGGGATGTGAAGAAGGCCATTGTGTCGTTTCTCGAAGATTGGTGTTGTATATGTGTTGAGAAAGGGTGGAAGTTCAACATAAGTACCTCGAATTGACGTCACATCTGGAAGCTGCAACGAGCCAATCAGATGCCGTGATTGCCTCAGGTGTCGATAGCTTCAGGCTAGCCTGTTCTGGCTAATGATGTCCGCTTTTACTCCGTACTTTATCTTCCGCTTCTAGTCTTCTACTGCTCTGTTGAGTCTGTTCTATCAACGCTTAGAAAACACTGAACGGATTGATACAACCATCACACGAATCGCAGTACAATTCCCATCGCTGCAGTTCAACGATTGTCTCCCGCCTCCGTGGGATATACTGTACGTACAAACGGATTCCCTCGGAGAACTACAGCCAACCAAGTGGGATGCGATTCGCGGGGTTCAACCACTCTCTTTCGCCCACTGTTTGTCCAGACCTTTTAATTTCTCTCCTGTCGAATGAGATTTAGAGATTAACTGACTAAGATGGGTAAGCTCGGCCGTTTCCCGGCCAGAAACGTGACTCACTCCGTAGAATTTGTAGTTCTTCCGGTGAAGGCGAGGTTGATCTGAACTTTCTTTGTATCTTAACACCATTCGTGCCCTAATCTTGTAACCATTCAATCCTTTCTTCGCTTCCTCTGTCTTTTGAAAGTCAAGTATCCCCTCTTTCTACATTTACTCAACAGATTATAGCAATGGCATCAGAGCAATCAAACGGTGGTGTTGCCACCAACGGCACACCCGACTTCACCGTCAAGGCTGGTTTGGCCCAGATGTTGAAAGGCGGCGTTATCATGGACGTCGTCAATGCCGAGCAGGTACGTCTATTCTTTTCTCTGCCTGGCTTCAATTCTAATAACGATGTAGGCCCGCATTGCTGAAGAAGCCGGTGCTGCCGCCGTCATGGCCCTCGAGCGAGTCCCCGCTGATATCAGAGCTCAAGGTGGCGTTGCTCGCATGTCCGATCCTTCTATGATCAAGGAGATCATGGCTGCAGTAACCATACCTGTTATGGCCAAAGCTCGTATCGGCCACTTTGTCGAATGCCAGGTTCGTAAGCCCTTTCTCTTCTCTTCTCACGACCCATCAACTAATAGGTGTCTACTGGTAGATCCTCGAAAGCATCGGAGTAGACTACATCGACGAATCCGAAGTTCTCACCCCCGCCGACGACAAATACCACGTCAAAAAATCCCCCTTCAAAGTCCCCTTTGTCTGCGGTTGCCGTAACCTTGGCGAAGCCCTCCGCCGCATCTCCGAAGGTGCAGCCATGATTCGCACAAAAGGTGAAGCAGGAACAGGCGACGTCGTCGAAGCCGTCAAACATATGCGCACCGTCAACGATCAAATCGCCCGTGCTCGGGGTATCTTGTTAGGATCATCAGACCCGGAAATCGAATTGAGAGCTTATGCGCGCGAACTCGAGGTTCCGTATGAATTACTTCGTGAGACGGCTGAAAAGGGTCGGTTACCCGTTGTCAATTTTGCGGCCGGAGGGGTTGCGACACCCGCTGATGCGGCGCTTATGATGCAATTGGGTTGTGATGGGGTGTTTGTTGGATCGGGGATATTCAAGTCTGGTGATGCTCGTAAACGGGCAAAGGCTATTGTGCAGGCTGTTACGCATTATAATGATGCTACGGTGTTGGCGCAGGTTAGTGAAGGGTTGGGGGAGGCTATGGTTGGTATTAATGTGTCGCAGATGGCCGACAAGGATAAGTTGGCTGGTCGTGGGTGGTAATTATCTTTAGACTTCAAAAACCTGTTTTTATACGACGTTTAGCGGTGGAAAATGTGATCATCACAGCATGCATGTTCCAACAACTGACCTGGTCTATCTTTGTCAGACCTCAAAATATAGATAGCTTTTATGAACATATGACAAGCTGCAAAAGAGTATCTCTAGATTTGATCAATGTCCGAAAGTCATTGCTTCTATTCGTAAGTCATAATCAACCGTTAATCAACCCTGGTACGCAAAGCCTGCACCGCGACAATTAATCCAATACGTCCGAACAATCTCCTGCGTCGCCGATCCTCCTCGGGCTCCGAGAACCATCGCCAGGAATCGCTCTTGTTCTTTCGACAGACCGCCACCTGCAGTATTATTTGGACCAGCCAGCGACGCGGCGAGATGATTCCGTGCCTCGCCTTGGAAGTTGAAGATGATTTTCTTCAGTACTTCGCAAAGATGATTGATGTCTGATCTTGCGCATGTTCCGCTCAACTGTGTCATTAGAATGTGGCTTAGACTCGGCAAATACTCTTGAATTGCTCGAGATACGTTCGTCGTACTATTCGTCGCACTCGGTAGCGTGAGAACACCTACCCAGAATTGAGCGGCTGATCGTAGCGGTAGTGGTTCTCGACCAGATAGTGCGTTGCTAACGAAATTTAGGATTGTTTGTAATACTGGCACTTCCATATTCATGTTAGGGGGTGGTGCAGCAATGCGGAATGTAGAAACAGATGGCGCTGATGTCAATGAGAAGAGGATCTCGTGGTACTTTGGGAGGGATCGAGTCAAGAACGAAATTCCGCTATTTGCAACCTCAGGATCGTAATTTTCCGGATATTGCAACATGAGTGAGAACGTCCAGTAAACGTGTATAAACAATGAAGCGGTCTCCTCTTGAACCTTTTCTGGGGTGCGTTGATAAGAGGCAAGGAATGAGCATGCTGTGCTCATCACCACGTCTGAGGCCCCAGCCGCCCCGACTGGGATAGCCATTAGAAAATGTGCCGTGATTGAAGGTTTGAATACAAACGGCCCAGTCTTTTCCGTAAAACCCGCTTTCAGGACTTCACAAATACCCTCAATGATCTCATGCTCCAGAGGGAACCCATCTAGATATACCAAAAGACACTGGCGTAGTTGTTCCTGGATAGGACTTGTGTTCCAAAATGAATTGTCGTCAGATGAGATTTCCTCGCTCTCGAGGTCAATAACCTTTGAATCGTCCGCTCGAAGCCCCCGCCCTATTCCTGCAATGCATTTGAGGGCTAATTGTGCGCGAGAATGAGCGGCCTCAATATCACCTCTCTGCGCATCTTCTCGCGCAGATACCGACTGGGAGAAGAACGGTCTGAGTAGTTCTTCTATATAAGGTGCTTTTGCCTCTTTCGACGGTAGCGCCTCGGCAACAGCAGCGATTCCTTCAACAACCCGTTCTAAGCTCTGTACAGTAACTGCTTGGCTTTGTTGAAACTCGCTGCAAATCTTCAAGAACACAGGAAGCTCAGAAACGAGAGCTTGGCGGCATGATTTGCAAAGAAAGCTGATCGAGCGCGATGCATTGTTGGTGCACGACCCAACATTCAGCGATGAAAATAAAAAGGTCAGAACTTTGGGCAGTAGGTTTGGATTGCGCTCAAAGTAACTTTGGTATTTGCCCAGCATGTCCACCAGAGTCTGTCGTGTCTTGGTCGGTAGTTGATCGCTGTTGAAACAGATCCGTGTAAACTTTTCTGCAGTGAATACAGCATTCAGATGATCCAGAGCAGCTTCAACGCCGTCCACTGCTTCGGAAATCTGGGCTAAGCAGAAGCAAGCAGCCTCAAGTTCGTTCCAGTCTCCCACATCCAAAGCAGAGACAGCCTTCTGACGAAATAGATCAAATAGCTCCAGACCCAATGTTGAGTATACCGAAAGCAGAAAATCTTCAGTGTCCCGCCTGAAATTATAGAATTCACTTCTCTCATCAGCAGTCCATGTACCAAACTCGTTTTCCGCGGGCCATTTAAGCCGACTGTAAACATTGAGCACTGCCTTGGCAAGGTGCTGACGAGCCTCTTCAAGTCCCTGCTCTACACCTTCTAGTAATGTATCCGCCGTCTCAGTCCACCACTCCAACAGACGAGGAGATATGGAGTCATCCACTCCTGGGTGGCCAGGACCCTGGAAGAGCACATCAAGGTACGTTAGAAGCACGGCATGGCTGGGTCCTAGAACGCCGGTAATGAGGTCTATCCTTCTTGGAGAGGAATATGCTTCGATGAGATTCCAGAATGCCATAGCGTCATCATCGTAGTCACCGTCTTTCAACATTTGCGCGAGCTCCTTGCCACGATCGCCTTGCATGTAGGCCAAGATTACTTCGAGGTGCATTTCTTTCAACAGACGATCCTCACTGTTGAGCATATCTGCTAGAATGTCGATGGCATGGCTGGAGAGACTTGGGATGTTCATACACAGAAGCAATTGATTAACTGTGCTTTGGATGTGGTGTGATTCGGAACGGTCCCGAAGATAGATGGAAGTCCGCACATTGAACCACGCCTATACCCGGTAATAAGTAAAAGCAGGCATACAGATATTGTCTCGGCACTTACCTGACAAGCGTTCAATACTTCGAAGCCGGTCTTGTCAGTAACATCGCCCTCAGTTCTGTACTGTTTTAGCAATGCTCCAAGAACGTAGTTACATAAACAGAATGCATCTTCAATACTCTCTGTGATTGGATGGTCGCCGCTGCTGAACATAGTTAGAATGGCCTGTAACCAAAACTATTTTGATCTGACTGACCTTTTTCGTACAAGACTACTATTTCTGACCGAATCCTCGGCCATTGTTATTGAAAAGGCAAGTAAGCCCGAGATCTGTATCTCGTTGAGCGCAGGCACCACTGTTCCTTCATAGTCAAATTTCAAGGAAGCATCAAGGCCACGTTGCCAGAAGAAGGCCGCGATATCTTGGATAGGATGAGTCCATGATTGATCGTTGAAGAAGACAGCTACAAGGGCCGCTGAGAGTTTCCTAGTGACTAGTTGCTTTTCTTGAGACTCAATAAGAGTGACGTAGCAACTGACAAGATAACTTTTGAGTTGTTGAATTGTATCGTCAGAAAGATCAGGCCTGCAAGAACATTAGCAGGGAACATAAACGCTGCAGTAGCGTTACTGCTGGCGTACCAGCTCTGGTTTATCTTGACGATAAATGTCAATGCACCGAAGAACTTGGTGCCAGAATCAGGCTGATCTAGTAGGTATCGGGCAACATCCCAACCCTGTGGCAGTTTTTGAATCTGTTGTAGTTTGTCTTGTACCACAGTGATACTGTCTGTGGCAGTGGGATGGTTCAACTGATACACCAACTATTTTGCAGATGTCAGTTCACTGTTCTTAGCGACGAAAGACGGTGAAGGTTACTATCTCTGCTTCCTCGCACAGCTGCTGAGGGCTTTGACTTGGGTCCAGGACGGTGGCCTGTCCTGCCACGTCCATGCTGATGTTGTTGCGGACTCTCAGGTTGGAGAATGGGGAAGTTGATGGCTGAAGGGGAAATCGCGATTTGATAGCGCTAACGGGATTGAGTAAGGCGGAGAATTTTCTACTTTCTCACCAGGACACTTTATTTCCTTTTACTCTTTACTAGCTATTTAACAATGAAACACTAAAAGATTAGTAGTGAATGAATTGAAAGAAATTGTCAATTGTCTGGCTATTGCGTAGTTTTGCATTTTGACAGCAAGACGCTACAACAAAAGTATATGTAGTAGGAAGAAATATTTAAGATCTATCGTATCTACCAGGTTCGTCAATTGAGTCATATATACAGATCGTAACAAGTAATGCGAGTATTCATTCCAGTAGTTGTACATACCATCAAGTAAATTGATTAAGTACATAGTAGTGCCCCAGCTACGTAAGTACTAGGCGTAGTAACCCGAGCGGCAAGACGCGGCGCTGCCACTTCGTCCCAGCAGCACGAGACCAACTACAGCAACCCCACCAGCTTGTCGCCTTTTCTGTCCCGCCGCACGTCGTTAGTCTTATCTTGCAAAATAAGAAGTCGGGCTCATGCTCTTCTCATGTCGAGCTCCTTCTCTCCTGCAGCGCACTGCACTCTCGTCTCCCCTGCGATTATTCGCGCCCTGCCGACCTTCATTCAGTAGGACATTCGTGACCACTACCGTGCGCTTCTCAGTCGAAATGGAAACAGTGAACACTTCAGAGCGCCTTGCGCAGCTGAGGGAGTTGATGAAACAGAATAATCTGGATGTGTACAGTGAGTTGGATTGTTTCACTGGAAGTTATTGAATGTTCGCTCATCTGCTATGATCTAGTTGTCCCCTCCGAAGATAGCCATCAATCCGAATACATAGCTCACTGCGATGCGCGTCGAGGTAACTCAAAGCTTCAATCTCGTTTCTTGCATGTATAGCTTACAAACAACCTTCGATTATTTTAGAATTCATCTCTGGCTTTACCGGCTCAGCTGGAACCGCCGTCATCTCCACCACCGCCGCTGCGCTTTCGACCGACGGACGTTATTTCAACCAAGCTGCCAAGCAGCTCGATAGCAATTGGAAGCTCCTGAAACGAGGATTAGAAGGTGTTTTGACATGGCAAGAATGGTGAATCATGATCTTTCCAATCTACACAGCAGAATCTCATGTGCCTACAGGACTGCAGAGCAAGCGGAGGGAGGAAAGATAGTCGGAGTCGACCCGTCTGTTATTACTGCTGGTACGGTTGACCACGAATTATGTACGAATCGAAAACATGGCTGACTGAACATTTCTCTAGCAAGTGCAAGGAAACTCTCGGAGACTCTAGAGAAAGGCGGCTCGAAGCTGGTCGGAATTGAACAAAACTTGGTGGACCAGATCTGGGGCACTCACCGGCCTCAGCGACCGAGTGAGAAGGTTAAGATCCATCCCATTGAGTATGCTGGCAAGCCTTTCCAAGAAAAAATTGCAGACTTGCGGAAAGAGCTCAAGACGAAAAAGCGAGCCGGCTTCATAGTCTGTAGGCTGACTTCGTTTCTTACCATTTATTCAAGATGTCATGCTGATCACTATCAATAGCGGTACTTGATGAAATTGCCTGGCTTTTCAACCTAAGAGGAAATGAGTATGCGCACCAAAAAGACCGATCTGTCTATTCTGTGGCTAACAAGGGATAGCATCCCTTACAATCCAGTCTTCTTTTCATATGCAGTGATCACCCCCGACACGGTAGACCTGTACATCGACGATGAGAAATTATCACCCGAAGTCAAAGTCCATCTCGGATCAGACGTCGTTATCAAACCTTACGAGTCGATATTTGCAGATGCGAAGGCGCTCAGTGCGAAAGCTCCCCTGACCGAAAGCGGCGCCCCCATGAAATATCTTACCTCTAATAAAGCATCTTGGGCTTTGAGTCTTAGTTTTGGTGGCGAAAAGAAATTGGATGAGGCGCGTAGCCCAATCTCTGATGCTAAGGCCATCAAGAATGAGGTCGAGCTCAAGGGCATGAGGGACTGCCATATTCGTGACGGCGCAGCGTTGACCGAATACTTTGCATGGTTGGAAAATGAATTGATCAACAAAAAGTCCACTCTTGACGAAGTGGATGGTGCAGATAAGCTTGAACAGATTCGCTCCAAACACGATAAGTTTGTGGGACTATCGTTCGACACAATCTCCTCAACGGGCCCAAATGCAGCGGTGATTCATTACAAACCTGAAAAGGGCGTTTGCTCGGTTATTGATCCAAATGCCATCTATTTGTGTGACTCTGGTGCTCAATACCTGGATGGTACAACGGATACTACTCGAACATTCCACTTTAGCACCCCTACCGAGATGGAAAAGAAAGCATTTACGCTTGTTCTTAAGGGATTGATTGCACTCGATACTGCTGTATTCCCCAAGGGTACCAGTGGGTTTGCTCTCGATGCGCTTGCACGTCAGCATCTGTGGCGACAAGGTCTGGACTATCTCCACGGCACGGGTCACGGTGTGGGTGCCTACTTGGTGAGTGTCTCCTATCATCTTAGAGAGTACCATCTAACACATTTCAGAACGTTCATGAGGGCCCTATTGGTGTCGGCACTCGCATCCAATATTCCGAAGTGTCTTTGTCACCGGGCAACGTGATTTCCGATGGTAAGTGTGCCATATAACGAAAGCCATATCTGAGCTGATATTAACATGCTGCCAAGAACCGGGATACTACGAAGATGGAAAATTCGGAATCCGAATTGAAAGTAAGTTTCTTCACACGCAGCGCAAGCGATACTATTGTAAGTGACACCGCTAATTGATATACAGACATTATCATGGCTCGCGAGGTTGAAACGCCATACAAATTCGGAGACAAACCCTGGTTGGGCTTCGAGCATGTCACAATGACGCCCATCGGACAGAATCTAATTGAGACTTCCTTGCTGTCAAAAGAGGAGAGACAGTGGGTGGATAACTACCACGCCGAAGTGTGGGAGAAGACCAGCGGATTCTTCAAGCAGGATGAGTTGACGCTGAACTGGCTGAAAAAAGAAACCCAGCCTCTCAAATAGGCGGTTTTATCTTGTACAGTTATGGACAAGCATCAGCATTTGATAGAGAGGGCTTGGGATCAGTCTATTGTATCTTGTGCATTGCTTCATGCACGGTTAGATGACTGAAGTACATAACTAGTCGACGAATGAATAATAGATCTTGGTACCATACTACACAAATAACCAATTATTCGAGGCGTCATTGAAAAAGGTAAAACAGGTATCGTCGAGAAGATCTAGATACATGCTGTTCGATGTATAGAAGAAATAGCCAATGGGATTTGTTGCGGAAGCCGTAAGCTCGTGTGGAGCCTTCCCGACGCCCGCAATGTCCTGGCACTTATAAAGTTAACTCAATAATCACCTCAACCCATTCAATGGTTTTACGATAACGACTTTCCTGCGAAATAAACACGATCAATATACCCGTATACTGACATCTACAGATTGAATAAGAACACGTGATTTCGGTGGATCCGAACCACAATCACGCCAAGAACATGCCCATTGCTTAGAATCGAATCTTCGTCGCAAAGAACGCAACGCATCGCACCGATACACCCAAAGACTTGGATAAGACACATTATAATTATTGAATCTATCCGGCCACAGACACTGGCATGAGTGGCCGAAGCCCCTACGCAAACGGATACGGATATCCCTCCGACTCGGGACGTTCAGAGAACGGCGGGTACGGCAGTTCTAGCAGTCTCGGCCTGAATGGGTACGGAGGTGGTAGCGGAGGCGGGGGAAATCGAGAACGAGAACGCGAACGCGAAAGACGCCCAGGCGGATACGGCGGGTTTCTGAATGAAGAACCGCAACGACCCCCGACATCATCCTCAACCTTGTCCTACGGTAGAGAAAGGGAAAGAGAGAGGGATTATGATCGCGGTAGAGGGGATCAGGATAGAAGACCTTCTGCAGCTTCGTCGTCGCGATCACGGCCACGAGATGTGAATACTGGTACGAGATGGCGACCAGGGAGGGATGAGACTGATTTTATGAGGACGATGCCGACTGGTCGCCCCGAGGCTATCGATGGTGGAGGCCGAGGGGCTCAATCGATTGAAGGTGAGATCAGTACTCTTAAAAAGAAATTGAGTCTCTGTTCTAACGGCTAGTAGAGGTGCTACAAACGATTCAACGAAACTGGGACTTTATGGCTACGGAGGACTGTGTACCAGTTCAAGTCGCATTGCAGTTGATGGACAATAGTACGCTAGGCAAGGCAGATCGCGAGCCGGAATTCCTACAGACACAGAAACAGATACAAAAGACTTTGAGGAGTATTGTCAATGGTATGTTGACACGTGGGTGTTTCGTGCTTTAACATATGCTCACGTCAACCAGAACATCACCAGGGATTCAATAGCTCCATCGGTACCTATCACAAAATACAGGCCAGCATCCATAGCTCTCAGAATCGGGTTCGCAACCTGAGGAGCTCACTCGAAGAGACAAAATCCGGTTTGCTTACGACAAAACCAGAATTACAAGGTCTAGCAACTTCCTCTCAAGATTATGACGATATATTACAGCTTTTCAATCAGATTCATGAAGTCCAATTGCTGCCAGAGAAACTTGAACAGAAAATATCAGAGAAGCGGTTTTTGTCGGCTGTTGATATCCTCCAAGAAGGCCTTCGCCGAATACGTCGGTCTGAATTTGAAGAGATTGGAGCTCTTTCAGACCTGCGATCGTATTTCACTAACCAGGAGACTTCACTCACAGAGATTTTGATTGAAGAGTTGCATGATCATCTATATCTCAAATCACCCTACTGTCAGGACCGCTGGAAGTCGGCGGCCACTGAAGGTGAAAAAGCGAGTCAAGGATCTTTGAACGGTGCAACGTGGGAACGCCCGGTGTATAGTTTTCTCTCTAAGCTAGATGCCTCAACACCTATCGTAGAGGATACTTCTCGCAACCCCGAAGCGGAGACATTTCATTATATCGGCCTTATCATTGAAGCTTTGAATCGCATGGGCAACCTGGATGTCGCTGTGGACAGGATCGAGCAGAGACTGCCAGTTGAGCTGTTTGCGGTTGTGGACAAGACAAATGTCGAAGTAGACGCCCGCCATCCAAACCTCGCGCGGACTCTTTTGTCGCAGGACAATAAAAGCGGGCTTCCTACAGAAATCAACGAGCAGCGTGGTCCTGTGCTGACCGAATTCCTGTGGAATCTATATGCGAAATTTGAGGCTATTGCTGAAGGCCACCGCGTCGTTCATGATGTGATTGTGAACATTATTGATCGTGAAAGACTAGGTAAAAGCACGCTAGCCAATGGCTTCAGAGAGTTATGGGCACTATATCAGAGCGAGGTATGTCGGTAAGGAACATTGAGGCTGTTGCGAAGCTAACAGGTCTGAAGATTCGCTCTCTCCTACACGACTACCTTGCTACAGATGGCGACGATTCCTATCGAACAGCTCCGCGGCAGGCTGATTCCAGACGGAATTTCGCTCTCAATCAGCGAGATAGAAACAAGGTACTCTCAGCACGAATGTAAATGACAACCACGGGAGAAGCTAACTAGTATAGAAAATGTTCAAAATGTCGGACGTCGATCAAAAGTCAAGCGACATGAAGACAGAGCGAGATGAGCTAGATGAAATCCTGCGACATTCTGTACCCGGTTTGGTCACCAAGACCGCCGAGCGATCTAACGGTGATGGCGCTTCAAAGTCGAAGCAAGGCAATTCGGGCACCGGTCACAAGCTCCTTATCCAGCCCAGTGTCTTTAACATGGGGCTTTTACTTCCTCCTTCCCTTTCCTTCATTCAGAGGCTTAAAGATATCGTACCGGCGGATTCGGATATTGTCATGAGCACGCTTACGTCTTTTTTGGACGACTTTTTGATCAATGTCTTCCAACCTCAGTTGGACGAAGCTATCACGGATCTTTGCGCTTTGTCATTTATCGCTCCGGATGCCTTTTCCGAAGATCCTAACTGGGTTACTGTGTCTCCGAAGCCGATATTCAAGGTAAGTCTTCCCATAGATTGGTCATGTGAATTTTCGCTGATTTTGGGTAGGGCACTGTCAATTTCATGTCTTTGGTTAAAGCATTTAGTAAAATGCTGGACAGTATTCCGCATGATCAGATGTTCACTCAGATGGTGCTGAGCCAGATTGCGACATATTACGATAAATGCTGTGGCTGGTATAAGGGTGTGTCTGCTTTGCCTTGGTTCTTTTAAGTCGGATGTATACTGATGGATTTAGCTATGGTTACGCGTATATCGTCCCCTGTAACTGGAGGCACACGACTGAAGATGCCTGCTTTGTTTGCCGATGCGGGCGAAATCCATGAGACGGTCAAGAAACTGCTTGTTGGAAGCGGTAGCAGGAAGGGACTTATTGATAAGGTATATCCACATATCAGGGTTGGCAAGAGTCTATCTAACGCCGATGCAGGAAACTGAATTGCTTCTACGAGAAACAAGCGCAACACCATTGGATGAGTTTGATCTCATCTCGGATCCCAAGAATGTGGTTACATTGTCGTTGCTGCATAACAGTTTGGTGAGTAAAGCATGAATATTTGTATGGGCAGACGCTGATCGCTACAGCAATGGCTTGTGAGTCAACTGTCAAAACTCCGATACATCACCAGCAGTTCAGTCGACTCGAGTCGGAGCGAGTCCAAGCGGATGACGCATGCTCGCCGATGGACTCTGATCAGCAACATCAAACCGAGACGGGATAGCATCAGCCAACCAGTGTATCTGCCAATGAATAACGAAACAGTGATCATCTTTGATAACACGCTGCAATCGCTGCGCAACCTCGCGAACAATGCTCTTCTCACCATGCAGATCGATATTAGATGTAGGGTGATCTACGTCCTGACCAAGGCTATGGCGGGCCCGCAAGGCCCACAACCACAGCCGGTGGACACGCCATCGACGCCAGCACCTAGCGCGAATACCAACTGGCATCTACTTCTTCCCACGTCTCCCACGGCTGCCTCTCCGCAGGTTCTGGAGCTCAACAACGAACTCATTGCGATAGACACTAATCTATCTTCATACTTGGCCCCCAGCGAAGGGCAATTCATTACGTCGGGACTAGCACGGTTCATTGATCAGACATTTATCTTCTGCACTCAGTACATTGGAGTTTTGAACCAGAACGGAGCACTACGACTACAACTCGACGTTCTCGTCTTACAGCAGAATCTGAAAAACATCATCGTCGAATCTGCTGGACTCGAGACTGAAATCACAGAAGTAGTAGCTCTCCCGCGCAGCGCCAAATTCCTAGATTGGTTCCTCGAAGGCCCGCAAAAGGCCCTCGATCACGCCAAGGAAGAGAAAGAACTCTTCGCATCGCAAGGTGACAAGGCCCTTGCGGCCGGGAATGGTGAACCATTCACATACGATGAGTTGCGGGTGTTGATTGAATTGTGCTTTTCGGAGATTATGCGTGGACCGAGGGGGGAACAGAATCGGGAGGATTTCATGGCTGCTAAGCGGAGTAATGGGGATGCGATGTTGAGGTTGAGTGAGGTGATGTGGGATAGTAAATAACTTCATTTCAGTGCATCCCGATACTAAGCATCATGAAAGTCTTGGTTTTGATGAGGATCTCCTTTTAGCCGGAGCTTGTATGGGTCTAGACTCTTCTTACTTCTTATGGACTAAGCACCCATAAATTACTAGTGCGTATTTTTGTGGCAGTGCTCAATACACACTCTCCAACAAATAAATACAATAGTGTTCTGTGGCAGAAGCCATGTAACGATGTAGATTTATGCTTGTCTACTCTATACCTCTAGACGGAGTAGAGAGAGGGCATTCTAAGCGACAGAAGTTCACGTGAGTTAGTATTATCCCTGAAACGGCGAGGCGCCACTGAGTAAGACAGGGCGAATGGTATCACCAGACTGAGTGTTGAGATGCATGCTGAGTATCTATCACAATCAAGTTCAACACCAGAATATTCTACCAGAGACTTGAACGACTGTAATATATTGTTCTCATGCATATTTTATTGGCGTTCTGTTATCATTAAGTTGACACGTTTTCAGTTACTCCGTACAATTATATTGATTTCGTGATATTATTAGAGACGGAGTAAGTACTCTTCTAGACTCTAAATGCCTGTCATGGACAATGAATCATGCATATAGTCTAGACCGACGTCTCGGTACATCGCGGTACACAGAACTACACTCTCTCAACTTCTCAAGTCTCAACTGTGAACTTTCTCTCTTTCTTCATATTGTACAAAAGTAAAACCGCATTCTTTCATTCCTCGTTTCAACCGTCTGTCCTGTTCCTGTCGCTCGTTCTGCCGCATCCGTCGGCCAGCCAATCATTGCCAACGTTGCCCCCGCTCCTCCCTTTTACACTGTCTCAGTTATTTTTCCCTTTCCTTCCAAAATCTCCCTTTCCTCAACCCAACATCCCCCCGGAATGACCTTTATTGCTCGTACAGCTGCCGTATTCAATGCATCTGTCCGTGGTCTTTTCAAAATGATGCCAGCTCGAACGGGTCTCCGTTCCTTACTCTCGCTATCCGTCTTCTTCGTGTTATTTGTCTTCGCCTTTGCCGAATTCGAGTTCCTTGACGGTCCCCCCGACGGTCGCATCGCATGGGAATTCCACAAGTTAGATGACGGGGAACTGAAAGATCAGGAAGCTCATCAACGTCCTTTTGCTGTACGCTGGATTTTCCTTCGTCGTGGTTGCCGGAAATGAGTTGCGCTAATGATATGGATGTGGATAGGACGTGAAAGTCAACTACAGAACGCCACAAGAACGATATCTCGAGGAGGCTGCAACGGTAACCACGTTAGTCGAACCACACGCGAAATATGGAAAAGGGACTGAACTAATAGCCTTGCAGAAGCCAGTTTAAAAACTTCAGGTCCACCTTCAACTATATCAAGCCTCCCACTCCTCCCTATAACAATTCTCATATCCTCGACGACCCCCGCGCCTCTGTTCAGTCGGCCAACATTGCAAAGTCAGCCAAAATCTATCGTCCTTACCCTGACTACAACAGCGAAGAATGGAAACGTACACATAGGGGTGCCTTTGTTCCATGTATCGGACCCCGGGGCAAGAAACTCGATGATAGCTTGGATGACAGCGTCAGCGTCTATGTCGGCGTTCCAGAGAGTATGTCTTTTACTGAACTTTCCTACGGAATACGACTAACTGTGATAGACTTCCCCGAGCCCAGTTTTGGTTCATATGATGTGATCGGCGTCGATGGACAACTATCCTACGATCGGTACACCAGATACGCCGCCTACGGATACGGAGAAGATGACACTTCGTCTGATTGGATTCGCCCGTCCAAGGTTGAGTGGGATAATGTGAACTGGGGTAAATTACAACAGGAATGTGTGCAGATGAATGCCGGTCGATACAATACCACCGCAGCAAGCGAGAGCAGTGGGTTGTCTTCGTTGTTTGGTCGTCGATCTCGCCCGGCAAATCTCATCAACCCGGAAGCAGCCCCTGAAAAGCGAACCGCCATTCTTATCCGCAGTTATACCGACAAGCAGTATTCCGAAAACGACAAGCAAGTCATTCGCTCCATGGTTCAGGAGTTGTCTCTTCAGTCCGGCGGCGAGTACGAAGTTTTTCTACTCGTTCATGTGAAGGATGACAGTATCCCGATCGATCAAGAAGATGCTTATCAACAGGTTCTTCGCGACTATATTCCGATGGAGTTCTGGAACATGACAATATTGTGGAACGTTGCCATGGTATCTGCGCGATACAACAAGCTTGACCCTGCAGTTTTGAAGTGAGTTTCCGATTCCATGTGAAGTAGAAATGCTAACGGTTAAAGTGTCCACCAATCGCAATGGCTTCCTATTCAACATTTCGTCTTGGAGTATCCGGAATTTGATTTCGTATGGAATTGGGAAATCGACACGCGTTACACGGGTCATATGTACGAGTTCACCGAAGCCATCGCATCATTTGGCCGCAAGCAACCCCGTCGTGGTCTCTGGGAGCGTAGCGAGCGATTCTATATCCCTGCTATTCACGGCAAATACGATACCGACTTCCGACAGTTTGTGGCGGAAAAAGGCGGATCAGGTGTTTGGGGTCGGCTGGGATACGCGGAGCAGGCAAGTAAGCTGCCAACTCCGAAAGGTCCATCTCCGCCAGTCCCTCTACCGGAAAACGACAACTATCAATGGGGTGTTGGCGAAGATGCCGACTTTATTGGATTTTTACCTATTTTCAATCCGTACCGCACCAACTGGGTGTTGAGAGATGATGTGTTTGGGTATCTCGGCAAGGACACACCACGAAGAGCCACTATCATTACACATTCCCGTGTTTCGAGGAGATTGGTTCTTGCCATGGACGACGAGAACCTGAACGGTCGCCACGTTGGATCTGAAATGAATCCTCAAACTGTGGCTCTACTTCATGGCTACAAAGCCGCGTATGCCCCGCACCCGATCTGGTCAGACAAACCACTTGCACCGAGACGTATGGACCGGTGGTTCAACTCTGGTGTCAACGGCCGATCAGGCAGCTCTTTGGACAGTCCATTTTCATGGGGCCGTGAGCAACGGTTCAGGGATCTGTCATGGTACTACCGCTGCAATGTTCCTGGTCGATTATACTGGAACTTGCTTGGGTGGGAAAAAGACACGACAGGGGGACCAAACGTGAGTCTTCAATTCGCCTTTGTTTTTGATTGACCCTAACTGGACGTATATAGTATGAGAGGAAATATGGCCGCGTAGTGTTGCCGTCGATGTTCTTTCATCCTATCAAGGATGTGAGCCCCGATTCCGATAGCATGAGCTATGATCTTCCAATTTAACGACTTACGTGATGCGGTATTATCCTTCGACTTCATTCTTTGTCCTCCCCGCCTCCTGTTTTCCCTTTTTCGACATTTCCGCATCTATCGGGGGTATCCCTGCCCACCGCATTTAGCATTATACATATATTGTCGAGCGGCGATCATTCATATAACTGCCTTTCTTTCTTTTCTTCCTTCATCATGTGAGTCTACTTTAAATCTGGGTTTGGTGTTCTGATAAGTTTGTTTTGTCTTGTCATTCCGCCTATGGCGGACTTGCCTAATAGGTGTTTTTTTTTTTTTTTTTCTGATTGTTTCCGAAAGGTGTTGCCCAGGATTTTCATGTATCATACCACTTTGTTCTTTCTTGTGACATAGATTATAGAGCATTATTTGCCCGAGTCTATTATCTGTACGTTTCATGTCTACTAGCCTATGATAGGGGGTTAACCTTTACGTGAGTGTGATTCGAATTATGCACGATACGAACTCACGTCTATCTTCGACCCCTGCTAAGCATACGATAGGTATCAATCAGTCATTCATAGAATTTCATATATTCATTTCCTCCATCAGTCATGGACAACAGCATCAATCAACACCTAGGTCCGTCAAATCTCCCTCAGGTGAAATATGTACAATGAAAGAAACAGTTCAGACACATTCAGCAAGTTAACCAACTACGCAGTAGCAAAAGCAGCAGCAGCAGCCACATTCTCAGCATAAGTCAAATGCGGCACAAGAATCAAATCTCCATTCAGACAGATGTCATCACCAGGATGGCAGACAGTGTACACATTTGCCGCGTTGACGTGGGGGATTGCTTGGCCGTTATCTACAATAATCAGTTCCTGTCAATGACTGGGAGAGGGTAAACTAACCTGGGTCACCGAAGAGCAAGACTTTATCAATCCATGCAGCTGTCGCGGCGTCCAGTTGCGATATAGCGTTGTGCGTCACTTGACAACCCTGCGAGTATCCCGCCGCAATGAGTTTTGTGTTTGGGCATGATTTGTGTGCTTGCGTGATTAGTGATGCCCTTCACCATATTAGCACCTTTTTCCTTCTTCTCAGAACCATTGGGAAACATTGGAAAGGGGGAGGGGACAAACATATTCGCACTCCCACTCGCATCACCACCAGCAAGATACCCAGCCACCGAAGCCGAATAACTATTAACCCCCTGAATCGTCAACCCATTCGTGCCCACAATGTCCTGCAAAGCCCACACCAACGGCGGCCCAACCAACACCCCCATATTCCCCGGTTCAGACGTTCCTCGCGCCCAAATCAGGGTCCACTCCGCACATGATGACCCCGATGTACTGGCGGAGATGAGTTGATTCTGAGTGGTTTTTGCGCCGACAAGTTTTGCGAGAAGAGTGTCTAGATCGGTGATTATGCTTGTTGCGTCGTTGATGGTTGTGTTGATTGCGGGGAGGTATTTTAACAGATTGGTTAGGAATTCGTTGAGGATTGTGTTGCGTTGGGTTAAGGGGGCGGCGGTGGTTAGGGCTAGGAGGGTGGGGAGGATGAGTTTTAAGAAGTAGGAGTGGTGCATTCTGGCGGTTTCTTTCTGGCCTCTGTAGGGCTGCTGCTGGATGATTGTGCCTAGTTCATCTGAAGGAAGTGAAGAGGGTTGAGACAGGGTTTTATACTTACATCTTGGACACTACGAGCACGAGGAGGAGAAAGAATGGACTCGGACTAGAACAGAATTCATGCAGTCACGCCGTCCGTCATTGCGAATAGACGGAAAAATACTACCCAAACAGTCTCTTTGCCCGTTTGACTGTTCATTCGTGTCTTGGATGTGATTGAGTCACGGTCCTAGCACCAATAATCTGTCTGATATGAAGGACAAAAAAAATAAATGATGCGGGGAAGTCGATAGTTGTGCCTCCTAGTAGAGATCAAGGATCGACCACGTATGTACATCCTCGGTGTCATGAGTCTGTTATACGGCCGGCTTTCCTATTCAGGGAATATCGAGCTTTATACTTTATTATTTCTCTTGTCAATGAGGGCAGGCATTCAAGTAAAAGGAACCTGCAGAAATCCCGGCATGGCCGTCGACTTTCGATCAAATTAATGTAACCCCGTCAATCTCGGCAGTTGTTGCACGTCTCGTCTAAACCCATGACCAATCAACTGCTATAGACAACATGTATAGAATGACAGGACAAATCGGAGTTCTTGTGTTGTATAAGTCTTGTGATCCACTTGTTATCACTTGTCACTTGACACTTTTGATTTGAATCTCAGCTAAGTCAGGGGTAGAGCACTGAGTTGTAGCCTATGATCTTCTTATACACTTGATGCTGTGTCATGTTGAGTTTTGGACCTGACGATCTGTTGTAACTACGTACAAGTGACTTGAGTCATCACTCGCTCGTAGAATTACGCCTCCCAAAGCCCGAAGGATTCATTAGAAGACGGTTAGAAAACAAACTCTTATTATTGATATACATACCCCGCAAACATCAAAGTGGAGATCGAAAGATTAAAAGATTAAACCCATGTGAAAGATTTTAAACCCGAGCGATGAAGAAATACCCCGGTTTCCAATGTTCATACCCCGGTCTTCCCCGGACCAGGCAGGGATTCCCATGCACATTCTCGGCAGTTGTGAATCTCTAGATGTAGGACCAGTTCTATCGTCTGACTCGAGTATTTACTTCTTATCACGAAGTGTATGAATAAGAACTATACACAGCGTCCCAAGAGCCATACTTACTTACTGTGCCCAGTGCCGGGCCTCAATACCTAGGTATCCGAAGCCCTAACGCGCAATGTAACATGCGCGTCATTCAAGGTCACGAGGATCCCTGATAATGCGTCGGTTTAATATAAATGCCTCTTAGTACTTATACTAAGAAGACTCGCACCTGCATGAATCTGAATTGAGATATAGTGGTAGATGCAGCTTCGTCTTTCCGATCAAGTTTTTCAGGCTTTTGCACATGTCAGCTTTTCATGTTTCAGGGTGATTCCGAGGTTTTTATTCTTCTTTCTAGTGGGTTGGTCTCGAGATTATGGATTTGATCGTTTCGCCGAGTGGAAGGAATATTTCCTTGAATAAAGTCAGTCCCTTGCGGGGGGTTTAGCCTCGTGTGCATGAAGGTGTCGAAGGCATTCAGTCCACTTTTCGTCGGAGGATGCTAGGGTCATCTTTGTAACTTGCTGGAGTACGAATGCAAGGAACTGGATGTGTATGGTTTCATTGATCCAGATGTCGTGATACTTCAATTCCAAGGATACAGAAAGGCTTTGACAAGACTTTGATTATCTAGATAAATGCTGGCTAGAAGCCTTGTAAGCTGTTGAAGACGAAAAGTATTATCATTATATGTGACGATACGTCTGATTCTATATACAACAATTTCATTTACATCCCCCCCTTATCCCCATCGACAGCAGACTCCAATTTAGAAGCCACTATAATCTCCCTCGTAATCGAACTCTGCTCACACATACTCCTAAATATCCCCCCCTTATCAAACAACTCCAACGGAGTCGCAACCTCCGCAACTCTGCCGCGATCCATAACACAGATCCGATCATACCCAATAATCGTCTTGAGTCGATGCGCAATACATAGTAATGTTCTCCCCTTGAAACCCTCCGACATGGCCCGTTGGATTTTGAGATCGGTCTCAAAATCGATTGAGCTGGTTGCTTCGTCGCAGATTGTGATTTTGCTGTTGCGTACGAGCGCGCGGGCGAGGGCGAGGAGTTGGCGTTGGCCGAGGGAGAAGTTGTTGCCGCCTTCTTCGACGATGGAGTCTAGTGTTATTTGGGATGGTTGAGTTTTATTATTATTAGTTGCTTTGTTGGTTGTCGTTTCGGTGGAGGTAGTGTCGTCGATGAGATGGGATTGTCGGAGAGCTGCCCATAATTCTTCGTCGGTGCGAGTATTGAATGGGTCCAAGTTTGATCGAATGGTACCCCTGAACAAGGTCGGGTCTTGCGGGATAATGGACATGCGAGACCGTAAATCATTCAGGCCTATAGCACTAATATCGATACCGTCCATGATAATACAACCTTCTGCCAACTCGACCATACGGAAGAGCGCCATGATGATAGTCGATTTTCCGGCGCCGGTACGACCAACAATGCCCACTCGCTCGCCCGGTTGAATATGCAAGTTGAATTCTTCTAGAGCAAACGGTAATCTCGGACGATATCTGAGATGCGCATTCTGGAAGATCACTTCTCCCCGACTAGGCCATTCTTCTGGAACAGGTATAGTATGCGCAGGAGCTTCCTGCTCGATCTGTCGTCCATAGTAATCAATCCTTTCGACTGAGTCCATATTATTGTCGACATCTGCTGCTTGTCGGACTGTGAATTGAAGCATCTGGACACTAGTCAAGAGGTACGACAGTACTAGACCACTGATACTTGGTGAGACGTTAAACCGGTCTGTAACGACTAGAATCTCAGTCACAAACACCAATATCACACCAAGAACATCGAGTCGAACAGCGAGCCAACGCTGATTGGCAAAGGTCAAAAAATAAGCACTGTCCATCTGATCAATGTCATTATTAATGGACTTGACAAACGAAGCCGAACGGCCGTATGCTCGGATCGTTGCTGTGCCGTAGATAGATTCATTGAATCGAGAAAATAGGCGTCCGCGTAGTCTCGACTCGTGTTTCTGAATCTCTCGGGCAGATGTGTTGTAGAACAGAGCAAGCGAGATATACATCACGAGCAAGGGTCCAAGGGCAGCTGCAAAGTAATAGTAATACGCGATAATCAGAATGAAAACGCCAATGATTTGAGCCATGGTTATAGTGGCAATTCGCATCGAGTCAGTCATGTTGTTATCCAAAGTATCCACGTCTTTAGAAAACCGATTCATGATTCGTCCAAGAGGGGTAGTATCGAAGAATGATACAGGTGCATGTAGAACCCGGCGAATAGCACGTTTCAGTAACTGTCTGCTGGATCGGGTACCTGTGATGGAAAGTGAAGTGGTATAAATGAAGAGCAGGATTGCTTGGCCGACACCTAGTGCAGCATAGACACCAATCTACGCAAGTTAGCAAGTCGACATATGCTTCCGATTCTTGGGGATACTCACGTATGTTCCGGTAGGGAAGTGGAATTTGTTGGACGTCCACCAAGCCAACCACAAATTGGTAACTATAGCACCACCCTGTGACAAAATCAATAGCAACACAATCATCGGAAGAAGCAGCACCGATCCTGCAGCTGCATAGTATCTGAAATAAATCCCAGTAGACACTCCCGAAGCAGAATTAGATTCCTCTTGAATCAGATCCTCGCCCGGCTGTTTTGCGATGGATGCGATTTTTTGAACAGTTGTCTCAGGTGCAGCGGGCATTTCGACTTCCTCGTCCTTGTGATCTTGATTCACCGTGGTCATCATCTCTTTGAATCTCTCGTTGTGGGCGAAAAGATTATCAAACGTGTCGTTGGCGACTATCATTCCATTCTCCATCATAATGATTCTGTCGCAATGGTGCAGAACGTGAAGTTGATGTGTAGCGAGAATACGGCATTTATCCTGCAGTAATCCACAGAGAGCATTTTCCATAATGTGACGACCGACATGAGCATCAACAGCCGAGAGAGGATCGTCAAGCAAGAGAATATCGGTATCCGCATAGATTGCTCGAGCCAAGCTGATACGAGCCTTTTGTCCCCCTGACAGGTTGATACCCCGCTCACCAATCTGCGTATAGCGACCGTTGGGAAGAATTTGTAGATCATGGCGAAGAGAACATGCTTCGACAACTCTTTTGAATTTCTCTTCATCCAGCTCTTGACCAAAGGTAATGTTATCTTGGACAGTGGCATTCTGGATCCATGCGTTTTGAGGACAGTACGCTTTCGACCCTCCAATGACGGCATCTCCACTGATTTTGCGCATCTCGCCGGCTAGGGATGCAAGGAAAGATGTCTTGCCGGATCCTACACTTCCTACAACTCCTAGGAATTCTCTCTTTGCGACCTGGACATTGAGGCCGTGGATCTTGAACGGTTCTTTTGCTGTCGCGTCTTCATGAGCCTTTCCGTCTCCATCCGTTGAGGATGTTTCACTGGATTTCTCTGTCTTTTCGGATATCTTCTCTGTCTTTCCCACGCCTTTCTTGTTCTTCTTATTCTTATTCTTCGCCTCCTTGCCTAGGGCCCCTTTTTTATGATCTTTATCATCAACAGCCTTTTCCCATGTAAATGCGGCGTCCACCATAGAAACCGCATTCTCGCTGTCGACTGTCTGTGGTTGCATTTCAACCTGCGTATCCTCGGCAAGCAAAAACTCTTCGATTCTGGTGACAGCCGAAGAAGCATCCGATACCAAGGCGATAACCATGGGCAATAACATAGCCGGGAGTCGAAGACCGTTGAAAAGCGACAACGACGAAAAAATAGACGCAGGAACCAACGAATGATTCGTAAGAGAGTATGTAATAAAAGCCAACATCGACGCAAACATTGGAACCGAGGTACCGATTGCAGTTAAGAGGTTTCTAATCATAAACATGACCTGCACGCCGCGAATTTCCTTGTGGCGAATGGCCGAGATACGATTCAGAAAGTCCGATTCCCAAGCATAATATTTGACGAAACGGATAGCTTGAAGAACTTCTTGGGTCAAACTGACTCTCTCGTCGGTGAATTTGTTGACTCTTGCTCGAGTCTGGAAGATTCGTTTCACGGCCAACGCTAAGAGCGGAGCTGAAAGGAAGAAGAGTCCAATACCAGGAAGGGCACTATACGTCAGATTGACCAGGAGGAGAGCGATAGTGATGAGAACGGTCAGAGGAATGGTCCAGATGAAATGAAACCAACCGGCAGCCTTATCAATACGATTCGTATCAGTAGACATGAGATTGATGATTCGACCGTTACTCCACCCCTGTACACTCATCTGAGCTTCCTCCAACTGTTCAGCATACCATGCATTCTCTTCGTCGCTTCCAGGGGTAATATCAGCCGGGGGCGTCTTGGACGGTTTCCAACCAGCCTTTGCTCGGCCGGAGATGGTCATCGCCTTGCTGAAAATAAGCGAAATAAGAGCAGCACGAATTTCGCCTCCAACCACCATTCCTCGGTACATGAACTGATTATTACCGATACTCGCCAGAATCTGCATAGCCGATAAACCAAAAACCCATCCGAGACCCTTCCCAACTGACGGCTCTGGCTGATGAGTATACCGTGACAGGTACGCATCCGTCGCAAACGCAATCAAATATTTCAACAGGTATGGTAATATAATCTGTGTCACGCTTCCAATCGCACAGCACACGCCGCCGAGGACAATATCGAATTTGAAGGTTTCATAGATGGCCCCGACAAGCGCGTGTTTCGATTTGGATTTTACTCGTTTTTCAAAGTTTGCTTGCAATTTCGTGGCAATCACATCGATTGAGCGGCTGGCGTTCACGCGCGGAATATCATTCTCTTCAAGGGGTCTATTGTACCCGACCTATACGATGTAAGAATAAGCATGCAATATAACGGAAACACATACAAACATGAGATGATTAATCCATTGCCATGTAATCAAACTCGCGATATTAGCTTTGTATTCGGGTGATTCCACCCTCTCGTCGGGAATCGGGGGCGGTCTTCTCCTCTTCAGAGGATTCAGTCGTGAAAGCCATGGTCTCTTGGTAGAGGGTATTTTACCCTCTTCCCTGGCTTCCGACATGCGTATCTGTATTGATATATTGCAAACTTTTGTTTTCGACTCGTCTTTGTTTTTGGATCAGATGTTTAGAGGGACGCGGGATGGCCTCATTCATAATCTTTCGTGGACATATGTAAGATACCTATAGGCAAGGAGTATAGATGAAAGCTGGCGATGGATGCTGATGGTATTCGGAAATAGAATAGCGTAACGGTCCAAGTCATCGGGGCCGCATAGTGGTATCGACAGACACTTCCAAGTTTCTGCAACAGGACTCTCAAGATCTTTGACAGATTGTATAGATCAGAAAGCAAGAGCAAAGTAAGAATGAAACAGAGCTGGGCAGGCGTCCAGGATATATATATGCCACATTAACTGATCGATTGTCATAGAAAAGAAAATAAAAAAACCAGGCCAGGGTCTTTAAACCCCGTCTCTAAACTCCGCAGCTACTGTATTTGGAAACTTCCGAGTTTAGCACCCAATCAGAATGACAGCTTATCATGTCGGAGTTCGAAAACAATCCAGACATATCCGTACCAGAATACTCCGTACAGCATAAATACTAAATTTCAAGCGTTTGACTTCGAATCACCTACTTCGTGTGGTTAATTCGTTGTAATTACCAAGACGTTATGCTGAGTTTTATGTGTCCCCACTTGTATCGCGGACATACGTAGTGTTTATTGCTTGATCGCAAATCAATCTGATTCGGCATCGACTTGGGTGACATCCGATGACAAGATCTGGATTTCTCTGTTGCCTACTCATCAATCGTACAATTATTAACAATCCAGTACGTACTAAAACATATACATACTTGTATATACATTAAGGCAGAAGCAGAACTCGCTTCCGAGCGACCTCACGTCCGAAACAGAACGTTATGTATGTATGTATGTATGTATGTATGTATGTATGTATGCGATCGTAATGAAATCGTACAAATCAAGTTTCTCCCCGTTCAAACTTCGGCTGTCCCCGACGGTGTAAATTACGAATACGAAATAAACGAGGGAACGGATTCCGGGGGTTAATTGCTCCGTTTTCACCGTTGGAATGTACGTACGGCTGACTAATAGAATAGAATGATTGGATGGAGCGCTGAAACCGATTATAGGTCTTTTAAGCGAATTCGGTTGTCTCATAAGACCTCGAGTACGGAGTACTCCGTAGTCTATGATATATACGGAGGCGAGATGAATGAATGAGAAGCCTCGATCTAAGGATCGGCGGATATTTAGGTCATGGCTAGGATTCTGATTTAGGTTTCGGATGGTCAACATATGAGCGGTCACACCGATTTGAGGTTTTGCGAGCGATATTAGGTATCAAAACACTTGATGGCAATTCAATGAGTCATGACATGGAAGCGAAATTCATTAGTAAATCAAGGAGAAATCTCTAAAAGCTATGACCATTCATAGGTCCATGTCATATAGAAGTTCTTAGATTAGCAGATATCATAAACATACGGAGTATATCATGAAAAGAACCGAACAATAAAACATCCACTTCATCAAACAAATCTTCAACCTCGACAATCAGTTGTATCAATACCGCCAGATAATCCTGATGAATAAAACCGAGTAGGAAAAGAAGACAAATAACCGTGCACCTGATTCGCCTTCCCAGTCCCGATAATGAAAGAAAGAGCATACATGGAGATACAAGTCAAATAGAAGAAGTGAATAGATTGAATGAGACCTGATCTCAGGGCCGCAGGAAAGAAAATCTCTTTTCCCGTTGAGACGGTCCACAACGCCCATACAGAAGCCCGCTCCCAGTGCGACGGGAAGATAGACTGTCGCGCGGAGTCTCACAGGATAATGAATACCACCCGGCAGAACAGTGTAGCAGAGAACTGAGAAATGTTGAATGCCAACGCATCACATGACTGATCACGTGAGAAAACAAGCCCTTAAAAGCATCAGACATTTTGAGTATGGTCAGTGTCCAGCTGACCCAGATCCTTTTCGTCGTCATAGTCGTCAAACTTGAGATTCGCTTCTCGACAACGTTGAATCCATTTCATTGCAACCTCGCCTCGTCGGTTAGCTTCCGCTTTCCATTTGGCATTCTGTGTCTGGATTTCGGCAAGGGCTTGTTGTGTGGTGAGATTGGTATGTTCCCAGCGCGTGTTCATTTGCTTCTTCTCTTCGTGGAGTTGCGAGATGTACTCTATAGCTCGCTGTAGGATGGCTCCCTTGTTCTTGTCGCAATTGGGCACCAGCTGGGCTATTTGGTTTATGCCTTCATTGATGGTCTCGCGTCGACGGCGTTCAACTATTACATATTAGTAAGTCGGTAAAAGAATGCAGACAGAAGCTCTAATCACCTTCTTTGTGATTGTTCTTGCGCAGAGCATGCCATTCAGGAGACCCCACAGTAGGCTTCGTGGTCATACTCTGAGCCTCACGGGCGGCATATACAGCAGCCGCCGTTGACTCATGTGGTCCGTGTGAAGTAAGGCCGCCAGTAGCGTGGGTGAGTTGGTCGGCAAATGGGAGACCATGCGTTATCTGACCATCAAATCCTCCATCAGGGCCAGTTGGATATTTATTCTGTGAATTTGCAGCAAGGGCGGCTTTCGCATTCGCAGTCAATGTATTATCATCCGGCATGCCGTTCGACTGAGCAACATGCGTAAGCAGCTGTTCGTCAATGTTCAGATCAGACGATGTGCCGTCATAGTGGCCCAGCGCCGAATGAGTAAAGGCTTGTGTATCCGTAGGACTGGCCAGGCCAGGAATACTGCCATTGGTATTGCCGTGGGAAGTCGCCAAGCGCTGAGGGTCAGGCCCGGCGCTATCCTCGTCTTCGCGCTTCCGTTTGTTGTTGCCGTTAATATCGGCATTGGTCAGGCCATTGTCAGACATAGTGTCCAGACTCGTTTCAAACTGGATTATTCATGAGCGAACTGTAAATCGCATATGAGTAACCTATCCTAACAAATAGCATACCGAGGTGATTGGACCGGTAAAGTCTACCGTCGCGTCAATTTTGAATATTCTCTGCTGCTTTGCAGCGATTCAGCTGATGTCACATTAGTGTTAATTCGTGAAATATAAATCGAAAAGAAAATATATGTGCCGTGCCAATATTGTGCTGAATGCTCAAGGTAGGCAGGCGTTGTATTGCGGGGTGAGGAACGCGTCGGTAAACATCGGACAACCACACGTAGCTGGCAATAAGAGGTAACAAGATGGACGCGATCAAAAACTCATTTGTTTCTCATAAGACACTTAACCAATATTTTCATGAGAATCAAAGAGCAAGACCATAGTCACATAGATTGTTACCTACCGTCATCCAGCTACTGATGCGACCGCGTAATGAACGCGACCAACGCGAAAGACAGCATCATCGCCGACCGTGAGCAACAACGTGGCAAGAACAGTGTCCATGATGCATGGAAGATAACTTATTCTTGCCTCGATAGCTAGCTCGTGGTGCAGCGATGCATGGTGATGATGATAGACTTGAAGAAAAGCAAAGTGGAGAGAAGACGTACCTTAGAAGGAATCAGTAATCTTTGGTGTTTGTTCGATATCACCTGACAAGAAGTCACGGGAAATCAGGTGAGTATGGGCCGAATATCTCGAAACCGAATCAGGTAAATTCGAGAAGCGAAAAATAAACAGTCGAATCTGAGAAAAAGGGAGGGAAAAAAGTTTCCGGAATATGGTTGAGAGATGAGGGAACTATGAGAACATAAAGAAATAAAGAATCATAGGAATCTTGCTTTGGATGCTGGTGTAGAATCGCGAAGTGAAGTAGAGTAGAAGAGAGAGAGGGCGGGCTACTCACGTGGCGAGGGCTACTTATTCCTCAGGCAGACATCCTATGGACGGTGCGGCGAGGCAGACAGACCAGAGGTGCCGAACTGTTTTGGGTCGATCACCTGACCGAGGCAATCCCAGCCAATGAGATCCGCCCGTGCCACCGAAAAACGCAAGTAATTTTCGTCAACACCAACACTTTCTATGCCATTTTCGCCCTTTAGTTTTCAGTCAAGCATATAATCTGCATGAATTTACCACTATTTTAGATCTCTTATCCATGGTGTATCTCTTCTGAACTTCTGATCATGTGTGTCGATCCCGTGGCTCAGCCGTCACTGGTCAGATCATCCGATCTACAGCTCTTATTGGCCAGAAGCCCGTGATGTGCCCACACGTGCCGGCCCTAGCCCTCCATCAGATACAGATAAGGTGACATACGAAATCCGGGTTGTGCAGGTCCAGAGTGGCCTGGAATTGTGTATGTCTATGTGTGTGGTCAGTCATGGCAGATGACTCTGGAACCGAAGAAAAGAAAGGAGAGAGGTGGTGCTATCGGGCCGACCCTTTCGTAACAGGGACGGGCGTCAGGGACTGTCTAACTTGTCACCGTATACTTGTGTAACTGCTCGTCAGTGACAAGAGGGTGTGCTATGCAGTTAGATGCAATCTACCCTGCATGGATTAACTCCATCTTCATACGCTGTTGCAATAGCTAGGATCCCGGGCACATCTCAGATCTCGTTAGCTCACATTCATTCAGCAAGAAGATCTTATCTTCATAGCAAAAGGTTAGAAAAGCCAAAAACAAACGATTATTATGTGTGTACCCCACCATATTCGATATGGAGGGTTGAGAGCATCACATGCTCATTGCATTTCTGGATAAGTTTGAGGTTGTATGTACTGCAAGCTACCCTACCAATCAGGTCTTGTGGAGAGAGGTAAGACTTTGATGTTTGGTGAAACATGAGTGTTTGATGACATCGTCGACTCTGGATCAATAGAGGAAGACACGATGTTCTACTGCCAGAGATTAGGGAATGATTTACCCTAAAATCAGTATGGATATCCTTGAAAGTAGAGACAGTCAAGACTGAAAGATATTCTCAACTTAGGGCTTATGCTCATTGATTACGAAAATGAGTACACCTTAATAAGCACATTTTATTCGATTGATCCACTTATTATAATGATGTGCCAATAGTCACATGAACCCTTCCATCATGACTCACTTTAGTACAAACCTGATGGTGTATATCATGTTTCCCAATCTGGAAGTCACTGTCGATAGACCACTTCAGTCCGAGCCAAACCAAGAATACTCGGTCGCTGAAGAAGATCGACTTTGATTGTGTCTATGTGGAGGAAAGCTAATTTGTGACTTATTCAATCAGACGGGTCATCAGATCTTTTCGTGACAAATGTCATCTTGGGTTCTGACTCGGTATCTGCAAAACAGATACCTTCCTCTCTCGAACCCTTGATACCCCAACAATGAATCTTGACATCCAGCGAGGAAGATTCATGCTTCTGCGTAATTGCAACGACAGTACTTGTCCCAGCATACGTTGCTATCGGAATGAGACACCCCGGCCCCCCATCCTCGACACCAGTTCTATTAGCAAAAACAATAATGACTTTTGTCTCTGTCGAAGAACTAAAGCCGTTTAACTGTTTATCGCCGTAGTTGATCTTCTTCTCGAGTAAAGGCCAAAATCTACGAATCCAGTAATTGAATGTGTCCATGTCAGGCAACTGGCTGGGTTTGCCCATGATGCTAGTCGCATCGTTTACAAGCCAAGCTGCGGAGATAATAACGAGATGTGACTGGGAGTTCAGTACTCGATATGCAAATTCCCAGGCGTCAAATGGTGCCTCGAATTTGTACGGGTTGATATCCATACATATTCCGAATGTGGTTGGAATCTGTATCGGATTTCTGCTGGACTCTGGAAGCAATGATGTCGTATCTGCATCGAACATCACTGGCTGAAATTCCAGGAATTTAAAACTCCACTCTGCTTCACCTTCACTCGCCCAGGATTCGTCCGTGTAATACAAGAACCGTTTTCGATAATTGTGTATAACCTCTCCTGCTTCATCCACGACTAGTAGGGAGTTATACATTTTGGCCGAATTTGCAACTAACCCACTTCCATTCTCATTCTCATTGTTGCCATCTGCACTAGATGCATCTGGTTGATAAATTTCAGGATATCCCACGCAAACTTTACATTTCAGTCGTTGCGCTGTTCTTCGAGCCCACTGTGCAGACGGACCATGGCCTTGAACCTCTAGATAAGGCCTTATAGCTTCTAGTGATGGAAAATTGTACCCTATTAACTCACTCAATTAGATTAGCACACGTCTGTTCAGCCTTTTTGGCAGGATATGTATTACCTGAAAATGCCATTTCTGGCAATACGAGAATATCAGGTCGCAACTCCTCAATGCCGGGTTCCTCCTCATCATCAAATGCATATCCATCATTAGCATTCGGTGGTATTAGCTTGAGTAACCTATCTGCGCGTTTGATATTCCCCTCAACATCGCCCAGTTGTGGCGCAAATTGCAGGGTTGCGATCCTCATTTCAGATTTGTTGGTGATTGGATTCCTAGATATATTGATTCTACCTTCAGCCTTGGAGGTAGTAGTAGTCGTTGTTGATTTTGTCCTTGATTGTATATTTCGATGATTGATAGTATATGACTGGGCGGTTCGATAAGTCTGAAACCGCGATGTCCAGTATTTACCACCGTCCAGGAATCTCACGTTGGCGATAGATCTGTGAAGAATATACGTTGTAGAGAGATACATTAATCAATCATTTCGCCTTTGCCCCACAGAGTTTGGATATCTGTTCCTTGCTTGGATGCAATTGTCTCGGATAGCCGTTGAATTGATGTTTTTCTTCTGTAAGCATGGATATGTTGTGACACACTAACTTCTGGGTACACGTTGACGAACGTATCACGAGATTCTGTAGCCTGTATCAGAATTCGCTAGGTCATGCCATCGATTCCTGGTGTTTGATGATAATGTGCAAAGTTATGAATCGGGCTCGCTACCAATAAGCGGGGACGGATCATGTGATTATCGATTTCTGTAATGGGTAGCTAATGAGCTGGAAGGCATCATTGCTCTGTGAGGTGCTTTCTAAGTTGGTATAAAACGTTTTTAACGCATTCCGATTTCAAATGATCGAATAGTCATGTACAATAGGAAAAGTAACCTACATTCCACCATGATGATTCAATGTAATGGTATCGTAGCTAGCTAGACCAACAGCGCCATGCTTTGACTGATGTACATACGCGTATCAGGATAAATCCAAACCAATAACTCCATTAGTGCAGTATCATCCACAATCCGGAGACGTCTTTTATGTACATAAAGGAAGAATGGAAATGGAAAAGAAACAAAAAACGAGCAATACAATATTTCCGCCAAACAGGGTACTTGTTCAAGTCAGACTCCTTTTTTTATTAGATTGCTTGCTCGATGTCGCTTTTTCCGGAGTCAATTGTAGTGGTTTGTATGCCAGACCCTTTCCGCCAGTGAGTCTTAGACGTTGTTCGGTCCGGGATAGAGTGCGACCAAGACCAAGGGGCGTTTCGGGCGCCAGTGCGACGTCGTATCCATTGACGCGGGCATAAGGCGACGAAGATGATACGGAAGATGACAAAGATGACAATAAATGTGAGTCAGAGTTGACACTTCTCCCGAACGTAGAAGAACGGAAGGGATGAGTATAGGAGGTATAATCGGAAGATCCGTCGAAAAGCCGTGGACCATTTTTTAATTGTTCTGCTGCGATACGTGCTGCTGATAGAATCATTTCATCTTCGTCGATTTGAGATGTCCTGGAAGACACAGTTTCGTCGTCTCGTGGCGGCTTGGCCTTCGTCAGCTCCTTGACTCTCTCAAGTATCGGAAGTGTCGGGAGTGGTGCTATAGAGGCCAGAGCAAGGGATGTCTTCTTTTGCTTTTGGTGGGCGGCGCGCTTTGGCTTAGGAGTCTCTTCATCATGCTGTCCATGTACTTGTGGCTCATCGATCAATGGTGATATCTCTTCTCGAGCCTGCAAGGCCTCATCCTTTTCGATTTCCAATGGCCGCTTTTTGCCTGCTTTGGACGCTCGATTCTGTATTGCAGACTGCCTTAGTGTCTCGATCCAGGACCTGCGGGACGCCGACGACTCATCAATGAAGCTTTCCGACTTAGAGAAGGCTTCAGCTTTCGGTAAGGGACTCTTTGCAACAAATTCATCAACAGGAGCTTGTTCTTGCTCTGATTGAACCTCTGTTTCTTGGTCTACTTCAGTAGCCTGCTCTTGCTGCCCATTCGCAGCTAAGTCGGCGTCGGCAGCGGGAGGGCCAAAAGGGAACAATGACTGCGAAGCGACCTGTGGCTTTGGAGAAGTTGCGAGTTCTGCTTCTGCGGAAGGACTTTGCTTGTCTGGCTGCGATGAGAATAGAGGTTTCGAAGTATTTGTAGGTGGCGGGATCTCGGTAGGCGTAATTGTGATCGGTGATTTTTGTGGTGGTAGTTTCGAGAAGATCGATTCCTGTGCTGGTTTAAATATATTCGATGTAGTCGAGAAAGATGGAGGCTGAAAGGCGAAGGGTGATGGTGTTTTGTTTAATAGTGATTCTGAAGCCTGTGTGGTCGTCGAAATACCAGGCGCCTTGACTTCTATCTTTGAGGGCTGACTACTTGGCGGAAATGAGAACAGTAAATTTGGTGCTTCGCTAGAAGTAACCGCAGGAACCACCTCTGGAGCTGCCTCTTGAGTGGAGAAGGGCGATTGCCTAAACAAGGGTGATGGCTTCGGTTCTGTAATAGGAGCTGCGGGTTCGGGAGCCTTGAAGACCGGCCCTGAACTTTGAGAAGCAGCTGGCCACGAAAAATTTGTCTTTGGGGGCTCGGTGGTAGTAGTAGATAAGGTCGAAGATGTTGTGGATGTGCTCTGAGTAGAGGCTGGCCATGAGAATAATGGCTTGGGCGGGTTTGTGGAGGCAGTGCCTTGGAAAGGAATTGATGTTGGAGTAGGCGTATGGAAGGGTGACGATGGCTTTTCGATTGAAGTATCTGAAAATGGTGCAAACAAAGAACTGGGTGCGAAGAGAGGTTTTGCGGGACCACTGGATGAGAAAATATTCGGTGCTGTGGTTGCCTGGGTTGTTACTGGTGCAGCAGGCGGTTGGAATGCTTCAAAAGGCCCCTTAGATGTGACCTGGGGTGCAACAACTTCAGTGGTAGGTTGAAGCGAGGCCCGGGGAATTTGAAATAGCGTTGGGGGCTCCTGATGCATGGGAGTATCCTCTTGAGTGACGAAAAGTTCGTTCTCGTCTTCTTCGATAGGAGTGTCGTAATCATTAGTCGGTAAAAAAGACACATCGATCATACCCCGAGCGGCCGCTTGTTTGATATTCAATCCAAGAATGATGGCTGCAAGTGTTCTACCCCCACGTTTCACTTCAACATATTTATCGGAATAAGAATGTTGTGATGATGGTGCGAAATCTATTAGAAGCCGAGTTAGGTCAGGTAGCTAATTTGAGCAAATAGTCGAACGTACCGACGGTATCAATGCTGCTTGTTCCCCAGTTGAGGTATAATGCACCGTCGTTTCTTTCTAAAAGTTGAAGACCTTGCTCTTCGCAGAACTCTTCGGCTTGTGACTCATCATCAAAATAAAGTACGCGCGTGAGCTCTGTTATAGTCCATTCTTCATTTCTGTTCTGCTGAGAGGTTGGCACTCGGCAGTACGCTTTCCAAATCGACCGGATAGCAGTCTGCCTGACGTTATTGAAGTAGATTTCCGCAACACAACCCATTAGATACGACACAGATGGCGAATCTACTAGGTTAAAAAACCTATTATAGAACCCTTGAGAAATTGCATTGGGCCGCATTTCGTCCAAAACGACCGAATATTCCCAGTAGTTATTCGCAGCTGCCAAGAGTTCCAAGGCAATCTGTACTTTTGGGCTCTGAAGAATTTCTTTCGGCCACTTTTGGACGCGGTCTTCCACGTCTGGGCGCTGGTCGTGGATTGCCAAGACAATATAATATGCCCGGAATTCTGGCTCATTCGGAAAGTTCATGCGCTCTCTGTTATCGTCGTAGTAATGCATTAGAGACAGCATTGTGTTGTTGAGTTGTTCCCGTTCCTGATGATGATCGAATTGTTCTTCGTTGTCGGGTGAAGAGAGTAGATGTAGTGAAACAATGTGAAAGCGGGCTATGCGTTCCAGACACTTAACAGCTATTTTGATATCTTCGACCTTCGTCAATTGCTGAACAGAGAAATCATTTCTTATAGAGCGAGTCCGATCCCAAACGAACTTATGGATTAGACCGAGCGGGTCGGGACCACTGACGACATGGCGTATGAGGTAGTTCATGGTTTGAAGGAGGGTGTTTGGTGTGCGAATATCGGATGGAAGCTGTTCATCGTAGCCTGCCGCAGATCGCCTAAACCGTTTAAGCATCTTCAATTCCTTGACTTCGAACGTATCGGTGGTCGGATCAAGACTCTATATTCAAGTTTGAATTATCAGTAGGATGAAACACATTATCGCAGCATGTCAAACTATACCTTTTCAGCTCTATCAACCATTTTTTGAACTATTCTCTCCACGCGTTCGAATTCTGGACACATTGTGGTACACGTTCCCACGGGAGTTATGGCCTTGATCAACAGAGTTGGTTGGTTGGGATCGGCCATTTGACCTTGTTTGATGGCATTTTCGCGTTGTTTGACCCGGTCAAGTTTCAACTTCGCAGAAACACAAATATATTAGTCACCGTTGTAGATATCTGTTGGGTTGGTCGTACCTTCTCATAGCGTTCCTGATAGTCGACAGGCGTACTAGTCCCCGCCGAGGTCGGTTCACTTGTTTCTTCTTTAGGTACGCGTCTTTGTGAAGCAACCTTGTGACGAGGGTCCTTCGCTGACTGAACTGAGTTCCCTATGGGCTGGTGTGCGAAAGAAGGTGCTCCAAAACCATTAGAGGCGATGATTCCTGGGTTAGGCGATGGTTTCCCGAATCCAGAAGAATTTTGCGGTCCGCCGAATGGTGACGAGATCGCGGCAGTATCATTCTTGATCGCAGCAAACGGTGAATTAGAAGATGGAGCTCCGAATCCTGACTCCTTTCCACCAGAGACCCCAGCATCGCTAGCTGTAGACTGGCCACCACGAGCCTGGCCTCGTCCACGTCCTCGAGTTGCGCCACGGTTCGACTGGGATTTGGATCCTATCGCGCCGGTTCCACGTGTTCGTCCACCACGTCCTGAATTGGCTGCATCTTTGTGCCCTCCACGGGTTGCGCCCAAGACGCTCCCTAGTTTAGGCATTGGTCGTGGTCATCGAAGGTCCGCGGAAGAAATTCGACGAGAGAAATGATTGAATGCGGTCCGTGCTAAAAAGGTGAATTTCTCGAGCGCTTATACGCCTGCTGAAAGGAGTGCAGATCGTAATCGAATAGGTCCCTGCTCTAGAAGCTGTCGATAGACTGAGCAGGGCCTCTTGTTTGATGGTTGTTGAACTTGTTGAAGATGGTCGCCCGCGCAGTGGATCAGATTTGCGGTTGATAGGCCCGACAGGCCAATCAGCTGACAGTGTCGGCCGTATCCGACCACTATCCGACAGCCCCAAAAAATCTCTTGGCAAATATTCACATAGAGATTTACAATCCTATTACTACTGCTATGTTTTTTAGTAAGTTCATGAATACTAAAATGGATGAAAAATGATAAAAAAGGATACACGATATGATAATAATATAAATATATGATTAGTTACGCGATAAAAATATTATAGAAGGTAGAGAGATTTTCCTCTAGCTGAAGAGCATGCTTGACTACACTTTCACTCGTACAGCACAGCTGAAAATTGGTAGTTTGTCGCGGAATATTTCCCAGAGCTTCTATACGATATAGAGCTTCTTTTCTCCTTCAGTGGTAACCCTCCCGTTCTCATCCTTTAAAAAAGCTATCCGATATTGTGGATTGAGAATGCGCGCTGCTAGATAGTATGGGGAATCATCTAATCTCTGCATGTAGGTTGCGCACTTTTCCTGAGTTGAGGAACCATTGTAGTAACTTATCTTAACAACTTTATAGCCAATCCGGAAAATATTTTTGCAAAAGGAGCAATGGTCCTCATAGAGCTACGTGGCCTCAGTTCATTGGAAATCAGCATAGCCCAGTATTCAGCGATTAAATATTCACATCTTAGATACTTATTATCTATCTGGTAGTGTACGTACCAACCAGCGACTCCGATATGATGCGATTCATCATTTATGCTACAACCACATGTGTGCCTGCCCGAGGCCCTTTGACCTTAAAGTTGGAATTCGAACTCCGAGAAATAATTACATCCTGTGGTTGTGACGCTGCGACTGACACAATATGATCCATTTTGCCTTTGTTCTAGACTATCTTCCGGTATATGGACTGAATGGATGATGTTTATTACGCCCGGAGGGACTAACCCTATAGTTAGGGCACTAAGAGACGACCAAGAACGAATAGGACATTTCCGATGGATTGAAAATCGGTTGGAGTGAGCTGTGACCTTGGAGGTAAAAAATGTTTTGTCAGTTAAACCAACTATAGTCAGATGTGTTTTGAGTATAGAAAATGGTCGCCTTAGAAAAAAAAACAAATATGCGACTTACCTTGGTCTCGAAAAGACCAAATAGTCATTAAAGTTGACATTATGTGCTTCTTGCCCTGCGACATAGAATAGTTGTGACCAGATTCCTATTCCCATGGTGACATAACAGGTTGGCATAGTCCAAAGTTTAGTTGTATTTTCAGGACGCTGGGCAGCTAATTGCCTTAAATCGTCGTTCGGCGCTTCAGGAAGAGGCAGGTAATAGAAGAGAACTGAAAGAAGTACAGTGAGGAAAGCGATAGCTAGATATGTCCACTGTACCCTAATTATATCCGTAGCATTGTTAGGGTCCTTGAATAAGACTCTCTGGGCAAATTTTTTAGCAGAAACACTGCCAATAGCCTGAATGGCCTGGGTGATACATAGTCGTATTTCTGAGTACTCGAGTGGTCCGCAAATAGCAGCGAAAAGGTTTGCTGCTGCTTCTAGCACCGCTAGCCCAGTTCCTACCACAATATTGGATACGATGAAAGTCGGCAGGGATGCTAAAACAGCTGAAGGCCAGAAAGTAAGTACTCCACAGGCGTATATATATAGAGCACCGATGATAGCCCCTGCAAATCCCAGTCTTTTCAAGAATAGTCGGGCTAGTAAGACGCCTCCTAGCAAGTAGCCGCTATAATAGGCTGCATGAAGTCCCCTTAGCTCCCACGGGTTCTGTTGAACCTCGGCTTTGAATCCGAGATCAAGGATATTGATGAGGCCATATGAAAACCCCCATAAAAAGAATATTGCTGAGATTAGCACATTGGGAGGAAAAGATTCCTTCTTAGTCAGTTTCGGCATCGACGCCGGCCTCTTGTTCAGTACGTTGATGATTGGCGGTTCTTCTTCAAATGAATCACCAGATTCTCCCTCAGGAATCTGTGCAGTTTCTGCTCCTTCTGTCGGACGAGACGTGATGACATCCATCATCTCACCCGCAACATTTTCGCGTCCGCTCGGCTGTGGGGATGTTTTGAACTCTCCATTCTCCATTTGAGACTTTTCCCGTGCGTTCCGGAGTAGAGATGGACTGAACCGAGCCGCGAGAGGTTTCAGGCTTGGAACACAAGCACAAACCAGAGTTGTATTGACTTCCACGGTGGCCCATATGAATGAGCCTGCAGAAGACCCTATTATTCAAAGGCAGCTGGTTAAAACATTAAGCAAGGCCGAAAAGGCATGGATGGACGAACAAGTATAATCTCCGGTTTTAATATCCCCTATAGTAGTTGCGGTGTTTTGCTTGATCGCTGATATGGCGGTACGCTCACGAACAACAATATGAATGACGTGCAGTAGGATCACAAAAATAGCGACACCAAAGGTGAGAACAAGTATTAACTTTTGTCGGAAAGGCAGAGCCATTCGAGTTAAAAGTGGGATAGGAATCAGTAGGACTGCAAAATCTGTAATGATATTATAGGGGGATGCAGACAGGGCTAATTGAAGGATGCCGATGCAGCGAGTGTTCAGGGTATCAAACCTGAACGCTGCCGAGAATGGATGGCAGCGAAAAACCCGCTCTATTACCAAGGCTATGCCCACCGAAACAACCACAAACAGTGTTGCGTAATTCACGAAGTGAAAGGCTTTCCGACCATGAGTCAAGCTAAGAAAGAATACTAGGACGGAGCTTTTGGCGATCATAGATGTCAAGGTCAACAAAGTACGTAAGCTTCATACGGGATTCAAGTGATGAGTAGGATTGACAACTCATGTAAAAGGTCCCCCACACGTATGTTGCCTTGTTAAGACTAATCTCATTCCGTGGCTTGATATCATGCTCATGAAGTCCAAACCCCTTCACAACTGCAAAGAAGAGGGATACTTCCAGGCCACTACCACATAGCTGTTTCGACTATCATTAGTAGTGTACCGATCGCAGAAGTATAGAGAAATATTTTAAGCCTTATCAACAGCGATATCTGGAAGCACAGGCTACACAGCCTGCATCATATATTCAATCCACAGCCGCCCATATCTCTGATCTTGACATGGCACTTGCTTTACAACTACCCTTTCAACCAGAGGCCAATACAAACGACGAACCCACACCATATCTCGGAAGCAGTAAGCTATTTTACATTCTCTCCCGACCCTCCTTTACTAAAATTATCCATAGGTCCGACCAAACCGTGTAGTCCACGTGTATTCTGGAAGGAGAATGAAAATAACTTCCCAGTACTCGCCCGCCTTGTCCGAGATGTTCTTACTGTTCCTGCCACTGGTTCAGGTGTGGAACGACTGTTCAACTCAGCTCGTGATATCTGCCATTACTGCCGAGGGTCTTTAAAGTCAAGAACAATCCAGGACCTAGTGATATTTATGTGTACATCTAGGCTTGAGATTGAATCTGAACAGCTTGCCCTGTTAGAAGAGTATATCTCCACACAAGAGATTCAGACGCGGACTGAGGAAAATGCTGCTAATAAAGTTTGAGACTGAATTCAATCCAATAAGTGATACAGAAGAAGATCCCTAGGATGTTCCAACTCAACCAACACAACCCCTAACCGCAGTTGCGCCCGGTAAGAGACCTTGACAGGCAGCTCCTATGGTTGATATGGAGGAAGAGGAAGATGAAGATGAAGAAGGAAATGAAGAGGATGAGATTCCCTTGCCTGATAATACCCGCCTGCATGACCAGAACAGTACTCAAAGGCGCAAGTCAGGGCGAGTTACAAAGCGCTCCAAACAGGATGATAGCCAATGGGAGTATCTGATGCCACAGATAGAGCAAATAGATAACTAACACCCTTTATGGGGCTTACTTCTGGCAGTTTTTGCTCCGAGGGGAAATCCGTAGGCCCGGATATCGGTATAATTGTATATCACAGCCTACCGTTTTGAATACATACATATATAGCTTTCTTTCTAATGAGATTACTGTATCCGTTGTCTATTTCTTCCCCTACATTCGCTTTCTCCTTTCTGATTGTGTAGCTAATCTCAGATATTGACCTCTGCTTGAGTATAGTCAGTATACACTCTAGCACTGCATCAAGTTCAAATTTGTCTTGATGCCACAGCACAACTAGTGAATTGGAAGTTGAAAGTCGCTAATCGGCTGCGAAAGTGTTCTACTTCTTCCAGGATTAGATATCGTAGACACACTGGTAAGAGTGAGACCGAAATTCAACCTAGGTGTCAATATAGGGTGTCACCAGATAAATGCAGACGAACCAACAGATGTTGATCTGATCACGAACCCTGCTCATTAGTCTGACTGTGGATTTATTTAGACAACCTTCTAACCTCTCAAGTATTACTTATTTAAGGATAATATTTCACAATGCTTATCACTAATCTAGCAACAATTTAGTGCTAAAATACGTGTGCAAGGGCCCAGTCGGAGTTAGTGGTGGATATATTGCCCCGTAGGGTGTGATTCAGTGTTTCACTCCTAGTCTCCTACTGTACTAAAAAGATGCCGTGTCTTAAAACCCACACCGTTGACTATAAATGACCCTGGCTTCCAAGATACGACTAGTTTCCAAAGAGCGGCATTTTGCCGATATATTTCTGCCGAGAGAGGAGAAGGACAGCTCAAAAATGAGATACTATAGTTAGATATTACCATGATACACTATGACCGATAGTGAAATTAAGATAAATTGACTACTACCGCCAACTCCAGTCTTCGTACTAGCATATGCTCTGGAATGCCATTTCTAGCATGATCGCAAATGAAACTCTTAGATTTTGCAACCTTCGCTCTTGCGATTGGGGTTTCCCTTGCAAGCCCAACTTCGCATGGCCATGTTCGTCATGAGAAGCGAATTGATATGCCGCAATGGCTAAAACGATCGAGAGTATCGCCGGATATGACGCTGCCTGTGCGAGTTGCCATAGCTCAGAAAGATGTCCATGTGGGTCATGACCTTTTGATGGAAATATCTTCCCCCAAGTCCGAAAATTATGGAAAGTATTTGAGCGCGAAAGAGGTTGGCGACATGTTCAGGCCTTCTAGCAAATCTATTTCTTATGTTCGGGAATGGCTCCACAACTCCGGCATTGACCTGGATAGACATTCTGTATCTGCTGGTCACAGCTGGCTCAAGTTTAATGCTACTGTCCAGGAGTTGGAGTCTCTACTGCTTACGGAGTACCATGTCTACCAGCATCATGAGACTAGGGAAGAGCACATCGGGTGCAATGAGTATCACGTTCCGCATGCAGTTCAGCAACACATCGACTTTATCACACCAGCTGTTTCTACAGTTAGAGTATCGAGGAAGAGCGAGAACAGAATAATGAGACGCGCTACTCCTTCTGCAACTCAGAACGGAACTGATAAGCTACCTTGGGCTGGGGCGGCATGTCATGAGGCTGTTAAGCCTGAATGTATCAGATGTACGCATATTCTCTCATGATTGATCCACACTGTCTAATTGCATAAGATTTGAGTATTCTAACGAGAGGTAGCCTTGTATGACATTCCCATCAGCAACTCTAGCATATCTGGTAACGAGTTCGGTCTGTTCGAGGACGGCGACTACTACGACCAAGAGGATCTTGATCTGACTTTCGCGGCCATTGCGCCTTATATCAAAAACGGAACGCATCCAATTCTTGAGGGAGTTGATGGTGGCACTGCTCCCTTACCCAGCGAAGGAGGTGTTGAGTCAAATCTTGACATGGCAGTTATCTTTCCACTGATTCACCCTCAAGATGTTATCTTGTTTCAAGTCGATGATCTCAAAGCGATCGAGACCTATCAAGGCTTTGCAAACACATTCCTCGACGCCATCGACGCGGTAAGTTTTGTCAAGTCACTCTTGTGAAGGCAATTTTACGCTGATTATTTACTTCAAGTCATATTGCACATTCGAAGGCGGAGATGATCCTGTTTTCGATCCTCAGTATGTCAATTCCAACAAACTCTACCGATTACGTGTGTCGGACTTTAACGATGCATAAATCCCCTAACTAGTTCTAACTATATGCTCTAGCTACCCTGATACTGGGCCAAACCCTCCTAATGAGACATGGGTTGCACCAGGCACCTGGGATAAGCCAGAGATGTGTGGAGCCTACAAGCCGACGAATGTCATCTCTATATCATATGGGATTGCAGAAGGGGCATATTCTTACTTTTATATTAATAGACAATGCCAAGAGTACATGAAGCTCGGTCTCCAAGGCGTTTCGATCATTTACGCTTCCCAAGACAGTGGTGTGGCGTCTGGTGGTTGTATACATCCGGATAATGTTAACAAGACGACGCTTGCAGCTAATCCTGGTGCTTTCTCGCCTGGATGGCCTGCTGCTTGCCCCTATGTAACGTCTGTTGGTGCGACGAAGGTAAGCAATACCCTACCCTCTTATGGTGTCCATGCAACTGAAGATTGCAGATCAACCCTGGAGAGAGTCTCTCCGAGAGTGCTGCCTCAATACCCGGAGGCGACTTTTATTCCGGCGGAGGGTTCAGTAACCACTGGCCTGCTCCAGATTATCAAAAAGCGACCTTAGATTCGTACTTCACCAACACTCCTCCTCCCTATGACAACTTGACGATTTACGGTACACCATACTACAATAGAACCGGTCGAGGATATCCCGATGTCTCTGCTGTCGGCGTGAATATACCAGTCTACGAGGCCGGAAAACCCGTCTTGGAATATGGCACCAGTGCTTCAGCTCCTATTTTTGCTAGCATCATCAACTTGATCAACGAGCACCGGATAGCCGCTGGCAAGGGCCCGGTTGGATTCTTGAACCCAGTTTTGTACCAACATCCTGAAGCTTTTACGGACGTAAGTATATATTACTCACTGATGGCGGACAATTTAGCAGATAACTGATTGGCGTGGTAGATATTAACGGGAAATAATCCTGGATGCGGTACTCAGGGCTTCAGCGCAGTTAAAGGCTGGGACCCAGTCACTGGGCTTGGAACACCGAACTTCCTGAAGCTTCTAGATGTTTTCATGGCATTGCCATAATTCTAGAATTTAGGGGGTACTGCTTCCCTCAGGGCCGATTCAGAATCAAAGAGCGGACGGATGAAGGAATAGAAGGGGATATTAGGTATCTTACATAATATGTTCTCACTGTGACCCTATTTTGTTATCGAGTACTTTGTTGGGCTGACGGTATCGCTCCTGTACCAATGTCACGGGCTAGACCCGGGCTCAATGTAGAAGTAGTTTAGATAGTCAGAAAAGGAGAATAGGAACATCGTACAACGACAGAGAACTTTATCGAAGCACCGTATTCGTAATGCCCTGCTTTCACCGCTCAGGTACTTTTAAAATCAGTACTACAACAATGTTACAGAGGGCCTGTTGAACAGGTTCTTTGGCCTCGGGAATAGTCTTTACCCGAGCTTGGGAACCCTCAGTATCAAAATCAATAAATTTTGCTTCCAGGGCAAACTAGCATTTAGCCGGGGTCGAAAAATATTTCGCTAATATTATCAGTAAGATTCTGCTAGGGTTCACGGTCAGATAATCTCGCAGTTGTTTACCGTGTCCATGCACGTTGGCTGGATGCGGGCATCAGGGAGAAATGGGAACTTAAGACAGGTCTCTCGAAAGAGGAAGACGTACACTATAACGCACCCAACTCTTCCACAAACCATATGTAGTTGTTGCTAGGTAAATATCTGGAAATCCTATTCGCTACAAGACAGTGCGGGAAATAATACATTTGAAGAGCTTGTCTTTTTCAAGAGCTTCTTGCACCATAGTATATTCCACTCCAGGACTATTACACATAAGAACCACCCTTTGATACTAGAATGCTTCTAACGGGTTATATTATTGATCTTGGATTCAGGCATAGTGAGAAACTTGCTTAGAGCGATTCTTCAGCATGGCGACTATCGTAATGAGTGTAAAGTTTGTTACAAATAAATCAGCGAATGGTGAGATTTCTAGACTATGGGCTGGTATTCCTTCAATGGCGCAAAGCCAATGCGAAGATCATATCCCAACGGCTCAAACGATCCAAAATCGAAGACAGAATAGAAATTGCTCATCCATCGCGCTCCGAGAATAGTATTGTTGCTACCCCATGAGTTGAATGGTGGGAAGCAGTGATCATCGTCCACATATCCAGGTGTCGCCAATTGATCACCCGAAAGCGTGAAAGTTTTATGAGTGTCATCAGTGCCGAAGGTAAAGGAGAGAGACCATGTGTTATTGAAATCGGAACATAGTGGTCGATATCCAGTCATAAGTTGGCCGTAAGACCATGGGGCCATGTTGTATACTGCCGCAATGTGACTCTCTGGTAGGTTAATAAGACCCGAGCCTATCATACACACCACACGTTAGCCTATAGTCGCAAGCAAATAAAGCTGGGAACTGAGCCTTACCTGTGTCGAAAACTACGTCACCATCCCATTTTAGTGATCCATGTTGCTCATTCTGATTAGCAAAGTGGTTGCTCCCACTCACGCCCTGGAACTGTGCTTTGTAGACCTGGAACGGCGTGTTGATGGGAACAAACTCAACCTCGCCATCTGCGTAGACGTCTTCATGACTCCCACCCATCGTCAAAACGCCGTTGTTTTCAGGACTTGGGTTTGCTACCGTGGGAATCCCGGTACCCTGATATATGGCAAACCGGGGTTGGTCCAGGAGGCCAAGTTGTATTGCATTCTCAAACGGCGCAGTCGTGTTAGGAAACGCAATTGTGCTTGACGCCAGACCCAAGAATCCGTCTGCTCCAAGCGCAGCCCAGGTACTAGATGTAATAGAAGCGAACTTCTGGCAGAAGGGAACATTGGTGCCTGGGACTTCGGCAATATCTGAGACGAGATAGCCAAATACTTTGCCTCCATCGTAAACAATGGAGTCCGTAGTGTTGTAATACGCCTCACCAGTGGATGTAAGATTATATGTAGTCCGTGAGTGTCTAATTAATGTAATCAGCGTTCTACTCCTGTTAGCTCTCGTCATATCAATGTGTTCACTTACCCACTAGCGTTCGGGCATTGGTCAGTACAGTTACCACTCAAAACCCATAGGGTTGCGGAACCATTGTCGAAGAGAAGGTCATAGGTTTTCGCTGGGGTTCCTAGGTCCAATTGAACAAGCCTCTATCATTACCTGTCAGTCGTGCACGCGAGAGAAAGAAATGAGTTGCAGTACATACGTAGGTATTTTTAGCTTCGAAACGCCTGCGCTAAAGAGCACAGTCACATACCCGCATAATATCCATGTGTTATAACCCACCAAATTTGACCCCCATATATCCACTAGCTATTCATCAGGGAGGTTTCCGCTTTCAGTGAGCCCTGCGTGAGTCACTCGTTCCCGGGAAATCGAGATCGATTCCTACATCCAGGCAATTCCTAGGACGCGACTTGTCGTTCCCACAAATGATCGACCCGTTTCTGCGAATGCCATCTGAACTCTCAAGACGCAATTGGTTGCTAGAATATTCAATCGGTTCTTGAATGCCCCTAGGAAGACTGACCAACTCGAACTATGCCGTCTTCCAGACGATCGCCCATTGCCGGAGCTCCATTTTTGGCCGAACAATACATATTCTGTTTCTCATCCACTCTTACTCCGATTCAGTCTATGAGTAGCTTTTTTCGTGGGAATAATTTGTCAGTTTGCTGGAAAGCGCTACGAACTGTGGGAAAGATATTCGGGGAAGGCCAGTTGAGGTGCGGGGTGCAGCCAGGTAATCTCTCACGTTGACAGTCATATCGCGGTTATAGCTACGTTCATGGCATACAATACGCATTCCGAAAAAAACCTGTCTTCGAAATATATAAAAGTAGCTTAGTGGATCATGGCATGAGGAGCAAAGAATACAAGACCGAGTACGATTATTGCAAACAGCTATAACCGAAAAATAATAACCATGAAATTCAGATACAGGGTCACGGCCTAAGTCCCAGCTGCTTTAAGATTTTTGATCACTTTATGCCGGTCACGCAGGCCACATTGTGTTGAATGATCCACGGACATGTACCCTTCCAAGAATGAGAGGAGGGTTTATGTCAACCTCCCTCAACTTTTCACTTTGACCTAACGTACGGCGGGGCAGTTGTTACCATCGTTGGGTCGCCTAAGCATGATTCTCGATAGCTTTTATTTTTTTGTGGCTCAATTGCTCTGTCTCCTGGCCCTTATAGCGATTCGTGTGCTTGGTGGCGTTGAGAAATGCTTGGATTCCACGGCACACCTAGCTTGGTCTTTAATATAGCATGCCTTCGTACAACGATCGACTAGCATCACCAGTACAGGTCTCTGGCGAAGTTTTGCACAGCCAGTAGAGAATCTAGCCTTGGATACCATTTGAAACCAACATAGTGAGCATTTAAGTACTAATACTGCTACAAGAGGTTCAGATGCATGAGTATACGAGAGCGGAAGCGCCAAAATATCCACAGCACATTCTGTCAGATATTCCAAACATCCATCCTGGCAGAAGAGATCGACATTTAATCTCGAGGGTCAGTCACTCACTTCAAGGCACATATTTGGGCATCTACATTTCAGACAATTAGTAGCCAGGAATTGGTGAGGCAGTCAATCAGAACGCACCGATCTGGAGGTCTTGTTGGCTTCAGGGAAACCCGGCACCACCTACAGTATCACATTTGTTCCATACCGCCGAGCTGAACCCCTGCGAATTATGCTCATAGAATCGTCTATATAAGAACTGCCTTCTCAACCTCATGTAAGGACACAGAACAACACAGCGGACACATATATTCTTGTTAGTCAAAATTTCTTGTCCTATCTATATCACTCAACGTAAGCAGTACGGAATCATACGCACATAGACCACCCCAGGATAAGCCGTAGAGGACCCAGCTTATCTGACACATTCCGCTCGGCATCTCGCCGGACTACGTCAGCGACTGGGACACAACTGCGGCTTTTAGAGAGCTTTATACCAAAACTGGTTGGTGCTTTCAATTATAGAAACATTCAACATAAGCCGCCATGATTTCCAACCGTGCTACGTGGATGATGAGAACTCTATATCCATCATAGTTATGCAACCACCGTACATGGAATTGAAAAGACAGACGTTAGGGGTTATTATATACGAGAAGGAATCAGGCAATGTTATTTTGGTCGATACGACCTACAAGTGATAGATTGCTCTGGAAGAACGCACCATGGACAAAAATCAAAGCTAGAGTTACTGCAAATTTGCAATCAGTTGATCTGGGAGACACAGTTCAACTCCAGACTGACCGTCTTATGGCAACAGTTACTGAAGCGGTCACAGAGCTGATACCGTGAGCAAAGCCATCTCCATACGCTAAGCGGTGGTGCACAACAGACCTGACACAGCTTCGCGGAATATACACCTATTGGAAAAACCAGGCAAGATTAGCGTAAAGCAGGACATGCAGTCCCTGAGTTTGGACAGCGAGCGCGAGAGACGGCAAAAGAATATCACGGCACAATCCGGAAGCAGAAGAAGTTACACTGGGAGGATTTCCTCGCCGAAGATACTAACATTTAGCATGCAACCAAATACCTGAAACCTAGTGGCAGCTCTTTTAGCGACAGAATACCACCATTGGCAAGACCAGACGGGTCTACCACCAAAGACAAAATGGAACAGGTTGAGGAGCTGTTCGCGACGTTCTTCCCACCACTACTAGCAAGAATTGGAGATGAGGAATCTCAACGACAAAGGGAGCCGATACACAAGCCGGCCCTGACTAATCTTCCTTGCATCGGACGACCATGTTCCTTAATTTTTCCATGCGTTGTGCTCCTTCTTGAACATGGGACAGCTCAGTAAGATATGCGTGACTGTTTGTACTCCAGAGTTCATGTCAAATCTGTGAGAACAGTTTATGTAACTAGTACAGTAGTGCCCTAACTATAAGGTAAGTCCCTCCGGGCGTAATAAGCATCATTCATTCATTCATGCCAACCTATCTTTAGCAAGGTACATGAAAATTCCAACACAAAAGAAGAAGAAAAACATAATATCTTATATATTTGGTCCACAACAGTTAACCTTAAGGCCGCAGGCTACTACTTCGAACGAATCAATTATCCACAATACCATGCTTTGCACAGACTTGTTTTGCAAACTTCGTGATGGTAAGACTCGGCGCAACAAGCTGCTGGAAGGGAATATCCAGTTCGTATTCTTTGAAAATCCAGTTCCTCAGTGTCGAGCCGATCATACTGTCTAGCCCGTAATCTCCAATTGACCTGGTGTCTGGCTCGAATTCGTCTAGATCTATGAGTAGCATGCGAGATAGCTTATCAGTAAAATGAGCCCCAATTGCTGCTTCAGCTTCAGCCGGGCTAGACAAGGCCTTGATGGTGTTTATGATGCTCTCGGCGGAACCCGACGTATTGCCTGCCCCAACGGAATTAATAGTCCTGACGAGCGGAGAAAATCGGGCGTCGTCCATCCAAAAGATATCCGTAGCCTCGCTTTCAGCAGCTGCCTTGTGCAATTTAAGAGGATCTAATCCCCCAATAACATGGTCTGCGCTGCTTGTTTGTTCTGGCGGGGACGGCACGAGCCCAACTGAAGCTTCAAAGGTTTCAAGTAGTGACTCTTCCTCGATACCGTACATGCCTTTACTTTTGAGAGCCTCCTCGATTTGGAAATTCTCCGCGACGACACCAACACCAAGAACCATTGGAAGGACGGCGGCAGTTGCAGCACTGCCTAGACTCCTGCGATGGTGCGCTAAAGCGTCAAGATAGGCATTTGCCGCAGCATAGTTGGCTTGCCCGGGCGTTCCGAGTGTACCGGATACTGAACTAGTCATAACGAAAAAGTCCAGTTGTTTCCCTGCTAGGGCTTCATGTAAGTGTCTCGTTCCATTGACCTTTGGACTCGTGCAGGTTTTCCAGTCATTATAGGACATGTTGGAGAATATGCCATCCTGATAGAATGTTAGCAGACTCATTAACTTTATCTACACAAGGAAAGCATAAATGACAATGAAAGAAGTGACTTACCCGGAGGACCATAGCAGCCTGGAAGACACCCCGAATAGGGTTACTGGCGGGAACACCAGCAATAGCACGATCCACATCTTTACGAATAGTAGCATCGCCACGTACAACCTGAACAATTGCACCGGCTGACTCAATATCCTTAACTAGATGGGCGGCCTGCGAGGAATCAGCACCAGAACGGGACAAGAAAGTGAAGCGACGGGCACCGTGCTTCATCATCCAACTGGTAAGACTGCGGCCAAGACCCCCGAGACAACCAACGAGTAGGTAAGTCGCATTCTCATTGAAGGATAGTTTTAGACGTGGTGCAATGACATTCAAAGTCTTGTCGGATGGTTCATAGACGATGATTGTCTTCGGAGAAGAGATGGTGTCAGAAAAGGAGGATATAGCTTCATCTAGCTCGGTAATATTCTTGACAATTACCGGCCGAGGTGGAGAGATCGTTCCTTGGCGAAAAAGCGAAATAACCTGGTCAGCGATTTGAGATATAATAGCAGGCTTGTAGCGGTAAAGGTCTAACAAGTCAAACGAAAGATAGCTGGCGCCCCGATGGAGGGGGGCAGTGTCCATGGTGGTGCGTTTGACGATGCTCTTACGGCCAGAGTCAACAAACCGACCAAACGGCAAAATGCACCTCCAGGCCTCATGGGCCACATCATCATTAGAAAAGCCGGAGCTAAAAACAATGTCTGCACCATCTTTGCCGGTTGCATGTTTTAACTGTGCGGTTGTGGACGCGATCCAGGGCTTTATTATGTTCTTGTCGGATAGGTCATAGACCAACTTGATCGTGTCTATTTCCTTTTCATTCTGAACAGCGACGAATGGTACCCCTTTCATAATTTGTGTTATTTTGATAGCTGCAGCACCGAAAAGACCTGTTCCGTCAAGGATAAGAACTGTCTCACCAGCCTGGAGGTTACCGAGCGTGTTGAGACCGTATAGAGCTGAACCATAACTCATCAACAAACTGACGGCGTCGTTCATACTATCATCAGGGCCTAGCTTCTGCACGAAGTGGGACGAGACCCGCTGGAAAGTAGCAAACTTGTCGAAGCTAAACCCAACAACACGGTCGCCTAGTGCCAACCCTTTGACGTTGGAGCCGAGCTTGGTGATCACGCCTCCAATCTCATGGCTGAAAGTCGTTGGGTAGTCCGTACCACCAACAACTAGCGTACCCTCCTTGGTAATACCTGTAGCTAAGACCTGGATTTCAACCTCATCTTCTCTTAGACCCAGTTTCTCCCGTTCATCGGCCTCAAATATGATCTTTCCTGAGTCGACCTTACCAATCAGATGTAACGTGGGGTCATAAGAAGTTGGTTCAGGCTCTTTTGCTCTCGGCGCGTATAGGGCATTCAACTCATCGTTAGGAACCATGCGGCTGATATAAAGGAGGCCATTCGATACGCAATATTCGGATTCTCTGGTTGTTGAATTGTTTCCGTATTGAATCTCAGTGACTTGAGCCACTAAATCTCCGATCTTCGACAAAGGAGTGGTAGTGGTGTCAAAATCTAGCGTGGTGATTTTGATGGACGCTTGTTCCGAGCTTATTGACCGAGCCAGCCCAGCGGTCATAGCATATTCCGGATGAAGTCCCTTGAGCAACCCACCAGGAGTTACCCATAAAAGGAAAGAAGCATTGTCGGTAATGTTCCGAAGAGACAGAAACTCTTTTTCGGTCATGATATCCAGAAATGGTCCTTCAAGGTCGGCAAGAAATACCACATTGGCTCCTTTCATATTAACAGGCTTTTCCACTGGCGACGCGACGGTATCCCACCCATTTGCTTCCAGCGCATTCTTCACTCTGACAAACACATCGCCTTGTTTTTTACGGTAGATAAGATGCGCTAATCTCGTAGTCTCGTTAGTGTGATAGCCGTTTGTAGTCTCATTGAGTGCTGTAGATATAGCTAACGATGGCTGGGTATTCGGGCCAAGGATAACATCAAAGGCAGTCAGTTGGGCTCCATGTAAGTTTTTTGGAGTTAGCCTGCCTTCGAGGCTCCAGAAAACACGGCCATGTGGTGCAAGGAGTTTGCGAACGGCCTTTGTGGTCACAGATGAATCCATTAGACTTCTGGGTGCTACTACCAAGTCGTATGACTCTATAGTGATACCCTGTCCTTCTAATGGCACGCTAATGTCAAGGGCAATTGACTGGGCGTTCTTATAGGCATCCGCAATTTTAGAGATATCAGAAACTTCTTCGTGGTTGACTCCAGTGCCTGTGTAGTTGATTGACCCCATTTTAGATAGTACGGCTGCCATTTGAGTTGCACCGATATCAATCACTTTAAGGGAAGGGTTTTTGTGGAATGATAGACCAATGGCAGAAATAATGTCAATGGAACTGGTTTCGGGGGTATTTTTGATATTGTCGATGTCGAGTTTCCATTCCATTTTTTGGTAGGGTTGCGACTCAATGGTCAGCTCCACACCTTGCGGAACAGCCGCCTCATAGTAAGTTGTTCGCATGTCAGAAATCTCCATCAACAATTCCCCGTCACTGGCTGTCAGCTGGGAGCTACTGACAAGCGATCGCAAGCCTCTTTGGTCAGTCCAAGATAGTGCTTTAGCGGATTTCTCCTGTATTTGTTTTTCCGTTGGTGGAAAGATGGCAACTTCATCCACACCGATAGGGATGGCACCACATTTCATATCTGCAACACGCCCAGCGAATATAGAAACGATGATCAATTGTAAGCATGAATCCACAATACCGGGATGGATAACGTGTCGAGATTCTCCCTGCATGATACCGCTCTTTTGCCGAATTTCAGTGTCACATGCAGCAACGTACGTGGTACCGTTGGTCCTGATATTCTCCATGTCTTGAAATGTCGGACCATAGTCAAACCCAACTTTACGCAGGGCTTGGTTCCATGACTTGCCACTCGCACGATGAGGGAGATGTGGAACTGGGCGTGGTTTCTGGCTGCGGTCCCGAGCATTTATCCCAATGCGTCCTGTAATATGGTCTTTACGCTGTCCTCCGGCGGGGAAAGACGATGCACTGAAGTGCCACCAACCAGTTCTATTATCCTTTTCTGATTGAAAATCTGGGCGCATAGTGAAAATGACTTCAATGCCGTCGTCATGGTCCGGGGTAATCAGCGCAGCCTTGATAGATACATCACGTAATACGTAACTCGTGATATGTACCGGGGAGCTACTGATTTCATTGACTTGTGTGATTGCTTCCATGGCCATGGAAAAGTATCCTGCCGCCGGGAAAACAGCTTCTCCTCCAAGGGAATGACTCTTCAGCCAAGGCACATCTTTCATGCGCAGGACATTCCGCCAAATCATTTCACCGGCCCCTGGAAGGCGAGCGCCAAGAATATCGTGTCGCATGTGAGTCGGATTACGATGCTCTTTGCTATGGCGAGGCTCCGCCCAAAGCTCCTTGTTGTATTGCCATTGGTAAGTTGGAAGGTCGACGATTAGAGACCCTTTGGTAACCTGAATTTTGCCACTGGGAAGAGACTCTTCTATTGAAGTGGCTCGGGCAATGTCGAAGGAGTAATCCCTAAGGAACAGCTCACCGGCGAGCTTCAAGAGCTGTGAAGCACAGTCTTCACCACGAAGCAAGGTAGGCAAGTAATTCAATTTTTCTAATTTGCATTCAGCTTTGATTTGCTTAACTGGACCCGAAAGTGCAGAGTGGGGACCTATTTCCACCAGCATGTCGACCTTCTCAAAATCTGGACTAGTCACCATTGTTTGTACAGCCTGGTTGAACAACACCGGGCTACGCAAGTTGGCACTCCAATACGTCTCATCGATAATTGTATCGGAAGAAATTATACTATTGGTGACAGATGAGACCATCTTGGCCGAGGTCGAAATTGCTTCATCCTGAGCAACGTAACGACGTCCGTTGCGTAGTAATTCTTCGTAAACAGCTGCGACTGGCTCCATGTGGCGGGAATGGTATGCTTTACCCCCTGTCTTAACAATCCGGGCAAAAATACTTTCGGCGTCGAGTCGTGTCTTCACAAGCTCTAAAGCTGGAGAATCTCCACTGAGTGTGACACTCAGAGGCGAGTTGTGACAGGCAATTACCACTTGTTGCCCCAGGTCCGAAATGTATGGAGAGACGCCCTCTGCTCCGAGACCGACAGCCAACATTGCACCATCAGTATTGACGTCCCGAACAACCTTTCCGCGATAGTAAGCTGCGATAATGGCTTCATTTGCTGAAATCAAGCCCGCAGCATACGCAGCTGCAATTTCCCCTGAAGAGTGGCCAACAGTGACAACGGGTTTAATTCCCCACAGGGAAAGTAATTGGACAAGAGAAACTTGAATGGCAGTACAAAGAGGCTGCGAAAACTCGGCTTCATTTACCCGAGAATTGCTAGCATCTTGCAGAAGTGTGTCCTCTAATGTCCATTCAGGGCCATCCGGGAGATCTTCCAAAGCTCTGTCGAGCACACGAATAGAGCGTATAAAGCTGGGATAGTACGACATAAGTTCGCTACCCATACGCGCCCATTGAGCCCCTTGTCCTGTAAAAACGAATCCTAAAGTTGGGGTTTTCTTCTTCTCAGCAAATGAAAAGTCCTTGGCCGCGTTATCTAGGACAGAATCAAGGGTTGCGTAGCTAGCAACCACGTAGCCTCGACTGGCCAGGCGCGATCTGCGGTTGGAGAGAGTGTAAGATAAATCCAAAAGATTATAATGTGAAGCGACCCTGCTGAGAGCCTTTATGTTGGCGTCGAGTGTAGGCCTATCGTGGGCAGAGAAGGGGAGGAGGAAAGGCCGGTTTCGACTGAATGCACCACGTGGTGGTTTCATTGTGCTTGAGCCGCTCACATATGTTGGGCCACGAGGCAAAAAAGAATCGGCAGATTCCACAATGACATGCCCGTTTGTACCTCCATAACCAAAAGAATTGACACTGACTCGTCGAACGGGTAGATGGGCCGGGAACGGGGTTGGCTCTGTAACCACATCGACCTTCCAGTTCCTCCAGTCAACTGTTTCAATAAGGAAGTCATCAGCATTTGCTAGTCAATCTCAAGACATATGCTTACTCTTGGGATTCTTTTTCACAACTCCACGAGTCGGAGGAATGATTCCCTTTTCAACAGTCAAAATGGCTTTGATAACAGCCGATAGACCAGAAGCCGCTTCCGAATGGCCAATATTTGTCTTCACAGCACCAATAGGCAGAGGAGGCTCATCCGCTGATCGATTCGTATTCATTGCCTTTGCTACTGCGTGAACCTCAAGTGGGTCACCAATGGGAGTACCTGTTCCATGACACTCAAAGTATCCTGTGAGCTTTGGGTCCAGATTTCCTCCCCTGCTATACGCCGCACGGATAACAGCCTCCTGGCCAGCCAGGTTCGGATGTGTGATTCCAACGCCAGGTACTTTTCCATTTCTGTTCGAGTTTTAGAACATTACTTATTTTATTCCGTCCTTCAAATAAAAGATTAATAACTCACGAATTAACAGCACTAGAACGAAGAACACCCCGGATTGGATCTCCATCCCGAACGGCATCGCCAAGACGCTTTAGGTAAACAGCTCCGACGCCGTCAGCCCGTCCATATCCATCCGCCGTCTCATCAAATGTATGACATGTCGATGTTGGAGAAAGAACTCCAAGCTTGGCTGTATTCATGTGCTGGTCCACGGTCAAGACAAGGTTGACACCGCCCACAATAGCTGCCTCGGCCTCGTTATTGCGCAATGCGTTGCAGGCATTGTGCATTGCATACACCGAGCTGGAACAGGCGGTATTCACTACAATTGAAGGGCCATTGAGGTCAAACACGTGGCTAATGCGGTTGCTGATGAGCCCGGGGTCTACGCCAGTAGCGGCATAAGAGTGTCGGAAGTCTGGCTCTTTGAATGACATTTGTTGGTAGTCGCTAGTAAAGCTTCCAATAAAGACAGCAGTCTTCGAACCTCGTAGTGTGTCCAGAGTCAAACCGCCAGATTCGAAAGTTTCATAAACAACCTCAAGAAGCTTCCTTTGCTGTGGATCCATCCACATGGCCTCAATAGGTGAAATTCCGAATAGAACTGGATCCATTTCCTGCAGGCTGCTGTTCAGGAAGTAACCACCTAAAACGTTAAAACTTCCCGGTCGTTCGTTGTTCTCGTGAAAGTGAGCGTCTATATTGAATCGACTGGCAGGCACTTTGGGGGTTTGGCCGGTTCTTTTGTTGATCATCAAGTCCCAGAATTGGGAAGGGGAGCTAATATCTCCCGGCAGGCGGCATCCTAGGTCATTACAAGTTCAATTTCAATCTCAACATAGCATTGTGAACAGATAATGTGAACTGGAAAGTGAGGATGAGGGATCAGACTCACCCATTCCAACCACTGCAATTGGTTCGAGCTGCTCATTCAGGGGTTTCTCAGAATATCCCGGGATACTGACTGCTGGGTAATCCATGGGGTCAACGATCTCGGACTCTGATGAACTGCCATCGAACTGATCCCAGATAGGGACTGTGTGTCGACCATCACTCGTAATGGAAGGCATCTTTGGTTTGGTCTAAGTCTTGCGATTGTAAGTCTAGAAGATAATTGGAATAGAATGTAAGCTAAAGCTGGAGTATCGTTCCAGGTCTGGACAGTTTCAATGAGATTTTGTCATATGATGGATTGAGAGCGATATCTCCAGAATCATTGAATAGACCGGTAGTCTCGGGGCTTGCATCAAGCACTGAATAACAAATTCTTAGAAGTGATTTCGGCTTGCTCAGACTGGTATCATAACTGAGGTCAAACCAGAGGATCAGATTGTTTATTTGATCTATGAAATCAATGCCGGAGAGCGTGAATTGGACGTTCCAGTATCCCTTTATCTTGACTTCAGGGTAGTCCTTCAAATGATAGTACCATAGCGGAATGGCCAATGGCGTGAAAGCCGCAAATCGGCGTTACAATTTGAGTCTGGGAGGTTCGTCTAACTGCGATCCAGCAAGTGGCGTTGCGGACGGGCGGCTCGGTTTTCCGTGTCCGTCGGTGGGATCTATCAATAATCAATACGAGTTAAGACGCAAAGACGGAACTATCTGTTCGCTTTATCAGCCATAATACAATGCACTGCGGTCAGCACGGGGCGATACGGGCCTGCGCGGATGGGCTACCAGTCATCTGGGACACGACAAATCTACGACGCTTCATCCCATCTATCTCTTCTTTCGAAACGGCGGTCAATGAGCTTCTAGCTTCAGATACTCTGATCAAGTTGGGGACTTTCATCGAGCAATCTATACTCGTTGACAGCAAGCTGTTGAATAGTATCAATTGATCAGGGCACATGTAGCGGTTGTAGTTGTACATTCTCTCATACATTTTCAAGGCTCATTTAATAAATCCAGAAACTCTTTCCATTTATCTTCAATTTTAGTGATGTATCAACACTTCGGAGACCTCATACATGGATAATTGGCATGCTAAACCCTTAGTTGAATGTAGAACTACGCTTTTGGTCCATCGTAGTTTTGAAGTTTTGAAATACGCGTACCGTTTATCATGCGAGGGAGTAGAGATTGAGGTTATTAATTTATCTTAGGGACTCAGACCAACGTGGGAACATTATGACTTGATCTGGTACAGTCCATATAGCTGCCGGCCTTTATACACTTCATTGAGTGAGAAATGATCTGGATTTGTCTCGTTTGGAATCGTTCCTCAAATATGGATAGAAGGGAACATGTAGTATTTTCTCACCGGATTAATGCGGTACGACTCTCATATGTGCTTTGTTATTCCAAGTGGATGAATTCTTTGTTCCAAATTAAGAGGCTCTTCAAAAGGGGGAGGAGATGGTGCCAGGAAATTTTGAAAATGCAGATAGGCGATGGAATAAGGGAGGTGACGCGTTGTACGACTGTGGTTGATATGCAGTGGATAACCCTAAGTCCCTAACCAACCCCACATAACTTTATTGGAGAAAGGATAACCACGCCTGATGTTCATCATTAAAAATAAAATTCAAGTTCCTAATGTTAATAGGTAGAGCTCGAGGACGGGATGGGATAGATTCGCCATCAATATCCTGCTAACTAGGAAAAATATCGTCATTGTTGCTCCTCGGATATCCGTCATCTATAGCACCTCTGTTACTTTAACGTCATGCAATCAGTCGCGCTTTATTATAGACCGACCTTCAGGTTCAACAACGCCAGGACCAGGAAAAAGTCGTCCCTCGCATTGCCATAAAGCCAGACTAACAACAGTGCTTGGTCCTAAGAGGATTGTGAAAGCCACTAAGCCGATAATGCTGGAGAGAGAATTCGAAATCGGAAGAAATGTGAGAAGCCGGACCAAAAGGCTTTTTGTCGACTTCCACCGAGCTTGCTTAGATGTACTTAAAATCTCTGGTTCAAGCAAGAGATAGGAATAAAGAACGGCTGTTAAGCAAATAACCAACCAGTCATACTGCAAGAACAGGATTGCAGCTTGCGTGAGACGTTGCGGCGATTCGCGGTTGACACCGATCGGGTTGGGTATAAAGACACGAAGGATTGTCACAGAAGGATCGGAGGAGAAAAATGAGATAGACACGCATAATAAATGTACGAGTGCGGAATAGATGGCGAAGAAGAGCTGAGCGGCTTGAATGTATATCTCACTTCTTCGTGGCCCTGAACTGTCCGAGTGCGTACTTGCATGTGATATTTCTGTCCTTGATCGATTCTGAAGGCCCAATTTTGCCAATTTACTGAATGGCGATAGCAGGAACGAAAATGTGTATTGTCCCGCCATCCAGATGAGTGGTGCAAATTGAAATACAGCAATAGTATTTTGATGCTGGTCGGCAGAGTAGTTTCCGTCTTTGGGAGGAATAATCATTAGGCAAAATGGAATCGATGAGACCAACATAGCTGGTATCAAAGATATTGAATGGGAAACAGAAATTTTATAGTCATTCATAGGAGTTTGTATATGGATCAAGCAATAAAGCGGAAGGACAATACCCGCCCCTGCTACGTTCCATAAAACTCCCAGAAGGCCCGGTCTGTATCAGTAAACATAGCATTAGTTAGATTTCTCTCAGCATTATTCTCTTAAAAGGTTATAAAGAAATTTTAGCCTACAAGCTCAAATACCACGGCTTTTTACCGTTCCTGATACTTTCGACCACCATCCAACCCAACGCGACGTGCAGAGTCGCACCCAAGTCCGCCAACATCAACCTGGCTCCTAGATACGAGCCATTTGCGAGGGCGTAAAAAAAAGCCACCAATATGGAAAGAATATTGTCAAAAAATGATACTCCAGAATACTTTGTTTTTAGCGGAGTGCCATCTGGAAGGACATTGTTCTCTATTGCCTCGGATATATCGTCAAGAGTGCCGTTTAGGAGCATAGGAAACCATAACAGCGGAATACTAATCGCACTGAGAGCGATAAATATGGAATAAGTAGCACGCATATCTGCTATTCTTGGAAATAATATTTATAGGTCTGCAAATAAAAAAGTATAAGATGTTCTAATGCAGAACATAGAATGACTAGTTTCAAGAGGGGAGCGCAAGATATTGGGGAAAAGAGTGCCTTTTCGTGTTTGAATATGGGTAATAATGTTTAATCCAGTTCTTCTGGATTCTTTCTTACATCTCCTCCATGCACTGTCACTCAAAAGTATGTGTTTCAGAGCGGCAGACAGGTCCGCTGATGCATATTCCTCCATACATGTAAGGATCACTTCTACAGGTCCTCTCCGCCGCGCTCCACATGTAGCAGGGGGCGGGGACTTGGTTACTCCCCCTCCGATCCGCCCCAGATCAATACCCAACCCTCTTTACTTACATTTGGCACAATGATAAGTCATTTTGATACTAGGAGGTAGAGCTGTTTAGAATGGCTGGTATTCATTTTAATGGCGGTCGGTATCCAGCTCGCGAACGATTTACCAGATCATGTACTGCAGTCTTGTAGACGCCATGGATGAAGAAAAGTTTGACGTCGTCATTGTCGGTGCCGGTAAGATGCTTTTCATTCATTTTTTTTTTTTGGTTTTTCTTTGAAGAAAGCTAAAGATTGCTGATTTATAATTGATTAGGCTGGTACGGACTTATCGCTGCAGCAACATACCTGCAACTGGTCCCTGACATCAATCTCTTGATAGTTGATAACAGCGCCTCGATTGGCGGTGTTTGGAGTAAGGAGAAGATATATCCCAATCTTTTTGCTCAAGTTGGCCATGGCTTATTCGAGTACTCCTTCTATCGCATGAAAAAGGAAGGACTCTCGCCCGACCGATACATATCCGGTCAGACGATACATGATTACCTTAATGATTTTGCTCGCGACTATGACCTAGTTCGTCGAATACGGCTAAATGTACAGGTTACTAAGGTTGAGCATTTAGATGGGTCTGGATGGCGCCTTTATTGTCATGACGGCCACACAATTCGAGGCGACAAAATAATATACGCCTCAGGTGTATCTTCGGATCCATACACTCCAACTATCCCTAATAAAGACTTCACAAAACCAGTCATTCATTCCTCGCAGATACCTTCCTCACTGGAAGCCCTCCAAGGCCCTGAAACAAAACGCGCGACTGTTGTTGGTGCAGCCAAGTCTTCATACGACACCGTGTTTTTGTTGTTGAAAGCAGGAAAAAGTGTTGACTGGATTATCCGCGAGGAGGGCGCAGGCCCTCTGGCAATTATGCCTCCTCGTCTTCTTGGTGTCCTCAACACCGTTGATGTCATGGCCACTCGTGCTCTCGCTGCTTTCAGCCCGGCTATTTGCAACACTAGTGGCTTGTGGTATAAATTTCTACATCGGACTAGAGTTGGGCGGGCCATGACTAAATTCTTCTGGCGAAATGTCACTCGTGCTGCTGAGCATCACGCCGGTTATTCAAAGAATGCGAACGCGGCTAAACTGAGGCCAGAGCCACATGGATACGGGTAAGTCTTGGTCTTCGATTGGAGAGTATGACCTTGATCGGCTAATCAATTCCCTGCTAGAATATTCTGGTGTAATGCCGGGCTGGGGCTGGCCAGTGTGCCAAATTTCTGGAAAGTCTTTCATGCAGGAGATTGTACGGTTCACCGAACAGAGATAGCTGAATTATCTGACGAGAAATTCATCACTCTCGCAAACGGCGTCAAGATTGAGAGTGATTACCTCATTCTTTGCACCGGCTGGACAGCCAACCTAGGTAGCTTTGATGCATCGCTTCGAGCCAAAATTGGCTTGCCCTCACAGGCTGACTTCAGCAAGGCATGGCAGAAGTTGGACATGATAGGTGAAGAAAATGTCAATAGATTGCTGCCAATGCTGAAAACCCCGCCTGATACCACGCGACGAACCACTGAACGCCGTCCTTGGAGGCTATACAGGCGTCTAATCTCCCCAAACCTGACCGCCCAAGGAGACCGGTCGATTTTCTTTCCTGGGCAAATACACTCAGTTTATACTCCACTGGTAGCTGAGCTGCAGGCGCTATGGGGGATAGCATTTATGCTGGGCATGATTGACGTACCCGAGAAAGAGGACATGGAAGTCGAGATTGCCACCTGGAATGCATGGACCCGAAAGCGATATTTGGAACAAGGGCGGAAACACGCCTATTCTATTTACGATTATCTCGCTGTAGGTATATTTGAAAGACAAATAAAACAGGGGTTGCTAACTTATATATAGTACATCGATACGCTGTGTCGAGACCTTGGTATTAACACGCGTCGGAAGAGTAATCCTATTTCCGAGATGTTTACACCATATCGTCCCTCTGACTATAATGGCTTGATCAAAGAGTTTTTGCAGGCGCAAAAACAAAAAGGAGCCTTAAAAGATGCTTATCATGATTGAGAAACTACAGTCTCTTGATATTATCTATTGGATGAAAGTGCTGTTAGAGTATACATAATCGTTATAAGAAATTATAGCTCTATTGTCAATTTTTGGATTTGAAGTATCAATGATATGAATAACGCACAGTTTTGGACTCGATCTAACTTTCGATCACTGAATATTGATGTTAGTAAGTTTTGTAGATGTCAGGGTCTGCTCTCGCTCTGACCCTGACGTTAGTGTCGTAGACTGTAAAAGTACAACAGGGTCGCTGTGACAAATCACATCAACTAAGTAGACACTTCAGATTACCTATCAGTAGACAACCGACTTGACCTATCTCATGCCGGCTCTATCTGATGTGTCATACCTGCCACCATGTTGGAATTCCGATCTTGGAATCCACGCACGCATAAGAATGAGGTTCCCTGTAGATAGGATTGCTTTCTTTTCTCAAGATTACTCTCTGTATGTTAGCAACAGTACCTCTATCAATGGAAATTGAAGACACCCAATCCTTCTGCCATATTAATAATTCCTCCTGCCCAACCACCGGATTAACCTCCCTATGTACATAGACTCATACAATACAAAGACACTTGCCTCCCAACAAGGGGCGCGGACGGGCCCTCTCTGACACTGCGCTCATACGCGTTCACGCGTAAGACCTCAACGACAGGTAACCCGTTGCAGCCAAACTATACATTGCCCATCTTGAAAGTTGACTGAGTGAGGTCTCCTTGTTGCCAGCACCTCCTGCCGCATGTAGTTTAGCGCCTCTAGAAAGGGAATATCAACATTCCCTAGCAAGGACTCCTTTCTCCCAGGAGACAGGTATCAGTTAGGGAAGTTCGGAAGTAGGGGTGCATACGAATAAATTGACTTCAGTTGCTTAGTAATATTCGTAGTAAAATTCGCATAATTCGTAAATTATTCGTAAAAATCATGTATCGAATTGGTTTTATGTATATCTTGGAATCGTCAACACTGCTCGGCGATCTCATACTCACTTCTGTATTCCCCTCTTCATATTTTGGTATTCTTGTTGAAAAACACCTAGGTTAGGCATAGCAATTGTTTGTATGAGATTTGTCAGGGTCTGCTCTCGCCCTGACCCTGACGTTGGATTCTCTTGCTTCTCGTTGGGCGGCGGATTTAGCCTCCTGTAGTTGGTGAAATCCTGACCGATTAAAGCGCGCTGCTCTTTTCTTAGTTCTCCGGAGGATATCATGTTTCTATGATTAGCACTCTTTAACACTCATTTTCTTCATGCATCTCGTTTTTCTTTCTGCACATCTTTGTCCATTCAAAGCCGCTTTTTTTGCTGTGTTTAGACGTCACTACTGTACTGATTGGGAAAGTCCATGGTGGCACAACTTGGCAGGATGAATCTTTTAAGGAGTCCATCTGGACCAGCAATCCGCCAGTTTTCTTTCCTAGTCCTTAGTTTCTAGTTCCTTAGTCAATTTCTATCTATTCACCATCATTCCTGAGTCAGTTTCTTAGTCAGATCCTTACAGTAGAAAAACCCCTCTAAATCAAAATCTGATGAATTTTGAGTCAAAAGCAAACAGTTTCTTTTTTCAAATTGCATGATATGCAATTCGATGTTTCTTCCTCACTTTTTATTTCCCAAGAGAATTACTATCAAGAATGAGGGAGAGATCTGAAGTTGAACCTGGGGCCTATGAAACAAAGAAGGCGCCCGGACGAATTGAGGGCATTGTCTCGTCTTTTTCTTCTAGGAGGGGATATCCGTTCGCCGATGCGACAATATCCTGCAAATATTGCAGGTTAGTATCAATATTTTGTAAGGTGAAAATATACTTACATATATGCTGTCCGGCTCCACTAGCTGTGCTGACCAGTTCGATAGAACAATGGCCAGCATGAAAGGGCCCAAATAATCAAATCGTCCGGTAATCTCAACAAGAACCACAACCAACGTAACTGGAAGTCGAGTTACACCGCACATCAAAGACCCAGCGCCAATCAATGCATAAGTACCCGGACTAATGCATGATGAGCCATGACTGCCCATCTCATTCGCACATTGGGCGGCGAGGATTGGAAATCCCTTCGAGGAAAAGGTATCAACAAATAATTGAAATATGTGCCCAACAATCTTGCCGAAAAGAGCTCCGAGAACCATTGTAGGCACATATATTCCAGCTGGAACTTTCAGTCCGAATGTAAGCACAGTGAAAAGACCTTTAATAACAAAGGCGATTGTCAAGGAGCGTATGTGTGCTGGGATCTCATCTAATGATGGGCAGTCATCATGAAGCTGTTGGTTTGTGTGGAAGTGTTGACACGGAGTTGTCAGTTTTGCCAGTGTTTCTGCAACGCTCAATTTAGTATAACGATTCGCGCTGGTTAAAAGCCCAGTGAGCATAGCTAGTACAGCAGTTTCCATCATCGGATTACGGGACAAGATGGAGATCTTCCGGACGGTCAGTAAACGAAAGCGCGCAGATTTAACAAAAACAGCGCCCAAAACACCTCCGCTCAACCCGATGCCTGTATAGATTGGTATTTCAAAAGTCTTCCACATCATCATATTATGAACGTGAAACATGACGATTGTCTTCGTACCATAAGGGTCCAAATACTTAAGGAATGCTGTTGCGGTCTAGTTTTCATGTTAGTTGATTTATCTTTTCCGTGAAGCAGGAATGTGTTTAGATGCTTACTATGCAACAAAAGAGGGTTGGAGTCAACTTCCCTGGTGAGAATCCGAGGGACCTTTTTGGCCCATTAACACTTATATTTTATGATTTGAGGTCAATAGAAACCTACGATAACTCTTCAATGACAAATATTAACCCTGAAATCGGTGCACCGAATGCAACAGAGAAGCCCGCTGCAGCACCAGCTTTGTACAACAGTTCACATTGCGAGCGACACAAGTGGAATAGATCGCCAACAATACTGCCGATACCAGCTGCAATATGTACGTAGGGGCCTTCCTTACCCAGACAGAGACCAGAGGAAGCACTAAATATAATTCCAATGATTTTGCATAAGATTGTAGAGAGATCAAAGTAGTTTGGTAGTCGAATTCCTTTGGAACGCAATTTTAGTTCGGCCACACCACTGCCTGAGACAGGATACAGTATTGCAGATTTTGTTTCGATCTGGTGAAAAAGTCACCCATTTAGCTTTTGAGTCAGAGAAGAAAAGTCACCAGCATAAGTTATACATACGCCATTGTTCTTAGAATGTCTTGACAAAGTGACCATGACCGAATTGGTTGCCAACATAGCACCAAGCAATGTCCAGGAAACCCAGTTGAAGAGTGTGCGACTGCGAAGGCCAGATATATGAAAAGCGTCGGACCATTGTATCCACGACATACATTCTGAACCTATCGGGTAAATTAAATTTCAATAAATCGATGATGATCGTTTTTAGTCTACCTACTGTCAGCGCAGCATCTTTGGCGATTCCACATTAAATTCTCTGTAATAATATTTTAGCGTCGCATTTTAATCGTATAAGAAGACGCAATGTGTATAGATCATAGATAGTGTACATACTTTGACAATATCCTCCTTTGAGATCAAAAAGTAAAGGATCGGTGACTGCAATAACGTATCCCATCAAGCCGGTAAACAAACCCGTAACAAGAAGCAAAGGCCATATTTCAAACCCTGCAACAACGCCTGCTTTTTCATTCATTAATCTCTCGGAATTTAAGCAATTGCAAAGTTGAATATTCATACTAGGCAACAAATTGTAAGTACCGCGTTCGAGGATTCCATTAATCAGAACACAATCATCTTCGGGCAAGCTCTCCAGGCAGTTATCATCATCCACAAGGGTGCCATAGTTGTTGCTGTGATTGGCTAATCCGCTTAGTTGAGAATGACTCGATGAGGATTGCATCGCGTCAATTAGGGATTGGGTGCCTTTTGACGTTTCCAACAGTGGCACAGTGGCACAGTCGCATGGAATCTTGATATTCTTTGGTTTCTCCACTACACAAATAACATTTTTCTTGTTTGATTTCTGGACTTTTATAGCATTGCTCTTATGGTCGTCATTATTCATGGCGATTTTCTATTGTCAGCGGAACCTTGGACCCGGAGCTGTTAACTCCGGTGGTTTACGATAGACGAGCCGCAGAAAAGGGGCATCAGTAAACCCTTGTCCCCATGTTGTGAAGCCGATTGGAGCAGTTCTCTCAGGTTAAAAAGAAAAATGTGTCCTTCTGTTGTCTCATTCGACCGAGTTGCAGGGATCGGACAAGGCGGCCCGTGGTTGCATGAGATGTTGAGAATCATGGCCTGTCACATACACTGCCAAGGCTGTTATGCTCGACGCTTTGCCTGGAACGAAACCAGGTATCGCAGAGCTAGCCTTACGCCTGTAAATTGTGAGTCATTCATTGGTTTCACTAAAATTGATTATTGAGCAGATGCAAAGTGCTCGATGAGTGCTGATCCTTTCCGGTCAAGCAGTAGGTGGACATCTATATGGTTTGCACTCCTTGTCAGAAAGCATTTCAGGACTGCTTTTTCAACCCCGAGTGACCCCAAATTATGGAAAAAGTCGATCTCTTCTTCTGACCTTTGCTTGTTTGTTCTGCTCTGTCTTCTTCGATACGTTCAAAAAACTCACCAAAATGGCGTCTACGACCTCTGAGGCTGTCAACCATACGGATACCATTCCAGCGGTAGAAGCTCTAACTGAAGGTGGGAAGAGTAACCATCCAGCTGTTGCAGTGGAAACAAAAGAGCTGTCACCGAGAAGTGTTCATGGTTTTAGTGTATGAACCAATCTCAGTTGGTGCGTAACTACTCAAAAGCTGATCCATCGACTAGTGGGTGATAGCTGTCTCTGCTATTCTTTCATCGACATTTCTATTCGCTCTAGATAACACAGTGGTATGAAGGAACATTGACATTAACCCCCATTTTGGAGTTGTACCATTCAATATCCTTCATAGAGATACTGAATCAATTTTTGACTAGGTCGCCGACGTCCAACCCGCAATTCTAAATACATTTGGACAAATTGAAGACCTTCCCTGGCTAGGCGTAGCCTTCGCACTCGGTGGTATCGCAATTTTGCCCTGGTAATTCGACACTCCCAGCTCCTGGATGACGATTTCCCGAGACTGACACGTCACAGGGGTAAAGCATACTCCATATTCAATATAAAATGGCTATACATCACGACTGTTATTTTGTTTGAAGCAGGTAGCGCGCTATGCGGAGGTGCGCCGAATATGAATGCTTTGATTGTTGGCAGAGCGATTGCGTGAGTAGAATGGCAGCGCAGCTGGCCTGCTTATGAAGACATAATACTTATCAATTTTCTTAGCGGCCTCGGGGGATCTGGTATGTACTCCGGATGCTTGACATATTTATCGGTCACTACGAATAATCGTGAACGACCATTATATATGGCTCTGGTGCTACTAGCCTGGGGTCTGGGTACCGTTCTTGGACCTATTATTGGTGGTGCATTTGCTGATAGTAGTGCAACATGGCGATGGGTAAGCAATCCCTGTTCTCATTTAAATTTGAATTGAGATCTAACCATCATATGCAGTCTTTCTATATCAATCTGGTCATCGGTGCTATTTTTTCACCCGCCTATTTTTTAACGTTGCCAAACATCGACTTTGGAGCGAGTTTGTCACTTGTGCAAAAATTAGCCAAGATGGATTGGATTGGCATGGTAGTTTTCTTTGCCGGCGCTACTTGTTTAACTATGGCCATTAGCTTTGGCGGCACTACCTATGCCTGGAATTCGGGCTCCGAGATCGCCTTTTGGGTCGTTTCTGGAGTCCTGTTGATTGTGATGGCAGTTATAACGGTACGTCCCATTTTTGTGTCGAAGGCGGACCGGCTATACCCAGGTCACTTTGTTCGCAAACTGGAACTTGTCAACTTGCAAATACAGCTCTTCCTTGTTACAGGCGTCATGATGGGGACTGCTTACTATATCCCCTTGTACTTTCAATTTGCCCGCGAGGATTCAGCGTTGAGAGCAGCCGTTCGTCTGTTGCCCTTTATCACAATGGCAGTCTGCTTTTGTGTGATCAGCGGAGCACTAATGCCTATATTTGGCTACTATATGCCTTGGTACACCTGGGGTAGTGCCCTTGTGTTGATCGGATCTGCACTCATGTATACAGTCGATGCAAACACGTCGCCATCGCATGTATATGGATACACCGTTCTTCTCGGGATCGGGGCCGGGTCCTATCTACAGGCGGGATATGCCATTGTCCAGATGTTGGTTCCGCCAGAGGAAGTCGGTAATGCGGTCGGATTTATGAGCGTGTCTCAGGATCTAGGCATCGTTTTTATCCTCGCTCTAGCCGGCACGGTATATCAAAACCTAGCGCTGAAAAGACTCACGCCACTTCTCGCCGGTCGCTCCGCTGCTGATGTGAGCCAGGTAATTGCTGGTACCAGTAATTCTGTCTTCAAGTCCCTCGATCCCAACCTCCAAACAAAGGTTGTAGATGAGATCACCAAGTCCATGAGTGTGGTGTGGGCAATTTTAATTGGTGTGGGAGCTTTGTGTCTCATTCTCTCCCTTTTCTTGAAAGTAGGTCTAACCTCTTTTTATTTGCAACATTTATGTTTCTCTTCTCTCGCATATTTATATTATGCTGACATTCCATCCTTTACAGAGACAAAGAGCCTGGCCGAAGACTGCCTAAAACCAAGGCAGGTGTAACAAGTCAAGAGTTATCTTGTATTAACGGCCTGCATCGAGAGCAGACATAATAAATTGAAAATTGTTGCATCTAGATGCTCTATCCTAGTCTCTCTGTATATCTATATATTTCATGCTTCATTTTATTCTATGTGGATAAGTTGCCGGGAGGTTCTATAAGGTTTACTTTGGCTTTCCCGTGGTAGCTGTTGTAGCGAAGTTCATTCCTACCTAGACATTCAAAAATTGCAGTATTGTTAGAAATCACTTACCAGTCAGAGGAACTGCTGTATTAATATCATTCTTGTAGTCAACACATCTAATATTAATACTGAGACTACTAGCTATCTAAAGTTTCTGGAAGTGAGGACAACTCAGCTGATTATATGCTTTGACTCTTTGCAATAGTTTTGTCATTGAGGATCATTAATTGAGGTGTTAGCCTCGAGTTCTAGGCGATTTAATTTTGATATACGTTACCAAGTGTTTAGCTTGACATATGTATAAAAAGGTATCCTTCAATTTCAGGTATCAAAACAGGTATGCGTATATCAATTGATGTGTTGGACATGGACCGGTATAGGGGAAAACTAGACTGTCTACACTTAATATTATTTTTGAAAGAACTCTTCGAGACAATTCAAACTTGAATCATTATTATTGTTCTTGGAATAGCCTCAAAGTGATTATAATAGGAGTGTATTGGCCCCGGGTTCAAAATGAGGGAGTTTGAGACCAGATTCACAGATACACGCCCTGCAAAATTTCACATTTGACCATCTAGTCCATATCGCAACTTGGAATGACCTCAGAGATACGCGACTCGACCGTGATAGAGAATGGGTTCTGAGTAACGATAAAACGACCGTTGCCTACAAAGGTCTTGTTCTCGAGGTGCTTGTACTTGGGATCGCCGGTCTCGAAAGTGTGAACGGTTGCTGATATTGCTCTCATTAGTCCTTTAATTCTTGCATCATTGCACATCTTTTTGGACAAATGAGAAAAATTTACTCACAGGAAATACCAAAAGGGAATGTCTTTGCATTGGGGTCTTGTTCGAACATGTCCAGAACAGGCTTACTGGCTCTGGCAACACCAGTGTAGCCGCAGTTGAGAATCTGCACGTTCATTATTAGATTCGTCGTTGTTGGTATAATTTATAATTTTGACTGGGACTTACGACACCATCGTTGGTCCTACCGTGGTCATCATTAATTAATCTTCACTCCACCAAGATATGATAGCACTCACCTGGCCAGAAGCTTCAGCTGAGGCCGAGCGTGTCCATTATCAGGATCGAAAAGAAGCCAATCAGACCCATACTCGACATTGGCCTCGACTAGCTGCTCATACCCCTCAGCGGTGGTTAGGGTCCCGGAACCTGTTTCCTAGAATTCAGATCAGCAAACAGCATGAAGGAGTGAAATATAACAAGGAAAACACACCCAATGAATCAAGTTGCTTCCGCTAACGATTGTCCCTGAGGATGAAATAAATTAATTTCATTTGTTGTCTCTCGCTGCCGACTCAGATTTTTCACTCACCAACAGGTCTTCCGGTAGTAACGTGAATCTGAGGCATATTAATGTCCAGTCTCCTCACAAAGGCCCATAAAAACCATGACGATAGCTCCAGCTGCGGACTCACCTTGAGAATGTAGGCAGGCTTCAATCTCGGGAAACCTGAAAGATTTTTGATTTCAGGCTCCGTCGACAAGGGTGAGAGGTTGGTGAGAACTGGTGCAGCCATTTTCGTAAAAAATACTTCCGCGTCTATCAAATCTGAATATGCTTCTTCTCGTTTCTGTCTCTGAGTACGAAATCTACAAATGATGGGTTTGGGAGGAAGAATCAACCTCGTCTTATAGACGAGCATTTGAGGCTTTCATTCGCTTGTAATGCTTTCCTGCATCTTAAGCCTATACCGCAAATTTTCTCAGTGTTGGATAGTTGATGCAGACAAAGGAAAGTTGAGTCGAAAGGGACTAATGAAGCGGAGATCCAGGGCGGAAATAGGCCAGGGATCGGGATGGACGGCCGACGCGGAGGAAAATCATCATTAGGACCTCGCTTCATGCGAGGACGGACGTCCTCGCCGACTAACTGCTCTGTCAATCGCTTTTCCCAGCAATAAATGAAACAAATAGAAAACAACAACTTCACTGATTACGTATTTTCTTGATGAATTTCGTTTCAATTCTTTTGCAGTTTATCTTTTAATCTTGGCATTCTGTTTCCTCTCTTTCCCATCAACAAGAGTACCTCGTCACTCGTGCCGGGTAGCGAAATGATTCTCAGTCAATTTATCTTCCCACTTACTACACTTCTCTTTTCCGGCGTACTCAGTGCCCCTTTGGACGCATCCGATTGTGCTGTGGATAAAGAATCATGCTCTTGTCCATCGGACACGACATTTTACGAGTGCACTACCACAGCTGTGATTGGGGCCGCATTGGAAGATGTCCAGGCTCTCACGGGTGATTGTAAGTCGACTTTTGAACATTTCCATGACTTTCAAGTTTTGCTAACTGATAGCAAAAATCAGTCTTTCACACCGAATGGATGGGCCTTACACCAGAAAGTACCGATGGCAATGATAATGTGCTCGGTTCTACACGGACATTAACCATTCCAACACAAAAAGGAACATATCAGTTCACCGAAGAGGCACATATTCCTTTTCCATTTCGAAACGAGAAACCCTACTAATCTATTGGAGTAGCTAATCAAACTCGATCGCAAAGGTGACGGCTCTTACACCTTAATGTTCAAACAACAGAACGGTTAGTTAAATTACTGGACAACTTCGAAAGTTAGTATTGGGCTTCTCATTTTTACTATGCAAATAGTTCCTGTTCGGTATGACAGAAAACATGGGCCTGGGTCATTCTCTGGGTTCTGGGTCACTCGTAGTTCTCATTATGACGGCCCCTATCGAACGAAAATGGTCTGGAATGTGTACGCTTGTTTGACTGGAACTGTGGGTATGTGTACAAATTCAGCTAATGGCCTTTTCTCCGCAAAACCTGAGTTAATATCATATAGGTTTCCCTGAATTCCACAGGTTGGCACTCAATAACGCAACGGCAACGCTTCAAATGCTTGGCAAAATCAAAGGTGTTAGTGAGCCTCCACATTCGGATTGTCAACCCTCGGGGGATTTCATGCAAACATCTGATGCCATACACAATCACGACAAAATAGCTGAGGCACACCAAGGACTGCGTATCCAGATTGATTTGTAGGGAATGGGTGAATGTGTGTAGGGCCAATAGTGTGTATAGTGCCATTGTCTTCTGCTAGTCACAGGTCACAGGATCTCTTTCTTAGTACAAGAGAGCGTTAGATCACTGAATATCAGTTTCACAACGTATTCAAAGTCTCTCTCCATCTCCCTTTATTCTTTTCTTTTTCTTTTCCCAATCAGATTGATTGTGCTAGCGTTAAACTAAGTTCTCTTTAGAGGCGATGAATGTTCAAGTCTTCCCCAACAAGCTAATGTGTGAATGAATAAGCCTCCTCAATGTTTTCAGTGAAAATGCTCTTGCTGATATGGTAGGAATCCAACCAGACCCTGGTCGTCTACTGCTGATTTAGGATCGCCCAAAATTGCAGTCCTCCCAATCAGATGGAATTACCCAAGAGATTCCATCGCTCCTTACGATGAACTACGATGAAAGGGTTCATAAATTTCCTTCATGTTTGTAGAGATTGTTACCATGAAAATTAATTGAGATTCCTACTTGATTCAGTTAGAAAATCACCATTTTTCTAATTTCTTTTTCTGCATCCTTTTTTCATCAATTTTCACGCTAATTCCTGTGTCAAAAGCCAACTTGGTGCATTACCTAGATCATTCCAAGGACTCTACTGAATTAGAACAGGATATGTTTTGTGCATTAAATGCCTCACTTGTAACTTGCTTGTCATATTAACCTAGTTAAGAGAAAGGTATGAACCATGCCTCAAGCGGCATGCATGAAGAATTTCCCCTCTTCTTGGTCCGCTACATATACATGTACCAACTCAACCTCGGGCAGAAGTCCCGTCTTTCCGTGTCGTTACGAACACACAAAGTATGACCAAAAGATGTATTCAGTGAATATAAGAAGAGTATAATAGAGAACAAAGTGCCCTTTTCAATTACAACCAATTTTGAAAATTCTCTAGTATAAAACAGTAACATCATGCCTGCCATCACTGACGAAATCTATATCCTGAGTCGGGATCAAACAGAATCTGCAAGGTAGGGATAATCCTACGACACTTGTGTACACCAGCTGCACAAAGAGGAAAGGAAAGATGTTAATCTGCATAATTCGCAGGCTCGAAGAACAACATGCTTTTTTCGTCGAGGTGACAGGGGGAAAGCCCATTCACCCTTCAATTGAGCAAGGTAACCTCTTCGCTGTTGCAGATATTGCAACTGGAACTGGGTAGGTTAAACACATTGTTTCAACTAAATTCAAAAGAGATAATAACTAAGTATGTATAAGTGCCTGGCTGCGAGATGTGTCTCAACTACTCTCCACGATCCCGGATGATCCTCAGCGCTATTACCATGGATTTGATATTTCTTCGGCCCAGTTTCCCAGCACACCATTTCAATCCAACATGGAATTTTCGGTGCATGACATTTTGCAACCATTTCCTCAAGAGCACATGGGCCGATATGACCTCGTGAATGTACGCTTCCTGCTTGGTGCCATCAAAGAAGCAGATTACTTTACAGCAATTAACAATGCCGCCACCCTTCTCAGTTAGTCTCCTTGATTTTCTTCAGTGAAGGGCAAAAAACGCTAATAGAGACTTCCTAGAACCAAACGGATATTTGCAGTGGGCTGAGCTTGACACGGATCTTTTCTCTCAAAATAAACCCAGAGAGTTCCCGCGCTTTAGCGAAATCATCCGATTGGTTTTTGCTCTAAATCAAAATGGGATGTGCAGTCATGCCTCCGACGCCGTCTATTATGCGGCCCTTTTCTCTTCGTGTCTGACGTGTGTCACTAAGCATGTTTACAGCTCCTTGGATAATGCAAAGCTGAATGAAAAAGCCCGTGCTTGGTGTCTCAATGGCTTTAGTGCCCTTCTGCCTGGCGGTCTAGTCCGATCAAAGACGTTGGCAGCGACCAGTAGTCCGGAAGAGGTCCAAGATCTGACAAAACGGCTGCTTCAGGAGGTAAAGGAGTTATTTGGACGTGGAGTAGTGCCAGATGGACGTTTCGGAGTTGTCGTGGCCCAAAAAAGGCCGGCATGATTGCCCTGAGCCATATCCTTGGCCTTTTTGATGGATGACTTTACCTCGCTATATTTTGTATGGACACCATGTGTCCGAGATTTCTCTCCTTAGATACACACACACACAATACATACAAGTACACGTCCCACTGAGGTTACAACAGAAGGATCATCTATAATCTATTTCTGGTCTAGGGTTGGTTTTTATGGTGCCTATTCGGCATCCAGGACAGCCGTAATATAATGTTGACACATGTTTATTGCTATCTTCGTATTGGTAGCCAATGAAACTAACACCTACAGTCCCACTATGTCATCTGCCGGATTTATCGGGGTTTATCTTGCCCACAATCTCGTGAAATTGATAGAAACTAGAAGATACTGTAATCTCTCAATTGAAGCTTAAATTTCTCTGCTCGGCAAAGTTATGCTGTTTGTAACAGGGAATTGTCCTCTATAATGAGGAATCGAAACCCCTCGCTTTAATACATGTTTCTTCCTGATCGGTAGGCCAATTGCCAGTTGGGCCTCACTGTACTGTATAATGTACACTTCACACATTAATATCCAACGTCATCCTACTTTTCCTCGTGCTCGCTTGCTTGTAGCATTACACTTACCGACGGCTTCCGTTTCCTGCAAGTCTATATGCATGGACACGGACTTGGCGAGGTAAGAAAGGCGTCGGTGTGTTGGTAAGCATTAGTGTTAAGACTAGTTAGTTAGTAACTTAATGGATGATGTGTTGACTAAAGTAGTGGCCTAGCAGATCGCACTTCTACTTAGTCGTATTGCCTGATGCAGCAGCGGGGAGGAGCGGGGTGGCCCAGGGGCGGAGAGCCCGATCTTAGCCTCCCCGACTCCCCGCGCGATGGCGCGTGCTGTAGTGCTGTACGTAGTCGGCGGGACGGGAGTGGGATCCTTGGCCATAGCGCGGCGTACTATGGGCAGCTCTGTGCAGACAGGTCTGAACTGCAAATAATTCGGCCATCAATACCATTTCGATCGAAGCCTAAAATGAATTATTGCGATTTCTACGATGGTTCCTATTTTACCGTTTTCTCGATAATCCCCTTGTCAAGATCTTGACCTGCACTCTTCTAAGTCTCAAAATGCCTATCGATGAGACAACTCGTCTTTTACGTCGGTCCTCAGAGCTGGGGACACCGCAAGTAGAAAATGGCTACATCCATAACAAGGCTAGCTCAAACCTAAAGGGCATATTTGGAGTCTTGCGGCCAGGATTCACCAAAAAATACAATTTTTGGCTATGTAAAGCATCTTTACAATTGCCAGGAGATATGTCATGCTAACAAAACTGTTTAAACAGTCTCCATTTTTGGCTTTTTCATGGCCTTCTTCTGTTTTGCACGTCTCAAGTATCTCTCTACATCCGTTCTAGAGGCTGAGCTTACCCCTGGAGATTGGTTTTGGTTCCATGATGGCATACTACACATTGGGTTCATGCTACACCTTGCTACCATGTTACCGGCTGGCCTCTTGATGATTCTGCAATTCGTACCTCGTATTCGATACAAATTCATGCTATTCCATCGCCTGAATGGCTATGTCGTGATCATATTGGCACTTATCGGAAATGTGACAGCCATGATTATTGCTCGCCGTGCTTTTGGCGGCGATATGGGATCTCAGACATGCACCGGCTTTCTAGCCCTTGCCTCAACAGTCGCCATGGCGTTGGCATGGTGGAATATCCGGTGTCTACAAATTGATTTACACCGAGCATGGATGCTGCGCGCCATGTTTTGGATGGGATCTATTGTTAGCACACGCGCGATCATGCCACTCATGTCCATAGTCCAGACGGCACTAGGCGGCTATTTCATTGCTTGGCCTTGTGATGAAATTATATTTATTCTAGGAAATCGTGAAGACTTAGTGATGTCGCAATTCCCCCAATGTCTCATTCCCAATGGCACAACGAGTGGCTGGGTTGCTGTGGAGGGTGACTTAGATTTTTCAAATCCAGTTGGATTGGGCGCAATTTTTAACACTAATTTCGGAGCTGGGGTATGCTCACTTTCTTATATCTTGTCATTTTTGTCTTTTATGAGTATCTGTGGCTGATTTGATTGTGATTAGTTGTGGCTTGCCTTAATCCTTCACATGATAGGCGTGGAAATTTACTTGGCCTTGACACCGATAGAGAGCGAGAGGCTTCGTAAGGTGAGCTACGAGCGACAACTCGCTGCCGGGTATGAAAACCCGGGAAATTGTGGTACTACTGTCTCTAAATGGGGTGACATCGGCTCTAATGCAACTGCTTGATTAACATCCAGGGAAAAGAGCGTTGTCTGGCCACCACTGTTTTCTTTTGTTTGTTTTCTTTCCATCGTGTTTCTAACAAGCAAAAGTAGTTCTATTTCTCACATTTCGCAATTTGCTGGACTGAAGTTCTTCTTGCTTCTACTATGTAGAACAAATCCAAGGATGCAACCACGAAATCACCTCTATCGATGACAAAAGTGTACTCGAAAGAATAGGATTTTTCCCTCCATCGTCATCCATTCCATCATAGTAGTAGTAGTAGTAGTAGTAGTAGTAGTAGTAGTAGTAGTAGTAAATTCATTACGCCCGGAGGCACCAAGCCTAAAAGGGGTCCAATACACTATGTGTCCTACATTGCATACACTGTGGTCATGGTCTCATGTCGAGAGGAAAAGCTATATCAGCTGCAAAAAACCCTCTAGCCCATACGCTATATCTTGAACATCCCCTCCTTGTTATTTAGTTATATTCTTCTCAAAAGCAATAACCCATCCCTCTTGGACCATATTCTTCGCGTGTTCATCCTCGGTGTAGTTTCCTGAACCTCTTCTCCTAGTAGCAATTTACCAAGAGTACTTCTCAAAATAGCGCTTGAAGTAGCTGAATGCCTCGCTGGCGACAACTCCAGATAGCAAACCAAGGACTAGCGAATCGAAACGTGCTCGAACGTAAGGCAGGTGAGTATCGATTGGTGGCAGGTAGGCAAACGACTAGAGGCTCGTCGACGCGACCGAAGTCGTAGATGTGTTTTTTTGAAGCCCTCCTGCCCATCGTTCTAACCGATAAGAGGGCTTCCACCGGAGTTTCGACTTGGAAAGTTCTCAGCTTCAGCTACGCCATGCCACCCAGCTTACTGACGTCCCTCACCACGAGAAGGTGACGTTCCACGACGGACTCCATTCCAAGGTCTACTGTCGGGACCGTATCTCCAGCAACCGTCTTTTCGATGTAGTTAGTTATTAGTTAGATATATCTCGCTTCCCAGAGCTACTCCTGGAGAAGAAGACGCACAATACAGAGCTAGATTTTCCCGAGAGCCCCATGTAAAGAATTCAGAGGAAGATCTGGTAACCAAGGATTATGAGCAGAAGTAGAAATATTAGTTGTACGTTCCCCTTTGGGGAATGGTAGATTCTGATAGAGCGTTTTCAACGTTCTTATTCTCTCTGTCTGCTTGTCTATCTCTTAAGGAAAACCATCTAAGGCTTGAGGTCTTCTATCCCGTACGGATAAAGACAATTCCCGAAAGTCACATAATCTTTACATTTTGGAATTCCAAAATGTACCAATATCTTGCGCCCATTTAATGAACAAATGAAACTAATGATGTTGTGTGTACGGGAATTCCCAGGTGTTGAGTATCAGCACCGGAGTATTAGTTATTCCGTTTCACCTACCTGGGGATATCCCCTTTACTTGCATGTCATTATCCTTCTCCTCTCTTTTTTGAGAACCAGTCATAATATTAGGAATAACTTCAATATTACCAGGCTCACCACGTAGGGCAGTTGGACTGCTCTTGCCGCAATCCTGTACTTCGTGATCCAGGACCCGGCTAAACCAACAGATGTATATCACCAAAAATCGAATGCATTGAACTTGTACGTTGAGAACATCATAATATAAATTGGGAGTCATTGTGGTGACATGCTTGTGGGGTTGATCTCCAAGATAATGAAATCTGTTGCAGCTGCTCTCCGATACTGGTGATTGTCTCATCCCACGATCCCGAGTCGTCATCTAATTCGTTCATAGTCTCGTACAGTATTTCTAAGGTACCATGTAGACGTCGTTGATTTTTGCCTGGGATACTACTATCCAGTAGCTGACTCAAGATTCGTCCAGCACATGTTAGGGACCAAAGAACGAATGAATTTGCTTGTTTCAAGATATTCATCTGCGTTTACTGTTAGCAAAATTTAAGTTGGATTAAGTGTAGAAGACTTTACATTATAGGTATCTCTCGAGTGCATTCGATGCAGAACCGAAACCATTTGTACCGCAGCGGCCTCGCACCGCCGATCAGTCTCTTCCCTCAATGAATCTGGCACCGAGGTGCTGACAGACCGTTCGGCAGCAATCTTATGAAGGTATATACTGACAGCATAAAAATTCAAGTATACAATCAAAACCGATGCATCACATGGTGCGACAGTATTGTTCTGTTGCGGTTGTTGTTGCTGGTGGGTTAACTGCAATTGTTGCTGTTGCCGCGCCTGGAGCTGCTGAAAAAGACAATGAGAAACGACTTGAAGCTTCTTGTCAATGGCGAAGTGCTGCACCCAAAAGGGATATCCCCCACCTTCCTCGCTTTCCAAGGGGCTGGATGTTGCAGATGAACTTCTTCTATGCTGTTGTTTTTGTTGTCTTTGCGAGATCCTGCCATGACGATTGCATATCGCTGCTAGCCCACATACAATAGCTAGTCCAGCAAACGCGGACACAGGGGGAAGTGGCCTATCATCGCCGCAGCACACTGCCTCGTTCAGGCGTATCACTTTTTCCACTGTGTGAAATTCTGGGGATGTAGCGGTAGAAGGAAGAGAAGTAAAAATCTCAGGGATGTCAATTAGGATTCAGTGGGGTTAGAGAAAGATTACTTACATCATCTATTCCAAAGCTGATGGATGAATTGGTGCGGCTGCAGGCCCATGTATCCAGTATATATGCTACCCAAAAGGTTCGCCTTCTCTCTTCGATTTCAGCCAGGGTGGTCGCTTTTTGGAGCGGGAGTTGTAATGCCGGGTCAGTAGTTGAGTTATTTGGTGATGCCTCCATATCCATTTCATGCAGGCCCATCAGCCTGGTCAATCGCAAAGCACGCCCGAGACTCATCCAACCCCTCGAAAAGTCCTGCTTTTTGAATTCATGGTAGGTAATCAGGAGCATCGCTTGCAGAGCATGGATACTCAAAAAGCGGACGCCCGGGTACTCCCGCTCAGCGTCCTCCAAACATCGTCTTGCGTGGTGGTGGCATGCGGAGACAAGCTCATCGCTTTCCTTGTTAATTCCAGCACCAGCCATAGCAATTGCATATATCAAGCTGTTAACCTCGGGAGATTGGCTGGAGCCATCCTCTAAAGCCGCAATGGAGCGGCTACGATCAATCATTGGTAGAAGTGGATGTAAACATTCAAAATACTGTCGGTGTCTGCGAGCACATTTGTGAGTCCGAGACTCTTGATTGAGGAATCAGTGCTACTTACGGTCCAATCAAAGTTTCCCTTGCTATAGGCAAATGCCTCTCTGGATGGATCGGACAAGACAACAGGTTGACTAAAGACACATTTGGCGAACCGTATTGAATGTTTTCTGGGCTGGACATGGCCATATCTGGAGAAGGGATTGCATCCGGATGAAAGACATGATCACGGTCATGGTCACTTCCTACTTGACTTTATTGTTTTTCGTTTGTCTTCTCGTCAGTTTCCATTTTCTTTGCCTAAGCATAACTATGAGGAAGGAAAAGGATTGAACCTACAACTGGTCCAGTGTCTGCTTCATCATCTCACAGCTGACATCTATGCTCTCAAAAGACGACGGATCGAGGCTGACGTTCATGCCCGGTATTTCGTCGTAGCTTATTTCTGGGTATTGGGCCATGACTTGGCTTGCATCCAGCCAGTTCAAGGAAGCATAACTGGCGGGATCCATAAAAGGGCTGGAGTAGGCCATCATACTACTCTGTCCAAGAGCTAATCGTGCTTCTGCTTGAGCTAATAACAATAAAATTGGCAACGTTCGTCAAAAAATCGGTACAATCTTGGCATTTAGAAGGAGAGAGGCATGTCCCTACCGATTCGTGAATCCAGTTTCATTAATGCCTGCGGTACATCAATCGAATTACTCTTGGTGGAGGGTGTGTAATGGCATTTGTGTCGGAGACGGAGACACCGGCCGCATTGTGGATAGCTACGGTCACATCTCACCTTTCGTTCTCGACAGACATCGCAGGCTGTCCGTCGAGACTGGCTGGTGCGGCCATCCTCGTCGTTATTCGCAAATGTGGAGCTAAGGCCGGGATTCGTTGATTTCATCGTAGGAACTCATGTAAGAGGAATGAATATATGCAGCTTCAAAATAACGGTCTTAATTGATCAATTTGTAGAAGAAGCACTCAAAGCTGCAGCAGAGATTTATAATCTATGTGAAATAGTCTGATTTACTCCGACTGCCTGTATATGGCGGAGCGGCGTACCGCGGTCATCGAGGCAGATAAGAGGATGCTGTCGATACATGATTTCTCACCTTGGTGTGGTGCAGTACACGGGGGACGCTATATACCCCGGTCTGGGGCTGGGCCTTGCGCCAAGCACCGAATTCTTTTGGTGCAAATGCTCCAGCCATCAGTCATCGCGCATCTTGTTCTCAACTAGCCCCCAACATGCATGTGAGGGTAGGGGTGCAAACGAATAACGACTTTACGAATATTCCTTATTCGTAAGTCGAATGCGAGTAAATTGATTTCAGTTGCTCAGCAATATTTGTACGAATAAAATTCGCATTATTCGTAAATTATTCGTAAAAGTCACGTATCAAACTGGCCCTATAAATGTCTTGGAAATGTTGACACCGCTCGGCGATCACACACTCGCCTCCCTTGGCAAAAACTACGAATGATTACGAGTCGAATACAAATAAGCATAATCCGTATTCGTGCGGACCCCTACGAGCTGGGCAGACTATATCGCAACAGAAGCACTGGGCGGCCAACACGCCCCTTGTACATATCACGCATCCCTGTCGCGAGTTCCGCCAACGACTGGGCTGCTGATGGTCACAGCCGGGAAAATTGAGTCTGTAATTTGGTGGCAGTAGTAGTAAATTCATTTTGCCCGGAGGCACCAAGCCTAAAAGGGGTCCAATACACTATGTGTCCTACATTGCATACACTGTGGTCATGGTCTCATGTCGAGAGGAAAAGCTGTATCAGCTGCAAAAAACCCTCTAGCCCATACGCTATATCTTGAACATTCCCTCCTTGTTGTTGTAGTTATATTCTTCTCAAAAGCAATAGCACATCCCTCTTGGACCAGATTCTTCGCGTGTTCATTCTCGGTGTAGTTCCCTGAACCTCTTCTCCTAGTAGCGATGTACCAAGAGTACTTCTCAAAATAGCGCTTGAAGTAGCTGAATGCCTCGCTGGCGACAACTTCAGATAGCAAACCAAGGACTAGCGAATCGAAACGTGCTCGAACAGGTAGGGCTGACTTTCCACGAGGAACAGTCTGTAGCGTACTATGGTTGACCTCGGTGAATTTGTTAGTACAGTGGGCCTCACAGGGATTCGATTCTTTGGTGGTCAGGAAGAACCCTGCAGCACGCAGTAGGTTAGCCCAACTGAGTCATAATTTGCGAAGTTATGTTACGTTTAAACTAATGATTATGATTATGGGAATAGGTAAAATAATCATTTGGCCTGCGCTAGTCCTGGAGGTTTTTTGGGCCCGTGCGCTTATCTAAAACAGTTGTCACCTCATGGAACAGCAGTTGTCACTTGAGGTGTATAAATGTGGCGTCTATATTAGTCAGCTTTTCTTACTGCCTTCCTAGTATAGATACGAGTATACGTGTAATTACAGGTTGCTAATCCTGTAGACATATTTCTCAGGTAGGGGTGAACCCCATAATCATATAACATGGGGATCAGGTTGCGCCAAGTCCGCGTGCTGTCCGCGTTATCTGGCAGGCCGCGACATTTGGGGGTTTACTTGGGGTTTGCTACCTAGTGAATGAAAGTTTTTTGTTAGTTATTTAGCTACTATAGGTGTATTTTTATGCTGCTGTATTCATTCCAACATCTGCGCCTCAAGATAGAGCACTCATGTATACTCCGTAGTGTATTTGACAATGTTTATTTTTGATCGAATTGATATTGACTAATCACTGCCTCAACTCACTCAGGACCCGTGAGCAGCGCTAGCACAGAAACCCTGTAGAATACAGTGGAGATGAGTGGCGGGATGAGTAAATAAGTCTCACACACTCGTATTATCATTGCAACCCAAAATGGAGGATAAAATGACTCGTGAGGTACCCAGACAGATATGCTATAGTCAGGGGGGTATCCAGTGTAATACTCACTTTCCCTTCCTGGATTTTGGCGGGTCTCTCAGCCGTACAGGCTGGTTGTTGAACCAACTAATGCATCTGCGGAGACTAACACGGAGACGAATAATACTCTAAGGCACTGCTGGGTTGCGTGATCTTCAGCTCCAAAACCGGAAATACGAAAGGTCGATGATCGTATCTGATTACGTTGGAGCAATTCCGTATTGGTATTTGGCAATGAAGGCAGATCGATCTGGGTGTCTGGGTGGAAAATTCCCATCCGACGGTCTTGGTTGAATATCTCGACTACCTGCTCGCGGAAGCTATCATGTTGAGCCAAGCAGCTGAGATTCTCCTGCCAGTGAACACTCTGCATAACTCTCTCATTGGCGGGATAATATCTAGGGGTGCACACGAATAATAATTAACGAATATTCGTAGTCGAATACGAATAACGTACTACACGGGTCATTGGGCCACCTGCAAGTCCCATACAAAATGGCCTTCTTCAACACCTTGACTTCTCAACAGATTTATATACAAGCCATATCTTAGACTTGGCGAATGATTCCTATATGGATCCCCATCAGAAATATCAATTTGGAAGTGCGCCTCTTCTATAAGTCTTGAGATATTAGAAACTAGCCTAGTTATTAATGTACATTTCATGACAGAGGGGTTCTTAATATTTTTAGAGTTCCTAAATCTAGATATATATTAATACCTATATTATAAGCCATATTCAACTTTTAGATATGGTTTATATGTGAATCTGTTGAGAAATCAAGGTGTTGAAGAAGGCCATTTTGTATGGGACTTAGGTCTCGGAACGCACCTCAAGGAACCGGGACCGAATTGCACCGCACCGCAAGATTGTGCGGTGCAGTTCCGTTTTTTTAGAGCCGCTGGGCGGTTCCATGATTTCTGGAACCGCACCGCTTTGGATGCGATTAGGACCAGCGGTTCTACAGACAGTACAAACAGAGGAATCCTATGATGTGCATAATTTATGTAGGTTCTAGCAGTATTTTTGGGTAATTTGTTTACAACCTGGGTCGAATAGCTAGGAGATACATACTATAGGATGATATATTCAGAGAGTACCGTAATGCAAGGATCAATTAACCAGACAATTCATTTTGACATTCTATACTAAGTTGCTAAAGATTCTCATATACAAAGTCTTCATCTCGCTTCAAACGCTTCGGTTGCTGGCCAGATGAGCGTCTCTGGGTACTACTTGCTGTCACTAGATGCCTATTATAAGGTAAAAGAACTTTATCTTCCTGGTCCCTATCCAGTTCAACCAGTGGCTCTTCCTCCCTTGCTGGTCTTTTGCCAAGCGAATGCTGACTGCGTGCTTAGAAAGCTTGAGGACCTTGAGGTAATGCTAAGGATTTATCCTTACCCTCAGCCTTCTTGCTATCACTGATTGGGTCGAAATCATACTTTGTATTCTGAGCTTCAAGCGCTTGCTAAGCACTCTTTTCCTCCCTAACTCTTTGTATCTCTTGTGTTGTAAGATACTTATTCATGAGGAAAAGTTCTTCCAATTCAAGTTCGAACTTTGTTGTGCACATAAATAATATAAGCTCCTTGATGGTTTGGGGTTTCAATGAGCCTCGGCGGTAGTGACAGATATCATGGGCAGAGTTGAATAATTGTTCAACACCAGAGCCACTAGCAGGATTTGTGAGAATGTCCTGGGCAAGGCTTGCAAGGATAGGGTATTTAGACTGATAATCCTTCTAAAATATTTGTGGGTTCATTAGCTGAGTGCCTATACAGACGGAGGTTAGTAGGCAAGATTTAAGAGAATGGGAAGTATAGCTTACTGCTCCCGAGATAACGTGATATCTCGTCATGGGCGGATGTTTGTGGCTGTAGAGATATAGCTAATGTTATGAGTATATCAATATCAGATATTCCACTAGTCAATATCTGGCCTGTTGGTGTTGACTGAATCTCTGAATAGTGTTTCTCATAGGGCATAATATACTCCTCAAGACTCCTGCGGTATCGGACACGCCACTCTGGCTCCTACTTAGAGGTAGAAAAGAATTCTAGCTTATTTTGTGGGGCCAAGATTGTTCTGATAGCATAGAGGTCACCACCAACATAATCAGTCATTCTGTAATATTTAGAAAGCTTGTCTCTTGCCGAGCTCAGAGCAGCCAACTTTCTTCCGCGTGAGCTGTGCTGTACACTTCTCAAGATATGTAAAGAGATAGTTATAAATGGCAAAGACACTATGAATAGTGACTTCTTTTGTCTGGGAGAGAGATGTTGTAAAGGTGAAAAATGGCCTTGTTATTAATAGAAGATAGTTAATCTGCCGCCATTCCTCCAAGATTGGGTTGGCTATATTCAGAGCAGTACTCATCAAAGGTAGACTGTAGCTTCCTAGCCCGGTGGAGCATCAGGAATGTTGAATTCTAGCGTGTGCAAATGTCTTGAATTGGGACAAGCTTTTGTTCTTTGCTCTAAAGATCAAGAAAATTATCATGGCGTTGAGGGCTTCGGTTGATGAAGATTGCAAGCCGTCAAATCTATAAACTTATAAGTGATTGGAAAAGTATGTAATATAGGGATCTTACCTTCTCAAGGGTTTGAATAATCTCCTGATTCTCTGCCTAGGCGCTTTTATCTCTTTCAGTCCATTCCATCTCCTCTCTATAATTTCTTGGGTTTACTTCTATCCAACCAAGAAGCTCGTTCAAGCTCAGTTGAATTACATGGGCTATATATGGTATCTGATTTGGTATTTCAAGTGATTGGAGGGATTTGCTGAGTGAATCTATTAATATTGAGTTGTTAGCTGCATTGTCTGTTGTGACTGTTAAGATCCGAGTTTCAACCTGATGTTCTTCAAGTACTTGTTGAAGAACTGTACTCAAATAAGCCCCAGTATGCGAACTGGAAAGTGGTTCAAAGCCAAGTAAGATCTCGCGGTAATTCCAATCTATATCCAGAAAGTAGCCTGTCACAGCCATAAAAGACTGGCGAAATAGAGATGTCCAATAATCTAGTGCAATAGAAAGCTTTACGCCTTGTGGTAGCTTCTGAAGAAGAGATTTCTGTTGTTCTTGAACCAATTATTGAAGATGATTTTGGATGGTCTTTGCACAAGGTAATATAGGCAGAGAAGAAGCATGTTGCGCTATTTCGATAAGTGCATGAAACTGAGGATGCTCAACAAGCTGGAAAGGTAGCCGTGAAGTGGTAATAAAGGTCACTAGTCTCTCCATCTAAGCTTTTGCGGTGTAGGGCGTTTTCTGAGGAGCACTATGCATCTAGGTAGGATTAGTAGAGATCTAAGGACCATAAAAACGAAATATTGAGATCACACTTAACATACCTCATCTTGTATGAGCCTTTTAATATCCTTTAAGGAGGTACCGATTTCTGACAATTGACCCCTGATAAGTAGTGTTTATTTATAGATGATGTTCCACGGTGGCGGTCTGCAGGGTGGCTCAGGATATGGTTGCACACTTTATATATAACCTTTGGAGACCCATCTTGGATCACAGTAACCTGGTGGAAGTACTGCCAACATTCCGACTGGTGCTTACCCTCGAAAATATTCTGTTTTGTCTGACTCCTATATTCTATTCTGAGCCACTAGGTGACAAAGTCATTATTCACCATCTCTGTCCAAAGGACGTAAATCTTCTTATTTTGAGGGCCAACGTGTTCGAGTGTCTCCGGAAGAGGAAGTAGGGATATGGGCTGAGTAAAGCTGAATTAATATGTACAAGTCGAGTCGGGTGTAAACGGCTGTAGACCATCGGACGGAAGTAACGAGATACTAGTATCATTAGAAATACCACGGGAAGGGGAGTAATTGTTAGAGAACTGGGTGCATTAGCTGTGCGATATTGTGATTAATAGAGCTAGAATAAGAAGATGGTAGTATTAGAAACATACCAATAGGAAATCTTTAAGAACAGGATCATTTATTGTCCTAGGGAGGATTCATGGAATTAGGGGCATGTGGCTTTAAGAAAAAAAGCTACATGAAGTTATGATAGATCTATTCTAACTTGGATAGTGATTGGATAGTAAGCCCCACGATACTGCCGCAGGGTTCGATCAGGTTCGAACCGCAAAGAGCCGGAACGATTTGCGAAGAGAGCCGCCTTTTACATTTGAAGCCTCTCAAGTCTATCAACTGTATATTCAAGGTCACTACAATAGAGAGGCAAGCATGGTCTGGTTTAATTATGGGACATATATCCACATTCGGCAAGTAGCCTTGCTATCAAAAAACTTCATAATATGTTTATATCAGTAGTCAAATATGGTTTTTTTTTCAAGAAGTGTTGATGAAGTTGGTGATATAGAGTTTATATAAATGTTATATCTTCCACGTTATATACGACACCGTCGACACGAATTAACCTCATAGCCTTGAATCATCAACAAAATACTATTAGAAATTATCAGCACTACTTATAAACATTATCTCTGATTTTATAGAATCTATCTGTAAGCAAAAGAAAGAGCTTTAAATCCCAGGGTCGTCTAGGATTCGGCACGGAGCTATGTCGTCGAGATGAGGATATCTAGGCTGTCTAGCCGGAGCCACATGCGAGCGCCTATTGAATCAGAGCATATCTTAAATTAGAGTGTGGATTCAATCAGAGACTTGGATTTTGGTGGAATTTGACAATGTGAATGTAGAGAGATATGAGTACAGACTTACAGGCTGTGCCTGTTACAAGACAACGTTTATTTACGGTAAAAACGTAGAATGAGTCAGCATTTTATGCATCCTAAAAAGAAAACACTTGGCAGAATAATGCATATGCGGTTCTATGTGGTTCAAACCGCGTTTGGACTGCACGGTTCTACGGTGCGGTGCGGTTCAAAAGTCCCGTAACCTCAGAACCGCACCATTCCGAGGCCTAATGGGACTTGCAGGTGGCCCAATGACCCGTGTAGTACGTTAAGTTACAGAATGTTCGTAATTATTCGTAATATTAGTATCACGTGCCATCTCAAATAGACCACACGCTGCGCGTGTGGTCGCGGGCTTGGCGGCACGGGTATATTTATACATGTCTCGCAGCAACACGAGATGCCTCATCATATCATCCCTGTATTTAATGAGTGTCTTCGTAGGCCCAGTAAGTCCCTTCCACTATTGAACAGACTTTCTACTGACACCCCAGAAGCTGATATGGGTAAATAATCTCTTGCAGCAGCCGCCATTCGTGGGTATTCATCACTGTGTCCTCCATGATCCGGAGTCTAGATAATGCGGATTGTGGGCCTATATCTTTGTTCTCTTACATTAGATTATAAGCCGCCACTGCAATTTTATGATTGCCAGCTTTCAACATGAAGAGTATATCACTGATAATTAGATTTAGTATATGTGCTATACAGCGCATATAGCTATCCAGTCCTTGAAATCTTGGAATTTTTCTTTCGCTATTGGCAGAAGAAACCATACTATCAAGCTTCTCTTTAAGATTGTAATATAACTCTGACATTAAAGTCTCGTTATTAGCAGCATTGTCTGCTATAATCGTGAACACTTTATGTTCAATGTTAAGCTCTTCCAAGATCGTCTGAAGTATTTCTGCCATGTTCTCCCCACTGTGAATGCCAGTGAACTCTGTGAAGTTAAGAACTCTCTCTTGGTACTGAAAGTCAGCTGTCAACCAATAGCTGATAACTGTGAATATAACTTTGCAATTCTTGCTAGTCTAAGTATCTAAGGAAAGTGCAATTGTTTGACATGTTTAATCTAGGTCATTAATTAAACATGCTTGATAAAAACCAAATTCTGCATCAATTTAGCGAGTAATTGTTATACGTGATGTAAATAGAAGTGCAATTCCTAGATCCCTAAAGATATTTTGGAATGTTGATGATTTAATGTGTAATAGGAGGTTAATCCGATGGTTAGGCAGGAGGAATTATCAATATGGCAGAAGGTCATTTGTGTGTTCAATCTTCATCGACAAAGGTACTGTTGCTAACATACAGAGACTGAAGCTTGAACGAGGAAAACTACTCTCATTCCAGCAAACCTCCTTCTTATGCATACAGGAGTCGTTGGCAGGAGATCTCATGTTGTACCCCTACTTGGGGGTGGCTTGTCACAGATATCATGTTGTACTGTTTCAGTACTGTTACATAATGTGACGGCCAAGCATGAGGCTATTCAGAAATGTGTACGGTTCGTAGAACCGCTGGTTGGTCGCGGGTAGGGTTAGCTATGAGGGTTGTTCCTGGTCACGTGAGCACGCCACGTTGTTGGATATCTGATACGCTAATCCCATTCTGGACGACCTTACTAATCGGTGAATCCCCGGAAAAACACAATTGCCGATCCCAGGTTTGGCACAATATCGACAGCCCTACTTTTGGATTCAGGATTGCTATTTTGCCACTATATTGTGTATATAAAGAGGATCAAGATGCGTAGCTAGCTGGGTTTTTAGAGAGTGTGCAAATCAGAGTCAATTTATTCCTCACCCAGATTGTACGCTCCTATCAGAGCCTAACCCCGTTCGGACTAGTACCAAAAGATTCCAATACACGTAAAGGGCATCCAGGGATAGCCTCACGTTCATGTTTTCTCCTTTCCTCTCCATGCTTAGTTTTCTCGTGTTTAGCTTCCAATATTATTATGTTGATTGAGCCCTTACACATAATGGCATTAAATGCCATATTCTCTGCGACTATCCATTGCACTAGATTTTGTTCTAAGAGCTTTGCTGCCTGATTCTCTGCTTATCTCTGAAAGGAACTAACAACAGTTAATTATTTTATACTGGAGTTGTTGTCTTCTTGACTATTTCCAGTTCCGCTTGAAAAGATGCTATGTTTATTAAGATGAGATCGTATATTTGATGTTGAGGTTACTCTTGTAGAATCGGTCGTCTTCTAACCATATCGAGTGCAATATATTTCACGATCTTCAATTGGGCCTTTACCTCTCTTTGGCCACCAAAGATTTCCAGGGAGAGATATAATATCAAACTCTGCCTATAATGACTGGTTCTGCAGCCTCTTCTGTGAGCGCTTGGGGTCGTAAAAGATGCTGGATGTCTCAAGTTCGATATTGCTTAACACTTCCTGCTGGGAAATATCTGCTGGTGGAGTCTAGGCTTTTATTAATTGACTTGCAGAGTTGTTAGGAGTAATAAGCTCAATGCTATTATCTAGTTGAATTAGACGAGATTTCTTGGTAATGCGATCTACCAGAGCCACTTCCTCATCACCACCATTATTAAGAGGATGATAATCAATTCTCTGGGAGCGCTGAGGATGCTTGCCTAAAGATGCAGAAGATTTCTCCATAATGTGGAAAGAGAAATAGCTGAAGTGAGTATGTTCAAAGAAAGATAATAGAATGATAAAAAGTAAACACGCGTAGATGAAACGACGCGATATGTTATTACCTAAATAGGATTGGCGGTATTTTACTAACTATACGAATAATTACGAATCGAATACGAATAATAACCTCGAGATTCGTAGTCGAATACGAATAATGTATCATATATACATATCGAATACGAATTAGCAAAATCCTTATTCGTGTGCACCCCTAATAATATCTCCTCTGGGGAGTCGGTTCTGCGAGCTTCGCCAAGATCGCTTTATTTTCCATCTGCAGTTGAACGAAAGAACGCATCGATGCGGAGCGAAGGATAGATAGAGACTGTTCAGTTCCCATTTTCTAAGTGAGGCCGTCGGGAACACAGAAAGAAGTAACACAACAACAGCTTGCTTTGCAGACTTCCGTTGTCGACCAGACGACCTAGTTGGCTATCCACAGAATATGCATGGAGATTAGCGACAGCTTGCCAGCCGATCTCGACCGCAACATGATCTGATTTCTTTTTCCATATCACGTTGCCCTCTGGAACAAGAACTACACGAGCATGGCTATTCACCTGGAGCATAATGAGTTTGTTGCGTAGGCCAACAAGAGTCTCTAGTGACTGGTCAGCATCAATCACCATATCGGGGTACTGGTGAGATCGAATGGAAGAGTGTCCCAATTGAAGGGTGAATCCAATCCTTAGATAGGGAATCTCAATTTCTAATACGGAAGACAAAACGTCGAGCTTGCAGTGCAATTTGGAGGCCCTTTCAATCGGATTTAAGATTGTAGATATCAATTTCGCTGTTTCGCTTCTCAAGCTGACCAACATGATGCCATCTTTCACAAGACACCAACCACGTTGTGTACATCTCTTCAATTTCCAGTGCGAGTCAGACAGCCACCAGGGTTCTTTGGCAGGGCGAAATTCTAGGTATCCGCGATCTAAGTTATACCAATGAGCATAGTTCTCCACGAAGCGATAAGACAAAGACTCCCATCGAAAAACTAGAAGTGGAATCAGGCAGTTGGATGTCATGTAGATAATGTTCTTCCTGTCGTGAATTATCATGCAGCATTGGAAGAAAATCGTGGCTTCCGATGTCCTTTTAAACATACAAGCAAGAGAAGGCCTCTCCGCGTCAAACATACATACACGAATTAATGCTACATGAACACTCTGAGCCATCAAATTGGTTCGATGCTGCTGTTCAGTTGTATTATCTGCCTTCTCTCTTACAATGGCAACCTAACGGAAGGCGACAGCACGAAGGGCTAATAGATGGTTAAGCACAGATCCTGGATTCCTCTAGAGGCGGAAAGAGCTAACACTCTCTAAGTAAGAAATATCAGTGCGCAAAGCTCCTGTACAGACTCCCAGTTCTCTTTGATTCGATCTGCTGAATTTTTGATTTCGGCCAGCAGTGCGGCGACAAATCGATCATCTTTGAGAATGGTATGTCCAGTTCTCAAAATAGAACCCCCAGTCGGGCCAGCCTGATTGATAATCTGTAGAAGGAAGATGCAAGTTTGTACCTTTTTAAAAATGACGGATGGTATGGCTAACTGGCGTAAGATATATTTCCATTGTATATGAATACCAAGTGGCATCATACACAGTGCCCTGTACTCTTCGAGTTTCATATCTTCTGGGTAGGCATGCAGCGAAGCGATGACTGTATTGGGTGGTGGTCCATCACTTCTATTTGCCGGTTGGAGTAGAAACTGCTGTAGCAATGAGCTTAATTGGGGTAACTGATAGGTGCACGGAATTACGGTCATCTCATTCGTAGTTTGAAAATCCACGACGAAACAACAGGCCGTCTCATCGTAATACTGGAAATGCATTCTATTGTCAAGACACACATTATTTCTAGTAACATTGATGATCTTCCTGTCTCGCCTATGTGTCCCAAGGTGAGGTTTATTCTGTAACAGCAGGTTAATTCTTCGAGCACCTTTGATGGGCGTAAAAAAGGGTGAAAGGCCACTGTAGGATTGGGGCCGATATGCAGCTCTTAGATGCTCTTTGACAGAATAGTCAACATGCAGAACGTCAAAGAAAAAATATGATAGTGTCACGCTACCAGGCGAACGGTGGAGGTTTATTCAACTCAAATACGGTGGATTTTGCGTGGAGATGGTTGGAGGACAAAGACCATTCGTGAACCTCAATGCTGATCGACTCCGCCTGCTTCTCATAGACACACTTTCTACATGAGGGGCTGTGGCGAGACTCATGAATATTAAAATGCATATCAATAATATAATCATTGTATGTGCATCCCATCCCACTGAATAGAGCATATAAATCATGGTACTCCTGTTGCTTGCGCTCAAGCTCTAAATGTTTTGCTACTCTTTCGCGTCTGGCGCGCTCTTCGACTGCTGCCAGTAAGTTCTGATGTTCCTGGGACTGTTTAAAGAACCTAACTGGAAAATAAGAGGAGGTGCCGATATCATTGAAAATGCCGGACCCGTAATATCGTACGCGAGATTGACGTTGTTTCATATAAACCTCTGCCTGGGCCAGTCGATCCATCTGTGATTGATGGGGCAACACTAGGGATTCAAATATGTTCATCGAGATACAGGCGTTATACTCTTTTAGCGTCGGATGGAGTTTATCAATACCTTCCAGCCATTAATCTAGACTAGGCAATAAACAATAAATGTCCTTCCTAAAGTCTAAACTTTTCAAGCGGTGCAGATCAATTTTGAGCCTGTTTTGGAACATAATATTGTTCCAAGCTCGTTGGATGGCGTTATTGGCACTTTTAAGGGTATCTTGAACAGCTGGGAACCAGGCAGGAGCATCGGCCAGGTCAAGCTTCCGCGGTCGATGAGCGATTTTAGCCGTCATAATGTAGCTTTGCTCCGTAGGTCTTTTCAGAGCACTCCTTGAGAATCATACTCATGTAATATACCATGAAGTGCTTATAAAAATCTTCCGTTACCCATAATTTCGCACGAAGTCTTTGGCTAATTAGTTGAAGGACTACCTGGATCAGAAGCCACAGAGGGGATCGTCGCCAGGGCATTTTGCTATCGAGCCACAGCACTTCTTCGCGGGTATCCTTGTGGATTTATGAACTCTTAACAACAGTGCACCGAGGCCGCAGAAACGTAGTGAAAAGTTCAGTCATCATAGCTAGGTTGGTTGTATCCCTCTCTTCGTCATGCAATTGGCCAGCCCTTTTTACCTTAGGTTTGGTTCTGGCGACAGACTGGTGGCTCATTCTAGCGAGAGTCTGCGCAATAGTATGCTGCAGGCCTGGTTCTTTGAATGTGTCCCGATTCAACGCAAAAGTTGGGCCAGGGAATTGATGCTGTAGGCGACCCACAGTGGTATTGACTGACTCATTACGAGGCGATAACTCAAACGCCTCCACTTGTATCGTAGTCTTGCTCTTAGTCAATAGAACTGCGGCATTCTGACTTCGAATATGAATAGACAAGAACCCGAAGCTGAGCCTGGGCCCTGCTCCATGCTCTTCCTCGCAAAGCCCTATATTTGGCTCATCCTTTCAGGCTATTTGCGACCTCTTGTTTGTTCTAGCCAATTTTCCTAAAGGCGTCATCCTCAGTTGGTAGCCCTTCACTATCATAAATGGTGATAATCCCACCTGATGAGCCCCGCCGCGGCGAAGTCGATAATTGGCAGCCACTTAGAGCAAATGTCTTGAAAATGGCTTAACGTCCGGTTTCAATCTCTAAGATAGATACCGATTAGCTATTTCATCTGATTACCAGTTTGAGCATGATCTATTGTGTTTATTTCTTTGGGGGAAATAATATAACTTGTACTAGTCTATTACCCAGGTCTATAAAGACTAAGAAGGAAAGTATTCAATGGCCCTTACTTCCCCGTGCATATGCATGTGTGACGAATCGTCACCAACTGCAGTCACTGAGTCACATGCTATATCAAAAATCAATGTGCTTCAAAAAAAGTTGACGTACAGAGCGGTCTACAATCAAGTTCTCACTGGATTCCATATGTTAGATGCAATGCTTCATGAATATTTCAATCAGGTATTCAAGCGATGAACTGCAGCAGCATGATTCTGCCAATGCATCGAGTCTATATATTCCTTTCCATCAGCGTAGAAGTTACAAATTTGATCGTTCAAATGCTTGGGCCGAAAATATCTGAGAAGACTCTGATGCTGAGAGAACTTCTTGCCGCATTAAAAGCAAATTAAGGGTTTCTTAGCGGTCTTGATGTGCTTCTGATCTTGCTCATGTTTTTTCTTCGCAATAAACAGCTTGTCATTCCCCATGTTGTTAAACCTTTTAACTGCTTTCTTATGCGTATCGTCATTACTTGCATTTCGCTTTCGCTTCTGTCGGCCTCGAAGAGGGCCGCCTTCCTAGAAATCACAGTACAATACAATGACTTCTACACTTACATTGCGACGCGGCCATTCTCCTTCAAGTGTCCATACGGTCGGAACAGTCGTCAGCCCTTTCATAGGTCTGACCTGCTGAAGAGGCATGTCATCGTGTGGCAGGTCTTCTTTAGCCGCATCATCTTCCTGTAAGATTGTGTCGTCGAGCTGCCCATTAATATCGATAACTGCTTGTTTTGGTCCAAACTTGCGCCGAACCTAAGCTAAACGCTTGTATCTGAATCTTTGACGAGTATTGAGAACCCGGCTCTGTGCTTAAGCGAGCTCTGAGACAAGCTCGGTGACTTGATTCCGCTCATAGTTATCCTGCAAGAGTTCTAGCTCACTGATGGCCTCTTGAAACTTTGGTTCACCCTTCACAAAAGCCCTTTCTATGTCGTCCAGAAACCGCGGGCGGCATTTATCTTTATTTCGATTGAAGCTATTCAGAGCCCGATCCCAATGCTGATCTGCTTCTAGACCAAAGATTACTTGTTGCATCTGAGTATGATTTCATGGGCGATAATGTTTGAGAAAGGTTGAAGTGTCCGTATGATTCATAATGAGATTACGCTCAGGGTCGCTAACCCATCCTGGCACTTCATGTCAGAAAGCACGGTATCTCGAATTTCAAGCAGAACGACTTACCAGTTTTGTCTAGCAATTTCCCCGTGCCATATCGAAATTGATGATAAAAGAAGACATTTAAGAGACCCATGATGAATGAGATAGATTTGATGGTTCCGTAGAAAACACCATCAGTCATGGGTTGATCACGTATAACACGAGGCTCGCCATCATTCTGTTGAGATATCAAGGTGTTGAAGGCCATTTTGTACGGGGCTTGCAGGTGTCCGGATGACCCGTGGAGTACGTTACATAAGCTTATTCTCTTAGGATTCATTAGTAGATGACTTCAGATTGCTCTAATCTTCGTTTCAATTCCATACTCAATGTGAACCGGACGAAGCGCTTCCCACTAATCGGCTCCACTCTGACTATGTACTATACGAAGGACAATCAGAGGGTTCTGATATTTATCCTGGATATCGGCAAAGCTGGCACATATTTCAAGAAGGAGGGAATGACTTGGAGAAGTCCAAATGTCAACAGTAAGATGGATGTTCGTCTTTGCCGATTGAAGTACTTTTCGCATAGTATCCCGGCTTTGGATGAAGTGTTCAGCAATCCACTCTGTCATTATTGAATCATAAATAGGAATAAACGAGGGCGATTCTCGATTCAGTGCTTTAACGAAAGCATGAGACTCTGGCCATTCTACGCAGGAGAATGGAAGACGTTGTATGATAATAAGATTTAAAAGTGTCTATTTTACGGCATCCTATTGTATCGTCCACCTTAGTATTTCACCCTCAAGACCCTGAACTTCTGCCTTTATTAAAAGCTTTCCATATAGGTTGTGAACCGACATCTCCCCAAGATCTCTTACTGTCGTACAAATGCTGTTCTCCTCCAGACTCCATTAAGTCCCATGGTATCTCCGTAGATAACGTTGCAGCCCTTGGGTTGATACATGGTGTCCCTTTTCATCTTGCGGAGGGCAATACTTACAGAAATACTGTTTTTGGTTCGGATCTTTTTCTCTCTCGTTGCGGTACGACAATGCTTGTGGATTGAAGAGGATAGTCTCGGGATTGGTGTAGAACGACTCGTTGAGATAGAGTGCGTATCAACTTCGATGTTAACGGCGCTCAAAAGAGAAGAAGATGTATTCAGTTTAAGAAAATCATTGTCATTCAGTGTTTCACTATGGTTGGCCATAATGGTTTTGTTTCTCAACTTCTCTCTCCGTAAGGATTCTGAGGAATAATTGCCAAGCCGCGAGTCTGCAGTGGATTCTTACGCTGACGCACGAGCCACTCCGTTCTGATTTGCGCTTTATCGACACCTTAAATTACAGGCTGCAACTTCTGAAATTTGTTTATACCTTATGACTACGGGACTGGTCGAATTTGTCTTTGATCTTTCAGATTGCATTCATGAAATGGTTGGCTACTCACCCTGAAAACCAGAGGCCCCTTTTCGATGCAAAACGCCTTCGCTACTTATCCCTCGGCATAGCCAATTGTCCTTCATTTTAGAAGATGGGTTATACCAATTCCTAGATTTTGAAAACCCTCCTGACAAACCTTTAACCCGGCAAGTTCCGTCGCAAAACGCAGTTTGCGTTCTTGATCCCAGTCATCTTCGTGGCATAGAATACCGAAGAGCATACCAGCAAGAAATGTGTCCCCAGCACCTATAGAGCTGTATATGTGTTACTAATCTCTTCTTCAAACAGATGGTATACCACTCACTCCACGATTTTGGTTTCTTGGACCTCTAATGCAGGCACCGTTATGTAGATGTTGTCAGGCTTTGTTAACAACGAAGCGCCGTCCTTGCCCCATGTACAGCATAGATATTTCCTATATGCGTATGAGTTAGACCCAATCGATGACGGAGTAACACTTAGTTCTATCGTACGCTTTTGTGGCGACATGAGTCTGTGCCTCCAGACATTCCTTCATGGATGTATAGCCACTTCCCTGGGCCCAGCCTTTGGCGTAGAAAACGATATCTGCCTCAGCTACGAGTTTCTCAAGTCCTCTGCGGCGTGGGTTCTCGACCTCAACGCTAATGACTGCGGAAGGATATTTATGCCGTATGTGTAATATGCATTGCAGATTCGCTTCTGGCATTGTTCCCTGTATGCGGATCTATGAGACATGATAACGGGCAGAATCTACAGCAAGCCATACCTCAAAATGAAAGTAGGTCTTTTCCATGTAACCAAGCTTTTCAACTGAAGATGAAAACTCATCAAGAGTCATCTCTGGCAGTCCATTGTAGCTCACGATCGTTCTGCTTCCTGTTCTTTGGCTACTGATTACGTAGGCTGAAGCCGGTTCATCCGAGTCATGGCGATAGATACAAGCATCACAGTTGACATTCGGCCCCAGCGATTGTCTTATAAATCGTGAACTTGCTGATTCAATTGCTGGGAGTACTGATATGAGATTTAATGGCAGCTTCGACTGGGCAACGTCTATTAGTTGCTGTATCACTTCGAGAGAATTGGGGCAATTTCCTCCTCTCCGCCGATACACACTAGAAGCCCGCATCTTTTCGTCCTCCCCAGGATAGTGATCCACACTGAAGGCCATTTTATTGATGTCAGCACGATGTTCCGCCCATGATAATCAGAGAGAGTGCTGGTCACCATGCCTTAAGATCGTATCGACGAAACACACACCAACCATAATTAGGCGTGTCATTGTGAAGAGTCTGCGTCGCTATACAGGCGTATATCAGCAGCGTATCTCCGAGTTGACGACCTATAATTCTCTTCAATAATATACGCGCTTATCGAATATCCCTTGTGTGCGGAGACGTAAATTGTGTGTAAATTGTGGCGGCACAGCCGAAGCTAACTCCGCCGTCGCCAACCCTTATCAAGAGCTGAACTTTGCATATTCGAAATTGGCTCAGATATTATTTATCATATCAACTATCGCAGAGAAACAATATAAGAAGTGAGTCAAAACATTGCTAAGCAGCAGTTAATAATAAGTATACACAGCACCCAAAGGAGAAGTGTCTACCGACATGGCGGAATTCCGGCGTTATCTCCGAGCGCTTGCCCTTTTCAGGACTAGGCTGAGGATACTGCGTCATTACTAATTGGTCAACTTTATTGGCCGTCTTTTCTGAGCTGCTTTCATAATCTCCAACTTCATGACGGAAGAATCTGTTTTCGTATCCGACTATATCAACCACTAACAAAGGTTCGCTGCATCGCTTTTTGCTTTCCGGGATTACCTTTAATTCTCTGATTCTCTCTAGGTAGCCTGTTGGAGTGTACTCTTTTCATCGGGTATACTCTGCTGCCGACGGAAAATGATCGATGGGACGCAGCTCGCCATAGGCAGCGACGGCGGTTCTACAGTCCCCTTCTACACCGCTGCTAATCCGCTACATGCTTCAGCAACCTCACGTCCCCCATTTTGTCGCGATAGCGAAGGATGGGGTCCTATAAACTCGGACATTACTGACCTGACGCCATGCTTCGTTGACGTCCCGATCTCCATCACCGCCATCTGGGGTGTGGTGATGGGCGCGGGAGCTCTATGGTTCTTGCTTAAAAGACGCGAGCCGCAGCACGTCCCAAAGAATTGGCATTTTTATGCTAAGTTGGTAAGCATTATGCTCCCTATTACTCCTTACCTAATGTTATGCGACAAAACGAAAGTTACAAGGCCTAACGATAAAACCTATAGGTTGTTCTGTCGCTTTTAATGGCATTGACGGCCGCTGAGGCATCTCTCCAATTGGACTCGAACCCACGACTTTACATCGGCGACTTTCGATTCTGGGCGAATATTTTGACTTTAGCTTCGCTCGCTGTGATTTTCGCCGTTCAATATCATGAGCACTGGCGTAGTAGGCAACCGAACGGCGTGGTTCTCTTCTATTGGGTGTTCTTCATCATAGCCCGTGGTATCAAGCTACGGTCTCTCGTTGCCCGTGCAGTATTCAGCGATAATCCTCCATACTTCATCATATTTACTATCGGCCTCGGTTTCGCCGTCGTCGAGTTTGTTCTGGAATACCTCGTCCCGAAGAAGCAGAGTGCGTACGATACTTTGGGCAAGGAAGACGAGTGCCCGTTCGAGTATGCTGATATCTTCTCCGTTCTTACTTTCGGTTGGATGACACCAATGATGAAGTACGGTTACAAGAATTTCCTAACTCAGGACGATATGTGGAATCTGCGAGACCGAGATACCACCAAGACAACAGCTGCTCATCTGGAAGATTCATGGGGCATCGAGCTGGAGAAGAAATCACCTTCTTTGTGGATTGCACTTTTCCGGGCATTCGGAGGTCCCTATGTCCGAGGCGCCATTATCAAATGTGGCAGTGACGTTCTTGCTTTCGTGCAACCGCAATTGTTACGTTACTTGATAAGCTTCATAGACTCCTATCGTACTCCTCAGCCGCAGCCTGTTGCTCGAGGTGTTGCTATCGCATTGTCCATGTTCGCGGTTTCAGTCTGCCAAACAGCATGTCTGCATCAATACTTCCAGCGAGCCTTCGAAACCGGTATGCGAGTCAAATCCGCTCTTACCGGTCTGATTTACTCCAAAGCACTCAGATTATCGAATGAAGGCCGTTCGTCCAAGACGACTGGAGATATCGTCAATCATATGGCTATTGATCAGCAGCGATTAGTGGACTTGACCCAGTTCGGTACGCAGCTCTGGTCTGCGCCTTTTCAGATTACTCTTTGCATGGTTTCTCTCTACCAACTAGTCGGTAATAGCATGTGGGCTGGTATTGGAGTCATGATTCTCATGATCCCAATCAATGGCATTATTGCTCGAATGATGAAGACTCTTCAGATCGTACAGATGAAGAACAAAGACTCCAGAACACGCCTTATGACTGAGATCCTTAACAACATGAAAAGCATCAAGTTGTACGCTTGGAACAAGGCTTTTATGGCTAAACTTAGCCACATTCGTAATGATCTCGAGTTAAATACTCTTCGGAAGATTGGAGCAACCCAAGCCGTGGCAAACTTTACTTGGTCGTCAACCCCATTTTTGGTATCTTGCACAACTTTTGCAGTTTTTGTGCTCATTGACGAGCGACCTTTGACTACCGATATTGTTTTCCCAGCATTGACTCTATTCAACTTATTGACTTTCCCACTATCAATTTTGCCAATGGTTATTACCTCGATCATAGAAGCTTCGGTGGCTGTTAAACGTCTCACCGACTATCTCACTTCAGACGAACTTCAGGAGGATGCTGTGCTCTTCCAGGAACCAGTTACGCACAATGGCGACGAATCTGTTCGCATCAGGGATGCATCATTTAGTTGGAACAAGTACCAACCTAACAATGTTTTGGAGAATATCAATCTGAGTGCTCGAAAAGGCGAATTGACCTGTGTCGTTGGCCGTGTAGGCGCGGGAAAGTCGTCGCTTCTCCAAGCTATTCTCGGGGATTTGTGGAAGAGCCAAGGTGAAGTCGTTGTTCGTGGCCGAATCGCGTACGTAGCGCAGCAAGCTTGGGTCATGAATGCCAGTGTGAGAGAAAATATCGTTTTCGGTCATCGCTGGGATCCACATTTCTACGAGCTGACAGTGGAAGCCTGTGCCCTGGTTGACGACTTCAAGACCCTTCCTGATGGCGACCAGACCGAGGTTGGTGAGCGGGGTATATCGCTATCGGGAGGACAAAAGGCTCGACTGACGCTTGCTCGAGCTGTCTACGCACGAGCTGACATCTACCTCCTCGATGATGTCCTTTCTGCTGTAGACTCTCACGTTGGCAGACACATTATCAACAGGGTCCTAGGACCAACGGGTATACTTAACGGCAAGACGCGTATTCTCGCCACCAATGCTATTGCTGTGCTGAGAGAGGCAGACTTTATCACTCTTTTGAGAGATCGTACGTTCCTTGAGAAGGGTACATACGAACAGCTTATGGCAATGAAAGGTGAAGTGGCCAATTTGATCCGCACTATATCTACCGAGGACGATGATGGAAATGATTCGGAAGCCAGCAAAAGCGATACTAAAAGCCCTACCAGCTTTGAGTCAACTACCGCTGATGAGTCCGACCTGTCTGAGATCGAAGAAGCGGATGATGGTCTTGGTGCGCTTGCACCTATCAAACCCGGAGGTGTCAGAAGAACCAGTATGGCTACTTTACGACGTGCGAGTACTGCAAGTTGGCATGGCCCACGTAGAGAAACTACAGACGAAGAGAATGGTCTCAAATCCAAACAGACCAAGGAAAAAGCCGAACAAGGCAAAGTCAAATGGAGCGTTTATGGTGAATATGCGAAAGAAAGCAATCTTTATGCAGTCGCTATCTACTTATTCTTCCTTCTTGCTTCGCAGACAGCACAAGTTGCGGGAGGTTTTTGGTTAAAACGATGGTCTGAAGTCAATGAGATCTCTGGGCGAAACCCAGATGTTGGCAAGTACATTGGAGTTTACTTCGCTTTTGGATTGGGTTCATCTGCTCTTGTAGTTTTGCAGACGTTTATCCTTTGGATTTTTTGCTCCATAGAGGTTCGTCGCAACTCTTCGTTGACCATCTCCGTACGGCAGCTTACATATTTGATAGGCATCTCGAAAGTTCCACGAACGCATGGCATACGCTATTTTCCGGTCGCCGATGAGTTTCTTTGAGACTACTCCTTCTGGTCGGATTCTGAACCGATTTTCAAGTGACATATATCGGGTGGATGAGGTACTTGCACGTACTTTCAACATGGTAAGGGCGTTCCGAGACTGTTCATTGATGATGACTGACACTTTATTAGTTATTTGCCAATGCTGCTCGCGCTATGTTCACCATGGGTGTTATCACCTTCGCGTCACCGGCATTCTTGATCGTTATTCTTCCTCTTGGATTTCTTTACATGTCTTATCAACAGTACTACTTGAGAACTTCTCGAGAGCTCAAGAGGTTGGATAGTGTTAGTCGAAGTCCGATTTTTGCCCACTTCCAGGAATCTCTAGGTGGTATCTCCACGATTCGTGCATACAGACAGGCGAAGCGATTTGCTTTGGAGAATGAATGGCGCATGGACGCTAACAACAGAGCTTACTTCCCCTCTATAAGTGCCAACAGATGGCTTGCTGTGCGATTAGAATTCATAGGGTCTATCGTTATCCTAGCTGCCGCCGTATTTTTTATCGTCTCTGTTGCTACAGGTACTGGCTTGACGGCTGGTATGGTGGGTTTGGCCATGTCATATGCTCTACAAATTACGCAGTCCCTCAACTGGATTGTGCGACAGACGGTCGAAGTTGAAACAAATATTGTGTCCGTCGAACGTGTGCTGGAGTACGCCAACCTGCCTAGCGAGGCTCCGGATGTTATATTCAAGAACAGGCCTACCATCGGTTGGCCAGCACATGGTGGCGTGTCATTTGAGGACTACAGCACTCGCTATCGCCCTGGACTCGACCTTGTTCTCAAGAATATCAATCTCGATATTAAGCCTCGGGAGAAGATTGGCGTCGTTGGTCGGACAGGTGCTGGCAAGAGTTCTCTGACCTTGGCGTTGTTCCGTATCATCGAAGCCGCAGAAGGCAAAATCTGGTAAGATTTTTAAACCAGCTGAGATAGCGTTGACTAACTCTGTAGTATCGATGACTTGGACATCTCAACTATCGGTCTTACTGACCTGCGTGGGCGGCTTGCAATCATCCCTCAAGATCCAGCAATGTTCGAAGGGACTGTTCGAGATAATCTAGACCCCCGCCATGTTCATGATGACACTGAATTATGGAGTGTCCTTAGCCATGCTCGACTGAAGGAGCATGTTGCCAGCATGGAGGGTCAACTGGATGCTGTCATTCAAGAAGGAGGTTGGTCTTCACAACACCCTATAAAATCAGCTTTTCTGGACAGTACTGACGTTCTATGTTTGTAGGATCAAATCTCAGTCAGGGACAGCGGCAACTCGTTTCGCTGGCTCGCGCATTGCTGACGCCAAGTAACATCCTAGTCCTAGATGAAGCAACTGTAAGTTTTGCGTTATCGCCATCCAGAAACCTACCCTTGCTGACATGGATATCACAGGCCGCAGTAGATGTTGAAACTGATGCTCTGCTCCAACAGACGTTGCGTAGCAGCATCTTCAAAGACCGCACCATCATTACAATCGCCCATCGAATCAACACCATTATCGATTCTGATCGCATTGTGGTTTTGGATCGGGGTACCGTCGCAGAATTCGATACACCAACCGAGCTTCTCCGGCGGGGTGGCAAGTTCTATGATCTCGTCAAAGAGGCGAATCTTCTAGATAGTGATGCTGTGGCAAGCATGTTAGGGAAGAAATAGGTAGGGCCATAGCTATGTTTCGGGGAACCGGGACGTATCAATGCTCCCGCCAGAGGGTTCCACGTTGAGTTAGGTTAGGAACCGATCGACAAATCTTCGTGTTCGTCCAACTTCTCTTTTCGATCAGCGCACAAGTTAGGGAAGGCGAACCAAGATCATAGGATATATTTCTTCTTGATGGCCAGAAAAATACTACATTATCACGATACAGACCTCGACATTATTGCATAAAGCCCTGTGCCCGGGGGTTACACAGTCCTTCTCATGTGGCCCCTTGTTATTTTATCTCTTCTACTTTATGCAAAAAAAAGAAAAGAATATTTGTGCTATACTACACTGAGTTTGATATACGAAGCAAAAAGAAAAAGGGTCCCCGGATGGATTTTCCGCCTATTTTGACCGGGGTATATCTGAGTCTGGGCCGCATTACTGACTGTCTGTGCGCGCAAGGACTGTCGTGTTCCACGGCTGTGACACGTTCCTCTACACCAATGGGACTTGGATACTTGAAGATATCGACTTCTTGGCTCATGTTGCCTGGATCTTGATTTATAATACATGAATTATTGCTTCGGAGGGTGCTGATCGAATGCTGATTTGGTATAATTAAGGGGTCTTTTTATAACGAGTTTGGGGCGAGTAGCAGATGGGAGAAAAGCAAGAGGGAGTGAAACTGAAAAAAGTATTTGTATATTTCGATGATCTGTAATTAGCAGCGATACTGTAGTACAATTAATAAATGGTTTGTACTCGATTTCCAGGACTGCGACTGTGCTCATTCATAGTTAACTGCTGAATGGTTAGGTAGCTAGGCGGACTTCTCAACAGTCAGCTGTACCTAATGCTTAGGTACCTCTGATATGCTCATCTATAGAGGGATAATGCCTGCTTGCTATACATCTGCGTACACGAATGCAGCCTCATAACTCTGCGAAGGTAGCAATGCACATTCCTTAATTGTGACTTAGGTACTAGGCGCTATCGCATATTTAGCTGGGCACTTCTTTCTTTCGCATTGACCTGCAGCCTGCGCCAAATGTGTTGAAGGATACATAGACAGCATACCGCTACTTTATAAGGCTGTATACCTGTCTGGCGCGGTGACTATCTTCTTGGAGTCTCAGTGTCCGAAAGGAAAGTACTTATGGTAGGTAATCCGAGTACATTACTATCCACCTACCTATATTTCTAAGGTACTTATCTATGTCTAGGCGGCATTTAGTTAGACATGAGTCTACATATGTACTCGACAATCGAAGCACAAACCAGGATTTACCTGGAGTACGTACATATATTTGGCCGTATCGCATATCCAGGTATATCTGCTTACTATCCCGACCAAGGTAGCTCGAAGTCTTTGAAGTCAGAGGCTTGATCTTGCTAACCGTAATGTACACCTGACAGTCCGATAAATAATACGCTTTAGCATGGTGTGCACTGATAATCGAGTTGTACTTAGGTAGGTAGCAGTACGAGAAGCCTGAAGGGTTGAGACTGCGGTGCACCGGTGAGATCCTGTCAAAAGCCGAAGACAGACATTCGGGATTTTAATAGTTGAGAACACTTCCCAAATCAATGCTACGTACTATTTCGTACTAGATCCAAAGGGAGGCACGGTTTGTCGAAGCCGAAAGTTCTCGGTAGTTATGCTTCATGGAACTTTCCGTCCGATCACACTTAGCATCATGGTTCATCAGAAACTTTCTAAATGTCGAAAATAGTTTACCCTCTTGCTCTTTTCGTCGCATGCTACGGAAAGTATGTTAGCCACTTAGATCGGCTTCTGATCTACGAGACTTAGGAAGCTTGGTTCGTGTAACCTGATCTGGATCTTGCATAGTTATATGCGCATTTAGACGCATTCACAACACACACTTGCAGTTCGTCTAGGATTAGCACCTATTACTGTGGCAAGCGGTAGCTAGGATCTGTGATTGAGCAGGTTGCAGGTAGTGGCTAGGTACATTTGTAGGAAGTAGTCGAGCACGATCATCCCTTGCTTCTTGTTTGTGTTTCTGATTATACGTACAAAGAAACTCAATTTTAGCACTGACTACGTGGCTACGTACAATAACCCCAATTTGTAACGGACTATTGGCCCAAGAACCTCGGAAGGACGGAGGTACTAGATAATTTTGCGCATGGCAGGTACAAGCGATATACATTATACAATGACACAATCTCTGCCCCTCCCAAAGAAACTCCAAGAAGAGGCAGTGTAAGGAAAAACCAGCATTAGTGGCCTTTAGATAGGTCTGTGGACATCGAACCGAAAATGGTGAGAGAATAGGGCTAGACTCATTGATGATCTTTGAGGATTTTCATATCCGGCTGAATCCATCCTCTACTCCTATCGTATGGATCGTTTGTGTGGCAAATCTGAGACGAGCATATGGTAGTTATGAGAAAACTCTTTTTCCAACCGGTGGATCTTACGGAGAAGCGTGGATGCCATGCGGTTGGAAAGTATGTATGTATATACGGAGTAAGTTAGATTCGCCTACTTGCATACGTAGCTACATAACCAGCCACAGTTCGATCAGGGTTGAGATTGCGTATCGAGATGCTATATTTGAACTCTAATACTTAACTTGCTCCATATGCTTTTCCGCTTTGATCTGTTTATAGAAGGAGACCGGGATCATGGGAGACGCCCAACTTTTAGGGCAGATTGGCACTCTTCCGAGGCACCAAGCAAGCTATATCCCCAAAACCCTAAGTCATTAGACGCTAATCAAATATCTTAAGCCACAATTGATTTTTGTTTAGAGGACTAATGCCCCCACGAACCAACACTAAAATCACCTACTAAGGGGCCGGGGCCCCCAGTCATGGTCGTTCAGCACTTACTTATTAGTTAGTACGTACTGCATACATTACGAGGTATGTAGCATCACAGGCAAAAATGAGCGCAGAGTTCTACGCCGAGAGTCCCGATTACTACGACTAAGAGCAGTCTCAGTCTGCGAACTCGCTTACCAATTAAAGCACCGCGGTGATGAGAAGCATGATTGGTCGCGCACGTAGCAGGTCACGCACATGGCATAATCACTTCAACTTTGCTTATTTTGCTCCGTCGTCTAAGGAAAGAGCTGAGGGATTCCAGGTATATACGTTGTTGGATGTTACCGAGTAGCATTATTTTATTATGCATTTACATGCATATTTGCTGTATTGCATCTGTCTGATGTTCCTTAGTAGTACTGCCATATTTGGACAAACGTCCGATGCCCCGCCAGCTTTAGCATGTTAATCAGCTTGTCGATATAATGATTTTCAAGGTTATATGCGTAGGTACTACGTAGGTATATGGCTATCTCTGTTGTTCGGTACCTAAGTAGGGCCAAGTTCGCTGCCCGTACGGTCCTCTTAGGTATAGTCTGAACTATTTTTTTAGTCTACACTTAGTGGACGTAATAAGAACGGCTGACGTTATCCAGCCTGTTATTAATACATATTCAGAGATCGGCCTCCATTTCGTACTTCTACAGCCAAGTATGGAGTAGATGTAGCGTGGTGGCAAAGCTGCAAGTGTTGACTTGGCGTGCATGCTAGCGAGCTGGCTAGCACTAGCCGTTATGTGAGGTAGTCGCAAAATCGTGAAGGTGGTTACGAGGCTGCATGAGTGGACCTAAAATTAGTCGAATTGTATTACACAGTATTTCAGTACTCCAACCTTGGCACTTTAGACTTTGAGATTTTGATTGTTGGCTTGCAGAATTGGAAACCCGGTTTCTGGCATTGAGTGCTGCGATCGTTAGATACGCTTCAGGTACATTATGGCTAGGCGTCATTCATATCGTACATGCAGGCAAATGGCTCAAGAATTACGCCAAATATACGGCAATGTAACGTCGATGTCCTAGCACATTTCAATAATGATCGACAGTGGGATGTAGTTACTACTTTGATTTAAGGACTAGACGGAATGATCAACGACCTAAGTAGCTCCCAAACGAACAAAACGCATGTAATTCAGCAAGAAATCACGAATTTTGTGATTTTGATATCATATAGCCAGTACACATCCTGTTCCCAGACGTGACTGGTTGGGTGAATACTCTCTCGAGAAAAACGAATTGGTTAGCTTTTTAAGCATAATGTCTCTCGCCTAAGATGGTTAGTTCCCGCTCGGACTGACGGGAGGGAACATCCGGCGGGTACTTGCCGACCCGAACTTCCCTCTTTCAGTCTATCTGATGTGTGTACCCGACTGTCTGGGTCAGATATCGATCGGATCTTGCTCTTGAATCTCGGATCGAGTCATATCGATAACCAGATCAATGATGTCAGAGAATGGATGGTTTATACGATAGCATATTTGCTGATTGATTCCGTTGTTAAGCCTCGAATATGTGGTCAAATTGACTCATTTAGATACCGATTACCTATTCTTAGTTGCATGTGGTTATTACTAGCACCAGACGAAGCTTTAAGCACAGAAACATGTTGCGAACCTGCAAGTCTGCGAACTCTGGATCGATTATTGCTCCCCACAGTGGAAAATCATGTTCCGTCACCCTGTTTTTTTGGCGGGATAAGTACCCGCTCACAAGCAAACTTAACATAATTGCGTATCCCACCGTGCCTTTTTTCGGCTTGCTGCATATAAAATTTCAAGAACTATCTTTTTTTTATATTAATTTTCCAATCCTGGTATAGCCTACTTATGCTCACGGATATTCGGCAGTGTTTCTGCATTTCGACGATCAAGCTATATCCGAAAATATGAGCTAAGGGCCAGTTAAAGCCAGGCATTTATTAAGCCGATTAAGCTATCACAATCAGAAATATACTCAGACCAGGACATTTGAGACATTAATGACGTACATACGATGATTAAAATTGATATTCTTGGCCTGATGTGAGTGACAATTAGACTTTCAATATTTTTGAGGGGTCATATGGCGGACTCTCGGCATTTTATCGGGTTACTCAAAGGTCCATCAAGCCTCTTGTCATGGTTTTTACTTAAAAACAAATATTATTTGCCCCAGGTCAAGTTAAACTCTTATTAGTCCACTTTAAATTTTGAGTTAATTACTATCCATGTCAAAGCGTGAACCCATCCATGAACGGTAATTACATAACTTCAATTCCCAATTCTTCTGCGAACCAGTACAGAACAAAGTTTATAATAATCCATAGCCACGCATTGCCACTGCCTAGACGTAGACTCACATAGGGGGAAAAGGCGTATCAGTTCACTGACTCGCCAGTAACTCAATTACTTGTATGGATGTGGATTTTTGTATGAGATTATATCTCGGCTGAGTCCTGACTCCTTGCTCCATGGCTTCATCTAGAGGCCGTACAGAGGTTTACTGGAAGATTCAGGGCACCCTTAAGCTTACTAGGGAGTCCACTACGGATACTGTTAGGAGTTTATTAAATTACTCGCTAGCTTGTCAGACCTATGTACGCTTGATTACTGGTTTCACAGCTATCACATGAAATGGGAATGGGCCCTTATGTGAGGAGCATCCCAACCGGCTCATAGAAGCCTAGCTAAATTACTCACCTATAGTATACACCGCACGTAACTTAGCTACATACATTGCCACCTTCAATAGTTCCAGCCACAAATGTGTATTCGAGGTAGTTCCAGGTTTGGTGCAATCTTCTGAAAGACTGTACGAGGGATTAACTCCTTATAGGGCTCGGAAAGAAGGCCGATTACTATTAGACGAAACGCAACTTTGGAGTTAGGAGCAGAGCAAATATTCCGAGACAGCAATGGTAAAAGAATTG